GGACACGACCTACCTATATGTCTGCCTGAAGTATTGTCTTTGTTCTTTCATTGGCAGTCTATCCAATCAGCGGAACCTAGAAACGGGTGGCTAAGTACAGATGATCAGACACGGAAGCCTGCTCCATATGTTTCGCGGGTTCCTCTCCTGATACCATTTCACGATGTTGTCTCCACTAACGACTTCTGTGATCCCAGTCGTCTCCCACTACTTTCAAGTTTGTGGCGTCGGAGACAGTCGTTCGGGCTGTATAGCACGGAAAATCAGTAAGAATGGTAAGACCTACAATTGCCTGTCAAGCACCACAAGGCGTGTAGATGTGTCACCTCCAGCCTCGTAGAACATGCCGACTATCCACAGCTCAGATAAGTTTCGGATGGCTCCCATGCCTGGCCTTGCATTGTCAAAACGCAGCCTTCGATGCTGTTATTGGCTTATGATTACGTTGGCAATGCGTAAAGCGTCTTTGTTTGTAGTCCGACTGCTGCTCGCAAGTCCCATCAGCACTTCCTGCCCAGAGCACCTGACAGGCGAGGCTGAATTGGCCATGCAAAAAAACAGTGCGTTCAGCCAGTCCTAAGTGACTATATTGAGGTGTAGCTTCAAGCATAGTTGGATCTAAATGCTGACGGGATGCTCGGCAGCGCGTATCTGGCCGGAGCCCAATAGTGCGCGTGGATGGCTGAACTCTAAGACCGTCATTGGTGCCAAATCCATCACCCGTCAAAGCAGGGTTATCTGCAACTACTCGCATGCGATCTGTGCTTGAAGTGTAAAAGCGCAGAGTGCTTTAGCATCACCGTCATGATTGGGCTTGGCCAGGCCCTTGTGCTTCTTTGTCGTTCCGCAGAGATGCGCCATATCTGCGCGCGCAGACTCTGATCCGGGTCTTCGGCAAATTACGCCGCGAGGCGACGGACTGCCGTGTATAAACCCCCATGGCGGGAAGCTCCGCACATTTCTAAGTGGCGGAATGACCTGCAGACATCTTCGTGATCAATCGTTCGCGGCACAGTACTGCACTCCTGGTGCCAGAGCTCTGACCACAACGTCTAGTGCGTCACAAGCGAAGAACATCATTAGAGACTGTGTCAATAGGCCCGCGTTAGCGTTGGTCGGGGGCTTTCCGTCGTGGGATCATCCTTGGAGAAACCATGTTGGAGCGTGCAACGACCATCCTGGCGGACACGGATACTCTCGTGGCTCTTCCGCCAGGCGCCGGCCGCACGATTGTCCATGCCATGTCCTGGACGGGGACCCTCACGGTCGGAGGTGACATCGCGATGCCGCTTTGCCCCGCTGCTGAATGGCCTCTTCGTGATCCCTGATGGATGGAGAAGAAGAAGAAAGTTGCTGCAGAGCGAGCTGCGGATGGCGGTGTGCAAATTGAGGGTCCCCGGCCCTCCTCCATGGCGGCAGGCTGTGACGAGCCGCGGGTGGTGTTTGCGAGAGCAGCCGACGGCCTCGCGTCTGCCTCGAGTTGCGACTGGTCTGTGCCGGCTCCAGAGTGGTGGGTTTCCCGTAGCTCAGAAATGGGACGGAGGCCAAGCCTGTGCCTGCCTTAGGGCCATCGTTAGCCCCGTCCAACTGCTAGCATCATGCTCCCAAGGGGTCGTTCAGACGACGGATGTGGTAGATGCATGCTTGCCCGCTGTTGGTCATCTCCGTGCGATAGATTCTCTCGAAAGTGACGAGAGGGTCGTAGTTGTCTTGTCGTCATCACAGCAGTGCTTAACCCAAGAAGTTTCTCAAGGAGTTTGGGGAACAGTTCGTCCCCTGAGTCTGGAAGCAACAGCCAGCACTACGTAGGCGACCAGCTTGCAATGGACAAACCAGGTCCGCCGTCTGCCTCAAACGGGGCCAGCTGTTTGGCAACATGAGTACCGAAGTAGCCATTCTTCGTAGCTCGTGTTTCGCCAATGTGTGGGCGCGGGCTGTTGCTCGTTCGTGGTGGCTCTCTCGTCTAGCCAAGCACGTCGTTCACTGCCGAGACTGCACAACATCACACTCCGCATGCCTGACATTGCGCCAGTGTTGTTGTGCGGAGCCGTTGGGCATCGTCTGCACGCGGATCACCACTGCTTGCAAGCTTTTCCCTCTTGTCCCTGGGTGCCAGATCGAGCCAAACTCTAAACCGACCGTCGACTCCATCAGCACCGGTGCCCACAGCCACTGATCTTGCGCGGCTCTTCTCACTGCGTCGCTTTCCGTGCCTCGTATCAATGTGCTCCCTTACTGTTGGGGCCAGTTGTCTTTTGTCTGGCCGTCTCACAAGACGCGATTCTCAGGTGCCCTACCAGCCAAGATGACCAGAAAGAGGCGCCTCCTCACTAGCATCACTAGCATCACTGCCCTGGCCGATGTCGAGGGGCGGACGACTCCCCAAGATCCCTGATCCCAGCACCGGCTTGGGCTGCGTCGTGCAACAAACAAGAGGCGCTCTGGGACTGCCCGCAGAGCTTCCGGCGCGGCTGAGTGAGGGCACAGGTTGGGCGATGGAGGAATTACATGACCAATTACACCTGGATGTGTTGAGCAACCCTTCCGGTGCAGGGTGTTGTAGATCGGGCCGCAATCACACCAGGCCCGTACGTAGTACGAGGCATGATCACCACTTGTTGACGCCCAGGAGGGGATATCCTCAGAGAACGTGGGTCGCAATTCCTCTTCCTAGATTTCGCTGATTCTCCCGGGCATCGGCAGGGCAGGCCAACACGAAGACCAAGACCGACTGTTCAACAGACATTGTATCCGGGTGTGACGAATCCGTACCCTGCCTGCCTTGTGAAGCCTTTCGCTCTGGCTCGACGCCAAAACTCGCCAGTGGCGAGGAGTCGTCATTCCGGGTCTTCGAAACCCTGAGCTACCGGTTGACTGCAACCTCGCCGAGTGGCCCCCTGGACTCGAACTGACTAACTGCAATGATGGTGACGGCGCTGGTTGGACGTCGAGGCGGCTAGGGGTTGGATTCATGGAAGCTGCCGGACCCCAGTCGACGACGCAGAGAAGAACTCCAGGATCGTGCTTGCGACATGGGGGGCCCCCTGGTGCCGGCCCTGCCCACTGTGGCGGGAGAGGGGCGGCCTATCCTGTCGTGTTTGGCTGTCCGTGTTGCTGTCCCACTGACGCAACAAGGCACATGTGCTGCTAAATCTGTACGCATGGGCCACGGCCAGGCACCACAGAACGTCATCGTTCGCAGGAGGCAGGCCCGAGGATCAGCAACAACAAGTCTAACATTAGCACGCGACACCACGAAAGCAGGCTTTCTTGGGGGCTGCCATGAATCAGCCACGACGACAGCTCGGCACGCCTGCATGCAGACTGCTTGGAACAGCGAATCATCCATTGGGCAACAAGCAGAGTGCACGCTGGACCCTGCAGTCGTGGTGCCTGCACACCTGAAGAAACGCGACAGCGACACCACCCCTCTTCCACGGCCGGGTCATCCTCCTCCCATCTGTGGGTGTCCATCTTGTCCTTGCTAGCGGACGGAGTCCCGGGCCCATCTCTGCGCGGCATGCAAAGCTAGCCTGGGGGGCTCAAAGAAGCTGCCCAGGTGCTTACTCAAGGGTCTGTCGGTCTTTGCCCTTGTTGCTGGCCAGACAGCGTGACGCCGCCTCACTTTCGCAAAGGCTCCTCCCGGCGCACTCTGTGCCGTGCCCGTCCGTCCGTGTCGCTTGACGACGACTCGAACCATCTCTGCTGTGCTCATGGGCCTGGCAACCAGTCCCCGTTCTCCACCACTCTCGGCCTTGACTCCATCCGCAGCCGCAGCTTTTCGGCACGAGTGGTGACACATTCCTGTGAAGAAAACCCGTGACGCTGAGCGGACGTGACTATTGTGTCTTCTTCTCGTCCATAGCTGTGCATGTCGGATACACCCAGCCTCCCGTGCGGCTCAAGCATCAGACTTTCCGCCTGTTGCGGCGTCAAGGAAGCGAACCCAGCTCAGCGACTCGAATTGTACCCACGTAAGCGAGTCGACTGTGCCCGAAAGTCCTGGGTCGTTCGAATAAGCAGTCGCCAGCCGTTTCTGCCGTCAGGCTCACAGCTCGAGCCGGAAGGGGGACTGCACACGAGACGCTCAGCTCAGCCGAATCATTCGCAACCGACGCGAGCTTCGATTCTTCTTGAGACGGTCGAGAAGAGTCGGTTGTTGTAATATTCTATACGCAAGAGCCGGAACTGACACCCACGACCCCGCCCGCCACGGCCTGTCATCAAACCTCAGCAAGCCTTCTGCCGCTCGGCACGAAGCCCAATCCTCCCGCTGCAGCCCAATTGCGCTCATCAAGGCGCCGCAATCTCAAACGGCTTTGCCCGGAAAGACCATCACAAGCCACCTCGGACCCTCCTGCCGGCCGTGATCGTCAGTGCTGTGGGTGTGTCAGATCAGACTGGATGCGCCTGGGTAGGCTTCCCTCCCTCGTAGGTGACCCACGCCCAACGACCCCACCTGCAAGCCCGCCCAGACAAGAACGAGACCAAAAGCTTTCGCTAACCCGGTGGTGGCGCCATTGCCAGTATCCCAACCTAACGGTCCCTCACCTTGTCTCGTCGTCGTATTAGCTGGCTCTAGAAGCAGCAACGGGATTCCACTTGTTTCAAACCTGTCCCCCTCAGCCCGCGAAGGGTCCGGTTGTTGTCTGGCCAGAGTTGGGTTTGCGCCTGCCGAAACCCTGGACATCGCAGCCCAACGCCGCAAGGGTCATCCGGTCCGCGGGGTTGCTTTGCCAGCATTAACGAAGCATTCCCAATCTTTTTTACCAAAGCTTCCAAGGTGCTCCTGCTGAGCACTGCGAACAGACCCTCACCCCGAGGCGATCTCTCCTTGTTTCCACGTCAGCGCCTTTGTGCGTCTAGAAACATCGTCGGCAATAGCAGCAGCAGCAACAACAGCAGCAGGCGCCTGACCGACTGCTCCCCTCTTTTTTACGTTGCCTTGACATCACCTCCCTGCTGCCACCACGCCATAACTGGCACCTCTTGTCATAACGATGTCTGACCCTCGATACCGTTACCCGCCGTCGGGTCGCCGGTCTCCCACCTTCAATCCTGCTCGGGCCTCTCTTCCCGTGAGCCTTGGCTACAACTCGACCTACTCTGGCGACCTCCATACCATCCAGACTGCTCGCTACGACAACATCATTCCTCGATATCCCGCAGACCCGCGCTCTCCCATGCCGACCACCATCACCACCTACAATGTCACCAAAGACCCCATCACACGCAGCTCAAGCCACAACGAGCATCGTCATGGCCGACACCGCTCCTCGACCCTCGAGTCGCGGCCGTCCAAGCCCATCATCGTCACAACCAACCACCCACGGCCCTCCGGATCCTCCCACCATTCTTCGTCCTCCCACCAGTCCTCAAGCAACCGAACTGCAAGTCCCTCCCGTGACCACTATCGTGCCAACGAAGAGGCTTACTATACCCAGCCTGCCTCCTCCCATCGGTCCCGCAGCGCCCAACGTCATGGCCACAGCCACAGCCACAGCCAGAGTGCCACGTTCGACAATGACGAATTCTATCGCTTGCGTGAGCGAGTCGGAGACGATAGACTTCGAGCTCCCTTCCGAGCTAGTACCCTGGACCCATACCGACCCGGCCATCACCAGGTTCCCTACTCGACTACCCGACACAACACCACCTCGGCGATCGGCTACGAAGACGACGGTTACGAGTATACAAAACCAAGTGATCTAGCTCGGTACGATCTGGACCACGACCACTCCCGCAGGGCATCTCGAGATAGCTTTGATCGCTCGTACCACCGGCCATCAGTCAATGTTGTCAGCAACGAGCCAGCGCGACCCGAAGGCCGTGGCCGGAAGCCACCTCCTACATCTGCTGGGTTGGACCGCTACAACCGGGCCGCTGCCTCGGGAATGTACGATCGCCCAAGTGTAGCCATGCCGAGCCTGCCTGGTGGAAGCACTGCGCCTTTAGTCGACTCAACCCGCCGTCTTGAAGGACCCGGAAACTCGTCTCTAGAGCGCGCGGCTTCCAAGACCCGTCCTGTGTCGCTATACCAGGACCCCTCACCTCGGATGAGCTACCCAGACGACAACGTTCGTGCTCGAGACGACGAGCGTCTGCACAGAGAGCGACGAGAGCGAGACCGCGATGATGTATATCGGGATGAGAATATTGCTACTCGAGGTTTCGGGATCCGCACCGACACTTTTGACGACGCCGAGCGCCGTGGACGCCGGGACCACGATGACCGGGAGTACAAGAGGGCTTCCGACGAGACTTTGGATCGAGCCCGGAGCAGGAGCCACATTGCAATCCCTGACACGCGACCGAGGACTCGTGTAGATCAAAGCGTCGAACGCAAGGACAGCGTCGATAGCAAGGACAGCAGCCGCAGCGAACGTGTCCGCGACAAGGTCGCGTCCGGACTCAGTGTGGCAGCTGCGGCGATGGGGCTTGGTGCCTTGAAAGACAAGGGTAAAGATGAAGACAAGGACGCCAAGACGTCACCAAGACGCCGCCGCTCTTCGTCGGTCGATCAGACCACGTCCAGAGCTGCCGAGAGGTATCGGCCCCGTGACGCAGCAGACGCGAAAGGAGCGCGGGACGACCCCATCATCGTGGAGCAGCAGCAGAGACGAGCACGCGAATCAGCCGAGCAGACAGCCACTCGGCGAGAGTCACCCGATCAGCTGAAGCCAGCCTCAAAAATCGAGCCTGTCGTGGGAGAGCAACGGCGAAGCCGCGAGGATGTGGACGACAGAACTGGCAGAGACGACCACATCATCACCGAGACACGGCGTGAGGCACCGAAGGAACGTGCAGAACAGCGACCACGTGCTCAGTCTATTACTCGTGATCGTGATCAAGACCGCGAGCGCCAAGACAAAGAGCGTGATAGAGAGCGGGAGAAAGAGCGTGACAGAGAGCGGGAAAAGGAGCGGGAGAAAGAGAGGGAGCGACGTGCGACCGATAATGACCGTGACCGCCACCGGCGAGAGACCGAAGATGCCCTCAATGGAAGCACTGGTAACACCAGGCGTGAGTCACCGCCATCTGATGGAGCTTCTGACGTTACCCGTCGACGAACGCATCGTGCCTCGGCCGCTGCTTTCAACCCGCTGGACACACAAGGGCTCATGGACCTCAAAGCAGAGCTCGCTGCGAAGGAGAGCGCTGACAAGCAGAAAGACCGAAGCTCCGACCGGGGTCGAGCTGCTGACCCTGCACCTTCCTTGACTTCGGAGGAGAAGCGCAGCTCTAAGGAGCAGGACGTGGTGGCACCTGTACACCCGCGGGACGAGTCGCGTTCTCCAAGAGGCCACGAAGAGCCACGGGGCCGCACCCCTGCGCCAGTGCCCAGTCCAGACGACAAAGAGAAGCAGGTCCGTGTAGTGTCGCCACCTCGGGACAAGTCTGCGCACAAGCCTATCAAGGGTATCCTCAAGCAGCCCACAAGAGTGTTCCCAGAGGAGGACAACCCGATCCGAGAGGGTGTCGCCCCCCACAAAGACGACAAGACCAAGAAGGATGTGCCGTCGGGTGCCAGGTGGACCAAGATTAATCGCCGAATGGTCAATCCAGAGGCACTGACCATCGGCAAGGAGCGGTTCGAGGTGCGGGACGATTTCGTGATTGTCCTCCGTGTTCTGAGCAAGGAGGAGATCCAGGCTTATGCTACTGCTACGGCACAGCTCAGAGGTAAGCACATCCGAGGTCTTGGCCGTGGCATGATGGCCATTCATGCTAACAAACTCGCAGAGATGAGACGAAAGCAGGCGGATCGGGATGGCGATCGCACTCGGGAACACGATGATGACCGCGACCGCAGCGATGAGGACAGACGCCGGCGCAAGGATCATTCACGGCGTGATCGTGACGACGACGACGACTACCGGAGAGGGGGGCGGGACAGGGACGACCGCGAGCGCCGCCACCGCCACCGCGGTGATTCGGACGAAGAAGAGCATCGGCCCAAGATGATTGGGTATGACGAGGAGCATGACCACGGGCACAGCCGGCACCGGAGTCACCGAAACGACGACGACGCCTCAAACACTGGGGGTGGCAGCGAAAGGCGATGATTTCGTGAAGGCGAGGCAGGATACATGTGATAACAGCAGCACCATCTGCTGTGGGGGTTGGGCTTGTTTGTCAAAGCGTTCTTGTATAGCGTCTGGCATTTGGCAAAAGGCGTCATTTTCATCTTGGAGTGTGTTCTTGTATAGACCTAGCGATCTAAGATTGCATCGTTTTTGGATCAGGAGAAAGAGATCAAGGTTCTGTTCCCATGCTGGGCCAAAAAGGACATTCGGAAATGCAGCCTTGCAACCCAGGCCGAGCCACTCTGTGCATGCTAGTACCAATGTTATCTGTGTGGTTGGAACAAGCTCCGAGCGGACGGGACACGGCCGAATCAGAGCTCACGGCTGGCGACCTTCTGTTTCTGGGCACTTGCGGGGTTGGAGCTATCTCTGCATCACTCACTCACGACGTGCCTAACCCAACCTTGGAGCTCCCCTCCGCCTTGTCTGAGGGAGGAGGAGCTGGCCCTCCGGGTACTCTACTCTGACCTGCACGCCACTGATAAGACGGTGCTTGGGTGAACCAAGTCTCTAAACAACCCTCTTCACCTTTCTTGGTCTGCATGTCGGCCTTATCACACACCTTAGCTGCCTTAGACTCTGCTTGACAGCTTGACAGTTCGACATAGAACATCCGCCAACCGACGGTCCAAACGCAAAGGTCGTACTGACGCATTTCCCCTCTCATCATGGGTGGCCAGGCCTCGTCCAAGATGTCCGCCACGCCGGCGTCGGCCGCCGAGGAGAAGGCCTCATGCAGCGCCTGCGTGCTCTGGAGATGCGCGATGACCACCATGACGGCGAGGACAATGACTATGTCCGTGTCGACACTCACAACAACGAAAAGAGCTCCCGTTCTTCGGGGCTGGACCTGGCCCACCGGCAGCCGGAGGGCCTCGAGGTGGATGCGCTGGCGAGCTGGCAGCGGCAGATGCTCGAGGACCCCAAGAACCAGTCAGTACATGATATCCTGTCTTGCGTGCTTTGACTGTCCATGGCCATCATCACCTATGCTAGGCAGGCAGATAGTTAGTTAGGTGGTACTTGTCGGAGAAAACCCCCCAGCTGACATCCATGGCCGACGGCCTTGCCACACGACCATAGACTGGCCCTGGCAGCACTGAGCACCGCGGACCCCAAGACGGTCCTCATGTCCCGTGCGGCCAAGATCTCTGACCAGCACGTCTTCAACGTGCGCATCCCGTTCGAGGGCGCGCCCATCACCAACCAGCGCCGGTCCGGGCGGTGCTGGCTCTTCGCCTCGACCAACACGTTCCGCGTGGCGCTCATGAAGCGCTACAACCTCGACAGCTTCGAGCTCTCGCAGGCGTACCTGTTCTTCTGGGACAAGCTGGAAAAGGCCAACTACTTCCTCGAGAACATCATCCAGACGGCGGACCAGGATCTCGAGGGCCGGCTGGTCCAGCGCCTGCTGCAGGACCCCGTGAGCGACGGCGGCCAGTGGGACATGGCTTATAACTTAATTTTTAAATATGGAGTTTGCCCTCAGGCGCTCTACCCGGACTCGTTCAACGCCATGTCGAGCTCGAGCCTCAACTACATTGTGGTTGCCAAGCTGCGCGAGTATGCCATCACCCTGCGCAACATCATTAACAACAACAACGACAAGCACGAGTCTGCCAAAAACAGCACCGCCTCGCTCCTCGCCGACGCCAAGGCCAAGATGATGCGCGAGATCCAGCTGATCCTGACCGTCACCCTGGGCCCGCCGCCCAGCAGCACCGACAAGTTCGTCTGGGAATACCTGGACAAGGACCAGAAGCCGCACACCCTGCACGCCACGCCGCTCGAGTTCGCCAGGGACATCTGGAGCCCCGGGTACCGGGTCGCCTCTGCCGAGACCATTGCGAGCCTCGTCTCGCTCGTGCACGACCCGCGCCACGAACCCCTGACGCTCATGACGGTCGACCGGCTCGGCAACATTGTCGGCGGCCGCGGGGTGACGTACATCAACGTGTCCATGGCGGACCTCAAGCAGGCGTGCGTGGCGACCCTCCGGGCGGGTATCCCCATCTTCTTCGGCTCCGACGTGGGCAAGTTCAGCAACACCGCCGCGGGCATCATGGACCTCGACCTGATTGACTACCGGCTCGGCTTCAACACGGACATCCTCGGTCCGAGCAGCAGCAGCAGCAGCAGCAACAGCAGCAGGAGGGAATCCGCTGCCCTGAGCAAGGCGGACCGCCTGCGCACGGGCGAGTCGGCCATGACGCACGCCATGGTGCTCACGGCGGTCCACGTCGACGAGGAGTCCGGGCGGCCGGTCCGGTGGCGCGTGCAGAACAGCTGGGGCGAGGACGTGGGCGAGAAGGGCTGGTTCGTCATGAGCGACGCCTGGATGGAAGAGTTTGTCTACCAGGCCGTCGTGCACCCCAAGTTCCTGTCCCGCGAGGTCCGCGACGTGCTCAAGAAGGAGCCCGTCGTGCTGCCGCTGTGGGATCCCATGGGGGCTCTTGCTTGAGAGGCTAGACGGGCTTGTCTAAGAAAGTCATGAAGAACGACGGGGAGAGGTACAGAGGTACAGAGGGTCAGAGGTGCAGAGGTACGGGGGGATCAGAGGATCAGAAGATCAGAGGGAGCAAACGGAGCCGCAAGGTGGAATTCTTTCTGTTATCACTTTCAAATATTTGAATGACCGTTTATGACTTTTTCATGTTTCAATAACTAACTACGACAATGAACCATTCTTATACCTCTTTTGATCATCAATTGGCAATACAACTTCAAAGGCACCGGGGAAGATTCTACCGAACAACGTCGTTCACAAAGAGTATTGTCCCCACAAGGCAAGGTAGCAGACCAGGGCGGTACAGGTTACAAGTACAGTCACTTTATTACCCACCAGACACCGGCGTGCAGCAACGAAATGCGGTAAGCATGTATCGTGCAGACCAAGACAAGATACACCGTCACAAGGATGACCACGGGAAACTCGACGGTATATGAAACAACAACTCTGTACTATTACTCAACCATATACATAAGCTAGGAAACCTATCTATGACCGAAGCCCCCTCCAAGAGGACTGATGTCCCAATGGAGAAGACCCCTCTGGAGTGTGAACCCCAGAAAGCCGCGACAAGGAAGACCTGAATATCTTGATTTTCTTCCCAATTGTCCAGTAGCGAAAAGCAGTAAGCGCTGTTCCCATTCGCCATGGCCTAGCTGCTGGAGTCAGGCCACCTGATCTCCTTATGCAAACACATTCGACTCCAAATCCATACATTGAAATGAGCAATACAACGGGCGGGTCAAAAGCCGACAAAAGGTTTGTGTGTTTACAAAGAAGAGCCGTGGACGACCTTGGAGTCGACGGCGAGCTCGCGGCCGTTGTCGGAGATGACAAGGATGCGGACGGAGCCACGGCCGGTGGAGAAGGCGCGGGAGAGGCGCTCCCAGAGGCCGCCCTGGTCGATGACGGGCAGGCCGGTCTTGACCTCACCGGACTCGGTCATGGCGACGACGTTGCCCTCCTGGAGGTCGAGGACGCGGTACTGCTTGAGGATGGGGCCAAGCATGGTCTGGACAACAACGCTGGGGGCAGGGTTGGAGATGAAGGAAGACTCCTCGTGCAGCTGCTTGGTGAAGAGGTCAACACCGAGGTAGCGGTGCTGGCCAGTGGCAGCAGAGGTGGAGATGCGGATGACCTGGCAGGGGCGGCCCTGGAGCATCAGGATGTCACCCATGCGGATGTGGTGGCAGGGGATGGTGACGGTGTTGGGGATAGAGGCAGGCGCAGGGGCAGCAACGCTGGCGCTCTCCCGAACAACCTCCACATCATGGTGGTGGTGGTGGTGAGAGTGGGGGAGGATCTTGTCAGCCATCTTGTGCAGACCGTGACGAATGGAGTGGTAGTGGCCTGGTGAGGTGACGCGTGTTAGTTGGCTGTTATATGTAATAGAGAGTGGATAGGAGACACGTGTGTGTGGTCCCAATGGGAGAGGGGTGACTTACCGTCTTCGTCGTAATAACCCATTCTAGACTTTTGAGAAGTCGGGGAAGTGTAGCGAGGATACTGGATAGTTTCCTCGACGACCTTGGTCTCCTTGGTGTAGGTAGGGACGGGCTTGGAAGCGTCGACGGTAACACCGGTGACGGGGGCGGGAGCAGAAGGGTAGGAAGGGTAGTCCTGGAAGCCGTCGACAGTGGTACCTGTGACGGGAGCCTGGTGGGAGTAGGAGGCGGTGGAGCGAGGAGGGTCGACGGTGGCACCGGTTACGTGGAAGGACTCCTTGTAGCTGGGCTGGGCACGAGCACGGTATTCACGCTCAATGCGGTCGATGCTGCTGTACTGGGGGATGTGCTTGCGGTCGACCTCGACAGATGTCTCGGTGAAGGAGGAGTAGGATGGTCTGAAGAGGAAGGGTGTTCCTGGTTAGTTTTGGGTCTTGTTCTTCGCGTAGGAGGTTGCCGTGTCAACAAAGCTGACCACCCGGCCCAAGCTCGAGTATGCAGGGGACTGCAAGAGCAAAAGCAACCAAGTGGCCCAAGCTAATGCGAAGGCCCACCGAGGTGCTTCTGAGTGGAGAGAGTCGAGACGTGGCAGAGCGGCAAAGGAGAATGAAGGAGGCCGGGGGCTGGAGGCAAGGCCACGCTCCAGGTCGTTCTGCGACCCGCCCCGAATTGCAGCTCATTTGCTTGGCACTCGCCATTTTCTGCTCCTGCCGATGACGCGTCTTGGGGGGAACAGGGACTCCGGAAGAGCCCGTGAAGGATGGTGGGTGCTCTGCTGGGGACAATGCAGATGAGGAGACAGAGAAAAAGAAACCCAATTGACTAACCTGTGTTGTTCGAAACGCTCGCTGGTAACCTGGACACCGGGACGAGGGTAACGTTCTTCTTCGCGCGTGAATCGGACCTCTTGTTCGCTGATGCGCTGCTCTTGACGAGGAGGGACCTGGACCGAGGCGGAGACAGAAGAGAATTGACCTTCTCGTCCGGGCTTGTCGGAAAGCTTGACTTCGATCTCCTCGTGGGTCTTTGTTGTCTTGGTTTCAACCTCTTTCTCTCTGTAGGCGGAGGGAAAGACGCTAAAGGGCACGGGGACGCGGGCTTCAAAGTCCAGGGTGACGACCTTTACGGCGCGAAGAGTCCTCTTCTCGACAACCGGATGGAAGACGAGAAGATTCCTCTTGCTCTTCTTTCCGTGGGGAGAAAGAAAAGGAAGGGGGAGAGACTGTTGGGTCTCTGTTCTTCACGCGAAGGGCGGGGTTGGGTATGCGATCGTGGAGGAGTGGTGAGCTGGTTGGGTAGGAACGGGAAGAGAAGTGTCGAGGCGGTCGAGGCGACGATTGGCGAGCAGATAAAGGAACCGGATGCAGGCCGGGCGGCTCGTGCTGCTCCCACAGGGTCTGTCTACGATGGCTGGGATGCAGGGGCTGGCCGGCCCTGTCTTGTTTACTTTGCCGGCGCCGGCGGGGCCGCCCTCGAGTGTTGTGTTTATTTCGTTCCCAGACCAGCATGGCGGCTGGGGACCATTTCGCTAGCTCCCCCCCCTGATCGAGGCAGCACAGTGGAGCTCGTCCTGCCCCAGCTTTGAACAGCACCCGGAGGGCTCCATGTCCGCTGGCACCCTGGCCTGGCCTCCTGGCTCGTGCCGTGTCCATTTTCCTGGAGGCTGCTTTCCTGGCCGGATTGCTGTCGTAATATTCTGCACATTGAAACGATGCCGATGCCATGTCCCAGCCTCGCAGTCCTGGCCATGGCCGGTATCTGAAGCACAAGACGTCCAATTGGGACCTGAGCCGACCCAGCTAGTGATGCACTCGAGTGGCTGGTAAAAAAAAGGCTCTAAACTCTGCTGGAGCACCATGGGCAAGCTGGCGCCTTGACGCTTGGACCAGCCATCTTTGACGTGACAAGCTCACGCTTCGGGTTGGGTTGTGATTTGTGACAGTGCCCAGCCAGCCAGCCAGCCAGCCACAGCACCTCGTACCCGGGGCTTCCCAGCCTCTTGTGTGATGGCTGCAGCCGGTGCTGGTTGCATCGAATCATGCCCGCAGACGTCGTCAAGAGACTGGTCGTGGTCGACTTCGATTGGCCCAGCCACTTTTCCCAGTTGCTGCCTTCTGAAGCATGACGAAGCAGGTGTACTCCGTATGTCTGGACTGGTCGATCACTTCTCGATAAGGCCAGTGACCTGACTGACGCAGCTCCGGCTCCAGCTTGGCCGGACATCAAGAGTTGCTGTCCTGGGGGCCGTCGTCGCAGCAAGTCCCAGCCTTGCCAATTGACTTGCTCATGCATCGTACAAGATCGGCGAGTCATCCCCTCCATGGCCGCTCGACGTTGATCGCCCGTTGCCGGGTGGTTGCAGTGTCGCCCTGTTGTTTTCCCTCGCCTCACTGTGCTGCGCCTTTGCTGCTGAGCCGGTGCGAACCTCGGCAGACGATTGCAAAGGTCGACGCCAGGCCCAGACGGATCAGCTCCGCGCTAGCGCTTGGGGGGCCCCCATGTCGAGCTGGGCGCTGCTGCCCCTGGTTGCCCTGGCAACAGCGCCGCCCCAAACGCGCTTGGCCCCATCCCCCGTACTGCGTAACCCAAATCGGGCCTGCGGGCAACCAACGACGCGTCCTAGCTGGTCGTGGATCCGCGGTCGACCGAAATTGGCCTGCCCACTCCTGCAGCAGCGCCAATCGTCACAGCCACGGACCAAACGCAGGGCCATGGCTGCTTTTAGACTTCTGCCTCAGCTCTGGCGCCTCTCGCTCCCTTCCCTGCTCGCAGAGTGTGACAGTGCAAAAAGTCTCGTGGTCCGGCTATTGCCACTGGTCGTGCAGGGCGCTGGTGCAGTGGATGATGATGGTGCAATCTAATGCACGTCTCGAGCCTACGCGCTACGACGCGTCAACACGCGCCGACGTCTTGCTGAGTCGACTCCAGCCGCTTCACATCATTCCTTCGTCCCTGTGTTGCTGTTCGATTGCACTGGTTATCCCAGCAGTCTGATTTGAGGTGTCGTTGTCCCATGGTCCAAGTTGTAACGTCTCCTGCTGGTCTGAGATGCTAGTGCATGCTGGTCGTTTGACTGCTATCGTCCAATTAGAGATGTGTGATCATTGCCGTGTCCGCAACCGCTCTTGTCCGTGATGTAGAGCGAACATGCTTTGACTTGAGATCTGATAGCTTTGGCCGTGCTCGTGTACGTCTGTCTGGCTTGGTGCTTGTGTCGATGCATCTCCCTTGTGGTTGTCACTGTAAATGGCGGCAAACAGACCCTCAACTGTTCGTTGGCCTTCCTCGGGACAGAAGCGCAAAGAGGATCAGGAGGGAGGGGTAAGTCTCGCGGGGTTGTCTTGGGGGGATCGAAGCGCTGTTATATGGTCAGAGTGCACATGAATTGGAATGCAGTTCAATCCGTGATGCGCTTGGCCGATGGAATGCGGCTGGCAAACAGCATCTGTCCATGGAATTCCATACGAGACATGGATGAAAAGCGGCAATTGCGCATGCCCGCTAGCCTCCATGCCTCCTCCAGTTCGGCTGGTGACCAACCTGCAAGTCTACTGATGAACTCAAGACAATCGATTGCAGAAGCGTGAGCACTATCGCATAGGATGACGACGACCACGAGAGAGTGCCTGAGATTATCGACATTCCAACATTAAGCCAACAACTTGATATTGTCTCTTATATTCACTTGTCCAAATCTGGCCGGCATCCGGCTCACCTCTTCTTGCCTCCGCCTTTGCCCTTTCCTTTTCCTTTGTCACCACCACCACCACCGCCTCCGCCGCCTCCCGCACCTCCAGAGAGCATTACCCTGACCTTGCCCACCGGAACTACGTTGATCATCTCCTCGTGTCTAAGCCCCTTGATAAGTTCGGCCTCGCGCGGCCACATCTTCTCCTTGTCCTGGCTGTTCTCGTCCACAACTCCCTTCTTGGTCGATGCCGTTCTCCAGAACTCGACAATCTCCTTGACAGCCTTGCCCTTCTTCTGGGGTCCTGGCTGCAGCTTGACTTTGTATTTGAGCTTGCCGAGTGCAGCATATGGCCCGCAAACAGGAATCGCGTCGAGAATCTCGTCACCAGTCATGGGCATGCCAACAAGCGCATCCACCAGAGACAAATTGGCGACCTCACCCTCATCAAGGACGTCAAATCCGTCCTGCAGCATCTGAGCGCGGATCGCCTCGTGTTTGGCTGTCTCCTGTTGCTGACGCTGCAGCATCTTCCGCCGACGCTCTTGCGCGGCGGCCTGTTGCGCTTCTTTCTCAGCGCGAGCTTTTGCTTCGGCGTCCTTTTTCTCCTTGCCTGCTGCCGAGCCGATAAGAGACTCGATAGCAGCGCGATCTTCGTCATCCTGGTCCTTGTACTTGGCGGCTTTCTTCTTGGCCTTGCCACGCTGTCCTCGCTTTGGGGGCTGTGCCTTCTTAGACGATTGGTCTGGGTTATGCTTGCCAGAACTTGTGCTTGGGGTGACATCCTCAACTCCGGTGATTGTGCTCATGGCATCTGCTTCGCCAGGGGTCAGATCTTCAGCTTCAGCTTCGTCCACAGCCTCCTTGGCATTATCTGATCCTGAAGCTTGAGCGGTCGCATCATCTTCCGTTGCTGGACTCGAGCCCTCGTTATCACCAACGTCCAGTTTGGTTGCTTCCTCAGCTAGTTGTGCGTCGTCCTCGTCATGATCCTCAGTCGGGTTCTCGGCACCATTCTGCAGTGGGTTTTGTTGGCCACGGTCAGCTTCGTCGTCCTCGTCGTCATCGCCATCGGATTGATGAGCTGAAGCGTGACTGTCTGTATCGTTCCCGTCGCCTCCCCCCTGCTGTGCTTCTTGTGCAGATATTATAGGCTGGTCTCCTGGCATGTCGTAGAGCCGGTGTTTGTTATGCTTCGCTTTGCTCTCCTCGCTGACCTTGAACATCAGAGCGAAGCCAAGGACAAGCTGGGCAGCCGGTAGAAAGTTCTTTTTCCCATTGATGGTAAAGCTGCCAGGAGGCAAGTATTCACCGCTTGGTGCTTGCTTCGAGACCTGCTCGGCGTTGACCCAGTAGGCAGACATACCCGCTTTCGAGTCCCACGCGGAAGATGTGCAAACTGCCATGGTTCCGGCCTGCGAGAGGGTCGATGGCGGGATGGGTGCATCAGGAGTTGACGGATTGTTCTTGATAATGACACTCGACGCTCCGTTCAGGTCTGCATGCAGGTAGACATCGCCCTTTTTCAAGTAACGGCGGTACAGGATCTCATTCTGCTGGGCATCTCCACCAGCAAGCACCAAGTACCCGTCAGAAGAGATGAACCAGTCGAACTTTTCAAACCAGTGCTCCTTCCGAATTGGCTGCAGCACGGGCTTCTCCTGCTTCAAGCCTTTGCGCAGCTCGGCCGCAATCTTCTGCTCCGCGCTCTTCAAGGCAATCTCAGATTGTTTCGTAGTCTTCTCTTGTTTCGCTGCTGCCGACTTCTTTTCATCGTAGTACTCTCGAGCGTTGCCCCAAGGGGAAATGCCCAGGTTGATATCAACCAGAAGTGTCTGGTCTTTTGTACCGTCTTTAGAAGCCGATGTCGTCGGGCCTGCGGCTGTGGACTCCTCATCCGAGTCTTCAGAGTCGGTTTCTGACGCGTCCGCATCTTCGTCGTCCTCCGCCTCCCCAAGAACAAGTGTGATTGTGTTCTCCTCCAGCTTCAGGGGCAGCTTTATGATGGCGGCCACCGGATTACCTCGCCGCTTCTCTCTGTCGACAAGCTTGCCGATGTCCTGCCAGTCCATGCCCTGGTCTATAAGGCCATTGACCGCATCCATAGCCTCTTGAACACGCTCCACGTTCGCTTCGATAGCTTCAGCTTTTCGGTGGTTGAGTGTTTGCGTTTGTGCAAGTCCCTCGATGCGTTTGTTCTGGTCCGCCCTGGCGGCGTCCAGCTTGCGCTTAGCGGCAGCCTCACGCTCAGTCAATCTTGACTCAAGCTTCTGGCCTTCAACAGACGAGAAAAACTCGTCTACGAGCTTGTTGAAGTTGTCGAACGGCAACACTGTATATACCGGGTCATCCTCGAATTGGCGTGGAAGGAATGGATGGAAGTCTTCGTATAGTAATCCACGAGGCCGTTTCTGTTCGTCTTCGCCCTCCTGATGAATTACGCTATCCTTGGCTTTGGGGTCTTGTTTGGCCAGGATATAGCCCTTGCAGGTGGCAGAGCTCGTGACTTGATCCACGATCTTGCGGGCTTCGGACAATGCGCCAAGCAGCTTATCGAGAACGCCATCATCTTCCAACACGCTAGCTGGTGGTATCGTCGAGTCAAAGCCGGTCACCCTCATCGCATGATCGACAAGGATGGGAGGCAGCTCTAGGATAGTTGTCGCCAGGCCTTTGCGCAGTTCGTCGCCAGGCTTCCTCTTGATTTTCTTGCCAGCGGCTGCTGCTGCGGTGGATCTCTCGACAGCACTCTGTAGCGCCTTGCGCACGCGCTCCTTGGTGAGATCTGGCACCCCGCCATAATTCTGTCTGTTCTCCAGCGAATAGCTTAGTCCTGCTCTCTGCGGCTCCTGTCCTTCTCCTTCCGGGACGTTTCGCAGCAGTGTTATGATTTTGAGATCACTATCCGTGAGGATGATATTGCCGCTGGCGAAGAATTCGAGGTACAAGCGGTATTGTCCATCGCTGAATTGGAACTCGATGATACGATCTGTGCCAATCTGACTAATGGCCGACACGCGCCGCGTCTTCAGGACTTTGCGTAGCTTCTGCACAAAAGGCGAGGGAAATGCTGATGTAGTTCGAGTAAAGTCTGTCAGGTGGCATCGGAAGCCGGAGTCGATGAGCATCTGCTTCTTGTCGTCGGGCTTGGCAAACTTGAAGAGGAGGATCTTTGAGGACAAGTCGTAGATGTTTGACACACGGAGCGAGGTCAAGCTCTCAGAGAGCTCATGGGCAATGACCTGGGGCAAGTGTCAAGTTAGTGTCGTGTTAACTATGATCCGTGGTCGGCATCACTGGGTCCTACCTTGACGTCTAGGGACGAAAACCGCTGCTTCATGGTGCACAACGTTGGGACCGTCCGTGGTCCTCTACCGTTTTCCTCCTAGCCGAAGCTGGCCCTCGTTACCTCGGATGAGTAAAAGGCAGCAGTTGGAAAGTCGCAAAGACGTGCTTGCAAAGAAGTAAAACTTGCAGCGAGACCCTCGAGCTATGATGTACGTAGCAACCCCACCAAAAGCGGCAGTGACGTGGGGTACCTGCAGATGTCGCAAACCTCAACCGGCCCGGGCTTACCTAACGCTCTTTGCGTCACCACTGCCGAATGACTCCCTCGGGGGGCCCGCATTGTGATTGATGACTCCACTAATCCAGCTGCCCCAGGTGGCGCAGGATAAACTGTCAGAACCAAAGAAACAGAACTCCTCGAACCGCCAAGACAAAGCGAGAGGCATAGCCACCGTGTGGCGCTTTTCAGACAGTTGGTGCAGCTGTAACGATCTTCAAACATGCTCACAATTCAGGCTCTAAACACGCAACTCAACGGTGCAGCCATTCAGCACCAAGAAATACCTAGAAACGACTAATTGAGTAGGATCCAGGGCTTGCGGTTGAGAGACACTCCGAATACTCGCTTCTTGACTGTCGGTTAATGCTCAGTTCTGCAGTGTATCCATTGCAGATCTTCCAATTCATAATCGCTATAAAGGATATAGTCATGCATTCCTCTCACGAATCTTGAATTGAATAAGGAAAGTCATGGATTTGGTTGGTTTCCTTATTTGAGTGCCAATAACGCCATCGACTCGAAGCGCAAGCTTGACCATCCACTTCCGGGCGAGAACCACCTGAAATGGAAGAAATCATATTTATTGAAGGAATCTAGCTGCGATTAGAATAAGCAGCGTCTACAAAGTATGAACCTCTGCAAGTCCCCAGTGTAGCGAGGTGGGAACATGAGTGGTGGAATTGTTGGCAGTACAGTACACTGGACCGCATGCCTGGGGGAGACGATCCCGGCTTGGCGGTCCAGGACGGGACAGGAGCGCCCCCGGGGTGCCGTGTTGGTGGTGGGCCATGGTATCAATGAGCGACAGATCCGCCAGAGGTCGGTGTGGTCCAGTTGTAAGACGAGAATGAGAGTGAAACATGACCGCGAATTGTTGGTTGATGGCAGAGACAACACACAATGGTGGCCTGTTTTCGCCGACGACCCAAGTAGCTTGTTCGCGGGTCGGAAATCCACCCTGCCCAAAAGGTCCTTCCACAGCAAGGCGCTCCTTGTGTTGCGGGGGAAGTCTTATGAGGGGTTGTGATTGGTTTTGCCCATCGAGGCACTGGCCACTTTGTTGGTTCACTTGGGTTGCAGGAACTGCTACGTTGCGGCCAGGGTGCCAGGCGAGAGTCGATCAGTGCTTCTGTGCTTATCTAGACAGGGACTTCTGAGAACGTAGTCGGGAGTCACCGGTGAAGAGGGGAAGAGAGCGATTATGGTCCATCTGTACTTGGTGACTGTTTCTTTACTTACCAAGTGTCAGCCAAAGCCTCCAGGCTCTGGTGCTTAGACAGGGACCTCTTACCTCACGAAGCAGACTTTTTTATTTAGTTGTTATTGACGACAAGTATTTGCTCGGGTCTTGAGATGGCAGACGAAAAGCAAAGTCGCGGAGTGCAGGTAGTTGGACAAGCTGTGTTCCTTCAGTCCCCCACCGACCACAGCGGCGCCTCTCTGCTCGAAGCGCAGACTCGAACGCGCAAATTGTTCTCACTGCCGCAACTTTTCTGCTTCTCACTCATGCACTTCTACACTTGGGCATCCACCGGTGGGTGAGTTGACACCATGAGGCCATCATCACAAAAAAGGTCTCACGGATTTCAAGACTAATACTTCCTGGTCACAGCAATATTTATTACGCGATTCTCAACGGCGGCCCAGCCGGATATCTGTTCAATTACATCGTCGTTTTATTGGGAGTCATTGTCCAATCAGCATGCTTCGCAGAGCTAGCGTCTATCATGCCCATCGCTGGGGCTCAGTACTACTGGACATATCATTGGGCCCCTCCGTCCTGCAGAGAGTTCCTAACGTGGATTCAAGGATGGACCACGTGGCTCGGGTACCTGTCCATCTTGGCAACAATTGTGAATAGCATTGGGTTCTCAATCGGAGCCCTGATCAACATGTTCAACCCGGACTACGAGGTCGGGGGTTGGCGCTCAGTGCTCTACGTCATGGCGGTCATGCTTATCTATACCGTCCTGAACACCTGGACATTCAAACTTGTTCCGGCCATGGAGCTGATTCTCGGCATCGTCAACATTGCCACCTTCTTCTTCGTCATCGTTGCGGTGTGGGTTTTGTCGCCAAGGAACAGCCCTGATGTGTTTGTCACGTTTGCAAAGTTCTCTGGCTACGAAAATGATTTTGTTTCGTGGAGCGTAGGCATGCTGCCTCAAATTTACATGTTTGTTGGTAAGTCTGCCTTGATCCCTACCGAAATGGATGATATTAGGCTGACCACCATGACTACGTAGGTATCGAAGGAGTCATTCACATGGGAGAAGAGACAAAAGACCCCAAGCGAACAGTGCCTTTCGCCATGTTTTGGTCAATTGTTGTCAATGGTGTCATGGGTTTATTCTCGCTCATGACATGGTTGGTGAGTATCGATATCTCGGGACACACTCAGGAGGTGGCAGCTGACACATGTAGATCTGCATGCCGCCCACTGAGGACATGGTGAACGCAATTCACCCTTTCTACTACCTTCTCTGGACCTCGCTTGGCTCACCAGCACTCTTCCTCGCCATTACGATACTTTTCCTTGCCGGATCGTTCGCCTGTGGTCTGTCAGCCTATGCCTCCTGCTCTCGCCTGACGTGGGCCTGGGCGAGAGACGGTGGAAGTAAGTGGACAATCACCTCGTGGTATCTATGAGCTCATCGCCGATACCAAGCACTGGCGTGCTCTCCATCCTCGAAAAAGAAGTATCTAATGAATGATGAAGTTCCCGCCTATTTTGCCTACGTGGACAGCAAAAGCCGCGTACCGGTGCGAGCAGTCGTGCTGACATGTACCGTCATCCTCCTACTCAACCTTTTCAACCTCGGTACTGACTCTCTGACGGCCCTCGGCGCCATCACCTCGCTCCCCTCGCTTGCTCTGTACAACAGCTACGCGATCGTTTTCTCGGTGACGCTCTACACCCGTCTGACGACAGGCCTGCCACACCGCGAATGGTCTCTGGGGCGAGCTGGCTTGGCAATGAATATCGCCGCGTTGGTATTTACTGTGTACTGCATGATCTGGCTACCTTTCCCGACCAAAGTGCCTGTCACGGCCTACAGTATGAACTACTCCGGCCCCGTATTTCTCGTCGTCATGCTCGGTGCGATGGGCGCCTGGTTCGTCTGGGCGAAGAGAAACTGGGGGGGACCAAACAAGGCCCTCGCTGAGCACGTCGTGCGCGAATTTGAGTCGAGTTGATGCCAGCCGGGAATGGCCAAGGGGTGTGTTGGCAAGTTCGTTAGCAGGTCATACATCGTTCAATAGTAGCCGGGTCCTCTACCAGAGCGTCTCACAATGTGGAATACCTAAATCAGACTGAAATATCATGCAGCGCAGCTTGATGGCATCACAAGAAGTCATAATCCATTGAAGCTCACTCTAGAACACTGACCTACAAAATGCTATTTGCGCCAGCACTTCCCTTTGAGCCTGCTGGCTCAGGATTAACAGCACTCCTCTCAAAATCCGCAAACTGCCTTCCAGCCTGCTCCATCTTTCCAGCTCCGTCCTTCCCCTTCGCGTCCTGCAACCACCCAACCCTACAGTCCACAAACTGCTCTACCTGCGGTCGAAGCTTTGTCTCGTGCAGACTGACATCATCCACCGTGCCAATCCGCAAGATGCTGTATCCGGGCCACCCGCTGCCCACACGGTACATGAGCGTACCGCAGTTGCTGCAAAAATAGTTGGTCATGGTGCGATTGTTGGGAATGGAGTTGCACTGGCTGAACGTGCTGAGCTTGTCACGCCCCCGCTCGTGGACGAGGTACTCGTCGTTGATGGTGAAGTTCGAGGCGAACATGGACGCCGTGATCTTGCGGCAGTCATGGCAGTGGCACACGAAGCGGCCCCCGAGGCCTGGGCCCTGGGTCGGCTGAGTGATGCACCCGCGTTAGAGAAGATTTGGCATTTGAGACGACACCCAACGACGAGGCGACTTACGAAGGATAACTGCACCGTGCCACAATAACACGTCGCAGTTGCTCGGTCGTCCGTGGACCACCCGTCCCGGGTGACGCCTGCGAGCGGGAAGTCGGACGAGTTCGATACAGACTTGCGATTGCCGGAGCCGGCCATTCTGATTGATGTCCGGAGACTTCTAAACGGTAAGTGAGGCAAGATGGTGAGGATGATCCCTGGAAAGGCGAGCGAAGGATTCGATGTGCAACGAGGCCGGCCGAATACTGTGTCAGGTATTAAAACTTTTCGACACCAACTACGAAACGCAGCACTTTATATATTCAAATCTGTTGCGCAAGGGTTTCAAGAGGTGAAGAATGCGGATAGCCCGGGTGGCTTGAGCTGCATGGCATAAGCCGAAGTACAGCGGCGATTGGTCAGACAACAGCGCTCCAAGTCGGTCAATAATTGAGTTTCAAGGTTCGGTTTCCTATGGGTTGCACATGGTCTCTATCCATACGCATCCCAAGAAACCATTGGTTAAATCAAAGCGATGCGATGCTGGTTTCCTATGGGTTGCACATGTTCTCGATCCATACGCATCCCGAGATACCATTGGTTAAATCAAAGCGATGCGATGCTAGAGCAAGAGCTAAGGTTTCTCAGCACATTCGATGAGCTGCTCCACTCTAACCCAACTGCTCGAGCACCAAGCACCTCTGCGTCAGCAGGCCGAGTATGGCCCCAGGAACTCATTGAAACTACACCGGCCTGCTTCTCAAAAGCCATGCCAGCGAGGCGGAGTCCCGCCGACAAGCGCAATGATGGAGCTCGAGGTTGACACAGGATGAGGTCCCGCGGTGGCGGAGCTGGTGTGGACTGGCTGCCGGTTGAGTCACGGCGGGCGACGGGCATTTCCCATGCCCCACCACCCGCACCAGCGCACGAGAAGCCCCGCCTAATGGCAGCGCAATCGCAAAAGACCCTTATTTTAAGTCACGTCACTCGAGCATAAGACCACGAATCGGAACCTCAGAGCGCGTCTCGCTTTATTGCTGCAGCAATCCTGTCTCTCCTAAAATACAGTCTGAAAGCGGCTTATTCACCAGCCATGCCGTCCAGGCAAGCAGATATCCTCAAGCGGCCGCTGTACCGTAAGTGCCCTTGCCCACCACGTGTTGCAACCTACCTCTGACGTCAGCGCCTCAAGTCTACGACCTGCCTCAAGAGGTTCTGAATACCTTGACCCTGCGCCAAGAAGATGAGGCCGAAATCATAGTGCCGGCGCCGACAAGGATAGACAGTGGCGGCGAAGAGGGACCGGCCGCCGGCCCCGATTCAGAAGCACCTGTCGGCTCACTGGCCTGCTCAACATGTCGCCTCGCCTTCACCAGTGTCCAGGACCAGAGAAGCCATCTCAGGTCGGACCTTCATCATTACAACCTCAAGCAGAGACTACGAGGACAATCTGCTGTCACGGAGGTGGAGTTTGAGAAACTCATCGGCGATCTGGATGAGAGCTTATCGGGCTCCGACTCGTCAGAGACTGACGAAGAGGAGGAAGGCGGACGCAAGGACACGACCTTGACGGCGCTGCTCAAGAAGCAGGCGAACCTATCCTTGTCCAACAGCAAGGCGAGCAGTGATCAGGATGTCGACGACTCATCTTCAGCATCCATCAAGAACCCAAAGACCAGCGGGAAGCCGCCACTTCTCTGGTTCAGCTCGCCGCTGCTCCCAACAAACACGTATTTTGGAATTTACCGGTCTATATTCACAACGGAGGACTTGTCACAGGATGCCAACATCGTAGAGAGGATCAAGAGCAAGCAGCTCGCGCCAATGCCCGTCCCCAAGCCCGACGCTGCAGGCCGGTACCCACCAGCTGTGTACCAAAGTCCACACGTTTTCCTCTGCATGATTGGGGGTGGTCACTTTGCTGCGATGATCGTATCCCTCCCGCCGAGGCAGACCAAGCACGGCCAACACTCTGGCCCTCTGAACCGAGAGGCCACCGTCCTGCACCACAAGACTTTCCACAGGTACACCACGAGGCGGAAACAAGGCGGCTCGCAGTCTGCCAACGACAACGCCAAGGGCAAGGCTCACTCCGCGGGCTCCAACATCCGCCGAGCCAACGAGCAGGCCCTGATCACAGACGTGCGCGCCCTCCTGACGGAATGGAAGGACCTGATTGACAGCTCAGAGGCACTCTTTATCCGCGCGAGCGGCATCGGCAACCGCCGCGTGCTCTACGACGACTACCCTGGCCGCGTGTTGAGAGCAAACGACCCGAGAATCAAGGGCTTCCCGTTCAACACGCGGAGGGCGACGCAAAACGAGCTCATGCGGTCCTTCATCGAGCTGACGCGCCTGAAAGTGCAAGAGATTGTCCCGGCAGACAAGACCACGAAGACGCCGGAGCCGGGATCGGCCACCGCCGCGCCGGCCAAACCGGCCAAGCCGGCAGCTGGCCCGAAGCTCACGGAGGAGGAGGAGACGGCGCTGCTGCACACGTCGCAGCTGCAGGCGTTTGTGCGGCGGTCGAAACTGCCCGCGCTGCTGGCGTACTTCCAGAACAACAGCTTGCCGCCGGACTTCAAGTTCCAGCCAGAGAACCAGCCGCAGAACTATCACGCCCCGACGGCCCTGCACCTCGCCGCGAGCATGAACTCGGCTACCCTGGTGTCTGGCCTGATCGTCAAGGGAGGCGCCGACCCGGCGATCCAGAACCGCGAGGGCAAGACGCCCTTCGAGCTCGCGGGCGACCGGTCTACGAGAGACGCCTTCCGCGTGGCCCGCGACGAGGCCGGCGAGGAGAAATGGGACTGGGAGGCCGCCAAGGTCCCGCCGGCCTTGAAGCGCGCGGACGCTGAGCGGCGTGATCAGCGGGAGAAGCAAGAGGCCGAGAAGAAGGAAGCCGAGCGCCGGGCGGCCGAGGAGGAGAGGCTCAAGACGGAAGGGCCGAAAGTGTCTGACAAGCCGAGCCGGAGCGGGCCGGGGATGCTGGACCGCAATGCCAACATGACGGCGCAGGACCGCCGTGAGGAAGAGGCGCGGGGCATGACGGCCGCGCAGAGGATGAGGCTCGAGCGGGAGCGCCGGGCGAGGGCGGCCGAAGAGCGAATCAAGAGGTTGCAGGGCGGACAATGAAGTGTACCATCCGAGAAGCAGCAGTAAAAGTGTCCATGGGGACGCTTCAGTAATAAACCTCGAGGCTGCGACCGCATGCCAAGGAATATAAAACCTCGTGGCTCACCGTGGGCCCGTTTTCATTTAAAGAGTCTGCGTTGCATGCCGCCACCTGTCTGTGTTTCCCCGAAACATGAGATGCCAAGCTCAGATGATCGCCAAGAACCGATGCCTGGCCGTTGCACTCTGTTCTGCAACGACGATTTGTGGGCAGGGGAATCTGCGTGCCAAGCACTTAACGCGATCCCCCATATACCTGCCATCGAGACACTTCCGACTGCGAGCATGTTTACGTAGCACTTTGCCAAGATATGGTCATCAACATGGCGCCGTGTCTTGGACATCTTTGGGACTGGGGCCTGGACACAGCCAAGCTAGCTACCAGTAATGCTGGCCCGTCCAGGTCGGTCACTTCTTGCGAACTCGTGTTGCGTGAAAGCGTTGGGTGAACAAGGTGACACACTAGCACTGTTCACTGGTGTTCCTCGTTCACATGCTCAGGCAAGTGGTCAACTGGTCTGTTCCTTGCCCTGAGGAGCTGAGGAGCAGAGGAGCCGCTCTTGGGCACATGCTCCCGAATCGAGAGTCCACCACGAGGCAACGGTGGTTAGCCGAACCGACCCTGGTCGCCCATCCCAGCCAGCCTGGTCGAAAAAGCTTGTCTTTGCGCCTCCTGTTGGGGGCTTTCATGCTGTTTCAGGGCTCTCTGTCGGGCGCAGAGCTGTGCTGGCTGACCAGTCGCCGGGGCCTGGGGTGGCTTCACCTGAGACGACCCCTGCACAACCAGGTGTGAACAGTTGAGCAGATGGAAACCCCCCTCGCTTGTGGGCCCAGTCCGGCTGCTGCGGAACTGACTGGTCATGGCACTGTAAAGAATCAAGATGGAAGCAAGTCTCGTCAAATTCCACTCAACCATTAAGTTGGGCGTTAATAATTAGGTGCCTTGGGTGTCCAATGCAACTGCCAAAAAGGCTTGGCCGAACGTTGACATCTGGAAGAGGCTTGGCACTGTGCTAGCGTGCTCCATGGGCGCCAAACGGGCGCTGAAGGATGACATGGCCCACCAATCCCCGCGCAACGGTTGGATTTGTGTCGTTGTCAGTGTCTTCAAGGTACGCGCCAAGATGCGTCTGCCGCCTCTAAAGATAGCAAGTCGCTGTCTCTCCACCGACGTCATTCCGGCTTGTCCATACTGTCTGTCCACTGGACCGCCCAGCCTCTCTCCTCTCTTTGCCGACTCTGCAGCCGCCATGTCGTGGACCGGCGCTTGGTTGGCTGGCGAAATGAGGCTCTCGCCGCCCAAAATAACATGAGCAAGTCTATGCGCGCGCCCTCGGCCGAGCGGACCATCCTGTGGCCCGCATGCAGCTGCGATTTCCCCGGCCGGCAGCGTCGACGCGTGTCCTCGTGGTGAAATCGTACCGCATAAGGAGTGTTATCGAACGACGCAGCGAGGAATCAAATTGCGTGGTTGCTTGGAGCTGCTCTCTGCTTTTGCCTGCCTGGCCTGAGCTAAGAGACCACAATGGAACATGGTGCGCTCCCCCAGCTGACCCTCTTTGCAGGGAACCCTGCTGCGATCTCCCCACTGTGAAGACGGACGACGGCTGGACAAACAGCAAGCACCACAGTCAGTGCCTTGCCTAGCGTCGGCGGGTGACCACGACCACGAGCTCCTGAGAGGCCCCTGGCCGATACACTAGTCCAGCGAGCGATTACTGGAGCGAGCAGCCGTCGCCAACGGTTGTCGGATCTGAGATGGTGCAGCTGGTTCCTGCATGCGCCGGCCGTCGTGGCGCAGCGTGTTTCAGACTTGGCGTGTTTCGCCCCGGCCAGCCTCACGGGAACGAATGGGCGCTACTCGCCCTCAGCCAAGATCTGTTTGACAGCCTGCTTGCTCGCTTTCAGCCTCCACGCCAAACTCCGTTTTGCGATTGTTGCTGCTTCCTCAGGTCTGGCAACAGAGAACCACTCACACTCACAGTGACCCTGGTCCAAGCCGCTCGTGTTCGACAGCCACCGACCTGAGGCGAAGCTCATGTCCTCCGACGCTCCCTGCGATAGCCTGAGAACCATGCATCTTAGCGTTGGCGTGAAACCCCACAAAGCAACACAAGGCAAAGCAAAGCAAAGCAGGTGAATGAATGTGTGCACGATACTGCCGCACCTGGGTGCAACCACACTTGACTTTTCGCCGTCTCTCTCAAATGCTGCCTCAGGTCATGCTGGCTTCGAGCAAAGGGATCCCACACTGTGGAAAGTGGCTCCCCCCGCTGAAGATTAAGCCTGCGATCCGGGCGACCTCCAATGCGGCCGTTGGCGCCGATGCCTGGCAGGCAATGCTCGGCTCGCCCCGACGCAGAAAAGGCACGGTTTGTGCTGCTGGGCGGCGGAAAAGGAGTTTTCGTCTGTCTACCATAGGAGGCCGAAAAGGATTGGCTCATAATAGCCCCGACGAGGGTCTTGGGGGTCCCCATGCAGCCGCGCGCTCAGGAAGCGCCTCAACTGAGAGGAAGCGGGTGGCCCAGAAGGCCTGGAAACAACAACCCCTGGCTGCTCCACCAGGGATCCAAAGGAAGTTCCTCGAGCCAGTCGACGGCCCCTCGATGCTACCAGATACGGTAGTCCACCCAGGCGAGAATGCCGGAGCAGATCAAGGGGCCTGCCATACCCCTGCTCGCCATGCTCCAGCAGCTATCCACATGCACTCCAGGGCTGGGCGGCGGACTGCAAGCAAGGTAACCGGCTCTCGCGTGTTAGTCGACCTCTCGTCAACTGTATATATACCATCGTTGCTTGGCCTCTTCCTACACACTCTCTCAAGGCTTCATCTCCAGTCACTCGTGTTTCCTTATCTCAGTCGCTCTCGTTCTGCCTCGACGGCATTAATCACGGCGCGTTTCCTCAAGTCCACTTACATCGCCTTAGTCAAGCTCACTCGCTCTAGCTTGGCTTCATCTCACACCCGCTTGAACAGACCAAGAGACTTCACACTCACTGTAGTCTCTCGATCATCAGACTCTCTTTCTTTTCGAGGAATCTCATCAGACCTCGACCTTGTTCTCACCAACGATATACTAGACGCGTATCACTTTTTCTTCTCAAAACTAGCTTTTTCAAGCATCCATCACCTTTCTACTCCGCCTTTCAATATGAAGGTCTCTACCTCTATCGTCGCCCTGGCTGCCGGCCTTGGCCAAGTCAGCGCGACCTATTTCCACAACGCTCCCCCTTTCACTTGCCCGGGCAACTCCAACAACCACTGCCTCGACGAGTACCGTGCTGGTCTGAACTGGCAGGATCTCCAGCCCGGCAGCTTCGACAAGTACAAGGGCTTCCTCTGGAAGGGTTTCCAGGCGGCCGACCGCTTCAGCAAGCGCAGCGAGCTCGCTCCCCGCAAGTTCCAGGACAAGTGCATTGCCGGCAAGGCGCACCCGTCGAAGGACCAGAGCCCCAAGATGAGCTGTGACAAGTCCGCGGGCAACGTCAAGACGTCGATCAAGGAGTTCCAGATCGAGACGGCCTTTGACTGCGACCTCGAGTTCCACTATGGCATGCCCGACGGCTCCATCTGCAAGCAGCGTCACCACTGCCCCAAGGCTGGAACCACGATCCCCAACAACCAGTGTGGTGGTGCTACCGATGTTACCATTGTCTACCCGTCCCAGCCCAACAAGCCCAAGGACGGCTGCGACTTTGCCATCCCCAGCATCGTCTTCGACTGTGACAACCACACGCCCACCTCTACATACTCGGTTGTGAAGCCCCCTCAGTCGACTTCTACCACCTACCATGCTCTGCCTCCCGTCTCGAGTTCCGCGACTACCAGCTCGACCGCGGCGGCCACGACCTCCAGCACCCCTGGTGGCGATATCTACTCCACCAAGTCTGTGCCTGAGAACACTTACACCACCAAGTCTGTGCCTGAGAACACCTACACTCCCTCCGTCCCTGCTACCACCTCGAGCTCCAGCCCTCAGGACAGCACTTCCTCTGCGTTCTTCCCCAGCGGCACCTCCAGCAGCGCTGGTGCCTCTAGCTCGTCTGGCTCGTCGTCCGCTCCCGAGGGTACCTACTCCTTCACTCAGCCCTCGGGTGCCGGCTCCACGAGCTCTGCCCCTGCTGACACTACCTCCTCATCCGCCGGCCCCGATAACACGTATTCTGCCTCCGTACCCGCTCAGTCGTCCAGCAGCACACTGGCCGTCTCAGAGAGCAGCAGCTCAAGCTCCAGCGGTTTCTCCTCGGCGACCACATACGTTCCCGGCACCACATCTGGCCCTGCTGAAACACCTTACACCACTACCAGCACTCCCTCCGGCACTGCTTCCGTCCCGGCTCCTCCTCCCGTCGAGACCCTGCCCTGCCCCAACGTGGTACCCTCGTGCTTGAACACCTGGATGTTTATCGTCACCTGCATTGACAACACCGACTCGGCTTGCTACTGCCCGGATGAGAAGTTCGTCAAGAACGTCTTCGACTGCATGTACGCTCACGGCGAGACCGACGACATCATCAAGGAGGCCGTCGAGTACTTCCAGGGTATCTGCGCACCTTTCGTCCCCCAGAACCCGGCCATCGGAACCGGCGCCCAGACCATTACCAACATCCTCACCATCACTGCCACCGCGCCCCCGACTGCCACATACACGACCATTGAGATCACCGCGACCTCGATCGTTCCCGTCACCGACTCCCAGGGCTCCGAGATCCCCGACTCCAGCACCACCATCACCTACAGCACCACCGTCAGCGTGCCCGAGGTCCACTTCACCACCATCACCTCCGAGCCCGGTTCGACCCAGATCGGCATCATCCCGGGCCCTACTGTCTACCCGACTGCCGCCGCGCCTGGTGTCCCGACCGCCACTCCCACTGACTTCGGCCCTTACCCCACTGTCGGCAACGGCGGCGCCACCACGCTCATCACCTCCAAGCCCGGCCAGCAGCCAACGGGCGGTATCTTCCCCTCCGGGTCTGCCATCCCTACCATCCCGACCGCTGGTGCGGGCCGTGTCGGCGCCGGCCTTGCTAGCCTCATGGCTGGTGTCGTTGCCGCCGCCGCCGCCGCTCTTGTCCTCTAAGCATGCTCATTGGTCTCTCTGCATACATAATCTTCCCACCGGAAGCAATGTACATGTATACACCAACCGAACCCGGAAATATTCAATTCATCACGATCCTTACGACCACATACACATATTTTGAGCACAAAGGGCATTCAGTCCAAAGGGGCTAAGAGCTAGGACAGACAACCTGCACTTGCAAAGAGGAGACGAGAGAGAAGAAGGGAATTAAAAGCAAGGGGTCCTTTTCGAGCTTTTTTAGTAGTTCTGCTCGACTGAGAAAGAGGGGAGAGAAGCATGAATCCCCAAGGAGAACGCTGTAATATTTAATTGATACCACGAGTCGCACCTTGTACTTTTTCTAGGCCAGCAGAAATTCCAAAAAGAAGCAAATATATTTGCTTGTTACTTTACATACACACACGAACAATATGCCTGGTTGCACGTCGTGAGAGACATGAACCCGAATGCCCGATCTGGGGGGGGGCAGTGACATGACTTTGTACACTTCCTACTTAGCCTAATTCCAGTCACATGATCCCTGGTTCCCCTTCATGAGAACAAATGCCCTTCTTAGAGAAGGAGGAGAAGGACATCTTTCGCTAACGCCACAAATGTTTTGTGGCTATTGCTCGCATCACTGCTTCTGCGTAGCATGATTGCAAGGTCAAACAAACAACCGGTATTATAGACGAGTACATATATACAACCCAGTAATCAATCCGTCATGGCCAGACTCCTCCCTGCATGCGTGCTTATGCAAAGAACTCAAAACCCAATCAGTCCCTTCGCATACTCCGCCCGCAATGCCCATCGCCATAACCGAACCACAATGCTCGTGCCGTCTTTCCATCGTATGAGAACAGAACTCAAAGAACTTGATTTACATCATTACAAGAAGCCCTTCGTCAGACTGGGCGCCCGGTTGAGGCTGCTGTTTCGTTGCGGCACCTCAACACTGCCCGTCTCGTCCGTGTCGGCAACGCTAGGCGCGCCTCTTATGGCGCTCATTCTCCTCGCGCCGTCCAGACCAGGCGTGCTGAAGCGGACACTGCCATTCAGACCAGTCTTCTCACCACGCAGCGCCTTCCACCCCTCGAGCTCGCGCGTGAGGCGAGCCGTCCTCTCCTGCTCCTCGCGCAATTCGCGCTCCGCGCGGCGTGCCTGGAGCTGGTTATCGCTCTCGGACGATTGCAGCTCGTCGATGGTCTTGAGCAGCTTGTCGACCTTGTCGCGAAGGCGAGCGGCATCCTCGTTGAGCTGAGCCGCATGCTTGTCTTTACGCTCAATCTGGGTTTGGAGGTCCTTAACCGTCCGGTCAATATTGCGCGCAGATCGCTGGGTCTTGGAGCGTTCATCCTCTCGCGTTTCCAGTTGTAGCTCAAGCTGTTTGCATTCAAAGATCAGCAGGGATGCCCATTTATTTTAGAAAGGAATGTAGCGCTTACCTCTTGGATTCTCTTGTGAAGAAACTTGATGTCCTGGCTACCAGTCGAGTAGCCCTTAGTCTCCAGGTCAACGACCCGGAGCTGAACCTCGTTCAGGCTCTTCTCGAGGGCTGCCTTCTGCTTTGACAGCTCAGCGGCAATCTCTCTCTCAGCAGCAAGCTCCTTCTGGACCTCACTCGAGAGAGCCTCGGACCGCCGCATCTTCTCAACAGCTGCCGTAGTGATGTCCTCGTTCTGGGCGAGGGCGGACTTGAGTTCCAGGATCTCCTTGTCCGTGCTGGCTGCATTGCGCAGGGCCGGGCTCTCGCTGTTTGCGAGGTCCTCCAGCCCGGCCTTGGCCTCTTCGAGTCTCGCCTCGATGCTGCGCTTCTCACGCACAAGTGCATCGCGCTCAACAGTAATGTCATCCACAGAGGATCGAAGACTCCTGACTTGCGAGAGCAAATTGACGACCTTAGCTTGTGCTTCGTTGTGTGCATTGACAGCCTCGTCTCGTGATGACATGACGTCTGCCAAAGTGGCGTCAAGTCTGGCCTTCTCCTTGGACCATGTCGAGCTGTTGAGGACTTCGTCATCCCACTTGGATCGCAAGTCGTCCAATTCCTCGCGAAGCCGGGTGATCTCGGTCTGCTTGTACAACTTTTCCTCGCGAGCAAGGTCGAGATCCTTGGTCAGGGTGGCAAACTCGGCTTGGTACTTCTTGCGGGTCTGCTCCATGCTGGCCTCCTTGTCCTCAAGGTCAATGGCTCGCTGATTTCTGTAGTCCTCAAGTTCGTGTTGTAGGCGCTTCTTGGCTTGCGTGGCCGCCTCATGATCCGTGGTGAGATCCTCAAGCTTCTCCTCGAGGCGCTGGTTTTGTCGCTGAAGATCTTCAATAATGGCTTCGGTCTTGTCGCGCTGAGACATGACCTCAGCATATGTGTCCTCGGCTTCTTGCGCCTGGGACTTCGCGAACTGCTCCGCCCGAGTGGCCTTCAAGACGGCGATCTCGGCCTGCTCGAGCTTGCTGAAATACTCGTCGGCGCGGCTCTTATATGTTTGGAGGCTCGAGGACACATCCGCCAGCTTTGAGGTCTCGGCATCAAGACTGATCTGAAGGTCGGCAAAGTCCTGGAGGAGCTGAGCACGGCTCTGGGCTTCTTGATCCCGGGCCTGACTCATCTCCTGGAGGTCCGACTTTGCATCACGAAGCTCAACCTCGAGGCTTGCACGATCACGACGCATCCGCTCAAAGTGCTCCTTGATGTCAGTGAGCTCAACCACCACGTCGTTGTGGGAGCGCAACAATGAACGCCGAGAGTCTTCCTGGCTGTTGAGTACATCAAGGATCTCTTCGTAGGACTTAGTCTGGATGTCCCGCAAAGAAAGGTCTCCGCTCTGGATTGATCTTTCCAAAACCGACAGTTTCTTGGCAGAATCGTCGAGCATGTCATGCAGACGGCTGTTGGCCTTCTCTAGCTTCTGAACACGGCGGACCGACGGGCTATCCTCCAAACTCATGTCTCTTGGCACAGACGTCGAGCGGTCGAGCTGGCTCTGGAGATTGCGGTTCTGCATCTGAGCCAACTGCAGTTCATTTTGAAGCTCTGCAATGCTCGCCTTGAGTTCCGCACGGTCGTCGAAGCCTCGAGATTCCGCATGATGATCAGACTTGGCCGAGTCAAACACCGAGTCATTCTCGATACCGGTGCTACGCTTGACTGGCGTCGTGGCATTCGACTGTTGGCGAGCGTGAACCTTGGGTCTTCTTTGGGTGGGAGACCCAGTGAATCCTGCCTCATTAAGCGGGATCTCCTCAAGTCGGGGTCTTGTTGGAGTGTCGATGCGATTCGCTCTCATCTCGGCCAGCTGAGACTCGGCAGTAGCCCTGGCAGCAGTCTGAACACGTAGGTTCTGCTGAAGCTCCTCGATCTTCCTAATCATCTCGAAGTTCTTGCTCATCATGCTATCATGATTCCCGTCAGCCTGATTCGGAAGAGACACCTCGGGATCGACCGCCTTGAGAACCCGCAGCATCTGCGCACGAAGCTCGTCGAGCTCTTTGCCGCGCGAATCCAGAGTTGCTTGCATCGTGCGGACCGTGGTCTGCGCTTGCGCCCGCACCTGACGTTCTGACTCAAGTGAACGATTGGCTTCCGCCAGCTGAGCTGAGAAATGCGACGAGTTCTTCTCCGCATTTCGATTCGAGGTGACCTCACGTGCGATTTCGTGATTAAGGTCCTCGAGATTCAGCTGCAGCTTCTCGACTTTCTTCTCCAGGCCAGCGATTGTGAGCTGTGATTCGCCGAGTTGCTTGTTGAGCTTGGTGTTCTGCTCCTCGATCCTTGCCTTTTCCCGCTGGAGACCTAGGACTTGGCCGCGCGAGGCCTCGCTAGCCTTAGAGCTGGACCTTGCAATTTCGAGGCCCTTCTGTTGAAGCTTGTTGAGCAAGGCACGGTTGTCGTTTTCTGATGCCGTGAGGCGGCCTTTGACTGTGACGAGTTCGCGCTCAAGGCGCTCCTTGGCTTGATCGTTCTTGAGCCCGAAGTCACCAGAGTCGATCATGAACTTGTTCAGATCCTCGATTTGGTGATTGAGCTTTTCGCATTCAGCCTCGAACCAACCCAGCCGCTCCTGAGTCGCGTCAAGGTCGCGTTGCAGACTGGCTTCCCTCTCGCGAGCCGCGCGGCTGGCGACTCGTTCGCCTTTCTCCTCGGCGGCCAGGCGCGCCTCTTCTGCCTGAGTCTTTGCAACACGAAGTTTTCGGATCTCTTCACGGGCTTCATCACGCTCGCGCTCCGCCGTTGCTCTTGCTTCCTTGGTACGACGTAGCGTATCTTGTTGCAGGTACAGCTCCTTTTCGATGGTGATTTTGAGCTCTTTTAACTGCTCGTGCTCATCCTTGAGTGTCTGAAATTTGTGTTCGGCAATGAGCGCGACATCATCTCGCGACTGACGCTCACGGCTGAGCTCTGTTTGGACCTTGTACAATTGGTCCTTTAGGTCTTTGATCTGGGACTCAAGAATCTCTCGATTCTGGTGAGCCTGAGCGTCTTCGGAAAGTCGGGCCTGGAGTAAACGCTTGGCGTCCTCGGCTTCTCGTTGAAGTTGGGAGTGCTGAGACCTCATAGCCGTCATCTCTGCCTGAACGTCATGAAGGCGGCTCTGGTTCTTCTCTCTCTCCGAGGTGAGTGCCTTCTTTTGCTCTTCCAGCGTGCGTTGCTCATTCTGGAACTTCTTCACATCTCCCCGAAGCACGCTGAGTTCGCTCTCCTTCTTCCTCACCAGGTCTTCGTAGTCGGTCGAAGTCTTGGATAATTGGGATAGCTGCTGCTGAATCTCGCGGTTCTCGCGTGACAACACCTGCTCGCGAGCTTTGACAGATTGCAATTCCTTCTGTGTTGTAAGGAGTTTGACGCCGGCATCCTGATCGATCCGAAGAAGTTTGGCCTCGAGATCCTTAGTCTTGCGATCTTTCAACGATAGCTGGCTTTGAAGCATCTTGATTTCGTCCTCCAACACAGCTTCCTGGGCACTGCGATCGGCCTGGCGCTGCGAGACTTGCTCGATCTCCGCCTCAAGCTCTGACGCACGAGCATGCAATGCAGACTTTTCACCCTCCAGGCGGGAGATCAAGGCCGCTGCCTGCTCGAGCTGTGATCGGAACTTATCTACTTCCTGCTCGGCACGCTTCTTGGCGTTTAAGAGATCGTCCAGCTGATCCTCAAGCTTTTCTTGGTCGTCCATCGCGCCCTTGAGCTCGTCCTCGAGCTCGGCCTCGCGGAGCTGCAAGCGCTTGAAAATCTCTTCCTTGTCGAGCGCCAGTGCCCTTTCGCTCTCGAGGACTTGCTGTGTCCTGAGCAGCTCCGTGTGACAATTCCGTCGCTCCTCCTCTAGACGAGTCCGGTTCTCGGCCTCAAGGCGCATCTTCTCATTGAGCTGGCGAATCTCCTCGTCTCGTCGCTTCACTTCGACGGCGGTCCTTGTCGCGCCAAGGAGAGGTTTCATCTTGATCAAGAGCTGCCACCATGGATTATCCGACAGATCGAGGTAGACGTTGAAGTTGCGCTGGATGACTCGCGTAGCCTCTGCTCTATACAGTTTCTTGAAGGCGCTTCGTCGTCTGATGTAGCCGCGTGCCACGGCCTGAAATCGAGCCATAATCTCGCTGATCAAAGCGTCACGCTGCTCTTCGAGCTCGGCCAGAACTCCCGCCCGGAAGAATACCTTAGTAAGGCCCACGCGATACAGTGTTTTGTCGAGGTTGAGTTTGTCAAGCATGAGGGCAGCGGCTGCCTGGCCCTCGAGATAGCCCTTTGGCATGTTCTTGCAGAGAACCTCGTATCTCTGACGGAATTCTGCGAAAGGTAGCCTGTTGGGGAAACCGGTCCGAGCAATCCGGATACCCTCGAGCACACCGTTGCAGCGTAGCTGGTCGAGGACCAATGGTCCGCTGTACAACTTGGGTTTCTTCTTGTGGTTAGGTAGAATACACCGGACGAAGTGTGGATGGGTCGAGTGCAGTTGCGCCATCAAGCTTGAAAGCTGCTCCTTGTGTCTCTGGGCCACAGTCCGGAAAAGCCCCTTCTTTACCCGGCTGCGAGCGGCGCCAGTGTCATCTTCTGCTTCGGCACAGTCTGCGAACAGATTTGAGATGTGCTTATCTGTGGAGGCCGCGAGGAGTCTAGTAATATTGTCGTTGAGAGGGTCTTTATTTTTCTCAAGCCAACCTTCAGTTGAGTATTCCACGGCAGCAGCATAGTGCGTAAGGACGAAACCTTGCTGTGCGCCTGGCCTCATGGGCCTGTACTTGGTCGACTTCTTGTCCCAGAGGGAGTTAAGCTTCTCCGTGAAGGACTTGTCGGTAGCTTTTGGCATGACGCAGTCCTCGTCGAGGCAGGAGAAGATACCAATCGGGTTGGACAGCTCTATCAAGTCGATTGTTGGCTGAAGGTCACGACCAAAGTCGATGAACTGCCACTCAATCTGCTCCCTCGCATATTCTTCCTGCTCCAACACAAACATGTGGTGATTGAAGAACTGCTGCAGCTTCTCGTTGGTATAGTTGATGCAAAGCTGCTCAAAGCTATTTTCCTCAAAGATCTCGAAACCAGCGATGTCGAGTACTCCGATGAAGTGTGAGTCGTCCATGCCCATACCTGTCCTGTCGAGCTGGCGATTGATCCTTGTGACCAAGTCACCAAAACCCCTTTCGTAGATACCCTTGGCAAGAGCGTCCAGGCCAAGGCGAACCTGGTCTGGCGTCTGTACCTTCTCAACCCATTCTCTGCCGGCCTTCACCTTCGGATGAAGGAGACCTTGCAGGAAAGGCTCGAGGGGTACACCTAACAGCTTACAGGCTTTGGCTGCGATGCTCTTGGCATCAGGTGCAAGTCGTGCCTGATCAGCCATCCGACTTTCTTTGACCACGCTGATGTTTCCTAGATGAAGAACGGCTGCCACAGTCCTCAAGATTGCGAGTTGATCATCGTTTGAGAAGCCCATGACATGAAATGCTTCCATGAGCGAGTCCCACTCTTCGCGATCCGAAACACCGACGATTGTATCGTGGCCATCCCGTGTGTAGGCGAAATCGTCCATCGAGAGACCATCCAGTAGGAAATCTCGCTTCATCGAGGCGTCTGCACCCTTCAGAAGCTGGTAAAAGATGTGGTAATTACGCTCTTGTGAGTTGATCCGAACGACTCTCGATTTCTCGAGAAGATACCAATCGATGAATGCACCAGATATGGTACCGGTGCGAGAGAACTCAATGCGAATAAACTTCCCGAATCTTGACGAGTTGTTGTTACGCACCGTTTGCGCATTGCCAAAGGCTTCGAGGATCGGGTTGGCACGCAAGATCTGCTGCGAGAGATTGGACTTTTGCCCTCGGCTCTTGACAGGAGATTCCGATTGAGACACAGCCGCCAGATATTGAATGACCTTTTTGGTGTTCTCCGTCTTTCCTGCACCCGACTCGCCAGTTACCAAGATGCTCTGATTGGTGCCTTCCTCGACAAGATTTCGGAAAGCCTCGTCGGCCATGGCAAAGATGTGGGGTTTCGCATCTTCACGGCTGCGACCACGGTACATGTTGATGTATTCGTTCGTGTATATTGGCAAAGGACAGTAGGGGTTGATGGTGACAAGAAAGAGGCCCGAGTACGTATAGATGAGGTCGGATTGGTATCGCATGTGGAGGTTGTGGACGACGGACGCCTCGTTGAGATGGGTGAGCTCGGCCATGTCGTCTGCCTTCTCGAACTTTGCGGGATTGACCTTATCGACGGTCTCGGCTTCTACTTCGCGTTGCTGTTCATCTTGTTAGCACGGAATAGAATACTGATGTGAGTGAGCTCTTGGCTGGAGAGCACTTACACTGCCATCGTCACATTGTACGAGTAGCTTACCGCCGCCCAACTCTTCCACCACCCAACCTTTGACGAAAGCTGTCTGCGGATCTCTCAGCCAGACATATCTCTTTCCAGAGAAGTCGTTCTCGCCTTCGATGCCCTTTACGACGTCTATGCTTCGCCTGAGATCTTCAGTCTTGATGAAAGACGGCGCAAAGGTGCCAGAAAGCGCAGCATTGCCTTTTGAGACGTCTCTATGATGTCTGGAGCCAGTGCCGTTCGTCGGAGCAAGGACAACCCCGAGTGCATTGTGACTTGGTGTCCGGCTGTGGGAAGGTGCGGATTGAGGTGGTGGTGATCGAGCACCAGAAAGAGGCGATTGTGTGAATAACGCCGACTTTGGACGTTCGGGCGTTCCTGGCGCTGGCGAAGCGGAAGGCGAACCCATGCGGGCGAATGGATTGCGCCGTTGTGACATACTGCCCGAGTTTGAAGCCATGGCGGTGTCGGTCCCCTGCCTGGGGCGGGCTTCAATGGATCAAGTCCGTCCTTGTAGTGCCGTATTGAATGGAACAGACATAAACAATCCCAAGAATTCTTTTGGTGTACACGATATTCAAGCCATGTGTGTAGTGATCGACTCGATGTGTTTGCGGTGGCTCGTGATGGTCACCGCTTTTGCGGAGGTGGGAGGCGGCCCAGCAGTGTTGGCAAGACCGTGCTTGGCTAGTGCTGAGGATCACGAAAGGGAGAGCCTGCTCTGAAGTACGGCTGGGGAGTCGAGCCGAGGCGAGTTAGGCTCCGTCGATGCAGCAGGGTGTGTTTGTTGACTGCACAGTCGGCGGTGACCTCATGCGATAATACTGCACAGCTCCTCACTTCTCAGGTCTAGGCGGACTTGTGTTGACATGCGGGCGGGCTGGGTTCCTGGACCCAGCAACGGGAAGTGGGCAAAGTAAACAATGGCGTAGTGTGGCCCATGAGTGGCCAGGATGCATGGCGGAGTGGGCTTACATGTGGGTCTTGAGCGGTAGCGCAAAGCTGCTCACCGCGCGGGCGGGGAGCCGCCTGGTTCGCGCGTTCCAACTCGTTCCAGGCGCGTAAGACCTGAGTGTTCCCTGGTACCTTAGGTAAGCCCCGTTTAAAGGATAACGATACCACAGGCGCATATCTCAAACAACCAGGCCCATGCGCCGAGGACGAGCGCATCAAGCGACTCGGCGAGGCTGAAGCAAAGAGCCACCAGCAGACCAAGTGACCAGCTCTTCCCACAGCGTTTTTTTGAAGCGCTCTGCGAGGGTCAGTCGCTCGAGCCACAGTCCGTCCACGCCACTGTTCCTCGGTCATTGCGCAACGTCAAGGGCGAAGCGTTATGCGAAGATACTTCCTGCGCGAGAGATACCATTCGCCTCCAAACCAAGACAGCATCGACATCCTCTCTGTGTTCTCGGTCTCTGTCGCCGCGATTCGCCGTGACCGATTTCCACCTAGCAGGTCGTGGTTCGTGCAGGAGACTGTGAGAGCATACTAGACCATCCTTCTCTTTGCTTGTCAAACCCGTGCCGGAAAGATCGCGTCACGCCCTGCGAATTCAGAGATCTCCAATCTTGTCACACAACCTCCGGCAGCGTGGATGTCAGCGTGGCGGGCTTTCTCAGCATGTTCCATGGGCAGATCCCTGGCGTTGGCGCCGAGCGACAACTGAGCCATGACGCGCAACAATCCAGCTTCGTAGGGGCAAATCTGTCTCCCTTCAACATGACGTCCCCACCTGGCCTGTCTTTGACGATGCAGCACGCGGCGAGCAACACTGCTGCCCACAGCCTCAACATGATTCCAGGCCTCGCCTTTGGGTCGCCCCCGAACTCCAGACCCTCTGCTCAATTCGCAACTCATTCCATACCCACGGCGCCATCGAGCTTTCAGCGGGCACAGTCGAGTCAAACTACCCCCTCAAAACCGGTCGCCTTCATAAGCACAGATTCAAAATCAGGTCCTGCTCAAATACCGAGTGCAGCCACTGGGGATCCTGGGGAGTTGAGTGAAGGTGAATTCGAAGAAGAGTTTGAGGACCTGTACGAACCGCGAGACGGAAACCTGATGGCGTCGACAACATCGAGAGCGCCTCAGACATTCCCGTTCCAGAGACCTGAAAGCACAGGAGATGCGGACGATTCCTCGATATATGACAATAACACGCCACGGTTGGACACGAATGGCCATGGTACAAGACTAGATTCGCCCTCGGATGAAGACTGGGAGCCTATGCTCACAGAAGCCGAACGCCCCAGCCAAGCATCACGAGCGACTTCCAGCGAGGGCATCAAAGGCCTCCCTGATAGTGCCACGAAAAACAACCGCCCACAGAATATAGCAGACGCGAAGAAAAAGGCTCAAGAGGCAATCTTGGCCCTTTGGCCTCTCAAAGTTCGATACCAGAATTACATTGAAGAGGGGTTCGACGAAGAAGTTGTAAAAACCCTCTTCAAAGAGCTCGGGCTTGATACAAACAGCACCAAGCACAACCAAGGTACTGTTCGTCATGCCGGCCCTGGGCAAGCATCTGCGAAGGCTACGAATATAGCCACCGTTAGTGCTGTGCAGGACGGGATCAGTGGAAGCGCAAATAAATCGAGCCGTCCCAGTTCGCCTCATGACCAAGCGTCCGCCGGGGCCTCTCTAGGGAGTGACAGCAAACGTGTCGCAAAATCGGCGGCGGAGGAGCGCAAGGACAAGATTGCAAGGAAACTAGCAGCCAAGTCGCAAAAGCCGCCTATCCCCGCAATTGCACCTGAGCCAGTACCATCAAAGCCTCCGACGCCGTCTGCGAAGCCGAAGACACGGGCAGAGACTAATGCTCTCCTCCACCAAAAACTCGCGGCACTGAAGAAGTCACAAGAGAAGGCTGCTGCAGAGAGACTGGCCGCTCAAAGCACAAGCACCCCACGAGCTGACGAGATTCCATCCACAAACCCTACCGCTCTATCTAAGAGCAACCAGGGATTCGCATCGACCTCATCGGGAGTTATCGACGTTACAGCTAGCTATCCGAGCACGTCATCAGCAACACAGTCAGACCAGAACCCAACTTCTGCGAATGGTGCAATCAGCCTGCCGGCTTCGAACGAGCATCCACGAGTGCAGAAACGCCCTGTTGCCGCCGATTTCGACAACGTCACGGCCTACCCGCCTGTCACCTTGAAACGAACACGTACACAAGACACTCTGATAATCGATGTTAGTGACGATGAAGACGTGGAGATGGAAATCGGCTCGCCCATAGACGACACAAAATCCGTCACGGACGACAACGAGCAAACTGGTCAGCTCGCTCCGCACCGTGCAACGAATGGTACACCAACGAGACCTGAGGAAGCACATGGAGCCTCCACAGCCCCTGCTCCTGAAGGTAACGGCAAATTGCACCTGTTGCGGGGTAAAATCGAAGAAATGCGGCGAAAGATCGCAGAGGCGGAAGCCAAGAAGACTGGCAGAACACCGGTCAACACGGGCTCGCCACGGTCAGGTTCGCCGATGTCGCGGGACGACTCGACTCCTGCGGGCTCTCGCAAGCTGCCGAAGCTCGCGGAGCTTAGGAATAATGCCAGTGCAGACGACCAGATCCGAAGCGGGAGAGTTGTCTCCGTCGAGCTGTTACTAGTCGAATCGGACCTGAAGGCCAAACAGGACAAGCTCAAAGCCATAGTCGCTGAAGCAGCGAAGCTCGAGCTCGAGATCCAAGAAACTCTGGCCCAGAAAAACAAGCTTGCGTCCGAAATGGACAGCCTTGTCTCAGACTCTGGGAGTGCACAGCCGACAGGCACTTATGGTCAGTCAGCTCTCCTGGACCTGGAGCAAGCAGGTTTGTCATTCTCTATGTGTTCCCGTATGCATGATGTAATTACTGACTAACGGGGCTCTTCGTCGATAGGTTCGTCATCGCCTTTCAGGGTCGATGTGGATCGGCCTGTAATCTTGCAGCCCGCTACAGATACGCCTAGAGAGCGACCTCATATTGCAGTTTCTGATGACCAGCCAGACGCTTCGCAGGAAGTCGGTCAGATCGTCGAGCATCAGAATTCTAAGAAACATGAGGCTCCCCGAGAAGGCGACAAGCGTGCACTTCAGGACAGTGGGATATCCGCGCCAAATGACGGAGTACCCACCGACGAGAACCCTTCGCCTGCGGAAATGTCCTCTGAAGTCGAAGACGGTGACAGCGATGAGGATGATGACGTCTCCATGCTTTCAGACGACGACGACGACGACGACGACGACGATAATCGGCCAGAGAATGCTGCTCCGAGGTCTGCGTCCGATCCTGACGAAAACTCAGCTATGACTGAATCCGTGTTGGACGGGAGGTCACTTGCCGATGCTGGAGGTGATGTTTCCGAAGAGCAGCCTGGGTCGCCCCCCGCCGAAGCAGATGATAGCGACGAGATTATGGCTACTCGATCACCGTCGCTGCAGTACGGCGAGACTGCCGTGGCTTCCACACAACAAATCCCCGATACAGAAGCTGGTTCCGAAGCTGCACTGGTACAAGATCTGCCTCAAGACAACGTGAATAGAGAAGCACTGATCCTCCTCCATCATCCTAGACAGGAGTGGCTGACATCACTACAGATGCATGATCGAAGCGGCCCACGACCCGAGGAGATCGCATCGTACCACAGCCCCCTGGAATATTTCCGGGCTTATAGATTCCACCCTCGATTCTTCGAAGAGGTAACAGGAGGATTGAAATCACTGACGTACAGTTCCAAGATCGACGTTGAGCAGATGCTTTGTCCGTCCGAATCGGTCGGTGAAGAATGCCTTGACTCCACATGCGAATATCAGCATTTCAACAAGATGGTGCTTTCAGGTGCGTTTCTGTCCAGGCTGACATAAGATCGTCTTGTATTCACTAGTACCGCCTGGCTACCGCTGCATCCCCTTTGCAACACTGACTTGCTGCATCTGCGTGATAGACGGCGACATCATCACCCAACTCGGGTCTGCGGACATGTTTAGCGGAGACACGAAGACTCGATTCATTGCCGGTCTTAGGAAGATCCTGCAAGAGTTGAAGATCAACAAGGTTAAAGATTTCGACCGCATCACAAAAGCCATTGTGCAATACCGAGCAGATTTTCTGGCCGACAAGTCCAAAGTATTACCTCTCGATGGTGTCAACATCTAAGGACGCAAACGAAGAAGCACGTTTCTACAGGCAGGTCCGCATGCGCGTCTTCGCGTAGCAATGAGTTCTAGCATATCTTTGCTCCTACCCTCCCCTCCCCAGTCATCAACCCTACTTGCGCATGATATATCTGGCTTGTGGTGGTTTCCAACCCACCTATCTTGGCTCTCTGGGTCATTACCCCAGTACCTACTAGGCGCTTTTTGGAGTTTTGGTCATTCGATCTTTGATGATACCCCTGCGGAGGTGAATGCATAGAAGCATTTGACTTCGACGAGCCTAATGCCATACGATCACCTTGCCATATCTATTCTCTGACGGATCATCGAGCCTTGAAGGCCATGCCCGGGCGATCCAGCAGTCCAAAGATGGGCAGGGATGAGCGAGAACAAAACATGAGAGCCTGTTTAGCAGGCGGGACCGTGGTAATGGCAAGCGACGATGGTCCTTGAGTGGACGTCGAGCCGTGGAATGATCAGTCAGATGATCAGCATTCGTGCTGTGTGGGTTATGCGAGGATGGTCCTCGTGGCCATTGTCGCCGTACTGGCAGGGCATGTCTTGGTACGAGCAGAATACCGTGGTTGGTGGTCCAGGATAAGGACTCCATTCATTGATAGCTGTGAGCCAGCCATGACCGATAATCACATCTTATTTTCAAGATACCGATGTCCCCTTGACCGGAATACTGAGTGTCATTTCCCAACCTTTAATGACCGTGGCGCTGCGCACCGACGAGGCATCAGGGAGATGATCTGCCGCGGACACGGCAGCCCTAAGGTCTCGGAGGATTCCCAAACCTGCTTTGCCTGCAGTCAAATACTGATGCCAACCTTTGGGAAGTCACCGCCCCCAATGATGCCAACCAAGGACCATCGAGATTGTGTAGCGCCACGCGTCCAAGCATGCACTTTTACGTAACGAGGCTGCCCGCACTACTGATTCTTAAAAGAAGTGTTTAACAGGGAAGCAAACCACGGGCCCAGATCGCGATACTTAGTGTTTGACTGCTGTACTATGGTAGAGTTCACCAGCTCCGAAGGGATGCTCCACTGCGCCTGTGTGCGCTCCCGGAGCTTAATGGGTTTAGTGGGGGGGGGGCTAGCCCGCAGCGGCCGGCAAGTACCGCAGCGCCGTGCTTGCGTGGGGAGGAACCGCCATGGTCGTTCGTTCTGGGGTAGCTCTGACAAGTGAGCTACGTCACTACGTCATGACTGACGCGCAGATACGCGATCGATGCAAGTCGGAAGCTTTGCTACGCTCGATGCATTTCCTCCATCCCCGGCTGCCTAAAGCTACCCGCATCCCCATCCTGGCTCCCGGCCCTCTGAGTCGAACGCGGCCAATTCTCAGAGTCGTATTGCATGTTCCAGACCTTTCCCGCACGTAAGACCACCGAGCATCGCCATCCAGACCGTGACAAAAGAGGCCAATTGCGACACAATCTTAAGGCAATCGCAGCGTCCTTTCTTCAAACAGCTCGTCTCGGACAGTCTCGGCCAGGCTAATAGCGGCATCATGTCGTCCTGTTTCGGCTGGGGCCGCCGCAGGGGCTCTGATGCGGAGCGAGAGCCTCTCCTGCCTCAGTATGAGCAAGAGACGCACATGCAGCGCGAGCTCTATCGCAAGCTTCACAGCTACCAGATGCTCCGCGCCCTCGTGCAGGGCTACATGCCCACGACCGAGCAGGCCATTGTCAACCTCAGGACTCTGCTGGCAGCGGACGTGCTCAACCCTGACAACCCGGACCTCTCCGACAGCGGCCGCAGACTCGTCCGCCTCGTCAAGCTGTGGATCGAGCAGTTCATCGGCCTGCTGCAGCACAAGAACGGCGCCGACCAGATCCAGGACCTCATCTGGTTCCTCACGAAGAGCCGCATCTCCGTCGACGTCGAGGACCTTGCTGCCCGAGCCAAGAAGACAAAGGTCAAGGCCGACACTGCCGCCGCATACCAGAGCCTGCGCACCGTCGGCTCTCTCCTGATCACCAATCCGGATTTCCGCAAGTTCCTCGACGATCTCAACGTCGTCGGCCGCGAGATATTCCGCGACTCGGCTCTCGCACTGAGCGATGCGGCCAAGGACACCGCGAAACAGATCGAGCCCTCTGAGCAGGACCAGGCGAGCGCCGCGAGCTTGAACAAGAAGCAGAACGGCAAGGCTCCATCTACAGAAGAGCTCGAGCAAGAATTCGCAGAGGTCGGCAAGGTCGTCGCCGAGCATGGCGCCGATGTCGCCAAGGCAACGGCGGAGAGTGCAAAGGACAAGTTAGCTGGAGATGAAGGGCAGGCCCTGATGAAACGGATTCAACAGGCTGTGCTCAATCTGAGGAAACGCAAGGATTACCGGGACTCTGTGTCAGTCCTGGGCCTGCTCATCAAGAGATACGCCATCGTCTACTCACGAGCAGCCGAGGTGATCGCAGAGGTCGCGCAAGGCGACGTCCACGAGAATCAAGAGACCGATCGCGCACTGAAGAACTTGTGGGCTTTTGTCAAGACTTTCGGTGATGAGAAGGAATGGGACAAGTGCGAGGAGCTGCTCCACAAGGTCATGAGCCACAAGGAGAAGGACCCCGAATTTGAGGATCTGCTGCAGAGCGTGGCGGACAGTCTCCAGCAACTTCTGACCGACCCCGAGTTCTTCAACAAAGCCGACGAGAGACTCGAGGAGCTACGCGAGAAGAGTCGCAAGGTTGGCAATGAGAGTAGCCTGAAGAGGGATGTGGACGAGCTCCTTGGGCAGTTGTCCGTCACTATCCAGAGTGTCGTCCGGGATGAGGACATCCACAATCTCACCACCACCACACTTCGCATTTTCGGTGTTCTCTCCCCTAGCAACGCAATCGCCAACACTGACCTTATCCACGACGCGCTCAATGTTTTCATCCCGCTCGTTATCTCCGCAATCCAGCACCTGCCAATTCCTCGTCTTGAGGTCAGCACACCCGCCATTGATCTGTTGCTGGAGAATCTCATCATCGAGCCTGGAAAGACTGTCAACAACACCTCGTTCCTCCCCTACCGGCTCAAGATTGAAAACTACAACGATGTCGAGATTCGCAAGGCGAGATTCAGCACTTTCACCAGCACCAAGAACTTGATGCTTATCAAGATTGATGGGCTATCTTTACGCGCAGATGAGCTGGGGTTCTGGTTCAAGACGCACGCAGGATTCCTGCGTTTCAAAGATATGGGCATTGCGAGCTTCGCGCTTGATGAGCGCGGAATCGACATTCATCTGGAGGTTGAGATCTGCCGCGAGAGGATGGAGTCTATCCTGACTCTGCGCGGTGTTCGTGTCCGAGTGCACAAGCTCAACTACCAGATCCGGCAGAGCAAGTTTGCATGGCTGGCATGGCTGATCAAGCCGCTGCTGTGTCCGATCCTCAAGGCCACTATGGAAGCCCAACTGGCAAAGTCGATTGGCGAACTTCTGCACGTTGCTAATCGTGAGCTTCTGTACGCGCGGGAGCGGCTGCGGGCCACTCGGATCGCCAATCCCAATGATCTTTGGACTTTCATCAGAGCTGTGGCTGCCCGACTGGTGCCAGAGGAAGACCCCGACTTGTACACGCGCGTGGGTGTCGACGAGCCCGGTCGCGGTGTCTTCAAGGGAGTCTACACGCCAGCGAGCATTACCAAGATCTGGCACGAGGAGGCTGAGAGGGCCAAGGATCGCATCGAGGAGTTTGAGGCTGGGGGCTGGAAGAATGACGTCTTCAACACACACGTGCAGGCTCTCACCTGATCTGCTTCTCTTTTTCTTAATGTAGTCTTCGCGCGGCTTGGATTTTCGGCATCATTTTAGGGGTTCTGGGGCGGTTTCTTTGGTTCTCAGCAATATCAACTAGCGGTCTGTTAAAAACGGTGTTTGGGAAGCAATTGAGAAAAAAATCATCCAGCACGCGATGTATACACTGTCGGACCTCGCTTAAGCTCAGAAATGAGCTTGGTGACTCAATCGGTCTAAAGTCGGCACACCTTCGTGTGCGCCAGCGTGGTATGTCTCACGCACGTACACACTCTCGTACATGCGTGCCTGCATGCAACAATGTATGTGCTATGACGTCGGCCGGCGACAAGTCGTTCATTCTGTAACAGGAGCATACTGTGCCATGCTCGTCGGCAGTGGTGGCCGCCACGTGTTGTACAAGGAGCGCTTGTAGCGATGAATCAAGATTTTGAAATCAAGCATTCGGACATTCTGCCCTTCTGCTTGGCTTTGGTCCCACACAGGATTTCCTGGTTGCGCGCCGAGAATGGCGGGCCTGACCCTTTGGGCCTCGGATGATCGACGTCTAACCAAGGCTCACCAAATAGCCCTAGTGTCCATATCTCAGACGTCGAACATGTTTCGGAAACAGCCCAAGTCTACCACTTAAGTTGTTCGAAGTAGCCCGGTGCGGAAAACAGAGGGCAAGGCTTGATTATTACAATCCAAGACGCCAACCGTTGGTTCTCAGCCGCATGCATTGCCTTCATCTCAAGCCCCCCGGCAGTAGCCGGTTACGATGGCGCAAGTGCACGTCGAAAGAAGAGAGAACCCCTGGCCCCTGCCTGGTATGTTGTCGCGCTCGCAAGTACCCTTGCAGGCAACCAACACACACCTGCAACCCCGGGACTTCTTGGCATGCTAGGGCCCAAGTCTCAGGCTGGGCGCAAAGCAAATCAGTCCCCGGCAGGCGATGGCGCCAACAACTCCAGAACGGGAACGAGCTCCTGTGTGTCCCTGAGCAACTCCACCGCCGACACGACCGTCGAGTCTTGGCAGGTCCTCTTTTGAGCGGCCCCAAGGCACGACGGACGTTGTTGGCTGCTCCTGTCGCTTGCCCTTACGTGCACCGCTATCGACCGAACGCGCTGGGCAGCCCGCCCCTGGCGACCCGCCTGCATGTCGCTGGCTGGCTGGCTGGAGGGTTGCTGCATGCAAGCATGGACATATCGGATGCGCCCGCGCCCACCCTCGCCGACCTGTACGAGCCAGCGGTTGCTTCTACTGCCAGTGTTGGTGTTGGTGCTGGTGGTGCCTGGGACAAATGTGACCTGATGAAAACTGGCAAAAAGTCTTGGCTTCCGTTGTGCTCCCAGGTCGCTTATAATGTTTCCCACCCCCCCCTTCTGCGTGTTGGCGGCCAAGGCGTTTCACGCTGCTGAATCTGTCCTGAACAGGCTCCTATTCTCGGTCTGCTTTCCTAATCATCTTCTTCTCTTTCTCGTGACGGACTTGGATTCCCATTCTCGGTGTTCCAAGTTGTTCATTTCCAACGACGCCATCCGTGCGTGTCCGCAACACGGGCGAAGTTTTGGACCTCACACCACCACCACATTCGCTTATCCCTCACGGAATTCACATCGCGACAGCAAGTCTCGACGACTTGATTGGCGGCTGGAAACACACTCGTTTGTGACTCGGGGAAACAAGTACTGAGAAGGCCATCAAACAAATCCTCCTGCGGCAAAACGCCAACGGCCCGATACCTATTTTTTTTTTCTCGCGCCGCGTTGAATTGGCCAGTGTCCGTTGCAGTCGACACCATGTATTGGACAAAGGCGACCGCCCTTGCGGCATGCGCTACGCTGGCGAGCGCCCACGGCGGCTCCGGCCACGAACATCTCATTCCGAGAATCGCTGGTGATGCCCGTGCGATTGCCGACCTGATCGGCCGGGATGGTGCCCTCACGCAGATGCACAACCTTCAGTCAAGGGGTGCTGGTCTTGAGAGACGGCAGTCGGCGAACCCTGAGAGATGTGGTGAGGGTGTGGGCAAGTGCCAGGAGGGCTACTGTTGTTCGTCAGCAGGGTGAGTCAATGCTAACTTGGGCCGAGGAAACTCAGCGCTACCGAGAGTGCTGAGCGTGACTGACTGGGAATCGCTATGATGTGTAGATGGTGCGGAAACACAGAGACCTACTGCTGGGCCCCGGATTGTCAGATCAACTTTGGAGACGGCTGCGACGGCAACCAGAAGCCCAAGGGCAAGGACACTTCGGACGTGAAGCGGCCGAAGCTGGGCAAGGTGCCATACGGGCCCGAGATCTACAACTGTGCAAGAAACGGCGACATTGCCATCACCTACGATGACGGTCCCTTCCTGTACACGGGGGACCTGCTCGACATCTTCAAGAAGTTTGGCGCCAAGGCGACCTTCTTCATGAACGGCAACAACAAGGGCAAGGGACACATCAACGACCCGACCAAGCAATGGGCCGACATGATCAAGCGCATGGCCGCCGAGGGCCACCAGGTTGCCAGCCACTCGTGGTCCCACCAGAACTACACGCAGCTCACGCAGGAGCAGTTCCGCAACCAGCTCATCTGGAACGAGATTGCCATCAACGACATTCTCGGATACTTTCCTACTTACTACCGGCCCCCGTATTCCATCTGCCCTGACACGTGCAAGAAGACGCTGGAGGAGCTGGGCTACCACAACGTCCACTTTGTCCTCGACACCAACGGCCTGGCCAACGACGACCCGCTCAAGATTGGCCAGAGCAAGGCCATCTGGGACGACGCGATGAACGCCAACAGCGCCTGCAACCAGTCCTACATCCACATCGAGCACGACCTCCAGGTCCAGACCGTGTACAACCTCACCGCTTACATGCTCGAGTCGCTCTACAAGAAGGGCTACCGCTCCGTCACAGTCGGCGAGTGCCTTGGCGACCCCGCCGAGAACTGGTACCGCAGCGGCAGCGGCGCGCCGCTGCCAAAGTACAGCTTCCCCGTCAAGGAGAACGTTTGTGATGGTAGCTCGCCGCCCAGCATGACCTTTACTTATGGTGCGTATTTCTTTCAATCACGATAACTTGATCACCAATGACGAATCGAGATTCTAACACATACGGATTGACAGAGCCGACCCTGCCCACTTTCCTGCCCTTGTCTACTGCCGATAGTGCTGCGACCAACCCTGCCAGCCCATCGCCGACAAACGGTGCGCCTGGAGTGGTGGGCTCTCGGAGCTTGTCGTTGCTGTCGCTTGCTATAGGCATCGTCGTTGCTGCTGTTCTCAACTGAGGAGCGTCTGTTGTCCTGCGTATAGATATATATATATATATAATCACATGAGGGAGAGGACGGTGAGGTGGCGATAGCGTGAAGGAGCAGCACCGATTTTCTGTCGATAACCCTGATTCTCATTTCCTGCATCTTGGCGAGATACTTTGCTCTTGGCCAACCCATTGTTCGAAAAATGACATAGCCATGCTAATATAATGAATATACTCAAAAAATATACAAAACCTGTACTTCAGGCTTATCTTGGAACTGTGTGAAAATCAGTCTGGGCTGACTTCATGTTTGCCGGGTGAGTAAATCCTGACGGACGCAGGACTGGTTATAGACGCTGTGAATGCTCAACTGCAGTGTATGAGGTGATGGAACCTGAGGCCGCTGCTGGCGGGTGCGGTCTGCACCTTCCTCGTCCAACGCATTCGACTTGAGCAACTTCCAACGCCCCATGCGTCTTGACTGCTTGAGCACACGCAAACGCCTTCCGTGGGAGAGCTCCTTCCGCTGTCGGCATCGAACATCACTTGACCTCGCGGAACCTCCAAGGACCGCCGTCCCAAGCATCTTCCATCCTCCACAACCTTGGAACCGAGACGGCTCATTGTTCCCAACTAGCCAGCCAGCACACACACCGAAGTCGACACAATGGCCTCAAAGCATGTCTTCTGCTTCGCGTCGCTTTCCGGCGACTTACAAAACATGCAGGCAGAGATCGTGGCTTCGAAGTATGAGCCAGATTCCAAGGAGTATATCGCCGCCATCTCCAAGATCAGACTCCCTCCCCTCTGGAGAGCTTCCACGGCTATCAAGGACCCCGAGTTTCTGGCAGCTTTTCGCTCTTCAGCAGGTCGTTGGGGCATGCGTGAGTACCTTTCCCGTCTCGCCATGATGTCTTGACATACGCTCATGACAACATTTGCCAGGCCTTTTCGAGGGAGACCAGGATCAGGACTTGGCCTGCGAGATCGACCATGGATTCCAAGAAGGCTTTGGAGATCTTGTGAGTCTCTGCCGCATGGTCAACCAGACGGACATGATGGCACCACCGGTATTCCGCGATTACTTCAAGACCGAAGCATATGAGCCCGAGCTGGCAACGATCATCAAAGCTTGCCGCCGCAAGCTCAACACCGGCGTCGGCAATCGGTTGTTCAAGAAATGGCGAGGCTTAGAGCATCAAGAGGAGCGCAACGGACAGTACCGCGTGATCATCCTGGGAGCGCTCATGATGCGTGCTGGTGCAAAGATCCGTGCGCATGATATGGAGCACCTCCGCGAGCTCGTTGACAAGATTCCAAGTCGCCCGAGATACTCCTTGCCACACCTTGACAGCGGCTTCCGTGATCCTGGTAAAGTCCAGTTTCTCGTAGCACTGGAGAACTACAAAGCAGGCACACCTCGAAGCTTCGCCGACCCTAGGTATGGTTTAAGCCGTTCGTGAGAAAGGACTGAACATACTAACCATATGCCCGTGGGCATGTGTAGCTGCTATAAGTGTGGTAAGATGCAAGTCGATACTGGAAATGCCCTGAAGCAATGTGCAGGCTGCAAAAAGGTCTGGTATTGTGATCGCGTAGGTCCTTTGACAACTTGTTGACCATGGTTCACTCTTACTGAAAACCTTACAGGATTGCCAGAAAGGTCACTGGGCCGATCACAAGGCAGCTTGTGCCCGGAGTAAGCGGAGCGCAAATGTCTAGGCTTTGGCCAACATCAGAAGCGTCGGTAAAGCTTCCTGGGCGATGGCCCTAACACCTACCACCTGGGTACACTGGCATCAAGAGGTAGAGCAATGAAATATGCTTTCAAAAGTTGTATGAAGAAGTTGCCGAGTAAACGTGTTATACAGGTGTTGATGATCATGGATGGACAAGGACCGTGGGCTGCCAGAATGTAAAAACATAATCTTACGCACTGCGGCAATGAAGAAGAATTGGCTTCGAAGAAAAGCAAAAACCAACTGCTCTCGAATTGAGGAACAAGGGCCACAAAGCATATGTGCAATGGAATCCAGAGCACGTTGTCAAAGTAGACTGAGCTTGGAAGTCAACCAGAGAGACAGGCGGCAACCGGCAATTCAAGCTACAAGGGCCCGCCGATCGGCTGTGAGCAGAGCTTGACGCATTAACCGATGGAGTGATTCAAACGGGGTGCTGTGCTAGGCTGGAAGCTGTCTGCTGGGCCACTTGCTGCGGGCTGGAAAGGGCTCTACACGCTACTAATGAACTTAGTACAACCCGAATACCAGGAGGATGGGTCAAAGGTTGTCAGTCAAAATGCAAGAGAAGCCGAAGACACGCAGGCATCCTGTAGTCTGTCAACATTAGGATTGCCAGCTGCATGCATGTCCTCTGATTGAGCCTCTTGAAGCCTTCCAAGGTTAGGGGGACCGAGGCGGCTGACTAAGAGCCACTCTAGCGTGGCCGGCTTCGCAGGGACTCGATGTCCAGTAAACTGCTGTCGGGCGCGGGTGTGTGCATGACCAAGCACCTTGCATTTATTTGGCAGTCTGGCATAGCCTAGGCCCACGAGACAGAACTTGATGGCGTATGACGAAGGATGACAAAGTTCTGCGTAAAGCCCCCCCACGTTGGGACTCGGCCGATCCGGAGAGCGCGGGTTGGGGGGCGACGTCGAGAATTCGCAAGTCGAGTCTGACGAAAGAGCCTGAAGACAACAAAGGCGGCCGCCGGCGCAGAAAGTGATGCAATGCTGTCGCGAGCAGGGCCGAAAGCTGCGGAGGGAAAGAGTGGGAATTTGGAGGGGCAAAATCCGCCGGCAATGAGGCGCGCCCCCCACCAGGTTGCCAGCACTGGGCCCCCACTTCCGAAGGACGGAGGGACCGGCGACGGGAGTGGGCGGCATAGGCGGGCGGCTGAAAAGACGCAACAGACATGGGACTCGGCCACGCACGGGAACAAAGTCTACGGGTCACGATGCGGTATTTTGGGAACCAGGTGCAGGGAAAAGCAATTGGAACAGGGAAATAGCATACTGGAAGGTGCAGAGGTGCAATGCTGCTGCAGCCAGTCAGGGTGATGGCGATACCGCCTCTCGCGGCGGGCGGGCGGGCGGGCAAGCTACGTAGTTGCCCCGCCAAGCAACACGGAGGCGGCGGCGCGGGCGGGCATCGGCCTGGGGCCCTTGAGAGCCACCTGGGCAGCGCGCCTGCCTCTCACAGCGCAGGAGCTCGACACGAGCTGTTGCGTGCGAGCGTGCGTTGCTGAGCAAAGGCGACCCAACAATTAATTTACCCTCAGGCTAAAGGCACGACACCTCCACTTCTCTCTCCTTCCGTCATCTTCTCTGCTACTACTACAACAACAGCATCAACCTTCTCCTCCCTTCAAAACTGCCAGACAAGAAAGCTTCGCTCTTCCTCTTCTGACAGCATCCCTCATCTACCCATACCATCCACAACACCGCCATCATGTCTAGCGCTCTCGAACAGCTCAAGAGCACCGGCACCGTAAGCCACCTCCCCCTCTACGCGATCGACCCTCCCTTCTCCGTATGACGTATCAGCAAACGGCCCCCCAAAAAACCCTGAGCCTGGCGTCAATGGCGATCCGGCGAGCGGATAGCCGGGAATTCGTTCCTTGATATGCCTTTTGACACACCGGCTCGATACAATACGTCGATCGACTCGACAAGAGTTGTACGGCTATTCTGCCTCGCGAAGCCTGGGTCGGCGAAGGCTTTTTCAATATTATGCCGCATCGATCGCTACGAGGTCACATAACTTTCCTGGACGCTTGCTGACATTCATTTCGTCTTTTTCAGGTCGTCGTGTGCGACTCCGGTAAGCTCAATACTCCTCGAATTGCTCTACTTTAGCCCACATGCTAACTCGGCACAATAGGTGACTTTGCCAGTCAGTAGTAGCCCGCCCCGAGCACCAGCCGTCGCGGCCATGTTTCAGTCGCAACTTGCGACGTCCCAAGAGCCACAGCTGTGTCCCCCAGAATAAATATGCTAACACATCAAAACAGCCATTGGAAAGTACAAGCCCCAGGACGCCACCACCAACCCTTCGCTCATCCTCGCCGCTTCCAAGAAGCCCGAGTACGCCAAGCTGATCGACGCCGCCGTCGAGTACGCCAAGAGCAAGGGCGGTGATGTCGACTCTCAGGTCGATGCTGCTCTCGACAGCCTCCTTGTCGAGTTCGGCAAGGAGATTCTGAAGATCATTCCCGGCAAGGTCTCCACCGAGGTCGACGCCCGCTTCTCCTTTGACACCAAGGCCTCCGTCGAGAAGGCCCTTCACATCATTGACGTGCGTCCCTGACTCGAAGAAAGACGTTGTGAGGAGACATTGCTGACTGGGTCTTTCAATTACAGCTGTACAAGGAGCAGGGCATTGGCAAGGAGCGCATCCTGATCAAGATCGCCTCCACCTGGGAGGGTATCAAGGCCGCCGAGATCCTCCAGCGCGACCACGGCATCAACACCAACCTCACCCTCATGTTCTCTACCGTCCAGGCTATTGCTGCCGCCGAGGCCGGTGCCTTCCTCATTTCGCCCTTCGTTGGCCGTATCCTTGACTGGTACAAGGCCGCCAACAAGAAGGACTACTCCAAGGAGGAGGACCCCGGTGTCAAGTCCGTCCAGACCATCTTCAACTACTACAAGAAGTACGGCTACAAGACCATCGTCATGGGTGCCTCATTCCGCAACACCGGCGAGATCACTGAGCTTGCTGGCTGCGACTACCTGACCATCTCTGTAAGTTGCCTCTCTCTTGCCTTGTTAAGGGGTGGCAGACGACATTCTAACCAGTGCCATCACAGCCCAACCTTCTCGAGGACCTCCTCAACTCCCAGGAGGCCGTCCCCAAGAAGCTCGACGCCAGCGCCGCCACCTCGCTCGACATTGAGAAGAAGTCGTACATCAACGATGAGGCCACCTTCCGCTTCGACTTCAACGAGGAGCAGATGGCCGTCGAGAAGCTCCGTGAGGGTATCAGCAAGTTCGCCGCCGATGCCGTCACCCTCAAGGATATCATCAAGAAGAAGGTCCAGGCTTAAGTCCTGCGCTCTGATGGCTAATGAGGAATGATGCTTGGAGAAACACAAAATGGAAGATGAACATTTATATATCACGAAATACCCAAGTTGACAAGCTGTCTCGAAATTCCGAGATCCCATCTCTGAGAAATTGTTGCGCCGCGTGAAGTAGGATGCATCGAATCAACTCCAAAGTCGCACTTTCGGCTGTGCGTAACGCTTTGCATGGGAGACCTGTGGCTCAAAACAGTGTGCTTGGATACTATTAATATTACTCTAACTCTTCAGTGTATCTATGCTGATCATTGTCTAAGAACGTCAGTCAGACATGTCTGATGGCTTAGCAGGCCAGACTACGGAAGTCCTCAATGATAGGCGGGGTGAGGGGCAAAACCATGCTATTTATGCTCGCTCGAATGCTGCAATTGTACCTCACGCCGCTCGCTCTTTACAAGAAACACTGTAAAACTCGTGCGCAACACGCACGACCCCCTCCTCGCGTGGGCCCGTGGACTCGTCCGCGTCAATCCCCACGGCGGCCTCAAAGAACACCATGGCCGTCAACTTGCCGCCCGCGACACATCCCGTGTCCAGACCGAACGAGTACTCGCCGATCTGCAGTCCGGCTTTCGCGTCGTGCCCAAACACCACAGTTGTCCGGTCTGTGCGGGAGGCTACGTGCTTGCGCTGGAACTTGTCCCAGACGCGGGCCCAGGGTTTGCCCTCGCGGGTTTCGAGCGGGGTCATTGTCGTTATTGGACCGGCGTCGGCGTCGTTGTCAACGTTGTCATCCTCTCCTTCTTCTTCCTCAGTGGTACCGGCGCTGTCGTTGGCAGTAGCCCGGCCTTCGTGGTCCCCACTCTCGCGCTTGTGCTTATTATCCTTGCCCTTCTTCTTCCCGTGTTTCTGCTTTTTCTCCTTCTTCTCCAGCAGGAGCGTCCGCATATGCAGTAGCGCCCAGGGGTCCTGCTTCTCGAGCGCAATGCCAGGGACAAGACCGCCATGCACGACGACCATCTGCCCACCATACGGCGTCAACAGCTTGGCCACGGACGACTCTAGACCATCCGAGCCGAGATCAGCCGATAGGGACGTTGTTGGTGTTGTTGTATGGGGGATGTGGCCCACGCGCAGGATCAGCGGCAGGTTGGCGAGCCAGCGCCGCTGCTCGGGCGTGCAGGACCGGATTATGGCGAGGCCGAGGCGGTCTTTCTTTGGGATCTTCTTTTTCCCTTTCTTGTGCTTCTTTTTCTTGCCTTTGTGTTTGTGCTTGCCGTGCTTCTTGTGCTTCTTGCTGGCCGCCGCATCGCCGGAGCTCGTGTCGTGGTCGTTGTCGTCGCCGTCGGCATTGCTGCCACCAAGGCTGTGTTGTTGCTGTCTGCTTATGCTGGTGTCCCCGAGCATGTTGCTGATGCTCTCCTCGTCGTTGTCGTCCTCGTCCTCATCCTCATCCTCATCCTCCTCCTCATCAATGCTACCCCTGGAGTCGCTCTCCCCGTCCTCATCGGACACGGCCGCACCATCATCAACAACTGCCATCTTGCCCTTCTGCTTGCCAGGACCATGCTCGTCAAACAACCTCAACAAGTAGTCATCATGGTTTCCCCTGACTCCGCTGAACCCCTCCCGGATCGCCAGGTCCAGCACACCCGGTGTGTCGGGGCCCTTGTTGATTATGTCTCCCGCGAGGATCACGTGGTCCCTTCCGCCCTGTGCGCGTGGGGTGTACCCGACTTTGCGCAGCAGATCCTCCAGGATCTCGAGCTCTCCGTGGACGTCGCCGATGATGATCACCCTGGGCCGGCCGGCTTTCCACGGCGGGTGGTGCGGTGGCGACGACGACGACGGCCTCTTCTTTGACGCCAGCGCGTCGTCTGCACCACTGGTATCGGCAGGATTCGTCGTGGTGTCGGTAACGGCGACATCCGAGGAGTGGCCGTATCCCGGTAGGTACCGTGCCGGCAGGTCAGCGACCTTGCGCGGGTTCAGCGTCGCGTCGCGCGTCGGCCGGTTCTCAAGGTAGCTCTCCCCGTCCTGTGCCCACCGTTGCTGCTGGACTCCATAATCCTGATCGCCATTATTATCGCCGCCGCCGACCTTGGAAGGCATGTACTGCCCGGACATGGCTGTGTGCTGTTGTTGCTGGAAGTGCTGCTGCTGCTGCTGCTGCTGCTGCCTTGGCAGCGACAAAGGACAGGAACCAAACGGGAGATGACTAGTCAATCCACAGCCTAGCACTACCACCACCACCACGAGCGCTGCTGCCCCTGTCAAGAAGAGCAGAATGGCTGCCTGGCGGCGGCGGAGGTGGCGATGGCCCGCGTGACTGGGGTACCGCGCCGGGTCGCGACGTTGTGGCTGTGTCAGGGTCGTTGTCGTAATAGTTCGTAGCCGTGCAGCAGCCGCCGCCGCTACTGCTTCGTGCCAGTGTCGCTGCTGTCGCTTTTCGTCGGCCAGGTCGTCCCAGTGTCGCGGGAGGACTTGTGCTGCTGGTGCTGCTGATGATGATGGTCGAAACTTCTCGATCGTCTCGCGAGACTCGGGCTGCGAGGCGGCGGCGGCAGGAGAGAGAGGCTCAGAACTGCCCCCGAGCATTGTTCGAACTCCCCGAAGCGCAGCGAAAGCAGCAGCAACTACTGCAGTTTGCCTTGTGATCTCTAATAACCACCCTCGTGCTTTCTTCTGCTCATCTGGGCGGATCAAGAGTCTTTCTGGATCGTTCTTGTTCCTGTCGTTTCGTCTCGCGCTCGACTCTATTCTTCGATGGGATTCGATGTCGCTGTTGCAAAGTCCAAGTTTGGTCGCGCGCGGATCGGGAAGTCGCTCGCGAAGAAGGCTTCGGAGTATATGAAGCCAAGGTCTGGTATGAGGATGTGTACACGGACAAGCGAACGGAACACAGAACCAAAGCAAGAACAAAAACCAAAAAAAAAGGGTTGCCGTGCTTTGACAACCAGGACGGATGTCAGACCTGCCCAGGCTTCAAGGGTCACCCCCCAAAAGTCCAGATGAGGCCGTGCGTCAGGTGCAGTGTGTGCTGCGTGACCCGGTGACGTGACGTCGCGCCTGCATTACATGGCCTGAAAAAACAAGCACTAAGCACTAGATCGTCAGGGGTCCTTCAGCGCCGCCACCACCCCCCAAGAAAGGCCGTCGGAGCCGGGCTACCCGCATGGATGCCTCGCGGGAAGCGGCACGTTCTCTGCAGCACAGCACGGCACATCACACACTTTGCCCATGCCGCGCGGCCCGCAACGCAATAGTCTGCCGCTATACTGAACCCAAATACACGCCTGAGAAGAACATCAGTAACGGGGAGACATCCCCCCAAGACACAAAAAGGCGAATGTGAGAATATCGGCATGACAATGATAGTCACCAGGGTGGACTCTGGTCGTTGACCAGCAAATTGACTTTTTTATTGGATATCGGGCCCATGTTTGTATACATTCTATTAGTCCAACATGACGATAGTCGTTGTCGTCCCCTCTCACACAATTGCTCCACAGCACGCATGCTTACTCTTCCGGGCAGGAAGTTGATTGCGTCAAAAAGTCGACATCACTTGCCTGGGGCAGTCAAGTTGGTAGTGCCAGTGACGACACCGCCGGCAGGCTTACCGACTCCGATCTTGATACCTTTACTGCCCTTACTGCCCTCCCGCATCGAGTCTATGCTGAGCGTGCTTCCCTCGCTTCCACGACGCCGTCCTTTGCTGATGCCATGCCCTTTCTTGCCCTGCGTCGGAGACGGCGTCGATTCCGTCGTCTTTGGCGACTCTTCTACGGCAGTCGACGCGCCTGGGCTGTACTGTCTGGCATTGTCGGCGCCAGAGCTGTTCGGCTCCACCTCCGATGATTCAGAATGCTTGTTCAGTCTCGGACGTTGTCGCGGCTGGACCTTTGCGACCGGGGTCCCCGGGATCGACTCATTCGCGCTGTCGGTCATCGGGCTCATGCCGCCTTCACGGGCTTGATGTTGCATGGAGACGTTGTTGTTACCGGCAAAGTCGCGGACGGATGCCGAATCAGAGTCGATGGTTGCATCGCTGTTCCTGTATCGGCTATTGCACAGCGTTAGAAGATGATGTGGCGGTATCCTTTATCCCTGTGCTTTGTGACTTACTGTCTGAAGGTGTTCGAAGCGGAAAGACTCAAATGCCTGGCTTGACGGTAGCTCTCATACTCCTGCTTAGTGTGCGAAGCGTCCGTGAAGTTGTTCAGGGCATCAAAGACATGGGGAAAGACCTGCGCGTCAACGTCTCGAGCCCACAAGAAGTCGAGATGTTCGTAGTGGGGGATCTCGGTCGCGACCGTCCGCCTGGGCAGCTCTTTGAGCATGACCTTGATGTCGACCAGGGAGTCGCTTCCGCCATAGACGAGCACGACCGGTGTCCGGATATTGCGCGTTGGGTATTTCGCAACTTTTGTGTACTTGCTTGAGGTGCTAACTGACAAGGGCGACTGCACATCGTCGTCGTACATCTGGAAAGCCTTGTTGCGGATGATCTGGAACCAATGGACGACAGACTTTGTGCTAGTAAAGGAGTACAAGTGCGGATACGCGGCGAGTTTCTGACTGACGGAGATGTTTGTCGCATTCCAGTTGAACAGGAATGACAAGCCCATGTCGATGAGGCGGACAAACAATGGCGGATACAATATATTCTGCCACATGGTTGCCGCACTGAGGATCGAACGTCTTCCAAACAACAAGAAGAGCACCTGGGGCGAAGCCTTGATTAATGCGTCCACGATACCGTTGGATAACCCCGCTGGAGACATGGCCGGGGCCAGAGCGATGAACACGTTGACCTGATCGTTGAGCTTCGGATGGACCGCAAGACTGGCGAAAGCCTGTGCTGTTCCCTGCGAGAACCCGATGTAGGACAAGGACGGCTGCTTGGTGTAGTTGAGGATGTACTCGATAGAGTCCGGGATATCGTGGAACGCGAAGTCGTCGATCGAGAAATTCCAGAATTCTATCGAGGTTGGAGGGAATTTGACCGACTTCTTCGAGTACTTGTTGCCTCGGTTGTTGCCAAGCCAGACATCGAACCCCTTTTCAAGCAAGACGAATGGCAGGCACCTTTGTGCATCGGTCAGACAGACCCAGACCTCGCTGTTCATGAGCAGTCCATGGTGCAAGTAGGCGACTGGTTTCTGAATGCTGCTAGGCCCCGCATTCACACGCATGTCCTCCTCGCCTTTCTTCCATGCGAGCCGGTGAACGCCAAGCAAATAGCCGTCCTTGGTCTGGACGACGTGCTCTTCGGCCGTGTAGCCAAACATGGCACACATGTCCACAAAGTCGGAGGCATTGCGGATCGATGTGTGGATATCTAGTCAAGGGGGGGGGGGGGTCTGGTCAGCCTCGGGCTTGTGAGCACCATGAATCTGGCCAAGAGTTGTTGACATACTCCTCTTTCTCTCTGCTGCTTTCTTCTCTGCTGCGGAGCGAAATCTGTTAAACAAACGCCGAGAGAGACGGTAGAAGAGGTTAACAAGTGGCGATGCTGCAGCAAAGCGGTGGTCAGCTCAGGAGTTCTTGCTCGTATAGTTAAACGATAAAAGGGGGCCCAGGGGGGGGGGGCGCGTCGCGTACGTAGGGCGAGAGTGAGGATGCGAATCAAAGCCTCGAGACCGACAAGGACAAAAGAGCCGACGAGCGCAACATATTCGGTTCTAAACGTTGGACAGCGCCGTGTTAGCACATCATGGAAGCGGAAGTGCAGGGAAGGGCAAAAAACCACAAAAAAAGAAAAGCAACAACACGCCGGTGAGACTTGCATATTGAGTCGCCCAAGGAAAGGTAGCGGCATGGTGACGGCAACGGATGTGTTCACGGTTGTAAAGCCGCGTCTGTGTTGTCGTCAAATGCTGTGATGGATGCCTTGGCTGGTTGTGCTATGCCAACATGGTGATGGCTCGCGATCAGGAGGCGCAAAGGAGGAGCCGCGACAGTGCGTGTTGCCAGGAACCTGCCGGGCCAGATATCACGATCCGAGGTCGTCAGCCGATAGCGGTGGGGTTCGTGGTGGCGACGATTGGTCGTGTCGTCTTGACGAGCCTCGAGCTCCAGGCGGTGTCGGTGTCGGTGTGTTGGGTGGCCAGGGAAAGCGCCATCCATGGATGTCTCAAAGGGTGAGCGAGCACTTTTGACCAACCGACGAGGGTCAATCCATGACCAGCACAGTGATGTCACATGCAAACGCCTCGCCAGGGGTGCGCCGGCGCCTCCACATGCCGATTCGTCGGGGCATGGGCAATGTCGATTGCGACACCGCAACACGCTGCGCTGCCCAAGGACGGGTTGATAACGGTATTGCCGATGAAATAAGGTCTTTGGTGAAGCTTGGCTGCAATCTCAGATCTATGTTCACCCGTACCGGGCTTTTCTCCGCATCTCGACAGCCTCCACAGCACGAGCGAATGAGGCCATGCGGGACAATTGCATTCCCAAGGGTTTGGCCTGGGGCACGCTAAACGGGGGCAACTTTGCCAGCGAAGTCCCCTAGACTTGGGAAGCTGGGCCGGCGGCATCTGGCCAATCAGAGTCTTCGTAGATAGACATCGGCAGATGCGCCATCGCAACCAGACTTTCTCCAACAATCTGGTTCACGATGGGCCGACAGACAACCTGCCCCGAAGCTGGTCACTAACACGCACACGCACACGCGAAACCGAGAAATCACGCCCTCGACGGCCATTACACCTCACTGCAACGAAGCAGCCCTTGAGCTCAAAGAGAGGATCGCTCGTCCCAGACCAATCATCAGGGCAACGGCCAGCCCACATCGCCACGTCACTCCAGAAAAAGACACCAGGTAACACTACAGCGAGCACGAGCCCACCATGCCGAGCTCATGTAAAGAGATACGTACGGACCCTCCTCCTTTTCCCTTTACCCCCCACTTCCTGGTGCTGCCCGAAGCTGACCACGCCTGCCCAACCTCCAGGAGCGGCTCTAGCCCAATGCCTCCAAGAGAGCGAGTGTGTCATGATCCAGCGCAACTCGGCAGCAGACTGCCTCCGCTCCCCTCTATCCGAGACCCTCCCGACAAAGTGCCAGCAGCTGAAAAAGGGCTACGGAGAGTGCCGCCGGGGCATGGTCGACATGCGCAAGCGGTTTCGTGGTAACCAGCCCATCACGTTCAAGTCGCTCGAGTCGGCCGAGAGCAGCGGCGAAGGGTACCAGCTGTACGCGGGCAAGTCGGCGTTCTCCGGGTCGGTGCGGAAGACGGATGGCAACGAGCCCCCGCCGAGGGACTGGCGGGATATCGAGAATGAGAACCTGAGGCATGCTGCGGACGCCGCGGCGTCGGAGGAGGCGAATCGTAGGATACAGGAGGAGGCGAGGGCCAGGGAGAAGGCGAAGCAGCAGTCGTCTTCAGGGAGTGGGGGAGGAGGATCTTGGTTCTGGGGCAAATAACCAGAGGGGGGCTGATGTCGAAGTCCGACAAGAAAAGAAGAAACGGCCACCGCCACGGCGGCAATGTGGTTGCAACGAGCCACAGCGATTGTACAAAATCATGCATAAGAATTGAATACAGCATCGCCTGCAGCAACATGATTCCGAGAATCACCTGAGGTTGTCATGGCTCACACTACAGCCAAAAGACATCACAACACATACCGGGATGTGCTGGCGATCGCCTGCCAGACTCCTTTGAGAAGGGCATTCAAACTTTTCGTGCCTTGCTATGCTATCATTTTTCCTGTTTTACACAATGGTTATGTGTTCTCATATAACGGCTGTTTGCCTTGGGATCTGGTCTGGGCCGAATCGCCTAGTCCTCGGTGATATCACCGTATTCCCACATGCCGAGGCGCTCACTCTTGGCCTGGCTCTCAACCTCGCGGAGCTTCTGCAGGACCTCGGCACCAAACGCGCGCTCCCAGTTCTTGAGCTTCTTCGGCACCATGGCGTGGCCACTGGCAACGACCTCGCGATTGACCGAGTCGGCAAAGGTGCTCGAGCCGCTGGCCGCATCGAAGATAGTCAGGTAGCTCAAGCCCTCCTTGTTGTCGACATAGTCGAAGCTGGCAACCAGGTTGCGACCGTACACGGCGTCCTCGATAAAGGCCTTGCTCTCGGCAAAGTAGTGCGGCGCGGTAGGAAGCTGGATGAAGGACAGGACGGCATCGACCGCCTGCCCCTTGAGCTTTTGAGGGCTGAACTGGGCCTGGTCCAACGGGCGCAGCTCCGACCACGGCTTGCGCTCCGTATTGCCGTAATCAATGTAGACGACCTCGGCAATCTTGGCGGTGCGATCGTTGGACCGGATTCTGGCACGGTACCACTGTCCGTCTTCGGAGAACTTGGCCGCGACGTAGTCGCCAGTCTTTGGGGCGCCGTCGATGGACTTGCTGTTCTTGGAGTCGAGGTGGAACTTCTTGAACTCGGACATCATGATCTCCAGAGCCGATGCACCCTTGCCAGCCTCCTGGATCTTGAGACGACCATTAGCGTCGACGCTGGTGACGACAATGTCGCGGTAGTCGGCAGCCTTCTTCTGCAGAGGCGCATTGTCATTCTCAACCTCGGCGGCCGCCTCATCCTCAACCTCTTCCTCGTCCTGGGATGGATCCCAGGAGTGCCACATACCCTTCCGACCCTCCTTGGCGCGACGCTCTGCGGCGTTCAACTCCGCTGCGTTGCCGGACTTTTCGGCGGAGTACTGGTGAACAGACGCGAAACCTTCCTCGACAAGGACCTTGGCGAAGCTCTCGCGGTTGACATACAGGTCACCAATGAAGCCACCGACCTTGTCGTTGTCGTGGACGTCGATCTCGACGTCGCGCTGGTTGCAGCGACGGTTGGCAAGGTCCAGCGCCTCTTGACCAAACGGCTCGCCCTTCTCGCCACCCCGTCCTGGGGCCCTCGGAGCGCGGATGCCACCAAGAACGAGAGTGAGCTTGACGTTCTCGCGCGGGATCAAGACGGTGAAGCGCGAGCCAGACTTGCAGAAGTCGACGATCGCCGGCACCTTCTTCTGGCGGGACAATGTCGAGAGCTGGATCTTGGCCTTCTGCAGAGATTCGGACGCGTCCATGTACGCCTTGCCCTTGGGGGGCTTGTCCGCCCACATGCCCTTCTTCTCCTCCTTGGCAGTCTCTTGGGCGGCAAGCAGCTCATCGTAGTTGGGAGCACGGTCGGTGTCGTCCCTTCGGTGCCGGATCACTGACGCCCAGCCTTCTTGCACAAGCTGCAGGTTAATGTTCTTGCCCTGCGCAGTGACCGTGGCAACATCACGCGCCTCGAAGTCGTCAGAGGCAGGTTTGGTGCCGTCAATTGAGATCTTGACGTGCTTGCCAATGAGCTTCTTCCGAAGGAACTCCTTGGCCTCGTCTCTGAAGGGAGCCTCCGAAGCCTCGTTTGTCCTAGGGCCACGAACACTGCTGAGTCCGATTCGTTTCTCGTCACCAGCCTTGGTCCTTACGAAGATGGTATCTGCGCTGAACACTTTTGACACGATCATGTCGGAGGTGCTGGCCTCGGTGGTCCTGCCAACGTGGTCCTTGTGCATGCGCAGCTTCTGGCCTTGGGCCTTCTTCTCGGCAGCGCGCAGAGGGGCCATCTTCTCTCCAAGCATGGTCGAGTGGTGGTCATTGCACCTCGCCAAGCCATCCGCGAGAAGGAACTCGGCAATGCTTCCACGGGGGTGGATGACATTAGCGACAAGCTGGCCCTGTGGACTCAAACCAACAGGCTCGACCTTGACGTCCCTTTGCAGCAGTCTGGTCTCGACAAACTGCCGAGACTCATTGCCAAACTCCTCAGCAGGCTGCTTCTGGCCAAGATGGGTAACCCTCTCGGTTGCGGGGGCGCGAATGCCGGCAACAAGCGTCATCACCTGGAGGTGCTTCTTGTCCGAGGTCTTCAGGCGCGTGAGGAGCCTGTCTCCGCTCAGAACGCGCTCGACGACAGCGTCGATGGACTTGCCCTTCCACTGGTCGACAAAGTTCTGCCCACCAAGCTCATTCTGGACCTCGATGATGCCACCCACACCAGCCCAGACACCTTTGCCCTCCGACCTCGCGGAGGATTCGATGGCGCGAAGGCTTTCGATGCGCTGCTGGTTGTCCTCAGACTCCTCCTTGCGACCAGCGTCTTCACGAACTTTCAGCCAGCCAGCCTTGACCAACTCATCGGGGAATTGAGTCCCGTCCTTGAGTTGAGCTACACCATACTCCCGTCCAGAGGTCGGAATGGTGTACAGAACAGTGACCTGCACAGGCTTGCCGACGACAAGCTTCCGGAGATAGTCGCGGGACTGGAATGCAAATGGTTCGTCGCCATCGCGGTTTAGCCTAGGGGCGCTGACGTATGCCAGAGACAAGACACGCTCCAGATTGGGATTGTTGGTGCTGGTCAGGACAAGCGTGTCGCCGCTCAGCACCGACTTGACGTTGGCGATGAATGACTTGGATGCCATGATGCGGGAACGTTCAAACCAAGAGAGATGCTAATAGTACAGACCAAGCGTACAAGGATCGCCGAAGCTGCGGTTGTCGTCAATAATGATTACGAACTTGAAGCAAGAATGCAATAGGTAAATGTCAAGTGTATAAGCGCGGAAATGGGCCAAGACAGGGTGTTATGGACTGCGAGACATTTTGAGAGTGAGGACACGATATTGTGCTGCACTTGCATGCGTGCATGGCAGGGGTCAGCCTCGAGTAGATCCAGACCGCCGCTTGGCCACGGAAACCCGAAGCTCGAAAGTACTGGCAATTCCACTTTCCTGCGCCGAGGGGAGCTGTCTGATGACGAACTCTTAAGGTCGTAAATGGCAACAAGACTGGGTGAGCTACTCATGGGCGGATATATGCATAGCATACAATCCCTCCAAGTGATGGCCTCGTCCAATTCTGACAAAATAGTCGCTGTTTCCTTACGAAATCGCAGTCTCCGGTCTTGTGTTGGGGCTAGGTAAAAGCAGGGAAATGTGCAGGAGACAATTGGGTGAAAGTCTGACGGACTGTGTCGCGCGAAAGGAGACAAAACAGGAAGTTGGTGTTGGACCTACCTCGTGAGCTCTGATCCTGAAGACACACGAGCTGAAGGGATGAGCTCAGGTGCAGCTAGGGGCTCAGACAAAGGAGCAAAGGATGGTTGTACAATGAAATTACGAAGTGAGTCCAGCTTCTGTCCTGCGAAAGAAGCCTGAATGATGGGGAAGAGATGTATGGTAGGAAAGGTGGATGTCTGTGGTGAATGTGCCGTCGTCCGGGGCGGTCGTGTGAGATGTGGTTGAATGTGGGTGCGGACCAACCATTTGGCCACGAAGCAGCTTTCCCAATTGCGCCTTGTGGGGCAAACAGCTCGAGCTCTGAGCTCTAGCTAGCTCTGGCTGGACCCTCCGATCTTCTGCGTGAGGGGTCCTCACACTCCACAGCGAAGCGAAGCGGAGATCCTGGACAATCGAATGCGAGGCGTCGCCACCACCACACCATGAGTCTGTACACTCTGAACATGGCCAAGGACATCTCAATTGAGCAGTCCAGAACGGCTTCCAATGCGTGGACAAGAAGTTTGATCATGCTCGCGCTCAGTCTGAAACAATTGTACGGGGAAGTTGTTGCATCTAATACGCCTGTTTAAATCCTTAGAAATTGCTTCACCTAGTCACAGCATGACAAGAGCTCATTGGATCGTCGCCACATAGTTTCTATCCGCGCTTGCCGTTCCGAACTGGGAGCATTGTGAAAGTATCTGGAAAGCTTTGCCACAAAGCTTTCGTGCTATTTTAGATTGTAACCATGTGGACACGGGATGGAACTGAGATCATGCAGAGACGCAATCCTATTTTTGGGGGGCTATCTGCTCATAAGGCTATCGTATATCCTAGTTGGAGATACCGATGACACCTGTACAGTCCAGAATTAACTTTCATCCAGTCGGATCGAGTGTACGAGTATTGTAAGGACTTACCGCAAGCGGGGCGGGGACCAGCGTTGCCGGTCTTGAGGGATTCCTCGTTGTCACCCTTGCCGAGATCGTCGGTGCCGCCGTGCGAGACGACAGTGCGCTAGAAAACACGTCAGCTTTCGGATCGAACATGTCCCTCTCCTTGTGCTCTTGCTGGACTTACGCCGACAATGCTCTCAGGGCCGATGAGCTTGATGAGCTTGTCCTGGACGGAGCCCTTGGCGTTGCCATTGGCATCGGTCTCGATGTTGCCAAGGTCACCAACGTGGCGGTTCTCGTCGCCGCGGTCGCCGTGAGTCTTGCCGTGGGGGTTGACTATCTTCTGGTTAGTGGAGTTCGTCCAAAATAAGCAGCCTCTAGCAAGACGACGGCCAATTGGCGGCCGAAGAGGCATCACGATGGTGATCAAGCCACATACAGTGAGGGCCGGCGGAGGTGCAGCCGTTGGTGTTGTCACCAAAGGTGTGGATGTGGAAGCCACGCTTGGCGTTGGCGTCGTGGCCCTGGATGTCCCAAGAGATGGTGGTGGGCTCAGACTCAGAGGCCTGCTCGAAGGTGACAGTGCCGGTGACCTTGGAGTCACCCCGGAGAACAGCGACTAGTCGTGAGAACAAGCACAAAGGTTAGCTCGGAAGATCGAGTTACACGTGGGGGATGCAGCGACAAGGAGAGCGGGCGGAGGACGGCAGGGGTGCCACATGGCCATGAACTAGGAGCTAGTCGCCTGGTAGGGCTGCTTGGTCGGAGGCTCGTGGCCGTCAAGGTAGCCATCATGGTGCTCGATTCCCGCGCAAATGTGCGCATCTGGGGTGGTGGGCTGCAGCCATGGCACCTCCAAGACATCCAATCAGAGCGGTGCCTGTCCTTGCGGCCACTAAGGCACACGCGAGAGGGGTCCGTCGAGTCCTGACTTACCGGCCTTGACCATTTTGACGGTATTGGGATTGAGCTTTTGGTGTGGTTTGGTGCTTGATTTGCAAAGAGGTGAGAGGCAGGAAAGTTGAAAGCCGGAGGAGGGGGAGGGGAGAAGGCAGTAGAAGAGGAGTGCTCTCCACCTGCACCCAGCAATGCTTCCATGGTGCTCTTGCCCACTTACTGAGGCCGGTCCGGAGAGGGGCTGCCGCCATCATTCGCCCGCACCTCCGCCTGCCGCCTACCGCCAGGACAGAGCTCGATTAGCTCATTCTGCAGCATGCAAACGTTAGCTCTCCCGCTCAGGCTGAGTGGATGCCGAGCGTCCCCCTCTTGCCCGGGACTGGAGCTTACAAAGAAAGCATCCACGGGTCGCTTTGCTGGCCGGGGGGTGACGACATGCGGCTGCCCCGCTCTGGAGCCAGCGTCATCCTTTTGAACCGAGAGCACCCGTTGCTTCCGGCCGAGCCACACCAACAGCTCACGGAAGCTTCCAAAGCTTGGGAGAGGGTCTCACGTTCCGACGCAAGCAGACCTGCCGAGGAGCTGCCGGGATGACCACTGCTGAGTTGATAGTTTCAGGTCAGAAACGTCTTGTCGATCCAGCCAGCGTCTGTTGAAGGGCTTGGGTCTTAGTCCGCTTCGCACGCAATTGACACGGTCGACCTCCTGGGATTGTTGTTGTGTTTCGCTTCTCCTTGCCCAAGTTCGATCCACAGCTTGCCCGAAACCTCTGTTACCTGCTCGATGAAATCCATTCCTACCAAATGTCCAAGCCCCAGGGCCAATCCCAAGCGCCACGTTCGCCGCCTCTTCCCGTTACCAGGAACATGACTTGGTGCTGTCACAATCCTATGCAGAACTGCTCTCGTTCTCTCCATTTTGGACGGCAGCTCTAAGCTGCAGCGTCGCATTCTCCAGTTTTAGAGTTTAGCTGTTGTTATTCGAGGGAGGGCTTGTGATTAGCCAGGCACGTCTGCATCTCGTATCAGTTGTGTTCTGTAACCAGCCCGCCTGGACAACAGAATGTGGCCTCCTCAGGTCCAGACTTCAGGAAGAAAGAGGGAAAGTCAGTCTCAATCACCATACCGACCAAAACCCGCCTCCCATGCGATCCGTTCAAACGCCTAGTTGTTGCGGTGAAGCGCGTAGATATTTATGCAATGCACGACCTGCTCACTCGCCTGACGGGTTCCGCTTACAAGATGAATCTGGTCATTCTGACCGGACTGCTTGTGGCTTGCCTGCCGTCAGAGCCCCGTCAGCAGGCTCTGTGGGTGTGCGTCCTGTGCCATACACGAGAGAAGGAGCCCCAGCCCATGCGAAGAAACGTCGACAAGTGCTAGACCAACACCGAGTGTAACTCCCTTTGGAGCAAGCCCCGGTCGAGCTGAGCGAACACTTCCAGGACGGAGGCGAAGCCCATCTTCTGACGTGTGCCTCTTTCGCCACCGAGGCCTTGTCAGTACTGTCATGTGTGTTCGTGCACGCGCGAAACCCTGCCGAGATCATCTGAGCCACGCTAAGATAGCCCCAGTCCAAAGGTCTCGTACACCAAAGCCTCACAATGCCGGTACGAGACACAACTGCATCTCCCCGGGACGCAGGCAGGACTATGCTGCGGGCGAAGGGCTGCCCCGAGATATGGATGCTTGCGAATGTGGTCGGGCTCGGAAGCCAGACCGACGAGATGTGCTGGTGTTCAATGTTGCCGCGCGGTGCCAAGCAGCCCATCTGGCTAGGCCCAAGCCACTGACCATTCGTGCCAGACGCTGATTCCTTCCCCCGCACAACTGCAAGAGAGCACAACGCTTGTGAAGGGAGTTTGTCGTGCTGTGCTCGAGCCTCCGGATGCCGCCGCAGCCTTACGATCACCCGCCCAACAGACTACTTGCGTTCATTCTTGCAACAACCATCACGAAACTCGCCAGCCGCGACGATTGCTCTGCCGTCCTGTGCTAACGCCGGCTCTCCACATCACCCCCTTTGCGCATGCCAGCTTGGGCTGCGCCTTTGTCTCGCGACCACGACGGCTGAGGGAGCCCAGCCGCCTCCCCTCACCCCCGCCTCTCGCCAATTTGCTGATCCACAGCGTTGATACCCTGCCATCACTCGACAACACTGTCTGACATCGATCCCCGCCTCAGCCTGATTTGTCTGCCCTTGACACGCGCTTCAGCGACACACAGACGACACACGCGCACTCATTCTCGCTCGCTATCGTAGGACACCGAAGACATCTGTCATCTGCGCACTACGTCAGCATATCCTGCACGATCGACTACGCCTTGCTTTGTCCGACGACACAAGGCGCGCGGCGCCGCTAGCTCCACGAGCAAATCACTTCCAGCCCGCCGCTCGAGGACACCGCGCCGAGGCGCTGCCACCACAGCGACAAATGCGAGGCCATAGGTTGCCATCTTGAATACCGCTGCTTGCGCTGGTTCTTTGCACGCCAACAGTCCCGTCACGATCTTGTGGGCGACGGGCAAATCGCCAGAGCTCTACATCCGCTGCGTCATCACGCTTGGCGGTCGACAGCTGAGGAGCTCGCGCGTTCGCCATCCATTTCATTCGACGTCTCGATCATATCGACGCTGTCGCGAAGCGAAGCGAAATGTCGTTCCGTGGTGATGACCAGCGCCGATACGGGCATGTTCCTCCTGTGCAATATCCGACTGCGAATCAGCATCCTGCGCAAGGACAACCTCCGGCTCTGGCACGACGGCCAAGTTTCAATAGTGGCGACGATGCGACGCACTACGATTCTGGGACGGTGCCACACCACACCTACCAGCAGCCGCTGAATACAAATACCTCCAACGGTCACGATGAGCTCTTTCTGGCCAACGCTACCAATTCTAGCCAGTCTGCCTACGGAACTGGAGGCTACCAGAACCATTACCCTTCACAGACTCCTCCAACACCGTCCACATATAACCCTCAGGCCTTTGCTCGCTCTCAATCCACCAGTCTGCCGTATCACCCTGCGCCAAGTAGTCGATGGGGCCATACCACCTCAAGTGCGTCCTCGGCCCCATACAGCCCAGTCGCCCCCCCAACAAACTTCACGGCAGCGACCTATAATCCAGCAGCATATGCGAATCCAGCCTCACCACAGCGGACGCAGACATACTCCGGGTACAGTAATTACAGCAGCAGCAGCCACAATAATAGTGCTCAACCAGCTCAAGGCGCATCCACTTACAACCAATCCCAGTATTGGCAATCCGGCGCGGCGCAGTCACCGCCTGCCCATTATACAGGATTTGACCATGCAACAACTAATTATCCTGCTGCGTCGAGTCCGGTGCCGCCGCCATCCTCGCACTCCTATGACTCTTCATACTCGCAATATGCCAGCCCTGGATACTCGAACCACGACGCCAGCTCTTCTCCTTCACTCCCGCCACCCCCCGCGTCGCCACGCGCCCCATACCCGGCTTATTCGCAAATCCCGGTCGGTCCTGCTTACAATCCTGCCGAGCATGCTTCCTATAACGGCCGAGCATCCGCATCGCCGGTCCATTCCAGAACTGGGCAAGCAGCTTCCTCGCCTGGTCTGGCGCGGCATCCAACCAATGCGCCACTTCCGAGCAGGCCCCTTGATGATCAGCAAAGTGACGAAACGAATGGAATGTATGATGAGCAATACACACAGGAGGACATCATGCAGGATATCGAGGCCGAGCTATCAAGAGGAAGCGGCTCGCACCGAGGTCGGCCCGGTGGACTGGACCAGCGAAATGGAGCTGTCCCAGCCGATGATCTCCAGAACCTCAGGCGTCTCACCTCAAGTGCAAGCTACCATTCCACAGCAACGACACTGACGAATCAAGAAGACCCCTCCGGCGTGAATCGCTACTCTTCTACCGCGTCAACCGTGAACAGGGATAGTTCAGGAAATACTCAATACAAGGGGAACCTAGACGAGGACGACAGTGACCTTGAGGGTGCTGCTGGTGCTTGGGCTCTACAACAGGCCGAGGAGGATGAGCGGCGTCTAAGTACCGTGGGAGGCTCAATTTCATTCCCGTACTTCAGCCAGCCGGAAGTCGCCATGCCACAGCTACCCACCCACGCCGAAGAGCCAGGTAGTGATAGCGACTACGCCGGTATGGATCTCGGGCTGGCTGGCGGGGGGTTTTCAGGCAGCCTCAACTACGACAACAACTTGGGATCCCCTCAGTACGACGCGTCGTCTCCAGACAATGCCGCCCTGGCTACACCTCGTAGGACCCACGCCTCCCAGAGAAGTCACGACAGCAGCAGGTATCCCGCTTTCGAGCACGTGGACGTTGATTATGGCAACACCGGTGGTTTGCAAGCCCCGCGGGCACATCGCCTTAGTTTCGACGAGGACGACGAGCAATCTCTCAGCAGGCAAACTGGATCAGAGTCTCCATACAAGGAAGACTACCCGGACATGTTCTATCATCCTGGACTATCTAACCGACCACTCCCCGCCATACCCCTGGGATCAGAGAGCAACTCTATGCTTTCGGTGAGGCAACCCCAACGCCACGGCTACTCTCTGTCCAATGACTCTCAGGTTTACAGCGGACCGGATGCCCTGTACGGTCAAAATGCACAGCAGCTGCAGGTTGAGCGATCAATATCCCTTTCGAGTCACAGCAACACACCAGTCGTCCAGCCTCCCTATCGATCAAAGACGGATGCCGAGGACCGCAATTCGCGTGTGAGACAGATGCGGGAGCAGCAGCGACTCGCACTCCAGCATGGAGGACAATATGACGTGTACGAGCCTGGGAATACAACACCATCCCTCAACTACGATGACATCACGTTGCCAACAGGAAAGCGGAAGAGATTCCAGCCGGAGAAATTAACTCATGCCGATGTGCAGCGTTGTTATGAACCATGGGCACTGAGCGGCGTCGCCCAATGGATTCGTGAGCTGGCTGACGGGGAGCCTGATCTGAAGCGGAAGACTGTTGAAGACGGTCTGGTTAGGCTTTTCTGCCTCAAAGTTCCGACCATGAATGTCGCCGACGCAGAGTCTCTCAGCACGCAAGTTGTTGAATCCATGCTCGTCGCCGGCATCCTCGTGCCTGAAGAGGAGTGGCTCAAGTTTGGCCACGGCTCCATATCTGGTGTCATATGGCAATTGACCGGATATGGCTGTTATGCACCAAAAGCACACGAACATGACCACGAGATCGCTGGCCATGAGGTCTCGAGCAGATGTTACTCCTACCACTGCACCAGGACCCTCAAGAAGGCCAACCTCGATGAGTTGATGGCCAGTGGACCAAAGCCGGTTGACTGGGCCCACTTCTACAATCTGTCCAAGGAGGACGTCGAGAGCAGACCGAAGAAGGAAGTCGCCAGGCAAAACATCCTGCACGAGATCGTGACCAGCGAGGAAACCTACATGGGGCAGCTCGACGTTCTTCGCATCCTCTACCGCGACCAGCTTGTTCAATCGCAGCCACGCATCATTGCGGAGAACCGGCTCGATAAATTCGTCAGTGCGGTGTTTGGGCGGGCCGAAAGCATCCAGCAGATCAACAAGGACCATCTTCTCGCTCAGCTTAAGTATCGACAGAAAGAACAAGGCCCCTGGATTGTTGGCTTCAGTGACATCTTTCGCGAGTGGATCCGTGCCGCTCGGTCCGTCTACATCGACTACGCTTCTGCGTACCCGAACGCGCAATACCTGGTTCGGAAGGAGTCCGAGAGGAATTTCCTCTTCAAGCAATACCTCGACCAGAACCAGAACAACCCATTGTCGCAAAGACTTGACTGGAGTACCTTCCTCAAAGCTCCCATCACGCGTCTTCAGAGATATATTCTTCTCATGCAGACAGTATTGAAGCACATGATACCTGACAGCGAAGACAAGACGAACCTCATCAAGGCGATTGAAGAAGTCCGGAATGTTGCTCTCGAAGCAGACGCCAGAGTCGATGAGATGCAGAAGAAGGTGACCATGATTGAGCTCAACCAGATGCTGGTCCTCAGGCCGGGCTTCCACGCCGATTTAAATCTGGATCACCTTGGTCGCGAGCTGATCCTGGAGGGCGATCTGCAGAGACTTGGCTCCAAGGGTGTTCGCTGGGTCGACACGCATGCGCTCTTGTTCGATCATTATCTGATCCTTGCTAAGCTGATTGTGGGCGGGAGACAAGACAAAAAATATGACGTCTCCAGAGAGGTGAGTACTTGTGATACTTGGAAGAGATGTGGTGCGTTTACTAATGCCTGTTGTTAGCCAATTCCTATGCCGCTCTTGTTCCTCGAAAGCAGCCAGGATGACCCGATATCGAAGCAGAAGGGTATAGCGGCTCCTCTCACCCGGACCGGGCCTGCAGGTGACGTTCGCCTCAACAAGGTACAATCTAATGGAGATCGACCGGGGCTTGAGCATACAGCAACCAGCTCTTCCATTGGATCTGGATCGGTCAATAGACTTGGGACCACCAACTCAGCCGAGGCCGAGGGCAAAATCCTTTACCCATTCCGCATCAAGCACTTGGGACACGAGGTGTACACTCTGTTCGCGACTACCGCACAGTCCAGGCAGGACTGGTGCGATCGCATCATCGAGGCCAAGACCCGACACGCCAAGGCTCTTCATGCCCAGAATGCGGAACCATTCCGACTACGCGTCATGGCAGATAGTGCATTCGCATATGATGCGGTGTCCGCAGTTGGCAAGTATGTTGGCGGTGTACACATCCGTGGAACGCCTTTGGATCGAGCGATCAGAGAACTGGAGAAGACCTTTGGCCCTGGTCGGGGCCCGGCACCCATCTCGAGAGCGAGTGTGAACTGTGCTACCGGCTTCTCTGCATTCGGCAAAAGCATGGTGGCTGTTGGTACTGACGTAGGGGTGTGCGTGTCGGAGGCCAGCGATCAGCGCAACTGGATCAAGGTGAGTGCAGTATTGTGCCTGGTCAACTTGTTGTACGATTGAGAGCTAATATGAGGACCTAGACCGTCGCCGTGGCTCGAGTCTCACAGATCGCAGTCCTGGAAGAATTCTCCGTTGTACTCGTACTCTCGGAGAGAAATCTTATCTCGTATCCCCTGGATGTCATTGCGCCACCTTCAAACTTCCCAGCTCCGACAACCGATAGCCACCGTCGGTCACCTCTGAGGCTTGCGAAGGACGTCTCCTTCTTCGCGACCGCACGGATGAAGGAGCGAATGCTCGTCTTCTACAAGCGCAAGGAGAGTTTGCACAGCACATTCAAGGTGCTTGAGCCGGTATTCCAGAAGTCGAGCGAGAAGAAGTCCAGGCTGTTCAGCAGTAGCGCCCGTAAGGGCGGCGGCTCAACTGACAGCTTCCGCGACTACGACGAGTTCTACCTACCCACAGACTGCTACGGTCTGAATATCTTCCAGTCGTACATCGCCATTGCGACAGCCAAGGGGTTCGAGCTTATGACGCTCGACAAGAAGGTGCCCATGTCGATCCCGGATGTCAAGCAGCCTGCCATTGCCAACATTGCCAACCGCATCAAGGAGCAGAAGCCGCTGGGCATGTTCCGACTCAACGAGCAGGAGTTCATTCTGGCCTACGAGGACTGCGCCGTGTACATTGACAAGCACGGTGATGTGAGCCGCAGTGTCATTATGGAGTACTCTGGCAAGCAGAAGAAGGCCAAGGGCGCCACCATGTACGGGCAGTATCTTCTGCTCTTCAACGAGGACTACGTCGAGGTGCGCAATGCCGAGAACGGCCGGCTGCGCCAGATCATCGCGGGGCGCGACGTGCGCGTGCTCGATTATGGCGTCAGGGGTCCCACGGGCGGTTTCTACAACAGCGTGCCAGGTCTCGGCGGCCAACCGCCGCACCTAATGGAGACCGGTACGGACTCCAAGGGTACCGTCAAGATCTGCATGGCGCATCCCGAGGTTGCAGGGCAGCAGATTGTGCTTGAGATGTTGCTCAACACGGGCCATGCAGAGAAGTGAGTTGAAGGTCAAACGGCTAAGCACGAATTGGGGCTGGGGTTTGGTCTGGGATTGGTGCTCCAGTGAAGCTCCAGCTTGTAATGAGATGGGATGAGAAACGGGGCGCTTTGGGTGTGGTGGCGCATCGGCTTTGCCCTCCACCTGACTGCCGCACTATAACGACAACGACAAGAACGATGATGACGTCTCCGCGTCAGGTACGCACGCATGTATGAGATTCCCGAGCGCCCTGCCCTGACTTTAAGGGAAAGGTTTTCATGGCGACATCATGATGCACGACTTTTGGCTACTGAGTGAATTGGTTCTTTTTTGTCTGTCTAGAGGAGGAGGAGAAGGACGAAAGTACACTGCGGAGAGAATTGGCCACGGCCGCGGCGTCTGGAGTACATGAGTCAAGTAGATATTGACCACATTCGTTTTCCCCTTGTCACGTTGATCAGAAATACTTGGGCAGGTCCCGGGTGCGCGTCAAGTGTTTTGATCAGGAACGGCAGAGTGCTATGTTTATGCCGCGTCTGCCCACGTTATCAAGCCTGAAAGGGGACTCAATTGCTGATTAACAGTGGAAAAGGACATTTTGATACAGTGCAATAAACAGGAACTACCAACGTGTTCAGGTATCAACTTGAGCAACATGAGCAGGGGCACTAAATGCTGGTTGCCTTCGACAACGATAATTCCTGGGGGGCCGCGTAAATGGGTGGAGACAAATAGACAAAAGCTCCAGCCAGGTCCCCGAGCTGTGAGGCTGAGCTACCTCGGTGGCTCCGCTGTGGAGATGAATGTACCTAAGACACCGTACCTGTATTCCGACACCCCCCCAATTCCGACATTTGCACCAAAATGAAGCCTCCTTAGCTATGTGATTTCTTCAACGGCCATTCGTGCATCCAGAACAAGTTGAAAAACACCGAATTTATTACAGTCGCTACTAACCATATCCCTTAATATCGAGCGCCAGTCTGATTTTATTCATCTATTTTTGTTGAATTACTAGTAAATTGTAAAGGAAGTGCTAAAATCGCATAGTTAAGCTATGTTCTAGCTTTGAAAACTCGGTGTAGCTCTAAATCCCAATGGATTCTGATCAAATTTTAACTATGGAAGGATAGTTCAATTTTCTTCCAGGTATAAACTTCTTTGAGGCTCAGATACATACGTGGAAGAGTTATTGCTATTTCAAATAGCTAAGTTTTGGTGCGAACGGGGTGTCGGAATTTGGGGGGTGTCGGGATACAGGTACGCTGTCTTATCCTCTGCGCCAGATCGAGTATACAGGTGAACCCCGGTTATGCGGACCTCACATAAGCGGATTCCCTCGCTTCTGCGGATGAACTGGCTGTTTCCTTTCAAAACACATGCGATTCCGCTAATCCCTCGCGTTCATCGATTACGCACAAAGCGAGGCCATCGCCACCACCTAAATCCGCTAATCCGAGTGAAATAGGGGCGCGTTTGGACCGCGTTTTGACCCCCCGAAATGGCACCCCGCGCCACCGCACCCTCCAACTTGAAGCCGTCGCGGCGACGCATTTCGACTGCGCAGAAGCTAGCCCTTCGCGAACGACGACGTCTCCGTCCGACGGACTCCCATATCGAGCTACAGCAATGGTTCCTGAAGCAGTACGACCAGCCTATCTCGACATCCTCCATTACCGACATCCTCGGCAGCCGTTTCGCGTACCTAAGCGAGCCACTACAGCAGCCACGCGCCCTCGACTTGACGCGGGTCAATAATAACCCTCACCGCGACCTCGAAGGCGCCTTATATATGTGGTGCCAGCAAGCTGAAAGCTCAATTACTATCACGGGCGAAGTCATTAAGGCAAAAGCACGGCAATTCTGGGCGCAAATGCCTCAATACAAGGACCAAAAGCCGCCGCAGTTCTCGAACGGCTGGCTCTATCGTTTCCAAAGCCGACACGATATAAAACTACGCGTACAGCATGGAGAGCTAGGCAGTGTCAATATCGTCAATACTGAGAAGGAGATGGCCTCAATCCGACAGATCCTCTCGAAGTATTCCCATGATGACATTTACAATTGCGACGAAACAGGTCTTTACTGGAAGATGATTCCGGATCGCTCTCTTTCGACGCGCAGCCTTCCAGGCCGCAAAAAGGAGAAGGCCCGGATCTCAGCCCATCTCTGCTGTAATTGGTCAGGTACTGACCGTTTACCAATATGGTTCATTGGCAAGGCAAAAAGGCCTCGCGCCTTCACCGCTGCGGGGGTCGATATCCGCCATATGAACCTAGAATGGACTCACAATAGGAAGGCCTGGATGACAGGGACTATATTTGAGCAATGGCTACGTTGGTTCGACCGCCAAATGGCTGGTAAAAGCGTCATTTTGCTGATGGATAACTTCTCTGCTCATGAAGCCGGATATGAAGCTATTCTGACAAGTGCGACCCCCCTACAAAACACCGCTATCATATGGCTGCCACCCAATACTACAAGCAAAACACAGCCTCTTGATCAGGGAATCATTGCAGCCTGGAAATCTCACTGGCGACGGTACTGGGTACGCTATATGCTGTCGGAATATGACGCCGGTAGAGACCCTCTTAGTACAATGAACGTACTAAAGGCTCTGCGATGGGGCATCCAAGCCTGGGAGCTAGATGTGACTCCTGAAACTATCACGAAGTGCTTCAAGAAAGGCCTCATGGAGGCCCCTAGAGACCCCCAGCAGGCCACACTTGAGGCAGCAATTGCTGCTACTCATGAAGAAGCCGTTCGCGAGATTACGTACGGCTTGCAGAGGCTTCAGGCTAATCATCACGTCAAGGAGGTGATGAACATCCATAACTTCCTGAACCCGGCTGACGAGAATCTGACTGAAGAATCCGACGACCTTGACCAGCAGATTCTCGACCAGTTTACCCCGGCAGGCAATAGCGACGACGACGACGACGACGACGATAATGCTGAGCTTGAAATTGAGCCACGAATCACCATAGTTGAGGCCCTAGAGGCCCTCCGCCGACTGCGCCTTTACCAGGAGCAATCAGGTGGTGATACTGGCCTCATTTCTTACCTCAATAAGCAGGAAAGGGTACTTACGAACTCATCAATTGAAGCCTTACAGCAGAGAGATATCCGCATGTACTTTCAGTAGAATACAGAGCCTGGATAGGCGTGAAATACCTCAAGAATGACCTCCCCTCAATACTGCGGATACCTCATTTTAGCGGATTGAACGGAATGTCTCCTTTATTCCGCATAACCGGGGTTCACCTGTACTCGTTTGGGTAATTGGATGTTACGTGGTCCCTTTTTGGGCATTGAGTGTTCTGTGCTTCTCAAGCTCTTCGCACAGTTTGCATGAAGCTGAGGCGGGCGGGGAGAAAAGAGACTGGGAATATAAATAGATAATGGGAATTGTAAAGCTTCTTCTTCGTTATCGCTGTGGTCGAAGCGGATGAATGCCGACTTAAGATGATGCTGATCAACAGGTAAGGAAGTATGGAGACTCGCGAGAGCCACTCTTGTGAGCCGAAAAGACGCTGCTCAGCCCTGCGGGCTTTAACTCCACGAAGTGTGACGTCTTGTGGTGGGGCAGCGGGAGCTTGGTTCTCCGGGGCCATGCTGCCCGTTATTATTATGGCTGTGACAATTCCAAGCCACCGTGAATAAGCTCGGGTTGTGGCAGGGACGCTCTAGTTGCCTCGCTTCCCTTGTCGAGTAGATAAGTAGAGGCATCGCAGGTTGAGGGCACTCTGATATTTCGGTCGCAGTCTTGTCAACAACGCATCAATCAGAGTTACTAGTCACATACCAGCACCACGATGGGCAACCCAGACAAGGAACAACCTGCAGCCACCCACCGGTCGACTGATGCCGATGGGCCTCCAGCTTACACGAGCACTGCCAGCAGCCTTCCCGACGCGCCGCCATATGAAGGCCCGGCGACGGGCCAGAGGCGCATGTCGACCTCTTCGTCGGTCGAGGAGGAGGGGCCGCGCAAGCCCGGTAAAATCCCCGGGGCGATCAATTCCTACTGGCAGACCAGCATGAGCCGGACTTTCCACCTCGGCGAGCATCGCGATGCTCCCCTCTTTGCGGTCAAGAGCGGGTCTGGGTGGACGACCAAGAAGCCTGGGCTCACCATCTTTGACGGGCCGAACAGCAGCGACTATCCGATGCTGACGGGGGCTACGCGGGCGTCGATGTTTGGCCGGAAGTATGACATCTCACTTCCGCCTCTGGCAAACTCGGGCTCTTCCGAATACACGAAGGAGACCATTAGCATTGGCACAAGCTGGTCTCGCCAGGTTCACAAGTTCACGATTGAGGTCGAGAGCGGGCCCAAGGGCGAGACGCGGCGGGAGGACTTTGAGTGGCGGTCAACGCGAGGAGACGAGGTGCGGGAGCTGGGCAGCAAGTGGTTGCGAGGGTGGAAGCTGGTGAGGCTGTCGAGCGAGGCGTTCCGAGGCCCTGGCGGGGAGCGGCATGCGCGGGACGAGGGCACGACGAGCGACGGCAAGGAGATTGTGGCCGTGTGGGCTCACAACTCGAGCTGGAGCATGACCAAGGCGTTCAAGTTCCGGTTCCGGGGCAGCGCGCTGGCGGGCGAGCTGGGCGAGCGGTTCGACCTCATGGCGCTCATGACAGGCCTCAACATGTGGCACCAGGAGGTTGCCGCCAGCGCGGCCACCAGCGGGGCCGCGGCGTAGCCTCGCGGGGCACGGGGAGGATCAGGTCTGGATGGAGAGCAGGCAAGGCAGGGGAGAAGCGTCTGTATGTATACTTATTATGCTCTTGATGATACCACGGCTAGGTAAGGTAGGTACGTAGGTAGGCAATGGAGCATCGAGACAAGATCCGTGGGTGCCTGGATGCCTGGCTGGTGTGGAGCGGGCGGGCAGCGCAAACCGCCACCAATTTCCAGCTCTCCCAGACAGTACATATATAACATCGTATTGCAGCCGATCTTGCAGGCTCGCCGAGGCCGGCTCCCATCAGATGAGATAAATTACCAAAAGCAGCCACGACAGAGTGTGGTCTCTCTCTGGGTACCTCCTGCCTAGCGACTGCAACGCCGATGCATCGACGCCCAGCAGTGCACACAAGCTGCCTCGAGAATGCACGTCAGCCCCGTTGTATACTCATAACCAGGCCCCCTTCGCCAATCGTCGACGTTGGACAAGCAGCCAGTCTGCCTTGCCTGTTGCCGCTCCCTGTTGTGCATGTGCGCCGAGCCAAGATCACTAACAATCCCTGCCCCAGGCCAGGCCGCCCCCGGGCTGACCAGGGTCGTGTCGAGTCACGGCCCGTCAGCGCAGCCTGTGCCTCGATTGTATAAGTTTGGACCCTGGCTGACCGGCCGCCCCCAACATCGTGTGCTCGCCCAAAGTCCCAGTCTCAACACTCTCCTTGACCGGGCGGCGGGGTATCTGGGCTCTCAGGACAACTGCCTGCTGCCCGTCCTGTCTCCAGCCTGCCTTCGTCCCCGTCCCGCCCCCGCCTCGATTCGTCCCGATCCGACCATCACGACACCCGTCACAATGGCTTCAGCTTCGTGGCTCGGCTCAACCACCTGGGTGCAGCAATTGGCCGACGCCACCGGCATGCCCTTGCTGCCTGGGAGCATCGACACCATGCTCTGGTCCATGGTTCTCTTTTACGCTACCTATGCCCACCTCGCGGAGCTGGCTTCGACTCTGGTGCTCGGCAGGAAACGCTGGGACAGCTTCTCCCCAGCCACGCAGAAGGAGTGGCGGATGCGCACCACAAATCTGCTCAAGGGCCTCATCATTGGCGTCTACGCCACGTACCTCGTGGTCGCCGGTGTTGGTGGGCGTTCGGACCGGACCGAGCTAGTTGATCGCATGTTCCGCCGTGACGTGGCCGTGGAGAGACTTGGTGGCTTCTCTGTCGGATTCTACGTCTGGCATCTGGGAGTCCTCATGCAAAACTTTGCCAATGAGGGCGTCGGTAACGTTGCCCATCATATTCTAGTCTCAACATGCATGATGTCCATTTACGTAAGTGGTCAATCCTCGGACTATACGATCGTTTCGTCTACGGGACATTCCCTTTCTTTTTCTGAGAGCTTACATGTAACGCGTTCTGCTTCTTTCCAGAGGCCGTTCCTTGCTCACCACCTGCCATGCTTTTTGGCTTACGAGGTCACCAATATCCCCCACAACTTCTACCGCATGAGCAAAATCCTCGGTCACGCGCGAATGGCCACATTCCATTCTGCGGCTTGGATTGTACTGTTCTTCCTGTTTCGTATCCTATACGGCACACTCGCATCCATCGCCATCTCCCAAGACTTTGTGCAACTCTGGAAACAACAGCAAGAATTGCTCCTACCCGAGACGAAAGCATGGACAGCTGCTCAGCTGGCTTTGGTTGAGGATCAGACGCTGATGATACGACCAATACCATACTGGGTCATCGTTTGGTGTCTCGCGTGCACGGTGTTTTTGGCATCGCTCAATTTCACGTGGTTTTACAAAATCGCCAGATCAACCGGTGCCAGGCTTTGCGGGAAACGCAAGGCGACAACTCCATGATGACTAATAGTTTCTGGGTACGGACAGTTCAAAAATCGTGCTCTTCAAATAAGCAATGGTCCTTAGTGGCGTGATTCGAGCGAACTCCGCCGTGCACTGTATCCGGTTGGCACGAACTCACGAGGACAAACGGCGTCGGTGAACCTTGCGCTTCGACCAATGCCAATAACACTCAAGCCTTGACTCTATTGTCTGCATCTTTGGAGGAACACATAATGCCACTGTGCTAAGGTAAGTCGCTTTCGGCATGTTTCGTGACAACGCGAGATATACAGTAGACTGATGTCCACGTGGAAGCATGTGCTTAAGACAGTCAAAGCTGTCAGCTTCCAGGGCAGCCAAGAGAGTTTTGCGCCCACGTCTATGTATAATGACCTTTGTTGGTGCAGGTCAAACTCGAGATCAACGAGGGAGAGCCGCTTCTACAACGAGGTTCAAGCCAGCGGTGGCCGTGATGACAAGACGATATCTAGTCGTCAGATATGGGGAGGATGAAAGATAATTGAATATGAGCTTGTGGGCTCAATGGCAAGCCTGTTGAGGTCGCCATTTGAGCAGTAACCGAGTTCAAGCACAAGCTTACACACTAGCGACCTGGACGTGCATTTTGTCTATTCTTGTGCTCCGCCTCACCTAAAATGCTGTCGTGCAGTTTTCAAGCGATAAACACCTGGATTACCGTACAGTAGTGCCCACACAGCCACAGAACACTGATTCATGTTACATGTGGAACACCATTGCAGTGCTCCACTTTGTTTCATGGGGCGAGCTCCCGTAACCGCCTGGCAACAACTTCCAACCAGGCCAACTGCAACTGCTTTGCCTGCATTCTTTTGACGGATCGGCCCACGAACTTAAAACACTGAAATTTAGGCGCATCGTCATGATGCTCTTGTCATTTCCACGACTTTAATGCTAGGTAAAACATGCCAAACGATTACAGTCTAATATCGAAAGCCGTACCACTCCAAGGCTTCTCTCGCTCTCCCTCTTTCTCCACTTTTCTCTATCCGCTTTCCCAGCTATCCCAGAGTCTCTCTGGACAACGCACAGCCAATGGAGAGAATCTCCTTTTACGTGACAGTGTAGCCGCCGTCGACGCGGAGGTCCGCACCAGTGACGTACGAAGAGGCGTCGGACAGGAGGAAGGCGACGGGGCCCATGAGGTCGACGGGGACGCCCATCTTGCCCTGGGGGATGAGCGAGGTCCACTGGCGTTTGAGCTCCGGGTTGTCGTCGAGGATCTTTTCGGTACTGGATGTGCGCGCGCGTGCGTGTTAGTAGTAACTCTTTTTTTCTTTTCAGTGCTCCGTGTGTATTTTTTCACGGCGGCCATGCTGCCAAGTTGGCCTGGAAAAGGGAATTGGTTTCACAGCAACGACGAGGACGACTTACAGAGCTGTGAGCATGTAGCCAGGCGAGATGCAGTTGACGCGGATGCCCGCGTGCGCCCACTCGACGGCCAGAGAGGCAGCCATGTGCCGTACGGCAGCCTTGGCGGCGTTGTAAGGGCTGTATGAGTTGAGATAAGACATGTCAAAAGTTAGCGATGCCATGGATCTGTTTTTTTCTCTTTTTCCTTCCTCATCGTTTCCAACCTAGGCGTGAGGAAACAACACGTGTTGCTTCTTTTTTTCACGCTGCGGCTCTCTCTCTCTCTCTCTCTCTGTGAGGGGGACCAGGCTGTCAAATCTACTTACGTCTGAGGCTGGGGCACATTGACAATGGCGCCCGACATGCTGCCGATGAAGACCATGCTGCCCTGGGCCTTGCGCTCCATGAGGTGCTTGGCGATCATGGTTGCGAAGAGGTAGGTGCCGTCGACGTTGACGCTCCAGAGCTTGCGCATACGGTCGATGGGGTAGTCGATGGCCTGGAAGTTCTCGGTGAAGCCGGCGCTGGTGACGAGGTTGTCGATCTTGCCGTGCTCCCTGATGACGTCGTCGAGGCAGCTGCGCACGGAGCTCTCGTCCGAGACGTCGGCGTAGTGCGCGGTGACCTTTGGCACGCGGGCGGCGCCGGGGTTCTCGCGCCGGAAGACCTCGATGAGCTCGGCGGCTTGCTTCTCTGCTTCTTCCTCTGTTTTTCGGCGGCAAGAAGAAAAGGAGTTGCCCTTAGGTTAGTTTGCGGCACCTCGGGGTTTTTGTTTGCGTGGGCTTCCGTACTAGGGAGGGGAAGGGAAACATACTGTTCATGTCGACGATGGCCAGGTTGGCACCGCTGATGACCATGCCCTGGCCCATGACGAGACCCAGGCCGCGGGCACCGCCGGTGACGACGCCGACCTTGCCCTCGAGCGAGAATGAGGCAAGGGTGCGCTTCATGTGCAGGCCGCCGCGGCCTTGGACGGGCGTGGACGAGGGCAGCTCGCCCTCCTCTGGGTACTCGACTGTGATGTTGTCGTCGGTCCGGGCGAAGCCTCCCGGCACGGGGGAGCCGCCCTTGGGAGGCTGGTTAAAGGGCCGGGTGGTGTGCAGAAAGGCCGACCCTGTGGTACGCGGGGTTACCGAGGCGACTCGCAGCGCCCGCGAGGAGCTGCGGAGGATTGTCCTTGACAGCATTGTGGTAGGCTTGGTTGGTGAAGGAAAGTTTGGGATTCGTGCCACGCGTGAACGTTGTAGCAAGTACAGTTCCCAGGGACAGGAAAAAGGGGGAGGATTGGGAGGTCGGCTCGTGGTGAGGTTGCCGACCAGGCTTCAGATGTGTGAGGACAAGGGCAACCCAGAAGAAACTCGGAGACGTCGAGTCGATTGGGAGAAAAAAGAGGTGAGCAGTGTGGCGGAGAAGTGTCAGAATCGTTTTGCTGAGCTCTACTTTTGAGTGGGTAGGATGACGAAAGTCACGGCGACGAGGTACCGCCCGGCGCAGTGTGCGAGCAGCAGCAACTGCAAGTACTGTCTGCTGAGAACCCCCTGCCTGGACTGACGGGCGGTCCAATTGAGCCCTAAAGCAAGGGTCCCTTTGCGTTGTCGATCCGCCAGAGGCGGGAGTGGCCAAAGCAACGCTCCGAAAGCAGAGCAAAGGGGTGCGCTGCTCTTGCTTGTCGTGGTGGTGGAGCAGCAACGAGGAGATGACGTATGCCGGCTTGTCGATTCACGATTCAGCACCGCGCTGTCTGGTATTGTCGTTCCGATGCAGATTTGAGGGTGTCCGTGGGAGAGGAGCTGCAGGATCAGATTCCGACACGGCTTGCGGAACAACGGACTCGCGTCTGCTCTTTTATCACCGACAAATTGGCCAGCCGTCGAGCTCTTTGACATTGAATATACGTACTCTGGTATCCCCCCCTGCCCGGAGAGCTCACGAAGCTCAACGCAGCTCTCGTGGTGGGGAGCAGCACCCTGTGCAGGCCAATCTAGAACCCCGCTCTGGCCCCACCGCGGCAAAGGGGTCCCGCGGGGGCCTGAGCCTGAGGCCGCGAGGCATCGGCTTGGCTGCAGCGGCCTCGCCAGCCCTCCTCCTCCCAGTCGTGGCCGATGCCGGCCACACACCCCCAACGCACCTGCTGATCAACTGCCGCAGGGGTAAGGACGGACGGACCATCCAGACCACGCCAGGCCACAACCTGTCTCGCTTCTAGCCCTTTGCCGTGTCACATCAGGCCAGCTTGTCTTGTCTCGTCTTGATGTGCCAAGGTCACCTGCAGACGACGGTGTAGGGCACAGGCTTGGCTTCTGGCGGGCTCGGTATGCAAGTATGCTTACACTAGGCGTGGGACAGCTCGCGCACAACTTAAGTACCACATCACCGGCTCGGCCTACGGCTTCAACCGAAATGACTTGGGCTAGCAGTACAACTTGATTGGTGCCCAACCACTTTCACTACTCACGTAACAGTTCAGGGATCCATCTTCGGGAAATATCCAACATTAACCGATATTAGTAATTATTGGTTGTCCGTGTATGCTCTAGAGCCTATACTAAGGGAAAAAAAGTCAAGTGAATGGTAGAGAGTCAGGGGAAATCGTCCATGTTCCCGTGACATCGAAACTCCGAAGGGGTATCCATATCCATGTATATATTGTCCAAGACCTTGACAAGACAAGAAAAAGGGAAAAGGGCTTCGCCCAAAGACTTTTCGGGTTGATTGTATGACAGTACTAAGAAAGGAAACCGTCTGGGCGGCATGGGGATAACGCCGCGTGTGCATGGTCGTGCTTTACAAAAAGAGTCCGAGAGTGAATACATTAGCAAGGGCCAAGTGAATAGTAAGTGACTATACCGCCTCCAACTGACGCAAGAGGAAAGCCGGATCAATGAGCCTCAAAACAGCTCAGTTTGCCAACAAGGATGGCGGCGCGTGACGAACAGGACGACGAATAGCAGCTGTGCCATACGAGTTCATGGGCGGCGTCTCGCTCCTAGCCAGAGAGGCCAAACATTCGCCGGAGTGTGCCAAACTTCTTCTTCCTGGGTCCCCCAGCTTCGCTCACTGCGACCAGGCTTTCCTGGTCATAGGCCAGGCGAGACACCTGAGGCACTCCGTTGCTGTTCCCGTTGGTGGCGGCAACCCCAGGCAGTCCCAGGCTGGTGCTTCGCCGGCCCGCCAGACTAGGCCGCTGGTGCGCCACACTGCTTTTGATGAGCTTGCCGCTCGAGGATGCTGGCCGCTGCTGTATTGGGCTGGAAGCAGTGGCTGCTTCGTCCGTCTTGCCATCCGCAGTAGCTTCCTGCTCCTGGGGCAAGGGCCAGCTATCTTCGCGCTTCTTTCCAAACAGCTTACGCTGGAGTCGGGGACTTGTCGGGCGCTGGTCAGCCCGCAGCTCTTTGAGCACGTCAGTGTCCCGCTCGAGGCGTGTGTCCCGACGCGCGGCACTCTCAGTAACCTCCGCACGCTGAATCTTGCCAGCCTGCTCTGGGCGCTTGTTGCGCCGCAGGATGCTTCCCATAAATGAACCTCTCCGCTCCCTTGGTGGAGTGGCGCCATGAGATGTGATTGTCGTCGTGAAGTTGCCACGGCCGGAGCCCGATCTGCGGAGAGCATTCGTCCCGATATTGTCGGAAGCCGTTCTCGACAAAACGCCTGGGCGCTGCACCATCATGGCTGCCGCTGTCTGAGCATTTCGTGGAGCTCGACCAGGCTTCTCATCGTCGCTGTCGGGAAGATCAGGCGAGTCCTCTGGCTCTTCTGGGACCGGCGTTGCTCCACGGAAGGCATTGGCGTTGCGCGATTTGTCGCGGAGGCTTCCCCGTGACAGTGCGCTGCCCTGGGAAGAGGAACCTGGACGTTCGTCCTCATCGCTCGAGTCGCGGAAGCGGCTCTGGAAACCTGTGCTCATCACTTCCTCTTCGTCGCTTGACCCGGCGAATCTACTACTTCTGGTGGACTTCTTCTGAGGTGGAGACTTTTGGCCGCGACCGAATGGCAGGTGGATAGAGTTACGCTTGACTTGACCATTGTCGCTGTTCACGCGTAGGGACTGGCGCATCATGCCGGATGGCGGACTGCTGGCACTGAAGTTCGAGGAATTGCGCCGGAACGTGGCGGGCGGGGACAGGGAGCGAAGGCTCCATCGGCCAGATCCTTTGGTCGACTCCCGCGGTGCCGGCGAAGTCTCTTTTCCGGAGGCAGATCCTTGTCTCATGGAGCTACGGAAAGCAAACCCTGCACTTGAGGCAGGTCGACGCGATCGCTGGAAGCTGCTATCACTAGCATCCGAGCCTCTGCGGGAAAGCTTGGGCATCATTTGCTTGGCCAAAGCTGTACTAGCTGCCTTGGTGTCAACCAAACCTGTCCCAGTCAGCGCTGCTCCATTTGACATCTGACTTGGAAGAGCCGATGACGAAGTCGACGGCCGCGAATCTCTGAAGCGGTCGGCAGCAGTCGGAGAGGTTACCCGAGGCTCCGGTGCGCCCCTCATAGACTTGCGCAGGGAGCCTTTGTGAGCTGCTGGCGCAGCCGACCTGCCGGATTGAGGTCCGCGTAAAGACTTGCGCATGTGCACATCCTCGGGGGTTGACAGCACGTCGTGCGTGGCTTTGGATCCCGGCTGGATCATATAAGTTCTCTCAGAGCGACTGTGTACGTCCTGTGCGACATCCGACACCGCGGCAGCTTCTGCGGCAGCCTTCTTTTGTTCTGCCGACTTTCTGCGAGAGCTGTTGCGACGAACAGGTGTGGACACCTCTTCGCGATCACCTTCAGCTGCTTCATCTTCTAGAACCTCGCGAGCTAGTCGTTGTCGTTTTTCGGCTGTCAGACTGCGCCAAAAGGTCTCGGCTTGCGACCAATCATCCTGTGTCTCGGCTTGCGACCAATCATCCTGTGTCTCGGCGCCGACTGGCTTCTGGTCGATCGCAGGTGACGACGCCGATTCCTTCTTCTTATCCGATACCGGACTATCTGCCATGACCTTGCCCTTCCCAACAGGACTCGCGGGGGGGTGCGAGGAGAATGACGCCGAGCTCTTGGTGATGGGGCTTTCCACAACCGCATCAATGGACATGAAGCCTCCCTCCATGTCAGAAATGTCTTCATACGCATCGCTGTAGATGCTCTCGTCAGAACTGCCTTCCGATTCAGGCTGAGCCTGGGAAGCCAATCTAGTCGTCACAAGTTTGGTCTGAGGGAGTGTGCCAGCTTGCGAAGGTTGAATGGTGGCCTCAGGCTCAAAGACGGTGGTGGAAGGACCTGCTGTCTGTGATGTTGTGCGGTCAGCATCCCCAGAGTCCTCGTCGGGAAACCCTCCAGGAACGTCAAAGTACTGTCTCGATGCACTATTTGATGTCTTTTCCACTTCCTCGTGAGCCATGGGACTCGGGAGAATGACGGTGATGGCAGGAACAGGCTGAGCTGGCGACTCCGCCGTTCGTGCTACTGTTTCTGGCTGGACCAAAACCTTGTCCTCAACAGCCTCGAGTGGCTCAACTTGTAGATTCTCCAATGGCTCATCCTGCTGCTGTGAAGACTGAGTGGTGTGCACAGCAGAGGCGCCCTGAGGCGTCTGATCATGGTCAAATAGATCATCGTCGCTATCATCTGTGGTGGTATCCATGTGGTAACCATTACTGTCCACAGAAGTGACGACCGGAGGCAGCGGCTCTCGGAATCTCGATGTATTGGCCTCATTCCGCGACTCGTGATCTCGCGCGAGAACAGAGCCTATAGCGTGATCACTTGAGGCTTCCAGTTGAGCTTGTTCGTCAGCCGTCCGGTATGTCGGAATCTCGGAGTTTTCCGGGGCCGTACTTTGCGATGGTAGCTCAGGCGTGGTGCGAACCCCGTCGGATGGCCTAACAAGTGGCCGTTCTTCGACTTCGCGCGCCTTCTTTTCGCGAATGCTACCAAAGCTGGGGAGTGCCGGCCTTGGCTTCATGACCTCATCATCGTCAAGACTCACATCCCGCTTCTTGCTCCGGCCGATGCTACTGTACCATGGTCGCTTAGAGCTCTGCGGACTGGCTGATGCAGGCGAGTCGCCGCCCGCAGATTCACCCATAATGACGTTGCTGCGCTCATCAAAGCTTACACGGACAGCTTTTTTGCGAGCAGCTCCAGGATCTTGCGTCGTCGCAGCAGCCCCATTTATACTTTCAGATCCGTTCTCAGAAGGCGAAACGTCTCTTGAAGAAGTACCACTGCGCTTCAATGCGGATTTGATTGGTGATGCTGATCGTGGGAGTGGCTGATGTCGTACAGTCAATTGCTCAGACACACTCGGCCCAAATCGAGCCCGTCTGTCTGGGCTGATCGAGACGGCGCGTCTGACTGCGGTCGATTCCTTCGCTAGCTGCGTCACAGCCTTGTTCTCGGGCACTGAAGCTGGCGCTCCTGCCGACTGTGTCGAGTGATGTATATCGGTACTGTCATCCTTGTTCTGTTGTTCTTCGTCGTCAGATTCGCCTTCGAGTTGTCGAGCTGCCATGCGTCGCTGCTCGAGGATAGGCTCTGGTACTGCTTCGACAGCGTCCAAGACCCGTTGCGACAAAGGCGTGATGATTTCGGGCACCTCTTCCTCGCCTTCTGGGTCCTCCCTGACCATCGATGGTTTCTTGCCGACTGCTCGAGCAGGGGGTGGACTGGCAAGTCGCTCCGGGGGAGAAGATATTGGTGAAGCAACTTGCTGTACAGTTGTGTCTTCGGCTTCATCTTGCTGTCGTTCTTGCTGAGAAGGGAGAACCTCGGCTTCCGGTTTGCGAGCCGGCTGAACTTCTGGAGGTACATTGTTGACTGCCGTACCCTTTGCTCGGTTCATCGTTCCCTTCGCAAGGTGACTGCCGCTTCGTCCCAACCCCCCATCCGGGGTCTTTTTCTTCTTTGGCTGCCGGTTAGCTGCCTCACGCACTTCGTACTCGATGCTGCTTGGTTGTGTCGAGGGAACCATCCGCCTCGAATTTGGATCATATACCAGTGCTGGTTCTGATTTGCTCCCGACGGAGGACGCTGCAGATGTCCTGCTCGATCGAGGGGGTGAGATGGGAACGTTCAGGCGCGGTTCTTCTGGTATCGGGGCACGATATGAGGTCGGGGAGGCAGGCGGTGATTGTGGGCGAAATTTGGTCGGGTATGAATAGTTGATTGAGGAAGCTCGACTACCAGGTCGCTCATATGGCTCGGCTTGCTCATGGGAAACGCCCATTTGAGATCTCATGGGTCCGTCTGAAGTTCTGACGTTGCCAGGGTTCCCCTGTGGTGAGCCGTAATATGCTGGCGGCTCCGACTTCATCTTCTGGGATGCAGTCCTGAAAGTCTGCATTCCGACGCTCTGGGTTTTTCTGTGATTTGCCGGGATCTGAGGCACGGGAGGGTGCGGCTGTGCGGGCATCGCTGGTGCTCGATGCGGAGACGGACTCGGTGTGCGAAAAGTGCGCTCCGTCATGCTTCCGGAGCTCTGCCTCCTCTCAAGACCACGGCCGCGCCGCGCGCTGGCGTTGACCGAGCTCGAGCGCGCGGCGCTGCCATGAGATGAGACAGATCCGCTCCGGCGCTGTGTCCGTTTTGTTTCGACAGCGCCGACATTGATTGGAGTGTGAGGCCGTGCCCGCAGAGCAGCGGCTGCTGCTGCTGAGGACAGCGACCTGTTGGCATTCTGATTCGCAGCGGCAGCCATGAAGGCAGAGGCGGCAGCGGAGGCAGCGTTGGGGTGTGTCGACGCCGATGTGGTATGCTGTCAGAAGTGGAAGAGCAAGAATGCAAAAGTTAGTCAAGGAACCAAATGTGCGCTGGCGCCAGAGGTGGGAACAGGATCTTGGCGACGGTCGCATTCCACGTCGTCATCGTGGACCAAAAGGGTTAGGGAGTGCGCTCGAGCTCGCGAGCGGCGCCGGACTGTCACGGCTAGCTCCTGGCCGACTTGAGCCAAACTTGAGGAACAGGCATGGGCAGGCAGGAGAGCCGCGAGGAAAGTATACAGTTGGGGACAGCAAGTGGCCCTAGATCTTGTTGATGTGGCACCAGATCACCAAGAACGTACCGTGACTGGAGGACGATGCCTCCGCGAGCCTGTGAACATCTTGATGCAGAGGTGCCGCCTGGCAGGCCCGGCGCGCGAAGGCGGCCTAGAATACTGCTGCCCAGAGTGCCGGCACGCAAGCTGGCATAGGACGCAAAAGTGTGACGAGTGCTTGCGGAAAGAGCCGATTGATTAGAGTTGCTCCTGAGTCAAGGCGACGAGAGACGAGATGGCGCCGGCGACAGAGGACGAGACAGGTCGCGCAAGCTAGGAGGAGGCCGCCGTGATGGACTGGCTGCATGTGTCAGACCGGGACGTCGAGACAAAGAGAACTGGCGTGGGGAGGACGAGAGAGCGAGCGCGCGATCAGGGGGAATGCGGGTGGACCACAAAAGACCCCAACTCCATTCTGGATTCGCTGCGGCTCCGTCCTGTGGCGATCGATCTGGTCTGCTGGCAGGCGTCGCGCTTTGGATGGATTGGGTGGGTGTGCAGGCAGGAGAGGATCAGCACAGCAGACTGGATCAGTAAGGCGAGAAAAGCTTCCAGCCAGCTGGCTGCGAGGATGTGAGCCTGTCTGGGGATCCATCCGAGCTGCTCGCAGGGCTGTCAATTACGGCAGCCTGGGACGGTGCCCTCCGTGCTCTCCGGGGGCCACTTCCTTTGCGCGACGTTTTGGGCCGGCGGGCCTCCAAGCCTCCCTTGGCGTTTTCTCCACCATCGACATCATAACCTTGAAGCCACCAACAGTCCCCCTGTCCAGTCTCCTATGCCATGCGAGAACTAAGCAAGTGCGGGCCTCCCTCCGCAGTCTCCCTTGCACGGATCGTATAACTAACAGTATTTTATGCGATGCATTGTCGCGAGCAAGACATGAGCTGCAGCTTTGCCATCCATCCCTCTTGATGTCGGACAGGCGCATGAATGGCATTGTATCGTGGCTGGCACTATGACTCCCGTCTGAAGCACACGTCCGCTAGGATAACCCACGCCGGAATAGACTCCAATAGTGGACCACAACATGGGCACCAACGCGATTCGGATCCTCGAAGCAGAGTTGTGGTATTCCTCATGATCATGCACAGTCCCTGCTCATAGTAATCCTCGAGGACCCCAGCCCTCCCAACGCACGCCCACAATCCCTCGTCCCGCCTAATGATTGACCCAGGCCGGCCGACGCACGAACGATCGAGTATCTCAGATCCCCCTGATCGGCAATGAAGACTCTCAAGCACTCACGCCGTCGGTGCCACAACGACTCAGAAAAACTGGAGTTTGCAATTTCATAATACCCTGGCGCTAGGTAGTCAAGCGGTCTGGCTCGCGGCAGTGCGTTGCGCCGGTGCCAGTAGCTGATGGGGATTGAGGGACCCAGGTGTTTGGCTTCGTTGCTAGTGACGTCATGTCGGGAACGACATGGTACTGGACCTCCACAACGGGGCTGCAGCTACGAGTCTTGGATGGACGGCTTGCCGTCCACAGTTGCAGTCCAGGACCCGAGGGCTAGCGATCTAGCTGTTGTCTAGCCCGATCAATATTCCTAGGTGCTGGCACAGGCTATTGGATGACCTTTCCATCACAGCAACAATAATCCCCGAGGTGAGCTCGTCGTGAACTCGCCGCCTGAGGCCCTTCACTCGAGAAGTCGTCTCGGCCTGTAGCTTCCTCATCGGCCAAGAAAATGCAAGCCGCATCCGTTGTATCAACGTCCTTTCATGATTGATTTGTATTACAATGGGCTCGTGTTTGAGTAGTGATATCCCAAGTATCGCCTGCGTTATGCGGTATTGTTTGTGGCTTACTTCCCTGCCCGGCCAAGCCTCGCCTGAAGGCACCAGCCCGTCTGCCTTCCACGCCGACTGAGTTGACACGCAATCCAGAAAGGTCCAAAACAGTGAGGATATCCAGGAACTACAAACACAATGTCCAGGAATGCAGCGGTAATATCATGTACCATGCTGCTCATAGTGAATACTGACATTCCACCAGCTTCCTTCACTCATAATCTGCAACGATGGCAGCATTCATCGATGCCTAGGTATGACTCACCCATAGTCTAGGCAGATGTTTGCAGTGGTTGTGGCATGGCTCCTGATAGTCCTCCTCCTCCATCGCCCAAGACATTTGCAGCATGTCGATGTTGAGCTGGGTTCTGTGAGAAGGACTCAAGAGGTGGCAGGTCATCGTCATGCACATCGTCCTCGTAGTAACCATTCTCGTACTCCTCGTGGACACCGTCCAGTGTGCCATCCTGCGGTGCCTTCGCCGTTGGTTGTGCGGCCGATGTGTTTGCTGCCGCTTGGTCGGATGGGTTGCTGTTGGTTTTGGCGGGGTTCTTGCTCGGCTTCTTTCCCTTGCGGGACTTCATCTTTGCCTTTTCCAGCAGCCTTCGTCGCTCTGCCTCTTCCCTCCGCCGCTTGCGGTCCTTGATCTCGTACTGCCGGATGAGAGCCGTCGGCGCTTCGCCAAAGATGCTTTCGTACTCGCAGAATTCACACATCCAAATATCCTCGGGGGCTGGCGGGTGGTGATAGTTCTGATCTTCTGTTTGCTGCTTCCTCCGACGCGCAGCTAGCAGGAGCGAGTTTCCCCGCTTCTTTGTTTTCCTTGGGAGGGCGTTGGGCGAGGGCGGTCCCTTGCCATGTCCGTTGTTGCCCTGCTTTGTTGCACCATGGCCTCCCGAGAACGCGCCGCCAGCCATTGGTGGCGCCTGGGCGTTGCGATTGTTGTATACGTCCCGATTGTCTCCAGCCATCCCTCGTGGAATCGAGTGGTGATATCCAGGGAAATCGAGAGCCAAGTCAGCACCAGGCCACGACACTGAACTGCTGGAGTCGAATGTGAAGGTGAACTGGGTTGGTGCTGATGGCGTGTTTCTGGCGACCGTGTATGGCTTGCTCTGCAGAAGGCTGACGTTTTCTTGACCATGCGGGCGGGGATTCTTTTCAGCTGAGGCGATCGCGCTCGAAATGATGCCTACGTTCTCGCCTAGTCGACGCAGTAAGAGTGAGTGATGAGTCCAGGGAGAGGGGTGCAGTCAGGCTCGCGTGTGCCTGGTCAGGCACGAAGGCTGCGCGAGTGACCCGGTGCCGTAGCAACGAGCCTGGCCATGCCCATGGATTTCAAACACTTACCAGGTGGCGACGACGGCAACTGCCCTGCCGTCTTCGGCTTCGGTGCGCGACCAGGCCAGACACTGTTAGGATCGGAAAGGACTCGCAGTGGACTCCGTCCATTACGCACGCGACCGTATCGACCACGACCAGGCCCAGAGATACCTGCGCCGTTGACCGCGGCCGTCCCGGCTTGGTAGTACGCCGCCGTTGCTGCGGCAGCGATCTCAGAAGAGCCTTCGTCGCTAGTCGTCGGAGGTGACGGCACTCCAAGCGCCCCAGGATCGCCCAGCGGATGCGCGCCATTCAGTATGCTCTCACCCGCTGTTGGAATCTTGCGCTTCTTTTTGTTGTTCGAGTTCTCGAACGAATCATAACCATCGGCAGATGAGGCTGTTGATGGCGGCGCTTGAGGGATGTGACGAGAGCTCAAGCTCCTCTGCTGCCCGCGCAACCCAAGATTTGCCATCTCCGGAGCCGGGCGTACAGGTAAAGACCTTCGTTGCTGGCTGATGGGCGTGTCATCTCTCGTTTCGCCTCCTACAAACGCCCTCGATTCCAGACCTCGCCATGGTACAAAATTCTTCGCTGCACCAAGACTATGGGTTCCGTTGTCGTCCCTGGAACTATAAGGATACACAAACAAGGGCGTTGTCGTTTGTGGTGCTGGCGGATATTTGATAGACTCTGCCACAGCCGCCGAGAGCCGTTCTCGAAGTCGGCGCTTCGGCAATGGCAGAATAGGTCTATCCGGATATGTAGAAGACGAGGACTCGGGGGACATTGTTGTCGAGTAGCCTAGCGTCAATCACGATTAGTGGTGGTTCTGAAGTAGCCCAACACACAGACTGAGGGAGTCCCTGAATCTGGGTCCGACGGCATCAGACTGACACACCCATCATGAAATCATGTCCGTCGTCGTAACCCTGTACGGTCGAATCGGAGCTATCCGTGGCTCGTCGTGTTGATGACGCAGCAAGGCATGAGTCGACGTGCCGAATATCGGATTTGTAGATAGTGAATGTTCCCTGTCTTCATACATGTTCGTCAGTTTCAGATCGTCTATAGTCGGCAATCATCTATGCCCAGCCACCGCAGCTCGCACGTTGGACAGCAGCTGCTTCAGCATCTCGAGAATTGGCGGGGGAAGGCATATGGCTGTCCCCAGATCTTGGAGCACTATCCAGGGAGTATGCGGAGCCAAGAATATCTTGCTTGCCTTGTCGGACGCATAAAAGGACTGCCCAAAAGAGACTGACCGGAGTGCGGCAGACGAACCGAGTGCCGTTGAGTCGGGAGGTGGGACAGATGAGGCTGGCTTGTCGGCTCGAGGGTCACCCCAAAGGCTGGACGATTTGAGGCGGTTCGGGTTTATCGATGAGGTGTAACTGTGCTTGCAAGGGCGAACATGTATAGCCGAGGTCGAAGCAGTGCTGGGAGCTGCGTATGGAGGAGATATTGTGGTGTCGCCTCGTGCGTAGCAAGGTCAGTGTTGACAGACATCCAGCCTGGCTAGAGGTGCACATTATGGTGGTGGTAGCGGCGGCGGCAGGGTTCTGTCCTTGTGTGCACCCCACAGTGTCTCCAAGCCGTGTGGCCGAGTGTCAAAACAGTATGCATCGAGTGACCCTACGCTCTTAAGCAAGCACTTTAAGTACGCTAAACAGACAAGGACATCTATGGATATTTTTCTGACAGCTTGAAATTGTAAATAGTCCAAAGGAGAACCTCACCATGATGATAGTGCACACTTCTTGAGACAGGCATCACACCCGGCCGAAAGAGAGTTCCCTCCTGCTTCGAAATTCCAAAAGAGGATTCGTGGGTTTGGTCGTTAACTGACACGAGGCGATTGCTCATCATCCCGGTTCGAAGTTAGAGAATCGCGTGAGCTCATGAACAACCTGCGACTAGCTCGTTTTCTGGGGAAAGGAGAAGGAAGGGGATAGTCTCAAAACACCAGGCAGATGCATTTTCAGATACCTCGACATCTGCAGGACCATTCCCGGACACTCGAGCTGTGTAGTGGTAACTCGACGGACACGAAAGTGACCTTATCCGTCCCAAGACAGACCAGAGGCCATTTCCTGTTGCACATGTCCGAACTCGTGCTCATTGGCATAGCTGACAGCCATGGGTTTTATCCTGGTTATCACTGCTATCTACACTTCGGCACCCTTGACTACTTAACTGTAAGTAGTGTAAGAATCGGGACCGCCTGGTGGGATATTGTGCCGCACTGTGAGCTGTAGAGGTGGTGCGGGGCATCTTTCCAAGAAACCGTCTGCTCCGGGCGGCAAGGAGCTCTGAGAAATAATCCGCTCACTGACATGAGACAATCTTGGGGGCTTATCGAGGGCCGCGAGCGGTTTTTTTAATACTGCATCGGCCCGTCAAATCAGGTCCGACCCAAGACGGGCTTGTCAGCAACGGAATAGTGAAGCGACGGGTCTCAGCGCTCTCTCCAAACACAACGATGCCCATCGATGCTTTCCAAGGGAGACAACACATTCGTGTCCTGGCCTTGGTCTCCTTCGAACGGCATGATGCGCGGCTTTCACGAAGTGCAGTGACTGAACGGTTCATTGGCGCCACCTGGAGGCGGAGCCGCCTTCATTTGGTTGAAAGTGACTGAGCACCTTAGTCATCTTCCCTCTACCAGGCAGGGCCGGGACCAGCACCAGTTCGACACGGGAACTCCGCACTAGGTGGAGGCAGGCGGCTCGCACCTGGGCGTCGCATCCCTCCCTCCGATTGTCTTCTCTTTTCGCCCGAGTCTCCCCCCAGCTTCCTCCCACGACCTGCATGCTGCTTCACCTCGTTGGCGCGTGCTATCCTGGAGCAGCATTGAGTTTCCCGTCATGGTACAGAGCGAGCAAAGCCACCTGTTCCTCATCACTCTGCTTGCCTAGTCTTTCGTCATCCACGCGCAGCCTCCTCGCTCGTCGGCTTTTCTCAAGCATTCTCCCACGGCCTCGCCTCGACTCCTCACCACGGCGCATGAATAAGACGTTCCGGTGTCCAGAGCACTATTGTCCTTACCCTTTGGCGCTTCGCTAAGCTGGAGCCCTGTGGCTGCTGGGCGATTGCCTTCCGCACCTTGTCCCTCCTCCTGATGCTTCGCTTGCCACAGCGACTTCATTGAACGCGCTGTGCCAGCAATGGCCGACGTCCTTGCCCGACGCTCGTCCCGCGCCAAACCCCCATCATCGGCAATCCCATACCAATCGTCAGCGACATCGAGCAACTCGAGTCGCACGGAGCGCAGCACCCGCGCGTTCGCCAAGAACGGTTCACCACAGAAGTCTACCGAGAGCGCCTCGCTCAGTTCCGAACCGCCCGAAGACATCACCCACGAAGAATTCTCCTCTCGCAGAAGGAGCACACGCGCTCGTGACGAAGAACGTGACCGCCATCCTAAGATCGAGCTCCTCGACATGGCCCCAGCCAGCGATGACCAGCAAGAGGACGACGAGGCCGTCCGCTGTGTCTGCAACCACGAGGACTACCCCGGTCCGCCACCCTTCGAACCCGAGTCCAAGCATGGCCTGAAAGATGCAGTCGACTTCGAGCGCATCTTTGGCGTGGAGATCACGGACGAGATGGCCGGCAATTTCGTCCAATGCGAGACGTGCAACTCGTGGCAGCATAGCGCTTGCGTCGGTTTCACCACAGAAGAGTCGCAGCCCGACGACATAGAATACTTTTGCGAACAATGCCGCAAGGACCTTCACAGAATATTCACATCAAGTACAGGGTAAGTATCGCTCTTCAATCGACTAACGTCCTCGTGCCATGCGATCGAGGCATTAGTCTGGTTTGGATCGGGCGCTCACGCATTCTCTGCTCAGTCAAAAATACTCAATCTTCCTCCCCGTTCACCGTTTGTCGCGAGCCGCTTCCCGGGCAACCTCCACAGCCAAGGAGACCGCAGGGTCCCACTCGCCGAAAGAAACAAGCACCAGAAACTCCAGATCGGCGGCTGCCGCTGCTGCCGCGCTCAATGGGAAGCGACGGTCGACTATGAACAGCCGCGATGCAGCGTACGACGAAGAGGAACAACTTCGGCGTGCTATCGAAGCGAGCAAGGAAGAAACCGCAGACGAGGATTCTGAATTGACTGCGGCGTCAAGGCGACCGAAGCGCACAAGGGATGATAGCGAAGAGTATGTCCAAAGCCCAATTACGATCGAATTGGGTGCTCCAGTACTAAAAATGACGCAGGAAAGCCGAGAATGTGAAGAGACAGCGGACCGATTCCAGATCTGCCTCGCCGGTGGCGGAAGAGGCACTCAAGGTCGACCAAGACGAGTCTGATGACGATATTATGCCTGGCGGTCACAAGAAGTCTCGGAATGCTCTGAGAACTCAGCGCGAGCGCGCAGAGAGAGACGAGCGGCGTGAAGAGCAGGAACGCAAGCGTGCCGAAGCGGCCAGCAAGCGTAATGGCCGTGCGACACGGAGGCGCGGCGATGGTAAGCGTTTCTGGGCAACCTTGAATGTGCAAAAAGCCGTACTAACTTGATTGCAGAGGATGATCCTTCAGATGAAGCTCCTCCTACCACTCGAGCTGGACACAGTCGGTCCACAGACTCGGCTCCGCCCGCAGACCCGCCACCATCCTCGGCACCTCCCCCCGATTCTCCTCCAGCGACAGAACCTCCAGCAAGCTCACACAAGAAGAAGAGTGCGGCTCATTCGAAGAAGAAGGGACGGAACCAATACACGAAAGACCGAGACCAAGAGCACGAGGAATCTCCTGCGAGATCTTTGCCCCGGGACGCCAGCCGTAATGGCGACGAAAGCACGTCACACAGCAAGCCGTCCGGAACCGAACCGCCCAGCAAGCAGGTCGCCAGGTCGAAAGGGGTTATGAGTTCTCGAGTTACCATGAGTGACATGAAACGGCGTGTCAACAACATACTCGAATACATGTCGCGGACCCAAGTCGATCTCGTCAACGAGCCACTAAACGACTCGAACAAGACGACACCCAACAACGAGCTTACCAATGGCAAGACCGATGCGAACCTCAATGGCGACAGTGGCGGAGCCAGCCCGAAGAAGAAAGATGCGGCAACGCTCTCCGAAGCCACATTTAAGGATCTGACTTGTGTAGAGATGATGGACGCGTTGACGCGAGACCTAGTGAAGTGGCAGCAGGAGTACGCACCATGAGATGCTGCAGGTTCTGTCCCTTAGCGAGGTTTCGCCCGCGTGGCCTTGGCTTAAGTGCCTCATCCCCTCTTTTGTATTTCTCCTTGGTTCTCTTGATCCTTCATCACCACGTATACCCATGGCAACAGGCGTTCTGTTTTGTGTTCCGTTTATTCTTCCACCTTCACCGTGGCGTTTCACGAGCCGCATCATATTTGCCCTTCTTGGTCGTTGAGAAATGTTTCTTGTCTCTTTCATGTCTGGAGTCTAGTTCAGGAGAGAGATGAGAGATTCAAAAAAGGAAAAATGACGGAAGTTGATCACGCATATGATGTCTGAGAAAAGTATTCGTTTGGCGAATCCACCATTGTAATGTTTTGGTTTAAATATGGGCCCTTTGCACACACACCTTGAAATTCGAAAGCACGCTTCTCCTGCAGAATCAATCAACCTGCCTCGAGGGTCAAAAGAAAGAAAGAAGCAAGGAGGGTGAAGTATACGAGGGGATGTTTCTGGGTTGCAGCACTACAAAGCAAAGATTGGTCGTGTTGCAGAAGAAACATGCTCGTTGCTGTTGGATTCTGTGTCGTGTCTTTGTGCACTCATCTCAACTATACCTCCAAGCCTGATTTGTCCTGTTCTTCGGTGGAAATTTGTGTTGTACAATAAGTGTCTCTATAAGTAGGGTAACCCCAACATGATTCTTCTTGCCCAGTTCATAAGTGTGGCGGCGTGCGTTTATGTTCGTGATGATGAACATCAGTAGTAGTGTACATGCATGCATGGCGCATATTCATATGTCCAAGCTGGTTTCCCTATCTGGGATCGTCAGACGGAGAGTGTGTCCGCAACGTCTATATCAGGCGTAAATCCTCAGAATCGATTCTCGCTGCCGACCTGAACTTTGAGGCCCTTCAAGTCCGGGGTCCCTCTGCAGTACTGTCTGTGCCAGGGGACAATTCTTGTTGACCTTTCCACAAATGTTGAACACTCTCTGAAGACAGAGATGAGCAGGGCAGATAAGGGCCGCAGGGTTGATGCCCACCCACTATTGGTGGTCTCGGCCAGTTCATCTGCCGATCAGGCTGGCAGTCTTTGAGGTGTTGGTGCGCTATACGGAAATGTAGCATCGGGGTTATCTATTCGGCATGCCCAAGCAGCACTGAGAACCGCCACGGGATGAGATAGTGCTCCGACTACTTCTCTTGCGAATATTCAAGTTCTGGCGGCGTGCCTCGCAGCCTGGTTCGCCTTGCGTTGGTCCTTGTATAACTTCTTGGCCTGCCTCAGACTGACTGGCCCGCCATGACCCGCCTCGAGTTTGAGTTTGTGCGCCAGCCTCCGCAGGTTGTCCTCTGAGAGGTCGTCGAGGCAGAAGCGTCCCAGCTTACCCTTGCGCCACTGCTGGACAATCCAGTCGGCCGCACGCAAGCGGCTCGGCTCCCCGCCCGCGCCGAGCATGCCGCGCTTCCGGCCGACGTTGTCGAGAAAGTCTTCGACCGAATTGGTCGGGGCCGACCATCTCGAGTACAAGCCCGGGTCGTGCAAGTTGAGGCGGAAGAGGAGGTAGTCGGCGATGGTCTCTACGGGGACGATGCCATCCTTGACGCAGCCGACGAGGCTGAGCTTGAGCATGGACTCGACGTCAGCCACGTACGGGACGAAGACACCAGGAGTGTCATACACCTGGACAGCAGGGATGTCGCCATCGTCTTCGGTAACGCGTACTGGCGTTTGGACCTGTCTGGTCACGCCGGGCTCATCACCAGTGCGGGACACGGTTCCCTTCTTTTTGGTGCCTTTCGATCTCAATGCATTCAGCAGTGATGACTTGCCAGCATTTGGCATACCCACAACAAGGGCACGGATACCAATCAGGGAGTCATGCGCCGCGGCTCGCGCCTTCAGGAGCTTGATGACATTTCCTGTTGTATTGGCCTTGTAGGTGTTGACAAAGACGATTGTGGGAGACGGGCCAGAGCCAGTGGGTTGTGCAAGGTCTTCAACTCTCTCGTCCAGCGGATTTGCTGTCTCGAACTCAAGAGCATCAGCAGCACGCTCGCCATGATCGACGGCTTCAGCAATGCGGCCTGCATGAAAAGCCAGCAACGTCTTGATCTCTTTACGTTTCGAAAGAGTCGTAGCAATGTCTCGGTCAAGGTCTTCGACAAGTAAGTCTGCCTTGGTATACACGACGACCCTCTCTTTCCCGGCCAGAGCTTGTTCAAGCTTGGGGTTGGTCGAGGTCACTGGGACACGGACATCACGACACTCGATCACGACGTCGATGTCGTTGAGCATCCTGACCATGGACTGCAGCGCACTGTGGTGGTGCCCCAAGTAGTAGGATCGTATGATTGAGTCCGAGGCGGCAAAGGACTTGCGGGGTACGAAGGCCGGGATGGCATCCTCAGCAGGCAGTTGGGCATTTTGGCTCTTCTTGTCCTGCCGGGCTGGGATTGCATCGGGTGGAGGCCTTGCCGTGCGGTTAGCCGCAGCCATCTGGGACGCGGTTGATGCCGGCTGAAGCCAGGAGGAAGACGGCTGTGCCTGGTGGTAGGCTGCCATCCTTGGGGGCAGCTTTGAGAATCCATGGGACCAGAGGACATGCGGTCGAGCAAGCCGTGCCCGGGCCGTGGCCCCAGCAAGGAGGGCGGCCATGTCTGGGCTGAAGAGCCGACCAGCAAAGGGTAGTCTACCGGTGTTGACTAGGGACCAAAGGCGGCAGAGGCAAGATGTAGTCGTCGCAACCGTGGCGGCCGGGTCATGTCATGTCAGTTGTCAACAGAGAGGTGTGGTGCTGAGGCGGGACCGCTTGCACTAGCATCCATGGCGAAGACAGCCGCGCGCTGCTGTTGTTGCAGGATGGGCGAACACAGGCAGAGTCACGGCACGGCCAGTTGACGGCGATGGGGATTGAAACTTTTGGTGGAGCGGGAGTGGAGTGCTGGGTGAATTCAGCCCTGCCCGCGCGGCGCCGGGCCAAATGACGTGCTGCGGACGCAAGTGGGATGGGGGAATGGGGGAGACGAGACCCTGGCCGTCTGGAGGCCCGTCCCGGGTGCCTTGCAGCAGCTTCCCGCACTTCCAAGGCGAGGTATCCAGTATCCCCAGCTTGGTAACATTGGACAAAGTATGCGTGCGTGCGGCGAGGTGCGTACCTTTACGTACATAGATAGTCGCAGGTGGCATCGACGTTGGCTCCACCAGCTCGGACAATTAGTCTACTATGTCGCACCAGGTATGATCCTTCAGTACGCCCTGCAGCCCTGCCAGGCCCAGCAGGCTTTCCACAACAGGACTCTGAGGGACTCTAGTCTCTTTCCAAGCCACCCGCCCGAAATAGCCCGAGTCCACAACTGATTATGCCCTCGGCATACTTCATCAACTCGAGGTCCATGGCTGTCGCGCCCCAAGACGCCCCGCATCCGTCTGGCCCTGAGTCCGTCCTGTGGCAGCACCGATGCTCGCCAGAGGGCCGCCTTTCTTCATGCATGGCTCGACTATCGACATGCAATTGGCTGGTCTATACGGCACGGCTCACTCCTATTGCGTGATCAAGGTCCTGCCGACAGTCGATCACGGCCGCCATACAAGAAGGCCACTCACCAGACCGGCAGGATTCCCCAGATCGGGCAGTGTCAGAAACAGGCATCTCCTTGGCCACGGGTGCTATTCTCCGCCTCGATTGGACTGTGCCAGGATCTGGCCTGCGCGGCGCATCATTTGCATCGAACTGTCCGGCCCCCAGGCCTGTCTCTGTTAATGCGCGGGGACAGTTCTGTCAAAGAGCCAAGCGATCAGATCCTCCTTCCTAGGAGGCTCGCCATGAGGCAGATATTGCAATTGGACCCCAATCTCGTGCCCTCGTCCAGGAGATGGCGGCATCGACAGGCTACTCGATCCTTTCCCTGTGCTGATTCATGTAACCAGCTGGGCTTGGCAGCCCTACATGTCAGCCCGAATAGGCAGTCTTTCTCATAGCCGACTTGATGGCCCCCCAGGATGCCGCTCCGCGACTCCTCGTCGGCTCAGCCATGAGTACAGATTCACCTAGCTGGTCTCGTGTAGAGATGATTCTAATGTAGTTCCTGCTCGTCCAGCTTGCAGACGGGCCTCTGCCGTTCCGCTCGCAAAGTAACGTGCCAGCTCCTGGAGCACATCGCGTAGACCTCTGTTGCGATGCTTTGGGACTAGCTCGCAACTTAGACCTCGAGCAACGACAATGGCAACATCAGCACGTGTTCGGCTCCGTGGTGCCAACAGCATCTGTATTCGATCCATCCATCTTTGCTGATGGTGGTTGAATGATACGAAATATATAAGGACGGAAGCATCGCCATGCCCTGACGATATGAAGAAGAGAGACATCAAGCGCCGAGAACAACAACACAAGGAACTCCTCCACCACATTCATCTACTCCTCAAAGTTTCGCCAGCTTGCCAAAATTGACAACAACCTCTTTCACAATGTCCAACTTCTCACTCCGCGGGGCACTCTCGACCTTGGCCCTCGCGGCCGCCGTCACTGCCGGCCCTATCCAGATTCAGGAGGCTGCCCCGTCCAAGTCTGGCTACTCGATCAAGTGGCAAGACAACTTCAGCGGCGCCGCTGGTCAGCTTCCTGACCAGGACAAGTGGTGGCTGGGCTCCAAGGACCACTGGAATGAGGAGTGGCAAGACTACCAGGCTCGCAACAAGAACGTGCAGCTTAGCGGCGGCAACACGCTGCAGCTCGTCCCGTGGAAGGAGAGCGGCACCAACTGCAAGACCAACGGCGAGGCTCCCTACCCCGTCCGCACTCACCAGTGCTGGAGCTCCGGCCGCGTCGAGTCCAACTACTACTTTACCCCAGCCTCGGGCAAGAAGACCGTCATCGAGTCCCGCCTGCGCTTCGGTAGCAACTCGGCCGGCAACAACAAGGGCATTTTCCCAGCCTTCTGGACTCTTGGCCAGGCCTGCAACACGGAAAACCCTGGTCACCCGACCTGCGGCGAGGTCGACATTATGGAGCGTGTCAACGGCGAGAACATGGGCTATGGCACGCTGTGGTGCCGCGAGGGTGACTGTGGTCAGAGCGACGGCACCAGCCTGCCTAACAACGACTGGCACACCTGGGCCGTCACGTGGGACCGCACTGCTTCGAGCTGGACCGACCAGTCTCTCACCTGGACCATGGACGGTCGCGAGTACCTCCGTGTTCGCGGCTCCGATGTCAAGAACCAGGACTCGTGGAACTACATTGCCGCCAAGCCCCACCGTATCATCTTCAATGTCGCCGTTGGCGGTGTCTGGGTAAGTTTTCTATCCCGATGCTTCAGAGAGAGGGGAAGAGAGTAGCATAACGAGTACTGACATGAATATTACGATAGCCCGGTGACCCCAGCTCGAGCACCCAAGACGGCTACGGTGCCATGATGGAGGTCGCCTACGTTGCTCACTTTCAGTCAAACTAAGCCTGCTCAGCAGCACGGGGACAGGCACCACTATCACACTTAACGAAAGTGAGAGTGCACATGTCTTCCCAAAAACATCTCAACAACTCATCATACAGCGGTGGCATGGTCCACGCGATGGGCGATAACAAACCCAACAGCATTACACTTCGACGGCGTCATCCCAAGGTACAAGGCTTGGGAGCTCTCACACTCATTGATTATTAACAAAAGCCATTTGGACATTTTATATCTCACAGTACATATTTCTTGTATATATCTCCCACTACATAAAACCCAGACATATCGAAACATTGAACATACACTATTTTCACTTTTTAAAAACTTATGGCGGCCCACTGGCAGTGTCTGGAACATTGGAGCGGCAGTATTTGAGGTGATGGCCTTGATCTGGAGCAACCCCCCCCCCCCCCCGAGACGTACAAGTCATGGAAGCACGGCTATGCTCATTGACACGATGGGGACAAATGAGGTCCACGGGTATTGTGATTCGGCTGAGCGACTTGCGAAGGGATTGACATGTCTTGGCCCCCCTGTTGGTTATACTCGTCTCACGTACATGACTTCGCAGTACTATGCATTCCCTATCTGCGCAGGTGTATGGCCACGCTACATCTTCCCACTCCCGGCTCAGACACCTCACGAAATCAACAACAACAACAGCAGCAACTAGAGCACCGACATTAGCCCCAATCCGCATGGCGCACAGCATGGCTCCCACCCAGCAACCAGCACCGACCACCACCACCCGCCATCTGGGCCGCGACATAGCAGATGCCCTCCGTCTCGACGCCGACCCAGCCCTCGTGGCTCCACGTGGTCCCGACGACATTGAACGTTGGGAAGCTGAGCCCCTCGCGGACCATGCTGGCGCGGATGTAGAGAATGGTCCCGCCGACGCTGTCGAGCGGCACGAGGTCCGCGTCCGAGGTTGGCCCCTCCTCCTCGCCGCCGCCGCCGCCGAGGAGGAGGACGTCGACAAACTTGCGGGTGCGCACGAGCTCGTCGACGGCGGCGCCGCGCATGCCGTCGACCACGGGGCTCCAGAGGGTGCGGGCGCCCTTGTCCACGCTCCAGGCGTTCTTGTCGTAGTTGGCGTGCGCGTTCTGCGAGCACCGCGCGGTGATGAGCCCGACGTCGCCCGGGCGGGCCGCGGCGTGGGCGAGCATGGCCTGCACGATGCCCGGGGAGAACTCGGCCACGTCGGCGTCGACCCAGAGGATGTGCTCCTCGTCCGCAAGGGTCCGCAGCATCAGGTAGTTGCGCAGCGCCGCGATGATGCCCCGGCGCTTCCGCTGGACCTTGGGGCTCCGGTCGTGCCGGTCCTTGTAGTCGAGCGTCGTCGCCGTCTGGCCCGGCGAGGAGGAAGATGAGGACCCCGGAGTCTTGAGGAGGATGCTGACCCGCCCAAAGGGGAGCTTGCTCGTGGCCTGCTTGATGGCGGCGAACTCTGCCTGCGACGACGTCATCATGCCGAGCGACACGGTGGCCAGGTCCAGCTTGGTCGTGAGCAGCAGGTCCAGGAAGTCGTGCACCGAGCGGCCCGTGGCGCGGAAGTCGCGCGCCCACGAGCTCTCGTCCTTGTTGAGCACCAGGATGAGCAGGTTCGGCTGGACCATGGCCGCAGAATCAGCACCAGTGCCAGTGCCGGTGCCGCCGCTGCGGGTGACGAAGAGCTCGCGGGTGTAGTGCACCGCGCCGTCGGCCAGGGTCTCCTCGTACTCGCGCAGCGCCGGGTCGCGCGGGAGCCTGTGCGAGTAGGTGTGCGGGATGATGTCGATGCACGAGCCGAGCGTCTTGCACGAGTACGCGCGCCGGCGCGGCTCCGTCGTGTAGAGCACCACGGCCGCGAGCAGGATCGCCGCAATGATGGCGCCGTAGCGTCGGGTGTGGTACCTCCTCATCTTTGGCGAAGCGGCGGCAACAAGCCCGAGTCCATGGCGGGATGCGCCTTGGGTGTGTCTTTGTGTTTGTGTGTATATGTGTGTGTGTGTGTGTGTGTGTGGCCGAGCTCTGTTTGGAGCCCCGAGCTTAAGTGGACTGCAAAGGCCTTGGCTTCACGAAGCGGCGAGGTTGGCGATGTCTGTTATGAGGCACCATGCTAGTCGTCCTCTGGGTGTTCCATTATCGTTGCGCACCCATTGGACCCCTATTGCTGCTGCAGCCACACAATGGACTGTAAGTGGATACAGTGCCTCCAACAACACACGGTACACGCCCTTCTTGCTTCATGCGGCACAGAAGCGAGGCCATCACGCAATCTGTCTCCTTTTCACACGTCATCCACGAATATTCGACAGGCAGTGGCATGATTTTCGTCTGCCTGGTGCGTTACTAAGTTGCAAGTCGAACCAAGAGGTCATTGGCCGAATCGTGCAGTTCTTCGAGGGCCTGGTTCGATGCGGGGTTACGAGGCCTGGACCTTGGGGGTCACTGGCCCAAGCTATTGTAAGTAACGTACGCTTACTTAGGCATAACTTTAGGACAATGGATGCCATTGGAATAGCGGCGAGGCGTTTCGATAGCTCCGTGCTCGGCTCCGTGCTACGAAAGCTTCCATCCATGATGATGCGGCACGAGCGGATCGACTCGGTCGGTGACCCAGGACCCGAAAGCTGCCTTGAACTTCGCACAATGCCATTTTCTGGTTCCCGGGAGCAAGACATTATTAATACACTTGCCTCACGCAACTAGAATAACTGCAATCCCTTGCAATCTGTTCATTTCTCCCCGTCGGACTTCCACTCTCATGAAATATCCTCGGATAGGCAGCTCGAGGTCCAGGGGCTTTATGAGAAGGATCCCTCTCAGTATTCGAGCGGTTGTGTGTGGGGGGCAGCAGCTTGGATTTACAACCTCGGGTACAGCAACCTTGATTTAAATGTTGCCGACTGGCCCACGAGCATGGGTTTGAGCAGGCCGCTGCCGGGGGAGACAGAGGCGCTCGCCATGCGCCAACCTTATCAAGCTCCTCTTCGTTCTCTGGCGTGATGTCAAGATTCCTCACAACCCATCGTCATGTTGTTTCCGCCCTGTACTGCCAGGCAGTCGTGGCTGCGATGGTGGCCAGGATACCTTAGGTAGGCGTACCTGTGTTGCGGCTGGTCCACGTCAGATGCACCCCGGATTGTGGAGACACAGGGACGATCACATCGACTTTTCATGTCTCGGTGTGCGCCAGAGCAGACTGCCCGACACCCTGTGCCCATCTGTCAGCCCTCCGAGCGTCCACTCGGGTTCCAGAGATCGCCTCCTGTCGTGCCAGGGAGCTGACCGGTCCGGGGCGTTGTGCTACCACCCCTAGCACGATTACGGAGTGCCACGAGGCTGGCCCAAGCCAGGACGGCTCACCTTGCGCTTCCCCGCACCACCACCCGGGAGACGGAGTCTGGGGATCAACCACTTCCAGTTGGACGCGGCGCCAGGCTAGGATCATCGCGACGCAGCACCTGTCCCGTCAGCGGCCGGGTGCGTGCTATTACTGTATCCAGCCCCCCGAGCGTGCGTGTCATATGACTCTGCGGAAGCGGGAGCAAGGGTCCATCGCGGGGAAAGCCGTTCGTCAGCCGCTCTCTTTCGGAAGCACGGCTAATACGCATAACCAAGTGCTTGCTCGCGAATTTGATAAGTTATGCCAAGGCCAGGCTCGGTGGAGCTGACAGTGCTGGGAGTATTTGCACAGCCATGCAAGACGTGGCACCGCATGTCGTGAACAGCTGACAAACTTTCTTTTTGCTTAACGCGGCGGTGTAGTAGCGGGAGAGACCTTGGGCAACCTGGCCCCCAACGGCTGACAGCTGTACTTATTTGTTGAAGCAATGCATCATAAAGTCCTCGGCACGCATTGATGGCGCTGCCTCAAAGGACTATGGAAGTCTATTCCAAATAGCGGGGGACGAAGACCATTCTGCATTGCCTGGAGATCGACCTTCAGCTCATGGCCGAGCAAAGAGCGGCGAGCATGACGCCAGCATTGAGCCAGTTGGATGAGTCCGAACAAGCCAGGTTCCTTACTTCGTGACGTTTTGTCTGCCTCATTACCACGGCGGTGGTGCTTCTGGTCATGTCTATTATCCAAGACACTCATGAAGGGCCAGTTGGTCAGAGCAGAAAAGCAAACGCTCTAAGCGACCACGAGAACATCACATGGTGAAGTGTTTCAATGGTCCCAGAGCGAGCGATGTGAGCCCAACATCCCTGTCCTCTGAGACCAAACGATGTGTCTGATTTCAGACGACCTTCTAGAAGAGGAAGGGCGCGGGGCTGACCCAACGGGCGTGGGGGACATCATGTGGGCGAGACCAGGGTCGCCCCCCCCCCCGGGGGTGTGCCGCGTGGGCGTGGGCGTCGTCGTCCGTTGTGCCCATGTACGGGGGATCACGGCCGCTCGTCATGGCGTCGTAATGCTAGCCATGGCGCAAAGGACTGATACCGGAGCCGGAGGCCAGATGCTGGCTGGTGGGATGTATCCTGAGGCTTGATACGAATCCGCCACAAGTGCCCAGGGCAGACCACCTGCTGGCGTGCCTCGTGGTTGGATGGCTGCTCAGTGTCTTGCAAGATCCTACTCGGCTGCGCTTGCTGTGTGATGAGAACCCACGCAGCGAGCAAGGGAGTGTCTGGGTCACGCGCAGCCACATCTGTGGCAAAGATGTGCGCACCACTGACAAGGAGGAGGAAAAAAAGGAAAGAGGGTTAGGCGGCGAGGAGAATGTGCCTGGCCGTCTAATGTCGGCCAGCAGTAGGAAATGGACAGGTAGGCCAGTGTCGAGCTGAAAGCGGTGAGGAGGGCAGGCACTGGGCAGGTATGCTGTCGAGCATTTTGTCAGCAGCAGTGCCTCGCTGGGCAATGGCAGTCCTGGTGCTGATGGACAGGAGGGAAAAAGCACAGATGCCTCGCACCGTCAGACCCGAGGCTGGCCCAAGCTGGCCATGGTCGAGTCGAGTCGAGTCAGATTTGATATGCCCTAGTGTGCTGTGCATTCCCACGCCGCCAGGAGTTTTTGTCATGCTGGGCCGGGGCTGGTTGCGCCTGCCGGCCATAAAGCACCATGCTTGGACTAGGCATCGCTCGCTCCAGCAGCGCGTGCGGCTGCAATCGGCCCGCGCATCTGGCGGGCCTGTCTTGCGTACAAGTTAGCGTACACTACCATAGGTAATTAGCTGCGACACTCACCTCAGGCGGGCAGCTTCCGTCCACAATCCTGCAGCCGTGCATCAGCAGACCACTTTTTGCTGCAGGTATCAGATCTTGCGTTCCAGCGCACAGCCAGCGCAGCATCCCTGCTCGAGTCTGTCTCTGCGCACCCGCCCGCCCGCTGCTGGCCCAATCCGGCTCGCTTGCCCCCCGCCCAGGTTCCCGTCTGCTGGGCCCCTGATCACCGCCTCTCCGGCCCATGCGTCTCAACCCACGCCGCCCAAAGCCACCCTCACCGACTTGCACGTGGACCTGCAGCTCAGCACCTACTGTGCAACCTCGTCCCTCTGCCGAGCTACCATAGGGTACTTATCTCGAGCCAGCTCCTTGGGCCTACGCCACCCGGCCTTCTTCTCTGCCAGCTCACCACATCGTCCATCTATCGGCTCCACCCGTGACCTCATCCATCTCCAAAGTCTACCACCGCCTCCCGCTCCTTCATTCCGTCTGGTCCAGCGTCGAGCGTCGACAGGTGGCCCACAGGTTCAGGCTCAGGACCAGGGCTGCTCGGCAACAGGGATCATCCAGGCATTAAGATACCGTCCTTCCCCACGGCTTCCGGCCAAGGCTCTGTGTTTCGGTACCTACATCCAGGCCCCTACAAGCTGCGCCGGCACAACCCGCTCCTGCTCCTGCTCAGGCACCACAGCCACAGCCAGCGCATGCCCAACTGAGACGACAGACCAGGAAACTCTCGGCCTTTGGCTCCTTTCCTCAACTGCGGTGTCCTTCTCAAACGCCTACGGTAGACAGGCCCATTCGACGTTTCTGCACACGATAGCTTTCGCCCTTTAATCCGTCTTACACGTTGATCCGAGGCAAACTTCTGGAAACGCCACACGCGGCGTCAGCTCAAACCAATCTCTTCTCGGTGCATCCATCACTTTTTTCCTTCTACGACAATGACGTGTCTGCTTTCAACGATTTCGGACTCTCCGCCACTTTAATCTGTCTTCGTGGAGTCGAGGGCACTCCACTCTTTCCGACCGTGAGGATCCGCCTCATCAGGTTTCAAGGCTCACGATGGGGGGCATGATCTTGCCCAAGGGCATAGTCACCAACACAAGCTGGATTTATGAGGAGGTCGCAAAGTATCCCGTTGTGCCGCCAGACCAGATTCATAAATACTGGCGTGGTAAGCATCTCTGGGCTCGCCACTTGTAGAGGGAGACCGGCCGCTGACCAAGGCGATAGTTTACACAACAACGTTTACGCGTCTTGTTGACCCAACTGCCAACCGCCTCGAAAACTTCTGGTGGCATGTCTGGGGCAGCGAACTCCGTAATCTCCCCGGACCAGTCCTGGCCCGGCTCTTTGAGGAAATCTCAAATGGACCAACGTTTGTGAAATTGCGAAGTACCGCGAATCGCTATGAAGGGCCTTCACAACCGGTCAGTGCTCTCGTAGATGTGTTTGAATCCTTCGAGAGCATGGCCTAACTTTTCATTCGCAGTCGTCTCCAAACGCCAACAGGGTCGTGGATCCAGACCGTCACGACGAAAATAATAGTACAATAGCCCACGAGGGTGTACAATCCCCATTGAGCCCTGAGCTGGATGCTCCTGCAGACCTTGCTGTGGCCAGGAAGAGTTCTGCTATGCAACAACCGCCAGGAAAGCCGATCCTCAAGACACCAAGAGCTCCGTCAAGCACAGGCCCTCGACCAGTTGCGCGTTTCGTCTCACCAGCTGTCTCCGACTCGGAAGATCTAGCCTCCTCGAGCAGCACTGCTGTGAATGAGCAAGCGAACGCCCGGGACGCTGACCTGCTCAAAGCCAAGGTTGCTGACAAAAAGCGCGTCGGCTCAGTAACTCCCAAAAAGAAGGGTGCAAAAGTGGTAGCGTCTACAGCAGCACGGCGTAGACCTGCGATGCCACGGCGGCCCAGCTCCCAATCTTCTGCCGGAGGATCTGACAACGGTTCCAAGGAAAGTGGATCAGTATCATCCAAGATCAGCAGCTCAGCACGCTCCATTGAGACTATCGAGGAAGGCAAGCGCACGCCCGCAGCACATCGGCCAGGCACAGATGTCAAAATTATTAGCGCGAAATCAGTGGGGAAACGCCCGGCAACATCAGTCAATCATGATCACGCAAATACATTAGAGCCGGCAAAAACACAAACTCCACCGTCGAGCAACCTTACCTCGGCTGGACTGCAGACGAGCCAGCATCAGATGGCCAACTCTGTCCCAACAACGACAAGCGAGCCACCGACAACGAACCCTCAGCCCTCCCCTCGTGCTAGAAACTCTTCCTACGAAGGCCAGGGGACCACAAATGGGCGTCCGTCGTTTCCGGCTGGTGCTGCAATGAGCCGATCCAGGTCTGACATGGGCACATCACGTCCTGGAATGCGAGACTGGAATATGAACCGCCGCGGTTTCTCTCAAGGACTCCTCTCCGGCACCACAGTCACTACTTCTAATGCCACGGCTCAAGGTACTATCATCGAGTTTGACGAAAACATACCTGCAAGCCTGGCTTCCCTACACAACTTTGGTACCGAAGATGATCCCATACAAGGTCTCCAGCGATCAGGCACAGGGTCATCAACAAGCTCGCGTCTTGTGCCAACACTTCCAAGCGGGAGTCCTAACGTTCATCTAGGAAGATCAAAGAGTCAATTGACACTACTCCTTGAGCGCCAAGGTGACGACAAACGGAGCCGCCGGTGAGATGGCAGTTATTCCATCGTCAAACTTTGTACAACATTCGGAACCGAGTCTCACAGCAGTTGTGGCCCGGTCAATGACTTGCCAGGTCCAGGTCAGTGCGCTCTTGTGAGCGCCGAGTGCTTTGACTGGACTTGTTCGAGATCGCGCCGCACAACCTCATGCTATATTCGGAGCATATTGCATGCGAGATGAGCGCAACCTAGCTCGTTCATTAGATATATTTGCGGGCGTCTTTGGACCTTATCTCACGAGCACTCTGTACTTTTGCTTTCGGTCTTCTTTTTGTCCTCTTTCCTTCACGCCAGCCAAGCATCATAAAAAGCGACGAGCACGATTCTACCATCACGAGCGGCTTCTAGGCCCACGTAGACAAAAGATAAAACATTACGGGGAACGTTTTGAGCATTTACGTACAGGCATTTTATACCTTACCTCAAGCACAATGTAATACATGTACATTCATCATTTTACTGTCACAAATCATGACAAAATCTGTCCTGAGTCGGGAATATGACTTCCGTGTGCTAGCGTTGGGTTGCGCTGCAATCAGTAATCTTCATTGCAAATTGGGACGCAATTTGTAATGTTTGTTGACTTGTTTGGTTTTTATTCACGCAATGCAGTGCAAAGGCACTTGCTCTTTGTCTAAAAGAACAAAAGATCCAGGATCTACATTCTGAACACGCCAAATCTGGTCTCGCCGTGCTTGACGTCGTTCTTGCCGCCCATGGCGGCCTGCAGGCCCAGGCCGAGGTATCTGCGCGTATGCTCGGGTGGGATCACACCGTCGTCCTAGGAAATGCACAAAAGCCGATTAGCGGAACGGATCGATGATGGTATAGCAGCTCTCATGACACTGCCGGAGCCATTTCTCTTTTTTCTTTCTTTCTTTCTTCCTTGGTGTGTTGGTGGGGGGGGGGGATCAATGATTTCACACACGGAGGGAAGGAAAAGGAAAAGGAACTCACCCAAAGGCGCGCGGATGAGTACACGGCGTCGCTCTCCCTGTCAATACGGTCCTTGAGCTCCGGGTCTGCCTTCTGCCCGACCGTCTCCATGACGTTGGCGAGCTGCTCGCTGCCCATGACGCCGACGCGGGCATTGGGCCACATCCACAGGAACCGTGGCGAGTAGGCTCGGCCGCACATGCCGTAGTTGCCCGCGCCGTAGCTGCCGCCGACGACGACCGTGAACTTGGGCACGTCCGCGCAGGCGACGGCCGTGACGAGCTTCGCGCCGTGCTTGGCGATGCCGTCGCGCTCAGAGTCCTTGCCGACCATGAAGCCCGAGATGTTCTGCAGGAAGACGAGCGGGATGCCACGCTGCGAGCACAGCTCGATGAAGTGGGCGCCCTTCTGGGACGAGGTGCCAAAGAGAATGCCGTCATTGGCAATAATACCGACTTTGTGACCGTAGATGCTCGCGAAGCCCGTGACAAGCGTTGTGCCGTAGTCTCGCTTGAACTCGGAAAAGTGCGAGCCGTCGACTATCCGCGCAATGACCTCGCGAATGGGAAGGGGCTTTCGGAGGTTGGTCGAGGCGATGCCCAAAAGCTCAGAGGCTGGGTAGAGGGGTTCCGAGTATGATTCTGCGGGTGGCAACGGCTTCGCCGGCCAGTTGAGGTTGGTGATACAGCGGCGGGCGAGAACAATGGCATGGGCGTCGTCGACGGCGAGATAGTCGGAGACACCGGAAACCGAAGTATGCATGGCACCACCGCCGAGGTCTTCTGCAGAAACCTCCTCGCCCGTCGCAGCCTTGACGAGGGGCGGGCCAGCGAGGAAAATGGTGCCTTGCTTTTCCACAATGATGTTCTCGTCACTCATCGCGGGGACATAAGCACCACCAGCCGTGCACAGTCCCATGACGACTGAAATCTGTGGGATGCCCTGCGAGCTCATGCGAGCCTGGTTGTAGAAGATGCGCCCAAAGTGTTCTCGGTCTGGGAACACGTCCGACTGATGTGGGAGATTGGCACCGCCAGAGTCGACCAAGTAGATACACCTATACGTACGCCGAGTTAGCGGCACTGCCAGGGCCAGATGCGCCGTTTCCCAACCCCGCCTGGCGCATTACTTACGGCAGCTTATTCTCTTGCGCGACGGCCTGAGCGCGCAGGTGTTTCTTGACGGTGATGGGGTAATATGTGCCGCCTTTGACCGTGCTGTCATTGGCGACAATCATACACGTCACACCCTCGACCTGGCCGATACCAGTGATGATGCCTCCAGCGGGCACCTCGGCCTCTGGGTATAGCTCGTGGCCGGCGAGCGGCGAGAGCTCCATGAAGGTTGTTCCCGGATCGATGAGGGCGGCGACGCGGTCACGGGGCAGCATCTTATTACGGGCGATGTGCTTGTCCCTGGCCTTTGCGGGGCCACCTTGCTGCGCGGTGCTGACGAGCCTCTCGAGGCGCTCCATCGCCTCCGCCATGAGTTTCTCATTGTCCTTGTATTCTGGCGACTCTGGGTCGACGTTGCTGGGGAGGACCGAGATGGCGTTTTCCTGGTAGGGCGCCGCATACGTCGCTACCGTCCGCATCGCCGCGGGGACTGCGTGGGCCTGGCAGCGCGGGACAGGCAGTTGGGCGAGAGCCGGGGCGGCTGAGCGCCGGCGGAGGGTGGCGGCCGGGCGCGTACAGCATCGTGCCAATTGGCGAGAGACGCCTGCGAGCTCTCTCGAGGACTTTGACAAAGACATAGCCGTCGGTGGTGGTGCTCTAGGCGGCTGGCTGGTAAAGTGTCGCCAAGCAGGGAAGACCGGAGCTGGTGTCAGGCGAAACAGCTCCCCACAGAGAAAGAGAAGGACACGGACTCCCCGGGACAAGGCGGAGTTGTCGTCGTCGTTGGTGGTGGTGGTGGTGTGAGGGCTGAGCACGAGGCACACGAGGCACGGAGCGAAAGAAAGGGAAGGGGAAAAAAAGTAACGAACTACAAACAAGAGCACCCGTGGATGTTTTGCGTGCCTGTAGTGTAGAGGGAGGTGTCCCGCAGTGCAGTGCAGTACAGCACAGCTGCCCCAGGACGTTGCGGCCGCGCCCCGAGGGAAGCCGCGCACACCCGGGCCCCACCCCCGCGTTACCCCGGCTTAAGCCATTGCCGACGACAGCCTCGTCCCCGGCGCCTCTTCTCCAATTCTGCGCCCGCCCTTCCCCAACTACGTCCACCACCACTCTTTGTTGCCGTTCCTTGCATTTCGATTTGCCCGTGTCGGCTCGTGGTCATTACCCAAGGCTTCATCACCAGACCCTTAACCCACGGCTCTCCGGTCTACCCCACACCTTTCCTGGCAGTCTTTGGATATCCAAGACAAGCAAGCCCGGCCGCCGCCATAGCAACGACGCACAACCACACACATACAGACACAACCTAGAAAAATGAGAAAGGCATTCGCCCTCGCCGCGAGGTCCTCTCGCCGGCCCACAGCGGCCAGGAACCTCCTCGCCAGATCCTCCCCCGCCACCACATCACAGCAGCAGCAGCAGCAGATCCGCCACGCCTCCGCAGCGACCTCGAAACACCCGCAGGGCTTCGAGCCGCCCACGGCATCCGACCTGGCCGAGCTGCGCGAGCGCGTGCAGGAATTCACCCGCCGCGAGATCACCGAGGAGGTCGCCGCTAGCACGGACAAGACCAACGCCTTCCCTAACGACATGTGGCCGAAGCTCGGCGAGGCCGGGTTCCTGGGCATGACGGCGGACGAGGACGTGGGCGGCCTGGCGATGGGCTACCAGGCGCACTGCGTCGTCATGGAGGAGATTTCCCGCGCCAGCGGCAGCATCGGCCTCAGCTACGCCGCCCACTCGCAGCTCTGCGTCAACCAGCTCCAGCTCAACGGCAGCGCCGAGCAAAAGGCAAAGTACCTGCCCGGGCTCATCGCGGGGACCTCGGTCGGCGCCCTGGCAATGTCCGAGTCGGGCGCGGGCAGCGACGTCGTCAGCATGCGCACGACCGCCAAAAAGGTCGACGGCGGCTACCTGCTCGACGGCACAAAGATGTGGATCACCAACGGGCCCGACGCGGACGTCGTCGTCGTCTACGCAAAGACGGAGCCCGACAAGGCCTCCAAGGGCATCACGGCGTTCATCGTCGAGACAAAGTCCGACGGCTTCAGCTGCGCCCGCAAGCTCGACAAGATGGGCATGCGCGGCAGCAATACGGGCGAGCTCGTCTTCGAGTCCCTGTTCGTCCCCGAGGAGAACGTCCTGGGCAAGGTCAACGCCGGCGTGCGCGTCCTCATGGAGGGTCTTGACCTCGAGCGGCTCGTCCTGAGCGCGGGCCCGCTGGGCATCATGCAGGCCTCACTGGACCTCGCCCTGCCCTTTACGCACCAGCGCAAGCAGTTCGGCCAGCCCATCGCGCACAACCAGCTCATCCAGGGCAAACTTGCAGACATGTACACCAAGCTCCAGGCGTCGCGGGCCTATACGTACAACACGGCTAGGGCCGTCGACGAGGAGGGCACCATCCGCACGCAGGACTGCGCCGGTGCCATCCTGTACGCCGCCGAGAGGGCCACAGAGTGCGCCCTCGACAGCATACAGCTGCTCGGCGGCATGGGTTATGTCGAGGAGATGCCCGCGTCGAGGTTGCTGAGAGAGTGAGCCCGTCCCCTTCCCTTTGTCCCCCTCCCCGTCCCTGTTTTTGGTGCCAAAGTGCAAGGTTTGCTAACCTCATTGCTTGTCACTTTTTAGTGCCAAGTTGTACGAAATTGGTGCCGGAACGTCCGAGGTTAGGAGGATGGTTATTGGGAGAGCATTCAACAAGGAATATGCCCGTCTCGGAGCGTAGAGAGTCTAGTACTCTGCGAGCTTACCTCATTCACAATTGTGCATCATTTTGTCCGAGAGATTCCAGCATCTCGTAGAGCATCCAGCCTCATTGATACATACGAATAAAAGGAGAGATCATAACGCCGCCGTTCTTTCAGGTATACCTCATCCCTGTGTCCTTGCAGCACCTGGAGGAGTCGGAGGAACGAAGGATGAAATTCATGGCTCCTAGTCATCCGCTACATTGGAGACCGATCGAGGGCTAACCTGAGCGGGGGAGTGAATGCGACTTACAACTGCTACACGGCGAGCCTGATGCGTCAAGATAAGCCTACATGGCCTCTGGACTTGGATCCCTGCCTGCGTAGATAGACGTCCTCGCCGGTGTGGTGGAACAGATATGATAGAGAAAGGTTGCACAGCATGCAAGGCGGTCGGTTCCCCCAGAGGAGGCGTCCCTCTCTCAGTTCACATCCCAACTCAAACCCCAGGTGACAGCTGTCGTGCTCGGTGTTGTGTCGCGCTTCCATGACCCTCGGTGAGGGTTTGCAAGAGGCGATCAGAAGCTGGAAACACGGTGGGTGCGTGCTTCATCTGCGATCACATGGGATGCAGTCCGCTGCGGGACGTCGCACATGGCGAGACAGGAGCATGGCATGGCTGCTGCGTGTCTGCTTCTCCCGCCTCCGACGGATCAAGCCCCCACGCCGCCTTGGGCGACCGGGCGCCCAGGTGGCACGAACGCCCCCCCGGAATTACTTGCGCCAGCAAATTCTGTCAGACCGTAGCGCCATTTGCGTACCGATGAAGTGGCAGGCGTGCGGATCCGGGTTGGTTCTCATGTATCCCTGCTCATTTGCGTCGGGGGTTTGTTGCGCAAGCGGCGCATCGTGAGTTGGGTCGAGGTGCAAGACACTTGATGGGGCTGCATCCAGACCAAATTAATTGCTGTCCGCCAGGCAGTGCTTGAGAGTGCTGCCATGTAATGCGATTTGAGCTATCGCCAAAGTTGGGGGGAAAATGTAAAAATAAACCTCGAGTCTGAAGCCGATCAGCTCAATCAATGATGGCATAATGGCGAGCAGAATTGTTTGCGTGATTCTTGATCGTGGCGACCGTGGTACGGAGTCATTACACGATGAACAAGTAGGGTTAGGAGTGGCTGACGACAAGGTCACCCGTTGAGGAATGCCCCCAGCGGCGCGGGGTCCTCGCAACCCAAACGACGAGGTTTTGCTGAAGGCATTGATAGACCCAGCTGGAACTTGCCGTTGCCTTGATACGATACAGATGACGGCGCATGCATGCAACCAGAAGAAGCAGCCTCACCGTGCTGGAAACAATTTGGCGTGCATGCAGTTCACAAGCAGCGCAGCTCCTGCGCGCGCGTGCGATCCCGGGGGCGTGGTAACACAACGTCGGATCCTGTTCGGACGCTCGAGAACCCTCTTGTGTGGACGACGGGCTTATCAAAGTATGTTGCATTCAGTTGGCCAAAGGGACTTTACTCAGTGTGAGCAAAGGCCCTCGCTCACCCGAGACAGGGGGTTTCGGGGTCTGCTGCCGGAACCGTTCTCGGCAGAAGCCACATGATTCAGGCCGCCACTCGCTCTATTCATGCTCGAACCTCAAAAGGAGCGGATTCTTGTACCCGCTGTTGGCGGAGTCTGAGACAATGCAAAGGCTAATGCAGGTCTTCCAACCACTAGCACCCTTGAATCCGCCGTCTTCACGACATGGCGTTGTGCACGGTCGACGGTGCGCAGTCGCCTCCTCATTGCATGCAGGCGGGGATGATAACGTGCCTCGGATGACGACGGCGCCCGGCGAAGCGATCTCGCGAGTGCTGCTCACCGACAGACCTCCTCTGCATTGGCTCGTGTCGTGCCAAGTTCGGTCGCAGTGTAACAGACCCATGGCTGGGCAAATTGGACGCTCACACGCATGGAAGGAATGGGACCGATCGCCATCAGTGGCTGTGGCTTGCTGATGAGGCCCGCGTGGTGCTGGGATGCTCCATCGGGCCGTACAGTACAGGGTGCTCGACAGCTACCGATGATGCCTGCAGAGGTCAAGATCCATGGAGGAAACGCGCCAATGGTCCGTGATGATTTAACCTCCCTTGTGTTCATCCATGCACTCTGCACATTGGCAGATCCCAGAACAGCCCCTCACGGGATGTAAGGACTGCTGGCTGAATGTTCAAAACACCATGGACGGCATCGCATCGATAGTGTCAACCATTGCACTGTCGGCCAGCCAATGAGCATTTGGCCTCATTGCTGTTCTGGGTGACGGGCATCGAGGTGTTGGAATCGGGGTTTGGGCGCCTGCAGAGACACTTGCAGGTCGGCCGTGTTCCCAGTGGGCGCATGGACCGTAGGATGGTGCGAGTTGAGAGGAAGCAAGGGGCACGGCGCGCGTACCAGATGATATCCGGGCGCCCGGTGAAAGTACTCCTTGTCTTGCCAAAGCACACTACGTGACTCGGGCTCTGCAGCAATTCCAGGTGATCCATCATTTCGTCCCCCTTTCAAGGAGTGTTGTGGAGGGTCTCACCGGTCACAGGCTTGGCCCATGACCGAAAATGGCTGTCCACATTTTCCTCGGTTGTGCCTCAATGGTGCAAGGTTGGTGATTATGGACCACCGATTCCGTAAGCTTGTCAGAGTGGGTGGTCGCTCTAGCCTCCTGGAACCGAGCGAAATATATAAGGGTTGCATTTTCGGTGTGAGCCGCCTTCGTCCTTCTTCAGGGTTATGAGGCCGCCCATGAAGAAGACATGAGACTGCCGAGCAAAGTGCAAATCCGCCGCAGACGAAATTGTTAAGAAACAAGATACTTGTTCTGACCCATCCTGTCAGGCATCAGCAGAACGATGGCTCGTGGCGTACTCATCAGACCAACCGAGACGACGGGTCAACACCCCATGCTGGCGGGACTCGCCTGCAAGCTACAGCCATTTATTGTCGGGCCCCAGATCAAGGGAAAGTTCCAACATCTCATCCGACGAGAGGTGTGGGCAAAAGGCGATCCAAAGCACGTCGTGGACTGGTCAGATGGACGGACGTGGGCCAAGATTCGGAGAGAGGGCTTCTTCCACCGCTCCGACGAGATCATGGTCAGCTGCGGTACTGTCACCATCAGAGACTGCGCATCGAACCGTCCGACCGTGCTGGTCGTCTACAATTGCGACATTGGCATATTCCAGCTGCCCAAGGGCCGCAAGGACTTTGACGAGGGCCATCTAGGGGCCGCGCTGCGCGAAACGACCGAAGAGACAGGGATAGCGGTCCGGCCGTTGAGGTTGAAATTCGCGTCAAGAGCGACGGTGCCGGCCAAGGCGATGGGAACCAGGGACTACGGCGCGGAGGACTCACGGGCGGGCTGGACAGAAGGACTCAGCAATGAGAGTATTGGCGTCAGCGAATATCCAGACCCGGCAACGGGAGCGTGGCGAAACATCCATTGGTTCGCGGCAGAGCCGATTGGTTCGATGGAGCGGGACGAGAATCTGATGCCCGAGGAGGACGACAGGCGCAAGTTTTCGACATTATGGATGGAGGAGCACGAGGCAGTGGCGAGGCTGAAGCTGGACGACGAGCGTTTCATGGTACAGGTGGCCTTTGCACATCTCTCGAGCATGTCAAGGATGGAGTTGGAGCGGAGCAGAGCCTCATTAGGGACACAGTAGACTGCAATGACCAGCCAGCAAGGGCGGAGGCTCGCGCGTAGAGGCACAAGACGATACCCGGAGGAAACTGGTGGTTCTGGCCTTGGCATATGATTGCACACATCGAGTTGTCAGAAGAACATTCGCAAAATAGATGTGGCGTCCACTGAGCGTACCTGTGGCGCCCTTTCCCTGTCGGCGGGGAGTGGCTTTGACCTGTGGGCGGACAGACAGAGGGTTGGCCCCTGCCACAAACACATTGCTTATCTTATTCATGGTTGTTTCGATCGGAGCAAAAGGGATCGGGCGCCTTTCCTCGTTGCATTGGCGCAATGGTCATGCGGGAACATGGGAATCGCATGCCGGGAATATCCAGATGACATCATCACAGCAGAAGGTCCTGCCGAGCTAGCGAGTGGTGCCGCGCATATTACCCCACACTCGAGAGCTTCGTTGAAGACGAGCTTGGGCATCAGAACAGCGAGCTATCGGCTGCCGACATGCACAGCCATCTGGGCTGGCCACATAGGCCCCCCGGCCTGTCTGTAACTGTGATGCCATGGGGATAGACATCAATCGCCACGAGCTCTTTTGGCTGGACCAGCTGGCCACCCTCTGCCTCCAGAGCACCAGCTCTTCTGTGCCTCGCGAGCTCTCCTCCCCTCGTGGATCTCGACGACGAAAAGCAACCCCAAACTCTGTACAGCTGCGTGCGGGACATGCCGCATCTCCAATTGCCCTCCATTGGCCGGGCCCAGGCAGCTCGGTTGGTCCCAGGAGCTCCCAACCAGCTTGTGGTGGGCCGGCCACGAATATGTACCTGCCCTCCTCCTACAAGTGCGCTTCCACTCCAAAGCTCCCACCTCTCTCGCCGCACCGACTTCTCTGTAGCAGTTCCCCACACCCACACCCATCACCACCAGCCTTCCGCCAGCCCACGATACACCGCGCAGCACAACTACCACACCGCCGTCATGTCTGGCATGCCTGCTCAGCAAGGCCACTCGGCCGCCTGCTGTAACATCCCGCCCGTCGTTTCCAAGGGCTACAGCCCCAAGGGTTCGTACGAGGAGCTCGGCGGATACAAGAGCTGTAAGTCTCCTAGACAGACCAACCAACCCAGTCCAAACGGTCCGGCAACTGTCAGAGATACCCCGGACTGATTCATGTCGCCCATTGCTCCAGACGTCACTGGCCCCGACTCCGCCGCCAAGGGCATCATCGTCATCTTTGACATCTTTGGCTACTTTCCCCAGACCCTCCAGGGCGCCGACATCCTCTCGAGCTCGCACGACCACGAAAAGTTCAAGGTCTTCATTCCGGACTGGTTCAACGGCGAGCCCTGCCCCATCGAGATCTTCCCGCCCGACACGCAGGAGAAGAAGGACCAGCTCGGCGCCTTCTTTGGCAAGTTCCCGCCCCCCGGCATCGCCTCCAAGGTGCCCGCGTACGCAAAGGCGGTTGCCGACAAGAACCCGCACATCAAGTCCTGGGCCATCCTGGGTGTAAGTTCACAAAGAGTATTCCTTTTCGTCCTCACAAGCCCTTCTCCTCCTCCTCCTCCTCCTCCTCTTCTTATAATTTCCGCAAGCCTGATGCTAACACCGGGGCCCGCATGCGCGCCCGCAAACACTCCAGTACTGCTGGGGCGGCAAGGTCACGACGCTCGTCACCTCCTCTGACGAGAACCCCTTCAAGGCTGCTGCCATTGCCCACCCGGCCATGGTCGACCACTCCGAGGCCGAGAATATCAAGGTCCCGTTCTGCATGCTCGCCTCCAAGGACGAGCCGGCCGACGAGGTCAAGAAGTTCGAGGACACGCTCAAGGTCCCCAAGCACGTCGAAATCTTTGGCGACCAGATCCACGGCTGGATGGCCGCCCGGTCCGACCTCGAGGACAAGCGCGTCATGGACGAGTACATCCGTGGTTACGAGACTGTTCTCAACTTCTTTGCCAAGCACGTCTAGGGCGATTGGCGTCACTGCAGATTGTTCAGAGACTTGGCCGGTCGGAATAACCACACCGGTCTGCCGTACACGGAGTTGCTGACTTCCGCCCACACACGACTATTCGATGAACAAGTAATACAAGCAAAAGTTCTCACGATGCGATGTAATAATATCATTGACATGAAGTTCGGCCGAGACGTTGTCCGAGGTGTACGGCCTCTGCCACGTATGTGCAATTGTTCTAAAAAATTACAAATGGTATATTCCTGGCTGAAACAGTGAGAGAAGTGTGGGTATGTGTGAAGACATTACTGCTCCGCTCCGCCCCAAGGCATTAAACGCTGCAATAGAAGAGCTCATTTGCAATATCCGAAAGACCAGAAAAGAGAGAATGTCGTGTCAACCATGTCGAAGTTGGTCGTCTGGAGCGCGTGGGTGTCCTCCAGCACCGGTGATGAAAATGGAATATATACAGTCAAGAACGTCGTAAAGAAAAAAAGAGTGCGAGCCCGGCCATCAAGTCTGGCTCATAAAGTGAGACTTGTCACGAGCAGGCGCCTAGGCATAGCCCGCCTCGTCGTCGTCCTCCTCCTCCTCAGCAAGAGCAGTCTGCCTGCTCGGCAACGTCGAAGATCGCGGCCTCCTAGATGCCTTCTTGTTGGTTTTCTTGCCCTTGTTGTCCGTCGCCCAACCGCTCATGAGCTGGCCAAATATAGCCTCCTGCTTCTCCATGCGGCGCTGGATGGCCTGCAGAGCCTCGGACTGGTGGTCTTTCGGCGTGGGGAGAACAGCACCGATTTTCTCGCTTGCAGGAGCGGTAGGTGTCGCGGGAAGCTCCTTGGTCAGCGGCGACTGCGGCACGCTGGGCAAGGGCTTGATCGAGATGTGCTTCTCGGGGGATGACGAGCGGCCGGTCTGGAACGTCTCGTGGGACTGCCGCGTGGTATCGATGGATTGCCGCTTCGGGTTCATGGCGAAGAACTCGCCCCGCGCGCTCGTCTGGGTGTTGCGCCGCGAACGCGGCCGCGACATGTTCATCTCGACACGGGCACTGAGTTTCTGGCTGGCCGTGCTGAATTGGCTTGAGCCGGAGGGGTCGCGCTTGTGAGCGGGCAGGTGATGGCGGGGATGGACGGTGTTTTCGTCGTTTTGAGTGCTTCTGCCGTTGAGCATGGCAGTAGCGCTGGTGACGGCAGCCGTGGACGAACGACGTGCGGGTACTGCAGCAAGGGAGTCGGCAAGGGACATCCTCTTCGCCTCGGCGTTCATGTCCGGGACAAAGTCGTTCATGTTGAGACCCATGTTTAGGGTGCTGGCCATGCCGTCCTTGCGCATCTCTGTCAGCGTGCGATTCATGTTCTCGAGGAGAGGCACCATGATGCGCAGGTACGCATCTCCGCTCTTCTCCAGTCGATCCAGTCGCTGCTCAACTTCGATGCTGACGCGGTTGTTGTTGCTGTTGTTGCTGTTACTGCTGCCAGTGCTGGTGCGGTCGCCAGCCTCACCTACAGGGACGCTTCCAGCGATAGGTGCGCGCTTCTCTGCCGAAGGCGAGACCATGTCTGCAAGCTCTTTCTCTTTTTCCATCTTCTCTCTGCGCAGACGCTCTTTGATAGCGGTGATACGCCACTCAAGTTCCCTGTCTCTCTGGTGCGCCTGGAGCCACGCGTTCTCCTGACGCTCCTTCTGCTGCATGAGGTGTTTCTCGCGTCTGCGTTGCAGAGAGACACGATCCCAGGATGCTTCCGCGGAGCCGGAATCGGGAGGCGTTGGCAGTGGCTGTACTGGAAAGCTCGTCCTCAGAGTCTGCTGCGTTTCCGGAGACATTGGAGGTGTTGGCATCGTCGAGATACTGTGACGCTTCTTTGGCCCTTCGCGGGCGTCGGGCATCGCAGATATTGACATTCTCGCCACCTTGATTGGAAGAGGTCGCTGGGGCTTGATCTTCAGCCTCAACGCAGATCTAGGTGGAAGGATAGGAACAGGCTCAGTTGTCAGCAATGAGAGTGGGCGCAACGGCGAAGTCAACTTGGATGAAGGTGACGGGCGTCCAGCAACGTTCGCAACCACGATTAGTGGGGATAGCGTCAAGTTCTTGCGCTCCGTGCTCCTCGTTGAGCGGTGATAACTTGCCACCAGGTGCGCTGGAGTGCTCTCAAGCACCATGACCGGTGATATGGTCCAGTCGCGATCCATACAGGCTTTGCTCGTCTCCGACTCAGGCTCGTTGTGTTCCAAACCATCATGCTCTTCGACATGACCACAGAAATCTTGCACCGTTGGAGTCGTCTTAGGCGAAGGCAGTGCGTTTACTGGTCCCCTAGACAGTGGCGAGACAGCCATAGACGAGATCCTCTTCGCCTTGGCGCTGCTCTGCGTGAACCACCCCAGAACTGGCGAGTCGACTGCGTCGCTGCCTACTAAGGGGTTTTGAAGCAGCACGGAGGTCCGTACCGTTGCCAAGTCTTTCTGCTTGTACTCCCGTACCTTGGCCTTCCTGGCTTTGCGACGTTCCAGTATGCTCCTGGGCTGGAGCTCATCGTCGTTCAGTGTGGAGTACAGCGATGAAGGTGTGCCAGATCTCTCCGAGGCGCACGAGCTCATATCGACATTGCTGCTATCGAATGAGTTTGCCACTGATGCCTTCCTCCTGTTGATGTGCTGAGACTCTTCCGCCGCTCGAATAATGCCGGATCCCATCGTGGTATGCTTCCCTGGGAAATCCTCTAACGCCGAACTCAGGTCCGTCGCAAAAGTCGTGTCACTCCGGGTAGACTGGCGGTACGAGTCATCTGTTAGACCAGACTGGCGATAAGAGTCGTTCGTTGTGGCAGATTGTCTGTAGGAATTGGCCAGGTGAGACAAGTCATCAGGATCGTCGCTCATTCCGGAGTGACGGTTAAAGTCGTGGAAATCCAGATTGGCTGAGCACATGGAATTTCGCTGCGACTCGTCGGCTGTATAGAATGAAACCGACGATTCGCATCGCTCCGGCTTCGTAGTGGATGCAGAGCTTGATGAACGCGGTCTCTGAGGCTCATCGTCCTCTAGCGTTGTAGAAGTGGCCTCGGCAGGTGCGACTTTAGGGTTTGTACGCTCTTCAACCGGCTCGGAAGCTAACGAAACATCCGGCTGAGAAGATTGGATCTTGGCCTCCGAGATCGCGCATTGAGCTTCCCCAGCTTTGATGTCGGGCACGGGTGCCTGCTCCTCTAGTTCAAAATCCTCTGCGTCTGGCTCAGGAGGCCGGACAGTCAACTCCGCGCTTGACATTTTCCCATCAGATAGTGATTCCATTGTCACGTTCGTTATGGTCGTTTCCTCTTTCTTCGGGAAGGGTGACGCAGAAGAAGGCTGCATGGGAAGGATCACAGAGAAGGATGGGTCAGGCAACGAGACACCGTCCTCGAGGACAAGCTCGGTGGATGGAGCTGGTGGCGGCGACTTTGGGGCAAACTTCATGAGCATTTCGTCCAAAGAAAATGTCTGGTCCTTGTTCGAACGCAGGCTCGAGGTCCGGGGTTGTATCGCCAGAGGCCGAGTCGCTTGTGCCGAAGGAGGTCGGGGCCCTGAAGAGCTGACACTACTGGTTGGACTGTGCCCCGGAGTACTTTTTGGTGGTGACGGGAAGTTCATGGCTGCCAGCATCAGGGGGAACCCTGGCGAGTCTGGAAGTATCGTTTCCTCCGGCACCGTCAAGCTCGAGCCAACCGTGAGTTTTGCCGGCCTGGGCTTCCTAGATGAAGGCGGCGACCCTGGTGGCGATGTCTGCGGAAACGCGGACAATCCTCGAGCGTGAAGCCTCAAGGGAAGTACTGAAGGCTCCTCGAGCGTGTCAAGACGTATCTCGGGGAAGTTTTGTTTCTCAGGTTGTTCCATGCAAGGTGGAGTAACGGCGGAGCGGGTGCTGAAACTGGTAAGATCGGGGTTCCGGCTGATATTGGGTGGGAGGGTGCTATCATGGGCTCCACTGGCTACCGTTTCAATGTCGATATGGGGCTGTAGCCTTAGACGATTTGATATTGATGATGCAGTTCTCTCTCTGGAGTGCATGGATGAGACTGCGTTGCGAGGTCTGATTGAAATGATGCCAGTGCCCTGGTCCAGATCAAGCGGCGACGTTTGAACTGGGCTCCGAGAAGCCGGGGCCGAATCTTGTGCACTGCTGTCGGTCACCAACGAGAGATGCTGTTCAAGTACCCTGTTGAGCTCTGCAAAGTCGCTTGATTTTGCTGACGATTGCTCTACATCGAATTTGAAACTGCTAAATGTCGGCAGGTCGAGCGACAGTGGAGCGTTTGAGCCTGCCGGGCTCGTCGGACTGAGTGCTCCTCGCGAGGAGATCCTAGCCGGCCAGGATGGGCTCTCTGGACAAGCCAGTTGCTTCTCCGAGTCTGCAGTATACACCGGATACTGCGACCGGCCCCAGGGACCATCCACGACGTCAGGCTCCGGCACCGAGATTGCCAGGAAGCGGTTACCCTTGGTGGTGATTCCAGGGCGGGCGTTCTCCGGCAGCGGCTGGAGTGATGTTCGCTCCAGTTTCGACATACGACTCTTCAGAGTCTGGAATGACCATCGCTTGGGGCCTGGACCGCTGCTTGGCACTCGGAAGCATTCGTCGTATCGATTCTGGGCAGATTGAGACCGTGGACCGGTGGTCCTCAAGAACTCTGCAAGCTCCTGTAAGGCCTGACGGTCAACCTGCTCACGTACCACATCGCGCAGCTCGTCCTCGATGGTGGCTGTTGCATCGCCGTACGCATCTAGCATGTTTGAAGCTGATTTGGACCTAGGCAACCGAACACGCCGGGGGCCTTGCGAGGCACTGTCCAGCCGTCCACGGTGCGGGCGCACAAACTCGTCCTCAGACGACATGGAGTGCCGGCGCGACGACTCCTGACTGGACCGCATCTTGAGATTGTGCTACCAAGCGGACGCAGCTTCAGATTGTATCGACTAGAGCATGGTGGCTCGGAACGAGGCGTGACAAATCTAGAGTAGAGCAGTGCGGTGTTGTGTCTACGAGTTGTGAAGACGCTACTCGAGGTAAACAGATGATTTGTGGAAAGCCCTCTATCGCAAATTCGTCCACCAGCGATGTTGTTGTTGCTGCAAATTACCAATGCCGACGGACATTGGTGTGCGTCGTCAAGTCTAGGCCACGAACGCGTCCCCCAGAGCAGGTGTGAGCAATATCAAAGACCGGTGCGAAACGCCTGCAGACGTCGTGTCGGAGTGATGCAGGGACAAGCTTGGCCCAAAAAATGGTGTCCAGGACATCGAAAGAAGGGAAAAAGAAAAATGGAAGACAGGAAACTGGGGCGATGCCGGGAGCGAGAGCTGCGAGATTGCGAGCTACGGGCTAGCCTCAAAGTCGATCCCGCGTCGTGAGTGCCCACGAATCGGCCGCTTTACAGAAGCCTATAGAGGCGGGCAGGCTGCACGGCAGAGCAGCCCATGATGCGGACGGATGTTTGCCAGCCCAGCGTTCAAGGGATGGATGGATGGGATCGAGGATGGGCGGGCGAAACAGGTGCCGGCCCACGATGGGCGGCGCGCGTCGGCGCCCGCCCCCGGGGGCTAAGCAGGCCGCGTTAATATTAGCGGGCGGCGGGTGCAGACGAGCAGAGACGGACTATCAAGAAGGAGAACCAGTCGAGGCGGCGACCAATCAGTGAGGGTATCGTGGGCCAGGGCAGGGCGCGGTGGAGGAGAGGCAGAGGAGGATCTGCAGCTCAAGCACGTCCAAGACCAGGGCTCGAGAGCAAAGAGATGAGGGCCCTGGAGCTAGGCCTGTCTGGGTTTGGCCCGTCGGCTGGTGGGACCAGGGGACCCTGCCTGGCGGTGCCTGTCAACCCTGCATCGCGGGCTCTATTGGGCTCTGCGGATAGTCGACTTACTGATTTGATACCTTTACCTAGGAGTGTCCGGCCTGCCTAATTGTTGTGTTGTGCCTCTGCACAATGCCAGCGGACCGGATCAGTGGTCAATAACCTTCCTTGGTAGACATTGCGAAGCCGTGGGGCTTGTGCTGGTGTATGCATCGAGCCATGAGCAAACACGCATCTTGGGCCTTGGTGTCTGTAGCCGAGTCAAAGGCAGTTTGTACAAACTCGTGAGGTCTGGTGGTGCCCCTGACAGCTGCATGAGTGGCCTAGCGCTGCTGCGGGTGCGGGCTGGTGCAGGTGCTCTTGACTCGGCGCAGGGGCCTTGCGGATCTTCCTGCTGTCTCTCACTCTCTCACACACGGCACATCCTCGCTCCAGATGTCCCTCTTTGGTCTTGGGCATTTCCCCAACCGCGCTCTAATCAAGAGAAATCGACTCAAGGTCCATGTGTGAGCAGGCCTCCTACCGCTCCAGCCGGCGGCATCCATGTCTTCGGGACGATGCCCCTTCACCACCACCCTGAGGATGTGCGACCCGTGCTCGTCAGGTCGAGCAGCCAGGTGGAAACCATGTCCCTCGCGTCATTTATTCGCAAAGATCCCAGCTCGTCCGGGGAGACCCAGCAGACCACAATGTCACCTCACGATAATACCGCCTTGCGCACAATGGGTCCACGACCACACCACAAATCCACAAGCCTGGCTGGCTCCTCCAGCGCCTTTTGCCGCCAAAAGCCCGCGGCTAGGCTCGTCTAGTCCAAAGGCGCCCGCCAGCTTTGGCACGGACCTTGCCGTCGGCCCCCCCAGGAGCAGCTTGCAGGTTACTGATTCGCAGCTTTGCAGAGTTCCCCACCGCGGCACAAAGCGATCAGCGGTGATCTTCGGCCGCCAGCCAAATCCGTAATAACCACAGGCTACGAAGTATTAAGTTCAGAGATCCGTGATCCGTCGCCTGTCATCACAGCCACACCTTCGCAAGCGGGATCCAGTCTCAGCAGTCATCCACAAAAGAGCTCCAGGTGCCCACAGACTGTGCTGTCTTCCTGGATGTGATCCGCCTCCACGTCACGCAATGCCTCAGGTTTCAAGCCGGAACTATGGGCATATCTCCCGAAACATAGGTCGGTAAATCTGGCCAGCTCTCTCGAGTAATGCCGCGCGTCTTGAAAGTACGCTGCTGTGGCACATTGCGCTAAAGTCCAGCCAAGCCGCCGCGTCGACATTTGAGCAGATGATCCTTTCTGCACCTCGATCGTAGAGTATTCGAGCCCACTGCCTATCAAGGACAGGGCAGCGCAAATGCTGTCAAGTGACTGGCAAAGCCACCAAGGGTCCAGACTTCAAACTGGGAACAGAGCACAAAGGATTGTTCTCGCCCGCCACCACCAATATCCCCCACTCCCCACCATGGCGTTCCCGATGTTGTTGTGAGGACAAGCATCGGAGGCAACTAATAGCCTCTAGCCCCCCCACCCCAGGCCAGCCTTGAGGTCTGAACGCCACTGATCGTGCTAGGACCCTAACCCCCGTTAGTGGTTGTTAACAGGAGCCCTCCTTCCTACTCACGCTCAAAGCCCAGGTTGAAAGCCCAGCAGCTGACGCAACCCAGCAAGCTGTGGCGCACCCTGATCGGACTGTATAGTCCATCGTCATCGGCTCGGAGGATTTTCCCCCCTCCTTTGGCTGTGCGGAAAGGATCTTCCATCTCGAGACATGGTTCTCGTTTCTCAGCGAGTAATTAGTGCCGCATGGAACACGTCCAGTCCTCTCCGCATGACGCTCCAGGTCTCCGGGGGGGGGGGGGGGGGGAGGAAAAAAGAGATACTCCGAGATGGGCAACCCTTTCCGTACCTGACTGACACCTCCGTCACTGGCGCTAAACTTGGTCTATATTTCAATACCCAGCCGAAGCATGTCTGTAGAAAACTCGGTACAGGAACGGGAGTAGCATGGTGAATGTGCGACGCATGTGTTTATTCAGCAGTCGTGTTTGCCCATACTCCCAGAAGGGAACAAAAGTGAAAATGTTTTCGTTCGGGGAGGGCACAGGACTTTGATATTGTAAATTGAAATCGGGCCTTTGTCACAGACAGCCTCCAAGTTTGCAGCAAGCCACAGCCTTTTCGATCATCCTGAAATCGCCTGGCTGCGTCAAGGGCAGTGTGCGATGTCATTAGGTCAGTTTAAGTCAGGTCACCACTCCTTTCAGACAGCTGGCCGGTTATCGCACGAGATTAAGCCAGGAACATGGCAACACCCAACATCTTGTAACGAGAGCAGATTGTCACGAGCACTGTGGTGAATGTTTCGTGTCATTCAAAGACTGTGCTACATATGCTTCCAGGCACAGAAGAATTCTAGGGAAAAAGGAAATCAACTGAAAACCTCTCTTACTCGTCAGAATTCCAACACGCAAGCAGCCCAGCTGCTTCGCCGTGGGTCCTTGCTTCCTCTCCCAAAACAATTTATCTTAGCCCTGCGCGGCCCATGTTCGTAACCAATGCCGCAATCCAGCAATCTCAATCAAATTTCGCGTGTGGTATCAATCTAAAACACTGTTTGAAAACAACGCTTCTCCTCAACGTCCGCTGGCTTGGCTTACCGCACGAGAGACCATCAGAGCCCGACGGCCCAAGCACCTACCAGGGCGCTCAGAAGTAGTCCCCAGGACTGAATGCTGAACCGACCTGCGCTGCTCGGCTTCGAGTCTATGTAACTAGTATTCATGAGGTTGAGCAGCATCTGGTGGCTTGCGTGGCCACTAGCAGCGAGCTCCTGCAACTCGGCACCGAACGTCGAAAGGATATTTGTGCTCCGGCCCACTGGACAGAAGACCACTTCCCACCCTCCGCCGTGCGGAATGATGAACGTCGAGGTCTGGTCATCGTACGCGTAGCTATACGCGTCTGGACACACGGCTTTAGCCCGTGTAGAGTACAAGCTAGGCCCGCACACATCCGGGTTGTTGTACTCGCCCGCGCAGCAATCCCTAGGGTCGTTCGTGGCAGCACATGCGCTCTTGCATGGATCAAAAACTGGCCGTGGCACATTGTCATCTGGATAAGGATAGACTCCGTCGCCTGGCTTCGTGGGCGGGAAGGCCTGAAGATCCCACGGGCACCAGTTTGAGACACGCTCGTTATCGTGTGCTGTCTCATAGGGCATTGGGTAGGTCGAGTTCGTATAGGTGAGTCCTGTTCTATTGGAGTCGGCCAGATATCCCGGTGTGCCGATGCAGACGGGGTTGACCAGATTTGGAGGGATCCATGTCGTGTTCTTGGCTGGGTGATAGACGATCCCAACAGGCAAGTTGTACCCGTCGACAAGGGAAATGTCATAGAACGTCTGCGTTCCGGTAACACCACCAGATAGGGTGAATTCAGCCAGCGTGGCAGGTGCGGCCCCCTTTGTTGACGCGTTAGTTTCGATTCAGCCCAAGTGAACAAGCACATTTACCACAGACTTACACTAAACTCGCACTCCAGCTTTCCGAAGCAATCGCCGGTGGCGCACGTCGCAGTTTCGCCATCTGCTGTGCAGTTTGTGCGTCCCCATACACGTCCTTGCCATGTCGACCCCACCGTCATGTTTCTCCTCTTGCCAGGGCCCAGCTCAAATCCTGTGGACTCGGGTCCGTCGCCATGTTGTGTCGCAATGCCCGGCCACAGCGTGTCGGGGCAGTTGTTTGTCACGAGCAAAGGGATGGGCTTCTCATCGTCGGCTCTGGCTTTGATGTGCCTCTCGCTTGCGGGTGGGTGCGCTCTTGGTGGATAATCGAACTTGTACAGCTCGTGATGGCTTGGGTATACAATGGCATCGGCGAAGGCTGCCCACCATGCGATGGCCGTGGCGGCAGCTTGTCGGAGACTGAGCCCAGCCCCTCTGTTTTGACAACAGTCCGCTCTCATCACGATAGGCAGGTCCTTGGGACGGCGCGCAATGTAACGTGAGCAAGTTCTCACCAAAGATCCCAGACCGTAATCGTGTTGGAGGCAAAGCTGATTGGTAGATCCAGTAGCAAAAGCAAGACTGAATGGTATACAAGAAGACTCGCAATTCGCATGCCGAGTGGTAGAGCAATTCGTGGCAAGGTCGACACAGCCTCTAGAGAGCGCGCGCGGGGGTGCTCTTGTTAAGAACGTCTGCAGACTTGAAGCTATGCGAAGTGCGTGGCACAGCTGCAAGGGTCCAAGGGTCAAGCGCCAGTGACGTATCACTGAAATGTTTATATTGGCTGCCGACCCCTGGCGATGTCCACAAGTGGTGGTGGTGGTGGTGGTGAGGAGATCCTGGTCACTGGTAAGGCAGGCCAGGTTCTGGTCACAGCCCTTGTCGCTCGGCCGAAGTACCGCGCATGTCGTAGCAGTTCCGTCAAGTTATGTGTGTTTTTCGTGAAATACTGTTACTTAGGAAATATGCAGCTCGCGATGCTTGTCATAAAAATGAGTGTGATGATACCGTTGTATATCAGGCCATGGTCCACAAAGATGCGTCCGTACGCGCCAGGTGTTGGGCTTGACCGTGTCCATCTAAATGTAGCCTGTGGATAACATGGAATCCAGGTACAGGAAGCTCGGTAGGCGCGATGACGCAGGCGGGACCCCTCCCAGAGCTAGCGCTTCCCTGTTTTGGTGACATTCAGCCACCCACACCTGGGCAGTGTCCAGGGGTCCGTCCCGTCGACCTTCACGTGGAACTTAAAATCGTGTGGACAATAGCGGATACGTACGCTGCCATAGTTTACCGCTTTGAACCGGTGAATGGTCATGGCTGGTCACCTGGATCAGACACCCTGCGGACAAGTTGTATTCTAGATTGGGCAGCTCCAAACCTTCGATCCTTCACGACGGCACACGCACGAGGAAGGGTCACGTGCAGCACCGCTGTTCTCAACAAGCGAAGGAAACCCTTGCGGTCAATCGAGCATTATTCATAAACATGATGAATCTAATGAGTAATGAGAAGTTCTATACAGACTTTGCTGGCTGCTTTAGCCTTTGATCTGCAGCCTCGCAAGGTACACCGCTCTACCACCCGAACCAACATCCTACACATTCTGCTCTAGAGTGTGCCGTTGGTAACGCCCTTCTCCGGGAGTGCAACACGAAGATGGCTCAGGTCAAACCGACCGCTGAACTCCTTGGTGATCTCCTCGAGGCAGCCCGCTGCCGCGGCAAAGAATCCAAGATACGACTTGCTGGGGGCCAAAACTCGGCTGATGTATTCCGGGTGGAATTGCACTCCCACGAACCAAGGGTGGTCCTTGATCTCGATGATCTCCATGCGCTTGTCGCCATCACCCTTGCCGACGAAGGTCAGGCCGCCTTCAGCCTGCTCCAGGGTGGAGATGACCTCGGGCTTGACCTCGTATCTGTGGCGGTGTCGCTCCCAAATCTCCGGTGCAGAGCCGTATAATGCACGGAACTTAGACCACTCGGTGCCCTGCTGGAAAGAGGTCGCACGCTTGCCAAGGCGCATGGTGCCGCCGAGAACCTCGTTGGAAATCTTTTGTGTGACGTTTGTTAGTTTGCATTTTACACCTGGCACGCAACGACAGCAGGGTAACTTACCTCAGGCATGTTGATGATGACCGGGTTTGGGCAGATCTTGTCCTTCTTCGGGTCATCAAACTCGGAGCTGCCAGCGTCCTTGATGCCGCAGACATTCCGCGCGTACTCGATCACGGCAACCTGCATGCCAAGGCAAACACCGAGGTATGGTGTCTTGTTGGTTCTCGCCCAGTTGGCAGCCTTGATCATGCCTTCAGTGCCCCGGTCGCCAAAACCTCCGGGCACCAGGATACCGTCAGCGGTGCAGACGGAGTGCCACGCCTTGTGGAAGTCGGCGGGCTTGGCCCCATTGTCTTCGAGATGCTCGGCATCCACCCAGACGAGGTTGAGCTTCTTCTTGCAGTGCATGGCGGCATGCTCGAGAGCCTTTGTGACCGACATGTACGAGTCGTGCAGAGAAATGTATTTGCCAACGAGGGCGATGGTGACTGTCTCAAAGACGTGATCTTGACCTGTCGCCAGGCCGATCCATTCCTTCCACATCGATTTGCCCTGCTCGACGAGGGAAGGGGGAATCTTGATTGCGTCGAGTTGCAGCTTCTTTCTAAGAATGGGCAGGAGGTTCTGCTTCTCGAGGAGGAGGGGAACGCGATATGTCGTGGAGACGTCGTGGACGGCGAACACTTGCTCGTGTTCGACTTGGCACATGTTGGCAATCTTCTTAATGATCGGCTCTTCGAGTGGTCTCTCGCATCGGCAGGCAATCTGAAGCCGTTAGCTCGAGTCTAGAGGGGCTCACTGACAAACAGCGACTCACCAGGTCAGGGTTGAGGCCAGCACTTCTGACATCACCCACGGCTCTCTGCGTAGGCTTCGTCTTTTGCTCTCCAGAGGCTCCAGGGCTAGATAGTGAGATCAGCAAGGGGTGTACTCTCGGCGTAAAGATGGGCGCCTTACGGGATGACGGGGACATAAGAGACGTGGATCTGGAAAAAGTTGCTCTTGCCAACATTGCGCTGGAGCTGGGTCATGGCGTGAATGAAAGGCGCGCTCTCGATGTCACCGACAGTGCCACCTATTTTGCAACACACGTCAGTGACCCAAGACCTCAACAACAGAGGTCTACGGCAGCCATACCAAGCTCAATGACACAAACATCCGGCTCATCACCAGAGTCGTCCACGGGAACCTTGGCGACGCGCTGGATCCAGTCCTCAATGGCACCCGTCACGTGTGGCACGACCTGCACGGTCTTGCCCAGGTAGTCGCCTCTGCGCTCGGCGGCAATGACCTGCTGATAGATCTTGCCCGTGGTGATGTTGTTGTCTCGTCGAAGAGTGATGTGAAGGTAACGCTCGTAGTTGCCGAGATCTAGATCGCATTCGCCGCCGTCATCCAGGACGTAGCATTCACCGTGTCTGGACCGTTGTCAGCTGTGTTGATGCCGGGGGACGAACAGAGCAAAGGCTGCCCCGGTGGGTAGAGACCGACTCTATCGGAGACATTGTGCCGGCATCAATGTTCATGTAGGGGTCAATCTTGATGCTCGTAACCTTGAGACCACTGGTCTTGAGGAGCAGGCCGGTGCTGGAGGCAATGATGCCCTTGCCAACACCAGAGATGACACCTGACAACAAGCCAATGTCAGTCATCCCGTGCTGTTCGAAAACGACGATTGCGGCCATTGCCGGCCGATTCTTGTCCAGCTGTCTGATACCTACCTCCGGAAACGAGGACGTACTTCATCTTGTCTGTTCACCCGAGAAGGGAGCGACCAGATGCAACGATGAGGCAGGAGACTCGAAATCTTGGTGAGATTAGCTCGAATAGGGCTGTGACAGTACGAGAGAGAGAGAGAGTGATCGGACAAGCAATTCGGAACTCAGACGAGTTAGATCAAATGGTCGTATATTCGGAATGGCCTCTTCTTTTAGCTACGGAGAGCCCTCGCCAGGAGGGGGGGGAGAAGAAAGGAAAGATTCTGCGCAGCGCGTCCTGCGTTGGACTCGCGCGTGAATACACCCGACACACGAGCCCGCCTGGCGGAAAAAAAGCTAGGCAGATGCCCCGCCTTGTCCAGATGGGGTGGGCGGTCAGCGATAAGCGGTGCCATTTTTTGGGTGCCTTTTGAGTCAAGACTTGTCACAAGCTAAATCCAGAAGGCCGCTAGTCGTCAATGCTTCTCGCCCCCAGATGTCAATGGCTTGAAGGCAAGGCACTAAATTGAACGGCCTGCTGCCGGGCACAACAATCAACTTGGATTTGCAGCGCTTGCGCCATAACGCGACGCGTGACCTCGCGCGTGACATTGGCCTGTCAAGTCATTCACATGCGCCCTCGATGCGAATGGTGAATTCCTTCATATTTCCAAACATGGAGTAAAAGGTATCATTTGGCGTTAAATAAGGCATACCGAACTTGTTTCGGTGCTAATAATGACCCGCTCTTTTGCTTCTCTACAACCAAACCCTCCCCAGCTTTGTCTATGTCATTACCTGAATCTCGCTCTGCAACGGCCCATGACCTCTCCTTGGCACACCAGCTCGGCACTGAATTCTGAGCCGTCCAGAGTAAGATAGATATCGAAGTATACCCGGTAGAATGTGCCCTGAGGTGTGTCCATGCGCTCAAAGTCCTTCTCGAGATTCTTTCTTGACAAATCGGATGTCAGGGTAACCACTTCCTTGATGCCTGTTTTGATGTTGTTAATGCTGTGTCCAAGCTGGCGAGGATTTAAAAGGTAGACTTACGAGGATCCTTGGTGTATTCTGGGCAGACGTCGTCGTCACAAGCATACAGTATATCCTCGTACATGAGAGTCGCGCCGGGAGCCACTTGTCGGAAGAAAGAAACCTTGACAGGTTCGCCAATCTTGACCTTTTGGCCCTTCTGCACAAAGATTTGTCTGGTAAACTTGCACCGGTCCTTGCCATCCAAGGAAGGAACCCGGTAAGCCTCGGGGTGGTAACCTTCTTTGAAAGGCTGCAGAGTTGCCATGAGATAGTGCCGACGGGCGATTCTGTGGGTGATGACTCTCTCGGTGATACCAGCAGTGACAGCGCCTTTGACAATGGCAGCGACCGAGTCCATAGGGCGAACAACCTTCGACTGGAACTGAGGAGGGACGTGGAGCTTGATCTGCTGGAACAAGTACTCGGAAGCGCCGAAACCGCCGACGACCAAGATGTTCTGGAGCGTGCGGTTCTGCGCTTGGATGGCGACAATCTGGTTTCTGACGAGCTCGAGAATCCGGTTCACTACAGGCTCGAAGCACTGAAGAATCTCCTCGTTGGTGAAAGTCATGTAACCCTCCTCAATGCCGGCCTCGGGGAACTCTGCCTCGATACCAACATCGACAGCCCACTTCTGGCCGTTGTTGCGGAAGTCGGCCTTGATTCTGTTCTCAAAGTCCATGATGCACTTTGCATAGACACGTCCGGCGGTTCTGGATCCGTCGGGCAGTTTCATTTTCCTGATCTTGGTCCGGAGGATGTTGCTGAAGTTGCGGTTCAGGGCAGTAGAACCACATGAGTCACCGGAACCGGCTGTGCACTCTGCGACTGTGAAGGGGTTCTGCTCCTCGACCTCGTACGCGATCAGATCCACTGTGCCACCACCGCAATCGACAATGAGGATGGCATCATGAATCTGGAGGTTGAGCAGCCCAGTCTTGGCGCAGAACAGAGAGGCGGCTTCAGGTTCACTGACGAGGGTCAGTCTGTTGTCGTTCTCGTCACGCAGGAAGCCAGCCTGAATGGCAGCAGCACGAGTAGCCGCCTTTCCGGCATCGTTCCAGATGGCTGGTACTGTCAGATAGTAGCGGATGTTACGCTCCTCTCTGATGAACACATCACCAAGAGTCTTTTGCAGTGCTGCTCTCATGGCTTGGCGAAGCTTGAAAAGATAGTCGGCGGCCACATCGATCTCAGACTTTCCCGGGGGCAACGGGGGCAGGTTGATGGGATCGATGTAGGTGTTTCCTGACAGCATCAGCTGCAGCTTGAACCATTCAACCTTCTGCACACCAGGCTTGGGGTAACCAGTCGGTGCCAAGGCATCTGCGATATCGGGACCCCAGCCAACCACCTTTTGGTACTGATCGTAGTACAGCACGGTGGGGATCTGTAGTGAAGCCACAACGGACGGTCAGCAACGTACTTTGGCTCGCTGGCTCCTCGTTTTGAAGCATGGGAGCGATATCGTAGGACAGGCACATACCTTTTGTTTTGTGTAAGAACCAGCGCCTGGCCACTCTGTAATGATGTCTTCCTTGGCCTCGTTGTTGGTCGCGAAAGCGAATGCTACACCAGAGAAAGTGGTTCCCTATGAGGGTGGTGATTAGTCTCTATGTGGTCACCAGGCTCACTTCCCGGAGTTGTACTTACGAAATCGATGCCAACAATAAGCTGGGCTTTGCTCTTGCTCTGAGCATCGACCTCATTCGGCGCCGGCGGCCGACCGTACTGCTGCATCGGAGGACCTTGCTGAGGCGGAGGAGCAGGCGGAGGGTAGCCGGCGTATCCAGGAGGACCGCCCATGCCTGGGGGAGGGTGGCCGCCGGGCCCTCCCATCTGGGGAGGGTAGCCGGCGACGGGAGCGCCGGTGTTGATGGGGGGAGGGCCGCCAACCATTTGGGACGGCGGGGTTCTGGCTGGACCCTGGGTGAGAGGACTGGTTCTGCCGACAGGAGGGCCTCCAGGGGGGAAGTTTGCGTTGTAACTCGGTGGGCGTGGAGGACCACCAGGATGGTTCATCGTCGGGAGGCTCTGTTGAGAAGAGGACGAGGGGAGGGGAGGCGCGACACCAGGCTGGCTGGGCTGCGGCTGACCCGAAGCTGGGAACTGCTGCGGTATTTGAGGCGGCGGGGTAGCAGTGTTGCTGGCCTGTTGCTGGTGGAGGCTGCTGGTGTCTGAGGAAGGGATGCTGGCCGTGGACTTGCGCTTGCCAAAACCGAGGCCCTTGAAGCGCGAATTCAAAGAATTCAGCGAACTCATAAGGACGAGGTTAGGTTGGAAAGGCTTTTAAGAGGGAGGAAGGAGGGGGGGAGGAAGGGGGCAGGACAAGAGGCGGGTGGCAGAGAGAGGAAGGGCTCGGGCTGAGCCCAGGTGGGATCGATTACGCTCGGCGGGTGAGGCAGGCAGGCTGACAGACGACCAGGAAGCAAGCACACGCGCGGAGGCGGTAGCATGTAGTAGCAGCAGCAACAGCAGCCGTAGCAGCACCAGGTACTACAGAGAGAGGAGGACGAGCAGCTGTAAGGTCGGTGGATCGAGCGAGGTACAGGACGGGGGCCGTGGAGGGGGAAGCGCAGGACAGCTGGAGGACGACCCGACACAGGCAGGACGTGGGCTGGCGCAGGCACAGCAGGACGACGAGCGGGCGGAGGAGGGCTCAAGTGGGGCAGCCACTTTGCAGCGACAATAAGGAGCAACCTACACCTTTTGAGGCAATGCTGAGGGCAAAAGCTTGTGCAGCACCCAGCAGCAGCAGCAGCAGCAGGAGAGCTGCGCGGGCTGGCTCAGACAGGACCCACGAGCGATCGACTCGAATGCTGCGGCTGTCGATGCGAACAGCTCCTAGTCAGCCTAAGCAGGGCCGGATACTCAACGGCGGCTGGGGACAGGCTTTCGCGCTACAGGTCTGGCTCCGTGATACGAGGGCAAGCCACGGTCAGTGTTGCTTCGCGGCGGCTCTTCCCAGGGCCAGGTGCGGCACAAGATCCCTTCGGGCAGCTGTGCTCGCAGGCTCTCTCTACAGATGCTGTCCAGAAATCAACACGGCCGTGCCACTTCGTCCCAAAGCCCTGCCGAGTTCGACCTAACGACCAAACAACACAATCACCACACCCGGCAGGACAGCAACCCCCCACAAGCTGCAGACAACCTCGACATGACTCCTGTCAGCAACTCGCCTGGGCTGGTGGACCTGCCCGTGCGAGGAGGAGGGGTCAAATCTGCCCGACCCCTGCACGGAGTGAGAAAATAGACGGGCAGAGAGCCCTGCGGGATGGGGTCAGCCAATTCGAGCGCAAGCTCGCCGCCCACAGCCCTCCTGCAAGCCCCTGCCCGCTCTAGCCCCCCGTGGCTGGCACAGCTGACGGCGCTAACCTCCGGGGGCCTCCAGGCCAGGGGAGTGCACCCGCAGGGCAGTGTCGTCTGTGAAGCCCTTGCTCAGAATGGGTGGCAGCAATAAGGCTGAGACCAGCAAGGACTGGCAGCGAGACTGGGCAACAGTTCCCCTTCTGCTTTTCAAGGTCCTTGTTGCCACACGAAATGTGGTTCCATCAACTTCAAATCCTCGGGTGCTGTGGCATCGTCGTGTCGGGCCCAGACGTGGAAAGCAGAAACACACTTCAGAGGACAGAACTGGTCTCCAGGGATAATCAGACTAAGAGTGAGTTCCAGCTATTGTGTTCTCACAATGTATGGCCTCCACAGTCTGTCGTCCAGGAGTGAGGCTCAGGTTTTGATTGGCAAAACAAACTTACCAGGGTCTGGCCATTCTAGACGAAGCCCAAAGGACATGAAGACTCGTCGAGATGTGAACGGGACAGGGGCGGGTACTCGCAAACCCCCACGAGATGAGTGTGGAATTGCGGTGGCGTGCAAGAAGCGAGCCCAGCTCCAAAAGCTTGGTGATCTTGGCCCATGAGCAGTAGCCAGTTCAGGGAACAGCTTGTGCATTCTCAAAGCAGTAGTCCACAGATGACAGTGTCCCATGGCAGTATGTCCCGCTGGTCATGGTGCGTGGCGAAACCAAAGGACTTACACAGGCCCAAGGACAAACCCTGAAGAACGTGGTTGGGCAGCCACGGGAGGTCGTCGTAGGACTTTCAAGGTCGCAAGAGCCTGCCGTTTGTGGGTCAGTCCCACCAGCCATGGATTATGTAATGCAACACATGCACTGGCCTGAGGCATGTCTGTGGGCATGCTTGCAGAGAGATGTTCCCTTCCGCGGTCGTGGTGTTGCATCGCATCACCTCGCAGATCTTCTCGCACTCAGAGCTTTGGTTGTCCGGATGCACGTCCCGGCCATCACGCTTGTCGCACACCCATCGAGATTTCGGCATTGCGTGGAACGAAAAGTGACCTCGACCCCATGTCTCCAACGGTCATCGTCATGTGATGATATTATCACTTTGCAGACAGTGTTCTCTTCCAAGCAATAGTGATGATACCGGCGAGCTTTGACCGCCGCGGACAGACACCATTGCATGGCCAGTCACAGCTCTCGGCCAGAGCCGCAGTCCGATCCTGTCCACACCGACGGGACCTGTCTTCCCTCCGCAGGGTCTTCCCAGACCCCACTCGATTCATGTCGGGGCTGTGCCGGGCTGAGCCTCGCGTCCCAGAGCAGACACCGCCAGCTCTGTGCCCTGCTGAGGCGTCGTGGATCCGCCAGACTGGGTTGTGATCGTCCGTTGGAGATGTCTTGCTTGGGAATACCGAAGAACCTCGCAAGGTTGCGGGCCCTCGATCCCGTCGAAATAGACCCATTGGAGCCGCCGACGAAGCCAGAAAATGAAGCTTCACCCACAGCCTGGGGGCCACACACCAAGATTCCAGCTGAGGTCTAGTGCTGCGTTTGACTCGGCCGAGTTCCACTATAGCGTCCAGCCGCAGTCCCTCCTCGGGAACTGCCACAATGTGACGAAGCTACGTGGATCAAGTTTGGCGCGCTTTGCAGAGAGGTGCATCCCAAAAGTCTTGTCATGTCAAGGCACCGAATGGAACCTCTCAAGTTCCGCGGCCTGTCTGATGGAGCTACGCTTTGCGCGCCAACTTACATGCAGTAACCTTGCCCGCCCTGCTATCTCGATCACAACAGCAACATAATTCTGAACCCTGACCCTTGGATGCCTTTAGATCAGGATGCGTTCTCCCCACTTCAAGGATCAGACCATTTGTTGTGCTGGGTAGCTATCCACTCTCTACTTGGCAGTCGTTCATCCCGGCTCGCTGTCCTGGTGTGGGTACTATAAATAGCACAGGTAGGTCCAGGGCCCCGCCTGGGAAAGCTGCCAGAGGGGGGAATTTGTTTCATCAACATCATTGCACACACTGGCAGGCAAGAGGCATTCTGAAATTGGTTCCTCGGTCAGAGTTGATTGTGGCTGGTAGCTCGGTACGACGTACTTCCGTGCACGGCTTGTCAGCCATCATGTATGGCTACGGAAGTAGCCAGCACAGCCATATCAAGCTGACCCGGGAACGACTGTTGGCTCTTGACTCCAGGGGTTACTCGCAATGATATGGCTGAGGCCTCCAGCATTCGGGGCTAGAGAAACTCCCAGTGGATTTACTTTCCCTTCCAAAGTCTGATGTCAAAGTGCGCACCTCGAGCGAGGTGGAGGTCCGCAAACTTGACACCGCTGAGCAGCTCGTGTTCTTTTAGTCTAAAAGCTTGACCTGGCTTTCACAAAGAAGAAGGTTCATCCCACTATTGACAATTTGAATATGGATAGAGTAATAAGCAGAGTTACGGCGTCTCCTAGCCGTTCTACGAGCTCAGGACCCTAAAAATTGCCGTATATCGCCACGCAAACGTAGAACCCCTTTGGGCGTTTCCGATAGTACCGTTCCGTCCATATATCATGCCCAGCCCTTTACCAAGAACTTCATAACATCGTTCTCTCCCGACTCGGAGTGCCGGCGGCCAGACAATGCCGGCAATGAAGCCGCCGTCGTGTCTCTCTTACCACAAATACCGTGCTTGTTACGCTCAGTCAGCCACTCCTCATAGCTTGACTGACCATGGTAGTCACGGGAGGAACGCGATGAGGAGGTTGCCTTGTTGCTGCCAAGGGCGCCATAGTCTCCTCCTCTGCTTCGGTCATCTAGTGATGTGTCAGACCCGCGTCCACTACCATTCCCCGCCCTGGAACGAGAACTCAACTGGCTGTAGCGGGGCGGGAGATCATCTCGCCCGTTGTCGCCAGACGAGGAGCTTGTGCTTGTCTCAAACGCAGTCCCTTGGCCAGATAGAGATTTATCATTGCCAGTCGGCCATCGCTCCGACTCCGTCGTTCGGCTGCGCCAACGCCCGCGCTGGACAGAGGGCGTGCGCGAAGCAGACGACGACGGAGCAATCGACACTGTGGGACTGGATGCCCGACGAGCGCGGTTGGACGAGAAAGACGACCACGTTGTCGACGGCAATGGCCGCGGCGGGGAACGAGAAGAAGATGAAGAAGGCTCCGACGATGGAAAAAATGAGTATGATGAACAGCCGGACAGCGTGGATAGGTGAGACGGCTGTGCTGTGCCAGAGAGCTTGGATTCTCGGATGGCCCTGGCCAGCTCGTCGAGCTCTACATCTTCGCCATCAGGATAACTCTTGTGCTCGTTCCCGATGTTTTCGCGGCTATCGCGCTGAGTGCTGTCCTCGGCTTGATGCCTCTCCTTGCTTGAGGTGCAGTGGTCTCGAGCCTGCGTTGTGCTGTAGTATGAGTTGCAATGCGTGCTTCTGTCGTTGTGGCTGTACGTATACTCGTATCTGTACTTGTACCCGCGAGCAACACCACTGCCGGTGGCGCTACTGGCCATTGTCCCGGAGCAGATATTGTATGTGTAGCAGTCATGGGTCTCTTCGCTGCGAATATGGCAGCAGGCAGCCCCGATATGAGGACTGTTCCTGTTGGCTCTGGCTTTGTTCTTGCTCCCGAAATCGATCGCGTCGACCCGCCCGTTTGTCCAGCCGCCCAGATTCGTCCACTTTGTCCCTTGTGCACCGAGTATGCGATGGCGCAGGACAGAGGGGTGGCATGTTATCTTCCTGTTCTTTTTCGACTTGCTGTGGCTAGGCTCTGTGCGGTAGCTACCAGAGCCCTTCATATGGCTCTGACAGGAGTCGTAGGAGGAGTGTGCCTCTGCGTGGTAAAGGCAAATCGGGGAAGATGAGGTCGTGTGTGAGGCTTGGCAGTAGTATGCCGCTGCGGCAGAGGACGAGTGGTGGTGGTACATGGCTTCTGCCTCCCCGAGAACTCCGCTGGCCGTTTATGGAGGCGAGTTCCTTCAAAATGAGCTGAGAGGCGAAGACCGCCTTGCTTGAAGTAAAGATGCAGACGGGCAATGAACGTTTGAGAACAGTGAGATCTCCTTACTTATGTGTGTCTGGCTTGGAGCCCGAGCCAGAACGTGGGCAAATAAATCACAAGTAGGAAGTGCCACGAGTGACCGATTGGTATGGTGTTATCAAGAAGAATGCAACGGCACAACGACATATTTGTGAAGATGCCTGACATTATCATAAGCAGAAGAGAATATAAGTCCGAAGACATACCCGACTCCACGGAGGAATGAAGAGCATGTGGCATTTCCCGCCTCGTACCGTCCAGATTGTCGCGGCGATTTACAAAATATGCCGTGTAGCCGAATTTGCAGGACCGCGAAACATCCAGCCTGTTGTTACTTAACCCTGCCGTTGCTGTTGGAGTCTTTGTCCTCGATATCGCTCTTACACATTCCGCACAAAGACCTTTTCCGGCAACCAACTGCACATGCCTCTGGTGATACTGGAGCTACACATTGGCTTGTGGTTATCAAAGAAGAGGTGAGACAAGGCCGACCTGACCATCACTTTCGGATGACGTTGTGTGCTTGGCTCCATGAATGCTGTTGGTTGGAGCTGGTTGGCCCATGACGTGCCGGTAAAGAAAGGGTCTGCAGTTTACCGCCTTTGATGTAGAAGTACAGTCATGCCAAACAAACATTGAATGGCGGAAAGAACAAAGAAGGTGTGAAGTGAGGCTGAGCACGTGCCAGCTCAGAGATGTCTTCTTCCAAGGTGCGTGTCGGGGCAAACTCGCGATGCTACAGCAATCGCTATTTGTCTACAGCTTGCCAGCGGTCTGCATACCGTAGGCAGGTTTGCAGCCGCCGTGTCGTTGCTTACCGATGGCCCACACGGACAGCAGATCATGATTAGTGAGTGATACTCTGGTGGGTTTATCTAAACTCGTTTCAGACATGGACTTGCTCGTCCGGTCTCGAATTTATGCTTGAGCTCGTCCTGGCAACACGCATGAGCTAGACTCGTGAAGATGCACCTCGTCGGGCTGGAAAAAATGTCTCGCTGTCGTGGCAAAACGATGCGGACCAGGAAGATGAAAATGGCAAGAGGAGTGCAATTCCCGTCCGCAAAATGCTTCTCTGCGGCCATGCTACCTGTTGCTGGAGATTGGCAGGACTGACAAGGACGACGACGTAATGCACGGATCGTGGCCGTGGGCGGGGCTTGCGTGGGAGCTTCCCAGTTTGAGCGTGGCCCCCCAGAGGCACAACCTTGGAACAAGCCGCGGGGGGCTGGCCACGGCCCACGATAGAAACCACAAGGAGCAGCCCAGGATGTCTCCTCAGTCGACATCGTCGCTCTGCCATCGCCGCCCAGCACTGCGACTGACCTGACCAGTTAAGAGCCTTGCGAGCGGATGCCGCCTAGCTCGACGTAGAAGTCTCGCCGCCCAGGTCGTCACAGGCTCTGTATTTCAAGGGCAAGCTGCCTCTGTGGCTCGTCAAGGGTCCAATTCCAGGGTCACCGCTCCGTCCTGATCACTCGATTCAGATCAGAAGAAACGAGCCCGTTCGCGCGCAACGAGCCAAAGCTCTCACTCCGCCAACCGTCTTCCTCCCGGATCTCCAGTACTTTACAGCAACCTCGCCCATCCCATCGCCTTCGCTTCGCCTGCCCCGGACGCACCCACAGCAGTGTCCACGACTGAAGTCACCGGTCAAGTGCGCAGGCAGGGTGCATACCACGAGCCAGCGAGGTCTGTCGGTGTCTGCACAGTTGGATCCTGCATCGCTACGATCGTGGGTTCACCTCGAGGTATGACCTCATTGCCCACGGGCACGGATTCCAAGAAGTCGACGGCCTGAACGGACCACCGCATTATCGCCCTCCCGGCTATCTCCTCCGATCCGGGCCTTTTCGTGTCGACATCGACAAGAGGGGCCACTGTCGCCAATCACCAGCGCCCACAGAACCACCACAGACTCCGCAGACATCCATTTCGGCCTCCCAAGCCAGCAGGGGTCCGGACATTGCACCTCGCAGCCGCTGGAGGCGGCAACCCACGGGCTCACTCCGGACATCTGAATTTACGCAACCTCAAGCGAGACAAGGGCGCGCGCCGCGGAGCTCGTGAAAGACTCGGCGTGGCTTGTCTCATTGGCACGTCACCTTCTGTAAAAGCTTCTGGATGGCACTCCGCGCCAGTGCGGACCGCGCCATGGCACGCGGGCCCCCATCCAATTTGGAGAAAACGGGCCGACCTCTCCTCCCGCACGGCGCCGGTGCTCTCGACACCAGCAACGTCGCCGCTGCCGCCGTGGGCAAGCACAACACGCAGCTCGCCAGCGTCGTCGTCTCGGCCAACACTCCGCACTTGCGCCTTTTTGTGTCGCTGGCCTTTTTGGCATTGGTCCTGGTGAGTGCCCCCTTCCCTTTTGGTACATCTGGAGCACAGAGCTATTGCTCGACTGCGCCTGGGCTGGGAAATACCATCACGAGAAGAGCACGAGCGAAAAAGAGGGAAACCCGGAGCCGTCTAATGGACGATTTTGGATCCCGCATTATTACGACGAGCTTCTCCATCCTCCCCCACCTGGCCTGCCCAGTCTTTTTTTTTCTCGGCCTATTCTCTGCTTGCGGGTAGCTCCAGAGCGCAGGCTTTCAGCTCAGCACTCCATGGAGCTATGGAGCTGGCGCCATTCCCCCCACATGAAGCCCTGCAAGCCCCGTGCATGTGCGCCCACAGCAATGCGCCGCAGCTTCCCCTCCACCCGGCTGGCTGGCGAGTGCCCCGCTTCCATTAAACACTGTCGTCACAGGCGTTGCGATCTCCATCGGTTGCGTCCTGGGCACGAGGCGTCGGGCAGCCCAATCCATGCATGCAGCTCATTCTAACCCCTCTGCGACGACAATATAGTTTGCCCAGTTCTTCCTCTCTGGCTTGAAGCCTCCCTCCTCGCGCCTCTTTTCTCCTCCTTCCTACCTCAGGGCCTCATCCATCTTCTCTCCTCCTGCCACCGTCGTCGACGACCTTATCTGCAAGAGCCCAGAGCCTTTCCCCACCGAACCTCCCGTCTCACCACTCCGCACCATGGCTCTGATCGAGGAGACGAAGCGCCTCGTCGCGCAGTTTGACTACTCCGACGAGGATGTCAACAAGAGTGTCAAGGAGTTCCTCCGTCAGATGAGTAAGTCTATGCCCACTTGCTACCAGGCATTTGTCATTTTTTTGTGAGTAGTCCTGATTGTTTGCACGCAGACGAGGGCTTGGAAAAGGAGGGGAGCAGCATAAGCCAGATCCCGACCTACGTGACTGGAGTGCCCAATGGCACGGAAAAGGTATGAAGTCTGGTAGATTCGGCCGAGCACCAAAAGGCCCCAACGCCATACTGACGTTATGACCTACAGGGACTGTACCTTGCGGTCGACCTTGGCGGCACCAACTTCCGCGTCTGCTCTATCCACCTCAATGGCGACACCACATTCAACCTGACTTTCAACAAGGTTGCTATCCCTAAAGAGCTCATGGTCGCCAAGAAAGCCGAGGACCTCTTCGCATTCCTTGCCAAGCAGATCGAGGCATTCCTCAAGGAGCACCACGAAGATCACTTTGCTGCGCACATTAGACGTCGCCAGACGGTTAGCACACCTGAAGGCTACCGTGATGAGCACATTTTCCGCCTCGGCTTTACCTTCAGCTTTCCCGTTCAGCAAATCGGCATCAACAAGGGCACGCTGATTCGGTGGACAAAGGGCTTTGATATTCCTGACGCCATTGGCCAGGATGTCTGCGCCCTCCTGCAGACGGAGATTGACAAGCTCCATCTGCCCGTCAAGGTGGCTGCTTTGGTGAACGACACCGTCGGCACTCTCATGGCCCGGTCTTACACTTCGCCTGGCAAGACTGCCACCTTGCTGGGTGCCATCTTCGGTACCGGCACCAACGGTGCCTACGTCGACAAGGTCACCAAGATCCTGAAGCCAGTTGAGGGCGAGTACGACAAGTCCACTGGAGACATGGTCATCAACACGGAATGGGGCTCGTTTGACAACCAGCTCAACGTCCTCCCCAACACGACCTACGATATCGAGCTCGATAAGAAGAGTGTCAATCCCGGCATCCAGATGTTTGAGAAGCGTGTCTCGGGAATGTTCCTCGGCGAGATTGTTCGTCTGGTAATCGTTGACTTGATCAAGAACCCCAACGTTGCCTTCTTCAAGGACGACAACTCGAGCACAAATGACCTCAAGTCCACCACCACAATCTCACCGTCTTCTTCCGTATTCACGCAGTGGGGCCTGGACAGTGCTATCATGTCAGTCGCTGCTGCCGATAGCACTCCCGAGATCTACTCTCTCCGCCAGGCGCTTGAGAAGCAGCTCGACATCTACTCGGCCTCTCTCGAGGATGCCAAAGCGTTCAAGGATATCGCCTATGCTGTCGGACGCCGGGCCGCCAGGCTAGCAGCCGTGGCGCTTGGAGCTGTGGCGCTCCAGAGCGGCAAGCTCACCGAGACTCCCGACGACATCATTGACATTGGCGTTGACGGCAGCCTGGTCGAGCACTACCCGTTCTTCCGCGATATGATCTATGAGGCCCTGGCTGTCATCGATGGCATTGGTCCTGAAGGCGCCAAGCGCATCCGCATTGGCATTGCCAAGGATGGCAGCGGCGTGGGCGCGGCCCTTATTGCCCTGGTCGCCGCCGAGATGGAGAAGAAGAACCCTGTCGACTACCTGACGGCTCTCAGGACTACCGTCACACAGAAGCTGGCAAGCGTGATGCCCAGCACAGGGGAGTCGTCCGCTGTTGCGTGATTTCAGAAGATGTGGGAGCACGAATCCTGGCACTATCGGCGTTTTTGGCGAAATCTGGGCTCCACTACAAAAATGATTTCTTTGCCGTTGCTTTCAAGTGATATGACTGGGACGATTTGGGCCCGGTTGGACGGTGTACAGCGTAAGCTACCACACAACATACCAAGGGCGATTAGGCATGACGACTATGGGATGGCTCCGAGATGACTTTCTACTTTCACATTATTCGTACTAGTATATACATGTTAGGCTCGAAATGCATTAAGATCCACCCGTGAATCCCAACGGAACTTTGAAGCAGCAAACTTATTTGCACAGATCGGTAGCGGCATTGATGCATCTTAGTCTTATATTCAGCGAGTGCCGGATCGGCAACAGGCATGCAGCAAGGACGATGCTCCTGTTGAGAAATCACGAAGAACTGGCGCCCCCCTTTTTTGAATAGTCTAAGTAGAGCCCCGATTATGCTAAATGATGGCCGGCGTTCTAACCCCCGACACTTCAAGTGTCCAATCTACTTGTACTTGACAAGATTAATACCGGTGCGTCTTATTTTCCCCCAAACGCGGCAGCAGGATACGCGCGGTCCCTCTTCTTCCGAGAGGCCGCGACCGAAGAACTGCTCCGTGAGCTCGCGCCGCTGCGGGAGCCGCCGTTTGCCGACGCGGGAACCTGCATATCGGGCGGCAGGTCGTTCCACTCTGTCTCAGGCCTAAGGTTCTGGAACGACGTGCCCGTCGGGGTTTGCGGGGGTGGTGCGAGGGATTGGGCTGTGGAGGATAGCGATGCTGCACTTGATGGAGGTGGTGGAGGGCGTGTGGTGCCGTTACTATGTGATGATGACGACGGCGGCGGCGGCGGCGGGATGGATGTTGGCTTTTGCGCCGCGCCCGCTGGCGGCATGGCGTACATGGGGAGGTTCGCAGCCATCGCGGTGGTGCTGGGTGGTATGCTCTTGGCGTTGCTGCTTATAATGTGGTTGTTGTCGTTGTCGTTGCCGTAGCTCATGGCCGCTGCGGCGCTGGGCTGTCTGTCTATAATGATCGGCCGCTCGACCACGTAGGCGTGACCGGGCTGCAGCTTGAAGTAGTAGTTCTTGATCTCGCCGGCGATGCTGAATCCGCGGCGCTGATACCAGCCTAGGCCTTCGTCGTTCTGGACCCAGACGTGCGCCCAGACAGTTTCGCACTTCCAAGACGACGAGGGGTTATTCGTCGACGCAATGACGCTGGCGACGACGTCTTCCAGGCAGGCTGCTGCTAGGCCAAGGGAGCGGTACGGCGACAGGAGGACGAGCGACTGGATATATAAGCCGCTGACCTGGTTGCCTGCGGGTGTTCGGAAGGGTAAAGCCTCGGGGCGGCAAACAAGGCCGCCGATGACTTTAGGGGTCGAGTTTGGCTCCGTCCAGAGGATCACGCGACTGAAGGCGCCCGAGGTCGCGGGGTTCGAGAGCTGAGCGTAGAACGAGTCGGGGTAGTTGATCGGCAGGATCAGAGAGGTTACGCGGCGCAGCGCGGGGATGTGCTCAGGCTCGATGGGCAGGATCGAGGCCTGAGGATGGAGCGAGGCCGGCCGCCTTGTCAGAAAAGTGTGTGGTGCTGGAGGCGGCACGGCGTGTGTCTGGGCGGTGTTGCTGGTTGTTGGCCTCGGCGGCGCCGTTGTGTTGCTCGTGATTGTTGTCGAGGAGGGAGGTGCAACGTATGAGGGACCCTTCGGGGCGAAGAAGGAGCGTATCGAGGGTTGGCCTTGGGGCTTGGTGTTGACAGGAAGAGACATTGTCGGCACCGACCGGGGCGTGAAGGCAGATATAGGGCAGAAAAGGAGTGACGGTATTTGATGGACTGACAGGCTGACGACAACCAGCACCAAAGACGGAAGAGTTGGCAGTGGCCCGGTGGGGCAGACTGAGAATCTGGGACGGATCGAGAATGACCAGGGCTGTAATTAGGAGTAGTTGTTGTTGTTGTTGAGGGAGGCGGCGAGCGAGGGGCTAGCCGAGGGGGGCCAGGGCACGAAACACTGGGGGTCTGTGTATCATGGAAGAGGAGAGTGAGGCTGGCCTCGCTGGCCTTGTCGAAGCAGCCGACTCCTGTCTCAGAGGTCCAGTTAGGGTTTTCTGTGTGCGACCTCGGCGAGAGTTTCGCTCCATGTCCCTTGTGATCGAGTCGCGAGTATCGAAGGCATCTAGAACGGAGCAGGCCGGCGGTGACCCTGCAGCCGGCGATCAAGCCTCTAATAATTACCCCACCACCAAATGCTTAAAGACGTGCCTGGCGGCTCAACATCCTTGCTGCCGCCGTAGTGCGCGGGCTAGGCAGGCACAAGCACTGCAGCGCCAGGGAGCCGGCGGTTGTCAGTCTTTATGGTACCTATAGCCATGCTGCGATAACCAGTGGACACCGTCTGGTGCTGGTTCCGGCTGCGTTGGAGCCTGCCCTTAGGCCAAGCAACCAATGATGTGTCATAGGAAACAGATGCTCTTGAAGAAGAACCAGTCTTGCGGATCCTTTGCATCACATGGGGGGAGCTCGAGGTTGTGTCAAAGTCAAAATGGTCGGTCGCTACAGCTCCCGTGGCACTGCTGCAAGCGGCCAGGTGTCCTGGCACTATATCCAAAGTAGAGGTGCCGTAACTTCAGGTACCGACGCGTATGTGTAGGTCCAGAAAGCCAAAACCGACCCTTCAACAATGGTGAAGCTCTGTCCTACTATAATCCTTGCTCAGCCAGCCAATCCAGCTCCTTTCTGACGTCTGCCAGGCCCACCAACAAAGATGGTGAAGCTTTGCCATTAGTGTTTTGGCTTTTGGGAAAGCTCTTTAGGTGTAAAGCGCACACACTTAGAGGTACATGAGTCACTTCATGGCACATTGCCACACGACTCGATGTGTTCTGGAGTAAGATTCTAATCTAAATGCTGCCAAGTAGCTCGCCCCTCACAAATGGTGATCTGACGGTTGCCAGCCTTCGTGTATTCGGAGATCACCTGATGATATCGTCTAGGCGTGGTACCTGTAAGGACTTGGCATGAACCTTGGAACACCATGAGTACTCATAGTGCCTTTATGTGAACATAGCAGCAGTGTCCTCTATCCAGACAACCATTGTTCAGTGTCCCATTTCAATCGTAGCTGCGGGAACGGTCGCATGAGCTGGACAAAAGCCAATGATCGAGTTGGGCTTCTGAATCAACCAACACGGGCTGTTACTCGCACCCAGGTTGTCCAGACGGGCGAATAGTCTTGTCTGCACAACGACGCCTTGAGCCAAAGACGCTCTCTGCAAACCAATAATGACGCGTACGTCAGATAAAGTCGGTATGCCCAGTCGTAGCTCACTGCCATATGAGCGCTGAAGCCGAGGAGAGCAAGCAATGTTTCTGCAGGACAACTGAATCGTTGATGGAGATGGCCTGCGTTCCATAATAAAAGGCCCATCCTCGCTGTAGCGATGCTCAAAGTGGATGCAAGTGGGCATGAAATGCAATGAGGTGGCCCCCCTGAGCGACCCGCCACCAGTGACTTGCAGCCCCGGCCACGGCCCTGCGGATGCGGCAGGTACCCTCAAACGATAGCGTGCTTGCCGGTGGGTCGGGCACTCCTGCGCTCTTGCGCTCCAACCCCAGCCAAATCTCTCCGCCCCCATTACGATGGCTGGGGCACTTTTCTGAAGCCGCGAGCAAGCACCGGACTTACCATCACCACATTTGTCACCTTTGCCATCCCCAGCACCATCACTGCCGCTCCTTCCATCGCCTGGTGCTTGTCTGCCCTGGCCTCCCGCTGCTTCTTTTGTGACAAGCCGCAGCCTCTTTCAATTAATTGACTGTGCTTCACCACGCGCTCACGTTACCCTCTGGAAATGGTGGCGACAGCCGACACAAGCCTTGGGAGGACAGCTTAGAGGCGTCGCTTGCGGTCACCAGGCTTTGAGTCTCGGCCAGCCTGTCGGCGCTGTACCGTGACACCCTGCGCTCAGATTCAGGCAGGTCATCACAAGATCGGCTTGACAGTACCGTGGCTATCTCGCACCTCGTCGCCGTCCTCGACAGAGCTCCGGGATCTTGCGCCATCAGAGCGAAGCTAAGTTTTCGTCGCGACAACCACGGACTTCGGCCACAACCTCACCTTTCTTCATTTTCTTTGTGGCCATTGAACTGTCGCGGGCTTGAGCCGACCCAGCATCTCCTGCACAACACACAGCGTGTGTTACTGCAGCGAAGATGTCCGCTCCCTCTAATACCGGCAAGGCCGGTGTCATCAAGGCTAGTGATGACAGCGGGAGTTTAGACAAGTTGGTCCGTGGATCTGCCCCATCCGGCACGAGTCTCATATGCTGACAGTTTTCTGCGTCGTCCTCTGCAGGCACACGCGGTTTTGGATGATCTCCTGTACAATATCGTTCATGATCTTCTCGTCAAAGTCCATCGGGACGAGAAAATAGCACGCGCCTCGACCGCCGCAATCCGCGTCGAAAAGCTCGCTTTCGACACAGCTGATGCATCAGACCCCGATGTGCGACCCGATGTCAAGGTCGAGACTGATGCCGCGGTTTATGACGAGGGCAAAGTGCTCCTCAAGGGGAACCCCTTAGTCACAACCAAGGACATTGTTTGTCCACGATGCCACCTCCCTCGCTTGTTATACCCGACAGACGGCAAAGGCGCAAGGAAACCGGACCCCAGCATAATATACTGCAAGAAGCACCCTTACATTGACAAGGCTGGCTACGACATCTATGGCCAGACCTGGGTCGCGCAAGGACCAGGCAGGGGCAAGAAGAAGAAGGATATGGAGAAGAAGACAGATACGCCGCAGGACTCGGCTGGCGGCACCCCGACGCCTGAGGGTGCCGGAGACGCGAAAGCTGGATCTGCAGCACGGCCTGCAAATATGCTCTCGTTCCCGTCCGCGACCTGCAGCAAGTGCAAGCGATGTATACTGGTCACGAGACTAAACAACCACATGGGATCGTGCATAGGCAATAGCGGGCGTAATGCCAGCCGTGCAGCGGCGCAGAAGATCAGCAATGGGAGTAGCAACGGGACAGCAAACGGCGACAACACACCTCCGTCGAGTCAGAAGGGCACGCCGGCTCCTGGGTCACGGGCGAGCAGTCCCAAGAAACGGGATAGTGTCGAGATGGACGACGATGACGACAGCGACGTGGATTCACACAAGAAGAAGAAGATCAAGCCGACTGGCGCGGACAAGACCAAGAAACTCGTCCTCAAGGCAAAATCTTCTGTGGGATCTAAGAAGGAGAAGGTCAAGGCCAGCTCCTCGTTGAGTGTTGAGCAAAAAGTTGACGATGACGACGGAGACAATTCTACCGTCGAAGTGGCGCCCAAGAAGAAACTCGGCAAGACACAGAGTCCTGCCAAGAAGCTCAAGCTTGGTGTCTCAAAACCAAACCTGAACTCGTCCCCAGCAGCAAAGAGCAATGGAAAAACTCACAGCAGTCGGGACGATGATGGCTCAGAAAGCTCGGAAACCCTTTCGTCACCACAGGCCGGGTAATGGGTGACAAGCCCGTGGCTACATGTATTTGTGTAAAGGAGCAATTCACCACGCCACTTTGGATCGATGGGCTCTTGGATAGTAGAGAGCCCGTATCATTTTGTATATCTCACATGGACCTTGCATTGACTTGGGGTTTCGGAGCTCTCGGGGTTTGTTCTTGTCTTTAGTCTTGTTGGTTGGCAGGCATTTTTCCAAAAGGCTTTCTGCTGTTGGTGCATTGCGTCATGCTAGGTTGATCGAGAGTTGTCTAGCATGGCGACGTTGGCGTTTTTCTGTAGCCCTGACCCCCTCACAGACAGGCCTTTTGTTCATGATCGAGTCACAGTTTCGTGCTACTCGCGCCCAAAAGGTCCTGCCAGTTGAAAATGCATACCCTTTTTTAGGTCACTGATCTGTTTCTCTAATTTTCCAACGTGGATGGTGTGGCCAGGAGCTGTCATTCTTCATCCTCTACAATCCTCGCCCGTATGATCTTGACCTCCTCCACTGGCCTGTCCTCTGTTTTCGTCTTGACGAGCCCCATCCTCTTGACCACGCTCATGCCGCTCTTGACGCGCCCGAAGATGGTGTGCTTGCCGTCCAGCCAGGGCGTGGGCGCAAGCGTGATGAAGAACTGACTGCCGTTTGTGTCCTTGCCGGCATTCGCCATGCTCAGCACGCCCGCGCCCGTGTGCCGAAGCTCGGCGCTGATCTCGTCGGCGAACTTTTCGCCATAGATGGACGACCCGCCCCTCCCCGTGCCCGTCGGGTCGCCGCCCTGGATCATAAAGTTGGGGATGATGCGGTGGAAGATTGTCCCGTCGTAGTAGCCCCGCCGCGTGAGCTCGGTGAAGTTGTTGCACGTCCGGGGCGCGTGCGCCGTGTAGAGCTCGAGCGTTATGGCGCCCATTGAGGTCTCGAGGACGATGTTTGGAGCCTGGCTTGTCATGGCGTCTCGAGTCGCTAGGCTCAAGTTTCGTGTGGTGTTATGTCCTGGCTACTTGCTCTATTGAACAGTTCTGCTCGCGCTGAGCCTTGAGAACACCTGGAAAATGTGCGACGCAAGACCACGGCCGGAATATGCGGATTTGCTGTGGCGATGGCCAATTGGTAAATGCGATTTATGAAATATCCTGGTGAAATTGCCCCTAGTCACTGAATCAAGGCCGGTGAGTGTGCTTCACGTAGAATCGATGTGACTTTGTGAGACTGTTGGCGATGCTTGTCGACGCCTCAGGTATCGCCAGGGTGAGGCGAGGATTTCTGCCCCACGCGAGCGATGGGGAGCCACTGTTTGTGTCACTCCCATGCACGCTAAAGAGTGCTGAAGTGTTCACTTCAAGACAACAGCAGCAATCTTGTTGCATTTGGGATGCCTAATCTGCCACAACTTCTCCAACTTCTTTTCATTTCATCTACTGGACATTTGTGCATACGTGCATTCTCCTCTTGATCGGCATTGTCCTGCACAGGGACCGAAAACATTGTCGAGCTCGTGCTCGTCACCGATCCGCAGCTGATCATGGCCTCGAACAATGTCTCTGCCCTCGTGGGAGCAGACGGCCATGCCATCACCAACACCTCCAGCAATACTACAAGTCCTCTCACCTTCTCAGAGCAGCTGAGTGGGTTGCCTCAGTTTTTGCTTGAGAACTGGGATCTGTTCGTTCTCGAGTTTCGCATCGTCTTCACGGCGTTAGCTTGCATATACATAGGAGCCCATGGCGCCCTTCGCCGTCCACCATCTGCGGTCCCAGCAAAGTCCAAAAAGCATGGAGCCAAGGGCAACCATCACGACGAGGAAGAAGATCTCGTTGAAGGTCTCAAACCGTCAGATGCTATCCTCTTCCCTATCCTAGCTGGTGTTGTTCTCATCGGCTTGTACAAGCTCATCAAGTGGCTTGAGGACCCAGACATTATCAACAAAATCCTGGGCGCCTACTTCTCCGTCATGTCGCTCGCTAGCCTGGGCAAGCTTCTTGCAGACACATTGCACATGGTCACAGGATTCATCTTCCCCAACGTGTGGCGCGCAAAGGACGGTACATTGTACCATATCGATGCAGAAAAGAAGGGCCAGTTTCGTAGTAGCCCTGGTAGCGATGAGCGAGTGTTGGACGGGACCCGGAACACACCCTTTCCTGGGTATTGGTCCAAGAGCGGTGGCTCTGCTCGCAAGACTGACCTGTACTGGGAACTCCGCAGGCTGTTTACGGAGCACTGGACGATTCGCTTTTCCATCCACGGACTCTTCAACGAAAATCTGCGCATCAAGCTAAACGACATGTTTGGTGTCGTTCTCGCGTTCGGAGCGACCGTGATCTACTACACGACCAAATCAGTCCTGCTCTCGAACATTATGGGGTATGCATTCTCGTATGCGGGTATAATCATGATGTCGCCGACAACGTTCACGACCGGGAGTGCTGTGCTTTTCGGGCTCTTCTTCTATGACATCTACATGGTGTTCTACACGTAAGTCTTGCGCATGCTGCACCTCACTTGGCTGTGAGGCTGACAAGTTATCTCTCGGCACAGTCCGTACATGGTTACGGTTGCCACGAAATTGGATGTCCCAATCAAGCTGGTCTTCCAAGGGCCTAAGAAGGCAAGCATGCTTGGACTTGGGGACATTGTCATTCCCGGCATGTTCATTGGTCTTTGCCTCCGCTTCGACCACTATCTCTACTATCACCGCCAGAGAAAGCTGGTGCCGGTCGAGCTCGAGACCGAGACCAAGGTTGCTGGCCAGCTTGCAGTCAGCACGGAGACGCAGCGCATGGTGGTCAAGCCCGAGTACATCAATCCCCAAGGACAATGGGGGGACCGGTGGTGGAGTACCAAGCTCACCGGCATTTTGTCTCCGAGTGCTACGCCGTCACTCAAAGCATCGGCGTTTCACAAGACCTACTTCTATGCCGCCATGGCTGGGTACTTGCTTGCAATGGTAGTCACGCTAGCCATGCTGCTTGTCTTCAACCATGCTCAACCGGCTCTGCTCTATCTGGTCCCAGGCGTTGTGTTCTCAGTCTGGCTGACCGGTCTTGTGCGCGGCGAGGTTCACGACATGTGGGTATACACCGAGGATGGGAGCCTGGATGGATCGGACACCATCGTGGAGGTGGATGAGGACGGCAACGTGACCAAGGAGATCAAGAAGGATGAGCAGAAGACTGATGGAGAAAGCAAAGACGATGCGAAGGCTATCGAGGGCACAAAGACAAACGATGTCTCCGAGGCTAAAGGAAAGGAAGCTGTGAGCAGCAAGAGCACCACAAAGGCAGTAGAGCACTGCGTATTCAACTTCTCAATCCTGGCGCCTGCTTCATCTGAGGCTGCTTGAGCACCAAGAGATCATAGACTGAAGATAGATGTCATTACAGAAGCACCTACAGAATGGATCCCGTTCTGCCCAGCTAGCAGCACGTCGTTGATTTCCAAGTCGGGAACTGGCATCTTCATAATGAGAAGCACCCTCTATATGGTCATAGAGAAACCTGCCATCATAGAGACAGCCACGCGACACACGGCTTGCTGGAGCGGCAACCTTCTCAAGTTTAGCGAGACAGCATCGCGTAGAGCGCATTAAACGGTATCATTCCTACACAACACAACAACTACGAGCACATCGGGCACCCCCAAAAGTTTCTTTGGAGTCCGGTTTGTTTTATCGTGCCCATAAATTAACGAGCACGGACAGACGAGATTGGCTGAACGAACTGACCAACAATATGAAGCTCCTCGAGAACGGATTTTTGAATAACGTAATCCACAAGTGGGTGAATCACACAAGTGGATGAATCAGTTATCGGGTACTCGTACGACAATGTATAAGTCAATTCAACCACAACGCCTCAAATCAATTCAAACTATTCGGAATCCTCTTCTCCAGAGGCAGATATAACTTTCTGACACGTACGAGCATTATGCCCGGGCTCGCCGCAGACGCCACATCGTCGCGCGCGCATTTCGGGCCTCCTCGTACGACCACTATTCTGACTCGTTTCCGCTATTAACTGCTGCGTCGCATCGATTTGAGCCTTCAAATCCTTTGCCTGATCAATTGTGAGGGACCCTCCTTTCTGTAGCTGCTTTCTTTTCGTACGACGACGGCGGCTGAGGCGGTCGTTTGCATCTCGAAGTTCGGCGATTTCTTGGCGCATAAGGTCCTGCTCGTGCACCATCATTATAACTCCTTTTCCTAGCTGTCGTAGGCCCTGAACAATGGACGACGGAGAGCTATTCTGGTGTCGTACGATACGATTTTCAATATACTTCGTCTGCGATTCGGTCTCAATTGGGTTGTTCGGCGTCTTTGAAACCCATGGGGGTGGTAGTCCAGCAGAGGAACCTGGCGGTGTCGGCGTATGAAACTTCACATCTAGCTGCGAAATCACATAATTCGGGTCGTACGGTACTAGGCCTGTCGCTCTGAAGCCTGCCTGGATGTTTGATTTGGTCATTGCAGCGTCGTACGCCTTATAAAAGGCTGGGAGGAAGTCCTCCTTTGAAACGTGGGTTACGTGCGCCCGCATTAGACCTTCGATTTCTTTACCGTACGCCCGTTTCAGAGGTCCAAAACACCCAACATCGAGAGGCTGGAGCTTATGCGACGAATGAGCAGGCATACAGAGCGTAACAATATTCTGTTCCTTGCAGTAGAGCTCGAAATCGACGGAATGGTGGCTCTCGTGGCCGTCGAGGATAAGGAGGCGGTGGGTACCCTTCGTACGACTCTTTGTATGGAAATCAAAGTGTTTTACCCATTCTAGGCCTCTCTCGTTCGTCGTCCAACCGTTTTCTGAAAGCGCGATTACCCAGTTGGCCGGTAGAGGGCTATTCGCGGTCCAGGAGTCGAGGTGGACCTTCCCGGCGAAGATAATGTACGGCGGGATTGAATAGCCGTACGACGCGATACCCTGGATTATTGTAACCCATTCCTGATTGCCTTGTTGTACGGCTCTTGGCCTCCCGCGTCGATCGGAGGTCGTAACGACAGTTTCGGCGGAGATTTTACCCATCGCGAAGCCCGTTTCGTCGAAGTTGTAGATATCGTCATCGTGGATCCCGTATTTCGCGATTATGTTTTGTACGAGCTCAAACCACGCGCGATACGCGTCTGGATCTTCGCAGAGGACTCTCTGGTAGTCGATTCTTCGATTAAAACGCGTACGGAGCTCTGATCGTCGTCGTACGAAGTTTGAGGCCCAGTTCGTTCCGACGCGTGGCGCGTCGCGCACGCGGAGGAGTCGATCCGCCATTTCTCGAACACCACCTAACCGCGGTGGAAACGATCGCGAATCTAGGTCGATTATATATCGTACGATACTGTCCTCTTCGTACGAGGTCAATTTCTGGCAAGGTGGTCGGATATCTTGTTGCGCAGGTCGGCCGTGTTGTCGACGTTGGAGGGTTGAGAAGGATACATTATAGATCTGTGCAGCCTTTCGTACGCTCAATTCTGGGTTCGATTGAAGCGCATTTAGCGCGAGAACTAAATCGCTTTTATTTGATTGTCGTACCATAATTATTGGTGGAGAAAAGGGGGAAAGAAGACAGCCTGTACGAAAGTGGCGGGGGACTGATTCATCCACTTGTGTGATTCACCCACTTGTGGATTACGTTATGAAAACTTAGCATTATTTTGATGCTGCCCAGCTCTGAAGACTGAAGGCAATGTCAACCCCTCACGAGTGCAATCAATGCCTGTTGCAAGTCATGGGTGCGTCGTCCTGATGAAGGCCATCATCATTCACTCTTCGTCTTCTTCTTAGTTTCTTGATGAGGAAAGTTGCGAATGCTTGAGAATACTCTCTTCGACGAATTGTATACGCCTTGTGGTAGTTATGGCAGCAGCTGTCGAGTGACATCCCCAGATCGTTAGACTACGAGTACATTTCAGCATTGCCTCTAGAATCAGACAAGCGGCCAGACACTCCTGTTATTACAAATTCCCGTCGTCGCTTGCAGACGGCGTTACCGCACGCCTTGGTTGATCGTTGCAAGCGTCTGAGGCCCCTGACGCCGGCACGCCTCCAACCCCAAACGGGGCATGAGATCTGCAGGGTGGTGCGGACCTGCGGCCAGGCTATGACGACACCGGGCCGCCGGACACTTCCAAGTGCCCGCGAATCAGGGTTTGTCGTGATTGTGGCCGGGCTCGCCAGGGACGATCTAAAACAGCGAGATGGAGCTTTGGTGCGGACCGGAGCATCAGGGCAGTGCTTTGTGCAATCGATCCTGCAGGGCAGCCACTGAACTCTGTTGCAGTAGGGGTACCTCGATTACCAGGCGGTGCGCTTCGTGTTGGCGGGGCACCCAAGGAGGTCCCGTGTTAATTAGGGGCTTCACATTGCTGTTTCTTTGGTGTTGCGATCTACTCTGAATGGCGGGCATACGGGTGGACATCCCGTGTCTCACATTTTTCCATGCTGTGAATCGCTTGCAGAGGACCCTGGCTGGCTTTTCTTTTTCCTGTCTTCTTTCGTCCTCTCGATGATAAAGTCTGGTGCTTCTTCCTCGAGGCGGAAATACTTTTACTTTGTCAATCCTCGTCCTGCATGTCGTGTTGGCTGTGCTGAAGCTTCTTTGGGGTGGTTCTGTCTTGGCTATCTCACTTGGCTGACCTGCCATGATGCTGGCGCCAGACACGCTCTAAATCTGTCCATTCTCCATTCGTCCTTGGGCTCCCTTTTCTTCCCCTCTCTTCTTCGTGGATATATTGTTGTTACTCCTAGTGTTCTCAAGTCAACCTCTTTGCGCAAGCATCGTCACCGCACACTCCGCAGCCATCGTCGTTGCACCAGAACGGCGTGCCCACGATGGCGGACCACCACGAACAGTAAGTTGCTCTTGCCGTCAGAGATGATGACTGGACTGCTGGCCCTGGCCGGTAGGCGTCAAGCAGCACCATTATGCCAGTGCATCGTTCGTGCATCCAGGTACGGATGACGGCGATGATGCTAGTCACAGCTGGCCCCGCCTTTGCCTGCTGCCCAGCATCATCCACCAGAGTGACCCCTGCTCTCCTGGGCGCCCACCATGGACCTCCCCCTCCGCCCTATCTTGGCCTTTGGGAACAGCTTGCTCCCGTCACACCACCTCCTCCCATGTGTCGTCATCCTGCGTTGCTGGCCAGCCATATCGCTAATTGTCTCGTCCACATCACCTGGACCGGCGCTCACCGTCTCGGGCGGTTCATGTCACCTTGCGAGCCTCTACTGACACTCGCGTCCCCGCCTCGATAGCCATTCCCACTCGCGCACAAAGTCCGCCGCCTTGTCGATCCAGCGGCGCAAAGACAAGGACAAGGACAGCCGCAAGGACGACGACGCCTCGAGCACCCTCTCCGACGACAACACCAGCTCTGCCGCCATGTCAGTCCAGCGGACATCGTCGCGGGACGTGAACCTGCCTGTCGCCCCGGCCCGCTCGACCAGCAATGCCGCTCTCGAAAAGGGCTCCTCCATCGAGTCGTCTGTCCGCAAGTTCCGCATCGTCGAGGCTTTGCGGAGCGGAAACACCGCCGCCATCTCGAAAGCCATCCGTGAGACCGCCGAAGGTGCACCACGACCCAGCACCTCGTCTGTCAACGGCCCTAGCTCCGGCCCTCTCGACGACACCACAGTTCTACACCTGGCTATACAATGTGTAGACTTTGAGGTTGTTCAGTACGTCCTGTCCGACGGTGCTGGCACCATCGACGTCAACGCCCGCGATAAGGACGGCAATGTCCCCTTGCATATTGCTGCGACACAAGGTCGGGCCAACGTGGTGCACCTTCTTCTCCAGCAAAAGGACATCAATGATGCCGTCGCCAACAACCAAGGCAAGCTTCCGCTCGATGTCGCGCGGAGCCCTGAGATCTTCCAGCACCTGCAGCTCGCGAGAACGTTGTTCCTCCAGGACAAGGTCCAGGAAGTCCAGTCCTACATCCAACGGGGTGCTTATGACTCCCTAAGCAAGATCCTGGAAGAGCCACGTGTAAAGACCATCCTCGATATCAATAGCACTGAGCTCCCTTCAGAACCGCAAACTGTCAAATCCGGAGGCTCGCTGCTGCACGAAGCCGCCAGGAAGCGAGACACCAAGCTCATCCAGACTCTACTGCTACACGGAGCTGATCCATTCCAGCGCGATCGCAATGGCAAGCTGCCTCAGCACGTGACAAACGACGATACGACCCGGGCCATGCTCAAGCGATCACCGGCGGCGGTTGCGGCACAGCGCAGCATCCAGGAAAAGGCTGTATTGGGCCATGCTACATCGCAAGCAGGCCCGGTCGCATCAAGTGCGACAGATCCGACTGCCGGTCGTGAGCCGATCATGAAGGGTTACCTCAAGAAGTGGACCAACTACCGCAAGGGGTACCAGTTGCGCTGGTTTGTGCTTGAGAATGGTGTCTTGAGCTACTACAAGCACCAAGACGACGCTGAGAACGCTTGCCGTGGCGCCATCAGCATGCGCATCGCGACGCTGAACATGAGCCCTGATGACAAGACAAAATTTGAAATCATTGGCAAATCTTCTGTCAAGTATACTCTACGCGCCAACCACGAGGCCGAGGCGAAACGTTGGTTCTGGGCGTTGAATAATGCTATCCAGTGGATGAAAGACCAGGCCAAGGCTGAGGAGAGGAACAAGGCCCAAGGAGCCGAATACCTCAGACAAGCGCAGGACCAGTTTTCCAAGGCCGGCTCGTCCGTCGGTGACATTCACAGTGAGTCCGCCAGTTTCGCTGAGCCCCGGTCCAGCATGCAGCTTTCGCGGCATACGTCCGGAAAGGGGGTTCCGCGTGTGGCGCCATCTCGTGGTAGTGTCTCGGGCAGCGTCGACGACGAGTTCGTGGATGCCGGCACAGACGCCGGCCGGGATTCTCCGCCAACAATACCTGCCGACCTTGACGCTGACGAGGATGACGACTATGCCGGAAAGTCGAGCATCGTTGAATTGCCGTCCGCCACCAAGGACGCCTTCAATATTACTGCGCAATCGGCCAGGTTGCAGCTTGACACCCTGGCGCAAGTCAGTGCGGCGCTGCAAGCCGAGGCCAACCGCAACCCGTCGATGTCTCTTGTGGACCCCAAGGCCGCACAAGCGCTTGCCACTTATGACTCGGCCATCCGCAGCCTCAAGGTGCTCATGGGTGACCTGCTGAGAATATCCAAGGATAGGGACGCCCACTGGCAATACCGCCTTGACCAGGAAGTGGAGATGCGCCAGATGTGGGAGGAGAGCATGGCCAAGGTTGCCGCGGAGCAGGAAGACCTTGAGACCAGAGTTGGCAAAGCGGAGCTCAAGCACAAGATTACGAAGCGCGCCCTTCGTGACCTCATGGAAGGATCCGGTAGCGCTACTGCTACCCAACCATCCCAGCCTCTCGAGGAGGTCGGTGAAGAGGACCAGAAGCCTCCAGCTCCTCTCGGTCGCAAGGCCACCACACTTGCAGACGTGGTCGACGACCTGACCGACGACTCTGAATCGGAGGGTGAGGAGTTCTTCGATGCAGTCGACGCCGGGGCGGTTAGCGCTGAGCCGATGCCGCCGTCTGAACTTGCCAGTGGCGGCGGTGAATCCAAGCAGGAGGTCGTTGTTTCTGGTCTGGACGTCAGCAGCGCCTTCAAGGGTTACGAAGACGGTTTCCGGACCCGGCTCAAGCTTGATTCTGATAACCGGCCGAAGGTTGGACTCTGGGTAAGTTGAACCCTGAACGACGGAACGAGGTTGTAGAAAATGCTAACGACGAGTACAGGGTATCCTTAAATCAATGATTGGCAAGGACATGACTAGAATGACATTGCCTGTGTCTTTCAACGAGCCTACATCTTTACTGTATCGGACGGGTGAGGATATGGAATATGCCCATCTCTTGGATCAGGCTGCAGACCGGACGGACTCGCTTGAGCGCATGCTCTATGTCGCAGCTTTTGCTTCCAGTGAGTTCGCTTCGACGATCGGCCGTGTCGCCAAGCCGTTCAATCCCCTTCTTGGTGAGACTTTCGAGTACGCCCGGCCCGACAAGGGTTACCGGTTCTTCATTGAGCAAGTCAGCCACCACCCGCCGATCGGTGCATCGTTTGCAGAAGCGGCGAAGTGGACATATTGGGGTGAGGCCAACGTGCAGACCAAGTTCTCTGGAAAGGCGTTTGATATTCACCACGTCGGCACCTGGTTCTTGAGCCTCCGCCCGTCGGCGGGCGGCAAGGAGGAGCTCTACACCTGGAAGAAGCCCTCGCAGCAGGTTGTTGGCATCATCACTGGAAGCCCTGCAGTTGATAACTATGGACTCGTCGAGATCAAGAATTGGGCGACTGGGGAGAAGGCACTCATCGAATTCAAGGCGCGGGGCTGGAAGGCGTCTAGTGCGTACGGGCTGGCTGGCAAGATCGTCGACAAGGAGGGACGGACTCGTTGGAGTCTTGGCGGGCGGTGGAACTCGAAGCTCTATGCTCGCTATACCCCCGGCTTCGAAGCGCAGCTGGACGAATCAAGCGAGAACCGGGGAAGCATCAACGATCCCAGTAAGGCCTTTGTCATCTGGGAAGCGAATGACCGGCCCAAGGGCATCCCGTTCAACCTCACACCCTTTGTGCTCACATTCAACGACATCAACGACAATCTGTGCAAGTACATTGCGCCTACCGACTCGCGGTACCGCACTGATCAGCGCGCCATGGAGGACGGCGAGTACGATTTCGCGGCCGACGAGAAGAACCGTCTGGAGCAGGCTCAGCGCGCGCGGCGGAAGCTTCGTGAGGAGAACGGACAGCACTTTGCGCCCGCGTGGTTCGTCAAGGCCAAGTGCGAAACCACAGGCGAGTCGTACTGGAAGTTCAACGGCAAGTACTGGGACCAGAGAGAAAAGTTTGGCAATGGGGATGCCAATGCCTGGGAGGGGCTGGAGCCTATCTACTCTGACGCGTGATCGGAACTCTCGGATCTCACGGCCGCGGGTTCGATGGCGTTGCATGGATATGGTAAGCGTAGCTGTGATGATGGAACCTCGGCTGCACCCGAGCATGGCAGATGACAAAGGCGAGGCAGTAGTTCTACCGGTAATCATGGATAGCAAATTAGCATTATTCTAATATGATGCATACATGAACGGGGCTTGTAGTTGTGTGACGGACGTCAATGTCGTCCTTGCCTGGTTCACTTGAGGCTCAATCACATGTCATCCATCTGGTGGGCAGCACAGCACTGAGACAGCGGAACGAGCTCCGCGCTACTGCGGCATGGCGGTTCCGTGGCGGGGACAGGGGGGCCGAGGCGAGGCACGCTGCACAACGCTCTGTGTTCTAAGCACGAGCCTTAATTACACAAAAGGCTTCGTTTTAAATTGCCGTCGAATAGGGGGAAGTGATTGGGCTAAGTCGTTTTGGAGGCACCCCATTGTGCCTGATTCGTGGACCAGACTGAACGCAGTGCTGTTTTCCGAGAGACATCTGTAAACTTGCCGTTGGCCACGGCCGAGGAGCCTCGGCACGATTTGGGTCTCTCTCCAATCCCGATAAGATAGATTAGGTGAATTGGCGGCGCGCATGACGCTGGGCTGATGCACCCCGGCCAACCCCTGTGCTGGCTGGGTCCCGCGGGCCGGGGCAGAAGCCAATTGACTACCATAGTAATAACACTCTGACCCCAGATGCCGCTCTTGGACTGCGTTCTTCTTGTACCACTCTGTCGGTCTTCTTCCACACACTCTCTCTCTTTCAGACGACCCTTCGCGCGGCACATTCACATCTGGCGACTTTGACCGAGCCTCGAGAAGGCAGGAGCACGGCTGCGACAAAAGCCCCTCCCCCCTGCGCGGGCGATCACCTTCAGTTTAGAGCTGCATTGACGAGCAAGCTGTGCACACCTACGACACGAAACAGGCACAGGGTGACGGCGCTTGTCCTGACGAGCCATTTCTTTCCGGCCGTACACAATACGATCCTCCGCGCCCTTGGGCTGAGGCTGCGCCGAACGAGTCCCGACGATTGCGCTGCCCGAGAAGCGATCCTGCAGCTTCACGATCTATACTGGGGATATTGAGGAGAGCATTGGTTTCTAACCATCAACGGGACGGAAGCGAAGGAAAGAAAGAAGAGATCGCGATGTCGAATCCCAAGACCACGCCGATGAAGACCTTGATAAGGCAGCCACCGCAGAATGCAGCACAGGCGCCAATTGAGAATGCGCTCGAACTGACCGAGCTTGGGGTCATTGCTCCTGTAAGCATCCCCTTGCCCTTTCAAAGATGAGGCCAAAAGAGGAGGTTTGGTCTAGGGTAAAAGAATGGCGGCTGTCATGAGCAGATACTAGACACATGGCCTGCGGGAAGGAACTTGAGTCCAGACGTGGAACAAGCCGTACTGACACTTGTCGCCACAATCATCTAGGACCTTTTCACCAACACGCGCGAGCTCTGGCTGCCCCCGGGAGCGCGAGGCATCTTTGGCGGCGCAGTGATTGCGCAGACGCTGGCTGCCGCGCAGCGGACCGTGCCCTCCAACTTTGTCGTGCACTCGTTCCACTGCTTCTTCGTGCTGGCGGGGGACTCGTCGACGCCGATCCTGTACCACGTCGAGCGGGTGCGCGAGGGCCGCTCGTTCTGCACGCGCACCGTGCAGGCGCGGCAGCGCGGCAAGTGCATCTTCACCGTGACCTGCTCGTTTGTGCGCGAGGGCAGCGGCGGCGAGCAGACGGTCGAGCACCAGCACACGATGAGCCCGGACGTCAAGCCCCCGCCCGAGGACTACGAGCAGCCGACGTTCCTGGACTCGCAGCGCGGCGGGCCCGGCTCCGCGGGCGAGAAGAGCCCGTTTGAGAGCTACATGATGCCGATGACGGGGAGCGGCGACGACCCAAAACACACGCGCAAGGCGAGGCACTGGGTCCGGGCGAGGGGCAAGATCAGCGAGCAAGGTGGACACCAGGCACATCTAAACGCGCTGGCGTACATCAGCGACAGCTACTTTATCGGGACCATCAGCAGGGTGCACAAGCTCTGGAGGTTCCCGGTCAAGCTGGACGATCTGGACAAGGTCCCCAAGGAGACGAAGGATCACCTCAAGCGGCTGAACGACTGGGAGGGTAACGGCAAGCTGGAGGAGTTCAGGGGACAGCCGCAGCTTGGGATGATGGTTAGCTTGGATCAGTGAGTCTCTCTTGCCCTTTTGATGTCCGACTTTTGGTCAGAGACAAAGAAGCGGCCGCATGTTTTCATCCTGAATATGACCGTGGCTGACCTTGGGCTTTTCATTTTTTTTTCCAGCACAATCTACTTCCACAATCCCAAGAAGGTCCGCGCGGACGATTGGATGTATGTCGAGATGGAGTCGCCCTGGGCTGGCGACGGTAGAGGGCTGGTTCTCCAGCGTGTGTTTCACCGGGACGGGACACTCCTTGCGTCTTGCGTCCAAGAGGTATGTACATTCCATCCGCAGTTGAGATTGGCCGTGAGCAGCCGGAGATTGACTCCATTACTTTCACCTCTAGGGCGTGGTCAGGCTCAAACCACAGAAGAAAGAGGAGAACAAGCCAAAGCTGTAGACTGGTGGCTTGAGAATATCGCACTGCTTGCAATCAGAGATCGTGGCGTACATATTGGGGTTTGAGCGTGACTGAACTTCGCTGTTTTTCATTTGTCTTGTTCCCTACTGCGATGTTGGTACCAGAAATTATTGGACATGGTTGAGCGCATCTGGGCATCAGGCAATAGCTACATATCGGGACTGGGCATGGCGCACGGCAGACACCTCAGAGCCATATCCCCTTGACGACTCGTCTCAGAATAATCCGCTGACATCATCATCACTCATCGTATCTGGTGCGCACGACGGATAATAGATCTCGCAACAAGAATTCCAAGATCTTATTCGATATATTCGGATGGTCCAGGGCAACTTGCAAGTCTTGGCAGGAGCTTCCCGTCCGGCATATCGTCTCATGATGCGTTGAAAGAATATGATCTCCCAGAAATAGATTACCTGCCGGCGCCCTATCCCGGTAAGGTCTGCAGCAAGGATGATAATACTTCCGCGGCCACCACATAGAGCTGACGTCTGGCATTGCTATCTCCCGGCGTGTCGCCCCCCATTGGCTCTGGCTGACAGACAATCACAGGTGGGAATAGAGTTTGCATGGCTCAACGGAGCCGCTTGCCTTCTCCAACATGCCGCCGCATGGCCGCCCGCACATGACGTTGTGGAATCGGGCTGCTGTTCGCTGATCTTTTCTTTGACACAAGGCTGGCTGGTGATCTGCAAGTGCGTGCGGGAGAGATCCAACCTATCAGGGCCATCGCTGGTGCTGAGCCCATCTCCGTGGACGGGACAAAGATTCGCAGCTCCTCCTGCCATTTCCTGGGCGGACAGCCGTGCGCTGACCCACGAATAGCTCGATGATGCGTGCCAACCGATCTCGATGTCCTTCCTTTCCTGAACGCCTGCGAAGAATCCACCACACCGGGAAGAGGTCGTTTACGCCATTTCCGCGGACGTCTACGGCCACATGCCCTGCTCACAAGGGGGGCGAATCGCAGCACGATATTCATCTGGTTAGTGGTTGCCTTCTTCGGCGAACAAGCCAGTCTAGCAAATGCCAGTGTCCGGGATCGACGCTGATGGCCTGACACAGAGCAGTGCCTTTCTTCCGCACGCCAGACCAGTCCAGCCAGGCAACGTGTAGGCGTCATGACGTCCCTTCTTCGCGCTAGGACATTTTTCCACCTGCTCTACCGCAGCCATGCGACGCCGCTCGGCGGGCCGTTGGCCGTTCATCACGCTGCGCCAGCAGGAGCTAGTTCCGCAGCTCAGGCCGCGTCAAAGCTGCCAAAGTTTCGGCGTTCGTTTGGCTCAACAACAAGAACCCAGTTCCTGCGCGATGAGCGAATGGTCGCACGCGGTTCACCACGACGGCCGCTCCCGCGCCCAAGGAGCCTCGGCTCGAGTAGCATCAACAACTTGCTGATAACGCGTCCCACTGGAACCATTGGTGCTCGGTCCACGACTAGTGTACGCCTCGCCTCGACTATCTTGACCGACGACATGAGAGACAACACGAATAATCACCAAAGACAGCTAGGGTCCCACTTGGGGCTGCGTCGGCATGCCACACGAGGCTCCGAGATGCACACAAGATCTCAGGTCCAGGGCCCGGTGTCAATGTAGGCATGGGTGCTGTGCTGAAATGTTCCTCCGATTTACTACCGACGACCTCTGAGACTGCGCCGTAGGTCGAGGTGCCGACAGCCGTGGTAAACGTGTTCACTACAAGTTGATCGTTGCGTGCGCAAGCTCCAGGACCGCCTGCAGCATCCAGAATGAGAATCGAGGCAATCTTCGGGCAAGACCCTCGGGGGTGTAGCACGGAGTCCGCGCTTCTGGCATCATCTCGTCGCCGGGCATGGTCAGTCGCCGTACCGCATGCGTCATAACTCGATTTTGCACCAGTCAAAGTGCGCATACAGAGCGGCAGCGTCTGCAATGGCAACTGCCATCGCGAACAGTCTTTAACGATTTTCCCCCGCAGCGATAGGAACGGCTTGGACCTCGAACGACTTACAACATACAGACATGTGGCTCGAAAGTTCCGTCACCGTTTGCCCTGATCTACGGGAAGTCGTCTTGGACCGTCGCTAACTTTTATCTGATCGAAGCCACATGGATTCTGAGTCGTGGTTGGGACCAATCGTCAGACTTTTTGGATATATTTCCGAAGCAGTTAGAATGCCTTCCTTCATGCCCACTTTTAAGAGCCTCAAGCCACCAGCGTTGTGCTTTGTTCGGCAATGCGCGTGTACGGCTCTACCCACCGTCGTATGAAACACTACCATCCAAGATCCAAGGGTCACCGGGCCGGCTAGTCCCATGACTCAAGGTAAAAGTAGTGGCCTCGTCGAATGGTAACTCAACGACGAATGAGCTAAGCAAAAACACTTCGACCAATAATTGATTGCAGCTTCCACGACGATGACGGGTACTGCATGGTTCACCTTAGAACGAGCGTAAGATGTGCAGCCAGGTCTGCAAAACCATGGCCATTGGACAGCACCGTGGTCTCGCGAGCAGTGTCTCATCAACATGGTCGTGTTGTAGGCTTTGACGTAAGAAATGAGAGAGTCCCCACGTATAGCTCATATTCTTTTCCCACTTCGAGCAACCACAGCGGATCGATTCGAGCGTCCAGATGACGGGACCGTGCAAGGATACGCACCACACTACATACAAAGTCGCAGCAGTCTAGAGTCCTCAAGCTGAAGCCCATTGGCCATTATGCAGCCGGTCGCCGGTGTCCGTTGCATCTGACGATCAAGATAGGCATCGACGACAACGATATGTCTCGAAGCAAGCAGCGTGGGTGATCATCCGGACAACAAGGGAAGCACCACCATGCGTCGACTTGTGGTCGTCGGCTGCATATGCCAGCTGTGCCGTTTCTCTTCGCGCTCGGGAAGTCTTGGAGCGCGCGAAAGCTTAAATGATGACGCGAGCCATTGGTGTCTGAGCACCACAGAAGAAAAAAGAGGAGCGGATTCGTTCCGCCACTCGACTTTTACTGCGTATGAAGAGACCAAAACTACTCCACCAAGACCACCAACCCTGATCGCCAGCAACACCCGGATCTGGGAGACGCATGCCTGTCGTGGAGGTATCTGTCATCGGGGATCAGGATCAGATGTCCATGCGACTCAAATCCACAGTCGTGGACAGTCCCCATGCGACACTCGAAGCACCGTTATGCGCCTTGCACAAAAGCGCAGCGTGTATCGCTGTCCAGGATCAAGCATTGACGAAGCACGTGTGCCGCTGCTGGCAGTTGCATCCGCAGCACCTGTTTGGTGATGGTGCACTGACGCGACGCTCGTAGCAACAATGCGTGAAGGATGACGGTGAGCATGGTCGGGCAGAGGCTGGCCGAATCCCGCCCGCACGACAAAGCCGCCAGCGTCAAAGATCCCTGCGCGCCGAGCCATGGACGACATAACTTTGCATAAAATCGAAAGCCGAAGTGCGCCTAGGGGGGAACCCGCCGCTCAGTCATGCCCGCTCGTAAGCCCGAACGGGCTAACCAAAGTATCAGTGGACGGGCTTGCTGATGACTGAGGGATTATGGCTGCAAAGAGTAGCCGGGTCGAGGAAGGACCCTTGCTGGCCCAGCGGCCATGTGGTGGGTGGGATGCATGGAGTCCATGGAGTCCGGTGGACATGGCGGGATGCTGTCAAGGCCCGCCCGCCCGCACTCGGACATAACGCGAGGCCGATTAGTCGACCCGTGAGAAGAACGAGTTTGTGGCTCCACCTCAGGCTTATACGTGCAAGCCCAGCGTGGCTCCGGTGTGTTCATGGACACGCAAAGCCCAGGTCACTCTGGGCTAGGATAGGGATCCCATGCCAGGCCCGTTGCACCGGCAGAGCTAGGCAGGAGTTGTGCTCATCTGTGACAAATGTGTCCGGCACGCTGACCTGCGCTCTCCTCGAGCAATTATTAATGAAGACTAGAGCCCACCCCCCGTCATCCCTCCATCAGCATGTCTCGCCTTCTTACGCCTCAATTACGGTCCCCGACTTGCAGTCAACTCACTCATCTCTATCTGTGATTGCCTCGTAGGCTAAATCATACACCACACCTCTTCATGTTATCGCCACCGCAAGCACAACTGCACCTTGGATTCTTATAAGCAACGGTGGCAGGCTAAACCCGGTCACCTGATTCCCACTTACACATCCACATCCCACCACCACCAACAACAACTGCCGTCAAGACAGCATCCATGGACAACGGACTGCCTACACCACCCAATGAGGGCGCCGGTCCTGTGAGGACTTCGGTGTCCTCGTCTTCCAAGAAGACTTCTGGGCCCTCAATAAAGACTTCCAAGTCAGCCAACCGGGTTACGAAGCGCCCGTCGAGTAATACGTCGCGCTCTCCAGTACATGACCATGCACCACCATCCCCACACAGTTCCGATAGTAGGCATAAGAGAGTCTGGAAGGCCTGTGAGCGATGCCGCATGAAGAAGACAAAGGTGAGCTCAGGTTCATCCCGACCCTTTTCTTTTGTGTGCTGTTTGTTTTCGTGCTTCTACACAGCCGTGACCTTTATATCTGACTGGCAGTAAAGTGCGATGGCGAGTTCCCCTGCAAGCGGTGCAAGGACGACGGCCTTGTTTGCACGGCTGGCACGAGAAAGAAGACAGAGTACAAGCAACTTCCCAAAGGGTAAGTTGTGCTCATCTCTCAGGGCCGTCCAGAGGACTCTCAACCATTCTGACAAAATCATCTTGTACATGACACAGGTACGCCGAGGTTCTTGAGCATACACAGTTCGCCTTGATAGCCACGGTGCACAAGCTCTACGCCATGGTCCGTGAGGGCCAGACCTGGGACCTGGGAGAGCCGGATCTCAACGACCGAGGCCAGCCCATAATCCACAACATAGCGACGAAGCTGGGGTGCATCCGGCCGAATGCCGACATTGACCTGCCGCCACACTCTGTGTTTCCCGAGGACGAGGCGGGCCTGTCACAGTTGGCGGCCGAGTTGCAAGCGCAGCAGCCGCCAGAGCACGAATCGATGATCATGGAGGACATCAAGATGGAGCGCAGCCTGACCGAAACCCGCTCCGACCGTGCGAGCTCGTCAGAACTGGACCACTCCGACTTTGAGCAAGACTACCGGGCGACGCTGCTCGGGGAGCAGCAGCAGCAGCAGCACACGAACCTCCAGACCCTGTCGCCACAAAGCTTCTCATCGTGCAACGACTTTGACGTCAACACGCCAATCTCTGCGGGCCTCGACCCTTCAGCCGACGCCATGATGTTTGCCGACTTCCCACCACGCTCGGGCGGGGTGCCGACCTCGATGCCCATGTGGGAGATGAGCCGGCTCAGCGCAATGGGCGACAACATGGCGCAGTACATGCCAAACATGAACCTTAACATGGCCGACATGATGCTCAGCCAGGGGCTGATCGAGTCCGAGTTTGGCACCATCAAGCCGCACATGGTTTCATGTCCCAATTCGGAAGCCATGCTTGGCATCGGGGACCCCATGATCTACTCTGGCTACAACATGGAGGCGGCGATGCGGTCGTGAGTTGGGTTCAAGAGTCCTGCAACCACAACAACAAAAAAAACAAAACAAAAAAAGACGGCAATGGCGGCGGCAGTTTGCCCGCACAGCCAAACAACAGCTTTGCCTCTTTGAAATTCCACGAGAAGCTTTGAGGACTGCGCGCAATTGTGATCGGCGTGCGCGACGTCCGCAGGTGCATATAATACGGAATGAGCATCTGGAGGCCCCGGCTTTCCATGTACAAAAGACCACATATATCTATCTCTTCGGTCCAGGCACCGGCTGTTAGGCACACGGGATGAGCTGGCTGGGCCTCTGTGACCGGGATCATTTGTTTTTTTGCTTTCTTATTGGGTTTGCATGGAGTTTAGGCTAGACATGGTTCATCCATTTTGGAAGGTTGGGGGAACAAAGCGGGCAGTGCAGTACGAGCGAATCATTGGAAATGACAAAGTACACCAATCCCCCCATCATGAGCAGATTTCCTCCCACCTTTGGGGTCCCCCCCTCCCTCCCTGCCGGGCTCGGAAACTTTGTGCCTCCGTTACTCAGCGCCAAGCGTTGGCATGCTCGCTGTCTGTCCCTGCAAACGTTAGGGGCCTTGTCACCCGCCCGTGCGCGCGCTTGTATGCATGCATGCATGCGCCGCCAGGGCCAGGCCAGGGCAATTAACGTTGTTGCAGGAAATTATGTCGACGCGGTCCAAGATCCTTGAACAAGCCGTGCATGGCTGCTGATGATCGTTCAACTGCGCAAGCCACTTCCCAATGTGGTGTTACCTTGGGAGGTATGCCAGCGTGCAAGGTGGGCTGAGAAGTGCCGGGATCATCCCACTCGGACATTGCCCTAGTACGGGGCTAAGGCACGCCGTATATATGACCGTTGCGTTTGTGAATCAAGGCCCTCCAGAGGCAACGGAACAAGCCCTGGTTCATGTGAATTGCTGCACTCGGGTCAGACGTTTGTGCTGCCGCGCGCCAGCGATTTGTGGACATGTGGCTGCTGACAGCTCCGTCCACAAGGCAACGAACGTCATGGTGGTGTAGGAGGATACCCATGTTGCGGCGCCAGCAGCCGGCCAACTCAAATTGTGCAGGGCCCCCGAGCGAGCTAGCGTAAGTAGGTTCGCCGTGACTGACTTATCAAGGGCGCGGAAGCGCATCGACTGGCGGGCTGGGGTTCCACGACGTGCCCACGCATCGAGTCTAATTAGGTTGCAAGCAACGACTTGTCCCGATCTCCTGCACAGGCACTCGGGGCAACCCCTCCTGAGGCAGTAATTGGCGAAGGGGTGGAAGTCCTGGCATGCCGCCCAGCCGAGAAGTGACACACCATCAGTCGGAACTCGAACGGCATGCAGAGTTCAGTCTTAGCTCTAGAGAGGTCTGTAGCGCGGCCGGGCAAACGAGCGAGGTAAGCCGTAACGTCTGGGCGCACAGGCGAGGGCGGACTCGAGATTGGCGGAGCTCCATGTCGTTGAAGCTTATCAGAGACATCCCTCGGGGACCACCCCGCCAGGACGTCGAGGAATGAAGCCGTTTGCAGTTGTGGCAGTTTATTCTTAGGCCGTCAGCGGCGGCGCGTCAGTAATTCGAGGGGCTAGTATCGTTGGATAAAGCAGCATGGCTCGGCCACGTTCCGGTGCCGTTGCCCAACGGTAGTGCAGTGTAGGATCGAGCAATTGCGTTACGTCATGGTCTGGCTGCGGGCTCTACGAATGCTGGAAGCGAGGCAATTGTTCGTGAATGTCTGGTGCCGACGACGACGATGATGATGACGACGACGACGACGACGACGACGACCTTAATTCGCGATGCAAAGGTCGTACGTAGCAGCTATGGATGAATCATCAGGGTGACTCTGGGGTGGGCCTGGGCCTTGTCAAGACTGCACATCCATGTCACGATCCAGGGCGGCAAGGATCGCCCGCAGTGGCCCGGGGCTGAGTCAGGCGCCGACGAGACCAAGAGGGCGCCATTGTGCTCACAGGCCTGTCGCTGTGGATGTTTGCAATCGAGAGCTGCCGGGCACCAGGAGTCTCCATTGGGGGGGTTTTCTCTTTGCTGTGCCGCGGCCAGGATGCGAGTTGGTTGGCCGGCGGAGTTTACCAAGCTCCGAAGGTGTGCAGTAGGCTGGTCGCGGGGCCGGCACGATGCACGCGGCCGAAGGGGCTGACGATGGCGTGGAGGAGGCTCAAATGGACCAAGAGAAAGGGGCTGGCGTTGATATCCCCGGATGGCCTCTCTTTGGCTTTGATCGCTTGGTCGACGTTTCCAAGCTCGCCTTGTGCTAACTAAAGTAAGTGATTGAAGTACATACAGTGTAATACTGTATGTAGCTGGCAGGCCCAAGTTGCGGCTCTCGAGTGGAGAGCCGTCCGTCTGGCAGGAGCGCCCCGTCCTGCTTCTTCTCGAAGGCTTGGCGGACCTGCAGTGGGTCAATCAAATGGACCTCGTCTCGTCCTGCTGGATGCCTTCTGCTTCTTCATCGTCTTGTTCTCGCCAGCCAGCCCCCAGCTTGGCTGCCGCCAACCAGCAGCTTCAGGTGCCGAGCTGTGGCTGGGGTCATCATCCACCACGGGTCGATGTCGCCGTTAGACACTATTACCCCTACAGCACAAATCATTAATTACCCATACTTGCTCATACACCACACACCAGCAGTCCAGGGCCTCGTATCTCGTATCGCCTCGGCTTGCGCTCTACGAATACGCGAGCTCGTACATCGTTCGGGGCCCGGGCTAACTCTGGACCGGCCGCCCCCGAGTTGCCTCAGAGTCAGGATGCCAAAGTGGCAGACCACCGTTGTATCTGCATTTAGAGGCCGTGAAGAAAACAGAAGACGCCACAATCACTACGGACCAATACCCAGGGCACCTCCCAGCCATCTTCTCACCTGTGGTCATCAACTCGTTCCCAGGAGCCTCTGACATGCGGCATTTGCGCGGGGTCGTCGCGTGCGCCCTTCATTGCCAGAATCCCACAACCCGGGCGGATTGGTCAGCGATCCGACACTTCGGCCACTTTGTGCCTCTGCACTCGGCTGGTGACAAATCAGCACCGGCCTGAGCCTATTCTGATGGGTCATGCTGAGACATGCACCAGCACCCAACCCGGCCAGTAACCCGCCACGGCCCCGTTATCCCACAACGTTATTGTTGTGCTTTGTGCTGCGTCCGCTCCACTACAGGAAACAATCCCCCTGCGCAATCAGTCAGTCGCCTGGCCACCTTGTCCTGTCTCGACGACTGGGCTGTGGTCTTGTCTCTGGCGGCACTCTCAAACTGCTCGGGGCGGCGGAGATGCATGAGTCGTCGACCGACGCTCGGATGAGCCTGTCTGTGCTAACGGTCTTTGATCGCACCCGAGTGAGGCCCGGACAGGCCATGTGTCATTGTCATTGCCAGTGCCAGTGCCGCATTTGTGCCCGGGCTCCTTCAGGGGCCGTGGTCCGCTGCATAACTCTGTGTCGAGTGGAGGAGGCTAGGGCGAGGCAGCAGTCTCGGGGTTAACCCACCTAGCATCGCACGCCTTCGTCCGCGGAATGTCCGCCGCAGCAACTAAGGTTAAGTTGATGATGCCAAGGGCCCGGTCCAGCACAGCTGCAACGCACACCACCTCTTCCCCGGGATCAGATCAGGGTCTTGTGACCGGCTCCTGCTTGCCCTTACGCGGATTACGCAGCCCTTGTCCGGACAGTCATATCTCTCCGTCCGCGGCCACAGCTTGTGCAGATGTGCAGATCAGGGGTCTCTCGTTCGTTCGTTCGTTCGTTGCCTTGCCTCGCCTCGCTCGCAATTCTTCTGTCCGTCCGCCCGTCGGCCGTGCGTCCTATCGGCCGTTCGGCACGGAGCCACAGCGAATCCCGAATCCCATGCTCCCGCGCGCTAGTTACCACGCACGCATCGACGCCTGAGCCGTCCTCGGCTCGCCTCCTCGCGTCTTTCCATGCGGCGGCTTAATTACCCTGGTCGACTAATGACCCTTTATGCACCCGTCTACTATCAGGAGGTGTCACTACTCTAACGCGCCCTCCAATGCAAAAGCCGGATGCAATTCCGATCAACATCTTCGTCTCCCCCTGTCCGATCGATCTTGTGATCTGGGATTTTCGGTATTCGGTGCTTTGCGAGTCGGGCAGCGCAGTGGGATGAGATACGTAATCCCCCAGAGGCGCCAGCATGGGGCCCTGTCTGGTTCTGAGTTGTATAGTACAGCATGTTTTGCCTTTCGGGTCTTCGCGGTCTCTGCCCCCCTCTCACTGTATCCACGCTCAAGTAATGGTTTGAAGCTTTGATCATACCTCTTGAACGGCATGGGTAGCCGTCATGCGGCATTTTGATTTTGACTACCGGGCGATGCTCATGGACAAGCAAGCACGCATACACACGGCACTAGAAACTAGTTTTGCTGTGACTTTACGCCTTATGTAGCTCAAGCACTCTCCCATAACCAATGTGGCCTGTCGTCGTGCATCGGGTAATGCCGCTCGAGATTATGCCGCCGTTGCTGCTTTCCCGGCGGAGTTGTTGCTTGTTCGTGGTGGCGGCGGTAGTATTGAGGGTGGGAGGGAATAGAAAGTGACAAGTGAGCCACATTCTCCGGGATGGAGTAAACATGGCATGACAACGTCGTACTGTGTCAATGCACCTAGATTCCCACTGGCTCGTTCCGGGGGCGGCCATGGAAACACCGCGGCGAAGTTTCTATGCATTGCACGCGGGTCTTTCAGCATATGTCATATTTTTGCCGAGTTGCTCTGTTCACTGGTTTACGGAGGTTGCTTGATGAAGACGGTGGTTCCGCAACGAAGGAGACCAGTCATAAACCTGAATTGCGGTGATGAACAATTTGACAAATCGGTCGTGCGATTGATGTCTGCCAGTGAATTCTGAGGCGGAGATGGCGTGCGTGGCAATGCGGACTTACTTGAAGTTACATAAGACAAGAGAATGACTGGTTTCACAGCGGTGACGAGCCATGTATTTCGGGGATGAGAGAAAATCGATTTTTTTGTTTTGTGTGTGCGTGCGTATCGACTCTCTGTTTCGACGCACAAGGTGCAAAGAAAGACTGGCTGTTTCACCCTGTTGGTGATGATTACTGCGGTACGATGCAGACTGGTGTTTTTCTTATCCCTTCTCCGTCATCTCCCGTGCTTGCTACCGCTAATATGACATGGTGAAAATCCCTGGACAGCAGCATCTTCTTGCCCTGGCAGAGTAGAGCATCCATGGCGGCGACCGAGCCTTGCACAAGAACCTCATGCTGCCACATCTAGGTCCGACTTTATGGCTGGCTCTGAGGAGGTGTAGGGCGAGGGTTCTTTTGTTTTGCCCGAAAATAAGAGAAAGAACAGAAAGAGAAAAGAAAAGAAAAAGAAAGGTTATCGTATATGGTGTTTGCTGGCTATGTTCTCTGTCGCGTCTCCCGAGACAAAAAGAAAAAGGCCAAGGAAGAACGGAAGCAAGGAAGATGGAGGAAACAAAGAATTGCACGATCAGCCATCTGAAAATCCTCAAATTGTTGATCTCGACTTTGAATCTTCTCGATGACCCAATCAACCGTTCTTCTCTGGACCCTACTTGAGACGCGGACCAAGTGAAGGCCAATTTCACGTCTATCTATCTTTCAGCTATGAGGACTGCAATGGGGATTGTGAGCGCCTCGAGCGGAGCGAGAGACGCGCGGAATTAAAGATTTGCAAAGGACAAGGCGAGTTTTCGTCTTAAGCGAGTTGGCCTTGTTTCTTCACGGCCTGTAGGTAAATTCGAGCTCCTAGCTGTTCTTGTTCCAACGGTTCTTTCAATCTTCCGGTTATTTGCACTTGAGAAACGGGCCAGGTGCGTCCCATGGCATCTCCTACCGCTTTGCTGTCTCCTCAAGGACGCGCTGCATGGGAGCATCGCAGTCTTTGTTATTGTCCGTTGCCTGAGTGAGAGCACGGGTATGTGCTTGCGGCGGCTTTAACCGACGGAGCACGTGGTGGAGCGTGTTTCTACGGGAAAATCTATGAGGCTGTGGGCTACATGTTCTATAGGGCCACCCTTTATTTTCATTATTTTATTAGTATTTTTGTTCTTGCGTTTTTGGGTACTTGGATCTTGTTCGTCTCTTTCGTGCCAAGTTGGCCTGAAGTGAGTGAATATAAGAAGAGACTGTAGATGGTGATGATCTCAGACAGACACGGGCTTCCGTATATCTTGTCTCATTCTACCGCTCGATCATGCTTGGAGTTCAGAGCATCAATTGGCGTGCTGGGAAGCCTGCCTTGGCGTCTTTAATATTCTCAGAGCATCTATGCACCGAATGCCTAAGCGCCATCGTCCTGCGTTAATGCTTCACCGGAATCCGGAATGATCTGCCCGTCACATGTCGCCCGCAGTATCCTGGTGCTCGTGAGTCAGAGGAAGAATTGGGTCACTGAAGTGCTTCCCCCAAAACGACAAGCTGAAAATTTGTTCTCGCTGAGATACACTTCTGTCATTTTTCAGCAGCTCGTATATCGGATGTGCAGCCGGCCACTCGGTCTCTGTAAGACGATTGTGCTGACGGTTTTCCGCCGCCGTCGGGTCTGGCGCGTCAAGGTCGGTTGTTTGTTAGTCATTCTACTTGCCCAGCTCCTCCTGTACGGCAGGTTTCTACATTTTCATCGGACCATGCTGACATGAATCGGCGAGCCGTCCGAACCACCACCACTCAGCCGCAAAGAAAGGCAAAGTCAAATGATGCCCGAAAGACGGATATTGGAGCGACTGTCCATAGCACAAAGCCTCTTTGCCAGCCGAGACCGGGAATGGGGTGCACATTACGCACAGAGTACTTTACTACAACGAACCATTGAAGAGAAAGGGCTCTTTCCAGAATGAGAAGGGCTTCGCCATGACTAGGGCATTTGACAGAGAGAACACTGGGCATGTCAGGCCTGGGTTTTCATTTTATTCTTCTCTTCCCCACTGCATGATTCGTTCCTGACAGACAAATTCGGGTTCGTCGTGCTCGTCGTGCAGAGCCATCCCCATCATCTCCTTTGCCAAAGACACGCGACGGGGATCTACGAAGACTCGAGCATGACGACGAACTGGAGCGTTTTGGACAACCAGGCTGAGCTCAACAACGGGCAATCAAACCAGCATCCTGACCAGCATCGTAAGAGACTCAGATAGCTCTGCCGGGACAGACAGCGCACGAGCAAGATGGCGTCGGTGAAGCAGGAATGGGGGCTTCAGCCGCTCCGGACTACCAGCAGAAAGCTATGGACCAAAGCATTACTGGTTGCTTTTGCCGACGCCTAACCGGGGCTGACACGGACGGCAGGAGAAGGGAGGCGGTTGTGATACCAGTAACCTATTGACTCGACAGAGAGAAAGGCGTCCGAACGGCTCGGGGGGGTGCCCGCACGGACCTCGACCTCGACGACGGCAGCGTTGCAGATCGTGGTCGCCTGGTGGTTTCGAAAAGCGGCGATCGATCTCGCAAGTGCCCGCCTTTTGTTCGGCCGGCAAGATAAGCGACGTTGTTGGGCCCCCCAGCAGAGCAGAGCCGAGCCTCGGGGATCTGCAGTCGAGGCAGGCCGCAAAGGACCCCTCGAAAAGGCAACAAAGGCGGAGAAGAGAGGCGGACAGCTTGCTGCTAATGATGCCCCGCGGGGTCCAGTCTGGTACTTACTTATGGCGTACCTTATGGCACGTAGTTTGGGACTCCAGAGCTTGCCATCGCGTGTCATCTGGTTGGGGGTGAAATCCAGAAAACAGCATCTGCGCGCAGGTTGCCAGCAATTGAGTGAGAGAATGAGCGAGTGAGTGACGTCTGCCGCCAGGAATGATATCATGCCAGCTTATGGGGACGACTGGCATGCATGTGCGTGCAATCAGGCAGAGTGGACGGAACCGTCAGGGGGGGACCAAGCTAAGGCGCCCCCCCCCCCCCCCCATCCCAAGTTGGTGCTCCTCTCATGCCAGACGCCAGGAGCTTAAGGTACCAATATCTGAGGACAATCGTGGAGCGCTGGATCCGGCGGGAGGGCCGGAGTGGGCTTTGTAAATGCACATGCCGGCCAGAACCACAGGCAATCTGCCAACCGCACTCGGTCCTGCCTTGGCTTGGGCATCGCCGTGTCCCTGGCCGACGATCTCTCTCTCTCTCTCTCTGTCTCTCTCTCTCTAAAAGAAGTGCATGTAATTACATGAGCCCCCTGGCCCGCTAATTAAGCTGCTCCTTGGATTGGATCCCTGCTGACTTATCGTCGGCCGCCCGTCAGCTCAAGCTGGTACCTCCCCCATAATCATTAGCGTAGTGTAGGCACTTACCTTAGGCACCGTCGCCTTTCCAGGGGCCCTGGCCTGTGCTGTGTGTCCAGCCTGCTCCTGCTCTGCTCGCACTGCGCCTCCCGCAGCAGCAACAGCACCGACAACACGTCACCGCGAGACATTTCACGATCCTCCACCACCCACGGCCCTGTCTCCGCCCAAGCCTCTTCGTCTGCTGCACGCCCACGACCCTCTTGCCTCTTCATCGCAAGTTCCGGCCGGCGCCGCGCAAGCCTCCGTTCACTCGCATCGCCAGCTGGTCCCACCATAAGCATCAGTCGCCCTCGCCTGTCCGAGGCCGCGCGCGCCAGGCGCCATGAACGCCATCCAGCAAAAGTGTCGGCCCAAGCACCAGGTCCTCGTGCTCAAGTGCTATCCCAGGACCACCAAGGGTGCCGTCGACGTCAAGCCCAACTCGAGCGAGCTGAGCTACCTGCTCTTCTATGCGACCTCGCGCCGCTCAAAGATCCAGAAGGTCGGCCAATTCCTCGAGAAGAAGACGGCCAGCGATGTGTGGCGGCTACGCATTGGGTATGGCGAATACAACCCCCCTCTAGGTGGACTCGTTGAAACAATTCGGCCTGCTGACAGCTTCTCTCCCCCTTCCACAGCAATGTCCAAGTAACCTTGCAGATCCTCGCCGCCCTGATCGAGAAGTCCCCCAAGGACTTGCCCTTGTTCGCGCCCAACGTCCTCAAAGTGCTCGGCTTGATCCTCAGATCCCAGGATCTGACCATGGTCGAGGCTTCCCTCCCCACCTTCGAGATCTTCTGCGAGCACCATGACGCCGCCGCGCTCTTCGCCGACCAGTCATATCTCGAGCAGTACAAGGAGATCACAAAAGTCTACGCCGGCTTTGCCTCGACCGTAAGCTCGCCTACAAAGACGACTCCCAGCAAACCTATTGCCATGAGATGGAGGAGTGTCGGCCTGATGGCGATCAAGAGCATTGCCCAGTCCGACGCCCTATCCTCGGTAGCGGGTCGGCAGCTCGAAATCACTGTGCCGATGGTGCTCGAGAATCTCTGGACAGACAACGAGGACTTTTTGCAGGTCCTCCTCCAGCGGGCAAGCTTGGAGGAGAAGACGGACACCACGACGCCGCTGCGCCGCCGTACCAGCATCTCCACAACTCAGACATCCGAGACTGGCGGCGACACAAACCCCCTAGCCCTCTCCGGCTCCACGAACGACATCGACCGCCTAGCTGAGCAAGACGTGGGTGTCCTCGCAATGCAGTGTCTCAAGCAGATCTTTGTTGTGCCCAACAGAGCGCAAGTGAGCGGTGCCACGAGGGCGCTGATTGAGTTCATCAACGATCGCCTCAAGCAAAACGAGGTTGTCGTCAAGGTCCACCCACACACCGGCCAAGACAAGGGCTGGGCGGTTGCGATATTTGGCCTGGCAGCCAGGTGGGCACCTGTTCAGGACCGCTACATCATCCTTATCACGGCCATGGATGTACTTTCGAAGACACCGCTGACCACCGAGAACGTCAAGCTGCATAATGCTCTGGTCGCAATCGTGGGATCGCTCTTGCGATCAGACGTAAATCTGATCGGCTTGAGCGTCATGGACGTCCTCCTGGGTCTGCTGCAACTCCTCAAGAAGGCCCTCCGTGGTCGAATCAGTAACAGGGCTGATACTGGCGTGGTTGAAGACGAAAAGGCCGGGCAGGCCGACTCGGCTCCTACCGAGCACGATGAGCTGCTGGAACGGATTCAAAAATGTATTGGCTATCTGGCGACACACGTCTACTATGGGGACCAGGTAACGGATATGATGTCCACGATACTATCGTTACTCAGGCTGCATCCTGCTGCGACCGAGACAGCATCTCCCGCTGAGAAGGGCGAGGCGCGCGTTGGTGCTACCGATTCCACCGCCAATCTCTCCGATGACCTGCAGCAGCTTGATAGCCTGTTCGCAGCGGAGGCCGGGAAGGTGTTGGCCCTCAAGGCTATCAAGTCCATCCTTTTAGTCGCCAATTCCAAGGCGAAGGCGGATGGCCGATCAACCTTGAGCAGAAGCAAGGTCCCGCTTCAAGTATGGGAGGGCACCCATTGGTTGCTGCGCGATCCCGATGCCGCAGTACGGGTAGCTTATGCCGATGCCCTGGTCACTTGGCTGGATCGTGAGACAACCCGCCGTGATGCGTCGGCGGCCGATGACGCAAAGCCAAGGGTCGGGCGTGTTGGTCGTCGTGACTCGCCTTTGGGACACGGCACACGCAGAGCAGTGTCCAGCGCCTCCAACCGAGAGCGACCTGCGAGGTTCCCACGGTCTCACTTCCTTCGCCTCCTTCATCTCGCTGCCTACGACAATGCCATGCAGTTCATGGACAGCGAGCCAGATATTGTGTTGCTGCACATTCTTCTGGCTAAACTTGTCGACAAGCTGGGCATCAATGCTGTTAGATTTGGCTTGCCGATGATATTCCGACTACAGGAAGATATCCAGGAGGCCGAGACGCCCTTGCAGAAAGTCCGACTTGGTTGCCTCTGTCACGGATATTTCCTGGCAGTAAGTGTCAAATTCCAGCTAGAAGACTCTATCATTGGCAGGGCCATCCAGGCAGAGATCACACGCAGGCGCAGCAAACAATTCTGGGTCGAGGGGATCCAATTCCCACCACCTACCGTGGAGTTGGCCTTCAAGACGCCACGAGCAGAGTTCTCTCTGCCCAGCCAGAATGTGGAGTCGGAAGCGCTTTTGCCATTCGACGAGCGGTTTCCACTGGTCGAACAGCTTTGTGGTCAGTACCAAGATCGTCCACAATCGCCCTCACTGAGCCCGCCGTCTTCTCCCGGCAGGACGATGGCTCAGCCCGTACTTGGGTCAGCAACCTTGGCAGTTCCCTCGGCGACACAATCTGACCGCGAGCTCCCCAACTATATGCGGGAAGACATGCTTGCAGAATGGTCGCGGGAGGCTACGCTTGCTGCCGTCCAGGAGGGCAGCAAGTCTGCATCCCTGAGCGGCTCCAAAACTGGTACTGCCAGCCGTTTTGGGGGCAACGGTCTACATCCCAATGGGTATGCTAGCAGCAGACCGCCCTCGGCGTACGCTCAGAACAGCATACGACCTCTGTCACATGTTGGCGCCTCGCACATCGCTGCCCTCCGGAAGTCGAGTCTGCCGAGTCGCGGGTCAACAAGAAGCCAGTCCCCGCGCGGACAAGTGGCCTCGGTTGACCAATTGAAGTCGGTCCTGAGTGGAGAGTCTGTCAGGCCGTCCACTTTCAACGTAGCTTCATCAGAGGATGATGACAGCGACAGCATGGCCAGCCACGACTTCGCACCATCTGAGTTTTCAGTCAGTGAGGGATCTCCAGAAGTAGGACGAGCTAATGGCGATGGCTTGACACGTACACGCTCAAAGTCGAGTATCCGCAAATCAAACGGAGAGGACGGCGGACCGCTCTCATCAAACCCTACAATCACGGCCCAGGAGGACTTGGATGGCGGCGTGCCGCCTGTGCCCCCTTTGCCCTCCGGCGTGACTGGTGTTTCCCCAGTACCAGCAACAGCCGACGCAGTACAGGCTTCGAGCCCTGTTTCACAGCAGCAAAGGCCCAAGACCGGCAGGAGAAGCATCAAATCCCGGGCGGGTGAGGGCAATGGCGGACTCAATGGCGGACTCGGATCCGAGAGTGGTAACGCGATGGACTTGCAATCCTTGCTGAAGGGGATCGACAGCAAGTCCCGAGAACATACAATTGGCAGCCTGACGAAGCCGCCGTATTGAAGTACATAATCTGTTGTACATCATTCATGGAAGTTGGCGTACATAAATCCGCAGAGTGCGACGGAAACTTGGGTGGCCAGCGAGTAGCCCCCATGCATGCACGACGAACCAGAAGGAAAAAAAAAAGAGAGAGGGTGACATTGCACACATAGGCAAACAAGAAACGACATATATAGACTTGACCCGCGCGGCCGCACGGCATTGCAGCGAAGGAGTCCGGGGGGAGAAACGCTCTTCAGCAGAGCGGCGGCATACCTAATATTCTCTCATGTACAGCGCGAAGGAGAAGAAGAAGAAGAAGAAGAAGAAAAGGAAATACACAATGGCTTGCAGATCTTGCCTGCTTGCTTGCTCATGCTTCATGTTTCTTCCATGTCTGACTTGACGCCGAGACTTCCTCCCCGGGCTCGCGTGATGATTATATGCTTGCTTCTTGTGCTGTCAACCTCCCGTGCTCATGCTCGTGCTCGCGCACGCTCGTATTGACAGCTGCGTAGTACAACGACAGCTGCGTGGCGATACCAATGAGACGAACACCGTGTGCATGAATGGCCGGGCAGGCAGCCTTCCCAAGCGCTTAGTTGTTCTGGGACACCTGCTTGTGTGACGGTCGCAAATGAAACGGGAGTCGCGTTAAAGAAAGGGTTTTGAGAATGGAGCAGTGTCTAATTATCACGATTCCACAAAAATCAACCCTAAGCCAAAAATATTTCATGCTTGATTTCATATTGCTATACAGCTGGGCGAGTTTTAACCAGCTTCGCTAGATCAAAATTACATATACAATAACATGACCAACTATCCAAGCCTTCCGAGTTACTACTGACTTGGTTCATCAAACTCAAAACGCTCCATTCAGACAGAGGTCGAACTTCTCGGCCACAAACGCCGTCCCGGTACAAACTCTTTCTGCTGGTGCCCGACGACGGACTGCTGCCATGTGGGTGCACTAGTCATTTTGCAGGATTGCAATTCCAAGCCCTGAAGTCACGGCTACTTAAATGAAAGAGCCTCATCTTGGCTAAACATCACAGGGCATCTCAACGCTTTCCACTCAAGGCAGACGACCCGGCAGTCTTCTTCCTCAGATTGCCCTGGCTGCCCCACGCGCCAGCCGACTTCTTTAGTCTGTTGCCCAAGGAAATCCGGGCTGCGGACAGCGGCTGCTGCTGCTGGTGGGCAGCATAGCCTGCTGCGGACGATGAGGAGCCCAGGCCACCGCTGTCATCTAGAGGCTTCCCTTGGCCGTCTGTCAGGGGTAGTTGGGATCCGCTCGCCACGTTCTCCCACTCCATGACGCTTGACACGGTAGGGCTTGCGATGGACATGCGACGGACGCCGTGGTTGTAGGATGGATCCCCTATAGTGGTAGTTGTGTTCAAGGACCCGAGATCGTCCGAAACTTTCCGCGTCTTTCCCTGCCGCAGGGCGCCAATCATGACGGTCCACGACTCTACAGTGCTGTTGCAAGCTTCCTCGATGCAGTTGCAGTCGTCGCCCGCGGGACACTCAGTTTCACCCGCGGCATACCATTCGGCGAGGCAGCAGTCATGGCTGGCGCACCCACAGCCCAGGCAGGGCGGGTAGAGCGCCGTGATGGGCTCGTGGCAGAAGACGCAAAAGAGCTGTGTCTGTGTGCGCTTGCAGCGCTCGCAGGTTCCCACCGCACCGCCCGCTGTCGCGTACGACTCGGTGTGCCGCACAGGATCCAGATGAATCTCGTGGCGCCAGCATATTCCCGTGACATCGATGCCCACTTCGGAGTCGACGATTCTCTCAAGCATTTCCTTCTTGCGTAGGACGAGGGGCGAGCTCGTCTCCGCATGACCAGATGACAAGTGGTTCAGGCTTTCGCTGCTCTGATAAGACTCGCGGAAGTCGCCACGACCAGAAGTACCGAAGGAGGAGCTCGAGGAATGTATGGAAGTGTCTTGCTTCAAGACGTTGAACTTCATGATCTCGAGCCGAGCGAGGGGTTGTTCCCACATGAGCAACATCTCAGCGTAGGCATATCGATAGCCAGCATACAGGTGTTCCCGCGAATGCTCTAAGAATGGGACGCTCAGCCAGCCATCATCGTCGAAGATAGCCTGATCCTCCAGCTCAGTGGAAATGCCATAACACACGTATGGCAGCAGGTCATCCTTGCGCGGCTCATCATCAGAAACCGAATTCCGAGCCGTGTTCGAGGGCTCGAATGTCGGACTTGGACCAATAACGGTCGAGCCGCCCCAGGTCACGTTCATGTTTGGGGTAAGGTTAGCGAGCAAATTGTCACCTGGACTTGGGCGCTTTCGTGTTGGTGGTGATGACGAAACCACATTGGCGAATGGACGTGGGAAGTTGGCCGCAAAGCCCGAAGCTGTAGAGAGAGCCGTGTTGGCCCGGCGGAACATCCTGTTGTCCGGAGATGTCGACAAGCTATGAGTCGGATCTCCTTCACCCGGCGTCCTCGAGGGAGGCGTCTCCCCGCAAGAATACGAGTTTGGCTCGGTGCTCCATTGGGCGCCGTCTGAGCCATAAGAACCGACAACGCGAGTCGGAGTATGAGCGATCTTGGGGGTGCCTGCTGCCGACGTAGCTTGGCTCTTGTAGTTGCTGTTCGTTACCCACAAAGAGGCATCGGCCGGGAAATAGTCGAGAGAGAAAGCGGGGGCCTTCATGGGCAATGGCGTTTCTGGCTGGGTCAGGTGAGACTCAGCGTATGCTACACTGTCCTCAGTTGACGACTCTCCGAAGATACATGAAAGCATGGCCAGCATCTGGATGTCGGCTTGGAGCTCGAAGTACACGAAGAGATCAGTAATCAGATCTTTGGCAAGGGGATGCTGGCCCCATTTTACTCGGCCGGTGAGTTTGTTCTTCTCCCATTCGTTTGGCGATGATTCGTCTGTGCCAAACCGGGACACGGCGTCTCTGGCAATGACAAGCATAGAGTCATGCATCTGCGAGGCTTCAACCCACTCCAGAGGTATCGCTTTTCGAAGCAAGAGAGCCGCATACTTCCAGACATCAACAAGATCTGATCTCCCATACTTCTGCACCACAAGCGCATTATGTTCACACACTTCCTCGCCATCGCCAAAGATGCGATACTCATGCGCGAACTCTTTTTGGGACGGAAGCTCGCCTGCAATGTTGTGGAGGGCGATGACATTCTTGGACTTGCCCAAACGTCGGCGGCTTGTGCCAGTACCCGTGCCGGTGCCGACCCCGGTACCTCCTCCGCTTGAGTGCATTGAATAGGTGCCACTGAAAGTTTTGCGAAAGCGCCGTCCAGGGAGATACCACATGTTGATTTTGTGCATATACGTGGTCTCAGAATCGCTTGAGCTCGACGATGACACATCCGTTTCTTCAGAATCTGACTGGTCGTCTGTGGCCGATACCTCATCGTTCATAAATCGGCTACGAGGCGTTGCAAACTCTTGAGCCAATCTGCCGAAGCCAGCAAACTGCGGCTCGTTTCTCGAGCGGTCCTTACCAGCTTCACCTGGTGCCGAAAGATACATTGCTCTGGCCTTCTCTTCCTTAGTCGGGAAGAAACATACAAGCGTGCCGTTGTTGGCAAACCGAGCCCCGCATGTCCGGGGCACCGGCGTCCGGTTTGCAGGCGTCAGTGTGGCATCGAGTTCTACGCTGGCTGTGAGATCCTGGGAAAGCGAGGTTACGCCTTCAGCAGGGACGTCCTCGTCTTCCTCACTGGAGCTTTCGTCCGCAAGTCCGTCAACGTCATCATCAAGGTCTTTGACGTTCTTGAAGAAAGCATCGCTGTTGGACAAGTCTGTCTCGCCCAGGAGATAGCTGAAGCCGACCTCCAAGCAGTTTTGACGCCTCCGGGCAAACTGGCTAGCGAGTTGATTGACTTCATGGTCGACCTTCTTATACGTTTGCTCGTCCATCAAAGCCGTCTTCTCGACGAGGAACTTAGGGGCCTTGGACTTTGGATAGCCATGAGGGATGTCAACCTTGACCTTGATATAGATTGTGTCCCCATCGGCACCCCAGGGCCCCTGGAGAGAGGCTTTCAAGGTGAGCTCGTCCATGTCAACATTGTCCCACTGTACGTTTGGAAGCTGTTGATTCACACGAATGATCTCATCCTGTATGGTTTCTGGCTCACCCCAATGTTGATCGTGGAAATTGGGGCTGAACATTGTCGAATCCTTGGACTCCTTCCGTTGCGGAGACCGTGGCAGAGGTATTGGCTTCTTCTTACTCATGGTAATACCCTTCATCCAACCCAGTTGATCACGGCCACGATCACCGCCTTTCCCAGCGGACGATTTTGCCTTCATTGCTGGGCCCTTCCACGAAGGCGCTGAACCGCCCCATGGATTTCGAGAGGACATGGTCTGCATACCCATGGTGAGAGCGCTGCGCCTGTATTGGCTGTTTCTACTTCCAGGCCGCGAGTCGCTCATCTTGGAAGACGCGCGCTCCTTTGCAGAGTGGTCGTCCACGGCCCGGAACGTCTTGTAGGTGGCGCCCTTCCTAGTAATGTTGAAATTGCTTTCGGGGATACTGCCCTTGACATAGCCAACAGCCTCAAGAACATCAGGCTCCATAGGCTGCAGCCTCAGCGCGTTGTCATCACCCCAAGTGACAAGCTGGAACTCGCGTTGGTCGGTGCCGTCCTCGGCAATCCCACCACGAGCCCTCCACAGGAATTCTTTTGCCTTGTGGTCCTCCCCATGGCCCTCGAAAACCTTGACTGGGTGGCTGTGGTTGTGCGTACCGCCGTCAACATTGAGTCCACAATCATAGAGGTGGAGGTTTCCAGGCTCGTTCTGGGGCATGGCCAAAAGTCCACGCCCAAATGGTGTGAATCGTGCCCGCCACACGGGGAAATCCGTCTTGATGACACTGACGGGTGCGTCGGCGGATTCGTAATTCCACAGCTTGATGCGCTTGTCCAGCGAGCAAGTTGCGAGGGTCTTCGAGCAGGTCCGATGCCAGTCGATGCCGTAGATCTTGGAGGTATGCGCGCTTATCGACTTTACCGGCTCAGAAGGCTTCCTCTCATCCCATACGTGGAGCCATCTGTCATGGGACGAGGCCAGTGTGAAAGGGTCCTGCCGGTTGAATTTAACCTGTGTCGCGCCTGCGAACCAATCGCAAAAGGTGATGGCAGGCTGGCGTGGTCGTCGCAGGTCCCAGCAGTGCACATACCCATCTACGGAACACGTTGCGAGCAGATCCGGATGATGTGCCGAGAAGTTAATGTCTGTGATAGCCCGACTGTGCCCCTGAAGCGAGTGCTCGATTGCACCCGTAGGCGAGTCATCTCTCAAGTTGAGGTTCCATACAAGACATCGGTGATTAGCTGTGGAGGCGACCCAATAGTCGCGCGCTGCAAATGGTGACCATTGGACGTCTACCACCAGCCACGGGAGACCGTGACTGCTCAAGCGGCGTGGCCGACTGTATGGGGAGTCAAGATCGATAATGGCAAGACCCTCGGGACTATGAACATGTGAGCATGTGTCTTTGGAGACGTGAGGGATTGCGCGACGAAGCTTACGACGCAAGAGCGACATCTCTGCCTGATGGTGAGATGGTCGCCGAGCCGACCAGTCCATCAACATGAAAGCTGCCATGAGAGTCGAAAGTGTCACTGTCGAAAGCAGACTTTATAGGTTTGGTCTTGCCTTTCTTCGAGGACTCCCACGTCTGCACCACAGAAGATGGCATTTTCGAACGATCGAGTCGAGCGTGGAGCCGTGGAGCCGTCGTCAGCAGCACAGCCAGTTGCTGTCTGCTCTATGTCACGTCAGGGCGGCATTACCTGGGCTCGGAGCGTCCGTTCGCTGAGGGTCCTTGTCGGCAAAGGGCTTTCCCCCTAGCGAGGTCTATACTGCCAAGGGTCGAGACGGTGATGGCGCCTCGAGAGATTGCCAGGCTTGATGTCACTTGTCGCGATTCACATGTAGAGGTCGAGCGGCGACCCAGATGCATTGAACAGTATGCGACACGTCCACGCGAGGAAGGGCACTGTGCTTGATACAGTGTGCGCTGCCGACAGGACACTGTTGCACTCCCAGGTCTACGGCTCTGCAAATCGGGCTAAGTACGTCAACCCCGCCCCCTCCAGCAGGAACAGGGAGCAGCAACAGCAAGCAAGCTCCTTATCGGCAGTGTATGCATTACAGCCGGGCTATGCTCGATACATCCTGGGCTCGCCCTCTTTGACGTCGTGATCAACACTCGACAACCTCACGCTAAACATTACCAGATTCTATTCTCGACATCAGCGAGCTGGGAACATCCACCAGCCTTTGCGACCCAACATTTCCCATCTATCCAGACGTCATCCACGAACCGACATCTCATCAAACTGCCAGCGAAGTGTGTCCAGCTGAGGGTAGATTAGCCTTCATTCTAGCCAAGTCCCGCTCGATCGCACTTGCCAGAGCACTTCATAACCCGATTTACACACATTACAACATGGCGCTCCCGAAGCGAATCATAAAGGAGACCGAAAGGCTCATCTCCGAACCGTACGAGCTGTGCGCCTCTTAACGATGGTCAAAGGTGAAAACTAACAGCGCGTGCAGGGTCCCTGGAATCAGCGCTGTGCCTCACGAGGACAACCTCAGATACTTTGACGTCGAAATCCACGGCCCATCAGGCTCCCCATACGAAGGTGCGCTGCTGCAACGTCCCGCGTCCTAGCTCCGAGGACAACAAGCCTCACCAGCTTCGAACCTAACAGGTGCTTAAATGGCAGGTGGCATTTTCAAGCTCGAGCTCTTCCTCACAGACGACTACCCGATGGTCCCGCCCAAGATCCGGTTTCTCACCAAAATCTACCACCCAAACGTGGACAAGCTCGGGCGGATCTGTCTTGACGTGTTGAAGAGTAAGTTTGTCGTCCGCAAATAAGACACCTCGCCCCCCATGAGTACAGACCAGAGATGTTAATGAACGGTTCATCACCACAGATAACTGGTCGCCCGCCCTTCAGATTCGAACGATCCTCCTGTCGATCCAGGCCCTCCTCGGAGCTCCCAACCCAGACGACCCGCTTGCCGCTGATGTAGCAAAGAGCTGGAAAGAGGACGAGAACAAGGCTATCGCAACAGCCAAGGAGTGGACACAGCAGTATGCGAAGCCTTAGAGAGCGGGTACGGAGGATGCGACGACTGGAGAGCCGCCTCGTTCCGGCAGGATTTCGCGTTTGTCCGGCAGGGTGGAGGATGCTCGTCACAAGTGACGTCTAGGTCCAGGTCGGACAAGTCATGCCGGCAAGCTGATGCATTGTCGGAGAAGGCTTCAGTATAGAGACAGGATTGGGTGCAAGCTTGTGCTCGGCGCTGGGAAAGGCCACGACGCTTTGCTGTATATTTGTGTTCCACGGCGCCGTTCCTGGTATCGCACATGACAATTGCTCCGGAGTCGGGGATTCTGAGACCATTACGAATTTGATGATAAGACCAATGTCATGAATGCCTCGCCCTTTGGATTACCTCATTATTGTTATTGTGAAGAGCCCACGCAGCGTCGGCGGAGCCTGGTTTATTCATTGCCAAAATATCAAGGCCTGCCTATTCGGCTTCCTACGTTTCGCCAAACACAAAAACGCCCTTTCCAGCGCGGAATCCCTCGAGTGTACCCTGCACAGCGTCTCGCAGCACTCCCTCCTCGGTCTCCCAGCTCCAGGGGACCTCTACGGTAGGGACGTCCTTGAACTTGCCCTCCCTGATGAGATCCAGAATCTCGTTGACGGTCCTCTCCTTTGCCGCCACATCCCGGTCCGCCCAGCGACTCAGCCAGAATCCCAAGAACCGGATATTCTTGAAGATTAGCAAGCCCGTGGGCAGCGCGACCGGCTGCCTCGACATGCCGCCGTACGTGACCACGGCGCCTCCGGGGCCGAGCGTCTTGGCAATCGTCTGCGCGGACTTGCCGCCGACGCAGTTCATGCCCAGCTTGATGCCCTCGCGGCTGCCCCGGGTCCACTGGGCCACCATGTCCTTGAACTCCCTGCTGAGGAACTCGTCCTCGGTGACGACGTGCGTCGCGCCCAGCGCGGCCAGCTCGTCCTTGAGCTCCTGCGTCTTCTCGGGCGAGTCGCGCGCCCGGACGACGTTGATGCTGCGGTAACCCCACAGCCTGCCGAGCTGGATCGCCGCGCGGCCGACGCCGCTGTTGGCGCCGTTCTGGATGAACCAGTCGCCCTCCCGCAGCGCGGGCTCCGCAAAGTCGCGCAGCATGCGGTACGCTGAGCACGGGTTGACAAACGCCGTGGCGGCCTGCGTCGGGTTCAGACCTTGCTTGTTGACCCGGAGCACGTCGCCCTCCAGGGCCAGCGCGTGCGTGCGCCACGTGCCGAACCCGGTCTTGGCGGGGATCACCCAGTCGCCCCTGGACACCTTGAGGTCGGGCGAGGAGACGTTGACGACCTCGAACACGGCCTCGTTGCCGGGGATCACGGACGGCTCCGTGGTGCCGATGAGGGGCGAGAATGTCGGCTTCACGCCGTACGTGCCCTGGATCGTGTTGACGTCGGCCGGGTTGATGGACGAGGCGAGCGTCCGCAGCAGGACCGTCGACTGCGGGAAAGATGGCGAGATGGAGTGCGTATGTAGCCTGTCGTAGGAATCAGTGCTGTCAGCATCATGATTGCCGAGGCTGCGAAGATAAAACAAAATCGTGATATGTCGTCTTGGAGATATCACTGCCCGTAAGTGCCCAGGCAATTCAAGTCAGGGGGACATACTTGAGCACGTCCTTTGGCTCGCCATATTTGCTATAAACGAGCGACTTGGCCTGCGTGTAGCCATACGGACCCGACTTGTGGCGGACAGGCTCCCACGCTCCAAGCCTTTGTGCTGTGGTACTTGTCTGTTGTGGTCTCCCGGCTTGTCGCAAGAGCGCCGATGTGCCGCGTGCAGCCGCGGGGCTGAGGCGCTTTATCGAGTTCATGGCCTATTCGCCGATTCGCTGCGTCTAGTCGATGCGTCGATTGTGAACGGGCGTACTTTATTGAAGGCCGCCTGGGCCGCTGTCGTACTGCGGACAACGAAAGGTTTGGATTGCTCCTCGATCTTATGGGTGCAGAGCTCGGCTGCTACGATTAAAACGAATGGAGCTCCAAGGCTGGGCCGACCAGTGACGTTTTCCTGACACACCTCCAAGAATGGCCCCATATTCCGGGGAAACGGGACTGCCACCCCCACTGGAGCTACAGCATCCGAACCACCGTCACAATGCAGACGGCGTCTTGAGCGGGTTGTCTTCTCAGTATACTGCCCTGGGCGCAGAAAATCGGAAAAAGCCGTCGGTTCCGGCAATGCTGCCAATGCGTGGGCAACCTCAGCCATTGCACGTCGACGGGTGTTCTGCATGCACAGTTTGGTTGAAAATAAAATAAAAACCCGCCAAACTTTGATTCCCGCAAAGCCGAAGAAGACCTGGCTCACCGGTCTGGGCACGAGGCTTCATGTGCACAACAAGGACAACCAGATCAAGATATAGAGTCAAGCTCCTAAGATGGAACTCGGTATGAGGAAATCCCGTATTTTATGGAAGCCAAGCATGGACATTCCCGGCTGGATTGTGTACCGCTTGCCGCTCTGTGTCAGAGGGCATCTCCCCCAACTAGACCATTATACATTGAGAAGGAGAGAGAGAGTGTGTGTGATGAATATCAAAGACAAGAAGAGCATAATGCATGAATTTTGGGCATGCCAATATCTGGAGTAAACGTCGTGAGATGCAGACAACCGGACAGAGAAAACATCCGACTGGGTGTGATGGTGTATGTGAGCTCATACATGAGCTGGGTATCAAAAGTGTTTGCACTCCCTTTGTAGTGCATTTTGCCGAGACGGACATTGATCGGAGCAAAGCTCAACCCAGCTCCTAGTAATTAAGGCGTAGTAGTCGCTGGTTACGAACCCTCACAAGCAGTCCGAAAGTGAAGCAAAAGGGGACAAAAAAGACATCTCCAATCGGAGGCAGAAGCGCCGGCAAAGGCAAAGGTGAAAAGACATCGGCGGCTCCCGTTTCAGCGAATGCTTTTGAACAGGTCATCGCCCAGCGAGGTATCGACCTGAGCCTTCCACTGACTCATTTCTGGGATTTTGGGAGGCGGCGGGCCTGTCGCTGCTGGCTGAGGAGTGTTGCTGTCTTGTAACGCCAGGCTGGTGCGCTTGTTCGTCCCGTCGCTCGATGTTAAGCGCCTGAACCACCCGCTGCTTCGTTTCGCCTTCCTATCGTCGAGGACGCTGGCTGTCCGGCTGGGTGGCCGCGGCGGGCCTTGGCCATTCGCAGGCGCCTGCTCCTCGTAGGACGCGTTGAGGAGTGACTTGCTGAGGTACCGCCTCAGGCTGCCTCGACTTGAGCCAGTGGGAGACACAGGCACAGCATCCGACGACTTCTTACCACTACCAGAAGAGACAGTGACAGAATTGCCCGCTCCGTCCAGCCCTGCAGGCGCCCCATTGGCGGTCTTCGCCCTTGGAGTCTGGGGCAGCTGGGTGGCTGGCTCCTCCAATATCGGCGAGGGCAGCGGTGGCGGAATGTTGGTTCCCTCGGTCAAGGAGCCAAATTGGAAGTTGAGGGCCGGAAGCTCAAACCGTTTCGCAGTGGGCGGCTTCGCGGCCGCAGCCGTGCTCGTGCCATTGGTGGCATTCGATGTCATGATGGTATAGAGAGAGATTGACGTCTAGCCGAATATGGGCAAGGTTACGAAGGACTGTGGCCTCACGAAGAAGCTTCTCTCAAGTCGTCGCGAACCCTGATGTTAGGTGCAAGAGTCGGTATAGTTGAGATGCGAGTGACTTGAACAATTGAGAGCAAACTCGTAGAGCTCAGGTTGAGGGAAGCCGAGAAGGGGCTGCAGGCTACTGTCGTAGGGGCCGCAGATTAACATCCAAGCTCACTGCTCAGCCGAAGAGGGTCTGAAGGCTGTCGAGCAAGGACGGCAGCGCTCGGCCACGATTGGGAGCGGTATGTTTCGCGAGAGCTCTGACCTAGAGCGAGAATTGGCAATTGCGACTGGGCCGATGAAGGACACAACGGTGGTGCAAGAGGGGAGATGGACGCGGCGGGAGGCGTGCAGACGTGATTGCTTTTCCGACGTTGGGCTGACCAGGGTCAGGGTCAGGAACCCCAGGGACGGACGAAGGAGAGGATAGGCAGGAGGCTGGGCCGGGATAGGATGGATGGATGGACGGACGGGCTGGTCTCCTCTCGCACACACAGGCCGAACTTGGAGAGGCCAAGCTGCGGGCACGGACAATGTTCTGCTCGGGCGCCACTCGCTAGGCGGAAGTGCTTGCATCAATGACAGCTCTGTGGCTTGCCGCTGGTCTCGGACGAGCTTGGAAGCTTTGTTGTTTTGCGCGGTGCTGGCCCGCTTCACGTCAAATCACGCCAAATGCTGCCAAATTTGTCTTTATGAAAATTGCTGGTATTACGGAATGTTCCTTGTGCCTGAAGTTCTTTGGGTGCCGGCTGTGCACGTTCAGGGGGATCCCCAGGAGGTTGTTACAGGGGTCGCAGACGCCTGTCGTCGTGCGCCGGCCTGGGCGCTGGTGACCCTTGAATGTTGCGTGCGTGCGGTTCGAGAGGGGGGACTGGAAAGTGCAGAGCTGCGGGCCGGGGTGGCCAATACCTAATCCATTTGGGCAAGCCACCAGGCGATCCCCAAAAGTGCTCCCGAGGGGGGCCTGCCGCTTTCGTTCACCCTTCATCCCATCTCGGGCAGCGCAGCCCAGCGCAGGCAGGCCCCACCCAGGCTGGTGATGCTGTCCAGATGTCGGCCGAGACAAGGCTGTTGCCAGTTGTTGCAATAGAATGAGACCCTCCCTCGCGACTTGACATGGCGACACGTTCAAGATCTGGGGATGAGGTTGGTTGGACGATGGCATTGATTGATCTCATGCTGTGGTGCAAGTCGACATCAATGACACAACAGCTGGATGGGGTTTTGCCCGTGCCCCAGAGACACTAGCTCTAGGACCTGCGTTTCAAGCGGAGCTCTCCCGTGTGCATCCTCATGCATGGCGGGAAAATGTTTCAGATGGGATCTCGGTTCTCCGCGTGGACGAAGACATTGCCATGGCCAAGATGCTATTTCGAGTCGCGCTACCGAGCAGAGGGCGATGCTGCAGCGCAAGGTTCCCACGAGCGTCCCCTTGCAAGCTGGACAAGCCTGGTAATGGTGCCCATGACGCATCATATTCCCAGGGACACTATTATGCATGCCGCGGCCGGTGCGAGCTTACCCGCCAGAGGGATGTGGCAGCCGTAGCACTGGCGACCACCCCCTCGGATTTGCAGGCCGAGCCGTGGGGAATGCGGATGACGGCCTCTCGGATCTGCCATGGTCTTTGTGGTCTCGACGCAACGGGCTGCATCGTCGGCATAAGTCGTGCCATTGTGCTGGGAACGTAAGTTGAAAACAGTCCAGACGCGCAGTAGTAAAAGGGAGCCTCGGAAGTCTGCAACGGATCGGTTGGAATGTTATTTTGTAGGCAAGGACTTCTTCGCGTCGAAGTGCCGGCTTTTGTTGGCGACCGCCGCAAGTGGTAGATTTACCAAAGAGAAGCTCTAGACAATGGTGCTACATGGACGATGGAAGAAGAGGGTGACCGGGACTGTACTTCTTAAGTAATGATCCCGTGCTCACATGGCCCAATGCCCAGTCGACCTGTGGTTGAGCAATTCCAAAACTGTGATGGGAACTTCGTGTCGTCCCCAGCGTCTCGAACGGCCCCCACGACTCTCCTACCAGTACAAGTGCAGGAGCGCTTGCCTTGTTCGTCCTGGCCATGACATAAGCCGGCGTGCATGTGGCCAGCGCACACTCAGCGCCCAGCGGGGACCACGCCGCCTTTCTGGATGGGCAGCAGCAAGTGCCTCGAGGTACCGGTTTGCGCGAGCCACCAGCAGATGGCTACACGGCGGGACATCCAGGACTGGCGGTCGCAAATTGAGTTCAACATGCATGCGCTGTAAGTCTGATCGCACGTGCTTACGAGGGTTGCCAGGCTGAAGCTACCTAGGGAGGGGCTGAGACCAACCAGCGGCATTCGGATCACGAAGGGCTACCTCCTAGCCCGTAAAGTATACATGTCCTCGGTGCCAGAACCGTCGTCTACATAAAAAGCTGGAGCAAATCATTAGTCGCAGGCAACCCGAGTGGTTATTACCGTCGTGCACGATCGTCATCAGCTTTCGCTGCTGTGCTCGACGGATGTTGCAACCTTGAGCTTTCGTGGTGGGGTCGACCCAAGCCCGCTGGGCATCGCAGATGCAGCACCTGGTTGCTGGGCCAACAAGGCCAATCGAGGATGATGCAGGGCGGAAACTTGGAAGTGCCCACGTCGATACTCGTGTGCACGGCGCAACAGGTGTGCACTCAATGCAAGGCAACGTGCTCCAGCCGGCTGGGCATCTGAAGAACAGTTTCTCTGGTTTCTTTGTCTCGCCAGGAAGTCCGTCCGTCAAATAACAATACCAATCCACGTCCATCGGAGCAGTTTGCAGGAGCCCAACCAAAGCACACGACACGGTGAACAACGCAGCAAGAGTCCGCCCAAGATGATGTTGACACACTCCCAAGTCTCGGTCGTGCTGAGTTCAGGAGTCGGTACGTTGAGAGCGATGCCACGGTCCCATGATCCACAGACCCAGCTGTTTGCTAACACCCAACGGCTCGCTGCACACTCTTTGTGCTGCGTACGAGCCGGTACACACACACAGTCGTACTGTTCACAGGCGCGCTCTTCATGAGCGGATACGTGCTGCAGCAACGGACCCTCAACAAGCTCCGGACCGCAGTGATACAGCAGATGCAGCCCCGGCCCAGCCCAAAGATATTCCTCCCCGACAAGTTCAAAGACCAGGCCACTGCCGGCGAGAGCGGTGCTTTCGCAAACATGGACCTGGACGGCTCGGACCGTGGATCGAGCACGAGCGACAATATCGACGGCACAGATGCGCTCTACATCGAGGTGCGACCAACAGTGCCCGACGACAGCGAAGAATCACCCGAGAAGAACCAACAGCAGCAGCAGCAGAAGGTCCTGTCGTCTGACGGCTCCGCCGACGACTCGGCCGAGGAACCAGAGGTCGTCGTCGAGAAGCCCATGACCAACGCAGAGCGGCGGAGGAAGATCAAAGAGGAAATCAGGCGGCTCGCGCAGTCAGGAGAGCCCGTGTACTACCAGCGCCGGCTGTGGTAGGCCCACAAGCGGTTTTGTGGTAGCTCATCCAGATCTATGGAAGAGGTCGTGACGACGAGACAGTGTAATGCTGCGTCCGCGACTGCGATTTATGAGAATCATGCTGTCAGGTTTGGGGCTGCAAGCTTTGCTTTACTTTTGCTTTTCCCTGGACAAAATTACTGGGCAATGGGCTGAATGATGCTGTCGATACTTCACCCATGTTTACGACAGGAGTTTGGAATGATTGTATGGATTATACTGGGGCCTTGGCGTTTTTTTTTTTTAAATGGGAAATGTAGCACCATATTCGTGTATATACGACGAGAAACGATCTGCACCAGAGTCTGAAGAGAGGAATCAGCATGTGTTTATGCAGCCCGCAGATGAAGCTGTTCTTTACACAGAAGTCACCTGGACTCAGTCGACCATGTGCAAGTCTCATATAAACGTACTCAAGTACGCACAAGGTACCGCCAGCGGCGAATGGAATCCCAGCCCTACAACGCCGCTTTTCTTGGCCCGCAAAGTGGGTGTCGCGGTGCCAACATAAAACAAGGTTCCACCACAATACCTTGGGTGTAAAGAGGGTGTGGCCAGCTGGAAGAAGCTAGCCCGCGGTTCACCAGCCCACTCCAAAGTATGGGGGACTTGTCACCGTTACAAGCAAAGACGATGATGGAAAGCCTAAATCGCTAGCATGGAAGTGGGATTCACCCTTTTGTCGGCATGTGCAGGCGTGTTGTCGCATGTACGATATGTACTTTAGGTGTCCTTAGCAAAAGCATCGTGTTGTTGAGCTCGCAAGCGAAGACCGTGGTGATGCAGATAGTTCGAGCTATTTTGAGAAGTGCTAGAGGTTTGAAAGGCGCTGCCTGGGTTTCGGTTCGCCTGCTCGTTAGGTGAGCCTTTTCTCCTCGACGAGAGTCGATAATATTTGGGCCGATTTCGAGCATGATTGTGCCACGAAACTTCACCATAAAGCGCCAGGCGCCTCGCAGATCACTAATGTGACAGAATTGCGTGATCCCAAGGTAAAACTTCACAGTCGGGCTGTAAATTCACGCAACAGGTTCCTGTCGCCACCTCAAGGATTCTGCCGGAAAGTTGTAAATACAACTACCAGTTTTTGCATTCCATGTTTTAGCTTGAGAACGTTCCTCGTGTTTTGACCATCTGTCACACTTTCAGCAATGAGCGCAGCGTCTCACGCTTCATCATATTATGATGAAAGGAACTCAACATAGAGGTACATACAATCCAGCCCTTCTGCGTCATCTCCTAGCGCAGAGCCACGAATCTTTCCCAGGCGATATACGCTGCTAATTGGGTGACGGCTCACTTCGACATCTAGCACAATAATATAAACTCAAACTTGCAGAGAAAAGAGGCCAAATCTTAGACGAAGCCCCCTGGCCAGCCTAATTACCAATGTTGCGGTTTTGGAGCTTATCCACGAGCATCCCCAGCTTGAAACAAGCTGGCACCATATATCTGTTTGCTTGCTTTATTCATGCTCACTTAAATACTTGCTCACGGAACACGAGGAGGCCAAAGGGTTAGACCAGCGTCCGATGTCTTGATATAAGCGTCGGAAAAGTCTCAGCGGCCCGGCGATCTGTGTTGTGAGTATCACCCAGCTATGGTTGGGCGAATATGCAAGTAGACAGCAAGATGTCGTCATCGGTCAAATGAGCACTCCTCGGGACAGTAATGACCGCCGACAGCGACAACGGCAATCTTGGCGATATGGACGACGGATTCGCAGAATACACCAAAGCCTGAATGATTCCAACCACGAAAATTTGGTATCAGTACTTGGTCGAAAGCACGGAACTGGACTCAGCGCGAAGTTTGGAGATAAGCTTCTTGAAGAGAGTTTGGTCACGCTGCCCTCCTCCGTCCGAAGTGATTGGCTGCTAGTTTGACCGATTTTCGAGGTTTGGAGCACTCTGGCAGACCATGTGAGCATGCTTCCCGCGCTTTGGTGTGGCAGTCTTGGGCTGTGGTCCGAGGCTTGGGGGCTGCGTACTATAACCTTTTGAGCACATGGGCTTTTGCGAATATCCCCGTAGTGCAGGGAAGGGTGGCATGGACCTGCAGAAGCCTGTCTTCAACCCCGAAGAACCAGCTGCTTATATCACCGAGCAACTTTTTGAGCATGTGTCCTTGAATGGCAAGGTTGAGTCTCTACTGGCATCACCACGGACACCCAACGTCACTGCCAGAGTCCTCCAACAAGAACAATCGCGCATCAAAAAGGAGTCACTGAGACCCGCGATGAGCCGCACACCCGGCCGAGTGCCGTCTTAGGGCCATGTCACCGGAGGGTCCTTGCCGTCACCAGCATTGGCAAAGAGCCTTGGCGGGTTGAGATACCAAGGCAGAATACAATCCAAAACGTGGCAGTGGGAACACCGCTGCAGATCTGATGCGGATGCTGGCATCTGATCAGTGATCCGCGATCCGAGACGTCGCGCCTTATGCTCCCGTGCCTGTAAAGCGATATGGACGTCTGCGCGATGCCCCTCTCGTCGTACGTAACCTTCCGCATTGTGATGTCGTGTGCACGCCAGATGCCCTTGCGCCATCCGGTTTGTCGGTGGGCCCCTTGAGCGACAAGCGGATACCGCCAAATCCCGCCTGCCCAGCTCTGCCCATGAGACTGTAGAGATAGATCTGCTGGGCAGCGTGCTGGTGGGTCAGGGGCAGGGGCCTGGCTCGGGCGGGCATGACTGCATACGCAGTATGCTGCTGTGTCCTGCAGCTTATCGTGGTCGTCGTAATTACGAGCCCACAGACAGTCGAGAGGGGAGACGAGGAGCGCAAGATAGCCCACTTGGTAAGAGCGCCAGGCTCAGCCACCTTTGGAGTCTCTGTCTCTCAATCAGGCAGGTATACTGTACCTCTGACGGGTCAGTACCGGGCGCATAGGTGGGCGGATGTCGTGATGTGGCCCGAGGCGCGTGCGAGATGTGTTTACCCGGGCACTACTTGTCTGTCACTTTGTATGTTGACCAGCCGTCGTGACAGAGCACAGAAACAAGGGACCACACACTTAGTCGTGTGTGCTGCGGGCTGGCCACCCTCCACCTCGGACAAGAATAGGACTGCTGACCTGAGTGGCCTGACTGACATGCCTGAGCTGGGCTGAGAGGCGCCTGGACCCTGCAGGCGGGCGTGCCATGAGAAGGGCTGTTTGGGCATGTCTATGGCGCATGCGCGGGAGGAGGTGGTGGTGGTGGTGTTGGTGTCTTGGTTGTGCTAGGTTATCAGTGGTGTGCGTCCGAGCCCGCAGCCGTTATCGCAACAGCACAGCGCTTCTGTCCAAGACATCGGTGAGCACGAGCACCTGCACCAGAGCATACACACTACCTTAGGAACGCACCAAAAGCAAACAGCAAGCAGCGGCCACGAGTGTGCTGGCTGTGCGACGCTGGCAATGACCAGAGCCAGTCAGTCAGTCAGTCAATGAGACACGCATAACAGCAGGCTCTGGCCACCTGCCATGCGATGCCCGATGTCGCGCAGTCAACACCCCGCCGCGTACCTACTTGCACAAGGTATGCGGAGCTTACGATGTGTGCAAAGAGAGAACATAGAGGTGCCCCGCTCCCTCCACGGCCGGGAAGACAAATGACAACCACCCCCTCCCCCCAAGGGCAGGGATCTGGCCCTCCAGCGCCCCGCACTGGTGTCGTGTGGCCCGGTGCAGCGAACTGCCCACCGGCTTGCATGTGTCGCCAGCCTTCCAGAACGCAGCCACGACGACCAGCTAACGCATGTCGAGCCATCATCGACGCTGGATAGGCACCGCCCTCCCTGCCTCCCTGTCTAGGCCATGTTTGTAGTCCAGTCCGACGGACTACGGCCGCCGGCATGTACCCGATACTTGCTCCTCCCCTGCCTGGCGTCAACCGAGCCCGACACGACCCGCAATGATGATGCCTTCTCCACCAACCGGGCGTCCGCCCGCCGGGCCAGCGTCTCCCCACGTCGTCAAGCTGCTCCCAGGCCGACATTCACAAGCTTGGCCATGCACGCCGGGCATGCTGCTCCAGGGGACGCCAACATCCGGCCGTCTCCCAGTTAGTACCTGGCTGCTCAGGCACAGCACTGCGCCGCTTCTTCGAGCACCAAGCTTTCGGCGGCTCTTGCAGGTTCCCGGATCCTCTGCCACTCCTCGGCTCATGTACATATATCCCTCCCTGTCTAAATACAGGTACTACTGCCTGCATCGACTGTTCCGAAGGTTCACAGCCTTCTTCCTCCCTCCTCTGTCCCGATCCCAAGCTGTTTCCCAGCCTTAGCCCTCCTCACGTGCCCCTCGCTCTTGTGTGATTCCACCATAGGCACAACCATCAGAAGCACTTGGGAAGCAGAACCTTGGCGAAACTCAACGAGGATATCCCCATTCGCTCGTTCTCCTAAATTCATTGAAGAGCGAGCGAGCTGGTCAACTTACCGACACCCACATCGCCGCCACGTGCACTTTCTCAGCTCAGAACCTTGCAATATACGACTCTTTTCGCTTGTGAAACATCAGCCTAGCGTGATCGAAGTTGTGTGAGGAAGCGGTCAGCTCGTTACTGTCACTGTCGCCGATCGAACAACCTTCTCTTATACTTCGGCACCTCATATCGTGGCTAGTCGCACGACCGCTCGAGACGACTCTTTGATCCGCCATAACTTGTGGATGGCAGCCAGCCCAACATTATGGCTGTCGACATGTACCATGCTCGTTTGAGCGCTGACGATTTTGACACTGCGTCGATCCGTTCGGCGGCACCCTCCTACGGTGAGCCGAGATGGCCATGATTCCGCGAGCCTGTTGAAGTTGTGCTGATCGTCTGAGTCTGTTAGTTTCCGAGGCGCCATCATACCACTCGACAGCCCATCCCAACGAGTGTGCACCGCCGTATAGCCCATCTGCCAGGCCTCCGTACTCGTCCACTCCTCGAAGCATGGTCCCTCCTGCGAGTCGCTCCTCGACAGCTACACACAACGCCCCAGCGAGGGGACTGCCACGCATACCTTCCCCTCCACGACAAAGCGAGCCGCTTCAGCTCACCGACTTCCGTGTGGGCACGTGGTCGACCGTGCATAGCAACCCGACATACGCGAGAGTGGCGCACCGTCGGGCAACCGCTGCTAGGCATAGCAACTCGACAGCTACAGTCGAGAATGCCCTGCGCCATGTCCTCCACCGCATGAATACAGAGGAAGCAAACCGTGTGCGACCCCTCGAGGACCCTTACTTGGTTGGCGAAGAAGCAGCAGCGAAAGCTCGGCGCGCCCGACTCTCCAGGCAGAACGGAGACGATATTCTCATCTTGGAGGATATGCGCTGGGACAGGTTCTTGGGTACGTTTGCTACTCATTGAAAATGCTATGCCGTAAACTGCTTACCAGCGTCTGTCCAAAATCTAGCACAAATGCGGGACCGCGAAGACCGTGAGCGTGTTGTTCAGAGCCAGAACACCCGAAGAGAGCTGGAAGCCGTTAGCCGCAGGAGTCTCCTGGGCCGTCTGGCACGATAATGACGCCTCGGACACCACCGCGCATTGCCACTGGCTCTGAAGCCACCCGCGACAAGCACTTCTTTCCCATAAGTCTTGAATCTGACTCTTTACCTTCTTGGGCCAAGCGTGTATCTTACTGGAGGGCTCATGAGGATTCCATCTCTCCTCACTTTCTCTTCTTCAAACTCGATTTTTGTCTTTCTCCCGTTCCACCGGATCAGATTGGTCATTTTGGCATAGCATTTCCTAGGGTGGTTCATCTCACAATCTTATGCTCGGCGTCTCCAGTGATGACGTCCTGATTCGGCACGCATGACTGCATTTACGGAAATGGCGGTCACTGAATAACGAGGGGTTGCTCTTGTGTTTCGGTGTGCATTTTTTGGGTGCGTTCCTGAGAGCATTGTTACTTGAGGATCGCCAAGAGAAGAAAAAAATCAGTTTCGTCACAGACACAAATCAATGTCTGAGCGGAAGACCTGGCGATCATTCTCCTCAATCTGGGTCTAATTTTCTCTGGTGTTCATGACTTGCCCTACTTACCTGACTTGGAGCTGGCCAGGCCATGCCAGGCCACCCAGTTCCCCTTGGTCAGAGGCGCAATTGCAGATAGATTGGAAATAGCAGGGATCTCTTTTCTATTTATTTACATTGTTTCATGAGTAACAGAAGATGCTGTGATTAAAGGCGTTGTCTAGGGAATGCACACAGCTTCCCGCGTTACACAGCTTCGTGAAACAGGTCATCTAGGCGGAACACGGCGTTCATATTGGCTCTCCAAGTGATATCCTGCTGCGTGCGTTGTCTTGATGTCGCATGCGGTGTCTTTTACTCATGATATGCAATTTCCAGCGACGTTGGGCGCGCCAAGAGAGCATGGTACACAAACAACTTGGTGACTTCCCATAGCCCACCTCGAATGGTGTGCGTCTCATGTATGATTCTATAGCACAACAAACAAAAAGCAGCGACTCGACATCCTGAACGCCTTTCCGTGATTGTGTTTGATCGAAATGGGTGTGTGTAAGCCCTGGCGATCATGCTTCGTAGTCATGTTAACGTGCTTGCTTCACAACGTCGAACCTCCCTCCTACAAGACAGCTGACGACCACTACTCTTACAACGAGGTCTCCTAGTGGCTGTCTGTTGCCAAAATAAGCACCGACTGCACTTCCATTGCTTGCACACTCTCTTTGTCAGTTCCGCGGAGACCCGTGAACTTGGTCGTCTGCCTGAAGACCCGCTTAACCCTGAGACTTCGTGTTGAGGATAAGGGCGACGATGAGACTGATAGCACCTGGTCAGCTGTGTGTCCTCGTTCGATTTGGGTCACGACAACCATCTTTGTTGACTGAACGTACCCGTACAGACCCAACACCTCGCCGAAAATCAAGATCAGGACCATGCCAACAAAGATCCTGGACTGTTCCATGTACGCGCGGACGCCCTTGTCGCCGACGATGCCGATGCAGTAGCCCGCGGCCATTCCTGTGATTCCAACGGACAGACCGCAGGCAAGGTGCATGAAGCCACTGGGTCGCGCCAATCGTGTCAGCAGTCGCGCTTGTGCCATCCCAAGCGACCTTTTTGGAAGAGAAGGGAGGGGGGGTTGCTTAGGTCGACGTACGTGTACAGACTGTAAGACGAGTCTGGCTTCATGTCCTCGGCAATCAGGACGGAGACGACGAGAGAGTAAACCGCCAAGATACCGGACATGATGACAGGGATGAGGGACTGTTTGGATATCGATTGTCAGTTCGCCGGTCGCGAAGCGTCGAGCCAGACTCCAGACAACACGGCAGCATGGGGAGAAGGAGCGCACCTTCATAATGAGATCAGGTCTGAAGACACCGACACCGGCGATACCAATGCCAGATTTGGCCGTGCCGAACGCCGCGCCAATACCTGCATTCTTGAAGTCAGCTGCCTGCGACAACGTGCTCCGTCTGCGGGAGAGTTTCGAGTGTTCAGGGGGGACGAGGCCGTCGTACATCCGAAGATCATGGCAGCTGCGATGCCAGCCTGTAAAGAGAGACAGCGGTGTCAGTATAGAGCGAACAAAGGCGCATGCCTGCAGCTCTGTATCTTGGGGACTGACCATGCCGACAAAAGGCGCGAACTTTGGTGCGATCTCAGACTCGACCTGTAATAACTCGGCGGCGGAAGCCATCGCGGCGGTATTTGCGGGAGCACGGGATTGAGCTGCGATGTGTGCGAGGATGTTGAGGCGATGATGACAAAGGGCCGCGGTAGCGACAAGAGCGACGTCGTGGTTCGAGATGTCGACGCCGAGTTGGGGGGAGATGTGGCTTGGGAGTGGTGAGAGAGCTAGCTGCCTGCCTGCAAGGTGCGTAATGGGTGTGGATAGCTGCGTCGAGGAAAGGCTGCAGCCAGCCATGGAGCTCTGCTGGCAGCGCGGGTGGGCCGCGCGTGGTTTGAGGGCCGAGACAGTACAGGCACTGTGAGAAAGAACAGTGCACGGCCAGCTAAGAGACCGCTCCCACAGAGCTTGGGCAGTGCAATGCACCTGCGCAAGCGTCAAAGGCGACCGCTTCTGAGCTGCTGCGGACCGAGCCTCGTACAATTCTAGTGTTTGACTATCACGTCCCGCGTCGATTTTCAGTTACAGGCGTGGACTCTTTAGCCCCGTGCCCCGACGCTTTACTGGGCTGAAACCGCTGGGCATATGGAAGATCTGAAATGCCGAATGTCGCAACTCCATTCGATGGCAGCCATGGTTGCGCTTTATCAGGACCGATGCGCTCTCTCACAGATGGAAATGTCAAGGATATCGCAGCTTGATTGTGGCGTGCTGAGATGGTCCCAACCTTGGCTCGATCTCCGCAAAGCTCAGTCGTCAGAGGCATCTGTGTACTCTGCTTGGAACCGACGACAGCACAGTCAGTCTTGCAACTTGGACAGGCACAAGCATTCTCTGCCCCTACTAAGGACAGGGTTGGATGCTCAGTGATGTAAGCTGCGGGGGGCCGGTTCCTGTTTACGTAGCGCAAAGTACGTAGGACTGTAGTTTGCTCCCCACAGAACTTGCCGGGAGGCCATGTCAGCGCTACAATTGGTACTCATGCCGAAGCAAGTCTATCATAGGGGGGCCTCAAAAGGATGGGATAATTCCAAAAAAAAATCTACCGGCAGCGCGGATAGGTACCTGGTGTGCAGGCAAATCCACAGCCAAGAACTGAGACACTTGGTGAAAGGTGCGCATTTGCAACGCCCATCCGCTGGTGCCCTTCTGATTGGTCTGCATCTTGCCTCCCAGCCTGTCAACTGGAGACCACAAAGTCAGCACCGTGCTCCACGCCGCCCAGCGAGTCTCCCTCCCAATCCCGCCAGCCACGGCTGGGCTCCACAGTGCCAAACCCGCCCACCTATGATGTCCCGGTTTTGAGCCTGGCACGGCCGTTGTGATACGCCTGCTGGTGGCCTTCCACGTCAAGTCTTCCAATCTCCATATCAGCAGCATCTTCACTACCCAGCACCCATCGAGCCGGCGCAGCGCTGTCCCCAACGCCAGAAGCGACGCTCCCGACTGCTCGAGGCCTCTAGCAGGCCTCTCGCTCTCCCCCGATATACCTTTTGCGCTCGCTCGACTCCCACATCTCTCGCCCTGCGTCGCCGCCGGGACCTCCTATTACCCGCATCCCTCCTCGCCCGATCTCTACATAATCTCGAAGTAAAACTTGCTTGACCAACAGCTTCCCTGGTCTCACCCGAGTCGACGCCATTTGTCCGAGGTCGCCATCTTCCGCCGATACCGCGTGGGCGACGCTAACGTCAGACAGTCGAACCGTCCCCCGTCTGCTCTCACACGCAACCCATCGGTACCCTATCGTGAACGACCGCCCGATCCAGTCGGGGGTGCCCGTTCTGCCACAGTCAGATGGTGAGTTAATATTCGAAGCATTTGAGCTCACTTTCCTGTTGTCATAATGCCCTCGACCAGATATCTGCCTCAACGCCCGACAGACAGTATCGCGACAAACACGGCCGTCTCACCAGCTGGACCGCACCGCATCTCATCCTGGCCTTCAAGCTACCACTCAAGCACGCAACCTACGCCCAACAGCCTGCTAACTCGTTCATATCTCTCAAGACCAACACCAATATGGCGGATTACCAGCACGATCAGCGACGGTATGGACCGGGTCATGGCAACCAACGCGATGCTGTCTTCAACGACATCTTCGGTTCTGCGCCACCCCCGGGCCGCTCGACAACTATGACCTCCGCATCGACTGGCAATATGCCTCATCCTCATCACGGCGCTCAAGAAGGAAGGACAAATACCATGTCGTCAATGGCATCCAGTTCCGCCGGCTACCCTGATATGCAACGGAGGCCTCCTCCACGAATGCCCCCGCCTGGGCCACAGCGAGGCGGTTATGGCGATCCAATGGCTCAGCGCACACGCACGATGGACACAAGCATGACCAATGGGTATTATCAGAGTCAGCGGCATCCTTCTGGGGGTCATCCCCCACCGCATCCGGGACAGCACGCGCGCCAACCACCTCCTGGCCCAGAACGCCGGCCATATCCCGGTCCTCCTCCTCAAGGGCACCCACGGTATGAATCGAGAGATGGCGTTCCGGCTGGCTACCCGCCCCGTGGCCCTCCCCCTCCTCACCCACAGCAGCGTTTCCACCAGCAGCAGCCTGGGTCTGGTGCTGCACTTCGCGACGATCCATACCGATCACAATCTCTGGCCAGCATGCCCCGACAGCCCATATATCAACAACCGACGGGACAGTTCCAAGCTTCGCAACCCAACTTTCGGCAGGGTCCGGCGCCAGCACCTTCCTCTAGAACCACGGCTCAGGGCCGAGTCGTACCTGAGCGCCATGACGATCGATCCATGTCAATGACTGGGTATCCTCCCGACCGAGACCCGACCCATCACTCTTCGCACCAGACTATGAGCGGCCGAGTCATCCCCAACCGAGCACGTGCCCCCTCCACCGAAGGCCCTGGCACGAATGGCTATGCAGCTTACAATGGGCATGCTTCAACCCCAGGCAGTGCGACTAGGACGATGAGCATGGCTTCCTCGACCATGGGTTCGACGATTGTCGCTGGCGACCATAGCCGAACAATGTCCATGGCTAGTACCATCGCGCCATCCGATGCTGGCCGTCAGCAACTCGTCCATCGACCGTCGGTGGCCTCGCAAAGATCCGCAGAAGGAGATCGGCCACCTACAGCCAAGATTCGGGCACCCCTCGTAAACCCCGCGTTTCTGTCAAAGGTGGCAGAATGCTTTCAGCGCAAGATCATTACGGGTGAGAGGACTAAGAACGGACTGACATACAAGAATGCCTTCAGTGGTTCAGAGGCAGTCGACGTCCTGTCATACATCATCAGAACAACCGACCGAAACCTGGCTCTGTTATTGGGTCGTGCTCTCGATGCTCAGAAGTTCTTCCATGATGTGACGTACGAGCACAGACTGCGCGACTCGACCTCGGAGATGTATCAGTTCCGCGAGACTCTGATGGACGAACCGGAAGAGGGATCCTCGGTCAATGGCGTCTTCGTCCTTCTGTCGGAATGTTATTCTCCAACTTGTACGCGCGACCAGCTGTGTTACTCTATTGCCTGTCCCAGGCGTCTTGAGCAAGTGGCCAGGCTCAATCTCAAACCCCAGGTGGGCCTTAAGAAAGACCAGGACGCGGCACTCAACGACGATCTGGACCAAACGGATGAGCAGAAGCTCTGGATCAACTCCGTCCCCAAGGAAGTCGCAGACAGCATTGACGACAGAGAAAAGAAGAGGCAGGAAGTCATCTCTGAGATATGCTACACGGAAAGAGACTTCGTCAAGGATCTCGAGTACCTGCGCGACTTCTGGGTGCTCCCACTCCGGTCTCAAGGATCTCCGATTCCAGCCCAGCGACGAGAGCGTGTCGTCAGACAAATATTCAGCAACGCCATCGATCATCCTAGTGTTCACTCTGTCAGCTCCAGATTTGCTCGTGCTCTGACGGAGCGACAGCAGAAGCAGCATGTGGTCCGCAACATTGGAGATATTTTCCTGGAAATTGTCCCGCAGTTCGAGCCTTTCATCTTGTACGGCTCCAAGCAGTTGGAGGCGAAGTTCAGTTTTGAAAATGAACGCTCAGCGAACCCATACTTTGCCAAATTCGTCGAAGAAATCGAGAGGAGAAAGGAGTCACGCAAGCTGGAGCTGAACGGTTACCTGACGAAGCCTACCACAAGATTGGCCCGGTACCCATTGCTGCTTGAGAATGTACTAAAGTACACCGAGGACGGCAACCCTGACAAGGAGGACATTCCAAAGGTCCTCACGACAATTCGAGAACTGCTCACCAGGGTGAATGCAGAGTCCGGCAAGGCCGAGAACAGATTCAACTTGCGACGTCTTAACGAACAGCTGCGATTCCGCCCCGCAGATCGCGTGGATCTGAAGCTGACCGAAGAAGGGCGCGAGCTTGTGTTCAAGACAAACTTCAAGAAGACCATCACAGATCCAGCTGACATCACCGCATTCCTATTCGACCATGCCGTGCTGTTGGTGCGTATCAAACAGGTTGGCAAGGGCCAAGAAGAAGTCAAGGCATACCGACGAGTAAGTTCTCTCACACTGCTTTGTGAATGCGCCGATCGCCTGCTAAACAGTACCAGCCCATACCACTCGAACTTCTCTCTATCAGGGAGATGGCCGAAGTCATCCCGCAGCAGGGGATGAAGCGCAGCTCGTCGAGTTTGCCATCTTTCCGCAGCAAGGAATCGGACAAGAAAGTTCAGGAAGGATGGCCCATCACGTTCCGCCACCTTGGCCGGAACTTCTACGAGCAGGTTCTGTATGCCTCCAACCAGTCTGCGCGCAAAAAATGGCTCGAGTATATCGACACAGCCCAGCAGCGACTTCGTGCGAGAGCGGACTTCTTCAACGTCAATACCTTGTCATCTGGTTTCTTCCAGACCGGCAACTTTGTGAACGCAGTCACGCCTTTCGGTACGTCCATAATAGGATACATTACTCTTCATCAGGGGTTAAATAGCTAATTTCTACTTTAGATGGTGGACGGAAGCTCATCTACGGCACCGACAACGGCATCTATGTCTCTGTGCGCAAGAACAAAGATCAGCCACCAAAGCGCGTGATCGAGGCGCAGAATGTGACACAGGTTGATGTTCTGGAAGAGTATGGCCTTCTGTTGGTCCTCTCGAACAAGTCTCTGCTGTCGTACTCGCTATCTGCCCTCGACCCGAACGAGCCGACTTTGTCAAAACGTCCGAAGAAGATTCAGAGCCACTGCAACTTCTTCAAGACGGGTATCTGCCTTGGACGCCATTTGGTATGCTGCGTCAAGTCTAGTGCCCTGTCGACCACGATCAAGGTGTATGAGCCCAACGACTCGATGAGCAAAGGAAAGAAGCAGAAAGGATTCGGCAAGATGTTTAATGCAGGACAGGATGAACTTAAGGCGTTCAAAGAGTTCTACATACCTACTGAGTCTACTTCTGTGCACTTTTTGAAGAGCAAGCTGTGCGTGGCGTGTGCTCGGGGCTTCGAGGTTGTGTCTTTGGAGACACTGGAGACACAATCGCTGCTCGACCAGGCCGACACATCGCTCGACTTTGTGGCAAGGAAGGAAGGGGTCAAGCCAATCCATATTGAACGTCTCAACGGAGAGTTCCTCCTCAACTACACCGACTTCTCCTTCTTTGTCAACAGGAACGGCTGGAGGGCTCGGCCAGAATGGAGAATCGACTGGGAAGGTGTGCCGCAGTCGTTCGCGCTCTCATACCCATGGATCTTGGCTTTTGAGCCCAACTTCATCGAGCTCCGCAATATTGAGAGTGGTGCCGTGCACATTGTACCCCACAAGAACATCAGGATGCTGCATAGCAGCACCCACGAGGTAAGAGAGATGGTCTACCTGATCTGGCACGAGACCCAAGCGCTAACCGACATTTCAGATTTTGTTTGCATACGAGGATGAGAACGGTCAAGACGTCGTAGCAGCAATCGACTTCTGGAAGAACAACAGGAGATCCGAACTGCTCCTTCCTGAGAAAGCATAGTCTGCAGTGTGCTACTCAACGTCGGCGGCTATGCATCACGACCACTTCTCAGCGGTTTGCGCACAGTCATTTCCGCGAATAGTGCGTGTAGATCACGATGCAACAACTGAGGTCGCCAAGGTCTCCACTAGCGAGCTGGTGATCGAACGTGCCAGCCGGAGCTCTTCTACTGAGAAGCGCCGCGAAAGAGGTTGAACTGAATAGGCATGTTGTGGCATGTGGCAGGCCCGGGTTTTACCAGGCCTGTCTGCGGCTTGTGTTTCTATCGACCATTGTCATAGGCGCTTCGCAGGACATACGACATCTTTCGGTCTTTGACCGTACACCGGCTACGCCCTGCCACAAGACCCACGATATATGAGCCAGGCCACCCACTGGAGCACTATGTGACAGCGTGGTGACTGTTTGAGTCTATGGATAGTCGACACTGACGGTCGGTACCCTCAGAGCTTGACTCGAGCAATTCCCGCCCGAGCACAACTCCTCATAAGCCGATTCTGTCGGGCAGCGAGTGGCGAGAAGTCGTACAACAGATCGCCTTGGGGCACACCACATTCAAGCCAGAGCCGGCGAGAAGAGCTCAATTGCCAAGTGCAATTATTGACAAGCGGCGCCAACCCATGGAACTTTGCTGGGACGACCTACAGTGAAGTAGAGGCACAGAGGACCATCTGGAAGGGCGGTCTGCCAGGCATGGACACCGTCTCCCTATTTGATCTTGTGTTCTCTATTCTGATCTTCACGGCCCCTTATCTTTCTATTACATCCTCTTTCTTGAAACATCTTTTCTTTGACATTATTTCTCACCACAGAATAGCGCAAAGAACGATGACTTTCCAGTTCTTGTTTTTTTGATGGTTTCTGGCTTGTCACGTGGAGTAAGCGGTAGATTTGCAGGGATGGATGGGTTTGTCAAAGTTGAAAGATGAAAGATCAATATACAATTCCGAGCGACGATTCTGGCCGCGGCCGCGTTTTGTTTGCGCCTCTGTTGTTTTGTTGAGTTGTTGAAAAGCTGTTCTTTGTTTGTCTCCTTGTCCGTGCTCGCATGATTGGGTGTTTGCGCATACTTGAATCTGTCGTGCACGATATAACCACTCCGTGTGTCACGTCTCCTTGATAGCAGGGTCACCCCCTTTGGCGTGAGATGTTACACAGAAAGCAGGGTATCTCTTCTCTATTCATTGTTTCCCAACGTCCTAGCGTAGGAAGAAGGATTATCATTTACATACTAGAATGACCCGGCGGGGTCGTGTCTAACCTTTACCAAAAGGGCACGCATCCACTCTCAATAATCTCGAACAGCAACAACGATAATGACAAGAAAAATCATTGTGCCTCGTATAAAACACACAAAACGGGGCGTGGGGGGGGGGGGGGGCGCTTATTTGGAACCCTGGATATGCCACTGGAACACCTTGTTGAAGATCTCCTTGCCATTCTTCTCCATGGTCTCGCCGTGGCAGGGGATGACCGTGTCAAAGTCCCAGGCGTGTATCCTCCTGACGCTCTCGTTGTACTTTTGGCGGTTGCCGGCGGATAGGACGTACCACTGGAAGCGCTTGTTGCCCTTTGCCTCGCCCTGGGTGCTCTGGAAGCTCTGGAAGAAGCGGTTGAGCAGGCCGTGCACGACGCCGCCGTCCTGCCTCTGGGCGGCGGGGACGCGCGAGTACTGCTCCACGGCGGGGAGGTTGAAGAAGAGGTCGGCCTGGATGAGGACGCGGTCGGGCTTGTGGTGCAGGACGACCTCCTTGTTGGCGTGGGCGCCGACGTACTCGACGTCAAAGTCTGCGAGGAAGTCTTGGTCGAGCCCGCGGCCGTCGTGGTTCTCGTCGGTCAGGACGTGGTGGAAGTCTATCGGGGTGATCTTGTCGTCGTTGTGAACCTTTGCGCGCTTCTCGGGCAGGCCCTCCGGGCCGATGACCTTTGCGGCGGGGAACTCGCGCTTCCACTCGGAGAGGAAGATGTGGTGCTCAATGTCGCCGGCGACGAGGTAGTCGACGGTGCCGCCGAGCTCGGCGAGCTTGGCCTTGACGGAGTGGGTGAGGGCGACGGGGCTGAAGACGGCGAGGTTGCCGGTGGTCATGCGAATGATGGTGGCGCGGCCGCCGACGTGGACGACGCCGAAGCGGGAGAAGGGGACGGAGAGGGTGACAATATTTGGGGTGATGTTGCGGATGACCATGACCTCGTCAGGGTCGCTGGGGATGAGCTTGGAGGACATGGCGAGGCCTGTGGTGGTGTGCAGTAGCTGTCGTGGTGTGGTTGCTGGTTGTTTTATGGTAGATGCAGCAGCAAGTAGTGGTGACGACGTTGGTGTTGGCGATGCTGTTGGGCGTCTGGCGGAGGTGGACAGTGGCTGGCGGCGCTGGCACGACAGGGCAAGCCTGGAGGCAAGTGGTGATGATGTAGTTGTTGATGTTTTTGTTGGGAGGCAGGAGCGGGCAGAGGTGGCAGGAGCACGGCAAGTCAAAGCAGCGAGCAGGCCGGCTTTAACATCACCAGCGACACGCATTGTTCTGGTCCGGTCTGTTCTGTTCAGTCAGGTCTGGTCTGGGGGGGGCCGACCGGGCTCCGGTGTTTCGGGTCACTATCCCAGAATAGATGGGCGAACCTATTTCTGCTAGGTACCTAGGCTCGGTTTTTTAAAATGTCATGCCATGCCATGCCATGCCATGCCGGGGCCACATGTCGCAAGGCAAGGGAGAGGGCGGCCAAGATTGGAGGCGTTAGAAGCCACCCGCAGGTTGGTGATGGCTGACGGGCGGGCGTAGCTAGGGGGGCGCGGAATTCAGGCCGTCAAGAAGGCATCATCGTGGGCATCACATCGTGGCCGGGGCAGGACAGGGCGAGTAAACAGTTGCTGATCAACCACATGCAGCCAGGGTGCTGGTGGGTGGTGGTGGGGCCGCCGCGCTGATGCATCGAGTATTTGGAATGTCGTCAGTGCCGAGGTCTACGTGTCGCCTGACTTTGAGTTGACAAATTGTCTCAGCCGCAATGGGCATGTTATGTTGCCAGCAATAAGGCAGATTGCTGTTCTTTGGCCTCCCTCTATCTACCGAGTATTTCAAATTGTCCATTTCCCCTGATTGTTAATGCAGCAGCCCTTCCTTGAGATGGTGGATTTGTGTTTGACGGCCCACGCCCAGCATGACATCACCATCGCTCCACCACAAACAGCGCCGGCCCTGTCGCACAAGGAGATGACTACATACTTAGTGTATGTCCATGCTGCTCGGCCGAGAGCTGCTCCTTGCCTGGCCGTTTGACTTTGTGCTGCGGTGTCCCAACTGTAATTCCAAAACTACCCATTGGTCGTTGTTCCAGAATCACATGCGCATCGGCGGGTCCGAACGGCTCTGCAGCAAGCAGCACGTTTCCTATTTTCTTTAATTCTTCTTCCTTTTTTTCTGGCTGAGACCTGGACCCCTGATTCCAGGTGCGGAAGGGGCAGTGGATCCCCCACCGCACCTTTCCGTCCGTCGCTGGCCTCGGCCCTCAATCTACCAAACAGGAAATAAGTCTTCGTGGTGCGCCCCTCCGGAACCCTCACAGGCTTCACGGGCTTCACGGCCATCGCGAAGGCCGACCCGGCACTCCACTGGGCGACAGCATCTCCCACGCCGCCTCCGCGCTCGGCACCCGGAAACACCACTGCTGCTGCTGCTGCGCCTCGCCCGCAACATACAGCGCCCGGCTCACCCCGTTGGCCCCCCTCCACGCCCGGTACTGCCCTGTCTCGGCCACAACCGCCAGCGCCAGCGCGACCGCCAGCACGCACTGTACAACCCACATCCACCACGGCGAGGCCTGCCACGCGCCGCCCTGTCTCGCACCTTCTGGCCTCTAGCCATAGGCGGTCAACATGGTCGCGTGCAACCACTGCTCGTTGCGGTCTTCTGAGACATGGGCCCAGCCAATCCGGCATGGCGGCCGTGTCGCCGGCACACGCTCCGAGCGCTGCGACACTGACCCTTGCCGGCTGTCTGGCCAGCTCCACGCGGACGACGACGACAGCAGGCGACTCTCCTCTGTAAAGTCCCCGGCGTCGCTCAGCGCCGGGGGGGTCGAGCTTCGCGACCGTGTCGAGCAGGTGCTTCTCAGACTGGAATAACCTGATGGCCAATCTGGCATTGTGGTATCGGCTCCCCACCCTTCGCAGTGCGCGTAGTCCGAGAACTCCCAAGGTTGTCCAGTACTTTCTACATCAGGGGGTTTGTGACCATGTGCGCCCGGCAGTGCGGCGGCAGTAGACTCCAACTCCGACATAAGAGACTGCCCAGCGATGTGTCTCTTGATCCGTAGTCTTCTCCTGGATTCGGGTTTGTTGTTGTTGTTGTTATCAGTGGCAGGCGCAGGCTTACCCTCCGACTGAGATATCGTGGTGAACGGTGATACACTCGGTGTCCCAGTGGACCGATCAATAGACATGCGGCTTTGGAGGTCCAGGATCTGTCCATTCAGGCTGTCGATGCTCTCGTCTTTCGCCAGGAGCTGTTCCCGTACTGCGTCCAGTTCGTCCTGAACGCGCCGGCACAGCTCCGTCTCGGCACGGATCGCAGCCGACATCTGCTTCGCATCATGCTCGGCCTCTTCCATCCTGTCCGCCTGCTCCTTCAGCTCCCGGTCAATGCCCCGAAAGTCCTGCTCCGCTCTCCGCAGCTTCTCCTCCAGCTCGAGCACCCGAGACAGCGCCCTGTCCCGAGCGACGACGGCAGCCCCTTTCTCGTCCACGCACTCATCCCAGTTCTCCGTGAACTCTGCAATCTGCCTGCCGAGCTCCTGGTTGTCGCCACGCATGCTCGCGACCTTGCCGCGCAGGCCCTCCAGCTCGACTTGCTGCTCACGGAGCGCCCGGGCAGCGTGCTCCTCCGTCTCTCGCAGCAGGCTCTGGTAATATTCCCTTTGTCCATCTAGGACCCTGCAGCTCTCAGTCTTTTGTGTCTCCATCTCCTGCTGGTGGAGGCTGTCCCGCTGGTCGAGCAGGGCTTCCAGCTCGGTCATCAGCTGGTTGATGCAGATTTCGCGGCTGGCATCGCTTGTGCGAGCGTCCATCAGCTGTTTGAGAATTGTGGCGATGCTGCTGCTGCTGCTGCTACTGGACTTGCCGAGATAGCCCTTTTTGCTGGTGCCGTCTGCGTCCGAGTTGTCGGGCAATGTGTTCGCATCGGGAAGCTCGTCAGTCGTCTCTGATACCGACCCCGCTATGCTGAATTGCCGGCTCGTCATGCTTGATTTACGTATGATCTCGAAAGAAATGTTCGTGTGGAATGCTGTTTGTGGCTACAGGAATGACCTATGCTGCCGCATGAGAGATTTGTGGGTTCATCGTGAAACCAAAGGGTATCGCACTGTTTGACTATTTGTACCAACACATCGCACGGCTCAGGAAAGAATGAATGCCTGAATGGATGAATGAACAATCGCTGTGCCTCATAATATTCGCAGACCTCGGAAAATCAAGGGGTATCCCGTTTCGGCGCGCTTGCATGTTTGTCCCAAAAGCATGATGCCTAGCTATACCAGCCGCGCGCCCCTGGCCCCTGGTGGCTTTCTTCTTTTCGGTGAGGGATAAGGGACTCTTTGATGTCGAATGCCTCAATGATATCACGCCACATCTTCATGTCGATTGTGAGAACAGCTTGCTGCCTCTGCGCACCGTGTTTCGTGCCAACGCTCTGCTCCTCATCCTTCTCTACCGGCACTTCAATCATACCAGTTAGCAGGCGGCTTGTGCCTTCAGCGATCTCGAGATGACTTACACAAAGTCGGGAACTCATTGCTGTCAAAGTCGATGCGGACCTGGCCGTCGCGAATGAGGAAGCTGACATAAAACATGTTCTCCACGGTTTGACCAAAGGATCGTGGGTTCACCACAAACTTCAGCAGGTCAATCCCGCCAGTATCCCTAAGACCCCATTTCTCCATCATCTTCTGCGCCTCCTCGTCAGAGATGCCGTCATTCTCGACGGCGTCGCCAACTGCTTCCTGCGCCTCGGTCTGATGCTCCCTCAACCGTTGAAGAATTTTTGAACATATCGCCGTGAGATCATTCTTCTCTGATCGTTGAACATCTTCCACATTGAGGACTTCGGGTCTGGTCTCCCGGAGGTTGCTGGCCTTGAAGGGGGCGCTGCGCTTCACCACCTTGCGCACCTTCTTCTCCACGGAGAGAGGCCCCAGGAGGAAGCCAGGCACGGCAGGTCGTCGGATATGCGGCACGCATGCAAAGCGGCCTAGATGCTCCCAGTTTAAGGCGTCGCCTTCATCACCAATCTCGTCATCGTCGTCATCATCACCATCACCATGTCTCCGAGTGCCAGGCCGTCGTCTTTGCTGCTGTGTCGATGTGAGGCCGGGAGCGTCATCTTGCTCGATTCCGGCGCCGAGGCGCATATATGCTATACATTTTGATACGAACTCGTCGACATCGAGACCTTGGGCCACATTTCCCGAGGTAAGGCGGACGGTCTTGCGGTATGATGCATCCACAGTGCTCACAAGAAGTCTCGCATCGATGGCCGCCTCTGTCGTTTGTTTGATGCCCGCAGAGAGCTCGTTTGCCCTCTTGAGCGTTTCCAACAGGCCTGTCGAGTCTGGCTGGAGAAAAGTATCGCCGTTATCGTTGAGGTCTTTTAGAAGATCTCTCAGACCCTTCTGTACGTGGCGTCGCTCCTCGAGTGGCTGATCGGGGTCGTAATCGTCGCCATGCTGCTCGGGCTCTTCACCAGAGTCCTCTGGCTCCTGTGTTCGACGCCTTGACGGGGGATGTGAGGCTCCGTTTGTGGGTGCCCGTTTCCGCTTCGCGGCACTCTCTGGTTGTTTGCCCTTGTCGCGAACGGGCAGTGTGCTTTGGCGGTGACGTCGTCGTGAGGACGACCAGGAGTCCGTCGAGCCGGAATCGGAGTCCGACCCCGCCATGATAGGCAGAGTTGTGAGGCTGTCGTGACTCCGCTCAGAGTGTTGGTTGTTCTTCAGAGGTGCACTGTGTGCGGTGTCGCTTGTGCAGGCGGCCACAAAGGGATGGCTGGTCGTCCTCGCCTGTCGTCTGGAAATGTCCGGTTTGCTTGCGTTGACGGTGACGCCTTGGTGGGCTACGCACTTCGCAGGCCTTGACAAAGTATTGCCCCCAGAGAGACGCGTGTGAAGCTGGCTGCGACGCGTCGAGATGCCCTAAAGTTAATTGAATACGCCCCACCTGCCTTGCGGAGGGTGTTGAGAAGGAGCACCCCACATTGCCCTGCGACCAGTGATCTGGGGGCCCGCTCCAGGCTGCGTGATGTCCCAGACGCTGAGGCTTGTGACTTGTCCAGGCCACTTGTGACTTGCATGCCTCGCGCAAGGCGGGCTTCAAAAACCGTGGTGCTCACGTCAACCACAACGTTTGGTCAACCCTAGAGCTCGAAACACTGCACCCCTTCATCTCGGTCATAACCACAGTGGCCCGCCTCCTTATCCAGCACCAGCAAGAGAAGCATTCACTCATGACCAGGCCCTGCTGGCAGCAGTCGAAGCATAACCTGTGCACTCGATGAGCGTGCGGCAGTGAGCTCCGCCAAATCATGAGATAGCCATCATCATGGAGCCCTTCTCTTTTGGCAGCTCCAACACACTCGATCATCCTGTCAGCATTCGAATGTAAGCTTCAAGACTGGATCCGCTCCATCAGGAGCCCGTGTTCGCGGCTATGAGACCCAAATGCTGCGCCGATCCCGTTGTCGGCATGAGCTCACACGCAGTACGCCTCCAGCATCAACCTCGAGGGTGACGAGACCCCTTACTTGTTCTCTACCCTACTCGAAAGGCCGGAGCTCAGGCACATCGGCTCAAACCAGAGGCAGGTCTACCTCCCAACCAGCGGTTCTCGTGCTCTACCACTGACGATAATACTGCACCGAACAGCTCCAACTCGGATCTATACGTGACAGTCCAACTATGGGCCGGTTCTAAACCCCTGACAGTCCCAGTCCAGACCTCGTACAAGGCTTTCCGGAACGAGAGAAAGTTCGTATTCAAGCCCTCATGAATTCTATCGCAAAAATACTGACCTTCCCACAGCTGGAATGAGTGGCTGACGCTGCCCATCCCCTACAAGTCGCTACCACTGAACTCGTGCCTCGCCATCACTCTCTGGGATCTGTCTCCGACAGGCGGCAAGCATGCGCATGGCCATGCTGTGCCCTTCGGTGGGACGACGTTGCCACTGTTTGATAAGGAAAATCAGCTTCAGAAGGGGCGTCAGAAGTGTGTGATATATCGCCATGAACAGGCAGATGGCAACGACAACACGACAACTCCTTCTAGTATTCAGAAGCGAAGGCAGGACCCGAAGAAAGGTGATGCCCAGCCAGTCAACAAGGATGCCGAGGAGCTAGAGCGGATAGAGCGGCTACTCAAAAAACACGAGATGAACGAAATCCCTCGCGTGGAGTGGTTGGACCAGCTGGTATACAGGGGAGCTGAACGTCGCAGTATCAACGCCGCCAAGAACACTGTCAAATTACTTCAGCGTGAATCGGTGCGGCAGGCCGAGAACGAGAACGGACAAGATTCCTCTGATAATGGACCATTTCCTCCACGGCCCGGACCCTCCAAATTCACGCTCTATGTCGAGCTGCCTCGCTTCGACTTTCCGGTCGTCTTTGCAGACCACGAGTATCCACCCCTCCCGATATCATCCTTGCAACACCTTTCTGCATCGCAGTCCAATTTCCTAATGAAGCCTCCCCCGAGGTATCATTGGGCCCTGGGATTAAGGAAGCCGAAGAAAGTGGCTTTGGGAGCCGAGTCGTCCGCATATACGATCCAGAAGTGGGTGCTAGGGAAAATCCAGCGGAGAGTAAGCATCGACGCCTGGCCAGAAGCCAGCATCGCCACGGCATCCTGGACAAAGACCTCCGACCAAACGCCAAGGTCAGAGACGAGCTCAATCTGATAATGTCATATTCGCCGACGCACGTCTTGACCTCGGACGAGAGAGATTTGGTCTGGAAATTTCGTTACCATCTATCCAAGGACAAGAGAGCTTTAACCAAGTTCGTCAAGTCCGTCAACTGGCAGGACTCGGGCGAGTCCAAGCTGGCCGTTCAAGTTCTGGTCAAGTGGACCGAGATCGATGTCGACGATGCTCTAGAACTCCTCGGCCCAACATTTGACAACTCAACCGTTCGAGCCTATGCTGTAGATCGCTTAAAAAAGGCAGACGACCACGAACTGCTGCTGTATCTTCTACAGCTCGTGCAAGCGCTCAAGTTCGAACACATCTCTGCCGAGTCGGACCAGTCAACAGTGCAAGCCTCTTCGCTTGCCAGCTTTCTCATCTCTCGAGCGATCAACAACTTCGCCCTCGGCAACTACTTCTTCTGGTACCTCAACGTCGAGTACGGTGACAAGAGCGATGATGTCGATAACGAGCACATCCGCAGCATGTACGCCAAGGTCTCCTACGACTTTATGTTGGAGATGGAGAGGCAGCCTGGCGGCAAAGACAAACGCACGACATTGAAGAGACAAGCAGAGCTGATCACCGTGCTTTCAAAGATCTCGGCTGAGATCCGGTCATCGAATGAAACAGCTGCCCGGAAGGTTGAGAGGGTCAAAGCATTCTTGTCAGACCCAAAGAACGAACTGTCATTCATAGACCCGCCTATTCCTCTGCCTTTGGACCCAGATGTTCTGGTGACGGGCGTGGTCACGGACGAGACACGCGTCTTCAAGTCTTCTCTGTCGCCGATTATGGTGACATTCAAGACCGCGGCCGGCGGAAAGTATCCGATGCTGTTCAAGACTGGAGACGATCTTCGCCAGGATCAGCTCGTCATACAAATCATAACACTCATGGATCAGCTGCTGCAGAAGGAGAATTTGGACCTCAAGCTTTCGCCATACAAGATTCTTGCGACGAGTCCGACAGCCGGAGCAACTCAATTTGTTCCGTCACAGACCTTTGCTGCCATTGTCTCCAAATATCGCAACAACCCAGTTCTCGCATTCCTCAAACAGCATAACCCGGACGACCGTGCTTACCTTGGCCTCCGGAAAGAGACTCTCGACACATTCGTAAAGTCCTGCGCCGGATACTGTGTCATCACCTACATCTTGGGCGTTGGCGATCGGCATCTGGACAACCTGCTGCTTGCGCCCGATGGCCACTTCTTCCACGCAGACTTTGGCTTCATTCTGGGGCGGGACCCGAAACCATTTGCGCCCGTTGTCAAGCTGAGCAAGGAAATGGCCGATGCCATGGGTGGTGCCAACCCGCCAAGTGAGGCGTACATGCAGTTCAAGCAGTATTGTTTCCTCGCCTTTTCTGCCCTTCGCAAGTCTTCAAATCTCATTCTGAATTTGTTCAGCCTGATGGTGCACGCCAACATTCCCGACATCAAGTACGAGCCAGACAAGGCTGTTTCGAAAGTGCGCGAGCGGTTTCATCTTGATCTGAGCGAGGAGGATTCGATCAAGCATCTCGACCTCATCATGGAGAACAGTCTGAACGGCATCATGCCTGTCGTGATTGACCGCTTGCACGAAATTGTGCAGGCATGGAGATAGAGGAAGCGCTTTATAAAGCCCAATAAAGGCATTGTCGGTTTGTTCAAAGCTTGAAGTCGTGGGAGCCAGACCGTTGTACTGCGAAGACGATTAGGTACAAGACATTCACAGCACGGAAGGTTCATTCATACACGACGGCCCTCGCGCATCTGGCTGGCGTTAATGAACGTGTTGGGTCTGCATAGATATAGTACACGAATCCGAATATACAGCGATGAAAAACCCCATAAACAATAACAAAAAGGAAACGCAGGACCTGGAACACTCCAAACCTGCCCATGTATGCGCACAAACTAATATTTTCAACCCATTCTTACCGCAGTCTACATGTACGACACGCACGGACTCGTACTGTGTGGATGAAGACTCAGTGATATGGAAAGACTCACAGCTCACCGAACCAGTCGGCCTGCTCTCTGGTCTCATCATCCTCAACAACGTACGGACCAAGATACTCGACAAGGTCCTCAACTGAAATTTCGGTGTCGGCAGGGTAGAAGCCCTTCTGCTCATGAGGGGGGATGAGGACAGTCTGCAGCGCGTGGATCACGCCGTCCTTGGCCACGCCATCTTGCACAGCGACGCGGGTGAAGCCATTGATCTTGATCTCGATCAGGCCGTACCAGCGGGCAATGTCGATGCTGAGACGGCGGTCGCCCAGGAGCGTGGGGAGGTCGACGTGGAAGTGCCCGTTCTCCTGGCCGTCAACAGTCTTCTCATCCTTGTCGTGATGGTCGCGGCCGTAGTAGGCATCCGAGTAGAGGGTCTCATTGACGACGATGTGGTACTTGAGCAGCGCCTTGAGATACTTGAGGCCCTTTTCCGAATTGAAGAGGAACGCGTTGGCGGCCGGGCCGAGTCTGCGGAAGGCGGTGTTGGTCGGAGCAAAGATGGTGAGGCCGCTCGTCTCGTGCTTGTGCTCGTCGTGCTTGCCACGAAGACCCGTCTTCTCGGCGGCCAGGAGCAGGGTGGAAAACTCGCCAGGCAGAAGGGAGACAATCTTCTCCGCGGGAGGGGGAGGTACCAGGATGCTCTCGATGCCGTGGACGACACCGTTCTTGAAGAACTGATGTTCGGAGAGACTATGTGTTAGTTGTGCTTTTATAGACTAGGGCGGGGGGCGTCCTTTGGAGAACGGGTAGACAACATACCAGATTGGCAGCAATGATCTTGGAGTAGAAGTTGATGCGGAGACCAAACAGGCTCAAGTGCACGCGGAGCCGCTGGTGTCTGCCACCGAGAGCCTCCTCCTTGAGGAGAGTTGGGAAAGTGTGCCCGGCAAGAACGCGGCCGGCCGGGTAGAAGCCGGGGACGACGTGATACTCGAGGATCTTCTCGAGGAACTCCTTGGAGGGCTTCTTATGGTGCTCTGGGATCTTGTCAAAGGCCTTGTCAATGGGGGCAAACAGGGTGTAGTTGGCCTTTGTCGAGTTGAGCACCTTGACGATATCTGGGAAGTCGTCGACGAGCTTGGCAAATTTCTTTGTATAGTTGGAGGCCTGGATGGCCTCGTAGATGGTCAGGTTGGATGGACCGTGACCGTGGTGGCCTCGGTGGCCCCGGTGAGGGCGATGATGCGGACGACGGCCCGGATGGTCTGGCCTGCCGTGGCCGGGTCCTTCAATCTCATCATCATCACCATCATCATACTCATCGCTGCCGAAGAAGTCGAACTCGACCTCTAGGATGTAGTCGTGGAGCTTGCTGGCCTTGCGCTCCACGGCCTCGAGGCTGCCACTGAGGATGTCGCTGACCGAGTTGCGGATGTCGTCAGCACTGGGGATGGTATGCCACCAAGATGAGACGCTGTCTTCGACATGCTGGGTCTCTTCGATGACGAGCGAGTGGAGGGTGACATCGTCAGGGATGACAATGGCCGAGGCGGCCGCCGCCAGGGGCAGGATTGCCGAGTATCTCATTCTTGCTGCCGAGTATAAGGGGGCTGCTTTCTATGGTATCAGGCAGTATGGAGGAAATGACAAGATGCCTGCTTCTATCAGAACTCGCAGTCAAAGAGTTGTGTGGCTTTTTGTGTGGCGGTAGCTCAGTCCATGTATAAGCGGCGTGGTGGGAAATCGATGATGGCTGCACAGCGTAGCAGGGAGCGGGGGCGCAACTCGGCTACTGAGTGAGCTACAGTACAAGCCTTCAAGCCTTACGACTGCTGTGAGCTGCCTGCTGAGGCCAGTGATTGCGGCTGCCCAAGCGTGCAACAGCCTGTTACGCGGCCCGGTCTGTTCGGGACATGAGACGACAGACACGTCTGGGGAGCTGACGAATGGCAGCTCGGGGCCACGGCCAGGGCTGACGTCAACACCGCAACGATTGATTGCACCACAGCTTGGGCCGCACCTTCTCACCACGGACAGACAGACAGACAGACAGCAGGCACGCCATTTCTGTGCATGTTGATGCATTCGTCCATTGAGAGTCCATGACGGTCTTCTCTGTGCTCCTGCAGAAATGGTATTCGGCCAAAATATGTCCGCCAGATTACTGCTGTTCCTTGCAACAAGTGCTGTACGGAGGGTATGCAAACCACGAGGCACTCTTGGTCGGACATCGGACAGCCACAAACACCGACCTTGCGGATGCCTCCTGCCCGTTTCCCCGCACTTTGACCGTCAGAGCTCGGCGACTTTATTCGCCTAGTACTCAGCTGTCTGAGTGAGCAAAATCAAGGTTCATCCTTCGCTCGTCATGGGCAGCAAATATGGGACAATGGCTGTTGCCTAGATGCGCCACACTAGATCAGCTAGCAACATGCTAGCGGTCCAGGCATGGAAGCAGCAACAGGTCTTGATACCTTGTGCATCCATCTGCAGACGGCCACACTACCAGGAGCAAGCAAGCACCTTATTCGTCCAACGGGACACTCCCTTTTCTCTCAGAAAGCCACAATGCGAGATACGGACAGGGGGGGTGGGACGTATGCTGATATTCGCCCTTCCCGCTGACAAGCACTCGTGCTTCGTGCCGTTGGTACGGAATACGATTGCCAGAGCAAACGGTGGAATATGCTTTCTTCCGACTTGACAGTCCACGTCTCTGCAAGCTAGAGGTATGTAGACGCGTGCCTGTCTGACTGACGACCCATCTCTACACCCTCCGCCCACCAAACCCAGCAGCCAGTCGTATTGGCCCCTGGTCAACAAGCTCCTGATATCGTCTCGCACTGCCATCAAATGCATTCTCTATCAGGCCGCTCACACGGCTCACTTGCACTGCACCCCATCTCTGCTCCCTATTGACCCTCCTGGCTTTGCCACCTGGAGAATCTGTAGCCCAGACATCCAGCTCGTCCAGCAGGACCTCTACGGCCCAGCAATACTCCACTGCTCTCCCTCTTCGTGGCACAGCAGTGACTGCAACCTCCTCAGGCGTATCATGATCATGGCCCCGCCGAGTCGACGCAGAGACCATCCTCTCTGCATCTTCTCTCGTCCTTGGGAGCCGTGTGCATAGCAAGTGGACATCCAGGAACTGCGCAAACGTGAGTCCAAAGGTGGGCTTGTTTCGGCGGCTCAGCATGTTTCCTGCCCCTCCGTAAGGACGACCGGCACCAGCATCCCTGGCAGGAGTCACCACGCCAGCATCGCTGGTACTGGCGGCCGCAGCAGCCATGGGGGTTGGGTTGAAGATTGACCGCAGCGTCGGGTCGAGGGGCCTACTTGAGCGATTGTGCATGTTCTCGGATGCATTCATGGTAGTAGCGTCTGCATTAGTATTAGTGGCACTGGTTGATCGATTTGTATCGTTTGTGGCGGTCGTGTTGAGAAGCACGATCACACTCCCCGATGAGCACGCAAGGTATCTTAAGTGTGTCGAAAGCAGCTGCAGAGTGGTATGCGCTGCCGCCCGGTCCGTACCACTCTGGGTGAAGAGTGTCGAGAGTAATGTCGAGAAGTGTGTGACCAGTATCATGTCTGGCATGGAATTTCTCTGGTCGTCTTCGGAATCATGCTGCCCTTCTGATGCTCGATCGTCATCAACTGGAGGAGTTCCTGCCGCCCCTGTTGCCCCTGGTGCTTCATCTTGTTGTGACCCGGAAGACTCTGTCAAATGAGCCGGGGGCGAGGAGAGCGCTTCGTCGTCGTCCTCACTATCAGAAATTTCCGCGCGCATCGGAAGTGGCGGACGCAGCGGCGGGAGACTGGTCGCTGGCGAAGGGAGCCGCTGACTCGCAGGTGGTGAATGAGCAGTAGTCCTAGGTGCTTCTGCTGCTGCTGCTGCTCGATCTCCCCCTTTGCCCTGTGATGAGATTGGATCCGCATCTTCGTGCCTGTGCTCGTCGACTTCCATGCTCCCATTCTCTGGACGACCATTGTCTGGCGGACCACCCGACCGACAAGCTGCCTCGATCTCGTCCAGGACCTGCCAGAGCCCCACGATGTCGAACACGCGCGATATCGAGACGCGCCCCAGGCAAGCCCGGACCTGGGAGTTCACTTCCCTACTTACTTCAGGAGTGGCCACCCCATTGCTGCTGGCGCCTTCTTGGTCTTCGTCATCGTTGTTGGTACGCCGTTTCCTCAAGACTTGTGCTCGGATCGCCTTCTGCAAGGGTCCGAGGATCGCAGAAGCAGGGAGACTTGTAATGATGGCTGCTTTGGGTGCCACTGCCGAGTGACCAGACGAATCATGTGCGGTAGTAGATGAGGCCGGGGCTGCAGTGAAGACGAGATCCCGTGCAAGTGCTTGCAGTCCAACCTTGCGGACAAAGAAGAGTCCCATGTTAGCACATTCGTCTCTCGATTTGCGATCAAGACGGTATATATTACCAAACCTGCTTGACGCCAGGCTGGAGAAGAGAAAAACTGCCCATCAACACGCGAAACATCAAATACTCCTCCTACCAAGGAACAAAGATAGAATCCTGCCACTAACCAAGAGCAACAACCCCCAGGAAAGAGAGAGGGGAAGGGAGAAAAAAGAAAAAAAGAAAAAAAAGCTCACTTACCGCCATCCCAAACTCGACATCTTCAGAGCTGACCCCAAACACAGCTCCGCGCTCGAACCCGCCACCGAGGAGGACTTGATCGTCAATCTCGGTGCACCCAAGCCGCAACGGCGGCCGTTCAGCTCCTCGTCCTACCTCCTCCTCCCCCACCACTGCACCACCGCCTTTCTGCCCTCCCAGGTTGTAGTCATCGTCCCTTCTTCTTCTTCTTGTCGCCTGCCACCACAGGTCCGACCGACGCCCGTGCTCGAGCTCGTACAGCGTGGCGCCAGAGATGGGTTCCAGCTTGAACGGGATCTGCGTGAGCCGCCGCTCGGGTTCGATGACATTGTGGCTGTTTGGATCGAAGTCGTCGACGACGACGGCGACGCCATCGCCGCCGGCATGAAAATCCTCTATTTCGCCAGCATCGATGATGGCTTCGTCCTCGTCATCTCCGTCCGGCCTCATGATTGTGATCGCGGGGCCCAAGGCGCTGTAGGCGCTGTGGCTGTGGCTGCTGCCAACATCGCGTTTGTCTGTGGGGCGGGGAGGGGAGCGAAGCCTAGTGGCGCTGGAACGCAGGAAGAAATAATCACCATCTCGCTCACCATGATTTGGTGGCGCAAGTCACGATCGAGGAACGAGCTTACGTCTTTGCCAGTGATACTCGGGTGTGTTAAAACCCACGGCATTGTGCAGCTTGTACCGATGCAAGCGGCTTATGGGGGGTTGTTGTCGCAGATGCCCTGTTGCAGTGGGGGGCCGCCGCAAGACACCTCACAGCACAGTCGATTGCAGTGCACGAGACAATGCACAGCCATTCAAGGAATGCTCTTTTGTTCTGAGAAAAGGTCCAGCTAATCATCCTACTACGATTTATGTACGCCTACGCCGTTCGTTTAGTATAACCAGCCCACCCCAGTGCAACATCATCTTCGATGACTGCGCCCTGTGTGGCTCGGCTCTCTCGCATCTTATCGACTACTTGGTATCCTATTGCGCATCTTTAAAGGAAAAACGAAATCATGCTCATGGTCTAGCAGAGCTAGAGTTTTCGTAACGTCCACCTGCAACAGTCCTTCCATTTTGCCAAACTCATGTACTGCAAACCGCCGTTTATAACCACAGTCAATGGCTGATCTGTAGGCATTGTCTTAATGTCAAGCCTCAAGTTTGATGTCTCCCAATAGGCTCACTCGGCAGATCACGCAGCAGTGCCGGGCGCAGGTTCTGGCGCTCCGGGAGGGGGTCGGGGAGGCGCCTCGGGCCGCGTGCGGCGACCGCCCTTCAGACTTTTGACGCGAGAGAGGAAGCCGCCCTGCGACTTTGATGTTGGCTCGGGAGACGCAGGGCTCGCAGCGGCATCTGTTGTCACCCGCCGCTCCAGAATCGCTCCAGTAGCAGGTGGACTAGCCGGCGACCGCGGGTTTGAATCGGCCTGCTTCACCGAGATGCGTTCCTCTGCCTTATCAAATTCAGCTGCGAAAGGATTCCGCTCCCCAGTGCTCTCCCCGGACCGAGGTCCGTAGACGCCCTCTGGGTTAGTCAAACGCCCGGGAACCTGTGGGGCACGATTGATGTTGCGGATGCGATGAGCCAACGACTTCTTTCTCCCGAGGCCTTCTGCATTCTCTTGAACAGTTTCGGCTTGACGCCTTTGAATAGCGGTTCGGGTTGCTGGTGTGCCCTCCAGGAAAGTCGAGGTACCTAGGCCGAGCGACTCATCACCGTGGAGAGCGGAGCCTCGGGAAGTAGCATCGAAGAAGCCGGTTGCGGTCTTGTCGACACGAGGCTCGAGAGGCACAGACGCGCCAGTCGCATGGAGCGTGAAGGCCTCCTCATCGTGATTGCCCATGAAAGTCGCATGATCCGGTCGCTTGTTGAGAGGTCCAGACCCGCCGAGTTGCATGTTGGGTGAATCCTTCGCGAAAGCGTGCATAGGGGCTCGCCGGCTTCCTTGTCTGTTGCGATTGGGATTGCAGGCATCGAAAGGTCCGTCATGATGGAACACTGCCAGGTTCTGTTAGATGGTATGTCACAGTGGCAAATTCGTTCCAATTGCACTTACGCCCGGTACCATAAATACTGGTCGCGTCAAGCTGATCAATGAGATCAAGCTTCTTGCTGGGTTTTCCTTTGCTTTCTTTGCTCGCCTTTGCTTCACGATAACGTCTCTCTTTCTCCTTGCGGCGAGCATCGCGTGCTTTCTTTTCCTCCTCAGTCATAGGCCGCTCCTTGTCCGCAACGGAGGAGTCGCTGTTCCGACGAGGTCGGCTGCCCATGGGTCGACGCTGAGGCGAGTCGCCTGGCGCCTTGCCACCAGGACCCGGGGGTCGACGCGCCCTCATGGCCTCTTCTTGTGAACGAGTCGGACGATGCGTTGGCGGTCCTCCACGGCCTCGCGGAGGCATGTTCTCCCCACGCGGCCTCGGAGGCCCTGGCGGGCCAGGAGGACGCTTCATTGGCATTGGAGGCTTGCCACCTTCAGTGGGCGGGCTCTTAGGCTTGCTGTCATCGAGTGTGAGGTTGTCCTACATGGCCGCGGGTTAGTGCTTTGGCAGAGAGGTGGCGACACGTAGGATTTGGTGGGAGACGAACAAATATGTCCTCCGCAGTTGGCGATGCCCTGTCCTTTGGTGAGGTCATCTTGTCAGGCGAGTTGACTCTGTCGCTGGGTCCAGTGCTCGAAGGGAGATCCAGGAAGGGGTTCCTCGAAGTCGGTCGCGGGGGAGGGTCGTCAAATGGTGAGGATGGGGCAGGCGAGAGATTGCTGGGTGACACAGCGCGATTGCGGAAAGGGTTGTTGGAGCCGAGATTCAAAGTGAGGCCTGGATTGGGACGACCCTCGGATGGGTTGTCTGATCAGGATTTCTCGTCAGCGGTTTTGCTGGGAAAACAAGTCCTTGCTACCAGGTTTCAGAGTATGCAGCGACTGGTATGTGCGTGGGGGACGCGCTTTGCATGCAGTGTCGATGCCTTGGTATGCTGGGAATTGAATGGGGAGAATGGGCAACATGAAACACAGGATCCTCTAATTGACACCACCAATACGTGTAAAGTGGACCACGGATGCAGCGCTCCCATGTATCGCAGACGAATCTCTGCCCTCAAAAGGGGGAGATTCCAGCGCGATCATCTCGATCCAAGAGGCTTTGGAAACGCGCGCGTACCCACAAATCGCTGGTGGATGGCAGGATGCGGTGTCAAGGGATGAAGAGGTGCTGATTCGAGGAAGACCAGGGAGCAGATAAGGCAGGCGGGCAAGACAGTTGCACACCAGGCTATCATGCCAATCACGCCCATCTTGAGAGAGATTGCAATAGGAAGGACGGGCGGTATGACTTACCCAAACCCAACAGGTCTCCCGTTTGCGATGCCGCCATGATTGCTGGTGGTCACAAAGTGTGTCGGTGTGCCGGAGTGGTTGCTGGGCGTACGGCACTCGTCGCAAGGGCTTTCCGGCTACCTAGGTAGGCAGCACTGACAGTGACACAGGTCGGAAGCGAAATGGTCGTGTGCGCCAGTACTCGGGTGCCTCAGTGAGGAAGAGCGCTCTCACAAGGCGGCGAAGAGTGGATGACAAAAGTGGCCGCAATGGTCTGTAGGGGAAAAAGGGATTCGAATTCAAGGAAGGTGCCCGGCGGGGTGGCAGGTGACGGAGCTAAACAAAAGGGATGATTGATGGGCGGAGACAGCAAGCCGGAAGTCGGGATCGAGCTAAAAGTGGCAGGGTTCTGTCTGCCAGAAGAGGCGGGTGCTCGCTGTTGTGATCTCCAGAAGGCCCCCGTTTTCGCCCCTGACGCGCAGGCCAAGCAGCGCTGTAGCAAGTTGTCAGGGGTGAGAGTAATGACGTTGGGGCTTAAAGCAGGTCTAGCTTCTCTGGTGGGGCCAACACCCTGAGACAAGACCTCGGGACGTGGCGCGGAGGAGAATACGGGTTCTTGGAATACGATTCAACAACTTCTCAACGCCAGTCGGATTCGCAGTGATGTTGTGTAGGAATGCTGCCGCGTACAAATTGTGCTGGATCGGCTTTTCTAGGTTGGAGAATGCCTGTGACTGAGCTTGTATAGTATCGATGGTGTTGAGTCGCGACAAATGCTGGTTGGTGCGGCTCGTGTAAGGACATTCAGCCTGAGCTCCAGGCAGCGGCCGAACGGGTCTGACAGCCTCCAAGAAGGCGCGTGGGCTGGTTTGTGATACGACCCTGATTGAATCTGGATTCCCCTCTGGAGGCGGGAGGCTCGGTTGTCGACCACCCGGTGCAAGAAACTCTCGATTGTCGCTCGATGGATTCAGGGTGCAGAAGACTGTCCGTCTAGACGTAGATGGCTTGTGGCAAAATGAAGGAACAGCGGGCGAGGGACACCACCGTCTTACACTATCTAATGAAGGTTAGCAAGCATGACCACTGGACTGATGCTGGACGAGACTTGCCCCAGGTGTGTCGTGCGATCGGTGCCGTGCCAGTCACACCGGAAGGGCCGGCAGAATTATTCGTCGTTGGAGTGAAAGTGGTGATAAACTTGTTGGAGGATGGCGCGAATTGAGATCGTGCTGGGCCGCATGCTCGTCTGGGCCAAGAGAGCAAGTCGTCGCGGCGGAACTGTCGGAAACGCGGATGACTAGAAATTCTGGAGGTCCTGGTAGAACTGGGGGCCAGTGATGCTATGACTTTGGGCGTGGATGATGTATGCTTGTGGGAGGACCTTGTGCTGGTGCCTGTGGATCACCACGACCCAAGAGTTAGCGGCGTGTTCTCCTCCGTCTCTGAAGTACACGTGCCTCGGTACACGGTACGTCGCTTAGCCCAGGCGACTAACATGAGGCGAGATTCCTCCGGCTGGCACGATCCAGGCTCGAGCCTGTCGAGTAATCACGTTAGGCGCTTCGTTGATCAGAGTGTGGGCCTTGCCTGACCGAGCTTGGCAGTTTCTTGAAATCGCGGAAGGCACCATGGGGGCCTGGCCCCAGCCCTTGATTACTCACGATCCAGGGAGGATTTAGGTACCGCACCTGCCACACCCCAACATTTTGGGAGCAGTCTTGCTCGGCCCACCTGGGCAGTTCCAGGGCTCCAATTTGTACAGAGCTCAAGAGCTGGCTCGACTCTTGTGCCTCCCTAGGTCGGTCTCGCTCGAAAGATCAGCCAAGCAGGTTGCGGTTGTCGCCGCAGACCTGCGTTCCTCATGACCGCCGAGCAAACAAATGCAACCAAGCCCGAAGCAGGATCAAGAACCTGGGGTAGTGCTACATGGGACAGCTGCTTAGGGCAGCGTCCACAAATTAGAGCGATCGAGGCACCCAATTCCAACGAATTGGCTTCAGCTGTTCTTCCCAAGCCCGCCGCGGATAAGCCTTACATTCGAGGGCATCGTCCTAAGGATCTCCAACCTTGAACGAAATCAATCGGACAGCACGCCAGCTCCGATCCCCAATCAGCATAGCATCAGCCTTCAGTCATTTTCATCGATCGAGCTGTACTGCGTACTGTGTGGTGGTGTATGCAGGCCGCTGTTCAAGACCCACGCTAGTGCAGGGCGCTAATCCTGCATGAACCAGGTGATCTTCCGATCACGCTGCCAAACTCACCAGGCTCGCAACGGATAGGCGCAGACGGGGATCGACACGACCTGCCTTGTGGTCTCAGCCGCGATATTGCCTGCCGTGTCTCGACTGTGGCCATTTACTCTGTATCGGCGTCTGGTTAATCCGTACTTGTGCGGCACATGTCATGCCGTCCAATTCACACAGAGGGCCCTGATATCCACTTCATCGGGAGAGGATTTAGGGACCCATGAGCGTTCTCCACTGTCCCGGCAGCACAAAGGACCCTGGATTCCCAGGATTTGCACAAGCTCCGCCCGTAGCCGGTCTCACCGCCCAAAGTAAGCATAGAGGGCGAGGAGGGTTGCAGTTCCTGGCCTGCACTTGCTCCGTGGGGCGCGCAGTTTGATGAAAAGGTCCACCGCCAGATTGCTGCCTGTGGAGAGACAAGCCCAATCACCATCTTGGCAATTCTCACCAAAAGCGATGTTCGAGCATGCTCCGATGCCCATGGTTTCCATCGTGTCTTCACATTGCTGCCTGCTCCTGCGAGTCATTGCTGCCTTGACTACAGATTCTGCACAGCTTTGCCGGTGCTTGATACCGTAGAGGCAAGGGCCGCCGAAGCGGTATCCCATCCACCAAGCTTCCACTGTGCCCGGTAAATTCAGCTTGATCCGTTCCATGATCCAGCGTCGTTCACGAACAGGCATCCCCACAACACCTCAGCTTTGGGCAGCCCAGTGATCACGGGTGTGCTGTACCTACAGCGGCTAGACTCGAGACAATTTATGGGGCTGCTTGCCAGTCGTCATCTCAACCGTGAGCCATATCACTAACTAGCGGGGGCCACGTCCATTGGACAGTGCTTGGCAAGCCGGACTTTGCTCGCCTTTAGTTGTTATGGTCGTCTATAATGAGATTATGACTTAATCAAAAGCAGGAATGGCGGGGGCTTGGCCCTTCACGGGAGTAACATTTGTAGAGCATATGAGATTTTCCATGAATTGGCATCTATGCCATTACCAGAATCCTGCTTGATAAGATATCACACAAACTTGCAGAACTCCGGGCAGGACATTTTAAAGGCCCTAAAAGCCTCACAACATAAACGATCTTGATGATGTTGGTCAGCGCTTCACCATGGGAGCTGCAGAGGTGTGCTAAGACCTTTGCCAAGGACTGTCTCAGCCATACCGATGTCGCCTGCGCCAGGTTTGCCAGATGGTCAGCGGAGAGAAAGCGGCATACATTTTCGGTACATCGGCACTCATTGCAGGCCAACTTACGAGGTCCGCGCGGTGCCCAATATTGTCCCGAATGCTCTAGTGTGAGGTTTTGTGTCCATTCAACAAGGCTCTTGGCTGCCTCGTCGGGTGTAACGGCTGTCTCATATTAGCGAATGTCTTGAGGGAAAAAGATGCGGCGAGCATTGACAGCAGAAGAACACGAACGACACAGAAGATCTGTGTCATAATGGACTTACCACCGCCTTCGTCCCAATGCTTATCAAAGCCGACCCCTTTCGTCATCTCGGTTCTCATGAAGCCTGGGTGAATGATGCTCACGATCACCCCACGCTCCTTGAGATCAATGGCGAGCAGCTTGCCAGCCATGTTGAGCGCGGCCTTGCTCGCATGGTGCCCATAGTTGCCGCCGCCCTCCTTCTCGTGGCGCAAAGTAATGCTGCCGGCCTCACTAGATACCAACACAATCTTGGATCCTCCGGTGGTCCCGGCGGATGCGTGTCGCAAGAGTCCGGCGTGGGTGAGGCGGTGCACTATCAGGGTCGGTGCGATCGAGCTGGTCGTGTACATTGTGACCTGGTCGTCCCAGCTCGGTCCCCTTTCCGCGGAGAAGTCCTCAAGCATAAAGCGCCCAGCATTGATAATCTGTAGACTGTCGTCAGCTCAGCCGGAAAGCGGCTTTTCAGGACCCAAAGAGTACAGCATTGCGAGAACCGTGTGGTGTTGTAAGACTTGTCCACCACGTCCGTGACGGAATAACAAGCGATTTTCAGGCATAGCAGGGGAGAGCTCACCAAGACATCAAGCGGCCCTTCCGACTGCGCCTTGATTCCCGTAACCAGGGCGTCTCCGACGGAGCTGTCCATCAGATCCACCCCCGTCAGCCATTTCACGTTCTCGGGGAACCCACCCTCCGGCCTCTTGTCCCTCCTGGTTGTTGCGTAAATATGTGTCGATGCCTGCGAGGCATACTGTTTGACCAGAGCTGCACCGAGGCCCCGTGTGGCGCCGATGACGAGGACAGATTGGCCCATGGTTCGGATCGGTAAATGGCTACTGCACAAACTGATTAGAGAGACTCGCCGCTGAATGCTTGTGATCTACGATTCAACGAAGCGGCCTGGATAGTTGAGATGATAAAGATTTTCTTGCCAGCGTCTGCGGAGGTGGTTCACAGCATGCACAGGAGCTTGCCGAGGAAGGCGTGACGGTGTCCAGTGATGACGTACATGGAGCCGGACTGTTTCCAGGAGTTCTCGACCAATGACAGCTCCGTGTGCCCGCCGGGACACCACAAAATAACCACATGTGTGATACTCGAGCTTAAATCAGACGATCAAGGCAGGGAGAGCAGGACTCTAGCTCAGACGTCCCTCAAGCAGCACTTGTCCATTACATGCTCTCTTAGTCGACCCTCCGATAACGATGATTGAAATGGTGTCGAATCTCGTAACGAGAGATTTCATGTTTAGATGCAACGGTCATCCGAGAGTCCGCATGGCATCAATTGCACTGCCGGAACCAGCCGCTCAGTCCCCCGCATTTTCAGAGCAATTGACACCTTGAAGTGACTGCCTTCTTTTTTTATCTCTCTCTTTCCCTTGGGAATCTCCTGGCCCGGGATTTTGGGATTTGCAACACAACATCTAGAACAAGCAGCAATCACCCATTTCTGTGAGAACAAGTCATCATTTGAGCCATTGAAGGTCCTCTAACCGCAGATCTTGCTTTACAACTTCAGCGGCAGGAAAACTTGCGCTTACCCGATTCCCTTGTGTCGGCCCAGGCAGGGGAGGCTCCAACTTACCAGTACCGGCATCGGCACACGGGAGACCCCGCATGGCCCTCTCCCTGTCAGTCAAGCCCAGGCTGTGGAGATAAGTCCGGTGTGCCCTATCCAGTGCCTAGCAGCAAATGCGAGCTGCTGTTCCCAGCGAGAGTTTGGAGTGCCTCCGTCACTACTGGGAAACGCCCAAACAGGCTAGAGATGCATAGAGTTACGAAGGGCTTCCCTGGCACTGGTCCGTGTTTGCCAGCAATGGATTCTCCACAAATGGGGAAGCCTGACCGAAGCTGGCGAGAACGAATACGACCTTTGCTTTGAGATGCTGGCGGCGACATGGCCAAACCATTTGCGGGGACTTCATCCTGGTCCTCATCCTTTCCATTTGCTTCATTGTTCGCACGGGAAACGCTCATTTAAAAAAGGCTGACGTGAGGAAGTCCTGTATTCGTGAACCCCCAACCGAAAGGCCAGTGCCTCGCAAGCGAATACGACGGCGAACTCTTTCGGTGGACAGGGGCAACGCGGGAGCGGCTGCGGGGAAGCAGGGCCCTCCTTACCAACCGGGAGGCAGCATCACCTCCGGCGCTTACCACAAGTGGCTGGATAGCTCTGTGTAACTGCGTCTCTTGCAGCGAGAGCTAGTGATGCCGACCTAGCGTGTCTGGAGGGGCATTTCATGCCAATGTGGCAAGCAGAGCTCCTGGCTTCCGAAAAGGACACGGTCCTTGGGGTATATAAAGTTGGAGCTGTGGTTGCATTTCCGGATGTTGCAGGTGATCATCATCATCTCCATCAAGTAGAGCTTTCCGAAAGCGTCTCTTCGACAACATACATCCGATCTGAGCAGTACACATGCCCCCCACGTAATTGCTGCCAAAGTAAAACATCCGCATCTCCAGTCGCCACATCACATCACGCCCCTCCCACAGAGTAATCCCTACGCCGTACGAAAATATGACGACGACAATGCAAGGCAAGACAGTCATTGTGACTGGTGGCTCCAGCGGCCTGGGCAAGGTCATTGCGACCGCATACCTCTCGGCCGGGGCGAACGTGGCCATCTGCGACGTCAACGAGGCCCGCCTGCAGGAGTGCACGACCGAGTTCGGCGGCAGCCACAAGGACCGGTTCCTCGCGACCAGGGCGGACGTGACGGACGAGGCGTCCGTGCAAGCGTTCGTGCAGTCGGTCGTCGACAGGTTTGGCCGGCTTGACGTCCTCGTCAACAATGCCGGCCTGGCCGACGCTTTCGCGCCCGTGGGCGACACCACCAAAGCAGCCTGGGACCTGCTCATCGGGGTGAACCTGACGGGCTCGTTCCTGTGCATGAAGGCCGCAGTCAACGCAATGGAGAAGAACCCGCCCGCGCAAGGGGACAAGCCCGGCGGCGGCTTGATCATCCAGATCGGCTCGACAGCAGGAGACCGCGGGTTCGAGGCCGGGCTGGCCTACACTGTCAGCAAGCACGGCGTCAACGGCCTGGTCAAGCACACGGCTGGCGTATACGCGGCCAAGGGCATCTACGCGGTGGGGCTGATGCTCGGGCCCATGTCGACGAATATCCAGGAGAGCATGGCGCGCTCGGGTGACATGCGGATGGACATGTTTGCGCAGACGTCGGGCGCGAAGATGGGCGCGGAGCAGATGGTCGACACGGCGGACGTCGCCAAGTATTGCCTGTTCTTGTCGGATCGGAGCATCGCGGCCACGGCGAACGGCGGGTTGATCACGTTCAGGAAAAACTTTCCTAATGTATAGGTGCGGTCGGTATGGGAAACGGGCCACTGTACTCCTGAGCACAGCTCGATGGAAGCAAGTTTTGGATATCAGGGAGAAGGTGGCAGACTAATCAAGTTCATTTGCCTGGGCTTATCGGATCCTGCCGCTTGGGTGACTTGCATGGGTTGCGCACCCAGTCCTGCCTTACCTGCTTGACGGGTGCCTGGCTCCTCTACGTGATACGCAGGAGTAGATCCTTCAGATCGATCGATTACTGATAATTTCCTGCAAGGGCTGCTTGGCATGTCCGTCAGACGTCAGCAAGCGTAAGACACTCGTCGATATCTCGGATCCGACAGACGCCGGGAGGAAGGAAGGGACGCGTCAGAATGCTTGCGATGCGGCGCCAAGGAATAGGTAATCGTCACCAAGCTGCTATTGCTCTGGCTGTACGAGGACGTATGCGCGATAACTACGGAAGCCGAAACCATGTCAAGGCACTGTATGTCGCCGACAGGCGACAGCACTCGGCCACTGGTGGCAACCGCGGAATCCGTGCCGGGCGGCGGACGGAGGATCGGGATTGAACAGCGTCGGGATTGAGAACCAATTGCGCCCATGGTATTCGTGATTCCACGCACGGAAATCGGGCTGGTACCTGGGCCGCCGCCCCGCCCAAATCGACCCCCCTGCCGTCCACTACCGTGGCCTCGAGCAGGAGGTCGACTAATTTTCGGCAGGCGAAAAGTTTCTAGAATGTGACCGTACCCTTGGCCTGCGGGTGTACTCGAAGCCAGATGCCAGCAGTCCGCTCTACAATTCGCAGGAATTAATGACCATCTCACGATGGACTCTGACTTGACAGGTCTCAGAAATAGACGATGTTTCCCCGATGTCATGCGGGGATCACAGGAAGACTGGCTGTAAAAACAAGGCATGTCAATCGGCGTACATGCAATACTGTATGCTGACTCGTTTCATCATCGATTTCTTGCGTGTCCGGGCTCACCGAATTCAGGCTTTCACCGGGTGCGGAATAGGAATAGTAGGCCGCTTGCCCCTGAAGCTGTCACCATGCCCGTTGCGTGGGGCTCTCGAGCTGCATGAAGGATAAGACCCTAGGCGGTCTTGGCAGTCAATGGGCCGCGGAAGCTTCGAAGCTTTGTGCGGCTCATCATCACCCGTGTCTGGCACACCTTGAGAGGAACATGTGCTTCTCATCGGTCATCTGCAGGCACCTGTGGTAAATGTGCCGTAGGACGATGACAACAACCCAACCTGGAGGCTTCTAGAAGTGGAATGGCTTGCCACTTGCGGAATAATAAATCGTGCTTGGCATCAGGCTCGGCTGCAGGGTCGAGGGTGGTGCCTGGGGGTGACGTCGTCAGCCCAGATCGTGCATACTCCTTGGAGACAGCCTTCGGGGGATGACATATCTTGCCGCTGCGTGGTGCTGAACATGGCGACGACTGCGACGTGCAACAGCAGCTGTCACAAGCTCGCACCAGTTACTTTGAGATAAGCATGCGTAGGTAGGTCCTCCAGCCTCGGCACTCAGCCCTGGCGTGGGCCAAATCTCGGTCGTAGTCGGGCCTATCCGTAGCTCGCCAGCACCACAAACGGAGAGGTCCGGGCGGCGAAGTCACCGGGGACGGCAGCCAGGCTCTACCTCGTGGAGCTTGGGTTGACCCGCGTCGGAGGTCGTCTCGCTTGAGGTGCCTCCGTGCCTCCGTCTGCCGACGTGCCAGGGGTGGGTGGTGCCCCCATTCTTTGGTTGATGCCGGCACCTGTCGCCTGGCTCGTAGTGCCCAGCCGGAGCCAGTGTCGTCCCACATGCGCGGAATGCGCCCTCGCTCTGCAGCGTATCGGCGTGCCCACGATGTGCAAGGGTCTGCATGCTTCTGCTTGCAGGCTGGGTGGCCGGCCGGCAACGTTGCCGACTCTTGTCTCGGATTGCCTCACGGACTGCGGGTCAGTCGAGAGTCTCTCAGTCATGCCTGCATGGCGTCGGGGTATTAATGCAGCAATCGTTTGCGGACCACGCTGGCTGCATCTCTCACAGCCTTTATAAAACTCGTGCCCGCACGGAAGAGCAAACCTTGGTCCTACTCCCCCTACATCCTCGAAGTCAACCTCAGGCCATCCTGCCACATACCCCACCTTCCTCCACGGGGTCTTAAACACGAAAACATCCAACACAGCTCACCCAGGCCCAAACACACGACAACAGCCTCGGAGGCCATTGAGCAGCATACCCTGATCCCTCGGCACTGGCACCACCACAAAGAACGCTCGACACCATGGTCGAAACAGTCCCCATTCCGGAGCCGCCAGGGTATCCCATCATCGGCGTCCTCGCCGACATTGATCGCGAGTTCCCCCTGGGCACCTGGACGGCCCTGGCCGACAAGTATGGCGAGATCTACCGGGCTCGCATCGGCACCCGCACCGTCGTCTTCTGCTCGTCCTTTGCCCTCGTCGACGAATTATGCGACGAGAAGCGCTTCGTCAAGATCCCACAGACCGCCCTGCAGCAGGTCCGCAATGGCGTCAACGATGGTCTCTTCACGGCCAACCCGGATGAGCCCGCTTGGGGCATTGCTCACCGCATCCTGATGCCCGCGTTCGGACCCATGGGTATCCGCAACATGTTTGACGAGATGCACGACATTGCGGCACAGCTCTGCATGAAGTTTGCCCGTCACGGGCCTACCAACAAGATCCAGGCCTCGGACGACTTTACGCGGCTGGCCCTGGATACCCTTGCCCTCTGCACCATGGGCTTCCGCTTCAACAGCTACTACACAGACACGATGCACCCCTTCATCGAGGCCATGGGCGATTTCCTCAAGGAGTCTGGCAAGAGGGTGCAAAGGCCGCCGCTTCCCAACTTCTTCTTCCGCAACGAGGATGCCAAATACTGGGAGGACATTGGCCTCCTCCGCAACACGGCAGACACTGTCCTCCAGGAACGCAAGGAGGCCAGGGCTCGTGGCGACCCACATGTGCGGAAGGACCTGCTCACAGCTATGCTTGACGGCGTAGACTCGAAGACAGGACAGAAAATGAGCGACTCTAGCATCATCGACAACCTTGTCACCTTCCTGATTGCGGGGCACGAGACCACAAGTGGTCTGCTCTCCTTTGCCATGTACAGCCTGCTCAAGCACCCCGAGTTCTACCGCAAGGCACAGGCCGAGGTTGACCGCGTTTGTGGTAAAGGACCGATTACGGTCGACCACATGAGTAAGCTGCCTTATATTGAGGCTGTCCTTCGTGAAACGCTGCGTCAGCAGTCACCCATCCCTATGATCCAGGTCGTGCCCAGGGAAGACGAGATCTTGGGAGGCAAGTGGGAGGTCAAGAAGGGAGAGCCCTGCACAATCTTCATCAAGAAGATGCACACAGATCCCGCCGTCTACGGCGAGGATGCACTCGAGTTCAACCCTGAGCGTATGCTCCTCGAGAACTTCAACAAGCTGCCCAAGAACGCCTGGAAGCCTTTCGGCAACGGCATGCGTGCCTGTATCGGCCGGCCGTTTGCCTGGCAGGAGGCCATTCTTTGCATGGCCATGATGCTGCAGAACTTCAACTTCGTCATGGACGACCCCAACTATAACTTGGTCTACAAGCAGACCCTGACCATCAAGCCGTCCAACTTCTACATGCGCGCGATCATCAGAGACGGTCTTACCCCGACAGAGCTCGAGCACCGCCTCGCTGGCACCAAGCCGTCCGAGCAGCAGAAGAAGGATGCGTCTGGCACAGTCCTCACCAATGGATCGGCATCGGCAGACAAGGGAAAGCCCATGACCGTCATCTATGGTTCCAACAGTGGTACTTGCGAGTCTATGGCGCACAGAATTGCCGCCGATGCTGGCCAGCACGGGTTCCAGGTAACGACACTGGACTGCATGGACACAGCGAACGGCAGCCTGCCCAAGGATCGTCCGGTGGTCATCGTTACGGCCAGCTACGAGGGCCAGCCACCTGATAATGCCGCTCACTTTGTGTCGTGGCTCGAGAATGCAAAGGAGAATGAGCTCGAAGGAGTCTCATACGCAGTATTTGGCTGTGGCCACCACGACTGGGCACAGACGTTCCACAGGATTCCGAAATTGGTGAATGAGAAGATGGCTGCAGCCGGTGCTTCGAGGCTAGTCGATCTGGGTCTCGCCGATGCAGCCGAGGGAGACATGTTCGCCGACTTCGAGACGTGGGAGGACGAGGTACTGTGGCCTGCCCTCAAGGCCAAGTACAAGATCACTGCGGATGACTCCAAACACTCCTCCATCTCCGCACTGCGCGTCAACATCACGAAGCCGCGCGTCTCTACTTTGAGGGAAGATGTCCAGGAGGCCGAGGTTGTGGCGACACGCAAGCTCACTGCTCCTGGTGAGCCCGTCAAGAAGCACATCGAGATCAAGCTGCCATCAGATGTTTCTTATCGCTCGGGAGACTACCTGGCTGTCTTGCCTATCAATCCAAAGGAGACCGTCTCACGTGCGATTCGCCGCTTTGAGCTGCCCTGGGATGCCAACATCACGATCGAGGGCGACAGCCTGATCCCTCTGCCCAAGAACGAGTCGGTGCCGGTCCAGTCCATATTTGGTGCTTACGTCGAGCTGTCCCAGCCTGCAACGAGACGCGTACGTATTCTATACACAGAGGCTTTTTGTATCGTTCCACGCTAACACGGTCACAGAACATCATTTCACTGTCTGAGGCGTCCACGGACGAAAAGGACAAGGAGGCGCTGAACAAGCTTGCTGGCGACGATTACAAGAGCGAGATCTCGGACAAGCGAGTCTCCATCCTGGACTTGTTGGAGCGGTTCCCCACGATTAGACTTCCTCTGGGATCGTTCTTGGGCATGCTTCCACCAATGCGTGTCAGGCAGTAGTGAGTTAACTTCTGACGACAGTGCTCTAGTCGAGCCATACTAACATGGGACTGCAGCTCTATCTCATCTTCGCCACTGTGGAACGCATCTCATGTCACTTTGACATTCTCCGTGCTCCAGGCCCCCTCCAAGGCCGGCGAGGATCGGAACCACATTGGCGTAGCCAGCTCTTACCTGGACTCGCTTGAGGTCGGCGACCGGCTGCATGTGTCTGTTCGCACATCCCACGCAGCGTTCCACCTGCCTACCGATCTCGAAAAGACCCCGGTCATCATGGTCGGTGCCGGCACCGGTCTGGCCCCGCTCCGCGGCTTCGTCCAAGAGCGTGCGGCCATGATCAGCGCAGGCCGCAAGGTGGCTCCCGCCGTCTTGTACTACGGCTGCCGTGAGCCTGGCAAGGACGACTTGTACGCCGACGAGTTGGCGCAGTGGGAAGCCGAGGGCGCCGTGGTCGTCAAGCGGGCGTACAGCAGAGTGCCCGAGAAGTCTGGCGGGAACAAATACATCCAAGACGTCATCTGGAGCGACCGCGAGTATGTCAGCGAGCTGTGGAACAACGATGCCAAGCTGTTCGTTTGCGGTTCGCGCCAGCTCGGCGAGGGTGTCACTGCCGTGGCTCAGCGCATCGGCAAGGAGGTCGCCGAGAAGAAGGGCAAGGAGACCACGGAGGAGAAGATCCAAGCTTGGTGGGAGAACCTCAGGAATGAGAGATATGCCACTGATGTCTTTGATTAAGCGGTTTTTTACTTTCCTGGATGACGGATTTGGCATCGGGCGTTTGCAGCACAGATTGTAGTATATAGTACATTGCTCGAGATTGAGAATGAATTACGACAAGTCTTTGAAAAATATGTCCCGTCCACCGACTTCGGTGTCGTGCACTACTGTGTGGAGCACAAACATACCTTGAACTGTGACACTCCCGAATGACGCGCAATTACGATTCCCATCTTGGCGGCGATACTGGCGAGAAACACACCAAAAAAAAAAGCCCGAAATGTGCTTCCACAACCAAGCACAGGCATAAGAAGAGTACAACGATAAAAAAAGAAATGAACCACTCTGAGAGTGGTCGTACTGGAACTATCTCCCGTACGGGGAATCGAACCCCGAGCTCCGCGGTGAAAACGCGGTATGTTAGCCGTTACACTATACGGGATTCGAGGCTCGCTCTGTGTGATCAGAGCTTGTTGAAGGGTGTTGTCCTTGGGATGGTATATATAAACGTGAAGACGAGGAAAGAGGACTGCAGGGATTGTGCGTTTCTGTGTGGAGAGAGCTGCCGGATCATGCATGCACCCAAGGTCGACCTTTGACGACATCATCTTTTTCATCCATTGTTGATTTGGATGTTGCCCACGACAGATCACGATTGCGCACCACACAACAGTACTTGAACCATTGACGACCGACCGCAGAGCTGCTACAGTCGTCATCGAAATTGCAGAAGAGCCTGGCACGTTGCAACGATCGTGCGCGCACGCAAAGAGCTCCAATCCGCCGCGACTGGTGTTTGCTGCTCCCACGCACCACCAGCCCATTTCTCTCACGGGGTCCCCAGGCCAAACCCGACCAGAACCGCCCAAGACGCGAACGAGAGCAAAGCATAGGACTCAAGATCCCAAAAGAAAACATGGCGGTCTTCCCCTCCAAGAGATTCCGCAGCGCCGACCCGGCAAACAACTCGTTTGCCTCGCGGTACCGTGCGATGATGGCCAAGAGGCCGTTCCTCCTGTTCGGCCTGCCCTTCATGTCGGTCATCGTGGCGGGCTCGTTTGTGCTCACCCCGGCGACGGCGATACGGTACGAGAAGCACGACCGCAAGGTGCGGCAGATGACGCGCGACGAGGAGCTGGGTGTCGGCAAGAAGGGACGCAAGGTGGATATCAAGGAGGAGTACTATGTGAGTGTTCTCTCTCTCTCTCTCTCACCCCATCACATCCCCTTCGGCTTTTCCTCAGTTGCAGGCCAGACCAGCGCGCATGTGCAGGATGATACATTCTTTCGTTTACTGACAGCCGGTTCTTTTTGCTGCTTGGTAGCGTCTGGCGGCCAAAGATCTGGATAGCTGGGAGCAGAAGCGTGTGAAGCGGCTCGCGGGCGAGAACGACGGCATCTTGTAAAAGTGCGTGTTCACTGTCACTATGCCGTGCGTCGTGAGCGAAGAGGCAGCTGAAGCGCCACTTGGCCTCGCTGTCGAATTTGCGAACCCGACGCATCACTCATCCAGCACAGAGTAGTCTATGCTTGGATGCTTCATGCTGAGCAGACCCGTGGTTGCAGCCATGAGAATAATGGGTCTTTCCTGGCGCATTAGATCGCTAGAATCTTGTGTCCATGGACAAACAACTCCAAGCCAGGATAGCCCTGAGCTGGCGAAGTCATTTCACTCGGATTATCCAGCGAAACACAACTGCGAGCGGCCTGAGTTCAGAACACCCGGGTGGTGCACGTTCTCGATCTCTGTCACGGGTACTGGGAAGGACATTACGCCGTACCAGGCGGTGGTTCAAGCTGGTTTCTGACGTGAGAGATGGACCCAGCAGCTGCACGGGGGATTGCTCCCAAAAGAGAGCCATAGACCTGGCTCTGCATACGGTCATCCACCGGTGTCGGGCTTGCTCGGATCCCGATGAGATCAGGTTGAGTGCTTGTAATTCAAGATCTAATCTCACGCAAACCCTGTATGCGGGAACGGCGTACATGGCTCATGTCATTGACGGCACAGTCGTTCACAGAAGGGGATGCATGGAAGAGCAAGACTAATTGTCTGGCGAGTTGTCCATAATCAGAACTTACTTTCCAGGGCGACTTTTGCCATTGCGACAGCGAGGTTCATCTTGCTTCACAACCACATCAAGTATGGAGCACTTAGAGCAATTACATATCTTTCTGCGCTTTATGCAAGCCAGTACTTTTACAGAACCGATGACTATGCATGGCACAGATTTGCTATGTCCAACTTTACGCGACCATATTCCTTACTCTCAGAACGGGACACTCGCTTGAGACGGCTCCAGAGTACCTGCTCGGTATAAGGCTCGGTTGCCTTTTCATTGCAATCTAGGCTATTATGCATCTATCCGCCTGTGCTACTCACCCTCTTCTAACAATCTGCACTCGCCACCATCTTCGAAACCACCAGCAGGCATACGGAAAGAATGCCTGAGCCCGAAAGCTTGCTTTCATTAGGGGGGGGGGGGCCAAAAGCTCGGAGCATTTCGGGAGACGAGAACAATCCGCGCGAGAATCACTTTCCAATAGAGTGAAACGGTATCTCGTCATTGTCGTCGTCGCGTTCGTCAATGTGCATGCATATCCTGCAGTGCAACATTTCCGAAACGTCTCTTCCTTGCTTGCCTACTCAGTGATTCTCCTCTTTGTTCCTCTCCCTGGCCGCACACCGCGCTTTCAGGTCCAGTTCCGCCGCAGGCCCAACCCGGCCCAACCCGACTCCTGAAGCCAAAGCTTTCTGTCTCCCTGAGGTTGCCCGATAAACTCACTCTCACCGCTTCATGGCTGAGCTGGACCTCTGTGGGGTTTCCCCGATGGGTATTCGGGTGTCCAACTAAAGTAGCCTGGATGTGACCTCGAGAGTGTCAGAATGCCACTTGTATTACATCACCTTACTCCTCTTCCTCTTCACCGAGTTTCTTGAGAGGTATACGAACGCCCAGCTAGGTCAAAGCTAGTTAAGAGCCACCACGACAAACAGCTCTGCAGGCATCAACCTTGCACAACCAACGCCGTTGATACTAGACTAACCGAAAAACGACGCTAGGCGACGCCTCGACGAACCCGTCGGGTCGGACAATAGCTCTTTGAAATAAACAAGAGCGGAGTCCGTCGACCAAGAGAAGCCCAACGGACCCGCGCCGCTACGTTTCATGTTGTCGGTTCACCGCGCTTGTACTGCATGCTATCGACGCACTTTGGTGTGTGCATGCACGGGAGAGACAGCGACAGACAGAGAGAGTTGTTTAGGGAATCCACGACGTCATTATTGACGACGAACACGAATTCCGTGCCATCCGCAAGACTTTTTGTTGTGTGCGTGCGTGCGTGCTTATAGAGTACTTCGATCACGATCACGATCTCATCGTCTTTCAGACAGCCCTATCCATCACGGCGCCGAGCAGAGCCGAGCCGAGCAGAGCCGAGCCGAGCAGATCAACGACTCTCTTGGCTCGTCTCACCCCCTCTCTCGGAGATTTCCCTCTAAGAATGGTCGAGATTGGCGTGCATCCTTGTGGCAGCTCTGCTTCGGTCTGCTTCGTGGCCAGATCGTGCGTGCGTGTGCATGCCGACATGCACGCAAGCAGGATCTCGTACACCAGCCCTAAGATTGCTTGAGAACCACACGCGTCCATCATGGAATACATAAGTACGTACAGCATGCTGCTTGCCTGAGGAAGGGTAAATCTGGCCCGCCACTTGGCTGCTCGTTGGGCCCCACGAACGACATTCGAGAGGCTTCCCACTCCTGCCCTTGGTCTGCAGATCTTGCGACGCAAAGCTCGAGCGCCCTAAACGACGTAACACCCCCGAGTGCTTGTGGCTGTTTAGGCTCGCCCAGGTCAATGCAACCTCACCTCACGCGCCGAGCGTGAGAAGGCAGAAAAGCGGCGGCAGCGCGGCTTTGCTGACCTCATCTAATTTCCCACAGCGCCTGGTGATCATCACCAGACGCACATTTTCTGCACGTTTGCAAGGGCTGCATAAACACAGGCGTGTGCAGGTGCCGGTCGGGCAGGAGATGACATGAAACTGCCCTGGAAGTGGCGAGCCCAACCTGAAAGCACCGCAGAAGATAATGCGGGCGGCCCATCTTATACAGTCGATCGTCCCAAGGCAGGCCTCACCATTGGGCCGGGACTGTGGCCTTGATGCTATAGCCCAGTGGAATTTCCTCTCTGGACCCTTTCCGAAGGCGTGGTGATCCAGAGACAGGCGGGAAGCGACCCTTTCCTTCTGCGTTGGGCCGGTAATCCTGGTCGTCAATCAAAGCGCTGGGGCTCCTTCCCGGATTTCAATGTCTGTGCGCAATCTCTGGAGCGCGTGTATGAGGTCATTGTGGTCCCCGCTTGCTTCATGGTGATAATACCCCGGATTTATAGCCCTCTCCGAGACTGCTTGCTCGTGCAATCATTAGCGCCATGGGGTTACCAGGAGGAAGACAGCAATCGATCCGCACAGACGCTGTCAAAGTGATATGTGATGCCATGTTCGTTATACAAGCGTTGTCGCGAGATGTAGTGCGTGTTTCGTTTGTGCTTGGTCCGTCTGCTCGCTCGCAATCGTCGCACCCCCGGCTAAGCATGCTAAAGAGACACCAGGCATGGCTGCATGCCGTCGATCAAGGAAAGCAGGCCATGTAAATACTCGAAATATTGGACGATATGACGATCATGACATTGTGTTGGTGCAATCAAGCACATGCATGCATGGTCAGCACCAAGACAGTGATGCAGGTGTGCCAAGCACCCGCAAGGTTCCTTGCCAGCATCGTGCAGATGCATCAAGTCCCCTTACCCATCCCTACAGACGTGCGTCCTCGGCTTTACAGTCTCCAACCTGATTTCTGATTGATGGTGCTGACAATCACTTCGAGACATTGCCCGTCTTTGTCAGGAAAGTACTCGAGTCAGGTTTGCCATCAAGCGTGACAGTCTGTTGTCTCGTTCTGCATAGCAGGCGACTGGCCTGGCGGGCTCCCTCTTCAGCCACGCTCCCCCTTCGAAATGATGAAGATTTTTCTTTGGAGGGGCGACCATCACAAGGCCTCCGGCTGTGTCCAATGCAAAGCATCAAGGCTCCACCATCAGTCACCTCACAAACGATTGCTCAGCACACCTGACATTGACAGCATCTGGGCTCCTGTCGGAGCATGGTTACATGACATGAAAACTGGAAAGAAGCAAACTACTCAGTGGTTCGGCGGAGGCGGCGCAGCCAGTAGGCGACCAGAACCAGCTTCTGTTAGCCGGCCGAGGGCTCCAGGGACCGGCTACTCCGGCCTCGGCCAGGAAGAACTTTTCTGCCTCGTTCAGGACATCACCCTGGCATTGACGAAGATGATGGGAAGTCAGCTCCTGATTCGTTCAAGAGGCTGGCGAATCACTGCGTGTAGGGCTTACTCTGCTTGCTGCCGATCACGCCGAGCCCTGTTGGTGTGTTCCATTGTTAGCAGTGGCCGCCAAGGGAGAGAGAGTTCCGCCCCGCCCTTGCACCCTCCGCCGGGGGGGCTGCAAGGGTCATCCGTCTACGCACTAAGGGTTGACGACCAAGGGGGTGCCTGCTAGCTGAAGCCCAGATATGATCACGTCGAATTCTGACGAAGTCGAAAGAGCCTGCATATAGCCGGCACAGGATACTTCGCCTCGACACGATGAAACGTGTTTCGAAGTGTAGTGGTTACTGCTGACTTCGTACGAGGTTGCGTCAGCAGATGCAGACCGAGCAGTCCGGTGGGAGCTCAGTGTGTACGCCACATTTGTCGTGTCAGCTTTACGAAACACGAGGACGCCGCGGGACTCCCGAAAATAAAGCGGCCCGCCAAGTGCACAGAAGCTGAAATGCATGTCACAGAGCCGTGTACATGAGAAAGCAGATGCCCGCGATGAAGGATCGACGGCCATCTGCACTTTTGCGAGTCAGCATTTTGACAAGATGCACCGGAGATACTGAAATATTTGATGGTGTGGTGTGATTAGCAAGGATTCGCTTGGTCCGAAAAGTCTGGTGCTGTAGTCAAGAATGGCCGCAATCGGGTCGGCCGGTCAGGTACGTGATGATGTCAAGACTGCACTTGCCGAAATTTGAGGTAGGACAGCAAGACGGTGCTTGATGGCGCGGCCTCCAAGCCAGCCGGACAGAGACTTGGACGAGACGGTGCCTGGGCGACCTTTCTTCATCGGCAGATCGGGGTGCCTGGCTATGGAGCCCGAAGTGCGTGATTGAACGACTGGCTCAGACTGGCGTCATGCGGCGAAGCTCTGGTGCCTGGCTCCGAGGCCGTTTGGCTCGCAGCTGGGCTCTCGATTCCTCACGGTCGTGCCAGATCTGAGAGGTGCAGTGCGTAAAGGGCGGGCATGTTTCGTTTCAAAACGACAACGAGATGCATATATGTCGGCTGGCGGTCGATCCAAGGTGGACCAGCAGCATCTCCCAAGGCTGATGTGATCATCGAGTTTCAGAAAGATGTCTGCGTCCGCCTCGTGCTGGCAGCGAGGCCGTACCATTCACTGGTGGTGGTGTTGATGCTGACGACAGTCATGTCGCAGGTTGCTGGCATTTGCTGACTGCGGCTGGCCGTCAGTGCCGATGGGTCGTACCTGCACCCTTTCGCCGGCGCCACACTGGCCTGCCACAGCACCACACCACACCACACACACCACACACCCACTCTGTCTGGTTCCCTGCTTGTAGTGAAGTCATTCCCATGGCCAACCACCCTCTGCCCACCCTCGTGATCGTAAATCAGTCACCTCGTCAGTCTGAAGCATCTCGGACCCCACAGTGGCCCTTTGCCCCGCCGCGCGACCAACCGACAGTCCGTCCCGACCAACATGATGGATGAGCAAAAAGTTTTGAAGACGCACGAGACGTCGTGCCAGGATGCGCAGCCGCACAAGCGGGCTCCTATCACGGGCCGTGGTGTTGTCCTGGCAGAGAGGCTGTCGACAGGGGCCGTGGCCGATGACGCAGCCGGATCCCAGTACGAGTGGCAGTGGCTGATGGTGGTGGTGTGGGCCGCCGCCAGTCGCCTGAGCCGTGCCTTGCTGCTCGTGGCCGCCGCCAGCCAAGAGGCAAGGGAGACACCGGACACCCGTCCAACCACGGGCGCCCATCACGCTGCCGTCCGCCTGCAAGACATTGAGCACGCTATTGCCAGCACCTGCGCCCAGAGACGAACACCACCATCACGCCCGCTAGCTCTGTTTGGGAGCACTTAAACTTTCGGCTTTGCGCAGGTCACGCCGTGTCGCGGCCGTCTGATCCGGGCAGGACTCTGAGCAAGTGGGACCAGTTGGGTCAAGAATCTCAAGCCGTTCGCGACGACGGACCTCGTCCGTGGACTCGTGTGTGCACCGGCTGGCCCACGCCGCAGCTAGGTTGCTGGCATGATGTCCTTCTCGAAGGAAAGGCCAGCAGCAATCTCGGACCTGAGCTCCACCAGGACCGGCATGATGGACTCACCCCTGCCGAGGTAAGGCTGGGCTCACCTGGGCATACCATAGTAGAGTCAATTCATCATCCATGGCACGCGCTCCCGTCATCATCGCGGTGATGACAAAAGGCCCGTCCTCAAGACGGGGCACACCCACGCAGCGCACCCCTTCAGAGACAGGGCATGCAAGGAACACAGTCAGATGTCGGCAGCGGCGAGTTTAAGATTCTGGATCTTCAATGTGGCTTTTGGCACACACCCACACCCCCGAGAGTCCCGCTTAGCGGCCGGCCCTTGCTAGTCCCTGCCTTGATTGTTGACCACCACCACGAGGCACCTGTACAGAGCCGGCCCACCCTGGTCACCCACACGCCTGGACACCCATGGCCATGTTAGCCGGCTTGCCTGCCTGGGAGCACGGCAGCCAAGCTCAGAGTACATCATCATCGATTCTGCAGCCCATATATGACCCCTTCGCTGCCCTGCAACTGTGCTAGGCTTACTAGGTATCCCTACAGCCCTCTCTTCCAGAAGACGAATATCAACTCCAGGCCTGGAAACCATAACAGCCTGGTCCACTCACTCTGGCTTACACACTCGGCCAGTTTACCAAACTGCATTCATTCCACACAGGACTCTTGTCAAGTGTTCTCGGAAATAAGTCACATCTAAAGATGGTGTGCCTCAGCAGCCCTTCCTTCTTCCAACGAAGAACCAGAGCGGCCACTCTTCAGTCAGGCAAAATCGAAATCAAGCACCCTCACTACAAGCAGCTCGATATGGAGGAGCAGGCACTTCGAACACATGCACGGCTATACAGCATGACCAGCAGCAACTCGAGATCTTCGTCGGAGTCTGATGACTCGTCGAGGGCTCATTCTTTCAACCCTTTGCAGTCACATCCCCCACTTCAGATCAACGCCTCTCCCATCATCGAGACTAGATTTATGGGCAACGATGACAGAGGAGAGTTTCATCAAGCACAATCCAAAATCAACGAAGAGTTCGCGATCCTCGACGAAGACGACCTCGACGACTCGAGGCCGTCGTCTTCACGGAGGATGACTTATGTCTACGATGAAGGCTCCCAGTGGCCACTCAAGGACTGGCAGACAATCCCACCCGGTCTTGCTGATCCGCAAGAGTCATCTGAGTTCGCCACCGCCCTGCGGCCAAGGCCAGCAAACCACCAACGCCGCCCTACAGAGTGGAGGGACGACCCGGACCTCTTCATCAAGCGGGGATCGTGGAAGCGACGCGGCATCATCTTCAACCCGGATGTGCCCAGTGACGACGAGAATGTCGAGCACTTTGAGCTCCCTGAGGAGTAGTTCACATCAACCAAATACGCTATACGCATGACCTCACTACCAACATTCACTTCAACTTCGGTTTGACTCGGACCCGTCTTTCTTCTACAAGTCCCTTTAATAGCCTGATTTAATCTGGGTTGGCCGACTTCACCCCAGGCCTTTTTCTTTTGTCACTGTTCAGCATTTACACCAGCATAGCATACACCGGGGGGATGCCAACACTGGCGATATGGGCACGACAGGCGTTTCTACAGCGTTGGTTACAAGGGTTGGAGTTGGCATATGATTTCAGTTCCAAGATACCACTTTGCAATTAAGCAATACATCTTTGTCTTCTTTCGTTTCTACGAAAGGAGTAACCTACACAACCACACGGCCGCCTAATGCATACCCAAGTGCTTGAAATGACCATCCGTGCATGCACGAGTACCGGCCCTCGCCCTGCCAGTGAAGAAATGGACTCACAACAGACAAAAAGCAAAAAGAAATATGGATATTGGCTTGACAAGGACGCGCCATGCCCATTGTCACGGACACGTCTGTGACTCTAGCCGTGTTTGACGGAAAATATCTGTGCGGCCTTCGGCGTCCCAGAGCACTTTAGGAAAGCCCAAAGACCAACAAAAAGGTAATTAAGTCTTAGGGCCACGGCCCGCCGATCCCCACGATTCCAGCCTCACCAGCTCTCTCCGGGTATGGGTAATCCCAATCCCATGGGACAGAAGCAGCCCCCAATGCACACAGACCCGGCCCCCAAAGCAAATAATAATATTCTGCATCACGTCACAAATGTCAAATTGACAAGCATGTATCCCTGCTCGCGGACGCCAGCGCAGCGGCACGGGCACGGGCACGGGCACGGGCACGGGCGGGAATTTGGGCAGCAGCGAAAGGGCCCAACAAAAAAGAAGGAAGTTTCTTTACAGCTCTTCCCCTGCCCCTGTGGCCCTAGTGGCTGGGGCCGCATGGCGAGCTTCAAGGGGGGGGGGTCTTCTTCCCTTCCATTCGGTAGCCGGGTACCAATATATGACGATTGTTATTACTTTGATTTGTTTTTTTGGTTCCTTTTTCTCATTATCGTCAATGCTTTGGAGTGCTCGCCTTTTTTTCCCCGACGCCTCGGGATCACATCCCCCCCTGGCTCGGTAGCTAGCTAGGGTTTTGAGGCTGAAGACATAAGCTGACATCCCGCCGAGCTGAGATGAGATGAGATGGGTGGAGTTGAGGCGGTGGTGGTGATGGGAGGCTGAAGAAGCTTTTGGCGGTTTGTAGGCTGCCTCTGTCGCAATTCGACAGTATGCGCGCGCGCTCTTCTGTATCCCTGTGTCTCTAGTGTGCAGTGCAGTGAAGGGGCTGTAGGTATTTGGCCCCCATTAACCTCCCCTAACCCCCCCAGGCAAATGGATACCCTCTGCGAGCTTCCAGGTGGTGCTGATAAACCCCAGAAAGCCACTTCAAAGACCGGCATGGGTCTAGAAGTCCTGTAGACATTTTTTTCCCGCTGCGATGCCGCAGCTTGTGGGCAAAATAGCGGTGGTGGTGGCGATGCGGTGCGGCGACGCCGTGGGCTGTGATGGGCAAAGACAAAGGCCTGGACTCTTTTACCCTACCGGTACTATCTCGTCGCCTCCGTGATCCACCGAGGCTGAAGAGGCTGGAAGCCGCCCACCAAGAAACTACTGCACTCCGCAATCTTGTCCTTGGGGGAGTCTGGCCATACTCTCGAGGTGTGATGGCCGAGGATCCAGACTGCCGGCAGCGTGTGACAAGAAAATGAAATCTAGACTGGGCGTGGTATTGCACCAACGACTGACCTGGGCACCCTGCGCTGTGTTTGCTCACCCCGCCAAAGCACGCCAGTGTGACTTTTGAGGTCGACGATTTGGAGTAACCCAGCTAGTGCAGTTCAGGGAATTTGGTCGCGAGGCAAGGAAATAGCTAGTCCGTCTAGTATCGAGCCTGGGCGGTGCAGTAGTAGTCACTTAAAAGGCCTGCAACCTTCTCTTCTTGGGCAATACCAGTGTTCAGCAGAGTTCCCGCGGGTGATCATTTCGGGGCCTCCCTAGTGTCCCTTGCAGCTGAGACAATCGCCTTGTTGACTTGTCACGCGGATGTCATGGTATAATGTAGACTTTTTCCCCCTTCTGGCGCGGGGCAGCTCACAGCTGCCTCTCCCCCTCTTTGGGCTGTCAGGTGGGAAGTATAATCTCCATTCGTGCTTTCAATAAGAGTTCGTGGTTGCATACGTCTTGTTAACTGGGCACGAATGGCTCAGGCGACGGCGGTAGCAGTAGTCGTAGTAGTAGCAGTAGTCGCCACGCGGACTTCCGAAGGTTGACAGGATGACATGGCTGGTCTACAGGTGCGGAGTGCATGAATTATTTGCACTAGCTGGCGAGCAGCTGAGCGCCAATCTTTTCGGTGCTGAGGTTGGTGTTCTCGTCCGGGTTTCCCCTCATTGGGCGCGACTATCCGACCTAGACTTCTCCTCCGTGGTAAAAAAACGATAATCTAGCACCTCGCGGGACGAGGGCCACGAGATTGCAAGGAGGACTTTGGCCATCGACATTTCGGTCTAACCGAGGTCGTGATCTGTCAGTCGAGAGCAGAGCGGATTGGGGGCCGACCTCCTCACATCAGACAATTTCCTGTGCTCCGGCTTTTTTCGTGCGCCAGCAGCAAGAGTTATGAGTTGAGATGGTGTTAGATGGCCCGTCGAGAAGAGCTCCCCTTGCTTTCAGGCACAACCGAGTTTCCGCTTCCTCAGGGGTACCAGAGGGGGGGTCTTGCTCATGGCATCTGCAGGTGGGCGCGCTGTAGGTCGCGCCAGCGGTCATGAGCAAGCCACCATCATGGTCAGTGTGGAGAGAGCAAGAAAGCTCAAAGTGGTGAGCTACCTGACCCACCAGCCACGGAGCGCTATGTATCCATGTCTCAGTACGATCAAAAAAGGAGAGTGAGACAAGAATGGCCCTAATGGTGCTTGACTGACCACCCCCCCAGCGTGACCTGCCAGATACGGTGAGCGTACCTATCACACCATGCAAGGGGGACGAAGCTACTTGCGAGACTTGTGTGTGTGCGTTCAGTGGCTTTCTAATTTTTTTTTTTTTTTTTGGATCTCTTAAGTGCTTGCGTGAACTCCTCCTGTGAAAGCCAGGAACACTCTTCAGGCACCACCGCAACGTGCTTAGAGTGCATGCAGGACGGCCGGCACCAGCGCTAGGCTTGGAACTTGTCTCCTCTGCAACATCTGTTGCAGTTGGCTCACTGCACGGCTCATCGCAGGATGATGCCAGCTTGAGTGTGAGTTCGTGGGAGCGGAGACAATTGTGTTTCTGGAATTCGACCTGCTCGAGCACCAGGCACAGGCGATGGATGGCACGTCAGCAAGCCGTTCCAACGTGCCCGTCTGATCATTAGTAGCGAAACTGAGACAGTTCGACTTGTCACGCACAAGACAACTCTTGGTACCTTGCATGCATGCACGCACGCACGCACTTGAGGCAGAGACATTTCAGAGTGAGGAGGAACGGCCCACACTGCCAGATGTAGTTAATTGGCTTGAGCAACTCCTTGCCTGCAAGGACAATAAGTGAGTCCCTGCGTCCTCGTCTAACGTCAGGATGTCAACCTGGTTCCGCCATGAGTGAGACCAGCCGGAGCCAGGTCGATTTGCACAGATTCCCGCTCTGGTCGAGCTTTTGCGAGGACTGCGGTTTTCCAGGCTCACTGGCGTGAAAATACAAGTGTGATACCGGCCGCCAAGCTGGACGCAGCGGTCGACAAGTCTCAAGCTGCATGTGGTTCAAAGGAATGCCCGTGACAGCACGGTATCATAAAGAAGAAGGCCTCTGGTAATCCAGTCATATTGCATGAAATGCCCCGGATCTATGTTGTCTGCCTCAAGTCTATATGCGTGTACCCAATACGAGCAAAATTATCTTAGCAAGATGAGAAACGCCCAGCCCACTCCCCCCCTGCAGCAAACCTGCAACCTCTAGAAACCATCATCCTCCTCGTGTTCTATATTTATGCCTCACGATGTCCGACCCCGGATTTCCGCTTCCTCATCTCTTGCATGCTGTCGTCATCAGTCGCGAAGTGCGACTCTTTTGTCCAAAGCAAAACCCGCCTGCGATGAAACCAGTCTATAATTTGTGAAAATCGCTGAACCAAAGGGTTCGGCACGAGCTCCGGCCACGCGGAGCAACATGTGCCGAAGGGTGAAGGGCAGGATCAAACACCTCATTCATCGTCATCTGAATCAGGCGGATGAGGGGTACCCTTGGGGCTGCTGAGCCACTCAATGTGGCGGAGACGGCGGCGAACCTCCTGCTCCTTGAGCTCCTTCTTGGTCTTCTTCTTCTTCTTGCGGGCGCGGAAGGTGAGTGGCGTATTGTCTTCCACACCGCTGTTGACGGCACTTGTGGCGGCGCTGCTGGCGACGGTGCTGGCAACGGTGCTGGCAAAGGGACTACCAGGCTTACTGTCCTCGAAGCGGTCCATCGAGATAGCAGTCTGCCCCTTCATGGTCATGCGTCCGTCGACAATGTGCCACTGCTCGCTGGCAAGCGCGCCAACGAACTCCTCGTTGTGAGAAATCATGACCACACCACCCTTGAAGTCGCGGATAGCGACAGCCAGGCCGCCGAGAGAGTCACGGTCCAAGAAGTTAGTCGGCTCGTCCAGCACGAGCAAGTGGGGGTTGTTCCACATGGCACCAGCAATGACGACCTTGACCTTCTGGCCTCCAGAGAGACCGCCAATCTCGTTGTGGTTGGCAATCTCGGGGTCCAGACCAAGATCCTCGAAGTGCTTGGAAATGACAGAGGGCTGGAGCTCACGGAAACCGAGACCTTCGCGCGATGCCTCGTGGTCATCGAACTCCTGAATGAGCTTATCGAAGCCCCACTCGACCAGGGTCTCGCGAGATACCTGCGAGTTATATTTGGGAAGCCAGGCTTTCCATTTACTACATGAATGTCAGTTACAGCCCATGTTATTAGAAATCGGTGGCCGGGTTCTGGTACTCACACTTCGTACTGGAAGGTCTTCTTGTACTTCTGCCTTCCAACAAGGGCTTCCACCTGGCGACCACCCTTGCCATCTCCGAGGTCGATGAGCTTCTCCATCTGCTCCCTGTCCTTGTCTGACAGGATGCGAGTCTGCTTCAGGAAGACCTCCCGGTCATCACCGTTCGCATAGCGCCACTGAAGGTACTGGTTGGGGGTCTTCTCGAGATGCATCTCCACGTGCTCCAAAGCATGTTGCTTGATGTACCCAATACGAAGGTTAGGGTGCTTCTCGACCCTTCCAGTCGTGGGGATGACTTCGCCAGTAAGGATCTTGATGAGAGTAGATTTGCCTGCACCATTGGGACCAATGACAGCCACGCGTGAAGACAGCGTAAGCTGGCAAGTGACATCGCTGAGCGATGGCTTGGGCGCCTTGGGGTATTGGTATGACACGTTGGACATGCGAATAATGGCACGAGTATTGGACTTGACACCAGAGAGGATTCCAGGCGGCGGGAACTTGAACTGCACGTTGGAGGCGGACAGCGTATAGTATGCCTTGGCCTCAGGCCTGACCTGGACGAAGGCATTGAGGTTGCCCTTAAAGTGGCCTAGCTTCTTGCCAGGCTCGTAGTGGTAAATGTCGGTTGTGACGTTGTCGAGGAAACCGGAGTCGTGAGACACGATGAGACTGGTAATGTCCGTGTGGGACTTGAGGTACTGCTCCAACCATGCAATGTTGGCAACATCGAGGTGATTGGTCGGTTCGTCGAGGAGAAGGACGTCAGCCTTTTGCAGCATGGCACGAGCCAAGGCAAGCTTCATCTTCCAACCACCAGAGAGAGATCCGACCTTCTGGCTCTGGCGACCCTCAGGGCCGGCAGTGAAGCCAAACTCAGCCAAGACTTCGGAAATGCGCTCACGGCCCTCAGAGGCAATGGTGGGATCCTTGACCATGAAGTCGAGAATGCTAATGTCGGCGTCCTCTCCCTGGTTGTGCTCTACGTAGCAAGTGCGCAGCACGTCCTGAGGGGGGAAACCCTCAAGCTTGCCGCTGGCAATACTTCTCATCAGGGTAGACTTTCCAGCACCGTTGCGACCACACAGGCCGTAACGATGACCCTTGAGGAGCCTGAGGTTTGTGTGAGACAGTAGCAGCATACCACCGTAGGCAAGCGAGAAGTCCGCGTTGACGATCTCAGTCTCACCGTCGTCCTCCTTTTCCGGCACACCGAACTTGCGCTGATCCTCGGCCAAGTAATGCTCGTGGACACCCGAGGCCACAGCCTCGCTGGCATCCGAAGACAAAAGACTCTTGAGGTATGGTGTGATGCGAGCAGCGATTCTGTCAATGAATCTGTGGTTGACGTCCTCCGCGACCATTCCGCAAATGTAGGGAGTGGCGATCTTGAAGAACGCCGGGTCGCTGACTTTGGTGGCGGTCTTCTTAACCTCGGCATCAAGGATCTTGGCGACGTCGGCGGCAGAAATGCGCTCCTCAACTTCCTCCTCACCTGCCATGGCCTTGTCCATGACCTGAAGGGCGCGGTTGGCAATCTCGCGGACCTCAGGCAGTGACGCCCGGTCCACGACACTCTTCACTCCAGGCTGGAGTTTCGGCAGGAATGTCCGCGCCTCGATCGGGTCGTGTACGAGCTTGGTCAAGTTTTCGGTGATGACGACAGTCTGGCGGAGAACCTCCTGGTTGGTGGACGGGTTGTTCAAACTTCGCTCGAGGAAGGGTGTGAGGAGTCCGAGGACGGGAGATGTGACGATAGCAACAAAGGTAGTCTGAGACAAGGCGTGGATAGCTTTCTGAAGACTCTGAGTCGAGGGGTGGTGCATGGACTCGATGAGAAGAGGAAGACGAGGGATCACGTCGTCGTTGGTCAGGAGAGAAGTCAGCGACTCCATGGTGGTGACAGCCTGTTTCTCGACTTCGCCCTTCAAGTCGTGCATGTTGCCTTCGACGATGGGGAATAAAGTCGCAAGCTTAGCACCCATGGTCTCTCGGAGAGTATCCTTATCCTGCGCTTGCTCCTTGGTGCACCCGACTTCCATCTTGGCCTTGTCGGCCATTCTCTGCATGAGCTTGAGAGCGCCGACAGTGCCCTGCCACTTTCCAGTCTTCTTGGAGAGGTAGGCGATCAGAGCAGGGAGAAGGCCGACCACCATCGCCTCAGGGCTGAGGTGGCCGAAGAGAGCATCAAGGCCGTACTGTGCAGCATCGCGAACGACAGCCCCCTTATCGGCAAGGGCGTCAAGGGCACAGCCGACGAGGGAAGGGTCTTCCAGAAGAACCACCTCGCTGATGGGCTGGCGAGCAGGGAAGCGTTCGAAAATCGCGCCAAGGCAGTTCTGGGCGGACTCGCGACGCAGGCCGCTCTTCTTGTCGGCGGCAGCCTTCTTGATCTCGGCAAGGATTCCGTATTGCTGCAGGCCGTGGGCTCCGACGGTGTTGATGAGGAGATCGCACAGTGCATATGAAGCGTCGATGGAGGCTGCGGATGTGCTGGCAGAAAAGACGTTGTTCAGAATAGCCGCAACATCCTCAGGGGACGGCGGGGGAGGCGCCTCGCCCAACTTGGCCACCATGGTGGGCGGCGAAACGGGATGAGGCATCAAGCAAGGGGTCGTCAGGCGGAGAGCGACAGCAGGGTGTGTTGTCTGCTCGACGGTGCCTGTGTGGCCTGGAAAAGGTTGAGGCCTTGCGAGAAGGAGAAAGTCGGCAAGGCTCTTCCTGCAATCTGGTCAGGAAAAGGTGCCCCTCCTCCTTGCGACAAGTGGTTATCAGTCTTTTTTTAGGCTGCCTCGCGCTTGCCCCTCGCCTTATCTGTCTTGTCAGATTTTCCTCTGCTCTTTTTTTTTTTCTATGGGGCCGGGCCTGGACTGGGGGCGAGCGTAGGCCGGCCCGCGCCTAACCCGGCCGCAGAGGCCCACTTTGCATCAAATCAGCATGCCTTGAATGGCCATGTGGATGTGCAAGGTCCGTATTACCGCAGGTTAGTCGACATTGGTTTTCCACCGTAGTTTGTCAATATACCAAATCGTTGGAAGCATGAAGCGACGTTGATAGAAGTCGATACCTGGGCACCTCTGCATATGTCGGACTTGAGTCAGCGGTCTTCAACTATGTATCTGCTTCATCAGTGCCGAGGTTTACTTTATTTTATTATTATTATTTTATTAAGTGCTGTGAGGCGGCCGATCTGCAGCGGTCACGACGTGGAAATATCAAACTTTGGTCAGCACGCAGAAAGACTCGTTCCCGGCGAAGCAATATGAAAACTGGGCCAATATCCATAGTGCCCCAATGCGAGATGTGCCCAGAACCGAGAAGCCTCCTATACGTAGACTGTGGAGTATTTTCAGGGACCAGAGACAGCGATATCAGATCGTGCTGAACGTACATCGGAAGACCCCCCGGAAACTCGCTAAAGCCAAGGCACTGGTTGGTCGGCGGCGATAACTCATAATCGCCGTTCGAGAAGGGCATTCAAGCGTCTCCACTCAGATACCTCGATGAACGCCAGGGTAACGTGGGACAATGAAGTACTCGAAGCTTATCAGCTTGAGCACACCTAGGTATAGACTGTGGTCCATCCCAGAACGAACGTATCGGAGGCATCGATGCCATATCTGACGATGCTGATCAGGAGACGCGTCAGGCATGCATACATGAACCACGGAAACATGATCACAATGCGGCTCACCCCGAATTAGGTAAACCAAACAGCTATGCGCAGGATGACATGTAAGCCACCATGAGACAGAGGGCATGCTCGTAGGGCTGAGAGTCTTCACAGCCGCCCGACAACCCAGGATCATGGATCTGCTTGTGGGATCCTTAGCCGAGAAGAAGGGTGGGGCCTTCGCATCGGAGCGCTTTCACAGAACCAACTGCCAGGTGTTTCCAAACAAATCCTCGGATCCCGGCTTCTTCAGCGGCGAGATTGGAAGATGCGATTGGCATGGGCAGCCAGCCACGCGATTCAGAGGTGAAAGTGGCATGGGACCAGGCCACGACTGCCGGCTTATGTGAGAGGTTCGGGGTGTGGGGTATTAAGGGTAGCTTGCGTGGAGCTTACACAGTGCGACCCGGCTGGTGCTGTCGCCCATGGAGAGAGTTTGGGGTGAGCAGAATTGCCGTTCTGGGACAATGAGATGACTTGGGGTGCACGCCGTCCGCAGCAGCTCATGCTTGGCAAGGGTGCTTTGCGTGGCTCGCTGCAGGGGCAACCGTAGCGACGGAGGGCGGATGGCACAGTACGTGAGTAAACACCCGCACACTGTCGGTCCGGCTTCCAGGCTTGCCAGGTCCAGAGAAGGAGCGCTCGTCGCGTTGGACCCTGGCGTGGCTGCTCGTACCAAAGCCAAGCAGATGCACCAGACCAGCCAGTGCCGGCGCGGGTGGGCGACAGCTTCTGGGGATGATGGACGGCCCACGGCCCACGGCACATGGCACAGCAGCGCAGCACCTGAGCGTAGCTAGGGTCGGTAGGCGCTTACCTTTGCGCCGCAACCCCTTGCGCCTGACGTACGTCTTGGTGCGATATAGGCGGCGAGCGAGGCTGTGCACTCCATAGCGAAAACCTTCCCCAGCAGTTCCCTCGGAAGCTGCCGGTTCCATATCAGCAGTGCCTCAATATCAGCAGTGCCTCAGCTCTCCCTTCTTATATCTACCTTACGTACGTAGGCATTGGAGGCAGACCACAGTCCAGAAGAAGATCTACGTCGTGAGTGTTCTGCTTTGTCCAACAGTCGGCTACGTACGGCCCTCCATCTCCCACAGCCACCACCATGGGAGCCCCAGCCGCTGCAACAGCCGGTGGCTTCCAGTTCATCACTTCAATCAACACCATTGCCCGCGACGATGAGACGCGCCGAAAGGTCCGCTCCCACGCCCGCCGGCAAAAGCTCCCCAACCAGCCGAGCACGGCTCCTGCAAAGGCTCCGGCCGCAAGTCAAAAGGAGCGGACAGGCAAGTTTCGCGTGGGTCAGAACAACAGCAGTAGCACCACCACCACCGCAGCCCCCGCCACCACCACTGCCGTCAACGCTGGATCTGGTGGCAGTGGTGTCGCGGGCAAGACAGCCGCCGCCCGCAAGAAACGAATTGCTCAGGACGCCCAGCGAGCCAGGAATTCGCTGTCTACAGTGCCCAGCTTCCAGAGCTCGACCCGTAGTGTAAGCGATGCCAGCGACAGCAGCACCGATGACGAGTATGAGACGAGCATGATCACGCGCGAGCTGGCCTTTACGACAGTGGGCGTGACTAAGGAGCTGCCCAACTTCTCCGCGCTCAGCATCAAGACGACACCCATGACCGAGACACTATTGCGGTACATGATGACTGTCTGCCTCTCGCCGAAGGAGGTGTCGTTACAGAAGTGGTTCAACCGCGCAGGCGCGCCTACTTATATGACTACCCGTAAGCCACAGCCGCTTCCCTTCTCGCCGGCCTTGTGTCTCCCTTGAGCCGCCCAGACATCCGAAAAGCCAGAGTTTGATGCTCATTGGTCACGACGTGCTTGTTCGCAAGTCGCCCCACGAGTTCACCGTTATGGTTTACCTCTTTGGGAAATATTGGGGCTTGTTGGTCCCCCAGGCGCTCATGCACTACTTGCATCTAGTGACATGTTTACAAGGCACTTCGGGCTCAGTAAAGATACTAATACCTATTACGCTCGACTCGTACTACAGACCATTCCAGCTTTCTTGCTAACGGCTTTGCTATCAACCCAACCGGTAACCTCGTCAGCGGCGTATGTTCCTAGCATCTCTCATCCTCCGACGCCCCGGGCAGGACCTGCTGCTGGCTTCACTTTTGATCGAGCTAGCTACCACCCCGTTGCTGTTCGTGGAGCATTGCAAGACTAACACTGCCGTCCTTCTCAGATCTCTATCGACCATGCTGCCACACACTCCTTTATGGCCCTCATAGCGGCCATGCATAACTCACTTGCCAACTGGAACGACACGACGACTCTTGACTTCCACCGCTTCCAGACTGTCAAGGCTGTCAACTCTCGTCTCAACGTTGAAGGCAAAGATGGCGGCTATCCGGTGTCAGACGGCGTCCTGATTGCCGTTGCCATGCTCGTCAATGTGGAGGTAAGCCGTGTGAACGCAGTCAGAGCATAACTAGACTGCTCCATGGAACAAATAAATGGCTGATTTTTCTTTTTCATGCACAGTCATATATCGGCTCGCTGGAAAGTGCCGCCGCCCACATGCAAGGGTTGAAGCGAATGATTGACCTCAGGGGCGGCATTATTGATGGTCTCGGATATAGCCCGGTTCTTCAGCGCACGATTGCCTGGTATGCACCTTTCTCCGCCTTTCCTTGTACTCATCGTTGATCGATATCTGCAGGGCCGACTACTCGTACGCAACCGCCGCCAACGAGCCTCTTGTGCTTCCATTCATCCCAAATTTAGCTGGATCCCTGGGTCTACATGACAGGTTCATGAGCCGCTCCATGGTTCTGAACATGGAGCCTCTCGGCTATGGCGACTTGACGATACGGAACCGAGAGATCATAGAGATTATGGAGTTGTTACACTCAATCTCGCACTTCATCAACGGTTTCGATTACAATGACCTAGAGTCGTCAGTCTCAGAGAGAGTACAGGTCAGCGACTCGATCTATCTCGCCGAGTGGAAGCTCTGCCAACTGGAAGAGGTGTTGCGCTCGAAATACTTCACTGGACGAACCAGCTGCAGTCCTCCCTCGCTCTACTCAGACGACACACTATCACCTCAAGAGGCCAAAGGACCAGCGACTGACCTTTCCGACACATTGATTTATGCTGCACACCTCTTCCTTCACCTAGCGGTACGAGGCCAGCCGCCCACAGCTTATCGCCACAAGATTCTGGTGGAATCGCTCGTGTCATCTCTCTACGGACCCTTGATGTCCTTAGATCTGCTGGCATGGCCCAGCTTGACATCATTCGAGCATCCCGCTTCATGCACAGGCAATAACCTTGTAGAGGCATCAGCTTCAGGCAGAAGCCCTGCCGATGAGCGTCCAGCTTCGCCCACGACCGACATGGAGTTCCTCGCAGGCTATACCTCTTCAGAGCGAAAAGCAGACGCGGGAACTCCGATAACAGCCCACGATGATTTGCACTCAGATATACTTCTTTGGATCCTCTTCACTGGCTGTTGCGTGCGAATACCACCGACTCCGTACAATTCGGCTTACATGTATCATGGCGTGATCGAAGGAAATGCCCGGGAGTTCTTTATGAGCGCATTGGCCAACTGCTGTCGAAGACGGCGGATCTTCGAAAGTGGCATCCTCCATACAAAACTCAAATCGGTCGTTTGGCTTGGCAGCTGGTGCGACTACCAGCTAAAGACGATATGGCTTGAGATCGAGCCTCAGATCCGGAATTTTGGCTCCAGCGCCTTGACTTCCGGATGACGCGCTTTTTGAAGAACTTTCAGGCATGCTACCCTGCAAGCTTCAGCTGAAAAGTGCAATATTGTTGACGACAGTACGCGCCTGATTGTGGTCAGATTCCGAAAAAAAAACTAAAGCGACTACGTACCCACAGCACAACGAAAAACCGGCAATCAAGCTCGTGCTTTAGAACGCAGTGTAGCAGTCGACGAATAAGCCTTTCATGCTCTCACATACGGAAATCTGACATCCTTGCGGGCGTGGTTCGACCGCCTCGATACCCATATATGGGTTGGGGAAAAGATAGAGCAAGGCGAGCTCAAACGAACAAGACGAGCCAATCTCAACGCCCCTGGAGGAGACCGCAGGCGAAATCGTTCTTCGACTGGTCGAGGTGGACTGTGCCGTGAAATCAGTCGTTGTATCCGGTCAAGAACACCTGATACGGACATCACTGATCAAGATCGACTGATTCAACCAGAACAGGTTTCGTCGAGACAGCTACATCATGGTTATATTACAACACGCTAGATATGCGAGCATGGCGGTTCAGCAACGTGGTACGCGATCAATAATTATACGTGGGGAACGATGGAATGAATGGCCGATCCAATAAAGGACAGAGCCAAGCGACGCCAAGCGGCGGGACATAATGACGTTGCCGCAATATGCTGCGGAAAACTCGGTCCAATTTGTACTTTATTTGCGCTTTAATGCTCGGTATATACTCTCGGACACATTGAATTTCGAAGAGAATGTTTAGTTTCGTTGACGCAAATATTTCCCGTGTCAAACTCTCATTTGACCACAGCGGCACATCAGAGTTGTTGCTAAGAGACTGGTTTGTCAAGTGGTCGGTCCTACTCTCGTACTACACCACACACCATATCCTCTGACTCAAACGGCGTAGTAGATCCTGACATCTACACTCGTTACCTTGTTTCTCCAACCGAGGTATCTCGCACGACCCCAGATTGTGACCATGTCTCCTAGCCGAAGCCCACGCACAAAGTCACCGTTGCCGTTGGGGACGCGGCCGAGATATCCTATATCTACGTGCTCAGTAACGCTGCCATCCAGCCAGGACCACTCGACGTGGTGATGCTGCACTTCGCGCTCGACACGCTTGTTGAAGTGGATGACGTGCTTATAGTCAGGATGTAGGGCGTGGTAGAGCTTCTTTGAGCCTCCTGGGACGTTTGCCGTCCGCCTGCTGCTGTTGCCATCGGTCACGGTGCTCTTGGTGGTGTCTGAGCTCCTGGACAGTGGCCAGACTGAGCGGATCATGCAGGTGCGAAGTTCAGCATGGGGTTCGGTACTGGTGGAGGTGTCGCTGGGATCTGTGTTCTCCTGTTCTTCGCAATCTTTCGCGCCTGGTGGATATATTTGTCAGTCTCTCCGTTTAGATATAGTGAAGCAGTGGCAGCTCACAGTTGATGGCCTTGTCGAACCTGTCGATACCGACGTCAAACCAGGTATGTGAGCCGTCGTAGGGTGCATCTGGCCTTATTCCTGGGTCGTTACCACCGAATCCTTGGTCACAACTGAATATGTCAAAGACTAATTTTCTCACAGGGTTCTCCAGCGTTGGCACGGGGACATCCGTGAATTCCTCTAGGGTCTCTTTGCCGAACTCCAAGTGGTCTGTTGTCGATGCTGCTGTCGGTGTTGGCGGTTTCGTACCCGCGTTTGGAGATAGGGCTGCGGTGTCAATTCCGTCGTGCTGCCCACTACCAGGGCTCATAATTAAACTCTCGTCAGTCTCAGTGACGACCCTTGGCTCTGCAGCTGTCGACCACATCTCATGGCCAGGCGAATCGCGAGCAGGCGGAGTCCATTTGGTTAGTCCGACAGGGTCACAACGAAGCTACAGGCAGGGTATTAGCAATCGTGATTTTCCGAAAGACGCATAAGTTTGCACTGGCTCACCAGAAATCTGTCTTCCCGTTCCGGGTCGCCACCAGCGATGCCCAAATACCTCATGCCGAGTTGCCTGTAGTCTATGGAGGACTTGCTGCAGGCCCAGTACTCGGCCCTATCCATGATGATGTTGACAATCTCCCAGGGCAAGCCCTTGGAGGTAAGGAGCATCTTGACCTGCTTCACATCGTCCAGAGAAGCGTCAAAGCTCCTGGGCGGCGTCCCCTGCGGTTCTGAGGCCGAGGCTGTCGTCGCTGCCTCGCTGTCCTCTGCTCGCGGAGGCTGTGTGCCGCATATGCCCTCGGTGGTGCGGATGGGAGCGTGCGGTAGGGTCCTGGGAGGAGACCTTCCGTAGGGAACACCGCCGCCGCGGCCCCGACCACGTCTGTCCATTGCGAAGGGGGTTCTGGGGGAGTGAATTACGGAAATGTGAATGCAATCTACTAGGTGCGGAAGAGAGGTTAAACAAGCAGATGAACAATCACTGCGACTGGTTTCGTGAATTCCTGACTTGAAGTCTAGAGCATTCTTGTATGCAGCAGGTCCAGGTTCTGGAGGGAGCGTTGACGTAGGCCGGCATCGCTCAGGTGTCTTACACGAATAGGGAAGGCGCAGGCTGCTCGCTGCATGCCTCGTGTAGCCTGGGCATGGAACGATTCAATTGGGCATGTGGGGGACCGAGGGTGGGGACATAGGAGAGGGGCGTCCCTGGGGGTTGCACGCCGGAGACAGTCAGCATGACGTGGGGTTGGGCAAGGCAGCAGAGGAAGAGATGAGTCCTCCCCTATCACCGTCACAAACAGTTGGAGGCAGCAGAAGCTGTTATGGTGCAAGAATAAGAGGCGGGGCATAGTGCAAAGTAAACGACGCTGATGGCTGGTTCAGAATCTGTCTGGGACAAGAAGCGACATTCAACTGCGTGTCGGCACTGCTTCTGTGAGTGTGTATGTACTTGGTTACCTGTGGCTAGATCGTGGATATGTGTCCAACGCAACCCAGCAAGCGCGCCACAGATTGGCATCTGCTGGGTTGAAGACATAAAATACAGAGACCTGAATTCATATCAAGCCCCGAAGGAACATCGCCGCTAGGCGGCGCGTTGCACCATGCTACTGCCGTCCCGATGTGCTTATAAATGGCTAGCGACAGGCGGCCGATGCCGAAGCACGCCATCGTGAGACCCTGGCCTGGCTGTGGCAGTGGCCCCGAATCCACTTCATCGAGTGGTGTCCCGGCATTGCACATGCCCCCACTTCACCCGCTCCGGTGCCGCCACGCCGGATCGTCCTTTAATTCTCCATTGCGAGTCCCTCCCAATATCGTGGAGAGCTTCTCTTCCTCTGCACGATCATACTGCCGACACGATAATTCATTGGTCATGAGGCCCTCAGAACAGGTCGTCGTCGCTCTGCGGCGCGCAGCCTCGTCGACCTCCGCTGCTCGCTCTAGCCGACAGATCCTTCCGCGACTGCAACATCCCACGCCAACTCGAAGCCCAGCTGTGCACCATGGCACCCGCCAATTCCACACGCAGCTGTCACGACGCTCAGGCTCGTCCGCCACCGGCGAGGCTTCAAACCCAGCAATGGCTTTTCCTTGCCTCGACGCCCTCGAGACCCGCTCCGCGACCCTCGAGGCTCGCTCGCTCTCGACAGGGCCCGAGCCCGCGTACACAGCCGGCGCAACCGAGGTCTTCAACTGCAAGGAGCCACTCCTGCTCGACTGGGGCGGCGTCCTGCCCGAGTTCGACATTGCCTACGAGACCTGGGGCACAATGAATGCCGACAAATCCAACGTCATCCTGCTTCACACTGGCCTGTCCGCCTCATCACACGCCCACTCGACCGAGAGCAATCCAGCGCCCGGTTGGTGGGAGAAATTTATCGGCCCTGGCAACCCGCTCGACACAGATAAATACTTTATAATATGCACAAACGTCATCGGTGGCTGCTTCGGGTCCACGGGCCCAAGCAGCATCGACCCTGCCGACGGCCAGCGATATGCGACTCGCTTCCCGATCCTGACCATGGACGACATGGTGCGCGCCCAATTCCGGCTTCTTGACGGACTTGGTGTGAACAAGCTCTATGCAAGCGTCGGATCAAGCATGGGAGGCATGCAGTCGCTCGCGGCTGGCGTGCTGTTTCCCTCGCGAGTCGGACGTATCGTCTCAATCAGCGGCTGTGCGCGGAGTCATCCATACAGCATCGCGATGCGGCATACACAGCGCCAGGTGCTGATGATGGACCCGAACTGGAATCGAGGCTACTACTACGGCAAGGTGCCACCCCACGCCGGCATGAAGTTGGCTAGAGAAATCGCGACAGTCACATACCGGTCGGGTCCGGAGTGGGAGCAGCGCTTCGGGAGGAGGAGGGCAGACCCCACAAAGCCTCCCGCTCTGTGTCCAGACTTTTTGATCGAGACATATCTCGACCACGCGGGAGAGAAATTCTGCCTGACTTATGACCCCAACAGCCTCTTATACGTCAGCAAGGCTATGGACCTGTTCGACCTTGGGGTCGACCAGCAGAAGGCAACCGCGGCCCGGCGGGCACAGCGCGAGAAGGAGATCCAGTCGGGCGGCACACAGCGCGCTCAAGATGCCTCGTGCAGCTTGACGCTGCCTGAGCAGCCATACGCGGAGCAGCCAGGCTCGCAGGCGGATGAGTCTGGGGCGGTGACGGTACCGTCGGACATGCGCCCGCCGGAGGACCTCATTTCGGGGCTGGCGGGTATCCGCGATATTCCGACCCTGGTCATGGGCGTGTCAAGCGATATCTTGTTCCCGGCGTGGCAGCAACGCGAGGTTGCGAATGCGCTGAGACTGGGCGGGAATAGGAACGTTGCGCACGTGGAGTTGAGCGAGGAGCAGAGCATGTTTGGCCACGACACATTCCTGTTGGATCTGAAGAACGTTGGCGGCAGTGTCAAGAACTTTCTGGGTTGAGGAGAACAAAAGTTGAAACATGTACAATCAACGATACTATTATTATTACAGAGTCTGATTATGGTGTTCTGGAAACTTGTGGAAGGTACCGGACGTGCAGCAGTCGCAGGCGCGACCGTCGACATCAGCGGCACCGAGACAACCTCACGCCCAAAGCACCACGAACCGTTCAATGCCCAGCATAAACTTCATCCCACAATCTCCTCACCAGGCGATTTGGAACTACTGGAAGCCTTGCAGGTTCGTACGTCACAGGACAGCTGCCCAGCTGCGCGTTTGCAAACCAACAGTCCCACATTTCCGCCCTGCCTGGGTTCCAACAACACCAACCAACAACCCCTCATCTGGGAAACCCAGGCACGGCAGGGCTGATGCCTGGGGCAACTCCAACACGAGTATATAACGAAATGAGAGCGTCTTGACTGGCGTAATAGATACCAAGTACTCTTGAGTGACTGCGCGGCCGCGAAGACCTTCGGGCTTTCAATTCTCAAGATCTCCGGGGCAACCAACACGCTCAGGTAAACAAAATAAAGGCCATCTTTCGCAACTCCTCCGCCATAAGTTCAGCATAAACCTCGCAGACGCAGAACTGGGCAGCGCGAGCATCGCAGATAGACCGGGGCTGCTGCGACCTGAACACGATATCCGGAACACGACCGACCGGCTACCTCGGTGTCTCGCCGGCGCAGCAACCTCACGACCAGCTCACAAGACCCAGCCTCAAAGCCACGCAGCAAAGTCGTAGACCCAGACAGATTCTATAGCGGAGCTTTCGTTCCTCTGATCCGCGTCTCGGAGGACTACAAGTTGCTTTCTTCGGAAGAGTCAGTTTTGTTGGGCTGATTTTCCTTCTGTGAGGGTGGTGGTGTTCATCTTTCCACCCATCTCAGCTCATGCTAATATGTTCCTCATGAGTAAGGTCTTCCAAGATATCGATCAGTCAACATGGATGTTACGGCCTCACTAGGCGCGCCTCAAAGGGTCAGCCTGCTCGTCGTGCCAAAATCGGGAAAGCCACGCATCGACGTCCTGCAGCGCGAAAACCGCAATCTCGCCATCCTCGGCTCAAAATCAAGCAGACCTCGCAACACACCCGCGCAAGAAGAAGAGTTTAATAAGCGGCTCCAAAGCGCGCGAACATATCTCGCGTGGCTCGACGGCTCAGATATTAGTGGTGCCGATGTGGTGAATTCCCATCTCAAGAACGCCCTCGAGAGATTGGTGGCCAATGCTGCTACGCTGCCCCAGGACGTCAACGATCGTGCTATTGACCTCACGCAGCGATTCGAGCACACCACGGTGATTGAAGACCCAGAGGATGCCTCACAGCAAAGTGATGATACTAGTGATGACGAGCTCACGACTGCTTCTGCGACGATGGCAGGCACAGCAACCGCTGAATTCGACCTGCCACCCCCCAGCCACCGCATCTTCGGAACACACGGAATCATGCACGGCGTCATTACTAGGCGTGGAAAGAACAACCGAGTCGTCAGACGTCTCAATCCGTATTTACAGAAGAAGAGGGCAACAGTCTTTGGCCACAATGGCATCCCTGTGGGATCTTGGTGGCCTCTCCAGCTAGTTGCCCTGTTCAACGGTGCACACGGCAGTGCGATGGGCGGCATCTGCGGCGATGTCCAGCTTGGGGCCTACTCCATCCTAATTGCAAACACTTACGACGATCTGGACACTGACGATGGCGATGTCATCTACTACTCTGGGTCCAACAGCCATAAGAACAAGAACCCCAACCGCCCTGAGGATTCGAGCCGGGGTACATCAGCCTTGAAGGCTTCCTTTCGCACGCAGAACCCCGTGCGCGTGCTGAGATCAGGAGGGTCCACCGCAGTCACCAGCCGCTCCAGCAACAAGTATCTGCCGAGGGCCGGGGTTCGCTACGACGGCTTGTACCGGGTCGTGAGCATGCGCACGCCGAAGAACAGTAACGGTGCGTCTTTCTCCCGTGCACACGACCCCAGCTGTGTTTTTTCAGGGTTTTTTTGTTCTCCTCTTCAGCTGAAGATTGACGATGATTGGAAAGGCGGCCTATATGAGCAATTCCGGCTGGAACGACTTGACGGCCAGCCGTCACTATCAGAAATCCGGCGATCGTCGCCGACCACGCAGCAGCTTCTAGATCTGGAGGAAATCCAGCGAGGCTACTGAGAGGAGCGACTGCTCGCCACGAGATGACGCCGAGTTCCGCTCACGGAAGTCTAACTGCGAGTTATGCCTTGGAAGCAACGGGCACCAGGAAGAGAGGCATGCGTCAGCTTCGTGGCGGTGACCTGGGGCATGAGTCGGCGACGACCTTGGCGAAAGCATATCCGCCAAAGTTAAATGATTCTCAGGAATGACGGGGACAAGGGTATGCAATGCACAGTTAGGGTGTTACTAACACCGCGAACGAGTAACCAAGGGCTTCGTCCGCCATAGTGTGGAGCTGGGGACTGCGAACGAGCAGACTCTTGGTGATAGAGGAAACGGAATGAGAAAGAAAGAAAACAAAAAAAAGCTCTGCAATTGCATGTGTGTGCCCGCCAAGACCATTTGTGCCTATTTATTGCCTTCTCTCTGTTGTTATTTTTGAGAGTTGCCGTTTCTTGACTGTTTTGAATGGGGTTTCATAGGTCGCCGGGGGTCTGCGGTTCTTTCCGGACGAAGAGCAGGGTGCTGCGCTTCACACGGAACGACGAGAAGTGGTGGCGTGATTGAGCGTTATATTTAGAGACGGTGAAACCGGAAAGATCTGTGGGAGCGCAGTCGTTTCAAGAAGAGAGCAAGGCCGCCGCCGCCGCCGTTTCCTCATCCAGCTGGCCGTTGCCGGCGTGCGAAAAGCAGCAGGGACGTGGACGTTCCCTGTGGCGCGTGACTTACTACGGGAGACATGGCATCCCTGCCTACCATGGTACAACTCACGTGGGCTGGCGATTTTGCCATCGCTGACAACTGCCGAATGTGGCGCCGCATGATTCCACAGACGGTTTGGCCCAACACCGGAGAATATCGACCTGGACCTGCATCCAGGAGGGTTGCACTGGCAGTTGCCGTTGGGGTGGCGAGATAACGATGAGAGTTCGCCGTGGAAGGAAGACGTCACGCGAATGGTGAAGTCTGTGACTTCTTCAGCCTGGGTCTTGTGCTATTTGCCCATGGCTGCAGCAAAGACGATGCTGCTGGAGCCTGCAGCGCCCTGTTGTTGCTTCACAAGCCTTGGCGCAATTTTACACAGTTCTTGTCGAGAAAGCAGAACGGCACTAATCGCGCATTTGCAACAGAGCCATGAGCCTGGGCCATGAGCAGATTGAACTTTCGTTGTGCGTACTGAAGCGGGGAAGCCTTGTGCGTTGCCAGTGAGGCCCAACGAGGCCCCACGAGGTTCGGTGTCTTGGATACGCACAAGGTCAGCGCAGCCCATCGTGTTGGCCTGCTTGTCGCTTGTCAAGGCAAGGGGAGGGTTCGTGGTGGGTTTGGCAAGAAATATCTGGGGAATGGCGCGATGGGTGGGAAACCGTCGATCTTGGACTTGTTCGGGACTGGGTCGGTGTGGGTTTCCCAGGGCTTGGCTCAACGGTGTTGGGCAATCACAGCAACTCTGACTGACTTCGGACGGAAGAGAGAGAGAGAGTGCTGCCCCGTTGTTTTGGTTGAATGTGCCTTCTGGTACAAGTTGTGGTTGGATGTTGGCTGCTGCAGAAGTTGCGTGCCTGAGACATGCATGCTTATCCTCTACAGCAGCAACAACAACAAAAACATTGACAACTGACATTTGCCTTCTCTATTCCAAGCCCCAATGTGGCTGTTTCACAGAGCTGCCTCCCTTCCCCACGCCACGACCAACAGAGGGCCACAGCAGGCCGGTCTAGGCGCAATCTAAATCTGGCCCACCGACAATGGTCTAGATCATGGGCTGTCCCCTACCCCAGCCCAGCCCAGCCCGTCCAGGGGTCAAGCGCCCGCGCAGGGGTCTCCAAACAGTAAAACTCTGGGCATTGCAACCGCCAAGCACAAAATGATCTGATCTTTGGTGGACTCTCACTGCCACTGCGCTGCCAGTATCAGGTTTGTCCCCTTTGTGCGCGCATCCACTGTCATGGTTAGTGTGCGGCCTCAAGGGAACTACTCCTTTTTTCTGCGTCAGGGCACAGAGACCTGGGCTGGGAGCGTCATGTTGTCCGGCAGTGGCGCCTCCCGTGCCTATTCTTTACAATTGGCCAGGCAGGCAGAGCAAGCCCGGTACGAAACAAACACGTTTCCCCGCCCAGGCGGCGTAGACAAGCGAGGTGGCCAGCCGGCCTGGTAAGCTTGTGCCGAGCACCGTGGCACAGCTCTAGGCATGCTTGTTTTGAGCAGTGCCAAGCTGCTTCAGATCGCAGCGCTCGCGTCTCGCCTGCTCGCTTGTCCCAGGCGACGGCCACTCTTTTCCTTTCGCCCAGCACAGAGAGGCATGGGGCTTCTCGTACCCTGCGCAGTGATGACTTGGGCAAAACAAAAAGAGGAGACCGCCACGACCGCCCACATGCTTGCAAAGATGAGTCAGGCGGTTTTCCGCCGAGGCTGGGCATCTTGCTATTTTTGGGCATCACCATGGCGTCGCAAACTCGAGCTTCCAGCTTCTGAGCATGGCTGATCGATCCCGACAGCAAATGCCGTCAGCTTCGCCGTGAGCGCGAGATCGAATTCCATACAGTAGCCAAAGAAATGGGCCAAGGCGGGGCTTGTGATGTTCTTCAAGAACCATCTAGTAGCAAACCCAATCAAGCGCTTTCGAAATTGTTGCAGCTTGCGCCCCGCTCCTCTGACATTAGGATATAACAGGCCATGCTCTTTTCAAGTATAGATAATATTCTCTAAGGTCACTACTCGCCACCAGCATGTGCAGAGTCAAAGAACAAGGCGTGCTAAACTACTTCCGGACTTTCCGCGTAGTGTACCTACATGATGGGGCCTGATCTTGGGGCATGGCCCCAGGCGACAAAGTCTTGGCCCGTGTCCGGCCTTTGTTTCAACCATGCAAAGACACGCCACTTTGCTCACGACCCTGACCTCGACCTGAGGAAGACCTCACAACAACACTGTGCCAATGCCGGATCTCTAGTTATATCAATGAACCGTGATTATTAGCTGCATGGCTTTGCGGAGTTGAAGTCGGAAGCAACGCAACAGACGCGAGGTTGTGCCGTTCAATCAAATGTTTTGCCTGCTTGAACATAATATAACCCGAGTAGCGCCAGAGAACGCATAACCCTATCATTGATTCCGGCAGACGCTCCCAGGCAGGCAATCGGCAGACTGTGAAAACAACGCCGTCTCGCCCCGGACCCCTTGTTAAGCTTATTGAGAGTGGCGGTTAACTTGTTCTGGGGTATTCCATGCGAAATAACCCCCTTCCTGCCGGACTTTTCCACTTCCACAACCCTAGTCGCCTGCGCGATTCTTCGCCAAGAACGCCACACCCAGGGCCAGGGTTGTCGCAGAGTCTCAACTCAGTCTCCCAGGTCATGAGTTCTGAGCTGGAGGGCTTGAGCCTTGGCACGTTTTGTTGTCCACCACGCTTGCAGTCTGAGCCAGGGGGTTACCAGGGCCAAAGCCGCACGGCACCTAGGCGGACAATGTCCTCCTCTCTGGATTGCCCGGCCTCGTGCCTCCAGCCCTTACTCGCCGTTGCCGTTGCCGTTGCCCGTCCCGTGGGCACACCAGGCTCTCCCCGTCTTCGTCACAGTATGCCCGTGTGGCTTGCTGCCAGGATTCGCGGCCCCCATTCGTCGGGAGGAACAACCCCTTGCCCTTGTCCCGGAGAGAGACAAGAAGTCCAGCCAAGGAGAGAGTTCTGGGCGCAGCCTGGGCCTCTATAAGATTGACTGATGTTCGTCTTTTCTCTTGACTCGGAGCTTATACACTACGCCGACCTTTCTCGCTTACCTCCTCCACCCCTCCTTCCGTGTCTGTTCATTCTCTTGACCGACAGTAGGCTGTGCCACTGGGATTACATTCTTGTCCATCCATTTTAATATCTTTAACCTTTCTTGGCCCTTTGTACAAAGACAAACCTCGAGTTCCGCTGTGCGGCAATATTTTCCAACATAAAACCCCCAACAAACAACCGGGAAAAAGCCTACAACTCTCGTTTCTCCTCGAAACTCAAGTCGCTTTATATCATCTCACTGAGATCTCTTGAAGAATCGAACGAAAGAAGCAAAAGGAAAACCCCCCCAGACCAGACAAGATGATCTCTCAACTCCTCCTCGCGGCTGCTGCCATCACTCCCGCCATGGCCTTCTGCGGTGGCCACACACACCTTGACAGACGTGCCGAGGGTGAGGTCCCGATCAACACCTTCGGCTACACGGGCGCTATTGTAAGTCTTGCCTGAGTCGAGCTGGTTGTTATTCCATAACCAAGCGATGCTTCAGACTCTGACGACTAACCTGGCATGCACTTCACAGGGTCCCCTTTTCTGGAACACCCTCGCCGCTGAGAACACGGCCTGCAACACCGGTACGACCCAGTCGCCCATTGACATGGTCGCCGGTGTCTTCAACATGGTCCACGGCGCCGACATCTCACTCGAGGTCCCCGACGTCCCGGCGGGCGCCGTGTTTGAGAACCTGGGCACCACTGTCGAGGTTGTGATGGAGGGCGTCGGCGGCAAGCTCACGCTGCCCAGCGGCACCGAGCTTGAGCTCAAGCAGTTCCACTTCCACCACCCGTCCGAGCACATTGACAACGGCGTCTCCATGCCCATGGAGATGCACATGGTCTTCCAGACCACCGAGGCCATCCCCCAGACCGCCGTCATTGGCGTGTACGTCGACGTCGACTCTGGTGCCGCCGCCGCCCCCATCGCCAGCATCCCCAGCTCCAACGTCACCCAGACCCTCATGAAGCCCGTCGTCGTGACCAGCCGCTTCGGCCGCCGGCAGAACGGCAAGCGGGCGCCCTCGTCCGTGCTCGAGACCGTCTTCGCCTCCGTCGGCGCCATCGCCACGCCCGGCACCAAGACCACCACTGGCCCCCTCGTCATGTCCGAGATCGTCAACGCCGTGCTGGCCGGCGGCTTCCAGTCTTATGCGGGCTCCCTGACCACCCCCCCTTGCTCGGAGCAGGTCACCTGGCTCGTCTCGACCCAGAAGCTGACCATCTCGGCGGCCACTTTCATCAACGCCCGCAACATCCTCGGCTTCAACTCGCGTTTCCCCCAGAACGCCCCCGGCCAGCCCAACGTCCTGGCCCAGATCAAGTTGTAAGCGTGGAACGTGCGCTCGCTTGTCGTTGCCTCCGTGTGATCACACACACACACACACGACGTCCTACGCTCGGTCTCTTTGCTGAGACAGCGTCTGTGGCTGGATGTATGCTGATATGATGAGACTCCCCCGAGAGACACACATACCCATGGTCCTGGTTTCCTCTTTATTTTCCTCTTTCTCTCTCAGTTGTTTTTGGGCATTTATAAATATATACCTCTCTTGGCGTCTTCAATGATCTGCGTTGTCTCGTGTCACCCCTTGTGCGTTGGGTGTGTGTGTGCTGCCTGTTACGCCGTGGCCCACGTTGTTATTAGCCGAGAATATCCACATTTTGATCTTTGAGTGCCTCCCTTCTTCTGTAGTCCTTGCCGGTGACTCGTGCTCACAGTGAATGCTTGTGCTTCTCTTGTGTTTACCCGTGTGGCTGCTTCCAAGTGCAAGGACCCATGTGCCGTCCCTTGATAAGTAGAGAGGGAAAGGCAAAGTCTGCTTACCCAATTTGCTTTGTGTGAAGTTTGTTTTGCTGCCCGGTGCCCCTTTGCAGCAGGGACATCAAGGGACATCCGGGATTTGCGCCACGGGTTGACCACACGATCGAGGTGTAGTCATGTAGACGGGTGTCTGGGTATATGTGTTGGGGCTTACACCTTTGAGTGGAAGGCTTTGGGCATTGCGAGACCATCGAGGTGCCTGGCTGTGTGATGTGCGGAAGAGCTGGGATATCTCAGTCAGTCCGAGGCCTCTGCAGAGTGCTTGATCCATCCGGTCCGTGCCGTCATTGGGCCGTGTTTCTGAGAAGAGCAGCGATTTGGAGTCTAGGTTGCACATGCTTGGTGACAGTGGAAATGTGTGCTTTTGTGGATATGAAAGTGACAGACGTACTCACCTTGTGACGCTCCTTGCTAAAGGAGGTCAAGATGGCCATGCCGGCCGAGCTCAGGACATTGCTTGATGTCCATGATGCTCATGGAGTCAGGCGTCCTCTTACCAGGGAGAAATGCATGTCTAGCGGGCAGACATAAAAGCAAGAGAAAGTCGAGGCAGTCTGATCCCCAAAAATGGAAGAGAACAGAGCGTATCAAGCAGGCGCCGGGATATTATCATGCACGGAGGTGATGTGTTGCTCCAATACACAGACACAAAGGAGACGGGTAGCAAGGACAGTCTATATAGACTCTGATGAGCCACTGGGAAGGGGAGTATCCGAGAATAGTTTGATATGACACAGCCAAGCGCCTCGCCCAAGTGCCGGTGAAACAACAGAGATATCAAGATATCCACCGCGGGCGGCAGGTCGGGCTTCAGCAGTGTCTTGGTTTCACAGGTGGCCCACATAATCTTAAGCTTAATGAGTCTCAGCGATAGTGAGCGCGGGACACGATTGGGGCACTGCAGTTCAGTGCCTGGACGGCGCAGATCACTTGCTGGGATAGGACTTCACGGGGTTGCCTGGCCTGGGCAGCCGCACGAGGACCGCGAGGGCCTCATGCACGCCTATCTGCTGGCTGCTGATGGTGCTGGGCCAGGGCCTTTTTGTCGGCGCCAAGCTTTCTGCCACGAAGTTAATCGTTTCTGCGGCGATGCCAGCCAGGGTTCTGTGGCGGCGTTGGTGTAGATTGCGTTGCAAACGAAACATTGCCCAGGGCTTGGGAGCGCCAGAAAAGTGGTGATTGTGTTTGGCCCGACGCTATTAATGGCAACCAGGGCAGGGGTCTGTTGCGGCTCTGTCAGTGTTGCGTACCTTAACTTGGAGGCCACGCTTACCCGGTATCGGCAGCACCCCTACCTGCAGCATCCTGCGACTTCCGCCTGGCCGGCCTGTTGCATGTGCTTGCACTTGCCCGCCAATTACGTAGCACCGCCGCCAAAATATTTTGTTTCGTTTGAGCTTCACCACCAGATAACCCCCCGCCAACAACAGTCCCGCGGCATCTGGCCCCCCACGGGCTCCCGCGAAACCCAATCGAGAGGCGTCCTGGACCGAGCTGTCGACGGCAACCTTCCGTAGCCATGTCGTCCTTCGTCGAACGCACCGCCACGAGCAACAAGGCACAGCTCGCGGCCACGGCCCTGGTCTCCGGCGCCCTCGTCGCAACAGCGATCCTTGGTTACCAGCGGGCCCAACAACACCACCACCACCAGCAGAACAACCCACGCCGCTCTCGACGCGCGAGCAGCGTCGCAGGCACGGCCACGCAGGTATGAGGCGGCCCCACTCTGGGTATGTGTGAGAGAGCTCGTCTGCGAGTCCTGCGACAATGCGACGCTGAGATCGGCACCTTTGCGGCAAGCATACGTTGCGGCTCGCAGCAGGGTTCTCGAAACACAATGCAATCTTGACGAGCCAATGATTTGCTGACCGAGCATGAGATAGCCCATCAGCCATGGGAAGTCCGTTCCCCTCGACCAAGAAGATCTGCGGAACCAGGCCCTCGCGCGGCGGGCACAGGCTGGCGACTACGACGACGAGCTGATCCTCGAGCAACTCGCCCGGAACCGGGTCTTTCTCACGGACGGCGGCCTGGAAAAACTGCGCAACTCTTTCGTAGTGGTTGTGGGCTGCGGCGGCGTCGGGTCGCATTGCACTGCGGCCCTCGCCCGCTCCGGTGTCTCCAAGATCCGGCTTATCGACTTTGACCAGGTCACTCTGAGCTCTCTGAACAGGCATGCCGTCGCGACCCTGGCCGACGTCGGAATCCCCAAGGTACAATGCTTGCAGCGTCGCTTGGCGGCCATTGCGCCTTGGGTACAGTTTGATATGCGTCAGGAGAAGTACTGGGAACCTGTCGCAGACCGGCTGCTTGAGACGTGGACAGGCACAGACCTGAAGCCAGACTTTGTGGTCGACGCCATTGACAACATCGACACCAAGGTCTCACTGCTCAAGTACTGTCACGACCATGGGCTGCCTGTCATATCAGCGATGGGCGCCGGGTGCAAGAGCGACCCGACCCGCATCATGGTGGGCGACATAGGAATCGGGACAGATGATAGGCTGTCGCGGGCCACGCGTAGGCGTTTGAAGCTACTCGGCATCACAAAGGGCATCCCAACCGTCTTCTCTACGGAGAAAACCGGAGACGGCAAGGCAGAACTTTTACCTCTGCCCGAGGACGAGTTCGCCAAGGGCAAGGTAGGAGATCTAGGCGTCTTGCCTGAATTCAGGGTGCGGATATTACCAGTGCTCGGCACGATGCCTGCGGTCTTTGGCTACACGGTCGCTAACCATGTCATATTGTCCATCACTGGTGAGCCACTCTTGTGACCCCTTTTCCTGCACCTATTGGAGCACTTCACCTGCCCACGGACGAAGCTGATGTCTCATTCACGAATCAATTACAGGCTACCCAACAGACTATGCGACTGCCAAGGGCAGAGACAAGCTCTATGACGGTCTTCTCGCCGCGGTACAAGGTGGCGAGGAGAGGATGCTCCGGCACCTGACCAACGGCGACGCGAGCGTGACCCTGGGTCTCAAGGTGCCCATCACCCCGGCGGATATGGCCTTCCTGGCCGAGGACATTTACAAGGCACGCAGTGCCATTACGGGCCTTCCCACTCGGCTGACGCTCATCCGGTGGAAGAAGCCCACAGGGACGACGCTCATCCGCATAGGCGAGGGTGCGGACGAGCAGAAGTCGTCGAACCTGAAACTGGGTGATCTGGTCTGCATGACCAAGGAAGAGGCCACGAGGCATGACAAGCTGATCCTGCGAGGTGATCAGACCCATGAAGACCTCTATGACTCGGCTACGATATCGAAAGTCGAGGCTCTGATGAACGAGGCTGCTTCGTATGAGAAGTACAGATAGCACTCCTGCTGGCATGCAGACAAGAAAACAGGAAAAAAGAGCGCAGCCTACTGTCCCACCGCCTGATTTTGACTGAGAGCGCAACGGTACAGTTTGAGCCGTTTCCCGCAACGGCTGTCGTCATCAATAGTGGTATCCTGTTGCTCATCGCCCTCAAAGCTTCCTTTCCCTGCGGAGTCCTTCCCACAGCGCAACAGCAGCCAGAGCCTTTGCATCGCGCCCACCTTCCTTCCACAAATCCTGCATCCTCACCAGCTTGAGAGTGATCTTCTCACCATGTTCCCTTAGGCCAGTGAGCTTGCCCGTCCACTCTTTGAGCTGTTCCCGCGGCACCCGCCGCTCGTGCATATAGATTGGGATATACTCGTCGCAACCTCCCGCCGAAGGGTACATGGCCGCCGGTAGACCTTCGTCGCGTTCCCCTCCCTCTTCCCGTACGTGCTTCTGGTTGTTCTCGGCACTATTGCCAGTCGACGAGCTCGCCCCGGCCGCCAAGTCGCTAAGACAGCGCAGCTCTGACGCTGGTATCTCCAGCCCGAGCTCCTCCTTGATCTCCTTTGCCGCGGCACCCGCGAACGTACCCGCATCGTCGACCATGCCCGCGGGCAACTCGACGAACTCGAGACTGCCGGCCGCGATGCGCGGCTGGACTGTGAGAATGACGTAGCGCTCCTCCTCCTCCTCCTTCTCCTGGGGCCCCCTGCTGACCTTTGCGCCGGGAGGTATTGAGGAGCCGCTGCCTTCCTGTGATGCGGGATGTTCAGGGATGAGCATGACCAACATGGCCACGCTGGGCCCGCGCAGAAAGACCGCCCCCGGGAGCGACTCGCCGGCGCCGTTGCGGACGTCCGCGGTCATCTTGACGAAGCCCAGCCGCGACCCGCCGAACATGTCAAAGGCCTGGACCGTGACGGAGCGGAGCGTGTAAGGGTCATCGTGGAAAGGGTGGTCTGGGTTGCTGGCCTGCAGGGCCAGGGAGCGGGTGGTTTGGTCCAGCCATTTCTGAGGTTTGGTGGATTGTCAGTCGTTTTATTCCTCACGCTTGTCAAATGCCGGGAGCGGATCGGGAGGAGGAGCGTCAAAAAAAAAAAAAGACGAACTGACATTAAATGGCTTGAATGAGGCGAATGTGTTCGGCGACAGGCCGTCCGCGAGGGAGACGGGGATGTTACCCGGCTGAGCATTGAAGGTCGTAGCCATGGTGTGGAAGGAGTAATGGCGCAGTCGACTACGCGGGAATTGATGATGGACCGCTACAAGAAAGCCGGCGGACGTGACTCGTCTTGGTTGTCCTGCTGATTGTGATTGTGTATGGAAGTATGTGTTTGCGCTGATGTTGTGAGTGGCAGCCTTGAGCTGAGAGATTGGCGTTCGTCCCCAAGGAAGAGTGGTGGCAATGCGCATGACACTTGAGCACGAGACCTGATTTGATTTTGTACCCGACCTTGGAATGGGACGAGCAAACATTGAGCGACAGCGACTGCAGGCTATCTTGCAGGCACGAGCCTTTGTGAGAGATGTGTAAGTCAGGTGAGGCTGAGGAGAGCTGCAAGGCAGACTCAGATTGACAGTTGCAGCAGGGTATTGGATGACGTTGGTGGTATGCACGGCTGTGCACCAGCGACAAAGCCCGCCTCATACAGCAGACACACGCCAGCCATGCCTAAAAGTAAGTAGGCGTGATTCCAAATGGGGTTTGAAGGCCTCGTGCTTGTCATAGAGACATTGCAGCTCGTCAGCACAGGATGTCCCCGACTTAATGATCTACAGGATTTGCCAGATGTAATGCGTGGCCCACGGTACGACTTCAGTAATTGCCCAGTGCACAGGTTGCCGATGGGCGTACTTATGGTGTACTCGTAGGCGTCTGATGGGAAAATGCCATTGGTCACAGTGTTGCGGGACCTGCATTCGCCTGGCGGTGGTGGTCGTTGCTGCCTTCCATGCCCCACCAGTGAGTGCAGCAAAGTGCCAGCGCCAGTGCTCACATGACCGCGCGTCAAGGTCGTGATCCAGATAGGATTCAATGCCACGAACCCAGCAGCAAGCCACTCAAATATGCGACAAGAGACGGCCCGCAAGAGAACGTGAAAGGACTCGTGCGATCGGCCGTCATGGCTCCCGCCACCCACGGCTGGACGGCTTCTCACAGTCGCGCCACGGCGCATGGCGACGTCCACATGGACCTGGGCAACGCGCCACCGCCATCGACCCTGGCAGCACAGCTCGTCGAGAACATCTCGGTCACAGCCTCCGCGCGGTCTGCTCGCCCAGACGAGGCAGAAGAGCTGCTGCGCTTCTGCCAGATCATCGAGCATGTCAAGAACACGCCCTCGGCCATTGAAAATGCCGAGGAGCACATCCGTCACAACCAGATGCTCGTCTATGTCCTGGCCAGAGTGACGCTGGACAGCCTTAGGCTTGAAGACACGAGCACGAGCAAGGCACAGCTGCGGTCTATCATCAACCATGCCGTTCAGTTTCTGCGTGTCATCATCAAGGAATCGCCGGCCGTCCTAATGACAACCGCAGCGCCTGGCGTCTTCCTCTTCATGGGCCCTGAACCGCTTTGGGTGTGGATTCTGCCCAGAATCCTAAGGCTGGTCAGCTACAAGCAAGACTCGGATCTCGTAGCACCGATACAACTCTTACTAGCCGATATTTATGCAGCCGCATCCCATCATCCTCTTCTCTGGCCACTGATTCCTCGACTATTACAGTATCTCAAGCTTAACGTGCAAGGTTCGTCACTCACAAGGGCGTTTCCAGTATTGGCAGAGATATATTGGTAAGCTGACACACGGTATAGCTCTGTCTCCCTCTTTGCGCAATGAAATACTGTCCATCGGGGCCAATCAGCCCAATTTCCAGCTGCAGTTGCCACCAGATGCCTTCTTCGGAGTTGTGGAAGTAGATCAAAATCAAGTCGACACTGCACGCAAGCGCTGCACCTATGCTGTCAATTTGTCCGCGGCACAAGCTTCAGACTACTCCACGGTATTCCTGTCGTTGATGCTGCTGCCGCTTTCAAAGAGCCAGGTACGGCAAAGCATCTTGCCGCTATATCGTGAAACTATTCCATGGCTTCTCGATGCATGCCTGGAGATACTCAGTGTCTCAGACACCATAGCACAGACCGCGTTCGTGGTTGCTGCACAGGAGAGTATCTTGTCACTGCTAAAACTGAGAAGTGCGGCTTTATTGGATACCGCCGTCGTTGTCAAGGCCAACGTCACTCTCGTGTTGATTTGCGTACACGTAACTCGACATCTCTGGTCCGCTTTCGCGCTGCACGTGCACACTGAGCGGGTGCGTGCATTCTGTATGGCACTGGCACAAATCACAGAGAGCTGTCTTATTCACGAGGATCTGTCCAAGCTGGTACAGTCACAACTGCTTCCAGAAGTGGAGCATCGCTTCCCAAACCGTGTCTTTGACGACGAGACGAGCCGTGACATCTTCGTAAGTCGTCACATCCTTGTTTCCAATACTAGATGCTTACCTTTTCTAGACATGCTGCGAGATCTTGAGGACCGTGGTCATCAGAGACACCTCTGATTCAACCTATCGAGTTGCCTTGTTGGGCGAATTGATGGATAGAAGCATCAAAGATCGATTTGATGGTGTGAACTTTCAACGCAGTGACACGATTCCCTCGCCTGTACAAGCCAAGAAACACAAAGCTCTGCCCGAGCTGCAAGGACTTGGGATCATTAGAAACCAGCTTCACAGTCTTCTCGGAGTTGCAGACGAGCCCAATCCTCCGAGCCTGGGGAACATCATCAAGTAAGGTCTATCGTCCAGTGAGACTGATCAACGATCACTGACCACGGCTAGGGACCGCTTTACCACCATGGGAGAAGTCAACATGTGTGCACTCATAGACCTCCTTGGCTATGCTTGTTGTGCCTGCGACGACACCCTGCGCATACCTGAAGCCACCAAGAACGTATTTCATCTCTCTGGATTCCACTGCACGAGATGTGGTGATGTGACGGCCCTCGATGCTGTGAACAGCGAAGCAGACTTTGCCACGAAGGAAGCCGTGGCCGACATCTTCCTATGGATCTTGCAGGTCCCTGAATTTGCGGAGTCGAGACAACCACGCCTCCACGCGATGGTGTCGCTTCGAAGAATTGCAACTCATTTCCGCGCCCCGAGGTTTCTTGACCTCGAGAGCTCGGCAGCAGCTCAATGGTGTCTCAAGTCCTTGCAAAGCTCGATCCGGGAACTTCGAGTTTGTTCGGGGTAAGTTAATCTCCGGCTGAAATCACCTACTCGACCTAACTAACGCAAGCGCAGGCGCACACTACCCATATTTCTCGCAAGTGCAGGTTCTGATGCCGCCAAAATCACGTCAAAGAACAGGGCGAACGTCTTGAGCATTTTGCGCTCTCTTTCGGAAAGCAACCAGGCTCATCTCATCGAGACGTGTATCATGGCTTGGTCACAAGTCGGCAGGTATGTATCTCGTCGCGGCCCAAATGTACTGCCACCGTGCGCTGACCTGGGACCCTTTACAGTGTCGTATCTGACGAGCAGCTGAATCTTGTCCTCGTAAAGCTCATGGAATATCTTGGTCATCAGAGTGCCATGGCTTCGGCCACCGCTATTACCGAGGTTTGTGTATTCCATGAGCTACTACTGCATGCAAGCCTTGCTGACTGGACAGATTCTACGTCTCGCCTCGGCCCGGCATGTTGAGGCCCGCGACATGTTTGCGCCGTTCTGGCGTAACCTTGCATATTATGTCGTCAAAGATCTCGACGTGAAGCCTAAACTTCCGGGACTCGTGGCTGAAATCATGGAAATGAGCGTGGACGACTTCCTGCTCTATACACAGTCTCACTCTCTGCCTTGGCTGATTCTTACACAAAAGAAAGCCGTCATCCAACGCATCGCAGCGGCCCGAGGGGAATCGGAGCCTTGGCAAGTTTGCCTCGACCCTGCCAATCTCGGCCCAATTCTGGCTTTGCTCTTGATGCAAGATGTCGAAGACGTTGCCGACCACTCTATGAAGTTGCTAAGGTCTCTCTCGCCTCACTTTGACGCATTAACATTCGTTGAAATGGTCAGAATCGAACCCGTTCCAACAGTCCTCGAATTGCTCAAAGCTGCAGGCGACGCAGAGGAATCGCGCAAGAGCCACGTGAGTAGCGTGCCTCTCCTCTTCGACGCCGATATAGATCTAACTTCAATGACAGATACGAAACGCTCTGCAGCTTATGGGAAACATGTTCATGACGACGCCAGGTAGCGCCAAACAGAAAAAGAATAGTTCTCTCGGACGATTCTTACAGCAACATGCCCTTGGCCTGATGACGCGCCTAACGGATGTTATCAACGAGTCAAAGGCTCCCTTGCAGGAGAGGCACCGCTATATACGGGCAATGGCGGAAATGCTCAGGAATGGAAAGCACTACACCAGAGTTGCGCGACCTCAGGTACTATACCCCAATTTTACAATAGCGCCTCACCCCGGCCAGTGCTTACGATTGTGTAGATCTCTGCTTGCCTTCTCGCAGCCATGTCACATGACGACTTACGCGCGGCCGCATTCTCTTGTTGGGCTGCGATGATATTTCACATGGAAGAGGAGGACATCGAGGCTTTGGTTGAGACGACGTTCTTTCTAATCACCCACTACTGGCCAACCTTTGATGAAGATTCGCAGCAATTGGCGAAGACTGTCATCGGAACACTCTTTGATCGAGAGCGCCAGATTCTCGAAGTCGTCATCGGAAAGTTGCCCTCGCTAAGCCACATTCCTGGCTTAGCAGATGCAGAGAGGAGGCTGAACGAGCTACGCCAGCCGGTTGACACCAGGACGGCGTTTTCTCTCTTGTCCGAGAGGATCAGCCATGAGAACTCCGGAGTCACGCTCCAAGCTTTATCTGAGCTTGCATCCTACTTACAGAATCAGCAAAGTTACCTGCAAATCGCCGCCTCCAGTGAGCAGCCCGACTCGGTAGTCGCCGCGCTCGTACGCGCCTTGTTGGATTGTGCAGCCCGATATAACGGCAGCAACACCGAGATCACTAGCCTCTGCACGCAATGCATTGGCTTGATTGGGTGCCTCGACCCCAACAGGGTTGAGAGTCTTCGCGGAGAGCGTCACATTGTTGTCCGAAACAACTTTGAGAATTCTGTGGAGACTACTGACTTTGTGCTCTTCATGCTGGAGGAAGTTCTGGTCAAAGCCTTCCTTTCCGCAACTGACACGAGGCTCCAGGGATTCCTCTCCTATGTCATGCAGGAACTTCTGGAGCGCTGTGATATTGGCAATGCCGTGCGCCTGACTGGCACACGCGAAGCTGAACCCATCTACCGAAAGTTTTTGGCCATGTCGGAGACGACGCGTGAGGTTCTGACCCCGTTCCTGACGTCGCGGTATCGTCTGCCCCCTATGGCCCATGCGAAAGCAGACTACCCGATATTCCGGCCTGGCAAAATGTACGGAAATTGGCTGCGTGCCATCACGCTCGACATTTTACGGAATCCGCAGAACCCATTCGCTGGCCTGATTTTTGACCCCTTGTGTCGGGTGATCAAGGTGAAAGATTTGTCCATCGCGGAGTTCCTGCTGCCTTATGTGATCCTCCATGTCATCATTAGTGAAGATAGCACAGAGGAGATGCGAGCAAACGTGCTCAAGGAGCTCCAGAATGTGCTGGGGCATGAGATTTCCGATGATGCCAGTTACGCAGACCGGGAGGACAAGAAACTGTACTGCGAAGTGAGTTACCGGGATACCATGACCTTGATATACTTCCATGCTAATAGTTGATAACCTAGGCTGTCTTTCGTGTTCTTGACTACGCGATGCGTTGGTTGCAAGGTAAACGAGCACAACAGAATCAAAGTCCGACCGATGTTGCCGCAATGAATCGCGTGCAGATCCTGCTTGATGCCATCCCAGCTGAGCTGATTTCGCAACGGGCGGTTGACTGCAAGGCCTACTCCCGAGCTCTATTCCACCTGGAGCAACATATCAGACAGGTCGACGAGGAAAAGCGAACAGAAGACGAAGAGCGCAATCGGCTGCTCCAGCGTTTGCAAGACATATACACTCAAATCGACGAACCTGATGGTCTTGAGGGTCTATCGGCGCAGCTGCAGGTCATTGACATCGACCAGCAGGTCTTGAGCCACCGCAAGGCAGGGCGTTGGGCTGCGGCGCAAACTTGGTATGAGATCAAGCTCGCAGAAAACCCGGACAATGTCGATGTCCAAATAGATCTCTTGACATGCTTGAAAGAGTCAGGACAGCACGGTAAGTTTTGTACAGGAGTTCATGACTATGGTCGTATGGATGCTAATGGCCACGCAGACGTTTTGCTCAACTATGTGGAGGGGATCGAAAGACATACCGCCATTTCCACGGTGAATCGCATCCTGCCCTTTGCTGTCGAGGCGTCATGGGCAACCACTCGATGGGAGAGTCTGCAAAAGTTCACTGCAAAGTACCAGGGAGATCGCACAGAGAACTTCAACGTCTGTGTCGCCCAGGCACTGCTGCATTTGCAGAAAGGAAAGAAGAAGGAGTTTCTCGACGAGATGAAGGCGCTCAGAGAGCGTGTAGGCTCGTCGTTGACGTTCTCAACGACCACGTCCCTGCAAGCGTGTCATGAGCCAATGCTAAATGCTCATGTACTTGCTGACCTTGAGCTCATTGCTGGTGCAAGCGGAGAGCACGGACAACATGTCCAAGATACCGTCAAGACTCTCGATCGACGGCTGGCAGTGCTGGGCTCTTACGTGAACGATAAGCAGTATCTCCTGGGCATTCGTCGTGCTGCCATGGAGTTGATGAGGTATGATCTCAATCACCCCCACATCCTCACCATTTGTAGAATGCTAACTCTGAGCAGGCCTCGCTTCACCGATGTCGATATATCTGCACTCTGGCTATCGAGCGCTCGCCTCGCGAGAAAAGCTGGATCCCTTCACCAGTCGTTCAATGCGGTCCTCCACGCTTCGCAGCTCGGGGACGGTTCAGCCACTATCGAGCACGCCAGACTTTTGTGGAAAGAAGGACATCCGAGAAAGGCGATTCAAACTCTGCAAGGAGCTATCACCAACAAATCGTTCAGCAGCTTCAGCTTCTCTGATTACGATTCGACAGAGAAGAACATCGAGGCTCAGCAGAACATGCTCGCCGCCCGCGCACACCTGCTCTTGGCCAAGTGGCTTGATAATGCTGGACAAACGCATGCCTCCGCGTTGCGGCAACAATATCAGAATGTCCCCAAGAACTACAGCACGTGGGAGAAGGGGCACTACTACTTGGGGCGACATTACAAGAAAGTCCTCGAGTCAGAAAAGGCTCTGAAGCCAGATGATCAGAGTGATGAGTACTTGACCGGCGAGACAGCAAAACTTGTCATTGAGAACTACATCCGTGCACTTCACTGCGGCACGAAGTATCTGTATCAGACCCTGCCACGTATCCTCACACTCTGGCTGGAGCTCGGGGCGCAAGTAGACAAGGCACCTGAAGGCAAGGTCTCGCTGTCACGTGAGCTTCATCACCGTCGCAAGACTCAGCTCGAGGCCCTACACAAATATCTTTGGCGATACTCGCAGCGTATACCTGCATACATATTCTACACTGCACTGCCGCAAATTGTTGCGCGTATTGCACACTCTAACACTGATGTGTTCAAGCTGCTGGAAGCAATCATTCTAAAGGTTGTGGAAGCGCATCCAAGGCAGGCTTTGTGGAGCCTGTTTGCCATTATGACTACCAAGCAGGCGACGAGCGAACGCCGTGCGCGTGGACAGCAGATTCTTCTCAAACTGCGGTCGACCAAGAAGGCGGAGGAAGGCTCCTACGACGTCAAGACGCTCCTCCGCATGGGCGAGAAGTTAGCCGACCAGCTCCTCATGGCTTGTAACAACGGAGACTTTCAGAGCAACCGTACCACGATGGCGTCCATCACTCGCGATCTCAACTTCAATCATAAGTGTACACCGTGTCCGTTGGTTGTACCTATCGAGACCTGCCTCACGGCGACCTTGCCCACTCTCACAGATAACGTCAGGAAGCACAAGGCGTTCTCTAGGGATGTCATCACCATTGACTGCTTCCTCGACGAAGTTCTGGTCCTGGGCTCGCTCGCAAAGCCGCGGAAGCTGACAGCTCGTGGCTCGAACGGTGTCAATTATGGGCTTTTGATCAAGCCAAAGGATGACCTGAGGACAGACCAGCGTCTGATGGAGTTCAACGGCATGATTAATCGTTCTCTCAAACGTGATGCCGAGTCCAGCAGAAGGCAGTTGTACATTCGTACATATGCAGTGACACCACTGAATGAGGAATGTGGTATCATTGAGTGGGTGGATGGTCTCAAGACCCTCCGCGATATCTTGCTCAACATATACAGGTCCAAGGGGATTGCCCCCAACTATGGACACCTTGCTGCGCTCATGAAGGACGCCTGCACTTCGGACAAAAACACGCGCATTTTTACGGAGGGTGTACTGGGAACCTTCCCGGCTGTACTCCCACAGTGGTTCATCTCGCAGTTTCCCAACCCGACTGCATGGTTTTCGGCACGCCTGCGGTACACAAGGTCGTGCGCCGTCATGTCCATGGTGGGAACGATCCTCGGTCTTGGCGACAGGCACGGTGAAAACGTGTTGTTGGAAGAAGGCAACGGCGGCATCTTCCACGTCGACTTCAATTGCCTCTTTGATAAAGGTCTGACCTTTGCGCAGCCAGAGCGCGTGCCGTTTCGCCTGACACACAACATGGTAGCCGCCATGGGTATTTACGGCTACGAAGGGCCATTCAGAAAGTGCTCGGAATTGACGCTGAGCATATTGCGACAGCAAGAGGAGACTCTGATGACGATTCTGGAAGCCTTCATCTACGACCCAACGCTGGACCTGCAAAAGGACAAGAAACGCAAGAACGAGGTCGTACGGCTGAACCCGCAGAGCGTGGTTGAAAGCATCAAGCGCAAGGTCCGGGGTCTTCTGCCGGACGAGAGCATTCCGCTAGGAGTGGAAGGCCAGGTGGACGAGCTCATCAAGCAGGCAGTGAACCCGAAGAATTTGGCGGCCATGTACATCGGGTGGTGCCCATTTTTGTAGAAATGTAGCTCATCTATTGAAAGCGTCCTTTTCGTATTTATAATTGAGCTTGGGCACGCAAAACGCTGGTATGACCTCCCAAGGTGATTCGCACATGGCACGTCGAGGCAAACCTTGAAATTAGGTGACGTTGCAGCCTGAAATTTAGGGGTCTAGGGCCAGGCAGCGGGACCCTTGGGAATCCGTGCAGGCAGGAGCCCGCTGGCATAGTGGGGGTGCTAGTGCAGGTGTTTGCTGGGGGCAGCTGTGACGCACCTACTGCCTTCCTGCGCTGAGGTCGCGTCTCAACAACGAGGAGATCTCCTCCGTCATCTTCACTCCTGCCACATCAATCACGAACGTCTCTTTCGAGATTGGACAATTGGACATCAAATACACTCGGCTGTTGAGTTTGATCTTCTTTGAGCGTGATCCCACAAAGCGCACGGCAATCAGCGCGCTTTCAAAGCATATCACTGCGTTCGACGCTAAGAGTGGTGCAGCTCCCAGCCACCTTTAGGCTTGCGCCAAACCCAGCTGCGCTCGCAACCACGTTCGCAACAACCGTTCTCTACCAGAGCATTGCGACTGTGGACACCCACTTCATAGCGGCCACAGCGAACTCATCAAGATGCCGTATCGTATCGGTAAGTCATTTACTCTACGGGCCGGCGTCGCGTTGTGGTCTCTGAGTTCGCAGGGGACCATGCTTGGCGCGAGCAATTCTTGACGTCACTCTGCGACCACTGCGTCTCTCCGAGTTTTGTGCGGGCTTGCTTGGATGCTGCCCACGGTGGATGAGCTCCCAAGTCGAAGAGCACGACTCATTACAACCTCACCTCACCTTCATCGCGTCGCCCTGCCACTATACATCATGCAAATCATACCGTACACTCTTTGCTAATCATGTGGACCGTGCAGAACTCTCGGCCAACAACCGAGCCGGTTGTCAAGACAAAGTCTGCAAGGACAATGCTGAGAAGATCACCAAGGGTCAACTCCGCCTGGGAACTTACGTTGAGATTAATGGTCACGGCTCCTGGCGGTGGAAGCACTGGTCAGTCATTCCTTGAGGACAGACATGAATAGTAATCGGGGGGCGTGCGAAATTCAGCACATGTACTGACGCGAGAATAACTGTGCCTTTGCAGGGGCTGCGTGTCTGGGATGCAGGTCACGAACATGCAGGAGACCGCCAAGGACCCCGGAACTGACGAGTATGACTTCGATCGGATTGACGGCTATGACGAGCTGAAGTGAGTACTTTTGTTGGCTTCGCCGAGACGGGGTCACCAGATGGCTAACGATATTGTGAAGCGACCACCCGGATATTCAGGAGAAGATCCGCCGCGTTATCGAACAGGGCCATATTGATGAGGAGGACTTCAATGGTGTAAGTGTTTGAGGCTGGTCCCTGTTGTTCCCTAGAGACTGATCGTGGTTGCTGTAGGACCCTGAGTACAACAAGCCTGGCCAAAAGGCTATCCGTGGCCGGGCCAAGAAGGTCAAGGCTGAGGACAAGGAGGAGAATGCAGAGGTATGTCTTTCTCCATGGCCCTCTGTGTTAGGCACCACGGTATTGACATTACTCTGAACAGGAGGAGGACGAAGCCCCAGTCACCAAGAAAAAGGCGCCGGCCAAGCGCGGCCGTAAGAAGGCAGCCGATGAAGACGAGCAGGAGGAAGAAGCTGCCGAGCCGCCCAAGAAGAAGGCCAAGGGTGGCCGAAAGTCTGCAGCTGCCAAAGAGGAACCGGAGTCCGAGGAAGAGGCCAAGCCTACCAAGAAGGCTGGTCGCCCGGGACGCAAGTCAAATGCCGTGAAGGACGAGGACGAGGCGGTGCCAGATTCGAAGCCAGCCAAGAAGACCGCCGCCCGTGGTCGCAAGTCCAACGCCGTCAAGCAGGAGGACGAAGAGGAAGAAGCAGAGCCTGTGGTAACCAAGAAGCCCCACGGTCGCAGAGCATCAAAGAAGGCTGCCACACCAAGCGAGGACGAGATGGAGGCCGAGCCGTCCGCTGCTGAGGACGAGGAAGAAACCGAGAAGCCTGCTCCAAAGCCGAAGAAAGGTCGCCCTGGTCGCAAGTCCAAAGCGGCAGTTGAGGAAGAGGAGGACGAGGAGCCTGCCCCAGTTGCGAAGGCGAAGCGTGGCCGGCCCAAGAGATCCTGAGCGGACCGGGTTACTGTCTACGACGACAATCCCGGCGCTCATGCAGATGTGGCAGGCGTCCATTTGACAACAGCCGTCACACTTATGTCGGACAATACCTGTGGAACAGGTGAGGGATGTACCACGCCAATACTTTGAGGGTATCTGGAGGGCGTGATTGAGGAGGCATGTTTTCGGGCTCCAAGAAGAGTGTTTTTCTCCTGATTTACTGTATTACTTTGCATGCATCTGCAGCTCTGTTGCTGTAGGCATGATCCGGAGACGCCCACGTACAACTTTGAGAAGTCGGTCCAACAGGACGCGTATGCAGGAATGAATAACATGTGTTGCACTGCCGACAGCGATATCGCACTTGGCACGTCGGATCGAGATGTGTCTGCTGGGCGTGCCAAGGACCTCAAGCGCAGGTCAGTTGAGGCGGTGGAGCATATCTCCGTGTCCGCCGTGGGCCGGCGCCGATCACTGACGCTCAAGTGGGGAAGAAGGACACCCCGAATGGTCGGGGAAGTCGCTAGCTCTCAGCTCTACCCCTGCACTAGACGACTGGAGCTAGACACTGGCGGCCCAAGGCTGGCCGAGACTTTGATTGCATGCTGCCGGTCTGTGAATTGCTTCTCTCCTCCCTCTTGTTCTTTCTGCACTGGCCTCGAGGCACCACTCACTGTACGGTCGCTTGGGGCGTTATCAAGCTGCCAACCATTGAGAGCAGCAGCAGGGGCATTCGTTTTCTGGGAGCCTGCCGCCTGCTCGTGCGACAACCACACTGCGGTGTGACAGCACCTCCACTCAACCCGTCTTGGGTGCCATTATCCACGGCTTGGCCATCCAGCTCAGAACGTCGTTCTCCTTGCCACTCCTGTCAATTCCGCCAGCAACATCACACACCTCTTTCAACTGACCACGAGTCACCATGGATCCCAGTAAGCAGGGCCTGCTCGGCGCCCACGACGGCTCACGCAACTCATCTGACGACGAGGACGTCCGCGGCTCGCTAGACGTCGACTACAAACTAGAAAAACGACACCGATCTCGGACAGCGCCGTTCGCCTCGTCGACAAACTCCGCGGCCACAGCTGGGTTTCGCGTCCGCCGCAAGACCCCATCGTGCTTGTCTTGCTGCTCGTTCTGCATCGGCTGCTTCGCCGGCCGCTCCCGCAAATGCATCCTCTCCTTCGTCGCAGTCCTCACCATAGTCTGGTTGGCTCTCAGCACCGGAAGCTACGTCGCCTGGGATAAATACACGCAGGCTCCACCAGACGGGCTCTCACCCCCATGGTACCCGACTCCAAAGGGCGGCACAGCCAAGACGTGGGCAGAGAGCTACAAGAAGGCTAGCGCTCTCGTAGCGAAGATGACGCTGCCGGAGAAGGTCAACATCACGACAGGCACAGGTTGGCAGATGGGTCCCGCCGTGGGGAACACGGGCCCGGCCACGAACGTCGGGTTCCCCTCCCTGGCGCTCCAGGACGGACCGCTGGGCATAAGATTTGCGGACAACTCGACCGCATTCCCTGCGGGCGTGACCGTCGGCGCAACATGGAGCAAGGACCTTATGTATCAGTGGGGCAATGCCCACGCGATAGAGGCGCGCAAGAAGGGCATCAACGCGATCCTCGGGCCCTGCATTGGCCCCTTGGGCCGCATGCCTGCGGGTGGGCGCAACTGGGAGGGCTTCGGCGCGGATCCGTACCTGCAGGGCATCGCCGCGGCGCAGTCGATCAAGGGCATGCAGGACGAGGGCGTGATGGCGACGATCAAGCACCTCGTCGCCAATGAGCAGGAGCACTTCCGCCAGTCGTGGGAGTGGGGCCTGCCCAACGCCATCTCGAGCAACGTCGACGACCGCACCATGCACGAGCTGTACATGTGGCCCTTTGGCGACGCCGTCAAGGCCGGCGTGGCGAGCGTCATGTGCAGCTACAACCAGATCAACAACTCGTACGCATGCGGCAACTCGAAGCTGCTCAACGGCCTGCTGCGCGACGAGTTGGGCTTCCAGGGCTTCGTCATGTCGGATTGGCTTGCGCAAAGAAGCGGTGTCGGGACCGCGCTCGCGGGTCTAGACATGACGATGCCTGGCGATGGGTTGTTCTGGGCGCAGGGCAAGTCGCTGTGGGGTGCGGAGTTGACGCGCTCTGTGCTCAACGGGTCTGTGCCGGTCGCTCGGCTGAACGATATGGTTACCAGGATCGTGGCTGCGTGGTACCAGTTTGGCCAGGACGACGAGACCAGGTTCGATCCCAAGGGGCCAAACTTCTCTTCGTGGACAGACGAGGAGTATGGCGTCGAAGCGCCCGGTAGTCCCACCGACCAGGAGAAGGTCAAGGTCAACCATTATGTCAATGTTATGGAGGATCACGCTTCCGTCGCACGAGCTGTTGCCGCAGAGGGTACCGTGCTGCTGAAGAACGACGGTCTTCTGCCAATTACGAGGGACGGCAAGATAGGCCCCAAGAAGAGCGATGTGCGCAAGGACGGCAAGCCGCTGAGAGTTGCCATCTTTGGCGAAGATGCCGGACCTGGGGATGGGCCGAATGCATGCCCCGACCGTGACTGCAACCAGGGCACGCTGGCCAGCGGCTGGGGCTCAGGAGCAGTCGACTTCCCTTACCTCGTGACGCCCCTCGAGGCGCTCAGCAAAGGTTGGGAGGCGAGCAACGGCGCCGTCAACGTCAGCTCGTACCTGACCAACAGCCCACCTTTCTCGAAGCAGCACGAGATCCTTGCCGACGCCGACGTCTGTATTGTTTTCGCCAATGCCGACTCGGGCGAGGGTTACCGCGCGTGGGACTCGGTCAAGGGTGACCGCCCGGACCTGATGCTGCAAAAAGGCGGCGACGACCTGATTATTGGCGTGGCAAGCGGATGCGGCGGTGGGACTGGCGATGTGCTCGTCGTGATCCACACCGTCGGGCCTGTAGTCATGGAGAACTGGATCGATCTGCCCAACGTGAAAGCGGTCCTCGTCGCGAACCTGCCTGGCCAGGAGAGCGGCAACGCCTTGGCCGACGTCATCTTCGGCGACGTCAGCCCGAGCGGCCACTTGCCCTGGACCATCGGCAAGTCTCTCGACGACTACGGCGAGGGCGCGCGCATCCTGTACACGCCCAACGAAGTCGTGCCGCAGCAGGACTTCAAAGAAGGACTGTACGTGGACTACCGGCACTTTGACAAGTACGAGATTGCGCCGCGGTTCGAGTTTGGCTTCGGCCTGAGCTACACCTCCTTTGAGCTCTCAGATCTCAAGATCGCCAGCGCCAAGGGCGACAAGAAGGTCGCTCTTCCCGCTCCGAGACAGAAGGACTTTGCCCATCCTCCCCAGTATTCGGACAAGATCCCCGACCCGAAAGAGGCGCTCTTCCCCGAGGGCTTCAGGAAGCTGAAGAAGTTTGTCTACCCGTACCTCAGCTCCGTCGACGAATTCATCCCCATCGAGGACGGGGGCAAGCTGAACACAGCCCTCGAGCAGAAGAAGTATCCCTACCCCGTGGGCTACGATGTGGTCCAGCCACCCAGCGGTGCTGGTGGCGACGAGGGCGGCAACCCTGACCTCTGGGCGACATATGTCACTGTCGATGTTGCCATCAAGAACACCGGTGCGGTCAAAGCCAAGGCGGTGCCGCAGGTCTACATCTCGTATCCGGGGTCGAGGACTGCCGCGGCCTCGGCTGCGGCTGGGGAGAGGCAGGAGGAGGGGACTAGCAGTGCTGCAGCTGCTGCTGCTGCTGGGAAGGATGAGATTGACTTCCCCGTCCGTGTGCTGCGCGGGTTTGAGAAGATTGAGCTCGACGCCGGGGAGAGCCAGAATGTCCAGTTCAACCTGACGCGGCGGGATCTGAGCTACTGGGACGTCGTGAGGCAGAACTGGGTCATTGTAGAGGAGGGACAGTACGAGGTCAGTGTTGGGTTCAGCTCGCGGGACTTGAGGGTCAAGGGCAAGTGGTAGATATGTCTCTGGGCACGACTGGGACAAATGAGGCACGACATGACGTAAAGCGAAAGGATTGCAGTTGCAGGCTACGAACGGCATGGGAAACGCAAAAATGTGAAAATTCTTCTTGGACTGCTGAAGATCCCCAAAAGGACGTCTGTGATGAACATAAATGGCATCATGCTGCTGGAACACGATCTATCTGGAGTGATTTGAGGATTTGCCGACGCTCTCTGGTCTTGTGCCCACATGATGCCGTTGGGAACTCGTGTGTCCGTTGACCATCAAAACATAATGCAACGCGCAAATTGAACTTCTGCCTGGCCCACCGCGAGCACCAGTCTTTCTCCTCCAAAGGCTTTAATCCCGGCAGTGTCAGCGAAAACATGCCATGGCCGAGACGGCCGCGCTTTGGCGACAATTTTCCAGTCGGCAAAGTAATTTAGACGGGTTGGACGTTCTCGCGCTGACGGCGGCCGTCGCTGTTGGGCGGGTCAAAGTCCCAGCCGGGGATCACCTCTGTGCAGCCGTCGTTGCAGTGGTCGTCGTGGCTGGCCGGGTCGGGCTGCCAGCCGTCCTCCTCCATGCAGGGGTATCCGTGGCTGATGTCGGTCTCGTGCTCGTCGAAGCAGGAGAGCCAGCCGAACCAGTTGTGCAGGACGGAGTCTGGCATTTTCAAAGAAGCAGGCACAGATTAGAGTTTGTTTGTGTGTGGTATGAAGGCATGGTAGTGATCAGACAGTGAGGGAACGGTGAGGGGAGGGGAGACGAGAAGGGGTGAGAATGAACATACTCATCTCGATGGTTGAGAAGACGACGTTGCCCACATCAGTCTTGCACCAGCACTCGAGGCGGTACCAGTCGTCGGAGATGAGGCACTTGTCGCAGGAGTCGAGGAAGTTGCCACTGTTGTTGTTGTAAGAGCGTCAGACAGTCATTCAGTCTTGATCCCTCTTTCTTCGAATAGCAGAAGCACAATCTCCATCAACAACACGAACGATTCGAGAGGAGGAAAGGAAAAATAAAACGCACTCTTTCTCAGGAGTGAGCTGGCCCTTCCAGTTGGTGATGCACTTGTCCAGATGGATCTGGCTCCACTGGTTGCGGTTGCAGACGTGGTCGAAGCAGTACGTGCCAGCAATCTTTTCGACAGGGTCGAACACCTAGTTCTTCTGACACTGCTCGTTGAGAAAGCCGGGTCCTGCAGCCACGATCTGTAGCATGAAGGCGATGAGGAACAAGGGCAATGCCGCGGAGAGGGCGAAGCGTTGTGCGTGAAGCATCATGAAATCTGCTGTTGCTCGTCAGGAGGGGCTGTAGTGGTTGCTGGTTGTAAAAGGTGGCGGAGAGAATGATGTCTTCTCGGTTGAAGCGAGTTTGGGTTGGTAAGTAAAGAAAAAATAATGCTGTGGCCGTGCAGTTCCTGGACGGCTTTCTTATACCGTCTCAGCTCTCGGCCAGATCCTCGAACTCCAGCACGACACAGCACAAGGAGGGCTGAGGCAGGCCGGAGAAATGTTTCAATTTCGAATCATTCATTCTGTCTGCATCTTGAGCTCAAACCTTGTCAGACGTCCATCAGTCCTGCTTGGTGGCTCTCACAACCCATAATGGATCTCGGGACATGCCCACTCCCACAAACCTCATCAGGCTCGCCAAGCCCTGAGAATTGTTCCCGTTGTTGTTGTTGCTGCCATTGTCCTCTACACTCCCGTCGCTCAATTCGACAATCTCGATCTGCTTCCAGCCGGAGAAATGCAGGTGGTCCCCGACCATCCGCAGTCTCTCCTGCTCTGAGATGCGCAGCCACCGACTCACCACCTTGGTCGGGAAACACCGGTTGCTGATGACGAGGTGAACCATGCCTCCCGGTGCGGTCGCCCTTCTAAGGCTCTCCAGTACCTGAAGCGGGTTTGTCAGGTAGTCGATGCTCACAACGCATGTTGCCGCCGTCAACTTCTCGCTGTCGTCCTCTTTGCTGATCAGACCGGCACAGGACAGGGCTTTGTGGATGTCCGGGTCGACATTCAGGTCTGTCGTCAGTGTGCTGTCAGCCTTCAGGACCGGATTGGCCGCGAGCTCCTCCTTGTTCATCCCCAAGCCTATGATGCGCAAGTCGCCCTTCTCTGCTGCATCTGTGATTGACTCTGGGTAGTGGCTGATCCAGCTCCTGCTCATCACAGCGAACAATCAGCCATGGCCATCCACACAAACACACAGGGTGTGTGTGTGTGGCGTTGCCTTTGCGGCGAGAACAGCCAACTCACGAGCAAAAGTCAAGCAGCCGCCCCTTGCGCGGCAGCACCGCATCGTAGTACTGCCCCAGGGTCGCAATGGCTGCATCGTCAATGTGCGTGACCAGCCGTGCCTCTCGGTAAAACCGCTTGTCTGGGGAGGGATCGTGGCGCGTAAAGTCGGCAGCCGTGTATGGCCATGACTGATGGCGGGGCTCATACGCCTGTATCGGCCATTGAGGAGTATCCGTCGATGACATGCTGCGAGTTGTGCTGCTTGTGAACACGGCTGGTTGTACTTCAGCGAGAAAGGATCTGTACGATTTGAGAGATCGCAGCAGCGGAGACATGAGACAGTCAGCGATCAAACGTGGGAGCTGGAGATCAATACAACTTGTCTGAATTCGAACTCCACGGATAATGAAATATTTAATGGTATCATCCAGGTGATTCAAGACGGAGACTGTCGATACTTTGACCTCCTTGGTTCATATGGACATTGGGTAAGTTGACATGTCAATGATTATGTCAATGATTATGTCAATGATTATGTCAATGATTATGTCATCGATTTCTTGCTTCCCCGGTCTAGCCCATGTCATTAGTGCAACAGCTACACACATTTCTCGTACGCGTAAGCTTCCCAACTGATAACTTTATCACGATGAAATCCAAGGTGGACAAAATAATACGGAATCAAGAATAAGTAGACTGCGTTGACGTATAAAAACGGAAGCACAGTGCCTAAAATCGCAATTGAAGCGGCAGCTCAGGAGTAAAGGAAAGATGCTCACCTGCGACAGACTTTCTTACACCAAACTACACAGCGACTACAAGGTGATGTAGGGACCGCGTGAGCAAAACCGAAAACAAAGGATAGAAAGCCTCTCCTTGTGCAAGTAGAGTCACAGCTCAAAGGCTTGGGTCCTTCCACCGACTGTGACAAATACCTACAGGGCATCCGTTGTTGCAAGCCTCTCTGCAATCTTCACTCGCTCTGTAAGCGCAATACATGGAAGGGTCTCGTCACGGATTGCCTCAGCCTATCGATTTGACCTTTGTGACTCGTCAGAATCTTCTGCTGGGTGATTCACTCCCATGAGTCAGGGCACCTCACACGGCACAGCCTGACCGACCACAGAGATGTTGATGCAAGGCCGTTCTCTAGCACTTGCAGAACATCCATGCCTCCTCCTCAGCTATGTACGCGGCTGTGCTTCTATGCCCTTTACCCCCTCGAAATATGCTGCCGGGGCAAACAGAATCAGGACTCACTTGCGACTGGCTCACATGTCAAATCTGTACAATCCTGGCTGGACCTTTGGATCCTTTCCGAACAACGGGTAGGCACGGATGTCGTCTGATAACACGAACAACCTGCGGCCCGTCGTTCCATGGACAAGCCTAGAACGACGAATCACGATATAGTTGAACCGATTAGGGCACCGGAGGGGGACCCGGTAAGGATCCGATGCATGTCACAACGGGCAGGCAGACGCCGCTGGTGCTTTGACAGGACTTCGCGGCGACCTGAGATGTGAGCTCGCCCAGGCCTGGCCACTCCCACCGGATGGCAGGGTTAGCCCTTGCAGCGGGCTGAAGCGAGATGGGACGGTTAGATCGTACGGAAAACCGCGGGCCAGGGGTCACTATCTCGCATGGGCTGCAGGGCAAGCAGGCGCGCCATAGAGGTGTACTGTACTTGACCATGGATTTCTCGCAGCTTCCCCTTTGATTCCATGCAGCTGACGAGCCCACCTTGACACAGGACACCCAATCGGGGAGGCTGCCATGGTTGAGGCTGAGTCCGCAGCCAGGGCTCCATGTCCCTAGTAGGCCAGGAGTTCCCTATGGTGATGCGTCCGAATGCCCATGGCGAAGAAAAATGTACCTAAAGCTTGGTCTTGGGCACAAGTAAGCGGTCCCATATCCTAATCCAGGACATCCTAGGACTGCAAAGCTAAACCATCACGCGAGCAAAACTCGTTTCCACAACGTGGTGGCTCACATCAGCCGACCTTGCCCGATTGTTCACTCTTCCCGGGTTTGAGATTTGTAATTCAAAGAGCCCACTCGATAGACATATCCCAGCCTCGAAGGGTGTAGAAAAGGCCATCGGTGTTCAAGCCCGCAATGTCACAGTGACACGCCCCGAGTCGCAAGGATTTTGTCGTCATCAAGGCTGAAGGGCTCGCCGCGCGCGTGGGGGGTTCTGCGGGTAGGGATGGAGGCAGCCTCAAAGACATGGGGCAGGGGTTGTTCGGATAAGGCAAGACATCCTTGTTCGACGTTGTTGAGCAAGTCAATTTGTCAAGGTAATTGCGTCGTCCCGCTTTCAAATATTTTTGCTATGCACGAGGATATGTATCGGATAACTTGGCTTTTGCCTGTCTGCTGTATGATCAGTCTAGATATTTGCGGCTTGCATGCACTCGAGTCGCAAAAGCCGGATTGCGGGTTATCTCAATGAAGAAAACGACGGCGAGGGAGCCTCCTTGAGAAGTCTCCTTGATGGAAGCTTTGAAGTTCCCTCTCCCACTTCGTGGCCCCCTCCAGCAGAGCAGCAAGTCACACCGGTATCGACCCAGCTGCCAGCGAGGAACGAGGTATGGTGCTGACGACGCAGGTCCGACCCGGCTCCGAGAATTTCGTCGGCTACGGCAAATCCCGCCTCTCCTACCGGCCCGGAGTTCCGACCAGACTCAGCCCACCCCTTGGTCAGCTCTCGTGTTGCATGGGGTCGTCCTCTGTCATGATGCATTTGTATTACCTTGTCTCTAAACCACGTGCTGAGAGGGGATTGCAGGTGGATTCGCTGAAGAAGGAGATAAGTTCTAGACTAGGTCCCTGGTGACGGGCCCGGTCTAACCCCCGGGCCTTTATTGGTTCCCGGCTGCCTGGTCAAATATCCTTGTCGACACGGGATGTCACCTCTGATTGCCAGTGGGAAGTCTCACTCAGCCTCCTTTCACCCTTGCAGCGACCACGACCGGTAAAGCACAGTCAAAGGCGGTGGTGCGAGGCTCCTGCTTGCTGCAGACGGGGAATGTTGTCAGCTGGCAAGTGTGCGTGGTGCGAACGGGCTATCGTAAAGCTGGGAAGACTTGCTAGCGAAGACTTACTTGACAGCTGAGATGCTGAGCAGTCTCAAGTATCTTGTGAACAGGCCCACCTCGCTGTGTGGAAGAGGAGTCTCTTTGCCAGCTGGCCAAGTCCCCTGCCCGTTAGGACTTTGGAAGTTCCCGGGGGCGACTTTTTGTGGAAGATGAATTGGGCTTTTCCACGGCTCAACAGGTTGGGAGCGAGATATTGAAGAGTGTTGGTTTCCAGGGTCAAGAACACTGATTTTGGTATATAAACACCAGCTTGCCTTCGGCTAGCAAGCAGCATTCCAGGACAAGCCTTGCGTAGTACCTGCTCATTCTCCCACAATCCCTTCCATTCTCTAGCCAGGAAAACACATCAGCAATGAAGTTCTCTACTTGCAGCCACTTGCTGTCTGCCTTTGCCCTTGCAGCGGCGGCTCCCCACAAGTCTTCTCGAAGCACAGAGGTTGCTGCAGTTAGTGACATTGCCGTCCCTGTCAGCGGGCATGCACAGTCACTCTCGCCTGAGGAGGTCAAGGTCCTCATGTCGGACGAGAAGGCCGAGGAGATCCGCCAGGAGCTTGCTGCTGCTGGCATCAGCAGCGCGACCTCCGACTTGGACTTTGTCCCGACCAAGGTCTCTGCTGCCGCCGCCTCTTGCAAGACCAATGTCCGCGTCGAGTGGAACCGGATGACGGCTGCAAACAAAAAGTCCTTTATCGATGCCATCGTGTGTCTAACTAAGAAGCCCAGCCGCGGTGTCACACCTACCGATGGCACTTATACCCCCACCCTCTGGGACGATCTGTACTGGACGCACAGCATCCAGGTCAACGGGGTCCACTCGGTGGACACGTTTCTTCCATTTCACAGATACTTTGTGCACGTCTTTGACAAGCTCCTCCGGTCCGAGTGTGGCTACACAGCGCCTCTGCCGTGGTGGCGCGAGACAGACGCTGCCGGAAAGGTCAAGAGCACGAACCTCTTCACCTCGAGCTACTTTGGCACTTTGCCAGCCCGGACCTCCATTGCTGGCTCATGTATCAGTGACGGCGTAGGTCAACTCCCTTCTTTTAGATTTCTTTGGAGCCAGTCAGAACTGATGATATCCCGGCGTCAAAGCCATTCAAGGGGCTCAAGGGCACTTTCGGCTGCGTCGCTCGCGGTGAGAACGCGACCGTCACCGCTCGTGTGACCAAGGCTCGTGAGAACGAGTGCCACGGCAATGCCACCACGACGTATCGGCAGCACCGCATCTGTGTCGAGTCGACCAACCACAGCGACATGCACATTGGCATTGGCCCGACAATGGCGGACGTTGCCCTGTCGCCTGCCGAGTGAGTGCTCTTTGCCCTTCTCACTCGTCTTTCGCCCTCTCTCTCTACCTTTTTCTACATCATGGCGGATTTCCGATGGATGTTGTGAGATGCCTTGAAGCTGACCATGCTTGTGGAAAACCAGCCCGATCTTCTGGATGCACCATTCGTACATTGACTACCAGTGGAAGCGCTGGCAGAACGTTGCGAGCTCGCGATCGACATCTAGTAAGTTCACCCCCTACTAAATACCCCGACTTCGGCTTCGCGGCTGTAGACTCTATGGTACTACTGCGGGTATTGGGCCACACATAAATCATGACTATTGTATTGTCAGAGCTGACCAGACGGTGACAGTCGAGGGCTGCTACAACCCTGGCTACGGCTCAGGAGCCCCATGCCTGGCTCTTGAGCTTGACCACCCGCTTGGTGTCGACGGCATTGTCCCCGACATGACTGTTGGGGACATTCTCAACACGGAGAATAACATCCTGTGCTACACTTACGACGACTTGTTGTAAGCCGGCGGGTGGCTGGACGTCGTGACCGGGTTGCCTAGGCCACGAATGGTGAAGCGCTAGTGTGAGCTTCCTGGTAGCAAATCTACTGGACGATCAAAGGTATCTGGTCAGCACGACTGGAACAGTGACAACATGGAGAGCGCCATTAGTGAAACTCTGGAAACCCCAGATACAGTTGTCGGGATGGGCAAGCGTGAGGCTTTGTCGGGGGACGGGGGGTTCCCTTCATTGATTAGCACGATATCTCCATGGAAAAGACTCAGCACCAGCATGACGCAGCAAGTGTGGAATCTGCACCCAACAAGCTTGAACTGCGTGACCCGTGAACGTGACCAAGCAGCATCGAATCGCGCTGCATGACTCCTCCTCTCCCGATGAAGTGCCCATCCACTGTGGAAATGCCCCGATGGGGCAAGTCCTGCCCTTTACTTATCTCGAGGTGGTGCGGAGATCCCCACGGCGCCGAAAGCGGGGGAGCCCAACGGCCGCATGCCATGGAAGGCGCGATCCCCACCCCCGTCCCGTGCCTTGATCGCTGCTGCTGCGGCCCGTGCTCAAGTACTTATGATGATGGACAACCTCCTGGGCTTCTCGTAGTAGTCTGTCAGAAAGGAAACATAAGACAAGATCAGTCGTGTCAGTTGTGTCGTCAGTACCAACACGAAACTGCCTTCCATCCGAGCACAGTCTGCCTCGATCAAACTGCGGCCGGGCCTCATCTGCAAGACGCTTGTCCGCTACTGCGTGGGTTACGTTATCTTGCAACCCTCCATCTTTCCAGTTTGATTGGTTGCAAGCCCAGATCGCCGGCATCTGAACCTCTTCGCTTGCTGCTTCCTGCTTCCGAGACCGCTGCCGGCCAGGAACAGTGTCTCCACCACCCTCGGGCCTTTTAAGTTCGTCGTCGGCCAACGTCTGACGCGGGACAGACATCGCTCTGCCAGTTCTCCTCTGGAAGTACGACCCCAACCACCAAACATATCGTGTAAAGAGCTCTAGACCATCTCGCAACCATGGCTCAACCCAATGGCAGTGACACGGCTCTTCCCCCCCATCCCCTCCGTCCGCTGTCACAGGAGGAAGCTCAGAGGGCCAGTGCCATTGCGATCCAGGCCTACGCCAAGGACGTCAGCACGACCCTCACCTTTCGTATCGTCCAGCTCCACGAGCCAGAGAAGGCCGAGCTCGTCGAGTTCCTCAAGGCAGAGCATGCCGGGGCGCAGCCGTCCTCCGTCCCGGCCAGGCAGGCCGAAGTCCTGTTCGACGTGGTGAAAGATGGACAGGTCCAACTCATTGAGCTCATCGTCGATCTCGACGCTGCCAAGGTCGCAAACACGAGGTCGTTCCCCCCAGTCGGCCACACTGGTCTCATACCACCCGAATTTGGCCAGTTCCAGGACGCGTGCCTGGCGTCCGAGATCTTCAGCGAGGCCATGGCCGAGTTTGACATTCCCGACAAGTTTAAGATCATCATCGACCCTTGGCCGTACGGAGGTCCCGACCCGGATGAGGAGATCCCGCGCTACATGCAGGGCCTCGTGTACGCGAGGGACTCGAGCAACGACAACCCGGACTCGAACCACTACGCCTATCCCCTGCCCATCATCCCCGTCATGGACATGACTACCAAGAAAATTATCCGCGTTGACAGGATGGCTACTGGCGGAAAAGGTGAAAGCTTGCACGCAGCCGCCAAGGCCGACAAGCCCAAGAAGCTCTTTGAGCAGTCTACTGGTGCAGAGTATGTCCCTGAACTCCTCGACATTCCTCTGCGCCAGGATGCCAAACCCATCAATGTTGTCCAGCCCGAGGGCGCAAGCTTCAAGGTTCACAGTGACAACCTGGTCGAGTGGCAGAAGTGGCGGTTCCGTGTGGGCTTTACACCCCGAGAAGGCGCTGTGCTTCACGATGTCTGCTATGATGGCCGCCCGATTGTGTATCGTCTGTCCTTCTCCGAAATGACGGTACCGTACGGTGACCCTCGGCCCCCGTACCATCGCAAGCAGGCCTTTGACTTCGGAGATGGTGGCTGCGGACGGGCTGCCAACAACCTCGAGCTTGGCTGCGATTGCCTCGGCGCAATCCACTACTTTGATGCATGGATGCCTGGTCTCGATGGCGAAGCGACGCTATCGAAGAATGTTGTTTGTCTTCACGAGCAGGACAACGGAGTCGGGTGGAAGCACACAAACTTCCGTACTGGTAGAGCGGTCGTCACGAGGCTCCGGGAGCTCGTCGTCCAGTACATTGTCACCCTGGCCAACTACGAGTACATCTTTGCATACAAGCTTGATACCGCTGGCGGCATAACGGTGGAGACCCGCGCAACGGGCATCGTAAGTGTTGTGCCAATCGACTACGGCAAGACTTCGGACTACGGCAATGTCGTATCGCCCGGCACCCTTGCGCAGAATCACCAGCATATCTTCGCTATCAGGGTCGACCCCAGTATCGACTCGTACAGTGCCGAAGAGACTAGTGTCGTGGTGGAGGAGACACATCCCATTCCTATGAACCCAGAGACCAACCCACATGGAAATGGTTACGAGATCCGACGCACAGTTGTCGATCGCCCGCGCCATCTCGACGCGGAGCCAAAGCTCAACCGTGTTGTCAGGATTGAGAACAGCACCAAAACGAATCCCATCAGTGGCAAGAACGTTGCATACAAGTTCACACCAAGTGCGACGCAGCTTCTCCTCGCCGACCCGGGAAGTGTCCAGGCTGCTCGTGCACAATTCGCCACGCACCATGTCTGGGTGACAGGCTATCGTGACGGCGAACTATGGGCAGCCGGAGAGCTGACGAACCAGTCAAGGAGGGAGACGGGTGGTGTCAGGGATATGACGGAGCGAGGAGATTGGTTTGCGGGCGCTTCTGAGACTTCTGGAGGGAGCGGCAATGGGCAGCAGAGCAGCCCTGTGATCTGGACCGTATTCGGCCTGACGCATAATCCCCGCGTCGAGGACTGGCCCGTGATGTAAGTGGGCGAAGAACTCTCGACAGCCCGGTGACCTGTGCTAACAAAACAAATGGAAGGCCCGTCGAGATTCACCAGATACACATCCGCCCCGCGGACTTCTTCACCAGGAACCCGGCGCTGGACGTGCCAGCGAATGCCAACAAAACGAGCGTGCTCGTGCCTTGCTGCAATCGGAAGGATTCGGGCGAAGAAGCCGCAGCTACGAATGGTGATGCAAGCGAAGGAGGGGCAGTGCAAAAAGACCCAGTCACCCATCTCCAAGGCACCAAAGCCGTGGACCCGGCGGAGCTGCCCCTTAGGACGGACAAGGACAAGAAGAGGCTCTCGACAACGCTGTCAGGCTTGTTTGGGTTTGGCAAGAAAGCTTGATGGACAGCTGCGGTGTCTTGCACGCTAGATTGGAACTGCTTGGCGTTCGAATGACAACGAGGACCCCGAGATGAAACACGGCGGCCAGTTTGGGGTAGAACGGTGATTGGTCTCAGTACTAGCCCAAGCGTGATATCAGACACACATTTCGAGAAGTCTAATCTCCATGGCTCTAACGAGCAAAGGTCATAGATCAGTTCGTCACTTATTCAATCTACTAAGCTGCCTTAGGCCCTCCACCTCCTCCTGCTGTACCACCGCCATCGTCTGGTTGTATGGGGGTATATGTGGCTACGGAGCCGGGTTTTGCTTCCTCCTCCTCCTTCTTCTCTGTCGCGTTGCTCGCCTCCTGCGAGCTTTGTCTATTATCACCATCGCCCGCATGCAGGCCTCCCGCACTCTGCGCTGGGGCGTGTCGTTGTGCAGGAGCATCCGTATCCGCCGTTGCAGCAGCCCGCGCACCTCCTTGCGCACCGACTGACGGAGCAGATGCCGGTATATCCATTTGCGCATCTTTTCCTGGTCCTTGACTCTGTGGTTGGCCTGTTGCCGTTTCGTTTGTGCTGGCTGGTGGTGGTTGTCGTTGACTTGGTGTCTTGTGCTCTTCTTGTTCTTCTGCTTCTGCTGCTGCATCATCACCATCCTGCTTAGCCACACCGCCATCGTCAGTCTCCTTGCCAGCAGCAGTAACAGGGTTGTCGTCGGTGAGCCCCAACCTGTCCTCCATCCCGGCGACCAGTTCCGCAATCGTGCTGTCGTTGATGATGGGACCTTCTCCTCCTGCGTCCTCCTCCTCCCCGTCCTCGTCCTCGGAATCCGGGACGGGCGCCCACGTCGACTTGACGCTGCGCTGCCGGGCGGCCTCCTCCTCGCCCACGATGGCGACCCACATGTCCTCGAGATCGTCGATCCAGCCCAGGTGCTCGGCCAGCCTGCGCACGCCCGCGTCGCAGCTGTCGAGGCACAGCACGTCGTCGGGGCGCGTGCCCAGGTCGCCCACGCGCTGGAGGTTGAAGAGCACGCGGGGGACCCCCTCGCGCGCCAGTCCGGGGAGCAGCGCGAACGGCTGGACCGACAGGCTCGTGCCGAGCACGAGCACGAGGTCCGCCTCGGCGGGGACGTGGCGGTTGTCGAAGAAGGTCGAGGGCAGCTGCTCCCCGAAGAAGACAATGTCGGGCTTGACCAGGCCCTCGCACCCGGGCTGCGCGCAGCTCGGCGGGTCGCCCAGCTCGACGTGCTCGCGCATCTCCCTGTCGGGAAAGGGCGTCTTGCAGTCGATGCAGCGCTGCGAGGCGAAGCTGCCGTGCGCCTCGACGATGATGTCCCCCGGCACCCCGGCCGCGCGCTCGAGGCAGTCGATGTTTTGCGTGAAGAGCATGCGCAGCAGGTTGCGCTTGGCGAGCAGCGCGATGAAGGCGTGCGCGATGGTCGGGGAGAAGTTGCCCGGGTACAGCTCGCGCGCGAGGACGTAGAAGGGCGCCGGGTTCTCGCGGAAGAAGTCGATCTCGAAGACGGCCTCTGGGTGCGGCAGGTTGAGCCGCGCGAGGTTGTTGTACAGGCCGGTGCCGGGGGAGCGGAAGTCGGGGACTAGATGGAAGGGGACGAGGATGTAAGGTCAGTATCTGTGCAATCTTGTGCGGCGCCGGTGGCGACAACTTTTTTTGCCGAGGGGAAGGGAGGAAGGGGGAAGGGGGGATTCGGCATACTCCCGGCGGCCGTGCTGATGCCCGCGCCCGTCATGGCGACAATGTTCTGGGCCTTGCCATCCTTGATGTACTTTGCGACGGCGGCGAGGGTGCGGTCCGACAGCGTCTCGGGCGGGATGTCGTCGTCGACGAGGGAGGAGTTGTCCTGGCCCATCCTGTAGTGGTGCCGACCCCGTCGCGATCCTTTGCCCTTCTTGTTCTTGGGTACCTGAGGATCCGCAGAGCCCTTCTGCCCACGGTGTTGCTTCTTCTTGCGCCCTATCTTGTCGGCGCGCGCTGCTCGTCGTTTCCTACGAGGGGGGGAATCGGTGCCGCAGTGTTTGGAGCCAGCGGCAGTACTGAGGAGGAGTCGATTTGAATGTCGTAGCGACCCAAGGATGCCAATGAGCGGGGTCGGAGCGCTTCCCAGAACCTGGTGCCCGTGGAAAGTGCCGTTGGCGAGCGTAGTCCTAGGAACGCCTATCTCTTGTCCTTGTCAAAAAGGAACGTGCTGAAAATGCGCCTGCGCGAAGCTCTCCTAGGGTGGAGTGGAGCCTGCGGGGTTCGCGGGATGGCCTGCACTAGCGCGCTCCGTGACGCCATTCTTATCACATGTTTATCGTGATCGCCGCTGGAAGGGACCATAGACAACACCGCCATAATCCAACCTTGAGCAGCTTGAATGGTGATACTTTTGGGTGACGACAAAGTTATGGGATTTGGGTCTCCATGACCTCAAACGTTCTTATTAGTCATTAGCCAGGTGAACATTCTCGCTGACGATATTGTAGCAGGAGTTTTCCCCCTTTGTACAGCGTCCGGTATTACAGGATCTCGCCTTCAGCGATGTCACATCAGTCACATGGTGCCAGCGACTCATTAAATGTCATGGTCGAGATTTTCGTTCTTCTTCGTGGGTCTGGTCCCACGGGGAGATAGAACTTGACTGGCGATTCTTGGCACTTGATGCACCACTATGAGATTTTCTTTTTCGGAACAACTTTGTATCAGGATATGTCGACGAATTAGATTCTGGCAGGACTAGCAGCAGTGTGTCTTTCGAGGCATCGCGACAGCACTGAAGAATTTCTCATTACTTCTGAGCAGAGATCCGACTTCAAAGGTATCTTTGATCAGCGAGAGCGACCGGAAAGGTGGCTGACAAAAAACCTTTTGTCACAAGGTGGTCGTGAACACGTCTCGCACATCTGGGGCGCACGTTGGGCCAATAACAGCATTCCATTGCGCTCGAGTAATATAGTTCCAGTAATGCTTGTTGTGGCATATGCGGTCCACAAGAGTCATGCTTTGGTGATCGCTGTCGTCGAAATATAGGCATATCACATGTAGGGTTTTAAGTTGAACCCAGCAGCTAGCTGTGATCTGGACAGTGACTCGTGCATATATTAGCTCCCAACGTCGTTTAGCCGTGGTCAATATACGCATGGCCGTATGGTTCTGTTAGTTGTGGAATAGCCAAACTGCTCAGGATTGGTGCTCTCCTACCTGAGTGCTATCACTCGGGCCCAGCGATACGCAAGAGACTGTGGCTTATTGGGGCGCGGCTGCGGTCGCATTGAACAGTGTTCTGTTATTTGCAACCGCCGTCATGCCCAGTGAGGAGGCAGAACGCCCTCGGACTGAGGAAAAGTGCTATAGATAGACCATCAAACACGCCAAGATAAGGCAGATATAGTCATGCCTATAGTCAGCGACGCCCCACACGGTCTCGGAGACCACCGCCAAGGTGCCTGGAGATGTTCTCTGGCGCCATCACACACGACTACCGCTGGTGCAGCCGAGTCCGACACCATAGAGTTGTGCGATAAGAATGCAACAGCAATCGCCCTGTGCATCTTGGCGATGTTTCGAGGGTGATCCTAATCACTGACGAGTATGAACCAAGGTGTTTGGAAACGAGGACCCCCACACGTCCAAATAAGCTCACACTCTTCCGAGTGTCAAGACCGGGATTAAGAGTGGGAACCTCGAGCCAGACTGAAGCATTTACAATACTTGGCATTCTCGCAGCTGCGTGACAGACCAACGGACATCATTGGGGCTTTGCGGCAGGGACTAGCTAGACACCGCGTCCCACTTTTGTTTTCTGCTATTCCTGGGGCAGCACTGCCGCCATAGCTGAAACACGTTTTGCTGTTCGTGATATCATTGCCCTTGTCGATCCGCCCGCCCTCCCGCCTCCGAGCCTGTCCAGTTGGGGACTGGTCCAGCACGGCAGATGCATGTTGCAGATCCTCAAAATAAGTTCCCTGGCCAGATTCCCTGTCAATCGAGTCAACGTACCGGGGTCCTTTCGATCATGATGCTGGCTGCTGCACGCTTAAATGCTCGGCAGGAGCAGTGATAGGCTGGCCTGGCTGGTCTGCCTGTGCTTGGCGGTATGACGGTGCGTGTCTACGTGCTTCTGCTTTGCCTGCGAGATGCGCTGGCACAGGCTTGGCTGTTCTCAATGTCACCGGGGCCGTCCAACTTGTCTTTTCAGAAGGGATCTGAGAGCTTGGCGAGGTGTGGCTCGAAGTATATAGTTTGCACCTGGCGAACAATCAGCAGCACATCTCGGTCATCTTCAACACACTCAAGCTTCTTTCACCAGCGCGCTACTCATTTGTTCTGGCTGTTAAAACAAGCCTATTTCCGCATTCACATTTTTTGCATCGAACGAACCTTTAATATCCGTGGCTTTAAGCACGCCTCGCCTCTCAACCTTTAAAAACCCCCCAAAAAGACAAAATGTACACCAAGCACCTCAGCACGACAATCATCATCTCCATGGCCTTCCTGGCCACGCACGTCTTCGGCGCCCCGACCACCCCGCACGACCGCGAGTCCAGAGACATAAGCCACACCGGCTCTGATCAGGGCCTCGGCGCGCGCCAGACATTCACTGGCCCGTGCTCGGATACAAACTGTGGCGCGGCCGGTGTCAACTGCCGCGCGGACGGCATCAGGGGGTGGTGCGTGCCCTTCCCGTCGTCGCTAGCGCCCGAGGGATGCGTTTGCAGTCGCGCCTAGTGCAGTTGCAGGATTTGTGGATTTGGGGAGGGAGAAGAACTTGGTAATGAGCGTTTGATCACAGAATAGAAATGAGGAATTTGGGCGACACGAAAGCTTGAGAGCGATACATTGCAGAGCTCGAGTTGGACTGGATGTAGCAACCGACAAAATTATAGCCGGCCAATTGAGGGACTCCAAAAAGAACTTGGCGACAACCACATCCGCGCCATCAATGGCATCACACTATCCACCATTCAATAGAGCATAGAGTCTAAAGTGACGTCGACGGACACAAGCCACCGCATATACTGTGATGGCGAGAAAGGATGTGAATGTAAGAACAAACGCACAGAACGACTTGGCAAAATTAATGAGGGGCGATTGGATTTTATTAGTTTGTGGCACCCAGCACGAGTATAGGTCTTGACGGATGACGTCTATGCCAAAAAGCTGCTATAGTCCATAATCCCTGATTCGACGGCATGAATCACTGCCCCTATGGTCTTCACTTAATCAATTTCTGCAGAGCGAGCTCAACTATCATCAGAGTATACTCAGAAGTCATCCACAACCAGCATAACTTCCACTATATCTGTTTCGGTTGCTTCTTTCCGGCAATTCACATCGCTGTGATCTCGACTACACATACCAGATTTTGTTCTCCCCATCCAAAAGCTCGATCGGGGCACTGCTTATGGTCGACCTCCCCCATTGTTCTTTTTGAATCGCCACCAGCTTCACGGCCGATGACCTGCCCTGTATGCGACCATTTCCATAACCTCTTATCACTCCCTCGCTCCACTCTACTCCTCACACTATCACGACCATCGCCCTGCGTTATAAACAAAAACCCCACATCTCCGACTTTACCATGTGACTGATGACCACAGGTTTCCTCAGCCTCACACGTGCGCTCTTCCATCGCAACACATCACCGCACGCCTCCTTTCAAATCACATTTTGAACCACGATCCCGACCGTGCACAATCTGGGCAGTAAGGACGCAGATGATCCAATCCTCGCGTCGCGTGTACTGTGCGCTGTGCAAGGTATGCATCTCGTACTACCGCTCTTGTCGTTGTTACGCCATGGCCCAGGGCAGGTTGGGTAGACTAGGTAGACGTTTTCTGCGTGGACGGCCGCGGCACCTGCCTTCGAAAGAAGAAGAAGAAGAAGGCAAAAAGTAAAAGTGATGCGCCCTATCGTCGGAAATGCACCCAGCTGGTGCGACAGCCGCTCGGTTGCAACACGTATCTGGACCACAGTTCCACTTTGCCCTCGTATGTCGTGGTGCCCTATGATTACTATTATGCCGTTCCCCCGCCGCGTTTCGACAATCGTCCACCAACTCGTGCTGTGGAAAGCAGGGCAAATAGATATCTGTCAAGGGCGTCCTATGAGGGCCAGGCAGATCCCGAGATGGCGTTTGCCACCCCAGTGGGCATGTTTGCGGCAGCGGACTCTCGAGTATCATGAGGACCAACTTCGCGAGATCAAGGTCGACAGCTGCGAGGAAGGTGAAGGCCCAGGTGCACCTGGCTATAGGGTCGCATCCCTGGCCTACAAGCTGGGGTCAGAGGTACCTGGCGGAATACCCAAGCACATTGATATTGGGTGTCGAGAAAAGGTCTTCTGGCCGAGAAGAGGCTATCAAGGAGCAAGAGGCATTATACTGTCGGACAGGCATGATGAGTGAGGGAGAACATAAGCTGGGTAGTGAAATTCAGAAGACCCTAACCCTATATCGGAGTGAAAGTCTAGAATGGCACAGCGGCGTCGAAACTAATGGCTATCCCGCCCAGGGCGCAATATACACGAAGTTTACTTGGGGTTAATGACAAAATGATATCTACCCTCTCTACACGCCAAGTAGCTCTCAAGTGTTTGAATCGTTTCCGGGCAAGTAGATGTTGGCTACTTCGGTTCATGACTCAGTGCCTTTGTGAACCCAAGGACCGCTAGGATAGAATGATATGCCATCGAAATGACTATAGATCATGTGAAGAGTACTATCGCCGATGCACATTCTCTAGGCATAAAGGTAGGCAGCTGTGGGCAGGCCAGTATGCATGTGCGGTTCGGCCACAAAGCTCATACACGCACAGCGTTTGCTGCCAGTAAGGTGCCGTCTGGTCGATGGGGATGCGTCGTATAGACTTGCAGACTTGCACCTGGGTCGGAATCTGGGTCCAAGCATACTGACTGCATGGCCCCTGATGCACCGCATGCAACAACTAAGAACGTCGGTTGCTGCATAGCCCCAAGACAGCCCTGGCTGGAACGAGGAATCAGGAAAGCTTTTCTTGGGGCCAGGACTTTTGTCCGCTGCGCCGAATGGCAAGACCGTTGCAATAGCTTCTGGAAGCTCCATCGAGCCAACATAGCGGCGCCCACCCGGCCAGATACGCTACTATGCAGAGAAAGTCCCACAGTTTACTAGCGCGCCATGGTGCACGTGGTCAGTGGACAATGGCATTGCTGTGCCTAGCCTCGGGCGGGATTCCCGTCCTGGACGATGCCCACGATCTTGGTTGCGTGAGCAGATCTTGCTTTCTGTGGGTGATGTGCTGTGTTGTGGTGCTCCCCTGATCGTTGCCGAGCCCACATGATTGCTGTGGAGGACATCATGGCCCACGATCGGATGTGCTCGTGCTGCCCTGAGCGAGGCGGCTAGCCTGATTTATGCACCGGCGTCGCTCAGGGATGGGCGGCAGGGATTGCGGTCCACGAAGTCCAGTTCATGGATGCTGTTGTTGCGGTGCCGGATCTGCCTGGGTGCGCTAATGCAGGAACAGGCGTGGTGGGCCCGGGTGGCAGGTGGGGCGCTGGCAAGTGGAGACCGTTCTCGAAATGACCCGCCCAATCAGCGGCCGCACGTCTCCCTGCGCGCAATCTCCCATGCGCGCGCTGCTCCCGCTCCCCCCGACCTCGCGCCTCCCTTTCTGGCTCGCTCTGCCCAGCGTTCCCCGCAGGACAGGTGCGAGATCAGGCGATCAAGGCCTTCCATCCCTTGCGTCGCTCAGCCAGGCCCAGCAGGGCGACATGCATGGCACGCTCTGGCGCGCGCCACAGGCACAGGCAGCGCACGGCTGGCAGGCCAGGGCAGGGTCCTCCCCTGCGACGGGCAGGCGCGCCCAGGCACCTCGTTCCCACCTGCCAGCTTTCCAGCTCCTGCTCCCCTCCTCCTCCTGCTCCCCTCCCTCGTCTGTCTTTTTTTCCTGCTCGTCAGCTGCGCGCGCGTCACCTTCTCCATCTCATGGCTACGCGCCACGCCATCGACGCGAGGGCTCACATTCCTCGCTGATCGTCCGCCCTCGCTTTGCTTTTCCCGCCACTGGGCACCACGCTCTCACATCACCGTTGACGCTTCTGCCCGTGGCTTCTCCGTCGCGCGTCTCACCACCACCAACAACAACGTCTGTCGCCTAGTAACTGCCGCCGCTGCAGCTTTGCTTACGGCTCTTGTCCGCAATACATTTCAACCCATCCAGTACTGCGCCCAATGTTGCTCTGACCTTGACGCTCGAAAACTCGCATCGTTTCCGCTCTTGCTCCCACCAGCGTAGTCTCTGGCCACAGGCGACGACATTATCCGGGCCAAGGGTCCCATCAACCCCGGACCGGCTCCTTTGCCACTGTTCAACCCGAGCACTTGCCCCTGAGAGACCCACGCCCTAAGCCGCCAAGATGGTGTCCCTTTTCGGGATGAAGCTCGGAGGTGAGAAGAAGAAGTAAGCCAACCACAAGTCACTGGTCCATTGCTTGGAGCCATGCAGGCTGACCTTCCGACAGAAAAGCCGACAAAGACGACACCCTTCCGTTTCGCAGAGCTCGCTCCCGGTCCCGTGGCGCCAAAGAGGCTCCCCCGAAGGATGAGGACCTGCCAGCGGTCCCACGGGGGATATTCTCGTCTGCCCGCCCGGGCTCGTCGCAATCACAAAAGTTCTTCAGCAGGAAGAGCAAGTTCTTTCCCTACGGTGCTGGCGCTGACGGAGCCTTGAGTATGGCGAACCTCCCACGGCCCAAGGCCGACGATGAAAGCCCTCTTCCGAGCCCGGCTTTCCTGCGACCAACAACCTCGAATCCCAACCTCAACACCTCTTGGAAGGGGGGCTCCACCACAAGCCTTGCAGCACCGACTCGGCCGAAGATCCCTCCACCGCCACTTGACCTGCTCTCAGCGCCTCAGTCAACACCTGGCACTACCACTGGCACTGGCACCAAAACGCCCAAAAGCCCACTGGGCGCATATGAACTCACCCTGAACCTCCCTTCAGAACGTCTTTCTCTGTTCGGCGACTTCGACGAGATGCTTAGACCCCCAGAGCCTTTGCGCATCAAGAAGCAAAGCCCGACCACAAGCAAGTTCCCGGATTCAACGCAGCAGATGACCAAGCCGCCTTCGCCGCCTGTGTCCGTCCAAGCCTCCACAGCCGATGATGCTTCCATACCAGAACGACCCTCCCGTGTTGGTCAGGAGAGCCTCGAGAGGTCGCTCCGGCGGGTAGACTCAAACCAGACCTACGGCAGCCGGAAGGAGCTCGAGAGCCCCATTGATCCGGCTGCATCTGACGTCTTTGCCCTGCCAACGCCTCCTATGTCAGTCGCTCGAAGCAGTGACGAGAGGCCCTCGACAGGTGCCAGCAACCAATGGGGCGAGCCAGTGATACAGAATGTTAGGGGCAAGCGGGATACCATGATCGTCAAGCCCACCCGGAGAATGTCGTTCCAGAAATATGTAGAGGATTTCAGCAAGGGCCTACTGCCTCTTTCAGATGAGCCAGCGCCTGCGATCCCAGCAATGTCAAGCAAGCGAGCCGAAAGACCTGCACCGCTCAATCTCAACATCAGGAACGACGTTGCCATCCAAGCAGCGCCACGGAGTGCGCCATTGGGACTTAGCCAGCGTCCCCTGCTTGCGCAGATCGACAACAATCCGCGGCCGCCAGCTGCAGCTGCAGCTCCTCCACTGTCCGCAGGAATCCCGTACAGTCGACCCGCGCATCCGTACACTAGCAAGGTGTACAGACCCTCGGCTGATGAATACGGATGCTTCCCCGAGGATGGCCAGGACGACCTAGAGGAGGATCGGCCCCCGACACCTGACAGCCCCTTACTACCACTTTCTGGTCCCCTAGCTTCTCCCCTTATCAGACCCGATGTCGAAGAGGAGTCTGAAGATCCTCTCGAGCGGATGCGGAACTTCCGGTTCCCAGCGGTCAAGCCTGACGAGAACACTCTCACCCCAAGATATCGACCGCCGTCCTCTATACGAGAGAGCTTCCACACTGCAGATTGGCCACTGCCATCACCCGTACATCCCCCAAAGGAAGTGGTCCCAGTCTCTCCTCGCCTGCCTGATGCACAGCCAGATGCTCAAGTGCGCTCGTTCAGCCGTCCTTGGACACCCAAAAAGGACACCACCCCCTTATCGTTGCATGACTCGCCTGAGTCTTTTCACAGCTCTGTGACACGTCCGCATATAGCATCACAGGTGGCTAAAAGCGGACAGAACCCACAACCGCAGAGCCCAGTGGCGAATGGTTTTGACAGCAAAGGAGGTTTCTTTTGAATGGCAAGAAGTTGTGGACAGATTTTTCGAATCACGTGCGAACCTGGGAGCGCGTCTAGCCAGCACTTTGCATTGGCGTTCAAACCAGCGAGATTTTTCATTTGTTTCTTGTGTATCATTTGGTGGCGCACGCCCACCTGTCTTGGTGTTTGGGGATTATGCATGGAGTCTTCTAGATACCTTTGCTTTCGCCTGTTTTCGCTTTTGTTTTGGCAGATCAGTGTGGCAATACCCATTTGACGTTATTTGCTTCGTCATGTTGATTCAAAGAAAGTGAACCCGCGTGGGATCGAGGTGCTGTCCATTTTCCTAGCATGCGCATGTTCGAAAAAGGACATAGGGTAGTATTGTGGCAGTAAGCAGAAATCCAGCCACTCCTGGCGGCCAAAACATGCGTCAGTCAAACTTGGTGTGCACGAGAGTGGCATGGCGCCATGCAAGTCGGCGGGCGCTATACCCAACCAGCGCAACGTTCACGGGACAAATAGTATGACGTAGACGCAACGGACACAACTCCGACCGTATAGTCGGCCCCCCAGGACTATAGTACCTCAAAGAATGCAGAGATAAATGCCAGCGCTTGCGACTATTGCGAAAGCGAGTCCGCACAAGATTCCCCCCGGCACGTCGCGATGACCGTGGGGTTTCTTTTCTCCTTTTTTCTTTTTCTCCACGTGCGCTTGCGTCTCGCTCGTGCATAACCGCCGCAGAGAGGACCCCTCGGGGAAATCTACACACGCCGTAAGCAGACTTGGCCAGCGGGCGGCGTGGTTTTCCCTTTCTTGTGAAAAGAAGAGACGCATTGTGTGCAAGCCAGAACAAGACTGCCCACTCTGGTGGGGGCGGGGCGGGGGCGGCGAGAATAGCTGCAGTTCGCTGATGGTGGTTTCAAGAACTCGAAGCAAATGCAGATGAATGTGTTTTTCGAAAACTACTGAACCTCGCGTCGTGTTGTTGCTGCGCTGTGTCGTGTTGTATCATGATATAAGGTGGATGGTTGTATGGGGATAGAGAGAGAGAGAGAGAGAGAGAGGTAGGTGTGCTCTGAAGTGATTCTATGTAGCTGGGGAGAGATCGGTCAGTGAACTATTCCCAGGTGGATGCTTGCTTGTTTATTTGTTTGTATCTATGCTTGCTTGTTTATTTGTTTGTATCTATGCTTGCTTGGTACGGCTAAGGGACGTGTCAAGAACGCGCGCTGTGAGCGCCGCAGCTGGATACGAGAAGAGCTGAGGCAGCTGGAGGAAATGAAGGGACTGTGGAAGGCATGTGTATGTTTGTAGTGTGTGTGTGGTGTATTGTTGACAGCGGCTACTGGCTTCAGTTTGGCCCTGCTTGAGAGTGCGTGTGGGTGTACGACTGGAAGTGCGGCGGAGGTGAATAGGAGGTCTACTATTGCGGCTGGTATAGCTTGATCCCCGGCTGATGTGGCGCTTGTGATAAGTGATAGAATTCGCGGTTCGGAGGCTTCGGTTGCCAGAGAGGAGTTCGAGAAGTCGGCAGAATCTGTATGGAGTGAGCCCGTGGCACAGAAGCCTGCGGTTCACACCACTTCTCTCGCGCGCGGCTCTTGTTGGTCCGGCGCGAATCGGCTTGCTATACCCCTTGTGCTCAGCGCTCTGTGGCATCCAGTCGTTGACCCATGGTCGTCTCCAGCATTGTCGCGTCGAATCTGAACACCACCAAAAGATGTTTACGCCAGGAAAAAAGGTTAGGCCCACGGGCATGCCAAACAGGCCACAGCTTGTGAGGAAGGGGTGGTAGGGGCCTCCACAGATCAATCTACGGGGTTCCATGGACGGGGGCGCAGCTGGCGCCCAACTTGCACTACTGTCCTCATTTCGTGCCCGAAAACCTCTCTGCTAGGTTGGTCTCACACAAGGCCGGTATTTATTGAAAACATCGAAAACGAAACAAAAGTTTGCACGTCCACCTTTCGTTCATGTGTGTCGTGCTTGAACTCCTCAAGGTGCCAGCCAGACACAACCGAGACTTGTGAGCGAGAACAAATCAATTCATCTTCCTCCTCCGGCCATCGACCTGAGGGATGGCAGGATCGCCACCATCAACATCCCATTAGTACCTGCGGCTGAGGGGCACCTGGCGTCTCGGCTTGTCGTATGGCTTCCTAAGCTCCAAAGCACATCATCATCGCGCATGAGCCAGGCAACTCGGCTACTTCCCACCTGACGAGCGACTTCATCACGACCACAACCATTTGTTAAGGTTTGATCGATATCCATGCCTCGCGTGCCTCCAAGCTCTGCTGCAGCCTAATGCAATGGCATGAAACACTTCGCTGTTTCCATCGTGCATCTGGCTGGCGCTGTGGGCCAGGGCAGCAACCAGCAACACGTTACCTAGTCACTCGGATTCACCTGGGGGGGGGGGGGGGGAGCCAAGTACAACATCGTGTCTAACGGTATCACGATCGCCTCCTAAAGCATCCGATCATCCGACCTCATAACTCTGTTGGGAGCTGCGCGTTGCGGTTGAAAGATCCCCAGTACGAAACCGACACGTCATGGTGAGGCTTGGGCCTTCTTCACCCCTTTTCCCCAGGACCTAAGTCGAAGGAGCTCATGTCGACTCGAATAGATTCCGTTGATTGCCAATCCCAACCTACACGAGCTAGTACCGTACGTGGCACCGCAGTTCTCCTTTGGCCCCCCACCTTCCCAGGAACCACCCTCTCTTACATTCTGTTGAGTTTGACTGGTAAGACTGTTGCCCGCGTGTACCGCTTCTACCGCCAGAATGGGAGAGAGGGGGGGACCATTGGAGATAATGCTGGGTTTGTCCTAAAGCTTCGGGCGCGCCTGTGCGTGGGTCCTTCAGGGACAAAAGACCCCGTCCGTCGTGAGATGAGCAGGGATCGTAGGTTGGCATAGTGGGGGAGCCGGGCGGGAAACACAGAGAAAAGGGGAGTAACGAGCTAGACGCAAACCAAGCCCGCCGCCTGTCTGAACACAGTCAGAGTCGGCTGATTTTCGTGAGCTGCAATCCAGAAAAACAAAACAAAAAAAGGCAAGAGTGGGAGCGCCTTGGACAAGGAGAGATAATGCATAGCCCAGAGTGGGGGAACGAAGGTTCTAATGGAGAACCATGCGAGAGGGCATTGTGGGAGAAAGAGAGCTACTTCTTGGGCCCTTTTGTTTTGGAAAACCTCTCGCTCGTTTGTGCCGTCCTCCCACCCCAGAAGCACGGGTTCCTCGGGCTGTTACCCGGCCCTCGTGCCCTTCTTCTGTTGGTCTAATCTTTTGGAGACCCGCAATCAACCTTTCGTGACTTCGAAAGACTTCCATGGTTTGCGTCAGATGTGACCTAATAGTCCAAGGGACATGCCTGGCCATGGCGGGAGGAAGGATAGTGTGGGCGGAAAGCCCCCGGCAACGATTGGCGGAGTACTCGAAAGCGGCCGGAGAGCCGACCAAAATGTCCAAGCAGATTACGCCAAAGCTCGCATGCAAGACTTTGCCAAAGGAAGAGCACCAACAGAAACAAGAATTGGAGCCACCTCGCTTCGCAATGACAGCTTTATTGCTCTAGTGTACGTGAGGCTAGCAGTTCGCCGAACCCTGTCTCCACGGCTGGCGGCAAGGGGACATTCTCGTGATCGACAATCTGCACCTTGTGTGGATTTCATGAACAAGAATGAGATCAAGTTCCGTTCAGAATTGTCCGCAAAACGACATGGCAAAATCCTGGAAACACCCGTGTTCTTGTCTGATCCCCCTTGGCGTCTGGCAGGAATTTGCCGACTGGACGTATCCCCAGATGGCCCGCGATGGGTCAATCGCGGTGCTGGACTACCGTTATGATGCCCTCGCTGTTCTTTCTGACGTGCTTGCTGCAGAAACGGTTTCCCACCACGCCTCCGCTCCCGATCGTGGGGGGCTGGTCAAAAGTCATGGCGTCCATCTCTGCAGGCTTGTCCGTGCCGTGTCTACCGCATTGCTGGGGGGATTTGACAACAGAGATGAGAAACTGTGGTACGATTGCACCCCCATCTCTGAGTGCGTAATTCACTCCACGGGGACGCTCATATCGAGATGGCATCACCTGCTCGTTGTATTCCAAAGCTATGGGGATGCCTGCACAGAAGATGAGGAGAGATTTTGCCATCCGGATCATCGTCCCCGGCGGTGTTGTTGTCTTTGCCCGCTCCTCGGGTGTCTCGGCTTCAACATACCGATATGGCTGCGTTGGCCGATGATGGCGCAACAATCTAAAATTGCTCACAGGGCTCGCAAGATGTTGCGGAAAAAGGAAGAGCTTCCGCCATCGAGACGCAAGCAGGGGTGCTACTGTAGCGGCGAATGTCGGCAAACCGGCGTAGGGGGCGGCCAATCATGCCAGCCTAGGTGAGCCAAGAAACGTGCCGGGCTCTGCGCATCACGGTGAGCAAGACGAGGGCAAGAGAATGTGGTGGAGTGTCGACTGTCGAGGGCCTGGATGCCTGAGTGGTGATAACTGGCGTGCATGTCGTCAGCGTACGTCCTCGTTGCCCCAGCACAAGCACGCAGCGTAGTGGGGCCGCTTCCCGAGGCCGGGGTCGGGCAATTGGCGCTAGGCCGCAGGCGGAAATGCAACTACTTTGGCTGCAGCCAGTGACGTGAAGGTGTCGGACTGCCAGCCGACAGCAGCGCGCCATCTGATTGGTCGTCATGTTTGCGCCCAATCAGCGCGCGTCGCAGCACGCAATACCACAGCCACGGGGCCTCAAGAGCGTAGGGGTCCTGCCGTGGCAGCGTCGTGTGCCTCCCGTATACACCATGCGACGCTCGCCTGGTCCAGGGTCAACTGCGAAGCTGTTGAGTGCCCCCGCGGCCTCTCGCTGAGTGCGCCTGTGCTTGTGCAGGCTGCCGCTAGAAAGAGTCTTACCCTCATCAAACTGCCCAACCGGGCGGCCGTCAAGGAAGAGGGTGCAACTTGCCGAGGCCGCAGGACCCTTTCCTCGAAACGGGAAGCTGATCAACAAAACATAAACTTCACAATTGCCTCTTGCCACTACCCCCAGCTTGGGAGGCGGGCATCACAGCTGCACAAGGAAGAGACACTATCCTCAAAGATGATAGGCGCTGCATTTCTCACCGACGTTGCGACGCGTCGAGAAAAATTGATTAGGGATTGAGTATGCCGGGTGAGCGCAAGTCCCCACGAAAGGAGCGCTTGGAGGAGCGCCAAATAATGCCATGACAATCACGCCGCATTCCTTTTTCGAAAGCTTGACTCTTGCACATCAGGATGCACAGATTGCCCTAGTGGCCTACTCATGGTCTTCCAGTGCTCTGTATCCAGGAATGAAACCAGAATCCAGCTACCCTCGAAGCTGCCACTCATAGTATTGCTTTACAGAGAGTGACAGTGTCATACAGTTGCATGGACATAATGTGGGGTTGATTCGGTTGTTCTTCAGCCTGGAATACTGTGCACTTCTTCGTCTCTTTCAAGAATGCGACAGGAAGCATTGCCCACGGAGAGGCCAGACGCTACAAACGGAAGGTCTTGTGGGCGTTACGTGTTGATCGTGAGGCAGCGACGTCGTGGGGACAGCTTTCTCGGTAGTCGGAATCGATCGCCCGCGGGGGGTTCGGATGGTCGGTAAACAGCGAAGCAAAGATCGAGTAGAGTCGAAAACGGATCATCGGTTGTCGCGACGCAGACGGTGGTGACCTTCGTGCCGGCCAGAGGGTCGAACAGAAGTCCCGAGAATATGAATTTCAGGGCAATACGAAGCTCTGCCACTGAACGAGGTCGTCGTGGCTCGTCGAAGTGGCAAAGGTCGAGATGAGAGAGCAGCTGTCGGTCTTGTCAAAAGCAGCAAGACAGCTCTGTAGGCAGAGCAGAGCAGGATGATGTCCGGATGCCCAGACCGAGGGAGAAACAGTGGACCAGGCAGTCTACCAGAACCAAGCACATAAGGTCGGGCACTCTTGTGCGCGTTTTGATTGCGGGCGCAAGGTGCTTGCCCCAGCAATCTTGTTACAGGCTACAGCCGGCCAGGGAACACCCAGGCACTCCACCTGCAAAAGCTCTTGCCTTGCAAGACGAAGCTGGAGAGTCGTGGAGTATCTGGCCATCATGATGATGAGAAACGGACCATCGTTGCAGCGCGCCGTAAAGTACCCGCTGTCAACCCAGTAGCACCAGCAAAGGCGGAGACGGTTCAGATTCAAGTGTTTCTGCCAGGTTCTGGCGCACATGCTGGCCAGCAACGCATTGGCCAGTTCATCGGCAGATTTTCCAACAAGTGAAGAGCCTAGACTGCCGCGTCCTGACGATCGTTTCTGGTCCAGCCCCAACTCGCCGCGGAGAAGGGATAATTGCCATAGGCCCAGAAGCCGACAGAGAGTCCACCAAAGCGCGGGCCCGTGTGATGGAGTAGGCTAGCCAGTCGAGAGCGACAACCGCCACGCGCGTTCTCGTGGCCGCCCTGGAGAGGTACCTAGGGCATAACCCAGGACGGGACTTGGTGGTACATGACAGGTACGGTGCTGGAGTCTCTGAGGTGTGCCGCTAGGGTGCTGGGGCGGAGCCACGTTGATTTTCTAGAGGGGCAAATCGGAGTTGTACGTCGTTCCCAGTACTGGGCGGAGGAGGAGCGTTGTGGCCCCAATCTGCGTCCAGAGTGGCTGGCGGACGTTGCTTCCGAGCTGGAGGCGGGAAAGGTCATGCATGTACGATCGAATGGCCACACTAGTTGATTGGTCCTCTGGACACTAACCAGAGACTGTGTTTTGGCGAGCAGCGCAGAGAAGACGTGGTATCGGTCCGGCTCGCGTTCGTCCTCGCGATGAAGCCACGCCCGCCTGGTGAGAAGAAACAAACGAGACTTGGTGCCCAAGGCCATCACCGCGCAGTGCTGCCTTTCTCCAGCTTGCGGAAAGCACGACCGACTGTTTTGAGACATGGACTGACAGGAGCACCAGGGCAACTCCTCCGCCGACGTCCAGCCACCAAGGCTCGATTCGAGCCGATTCCGTACCAGCCCTCCTCGTCTTCCATTGCCTGCATGCAACACATGCATGCCTGCCTGCCTGCCTGTACCCACTCATCCCCATCCCATCCCCCCATTGACACGCCGGCCAGCACGTCACGCACAGCTTGGCCGCTTGTCAAGGAGCGAGTCCAGCACCGCAGCTGTCCAGCCGTGTGTACCTCCGCCCCCTCCAGGCCCGCCCATCACCCTGACGTAAGCCTGCCTCGCGCCTTCTCGAGACTTCTCTACAGCATCAGCACCACCAGCATAGGCGACCTTTACCACCGCTCCGCCTGCCCTCGTCGCTCGTCAGGCGGCCAGCCAGCTAGCCAGTTGCTCATTCGTCCCAGTCCTTCGGCGCAGCACGACCAGATTCTTCCTATCCTTGTACACAAGTGTGGCGGAATCTGCCGCTCAGGGTCCCCCCCCTCCCTGTCGACAGCCCTGCACGCCCTGCTGCCCTTTGTCTGTCAAAATCGCTGCTGTACAGACACCGGGACACCAGGCCGAGCCCACACGTACTCTGAGGTACAGCCTGCCCGCCGACGCCCACCTCCTTCCCCGGCCACCCAGCAACCGACGACCAAACCTTGAGCCCACCCGCAGATGCCCGTCACAGTCACCTTCTAAATCATGGCCTCGGCGCCCATGCCGCCTCTGCCCATCCTCCCTGGCGTCCATGCCTCTGCAATCCGGGAAAACACCGCCGCGGAGCCTGTCACGAGCACAGTGGCTCTGCCTAAATCCCTCGAGCTCTCCCAGAGTCTCACCACGGCACATGCGCCATGCCACGTCCTCCTATAGCTGATCTCCCCGTGGATTGGCCACCGCCAGCCACGCCTCTCGACCTCGCCCACACCCCACTTGACCCAGGCCTAGTGACGCCCATGGATGATCTCGATCCCCAGGCGCAGCAGCACCACGACCACCATGGTGGCTACGCTTGGGGAGCTTGGTTTGAGGCTGACAATGATCACGACCTCAACACCATGCCAAGCCATAGCCAGCACCTTGTGAGTATGCTCGCACGGCTGATCTCAGCCTCGTAGAGTTTGCCTTCGTCTCAAAACCAACCCTAGCATACCTTTGTCATAAGAGCTTGTCATCAACTAACTCAATACTCTCGGCACCGCTGCAGAGCTACACAGAGTCACCCTTTGTGTCAAATAATCCGACACAGCATCCGCCGCCGTACTTCACCCAGCCCATAGACAATAGCGTGCAATACTCGATGCTGCAAAGCCCGTCGGCAGATCCGGCCTATAGTCCAGGAACCATCGACCCGTCAAGTACCACGAACATGTCCACCTCTACAGATACGAGTACCGAATCCCTGATTGGGCGGAGGCCTCGTACGCAACGCGAGCGCAACCGCCTGGCCGCGCACAAGTGCAGGCAAAAGTCGAAGCTGAATGCGGAGGAACTGCAAAAGCAGGAACGAGAACTCGCGGAGCAGCATCGATGTTTGACACAGCATGTCCAATTTCTCCGAAACGAGGTCCTCGATCTAAAGAACGAAATCCTTCGCCATGGAACCTGCAACTGCGAGCTGATCGGCGAGTATATCGCCAGGGCCGCGCAGAGCCTTCCGTAGTGCTTGCCAATGCGGAAGGGACATTTTCACGATGCCGAACTCATCCAGACGGTAAAATGAAAATCCGATGACGGTGGAACCTCAAACCCCCTTGAAAATGGTCGAACAATGCCGACAGGTTGCTGTCCAGCTTTTTCCAGGAGGAACCATTCAGCTTGCCGCCGGCTGACTTGTAGATAAGTGGTCGGCAACCTTTGGTCGGATCGGTAGTGAAAAGGTATTTGCTGTAGGTTAGATCGATACCTGCGATCGCAGACCAAAGTGTTGTGTCTCATCGTTGGAGAAACGCGGGCATTCATGCAAACTCAATCACGGATTGCCTGACAATTTGCCAGGCTTGGAGTACATTGGGCAAGGGGCGTTAGATCTTTCTCTTTTCTTGCCTTGCCAGAGGCACGAGTACCGACAATGGCGCTGACGGGCGGATACATTTTTGTATTTATTTTCAAGGAAATAGTGCGCTGTACATGGCTAGACAGAGAGCCATAGAAAACGCCACAAACAAGGACGCCCATGACATGAAATCCAACGGCAGTGCGCCTCAATTGGCGAAACCCGAGCATGGTGAAAAGCCTTCGTCTGGGCTCTTTACTATACGTGATGCGAGATCACTTGTCCATCCATGATGTCAGATTGCCAATGCGCGACGTGCGAATCTTGGCCATGGCATGGCGTGGGGAACGTAGCACCCTGTTTGGGCCGTCGATGCAGGACTTGTCAGGTGCCTTGCCATTGGTCCTGACAGCAACAACACTTATGTGCAAGTACGTATGCAATGGGTCCATTAGCGCAAACGACTGGGAGGCAAGCTCCTCGGCCGGATTCGGATCTTCGCGGCAAGGGTATAAGCTGCAGGAAAGTCGCCCCAAACAAGGCCAACACCGATGACCGGGGGAGAGATCAGAGGCATGCGGACTCAGGCCAGGATGGATTGACCTTTTCAGCATGCTTGGCTTGGAGGCACAAACGGAAGCTTCCGCTTCAGGGCCGAGCTTCTGTTTGGGGCCCGTGGTTGGTACGAAGAAAGGGTGGTCGTTGCGGATCGACTGGCAAATGCTTGAGATGCACCGAATCTCTGGTGTGGAGCACACGAGCCAGCCCTCTGACCCGTGAGACTGCAGCCATCACAAGAGAGAGAACAAAAGACATATGTCGACTGACCCCGTCGTGTGCTTGTGTTATGGCATCCATGGATGATGATGGCTCGACATGGTTGAGGCTGGCAGCCGGGAATCGCTGGTGCGGGTCTCGGCAAGCCTCATGTGGGGCCGTGTCGGAGCAAAGCGTCCGCTCCAACTTCCCCTCCCGCGTGACGAGACTTGAGTAAACCGGCAGACGAAGTGTTGGCTCGGTCGTAAGCACAGCCCTGGAGATTGTTCTCCGACAAGGACGACGACTGACTGAGAAGCTGCTCCGGCGTCGCAAATGGCCAGCCAATACGATGCCCGGTTGGACCTTCCCACTTGTCGTAAGCGGCGGGCTCGAAGCTGCATTTGGGCACCCGGGGGACCCATGCTCGATCCTACTTAAGACCTCGGGAGTATAGGAGTGCACACCCTCGTGTTCCGTCGTTCTGATGAGAACTTGATTTCATTGCACATGCGTAGCATCACGAATCTCTCAAGGGGGAGGGGGGGGCGGAAGGTGGATGAAGAGTGGTCCACAGGATGCCCTCGACAATTTGCAAGGCATGTCACCCATGTCTATTCTTCTCTCTGTTCCCCCTCTCTGGGTGCGTCAATAGCTCTCCATATCTGTTCACCTCGTTACCCTTCTGGCCTAGGGTTGCCCCACACTCCACACGCAAATGCAAGAGCACGAGATGCGCATCTCTGCGGAAACAAAAATAGCAACGGGCAATCGTTGATGCCGTTTGGCATTTCCGTTTCAAAATCGCATTCGCATGCCAGGGTCAGCACGTCCTTGCAGCTCATGACGTATGGGCAACCCGACCAGACTTTTGGCAATGTTCCTGCAGGCCAATAGCTAGCTGGTCAGAACAAGCCTTGCATGCCAGCTCGCCATTTCTAGGAGTCCATCCGCGAAGCGTTTTACGGACATGCCATCGCTGGTATATTTGCAATCATACCTCTACAGCATGCCAGGTTCCGCTGGGAACCATTCCGTCCGGCCATCAATATCTCCTTGAGCCCAAGCTGACTCTCACACATTCAAGACGCATAAGGTCCTCGAAGTAGTACGGTGTACGTCGCCACTGCGTCCCCTTTAGGGATCTCGAAGCAGCCTAAGAGCTCAGTCGCGACTTGTCGATGGGTACCTACCACAGCCGAGGGTACTTACTCCTCAGGCGCAGATTTTGGTGCAGCACCAGGCAGATTCTTACACTGTTATTTGACTGGCTGTAAACCTTGCAGAATCCCCAGTGTTTGTTTATCGGACTCAGCTCGGCGCCAATCAGATAGCACGCCCATGCTGCGGAGTCCGACGAGCGAGAGGTTCTTCACAATTTTAAAACGGTACAACGATGTCGCGCACTCCTTCGGAGATCTGCGCCGGGTCAGCCCGCCAGGATATATGTTTCCCCCCCCTCCAAGCCCAGGATTTCCGCTCGGAAACTGTTGGGCGCCCGCCCTTGCTCCCTGGTTTCCGAGTCGCGCAGCTTGGTTTTAGCCTGAGCAATTGCCGACTCGGCAATGGGACTTATGGCCCATGGCGTTCAGATCTCCGCGCGCTCCAGGAGGCGAAACATGGATGGCATAATCAGGCAATCACGATGCACTACTCCACGGCCATGCAAGATTCGGCTTCTTCTCGCTCATTGGAGACTTTCCAACTTCCATCGAGGGAAATGATGCATGTCTTACAGTCGGCATTGGTAGCTTTCAGCTTTGGGACGCATCTCCTAATGGTACACCCGAGTGTCTCGAAGATGCACCAATGTCATCTCCTGTACGGTTGAAGCTGCTCCCAGGTCCAGCCTGGCCCATGCATGTGTCGCAGAGACCATCCCGTGGGGATGACAAAGAACCAACTCGCCCTTTTTTGACATATATGGTGGGCGGTCCGTTCCCCGGCTTTCCACTTCATTATGCTGCCCAAGAAAGGAACGAAAAGAAACAAAGTAAAAATCATTTCCCGCATTAAGGCAACAAAAGGTACAGGTGTTTCTCATACTGCCTCGCTACCAGTATGTCTGGCCTCGGCCCAGAGATACAGATCAAGCTTAAAATTAAGCATGCGCGGGTTCTACCTGCCTGTTGACTCCAACTAGTTCCACTTGGCAATCAGTCTCAGCTGGGATCTCGCGAGTCGCAAACCATCTGCAGGCCTGAAACTGGGCAGGCACAAGCAGCCACGGCACAATTGGCCCTAATAGTCTGCAGTCTTTCCCCTTGCTTGTCTTGGGAACTCCGGACAGAAAGGGAGCGGGTAGGTCAGACGAGGCACCCTCGAGGTACATCTTTTCGTCGTATGCTCGCACGGTGTACACCAATCTGGATGCCGGGAAGGCCTGTCACAGTCGTGTGGCGGGCCAGCCGCCATGCAAGAGCTACTTAGCGTGACGGAAATGCCCGATTCCAGGGGACGGGGGGGTCGACACACTTCGCGTTAACTTACTTTAGGCTAAGAGGTGCAGCAGCCCAGGGCGCGGGAAAAGGCATATTCCTTGTTGTTCACGTGGGCAACCTTTTTGATATGGTGTCGGAGCAAGCATTCTTGTCGTTGGCACTTGAAGAAACATTGCAGAAATGACTGTATCTCGCCACACATGATCTTCCGGCAACCTCCGGCGTCCATCAAAATGATAACGCGTCGCATCATGAAGATCGGCATTGAACCTTGGGCAGGTTCATCTACAGAGCTATTCTGCGCCACATTATACCGCAAAGAGTCCTCTCGCTCGTGGTTGACCGACCCTGGTCTGATTCATTACATATACCCTAAACCAAGCTGAGGCTTCATGCTTGACCTGGACAACCCATGCAAACAAGTCTGTCTCACGCGTAGTGCCCCTATCATTGGCAACATGTCGCAAACCAGCAGGGGACCATCAGGAAAACGGCGACGACGTCTTCAACAAGCACACCGCCAATCGCGTGCCACGGGCTGTCACTGGCGATCTGCAGAGCATTTCGGCGCAAGCACCCGGCCAGACGGGGGGTGGGGGGATACCCGCATATCACTCCTGCATGAGCAGCAGCCTCCCCACGCACTTCCCAGGTTGGCGGATAGGCCACGGGACGGCAGACGTGAGGGTACTTGCAGGTACTGATACGTTCCGCGAGGGTGGCTACGATTGGCTGCATGACTGCGGACCGCAATCCAGGCTCTCCTTGCTGATCTACCCAAGGCCACTCACTGCCCACGCATGACAGGCCAGGCGACTTCGGCCGAAATCCAGAACCAACAATCTCCTTGTTGTTTGCTTTCTCCGCGGAGACCTGATATCCTCACAAGAAAGCACTTGCAGCATCGAGGCACCTTCCTTGGGACATTGGGTTCTTGAGATGGGACTTGCCCTTAAGTGGCAGGGCTTTTTTTACTCATCTGAGGCAGTCTCCAGCCAGCTGCGAACGAGACGTGCCCTTTGGCCAGAGAAGACGCAAACACTGGCGAGTTCTCCGTTGATTAGAGATTTGCTGGAAAATGGGGCATTCAGAGCTTCAAAGGGGAGCCTTCGTCCCGTGGGACTCTGACTGGTTATCCTTGGCAAGCGGCAGCGCGTGGGGGGCGAAGGGGGATATATTCGCATTCATACCCAACACGCACCCTCAGGAGAAAATGCAAGCCCGGAGCGGGAATTGCAATGCGTGGACTGGCTGCGGCGGCGAAACAAGGAGTACGTGCGCGCGCGCGCGTGTGTGTGTGTGTGTGTGTGTGTGTTTGTGTGTAAGAGGATGTGATCTCTCGGCAGATCCGCTGAAAAGCGGAGATGCGAGAAGTTGTTGTGGTGCTGGTTCGAACTTCAGACTGAGCCCGCCCGGCCGGGACGTTTCCTCCGGCCCGCGTTTGCGACACTTCAATGCAACTACGGACGGGCGGGATTTGATAAAAACTGGAGTCGGGAGGGGATTGCATTGTAATCCGCCGGCCGCGTTACAACAAGGATGTTATCTTGGGGCCTCCAACGGCATTTGTCGTCGACCTGGAACCAAGTCGAGTGTGACGCTGGCATGCGGTGGTGTTTGCTAACCCGCTGGTATGCGTCGTCGTTGTGGTGCTCGTCGGCGGCCTCCTTATTGCTGCACAATTAGACGGTTTAAAGGTTAGAGCGGCACTGTGCTTCTGTGCGCCGTTAAAGGGGGTTTGCCTGGCGATGGTCATCAAGCGCGCGCGTAGTTTTCCCCTTGTGAGGTTGTTGCTGAGAACGTGTGAACAAGGCCAGAGGCATTGTTCTGAACTGGATTCCACGCTTCCTTCGCGATACTACACTGGCACAAAGTCACGACAAGGCGTGGTCATGGAAACGCAAGCACCCAAAACATTGCTTGTGGCTTCTTGTGATGTATTAATATTCATATTCATCATTGACTCGTGAGCCGCGTGCGCTATTGTACAGATCGCTATTCTATCTACATCAACACATCCTGTCCTCTCGACTCGCTAGCTTTCAACCTCTTGTCAGTCACGCAAGCTCACGCGACAGGAGCAAACTTGGCAGTGGCGCGAATGTCGCGACTCGAGAAGCCGACGTTGAACACGAACTCGCCCTCGGGGATGAGCCACTCCTGGCTGACGACGTCCCAGTAGCTCAGGTCGCGGCGCATGAGCTCGAAGCCGACCTCGGCCGTCTCGCCGGGCTGCAGGGTCTTCTTGGTAAAGCCGCGCAGCTGCTTGGGCGGGGTGCCGGCCGGGGTGGTGCCGCTCGGGAAGGTGACGTAGAGCTGCGGCACCGTGGCGCCGGCGACGCCGCCCGTGTTGGTCACCGAGGCGGTCACGTTGTACAGGACCTCCCAGAGGGCCGGGTTGCCGCCGGGCATGACGGGCTGGGCCTCGGGCCGGGAGGAGACGGTCTCGCTGCCCGTGCAGGACTCGACCTCGACGGCGTTGGCGAGCTCAAAGGTGGTGTACGACAGGCCGAAGCCGAACTCGTAGCGGACCTTGATGTCGTGCGCGTCAAAGTAGCGGTAGTCTATCTCGAGCTTTTCGTCGAACCACGACTGCCAGTCGTACACGCCGGTCGTGTTGATGGCGGTCGTGGGCGGGGCGTTGTAGTCGCTGCCGTTGAGGGCGATCGTGTACGGCAGGCGGCCGGAAGGGTTGACGTCGCCGTAGAGGATGTCGGCGATCGAGTTGCCCGACTCCTGGCCCGGGTAGTGCACGGCCAGGATGGCGGTGACGTTGGGGTGGTCGGCCCAGGGGAGCGTGTTGATGCCCGACGAGTGCGTCACGACGACCGTGTTGTTGCACGACTTGGCCACCGAGTAGACGACGTCGTCGCCGTGCCAGTCGACGCTCAGGTGCTCGCGGTCCTTGGCCTCTTCGGCCCATGTCTTGAGGAAGACCAGGCACACCTCGGGCACCACGGGGATCCACAGGTCGGTCACGTTGCTCGTGGCGATGAGTGTGTTGTTGAGCCACTGCTGGACCAGCGCCTTGTCCTGCGCGGCGCGAGCTTTGATGGCCTCCGACGGCGAGATGAGGTATGTCAGGCGGCCAGTGCCGGAGCCACCACCGGCGGTGAGGGTGCCGAATTCAAAGTTTTGCTGGTTGTAGTAACCCTCGGTGTCGTCGCCGGCGTCGTTGCCAAAGATGGCGATGGACTTGGGATGCTTGAGCGGGAGAGCGCCGTCGACATTCTTGAGAAGCACTGTGGCCTCGGCACCGTGACGACGGATCAGGCCGCCGTGGTCCTCGCGCACGTCGCGACTGCTCTCGCCCGTCAGGTTGAACTCGCGAAGCCAGCTGGAGGGCGGGGAGAAGGTGTTGAGGTTGGCAGTGGAGGGGTCGACGCTGGGGAAGTCCTCGGCGTCCTGGCCAAGGAAGTAGTAGGGCGTCATGATGCGGATGACCATGTCGTCCAGGCGGCTCTCGGGAACGGTGCCGTTGTTGACGGCAGCCGTGGCGTTGGCGCCAAAGTACGAGCCGGCCTTCCAGTTGACGCCGTACGAGCCAAGACCACCGGGCATGTTCATGTCGAGGCCACCTTCAATGGAGGCGACGCCGCTGTGGGTGCCACCCCAGTCACTCATGATGTAGCCCTAGAGGAAAGATATTGTTAGCAAGTCTCTTCTGCGCGATTCGAGGATCTTGTGCTGCTGCTGCTGCTCCATGTCGTTGACGTTGACGAGTTGTTGCGAAGTCTCCACATGCCTCATTAGGCAAGTAAAAAGTGGAACTCTTCCGTCAAAGTGAGACAGACAGCTGCGTCTTCAACCTTCCCCCTTCAACAAACACAGAGGACACCTACTTGGAAGCCGAGCTCGCCCTTGAGCAGGCCATTCTGTGCCTTTGAGTTCTCGCAGGCGTACGAGCCGTTGAGTCGCTGGTATGAGCACATGAAGCTGGCCGCGCCAGCCTTGACGGCATTGGCAAATGGCCACAGATACAACTCGTGCATGGTGCGGTCGTCAATGTTGCTCGAGATGGCCTCGAAGGTCACTGCGCCGACAGTGCCGTTGACGTCGTACAGGGGGTTTCGCATAGTCTCCTGCTCGTTGCCGATAAAGTGCTTGGGTGTGGCTTGGACTCCGGCGTCCTGGTGGCCCATGATGGTCTCCTCCATGGCGACGCCAGTCAAGTACGGGTCTGCCGCAAAGCCCTCCCAGTTGCGGCCGGAGTAGGCGGAACGGCCAAGTGGGCCAGCAACGGGCGAGAGGGCGACGTGGGCTCCCTTGGCGCGGAACTCGCGGCCCATGGCGTAGCCGCGCTCGTAGAGAAGATCGCGGTCCCAGGAGGCGGCAGCAGATACACCGGCCATGAAAACGCTGGCATAATCAGCAACCCGAATCGCTAGGGGACCGTCCTGGAGACAGAGACCCTTGAAGCCCAGGCGAGGGATGGCGACCTGCAGAATGTCAGTATTGAGGGGGAAGGAATCGAGTGGCCTGAGATGGGCTTACAATGTTGCCGACGCAAGGTCCAGGTGTACCAGTGATCATGTCGGCTTTCTCCTCCACGGTGAGTTGAGCTACGAAGTCCTTGGCCTTTTGGAGTGCCTCCTCCCAGCCGCCGGCACCGGTAGCATTGGCTGTGGCATGTTAGATGGTGCTTCCGCGCTCAGATAGAGTGGCCTGGGTGACTTACGCGAGGGAAGGACAGCTGGAGAGTGGCCATAGGGACCTAGAATGGTTGTGTTCAAGGGCTGTACCCACGAGAACGCATCTTCGTCCCGGTCACCGCCATCGTATGCTTGACCATTGACGGCCAACAGCAGTGTGGACAGAACCAATGCCAGTTTCGAAGCCATCTTGTCTACAGGGGTCGTGAGACGGGCTGTAGAGAGAGATCTGGATGGGCCAGAATAGGAATTCAAATCTCCTGACGAGGCAGGACCGCCGCTCCTTATATAGCTGGCTCTGAGGTCACGGGCATGCTTCTCCAAGTGCTCCAAGTGAACGGTTCCTGGTTGGGGAAGTGGCCTGCAGGGCTCTTGCGATCGGCAAGCGGCTCTGTCAAGTTACTGTCCATGGCTGTAGGCTCGTCCCATGGCCAGTCTCGTTGGTCATGTGAGTGACGTATGGCGCGTGGGCCTCGCGGAATTGGAATCGAAAGCGGCGGGCCGCCTCCCCCCTCACTACTCGAATGGCCTGCAAGCTCCGCGCGCCAACACGGGCGTCTGTGGGGACGGCAAGGCACGCGGAACCCGATGGCAGCACCGGCATGGGCAACTGCCGAACTAGAGGCCCTATCCTTTTGGCTGAGAACACAAGATGCAGTACCTAGCCCTCGCTCGCGATGGGGGCCAAGACAGGGGGTCCGGGTGGACAGGTTCAGTCGGCTCGCTCATACATTTTGCTCCGTCGGAAGCTTGCGAGGCCAAGGGTAGGCACAGAAGTGCGGGCGACCCAAGCTTTGATGAAGGAGACGATCAAGCTACCAGAAAATACCTGCGCTGGCTAAATCGTGCCGAAAGTCGACGAAACTGACGTTCGTCTCTGGTACACATTCGACAAAGACATGATACAGCATCGCGTGAGCGTGTGATGCCGGCCAACTCATCCCAAAGCCATGCCCAGTTTATTGAAATTGCGGTCACGGCGTGAATGTACTGCAAGAGCGAAGGGGAAAAAAAGAATCCTTGCACCTACCGATGGAGCGATCGGTCCACAGGCACAACCAACACTCACCGCGGAGAGCACACATGACTCGCAGCATCACTCCCTCCCTGATCCGGCGGGACCAGCAAGACTGGTGCTTGCTGCAGAGGTTTTGCCGGTGTTGTGCCGCCAGAGAGGGATAACGGCGATGCTGCAGTATGCACTCCGCATGGATGCGCAGACTCGCGGGGAAGAACGTGCGGTCGGGACCCGGCTGGTGGGGAAACAAGATGGAGAAGAAAAGAAAAAATGCGGGAGTGGAGAGGAGGGAAAGTGCCGCCATCGTCATCGTCGCAACGGACGGGGCGGTGGCTTGGGAAAAAGAGGAGAGCGGCAGGGATTCTCCAAAGAGCTCCCCACGCTGGAATCGGCCCTGTTTCCCACGGCGTCCCGAACCCACGGGCTTGGCATGGCAGGCCGCGGAACCGGTGGAATAACAAGTGCCCTCGACTGGGGAGGCTGCTGCGATGGGGGAAGATGCATGGTTGCCCGTGGCAGGTTGGCTGGGACAGCAAAGCATGCTTTTCGCAAATGCCTCGCATACGATGTAACACCCCGCACATATTGCAATCAGGGCTGCGGCACACAAGTTGGTCATGCCTCCCTCGCCTTTGAGAAAGTCCACTGGGGGGATAAGTCAAGTAGCCTTTCAAGCACGGGGACTGGTCTGCTTGGGGGCAGCACACACCCAGCCGGAACGCACGCATCATCGGTTGTCCCGCAAAGCCTCCCACGCCATCCCGCCTTGGCCCGACGGCACAGGCAAATCTCCGGCTCTTGGGTTTATGCTTGTCGCCCAAGCGCGAACCTTGCCCGCCAGGCCCAACTCCACATCCGCCGTGCTCGACCCCAGCTTGCACGCCTCGCGACCCAGTTTATCCTACCCAAGCCGGGCCGATAGGCAACGGTCAGATGCTTGTCGAGCTTGTGCTTTCTTGTCAAAGCTGGGCAAGCGGCGAGCAGTTTCCCCACAGCATACTGCCTGCTCGTGCGCGTGTCGCGTGCCCGCCGGCATGGAGAGATCGGGGCGGCCCATGGGGGAGGCTCCTGATGCGGGTTGTGGCCAGGTCTGTCGTGTCAAAATTTCTCCGCAAGGACCAGGGACCGAGGAACTTGCCCCCAGGCGGCGCGTCTACTGTGATCAGCGGATTTTTTTCGTGACGAGCCTGCTTCTTCCGATTCTACTGCTTTGAACGACACTGCCGGGAATCGATGTTATTCAGGCACATATCCCAACTTCGTAAGACGGTTGCAACCACATGAGAACACAAAAGCTTCCAGCATGATTAATAGCCCTGCCGAATCGACTGCTAGTCTGCGACCCATCGAGTCTCAAATGCAACTAGACCGTATGGAAGCATAGTGCTGTCCCAAAGCACTCACGAGGTGGAGGTCCACTCGAATCCCATTTCTCGTGTACAATATCCCAACCCATGTCGATCCCCACTGCGAGGGCGGCACGCGGCGCATCCCCACGGGCTGCCGGGCTTTCATTGCGTATGTCCACGGTAATACATTCTTGAGCCCGAGTCGACTCCGATACTTTTGAGACCCACTAGATCCTTGAAGTTGTAGGTTTACGTCGCCACTGCGTACCGTCAGAGATCTCGAAGCAGTCTGTGAGCTGAGCTGCGACCTGTCAATCCGTACCTACTACAACCTAGGGTACATATGTCCACGCGCAGTTTTGGTGCAGTACGAAGAAGATTCTTGTCCTGCTATTCGACTGGCTATTAACTTGGCAAAATCCCCAGTGTTTATGTACCGGAGTCAACTCGGCACCAATCAGATATTTGACCTGATGCTACACTGCAGTATGAGGTCCAGAGGAGAACTTTGGTCCTGGCGTCATCTACACAAGGTTCCAGTCAGGCGGACCATATGCAACAGAGAAGGGTCGGGGACTGTCTTCTCGCGGGTTTTCCGTAGCCAGTGTCGAGGTCAAGAGCTCTCAATGGCGAGGACAGAGGGCCGCACCTCTGTTTCTAAGCGGATGGTTCGTGGCGGCAGAGAGGAAGTAGCTGGCACCACGAGTGCTCATGCATTGAATTGGTGAGCTCTACACATACGATCCTAGAATGACAAGAAACATCCTCGAATGGTTCTAATCACGGTTGTTTTGGAATAAAAATGCGCCAGAAAGCTTTTTCTCGACGTTGCTGGTCAATCCGGGCGAGACCTCGTCTGGCCACGTCATTTTCATACACGCACATGCTTGTCAAGCTTTCTGTAGTGGGTGCATCGATGAAGGGACCAAGAGGAACTCAAGTTGAAAACCTGTGGATTCATCTTTGGGGCATTGCTTCAAAATGGCTGACGTTGTTCACAATTCTTCATGATCGAGAAATGGCTTCCTTCCCATTCTGGACCTCGCTTACACCCTGATTGGTGGTGGACGAGGTGGGGCTTGGTCGCGAACTTGGCTCCCGCAGGTGCATGGTTTCTCCTGCTGCTACCTCTTGATTTCGTTCGCGTCGTTACTTGGCTTTTTGTGCCCCCATACCATCTGATAACTTCCCCTGAATATCCGCGGTAAAGAGCCGATCTCATAGATCTGAGCTTCGAGCTCCGCTTCCGGGTGAGCTAATTTCATGTCCCTCTGCCCAAGCCGCAGGCTTGCTGGCTTGGCTTTACTGCGTCCCTGGCGCGTTTGGCATAGATCAGATTTCTTTCAGTTTCAAGGTGTCGTTCATACACTTGGTCTGCCCATCTTGGAAACAGGTCAAACTGCCGTCTACGATTTTCCAATGTGACAAAGACTGTTCCCCATCCCACTTCCTTTCCCGGGATGCAGGGGCGACAGCTCTTTTGTGTCTCTGTGACTGTTTGAACCCAGATCGATCTTGATCGGGTTGGTCTGGAGGGAGATCACGTCTCCAGGAAAACCTCGGATAGCCCCGTGGCATTGGTGACGACGAGCAGCGATGAGCCGTGTGAGACGGTTCTCGCAGCACGTGACCATCCAGGAACAGACCCAATTGCGCCTCCTATGGAGTTTCGCAATGCTCCGACTCTGCAGCTCTGTCAGCAAAATGTACATGCGCATGCCGTAGGTGTGGAGTGGCAGACGATACCTGTCTAAAGCGATCTCAGCAAGCAACCTAGGACTCGTGGTTGCTTCAGAATGATGGCAACGCGCCATCCCGTGCGGAGGGGCGCTTCTTGGCTCGAGACTCGCACGATCCCCAGATGGGCTATATCTCCCTACAAAGAAATAGAATGACAAATTGCTGTTTTTGGGCCCTTGTCAAGGTCTACGCCGTGCAGAAGTGATAAGACTTTTTAGTGCCTGTGGAGTAGCTCCTCAGTAACCAGGCCACCTGTGCAGCGTGCAGGTCCCTGAAAGCTGGTTGCAGAAGGAGGCGGATCCTGGTCGGTGATGCACGGGAGCGTGAGGGCAGACATTCGGCTCTACTACCATGTAGGGGTTCTTCTAAGGTACGAGAGGAAACCTCTTGGTGTGTTCACATTGGGAAGGATCGAAGTGGAGATCGGACATGGGTGGCCATGACTGTTTGACGCTCGAACTGGCAGTCAGCACAAGACTACCTTGCGGTAGTCAGCACAAGGCTGGGGCTTGGCGTCGGTTGTTTCCAGAACGGTATTGCCTCAGCGGCGTTACTCATGGCCTAGACTCAAATGTACGTATCTGCTTCACAATCTGACCGATGATGGGCACTTTAGCCAAATGACAATCTCCAACGCATTAAGATCCAGCACAGTCGCGGCGGCAGTGTGGGCAACAATCTTGAAACCGATTATTCCGTATGCCGTGTTTTCAGGCACGTGGGAAGGTAGCGCGTGCAGATTGTGGAATTATAAGCTCGCAGCGAGTTCCAGCTCACAGGGCCATTTCGTACATGGTTCGGGTGGGCGCACCCCTGTCGCAATCCTTCTGCGCTGCCAAGGGTGCGCTTGAGCCCCAAGCAACGTTGTAGGAATGGCCAGGCCGCCACATGCTACGTACCTCAGAAGACAACGGTCCGAGCCAGACTAAGTAGGCGGATCCATGGGCAACCGAGGAAGAGAAAAATCCCTATTGGCCAATTCAATATGCGGAGATAGTCAGTTGCATAATACATTGCCTTGAACTCTCATACCACACCCCACTGTGGAGATTGGATTGCTGGAGAGAGCCAAGTTGGCCCTTTCTACGTATCCCATGTCAGTTTATGTGCCTCTCTCGCTCTTATGGCAGTTCGCGGCACGAGAACTCGTTGTCTTGGAGTTTTTTTGGATATAGATCCGGATGCATTTCACCGGCATGCTTTCACTTTGATCTCGACTTGGCTCATCGCCAAACACGTGGGTGTCTCGTTGATACCACAACCTTTGGTCGTTTCCAACGCTCATTGGAAACCCGCGGCAAGTCGATCCGTTGGGGGCATCCTGGGTGCTAGAGCCTTGCCTTCGATCCATCCGCGTCATGGTTCGCGGTCCATTGTTACATAGTGTTGTAGCAATCGCGGTATGAGCCGTGACAAATGGTGGATCTAGTCAACCTGGGTCATTCGTGTAGCTCTTTTATGGTGCCTATGCTAAGCTGAATAAAGGTATGTCGTTCCATGTTGGGCACATTTTATGGGGTCAACAGGGTTGTATGCAAGGGCTGGGCAAGTGACTATCCTCATTGCTACGTTGAGGACCTATACCATGCAGCCTGTGCTTGACGACAAGCTTGCCACGAGGCGTGAGAGAACCATCTCATCCCCAAATTTTATATAAGACAGCGCCCGCCTCTTCCACATCCAAGCCAACTGGACTCATTCACATCAGCATCAGTATCTGACGGAGCTATCTACCTCGGATTTCTTCTCCAGACTTTCTGGCGTCTGTCATCAACATGCTGTTCTCCAAGGTCGGCCTTCTTGTGGCTGTCGCCGCTCCAGGCGCTCTGGCTCACGTGTCCAAGCGCCAGAGCTACCCTTACGACCCTAACACCACCCCGTACTGCACTTGGTGGTACGATGTATACCCTGGCGACACTTGCAGGGACGTAATCAGTGCTTGGGGTGTTTCCATGGCCGACTTTGTGCGCTGGAACCCCTCTCTCACGTCTACATGCGGCAACTTCAAGTCCGGCACGTCGTACTGTATCGAGGGTATGTGATCCATCTCTAGCTCGTCTCCATGAGGAATCGTTTGGCTGACTCTGCTCTCGACAGCTCTCGGAGAGCCCCCGGTCACTTCGCAGCCGCCCACGACGCAGCCTCCCACCACTACCAAGCCTTCTTCGACGACCTCAAAGGCCACCTCGACCTCGACCTCCACCAAGCCCGGCAACGGCATCGAGACACCCTCCCCTGTGCAAGATGGCATCACAGGGTCCTGCAACAAGTTTCACTACGTCGAGACCGGCTCGAGCTGCCAGAGCATCCTGACTAAGTACGGCCTTAACATCGCGACCTTCTACTCGTGGAACAAGGCTGTCGGCTCGCAGTGCGAGAGCATGTGGGCAGAGGTCTATGTCTGCGTCGGTGTCATTGGCGGCACCCCGACCAGCGCTGCGCCCACGACTTCCTCCAAGCCTGGCAACGGCATCGCCACTCCTACTCCTATCCAAGAAGGGATGACTGGCTCGTGCAACAAGTTCACCCTGGTCAAGACCGGCGACACTTGCGACAAGCTTGCCTCCGCCGCCGGCATCTCCACTGCCAACTTCATCACCTACAACCCTGCCGTGGGCAAGGACTGCAGCGGGCTGTGGGCCAATGTCTATGTCTGTGTCGGCATCATCGGCAGTACACCTACCCCGTCCCCGACGACCACTGGCAACGGCATCGCGACGCCCACCCCTACACAGGGCGGCATGATCGGCGACTGCGACAAGTTCGACCTGGTCAAGCAAGGCGAGTCGTGCAGCGCCCTGCTGAGCCGCAACGGCCTGACCATCGCCCAGCTCTACGCCCTCAACTCTGGCGTCGGCAGCGACTGCTCGGGCCTCTGGGCCAACGTGTATGTCTGTGTCCACAAGAAGGGCACGGCCACCACCAAGCCCACCACCACCACCGGCAACGGCATCGCCACGCCCACCCCGACGCAGACGGGGATGGTCAACAACTGCAAGAAGTTCGTCTTTGTCCAGAAGGGACAGACCTGCGAGACCGTGGCCAAGAACAACGGCATCAGCGTCTCCCAGCTCACGACCTGGAACAAGGACTTTGGCTCCACCTGCTCGGGCATGTGGGCCGAGACGTATGCGTGCGTTGGCGTTTAAACGTTAGTCTGGGGCTCTTAGAGTTCTGCCAGGCTCCTAGAATAGATCTACGTGGCATAGAGTTGGCAAAGTTGCCATGGATGTGGTTGGAGAGTGTTTGGTGTTTGGCGGAAGTGAGCAGAGGGCTTCAAAGTACTACACGGTGCGGTTGGAGGAACCCGCCTATTTCGATTCTTTGTACATGTATCTTGCAGCCCAGTTCTCGTTTGGGAAGTAGTGTGATAGACTGGAGAATTGATAAAATTTCTACTGAGATGAATATTGCATCGTTGCTGATCTGGGTCTAAGTTTGGACATCTGGAGAGCAAGGGTTCGGATAGACTTCTAATTGACAACTGCTTCGGCAATTCAGGCTTCGGCTTCACAGGTGTTGGAATACCAGAATGCCAAAGTTCCCCGCGCCTCCAGCATAGCCTTGCAAACAAGTTTTTGCAAGATGTTCGCTGGGCTTTCGAGAAGTTGAACTCTCTGCTCTCGTCCATCCAGGGCATTAGTTCACAACCTGCGAACACATTCAGCCAATTCACGCCGATAGGTCGCGCTAAGACTGTCCTTGTACGAAGTCAAGAGTCTAGTACCTTTGAAACATGATGTGATACTTTGCCCTATGTGAAGCCTCAATGTTCGTCAAGAGTATGCCGTGTTACGGTCCGTCCCATATACACATCTGTGCAAACTTCATATGGCCGCAGCTGCGCGCGGCTGCTCGAGATCGGCTCGCAAACCATGAGATACAGGAGATTGGAAACAATACAAGAGCGATTGAAAGTGCTTGTGCTCTGGAATTGTGGCGGCATCTCGCGCTTCTATACCTCGATATTGGGGTGGGTGGGGGGTGTCAGGCAGGCACTGGGATAAAGATGAGTCTTTGTCAGAGCTACAAGTACGTAAATATCACCTCACATTTGGTCGCTCTTACATGCCAAATCAAGGTCTGCAATCGTTGACAAAACATGAAACACGAGCAGAAATTGAACGCTGACGCTCAGAATCATGGCCTCGACATTTACAAAGCGCCGCAAGCACATCAAATCTACTGGTGTATCATGTTTTTGATATTGTGCCGTATCTATTGAGAAATATTATGCAAGTCTAAGCCTCAAACACAAGGACAACACCATCGTCTCCCGCGGTAACAATCCGCTCACCAGTCGTACCCTGGGCGAAACCCAGCACACCGCCACCCTCGCCATCTCCCCGATGTCCCCTCCATTCCTTGAGGAGCTTGGTGGCGTCGGCGCGGCCCACGGCGCCCGTGCCTGTCTGGCTGCGCGTATCCCACCTCCGCACGACACCGTCCATGCCGCAGCTCGTCAACAGCCAGCCGTCACCAAGGCCCTTGACGAACTCGACCTTCACGACGCCGTGGCCCTCGTGCGCGTCCTCGTTGTACTTGCGCGCCGCGAAGCCGCGCGACGTGTCGTAGACGGCGATGCTGCTGTCCACGCTGCCCGCGGCAAGCAAGCTCTGGGTAGGGGAGAAGCTCAGAGTCTCAATGCTTTCCTTCTGCACCTGTAGATCCGCGAGGATCACACCGCCTTGTCCGCCACTGCCCTGGCCACCCTTGGCCTTCGCCTTGCTCTGCTTACTCGACTGCGGCGCCTGAGCATCACCGCCCAAACGGGGAAGACTGACAATCTTGATGGCGCCCGTCGCGCCACCCACGGCAACCAGGGACGACCGTGGGTCGATGGCGACACTGTAGAGACCGCCCTCGACCTCGAAACGCTGATCTGATCCTGTCAGAGACACCACTGTCTGTCCGTTGTCGTTGGCGAGGCCCTTGCCAGCGGCGACTCCCCAGACATCCCAGACGTGTAGTGAGCTGTCTTCCGAGACCGTGGCAAGCAAGAGTCCATCGCCAGACCACGCGCCAGCTGTGCAGGCGGCAGCATGCATGAAGTATGTCTGCACAATCTGAAGCGGGTTGCTCGCGTCGGAGGCGTCGATGGTATAGACCCAGACGGAACCATCGGAACCGCCCAGCGCGATCGTGTTGGGGTAGTCTTTGGACGGGCAGGCAGATACCCAGTTGATCTCAGGAACCTCTTGCGCCTCGGCGATGAACTTGAACGAGGGCTTGTTCCGGGGGTCGATAGAAACCTGATAGGCTCTGAGCTTGCCGTCGAGGCCGGCAGAGACGAGGTAGTCTCCTTTGGGGTATGTGAACGCGAGCGCATTGATCGAGTCTGTGTGGCCCTCGATAGCGAAAAGTGGAGTGAGCTCGGTGCTCTTCTGTTGTTGCGAGTTGGGATCTGAGTTGTAGCTGGGGGGAAGCACTGGCCTGCCCTCAACGGAGCTTGTGTCGAAGACGTAACCCTTCCCAGGCGCATCGTCGTTGTCGCCCTCGCTGCCGCCAGTCGCAAAGAGCGAGGGTATAGTTGGGTGTTGTGCGATTGTGAAGACGGAGTCCTTGTGCGCATCGAGGTAGGCTATGCTGTCATTGTGCAGGGTGATCTCGATCTGCTCGTCGTCCTCGTCGTCAAGGTCCATGCCGCCCTCGTCCTCAAACTCCTCGAGCGCATCCTCGGCGTCGAGCTCCTCGGGAAGCTCGTGCTCGTCCATGTGATCGTCCTCGCGTGCGCCAGACATGACGTTTGGCTTTCCGTACTAGGTGTCGAGACTGAGTATGGTAATGGTTCGTAATTCCCAGCAGCTGGCCAAGTTCAGTGAATCGTGCGCAAAAATGCCGAGCTGTATTTATTGTACTCCGGGTGGGAAGACTATCTGCACTTTGCCTTCGAGAAGCAGCTGCTTGCTAATCACCTTCAACTTTTTTGTTTCGCAGTGGGGCAACCAGCTTTCTGCATCAAGGTACATCATTACCCCGCGAGCGCGACAGCCCTGGAGGGCAATCGCATTTGCTGACATAAGCAGAACCAGTCACACTTCCCGGAGAACTTTCATTCACCTTTAAATGCTGGTCGGCGATTATCGGATCTCGAACGGAAAATGCTCAATGCTATATTTATGTAGTCTGACTGGTGAAAAGTGTTGATATGCTGGTGTATCTGTGTCGTAACAGGACCACCTGTAGAGTTTGAGTCTTCGTCGATAGCATGCCTGCCAGGCTTGTAATGCAAACTCCGAGAAATGCTCATCAAGAAATCGTTAAAGGCACGGTGTGCCGTCTCCCCGTGGCTACTCTTAAGTTTATGCATTTCAGTGAGCTGATATGCTGCCGAACAAGTTCATACCCAGGCATACAGCCATCACGCAGAAGCCGTATGTCGCCAGAGCGGCAGCGGCCCTCCTAAGGAAAATAGGATCGATGTGATCCATATCCCATCTCCACTTTGTCCGCCAGTGCCATGGAGATCTGGCTGAGCGGCCACGGTGAGCTGCGCTGCCGTTGCTGCGGAGGCTGTCAACGCTGGCCCCTAGAACTCCATCATCAGCCTGATCGTCGTCCTCGACGTCTGACTCGGCTGGGGAGACCGGGTCGTCCTCGTCCTTGGCAAGTCGTTGGTGATGGATTGAATCGGGATCTGAAATCTTGTAGTAGAACAGCCCCGGTAGGATGAAGCTGATGCTGGTACTGCCAGTCGCACCAACGTAGGCAAGCACGCGTTCTAGTGAGGTAACGGACAGAGCGACGGTGTAGCTCAAGACCAAAATGGCAGTACTCAGAAGTGCGAAGCGCAGTTCTGACATGGCAGCACCAGACCCATGATCAGAGCGCCCAGCGGCGGGTAACAAGGGCCCACGGCCCGGCGAGTTTGATCGGTTAGCAGCGCCAGATACTGCACTTGGCCTCCATCTCAGAACTGCGTCAACGGACGCGCGGCAAGGGTGCACCTGCAAGGGGACAGAGAATGTGACGAGGACTACAATGGCGGCCTTCGCAATCGTGGAGGCAATGGAAGCCGGGTCTACGGCGCATTAGCTTCTGCAAGGCATGGCTTTCAGGATCACCAGGTAACTCACATTGTCCTACGATATTAGACGCGACATCGTTCCCAAAGGTCAGATATCCGGTAACTGCTACAAGGCAATACACTCCAGCGGCGGAGCCGATGCTTGATGAAATGACGCCCATGATTCTGCAATGTTGTCAGCTCACAAGTTGTTTCTCTTTCGATGATTTGATGCGTACCTTGCGGGCGTATTTTGATCGAGTTCATTCAGAATCGAAAACATGTTCTGGTGGCAAGTGTACGCGAACACCACAACGGGAAGACTACTCAAAGCCTCTACGGGGCCTCCCCATGAGATGATCCTGACTTTCTCTCGTGGGGCCAGGGGGTCAGTTGCGAAATGGTAGACAACGAGTATGATGAGGTATCCGATGGCGATCAAGGCTACCACGCTGGTGTACTTCAGCGAGTCCAGTCGACGCAGGAAGCATAAAGGAATGATGATGAGCATGAAAGCCGTAATCCAAAAATTGCGGTTCATGAGGAACGCCACCTCGACCGCCCGACTGCTGAATCCTTCGGCCACGCCCGGCATCAGATCGCCAATGATGATCATGTATGAGATGCCGACGCCAAAACACTTGATTGCTATCGCGGCATCAAAGATGACCGCAGCATTGGGATATGTCAACTGAGAGAGCGCGAAGAATGAAGCCGAGCCACGGTCCAGATATCGTGAACATCGAGACTGTAGATACAGGCCGAAGGCTGATGTGAAGCCGGACCATAGAATGACGACGACACCGAGCAAGATGCCGAAATGAGACATAGCCGATGGCATGGCCAGCGTGCCGGCGCCGATGATGGTGTTCAGTAGGTTGACGATGCAGCTAATCATCGTAGCTGATCCAATGTGTGCGTCTTTCTGGTGGTTCCGAACTCGTCGCGCTCTGTAATGCAGGGAGAGGTCAGCACGGCGCGTGTAAAGTAACGGTGATGGGGAACTTCATAGTCGGCCATACCTGGTCATGTCGGGCGATGATGAGGGAGCGGGTGCGCCAGGTTGCGCATCCGAGATGGAGGAATAGTTCGGCATAACAGCCACGACGGCCAGGCTCGCAACAGCCTAGGTGCGCAACAACGTGGTCTGCGGTCGGTTATGTTTGCTGCGCGCTGTCGTGCGATGACGCGCTGTCGCTACTCTCGCGGTCAATTCGCCCTTGGAGGCCTGTCGTGTATGACAGCCCGCTCTAAGCCAAGCGAGCTGCCTGTTGTGGTTGGGGGTGCTCGTGAGATGCCAGGTGGCGCTCTTCCACAGGGTGTAGCCGGTCAATGGAGCTCCGACTTCGACCTCTATGTAGAAGATCGAAGAAGACAGGAATTCCGAGGTAGCAGCGCTTCGAGATGTCGTCGAGGGTCGTGGTGGTGCAGGCGATGAAGCAGGCAACAGGGTTTAGGCTGGCTTCTCGTATTGAAGGCGAATGGTGTTGGTGGTCTCCAGGGTTGCCGCTGATCGTCAGACCCAGACGTCAGAGCGGCTGAGAAAGGTGTGCCCAAGCCGCCATGGTGGGGCTGTCCGTGTAATATTGGCGAATTAGAAATGCAGACAGGGGGCGGCTAGCACTGTTAGGGATGCGAGCCAGTGACAACAACGCGGCTGCGCAATCGGGGGTTGCATTCCAGTGCTCCCATCTTTCACGATCTTCAAAACAGCAAACCAACGCCGCCACAGAATCTCAAGACACAGGCCAAAAATAGACACGGCCAAGAGCATTGTCCCATTATACGGCTTCGCTGATATAATCAACTTCGGCCTTCCACTTCGGAATAACAATCCCTCCCAACTCTCGATACTGCTCCAGCGACAACAGTCCTTCGAAAACTGGGGTACACCCGCCCGCCTCCACGAGGGCTCGTTCTTTGCTTCAGTATGGCCTCGGAAATTGACGAAACGACGCTGGAAACCATATCGCTACTCGAAGCTCGCTTGTTGAGAATAGAGCACCATCTATACGGGCACACTACGCCTCAGAACAAGAACACAGCAGCCCGCAGCCTCCGCGAACTCGAGCACCGCTTCCGCAAGATCACGCAGGACGTCCATGTCTACAATGAGCTTCTCAAGATCTGTAAGAAGACATTCGATTCTTTGGCTCAAAGATCTTGCCACCGCTAACCATAGAATGCTAGATAAATCATACCCCGATCTCTTCCACTCACCGAACCCGTCGGAGCCACCCTCACTGCTCTCACCCGATGCCATTCGCGCAATCGTCCTTGCCTCCGCCGCTTCATACCCCGCGACCGCATCCTCACTGACCGCCATCAACGACACACCAATTCCCGACCCAGCTTTGAGCGCTGCCCTTGTTGCGTTGATCCCACGGATGAAGGCTGTTGAGGCGACACAGCTTGCTCAGAACGCCGAGATCGCGGCTTTGCGTGCCCAGAGCGAGCTCGTACTCAGACAGTGGTACGAGCGCGGTGTCATGGGCTACTCCAATTTTCTTGCTGGTGTGGAGGACCGCATGGAGGTCGTGGAGCGCGACATTCGGAGAATCGAAAGAGCTCAGGAGGAGGTTTGAAAGACGCCCGCAATCGGGCGTCAGCTGCAGCCATCGAGGAAAATTGATCCCAGACGTAGGCATTGTACGCGGACATCTGGACTACCGGGCAGCTTTTGCACAAACCCTTCAGCGGGTCATGCTTGAAATAACAGCTATATCAGACCCATCACCGAGGTTTGCGTCATCGAGCCATCGACGAGCATCTCACCGAAGCACCCGACACTGTGGTTATCGCCATCCGCAGGCACTGAGGCGGACTCAGCACAGTCCCAGCTGAGCGATCAAGGCGGCTTGCCACGCTTGTACGTGAGCTTGCCTGCGTGCCATGCTCTCGGGTACCACCACATGTTGCTACCTGCCAGGCACTGAGACGATGCTGCTTCGAGGCATAAGCGACCTTGGCGCAATCACATGACGATTCCAGTTGCGTCTATAGCCTGGGCTCGATTCACTTGCATTGTGTCAATGGCGCAGTGGTAGCATTTCAAAAGGTTCTTGCACAACGGTAATGTTCTAAGCATACGGCCTTTGCTATACAGGCTAGTACGCTTGACGCTAGAACATTTGACTGTTCTATCGTTCGGCCGCAAAGCAGCACACTGGGGCATTATGATTACTTTAACTGGAACCGGTCAAGTAATTCCACGGTCTTGTAGCCACAAAGTCTGGGCCGGTGGTAAATTATGTGGAGGTTGTTGTGCACCATACCGGTAGTGCATGAGGTCCTAACTAGACTGGCATTACGCCACGCTTGCCTGTACACAACCTTGGAAATTGGAACAGACCAGGTACCAATACCAGTACTCAGGTTCTTAGCGCACTACCGCATGTGCACCGTAGGCCTACACCGGACTCCGGCTTGATGGATAGAGTTTGCAAATAACCAAGCGTCGGCAAACTCTCCTTCCCACTTCGCGTGCTTCTTGCTGAGCTGCATGTTGATATTCCGCAACGCAAAACGACAAAGCCCCATTGTTCGCCAAGACCCGTGGCGGGCACACCGTTCACGAAGAGATCCAGCAAGCGAGTCACCGGTGGCTGGCATGGCTGGGCACACCAGAAAAGCAAAACGAGCAAGGACCATTTCAGTCAGGCTGAAGCAGAATGGACGACGATCGCCAGACCACGGCCCCGTATGCACGCACTATAATACCGGCGGGTTCTATTGCGGTGTATGAAACAGATGGAAGAAGAAACGAGGAGCCACTTCAAGAAGTCTGCCTCGAGATTGTGCATGTCTTGCGTGTACGCTCGCAAACCTCGTCAGAACAGGACCGGGGACACTGGCATTGCGCTTGTGCCCGTGTCTCGGTTTCTTTGTCTTGCTTTCCTCTGACCACTCGCAACCTCACTGGCCTGCCTGTTTCGAGATGCATTGCCTTCATCCGCACGAACACTTGCCGAAGCTTGCTCACTCCTGTAACCAGGGGGAACTGTTTCCCGTCGTGTTTCTTCCTTTGGGGATGCAGCAGGTGGATGAAGACGCATGACCGTGCGCAGCCAGCAGCCCTAAGAGCCTCTCGCCTAATGCTCTGTACCCTCCACGCATCTGCCGGCAGATGACGGAACGCCGTTATGATGGCAGCACGGCAACAAGCCTCGCGATCAAACCCGCCATCTTTCGCGTGGGTTGCTGCTGGGATTAAACGTGGCCCCGGACGCAGGGGCCTCGGCGGAGTCGAGGCTTCGGGTTTCAGAAACGCCAAAACGGGTCTCCAGGCCCGTGTGGGCTGCCTTCAGCGAGTCAAGGACCGGGGACCAGTTGTCAGTTGGGGGTCCGCCCCATGCAGCTCGACTCGGTGCAAGAGCTGCTCTGCCGAAACCTTGCTGCCCACGTTTCAGACACTGGGCAGTCCATCCCGTGGACCTTTGACTCACGTTTCAGCATCTGTTGAAACGGATCTTAGGAAGTGATCGAGAGATGTCATCGTGCGCGGTCAACCACGTGAGCAGCTCCGGAGTGGCTGAAGCTGGTACACTTTCCTCATGTCGAGCCAGCATGGATTGTAGCTTGAGCCCGGGCAGAGCGGGTTTCTAACGACTAGTATGTATCTATGCGCATTGGCAATCTAACGTAGGTTTATCAGCATCCGTCGATGCCTTGCTCTTCGGCTTATCTGTAGGCAGTCTGCGAGAAATCGACGCTTTATACATCCGTAGAGCATCTCTTGGTTGAATGTTCAGATGCTCCGTAGTAGGTCTCGGGACAAGGTAGTGTAGTGTTCCTGGAGCACCATGGCGTACACAGATCTGGATTTCGACGATGTTCCTTTCGTTACTTGGCATTGACTGTCAGTCTTTGCCATGGGGCATCTCAGGCATGGCAACATAGCGAGTCCCAATATGTCAGTTGTGCCGTACTTAGTTCGCAGGGTTACAGCGTCCCGGCCGACACCATGAACTGGCAGTTGTCAGTGATGTCTGTCCCCGCCTGCCAGCCAGCCATCTGGCCTGATACTGGCCGTCCGACCAGGATGGCCCCAGGCGTGCCAAGCAGCACCCCCCCCCCCCGGTACTGTACCCGTTGGGTGGCCTTTAACTTGTCGCCTATGGTGCCTGGATCGTGGCCTAGGGACATTAGCGGCTGGTTCCCGTCAGCCAGAGCCAGCCACTCCTGTCGCTGTCGCAGCAGCTGGGCTTGGCCGGGCTCTCCACATTTCATTTGCGATGTGCTGGCTGAGAGAGATGGCGCAGATCGTGGGGGCAGAGCCGTGCCACCACGGTGGGAGATCTACCTGGCTTTGCTCTAGCGACGCGCCATTTCGACAGTGCCGGGCCAGACGAGGTTGAAGGAGCGCAGGAGAAGCAAGATCAATGGCTGGCACAATGCCTCTTCGGGACTGGATCCTTGAAGCAGATTAGGTAGCTGGTCAGCGACGACAGGTCTGGGATGCTCCTGCAGGGCTGCCTGCCTGCGCCTCGTTGGCCCCCTGGTCCGTAAGCGGCTGCATGTTCGCTCTCTCGCTCGCCCGTACCAGACCAAGACGGCACCTCGAGAGCCGCTGCACCGCACCTGCAGCCCACCAGCCCTAGGTAGGTGCTTCCCTGTCCATCCCTTTCCTCCTCCCAGCTCCTCCTCCCTTTAGTCTTGCAGCACAGCACGCGCGTGTCCGTCCTCCCACCCACCGATTCGCAGGCGCCTCGCTCCCCATACCTGCATCTTTCTCGTCTTGTTCGACCGATCAGACAGCCATTCGTTCTCTTCCCTTGCCAGCAGTCTTTCTTCACGGCCCTCGCCGCCTCCCATTCGTTCCCTTCTTCTCGTCTCCGCTTCGTCGCCCGCCTTCCTTCCCAATCCTAGGTGCCTCGTGTCCTGTCGTCCACCAAGACCTCTCAACCAGCGCCATCCTCTTGTTCCAAAGGTACGTGCTGCCCCTTTGGCCGATTGCCCACGATCTGTCCTCGAACCCAAGAGCTGCGAAAAGACTGCCTATCTTGTCCACGTACTGCTGGTTGGTGGCTGTGGTGTCAGGGGTCGGTCAGCCCAGCTGCAAACCACGCACACCCACCCACCCAGGCAGAGACAGTTTGGAGACAGCGCAATCCTCGCCCCCAGCCGCCTGAACCTGCGACACTGAGGAAACCGCTTGTCCTGGCTCTTCCGCCCGGCTTCCGCCCCTCCCGCACCCAGCCAGTCTTCTGTCCTTCAACACGCCTCCTCCAGCACACCTCCACCGCTTTGCACAAACCACCACCATCATCCGGCTCTGGTCATCCCCAATTCCTTTCGAACCCTACTAATTCCCCCGCAATCAGTGCTCGTCGCTGCCTTCCTGCCTCGTCGCACGCACGACCGTCTTGCACGACTCCTTTCTCAGCCGCCTGACACGCAGTGCGTGGCTTTGCGTCAGTCTTGCCCGTGGGAGACCAGACTGCGACGCATTCGACAACCCGTCATCGACGCCAGTCCTTCCCTTTCCGGTCACGACCTATCTACATTCTCCTCTTGCAGATTTCCTTCTTGAAGCGACATCACGACACTTCCGCGACTGCTCTGCTTTCACCACATCCGCCGTTATTATTGCTGAGCCTTGCGCCAAGCGCCCCGTACCAACTCGTGGGACATCATTCCAGCTTGACACTTGTCCTAGTCGCACCGCGAAGCAGTCACGTCCGGCGCACACGCGACGACTTTTCCTCACTACCCTCTGATGCCCTACTACGGCTCTGTGCGCTCGCCTTCGCTAAAGAAAATGGACAACTCTCGTATGGGCTACGGCCGCAAGCGGATCAGCCTTGACAACATCATTGGCGATCCTTTTGCGCTTGCAACAACATCCATTGCCATTGTAAGAGCTCGTCCGTGGAACTGCTGCCACACCTGACTAGGTTTACTGACCATCGGTACCCAATTACCTAGCTCGCGTGGATCATCGCATTCATCAGCTCCATTGTAGCCCAGGTCACGCAAACTACGGAGCTCAAAGAGAAGGCCCCATTCCAGTCATTCACATGGTGGGCGGTGGTGTATATGCTCTTTGAGGTCATCGGAGTCACGGTCGTGATTGCCGCCGATGCTATCCAGACATACCACGTTGCCATCGTCGGATACGTCGCGTGCGGGCTCGTCCTTACCACCTCTGCCGTCAACAGCGTCATCTACTCATCGATAGGCGCTCGGCAGGCTGCTTCAGCCGGCTTTATTCTCCTTTCGGTCGTCAACGTAAGCATCACACTCAAAACACTAAACGTGATAACAATACCGAACCCATATTAATATTTCTGCACAGGTGCTTTGGATCTTCTACTTCGGCTCGGCCCCGAGCGCTGTCGCTCGCGCGTACATTGACTCGTTTGCTCTTCAGAAAGATTCCACCATGAACCGCAACACCATGGCCGGCGGATACGGTGTTCGACCGCAGACTTCGACGTCCCACCAGCCACCCCAGATGTATACCACGTCAGCACAGCTCAACGGCTTCGAGAATCCGTCGCCCGCATTCAACAACAGCCGCCCAGCCAATGCATCGCCCGGCTTCCAGCCCCCGGTTCAGCAGTCTGCGAAGCCGACTGACCCCGAGATCGCCGCGCCCACCGAGTACCCGTACCGTGCCAAGGCCATCTACAGCTACGAGGCCAACCCGGATGACGCCAACGAGATTTCCTTCTCAAAACACGAGATTTTGGAGATTAGCGATGTCAGTGGCAGGTGGTGGCAAGCGCGGAAAGAGAACGGCGACACAGGTATTGCGCCAAGCAATTATTTGATTCTGTTATGATTGAAGACGAAGCTCCCACAGCATTTCGCCAATCATCATATCACGGCATTGAAGTGAATGGGGGGAATGCGCCAACTTCCTTTCAAATCGACGTACAAAAGACATGAACGCATAGGGCTTTCAAAGACAAATGTCTGACGGAGTATACTGGATCCTTTGATTTTCGCGTTGGGGCATGGGGATATAGTGCTTTTTTCTGGGTGCAATTCTTGTTGATTACTCTACTTCTCTCAGCTTGGCTTTCCATACGCCAAAGCGGCCAGCTGGTCATTGTTTCTCTTTCATGTTCAATTTTTCTACGCATCTGCTTCGCAGTGGCCAGTGATTAGAGGGGCTTGTGGAAGTTCTTGGCTACTCTGGGCCACAGGTTGCCTTGCGCCCATACGGGCCGCCGTCACTCGCGTGATGCTTAGCCGAATAAGGTGAGCAGAGACACCGAGCTCAACAGCAGCCGTGCTCATGCGAATCTGGTATGCGAGATGAAAAGACAAAATACTCCCAAAGCGAGAGCGTGCCATATCACCCGTGAGTGCCATTGACTTGAATCGGACATGTGCTGCATGGCGGGTGACGAATCCCATCGAACGTCGACAATCCTAGGTCGCGAGACTTGGTTGACACTGCCCGTGTCCAGGCAATGTCTTCACCATGCAGGTTCGAGGTGGTCTGATCTGTCCAACGGATGACGTCGCCTTGTCCAGACTCAGATTGATACTCAGTTGGCTTTGATGCTCGTACGTGAAGGTGGCTCGAGACTCCATTCCGCAGCCGTTAGATAGTGCAGCCGATCAGTGGCGCGCAAGCCGTTCTGGATAGTTCGTGACCAAACTAGAGGCAGATGATACGACGTGATGGTGCGTACATGATGCCAAGATTGGACTGTGCCCGCGAGGCCCCGGGCACCGTAAACGTGATGCTGCTGGACGATGACGTCTGGGAATAAATGCGGGCCGCCCATGATCATGGTGCGAAGTTCCGCATTCCCCCTGCCCCAAAGGCCTGCCGAGTGTGACGCCCTTCGGTCACAGCCGGTCGTAATGTGTGCGCAATCTCCTGTGCGTGTGTGCGTGAGAGCAGCACGACGACGACGACGGCGACGACGGCCGCCCGCTTAATCAAGCCTGGTCGAGCCGCTTCCTCAGCTCGCGCTCCTTCTGCAGCACTTGAAGCTCCAGCCTCTCGACACTGTACTTGAGCGCCTCCTTGCGCTGCCGCACCACGCGAGCGCGCAGCTTGGCATCGGCATCGAGCCGTGCGTTCGTCTCTCGCGAGTTCTTGTGTCGGCTCCCTGCCCCATCAGCACCACCGCCGCCGCCACCGCTATGGGCAGCCCTCTCCTCCTGGCGCAGGCGGCCGGCCTGCAGGTCCGCGCGGGCCTTGAGCCCCTCGACGCGCCGCTCGATGCGGGCGTTCTCGTTGTCGACGCGCTCGAGCAGGGCCGCGATGGCCGGGCCGATCTCGTCGCGCAGGCTGGCCTCGGCGGCGGCGAGGGCGGGCTGGGGGATCAGCTCGTAGTGGCGGACGGACTTGAGGACGGTGGTGAGGCGGGGGAAGTTGGCGACGCCCTGGCCGAGGGTGTCGACAGAGTTGCCGAGAAAGGAGAGGCTGGTGCGCAGGGACGAGACGCAGTCGCCGTAGGTGGACGTCGTGGATGCCATTGGATGGGCTGGCTGCTCGTTTGCTGATGTCTCGGTTGAAAGTAGCACGCGGGCCTTGCTGGGAGGGGGGGTCGTGTAGATGGTGTTGTGTGTGCAATATACTTTGCAATAGCGGTTGTGCTTGAGCTTTTTCGTGTTCGCTCGTTTCGAGGTCAGTTGTTCAAGAGGTCGAGAGTGGGTTGTGTGTGTGGGTGTGTGTTTATTTACATGGGCGTTGCGAGCGGAGGGGCAATGGTTGGGGTCGCGGGCCAGGCCGCACATCTCGCATACAACTTGCCTGAGTTGTGGCTGGAACCGCATCAACATCAACACCAACAGCAGCAACGCGTTTCAAACCCTGCAATCCGCTCATGGCTTTGAGTTCTTTGGATAGCTGGCTTATTTATTCATCTATGCGCCATACATGAGGCCGTCACTGCTGCACTGAGTTGACGAGAACAGTCTCGCATACAATGAGACCCCTTCGGCACTTTAGAGGTCCAAAGATTGGTAAACTATTTAAGTAGACTGGCCTGGCAGGTTCACGTAGAGACTCGCTTTTGCTCTGTATTTGGCTGCGGTGACGGAGCATCAAACTGGGCAGGATTGAGGCTGGTTGGCGAGTCGATTGCGCCTCCCACTTTCCTCAACTGCCCACGCCCGCCCGTTGACATCACACGCCACTGAGTTCAGCTTGATTGCTATAAAATGCTCTGGGCCTTTTCCCCTTCGCATTGTAATGTAAAGCACTAATTCACAAGCCACGTATATTACCATTCTTACTCTACACGACTTTGCGGTTCGTGGCCAGGCATCCGTCAGAGAGCTGCATCTGGCCCATCATTCTTCCGCCCAGCATTCCTCACTTACAGCTCACGGCACCCTTGAGCCACGCCAGTTATCTCCCAGATCTACAAATCCACTCTGCCGAGTGGAAGTGCCGTCTCGTGCCGCAGGCATCGCAAAGGCATCAACTGGACTCAAGGCATCAACCCCGCCGAATCCCCCTTCCCCTAGGAGTTTGTCCAAGTGCAAGTGCCGGCAAGTCCCCGGAGGAACACAGGCACTCAGTTCGCTTCGCCCACGAACATGACGGCGCTCTACAAGCACGAATGGAGGTGCAGTTTGCGTGTCCAATCCATGTTGGGCATCCCCTTTCGCGGACCAGACAGTGTTGTCGATCAGAAGTCCTCCGCCAGCCAGCCTCACACGCCCCCTTGGCCAACTTCCCCAGGGCACGTTTGCCTCTCCATCTTGTCGCCTTCCGCGAGCGCGCACGTCGAGTCATCCGCCATGTAGGGGTATGTTCACCTTGGCTTGTCCTGCCGAATCACCATTCAAATTGCTGACCCTTCGTGACACAGAATCTCCTACGGGACGTCGGCGGCTCGTCAGACATAAGAGCTCAGGCACGCCTCCGCTACGAGCTCTCTCTCCTCTCGCGTTCTCTGCGTTCATCATATCGCCACTGCAAAGACATTGCCGCCTTGGATTCAGCCTTGCTGCAGTCCCGCCGCAAGCATTCGCCATACCATCCGGTCCAGCCAGAAGAGCTGCTTAAGATGTACGCTCAGCTCGACTTTGTGAGGTCATCATTGCGGTATTCCGCACAACTCGTCATCAGGCGGCAGCAACACGCCAGCAGCGCCCCGCCTGCTATTGTTTGGACTCCGAGCCCAACTCAACTGGCAGCTCAGATCGGCCACCTTACCGGAGATGGTGGCGCCCAAGGTCAGAACACGTTCGCACTTGATGAGCAGGCCATGGCGATGAACGGCAATCTAGACGAGGTAGCGTACAGGAAAATGTTGGAGCAACAGCGCCGTATCAAGCGTGAATATGCGTCAGTCGAGAATGGAGCCCCAGGTCTTTGTGACAGCCAGAGCACTGACGGTAGCCACCTGGAGGATGTGCGAAGTCCCAGGCACCCGATTCTGGGGCAAGCTTTGGATGCTAAGGTTGTAGGCATCGGTAGGCTCGCAGTGCGTGCGGACGAGGAAGGTGTTACTCCTGAGCTTGAGAACATGGCTCCGTGCCCACAGAGCATAACATGTTCACCATCTTGATGTAGGGCGGAGGCGTTCAGGGGCCACGAGTTGTTGGTAACAGAACAACCACGATAGCGTGGACGAGCAAAGGCTGCTGCTCAGTGATATGTACTTTCTCAAAGACGTCGTATGCTTCTCATATCACCGAGAATACAGTCTTGCAATGCTGCACGTCCATGTCAAAAGGTTTCGCAGAATGTTCACCGCAATTGGAGTTCTCGAGTGACAACGAAACGAGCGTGTTTTGTTTGCTCAAAGGAACCTATCTGATACATGTACAACCGTGTCCAATCCGGCAATGTCCGCAATGTCCAGGAAATCTTACTTTCTGCTCATCTGAGATACTCCGCTGATCCCCAAGCGAGGGCTCTACCAGAGAATCCTCTCTCTCTCTCTCTCGCCTCCTTTAAGCCGGTACAGGAAGTCCCGACGACAACCTCCCACTGCCGCCGCTCCCGAACCCAAGGCCCCCACTGCCATACCCAGTACTCCCGTTGACAACGCTGCTCGTCCGACTACTCACACTCCCACCACCGCCGCCGTCGGCAAACCCATTGACCCCCCTCCGCTTGCACCTCCGCCTGCTGCGCCAGCACCTCCGCCGCCGCCGTGCAGAACCATCAGCAGATCAAAGCTCAGCTCCAGCCCGCGAATCACCTCCCTGACGTCCGCCCGGCCGAGCAGCTCGCCCTGGTGCGCCTTGATGGCGTCCAGCACGGCGTCGCGCAGCCGGCGGTCCTCGCGGGCCGTGTTGGTGTACGCCTCGCGCGTGGCGGCGAGGAAGTCGGCCGACGACCAGTGCGTGTGCAGGTCGGCGGAGAACTTGTGCGCGGAGAGGGAGCGGAGTCCCGCCACGGTGTATTTTGTGGCGAGGGCGTAGACGCGGGCGTGGATGGTCAGGTTCGGGGACGGAGATTGGGGTTTGGCTCGTTCTGTGGTGGTGTTGGTAGCTGTAGTGGTGATGATATCGTTGTTGTTGCTGTTGCTATTGGCGTGATCAGGATGAGGAGGCTGTTGTCCATTGATAACATGAGTACCAGCAGCCACCGGTTCGTTAGTCGCCCCGGGGCTCATGGTCACGACATTGTTGTTGTTGCCATTCACTGCCTCTGTGCTGGCAGTGACCCCGTTGGTGAACAGAGATGGAGATACAACCTCGGCTGCTCCGAGTGACGACGAAGACGCCGTTGTCAGAGACCGCTGCTTCTTCTTCCTCGCCTTCTTGGACAGCTTCACGGCCACATCGTCGGAAGCCTCTTTCGGGCTGCCGTTGATGCTACCGTTGGTGATGAAGGCCTCTTTCTCGATCGAGTACTCCGGGACGCCCGACGTTAGCTTGACGCCACCAGCCGGGTCGTCTGTGCTTGCGGCCGCAGTGACGAAAAGGACACTACCCTTGTTGTCCGTCGTGGCTGTAGGTGGAGAGTCTTGTTCTGGGTGGTGGCTTTGAAAGCCATTAGTGTGGATCTGCTCCTCTGGTGCTGTCGTAGCTGAGAGGTTCATCTCATCCCCGGTCGCGATATGGGGATAGTCGAGGTGGTAGAGGTAGTAGAGAAGAAGCCTGACGGCCTGGGGGTCGTCTTCGGAAAGGTCGATGTGCTTTTTGCTCTGCGTAGACCACAAGTCAACATTCAGAGGTTCCGTCTGGAACCTGGCAGGAGACGACCTTCGTCGTCGGGGCCCAGGAACAGTCGCCGTGCCAGCCGAAAGCTCGCAGCTCGACTTTCAAGCTCTTGGGAAAAACCAAAACGATGCGAAACTTACTTCACCATGCCCCCCGTGTAGCTCCCTGAGCTTCGGCGCGCGCGGGTACACGACCGCCTGGTGGACATTGTGCTTTTCTTCGCCACAAGTCACGACCAGATCCGAGAAGTCGGCAGAGTCATACAGCCTTGAGTGCAAATACAAGCGTCAGCTTTGGCTCTCAAACCAGAGCCGCGCGGGCTGTCTCTCTGAGAACTCAGGTGGTCCCCGATACTCACCCCTTCAGCGAGCCGAGCAATTCCTCAACGTATGCCGAGCTCATGACGCCTTGTTTGACTGGATCGACTATAGGTAATGTCTGACGAGACTTGATGCTATGAGGTCCTCAAATCGTGCGGTACCCTGTTCCAAGGTTGTCAGGAGCTCGATCCAAGGAAAGCAGATCCGTAGTCGTGAGATATCATGTGAAGGTTGAATTCTCCTTTTACAGCCACTACCAAGGCATTTATACCATATGCGATGAACCAAAGAAGGAAACCCGCGGCCAGACATGCGTGATTCGGCCAGCACAGCCTGACTCCAGATACTGTACATATCCGCCTTGGTCAGCTACCAAGTCTCCACGATTCATATGAGCTCGTCTTCTCGCGGAACATGCTGCATCGGGCAGCAACAAGAGGGAAGCCAAGACGGCAAGGCTCCCGCAGTGCTGCTAGCCTCTGCACTTGGCTGTGACTTCTGCACTTGCGGGTGATGGTGTTTGGTGAAGGAGGATGTTGTGCATCCTGCTGTGTCACCCACCTTCCCCAATCTTCTCCGCACTTCAGGCGTCAGGGAATCGTGTCTGGCCCAGAACTTCTCTCATGGCGCACAGTGTCAGATATACCCGATTTGACATTGGGACCTTCCATCTGGAAAGGAAGCATGTGCTGTGCAGCGCGGCTGGAGCTGAGGAGTTGAGAAACGAGGCACCCGAAGCTGGTCGAGGACTTTGGCTTTGGTCGTGCTTCATTCACACCACGGGGACAATATCGATGGATTCAAGGGTCAAGGCTGATGCCCACCAAATCCCGAGTAGCGGGCTGTAGGTCCGGGCCGTGAAAAAAAGGTTACTGCTTGTTGACGTCGATTAACAAGATCTGATACTTCGATCTCTCTCTTCGGCAACAGATGAGCAAATGTCTTATTGGGGGAAGAGGGGGAAGAGTAACACAACACCACCACCACCAACCATCCCCCACTCGCAAGGCTCCCAAAGCACCCCTTTAATGCATTACTTTCGCTCAGAACACGGCCAACAACGGAAGCGCGTAAGTTGTACAGCCTTTCTGCAAGCCGAAGGAGGGGGAATTGGCACTCACATGGACCGAGAAACGCCACAGAGAGACGTGGCACCAGACGCCTCCGCTCCCCGCCGCGTAGACCCAAGACCGAGTTCCTGCACCGCATTGCATGATGCAGCAGCAAGCAAGCATGCCACACCACCACCACCACCACCACTCCATATATATATCTCCAACTCTTCTCTCCGCCCCCGGGAAGCGTACCCGCCCGAGTGTGCCTTCCTCTCAGCCTATCCATCATCCCCCTTCTCCCTTTCCTTTCTTTTTCTCTCCGTCCACTCGGACCCAGCTTGGAAACGGGGAGTCGGCGTAGAGTGACGTGCAGAACAGCCAGCCAGCCAGCCAGCAACCTCGCGCGGACAAAGCCAGCCTGAAGCCTGGGCAATCCTTGTAGGACGGGGGGAAAAGGGGGGAAAGGTGTGTGGTGGTGATTGCCTGGCTCCTCTCCTTGGCAGGGCTGGGCTTCACCGGCTACATCATGCGCGCACACACACACACACACACACACACAGCTTCGGTGAAGATTCCCCAGAATCGTGTGGTCCGCGCCCCGGGACTGCCCGGTTTGCGTCGGCAAAGCACAGATGGGTATAGGTAGCCAGCCAGACGAACCGACACTTCAAGGAGGATAGGCTCCGCAACATCACCACCACCATCTAACTTCACTTCACTTCGGAGTTACCGTCTCGGTGCGCGGAATTGTGTAAGTATGGGGGGAAATAAATCAAAACAATGACCCCTTTCGCTAGATTTTTTAATGCATGTTTCTATCGGTACTGTATGCCAGCCGTGAGTGTATATACCCAGTGCCATAATCTTATTTACACCTCCACTATTATCCATACATTGGCTTCAGCCAGAACAACGTTCAACAATAACAAGCCGATTACTGCTGGCCTGGCCAGAACCGCTGAAAGTCAATGGCCCAGTCGCACGTGCCGCCCAGGTTCAGAGCCTTGTACCCCGCGGTGCGCGTGGCCTTGGTCGTCTCCTTCATGTACGACACGTACTGCGTGCTGTTGTACACGAGGATGTCGGAGCCGGCGAGCGTGTACTGCTGCGAGGTCGGGTTGGTGGCAATGATCTCGGCAATCTCGGCGTCGGCCAGCATCCCTTGCTCGCGGGTGCAGCGCCCGCTCAGCGCCCCCGACGCCGGGCCCGTGAACTTGCACAGCTCTCCCGCGCAGCCGGCCTGGGCCATCTGGAACGCCCGCCCGTAGCTCGAGACGCCCACAATCACCTTGTTGGCAGGGAAGCCGGCGCGGGTGACCATTGCCAGCGCCTGGGTGGTCAGGGTCGAGTTGACGTGCGAGCGGAGGCAGTTGCCCCCCGGGCAGCCCTGGAACTTGTCCGCGTAGCCGTAGTCGGACTGCATGAAGAAGTCGTACGTCATGACGACGAGGTAGTCAAGGCTCGACGCAATAGCAGCGAGCGGGTAGTTCTTGAGGTAGTAGTACGAGGCAGGGGCGGCAATAGACAGGGACTTGAGCGGGATGTTTTTGCGCATGGCCTGGAGGAACAAGTTGAAGCGGTCGCCCTCGTTGGCAGGGGCAGCCGGGAGACCGGCAGTGTCTGGCGAGCCGGGGTATTCCCAGTCAAAGTCCACGCCGTCGAGGTTGTTGGCGCGCAGGAAGTCGCCAATCTTTGCGACGGCAGTGTTGATGTTGGCATCGGTGGCAACCATGTTGCGGAAGATCATGTACGTGCTGGGCGAGGTAGAGAACGTCCAGCCACCAATCACGAGGATCTTCTTGGCTTTGGTCTGGGCCTTGAACAGGGCAAACTGCTCGTCCATGTCCGGGCTGATAATGACATCCCACGCCGTGCTGAGCGTGGCAAACGAGAAGTGGATGTGAGTAAAGTCGGAGGGCGTGTCTGTCACATTCATGTGCAGGCAAGGTCTGGCGGCCACGTTGTAGCCTTGGAAGTACCCAATCTTCTTGAACGACGCTGGCGGCTGGGCATTGTTGACCACGTTCAAGCCGCAGTTGGAGATGCAGCCGTTGGTGCCAGGGGCGAAGGTGCCCGGGTTTCCAGTCGGGCCTTTCGTCGCGACGCAGTAGTCCTCGTTAGTTCCACAATACCCGCTGCCTGAACAGCATGCTGAGAGAGGGCAAGGGTTGAGGGTGGCGAGGTCGACGCTCGCGGATGCTGGCTTGACGGTGCCGACAACCTGGGGACCGCACTGGACGCCGGCTCTCTGAACCGGCATGGGCCGGGTGCCGGAACTCTGGCAGATACGCTGACCGGGCTGCAGAGCATTGCAACCAGCCCATCCCCAGGTCTTGCCAACGTTGAAGCTCTCGAGTTGAGAGACGGTCAGGCCGAGCCTGGCGGCAATAAGGGCGCAGTAGTCGCCGGACTGGACGGTGTAGACACTGCAGGTGCCGTCGGCCTGGTTCTCCGGGATGGGCATGGGGCCGGCATTGCAGCAGACCTTCACACCCGGGTAGAGGGCGTTGCAGTTGAGACCCGGGTTGAACTGCTGGAGTTGGGGGATGGTGATGCCACACCGGATGGAGAGGCCCTCGCAGGCGGGCGTCTCACTGCCCGAGATGGCAGTGCACTGGCCTTGGGCGGGCATGTTGCCGGCATTGCAGCAGACCCTCTGGCCCGAGGAGAGGGCATTGCAGTTCATGGTCGGGTTGAACTGCTGGAGCTGGGAGACGGTGATGCCGCAGCGTTGGGAGAGGCCATCGCAGGCTGGGGTGGCACTGCCGACAATGGTAGTACACTCGCCTTGCTTCGGCGGGACGGGAATGTCGCCGGCATTGCAGCAGACCCTCTGGTAGGGGGCCAGGGCATTGCAGTTGAGGCCCGGGTTGAACTGCTGGAGCTGGGCGATGGTGATGCCGCAGCGTTGGGAGAGGCCCTGGCAGGCGGGCGTGGCAGTGCCGATGATGGCACTGCACTCGGCTCGACGGGCCAGAAAGACCTCTGCCTCGCGAGGGACAACGCTGACATCGGCGATGGCAGCAGCCTGGACGGCACCGGCGAGGGCGGCGATGCCCAGGAGGAAGTTGGAAAGACGCATGCTGGAAAGGACCGGTATATTACGATATCTTCAAAGGAGTGACAGCCTCGAGGGCGGATAAGGAGTGACTGGTTGGGATGGTGCCATCACGTCGATGCACGCCAACGGCGGCGGGCGAGGCGGTGCCTATATCAACTCTTGGAAGCCATGGCGTAGGCAGGTCGGGGACCAGAAGCGATGGCGGGCAGGGCCGGTGGCCGTCTGCTGCGCGCCGGGGAGATTTGACGGAGGACCAGGACGAAATGAGACAGGTGCCCGGCCTGGGATGGTGCGTGAGAATGGGCTCGGCGGCGCATGTGGCGTTTTGGAGGCGAGGGCTGCAGCCAGTCCGGGGCATCGTGAGTCTGCGCGGCGGGGGTTGTTGGTCCCAAAGAGGCAACAGGGCGAGATGCAGCCGCGGAAAGGGGACCCTCTCAAACTGCGTAAGGACGGCCCTGGCAGGGTCCGGCCCAGCCTAGCGGTCAGCGCTAGCCCTGCGGCCCCTGCGTCGCCCTGCACCGTCCTGCATCGCCCCTGCTGTTCCTGCCAGGCACGCGGCTCTTGCCTTCCGGGGGCCCTCGCCCTGTGCCAATCGCAGCCGCGCCTGCCTGCTCCAGGTGTGCTGTAGGTGTGGGTTTTCTGCACTTCTGCTCCTGCCTCCCATTCACAAATTTCTCGCTTCCCATGCATCCCTGCCCAGATCATGCGATCAGCAGTCTTCGTGTCCCAGCTGGGCTCGCGCTGGTTCGAGACCGCCTGCCTTAGCCCATGCGCCCCGAAGCTTGGCCCATTGTTCCCTACGCAGTATATTCTCGCCATCGCCTTACGAGCAGGCACGGTCCTCTGGAGAGTGACACCTTCAAATCCCGGCCCCTGTAAGGTCGCCGGGCATTCGGTCCCGTGGCCCCGCCAGCCCTGTTGGCCACTCGAGAACGAATGCGAGTCACCGTAGTCTGCCCTTGATCTCGTCGGTCGTGCTCTGGCTTTATCACTCCGCAAAGCCCTTCACACAAAATCACAACTTTCGAGAAGCGATTGGAAAGTAAGAAAACCATTCAATGACGTGACGTCTTCGTACACACAATCGCGATGGCAATCCACAACTGGTGGGCAACGAAGCCATTCTTCCGCAGCCACGGCGCCTCCTGCGCGACATGCGAGCGCCTCAGGCAGGGGTCAGGCACGGAGTGGTTTTCGGTGTTACTATAGTTCCATTAATCACACGGACATTGACCAGGTTCGGCTCGCTACCGGTGGAGTCATCAATGGGCCACTGGTGAATGTGCAGAAAATGAACAGAGATTCTGAGCTTTTGTGATCGAAAATCAAAGATCAACATCCCCGGCGACGATGACATCCCGAAGACTGTAGAAGGCCGTCCCCCTCCGTTGGATCGAGGTCATGGTGAGAACAAGTGAGATTGTCGATCCATTCTTCTCTAATGTGAAAATGATCGCGTGGGTATTGCGATGACCGTGCCAACAAGACTAACCCGTCACGGATCTGTCAGCTGCGCGATCAGATCAGACAGTTGGCCCCAACACCTGCAATCTACATGCTGGTGACCTTGGAGCTCACACACTCGCTATATTAGCCACGATGAGAGAAAGACTCAAGGATGAAGCAAACTTGGCACCGCTTGCTTCGTTGGTAGCAGCTCCTAGCTATGAGCACGGTTTTTTTCTTCTTTTTTTCGCAATGTCGAAGGACCGCCAAAAGATTGTCAGAAGAAGATAGTTGCGCATCTCTAGCATAAAATAGGCAGAACTCCAAGTTCCTTTTGCCATAGTCTGGCAACTTTCACGAGCACCTTTTCGAACAGATTAGTGATCACTGCCATCATTCATTGATACTTGGCAGATTGGAAAAGCCATCAGAACCACCTGGGTAGAACCTGAATGTACATTTTGGTTCGATTTTGACAAGCGGCACAGGTGCGCGTTAGCCGCTGTAACACAATTCCAATGGAGCGTGCAAAAGGATATACGTACAAAAGTCCACGAAAGGATATTCAAAATGAGAGCTCGGTCAAGGAACGCTCGACGAAGGTCACTCCTCGTCTGCGGGACGTGAAACGAGGTTTGATAGTGCTGCAAGAGAGATTTCAATTAACACCAAAAGACAAACTTCCACGTCCGGCTAGTTGAATTGATGATTCATTCCAGCGGTAAGGCCCGAAACGTCAGAGTAATGATTCAACCAGAAACTCACCGGCAACGGCATCCGTCTAGCTGATGTTCCCTTCAAGCCTCGGGGGAGCTTTGAGATCTCGGGATTTTGGAGTCTCTTTAGCTTTTGACTTTTGCTCTTACTGATGTCACAACGTTTCGTGCAGGTCCGATACTCCCAAAGGAGACCTCGAGCCTTTGATATGTTCTCATCCTTTGGAAGACTTACGTCGCGTGCTAGAATTTCGTATTTCGCACCACGGCGCCCTATGCGGTCCTTCCAACGATCAATGTATTTTAGAAACAAGGCTGACGAGTTCATGACTTGGGGCTGTTAGAGAAACACGTCACGCTTGGAACCACGACGCAAGCGCGCTGCAAATTAAAACGGTTTCTAATCCCGTAGCAATGTAGATCGTGTGGCGCATGGGTTGCTGTTTCATGGCTGATAGCAAACAGCATTTCGGAGCATGATACTTTGTTCTTGGGGCTACTTATCCTCTTTCAACCTTTTTTGCTGCTTCTCTCCCATTCCACAATAAGGGTGGGTGGATCTATGCCTGAACAGAGTGACCAATCTCGTGGCTCTCCATACTCACCTATGTGAGATGATAAACCCGTGGTCGCGATTGGGATCATCCAAAAGGTCACTCGGCATAGGGAGGAAGGTGATGACAGCCCAACTCGTCCGGATGGACAGCTTGATGGCCTTTCTAGCTTCAGAAAACTGCGCTGGCGTGGAACGTGGAAAGTCCTTCGGGAGTGCTTACTCTCACCTCGATCAGCTTCCACCCGGTGATCGTAACGATCGAATGACTTCCAGATTTTACTGCCCATATTGTTACACCAGAAGCTGTTTTGCTGGGCTCGCTTGATGACTTAGGCTTCTCACTCTACGATGATGTGCTTCTGCACCCACGAGCCAAGCAGAAAAGGTTTTGGTTGGAACAGACATGTGCTGGTGGACTCGATGCGAGATTGAATCGGAAGCTTGTGCTGTTATCGGCGGACCGGGCAGGCCCAGGCAGTGTTTGTCCCCGAGTACTGGCGCCTATTTGGGGATCAGAGCCTTCGGTCGTGGGACAAGGAATCTGGCGTGTGTGATTTGTAACAAAAGCTTCGATTTTGGGGTTTGACATACGTACGAGCATGGATGACTTGGATGGATTGAGCATCGTCATGTAAGTTGTGATCGCATATCCAGTTGGCTCCTATGCTCGAAAGTGCATATACTTGATTTCAGGGTTTTGGGTGCAGAGGTAACAGTGAACGAGATGCTCGAGAGTGTCAAAGTCACGAGAGCGCACGAACACAATAGCGCCGATTTTTGAGTTATTGTTATTCCTGCGTGTTGAAAGCCCTCCTGGACTAAACTTCGTGGCGACCTACGAACTGATTGACCGGATACACAGCACACTAATGAGAGACATATGGATTCAGGTCAAGCATAACGTACGCACGCTTCAAGCATGGCGGGTGTGCGCTCACCCATTGATCGAAGACGCTTCGATATCCGACGAAGGTCAAATACGTACCCCTACTTGTCTTCGCGTCGTCTTGGAAGCTTGCAAGCCCCGTTGCATAATCATGGAGCGTTCCTAACATAACCATCTGGCCTTCGTACGTCAGACATGCATTTAGTAGAAAGCAATGCGCCTTTTACCGCAGTTGGTTGAACATAATTTCTGCCGGTTCCACATTCGTCATTTGGGTCCATTGGCCTGTCTCGATTATGTACACTTGGCTCTACTGTCCCCAAGCTATGGTTTCCCGAAAGTCCGCATCATGCCCTCGGGTTCGCCATCGCGCTCTTCATGCCTCAGACTTGGCTGCGGCAACCGACGGCGGGTCGATGGCCTTAGGGTACGGGGCCTGACCACGTTCTCTGAGGATAGGGTAGTGAGCGTAGATCTGCCGCGACCGAAGGTGCACGGGAGTCTCGTAGCTGGGCGTGCCAGGGATGGTCTTTTCGAGTTTCTGCAAGTCAAAAGCATCAGTATCGCTGTGAATCTGAAAGGTGAAGCCATCCTGTCCACAATTTCTCCCCTCGTTCTCAGAAAGCTTACCAGGTTATCAAAGACACATGAGTTGAGCTTCCACTCATCCTTGCGGCACTGCCACATCTGGTGGTTGTTGTTGTCGAGGCACTGCCAGTGCTTGCGGAACTCCTCGAGGCAGTGCTTGTTGATGTCCTCGATGACGCTCGACGCGCACCGGGTGACCCTGCGGCCCTCCTTCAGGCACTCGAACTCGCCCTTGCCGGGGTTCTCCTCCTTGCACTGCATGAAGTCGTCGTTGTACGGCCGGCAGCGGGCGCCGATGAAGAAGGATGCCGACATGAGCGGCGCAGAGGTGGCGCCGACCTCCTTGACCGCCGGGATCGACTCCGGCAGGGGAGTCAGATCCACGAGGTTCTGCTGGTGGAATCTGTCGTGGGCAGCTGCGTTAGCTGAGGAGCTCGGCAGATTCGTTGGCGATCGCGGGCTGGCCGTCGCCTGTGCCAATTGGTCTTTCGTGGATCGGGGCGAGACATCGTTATACTTACTGGGGCTTTCGGGTCGACATGGCTGCGGCGGTGACTGGAGTGGCCCACGATATGTCGTTACCAGAGTGAGCTTGGAGGTGATGCTGGATCGCAGCCCGCCAGGCGACCTGACGCAGCCAAAAGTCGAGGTTGGAAATTGGAGTCGGTGATTGGCTCTAGCCACTCAAGTGGATGCAGCCACACAAATGTGCACCTTCGTGGCGCCGGAGACAGTCATGCTGCACAGCATAATTCCAAGGTCACTTATGCAGGTTTATGGCCCACTTATTCATCCAGCTCTTGCTGCGATCGGATTGGTTCCCGGGTAACTGAGGAGGACGCGCTGGGAGAGCTGCAAGCTCGACCAAAGCTGGAGCAGCCTTGCACGCGCATGCCCAGCACAGCAGGCCGGCCTAAGCTCAACTGCGCCGAGCCTTGTTCTTTTTTTGAAGCTCGCCTAGACGTCAACAAGAGACGTACAGTCTGCTCCTTCCAGCGAACTCGCGAGACACGACCACATCAGCGCATTGATCCACTTGGGCTTGAGTGTGAACGTGCCCTCTGGCTGGATATTCATCTCTCTACCGATTCGCGCCTACACAAAACTTCGGCAACTCGCTTCTTCGCGATCGTCACCGCCGTGCCGCCTCGGAGCTCCCTTGTCTCCTACCACGACCACCCCGAAAGCGACACAAGTCGCACGCGCAAGCTGCAGCCACTCGCGATTTCGGTCCACTGCGGAAAGCCGTTACCATGTCGCTGTTTGCACCTGCCAAGCCGGCAGGCGGCTCGTTGTTTGGCCAGCCCGCAGCATCGAGTCCTTTTGGGCAAACAAACACCACCACGACAGGAGGTAGCAGTCTGTTTGGCCAGCCACAGCAGCAGCAACAGCAACCCCAGCAACAACAACCTCAGCAGCAGACTAGCGCGTTCGGCGGCAGTATGTTCAACCAGACCCAGCAGGCCCAACCGCAGCAACAACAACAACAACAACAACCGCAGAACAATCTGAACGCCAGTCAACTCGGACGGGCCAGTTTAATATGGGAGCCTGGGCGGGAGTCCTCACAAAGTACGTCGGCGTTTGATGTGGAATCTTAGACTGCAGTACTGACAATGCACTCCGTTTAGACCAGAAGCCTGTCCTCCAGCAGGTCGAGAGCTTGTACAACAAATGGAACCCTGACCACCCCAGCACGACTTTCAAGCACTACTTCTACAACAAGGTCGACCAGTCCAGAATACCATTCTACCAGCCCTCTGCGAACGAGGACCCTCGAGAGTGGGAGCAAGCTGTGCACGACAAGCCGGAGCCCGGCTTTATGCCGGCCCTGGCGACCGGTTTCGCCGCCGTCGCCGAGCGCCTGAAGATGCAAAAGAACATACTTGCCCAGTTCAACCAGGCCCTGCACCAGATCAACGCGACTCTCGACGCCATCCTGTCGCAACACGACCTGCAGACAAGTGTGCGCGCCCTCAACGCGCGCCGGAAGCACGCGATACTCCGGCAGAGGTGTCTTGCGCTCGCCAGCAAAGTGCAGGTGCTGCGGAATCGCGGCTACGCGCTCGACAAGGAGGAAGACGAGCTCAAGACCAAGTTTGACACGCTGGAGCGTGGCATCTCGGACCCTGCGCTGAGCGCGCGGACGGAAGAGCTGTGGTCGCGCCTGATCATGCTGAGAGTCTATGCGGATAGTCTCAGCAACGAGTTGAGCAGACGGGGGCCTGAGACGCAAGAAGGGTTAGGAGAGGAAGCGGAGGCCAAGGCAAAGAAGGTATGTGACGTGGTCGTCCATATGAGAATACGCTACATCATGATATCTAACCGAGACTGTGCAGATTCTTGAGGACTACGACAAGCAGCTTCAGACGCTCAAGTCGCAGGTTGAGACGATCAAGAAGGATTACGAAGAGTGGGAGAAGGAGAGGAACCCCACAGGCGAGGAGAAGGACTAGAGAAGAGGCAGTTCGTTCTGTGCATCCTGTTCCATGGGCGCACAGATGGGGAGGAGTCATGAGATTGAGCATAGCGCTATGCAGTCGCAACTATGCGACACCTTATACCTACCATAATCAAGGCAGATCTGTTGGGCCGTCGAAGCGCCGGCAACATGTACAACCCAAAAACATGATCTAGATCATCGCATGGTTTTGGATTTTGGAAGCGAGGCAGACACGTGTATGTGTTTATGCAGGTGATATATTGCTACATAGATTTACACGAAAAGCCTTGATCTGCCAATATTGCATGGATCGGCCATCGGTCGTCGAATTGCGATGGCCTCGATGATGACTCTGGTTCTCCTCTTGCGCCATCGCGCGTTTTTGCCTCTGATTGTCTGATTGTTGATTTGTTGTACATTGCCCGTCTCCGTGGTCGGCAAGCGCAGCGTGCCCTTGGTCCATAGGATGGTCTTGGTGTCTGAACGGTCTGATATGCTCTCGTGATGGCTACTGCTTCAGCACATGACTCCGACCCGGTGAATTCCCGATACTTCTTGCTGGTAGCGACGTGCAGCCGGGATTTCCTCTATTCTTTCACACAAAGTCCAGAAGCGCATGACCTCTTTCCGTCGGCTATCGCATCTTTATTTCGCAGGTCGGGGTTGGTGGTGTCAATCTGCAAGCTTAGAAGAAGCTCGATGCAGCATCGATGACAAAAGGTGCTGCACAACGAGGGACACGCAGATATGTTAGTAACGGAGATTGCGCTTGATGGGCAGGCAGATTTGATCTTGCCACGGGGACGGCAAGTGTATGCAGCGTCCTCAGAAGAGGGCGGGGAGAACGTACAGATGTACAGCACAAAGGCGGTCGCGATGAAGCGGTTCACCGTCGAGTTGGCCTCGGCCTCGAGGGCCCTGATCTCCTCCTTGGAGAACTGCGGAGGTGCGACTGTTTGTTCGGGTCAAAGGCATGGTTGGTTAGTCGTTGCTTGAGTGGTATGTTTGCTTGCTTGCTGCGTATGCCCGATACTGCATGCATGTGTTGCCGCTGTAAAACACGCCTAGGGGCAAAGAATACTTACAGCCGCCGAACATTTTGTGATTTACTGGCTTGGGTAGGCACGTGGGGAAATTAGGGATGGCAGTCGGAGGTTGGGCGTGGTGCTGGTTGTGATGCTTTTGGAGGTGAAGTTATTGCTGTTCCGTTGCGGCTGCTGCACGAGCTTGCTGGTGCTTGGATGACGCTGGTGGTCGGCTTGGTGCTTGGACAATGTCACTCACTGCAACAGCATAGTGGGAAGTGACTTCACACAAGTGGCCTGCGCCAAGTGGGCCAAAAATTCTTGGGCTTGTGCCTACCCAGCACCTAAGTAAGTACTTAAGTACCCGCAAGGATGTTCTGCATCATGCCTGCCACAAGGTTAAATGACCGTGATTGAGATCTAGATCTGGTGATCTGGAGCCTTGATGGCCTGTTGCATCGATCATGTACAGGGACGTCAGCGATTGAAGCTCAAGAATGCAGCTTGATACTCAGGTCCTCGAGCTTGATAATTACGGCAAAATCCCAGATTCATTCACCGCCATACAAGGCATCTATCTTCGCAGTGGCTCTCAATCAGGGTTTCGTATCGCAGAACTCGCGCTAAGCCCGATTCAACGAAGGTCCAACAACGTTGACGAGTGGCACGCCACCTTGTCAAGAGCCTGGGATTGCCGCTGCACGTGGGTGTCGAGAGCGCGTCCGTTGTCGGAAGTGCTGGGCAGGCAGGGCCGCAGGGGCACCGTGCTTGTTTGTCAAGGCTTTGAACCCCATCGTGATACCCCAGACATGTGTGTCCGGGTTGTGCCGGGTCATTGTGGGCTGAGCTAACCGACAGGGCGTGGGATTTGACAAGACGCAACCACCAAGGGTCTCCAGCAGCTTGGTGAGGGTCCCGGTCCACGGTGCTGGGAGACCCTCATTTGCATGACAAGGCTTCTTCATGACGAGACTCGAGTACGTACATTATCTCGACTCTCGAGTCAGTAGCGGTGTACTGGTCGTACCAGACAGTGGCGCAAGGAGGGGGTTTTGCCTTGGAAGTGACGGCAACGTGCCTGGATTCTTATCAGCAGCCTTATCCTGGCGGCCCAAAAAAAAAGTTTCAGATGCAGATCCTCGGCTGCTGCGCCCATGGGAGCAGCCAGCGATAAGGCAGTCGAGGCGGCGAGCACATGTCTCGGATGCTCCTATGTCAAAGTTCCATGCTGGCTGTTCACAACGGCCATCTCAGCAGCAGCCCAAAGTGAGGAAAGACGACCGCCCAGCCCGTATTGAGCATGTGATGTACATGGTGAGTGCGGTCGGTCGCCGTGCCCTCCAACAAGGCCACGCAAGGATTCCATTACCTAAAGCTTCACGGCCATGAGCTGTGTTCCCCAGTCCCGTGCTGTGCTGCACGAGCCCGGCTCCGTGGCCGGGCTCGCGCTAGTTGATGGGGATCAAGGTCTGGGTGCTGAACCCCGTCCCATTCCCAGAGGCGAAAAGTCGACTCTGGCGGCGTGCTGTCCCTGCGAAGTCGCCGCCTTGGCTGATCCCCAGACCAGAGAGCCCACTTGTACCTGCCTGTCGTCTGATCCCTGCTTATCATCGTCTGCTCCTCATTCTCCTTCGGGCTCGTGTCTTGGACTCTCCGCCTTTTCCTTCCATCCCTTCCCCTCCTTCTCTTCTTTGATTCTTTTCGTCTGTTGCATTTGGTGTGTCTTCCTTTCTCATTTGTCCTCCTCACCGGGCTCAGAGCTCAAGCGCCTTCCGCCGCGATTCTCTCTGCCATAGCTAGCCATGGCTGCTTCCGCGAAGCTCGCCCCGCGGCGCCTCGGCCTGCTAGCCGCGCAGAGCCGCATCTTGCCATCATCACGCACCGCCCCGCGTCTGCCTCTCGCCGCCCCCCTGCTACGCCGCCAATGCCTCCAGAGCGGCTTGGCCAGCAGCACTGGCGCGCGTCGCTATGCGGCCAGCACCGCAGCAGCAACCGCCCGGCTCGTCGAGGACAAGGAGCCTGGCGTCCGCACTTACGATACCGACTTATATGGCGGGCTCGACACCTTCGTCAACCGCCACATCGGCCCTGATGAAGCCGACACGCAGGCCATGCTGAAGGCCCTCGATCCGCCCGTGCAGGATCTCGACCAGTTTGTCAGACAGGTCATCCCGTCCGACATCTTCTCGACCCGCGAGCTCTGGACTGATCGTTCCGACATCACCTGGACCGAGACCGCCTTCGAGAGTAAGGCCGGCGTGATTCTCCGGCACAATCGCATCATGAAGAGCTTTATTGGCCAGGGCTACTACGGAACAAAGGTCCCAGCCGTCATCCAGCGAAACGTACTCGAGAGCCCTGCCTGGTACACAAGCTACACCCCGTACCAGCCCGAGATCAGCCAGGGCCGTCTCGAGTCGCTAGTCAACTTCCAGACGCTCGTCACAGATCTCACTGCCTTGCCCATCGCCAATGCCAGTCTCCTCGACGAGGGTACCGCCGCCGCCGAGGCCATGACCCTGTCGATGAACGCCCTGTCCGCCTCCAGAGCCAAGCGCCCAGGCAAGACCTACGTCGTCTCGGCTACAATCCACCCGCAGACCTTCGAGGTCATGCAGGCTCGTGCCAAGGGCTTTGGAATCAAGCTCGTGAAGCTCAACCTCGATGGTCCAGATGCCCACAGCACCATCCGGAATCTCGGAGACGACCTGGTTGGTGTCATGGTGCAGTATCCAGACACTTTCGGCCAGGTCGAGGATTACAAGCCCCTGGCAGACTTGGTCCACAAGCAGGGTGCCTTGCTCAGCGCTGCCACTGATCTACTGGCCTTGACCGTCCTTACGCCGCCGGGAGAGTGGGGTGCCGACATTGCCTTTGGCACTGCCCAGCGCCTCGGTGTGCCCATGGGCTATGGCGGTCCTCACGCCGCCTTCTTTGCAGTCACGGACAAGCACAAGCGCAAGATCCCCGGACGTCTGATTGGACTGTCCAAGGACCGTCTTGGGGGTAAGGCATACCGTCTTGCTCTGCAGACTCGCGAGCAGCACATCCGCAGAGAGAAGGCCACGAGCAATGTCTGCACTGCCCAGGCCCTCCTCGCCAACATGAACGCATTCTATGCAATCTACCACGGCCCTCAGGGCTTGAAGCAGATTGCCGAGCGCATCATTGCCACTGCCCGGGTTGTCCAGAACGTTATCGAAGCCGCTGGTTTCCAGACACTGCGCAGCAAGTATGGCAATGGCGAGGTGCTGTTTGACACTGTCGTCGTCAACATGGGCTCGGAGCATGCTGCCAAGGCCCTTGACCAAGCCTTGCACACGAGCTTTTTGGAGGCCCGCAAGATCAGCAGCACCAGCCGTGGCTTTTCGGTCGACGAGGTCACGAGCCCTAGCATGCTATTCTCCCTGTGCCGCGCATTTGCACAGGTCTCCAAGACAGGCGCCAGCGAAGGCGCTCTCATCGAGCTCGTGCAGCCCGCTCTTCAGCAGAGCATTCCGGCGCCTCAGGTCCCCGAAGCCTTCACTCGCACGTCGAGCTATCTGACGCACCCTGTTTTCAACACGCACCACTCCGAGACTGAGCTGCTGCGGTACATCCACCACCTGCAGTCCAAGGATCTGTCCCTGGTCCACTCCATGATCCCTCTCGGCTCGTGCACAATGAAGCTGAACGGCACCACCGAAATGAGTTTGATCACTCGTAAAAAGGTCTCTGACCTCCACCCATACACCGACGAGAGCTTCACACCAGGCATGCAGACCATCCTGAAGTGGTTCAAGGAACAGCTTGCCTCCATCACCAGCTTGCCTGGCGTATCCCTGCAGCCCAACTCCGGTGCTCAGGGTGAGTTCGCTGGACTGCGCGCCATTGCCGACTACCACGCTAGCCGTGGTGACGTCAAGCGCGACATCTGCTTGATTCCGGTCTCTGCTCACGGTACAAACCCAGCTTCAGCAGCCATGGCCGGCATGCGTGTCGTGCCAATCAAGTGCGACACCAAGACCGGCAACCTAGACCTTACGGATCTCGAGGCCAAGTGCGAGCAGTACAAGGATCAGCTTGGTGCCATCATGATCACGTACCCCAGCACGTACGGTGTCTTCGAGCCTGGTGTCAAGAAGGCCTGTGAAATTGTACACAAGTTCGGTGGCCAGGTCTACATGGACGGTGCCAACATGAACGCTCAGATCGGACTCTGCTCTCCTGGCGAGATTGGCGCCGATGTGTGCCACTTGAACCTGCACAAGACCTTCTGCATTCCTCATGGAGGCGGTGGCCCTGGTGTCGGCCCCATCTGCGTTCAGGAGCACCTCACGCCATTCCTTCCCGGCAACCCCAACGCCATCACGCCTGGCCGGCCCCGGACCGAGGCATTCCCCGTCAGCAGCGCCAACAACGGTAGTGCCAGTATCAACCTGATCAGCTGGGCCTACAACAGTCTTATGGGCAAGGAGGGCCTGAGGCAGGCAACCAAGATCACTCTCCTCAACGCCAACTACATCATGTCGCGTCTCAAGCCGCACTATCCGATTCTATACGTCAACGAGCACCAGCGTTGCGCTCACGAGTTCATCCTGGACGCTCGCCCGTTCCGCGAGTCTGCCGGCATTGAGGTCATCGACATTGCCAAGCGTCTGCAGGACTACGGGTTCCACGCTCCTACCATGAGCTGGCCCGTTGCCAACACGCTGATGATTGAGCCTACGGAGAGTGAGAGCAAGGAGGAGCTTGACCGTTTCATTGATGCTCTCATCAGCATCCGCCAGGAGATCCGTGACATTGAGGAAGGGCGGACGCCTCGCGAGGGCAATGTCCTCAAGAACGCTCCCCATCCCATGTCTGACCTGATCTCTGGTGACGATGGCAAGTGGGAGCGGCCATACACCCGCGAGCAGGCCGCATATCCCTTGCCATGGCTCAAGGAGAAGAAGTTCTGGCCGAGCGTCGGTCGTGTGGACGATTGTAAGTTTGCCTTTATACCTTATTAGTCACACCGGACCATGTTACTGACAATCCATGCACAGCATACGGTGATCTCAACCTCTTCTGCACCTGCCCGCCCGTCGAGGACACGACTGTCAATGTCTAGCCTATATCTCTCTCAAGATATACATTTGCATTTTTAAACTGGGTATGGGGGCATTCACATATATACCATTTTCAACATAGACGGGACGATTTCCCGACGCCGGGGCAGCAATTTTTAACATGACAGGCTGCCCCTTTGGATGACATGCTCCTCAGCGACGATTTAACACACATGGAAAGCGCGGCGTTTTGTAGTCACATTTATATGGAAAGGAGAAGGACAGTTTTGGTCTTTGTCTTGAGGAGAACAAAGTGTTATGATGTGGCATGGACGGACAAAAGGGAATGGACGGAGATTTGATAGCATTTCAACAAACCTGCTAGAATACGTTCTCCTGGTTCAAAAGACTTTATAGACGGCGTTGCGCATGCTCTGCGGTATCATCCACCGGCATTGTCGGCAATGGGCATAACAGCAGGTAAATTACCTTAAGGTACTTTTCATTCAACTCTTCACCTTGCTTGCTCGGTGGTGGCCTCCGTGACAGGGACTATCGTGGCCGAGATTCTCATGGACAATTCGGCGAAGAGAAAAAAAAAAACATACTTGAAATGAGGCACCCGCATGGCAGGAAGGCGAGATCAATCTCCATTGATGATACAGCCTTTTTTTTTCTTCTCTCTCTTTCGGTCAGAGTATCATTCGCGCCCCGTGAACCTTCATTGTTTCGCGATCGCATTATGCCCTTCTGACTCCTCGTAAGCCTGTATGGTCTTTGTGTTGTCTTAATGGCTGGGCAGGTCACGTTGCTTTGTGCGTGTAAAAGTTTGCAGTCGCTTTTACGTCTTGGTAGGCGTAGCAAGTTGTGCCGGATATGTGATCCAAGTATATGTGCGACCACATTTTCACCTTTATAGTCAGCCTTTTTTTTATTACTTACATTTCGCTTCCCGACTGCCTGGTCCTGAAGCGGTCCCATTTCGAGATAATGATTAATCTGGAGCGATCTCGAGCAACTGAACAGAGGTGTTAGCAGGAAGAGTTCCATTTGACTGGCTCGCTGGGGATTGCTTTGTTTTCAGAGCAATGTGTCACTGAATGGTTGTTCAGCAGAAGACCAAACCGAAAACAAATATCACAAGTTATGCGAAACATTGCATGTGGGAATTTTCTGGAGGGGAAATCCAGTTAGAGCCTGGCCCTGGCATTTTCTTTGTACTTATCTCCTACGCCCTTTCTCGAATGCAAGAATGATATTTGTACATAGAGAGGAATGTCATCTCTTGTGCCTCATCTTTCTTGTCTGTTGGTCTGCCGACGCTCACTTGGCTGCGAAGCATCTCACAGTCAGCGCCAGCGAACTCCCATTACGGCATGTATTACTGAGGAGTGATCCGCAAGCATCCATTCTTTATTTTAGCGATTTCCAGCACATGATCATTTCAGTAGCGTGGCAGACATGTTCCTCTCATCGATTTGCAAGAATGATCCATCGTCATTATCCTCTGACGGACAACGTGCTTCCGCATAATCCGAAGGTACTGACGGCGTATTTCTACCGGCTGCATGCTCCTGCGAAATACCAGATGTGTCGCTTATCTGCTTCCATTCTATAATATCGACGACAGAGGATATCTATCGTGTCCAAAACCTCAATCACCCTCATTTCAAGACTCGAGTCTCGTCTCAAAATTCAGCTCCGCAGTTCGTTTTATCTATGAAATAAACTATTGACATTGCGACTAATTATTCTCAGCACAAGCTAATCCTGGGACTACCCTGTGCCCGCCTCCGTGTGAAGGCAACCAACCCATCACTCTCCTACTATGGCCAGTGAATGGCTTAAGACCATTGTTGCCTCTAGATCGATATCAGCTCCTAGCCCTACGATAAGCGCTCAACAACTTTTGGTGTGTTCAGCGGCGCGTTTCACAACTGACTCGACTTTGTTGTTCCCCTTTCGTCTCCATCGGCAGCTCACAATCTTTTCTCCACTCCCGCTCCCACTCCCACGCAGAGAACGGAGATTGATTGATTGATTGATTGATTGCAACCAAATGACTCGGCGGCAGTGTGAACCTGAACTGCGTCCGGCACCCCCCACTGCGCCTAGTCAGCTGGCGATCCCTGTCCTTATCCCACGCCTCTTTGCTCCTTGCTTTGAACAAACATGTGGGCATCCTCCCTCCACTGGTTTATGGAACCTCTTGCAAGACCAGCACCAGGACCAGTGGAAGAGCGCAGAGTCGCTGTCCATGTGTCAAAAGCAGGACACAACCTCAGTGCCGACATGTTGATTAGATCCTTTGGACTACTACGAAAGCGCAACTCCCACGCCGCGCGGGCCGCAAGCACATCGGTAGAGGGTTCGCGCGAAGGGATACGGAGATCACTCTCAGCCTAGTGGGATCTGCTCTGCCCTGTCCCTCTCTACCCCACGGAAAGGGGAGGGAGTAGGGGCGATGACAGGGCAGATATCCTGGTAATGCATATCGCTCAATATCAGGCGCTGTCTACTATCATCATCGACAGGCGCCCGGTCAACGGAGACTCGTGGTGGCACCGTGTCAAAGTCGAGTATCAATCGTTGCCCTGACCATTCTTTGTCAATCACAAAGCGTCGTTTCCATGACTCGTACGAGGAACAACCGGAGATCGACGACCGAAGATCGCTTTTGTGTAGGAGAGACGAGTTCAAAAGACTCGATCGAGATCCCCTTAGAGCAGGAGCCCCCAAAAGACGACCAACTGTTCCGTCGTATGAGTCTCGAATTCTTGGCATTCCCCCGTGAACCAAAAAAAATCCCACAAAACAAGCGCGGCGAATATGCTCCGGGGACACAATTCTGAAGATGAGACCACAATGTACACAAAGGGCAAACCACGGAGAATCCCAAAAAGTCAATCTGGCTCTTTGCCTTTCTTCGGGGGGGGGGGGGGGGGGGGCGTCAAGCTCTCGCCCTCCCAAGCAGAGAGAGGGGGGGCCAGAAAAGTGTAAATTCGTAAGCTTAACGCAGCTTAAGTTTTCCCGTTGCCGCAAGCGATTGCTCCCCATCCCGAAGAGGCCACGAATTTACACTTCCCGCACCGCAGCTTTGTGGCGAGGCCAGATGCGGCTGAAAAAAGGGGGACAAACACTGGACGACGACGGTGTACCAGCGGCAAGCAAGCCCGCTGGCGGATCAGGTCATGGTCTTTCTAGACTTCTGGCGAGCCACAACGACGCCACACCGGTCATGTCGACCTGTATGAGCAAACGTTGATCTAGAAACACCACACAGTCAGTCCAGCCACCACCACCGGAGCCTTCTCACCGCAGCAACGGCGGTCCAGCCCGGCGGCGGCAAGGAAGCACTGTCAGAACCGATGACGTGCAGCGCGCGCGCCGTTCCTTCACATGTTCAAGGGCAGGCCATTCTAGCCTCTGCTTAGCATTGTCCGTCGCTAAAGTTCTCGCCAGCAAAGGGGCAACGCGGCACGCCGCCACGAGGCAGAGCAGCCAGCCCAGCCATCCCTCGTATGCCGATCCACAGGCGAGGGAGCATGCGCGCCGTAGGTAAGCCATGAACCTTACTTGCGCTAGGCCGAAGCACCTCAGTCGCGGATCCCAATGCCTTGTCGGAGCAATTGCAGTCGAGTGAACACAACTCAAAGGACAAGGACAAAAAGAAAATCACTGACCAAAGCAACTCCGCATGCCAAGAAGATGCGCGCTTGCGCTTGCGCTTGTGGATGTGGGTATGCCACACACACACAAAGCAACGGCGAAACAGAAGCGCCCGATGACCTGCAGTAGTTTCGGTCAGGATTTTGCTCCGCGCAAGCGGCACAACTCAATTGAACCTACCAGATTTTCGGAACAAGGCCAGCAACACCCAAGCAGAGCGGACCACCGGCCGGGCGACAATCGGCTCGACTTTCCCAGAGCCTCAGAGTCTGGACGAGCCGTAGTGTCTTGCGCTATGCGGGAACGAGGGTTGCGCTGATTCATGTTGTGGATGATCTATCTGCACATGACGTACGTTGTGGACATGTTCTTTGTCAACCCTATTAGTCTTGGCGCTGGGAAGCGTCGCAGACAAAGGTTTCCCGACTTCGACGCTGTTGCGGTATGTTGCAGATAGAGGCAGCTGAGCTGCAGTCTTCGCTGTATCTGAATTCCAAGAATTAGCTTGTCCGAGGCAGACTGCAATTTGGATGTATCATCACGTTTCGTAGTTGACACGAACCACTCGAAACAAGGGATTCCAAGCGCCAGTAAGTGAAGGATCCTGCAACTAATCAACAAAGCAACACTTTACCGGAAGCGCCGCGAAAAACGACAGCCCGCCTTGCCTTGCCTGTGCAGTCCACAGATGCATACGCTAACAACCGTCTCGATTCAACTAGAGCAGGCTGATGGAGCTGGGCGGCCACTACACATGCGCGGCCTGCATTGTGTGGCCCGATTGTTTCGAGTTGATGGAGATCCAGGTCTGGACAGAAACAAGAAGAACCGGGGGGCCAATCAGCCTGGCCCGCTCCGAGCTAATTAGTCGCCAGAACGAAGGCTCCTGCATGTGGCCCTCGAAACAGACACCAACAAGCCGAACAAGCAGGTGGCCTGGTCCTCTCTTCTGATTTCGACCCGGCCGCTCTGCCCATTCCTCTTGCCTCAGACAAGTTGAGTTGTCGGACTGCGCGCAGGTGGCATTGAGCGCTGGACCCTGCCCACGTTTCAGCACGACTTGGCTTCTCCGAGCTCCGCTCGCAGGCACTCTTGAGGAAAAAACAGCGACTGTCCCGCAGGGCTTCCATAATTACCCCCCGATATTGTCTGGGCTCTCTGCAACTGCCGCAATGGGCGGGCTTGGCCGTGGCCGGGGCCAACTCCGAGATGTGCGCAAAGGGCATTGCGTGTAAGCGAAATAAGCTGCAAGGATAGGATGAGCTGCCACTGCACCTAGACCACGAGCAGGCCAGAGTATCGTACGCGTAGGGGCGGCGGCTTCAGCGTCGTCCATGATCCATGTGCCCATCTTGCGACGCTAGCCCCGTCGGCCCTAGCAAACCTACGCATATGAAGGCGACAAGAATCCTGTCGCGTCGATATGAATGAGCGTCCCACATACAGCATGGCGTAATGGCTCCGAAATCTGCTGACGGCATCGGCACCAAGGCGGGTGGGCCCCTGCATGGCCCGGCACCCTGTCCGGACGGTTTCATGATGCCTTGCCTTTGTGCTACTGTGGGTACGACATCGACCAAGAAACATTGGGCGAGGCTCTCTTGCCCGCGGGATCGGATGAAAATTCCATGGCACGCGGTGACACGGCCTCGACAAGACGGTGACCGGAAAAACTAGCTCCTCTGTCGTGTCGTGCAACATGCCTCCGGGGCCAGGAACCAGTCAGTGTTGCTGCGTCGCTGCCGAAGGCTGCGTTCCGTGGGGATCGGTGAAGATCTGGCTCGTGTCATGCTGGACGGTGGCTGTCAGATCAGCCACCGCGAACAGAAAGTGGATATGACGCGCAGGCCGTATTGTCGCACCAGGCACAATGTTCGATGCTCGTTCAATATCGGACCGCAGAGGCGAGCGTCAAAGTTCGAGGTTGCCAGTGTTCAGAGTCGGCGAAAGTGATGTCCAAGTTACGTCGTCTCTTGCCGTTTTTGGGCCGTGATTGCCGCAGACTTGACCTCTTTGAATGATCTCAATCATTCGAGTGCGAATTGATGTACAGCGACCATCACGTGATACCATAATCGCATCTGGCAGTGCCTAGACCGCGCGACTGGTAGGCCAAAGAGCTCAGTCTCGAGTCAAGACACATGGCTTTGTTAAAGCGATGATCCACGCTGCCAAGGACCGTCTGAGACAGCGCCGCACTTGGGTCTGAGACAGTGAACAGGAAGCTGCCCGCAAGCGGCGATGGTACACAATGAGCAAAAGTCGAGTCTAAACCTAGCGTGCGAGGGTTATGCGTCATTGACGCTGTCCAGCAGGAAACGCATTCCACATCATCACTGGCTTCGAATCGTGCGCCCATGACCTCTGTCATGCTCAGCGTATGTGCGCCACTATACGAAAGGCTTCCAGATCTTTGTGGAGCAACGGCAGTGGTCGCCTGGCCAGAAGCAGACGTTGGCCAAATGAAGTGGTCGTTTCAGAGCGACGCCACGAACTCGGGTGCCGGGGCGCGGGCGAAATGGGCGGAGCGGTTGGGCAATTAAAGAAAAGGGGGTTCGACAGGCTATTTCCCGTTGCGTGGGCTCCATCACGGAGTAATATTATGCTGTAATTGACAGCAACCGAGCAAAGACCCCTGTGGCGCCAATAAGGGGCTGCAGTGACGATCTGCGACCAATCAGTCATGGCTCAACTGCCTTTCTGGGGCGAGCCAAGCGCCTGTCCGCGCAAATCATTGCTGCGCTCACTCCCTCTATGCAGGTGTGCAGGGGCCATAGCCAATCCAGCCCTGGTGTCTATGCGAGGTACATTTCGGATCTGTGGATCCCATACGAGTGTCCCCAGATTTGGGCACCGGATCGGTGGTTGTGCCTTGCGGACTTGTCCATGGCTCTTTGGTCGAACAGGTCAGCACCCATCATGGTCATCTCACGCCTGGCCCAGTAAGACCCCATCTGCCGGTAGTGACGGCGCCTCAAGCGCGCCGAGATGTCCTCTGATCGACAGTGATTGCACCGTGTTCAGGTTGGCGCATTTGCCTCGAATACAGCGTACCCCTGCCCGAGGGCACGGCACCGGATTGTGCAACATGTATGGGACTCGGGCGACGGTGCGATGGGAGTGGTCGGCCATGTCCTTGGCGGGCAAAAGCGCACGTCCGTCTGATCCCCATGCTGCAAGTTGACGTCTTGTCGAGGTCCTTCCTGCAGTTAGTGGATTGTTCGACCTGACGGCGAAGTTCCTGGGATTGTGGTGGTACTGTTCTTGTCGCTCGATTGCCGTTCGACAGATCGATGACAAGACGAAGTGTGGCCTGGCAGAGCCGGGTCCAGCACGTGAACGCTGGGGCGCAGGGCCCATCCAAGATGAGGCTGCTTCTAGATAGGTCGTCACATCGTGTTGAGAGCTAGGCGGGGACGGATTGCTCTTGGCGAGAGGGCCAGCGGCCGCCACGTCCGGATCCAGACGAGAGAACGCAGCGCTGCGCTACCACGGAGGAAACCACGGGGAAAGGGGCTCTCGGCTCCTGCAATGCATCCGTGGTATGGCGAGCGGCGAAGCTTGCAAGAGCAGGAACGATTAGCCGCGCGAGCGTTGAGTGAGGGCGGCCCCAGGTTGTGTGCGCTTCCCGCCGTACCGGATACCGCAGACGCATGAACAGCTGGGGCTTCGGGGCTTCGGCGCCACAGCGAGCAGGCGACGAGTGTCTCGAATACGGTGGTGCGCAGCGTGGTGACAGGTCTGTGATGGTGGTTGACGCCTGCTGCTGGCCCGGCCTGGTCCGGTCTGGCCGCGCTGGAGGCGACCGCGCATGTCGTTTCGTCAGAGGCCCGTCTTGTGTCGCAGAGAGCGGTCTAGACGGAAGTAACCTGGAAGGTTATCAAGACGAAGCGGTAGGCACAGGAGACGCGATGACGAAGGCTGACTAGATCAGTCGGACGAGCAAAGTGTGATGCGAGGGCTCTTTCGTTTCTCGTCCGCAACATAAGTTGAGATCAGCGGCCGCCACGAACCGGCCCTTTGTTCTCTGCATCCTTGCCTCGAGAGACGATCACCTTTGCCACCACGGCACGCCGACCGCAGCACGCAACAATTGAACGAGCCAGCAGCTAACAACACCTGCTTCCCTGGTGAGTCTGACAGTACTTTCTCTTGATTTTTGATTTCTTCGTATTCCCAACGCCAGCCCCTCCCGCGGATGCACAACCTCTCATTACGGGCATACACACATACACGCACTCACGCAGTGCTTACCCCAAACCAAACCGACGCTCCCTCCCACCTGCCTGTGCTGGCTCCACCGCTCCGCCAAGTCGCTTTCTCAGCTACGGCGTGCCGCCACCTACGCCGTTCCTCCACCACCACCACCACCGGAGAGAGAGCCAGAGAGTCACCTGTGCAGTGCTCGGTGCTCTTGTGCTGCGAGCGGTGGCAGTCGCTGCTGGCAGCACTTGCTTGTGCTTGCACGAGCGTTGGGATTCTCCAGCATAAAGCCTGGCCTCCCCCAGGCGGCGCACGCAACTGGAGCAGCGACCCTGGGACCAAAAGCGCTTCGTAATCGATAGTCGCACCCCTCACCATCTGCACACCCTCCCCCGCCTCAAGCCCCTACCCTGCCTTGTTAGCCTGGGGCCGACCCCCCGCCTAGCACGCCTAGCTCCAGCAGGCCCTTGCTCTCCTGTCAGGTACCCGCCTGCGCCCTGTCTGTGTGCCGCTCCTGCCTGTCTGTGCCTGGCTGACCCGCGTATCGTCAAAGTACCCCCCTCTAGCTCTAGTGTCCAGCCCCAGCTGCTCCTGCCCTGGCCTGCTTGCGCTGCTGCTGGCCCAGCTGCTCCTGCCAATTTGCGCCCGGCCTCGTGCCCTCAGCGCTGCCGCCTCCCATCCGCCAGTGCGCTCGCTGCACGTTGAAATACTCTCCTCCCCGCCGCCTCGTCCTCCTCGACCACCCTCCTGCTTCTGCTTCCCACTCTCTTCGGCAGAGCTTCGCACTCCCTACATCCAACGAGCTTCGGCTGCACCCACTCTTGATCGATTGATCCGATCTGTTCACTCCTTACCAACACGCCACCGCTCTTCACTGTCTTTCATTCCGTCCGGACGCAAGCCGCCCTCAGAGTCTCTCAAGATCTCGCAAGAAACCACAACAACAATCCGCTCAATTCCTCGACCGTCGTATACGCTCTGGTAGCATCATTCTCAGTCGGTTTCGATACTCTAAAAAACCAACTCCAAGAATCTACCAGCAAACGTACGTCCGCCCGCCCGTCCTTGAGCCATATAGGCTTATAGATAGCAGACCGACCAGAGTCGCTTGTCTTGCTTCCCCAGCCGGCCACTGTCTCACATTCATTGCGTGTCTCGGCTGCTAACCCGCCGCATTGGTACAGTTCAGTTCCTCGACACTACACGTCACAATGAAGTCTTCCGTCATTGCTCTCATCTCCGGCGCCGCCGTGGCCCTCGCCAGCCCCGCTGTTCTTAACAAGCGCGTCTATGAGGTCCAGTGGACCACCGTCTACACCACGGCTACCGTCACCGCCGGTCAGGAGCCGACTCAGGCCCCCGTTGTTGAGGCCCCTGTTGCCCCTCCTCCGGAGGCTGTTGTTGTTACCGTCACCAAGGGACCCTCCGTCGAGCCCATTGCGGCTCCCACCACCAAGGAGGACGCCCCGATCGCCGCGCCTACCTATGCTCCCCCGACTGGCGGCAGCATGGAGGATACTGCTCTCTACCACCACAACGTCCACCGTTCCAACCACTCTGCTCCGGCCATGAGCTGGAACAGCGACATCGCTAACGCCGCTCAAGTCGCTGCTGACAGCTGCAAGTTCGAGCACCAGATGTAAGTCGTACCATACTTCACAGTTGTTCACGAAAGCGCACCCGCTAACATTGTCACAGGGGCATCAACGGCCTCAAGTACGGCCAGAACTTGGCTATGTGGGGTACCTCTGCCAACGCTGCGGCCCTCGGCGCTGACGGTGCCATTGCCAAGGCTGCCAGCGACATGTGGTACGCCGGCGAGTTCGCCTCGTACGCCTCCTACTTCGGCAAGGAGCCTTCCATGAGCGACTTCCACTCCTGGGGTCATCTTTCCCAGCTGCTGTGGGCTGAGTCCACTGGTCTCGGCTGCGCTGTCAAGCTTTGCAAGAAGGGCACCATGTACGACACCATGGACGCCTGGTACATGGTCTGCAACTATGAGCCTGCCGGTAAGTCTATCAAAACCCTTTGCGCAGTCTCCAATTCAACAGTCCGTGCTCACATGACATTTATAGGCAACATGGGCGGTGCCTACGCCAAGAATGTCAAGGCTCCCCTTGGCCAGGCTCCTGTCTCTGCTTAAGCGCCATTCGGCGACGACCGCATAGTCTCTTCACACAGTTTCCTTTGGTGCATATCACTCTCACGCGGATACACAACTGTCTTGGGTACCGGGCTTCAAGTTACTCTTGTGCCAATGGCTTAGGCGGCTCTCATTTAAGACGCTGCCCGTCGCTGGCGCCTTTCGATGTTCGAACCGGAAATATCAGAAAGAAATACCAAGCACTACCCTTCAATTCGTTGCCAGACCTTCAAAGATGGTGATCATTTGTGTTCTACTCCCATAGCCGTCCTAGCAATGAAGCTGCTTGGGGCCGACTATGCCTCACTGGAATAGGTCTGGCCCCCATTGTCTTTTGTCACATAACCTTTTTGTCCTGTACTTATTTGTATCCATGCGCACTCAAGGCGCGTGGAGGAAATGCTGCGCGATCTTTTTCGGAAGCTTTGTCTGCCTCGTCAAAGGCCTGACTTGTACAGGACGGGGCAACCACACTGCTACTTGGTTCTCATGTTCGCTTCGTCTCAAGGATCTCACCATTTTACTTCAGCTGCCTAGGAATGCCGACAATGAATCATGACAAAGAACCTCAACCTGACCGATTGATGCAGTGACGTTAATGTGAATGGGGGTGAAGCGTCAGTGACCCAGACAGAGCTGAGTAATGGTGGGCAGGTTGAATAGTCGTGGCGTGCCACAAAGGCTGTCTCCACGGCTCTCTCGCATGCCAAATGCCATGGCCGTGTGCAGAGGTGATTTGCCAGTTCGAGGCTGTGTCCTCCTGATCGCCAAATCTGATTGCCTCCAGGTCCTTGCAGTGTCCAACAGAGACACGCTCGACTACTTGTACCCGCTATCCCACCGGCGAACAATAGTAGACTGGAGAGGACGTCGACATATGAGGAGGCGTTTTTCGTCCCTGCGCCGGATGGAGCACAGTCTCTTGTCAGGCAGGCGGGTAGTTTGCTAGCATGCGAATGTCTACTTGATTGCATTCACGAATGATTCCAGTCTTTCGGCCACTTCGGACAGTCTTTTACCAGTGTTGAAAGGATGGGTACACATGCAGGTCTGGGGTGCGGGCGCATGCAAGCTCCAAGAGTTTTTTCACGCGCATTTCATCTACTTGGCGTGCAATTGAAAGGATATTATTCGCTACCTCATGATAAGTAGTACACACGTGTCGTGTCGTGGTGCTGGACGCGACTAATAATCACGGCTTCTCTGAATACGGGCCGCGCTCAAGGTCCGGCTCACGCAGATTATGGCGCCGCGGCTGATATGGATTTGGTGGCGAGTGATGCCTGGCGTGGTCTTGGTGGCGTTCCATGCTCGGTCTTGCCGCCCAAGAGACGGCCTGGTTGTGGTTGTGATTGTGATTGTGACTATTCACCCCGCCGCCGCCGATGATGCTGTCCCCCCTCGGCCGAGCACCAGCCGCAGCCGAGGACCGGCGTCGTCGAGCGGCCTCGCTCATGGCCCCAGCAACCCCGCCACCGCCAATGCCGGCGGAATAGTGGACAGAGTAGTCGTTGCTTTGGTCGCGGCTGTGTTGAACCCGCGTGCTGATCGACGTTAGGTCGATGCGGCGTCTCGAGTCTCGACTCTGTCGTGGCTCGCTCAGCTGGAGAGACGGTCGTCCGGGGCGCGGCGGATGCAGAGCGTCGACCCTGCTACTCAAGATTGCTTTCTCGTCGGGACCATCATCGTCATGGCTGGTCGACAGACGGCTCAGGATCTGACGCAGATCCGTGCCAGGCGCCAGCTCCGCCGTGAGGGAGGAGTTTCGCCGCAGTCTCCCACCGCCAAAGAGCCCTTTCAGTTCGCGCCAGAGACGTCTTGCCGCATCGAAAATCTCGTTGAACGTGACAGCCATGACGATGAGCGGGATTGATATCCCCAGTCCAATGCCGAACATGTACTTCGAGACGTACCCTGCTGATAGTGGGGTGGCCTCCCAGTCCTCCAGGTTGATGGCGAAAAAGGCGGCGATGAACGACATCGGAAGAAAAATAATGGTTACAATGGTGAAGACCATGATGGTCTGGCCTTGCCTCGCAGCAATGACAGCCTGATCCCCGGCAAATCGGGCCTCAAGCACATTCGAGTGCTTCTGCTTCAGGTCCAAAAGATCGCGCAGACTCACATATAGCCTCTCCGCCTGCTGATCCATACGATCGATATCTTTGAGACGGTCTTCGACGCCGCGGCATTGCTCTCGACTGTGCTTCTTGATGTCGATTACTGTGGCATCCGTCACTTTGCGAGGGCCTTCACTCCGGACTTCCTCGGTAACCACGGATTCGAAATAACCGAGCGCCGACAGCTGCGAGTCCAATATCTGCGCGATAATGCCCAGTTCGTCTCTGATATCCTTGATTTCGACCAGTAGAGCAGTTTCGACGCCAATGTCCGGGAACTGCGGCGCTGTTAGTCTCGACCCATTCATGGAAGATGCGGATGCTATGGGATCAAGTCGACTTACAAAATTGCTGTGTCTGCCCAGTCGACGCTGGTGGTGGTCCTGTAACCATTTCGTAGATTGCTCGGATGCCCGATTGAAGCGACTGAATAACTGGCTTTCGAGATCCGTCACGACTCCAATGGACTGTTCAAACATGTCGAGGAACTGATAGTCTGGATCATGCAGCCTATGTCGGTCAAACATGCCCGAGCAGCGGTGCGTGATGAGCATGGCCAGGTCGTACACAGACTCTATCGGAGGCCTGGTCTTGGCATTCGTCTCTTCTATAATGCCGTCGAGCACATTCAGAGGGTCTTGCTTTGGCTGATTCCACCTTTGTGGGAAACAGGTGATGATGAGGTCTTTTCCGATAATCCACAGCCATAACTGATCCACCATGAAGACTTTCTGCTCGATGTGGTTGTGTTTGCAATAGCGATAGACGACTTGGTCAGTATCTCGGATCGTGGTATCAATTCCGTGGTAGAAGTATTGATCAAGTGTTCTCCTTGGATGCAGACGACGGGTGTTGTTCAAATATGCATGCACAAGAAGGGTGTCTCTAGAAGGATTCGCAGGTAAGCCCTGCCTCTCAGCTGCTTCTCTGATGGAATCGCTCATCCTCTGCCTGCGTTCGTCCGTTTCGTAGTGCAGGAATGGCATCTGTGGTTGCGTTAGCGTTCGGAATCGAGTCATCACCATGCAGCATCAACGTACAAACAGCACAATTTTCCCGTTCGACGCGGCGAAGCGGCTCGTCTCCCATGCAAGCGGCGCTGAGGTCTTGTTGCTTGCGTTGCTGAAATTGCTATCCTGGCGTCGAGGGGGGTTGCCCGGCGGACCTTTCCCACGTTTTGTTTTCTTTGGATGCCGCTCAGCTAATTGCTCGGATCTTGATTTCTTCTTGCCTTCACTTCTTGGCGTCTCGCTCTCAAAGCTGTCACTGAGCTTCCGCGGCGTCAATGGCGGCCCGCTCATTTCTGGTTTGAGATTGGGTTCTTGGGGCTCTTCTGTAACTGAGATGAGCGGTTTGTCTTCTCGTTTGACCTCCATTGGATCGGAGTTGCGTGCTGCAATTCTTTGACAGAATGTGCGCATGAAATGAGCATGTGAGTAGCGACCATGGTGCTCTTGATCAAAGCACCGTTCAAGAGCCTTGAATGCTTCAATGTCTCGATGTCCTGCCTCGATGAAGGACTTGGCCAGTAGAGTCTGCGCCGAGTTAGTAAGCAATATGTTGACTCAATCAGCAGCGTAGCTCACCTCAACCCACGAGACCTATGAATTTGTCAGCTATGTCCAGGGAGCGAACGCGAAAGATTAGGATCGAGACTCACGTTATTAGCAGGAAGATGTATCCACCGGAAGTCAGGCTTGTACTTGATATTCTTTTGTAGGGTGGGTATCTTCGGTTTATCATTCTCGTGGTCCCAACCGTACAGAAGCTCATGGACTGTACACTTCTGGACGAGCTGTTTCTTGTCGAACTGCCCAAAATCAACAATGGTGGCGTCGAAAGCCTTGCATGCAGCAGCCGCCACGGGGGACAAACGATCTGCATTCCTGGCTGGGGACAAAAGCTGCACAATCTCGGGGTTGTTCCTCTCGGCTGCACAAAGCATGGCCGTGCGGTCGAATGAATCCTTGGTCGATAACGAAAGTTCAGGACGTGCAAGGAGAACCTTGACCATCTCTTCCAAGCCGTTGGAGGCGGCCCAGTGAAGCGGTGTCATGCCATTCGACAGCTGCGCATTGACGTTGGCACCAGCATCCAAGAGCATCTGAACGATCGGAGCATAGCCACTCTGTGCCGCATTATGCAGAGGTGTCCATCCACCGTCACTGACGGCACAGGGGTCGGCGCCGTAGGACAGCAACAAGGCCACGGCCTCCTCTCTGCTTTCCCCTTGGTTACTCTCAGCGGCGAGGTGCAATGCCGTGCGTCCTCGATTGTTGGTGGCGTTGAGGTCGGCTTTGTATTCGAGGAGGACCCTCATGAGAGCAATGTTTCCATTTGTTGCAGACCATAGCAGTGGTGTCCGCCCAATACCATCCTTGACCTCAAGATTTGCCCGGTTGTCGAGTAATAGCTTGATAGTATCGACGTTCCACTTGGTCTTGCCGGGCTTCTCCGCCGCAAGGAATAGCAGAGGCGTCCGCCCCTCTCGGTCATGGGCGTCGACGCTGGCACCACCTTCCAGCAGCGCCTTTACCACGGTGTTGTGGCCTTTGAGGATAGCGGCGAAGAGCGCGGTCTGCCCGCTCCGAGGATTGCGACAGTTGGGGTCAGCTCTCCTTCGCAGCAGCTCTGTGACAACAATGGCATGTCCACCTTCGGCCGCCTTTAGCAAAGGCGACACCTCGTTGTCCCGGCGCGGATTGACATCGGCGCCATGTGCCAGCAAGAACTGAACGATGGACAGCTTGCCACGCGCCGCGACCTTCTGCAGGGCCTGGCGCAGCGCGTCCTGGTCGGTGACAGAGGTCCAGGATCCGGGGTCTTCCTCAAGAATGTCGCGTATCCGGCTCTCGTTGGCCTGCGCCGAGGCGGCGATGAGCCTCAGCTGTCGCTGGTCCGGCTGGCTGCTGGCCACACTCGCCTCGCTCGCCATGTTGCAAAGTCTCCCGCTGGAGTTCTTGCCAGAGCAGATGCAGATCCAGACAGACCGACAGACAGACCGACGACTAGGCCTTGCAGGCTGTGCCAGTAATCATGTCCTCTCGCAATGGGCATCTGGCTGCATAAGAGGCATTGTTTCTGGGCTTGTGCGACGTACGAGTCCTTGGTCAGCGCACAGCCATTGTCGCGCCCCCAAGAGACTGCAATTTGCAAGATGCAGAGGCTGGGACGCTAAATCGGCCGAGATGCCTGCAGATAATACGACAGGGGTGCTTGTTCGAGACGGCGCCATCAGCTGAGCTCCAGGGGGGATGGATGAACACTGGAGTATTCACACAGCACGCGGTCATGGTTCTGCAAACCCCGAGCGAACATCCGCCATTGTTGATCCATGAATGCACAGGAGCATGTCACCCAGAGAGCTTTCAGTAGTATAAACAACCAGCATTCGACAGAGGTGGTGGTTCTGAGGGCACGGTTGTTACGACTGAGACTGGGCGCTCGATGGACCCCGATTCCCACAATTGCGTGCCTGCCCGGAGCTTAATTCAACAGGCATGCATGTCACTGGGCAGGCGATGGCCAGGCTCTTGGCATCAGAGAGGAAGGCGCAGCTACTGTAGTTGTCGCAAGCAGGCAGGCCGGCCTGGACTGGAGGACCCGATTAAAAATGTGGAATGCGCTTGCCGTCACCGCCACCACCCCGCGCAGCTCGCCTTGCCTTCTGCCCTCCTGCCTGGCCGGACCCGCCCTTCTGGCATGTGAGCTGCCGGCTTTTCACGCTTCCCACCGGTAGCGGCATATCTGGGTTACCCTCTCCTCCAGACTTTCGCAGCCCCGCGGCTTATCTTCCTCGCTCGACTGACAACGACGACACATCCACAGACTCGCATACACTGTTCCTTTCCATCCGGCCGGCCTTCCGCAGCCGAAGACCTCCGCGATGATGTCTGCTCAGCTCAACCCGCCGCCTGGCTCCGCCTTGGCTTCCGCGACCGCCGGTGCACAGCAGCCCACTGCTGCTGAGTCCTCCAGCCCCGGCACGGATCTCGAGACCTCCGCTCCTCCTTTGCGGAACCGTGCTGGTGATAGCAAGAACCCGTTCGTGCGTGCTCACACAGACACCCTGGTCCACTGGCAGCTGCTCGACGACGAGGCTCTGGCTCGGGCCAAAGCTGAAAACAAGCTCATCTTTCTGACGATTGGCTTCCTCGCTTCCCACTGTAAGCATGTGGCTATACCCTCTACTCGCATGTCTCTCTGCTGACCACTGTCTATGATGCCTCCAACAGATTGCCATCTGACCAGACAAGATTCGTTCTGCAATCCCCGCATCGCTAATATCCTCAACGAGCACTTTATCCCCATCATTGTCGACCGCGAAGAGCGACCAGACATTGACACCATATATATGAACTACAACCTGTCATTGAACAGTGGTGGCGGCTGGCCGCTCAACATGTTCCTTACTCCCGATCTCGAGCCTGTCTTTGGCGGCACATATTGGACCGGCCCTGGCGTTCACACTTCCAAATCTGAGACGGACACCGGAGACGAGCCGCTGGAGTTCCTTGTCATTCTCCAGAAGCTTCTAAGCGTATGGCCGGAGGAAGAAGTCCGCGTGAGAGACGAGGCCAAGAAGAGTGTCATCGAGCTGCGCCGTTTCTCCGGAGAGGGCACCCTCAATGCTGACTCGGCTTCTCGCCAGCCCTCGCAAACCGTGGATAGCGAATTTGAGGGCGAGGTGGACCTTGATCAGATCGAAGAGGCTTATACCCGGATCGCGGCCACGTTCGACCCAATGTGTGGAGGCTTCGGACAGGAGCCCAAGTTTCCCACCTCCGCAAAGCTGTCCACCTTGCTGCGAGCAACACAGTTCCCCAAGGAGGTGCAGGATGTCGTTGGTGCCCAAGACTGCGGATATGTCAGCACAATGGCACTGCACACTCTTCGCCGCATGATCGCTGGCGGCATGCATGACCATGTTGGGGGAGGATTCCACCGGTTGTCAGTGACCAGAGACTGGTCGCTGCCGTCATTTGAGAAGCTTCTCATTGACAACTCACTCCTGCTTGGCGTGTTCCTCGACGCGTGGCTGCTTGTTGGAGGAACAGAACAGTCCGAATTCGCCAGTACGGTCATTGAAGTGGCGGACTACATCACCAGCGACAGGATGATTTCGAGCACTGGTGGGTTCGTCTCTAGCGAGGCCGCCGATTCGGTCAACAAAAAGGGCGATAGCATTATGCAGCAGGGCGCCTTTTACCTATGGACGAGGAAAGAGTTCGACAGCGTGATAGGAGACGAGCAAGAGAGCGAGGTGGCGGCAGCATACTGGGATGTTCAGGAGCACGGCAATGTCGACAGGAGCCACGATCCACACGACGAATTCCTCAACCAGAACGTTCTACGCATTGTCCGTAATCACGCGCGACTGACGAAGCAGCTAGGGCTGTCTGATGACGACGTTCCCAAGATCATCGCCTCCGCGCGGGAGAAGCTTCGGGCGTTCCGCGACAAGGAGCGCGTTCAACCGGCTATTGACACTAAGGTGGTGACTGCCTACAATGGCATGGCTATTGCTGCGCTTGCGAGAACCGCCCTTGCGTTGCGACACACGGGCGGGGAGTTCGCAGCAAAGGGTGAAACCTATCTCGCAGCTGCCAAGAAGGCCGCCGAGTTCATCAAAACACAGCTTTGGGATGCCAGCAGTCAAGTTTTGTACCGCGTGTGGGCAGATGGCCGCAGCGACACAAGGGCTTTTGCTGACGACTATGCCTATCTCATTGAGGCTTCGCTTGAGCTTTACGAGGCGACGTCGGACGAGTCATGGCTGCAGTGGGCCGATGAGCTCCAAGCCGTGCAAATCAAGTTGTTCTACGACAGCGTCACTCCTTCGGCCGACGAACCCAGCGCTAGCCGCTGCGGTGCGTTCTACTCAACAACCAGTAGGTCGCCTCATGCCATTCTGCGTGTCAAGGACGCCATGGACTCTGCCCAGCCATCGGTCAATGCAGTCTCTGCATCCAACCTCTTCAGGCTTGGTGCATTGCTTGGGGATAAGAAGTATAGCTACCTGGCCAAGGAAACCGTCAATGCGTTCGGCGTAGAAATGCTTGAGCATCCGCATCTTTTCCCCGGGCTGCTCTGTGGAGTCGTGTCATGGAGACTTGGAGCGTCACAGCTCGTCTCGATAAGTCACGGTCCAGCATCCAAGGAGCTTGCCAAGTTCTTCAAGGCGCCGCGTGCTAGCCTGTCGACTCTGCTGTACCTCGGCGGACCATCGTCGTGGCTTCGCAGTAGGAACCCGGCGCTAGGTGACGTTCCTCAAGAAACAGGGCTGTTTGTTCTTGAGAATGGGAGCTACCGTCGGCATGAGACTGCGGGAAGTGAGCCTATGGCGACGGACTCCGTGTGAATCAAGCTTGTGACACAAGCTTGACTACCTGGGCAGCTCGCGGCAATACTGTATATGTCATGGCTGGCGTTTGTGGTTCCAATTTGGCGTTATTGATTCCCTGGCGGCCGTGGTTTGAAGATTGCTAGAGAAGTTGCACATGGTGATACCATGTTATAAATCTTTCCATAACCACTTCCATGGACGGTCTTGTGTGACATTGCATTGGAGAGGGTTGGATCTGTCAATGAGCGACTGCTGATGAAGACCACGGCGATAGAACGTGGCGGTCTTTTGCGTTGCTCCGTACCCCGGAACCCCGGCCGGTACCCCGAGAGGCGGGCGGGGGTGGGGCGGGGGCATGGAGGCGGATCCGGGGCTGAGATGTCACAGGGTCTCGCTTACGTGCTCTCTACACTCCGACATGGTTCGGCGATTAGTATCCAACGAGAAGTTTCATTTGCAGAACTCCGTCATCGGCCACCCTTCCCGCCAGTGTCTTGTGGGCTCATAGGTTTATTGACCACCGGCTTTCAAAGGAGATACTTTGCCCAAGTTTCAGCTGGATTCCAAGATTGGGTCTGGTGTACCATCGGACTCTTTACACCCCAGAACTCAACTTGACAATCCAGGAAGGGTCCTATAAACCCAAAGGGATTCAGCAGGACAGACACTCAGCAGCAGCCGTGACATCTCCAAGGTCCCCTTCGAACGACGCACAAATGTCGCCGCCAGTCAAATTCGCCGCCGCCGTATTCCCGGGCTTCCAGGCCCTCGATCTCTTCGGCCCGCTCGACACGCTCAACATCATATCGAAGCAGGACCACCCAATGTCGCTGTACATCCTCTCCTCCACGCTCGACCCCGTCAGCACTCTCCATCCGGAAGATTCAGAGGAAGATCCATCGGCGGCGGCACCGCCGTCCAAGTCCAAGGGCCTGCCCTTCCCCATGTCCCAGGCCATCGTCCCGACGCACACCTTCGCCGACTGCCCGGACGATGTCGAGGTACTGATCGTCCCCGGAGGCCGCGGCTGCCACGACCCGGCGCGGATCGCGCACGTTGCCGACTTTGTCAGGCGGCGGATGCCCCGGCTCCGGTTCCTGCTGACGGTGTGCACGGGCGGCGGGATCGCGGCGCAGGCGGGCGTGCTAGACGGGCTGAGGGCGACGTGTAACAAACGCGCGCTGGACTGGGTGAGTTTTGTTGTTTTTATTTTCAGTTTCAGCTCTTTTCTTTTTATTTGCCTTTCGCTCTCTATCTCTCTCTTTTTGTGCTCTGCTGTGCTGTGCTATTTCTCATTGTTCGCCAATCCTTGCTTTTGTCTGCTTTTCCGTGTTTTATCTTATACACGTCATGAGTCGGTGTAACCATCAATCATCTTGTGCCCTTGCAACGTCATGAATTCCTCGTCATGTGCACACATCATTGCTGCAACTCAAGAGCGGGAAAGGAGGGGAGGGGCGGGAAAAAAGAAGAAAGAAAAACAAACTGACCACTCCACCGCTCCCGGCCCCTCAAAAACAAAAAGATCATCCCGCGCTACCCCTCCGTGAACTGGGCCAAGTCCGCGCGCTGGGTCGTCGACGGCAACAACGAGGAGAAGAACAACATATACACGGCGTCCGGCATATCCGCGGGCATGGACATGATGTTTGCCTTTGTCGCGGACCAGTACGGCGCCGAGCTGGCGGACCGGATCGCCAGGCAGGCCGAGTACACGCGGTCCGTAAATCCGGAGGATGACCCTTTTGCGAGGGAGTGAGTGAGCGAGCAAGCAAGCAAGCAGGGTATAACTGAACACGGGAGATAGACATATTCAGTCAGGGATAAAATGAATGGAGCGAGGCAGGCTCGGGGATCGATGTGATGTCGTGCTCAGATTACAGACAGTGTAAATAGGCAGGGCTGGCTGATCGCGGCAGCCAAGGAGCACACGAGGACGAAGCTTTATCAACTCTATCGCGAGATTCTCACCGCCCGCAGATTGAATCTGACATACTAGTAAATTGGGAGTGGCAGACTAAGGGAAAAAGATTATAAAGTGAATGGCGCGTAGGATAAGATACATACTACGACTAGTAAAGCACGGCAAAGCAAACCGACTTCTGGTACACTCTTTGTGTCCAGGATCACATTTCCAACACCATACATGCAGACACGAGCTACCGAATAACTCAGTGCCTGGGCATTCCATCCTGTACAAGGCCACACTGACAATTTGAAGAGTTCCACGAGTTCCGATACAATAGACGCTTACTTAGACTCGGCAGTCTTGTTGTCATAAGCTGGGGGTGCCTCAATATCCTCCTCCTGCTGGGCCATGAGGCCAACCTTCTCGTCCTCGGCAACAACTTCCTCGGTTGCAGCCTTGTGGCTGCCCTCGGCGGCAAGACGACGAGGGCACCGGCCACCGCCGCGGACGCACACGCGCCAGACGTGGACGATAAAGGTGCCAACCATCATGCCGATGCTAAGTGAACATGTTGTCAGTAAGAGTGATACAAAAACCGGGTCGGGTAAAAGGGATGTGACTTACACGCTGGCTGTAACACCAGCAAAGACGCCAAAGGCAATGGGGAAGAGGATATCAGTGGCGATGCTGGTGAGCAGATGACCCCAGCTGTGGTGCTTGGGGCCGTGGTGGCCATAGCCGTGACCGTGGCGGTGGTGCTCGGGGCGGTGGTGACCCTCTCGCATGCCCTCGTCGGCATCGCCAACGATCTCGCCAGTCATGACGGGAGACTTGTTCTTGGAGCATGGCTTGATGCCGAAGTCGGAGAAGATCCCCTTGAACATGTTCTTGACCTGGCAAAGGAGCGACGAGCATTCCTGGGTATTGCTGCTTGGACGGCCGGTAGGGGCCGCATGGGCATCGGCGACGTTGACCTCGACAAGCATGAGCTTGTTCTCGGGGGTCTTGATGACGAGGGCCTCGACGGCCTGGATGCCCTGCACAAAGATGCCACCGACCTCGATGATCTGCAAGTAGACGGCGAAGAGCTCCATGGCGTTCTCCGAATCGGCGTGGACGGGGCGGGTGACTATGCCGAAGCCGAGGACCTCGGGCTCATTGTGCTGGACAAAGTCATGGTTCTTCTTCTTGAAGTCGGGGACCAGGCGAGCTGTGAGTGGCTGGTAGGTGGCAGCCAGAGCGTCCGGGAAGACGGGGAGGCCGTTGATCAGGAGAGCATCCTGGCCGTCGACCTCCTGGACGACAAAGGCGAGCTCGAGGTGGCTCGCGATGGCCGTGTGGGTCGAGACCTTGCCGTTGCGGTGGTGCTTGCGGACGGGGCAGCCGGGACAGTTGAGGTTGATGCTCGTCTCCTTGCCGACGGCCATGAGCGTGGCCAGGTCATCGCTGGTGGGGTGCGGGAGGATGCTGAAGGTGTCCTCATCGGCGATGCTGACGTCCGGGGGGAGCAGGATGGCATTGGTGGATGCCACTGCCAGGCCCGCGGCAATGAGCGAGGTGAGCTGCATGGTGGGGAGAATGACAGCACGTGCGTGCGTCTACCAAAGCTGGCGTGTCGAGACTATCGAAGAAAATTTGGGAAGAGAACCGAAACAGCGGTTGCGCTCGTCCGATATGTGTGAAATAATGGTAGTTATCTGATGAATGTGAAGAAAGGGAATGGTGTTTGGTGATGAAGGAAATGGAGTGGTTCGTAGGCTGACGTTTGAGGGTCATGCTATCGCTGTAGGCTGGGAGGGCCGGAGTGGAGTGGGGCTGAGCACGACGCTGGGTGGATCCGTGTTACGACGCCTTGAACCCCTTTGAAACTCGACACAGCTGGGCTGTGGAGGACCCCAGCCTGCTTGACGCCATGCGTCGTCATTCGCCACCTCACGTCTGGCATGACAGGCCTTGGCAGCTGGTCAATTCTATAAGAAGCATGTGCCAGCTGGCTCCCCAGCTTGCTACGATCATGGGTATGATTCCGCTCAGCCCTGCAGCGTGATCCACTTTCAGGAATGTCAGAGGAAGCTTAATTTGTTCATGAAAGCCGTTAATGAAGCGCCGTTGGTCTTGCCTTTGCAGTGCTTTGCAATTGCGATTGATAAGAAGAGGGAAGTCCACAAGGGCGGACTGGAGCTCTTTGAGGTACCCATCAACTAGCCAATGGCAAGGGCTAGAGAGCTGCAACAATGATTCCATGCAAAAGGGCTAGATCGGTGAATATCGTTGATCATGCTTGTCGCAGACGTCCCTCCCCGGCAAAGTCGAATCGAGTCCTTCCATGAGATGAGATCTCTGCCTCGTGCAGGGTCAAACGCCAAAGTGCAAGCCGGCTTTACTGTCATTACTCGCCAGCAGCTGAACACCCTTGTCACTTGGACCCTGGCCTCCTGCACGTCTTCCTGCACTTCTTGATAACCTCATCCAATAGCATTGAAAGGCGCGCCCATGCCATACCCACCTAGTTGTGAGGAGCCACAATGATGCCATGGTTGGTGCTCGATTCAGCGACCGAGTTGTTCCGTGATGACAGCCTTGTGCTTGTGCCCCCAATCGAGGCGGGCCAGTCTGCCAGTGCTATATCAAGGATTGTCACGCCGGACCGTGCCTCGCTGTGAAGCTTCATCCCCAGCCCGAGTATCTGCGATACGTACATAGAGCCTACAACGCAGCAAGGACGAGATGGCCGTCCTCCCCTGAGCATTATCGCTGAGCCTCAGATCATGTCAGCGCGCGAGCTCCTCCCCGACGTCGTCGGCGCGCTCCACAAGAGGGCGCGCCGTTCGTGGTCGAACCGCCTCAACCAGTCCAAAGCCAAAGCACAGGAACCACGCGCGTCACCAGATAGCGCGGTCTCCCTCTCAAATGACACCCATCTCGCTCCGAATCCAGCCACTGGTGGTGATGTAATACACGCCAACAGCCAAGGCCACCAGGAGAACCAAAGCGCGTGTAAATCACAAGTGGTGACACGACCTCTCTTGCCTGAGCACGAGGAGAGCATCGACAGCTTTACCCAGATCGCTGTACCTGGACCAGTGCAGTCTGCCCAACGTGGGGGCAACGATATTCACAATCCTTCCACGGAAACACACCAAGCTTCATCATCACCACAAGTACAGCTTGCACCAGAACATCCCGCCGCCAGCTTCGACTACTTCCACCACATCTTCCCACCACTCCCAGCACACTCACCAGACCTCCCAGCCAGCAATGACACAAATAATGAAGACACCAAACTGCCCAGACCAATTCTCATCCCCCGCGTCACCCCCGGACCCCACGCCCCTTTCGCGCGGTGCTTCCCACCATCGCTCCTCACGGCCCTGCCGGCGCACCGCCAGGTCCCAAAGTCCGACTTCCTCGCCTTCATCGACGCCCTGAACCTCGTGGTCCGCCCCCACCCCCTGATCACCACGACCGAGTTCCTCGCCATGGTCGTGGGGTCCGTCCCTTTCGACGTCGCCGAGGCCGTGGGCACCGCGGTCGAGCTCGCCGCGGTGGGCGCGCACGTGGCGTTCACGTACAAGGCCACCGGGAGGTTCTTTGCCGTGATGAACGAGCGGTACTTCCATCCTAGGGGCCTGCACGTCAAGATGATCAAGACCAAGAGGCTGAGGAAGGAGTTTGGCCTGGACAAGAAGCGCGACTTGGAGGAGGAAGAGGAGGGGGAGGTGATGTTGATAGACGAAGGGCAGCAGCAGCAGCAGCAGGAGCAACGACAGCAACAGGACGAACAGCACCAAAGCCCAGCCACGACCACAACGACAGACCAGAAGCAAAAGAAGAAGGAGGAGAAGAAGAACAAGAAGAAACCCAAGAAGAAACTTCAACCTCTGGCCCTCCCTCTCACTGCAGACACTCTCGAATTAAGCTGCCAGGAGCGATGCCTCGCATTCCTCGAGACCAAGTGCTACGCGGCACGGCTCGAGTTTGACAACTTGCCTCCGCCAGCGACGTTCACTCTGCCGCCCCCATCCCAATCCCAAGACCAATCACAATCCCAGCCCCAGACCCTCTCTTCCACGCACGACCAAGACGACAAGACACCACCACGCACAGAGCCGCAGACGGCGCCACTGCCGACGTCCGCCCCTTCCACCTCTTCACCAAAACCCCCCATGTTCCAGCGCCTAGCCGCCTGGCGGGTCAAACACATCCTGCTCAAGTCCGAGAAGGAAGCCAAGCGCCAGCGGCGGCGGGCGTGGAAGCGGCACCACGAGAAAGGCAAACCCTTGCGCGAGCCCTGGGGCGAGAGGCAGCGCGTGGGCCAGCTCGACTGGGTGTTTGTCCAGAATCTGGACGAGTGGGAGGCCCAGCGCGGCGCCAAGGCGGCGAGGAAGCAGGAGGCCGCGGAGGAGAAGAGGAGGAAGAGAGACGCAAGGATGGAGAATTTGGGTCTGCGGAGGGTGCGGACGGAGAGGACTGTGCGGTAGGAGAGACGATGATGATGATAATAGTGGTGGTGGTGGTGAGGACTGCCGTGCAGTGTGGACGGGTGGTGCTTTCGGGCTCGGAGCAGAAACTTGTGCATATTTCATGGCGGATGCGATTGTGCAATATTTGGCCACACGGCCATGAATTGCTTTAATCAGAGATACCACCGCAGCCGGTTTCAATGGCCGCTGATATGCTTTGCGATATTATACCACTATGACCTTTTGGAGTTGATCAAGCATGGTAGTTCTATACGTATTCTTGACCTCATGATAGTCTACAAAGATTGCCTTGCGAAACCATCAATGCGATGCGCCCTTGCATCGTCAGTTTCGTCCGTGGACGGCCACGAGCCACCTCCATGACGTCAGCATCGTGGGCTACCTAATGCTGGCCCCCACTACCACCATCATTACCGGTGTTGTAGTTTGTCTTGGGCATATAACGACCACGAAAGGCGTTTCCGATGGTCCCCCGAAGACTAGCAATGGTTCCGCCGTCGCCCATCTTACTCGCCAGGGCTTCCTCCAAGGCTGACTGTGTGACTGAGGCGTCTATGTTATTCATTAGCGGAGTTTCATGAACAATGAACCAGTAGATAATGGCTGAAACTTCTTAACGTACCGTCAAGATCGCTAAAGCTGCTCCCCATGCTGGGTGTGCCATCACTATCTCTCGACTGTCCCTTGCCTTTGACCCCCGGACTACGGCCCGCTAGCTCCATTGTCCGCCGTGGGGAAAGTGGGCCGGCGGGTCCGGCACCTTTGTCCGGAGGACCCCGGAACGCGGCTGTCGAGCTGGAAGATGAGTCTGAGTGGTGCGAGCGATGAAGGCGATGGTCTCGCGTGGAATGTTTCGAAAGCCGCTTTTGGTCACCGCGTAAGGTGGCGCTCAGATCGTGGTTCTGGCCAGTGGACGAAGATCCAGCTTGAGGTTGGAACATGCGAAACGCAGGTTCATCTTCGTCGTCGTCATCGTCCGCAAAGGACGTGGCCTGATCATTGCTTCTGAATCGTGGTGGACGACGGATGATTCGCGATTGTGCAGGGCTTGATGAGGCTGAGGAGGAGGACGCAGAAGGGGACGGCGAAGCAGCTCGGCTGTTATCGGCAGGCTCCGGTGACAGCGGGCCTGGGTCCAGGTCGGCGGCGGTTGTCGTTATGGGTAACGAGGAGAACCTTCGCCGCTGTGCGTCCGCCGCGGCAGTCCGCGGAGGTTGCCTCATAGCGATACTGCTGCCTAGATTCCGGCCGGCCGCAGTGGTGTTGATGCCGGTGTTCGAGGACGACGTTCGGTTGGCTGACGGCCGGGAGCCAGGTCGTACCGGCGTATCAGGCCTGCTCGAATCGGGTCGGTTCATCGAGCTCTCAACCTTGCGTATAGAGAGCGAGGAGGGTTCTCGGGAGTGACTGGCATAACTGCCAGACGCTCCGCCCCCTGAGCCTGTGCGCCTCATGGCCTCGGCCATCGGCAGCCCTTCCAGGCCGGGCTGGGGAGATGGTGCTGGCGAGACTTTGGCGGCGACAGCGGCGCGGCGCATCTGCGCCCGGAGTTGTGCGGCATGCCTTTCGGTCAGCCAGGCAATCTGCTGAAGCAGGAAATCGACCGTAACCTGGAATCGGTCGGCGCTGAGGAGCCATGTCCAGTAAGTTAGAGTCCTGGGGAACGGGGTGATGGGGTGGACGGGGCTTCTCACATTTCATTCCCTACCAGTCAGGCCAGGTTAGCGGGAGTGTTTGGAGATATATCACTTGGAAGAAAAGAAAAGAAAAAGTCCTTACAGTCAATCTCGGTCTTGGAAACCCTGGATACTATGTTCCAAAGGGCCTCATCCTTGGAGGAATCCCAGTTGACCTAGCACCACGACCACAGTCAGCCTCAGCGACAGGATAGGGTCTGGCATAACAGGCGTGGAGGCAAGCGACCTACTGGGGGCGGGTCAACGAAATCGCCTCGGGGAAATGGAAGGCGGATGAAGACTGTGAACGCTGGGTCGGGCGAGGACGTGGTCATGTCGCCGGTGCCGGCACGGAAGCGTACCGAGGGAGCTGGTGGGTTGCTCCTGGGAGCTCACGTGTTGCCAGGCTTCAAGGACAAGGTGTGTGTGGCCTATAGGCTAGCGCGACCAAAGCTGTGAGAATCGGATCGACTGAGGCACAGCGTTGCACCGGATGCGACGAGAGCGTTGACTCGTTCCAAGGGTACTCGAGCGAGAATGCTGCGTCAGACATCAACGATGCTCGAGCTCGATAAGCTCCGTTGTTGAAGACGCTACGGAGCTGTCCCAGCAGGGTCCCGCGGTGCCCACTGGCTGCCTGTCACATGGGCGCCGGAGCTACCCCTGGCGGCGCTGTATCGATAACAGCTGGCCGGCTTCCAGCCAACCAGCCAGCGCTCTTCTCCTGCGATTGCCCCCACTAACGCCTGCTGGGTGTCTTGCTGACCTCCTTCCGCCGAGGTGTGCCTGCCTGCCACCGGCCATCTTCCGACCTTCTCGTGGTCAAGTGACTTCCGAGCTCCAAACTTCCCATCAGTCGGCCCTGTCCTTCGATGCTGCGCTCCCCAGCCATGACGTTGTCGGTAGGATGGCCTGGCTCGATATTGGCCTATGGCCTATATCCCTGCCGGGTGTAAGCGGCCTCGATCATGCTCTCGGCCACGTCGCTATCGACGATCATCCTTCCTACCGAGGGTGATGGGCGGACTAGCTCGAGGGCCATCCTCGTTTATAACCAGAAGTAAGGGCCCAGGGCTGACCGAGGAGCTCGTCGCTCGTTCGCCATGCCGATATGATTATGTTACGATTTCTCATCATCAAGCCAATGTGTCTGGCTCAGAAGTGAATTTTGCCTCGAGACAAAGGCATGGAGGTGGGAATATATCCCTAACCCCCGGCACGAGCAGTTCTGACTGAACACTTTGCAGCGACTTCTCCCCCGCGCCATCGTAAATTGGTCACCAAACCCCATACCGGGCTTCTCGCCTTCAGCAGGCGGCCTCATTGCTCTAGCAGACCTCAGCACTATCTCCCGCCGCACCGCCATCGCCGGCGGCTCCTCGTGGCTCGATGCCCTCCTGCTCGCACCTGGCCTGCATTACCAGCAGGCCGCTGATGCTCTGATCGACGGCAGCCCCTCGTCCTACAGCGCCGTCGAGCTGCTGCCGGGCAAAACGACACTGTACAGCATCACCAACCGAGCCACCATCGGCTATCTCCAGCGCATCGCCCTGACTGGTCAGGTCGTTGTTGTGAATGTCGGACCGCGTCGCCAGGCCCGGGAGAGCCCCCGCGAAGCGCGCAGGCGCAAGAGGCTCGGCCTGGGAACTCAGGCTTCCCACGAGCCATCGACAACTATCGGCGGGTTCTCGCACGCACTGTACTTGGCGAGTCCCGTTCTGACAGCCGCGTCGTTGGTGTTCATGGTCCTCCTCGAAGACTGTAAGATTGGACCCCTCTGCGGCATTCCCGGGTCGATACAAACTCCTGATCACTGATGTTTGCTTCAATGAATTCCAGGGTGGGGAGTTGGACTGCTTCTAGCCCTCATGTTCTCCCGCGTCTTGAATATCTGGGTGATCAAACAACGCTCAAAACCACCACCACCACCAGCACATCCCGCCCCTTCCGAACATAACGACAACTTCCTCACCGAGTACCTCGTGGAAATCGGCGACGGCGGTACCATCTGCCTGCGCGGCCTCGGCTCCGACCTGCAAGCCATCACCACCGGCTCGTGGCTGTCCACAAAGACCCACGTGCAGGGCTACCTCGAGGCCGCCGCAAAGCTGACCGTGTACCTCGTCGCCGCGTTCAGCGGGCAGCTCACCCAGCTCGGCAACATCATCTTCATGGCCCTCCTCCTCATCACGGCGGGTTTGCTGGGTCTGAGCAACGCCCACGACACGCATCTCCAGATGCACGGGCGGGTCGCGGCCATCTGCCCCCCCTCCCCCTCGGCCAACTTGCGTCCCTTGTCAGGGGTTCCGACTTCCTCCTCGTCCTCGTCCTCGTCCTCCCCCCAAGTCTCAAAGCAGCCATTTGGTGCACGGCGGCACTTGGCGACTGAGCGGCAGGGTAGGTCTAACGACGACACAGCCGCCACTACCGGTGGCCACAACCGCCAATGGTATACCCGGGAGTTGTCAACGACTACGAACAACAACAACAGCAGCAACAACAACAGCAGCAACAACAACAGCAGCAACAACAACAGCAGCAACAACAACAGCAGCAACAACAACAGCAGCAACAACAACAGCAGCAACAACAACAACAGCGGCAGCAGCAGCGGGAGGAAGAATCAGAGCAACGTGTCCAACACGCCCCAATATGGTGGCGGCGGCAGAAGCCCCTCTTGGCCTGCGAGCACCATGACGCGCTACTCTTCTTCGAGTGATCAGCATGACAATCCGGGGGATCTGGCGGAGAAGGGACAGGTCGGGGTCTCCGTGAAGAATCAGGCTGGCGGCTGATTATCCTGCTTACCAACAATCATTGGTGGTAATCAGGAAGCACAATGTCCACCAAGCAAGAACAAAGTGCTGGAGACATACACGGACCATGGCACTTACACCTAAGAAATTGCCTGGGGTCCGCGTCAACGAGGAATCGCTTCATATCTGCTATTGCAATTTTCAACCACCTATAATCTTTTGATAGGAATACGCCCAAACTCCGCCTCATGCTCAACCCTCGCAGAATCACCACGTGCACGCAGTTTGACCCTTCCACCACATTTTCGTAGATCATGACCAGATCTCGTTGTCTCTAAAAGCATGAGCATTAGATAATACATGTTACACCCTCACGGTTAACTGTTCGCTGTGTTCCTCACCCACCTCCATCATGGTCAGCATCGGTAGCCGCCACATCTCACTCCCGCACCCTCTGCTCGCCCGTCCGAACCAGCTCGCAGAGCGCCCTCATCAAGAACGGGTCCACGGCGGGCTCCTTTCTGCTGCCCTTGCTGCCTCCCTTATTGTCCTTCCACTCCTTGAAACGTCTGCGCTGGCCATGTCTGCCGGGAGCACCGGTCCAGGCTGGACCGGTCGTCCTTCCGCCAGCCGAGCCGGCACTGCCGCTATAGAAGGAGCCGTTCTGCTGATCGTCGACGCCGCTGCGCCCGTCATCAGTGAGCGAGACTATAGCGTTAATGTCTTCCTCGTTGTTGAGGCCATGGCCATCGGAATACCCGCCACTGTTTGTAGTCTGGAGCGTGATGATGAGGCGGGTAATGCACGTCAACAGGCCCGCCCGCAGGTCCACAAGCGTCTGCTCGGCCGTGGTGAGCTTTGTTGTGGTCGATGGGCCGTGCGTAATGCTACTCGAAGCCGTCGTGGTCCCGCTTGAAATAGTAGTCCCGCGCATTCTTGCCGCCGCGTTGGCTTTTGACTGCACAGCGGGAGTGGAGGTAATCGAAGCAGTCCCGATGAAGGAGCGACGCTTGCCCAAGACCGGAGTCTGTGGCGCAGATGGCGGATCGACACTTTCGCTCTCGCCGCCGAACCGGTTCGAGCCTGGGAATGCGTACGATCGCTTGCTTCGAAGCACATTTCGTCCTGCCGTGCTGATCGAGTTGGCCCGGCTCACCGTCGATGAGACGGACAAGCCACGCTGCCTGCCATGGGGCAAAGGGGGCACAGGTGGAATTGGCTCGTCCTCATCAACATTATTGTGAAGCCCCAATAGGCTGGCAGCCTTGCGGGGGATCCGCGAGCCACTCTGTGTGCCTGACGTGGAGGGCCTTGGGGGAGCATCGGCAGCCGCGTCAGTCGCGGTCCTGGGCCTCGACGGGATGGTGGGAGATGTTGCAGTGGGCATCACACGAGGGCAAAGTAATTCCACATAGTTGAAAGTCAGCAGATGGGCGTAGAGTGCGTCGCAGAGATAGTCGCTGCCGTTGGGGAAAACGCTCTTGATCGACGCCCAGTCAGGACTGGCATTCGGCCAAGTCGGCTTCTCCTTCTCGAGACCAAAGTTGGTGGCGTGCTGAGAAGGTCCCGAGGCGAGGCCATTGTGCTTCTGATTCGAACCGTCTGAAGCCTGAGCTTTACGGGTTATCGATGTGACCTTTCTCCATGTGGAAGACTTTGGCTTCTCGTCCGGACTGAAAGACAGCTGACCACCTGACGACATTTCCGAATACCCCTTGCCCTCGTATTTGACCTTGCGCGCGTGGCTGCGTATCGTCTCAATCGACAAGCTGGAGCACAGGAGCATCGTTTCGGGAAAGCAGGAAACTGATACTCGCAACGTCTCCAGCACCTCGGCAGGAAGGCGGATCTTGGAAGCGGGAGCTTCTAGATCTGGCTCAAACGGATGAGCGAATTCGTCTATGACAGTCTGGAACCACGTTTCGATGCTGACGCTCTGCGGTCGGGCGTTGTCCGGCACGGGCGAGCCCATCTGTGGCTCGGGGCTTTCTGACATATCCGAGTAATCGTAGTGACTCCCAGAGTCTTCGAGAATGTCGTCAGGTTGACGGTACTGAGAGACGCTAGCAGCGCGCCCTCTGGGCTTTCGGCTTTGTCCAGATTGTGGCTTTGATGGCGTAGCCTCAGCATAGCCAGAAGACGGGATGAAGGTGCTCGGCGAGGGAGGTGAACGAGGCGAGCCACTACCGCGTCTAACCGTCGAAGGTCCTCGATCTCGCGAGGTCGGCACGGCAAGCCTATCTGCTTCGTAGGTCTGCATCCGCGACGCAGAGGTGTCGTAAGGACCGCTGGGAAAGGGGAGGGCAGTAACCGTATCCTCCGGATGGTCCATCGAGCCTGCAAAACCAGCGAAGGGATCCGATATGTAAACCTCTGACATACGAGTACCTCGATATTTAAGCGGGGTCTGGCCACGACCGTACCGCGCAGAGCTTCGTCGTGGAGGCGAGATGATTGGCGGCTGGGGCTCAAGCACAGTCGGGGTGTGGCTCTGGAGGGATGTCGTTGGAGAGTCATCTTCAGAATCTAGCCAGCTTTTGACAGGTTCCTTTACTTGCGGGGACGTCGACGCAGAGTTGAACGCCGAGCCGGCGCGTTTTCTCCCCGACGTGATCGACGTCGCCGCAGTGGTGACAGATATGTTGCGTGTACGGATGGACGGTGGCTCGACATAGCCAGAAGAGTCGCTGCCGGACAGGTCCGAGTCGCTCACATCCTTCATGAGCTTCTCGCCCAACGCAAGAAGCTCAGAGTACTTTTTGTCAAGTAACTCGAGGGACCTCATCTTAGAAAGCAGCTCCTTCTCTCGAGGATGCGAGATAGCACTGAGCGACAGCCCCGGTTGCGGCGCAGGTCGCCTCTTTTCTGCTGCTGACATTGACCTTGGGGGCTTGAAGACCACAGACATAGGCCTGTGCTCACGACCTGATGTCTCGAGATCTACGGCGAGCAACTCGGGGAGGTTGCAGTCCATAAGAGGCTCCATGTTGCCGTTAGGTCGAGGGACGCCGTTGTATCAAGATGTAAGCCGTTCGGATGCCCTGTACGCAGTCGACACTCGGATAGTCCTCCCGGACCGGGGTTGAATCACCTTCCACGCAGGCTCCCGAGGAGTTGATTGTCGTTTCAGGTTCGCGAAGTCGCTCAGGTCGGGGCGAGCGAAGTCTGTGCTACCACACGAGAAACGATACGTGTTGTTGTTGCAATGAATTCGAGACGACATCAGCACAAGGTTGAGTAATGGAGAAGTTCCGATGCGCCTGGCAGGTTTGTACTTGTCCACACGAAAGGGCGTACAGTCCAAGGGAAGCCGTGTTGATGTTCCAAGGACGAGCTATCACTTGGACCTCGTGGCAGTGAGAGGCTTCTCTGGGTGATTTGGGAGGACTGGAATGTGGTGGGCTGATGGAGGCGCCAGACCTGCTGCTAGCCATGCTGCCCTCTGTTGTTGTACAAACGCCGCGGGCAAAGGTCATGCCTGGCCGGGCCTGCTTGGCAGCCTCCGGGGCCAAGGAGTGAAGCTCTGGTGGGTTTTGATGTCATATCAGGTATGCGAGACATTGGGCTGTGGTTCCTGCGGAGGGACAGCTCCAGCCCCCCTTCGGAAGAGCGCCGACATGGTTTCGTGGCTTGGGAATGTTGCTTTTTCACCCTCGTTGGTCGCCCTTGCCCAATGTGAGCGCGTGGTTGCCCAGCAATATCTACCTCAAGGTAAGCTTTGCGCCATGCAAACCTCACTGCATCCCTGCGTCATTACTCTGTTGACAGCAGCACGAAACGACGAGCGAACAGTACCATAGTGGATAGGGTCGACCCGGCCCGAGTGTGAAACTCTGGCCGGCGAGGCGACGGCGCAGAGACGGACCCGGTTCATGCCACCTTTGTGTGTGCTTGAGGGTTGTCTGGTGGCTGTCATGCAGTGTCTCAAGATAATGTCTTGCAGGTAAGACCAGGCAGAGCTTCACGACAGTTGTGGCTGGGCCCCAGTCACACCCAGCACTCTGGACCGGCCCTGCCCTGCCCTGTCAATTTGGCATGGCGGGCGGCGACCGCTATCGTCGCCGCCATGCACGGGATGCGTTTGCGCGAATGTGGAGGGGTGCTGTAGGTCTTGCCAGGAGAACAAGGGAATCAAAAGAAAGCATCGTAGTAGCGTCGAGACATGCATGCTAGTGGCATCCATTGTTCTCCTGCTTGTCCTACTAGTTTTCAGGCAATGCACGAGCTAACGCGCGTCCGAGGCAGGCGGACGTCAATTGACGCCGTTCAGAGCTCGTGTTGCTGCCATCTCGAGACGAAGGGGGGCCCGTTGCGCAGGACGCGAAAACGCAACGAGAAGCCAGCATCAAGGGGTTCAAGTTGAGGGAAGGTGGAGCCACCGCGCCAAGATGTCGCCTGGGTGGTTACACGGCATACCCTCGATGCGGGTAGCCACGTTTTCACGAGGGCTTCTCGTCGAGTCCTTGTCCTGGGACGTTTGTGCTACGTCGTGTCTTCAGATTCGGACCAGCATATCTGCATGCCGTCGTTATCACCACGCTTCATGAGATATCCACAATGATTTCGACCACGGCTCCTGCACGCGCTCGTAGTATCTTTCGGCGCTTCCTCTGTCCACCAGATCTATAATCCATTAATCTTCTGGCTTCGGTGAGTACAAAGAATGCCGCGAGGGTCGGAGGAATTTACCAACGTTTCTCCGCCGCTCTTGATTATGGAATGGCTCAATTTGGAGCCTGTCATCAGCCAAGATGGCGTTGTTTTGGTTCCCACTGCCTGCTCTGCAAGTGCCTTGAGCCATTGCGTGTACCATAGTAGGATGGTTCCTAGCTCTAGATTTCGGTTGCCACCTCGCCTGAGCACGGGCTGGAAGAAAGCACCAATCCGGTTGGCTCGCGCAAGCTAGGCACTACCGCGCTTAGTTGGCGACCACGTCAATCTGACAGTCACGCATCACATCAGGTGGGACTTTCTCCATCTCTGAATGGTTGTTGAGCTTGATAGACTGTTGTCTTTGCCGTCATGTCCGTTACTTGATGAAGCCATGGCCGGTGACAGAGCCTTGACAGGGCCTTGTTTGAGCCTGTTCAGAAGCGCTCTTGGAAGGAGTGGAGCGCAAAGCCGCATATGCGGTGGAAGGGAGATGCGCGGCGGCTCCACAAGGAGCGCAGGCAGGCCCACTATAATTTTCAAAACTTCACGATGAGCTGCCTCTCTCACTGGCGGTGCATGTGAGTGAGCAACAACACCAACAACAGAATCCACAAATCCCTCTGAACTCCCGGGGTGCATAATCATCTTGCGTGAACAGGAGATCATCAGTACCGAGGTCTATAGCAGGGCGCGTTTTACGCTGCGCGCCTCCCCCAAAAATGATCACAGAGAGCTACTTTGCCTCAATATCGGGCCCACCGCTGGCCAACAACACAGCTATCGCTCGAGACGCGGGCATCTACGAGCACACTCTGCATCCCAACCACTCTACCACTGCCGTCCTCAAGAAGAGCTCCGTGCCGCGCAATGCCCTGGCTGCCAGCCCAACACATGTATTTGCCGCGCAAGACGACAAGTCCACAGTCCATGTCTACGCCAGGCCAAAGGGCTCCCAGGAAGCCATCGTCACATTTTCGGAGCGCATCCGGGCGGTCGCCCTTCAGGACGACGTGCTCTTCCTCGGCACGCAAGAAGGCCGCCTGATTGCCTGGGAGGTAACACACCGTCCTCTGTCCAGCTCCAAAGCTCGTGACACACGTAAACACACACAAAGCTGACCAGCGCCTCCCCTCAGACATGTACCGGCCGCCAAGTAAGCACACCAGCCTGCCACGTCCAGGCCATCTCGTGCATAGCCACGACCCCATTCCACATCATCACCGGGTCGGACGACTCGAACCTCAACGTCTGGGCCCTCCCGCGGCTGCTGGAGCTCGGCTCGACGGCAGAGCACGAGCCCGAGCGGTCCCTCGCCGACCACCGGGCCGCCATCACCTCCGTGGCAGTCACCACCAGCATCAACCCGGATACGTCCCTGTGCGTGTCCGCAAGCAAGGACAAGTCGTGCGTCATATGGAACTACACGTCCGGCACCGCGCTGCGCACCATCCTCCTCCCCTCCCACCCGCTTTGCATCGCCCTCGACCCTTGCGCGCGCGCTGTCTACGCCTCCACGGAAGACGGCTCCCTGTACGCGGTCGAGCTCTTTGACGACAAGGCCCTCATCGGCCCGCGCAGCGACGAGGACAGCTCCATGGCCGTCCAGGTCTCGGCGGCCTTTGGCGCCGTCAGCCCGACCGAGGTCGGCCCCGCCAGCTGCCTGGCCGTCAGCTACGACGGCACCGTGTTGCTCTCCGGCCATCCCCGGGGACAGATCCTGCGGTGGGACCTGAGCACCCGCACCGACTCGACCGAGCTGGCGAACCTGAACGCCGCGGTCACGAACCTCGTCTTCACACCGGCTCTCCCAGAGGCGGCCGGGCCTGGCCGGCGCACGGCGGCCGCGACGGTCGTCAAGCCATTCATGGGCAGCAGGACATACAACTATACCGCGCAGCTCGAGTCAGACATGTGCGAGGACGAAGGGCAATCGCCCACGGCATTCAGCAAGATGCTCACCACGAAGGGGTTGCCTAGGGACTTTCTCGAGGTCGGCATCATGGCATTCCAGCAGCAGCAGCAGCAGCAGCCATCGACAGTGATACCTGAAAGTACTGCTGCTGGCGGCAGTGAACTCGAGGAGCTGCGCAAAGAGAACGCGGCGCTGCGTGAGGTCATCGCCGAGCAGCGCGCTCTGCAAAAGAAAACCCTTGAGAAGTACCTTGGCTCGCAGTCCAAATAGGCAATGCATTTTTCTTCCAAGGGCTTCACGTACGGCTTTATTCGGGGCCTTTCACAGATAAGCAGGAGCCATGTGCGCAGGGTGTATAGTCCACATTACCCTGCAAGTATATAGAGACCTGTCTTGCGACGGGGATGATATCCAGATTCTGAGCTCAAATCTGTGCTCTTGTACATTCTTCTCTAGACAGCCAATATAGATATGGACGGTTCCTCCCGTATCCTGCGGGGAAAGCGGCAAGCCTAGGAGCTTGCATCATTGTCGCTCCGTCCCAACCAATCCTACTGATGCAGTGTCTTTCATGCCCTCTGTCTAGCCATACGGCGTTCTTTTCATGGCAATATCCGCCATTTTCGTCCTTGTTCCTCATCAATTTCGATTGGCGAAATCTGACTGTCCCTGTCATCAGCAAGTGCGTGCCCAGCAACTTTTCTAAATATCATTAAAGCCTTCCTCTGAACCACTTCCAGTCTGCTGTGCTGGCTCAAGCTTGTTTGGTGCGTTTTGTCGTGAAAGTCATGTGCGCGTGGTCGTCTGGTCCTAAAGTTGTGTTGGGATGATGTCACAGAAAGCAGAGTGCTCGTACTCGGCCTTTTCCCAGTCTCGACGGCCAATCTGTGGCCCGGAAACATCGCTTTGTGGTCCGCCTATAAGATGACACAACGAGGCCGATTGTGCTCCTTGCCTTCCTTTCGTTTCCGCCTGTTTTTGTAATAAGATATTGAGTAAGGGTCGAATTTGTCTTCCTCTCCGGCCAATGTCTCTGCTGCATCATCCTTCCTGAGCATTTGCCGGCATAGATCCACAAAAACTTCATCGACATTTGCTAGTAATACATTAGCCTGCATGAACAAGGGTGCATGACCAAGGGCAAAGGTGACGGCCAGCAGCGCGGCCGGGACCAGGCCGGCATGTTGTCAACCTCGATTGCGTCATTCCAACTTACTTCGTGTCCGGGCACTGGCTTCATAGTATGGAGCTCCCCAACGTTGTGAGATGGAGAATCCCTTGGTGCGCGCGACTGCCCGCTGGTCCTCCAAATCGGCTTTATTACCAACTAGGACTATCGGGATAGTCTCGTCATCCTTGATGCGGATAATCTCGTCTCGGAGACCCATGAGCTCTGCCAAGGACGAAGTTTGCGTAATGCTGAAAACCAGCAGAAAGCCTTGGCCAGTTTTCATGTAGAGGTCTCTCATTGCAACTGATGAATATCGCAGTTAGTTAAGAAGAGTTTAGCACGCAAAAGCCGTTTTGAAAACAAACAAAACCTACCAAACTGCTCGGTTCCCGCGGTATCAAGGCTGCAATTTGGTCAGTATCACCAGTTGGTGTCACCTGTGAACGCAAGAACGTGGTGCTTTTGGCTCACATTTCAAGGATTACTTGGCGGCCCTGGGATTGACATTGTTAGATATTTGGTTCCAAAGCACACGAACAGCACCAGTACCTACATCGACTGCGACCTGAGTACGATAAGAGTCCTCGATCGTGGGATCATAGCTCTCTATCCATTCGTTATGGACGAATTGAGCTGCAAGCAACCGCACCTTGTCAGCATTTTGGGGTCCCCAGCAGAACCACGCAGCCAGGTGAGTCCGGGGGATGAGCCACTAATCATGATGCTCACCTGTGAGACAACTCTTTCCGACACCACCTAAGATTAGATGTTAGTCCTGGGATTGTCTGAAGACGCAGAGGTTAACATACCTGCACCAAGCACCACAACGTGGTACTCTCGGCTAACAGCAACAGTTTGGTGTCAGCATAAGAAGGTACGCGTAAGATCGCATCTTGCGACAGGTTCGAATGAGGCAACTTACGCGGGCTGGTACCGACCCTGTCTCGGTGGAGGCATGTCGACAACTCTGCGCAGGGCGGGAGCGCAGGTGCACACGAGGATCAGCCAGTCCGGCAATGGAGACGGTGAATGACGGCAGACAGGCGTAGGGTGTTATGTCGGCCGTTTGCTATCCCAGTTGCGATGGCGCTGCTTGACTGGTACAGGAAGACTGAGGATTGCGCCGAACTGAGAGCCACAGAGCAATGTTGAGTGACAGATCGATGGCAAGGAGAGAATATCCACCAAGGCCAATTGGGGGGTTTCCGAAGGGGGGAGCAAGTCTCCACGTCAAGCAACAAGATGACGGTCAACGGCACGTCCAGGCGGAGAAGGCTCCGGAAACCCAAAAGTGAAGCAGCGGAGCGATGAGGAGGCGCAGGAGCCAGACGGGAGCGGCAGAGGGAGGCTGCGTTGCGGCGTGTCGTTGGCGGCGAAGCAGTGTCGAATGGAGGAAAGAGAGTCCCTGGACGCCGGAAAAAATGATACCAGGCGTGCAGGTGGCAGCTCCCCCAGAAGCGGAACTGGCGGCGGAGTGGGCGTGTGGACTGCTGGTGCCGGAGCAGAGGACGGATTAGGGGTAGGCGTGGGACCCACAGCTGGCAGGCAGGCAGGCAAGCGAGGCCAGAGCCAAGCTCGACGGCGTGGAGAGAGCGAGGCCTTGTCGGGCCCCAGTGTCGCTTGAGGCCCTGCCAGCACGAGGCAAGGCCCGGGCTGGTGACGGATTGGCGGGTCGGAGGGAGGGGTCGGCCAGGGACCGAATGGCTGGCTGGACTCCCTGCGCAGGTCGTGTCTGCAGGCTGTAGAGGACGTGCTGTCTGTCATGAGCCGCGAGCGGCAGAAGCAACGACCGCTTTGTCGCGAGACAAGAGGTGGCAGCAATGTGGTGGACGAGGCGGCTTGTGATTTGTCTCTTTGTCGTGATGGAAAGTGTGCAGCTGCAGGACGCGGCCGGGCTGTTGGTCGAGGTTGGCCGCCGCCTGGGCAGACATGGGGGGCACATGGCCTGCGGAACCCCCCAAGGAGAAAACCCCTGTGGGCGGGGAGGCCCGGCCTGGCATCAACGATGGCTTGCTCTCCGTTCTGGACGGCTGGCTTGCACCAGACTTCCTTTGAGCTGTCGCATCGTACCTGCCTCGATGCGCCGCCTGATGGTGCATTGCAGGTCGTGGCTTCCTCAGCAAGGTTGCAACGCTGGCACCAGTCGACGACTCCTTCGCAGGGGATGACTGCTCACACAACACCAAACGCTCAGGTCCCTTTTGACTCGACAACACGAAACCTGGTCTTTTATGCTCCTCCTCGCCTGACCGGATCGACAACCTCCTGAAGAAGACATCCGTGGTCGGCGGCATGATACCCGCAGGGCCTCCTCCCTAGAGTCAAGGCCTGAGCTTAGCATCAGATGTCCCTGATGGCCATGTCGGGGAACACAGCTGGGCCGCATCACCATCACGGATATTCGCCTGACCATCGCAAAAGCGCCTTTGTGCAGCACCCTGGGGCCCAGCTCAGGGATGCCATACCGGCAGCCGGTCCGGACCCGGGCCCCGTCACCTTGCTGCCAGGTCACACCTACTTTAGTGTGCGCAGAGCGGGTTCAAGGTGCTGCGGATCCCCCATCGAGCTCGCCCCGTGCCAGCAATCCCCACTTCCCACCGGCCATACGTGACGACTACGGCAACTCGCTCGCAGTGTTGGACTCCCTCTTCCTCGTCGTCCGTCACTTGTCGCAAGCGCATTCCACGCAAACGCCGCGCCTGCCTCTTCGCCCGGCCGCATTCGCAATTATAGCTGCGACCACAAAGTTGTGACACCCTGCACAGCTCAATGCGCCGCCTCATGAAAGGACCACCAGGCAGCTGGGGGAGACTGGTGTCGTAGAGCTCCTGTGGGGCTCGAGAGGGCCATTTTGAGGCAGATCCCGCCTGGCCCACGAAAGAACCCTCCGAGTGACCCACGAGCGTGGGCCTGCAGGAATCCAATTGTTCCAAATGGCGACCATCAGCAGCAACATCCAGATGCACTTGCGCCCCCACTCAACCACCGAACCAGGGGGTCGTGATGCAGCTAGCAAGTCTAGCTCCATGATGGAAGGGGTGCTTCGTACGTCTCTTTCTATGTAACCCGCCTTGGCTCTCAGCCACACGGCAAACGAGAAGGCCAACGTTAAAACATGCGTTTCTCTCAATACAATCGAATGTTATACCGCCCAGGACGCCCTGGTGCCTTGGAGGAGCAGATTATTCATCTGCCTCCTCAAGGAACGATCATTCAGGGGGTTTTGAGAGGTGACGTCAAAAGATTCGCCAACCGATGCCAAGACCCGGAGTAGCAACCTCGAGATCTCGAGGCATGCTCTTGAGTGAACCCCGTTGCTCGATAGCGAAGCGGCATAGATCTCGTAAATGCTGCTCGACTACCATGCCTTAGTTGGTTGGTCATTCGTCCCTTTGCTTGCTTCTTTGTTTGTTTGCTCTTTTGCTTGCTTGCTCTCCTGTCTGCCTGCCTGCCTGCCTGCCCGCTCGCCCGGCGTGGTTCTGGGGAAGTGTGGCCCTGCCACGTGGCCAGCATGATGTTATTTTGATATTAGACACAAAGAGAGGGAGCAGTGCCAGGGGAAAAACAATATTATTGTCCCCGTTCTCAAAGGCGGCAGGCAGCTCGAAAGCAACAAGCAGGCAGGGACAAGAACGCGAGCGATGGCCGACGAGCACCACCCCGCCGCCGGCGCGGGAAGTTGACAACAGAACAGTGTCTTGTAGCATGTAGCAGCCAAGGAAGACTTCAGTTCAGGCTATGAGTAGTATATCACGCTTGGGGCCATGATCAAAATTTTGAGCACGAAGTGATGAGATTATAATAAAGAAGGAGATGACCATAGATGGAAAACTAATATAGAACAAATAGGTATGCGCAGGGGAAAACCAAAAGAAAGAAAAAGAAGAAAAGAAAATCCCTTGGGACGGCTCTTCTGCTCTCAACCACGCGTATGCCCCTGTTCCCCTCCTCGGCGATCAAGATACTCCTCCTCCGGCTGTCAAGTTTCTGCCAGCCGCCACATCAGCCCCAGCTTGTGACGGGAGACCCCGACACCTGCGCTTTGAAGGGAATGGGCAAGCATGAACAACAGCGAATGAGCGAACCAACCACATAGAGGTGCGCTGTACTGGAGACCCTTGGAGGGCATAAAGGGAGAGGGCGTAACGGCAGCGGTGAAGAGAAGAGAAAACGCGGTGAAAGAAGTAAATGGAAAAGGAAAAATGACTCCGCCTCTGAATGTAGTTCCTCGCAATGAATATCTGCTACCGACACACAAGACACTCGGTAGATTGACGCCCGAACGCGCTCCCACATGCCCCTTGCTCTTTTTCCTTGTAAATGACTGATAGCCCAGCAACATGTTCGTGACAAAAGTGGATTCGATCATAAAAGAGACGCAAAAAGAAAAGAAAAAGAAAAGACCCAAACCATCAAGCTTGCGCCCTGTCATCTCCACCGAAAACAGTTCGGATTCCGGAAACCTCCAACAAGTCTGGCAGGCTTGACAATGCAAACGCGGCCGCGCTTCTGTGCTGATAGTGGTGTGTGGTGTGTGAAAATCTAAGCCTTTTCCAACAAGAAAGGCTGCCAATCCCGTGTAACAATGTTGATGATGTGCTGTCGTATGCGGGACCCCGGTATGCTGACCATTTGATTCATGTGTTGCGCCGTGGGCCAATGATGCTACCATGTTGTAACCCAATAGAAAGCCAGTCCTGAAGCATCGCAAATGCGCCCGTGCTCCATGGCGAAGCTGTTCTGTTCCAAATCGTGATGTAAGGGCTCCTGCTGCTCATTGGATCCTGATTGGGTGCAGACAAGTGGCTCAAGGAAACGCCAGCGCCGTGCAAGTAACAAACAAACACAATTCGAATGCAAGAGAAATGTCAGAAGATGCTGAATGAGCTGGTCGCTGAGCAGACGCGAGGTCGTTGCTCAAATCAATGATCTGAACATGGGGGCTTTGAAAGTGCCGAAAAATGCAGTGGTGTCATCTCTAGCAGCGATCAGGGTATCTGGAGTGACCACCGTCATCGACGCCATCGCTTCCCAACCCAGTTGTGCGCCCGAGGTCGACTAATTTGCAAAATGCCGAAAACAAAATGGAGATACGAAAGTGACGTAAGAGCTGTTGCATATGCTCTTCTAATGTTCTGAGATAAGTCTCGTCGAGGCTGAGCATCAAACGCTTGCTAGAGGCGTCCCCAACTCACGATCTCGGAAGACGACATCTGCTCAGGGGCGGTCCAAGTGATTACCGACCCATCATATATGGAGGAGGAAATGCAGACCCTGCATTGTTCATGGCTGCCGGAGTGCCGCCGGCCGACAGAGGCCCGTTGTAAGGCGGAGCGTTGTTCCACACATTGTTGTTACTGCCAGGGAAAGCGCTTGCGGGATAAGGGCTGCCGCCATTACCAGACAAGGAACCAGTGCTGCTATACGTGGCCATGCGATTAAGCCCAGGCGGTGCAGCCAGGCCCGGAGGGGGTCCGTTGGCAGTGGTGAAGCCTCCGGCATTGCCAGAAATGCCATTGAGACTCGACATTGGACCACCACTGTTCTGGTTGGGAGATTGACCAGATCTGACACCAAGCGGGTTCTTGGAAAAGCTCAACCGAATGCCACCCTTGACGCTGTTATGTAGTGGATGGCCGTACAATTCATGTAGCGCTTTGGTTGCGAACGAGACGTCCTCAAACTCCACGAAGCACATGGGGCCGTTCTGTTTCGTTCGGAAGCAAAGACGCTTGTAACCACGTTGCTTGGAGAAAACAGCTTTGAGTTCCTCTTCCGAGGTGTCGATGGGTAGGTTCCCGACATACAAAGTATTGCACGGGGGATTCTGGTCGGCGGGATTGACGGGTGGGAAGTTGTGTCGCTGCTGGAAGGGCTGGCCGCCAAGCTGATAATTGATGGAATGACTGTTGTTGGGCATAGCGGTAGGTGACATCGTATTGCCATGATTGGGCAACGGGGCGATGTTTGGATGGGCGTAGGCTGGCAAAGAAGCGGCGCCGTTTGTCGCGGTGTTCAATGAGAGGCTTGCGAGCCGGGCGATTGGCAAGTGAGGCGCCGTGGCGCGGCGTTGTTGCGTAGGTCCATTCTCGGCATACGCCACAGGATCCTTGAGCAGCTCTCGTGTTTCGTCATCCTCGGCGGCGTCGTGACTTATAAGAGACTTTCCCGAAATGCGTGCGCGCTCGGTAAGGTGATTGCCAATAGGTGACTGTGGGGAGAAGAGGCTTTGATAATGCGTGCCGGAATCTGGGTTGGGTAGCTCGCTTGTGGCATAGATGCCGCTCATTGGCGGCGAAATCTTCTCGAGGGATTGAAACCCGCCGTTGAACCGATGTGATTGCCTGGAGGAGGGGCCATTCGAGGCCAACGAAGATGAAACGCTGGGAACTGTGGTCGGCGGCATATCGACTGGATACCGTCTCGCAGACACCGGACTGCTGCTCAAGATCTCGACAATCATTTCCACGTCATTCGACATGGACTTGCCATGCAGAGAGTCCTTGGCCTGCTGTGCGGCTGCGGGAGTCTTGAACTTGACAACGGCAGATCGTAGTCCGGCATCTTCCGAGAGGTCTGGAGACAGCATCTCGACGTCGACCAGCTCCTGCGAGAAGAGCAGCATCAATCGCAGCTTCTCTTCGGTGGTGTCGGCTGGCAGGCGGCGGATGAGTACCGGCGAGGTTGGCGACGGTGTTGTCGAGAACGGGGTGCCGACGGGTTTGGTGGTCGCATCTCGATCGAAATGATTGCTGGTGCTCAGACTGGTCGGATAGATGGATTGCTGAGAGCCCGACGGCGAGCGGAACGGCTGTGACTGTTGGAGGAAGGCCGGCGCAGCCATGGTTGATGGGTGGATGCCGTTGTGTGCGGCCCGAAGACGAGGGAGGGAGGGGGCGACGCGAGACTAATTGGCAGCGCAGCCGGGCGCGCTGCACGAGTGGTGATGGCAATGCGAGGCTGCGTTCGAGGCGCTGGATTGGTCGTTGTGCGCGAAGAACGGCGATGGCGCGCGATGACCTGTATGGGAGCGCGTTGGGGTGGGAGGATGGGGTTCGTCGTCGTGGAGCAGTTGCTGAGGAGAAGGGAGGAAACGACGATCGCGTTGATCTGGAAATGGGGAGGGCAGGCACAGAGTGGGAGTAAGTGGTGCGCCTGGGACGCGGCAGTGGGAGGATTAAGCAGGCACAGGCGGGCGCTGGGTGGCCAGGACAGGCGGCCGTGGGGAGGGAGGAGGTGGGATGTGGAGGGCGCGCGGGCGTGGGCGTGGCTATCTGGGAGATGGCCCGCAGGTCAGGTGGGAAAGGAACCAGATGTGGGCGGCGCGGACGGGGAGCGGGTAGGTGCAAGCAAGAGCCCAGCAGCGCCTCGAGCAGTGTAACGATCGCGGTGGGGGCCACAGGGATCCCGACAGGCCAGGGCGTCGTGCGTCTGGCTGCCCAGGGCTACCTGCCTGTGACACACGCACACGCTCTCTCACACACACTCTCTCTCTGCACTGCACTGCACAGCTCTCGCGACAATTGCCGGCACTCTGCGGCTCCGCAAGCTGGATTCTGGGAACCTGGACGTCGTCGAGCTCGGGCTTGGATCCGCGGTGGCGCTACGCGGGGGGGCTTGCAGGGCGCTGCCTGCTCCAGGGCAACGAGACCAGACCTGGCGGAGCTGTCGGCTGGATCCACGGAAGCTCCCCTCAACAGAATCTGGGCATCTGCAAGTACAATCGGTACAAGGCTCTGAAGCCGTCAATGCTTGCCGGCTTTGCGCGGGTCGGTATGGACAAGAGAAACGTGTGCTGCAGGGCAGCTGGCGACGGAAAGGTCAGACCTGATCAGTCGGACTGGGCTTGAACTTGGGGTGGATTTAGATGAACGCCAGGACGTCGCTGTTAGGCCGTAATGTCTTCATCCGTCAAGAAAATCGTTGGAGAAATGCGAAAAAAGAAGGATAATGGGTGGGCAGCCATAACAGGTGGCGCCGGGATGAATGAGAGAGTACAAGGGCCCATCTGCGCGCGTGCGGCGAGCGAGGGATAGAGGGGGGTGCAAGACAAGACAGATTGGGAGGAGGCGCCATGTGAGAGACGATACGATGCAAGGGTGTGTGCCCAACGCAGCCTGCGATTTGGTAACCTCACGGCGGCGGGGAGGAGGGAGCACCTCGAAGCTCAAGGGCCTCGGCCGGGCCAGGGGAAACACGTTTGCAGGGCAGTGCCTCACGCCCGGCAACAGCAGCATATCTGCCGATCCTGAAAATGTTCTCTGCACACAAAACTCCTCTGCCCCAGCTCGTCTCTGCCCTCCAACTGACCTTGTCCGTGCCGTCCAGCGCGTGGTTCACGTGTCGTGCCTGACTGGCTGTACTCCCGTAATTTTGGGGGGGAGAGGGAGGGGGGTGGTCACAGTCAAGGGCCCAAGACCACTTACTCTCTGGACACACGCTGCTGCTGCTGCTGCTCCAGTTATCTCCAGCCAGGCTTCCTCTCAACCCGGTCGTTGCCGTGGCCTTGTCGTGACCTGGCGTCTGCCAGTGTCTCTCTACCCCTCTCCTAGTGCAAGCCTGGTGGATGCTAGCCGATTGCCGCCTGGTCAGAGGAGAGCGTGTGTACTTAAATGGTATCATGTCAGCATGTGTTGAATCTCAAGTCGCCATGTTGAGCAGGTCAGTTGTGACTGTGCTTTTGTTGCCCCAAAATACCCAGGAGCTTAGAACCAGAGTCCCCCCCCCCCAGGGGCTTTGCGAGGAATGCTTGAGGCTGAATCACATCGAGTTTCGGAGCACCTGTCGAAGGGGACAGCGCCCTTTGCCCAGCAAAGCAACCCAGTCGACCATCGATCACCACCACCAACCCGAGGCGTAGGGTTTAGGCTTCGAGGAGGGATTATTCTCGGGCGCTTTGCAAACCCACATCGCTCCATGTGCCTTGCTAGGGCAGATTTAGACTCGACCAAGCACATAGCGGCACCAATGGCGATGAACTCTGTGTGGACGCGTGCGCCCGAGGCAAGGACAGCTGGAACCAAGTGAGGGGCACCCGTGGACTGTGCTACAGCCTCTGGTTACAGCCATTACCGTCGCCGCATCAGGCACGACACATGCTGGTGGGCATTTGCGCCCCTCGCGTCATCATAGGGCATTTGGGGCGCAGGCCATGGGTTCCAGGACTGTAAGTCTCTGGTACTGTGGTGGTGGTGGTGGTGGTGGTGGTGTCAGTGATGCTGCCGTATGAGCAGGTCCAAGGAAGGCGCATCGTCCCGCGCTCGCAGAGGCCCGTCTTATTGGGCTGATGTCAATGAAGCGCTGGCGCGGAGTCTCGAGGCCGCTGACAAGAGCGAGGGAGGCCAGGGGCATGATTGTGGGCAAGGATACCAACCAGCTCAAGGGTGAGTGGGCCCGCAGGGATATGGGTCGTCGCCAGGGTCATCCCCGTACTTTAGACTTGCCCGGCTCTGCACGAGTAGGCTTGCATGGCGTCAAGTGCTCTGTGCTGAACGTCCACGCTGAGGAGCTGCCCGGGTTGCAGCAACTTCGAGTTGTGTAGCATCAGCTTCGCATCAGTTCCGGATGACCTCACTTTGGGTGCTGTCGGCAAGAGAGGCGTTGGGAAGCTTGCACCAGAATTGGTTCACAACGACAAATAAAGGGGGAACAATTTGGATGAGATGCCGCAAGAGACTGCGCCCGCTCTAATACGCAACTAAGTACAGCTCGTTTGGCAAGCCAACATGGCCAAAAAGAACTTGTCGCGCACTCTAGTACTATAAATATAGGTACCCCGAAAATCACATGTTTTTCGGGGCAGTCCTTTTCCACAGCTCGAAAGTCTTATCGTTGCAGTTGTTAATGAACCCAGGGTGACTTGAGCCCAGGAAGGCCGCTGGGGACCTGTGACAAAAGGGACCGATCACAACGATAAAAGGCAGGACGCCAAGGCATATTAAATTCTGATCACGGCCAAACGTTTGAGCTTACCGAATCTGCAAATCACCTACCATTAAGTATCATGGTCCTTGACAAAAAACAACATGGCGTCGAGAACACAATCCTGGTCAGGCCATGAAGCTTGCGAAATGCCAGCTCTCAGCAAGTGCCGTGCTAGGTAGCGTGTGCAAGGTACTCCCTCATGGCGTGCCAAGCAGCCTCTCGATGCAACTGCAGCAGCCGCCTAGCACCGGTGTGTAGCTTGCAGTTCTAGACCACGACCAGCCAGCCAATCAACAATGGAGCGCAACGAGTTGGAAAGCACCCTTGAGCTAGGGCACCCTGGACGCGTTGCACAATCACCAGTGCGTACTGCTTGGACTTGTCCAGTCGTGGCCGAGCTGCAAATCCATATCCAGCGAGGTGCACAGAGGAGCATTCCCGTGTCGGGTTTAAACTCTACTCGGCCGCGCCATATGGAGCTCACTGCCCACCAAAGGGGGAAGTGGGCTGTGGCCGTGGTGGTGGTGCTGCTGCTCCCGGCGAGACAAGAACTGGCCTGTTTGCTCCCATAGCTGCGCTCCAGCTGTGCTTCCCCTTCCCTGGATCTGGCTGGTTGGCTGGGCTGGGACATCGAGGGCCATGACAGCAGCGTGCATGCAGGAGACGAGGGCGCCTGGGATGGCGATAAGCGAGCCTCGGGAGCCGTTGACACGGGTGCATGGTTGGAATGCGCGAGAGGGCAACAAAGCCGAGGGTCGGCTAGCTCGAGTGCCAGCTGCGAGCAGGCCACGAGCTGATTGTGACAAGCCCATGAGCCCGCAGCGGAGCGACGCACGAGGCGGGAAGGGTGGGTAGAGGGCGAGACAGACAGGAACCGGTGAGCACGGACAACAGCGCGGACGAGATGGGCCAATGGTGGTGGGATGGATGTCGACAGATGCAGGGCGCCGGGGCCAGGTTGGTGTGGTCCCAGCCCGATGGTGTGCGCCTGCCTGTGCGCAGTGAGACGGGACTGCGCGTGGTGGGAACCCAAATATCCCAGGCAAGCTCCTTCTGCTGACTAACAATCTGACGTGCTCATGCACATTCTCGAGCTTCGCCTCTGCGTGCCCTCCTCCGAGATAAGAGAGAGCCGGATTACTTTTCAAGCCTCTGTCTGCTGGCTATTGTCCTGTGCATCTCGCTCGTCCAGCCAGTCAGCCAGCCAGCCAGCCCCCGCGGAAGGCCAGTGTGGCGACAGCCGGATCGGTCCACGACATCACTATGAACCAACTGCGAGAGCCACCACCAGCGCCTTTTCTGCTGCTGCTCCATTGTTCTGCTGACAGTGAAAGTGCCCAGAGGCCCACCTAGCCAATCTCGACGAATGACAGTTCCAGATGTAAGCAAGCCCTCACGGCCTGAGGTCTCTGGGCTGGGAGGGACGGAGCCAGGGAAGCCAAGCCGATTGGGCGTCTGCCAGAGCTGGTTTTGGTCACCCTGTCCTGGGCCCCGGTCGGCTCCATGGTGCTGCATACTTGGGACGAGCCCCGAAACTCACAGATTCCTTCTCGCCAGGATCGCCTGCCCCGTCCGCCCAGATATCGCCGGCAGGCTGTCTCGCCTTCCCATTGGCCCCGGGCAGGGCAACATCTTGCCCGTCCCTAAAGTCGTGGACCTGCAGCCCCCTGTCACGATCAGAAAAAGTGACGTCGAGTTCCCTGGCTTCACTGAGAATCATGGCTCATTGGGGCGGGCATCCCAGCAAGAGAAGAAGGCGGCCAGCAATCATTCTCTATTGGTCGTTCAAGTCAAGGTTCGGAACATCTGTGTCTAGCACATATAACTGGGATGTGTCATGCTCTCTCTTCTCTTGCGAGTCGAGGAGGCTCTGCATGAGACAACGCATCCGTGTATGGCACAATCAAAAGCAATTCCACGTCAGCCTTCGAAACAAAAAAAACCATTGTCTAGCAAGGCATGCGGCAGGAAGAAGCACCAAAAAGCCGCGTTCCCCCCTCCACCCCCTTTTCAACCCCCAAACACACCCAGGGACGACTACAATGGCCAAAGGGGCAAGGGGCACGTGTTTCTTATCACGCTTTGTGAGATGACAATGACGTGGTGGTGGTGGTGGGTACCAACGAGGGAGACAAGTTGTCAACCATATGGTCGATCCTGAGCAACTCTCGGGCCATGTTAAAGTTGTTCGGCATGACAAAGATCTGCTGCGTCTTTACCAAACAACTCACACAAATCTCATGGGGACACTGGCGCTTAGCACTCAAGACAAATACGCATGTTGCGACTGCAAGACCAACGAAAAGAAAGCCATTAAGAACTAAGTAAGCCTCCCACGAGACAACAGTTGCTGATCCCTTGGCCTTCGTTGGGGAAAAGGTCATGCAGTCGCCCAGCCCAGCTGAGCGCCCAGTGTTTCAGAACTCGGCACTCCGCGGGCTGGGCACGGGCAATGACACTACGAACACTTTGCGCGGTCGACAAGTGGTGGCTTGTTTGAGTCCCAAGTTCGGCCAGCGGGGATTATGCCGGGCGATGGTACGGAGCGTCTATCCAACATGAGCGAGCGCGCGACGAAAGAGACTATCTTGGTCCACGGCAAACATCTACTTGCAATGAAGAATTGCCACATGCAAACCAGGGGTCGGGCCTGGAAGGACAGACTGCTGGCTGGCCTGAACGTCCTGTGATTTTCTGCTTAGGTATTGTTCACAATGTTGTACAAAAGTCTGCGACTATAGACTCTGATAAATAGGGCATCCTGGAGTAACTGGCCTTCTGCTATTCAACATTTGAGAGAAACACGGGCTTCGGCCGTAGTAAGGGGATCTCTGCAGTTGCAGTCACGAGCTCCGCCTACTTTCGACAACAAATATGGCTTGGATGGATGGCACCAGCAACTGGCCAGCACACAGCAGCACCGATAGCCCTTGCGAGAAAGCCTCAGCCCGAGTTGTTGAGTGCTTTCTCAAGGTCAAGATTCTCCGTCAACTCCATCGAGGTTAGCGATGAAGTGATAACATCCATCCGCAGCGAGGCAGTAAGTATACCGCTTTGGGTTACGAGGTTTCTGAGGTTAGACAATATTGATTACCATTGCTGTGTAGTGCTGTTCAAACAAAGGTTAAGGCGACCTGCCAATTCACGATCGAGAACGGCGTTTCCGGCCGCGCAAGTTCATCGCCAAAGCTCCAACCACATCCTTGAACCACCCCGACCAGCCTCGAATCTGCTCCACGGCATACAAAAGTTTTACGAACCGGCTAACAAACGTATCTACCGCCTCATAGTCATGTGCGTATATTTCCCAGATGTCCTTCGCGGCCGTGCCGCGACAGCCACTTGGGCCGTTTGCTTCCGAGCTCGCGGCGTCTTCATCTACCACACCCACTATCTCGAACTCGTCCTCCACGTTCTTGGCATCTTCCTTGATCCGGACTCTGGGCCCAACCACGAGTGCCCGGCCAATGATGCTCTCGTCAGACAAGAAGCGCGTAGCTGCCTCGACGACCGATTCGGTCACGCCCATTCCGCCACCAGCCAGGAGTATCCGTGCCATGGGCGGGATGATGGGAGTTTTGATGAAGTATGGGCACAGCAGATTGACGCGAATGTTTTGCTGCCATGCCAACCCACGAAGCGTCCGGAAGAGACCGAGAACTGCATGCTTGCTCATGGTGTACTGTATCTGAGGCGGTAACGGCACCAAACTGGCCACCGAGCCCAGGAGCATGATCTGCTTGTCCTTGCCTGAGCTTCGAGGCAGCCAGAACAAGGCCAAGTGGGTGGTGTAAGCGACACCGGTGATGTTGACATCGATACAGGTAAGATTTGGAGGCCTGCAGTCCAGCTGGCTCAGGTCTCGTGTGGGATTATCGAAATGATTATCGGTGTCTTTGACGCCAGCATTGGCAACGACAACATCGATGCCGCCGTGCGGGCTTCTCTCCGCAGCCTCCTTGAAGAACTTGACCTGGGACGACCAGTCTGTCACATCACAGTGGAAGTAGTGATGGTGCGGTGAGCCCGTGGACTGGCGCAGCTCGGCAACGAGCGCCTCTCCATCAGTATCTGAGATGTCGCCAATCATGAGGTTTGCCCCAAGCGCAGCCCATCGCCGGGCGAAGCCAGCACCGAAGCCGGAGGCGCCGCCAGTGAGGAGAACGGTCTTGCCAGCAACGGTTTTGGTGTCGTACGGGGTTTCGAGGTCCACCGGCCCGGACTGGCGGACCATGGACTCGACGTTGTGCATTTCGTGGGCGGCCAACACCTGCGAGTGCCTCCAGTCAGCGAGAGTAGCCACAATGCCACACAGGCTTGCGGATTTGGCTCCGAAACTCGTCTCGTGCTCTAAGAATCGAGGCCGCAGTCTGCATGCGTCCCTGGAAGAATGAACCACTTACGGATACGATGTAAGGCCGTTGCTTGTGTAATGATTGTACCGATTTGTCGCGTTGCACACCACGGGGCAGGCAAGACAGGGACCCAAGGCGTAGGCTGATTGCGAGCTTGATTTCAGCAAAAGGGGTCCAGAATGGCCACCAGAAGCTGCAGACCGGCGGACGGGCACTTATCAAAGGCACAAAGGAGACTGGGAGTCTGCCAAGCGCCGGCACCGTGGCTGGACGAGGATCTGACAATCGCCGGCGCCGTGCCGGGGCTGGACGAGAAGCTCTGGCTGACGCGAGGGTTGTTGAGCCCAACTTGACCCTGTCAAGTGGGCCAAACAAACCGCTAGCAGGTGTGCGGCTGGGCTAGCGGGCATCAAGAAAAGAATGCAGGTGCCGAGCAGCAGCATGCCTTCCTCGATACATAAAAGCTCGGCAGCTCGGCTCTGCTCAATTTTTTGATAATTATAGGTATGCAGAAGCCATGGCCACGGCAGCTTCAAATCGTGCTGGCGCCTGTCCCAGTTGGAGTCCGAGCACAGAGGCCCGTATACACAGAACACTTACACCAAGGCTTGACGGTCCTTGTGTTACACAATGTGGGATTTGTTCCTTCCGCGCTCTTAGAAGGCACAGGATGCCTTGAGTTTGTGATTACGACTCGCTGCTGGCCCTAAGTTGTCCTTGGCAATCACCAGAAAGCCACAAGGACAAGGTCGCAGCTTCCAGCCCACTGCCATGTCGCCTGCGCATGGTTTCGACTCCGGCCGTAATACCTGCCAAGCTCAGAAAAGAGCATCGTGGCTGGCGACACCCTCCTAGAGCACAAGCTGCCTTGGCTTCTCAATAGTCGTGCCGCAACAGACCCAGAGCGCGTCTACACTCTAAGCACATCTCCAGATCCATTCCTGGCGGCATTGCAGACAGCCACACCTACCCAGACCCGCGCCAGCACTTGCTGACGCCACCGCCGTTTCGCTGGCACCACTTTTGCAACAATCACCAGTCCACATGGCCAGCATGGACCAAGAACGGCCCTGGGCCGTTCCGAAGCCCACGCCAGCCTTTGAGCCTCCAAGACTCTTAAACCCAAACAATGTCGCCTTTCGAACGTGCAGGGTTTCCCGCAAAGTGGCGCGAGCATGCGCGATCGCGGCTATCATTCTTGTCACGGTTCTCGTGTGGCGTCTTGTCGGCGCTGATACGTACCACCACTGTGAGGCTCATACGGGTTTTCTTGCATCAGCCCTGCGTGTTTCCAACACCAAAGCATCATCTTCTGAGGACCCAGTCAATACTTTCCAGGACTTCAAGTCACACGGGGTGACGTGCGATGTCTCCTCTCTGGAACTATACGAGAGCAACAGCAGGCCCTGCCAGGATCGCCAATCACTCTTGAGAGCGTTGTCTTCCGGAGGGAGAATCGGCAAGGATGCCCCTTACCTCCCTCGAGGTTGCGGATATCTATGGTACAGCACACAGGAGATCTGTGAAATCCTTGATCGATTCTCACAAGTAGTGCTGGTTGGCGACTCGATGCTGCGTCATGTGATTGGCGCCATCAACATCCTGATCCGCGAGGATCTTGGGTATGGGGGTGTGACTGACTGGAACTTCAATTCAGTCGAGAGGTACGATATACGCGGATGGGCTATCAGTGTAGCTGTAAGTGTGGTGACCTGGCTTCTGACACTACCCTCGTAGGGAACATTGTTTCTGTAATCGGCAATTCGACGTCCATCACTGCTCCGTCCAAGGGATCTATAGTACCCTGGATGTTGTCAAGAACGATCCGTCGAGCCTACGGTGCCGGCAGATCCAGCCGGGTTGGGCGACAACCATACAAAGTGAGGCAGAGCACTAGTTGATCCCCACACGCACGCATGCGGCCCTGCTAACGTCCGTACCTTTATGCAACACCCGCAGTCGAACAGATAGTGCGCTATCCCATACCTGACGTGGAGCTCGACCGATTGAGAGCCGCCTTGAAAACACCAGTGCATCGGCCCCGTGCATTCATTCTCGGGCACGGTCTGTGGAACAATCTCAATCACGAAGAGTCCCTGGCTTGGCTAGACACAGTCCTCGAGACCGTGCTGCCGAGCCTGGGGCGCAACGGTGCGAAAGCCGGGCGGGATAGCGAAAACCACTGGCCTGTCTTGCTGATGACACCTAATGCTGCCGGCGAGCGCAAACCGGACCAATGGCTGGTGAGCCAGGGAAACAAGGCACTGGTCTTGTTTGAGGAAAGGATGGCGGCGGAGGCGGCAAAGCGACGAATCGATCATCTCGGCACGTGGAACATGAGTATCCAGGCGTCGCTATACGATGGTGTCCACATGGACATGCGGGGCAACCTTGTCAAGGCCATGATGTTGCTCAACTGGCTCGGGTTTCTCTGACCTGGTGGGAACGGGGAGTCGAGGACGAACCGTTGCCCAGAGGCGGGCCCCTGGTGGGAGCGGAACATGGCAGCTGCGGGTGATATCGAGGGACAATCGGGCCGCGGCATGGCATGGAGATGCAAGCAAAAATTGATTTTTGCGGGAGGGCGTAGGACTTTGTAGTTGGAACCGACTGGAGGGGGAGGAAGGGCCGAGGAGAGACGCAGGGGAGGCGGGTTGTGATCGCCAGGCCAGAGCCCTGTGGGCGGAGCCCGGCAGGGTTCCTAAAGGTTGTGTTGGGCCGGACAAGGAAGCTGTGATGGCCCAACGGCGCTGGACAACGGCGGATCCGCATTGCATTGCAGCGACCCCCGGCCGCTGGCCAGCCAAGTGCCGGCGTGGGCAACCGCCGTTTCCCCACACTACTACGCACGCACCCCGGCACCACCACTGGGCACCTCCTCCTCGTCCACCTGCTCACGACAAAACCCCGATAGCGCGGCCCTAACATCTTGTCTCCGCCAATATACCTACCATTTCTCCCCGCCGTGCTCTGGCTCCGCAGACATATCTCTTTCTTCTCTTGTTTTTCTCCCTCCAAGGCACATTTGTGACCGTGCCAAAGCATCAACAACTCTACCGTCATGCGCCTGCACGCCCCTCCCACACCCTTGCGTTGATCCCTCCTCACCAAGGCCTGGCGCGAGCTGCGTAAGACTCTCTTTCACTCCTCTGTGAGCTTTCCTTGGAGGAGCGACCGGCTGCTCAAGACCCCAGGTGGCTCAATTCGCATATTGGGGGCATCACAAAGAGTTCCGTCTCCACAACATGGATCACGAACATCACGAGCTCGAGTCGGGCGGAATTCGAGAGTCTGACGGCACTCATCATGACACAACGCTTGACGATGCCGCTATGGCTGAAGCCCACGAGCCACAGCACCTAGAGATGAACGCTCTTGAGGTTGATGTAAGTGGACGTTATCGTCTACCCCAGCACAACCGAACATGATCCAGCCTAGCCCTCGCAGAGAGTTCCCAGACCTCGCATTCCTCACTATTCTACAAGAATCACTGTAGGGATATATGAAGCGCACGGCATAGGATTGGTCCCCTCATTACTAGATTGTATTTTGCTAACGTGCACTGTGTTTTTCTAGACGATCTGGGAGCGTGACTCAGCTTTGGGTAGTATGAGTATACAGTATGTGGTGGCTACTTCCTTTTTGGGTCACCCCCAACATGTACATGAGTCGCATATTTTGAGCGGAAGGAGATGACCATGACATCTGCAAGATGCTGATGCAAATCCCTAGCTCGTCGACAAGGAGCGTAACTAGCAGCATCTACGACCACGTGGTGGAGAACGGCAGGACGTATCACCGCTACAAGGAGGGCAAATATATGCTGCCAAATGACGAGGTGCGCCAGTTTCCATGCTCTAAAGAGTTCGACTGTGCTGGGTCTCCTAGGACGTAGTCGCTGACATTATTGCAGGTGGAACAAGAGAGGCTTGGTATGTGCGGACAATCGAAAAATGTGTACAGCAAAGATAAGTTTATTGGTTCAGAGTTGACAAATTGCAGACTTCCAGCACAGGATATATACACTTGCCAACGACGGGAAGCTCTTCAATGCTCCGATAGACGAAAGGTGTCACAATGTCTTGGATGTGGCTTGTGGAACGGGCATCTGGGCGATCGAGTTTGGTAAGTTCATGCTTGCCCCCAGGCCTGGGGGATGAGCATCGGAATCGTCACCCGACAGCCAAAATGGGCCTACACAGGTCCGAATCACTGACCAAAACCTTAGGCCAACAGAACCCTGGCACAAATGTTTTGGGCATTGACCTGTCCCCCATCCAGCCCCCATAGTCAGTACCCACAAGCCTTGGAATGGGTGAGCCCTACGATTTGAACAAGCACATTACGCTTACATCTCCCACAGCGTGCCTCCCAACGTATCCTTTGAAATCTTTGACGCCGAGGACGAGTGGTGCTTTCCGCAGAAATTCGACTTTATACACATCCGTGCCGTCGTGACCTGCTTCAAGGACCCACGTGCGGTCTTCGCGGAGGCGATCCGCTCGCTCGCCCCCGGGGGTTGGATCGAGCTCCGGGACCCTATCATGCCCTTCCAGTTCCTCACGCCTCCTCCCAAAGACTGTGCTCTCAAGGAGTGGGCAGACAATCTGATCAAGGCCGCGGCCATGATAGGGCGGCGCTGGACAAACTCGGTATACTACACGCAGTGGCTGCAGGAGCTAGGCTGCGTCAACATTGTCGAGAAGCGCGAGGCCGTGGGGCTGAATCCCTGGCCCAAGGGTGCCCGGAACAAGGAGATGGCGCTGCTGCTGCAGACGGACATGGTCAACGGCCTCGAGAGCATGAGCATGGCGCTGTTCACGCGCGTCTTGGGCTGGGAGGCCGACAAGGTGCGCGAGCTGCTCGTGCGGGTCGAGGCGGACATGAAGAATCCCAAGATTCACTCGTATTCCGAAGGGTGAGTTCTGGCTTCCCCATCTTGTCCAGTTGAACTCCCCCCGTTGCATCATCATCATCACATTCCTTGCTTTGCCCTTTCCGCTCTGCAGTAGTCCTTTGCCGGACTGGGAGCCTCTTTTCCTGCACGAACTTATCCCCCCCTTGTCAACGCTCCACAGACTGTCCCCCGCGTCCCTTCTGTACTGAGGTCGTGCGCCGCTATAATTTTCTTGTTTATCACATAGGCGCCCCTCTTGCTGATACTTTGACTACACACAGCGTGCATGTCCACGCACAGAAGCCGTACGAGTAATCCGAGCCAAGCAAGTACAGATGGATATATATCCACGTCCAAGAAAACCCCCGCCCCTGGGGCATCGGCATGACGCTCTGTTTGCAGATAGACCTTTGTTCTGCGGGTCAAGTGAGGCGGGTTGCAAGAATGCGCAGTGGTCGCAGATAGGCTTTTGTCACAGACACGTGTTCGAGGCATACTTGAGATACCAGCGAACTTACTGACAGATCCTCTTGTTTCTTGACAAAATGTTCTGCGGTGACATGAAGTATATGCACATGCATATGTCATGGCATAATATCCGTAATGACACCCAAACCACGACAAAGCACAAGGACATGTGGTTGGCTGGCTTGGATATCTGAGAAGAAACTGTCGTTTTCATGTTACTGCCCAACTCAAGTCCGACAAATGCAACTGGCCGTCGCCCTGCTAGTTGGGGCACCCGCTCCAGCTATCTAGTATACATAAGGAGGAAACCACAAGCTCCCCTTCCCAGGGACCTGCAAAAGAGGATATATGTTCGTTGTTATGAACGCACTATCGCGCACACTACTCCCTGCTCCTCCTTCTGCCTCTGTACTTCCACGTCCCCGCTTCTTGAGTCATCCTTTGCCACGGGGCACCAGAACATCTTTGGTTCGCCTATGGCGTGGCGCAATCTGGTTGTTTGTCTGAGCAGGCACAGACCAGCGTACTGACATGTACTGGCTCTATTGCTGTTGCTGTAGCTGTGGCTCGAGTGACTGGTCGAGGACACCGACCACATCGACCATGTTATTGTCCGTCCAACCTATCGTCATGGCGTCCCAGAGATCATGAAAGACTACCGGGCCCGGCGCGGTGCCCTTCGCTTGCTGTTGCTGCTGTTGGTGTTGTTGTTGTTCCTGTGGCTGCTGCCCCTGCTCCTGCTCCTGCTGTAAGCTCGTAGCGCTTGATAGTACTGCCGAGCCGCCACAGGGATTGGCATTCGCGAGGACAGCTGAGGACCCTGACGTGTCCGAGGTCGGTCCCGCTACTGACACACCGCCAATCATGGAGCTGTGGTTGCTGTGCGACGTGGCATACCCTGATGACAGCGACGAGCTTGTGGTCGGCGTCGTCATCGTCGTAGTGGCCGGCTCGAAGCCGAAAAAGTCGCCGCTCAGGGCTCCTCCTTGGAACTGATGGGAATACTGCTGCTGTGGACGCGGGACCTGATAGTATCGGCTATGGTATTGCTGGTCTTGTCCGCCTCCCCAGGTCGCAATGTAGTCGTCCAGGCTGCCATCAATCATGGGGCAGCTTCGAACGCTTGCGGCGCGCCGCGCAGCCACGGCGGCGTCAGAAGTCGCTATTCTCAGCGCATACGTTTTCCGCAGACTTGCTATGACCACGCGCAATGCCGTCGCGACATCTGTTTTGCTCTTCGTGCTGCTTGTGTTCTGGCCTTTCTTACTGGGTGCCGGGCAGTCCTTGCCGATCCCGCGCTCGTCCGGGTCTATGGACAATTTCTCTAGATAGTGATCGAAATTGAGAATCTCCCTTGCGCGAAGGTAGTCCAGACCTGGACACACCTTGGGCATGGGAAACGAGACACGGAACGCAACAGCAAAGACAAGAATGATGCGGCTGAGATCGCCGGCGCTGAGTGTGGAGAGTTCCTGGCTCGTCATCCCGACAATGAAGTCGAGAAATGTTCGGATGGTGTGAGTGGCGTTGAGAAGCTCCTGGCTTGCAATGGGCTGATCGGTGCCGGGTTTGAAGGAAGGTCTAGGTGCCCGCATGATTATTCCAGCCACTACATATATGTCCGAAAACAGCGAGCAGATGACAATGCTCGCTTCATCCATGTCAGCCAGCCTTCTCGGATGCAGCAAGCGAGAGATCTTGCAAGACCCGGACTCCAAGCTTCGTAAATGGGGACTTACTCGCAGTAGAGTATTGAGCCGGAATGGTGCTCTGTAGCTCTCTTAGGCGTGAAACCAGGCCGAGACGCATCAGCTCGCGCTGGTAGTTGTCTTGAGTCGTCCACTTGTGCCGAAAGCAAAATTGCGTGAAGACCTCGTTGTTAACTTGTTGTAGCCGCGCCAGCCAGACCAATATATGATCTTGATATATGTCGCTGCTCTGCTCAAGGATATTGCAGCATTTTGTCAACCAGGGAGACGCGCCATATGCGGGTGGCTTAAACCAGGCAGTGGATGAACTGATGCAGAAGTTGTCAGACGCGAGACTCGGCGGCTGGAGGGGAGCAGCTTTCTCACATGGAATCCAGATATGTACAACCAAGGAACGCCCGAATGCTTGCCAGCTTGTCTTCAGCAGGAATTTGCATGCCCTCCTCTTGATCCAACTCGAGATCACGGACGATGTCGACCGCCATGCGGAGATATTGTATACCATGTTTGTTCTTGGGTCGCAGATGAAACGGGTACCTGTGATGTCATTTCGCGGGACTCGTCAACTGTGACGCCTGGTACCAACCGCTGCCCGGGCGCAGGCCTGTGACGGAGAGTGAACTCACCATGCACAATATATAAGCAAACCCTGTAACAACTCAAGTGATCGCTCACCACCAGCAACAAACTTTAGACCCAGCACTTTGCGGAACTCTTCGTCGTACAGACTGTACCCTTGCAGACTCGTAGTGCAACTCGTCACAGCCAGGATGGCGAGCAAGACAAAGGGATACTCTCTTGCCATAGACCGGACATTAGCTTCTGCCGGCAGCACAAACACGGGGCACTGCACGAGCATGCCACGGAAGCACTCTAGCAGGTTGGTAGCCGACTCAAGATTGAACTGAGGTTTGATCGCGAGGCTGCCCACGGACTGCACCTTGGCGGCCGGCGGTGTCGCTGTCGTTGACGTGGGAAGCCCGCCGTCTTCTTGCAGTGAAGAGCCGGCAGGGGATCTCGTTGCCGCGCGTTTGGGTTTCGTCGACATGTCGTTGAAGCTGAAAGTTGCCGCCGAACTCGCTGTCTGTTGCTGCGGTGCTGCCAGTGGGCCCTGGGTGCCATCGAAGCCGTCTTGTGGGAGATCATCATCAGAGTCGTACAGATTCGACATGGACCTCTCGTGGATCTCCCGGAGCAGGTCAAACTCGGAGTCTGGCTTCTCCTCGGCCGGCATGTCAAAGTTGATACTGAACGTCTTGCTTGGCCCTGGAGGTGGCGGCAGTGGTGTTGTTGACGCGCTACCATGATTCTTCTTCAGCATGAGAGAGGGAGAGAAGGGGTATTGGGCGCTGGAAGAACGAGCTTACGCCTGCGAGTACTTTGACCTCCTCGTCCGTGGTCCCGTGCGGAACACGCATTCTCGTTTGAACTCTGAGCATCTTACAAGTTTGGAGAACACCAGGTCAGCAGGCTATTTAGAGGGCGGCAGAAGCTGCAACGCAAGACTTGCGCCGTCCATCCTCCATACCCTGGCGAAACTCACCTCTTGCAGATCCCGCTCTCTGCCGGGCCGGGCTGGCACTTGACCTTGGCCAAGCGGCATGCCTCACACGCATAGTTCATCTTGGCTCGAGTCACTGATACTCCCGAGGACTTGATTGAAGCCGCCTTGGCCGCTGGTGTGGCGGCCTCATTACTTGGCCGGGACGTGGAGTCGTGAGCACTACTCGAGCCGTCGTGGGAAGTTGAGTCGTCCGTCTCCATACTGAGCTGGTCTTATCACCGCTGCTAACTCTGCGTGTCGAGGGATCTTTGGTAATTCTCTGGTCGTATTTGACCTAGCGGCCTGCGCAACCCAGGTGAGTCCGTCGTTGCAGAGACAGGGGATCTGGCGCAAACGTGGACTCGAGCCGTCCAGAGCAGGGGAGACGCCAGGAGTCGGATGCTTCACCCTTGATGCTAGGCACAAAACGCTCGTGTCGGCCGATATCTTGTCGTTGAGTACTTTAAGTGCGTGAGCTGTCTCTACCTATTACTGGCAACTGCGCTGTAAGCCCCTCCCGGCCTGTCAAGGCTGAAGCGGGTCCCAGGGTCCTCCTCCTGCCTTGTGGAGTTTGCAACTACAGGGAGCACCAGATGTGGGTGGAGCAGAAGCAACAGGCGCCTGGCGTCAAGCCTGGCGATACGTCGCAAGTCGGTAGTCTTTGATCCGTGGTTGTAAGAAGTGAAGAAGGAAAGAGCCAGGTTGATGCAGACGACCTGAGGTCAAACCAGAAAACGTGCTCGCGGGAGCGGAGCAGCCGGTGGATCCAGGGCTTGGAGGGCATTGCTTTAACCTCCGAAGGTCCTCGGAGATCACGACCCACCATCGTCCTCACAAAGTTCCAGAGCTGCATGGTCAGCACCACGGCACAAACATGGCCAAGCGTGGGCAAAGGACATCTCCAACACAGAAAAACTAACTGCCCGATTCGAGTTCATTGTTTTCCCCTTGGAAAAAGAGATATATTTCCCTGTGTGACACAGAAATCCAGACTCGTCGCTAAATTATTCAGAAAAGTGACTGGGCATCGGTACCCTGTTTCTCTCTCTCGCTTCTCCAGGCCCCTTGCTGACAAAGGGAAAGGCGCGAAAGAGATACATCAGGCCGAGCAAAGAAGGAAATTCAAAAATCAGTCATCTCATGATTTCGGCGCCGAAAACGCATTGATCAACCCGACCGACACACCCACCACAATCGCAATGAAGCACAGCACGCCGATGGCCCACATCCAGCGGATAGTGATCTTGCGCCGGCGTGCTCGTTGCTGCATCTCGGCTGTTGGCCGCACAGGCAGGCCATCGCTACCCATGAACACGGGCTTGCCGGCCACGCCGCCCATACCGGAGGGAGGTGGCACCCCAACCTCGCTCTCCCCATCGTCAACATAGGTGTATGACGAGTGCACCGAGTACGGTCGGAACCCCGTGAACGTTGTGTAGTTCTTGAACGGCGGCGGTGGTGGCAGCGGAGACTCGGCGCGCGCTGCAGCATCCATTGAAATCTCCATCGCCGAGCCCTTCTCCATGGCATCATTGTCTTCGTAATCGCCAACCGGCTGCAGGGACGACCGCTGATGCGCGGCTGACCGCCTCTTGCTGCTCCGCACCGTCCTCCCGCTCTGCCAGCTCTCGCGATTGTTCCCCTGCTGCCGTGTCAGCGGCGCCAGCCCCGTCGTCGACTGCGCCGTCATGACGCTGGTCGTGGTCTCGGAGCTCGTGAACCGCGAAACCTGCGGCCGGCCTTCCTGGATGGGGCTGTATGCCTTTTCTGGGCGCTGCATGTGGTGGCCGCTGTTTGTCGGAGACACAAGAGTGTGGCCCGACAGCGCTGGCGAGAGCGCACCTTCCGCAGCGTCGCCAGCCCGGTGTGGCGTTGTCGGCGATGGCCAACTCGATGTCAATGGCGATGCGGGAATAGGCTGGAGACTCGTCCGCGAGCGAGGCGCGATCTGAATCGCATGGTTGCTCCCTGGCGGCGCGGGGAACATGGATGGCGAGGGTGTGAAGGGCGACATGATGTCTGTGGCCACCGAGTCGCGTGGGGTCATACCGCCGTCATTGCCATTGCCGACGCCGCCTGGTGTGCCTTTGATGGTGAAGTAGTCGGCTTGCGACAGGCGCTTCTGCTGCTGCGACCCTTTGACAGTCGAGTATGTCGCCACTGAGGCCACCGAGGCCCTTCGCGAGCCGGCAATGCTCTGCAAGTCGCTCTCATATGTCTTGCCTGATCCGCCTCCAGGCATGACGAGCGCAGGGAGGACAAAAGAGTCCACCGTCTCCCGCTTGCTCTGCGCAATTGCAATCTCATGTCAGCTGATACCTCCGCCTGTCTGGATCATGGCTGTTCTTCTTAGATGGCACCGTTGCGCTGAGAGCAAGATGCGTACTGAGATGGGGAGGCTGGGGGAGGGGCGTTACATACCCGTCCTTCTGGCAGGAACCACCTATGAGTTGTCGAATCCATGATGGATGCAGTCCACGGTCTGACCAGAGCTTATGAGAGCGGCCCGAGATCGACGATACCTTAGCCGTGGCAAACCCAAGTACTGCCAATGGCCAAAAAAACAATGCTTGCCTTGCCGAATCGCAATGCGCCGTCGACTGTCTGATTAAGCCTCGGCACAGTCGCTCTGCTGACAATGACTGTATCTGTAGAAAGATGTCCGCAACGTTTCAAGTTTCTCTGCTGCTCGGCGTAATTACTGAAATCGTGTCTGCATGCGCGCCAATTTGCGGGATAACGTTCTCAGGACCGAAACGAATTGACTGGAAAGTTGAAAGCTGCGAATGACAAGTGTGTATGCGTGTGATTACGTATCCGGCTAAGTGAATGAACGACCAGGAGAGCAGCGGGTGCTTCCTCAAAACGGACCGCAAACAGAGCGAGCGAGCGAGCGACAGCAGCGAGCGAACGAGTGTGGGCTAGGAGGAGAGAGGAGGAGGCGGAGGAGGGGAGAAGAGCAAGGAGCACGATCTACAACCTGCGCGACACACTGCGATCTCTCTCGCTCCCAGACTCCTGGATGGGCCCTACGACGTAATAATGTATGGAGAATGAGGAGCAGGCCCGCAGCGGTGCAGAGGGCGAGGGTAGGGTGGGTGCTCGTGGCAGCCCTAGTGGAGGGTGGCCTTGAGTGCCTGGCTAATGGAGTCGAGCGGGTGTAATTGAAGGCGGCTCCTCTCTGGAGGGGGGGAGATGGCACCTTGGCTTGGTGTCAGAGTCGACCAGGGTTCTAAGTGCGGCGATCGCAATGGGGATGTGCGCGCGCGTAATCCAGGGCCTGAGCAGGGGGGCAAGTAATGGTGGGTGTGAAGGCGATAGATAGTGCAAGGTATTGGATTCTCCCAAGAAAGTGAGAGGTGGTCAAAGGGAGCTGACTGGAACTGGGTGCCGTGTCTGGCGGTTATGATGATACGAACTTGGTGATGCTGGGCACTTGTTTATTGCCCAAGACATTTGCCACCACAGTAGTAGGCCAAGGTTTCGCGTTCTCGAGACAACAAGGCGGTCTGATAGAGTTTGACGCCGACGGCTGCAAACGACGACGGGCAGCCACGTCAGTGGTGTCAAGTCTAGACGCAGTGCTGTTGCTTCGTCAACCCGCGTGCCGCAGTCGGGCAAAGTTGGCACCAGGCGGGCGGCTGCTGGACGGACGGGCAGAAAAGCAAGCAAACTAAGCATCGGCAGTCGTGCGTGCGTGGGGCCTTCGTGACGATTCTTGACGTTTGGATCGGTCGGGGCTTTGTGGAGTTTTTGGCTCGTGGGAAGATCGTGCTGGAGATGTGAATTGTGATGAGCAGCCTCGTCTCGTCGTAGCCAAGATCGACACAGGCGCCAATCCGCGCATGAATATATCGTCCCCAACACAACCACCACTGGGCAAGGCAGCTTTGCAATCTTCTCAAGCATGAGGACAGCAGGCCCTGTCCAACACGCACATGCCGAGAGGCAGAATGTAAATGCAACCAACTGCTCCGTACACGACAATCATTGCCTACCAACAAGCATCGCCAAAGTGCCTGCCTCTGCTGAAAACCCCTACTCAACAAACCTCGCTGCATTCCAACGACGACAAGCAACCATTCGCCCATAACAACCCCCCTGCCAATGGCCATTACCTGCCCTCCGTCCAAAGTGCCACGCCCCGAGATCACTCTTCATCAATCCTCGATCCCTCAAATCTCGCCAATGACAAGACCGTGATGACCCAGGAGCCACATTAAAGAAAGGGGTGGGCCCTCTCCCCCCTTCCCTCCCCTCCTGACTATTGCAGCACTGCCAGACTACCCCCTGGGGCGCCCATCCATCCACCTAGGCAAACACAATCTGTCTCCCCCAGCCAAAACCCCATTGGAAATTGCGCCCATTTAACCCGAATCAAGCCTAGCCCAAACAGCCACAAGTGCACATACGTAAGCGGAGGTGTACTCTCACTCTCACACACACACACACTCTCTCTCTCTCTGTAGCTCTCCCAGGCTGCCGCACGCAGCACACATTGAAATTGTCGTCTCTGTCCCCCTCTCTCTCGCGGGGGCTGACCCCAAATCCGGCCAGCGACTGGCCTCCTCTGTCTACAATGGTCCCTCCAAATCGGCGTGTGTGCTGCCCCTGCCAAGACACTCCCAGAGCCCTGACAAAAACTCTCTCATGGGTTCCTGAACTAGCTAGCCCCCAAGGAACCTTTTTCGTCCCCCCCCCCTTCCCGAGAACCCTCTTTCCGTATATTAAAACGTACTTTCAAGTTAATTATACGCTAGTCTGGGACAAGTGCGCTTTTCAAGCCCGTCAAAATGCGGAGCTCCGATGGAACGGGTGGAGGGGGGGGGGGGGGGGGCTTCCTCGGCGCTGGGGATGTCTCGAGCTAATTCTCTCTTATCTCACTATGTCTCTCTCACCTTTGTCTTGTTCCTATGGAGCAATCATGTAGGCATTGAGGAGCATCAAGGCAAGGATGGCCCTCGTAAGTTCGTTCCATCAAGCCTCGACCCTGTCCAGAAAGGCTTCGGCTCTTGCCACCTAGACACTGCGCGAACAGACGGTACTCGTTCTTCGCTTGCTTGTCTCAATGAGACGTGTAAATGTACGTGTGCGGCTCAAAGTGTGCAAAGGACGCCCAACCAAATATCTCCAACAGAATGTGTATAAACAGTAGCTATGTCATTCTATATACAAGGCCTCCAAAAGTTGCCCTTGCAAGATGGTGTGGTATCAAGGTGAATCCGGATCTCTACGCCTGCGCTGCTAATGAATTCGCTGTTCAGATCTTGTTGGTGCTATTGTCCCCCGCTCATATGGCTTGAAACGCCCATTGGAATAAAAGAATGCCTCCCCTTTGTGGCCAGCATCTCGAGACACTCATGTGGGATCTCGAAGCTTGGTCTGTACAGTGTGTGGGTCACAAATGATAAAGAAAAAGGAAAAAGAAAACCATGTCATCTCATGGCTTCAGTCGCCTGCGACGACTAGGTGCCGGGCCTCCACCAATGTTGCCGTTGCCGAGGTTGATAAACAGGTCAACAAAGTCGATTGTCATCCCGGGGCCCAGACTGACCTTGCGAGCCTCCTCCACGGTCACGCCCCCTGCTGAAGGACGAGCCTTGGTGAAGAACTTTTGCAGCAGGTTCTGTGACGAAGCAACCTGGTTGAGGGTGGTCTCTTGCAGAATGAAGAGAACGGCAACACGCGCAAAGTCGAGCGTAGTATCGGTGACCTGGAAAGTTGAGGTAGGCGCCGGTGTCATTGACGAGCCTGTGGATGTTTTTGTAGGTGTTGAGGTGGGCGTTGACCCATCGGTGGAGGTCGGTGACCCAGATGGTCGCGACACGTCCTGGCTCATTGTGACGACTCTAGTCAGGATCGTTGAAATAGACCCCGTCAGCGTTGTCGGCTCTGTCAACGTGGTGACTAGAATCTCACTGGCACGAAGAGTGAGTGTCAGGTCTAGACCCGGGATGACGGTCGTGATCGTCGGTATGTTGTTGTTGTTGTCCACAACGGCCTCCTGCAGCAGCGCGCCGCTGAGCTCCAAATTCTGACCCCCGAACGTGACCAGGGCATTCTGTGTGGTACAAGTCAAATTGGACGAGCTGAACTTGGCCAACACTTCCGAAGTTGACAACGGAATCGAAAAGTTGCTCCGGGCTTCCTCCAGGAGGCGAGGAATAGCCTGCCCCAAAGTGACCTGTCCGCTCGTACTGCTCGTCGTGTTGATGGTCGTTGTCGTGCAGCCCTGGGATGATGCAATCGTACACGTTGGGCCAGTGAAGCCATTGGAGCAAATGCATCCGCACACACCGTTGGTGATGACGTTGGTGCCGCCGTTCTGGCAATTGACTTGGTTCTGACAAGTTTCTAGAGCAGCGGCCGGCGTGGCAGGCTTGTCTTTGAAGACAATGAGCTTGAGCGGGACTACGACTGCGGCAGCGATGACGCAAAGCAGGATCAATACGATCAAGCATATCGCCCATTTCGGCAGGCCGCAGCAGCATCCTCTCTTCCTCTTTGGTGCATTGCCCTCTTCTGCGCGACGCTTCTCATCCATGGGAGCATTTGGCGCACCTCCGCTGAGTCCGAATGGCCAAGCAGCGCTTTGCCGTGTGCTCTGGCGGCTCGTAGCCGCAGGAGGGGGGAAAGCGGCCAGCATGTCTGACAGTCCGGATTGATATTTCTCAGAATCGCCTGCAAAAAAGTCAGTCCTATTACATGCTTCCGCTCCACTGCTAGCGAAGAACTTACGAAAGTCTCTGTCACGCCGCGCTTGAACATCTTCCGAGGTGAACATGAGATCGTCAAACCGACTAGCTGGTCTGCGACCTTTGTCCATCAATGCGGCAAGTCTTGTCGCACGTTTGATCAAGTCTGGCAAGCTGGTAAGGCTACCTCTGGCCTCTGCTTCGCGTACGGCATCGATGTCGAGACGCGGCGGCCTTCGCAGAGCAGACATACGGCCCTTGGGAGACATGATGGTGGATGGATCGCTGGCGCTAGCAGCCTCGTATGCACTGAGAACGGTGTTGGTGGTGAGGCCAATGCCGCCGGCCTTTGCTCTGTTGATTGATCCGTCACCGGAAGACGAAGAGGCCCCATCAAGGAACGAAGATCCATCCCTTGACGAAGAGCTTGGCACAAGCCTAGAGTTGGGACGGGGCATAGGGTCCGCCTTGTCCATACCCTTGGTTGTGACTATTGAGGGCTTCCCCCGCTTCCCAATGCTGGCACTGCGGACTAAACCCCTTTCCTCGATACTATCGCCATAGACAGACTCCTCGATGATCGCATCATCAAAGTATGCACCATCTGGGCTATAGCCAGGCGAGCCGTTGCCAAAACTTGATGGGATCGCGGCGCTAGAGGCAATCGAAGACCGAGACCGACGGGGGCTCTCCTCCGGAATTGGTGAGACAAAGGAAGCGGTCGAGTAGAACGAAGAAGCTCCTCTGCGGGACGAGGGTGGCGGCCCGAGATTAACGCTCCGCCGAGGCGGCCCAGCTGTCTGTGGCGGTGGTTGTAGCCCGCCGGCGACGGGAAGTGGGAAATCGGGAATGGACCCGACGGATGACTGTGTTAAAGGACGCGATCCGCGCTCGTCCACAGGCGAGCCGAGTGTGTCTGTCATGGAGATCTGGGACGACCTCATGTCTTGAGGCGTGTATTGAAAGACGGGTGTGTGGTCTTGGACTTTGGACCCATCCAAGATGGAGGGCACAACACTGGGTCGCGGTGGCCGCTGTGGAGGTCGTGATCCCTCGGGCGGACGGTATGGCTCTACGTTTGGTGTCACCGGCGACTGTATTGACCCGGGTAATGGCCACTGAGGCATCGGACTTGGTCGAGAAATCGGAACCGCTATCTGGCCATCTTTACCTTGCATACTTCGAGGAGCTTGAGGTCGTTCGCGAGTAGCGTCCGATAACCCAGCTTCAGCCAGCTCGCGCGCCCTTCGTACCGAGCCAGGGAACCCTGAGCCGTCGCCTCCCTGGTACTGACTCATTGCGGTAGGAAACCCGGCTACGAGGCCGAGGGTTTTGGCCTGACCTCTGTAGAGCGACCAGTCGCGGGAATCCTGCGTTGACAATGCTGCTATCGTCGTTGTGAGTCGCCAGGAAATGAGCTACAGGCCGCACGGCACGAGTCGTCAGGTTGAACAACTTGAAGTGCGACCGAGCTGTACGACGGAATTGGATCTGGAAATGCCGAGCAGTGCGTTACGGCCCAGAGGAGTTGTTCGAGAGTGCTGTAGGATCGGTATTAATGGCGCAGTTGCTATGTGCACGAGTTTCAGAGGCTCGATCTTGCGCCAATGCCTGCACGGCCAAGTGTCGTCGAAGGAATGGAAAGCGTGTAGACCAGTACGCCACGATAGCGAAAGTAATGACTGCTGGCCCGGCCGGCAGTCGTGTTAACGAACGAATTTGCGCGCAAGTGGCGGATGTGTCGTGGGGAGAGAAGACTGGGAGCACAGGTCGAGTCAGCCAGAGGTGTGCTACACACGACGGGGGCAGCAGCCAGCACATGTGGGAGGGCGGACATGGTGCAGGGGGTCGGGACGTTGTCAGCACACACAGCTGAATGGTCCGTCTCTGGTACCAGTGTTCCGTCCAGCGTGATGGCAGGACAGGCCTGGGGCCTAAGCTTGCCTGCATAGAAAGTGCCCGTCCTGCACAATAGCACGCGCAAGTATAGCCACTTACCAAAGACAAGGAGATCTATATCGAGAATGGCGGTACCGACTCAGAGTTGCCTCACAACAGCAATGCTGTAGTGCTGAACAGCCAGTCGCAGTTGCTCGGGATGTTCAAAAGATTGTCGTGCGCACGAGACGGGTGCAATCACGCGGATGAGCGAGTTTGGGAGCAAGCAGTGTGGTCGTGTTCGAGGCGAGGAGGGGGATCAATGCGTAGCGTTCGATCGTTCGTCGTCCCGGACTCCGGAGTCGTTTCAGGCCCTTGGAGGCGGGACTGGAGCGTCGCGATCCAACCCACGCGCACCCCAGGTGTTGCTGCTCGTCTGAAGGGGCGATCAGGAGACGCCCGTCACAAGTCGTCCTGGGTTTGCTCAGGTGGTTGCAGCAGACCAGCCGGGAAGAGCTGAGGACGCCCAAGGACAGGGCTGAGGCCAGGGCAAATCGTCCAACGGTCCAAAGGTAGCAGCGGCGGCAGGCAAGTAGTCGCACAGCGAAAGGCAGCAGAGATAACGACAGGAGATCCGGCTATCCGAATGACACCTTGGAGCTTCCGACCAGGCCCGTACGTGGTGGTTGAAGGCAAGTGTCACCCACACAGCGCGCAGAAAACGGTTGCTCCTCGAATTGTCGCCGACTTGGGGAGGAAGCAGCGGTGCTGACTGAGTTGCCAGGACACTGCAGCACTTTCGACGAGCTGATCAAGCCGTGGTCGGCGTGGCAATGCCTCGGAGGAAAGAGCAACGATTCGACGGCCGCAAAAGACGGCCGCAGCAGATGGCTAGTAATCACAGTCGCTCACTTGCAGGCTGCCCGTCAGTGTTGGGGGGGGCTTCGCGAAGAGAGGATTCCTCCTCGGCGCCGTGATTGACTAACAAGAGGCTTGAGAGATGAGAGGAGCTCATGTAGACTGGTGGCCCCCAGCTAGCAGCAATCTCTCCACTGGTTGCGCAATCACATCCCGGACAGGCTCCAACAATGGATGTGTTCCTGCACAACACTAACGCTGCTAAGCACCGCTATTGCAGGGGTCGGGACGGGCTTGTGCCCATTGAGGGCCTGGTCTGGACGGGGCTAATGCACCGGCATGGCAGATTCAGGCCAGGGCAAGCCTCTTTCCGGTGCGAGGTCACTGTGCGCTCTGCAATGGCCGGTAATAATGAGTGAGTGATGGTGCCTCGTGACGACAAACAGACCCGTTGGTCCCCAGACCGGCTGCGACTGTTGCGTTGCAGATGGGCAACTTCGAGGTGGTGGCTTTCGCGATTGCAACGTCTTGCAAACATTTGGTCTGGCGAGTTGGGATGGTGGCAGGGCCTGACCTGGCCCCTTTGCTTCAACTGTGCTCTTTTCGGTTCGCCATCCGGGCTCGATTCCAGCAACTCGCACAGCCAAGTCCAGAAGGGCTCGACGTCGAGACCAGTCTCGGAGACCGCCTCGTGGTGGCTGGCCAAGAGTACGCCACCATCTGCAACATGCAACGCCGGGCGATGCAGGGGCCACGGGCGGCACAGCGTATCCCATGGGATGGATGGCCCGCGTCGGCAGCATCCACGCCAGCAGTGTCAACATGCTCGCTCTAATACGGACAGCGTCATCAAGACGGCCTGCATGCCGCCTGCCATACGGAGCGTCATGGGCGGCGAGGCCTCGCATGGCGATGCCACGAGCCGTCGGCCATTCACGCAAGTCGCCATATGACAATCGCAAAGCACCCGAGGCAGCCTCGGGCGACCCTGGCCTCACCCCTGGTTGTGGAGTCGCATGCCCTCAACTGAAAACACTAGCGTCGTGGGGCTGGCAGCCAACTATCCTGGAGGCCGACAAGGGGTCCGAGCCACTTGAAGCACAATCCCTGCGCTGCCGAGCGACATGTCCCGCTCGCGGGCAGCACAAGACCAGCAACCCTGGATCACCTGCGTCCCTACTCCCTCGATTAGCGGTCCTGTCTGCAAGCAGACTCGTGGGGACGGCACCACCCAGGCGGAACGATTATACTGTGGTGCTCATGCTGGAAAAGAGACCTCTGCACATATCCGCGCCAAAGCGCAATTTGTGCAGTCAATCTACCTGCTAGTGTAGGTCGCCTTGTGGCTTACGCAGAAAACACCGGCTAAAGTGAGCTGAATCAAGAACACGGGGCCCATTGTCGCAAGGTGACACAAGCCCAGACACTGCTTGGCCTTGACCAATCCGAGCCAAGGCAAGACTCGTTTGAGAAAACTGCACCCATTTTCGCACGGTTTTCTAGGCTGAGGCCGCTGCATGTCTTTGCACCTGTCACTCTTGATTGGATTGCTTGGAACTAGCCGTCAATCACATCTGTCGCGAGCGTCGCCCGAGCTGTTCTCACGGAGAAAGTCATCTCGGGTGCTCAAAGGCGCTTCTGACGCGGGAAGCAAGCGCTATATCGACAATGTTCTTATTCGGCAGCATCTCGACACCCAAACAATCGCTGATACAGACAGCCTTAACTTCATCAATAGGCACAACACAAACAAAGCGGGTTTCCCGGCTTTAAACGCAGAACAATTATCGTCTGAAACCCTGTTGTGGGGTTTGAGCTGTTCGCAACGTCAGACGGCGCCCACTCGCCCACCGTGGTATTTCCGTTCTTGTTTGTCCAACAACGGTTGTTGAGCTTACTCGCCGCATTGCATCTTGCTCCCCCGAAACTCGGCGGAATAGTCAAAGCTCATATAATATTCCCGCAAATAAAGGGCCACCACAGAGCACCGGTTCGTCCTTTTGACAGGCCAGAGCATCCTGGGAAATCTTCCAGGAGCGTTGCAAAATATATTTAGCATGAGCGGTCTGGGCCCCGTGATTGGTGGCTTTGACTACGAGTTGCTTTTGGCGCTAATGCCAGGTACACCAACATCTGCCGCGATCTTCCCGGTAGATCGCGGCGATCCCTTGTGTGTGTGTGTGTGTGTGTGTGTGTGTGTGACGTATCAGGCATGGCAATTCAACGACGATTGGGTCATACGCTTCCTCACCTCGCAGGTACTTACATTTAAGTCCGTTAAAAACGACCACTGAGTCCTTCGCGTGGCGGCCCCACGAGAAGCGCCAGACCATGCAATGGTCTTAGCATAAGCAAGGTTGAAGTGGCGAAAATTGGCGATTCATGCCCGCTGACCATTGACAACTCGTTCGCTTACTCAAGGCATTCTGGCTTCTCGTCTGGCGCATGTGACGCAAAAGTCCGGCGTTCTTCAGTTCCAGATGGATAATAATTACCTTGCAAGACGATTTGAGTGTGAGAGCTCGGCCAACCTTCCGGAAGACCGTCCACCTCTAATGAAGAATATTGCAACGACATGTGTTCTTTGCGTTCGGCTTTTCTGCATTAAACCATCTTCGCTGAGACCTGGCATAGTACGCTCTCAACAACTGAGAAGCACTGTGCACGTCAGGGCAATGGCGTCTCCAACAGGCTTACGGTGGAGTCTCAATGGACTTGTATTGTGGGCTTTATGTAAGCAAACACTCTCGAGGCATTCTACAGTATTACATGTTGGTTGTTATGAGGACAACCATTCTGCTTCGATCTGTCAGATCACCACACGCTGTGTCCTCCACGATCCACTCTCATCTTGCAGTATCGTTTGACCATCGTATGCTCGACCATTGGTGTCCTTGGGTGCCATTGCCGTTCGGTACGCATGTCTCACGCCGTTCTGCTTTGATGCTTGTAGCTTGGCCATTCGAATGGTGCCGTGTTCACCACTCCGCCCAGGTCTCCAGCTGAGTGGATCCGGCATATCTATTCTGGATAGGTGGCAGACTCTCAGGCTGCGCATTCTCCTTCATGGAGGCCGTTACGTGGACACCAGATCCCGCATATGGTTGTGGATCAGGTCGCGGTGGTATAGGAAAGATCGGTCTCGCATGAGGCGGAATCGTGACTGAGTGCCGAGGCGAGAGCTTATCTAGTTCAGCGGCATGATAGCTCATAGCGGTCGGCGAATCCATGACATGTGGCTGCGAGGGCCGAGGTGGTGGAGCAGCCGGCATTCCAAGCTGCGCGAGTCTCTTTCTGAGATCCTGGGCGTGTTTCTCACCCCAGGAGCCGTCTCCTTTCAGGCCCTGGTCGTGTATGATCTGCTGCTGTGGCCCTGAGTGCTGCCCAGATTGCTGTGCCCAAGCCAGATTCTGTGTCTGCTGCAGAGGGAGGCGAGTGGACTTGGTGCTCTCGCCATTGGCCGCAGCCATCCTCACCTTGAGCGCAAACTCATTCTTGATGTCTTGCACACTTCGCGGCGAGGAAGGAGCGGGTACGGCGCTTGCCACTGAGGTAGCGGAAATGATGGCAGGCGACTGTCCAAGAATCTGTGCCGGTTGCGCCATCGTCGGCGTAGGAGTTGCAGGAGAGGCCGTGTGAGAGGCCGCAGTTGGGGAAGTGAGACCCTCGTGAGGCTGTGAAGCCTTAGCAGGCATGAAATCGGCCTTGTTTGGCGTGATGAAGCCGTTCTCACAAGTCTTTCAAGCCATTGGAATAATAAAGTTAGAATCATGGACGGAGATCCAAAGTTGATACGGTGTGGCTGCAAACCTTTGTAGTACCATTGTCGCCGTGTCCCAACTGGTTAGTGTTGGCAGTGACGTTTTCAATTTCAATCAGGTCCTTGCAGAAGTTGTTCGGTGGGACGTTCTGGGCGCCATTTGGCTGGCGGCTGTTTCGCTGCAGGGTCTTGACGTGCTCAGCGTCCTCGTCGCGCAGGGAAACCAGCGGCTCGTCGTCTACAGAAGTTTCATTCTCGTCAGTACGACAAGCCTAAAGAGCGCGAAGGCGTGCTTTACTTACCGTCCAGAGCACCAAGCTTGCCTTCGATGATGTGGCTGATAGTGTTGTATTGGATCGCTGAGATGGCCTCTGCGCCCAAGAGGTAGGCAGCGTTAACCATGATGCTCGTGCAAGCGGCACGAATAGTGAACTTTGGACTCGTCATGGCTGCAGTATTGTGAGACCGAGGCGGGTAAGATACTGTTTGTGGTTGGAGTTGGAGTGCAAGGAGCCGGTCAAAGGAGGTGGGATCAGTCTCGGAAAAGCCGTTTGTTCCAAATGAAGGGAACGTGCATTTAGGTACAAAAGCGGTGCCGACTGGAGAGTTGGAATCTGCCCAGGTATGCTTAAATTCTGTCAGATGCGCAGCAGGGAACAATGGATGCGCCTGGGTCAATTGTGTGTAATACCTAGGTACCTAACTTAAGATAGGCGTGACGACCTCGTGAGTGTTGGGTGAGGAGAATTGGTATTAGGGATGGGAACACGCGTGATAAGCACTGACTCCCTTTTCCAATTCATCAAAACTGTCAGAGCTTCATTAAACGATGTCAACAAGGCGTGTTCGTGCCGCTTAAAGGCTGCGAGGTCTAAAGAGCTTTCGACATGGTTGTACAACAAGCTAGCCACCAAGAATTGCCCCCCCTTTGATACCAGACAATATTTTTTTGGAGTGTGATACGCATAGCTTTATCAGATGCTTGCCCCTTCACATCCAGGAATGGCTGCTATGCGGTTGCTACTGTCCCATCCGTTCAGAATTCTCGTGACCTCGAAGAGATCGTGCCCACATTCAGCCTCATAAGAGGTCGCTTGACTTCCAGCATCTTTCGAATACATTTCATGAATCCATTCAATCCTTCTTCCCACCATTCGTGGTGTGCAATGCTGGTCTGATGATGCGTATCATCATGATCTCGTGGACGTGCAAGGCTGCGTGGCTTGGAGCCGATGTGTTATCTCGTGCTCCTCGACTGATTCTCAAATCGTCCTCAATAAGCAATATTTCTTGTTCACATCAATGTTCAGCGCAAGTGACAGAAATGGACTTACCATCTCGCTGTTGCTTGCCGTCTTTAGGAAAGCGCCAATCTGGCCAGGGTGTATGCTCTGCACTGTTGTCCCGCATCCTCTCAGGTCTCTCAGCAGTCAAGATTTTGTCCGTGTCGGCGACACTGGCAAAAAAGCCGATGGTGTGCTGTTCGGAGCGAGAAGGGCAGTCGGAGTGACATTCTTCGGTGTCGTTGACCATCTGGGCTGCGAGTCTGTCCTGCTCGACCTTTTTGTTCTTGCGTGCCCGCCACACAAATATGGTGATAAGGAGGAGAGACACGGCGAGGACGACGCCAATGATGATGCCTATCTCGAGGCCGGACACCGGTCCTGTGCGTGGGCTTCCGGCGAGGTCATTGGGGTTGCTCGCTCCGTCCAGAGGAGGCGCTGCGCTAAACGGCTCTTCTGCCGGCCATCGTGCTTCCCGAAAGCGTGCGGGCATTCTGTCGTCGAGAAGCCTCGTAATAGAACTTGGTTGTGTGTCGTGTTTGGGGAAACTTAGGTCGAGTCTCGACTGTCCCGCGATTCGACGTGATCTTCCTTTTCGACACAATCGGTCGTCCGATGTGAGTGATTCACTTTGCGGCTCCCGCGGCAATGGTGCACATCTCCCGGCAGCCAGATGATGAGAATATGGGGTGATGCAGGTGGTGTTGGACGATTAGTGACGTGTTGTCGTGGTGACAGGCAAGCCGAGCGTGCTGCAAACGGGCACAGAGCAACAGCACACCACCAACGCGCGGCATCGAACCTCGAAAGGAAACCTAGGCTTCAGGATTCTCGAAGGCACCGAAGTCGGTCTCTTCGCATTTGTCGGTAATAAAGGACGAGATACAAAACGTTCCATTCAGTGAGCCGGTGACTTGGCCATGAGTACAAATAATCTGTAGGTTGGAACGAATGGCCCAGTCAGTGGTCGAGCCTTCCTCCAGAAGCGGACCTCGAATGGAGGCAACAATATCATCGAAACGCAAGCACATTCAGCATCTGCCCTTAATCCTGACGCTCAAGACAGTCACGAACCTCCTCATCTTTCTCGAGGAACACAAGGACCAATCAAGCCCTCCAGGCGCCACAAAGCTCTACAACGACTCGAATGCTCATCGTTCACAATGTCGCACGGCCGCCCGCGTTGCCGATCGATCCTCGCCCACAGGGCCCCTTTCAATCGATGTCACAGGCATGTCTCGGAGCGGACTTCGGCACCCGCCTGCCACCATCGACATCTGTGCAAAGTCGATTGCATTACAAAGAGATTAGAAAAGCACCCCTAGCCTTGTCGCCCATCACACCGGTTTGATTCCCACACCGAACTTGTGTGCAAGCACTCGGTCTCGGGATGCGGGCCGCCGACCGCCGTCGCGCCGCACGCCTGGGTTCATCTTGATTCGCGGAGGCCGAGACCTCCCTCACCTTGGACGGCAAGCTGCGACGGAGATCAGCCATACCCAGACCTGCTAGCCACCAGGAGCTGAGAATGTTTACCTCTCCCTGGTCATACGCAGCAACGGGTTGAACGCCAGTCTGGGCGATGTCTTGCCATAGTACACAAAGGAGTTTTACGCCTATCTTTCTCAATGGAAACAGGCCGCCGTTACATTGCACGAAGCCGGAGTGCACCCGGACGCGAACCGCAGAGTGGCGACACCCTGGCTTCTCCATGCTGGTTACACCACTCGAACCGTTGCTCCTTGAAGCAGCGCTCCCGAGTTTTCTTGCAACCAATGTCGACCACGAACGACTCAGGTGTCGCAGTGGACCAAACGCATTGGGGTGCCAAACATCATTGCAGGTGACCAGATGACGTCTACAGGGCCATCGCAACATGAATACCAAGAAATCGAATACTTGCTAAGACCAATACCTTTAGAGGCTTGCGGGTTTCAAGTACGCACCGGACTAGTTAAAATCTTATATACAATACAGCCCCAACTTGCTCTATGCGTGATCAGAAGAAATTTCCCCACGATTCAGCTGGTCTATGATGATCCCTTGTCTCTGTGGACACGGCTGCAGCAAAATTGTGCCTTGACAGAATGATCCTCTGCGGTCGAGCCGCCCCGTGCAGCCAGACCGCTTGTGCTTGAGCCGCTGGTTGAATAGACTGACGCCAGAGTGAGGTGTCATCATAGACTGAACTGGCAGCAATAGATCGTGCGCAGGGAACGGAAACGCTAGGAAACGGCGGCCTCGGCATGTTGGCATGGTCAGGCACAACTACCTGACTAATCTCAGCCCTGTCGTTGCTTAGAGGCCGCGATATCCGTATGGTCCGACGCCGTTTGTCTCGGGATTTGGATGCTCGGAAGTTAGCCCAGCTCTCCATCACCGACGTCTGTTCATCCATCAACACCCATATACATGAAGTGAGGAGGATCACTATCACAGCGACAGTGCCTATGATTGCGCCCACGCGCTCCGCAGTGGTGACCGGCACGGCTTGAGCTGCAGCTGCAGCCTCGACATGGTCTTGGTCGCTCGTGGTGGTTCCAGCAGATGGATTTCCAGGGCTTGTTCCTCCGGTGCTGTTAGTCAATGGCGGAGGCTCAGCTTTTTCAATCATGTTGCCCAATACCACTTCCATTGCCGCCATCTGCTGACCAACACCTGTGGTACCGTCCCACTGACCACTGTTGTTCGCCCATTTAAGCCCACACAACTGGCCATTGCTTCCACCGACACACTGCTGGACTGCTGCCGTTGCCGAGTTCCCTAGCAGAGTCTTGACGCGGTCAAAGGTCCATGGCGCCCATTTGGTGGTGCCAGACATCCATCGACTCAAGTACGCTTTGAAACTTTGTTGGTCCTTAAAAAGTACAGGTGCAGAGACTGTTAGTTGACGTACTCTGCGGCAATCGTTCTGTTAGTCCTGGAAATGGCCAGCCAACACTCACCTTGTTGCAGTAGTTGACTGGTTCGCACGCAACCTCGATCATGACCCTGTCCTGTGTCGTGGTTCCCCAAAAGAACACCAGCTCAGTAGCGTTCATCAACCCATCAATGCGTGTTCTCCATAGTGTCTTGCCGGCTGCCTGTCCCGTCTTGTTGGCCAATGCCCACATGGCTGCGGAACCATGCAGGAAAGCGCCGACGTTGTAAGAAAACTCGAAAGGCACCCGCTTGACGCAGCCATCGTTGATGTGTACACCATCGTATATGCGGTAGTCGTCGTCCATGAGGTTGACTGCCTTCATCCAATCCCACGTCTTGATGGCCCATTGCGCATAAGTGGCGTTGCCAGTGTATAACGCCAGTCGTGCAGCAATGTTGAAGAAGCACGCCTGCGATATGGAGTTCTTGTAGTCGAATCCGTTATTCCATGGGAATATCTGCCACCGCAGACCTCCGTTGCAATGCTCCATATCCCACCGTGCGGCCTGCGTATTGAACACCGCCTGAGCCAGGGCGAGCCACTGCGGCTGATCCTTTGGCGGATTTGGAAAGTTGAACTCGGCGGCTGTCATCACGGCCATGCCCCAGAAGCCCTGGTCGTCGTTGCCCTCGGTGAGCGTCTGGTTTGGAGGCATGTAGTCCCAGTCCGGCCCGACCTGGTGGAGGAGGCCCTGTGTCGTGATCGCGTTGTAGGTCGAATCGCCGGTGTGATGCCAGTAATGGATCAAGGCACCCATCAAGGCGCCCCCTTCCCACCCTGAACTCGGATATCAGCATGTGAGGACTTTTCGGAGGCGTCAGGTAATGGGTTCTCAGACTAACAGTAGTATGGTTCTGGTAACAGACCGGGAGTCTGTCCAGGCAGATGACCCGTGTAGAACGTCATGAGGTCCTTAGCAAGTCCTTGAGCGACAGTCTTGAGTGAGGCTTGTGGAAGTATTGCGAGTTAGTCTTCACAACTTCGGCAGCTTTAGTCAGTGGAACAATGTACGTGCCTTGCGATGTGACATTGAGCTTGTAGGCGTGAGTCCCAGGCCCCATGGCCGGCATGAGGGCCACGGCGGAGGCGAGGATCCTCCATAACTGCATCATCACAGTTCTCAATAGCTCTGGTTCGCGTTTGGCCCCGGGCACTTCGCGGCCGGTGGTATGGCTCCTGCTCTCCTTGTCCCCTACAGAGGACGATGACCCAGCGCAGCAGAAGTGGTTGACTGAGTCGATCGCCTTGTACCAGGCACTGGCCTTGTGTCCAAAGCCAATGTGCAGCAGGAGTGACTATGTCGGCGCGCACAACCGCGGAAAGAGCCCCTCGGGATAAAGCATCACCAAAATGGAAATCATTCGGAGCCCATCCAGTTGGTCATCGAGTCAGCACGGGGTGGGTGCTGTTTTCTAGTAACTTTGATGTCGGCATCAACCAAGGACGTCTGGCAAAATAGAGTTCTTGTGCAGATGCTCGATGCAGCGTGGGCCTGGTCGCCCATGGTGGCCTTGAGTTGAACCGGCGAGCGCGCAAGCGAGCCAGGCTGTACCCGCGCTCGGTTTTCCGATCTGTGTGTCTCTCCATATCGCTCTGAAGTTTAAATTTGTATTCATCATGGGCCTGGCATACGTAACGGCATCGTCAACACCTCGCGTGCGCTGCGTTTGGGTTTGTTGCAGTTGGCAGGAGCGGGTACTGTCTCACATGGACCTCGGGAGGCATGGCCTGGCTGTGTCGTCCCATCTTCCTAAGGTCCTGCCCTCCCAAGGCATCACAAAAAGAGGTTTTGGTCCCGTCAGACCATATAAGGGAAGATGCTTAACAATGAAGATTAATGGATACCGCGGAAACCTCCAGTCACACAATTACAGAAGGATGTGTAGGTGCCGCCGGGCCGCAGCATTCGACGAGATTGCCGCTTTCGATGTGAACAGCCGACTTGAGACAGCACCACCCGAAAAAAAACTTTGGTTGTTTGACACGCAATCTATACTGCATGAAAACGTGCTGGTCTCGCCTGCGAGATTGGCTCATGCCATGTCATTGACTAGGCCGTATCCGGCCCCGACTCTGAACGGACATCTATGATCACGACCAGCCCTTGTCCCCGGCGAACAATGACAGAGTGAGCCAGGGATGCTTTCGGAACCCTGCGCTGTGGTCCAGATGGTAAGCTTAAACTTAAGAGCTGGAAGATCGTTTCATGATATCGACTACACAGGAGCTGAGTTTGTATGTGGTAATGCCCGTCGTTTGGCTCACGACGCCTTGTAGACTGTGTCTCTACCGACGACTGTACAGGCTATCCTTGCGTCCATAATTGTGAAGTTTAACAATGATGTCTCTGGAAATAGACCGACCAGTTGCCATTGTTTGGAAAAGCCCTGGGGTCATGCTTCGCAGAAGAAAACTTGAAAGCCTTCAGCAAGATTCTGAGCTGCCAAGCCGGCACTGGTCCAGACTCATCAGCGCATCATCTGGGCACCCCGCGACAATGCACCACGAGGCGAGCCCCACAGCTCGCTGACGTTCGTGGTGGTCGTGAGCTTGTGCTGTTGTCTGTCTGATCATGCAGGGCCATCTTTGTAGCAGCCTGTGCTACATTATCCTCGGTTGGCGGAAGGCAAGAACATAGTCCAATTTGCAGGCACCCCAATACCAAACAGCAGCATCACTAAAGCCTGTGTGCCAAAGCCCATAGCCTCCCATTTTGTGAGTGGCCAGACAGGGCGCCCATCAAATCCGTAATTGGAACATGGCTGACGCAGCAACGGGCGGGCACTGCGACCATGATCCTGGAGGCCAGCGAGGCGCAGTGGGGACACGAACGCAAAAGATACATGCAATGTGGTGACGATTCAGGCCGAGTTACATGTACCTCTACCGGGGCCGCCGGGGCAGGGGCCAAAACTTGTGATCCCTGCGTTGCAAGGCTGTTACTGGGCGAGAGGCGAGTTTGGGCCGTCCCTGGAAACAGACCCTCAAACATCCAGAGGTCTCAGCCAGAGTATTGCTGGCACGCCAGGGCCGCTGGCGGGAGACGTACGTTGAGGGGCAGCCAGGTGGGAGCTTGTAGGAGGAAAGTTTGTAGCTGCTTCAAGCCCGTTCAGCTGGTGAGCCGCCAGGAAGAGCGAGGAACAGAGACCGATGACGGGAGAAATGGCCGTGCCGTGGGAGAGGTCGTGGCCCTTGAGCATCGAGAGTACGCAAGACGAGCTCCGCCACTCCCGAGGTCGCCGCCCAGAGCTGACCAGCCCAGCCTCGGACAGCGACGCAACGCACGACATTCTGCGACTGTGACAGGGGAATGGTGGTGATGTGAGGTGGGGTCTGCCTGTCTGGTCTTGGGTGTTGGGTGAGTGTGGCTTTGCGGTTGCCTGCCTGAGCAGCGCAACGGCGGGCGGGCGGCGGCGGCGTCAGTCAGCGCTACGACCGTCACAGGCTCTTTCCAGCAGGGCGGGAGTGGGAGCGCCGATGCTGGTGGTGGTGCGCAGCAGCCAAGCACGGGCCCCACCCGCCCCCGTAGATGTGGTCATTCCTCCGTCCTCCTGCTGCCAACCTCCTTCTGTCCTCACTCCCAGCATAGGCAAAACCGCATTCAACCATCTTCACCAACATTTGTCCATCTCCAGCCCGTCCACCAACACCTCTACCACTCCGTCCAGCACTCACCTCACTGTCGCGGCCATCTTCAGACTCGCTCTGCACACACCAGAACCATCACTTTCGCAACTCTCCGACCGCCATCATGTCGAACCAGGACGCTCCCTACGACCCTTACATTCCCAGCGGCCAGGCCGCACCCCAACAGGGCGGCAATGCGAGGACCCAGGCACTGCAAGCAGTGAGTATAACCCTTTGAATTCTCGTCTATGCCGCGCGACAAGCGCAGGAGCACGACTGCAGTGATGCCAACTGTTCGCAACAATACACGGCTGCGACTCGGGCGAATGACCCGCAGCCCTGCGCAGCACGGCAACAGCACGGCAATGGACCACTTGCCGATGTTCGAAGCATGCGTCAAGTTACCCTGGGTTCCAGCGCAGGCCATTTGCGGAGTCGCATGTGAATCGACTACTCTCAACAGTCTTGTTGCAATCACTTCGCTTGATGGCATTTGACTGAATGAAATCATGCTGGCGATCTCATTGCCTGCGACGTCATCTATGCGCAGCAGCGGCCAGCATCCTGACTGTCATGTTTGCGAATCATTGGAAACTCCAGCTGACACCTTTGTTTCGCAGCAAATTGATGACACTGTCGGCGTCATGAGGGAGAACATCAACAAGGTTTCCCAACGTGGCGAGCGCCTCGACGCCCTCCAGGACAAGACAGATAATCTCGCAGTCTCCGCCCAGGGCTTCCGCCGTGGCGCCAACAGGGTGCGAAAGCAGATGTGGTGGAAGGACATGAAGATGAGAATGTGCCTGATTGGTGGTATTGTCATCTTGCTTATCGTCATCATTGTTCCGTCAGGTATGTCACTGCGCTCGCTCTCTTTCGGTGCCCGAATTATTTGCTGACCTCTCGATCAGTCATGGCTGCCAAAGGCAAGATTGGCGCTTAAGCAGCAACACTACTATTGCTGCGTTAATTGCATCCACGTAACGACGACGATCAAACGGTTCACGCAGACACACGGGCAGGGCCAGGCTAGCCCTGCTGATCTTCCGTGGTCTATAGCACAAGTGGAGTTGTGTGTTTTCGGTCTGACTGGGTTTTTGTCTTTCGCTCGCTTCAATCGGCACTGATACCCCTGGAACTCGAGCTGCGCCAGGGCAATAAGGAAGCGGGATGCCTTTGCAGGTTGCGGACCTCTATGTATGAAATGCAAGGCGTTTTTCCGACTTAATCAAGATATTATGAGAAAGCTGAATATTGCTGCTCCACTGAGTGAATGTGTTTAACCCAAGTCAAAGGTTCGTTTCGTCCTAACATGAATCTCAGATGGATATGGTGGCTTGGCCTTTCGAGGAATGAAATGACGACTCATTGCGCAGATCTGAGCCAAAGGTGCGAATGGGCGATTGGAAAGGTCCAGATTGACAAGGTGGTGGACACTTTGCTTGAAGCAAGAAGAGGTGAATGACCGAACCGCCCAGCTCACTATACTGGTGTGACAGGAGTCGAGCGGAAAAGAAAACGGCTAGGGCTGGATTGTGCTGACACGGTCAGTCTGATGGCGTCCCGGAAGTCTACTTTACCTTGACCGAGGCTGTTCTCTCGAGAGGCAGGATACTCAAAGAACTCGACACCTACGTCCTCGTGCATGGAAGTTCTTGCCCGCTCGGCCATTTAGCTAATTTTGAAAGAAACCACGCATGCAGCTTTTTATCTCGCAGTCGCAAACATGACCGCGAGCTGCCGAGAGGGGCTTACATGCGACTCCGGCTGAGCACGAGAAGGAGATCAACAGGTCTCGATTATGCAGGTGAGGCTTCCTGAGGCATTTCCAGGCCCTGTTTGCCGCCATAAAGGTTTGAATGAGTGCTCAGGAGGCCTCCCCCGTGGATGATAATCCCTCACAAGTCAACATGACCTCTGCATATTTGATATGTTCCGCAAGGTGAAGAGCGATTTATTGTGAGACAGGTGGATATTCGCTCATACAAGAGCACTCCGTGAGAGGGGTTGAGGTACGTCCCAGTCAGGCCTCCTCCCAGCACACAAGCACAGGGGAGAAGCACCTTCCCGAGAGGGTCGGCGGACAGCATCGTTAGCTCTGGATGCGTTCCCTCCTCGGCAGTTGGGCTGCAAGAGAGGAAGCGGGTGAACTCCACTGACCAGGGGTGGAAAAGCGGGCTTTTTGCGGACGAGATGGGAAGATCTAATCTTATCAGATTGGATTTCTTGCGTGCCCATCTCCTCCCGGCCCGGCTTTTCGCGTGCACTGTGTGGCCTGCCAGATCCTTGAGCCCAGCAATTGCTGGTCGAGGAAGTGCTGAGGGACAAAAATTTTCGCATTGGTGTGGAGTTGAAGCGGTCCTCAGGCGATGATGCCGCATGGCTCGCTTCAAGATTGACACAATAAGTGAGCAGATGTGGTGTCTCTGTGCCAGAATCACCAGCCTGCATCTCGCTATATTTGGTTGCTGTCTAATATTTCAGACGAATATCAAAGGAAATCTGATGGGTGGCACGTGAAGATCGAGGAGGAAACCTACCTCAGTTTAGCGTACTTGATAATCATCTTAGAGTCAATCTAGAGTGCAAGCATCATGTGATTCTGATCTGGCGCAGCGATCTCGGTCGTGGTTGCATAAAATTTTACGCCAGGCGCATCAGCCAGTGTGACGCTGTGACTGAGATGATAGAAGAATACCTTCAGGGTACTTTAGACGAGCGCGCAAAGCAGAGATAGGCTGCGGGGAAAAGGCATCGCCGCAAGTATCTCTATATCTCGGCTGTGCTACCCCAATTCGTGGAGAAGGCCAGGCAAGGACCTCCCGGCCGTCCGTGAGGAAAAAAAAAAGTGGCAAGCCAGCAGCCTTGCTGCTGGCGACTGTGTTGATACCAAGCCACGACTTCTGGCCCGATAAAAGGCTCATTACTTGTCGAAAAAACACATTGCCCACTCGAGAGGCTCTATCGGCTGAGGCATTGACGCTTGCCCGCGGCCCCGTCCCACCTCCCAGCAGAGCTTGTCAATTTTGTCACTGGAGCTACTCGTGCACACTAGGTTATCCCCCACCACCCCGGGCACCAGAGTCAGTCAGTCACCTAAATCGGAGACAGGCTCTGCCCCAGTTTCTCTGCTCCTCCTCCACCACCACCACCACTTCCCGCACGTCGACTCTGCAGACTGCGTCGTCCTCACCAACCCCGACCCTGATCGACGACAAGACCACGGCTCAATTGGCCGTGGGACGACCGATTCTAGGCCTCCGTCAACTCTAGACGTCCAATTCCCGCCTCCTACCCACCGAAATCGATCATAATGCTTCCCGTCCGTGTAGCACGCGCTGTCGCCCTGCGGGCTGGTGCTCGCCGGGTCGTCCCTCGCGCTGCTCGATTCGCCCCTTCGACCCTCGCTGCCCGGTCCGTCAACCAGCGCGCTTCCTACTCTGCTTCACGGACCAATGACTCGACTACCCGTGCCGCCGTCATCCAGGTGCTCAACAACATTGGCTCCAAGCGTGAGGTCCAGCAGTACCTCTCGCACTTCTCCTCCGTTTCCCAGCAGCAGTTCGCTGTCATCAAGGTCGGTGGTGCCATCTTGACCGAGCACCTCGACGAGCTCTGCTCCTCCCTGTCCTTCCTCTACCACGTCGGCCTCTATCCCGTCATTGTACACGGAGCTGGCCCCCAGCTCAACAAGCTGCTCGAGGAGGCTGGTGTCGAGCCTCAGTTCGAGGAGGGCATTCGTATCACCGATGGCAAGACTCTGGGCGTTGCACGCAAGCTCTTCCTTGCCGAGAACCTGAAGCTTGTCCAGCGCCTCGAACAGCTCGGTGTTCGAGCCCGCCCCATCACCTCGAGCGTTTTCACCGCCGACTATCTCGACCAGGACAAGTGGAAGTTCGTGGGCAAGATCACCGAGGTCAACAAGGAGCCAGTGCAGACCGCCATCGAGAATGGCTACCTGCCCATCCTGACGTCCATGGCTGAGACTGCTGAGGGTCAGGTCCTGAACGTAAACGCCGATGTCGCTGCCGGAGAGCTCGCTCGTGCTCTCGAGCCGCTCAAGGTTGTCTACCTGAGTGAGAAGGGTGGTCTCTTCGATGGTGATGCCAAGAAGATTTCTGCCATCAACCTCGACGAGGAGTTTGACCACCTCATGGCTCAGCCCTGGTGCAAGTTTGGCACTCGCCTCAAGATCAAGGAGATCAAGGAGCTTCTCGAGAACCTCCCTCGGTCATCCAGTGTTGCCATTATTCACCCCGCTGACCTCCAGAAGGAGCTGTTCACCGACTCTGGAGCTGGTACTCTGATCCGTCGTGGCAACAAGCTGCTGACTGCCACCAGCCTTGAGGAGATGGGCGACCGCAACAAGCTGAAGGAGGTTCTTGTTCGCGATCGTGAGGTTCGCGATGCTCGGGCCACCGTCGACCGCTACCTTGAGTTCCTCGAGGGCCGCGACTTCAAGTCATACTACGATGAGTCAATGAAGGCTCTTGCCGTTGTCCTGAAGCCTGCAGCTGACGAGGGTTACTCGACCCTGGCCACTCTGACCATCACCAAGTCGGGCTGGCTCTCCAACGTTGCTGACAACTTGTTTGCTGCCATCAAGAAGGAGAACCCCAGCCTGGTGTGGACCGTCAAGGCTGACGACGAGAACTTGACTTGGTTCTTCGACAAGGCTGACGGCAGCATCGTTCGCGGCAACGACATCATGTTCTGGTACGGCATCGCCCCTGGCGAGAACCTCAACAAGCTCATGAATGAGTTTACTGCCCAGGGTCGTGCAATGCTCGGCGAGTCTAACCTGGAGTCGCGCCTCCACCGCGCGGCCCAGATTGCTTCTGGCAACCTCAAGGCGCACTTTGCCTCGGGCTCCGTTGCCAACCAGGCTCGTGGCTACTCGACTCTCGCTCGTCGTCCTGTCATGGGCACTGCCCGGTCGAGCGCCTTTGCTCCCCGTGCTGCCCGCGGATATGCCACCACAACCAACCCCAACCCACCTTACGGCAAGAAGCACGCCTCTAACGACCAGCGCTCTCGTGTCGCCCTCATCGGCGCTCGCGGATATACCGGTCAGGCCCTGATTGACTTGATCAACTCTCATCCCAACTTCGAGCTTAAGAACGTCTCTTCACGAGAGCTCGCTGGTCAGACTCTGAAGGGCTACAACAAGAAGGAGATCGTCTACGAGAACCTCTCGGCCGACGATGTTCGCGAGATGGAGAAGAATGGTGAGATCGATGTCTGGGTCATGGCTCTGCCCAATGGTGTCTGCAAGCCGTTCGTGGATGCCATCACGGAAGCCAAGCAGGCGGCGCCTCGCGAGGATAGCAGCGTCATTGTTGACCTGTCTGCCGACTACCGCTTCGACTCGAGCTGGACCTACGGTCTTCCCGAGCTCGTCAAGCGGTCTGCCATTGCCCAGGCCACCCAGATTTCCAACCCTGGCTGCTATGCTACTGCCGCCCAGCTCGCCATCGCCCCGCTCGTTGAGCACCTGGGTGGCGAGCCGACCGTGTTCGGTGTCTCTGGATACTCGGGTGCTGGCACCAAGCCGTCGCTCAAGAACAATGTCGAATACCTGACCAACAACATTGTCCCCTACAGCCTGACGGATCATATCCACGAGCGTGAGATCAGCAACCAGCTCGGTGTCAACATTGGCTTCATTCCTCACGTCGCTGTCTGGTTCCAGGGTATTCACCACACCATCAACATCCCCCTGAACAAGTCCATGACCTCGCGTGATATCCGCCAGATCTACCAGGACCGCTACGCCGGCGAGAAGCTGGTCAAGGTTGTTGGCGAGGCTCCCCTTGTCAAGGCGATCAGCGGCAAGCACGGTGTCGAGATTGGCGGCTTTGCCGTCCACAGCTCCGGAAAGCGCGTCGTCATCTGCGCCACAATCGACAATCTGCTCAAGGGAGCAGCCACTCAGTGTCTGCGTAAGTTTGATTCCATCTGTTTTTGAAAGAGTGCTTGGCTAATGATGGTTTGCGATGCAGAGAACATGAACCTGGCTCGCGGCTACGCCGAGTTTGAGGGCATCCCACCCATGGACTAAGTTTTCATACAGCAAACCAGGAGGATCAATCATGTTTAGGACTAGAGTCCTCGAAAATGTTTTTTTTGACGGGTGTAAAGCTAGGGTTGACCGGCTTTTTGATTATCGGGCAACTGTTGTACATATTAGGTCAGGTGACGGGGTGATTATGTCTACTTGCTATCAATGGGGGCAGCAGGAAAGAATACCAAAAAGTTCAAAGCTCAATGGTTGTGCTACTGCTCTGTTGCCGTGGGTAATGAATTGACAAATCAGAACGATTCAGCACGGGCTCTACCCCAACAGAGTTTCCCCTGGCCAAGCGGGCCTGACAATGACACAACCCCGGGGCCCAGACCACTGCCCTCCGTCATCGGACAGAGGGGCACTCCAGTGGGGCAAATTTTTGGGCAGTCTGGACGACTCAATTCGAGTCAGAAGAGCACACGCGACAAGACAGAACACATTCATCTTGCCATCGTAGATACCAGAGAATTTGGACACGAGCTTAGGAGCGCCTCGGAGCAACCTTACGAGGCCATTGTTCAAGACCACAACCCCCAGAGCAATCAACCACCACATCTCAGCCATGGCCGGTCAATTTCCCACAAAGAAGTGCGGTAAGTCTCGAGCTCCAGGACTCCCCAGATTGTGCCCCCTGGTCTATGGGGGTTCAGTGCAATGTAGACATGCCTCTTTGGGTGGTTGCGCCCCCCCATAAATGTCGTGGCACTCCAATGACCTCTCGGCGGACGGGTAACTGATCATCAACGTCGTCTCTGTTGCCCCTCGAACAGGTGTCCTCGGCGCCACAGGCTCGGTGGGCCAGCGCTTCATCCTGCTGTTGTCGCAGCACCCATACTTTGTCCTGCACGCGGTCGGCGCCTCGTTGCGGTCGGCGGGCAAGAAGTACCGCGATGCGGTGCGGTGGAAGCAGGCGAGCCCGATGAGCGAAACGCTGGGCGAGCTGGTGGTGCGCAACTGCACGGCCGCCGAGTTTGCCGACTGCGACGTCGTCTTCTCGGGCCTCGACTCGGACGTGGCCGGCGCGGTCGAGATGGAGTTCCTCAAGGCCGAGCTGCCGGTCTTCAGCAACGCGAAGAACTACCGCATGGACCCGGGCGTGCCGCTCGTCGTGCCGACCGTCAACCTGCCGCACCTCGACCTCATCCCGCACCAGCGCAGGCAGCACGGCCTGAGCAAGGGCTTCCTCGTGTGCAACTCGAACTGCGCCGTCATCGGGCTCGTCATCCCCTTTGCCGCGCTGCAGGCCAAGTTTGGCGAGGTCGACATCGTCTCGGTCGTCACCATGCAGGCCGTCTCGGGCGCGGGCTACCCGGGCGTGAGCAGCATGGACATCATCGACAACGTGGTCCCCTTTATCCAGGGCGAGGAGGACAAGCTCGAGACCGAGGCCCGCAAGATCCTCGGCGGCCTCAACGGCGAGGCCAGCGCCTTCGTGCAGCAGGACGACCTGCGCGTCAGCGCCGCGTGCAACCGCGTCCCCGTGCTCGACGGCCACACGGCCTGCGTCAGCCTCAAGTTCAAGGCCCGCCCGCCGCCCAGTGTCGACGCCGTCAAGGCCGCCCTGCGCGAGTACGTCAGCGAGGCCGAGCAGCTCGGCTGCCCCAGCGCGCCCAAGCCCAGCATCAAGGTGTTTGACGAGGCGGACCGGCCCCAGCCCAGGCTGGATCGCGATCTCAGCAAGGGATACACCGTCAGCGTGGGCCGCGTGCGCGAGGACGAGAGCGGCATCTTTGATATCAAGTTTGTTGCGCTGAGCCACAACAGTAAGCCATGGCCATGTTTTTGTCTTTTTTGCAATGGTCGGGGCAGGATTGGTTGGTTGTCTCACAACGAGGAACGTGATGCTAATACGGCTTGGCTTCTTCTAGCTGTCATCGGTGCTGCGGGTTCGTCCATCCTGAATGCCGAGGCTGCGGTTCTCAAGGGATATCTTTGAACAGGGACAGCTTCATGGGACTGTAGGTCCATCATCAACACAGACTCGTCCATTGGAGGCCGGCAGGTATGGGATGGAAATTTGGGTATTAGCGGATAGACAAAATCAAACAAAAGCTGCCAGACCACGCAACAGGCCCGACCACCGAGTATCTGGACCAATCTCATCCTCGAGACAGAGGGTGAGCATGATGATTGATGCGTGCTCTGTACGTGTGACCACAGCGCTCTGCCGTGAAACTCAGAGGCAAAGGGCTAGTCTTCGCCCCTCAAGAAGCAATCTCTCTCTCTCTCAGACACAGAAACAGCGCTTGGTAGCTTACAACAATAGGATGTGTTCGATCTGGTGAAGCCAACATCAGTATCAAGATTCGTTTGCGCTGTGGAAGGACGCATAACAATTGAGGCCCGTTGACCACGTGAAGTACCAGGAGAATCCACCAGACGGTGATCCAGTGACTCCAAGATGCCGCGAACGTCGTACTTGTGCATGCTGAGCCTCGATCGCAGGCGTACGGGTGAACCAGGCAATAACATTACACCATGTGTAATCTGTATGTTGCTAACCACTCGCCACACTCCAGCCGATTTTATTGTTAGCCGCGCAGGTCCCCAGTGCCTAGACTGGATATTGCAGGTTGTGGGTGTCGGTGGAAACCAGCCTGCTCCTTTTGCAGGCATCGGTGTGACCTGGTGTAGCTTGCTCGTGGACAATGCCTGCTCTGAGGGCTGATCCGACTCACAGGTTCTATCCTCATTACCGTTCCGCACAAGGCGCCGTTTAGTCCCCCCGATAAACCGTCAGAATCAGTCGCAGAAAAGGCTGCAAGACTGGCGAGAAGGCATGTCCGCGAACAAGCTCCTCCAGCACATGGAGATTGCAGAATACCCAGATGGCGCGTCAACACTGTTCTCCGTGGTTACCAGCGATAAGCATGAGTATTTGGTCGGGCATTGTTGCACTTTTACGACACAAATCAAGGACCGAAGGTAATTCACAGAATAAGAAGGGTCGAGATCGCAAGCTGCGCAAAATTACAAGTGATTTCGAGACTAGAGCCAAACAGCAGGCATCACTTAGGTTTTAGAGCCGAGTGACCCGCGTTGGAAATACAGATACGGGTAGGCGGTAGACTCCTTGCGTAGGTGGATGTTTTCCCTTGATACAAGAACCCTTGCTTTGTCCCAGAACCCATGACAAAGGAGGGAAAGATGAGAAGAAAAAGATAGGAAAAAAAAACCAAAAAACCCACGAGAAGTGGCCAAAAATTATTACATCTTGTAGTCAAGATGTAACCCGAATAAGCTCGATAGTGTGTGAGTGCATTGACGGGGAGTCGAACCCCGGCCTCAACCTGCCTCGAGAAGATGGAAGGGTTGAATCCTAACCGTTAGACCATCAATGCTGATGATTCGGTGGTGATTGATGAAGAACAAAGTTAATGCGGTATATATCTACACCCAATCAGACCTCGCACAGCTCCGGGGCTCCACTCCGGCGTGCTCCACTACCGCCCGCCCGCATGGCTCCACACCCCACGGCCAGAGAAAGACGCAGCAGGAGTCAAACGTGCAAGCACCACCATCCCAACCCATACCACCGTACCACAGTTACAATCCGAATAGCATGCATATGTGATGCGCTCATCTGCGTAGAGCTGTCGCAGTCTTGCGCATAGCCCGTCTATTGTCGCACCATCAGATACGCATAGCCCGCTGGCGGGGGCTAGAGTCTGCGCAGCAGCAGCGTTAGCCTCCGTTTCAATCGAATCTGTCAAGTCGACGACGACAACAACAATACAAAGTCCAAAATGGAACGACCGGTCCGCATCATACTGCGGAGACTTATCCAGTCCCGTCTGGCACGAACGGCCAACTCTAAACGCACATTCGTCGGCCCGACACGGTCCTCTTCATCGTCACGACCACAACTGCCGTTCCTCTCCGTACCGCAGGCCAAGAACGAGCAGTTTCGCTACCTCACGACAGAGCGCAAGCAGAGGATAAAATACGAGCTTCTGCTGGGCATAAAATGGGGCCTGACCGGCTGGGCCATCATAGGATGCTGTGTGATCGGCTTCTGGAGCGTCCAGCAGGATTGGCTGGAGCGGTACTACCCGACGCCGAGCGACTGGAAGTTCTTGACGCGCTTGCGCTTCCGGCTCATGATGTGGTGCCCCGAGCGGAAGGACACGCCCATACCGGACTGGTCGCTGACGTGGGAGTACGCTAAGAACGTGGTGGAGCGGTTGGAAGACCCTGCGATAGACGGCGCTGGCGTCACGGAGCTCACCGAGGGCGGGATCTGGATCGGCGACGTCGGCAACGCCGGTTTCGACGTCACGGCAAAGAGCGAGCCGTGGAGGAGAGGATACTACCAGGCGCTGATGCAGCTCGCCAAGAGTGCGGAGTACCTCGACGGCTGTTTCACACCCAAGGACCGCAAGGAGGCATTCTTCGCGGACCAGCTGATTGGGCCGTCAAACCCCTATCCCAGGCCTATATATCCTGGCCAGTCAAACCCGCCTCGGGAAGAGGACGTTGTGCGCATAGCACCGCCACCCGAGGAGTATTACATGAAGATCCTGACGACACGTGGATTCTCGACCAAGCAGAAGATTGACGCTGCCCTCGCGCAGGCATCATATCTCGAGTACAAGTCGCTTCCCGAGGCAGCGGCCAACATGTACGACTGGGCCTTGTCCCTGGCGACAGAAAACATCGTCCCCGCGGCTCTCCCGTTCGACCAGAAGACGCTCGTGCTCCGCGACGGCGCGCGGAACGTGTCTGCGAATGTTCTCGAGATCTTGACGTCGATAGCCACATTGAAGGCCCAGAATGGCGACGTCCCCTCGGCTCTGCCGATTCTTGTATCTGTGCTGAGAGCTCGGCGCTCATTACCAGAAGCGGACGTCTTCGCCGCGCCCGCGGGCCCAACGCTTGGTAGCGCTATGAGCTGGGAGCATCTTTCAGGTCTCGCCAAGAGAGTGCTTCTGCCACCAGAGTACCCCCGGCGCCGGATGATGGGATGTCTCCACCCGTGCGGGACGCCCAGGAGCTCTGCGAAGAGGCCGGGCTCAACCTATATATTGGTGAGATCGTCTACACGAGCAACGCCTCCGCCAGAGAAGAAGGCGTTGGCTGGACGCGCGAGGCCGTGGATGCCGCACAGGAGCAACTACACAAGCTCGGTCCCAAGACGGAGGACCACAAGGCTCAGCAGAGATGTCGCGAGTGTCTGAGCACCGGGTTGACCAACTGGGCCAAGATGGTGGACCGTCTGGCCAAGGATGAGCTGTCTAAACAGGCCGCCTCGGAAGTGAAGAAGCAAAAGTCGGGTAGCTGGCTCGGCTTATGGAGCGAAGGCACCAAGAAGGACACCGCTGGCGATGCTGGCAGGTGGGCAGCCGAGGCGGCTGTCATCAAGGAGAGATCGAGACGTGCGCAGGATCTGCTTGAGGATCTTGAGGCGCCGGGACAGGGCATCTCTGCTCCGTTCAGGGCATAGGCTGTTCTGGTTCCTTTTGCAAATGACTTGGGGGACACTGTCCTGTTTCTAGGTGGAGAAGGCTACGGTGCTTGCTTGACTCACTGCAGTCCCGACTACTATGGTGTGGAGAATTTTATGTATAACGATGTTGTACGAGTAAGCAGGCAAAGCCCACCGCTTTCAAGGGAACTTTCAAAATCGATACCACTTTTGACACATGACCAAGTGTGCCTCGTAGGAGCAGATTCGCTGTCTTCTATCTGCAAATATCATGAGATTGCACCTCCGCCTCCCGCATTTGCTGCCTGCCTGGCCGTCTGAGCTTGCCGGCTTTGGCAAGCCAAACCTGCAATCCGCCCAGAGTAAATGCTTACTTGTTTGAAAAGATCTGGCCTGGGCTCCTTTGGAGCCTGACGTCTTCTCACCCTACGGGCTTCCACACTCAAGAGGGTTAGAGGGAATCTCCATGTACATGATTGCGATGCGCCCATCTCTGGCTCCTGATGCGGCTGGCAATGTTGAACAAGCTCGGTGCGCCGACGTCCCGAATTTCCGTGATGGCGCTCAGTAGTAGGCCAAGAACCACGTGGCGGTTTCCCCAGCTCGGACAGCAGACTCGATCGGAAGCTTTCTCGTGGTGGAAACTCCAGTGGCCATAGAAGGATCGGCAGTGTCACAACCTGTACTGCCCAACACGCGAAGATCCGTAACGTTGGCCACTCTCGTTCTCATTGACAGTAGGGCACGACACCACTGACATCCGCAGCTCACTGAGAGGCGTGCTTGTCGTGGTCATCGGCGACGTCGAGGCCAGCCAAGGACGACACGAGGACATCTCCTGGACCTTCCCAGCCGTTCCAGGTCTCCACCTCGTCGGAGCCTCGCAGCTCGTAGTCTGGATCCGCATAGGTGACGTCGAAAACGGGGTTCTTGTACGTGTTGATCAAGTGTTCTCTGTCACGATCACCACGGGGACCACCGTTGCTGTTGCCGTCAATGCTGCTCTCATAGAAGCTTCCGGCCATGCTTGTATTGGACACATTACTGCTCACTTCTTCATCCTCCTCCTCCTCGTGAGCACGACTACCACGCTCCGAGCTAGTGTTCGGGACGGTGGTGGCAGTGTCCGCCACGATGGTGCAGAGGCTGACTTCTTGAATCCAGTCGAGCACGGCGCCTGCGGCCCGGATCAGGGTGCATTCGGTGTAGTTCGGCTCGCCAGAGCTGAGCACCGGGCAGCCGAGGCCGGTAAAGGCGGTGGTCTTCGTGTTCCCGTCGGGGCCCGAGATTGGGGTGTTCAACGGCTCCATTGAGAGTGCGTAATTTCGCGCCCGCTGTGTGCGGTGGTGAAAGTCAGCAAAACTGGACGGAAAGATCTTTGCCACAGTCGGGCGGATGCGGATGTGGAAGTCAATCACTCCCATCTTAAGATGCACTTACATCTCGTAGAAACGCCTTCAGCCCGGCCGTTTTGACCTCCCAGATCGCAAACAAGCCCCCCACGAGTGCCATGCAGTTCAGCCTGCCGTCGAGCCGGCTCCAGACTTGATCGTCGTCAAGATACCTCTCCACTGCATCCGCGCCATCGCCCACGCCAATGACGTCGAGCCGCGCGGTGCTGTCAGGTCCAAGCAGCGCAGGCAGGACATCCTCAAAGATGTACTTTACGTGCTCGGCCACCGTGCGGTTGCCCGGCACGGAGTTCACCTCGCGCGTATACAGATTGCCCAGGTGAACGGCGCTCTTCATGCGCGTCGCGTCCCAGGCCGATGGACTCAGCGTCTTGAGCAGAGAGGGAAGCCACATGAGCTGGCCGCAGTTTGCTAGGAGCACGGCTGGCGGGCGGTCGTCGCCGGGCGAAGCACGCTGCGAGAGGATGCTCTGGACGATGGAGACCATGCTGCCCTTGTTGATGCCGCCAGGGCCCCCGATAACGCGGTGGGCAAGAACGCCCAGATCCTGCGTGGACTCGCCAAAGATGAGGACCACGCGCGATGCGCCGGCGATTGACTTGCTAGCGAAGATGGGGAGACGTGGCTTGTTTTTGGATGATTCGGCGCCGAGTGGCAGCATGTGCTTCTCTAGGCCGAGGTCTTGGAGGCGAGATTGGATAATCTTCCCGCATGCCTCTAGAAGCGTGTCAGTAGAGTGGTGCAAAGGACAATATGATAAGATGTCCATTCTGTGATGGCGATTCTCAAGCCTTTCGTGAAGTCGTCGTGAGACGTACCATTCATCGCATATCTCTGCCGATCGTTCCAGCGTGGGTTGCGGCTGATGAAGAACTTGAAGTAGTTGTCATTGTTGGCGATGGAGCGGATCTCGTCGTCAGGATTGACGAAGTATCTGACAGCGCAGTCAGCTGATAATGCTGCTGAGGGCATGCTCTTCATGACGCTGTACATACCCCAATGCCTCTAGGTCTGCCGGAAAATCCGGGTCTGCTGGGAGGCCGGTCCACTTGCGCCGGAACATGGCAGGTGATGAATGTTGCTAACTGAGTGGTGTAGTAAAGGCTTGTGGCGCTCGAGATTCCCTGGAGGAGTGAGAGTTGTGTTCGCTGGCCCGTTGTAGTTGCCGGCCCGTTGTAGTCGCCTCGAAATAGTGCACAGATAGAGCGAAACGCAAACAGATGGAGGAAAACACTGGACTACGTCTGATAACCCAGGTAGGTACCTCGGTTGGCCACTGATCCGGCTGAATGTCACTGGCTCGATAGTCCGTTGTGTGCACTTGCGAGAGTGATTGGACTGGAGGAACAATGCAAGACCTGTGCCCGGCACCCTCTCCGCTTCACCAACGGCATGCGACCAGCAAATAGGACGTCCGTTTGCTCCGTTTGCAGTGCAAGACTCAGGCCAACACCATCCGACGTGTGTCACCTTGGCAATTATGCAATCCTCCGCAATGAAGTGGAAGTAGGAACAATAATGTCTCATGTTTCGTTCCGGCTATTGTTGTCCATTTGATACAGCCTTTTAATATACAATGGCCGCTGCCCGCCCATAACTCATTGATCATACACGTGACTGCCCTCTTCCATCTACCAACTGGCCTTCTGGACACCTGGTATGTTGCCCTCCAGCGCCTGCATTCTGAAGTTGTACTACAATAAACACATGGACAGTCAGCATCAATTATTTTCCCAACTGTCGGCTCGTCCACTGTCTGAGAAGCTGTCCTTACCCTCGTCATCTTGAAATCGGACAAGATTCCGCGAGACTTTCCTCCGAGAAGACAGCGGTTGCGGATTTGTGTCGGCCGTGTGTAGGCGTGCATCTGGGAGAGCTGGAGCTGGGCCTCGGCGCGTGTCCTGGCAGGTAGTGTTGTGTTGCGGATCATGTATCGCAGGGCTTGTCTGAAAGCGAGCAGGCTGTCAGCGATGCCGTCTATCGACTCGAAAAACACGCCGTGCTGGTGGCGAATGCTTCGAGTCTGGACGGTGCCAGGCTCAGAGCAGGCAAGTGCTCACCTCTCGGCCTCGTGCTCGGCAAAGACCTTCCGCTTGGTGTGGTCACGGATGGTCTTGATGTTGACAAAGCAACCGATGTCGAGCTTCTTGGCCCGGAACATCGACATCTTGGACGGCTGTGTGCGCGCTGTCGATGCGCTGTGTGGTCGTCGGGAACGTGAGGGATTGGCCGTGAACGGGTTGTTAAGCCACGTCGTCGTGCTCGTCGTCGTTGCCGTGATGGATCTCCAAAATCTTGAGAGGACGCCGGCGGGCCAATGAGCCGACTCCCGCCTAGTGGAGCAGGGGTTGTTGATGGCTCGCAGTGTCAACGAGCTCCGTTGCTGCCCATCAGCCACAGTGAGCGCCACAGAGTCTACAGAAGTGGCTGCGCAGGTGGGGCTGGAGGTCTGATGGTTGCGACTCCACCACGAACTCCACAATGGATAGAGCCGCATTTCATTCCTCATCCGTCAACGGCGAATTATATGGATCTATGATGTCAACCCCGTCCAGACAGTGATCGTCCCAGCAGCAGATCGCGATGACCATCTTCCGCAGCGCCCGCCCTGCCGTGAGAGTGCATTCTCTCGGTACCTGAAGATGCAATTGAAGATGGATAAGGGGACAAGAGTTGGCACACGACCACAAAGAGAACCTCGATCCAATGGGCAGAGGGCCATCTAGAACAATTGCTGTCTCGCACTCCGGACACAAACCAATTGACTTGGCCCGGACCTGAAGATCCAACACATCTCTTTGACTCGACTCAATGTCATGATTGAGGTATCAAGTGGACCACCTGCAGTGGCTAGTGCCTGATCCCCCATTTGTGACGCTGCCTGCCGCCGTGAAAGCTTTCCTCCCTGATGACGTAGCCTGCAAACGCAGCAGATTCTCGCACACTTATTAAGACCACGCGCTTCCCACGTCTCTTCAGGCTGCCAAAACCACACAACCACACTACCAAGCTCATCTCTTGACCTTGTTTCCTCGTGACAGAATCCAAATCTACAACCTCCAGCATCACCATCATCATGTCTTCCAACGTCGGCAGCAGCGGAGTCTACGAGGCGGGCGACCAGCGCCCCCACGGCGAGCAGAACAACGGCCCCCGCTACGAGGAGGGCAAGGAGCACTCCCACAACCCTCTCGACTCGAGTACGTCACTGCCTCATGCCTTCGATTGAATTCACTTGTATCTTGGATACCTGGGCGATCATTCCGCCCTTGATTCTCCCCCATTGGAAGACTGTAAATAGCTAACCACTGGCTTTCTCTCCCCGCCGTATCAGAGGACGAACGCTCCATTGCCAACCGCCTCGCCAACGAGGAGCGCAAGGAGAAGGAGGGAGACCAGGACACCCCTGAGGTCGCCGCCCTCAAGGAGGACCCCACTGCTCCCGTAAGTTGTATTTGGACGCTCAATGGGGGAGAACCCAGAAACGATTTGACTGACCAAACCGTTTTCTTTTGAACGACAATACAGGCCAGGATGCACGGCAACAAGCCCTCGCGTGGCGCCGAGATTGATGCCGAGATCCAGAGAGAGGAGCAGGAGTACCTCGAGCGCAAGGGCAAGGCTTAAATGTTCTACCCAGAGCTGAGAAGGTGTAGAGGAAACAATTGTAAATGATGTAAAAGCGATCATGAGTCTTATGATACTACTCTGAATGACAAAGTACTCGACCAAGCAAATCAATTAGCACCATCACGGTGGCGAACTGGAGATGTGACAAATCGCAGTGCCTATTTATCGCTTATTGGAGGGGGATTGGATGTGGACAGTGAAGCTTGGAACACGCTGTGTTGGAAATCTGACACATCTATATACCGAGGCACAAATCGTCCAAGGTCGGCACTGCGGTCATCGGTATCTAGACCAAAGCTTTGAGGAACCAAAACTACAGCTTCGCTCCCTTCGCACGCCTCGCCTCCCTCTCCTTGTCCCGCAGCATCCTCCTCAAAATCTTGCCGCTCGGACTCTTGGGAACCTCCGAGATGAACTCAATGCCGCCCTTGAGCCACTTGTACCGCGCCTTGTGGTCTTCAACGTGCTTGGCAATCTCCCTTGCGACTTCTGCGTCCGGCTTGTCGGCGAAGCTCTTTGCTTTCACGACAAACGCCTTGGGCACCTCACCAGCGCTCTCGTCGGGGACAGGGATAACAGTGCAGTCCGCCACCGCGGGGTGCGTGAGGAGGTGGGCTTCGAGCTCAGCAGGCGCTACTTGGTTTCCCTGGTTCGATCATAGACATTAGACAGAGGCCAGGGGTTTCGGAGGGGCTTGACGGAGCACTCAATCAAGAGTATCTCGTCTCTCGAGGCCATGAACATACCTTGACTTTAATAAGCTCCTTCAGCCGGTCCACAATCGCCAAGTGGATGTTCCCTGAGGGTGCCCTGATTGCGACAGCGACATCGCCAGTCCTCATCCACCGGCCGTCCTCGTCATGTATGAACGCCTCGGTCGTGGCCCTCTCGTTGTTCAGATACCCCAGCGTCACCGAGGGCGACTGGATCAGTAGCTCGCCGCGCTTGTCGCATTTGGTGATCTCGTGGCCTTCCTCGTCGAGCAGCTTCGCCCGCGTGGCAGGGACCAGACTCCCCGATGTCCCGACCATGACGTCGTTCTGCCCGCTGCTGATGACGAGCGTGGAAGTCTCGGTCATGCCGTAGCCCTGGCCGACTTTGACGCCCGGGAAAGACCGCTCGACGGCCTCGTGGGTCTCGCCACCAAGGGGCGCCGCACCGGTGTAGATGAACTGCAGGCTGCTCAGGTCGTATTTGGAACATACTTCGGGGTTCTTGAGGAGCTGGATGATTATGGGTGGGACCTGGCATGTTGGGAGCGTTTATTAGCTTGGTGAACTTCTACCAAATCTCGTCTTGTTTAGGAACAGGCAAGCTCAAGTTCCGCGACTACTTACCAGGTGCATAAAGTTGACTTTGTACTGCTGGACACATTTGAGCAAAGTCTGCAGCTCAAATTTGGGCAACACAACCGTCCCGTCGCCTCGATACATCGCCCCTAACGCGATAACGACGAGGCCGTAGATATGCGACATGGGTAAGAGGCCCATCTGGGCCTGCGTCTCAATACCCTTAGCCCTCCGGCCTGGCTCCTCGTGCCACCTAAGCTGCATCAGGTTGGCAATGACGTTCCGATGGGCAATCATCACGGCTTTCTGTGGATAAGGTGTTAGCAACGAGCACAAGGTAGGCCATGTTCAAAGGGTAAGGTGCTGATTGTCGAGAACGTACAGGAAGTCCAGAGGTCCCACTCGAGAAGCACAAAAAGGCAACCTGCCGCGCGCCTTGGCCCACGGTCCAGGACACTGGAGGAAGCTCTGGCTCCTCCTGGCCCTCTTCTATCAGCTGGCCGAGAGTTTTGAACTTTGCGTCCTTGGGCGCGGAAAACCCAGCTACGTCCATCAGAAAGATGCGATCCTCGCTGATCCCGGCGGTCTTGGCGGCTTTGAGGGCGGTCTCGAGTAGCGGCACGCAGGTGATGATTGCCTTTGCGCCGGATGTCTTGAGTTGGTACTCGAGTTCCGAGGCAGAGTACATGGCGTTGGCGGGCGTGGAGATGCCATTGAGCCTGTGGACCGCGAAGGATGCCGTCACGTAGTCGATCTGAGAGCGGGAATATGGTAAGCTGGATCACATACTTCCCGGGCTCGAAGCGGGCATCTAGGCTAACCCACCGAGTTCAAGGAATAGACATTCAGCACTTTGTCCCAGGGGGTGTCATCGTTGACACGCCAGCCGAGCCGTTTGGAAAGGGCCCGGGCGAGATGGTTGACACGAGAGGCGACTTCGCGATTCGTGTACGTCTTGCCTGTGAGGCCACAGGTGAAAGGGTTCCGAGATCGGTCAAATGGCAGACGCCCATGTCTCTCGTCGCCCCAGAACTCATGGATCGGTATTGAGCCCGGAGGGTCTGTTCGTTCGCGTTAGTAAGTGCCCGTGTACGAGAAGGTGAGCAGGTGCAGCGGGCTGATTCGTCAAAGACCTGACTGACCGAAGGGTAGCTTTGGGACCCACGATGGAGGGTGGAAGACCATGGTCTATTCTCTGTTGGTGAAATGTAAAATGCAGTGAACTACGGGCTGCTGGTTCGAGGCTGGCGGCTCTGGAAGCAATGCTTTACAGCAGCGGGGATCGCAGGCGCAGGAATGGGGTTATTCCATGAAGAGCGAAGGAAGTCAAGACCGTGGGGATCTTGCCGAGGGAAAGGGAAAAAACGAAGGGCCGTGGCTGACACCCGAGAAGCCCCAGCCGAGCACTCTCGGGGTCAGCAACTGCACCGCGATCGCGAAGCCGGGGGGGGGGGTTTGAGCGGCCCCCGTTTGTTGTCTCCGCACCGGCATTTGCTGGCCCGCTCCCGCTCCCCAGATTGCCCCAGGATCCCTGCCGTCCTGAGTTTGGCTGGCGCATCCACACTCACCACTGTCGCGGCTCAGTCTCCTGCGTAGCTTCAGCACGCCAATGCTGGCTGACGTCGACCAGCCAAAGGCCCCGTCCGCGCTTCTCGGCCTTAGAGCCCACACCCAGAACACGCGAGCATCTGGCATCCACATCTCGCCCGCACCGCGACTCTCTGTATCCGCTGCCCCTGGATCATCACCATGCACAGGTTCGAGATCAGGCGCACTCTGTTTCCGCACTTGCCCCACTGCTGGCAATCCGCTATCGGTGCTTCGGTGTCAATGCTTCAGGGTCCCAAAGCCGAACTATCGCAGATCGAAGGAAGTTCTGACCGGTTGTGGAGCTCTGTTCTGCCTGTTCCATTTATCCGAGCTGACTTCAGCACTAGTATGTGCATGCTTTTTTTTCTCACACGTCAAGTTGGACACAGAGTTCTTTGGGAGGTGCTTGCTGTCACTGATGCTATTTCGTTCGTCTTGTGAGGCGGGTGGTATTGTCTTTCTTAACACGTAAAGAAACGCATGCGCTTTTCCCAAGACTTCGGGCATCCAGTTCGATTTCTCTAGAGACTTTGGATGCGGGGGTGCTGGTAGACTAGTACGCTCTGACCCCCCGGTTCTGTATAGCCTGCATGCTAACGTGACTTCTCTCATACGTCGTCCCATGATATAGGATTAGGCTTCCTCTATCAGTGAGTTGTGCTGGAGTCCTGCTGGACTTGCGTTCTCTGTGGATGCTGATGGGCATTGCCAGTATTGTGCAATGCCCTTTCTTCCTGCATGGATACATGGTTGGCACTACGAAACACGAGGCCGTCAAAGACTCGACCCTTTCAAGACACGAACATTGGTACCATCAGTCGCCTCTTGTCGAGGACATGGGCTGGCGCCGTGCTGCGGTCATGAGCCTGCGTATGTCCACATTCTCGGCCAGATAGTATGGCGATGACTGGTGCTTGGTGATCCCGGTCGGGTGCTCGCCTCAATCTTTCGACAAGTGCGTAGTTGGCGCTGGCTCGAGGCCTTCCTGACAAGTAAACTCTTGATTCTCCTTGTCGTCATAATCGCTGATCGAATCGTGACCCTTTCTGCGACCTGGAGAGATAGGCCATCTGCTTATAGGTCCCTTTCGGGAATGACGCCGACGTGTGGCCGGACCACCTTCGACCATGCTGGCCCTGAAGGCGCCGGCAAGAGTTTCCCGCGGGACCTCCTCTAGGTACACCTCTTGGTGCCCGCCATTTGAGCCGGATGGCGGCTTCTAGCTGAGCTCCTTGACCAGTTTGCGGACAAGCTTCTTCTGAGACTCAACAGAGAGGTGCTGCTCGTCGGTATCCTGCACAGCACGGCCGACCGCCAGAATTGTCTTGATGTTCTCGCTGTTGACCCAGATCTTGCCGTTTCTGCCAACGGCCGTCTCGAAAGCCAGCCCCGCAGCGCCAAGTTCCTCGAGAACAACGACGCGGCCTTCCTCAACGGACTTGCGCATAAGCAGCCGGCGAGCCATGCCTTGTGAGATTGTGTAAAGCATGCCTCCGTTCAGTGGACCGAGTCCGTCGGCCTTGCCGGTGGACGAAGAGACGCACTCGAGCTCGGGGTCCATGTGCCGATTCGCCATAGTGACACGTGCATACACGAGCGCGCCTGGGTTGAGCTGGGGCCTGGTCTTCTTCGTGGCCATCTCGAATGCCAGTTGTGGTAAGGATGCGTTGGACGTGTAGTCGGATAGCGACACGTAGAAGTAGTCCGCGGCCGACTTCTGCACTGTTCCAATCACGAGATCGCCAACTGAAGGGACATACTATGCGCCAATGTTAGCGGAGCGGCACGGAGGTGCGGCGAAAGAGAGCCGAGAAAAGAACATACCCGACCTCCATTGTACTCGACCCAGATTGAGTTCTTCCTAGGATCGCTGACAAGCTGTCCTGCGACTGTGGGAATGAGGTCGCTCGGTGGTACGTGCCGAAGCCCAGGACCAAGCTTGAGCGCCTTCTTGGGATGCGATGGGATGAGGTCCGGGTTGATCTGGTCGCCCGGGAGGACGAAGATGGCCTGGCCGTCGACTGCCATTATGATATATCCGAGCGCTCCGCTGGGTCGGACCAAGATGCGTAGTTGTCAACGCAGAAGTATCTTTGCAATCAATCTCCGTGCCTTCTCGATGACATGGAGCTCTTGGTACCGAAACTTTTTGGTGGGGTCGGCGCTCCTGCTGCCGGTGACCTCAGCGCCGAGCTGCACAAAACCTGCATAACGCACTAGTGCGAGGATCCGGGTGTCCCAATTGAATTGTGCCTGCGCGTTTATGCAGGCCCCTCACATGGGAGCTCGTCGCCGTATCGACAATAATTTTCTGAAATTTTTGGCTAGGCTGGCCGGGACTTTGATATCCACCCCGCCATAAAACCACCACCACACCCAGACCCGCGCATCGCCAGCAGCAGCCCGACAGCGCAACCTCTCTGCTGCCAGAACCAGTCTCGTGTGCCTACCAACTTCGAGCGCTCACTCCCGACCATCGGACTGCCACAGCAAACCGACAGAATGCCCGCCAAGACGATCTCGCCCGAAGAGCGGGTGGCCATCGGTATCGCCTTTGGCAACTCGTACAGCTCCATCGCCTGCACCGTCGACGGCAGCCCCGTGGTTATTGCCAACGAGGATGGTGACCGTCAGATCCCGACTGTCCTTTCATACGTCGATGGCGAGGAGTACACCGGCAACCAGGCCAAGGCCTTCCTCATCCGCAACGCCAAGAACACTGTTGTGTCTTTCAAGGACTTCCTTGGCAAGGAGTATGTGAACCGAGATCGCAACATTCTTCACACCCCCAAAAACTAACGACTTTCTCCCTTGTCGCAGGTTCAAGGCGATCGATCCTACCCACTGCCACGCGGCTGCCCACCCCCAGGCTGCTGGTGACAGCATATCATTCACCGTCCAGGACAAGGCCGAGGGCGATGCCTCTACCCTGACAGTATCCGAGATCACAACAAGATACCTGCGCCGCCTGGTACAGTCCGCCTCCGACTACCTCGGAAAGACTGTCAACTCTGCTGTCATCTCTGTCCCCACCAACTTTTCCGAGAAGCAGCGCGATGCCCTGATCAAGGCTGCCAACGATGCCGACATCGAGGTCCTCCAGCTCATCAACGAGCCCGTCTCTTCGGTCCTCGCTTACGACGCCCGCCCCGAGGGTGAGGTCAAGGACAAGATCGTTGTTGTCGCCGATCTCGGTGGCTCTCGCTCAGATGTTGCCGTCATTGCCTCGAGAGGCGGCCTCTACACCATCCTCGCTACCGTCCACGACTACGAGTTCCACGGCCTCGCTCTTGACAAGGTTCTGAGGGACCACTTCGCCAAGGAGTTCATGAAGAAGAACAAGGATGTCGACCCTCGGGAAGACACCAGGGGTCTGGCCAAGCTCAAGGCCGAGTCCGAGTCTGCCAAGAAGGCGCTCAGCATCGGCACCAACGCCAGCTTCAGCGTGGAGAGCTTGGCCGAGGGCATCGACTTCCAGACCACCATCAACAGGCTTCGGTACGAGACCATTGCCCGCAAGGTCTTTGAGGGCATCACCCGCCTCGTCGAGAGCGTCATCAAGAAGGCCGAGCTCGACGTCCTCGACATTGACGAGATCATCTTGTCCGGCGGCACCGCGCACACTCCCCGCATCGCCAACAACTTCCGCGCCATCTTCCCCGAGTCCACCGCCATCCAGGCGCCCTCGACGAACCCCAGCGCTCTGAACCCCTCGGAGCTCCAGGCCCGTGGCGCCGCTCTCCAGGCCTCTCTGATCCAGGAGTACGAGTCCGAGGACATTGAGCAGTCCACACATCCTGCCGTCGGCACTGTCAAGCACATCACCAACGCCATCGGCGTCGTCTCCGTCGAGGACGGCGACGAGGTCTTTGTCCCCGTCATCGCCCCGGAGACCGCCGTGCCCGCCAGGCGAACAATCCACATCGCCGCCCCCAAGGAGGGCGGCGACGTCCTCGTCAAGATCGTCGAGGGTAACACGCACATCAAGGTCACCAAGCCGGAAGCCACACCCAAGGAGAACGGCACGAAGGACGACGAGGACTCGGACGAGGACTCCGACTTCGACTCGGACGACGAGGAGCCCGAGGAGCTCCGCGAGAAGGTGTGGAAGATTGGCACCACCCTGGCCGAGGGCGCCATCAAGGGCGTCAAGAAGGGCGGCAACGTCGAGGTCACCATCACTGTTGCCGGCGACCTCGGCGTCACCGTCACGACAAGGGAAGTCGGCGGCAAGGGCGGCATCCGGGGCACCATCAAGGCCCCTTAGAGATTTGCTGGACCGCCGCCTAGTCCTTGAAATCCTTTGCTTTTTTTGTGGCTCGCACATGATATAGAATTATTGATGACGACGAGATCCTTTTTTTTGCCATGAGCCCCGACGATTAAAAGAAGGTGATGATTGAAAGATGGGTTGACGAGGCTCGGCTGGGCAACGTAGTACACAAATACAATCAATAGACGATGTCCCTCCTGCAAAATACATGGACTCCAAACATATGCATGTGGTCAGCCTATCAATTGATATTTGCGCATGCATCCTCAATGTCATCAGATCTTCATCTTGCTTAAATTATATTTTGTTTGGCACATCAGCCGTGAAACTTATCTACAAGCCCACGAGCTCCCATCTCGCCAGCCGCCCAACGTCCTCGCCCACATTGCGCACTACGCAGAGCCGGCTAGCGATGTCGCCCAGACCAGCAGCTCCTCTTCCTCCTCCTCCTCCTCGGCCGTGGGCTCCGCTCGGTTTACCGCTCTTCTTTGCTCCTCCCTTGTTCGCATTCACGTTCGCCTGGCCTCCCCCAGTGATTGCAACACCACGATCACCGGCGGTAGCATATCGCCGCAACTCCTCCGCCGCCAGGACGGCAGACAGACTGCCAATGCCTTCGCCGCGGCCGTCACGTAGGTTGAACTCGCCCTTGGTCACGAAGCCAATGAGGTCGTGTGCGTCGGGGCATATCGGCTGTCCTGTACTCAGCAACAGCGAAGGCGACAGGGACGGTGACTGCTGGGTGCCGTGAGAAGCGAGGGTTCCTGCCGGCAGGGCCGAGTTGGGCGGGAAGAACCCGGCGCTTCGCGCGGCTGAGGCCGGAGACGCCGCAAGGGGCGCGGTGAGCTGCTGCGCGATGAGACGCTGGCGATCTTCGACTGTCAAGGGCCTCTGTCTGCTAGCTTTGGCTACGGTGGTGGCGGCGGCGCCATTGAAGTTGTTGTTCTCGTTGGGGTAAGGCTTCTTCCTGTTGTGATTGGGAAGAAGCGACAGCCATTGCTCGTGAAGCTGTCCTGCAGGTATAGCTTTGCTGAATGATTGCTGTTGGTCTGAGACGGGGAAGCTGGCGGGGACGTCGGCAGACCCTGGTTTCGAAACCGGCCCATCAGCATCCATTGCCGATTCTTGATCTAGGGTGGCTTCCAGGCGCTTGAAGTCCGTTGGCAGCCGATAGATCCGTGCACAGGCTAGAGGTGTGCCTTTAGTGATCATACGGATCTTGATTGTAACAAGGTTCCCCGTAGAAATTTGCATCCCAGAGTCTTGTTGCAACAAGGTGTTGAAGGCCAACTTTGGCAAGAATGACAATTTTCCAAGAGGATTGTCGTTTGAGGGTACGGAGACTGGACCAGCTGCCTTGGGCTCGGCATCCTCCATGTCCACATCAAGTTCAGCCGTGGCTGAGTTTCCTGGTATCTCGTCGGCCCCATTCCCCGGGAAGAGCAGCTCGAAAGCACAGCTCCAGCCTGGACCGATCTCGCCTTTGCGCCCGCCTCCAAGATTAAGCGTTTCATAGTTGTGCCGCTTGCCTTTCGGCATGCGCTGCCACTTTTTGAGTCTGAGGTCGCGTTGCTCGAGCTCCCAGGCATTTCCAGCCTTCGTGCCCGGCACATCTCCAGGAAACCACGGGAGGCCGCGCTCGAACGATAGCTGGCGAAGCTCATCCAACCCACCGAACTGGGGGTTGCCTCCAGTTGATAATGGGTAATGCATCAGACAATACCAGAACGGCAACACGCACTTCCACGGCAGCAGGACCGACCATACGCCGGGTGCTTGCGGGTCGGTGGGATGGCGGGATGCGAGGACTATGACGGGTATCGCAGGATCCTCAGGAGTTGTCTTGAGCGGTGCGCCAGGAGCTCCTTTGCTTTTGCGACGATTTATAGATTTTTGGGAAGGGAGTCGTGATGCCTTGAAGCGAGCATCGCGATCGAAAAGAGCCATTGCGCCACCTGCCGGTTCTTTGTGGAAGGTGCTGAGCACTTCATACAGCTTGTTGCGCGCCTGGGCATCGCCCTCGGCCGTGGTAGTGATATGGCGTCGGGGCAGGAACGGATAGCGCAATCGTGGATCGGCTGCCGAGAAAGCGAACATGGAGCCCAAAGGCAGAGACGCCGGGTCTTTGAGCCCAAACAGCGTTTGAAACTTTTCGCCTAGGGACTTCGCCGTGTCCTCTGCATGAGGCTTCAAGATGGCCATCAGAGCTTCGGTCGAACTGGGACCTACCAGGTCGATGGCCCCTATCTCGTAGCGTAGGTCTTCCACATATGGGCGCGGGTTGTTGGTCCTTGCTAAGCGCAGAAGCTCGTCAAAAGTGTCGAAAAATGCCGATGGATGCACGCGAATGAAGAGCCGTCTCTGCTGCTTCTCCATGTCGTCGTCACCGCTTTCGGATGGCCCGACGGGGTTCCAGATGACGGTGGCCGGCGCAATTACGGTTGCCGCGCCTGCTACTTGCTTCTTGAGCAGACCGGTCCAGTGCACAGCACCGGCACGCCACCGCTCTCCTCTGTCGTCCCACAGCCTGTCGTGGTTCAGGCCGATGGCCTTCAAAACGTTCCGCACGCCGCTCAGTCGGCCAGCTAGACCGATGGTGCTGATGTAGCTCATATCCCATGCTAGAGCGCCGCGATCAAACTGAGCACGGTGTGTAGGCCTGTATGACTTGTTTGAAGGAGTCAGGGGGATGGCGAACCTCCATAGAGGTTTGGAGGGCTCCGTCATCCTTGCTCGCTTCGTATGCCACAGGTGCGTTGGCAGCCAGGTCTTGTTGATCTGTCGCCTCCTGAACTTGCGGTTCGTCACTACCGGGTCGTTGAGCGTGTTCCTGCGGATCTTGGGCCTGGCAGCCCTCAGTGACAGCGTCTTTTTGTCCAGACCAGGCTTCTCGGACTTGAGCAGCTTTTTCCGCTTGGCCAGGAGCCCCAGTCGGCGCGCATTCTCTGCTCTCAGCCGATTGCGCGTGGATCCCGGCTTCCTCGTCTTCGAGTTGACTGTCGGTGTGTTGTCCTGGACCATCTCCCTCTTGGCTCGGGGCTGCAACCTCTTTGGCACGCGCTTGTGGTTGTGCGCTGCCGTCCGCCGGCGCAGAGTGATGGGCACAATCTGGAAGGCCCGGCTCGTGCTCGAGGCCTTTGTGCGGCGCATGCTTTCTGTCAGGGCCTTGAGCTCGAAGGAGCGAGCGTCGATAAAAGACTGCACGTTGAGCTGCCCATCCTGGACTGCCGGATCTGCCTTGCTGACGGCGATGGCGCGGACGTCTCTGATGGTCGGACGGGGCCCGAAGCGGCCATGGCTGTTGTTGCTGTTGGGATTTCCGCCATTTTGAGGGCCCTTGCCCGGCTGACCTGCTGGTGCCTTGAAGTCCTTTGAAGGCCACGTTGTTGGCGTGCTGGTCCCCGATGGCGTACTCCTAGGAGTGGACTGCTTGTTGTGCATGGGCACAACCTTGTGGGTGGCGTTGGCATTGTCCGGCTTGGGCCTTTTGGGTGGCCCAGCATTGAGGCTGCTTTGAGGTGGCCGTTTGCGCTCTTGAGCCCGTGGCTGGGTGTTGCTCTGCTGAGGCGCCATGTTTATTGTGTTATGGGCCTGCCTTTTTTCTCCCCCTTCGTGGTGAATCAGTCCCCATCAACGATGCCTGCAGTGGGTTCACGTGAGATATTGCATGATGCAACACGTGCTTGATGCGTCGTTCCTCTACAATGCTTTGCTGTCGAGCCCACGCGCTGGACGTGTGGTTTGATATCCAGTCCGCGTGGGTGATGGATCGCCGCAAGCTTTTCCCGCGGTCGTTGCTCTGCAGCTGGGCATGCCCCAGCCCAGCCAGGGTACGTTTAGCGTACGTACCTGAAGGTACTTAGCGTGCACAGGCAACGCCAGCCCTGGAGTGGGGGGCCCAGGGACCGCCAAGCTTCTGCGCCAACGCGCCCCGAGAGCCCCCCTTTTGGCGAGCAGACATTGAGTGCCTGGCGTGGCTGGATTTGGCAGCCCAGGTGGCCGGATCCGCGCTGCAAGGATGACGTCTTGGGGGTCTGGTATCCTCGACCCTCCCGTCTGGATCATCTGTCTGTCGTGGCCGTTTGCCACTCCCAACTCACCACCACATCAAAATAGCCAAAACCGCTGTTGCGCCCAGTCCCCAAGGTCCATCTCACAAGGGCGAGGCCCAGTCGGCAATCAAACGCACCACTCACGCCTGCCCGCCCTGTCAGCTTATCTGCCACCTCGAAGCTTAGTAGCTCAGCCCCAGGCTCGACCGTCTCGGCTCCCTCGGATCCTGCGACAACCCTCCCCTCGAAGAACATCTTTTGGCAACTACCATACTCTGACCTGCCGCCACGACAAAGACCAACTTGAGCATTCGACTGCAGCGACCTCTATTCAGTGCGCGGTTTGACATAGATGAACCGGGTCAGGCCGGTTGCGCGCCGGCCGTCCCGTCACGATGGCCTCTTTAAGTATGCGCCCCACGCCGTCCGTGCAGCTGGTGGTACGCCAGAAGGCCTGAGCTGACCAACACATCTTTTTCCCGTCCTCTGCAGTCAACAAGGGCCGCAAGCCGAAATTCGAGCTCCATCTCACCATCTACGACCTCAGCAACGTGCCGTTCAAGCAAGGCTCGTCCACAGTGAAATGGCATCTCCCCCATTCGATGCATGCGGAGCACCGCGGCCGCACCGACAAGGCAACGACCGACTGGCTCACCCACCGCGCCACTTACAACTACACAAAGGTCGTGCCCGTCCGCATCGCCATCGACCGCGCCAATAACCTCGCCGAGTGCGCCATCGAGTTCGAGGTCCTCCACGACTTCCCCTCGCCCCCGGGGGTGAAGCCCGACAAGGGCACCATCGGCACCGTCCGGCTAAACCTCAGCGAGTACGTCGAGGAGAGCGAGGTGTACAGCCGCAGAAGGAGCGTCGGCGCGGTGGGCGCCTCGAGGGTGGTGGGTGGCATGGAGAATGCCAAGGAGAAGATAGCCCACGGCCTCCACAGCAGCCACGGGGTCTCGCGGCATAGAAGGAGCGGCAGCGCCAAGTCGTATTCGAGCTCGGGCGATCTTGGTCCCGGAGACGTCTCGCGCGCCATAGACGAGCGCAACGAGCTACCGGACGACCCCATTGTGGAGGAGGGCATCATCAGGCGGTACCTCATGCACGACTGCAAGATCAACAGCACGCTAAAGATTGGCATTCTAATGGTCCAGGTTGACGGCGATCGCAACTACGCCGCGCCACCACTCAGGTCCGCGCCCATGTTTGGCGGGATCGCTGGTATTGTGGGCGACCAGGAGTCGTACAGCCTGCCGGTTGCCGAGCCATCTTCGACAGAGTCCGCGCTGGCCGCCAGCCTGGGGGAGACCAGCAACTTCAGCATCATCGGCTCGCACGATGCGACCGAGCTGGTCGACATGTACCGACGAGCGCTGGCGGCCAGCTACTCGTGTATGCCAGGCGAGCTGCCCGCGGATGAGTGCATCGAGGATATATTCATGGGCGGAGACGGCAGCGGCAGCGCCCTGTACCCAGCCACGTACACCACGGGTGTGCCGAGAGAGGATCAGAGGTTCGACAAGTCGCCGCCGCGGCACGACCACAGGCGCGCGCTCCGCGACGACGAGAGCAACACGAGCGCGAGGACAAGCGGCAGCGGCTCGCCGAGCGACGACTTCAACTCTGCCACGCTGCGTCCTAGCGAGGCTCAGAGAGCACGCTCGCACATGCGCCAGCACAGCGGCGGCAGCGACAAGAGCGCACTGACCGTCACCAACATATGGGGCCGCAACAACGGCGGCGGCGACAACGGCCCAGGTCTCAGCATACCCAGCGGCAGTTACGGGCACAGCAGCAGGCACCGCGGAGGCGGCGCGAACCGCTATCCGACCTCGATCCCATCTGCGCCGACGCGTGGGTCAGGGCTGGCCGACCACGAGGTCACCGTTGAGGGCCAGAACGAGAGTATACTGCGCAGCGTCGGCCTGCGTGGCCAGCGGGGGCAACAAGACGACAGCGCGGGTGGTGGTGTCAATGGCAATGGTGGCAGCGGCAATGACGCTGGGGGGACTCGGAGCGGGAGCATGGGCAGCATGTTGAGCCACAACGGCCGCAACCATAACCATAATGGCCGTCATCATTCTAGGCATCGAAGCCGTGAGTGCAGCGAGGAGGATATGAGAGAGGACTTGATCGCGTGGAAGCTTCCGGGGGCGGTAAAGTGAGGGAGGGAGGGAGGGAATGGCGGCGGTGGATCAATGGGGCCAACACAACCTACTATTTTGCAGAACCGTTTTGCGAGCTCAGATGCGGTAGAGGTGTCATCCTGTACTGATCCTACCAGGTTACCTATCTATACTGCGGGTTCTGCGTACGACACAAGGTGGGCCTCATTTGCTACGAACGGCCGGCTGATTGATCTGCCAGTGGGTTTTCAGTCGTTTGCTCGTTTCTCCGGTTTGTCTTACTTCTTCTCTCCTATCCCTTTGTCGTTTCGACGACAGCTAGGGCGCTGAAAGCTCCTAGGCGCGCGCACGGGGACGGGTAATGTACTTGCAACTACTATGCTGGGGAAGCGCCAGCAGGATATACAGCGTGGGGGCGTTCAGAGGCGTTTTTTCTTTTTTTTACAAGCATTTGGCTGGAAAAGTTGTAATAACAAAAGAGAGTAGAGTTTGGAATTACTAAAGTAGGCAAACTTGCTTTTGGGCTGATATAAGCCGCGTTTCAAGCCTGGTCGAGAGCTTCCTTTATGCATGCCCTCTCTTATGGTGTTCAACCTTTTCAGGCAGTGGAAATAGCATAACAATGCGATCTTATTCACGGTGAAAAGGGACGTCCAGGAGTACGCTCTTTTTGACCAGTTAGGGATCGATGTGTAGTCATGTGTAACCATTTGAATCGGGCTTTGCCTCAGGGTAGTTGTAAAGGCTTCCTAATCAGACGTTCACAGTCCAGGAAGTGCCGGATCAAGCGGCATAAACACAGATTTGTATTGCTTGATTATGTACACAGCAAGGGTAAGTATAAGGTACTATATAACGATCCGTCTGTGGTTCCCTGCCTTACTTCGCGAGACAATCACCACATGCAGACTAACTGCAAAGGGCATAATGCAGCAGGTCTACAGCTAGAAAGCACAGGGCTCATATTGTGCAGTAACAATGAGCGACCTAGTTGTAGAAGCCCAGGGCCTCGCCGACAGGGCTCTTGAAGATACCCTCGGGGTCAAACTTCTGACGGACCGCGTTGAAGCGGGACAGGTGGCCCGGGTCGATGTTCTTCTTGGCCAATGAGAAGACTTCGCGGGTGTTCTTGGTCCAGTGCGGGCGGCACGGGAACTCATTGATGAGAGTTTTTGCGAGGTTGATGTCTGTTTGTCGTTGGTGGCATGTCAGCTATGATCCATGAAGCAGTAACCATGAGGCGTCGTGTACTCTTCGAGGAATAAGGGGGGGTAAATGAGAGTGAAGAAAATGCTATGAGAGGAGCAAACGAGACTGATTCAGGCACGATGTATGTTCCTAGGAGGCCGCACTTACAGAATGGCTCGTTGAAGCGCTTTCCGTCGCCCGAAGTAGGGTGGAAGGACGGGAAGTCAAACATGATGGCGCCCTTAGACCAGTCCGCGCCGTCCGCAGTGTTGGTAGTAACCTGGCCCAGGAAGTCGTCGTAGGCCTTTCCAAACTTGATGTTGATGCCGCTACGGTAGGTAGACGACATTACAATGAGCTTCTTGTTCTCGGCGTCGAATAGCTGACGGACGCGCTTCAGCATCTTGTTAGCCATAGGAATAGGGAAGGCGAGCTCGAGAGTATAGCCATGTAGGCCCCACTCCCACTCCGGCTTCTGGTCGGGGTATAATCCGCCAATGAGTACGTCGTAGTTCCAGCCATAGACGGGAAAGGACTCGATATCCTTGTTGGTGGACTTTTCCCGAAAGTTTGGTTTCTCCCACTGGCTGAAAGTAATCTCCTCAAAGAGCAGATTGGAAGTATAAAAGTACTTTCCGCTCTCCAAGACAACCTTCGCGGCGGTAGCTTCGATGGCGTCGAGCGAGAAGGTATTCTGAAATCCTTCTTGAGAGCTCTGCTCCGTAGGCACTTTGTCGTAGTAGCGGTGGTGGAACTTCTTCTTGTATGGCCACCACTAATATTGTGTGAGAGAAATCAGCAAGCAGCTTTTGTAGGCCGATACAAGAGCCAATATGGACAACTGCAATTCGCAAGGACTTACCCAGAAGTTTGCCGTAGCATATGGCGCAATCAACCCATAGATATCGCCGTTCAAGACTTCTTCCTCATCCAAGCTAAGCACATCACCAGGTTAGGTCTCACCAAAGATACGCAAAAGGGCGGCGATTCTAATGCTTACGTCTTCTGCATAGCGTAGACCTTGAAGTCGGGGTAGATCTTGAAAGTCATCCGGACAATGACACCGAGAAGACCCAACGATGTCGACGCTGCGAGCCAATCATCGTCGTTCTGGTCTCGGTCAATTGTTACGAGCTCGCCTTTGCCGTTGACAATGTCCAAGGACAAGACACCGGCGGTAACCATGGAGTCCTCTCGGAGGGAGGAGCGGTGTCCACCCATGGCAACAGCACCAGCCATGGTGATGTTCCAGTTGACAAGTGTGTAGCCCATTGATGCTCCGTTGTCGTGGAGGTACTCTGCGAGCTGGAGGAATGTAACACCAGCCTCTATGACCACAGAGCCGGACTCGGCGCCTTCCTCGAGGGTGAAGTTTGAGATTCCGTTGACGTTCTCCGTGCGGACGACGACAGTCCTCGGGTCGTCGGTGCACATGGTGTCGTACCACATGTGGCCCTTGCCAGAAGCACGGAGGGGAGTGCCACTGGCAGCAGCGCCCTTGACGAGAGACACAATCTCGTCAACGCTGCTAGGCCACTTGACGGCGGCGACATCGTTGCATGCTGGGAAGCCTTCACCGTCGAAGGTGTTGTAGGGCGCAGCAGATGCGCCGAGTGCCAGAGCGGCGAGAATTGGAACATGACGGAGAGACACCATCGCGAGTGCTGGCGAGAGCCCAGGGCTTCAGAAAGGGGATCTGGTGCCACAACGACGCAATACTTGTGTTGGCCTCTCTGAATCTTGGGCCCTCACGAAGGGGATTATGTTGCCCTTTGTATGGCCGCGTTGGCCCACTCCGTGTCCGATCGGTGTTGCCAGCATGGTCCTCCCGGAAAACACGACTCTGTCCCCCAAATCGACTGGCTGGTCGCCCAAAACCCGAGAACTGACCGCCATGGCGTGTTGGAAGAACATGGATTCTCCACAAAGTGACCCTTCTGCCGTCATTTCTCACGGGCATACCTGGAAAGCCACCACACAGTCGGCCTTGGCAATGGAACGCTGCCCGCGCTTACTGGCAGGAAGAGGGCGATATATGGTTGATTATAGCAGGCGATCTATGAGGAGACGAGCCGAGAGGCATGTGACACTGGAAGAAATTGTTGAGGCGGAGGCCTGTCCGTGCCGAGCGGGCAGAGGCACAAGCAGCGATGCTTGTTTCTCCTGGCAGATGGACCCTGGCTGATGAGGGGCCCAATGGGGTACTGCCTTTCGTGTTCATCAGCAGGTCGAGGCAGCAGGCAGGGCCAGGAACCATGCGATGTTCGTTGCCGCTTTGGACTGGAGGGTTACAGGCATGAGTCGAGCTTGTTAACGGCGTGCCAGGGTCTCTTTGCGGGGAACCCGGCCTCTTCACGCAACTGGGTTGCATTCGGCGGCCAGCGGGCGGCGCATCACAGCTGCTTCTGCAGGCCAGCATCGACTCGTCACAGAGACGCCCCTGCCAGGTGTTTCCCACAAACCTCGGGTCGTAGTACCAGTCTCGTGATCGGATCGACTGAGGGTGGACTGCCATCTCCAACAGGTCGGGGTTCAGGTCGTGCTCGCTTGGTCACTATGTGGTGATGAGTTGTAACTTGGCCGAGCCTAGTCTGGCCTTGAGCAAAGAAGAGCAATATATACCTTCCACCATCAAGCTGTGGGACGGAGGAGACTCGACATGCTTATATGCAAGCTGATCCGGATCCGACAGGATTACTTTGAGCAAGGCCCTGTTCGCTTTCGGACTACAGCGACGACATGAACCATCAGCCAGTTGGCAGAGCGCGCATAGCACTCTGAGCTTCCCAATACGTAATGGTCTTGCGACCAGTGAGGAGGCCGTCATTTGTTCGCCGGGGGGTAGGGGTTGGGACGGTGGACCTGGAGTGCCCCAATGCTGATCAGTGCAGGCATTCTCCAGACTCCCAGGGGCCCCCTGAGGCCGGTCACGGGTCTCGTTGATGGACTTTTGTACCCTGGCTGACTTGTGTATGTCATGGCTCTGAAGCAAATGCTGTGGTTGCTCGGCGATTCAGTGGCCGAGGACCGCAATTTATCGTGTGATGACAACAGACCTCCCAAGCCGGAGCTCTTTTCCTAGTTGCGGATGTGCAGATCGCAATACGGAACTCCACAGAACTTTGCGGTCCGCTGTGCCATCACAAAATAGCTTTGAAGAGAGCCAAAATATTCAGGGAAATGCTCGTCGACCCACGAACGTGTCTCGTGCGCATGGCAAAGCAGCGAAATGATTGCCGCCCAGAATTGGCCGATCACAATTGTCAATCCAACATATTACACGATAAGCACAAACTGCTTTCAACAAACACGGTCGATTGGTGTAGTTGGTTATCACGTCAGTCTAACATTACACAATGTGAACACTGAAGGTCGGCGGATCGAGCCCGCCATCGATCATTGTTTTTGCCCTTCTAGTCAGATTGGACCCCATCATTTTGCTCTTTCCTCACAACCCAGATGAGGCTGTCTGTCGTCAAAACAGTGTGTTGCTTTATTATTCGTGTTTTTCTTTTGACAATGTTTGGTTTTGGTGTGGGTGTTTTTATGGACGTCTTGCAGCCTGTGGTACTGACCTCAATGATAATTATTCGGCCCACTGAGAGCTGATTAACCCCGACCAGTATCCGGTTTACACGAATTCTGTACTGCACAATTGAGCATTGTGCTCATTTCAAATGTTGAAGACAAAAAATCAGTCTATTGTAATTTTCAAACTACTTTCCGTATGGCCTCCACTGTCCCTCAGTAGTACACCCTCAGATACTCCGTCAGCGCCATGATGGCCATGGCCTGGCCGTACGGCATACTTGTTATCGGGATGTCCTTGTAGTGCTGCAGGTCCATGCCCATCCCCGTGCCGAAGGACGTGTTGAGCAGCTCGCCGTTTTCGTCAATGTTGTCGAGCACGCCGCGGATGGCCTTGAGCGCGACGTCCTGGTACTCCTTGCCAATGTACTTTTTCCGCTGGCTCTTGAGGATGCCGTACGCGAAGCCCGCCGTGGCGCTGGCCTCTGGATACGACCCGGACTCGATCGGGTGGTCGAGCAGCGTCTGCCACAGGCCGGACTCTTGGTTCTGCAGGGGCTGCAGGGCTTCGACCTGGGCCTTGAGGGTGTCGAGCAGGTGCGACGCCACGGGGTCGTCGCGGGGGAAGTCGATGAGCTCGAGGAAGTCGGGCAGCGCGATGGTCAGCCAGCTGTTGCCGCGGGCCCAGCGGGCGTCGGCAAAGTTGTGGCCCTCGCCGCCGCGCTCGTTGCTGAAGACCCAGCCGTGGTAGAAGAGGCCCGAGCGGTGGTCGAGCAGGTACTTGATGTGGAGGAGGAACTGGCGCTTGGCCTCGGCGACGTAGTGCGGGCGGTTGAGGACGAGCCCGATCTTGGCCAGGGGCATGACGGTCATCATGAGGGTGTCGTCCCAGAGCTGCTGGTGGTGGTCAGAGAGGTAGGTGACGTGCTGCATGCCGCCGTACTTTGTGCGCTCGAGGTCGTGGTACGCCCACTCGGCCCACGAGTCGAGCCAGGGGAGGTACGTCTTGTTGCCCGTCTTCTCGTAGACGTAGGCGAGGGTGAGGAAGACGGCCATGGTGTTGATGTTCTTGGTGGTGCCGCCGGCCTCGAAGCGGTTGCGGAACCAGTCCTCGATGATCTGGAGGTACTTGTCGTCGCCGGTGATGTTGTAGTAGGCCCAGATGCCATTGAGGCCGATGCCATGCGTCCACTCCCAGTCGTTCCAGCCCTTTGTGTCGATGATGCGGCCGTCGGCAAGCGGCATGAGGAACTCGCCAGTCTTGTCCTTGATGTTGACCATGCCGTCGATGAGCAGCTTCACCTTGGCATGGATGTCGGCGGCCTTGATGCCGTGGAGCTCGGTAGGCATCTTGGCGGGTGTGTCTGTCTGTTCGTGTCTTGTGTGGCTGTAAGTGTGGTGTTACTGGACTGACTGGCTTGTTGTCTGCTGTCGAGATGTTGGGCTGTTGCTACACGTGGAGCGTGGAATACCTTCTTGAATGCCTCTTGCACAGCCTGGCAGAGCAGATAAACAATGTCTGGCGCCCTCCCGTGATCTTTTTGCTGCCCCTCCCCCTCTCCTTGGGAATTCAGGCGCGGGTGGTTTAGCGTGCCCAGACACGACGATGCATCTCCGCACGGCGCAAATGAGGAGAACCATGTCGGCTCTGTTGCCAATTGGGGCCCAATGGCTGACCCGGTCCTCGGGCAAATCTTCCCCTGGTGGGATGTTGGACTGGCGGGTCACCCACTTGGCCGTGGCACAGCATCAGGCTTTGCACACAGAAAGCGGTCCGTTTCGGCGATTCAGCAGTCCTCCTTGGCCCTGTGCTGGCGCTTGCTTTGCTTGTGATGGTCGTGCGTCTCCACATTCGCCCCGCGGGGTCCCCAGCCCGCGATTGTGCGCTAGGACAGCGACTTGGACATGTTGAATTAAAGATGTAAGCTCTCTTTGCTAATGTCCCTGAGCTCACATTCCACACTGCCAGCCCCGGAGCTCCCGAGTCTGTCTGGCATCCAGGCGGGGGGCTCGCCGCTCATTGTGTGCTGTGGTGTGCTGTGTCAGTCACACTTCGGGGTCGCATGGGGCGACCCCCGAAAGAGTCGGCCCCCATTGTCCCGTGTAGCGTCACCGGCAAAATAACTCTTGACGTGCGGAACAATCATGATGCTCGCCTCGGCACATCGTTAGCCGTGCGCTACTGCGCATGCAGCTTCCACCACAGGACTTGCCTCTGTTCTCGAGGTGCAAAGCACTTGCTCATGTGCTCAACTTTAGTCCAGTTTTACGGCAAAGGCCCAAACGGTTCTCGCAGCGGAGCAACACGTGGGATCCCCATCTTTTGCGAGGCCTTCGGAGCTCGAGCCCGACGGTAGTATTTGTACCTGATCTTTTGCCATCCAGAACGACATCTTCACCAAGTCCGTTACCACGATACTGAGGCAGAAGTCATTCCTCACGTCTTAAAAATGCTTCCGGCCAGCACTCACTTGCTTACCTTCGAGAAACGATGTCTGCCCAGTCGTCATCAGCAGAGGGTGAGGTGAGTGTAGTCCTGTGCAGTGCGCAGCACATTATTCATAGCGGCGGAGAATCGTCTTCTTCTCCTTCAAACGTATAATACAGATCTTCTTGATCTCCGCAAGGCTCTCGTCTTCGCACGAAACTTCCTTGCAAACAAAATGGTTCTTGTGTTTGCACTGCTGAGCTCGAGCGAATTCGGACACAGAGTGTTCGCTTTTGGGACAGTGCAGCCGATGTGTCCGAAACGCGAATAGTGCCCTCCCAGCGGGGGGAGTGGGGCCTTGCCGTCAGGGCTTGCGGGTCCCCTTGTCAGCGATGACATCGCGCTCTGGCTTTGCGTGCGTGCGTGCGCGTGCGTGTGCGCAAAGTGCAGGCATCAAATTATTTTGGAATGATCAAAGGGTCTTCACATCTGCAACTTCACCGTCCTCTCAAGATTGCAGGGCTATATCATCTCCGATTTTGTCACGGCGATTGTGGCATTGAGCAAAGCCTCAGCTAGGACTGGTTGCCTTGATTGACTTTGGCGCAACACACACTCACCAGGCGACCCGGCACTTCAGCTTCCGCTCACAACAGCGACCACCCTACAAAGACGGTCCAAGTCTACCGTCGCCATGGATAGTCGATCACAATCGCGTTCGCGTTCTCGCTCGCTGACGCCGAGATCACGTGGCTCTCGCTACACACGATCACCATCACCAGCTCAGAGTGGGAGAGGACGCTCCTATTCACGATCGGCCTCACCGGCGTCGCGGCGTAATGGGCGGTATCGCAGTCGCAGTCGCAGTGACAGTCGCGACAGAAGTTGGAGCAGGAGCAGGGGCCGGAGCGAAAGCCCATTGCGAGGGAGTACAAAGGTAGACACAGCCCTCTCTCTCCCAGGGATCGACTTCGCAGCAGTGCTAACCATCAGGTGCGGCGCAGATTGTGGTGGAACGTCTGACAAAGACAATCAATGAAGACCATCTTCGCGAGATATTTGGCGAGTATGGTCGTATACGCGATCTTGACCTCCCTATGAACCGGCAATGTAGGTCACCTTTATTTCAAGTTGGACCTCATCCAGGGCTTTGACGCACACTCACTAACTAGTCTCCCCCAGTCAACACAAATAGAGGCACTGCGTACATCCTCTTCGAGGAAGAAGCCGATGCAGAGGCTGCCATAGCACACATGCATGAAGCGCAGCTGGACGGCTCCGTAATCAACGTCTCGATAGTCCTGCCGCGGCGCAAGTTCTCCCCAGCTCCGCCGACCGCGAGTCGCGGCGCGAATATTGATCCAAGACAGCCCGCGCCACGCGGCCCTGCCGGGGATGGATACCGTGGAGGAAGGGGAGGAGGTGGTGGCGGCGGAAGAGGTGGTCCAGGTCGTCGCAGGCGTGGACCACTGGGTCCACCATCGCCCAGGTTCTCCGGCAATCACGGTGGGCGGAACGGTCCACGAGATGATTACAATGATCGCTGGTCGAGATCACCGCCGCCTCGTCGTGGACGCAGTCCCTCTATCGACTCTCATGGCTCAAGGTCGCGCTCTCCATCCAAGCGAAGGGGCAATGGGCAGCCTCGCCGAGGAAGTCCACGCGATGACTACCGGCGGAGCCCAAGTCCAGTCGACTACCGCGGCCGGGACGGCTCAGACCGTGCACGCAGCGACCGCTAGCAGCGGGACCGTCTGCGATGAGCAATGCCGATTTAGGCTAGTTTGAACAGGCTGAAATAAATCGGCAATCAGTAGCGAGAGGGGGAAAATTGAGACAGCGAGTTCGGCAGCTGAAAACACAGCGACATCTCCTTGTACCAACGAGGATGCGTCGGAGGGAATTTGTGCTAGCACGGGAGGAGTGACGGACATGAAGTCACCCTTCCACAAGTATGAGAGGACGACAGAAAGGGACGTGATTGTCACCAAGGGCAGCACTAGGCTCGTGGAATACCGCTGGACATCAGAGGTCACTACAATATTCAAGCCCACTAGCAGGTTGTGACTGCGTGCAGGATTGTAGAACGGCTGTGGACACGAGTTATTCATGACGCTGGTCCAGCCACATCTCCCACAAATTGTACAAAGACGTCCCTTGTGTAATGAGATGCATGCCTGAATGCCAGCTTGCCGCAACAAAATCTGCGTTCCTGTTCGAAGCCAGGCATATTGAAGCTATCTGCCGGGTAATTTGGCTCGGAGTACAAGACAGGATCTCATTTGCCTCCAGCCATCCAGCCTGTCACGGAACCTACAATGACGAGTCTGTTCGACCCGCAGCAGGCACAGGCAACATCATCTTGGCTGAGCAAATGTTGGTCTACATGTGTGCACAACGCTTGCTTTCACGCGGGAAGATATCGAGGCGACAAGGATGCTCACACCACCAGAAAGAACTCCTGGCCATAAGCAAAAAAAAAAGAAAAAAACAGGATCGACACATGTCTCAACTACATGCGTGGGAGATGAATACTTCTAGAACGGCGGCCTCGCGCTCCACCTCGAGCTCACCTGAGACCGTCGACCGGGGTGCAGCCTGTCACCAACGGCAAGCTATTGACAGGGCGGCTGGTCGTGTTGTTGTCATGCCACTTCCCGGCGAGCAACTGCCACAGCACTGCCGCCCTGGTCTTGGCATTCTGCAACCTGCACACGATTTGCACCGCTTTACTGCGTAGGCCCTGCACGCCCGCATGATCGTCGATATATCGATGACTAGCCGCACTGATCAGCCACATGGCACCACACGGTAGGTAGGCCAACGGCCGCGCTTTCCCGCGTGCCTGTGCCTGTGCCTGTGCCGTCAGAACAGAGGCGGTCTGTTGGGAATGCTGAGACATTGCTTGACAGGCCATGCCAGCAGGAGCGACGATGCCCCGCGCCAGGGACAAACCGGGCGGGTGATGTCGAACTGATGGCCAGGGTGAGGCTTGGCACACCTGTTCGAGGGTGACGACACTGCATTAGTGTCAAGGTGCGGCTCGTACCGTTGGTCAAGACGTCACTCATGGCCTTGCAGAGATGGCCATGCCATACCCATCACGAGCAACCAATATCCTCGGGCGGACAGACTACGCTGCCTATTCGATATCAATAATTTCCAGCACAGGCAGGGGTTCCTCGCCAATACATACTGCGTATGCACTGCAGCGGGGGCCGAGACCGCGCTTAACAACCCCTGGCTCCTGATCCGCTCCGATCCTGCCTGCCCGCCCTAGTAGCACGTGGCTCGTGGCTGCAAGCATGGGGGTCTTGATGGATTCACGCGTCATTCCTTGCAACGCCAATCTCCGGCACCAGTTGGGCGACCCTATCAGTCACGACAAACGACTCGGCCGCAGGTCCGAGTATGCCGGCCCTGCAGCCCTGGGCTGTTGTACAAACCAACATTCGCGGATCCTCTGGCAGGGAACCCTGCCGTGCAACAGAACCTCATTTCCCTTCGATGCGAACCCTGGCTGCCTAAGGGGGGGCCGGGAGACATTGAGGACGTGGCCCATGGCAAGTCAGGGTCCTTCGTCTTACCTCCACCAACAAAAACAAGGCCCGATGTCAAGTAGACACTCGTTGATATGTCGACGGCCGCTTGTACTGTTGGATGAAACATGCGTTACCCTTGCCTGCAGGGGGTGGGGGCATTCTGCAGTCGACTATTGCCCATGTCAATGGCCCAACATCCGCATCGGCGAACACCGACAACACGAACGATCAAGCGCAGGCGTGATGTGCTCGTCGCCCAGGCACCCGCTTCTCATGATGGATAGTCGAGCACTTAAGAGGGAACCCCGGTTCGCAGCTCAACCGTGCGCAAACAGACCTGGCAGCCAATGAATTGTTATGGATGTGTAGTGGCTCTGTGTGAGGTAGGGCACGCACGGGCAATTTCAGCGCAATCTGCCTTAATGTGGTGGCAACGTCGAATGTTGCATCAAGTCCAAGTCGGACGCCAGGACCTGTCATCTGCCGAAGATGCAGAAGCCACATCATCAGAGTGCAGTCAGTGCCTGGAGCCTGAAGTCGGGATTGCCTCCGACCCGACGTTGAGCTAATAGCTAACGGCCCATGCTGCTTCGGCAGAGCCGGCCACACACGGCTGTGCGCTTGTGAAATCCTTCCCCGTCGTCTTCTTGATTCTATTACAGGGTTGTTCTCCTTCGTTTCCACTTTCGGCAAGCAACCACGGGACCCCTCCATGGCCTGACGACAATAGCGCGCGCGGACGGGCGGAAGGGATTACTAGTCTATCCGATCATGCCCTGCCCAAACCTTAAGATTATCAAAATCCATTCACAGAACGCAGCTTATCAAGGTCCCTCGGGGCATATCCGCCTGCCTCTGGTCATCACTCCCAGGATGGTGAGCTTCTAGGCATGCATGCCTGCATGCCCTGTCGTCGCTAGTCACGCGGCGGGTGGCCCGGACGCCGCTTTGCATTAAACGTCCCGGAACATCCCAGCATCCCCGGCTTTGTCAGGCCTATTGGTCTTCCGTCAAGTCAACCCTTGTGCCCAGAAGATAAACAAAAGATCCTTCATCTTCATCCAGCCTGGCAGCAGTTTTTCTATCATCACTTTTTGCACCTGGCGACCAGGAAACCCGCGTTCGGAAACTCCAGATTGACGTCAAATACTGGCTGGAAGCACGCAAACCAATCACTGGCTGCCAGATACGTTTTGCCCACCTAAACGATCCCGAAATAGCAATGTCACAAAACGAACCCGAAGTAAGCACCTCAGTCCCTCGTTTCAGAAAAGGCCTTATGAGCTGACCATCTCTAGCCAACTCGAGCCGCAAATGAAGAGAGCTGCAACTCTTCTGCGATGGTCCACTACGCAGAGGACGAGAGTGGGCAGTACCTTGAAGCATATGGTCACAAATTCCACGCATCGGGCAACATCTATGTGCCCTTTGACGAGGAAGAGCAGAGACACATGCACGCACGCCACAAGCTCCTGCGAACGTGTCTTGGAGGCGCGCTGACTAGTACTCGCCTTCCGCCCGACACAAAAACAATCGTGGATATTGGCACCGGCACCGGGGTGTGGGCCATCGAGATGGCGGCCCGGTATCCTGGCTCCACGATAATGGGAATCGACATCTCCAAGATCCAGAGCAGCGTCGTACCCGGTAATGTTCGGTACCTCATCGCGGACATTGAGCAGCCATGGGAGATGGCAGACGACTATGCAGACTTTGTCCACATGCGCGACATTACGGGTGGCATCCGGAACTGGCCGGGTCTGGTGAGCCAGGCGTTTCGAAAACTCAAGCCCGGCGGCGTCCTAGAGATGACGGAGATGCGAACCACGATACACGATTTTGACGGCAAGTTTGACGACGCGGATATATGCCCCTCCTTCACGAAGCTGTTTCGGACCCTCTACGAGAGAGTCAACATGGACTTTGATCCGGCTCCAAAGTTTCCGGAATGGCTCCATGCCGCCGGGTTCGAAAACGTCAAGCAGCGCATGGAGATCCTCCCGATTGGGGATTGGGCAAAGGACGACCAGCTTCGGCAACGGCAGAAGCTGGTCAACAACCTCGTCATGCAATATTTGGGTAGGAAAGCGTGTGCTCTCTGTGTGTGTGTGCGTGCGTGGCGCGTCTCTTATCTGCGCCTTGTCGCTGACTCTTGTCTGTGTCTATCAATAGGCCATCACTCGACCATGATCTTCGCCGGCGCCGGCTACGAGCAAAAAGCATTCGACGAGCAACTAAGCGCCATCAAGCGGGAGCTGTTCGACTCGCAACAGTCAAAACCATATGTCATGGCGTAAGCAGACCCTTTGCCACACACACACACACACACACACACACACACACACACACACACACACACACACACACACACAAAATATCTTGCAGAAAAAGCCCCGCAAGCCCCTCTCCCCGCCCTTGCATTAGTCTGGAGGTTTAGTGATCAGCGAGGTTTTGTGACTAATGGCCGAATCTCGTTGCTCCAGGGTTTTTACCACGGCTAGGAGACCAACCACGACCAGCGACTTAGCACCCCTCTGAAGGAAAGCCTGTGTCCCAAGGTTTTAGCTGCCACTACACTACGTACACTACACACACCTACACCAATCTAGCGCGACCGCCTCGGATGACCTCACCCGCACTTGCATGCCAAATTTTGACGATCGTCCGTGGTAGTGCTGTGCAAGCTTTAGCAGAGAGCGTGCACCCTTTCCCTGCACCAGGTTCCACGCTGCGCCAAGGCTGCACGGATTTCTCTGGCTGCCAAAGTCGGGGAACGTGCTTCCAGGCGAGAAGTACTTACTTTAAGTAGTCACATCACACGGCCACCCCTAGCAATGCTGCTGGTCATGTGGAAATCGCCGCGGGCAAGAGCAAGCGCCAGAGTCTCCTCGCGATTTTGACCCGTCTGCAGCTCCGACGAAGCACGTCCTCTAGCACAGAGCAGAGTCACAGAGAGTGTATGGTTGTTGGCCAGTAGTAGTAGCATGATGCCCCCAACTACCCACTGCTCAGGCTGGGGAGCTCCCATTGTCGGACGTGGTGTTGGATGTGTGTCGTCCTCATCCCATGCAACCTTCAGCTGTTGAAAATGCAGAACCGTGTGTTCTATCCAGCTGCGTTTGGGCAAACGTCAAGCAGGAAGCACTGGCACCCTCCTAGGCAGAGCTGAATCACTGCCTTCTACTCCAAAGAGGGGGGGGGGGGTTCACACGACATACTACAGCAGCAGCAGGAGAGGCCGACTAACTCGAGATGTGAGAAGGATTCCGGGTTTGTAACTTCAAATGTGAGGAACTCATTCTCTCTTGCCCCGGATCACTGGGCAGACAGGCTCCACATCAACAGCACCGACGGTGTAACAACCATTGATGCGACCTTGAAAGGCCATCGCCGCCCAAGGTCCCGCGTCGACAGCTGCTCGGCTACCTTCAAGGTGAAGGTAGCGGGGGCTCAACTGCCAAGGCGATAGAAAGGGCGCAGGGAGTCGAGACGTCCTGGTGGACTAACTGGCCATAGGCAGAGCTCTGCCGAAGAACCGGAACCAGTGTAGGCGTGACGGCAGCGCAAGAGAGACGATAGACACAAGACTTGGAAACTACCATGACTCGACTCAGTTCCAGAATTGTGCCCGGTTTGCCACGGACAACTGCTCATCTACCATAATTTATCGATTGCGCCGAAGCAGCTATATACCTTTTGCTGCGGTTACTATCATTACACGTGCGACGGCTATGACTGTGCAAAGAACTTAACCCTCCTACTGATTTCGACCCCACTATTTGGCCTTTGTCGCTTGGCCAGGATCAATCTTTAATGAGAAGTCGACGTAAGATGTGCCTTGGTGGATGGAACTCGTCGAGATGATGTCAATGTCTAGGTGATATGGTCAGCCAGGAACTCGTTAGAGTCGTGAAAAATGCGCGGGGCCCCATGAGACTAGGACAGCATACCGTTGTTGGCGTAGTCGAACACATTGTCCTCTCGAAGACCGCCGCTGACTTCGATCAGAAACTCGCGCTTGCCCCGCCACCGCTCGCGCAGGCTCTTTGCCGCGACCTTGACGCCAGCGCCAGTAAAGTTGTCCAGCATGACGATGTCTGCACCAGCGGTGATGGCCTCGTCGGCCTCCTCCTCGGACTGCACCTCGACCTCGATCTTGAGCGCGAAGCCGCCGACGGCCTTTGCGGACTTGACGGCGTCGGTGATGCTGCCCCTGCTCCAGACGTGGTTGTCCTTGAGCATGATCATGCTGCTCAGGTCCATGCGGTGCTGGTCCGCGCCACCGACGAGCATGCCGTACTTTTCGACGAGGCGGAAGCCGGGGGTCGTCTTGCGCGTGCCCGCCAGGACGCCGCGGTAGCCTGCACTGCGCAGGCTGAGGACGAGGTTGCGCGTGGCGCTGGCAATGCCGGAGCAGCGCGCCAGCAGGTTGAGGCCGACTCTCTCGGCGAGGAGGAGACCTCTGGCGGGGCCGGTGACGGTGGCGACTTTTATCTTGCCGGAGCCGTCCTTGGGGCGGTCGACGTAGGAGCCCTCGGGGGCGTGCCACTCGACGGAGCAGCCGCACTGGCGGAAGACCTCGTCGAAGAAGGGGACGCCGGCGATGATGCCTGCGCTCTTGCCCCAGAGGGTGGCGGTACGGGTGTCGTCGCCGACGACGAAGCCGCCGTAGTCGAACGAGGGCGTGTCCTCGGCTAGCCAGGTTGTGACGGTGGCCTTCCAGCTCGGCGGCAGGAGGTGCTCGAGAGAGCCCTGGTGGATGGCGTGATCGGGCATGATTGCGGGCGTCGGTGGGAGACGATAAAGATGAAGGATTCAGCTTGATTTCCGAGCTCAAGGGATATGCGCGGTTGGGCAAGCCGTTGGCTGCTGTCGAAAGCTCTTGCGATGCGGGGGGTGCGGAAGGTGCGGGTGCGGCTTGCGTCGGCAGCTGAGCAAGGAGGGAGCGAGCACCGGTCGATGGCTTGCCGAGACAGAGACGTGCTGGGTCTCCGTGTTTCGGGTGAGTACAGAGAATGTTCTTGTTAGAATAAATACGGGGGGGTTGAGCTTGCCAACCGCCGGAGTGACAAGGCAAGATTTCGAGGGCGGTGGCATGTGTAAGGGCCGGCTCGAGTCGGAAGCTGCACCCTTCCGGCGGGAGATCCGGGGCCGAAGTCGCAGATGCCGCGGGGTCCTTGCACCCTGACGCAGCTGCGTGTGGGGAGTCAAGTCACAGGCCCAGGCCCGGATCAGCCTCGGCCAGGCGTTGCCGCGCAAAATGCTGCGGGTTCCATTGTACAAAGCCAAGTGCGTGATCTGAAGGAGATGGTTGCATTCAAGAGTTGCATGTGCTCAGTCTGGACAAAAAGGGAACAGTCGGGTTGCAAGATAGTAGCTCCTGCCCGGGTTTCATGGGCAGACGTGCAAGGAAGGCGCACTGGAGCAACCCAGATATGTGCGCAACGTACCTAAGCCGCTTACTCTGAGGGCGCATACACGATGCAAACCTCGCAGTTTCACCTCTGCCCAGTCACTGATCCTCCGAAACCCAAGCGTCTCCCTGCAACGTTCTGTTCATTAGCGAGTTCATTCTTCTCGTCTTGACCAGATTGCATCGCTGAGAGGGACCAGAATGCTTCATCAACATAGCTGATGGGGTATGCCCCCGTGGTCTCCTCAATATCGTCCATCGATGTCTTAGACATGGGTTACACTGGTTCATCGCATAGCCTCCTGCCCCGTTCTTCTTCTCTGCCTGTGCCAGACACCATTGGCAAATCTATCGTCACGACTTCTTGACGATCTCGGCCCACGACTCGACCTTCTTCGGATATAGCACGATGCCACCAGCCGACACCACAGGTGTTGCAGCCCTTGCTTGCGGTGACGAGGCTACTTCGACGCCTTCCACCGCCATGTCTACGATTCGAGAATCGTCACATGCAACGACCTGTACTTCACTTTCTCCTACGGAATCATCTCCTCGTTCGGTTTGTGTCTATCGAGTACGCCGGCCGGATTAGTCTAGGGTCTGGTTCTCCACGTCAGAGGAGGTAGGAGTTGCTGCTCTTACACTTGCGTCAACCATGGATGATTTTGAGGCTATCCAAGCAGGAGAAACCGGACTCAGAGACAGCGGTGCTGGCCTCGTTGGGAAACGTCCACACCTGTGAACAGACTCTCCGAGAACGACCAGTGGTGTCTCTGGTGCCGGGGCTGTTCCCATGTCATGCACGCTCTCTGGGTGGTGGACGCTCACAGCTTCTCCAGCCTCCTCAGTCCTGGGCATCAATGCTCCTATCAGGTCGGCAGGTTGTGTCATGCTCAGATGAATCTCATGCTTGACCTCGTCAAGCATGACCGGCTCGCCCAGCCGCAAGACGCATTCGGCATTTGGCTGAGTATACCTCTCTACCCACGCCTGCTTGATAGCATGGACCATGTGGAGGTGCTCGAAACGGATATTGATGTGTAGATGCTCGGGCGTGTCCTGCACCACGTCTCCGTACGCAGCAAAGTTCAAAGGTTCTGAGGGGCCCAGCAGGTGCGGAGGTCTATGGATGGCGCGAAACCGGCATATCATCTCGTTCCTGCCCTCGGTGGTGATACACCTGTCAGTCGATGCTTTGTTTGTGTAGCAATGCGACGCGGCATGCAAAGGCAGATGAGGGCTGTCTAGATCGAAGAAACACGGTAGCGACCGTGGATGTGACCTGATGGGAAGAGATCTTGTACACTGCCATGACGTTGGTCCTCCCATCCCTGAGTTCCCTGGCAATGCTTCCCCTGGCAAGATTGCTGGAGGCATGAACGGAGTCGTCGGCGAGGTGGCAGGTCCTGCTACCGAGGTGGACCTTGGCATAGTGGGAAGCATTGAAAAGGATCTTGTGGACGACGTGCTTATGGGCGAGTGCACTGCAAATGTCTTGAGAGTTTCCAAAATGGGAGTGCTCTTCTGGGCCTTTATGGTCTCGGCGGACACTTGCTGCGGTTCTGGTTCTCGCTCGTGCTTGGGTGCCCGGTCTGGCGATGGCAACGAGAGTGGCATAGTTGCGTGTGCGTATCTGTGGAGCGATATCTTGATGCAAGGTGTACAAATGAAATCGTGCTGTCTTCAGTCGTCTTGGCTGTTCTTGCAGTAGGCCGGCAAGAGGCGCCGGAGGGAGCACTCGTATGCGCGGGCGGGAGACAGTGGATGAGGTGAGCCGTGCTCTGATACAAGGGCAAAAAGTATCTGGAAGGCAAGCTGACTATGCTCCAACGAGGCTTTTGTCGTTTCGCTCTGGTCTTCATCCGAGGACGCGGTTTTCCGAATGTCCAGAATGTCTGTTTGGTCGCAATCGGTCACTGTTTGGCGGCCTCGGAGTCGCAGGTGGTAGATAGCCACGCAAACAACCTGAATAAACAAAACAAATCCTCGGTCATATTGTGCTCATCGAGACCTGGGGACTCACCCGGGAGTCGGATGTTGTCATTGAGCGAAGCAATCCAGCGAATCACTCGGGCGGGTGATTTTTGGAAGTCGATGGACGATTGATACTCCATTGTGATCAGGCAGCCGTAAATCCACGCCAGGGTCATTCACCACAACACTGGCTGGTTATCCGACGTGGTTGCCTGGCACAAACAAACAAAAAAAGTCGACCGCCGTTGCTGTGGTTATTATGAGGTTTGTCCCGACGTATGTCCCTGGCTGTGTTGTGGCTCAGGCGACTGATGCTGCATCTCCTTGCCCTGGGTGGCCCTTGCGCCTCCCGAGCTGTGTCGAGCTGTTCTGCCAACGTGTGAACTTTTCTTTGGAATCTTTTTACAAATAGTCGGTCAAGCAGGAACTTGTTCCCGTTGAAATCCCATCATCCTCCATCCCGAGACCTGCAACAAACCTGACGAAGTTTTGACGGTCCGGTTGGCGTGGCATATACATATCTATTACTGATATTTTTACCCCTGCTGACTGAAAGCCCGTGATCTGTTCTGGTCGGAGTGTTCTGGACAATGAATACTAGCCACTCCCATTCTTTTGCATATACACTCGCTCTCCTGGGCGCGGAGACAGTTTATGTAGATTCAAAATCTCATTTGACAGGGTCTGTGTGCATCCCACGCGACAGGCACTTTGGAAAGACTCGTTCAAATGCTCTGAGACGACGGGAAGAGTTCGGAGATGCTTGGGTTTTCTCGCATGGTATTATGAGTGCAGTGCTATGTTATACGGGGCTGCAGCCGGGCCATGGTCTCCTTGTCGCTGGGCATGTGCCGGGCGCAGACCTGGACAGGTGATTATGTCGGTCGCCTTTGTACTGAAGCATGGAATATGTTATGGTCTAGCAGAATGAGAGCCGAGTGGTTTAGTTTTTTATATTTCTTTTATCTATTTGGCTATAAATATCTCTCTCGACGGCTCAATATTGGGCTTTGTGTATCACTGAGAGTATGCATGCAGTAGCCCGGACCTGGATTTGATGGATGACAATGAGAGCTTGCGTCTTGTCTTTGATCGGGACAGCAATACATTGCACGTGTGTGTGTGTATAGACAAGTTGTCAGACACCTTTTGTTCGCTCGAGCGCCAACTAGTGCCTTGTCGATCTCAATAGACGGCTCGGCATGAGCGGTTCGGGTTCATGACAACGAGGCCCCCAACACATTACACGCATAACATTTACAAAGTCGCGTGGGTCTGCACTCCCACCATCGCACAGAGATCGGTCAATTGCAAGTCGAATGGCCTCGGGATTGAGGGATTGCGGCATTGTTCCGCTTGAACGATGGCCATGTGTTTAGTTCTAGCAGTGTTCCGGTGGCCAAAATTGTTCCGCTAGGACCAGGCCAAGTTTGGGAGTCTCAATCCCCCAGTGGTGCCGTGCGGTCACCCCTTTCACACAAGGAACCTTGCGGCTCGCGATGCCCTCACGATGTCCCGATCCAGCGCGGCAAAGCTCGATGCCCAGTCCCGGAGCCGATGAGAACGAGTAGGTCACAGACGTCGCGTGGTCCGGCAGATAACCGGCCTGGCAATTCAGCGTGTAAATCAGTCATGGCACTAAGCCACAGCAAGGTGAAGAGTGACGAAGACGGAGCGGTGGGTTGTATGGCGCTTGCGGAGCATGCCGCAAGCCTGATTGCGCAAGGCCCACGACACGACGCCCGGCGGTGACGATGGCATCTCCTCATCCCTAACCTTCTTTGCCTGTGAGGGAGGAAAGGCGCGGGAGGCTAATGGCAACTGACGGGTGGGACAGGATCATTACCGCCAGAGGTTGCCTGTCGAGCTAACTCGAGAGATCGACTCTGTCTAGGGACTAATCTGGCTCCTAGCCTCTGGGCCGGGCAGGACCCTATTGAAATGATTCCAGAGCGCGCCCGCCCGCTGCAGCAGTTTGTGCGCGTGATGTTGGTGGTGCTGTGTGGCCCACGCATGTGCGCATGTGCCGCACAATGACGTAGCTGGCAGCCGCCAGCGCGGCTTGGCTTTGGAATCCTCGGCCATTGAAGGATCCCTGGCCCCCGTCCTGGGCTGCTGCTGCTGTGAACAGGAGGAAGCAGCAAAGCCTTGTGTGACTGGCGGTCTTTGCCTGCTGGGGCGTGGTACAGAGTAAAAGAGTGTGTGCGTGCTTGTCGCAACACCAAGTCGAAATGTCGAGCAGCTCGTCGCAGCATCTTTCCCACACGGTACAAGGTGCAATGGGACACTGCAAATGCCCTCAGGTGTGCGCCTGTGCTGCAAGCGGGCGGCCGGGGTGACCCCTGAAGGTTAACTAGCGCTTCGGAGAAACAACAGCAAAAAGTGATGAAAAAACAAAACCAGGCAGGCAGGCCAGCAGCAGCCGAGCGGGCCGGCCCCACCGCCTGTCCCTATGACGACACTTTGCACCCGCTGCTCTTGCATCCTGTCTGTCTGTCTCTGCTTCTCGCTGCCAAATCGCCAGGCTCAGTCTACATCATCGAGTCGAACAGCCGCGCACCCGTGGGGAAAGCCGCTAAGGCATAGCTTGCGCTCAGACGTGGAGCCCGCCGCCAGTTCGGTCGTCTTGTTGCTTCACTGAGCCGGTCATTTCCCCTTCCGTCATCCCATCTGCGTCTGGTGCTCCCTCCAGGGTCTTTGTTGTTGCCCGGCGCCCGCTCTCAAATAACCACGGCCCACCCCTGCCAATATCTGCTCTTCTTTCGCTGCAACCACTGTCTTCCTCTTCCTCTTAATTAGTCTGCAGCAGCAGCAGCAGCAGCGACAGCGACGAGCAGCCACTCACCCCCTCTGGTTCCCTTCTCCCCAGAGGACGACGACGACAACAACAAAAATAATAGCAACACCTAATCTAATATACCAAGTGTGACCACCAGCAACACTGCCATCATGGCCGCCAACGGGATCCGGGCGATTGTCGCCATGGTCCTCCTCGCGGGCGCCGTCGTCATGACGCTCTTCGTCTTCCTTGCCGGCGTCACAAACACCATCCCCTTCAGCAACACCTACTTCCTCCAGTCAGAGACCCAGGGCATCACTGGCGCCCGCCAGGTCTCCCAGTGGGCGTACTTCTACATCTGCGCCCCCGGCAACGTCGACTGCAGCGGCGCCTGGCCCGCTCCCTCGGTCGGCTGGGCCTGGTCCTCGGGTGCCCAGGGCGTCCCGGCAGAGCTCATTGGCGACTATGGCAACGGCACCACGTCCATGTACTACTACTACATGTGGCGCTTTGGCTGGGTCACCTACCTCATCGCCTTTGCCTTTGCCGTCTTTGCCCTGCTCGGCGGCTTCCTCGCCTGCCTCGGACGCCTTGGTGCCGCCTTGTCCGGCCTCCTAGCCGGCTTCAGTCTATTCTTCTACACCATCGCCGCGTCTCTCATGACCGCCACCTTCGTCAAGATGCGCGACGTTCTCCAGGCAAACGGCCACCCGTCGTCCATTGGTCAGTACGGCTTCGGCTTCACCTGGGCCAGCTTTGCGTGCGTCTTCCTCGCGACCATCATTTTCTGCATCGGCGTCCGTGGTGATGGCTCGTCCAGCATGCGCCGCCGCAAGAGCACTCGCAGCAGCCGCAGCCGCAGCTCCATCGGCAGCCGTCGCGTCAAGGACGACTACGCCTGAAGAGATTGCGCTTCCCGCAAAGCCGAACTTGCCGACGTGCGCGTGGTGTTGTCCTTGTCGCGGAATGGCTCTGTTGAAGCGCTCGTCGCAGAGAGACACGACGAGTAGTCGAGCGCGCACACTCATCGCTACTCGAGCAATCCGCGCAGACCGACACCAGTAGAACACTTGAAACCACCAAAAAAACACGACCCTAACGTCTAATGTCAATCACCATCTCCAAGCCCCCACAAAAGCCATAATACCACCCCCAACGGCTCCGTCTGCACAATTTTCGTCTCTTCGTCCACCGCCCTTCCTTCAACAGGTGCGGTCTGGCATGACGACGGACGGCGAAAGTTTGGGAATGGAAATCCAATCACGAAGTCCAATGTCTCTCGCTCTATACATGATGATATATACCGGTGCCATGTCACCCCGCGATACCAATCTAGCAATTGTACATATCTACCCAAACATGATTTTGATTTAGCCATGCAAGTATATATACACACATGCTCTCAAACATTCATAGATTCCTGTGACCACGTCGAGATTTATTCCGGCTATGTGAATTCTCCCGAGGCCAAAGTGATACGCACATACACACAGGTATCGTCACCAACTGTACAACTTCAAGTAGGAAAAAAAGGGATGTGGTTTGAGCCATGACATCATCGCGAGATCCAGTCCCGGATGCTGTGTTTCCATTTTTCTATGGCCTCGTGTTGTGTGTTTGCGCGCAATGTGTATAACGCTGTAACAGGTTTTTGCCCAATAAACTTTGAAAAAGAAAAACTCCTGCCCTCTATGTTGCTTGTTGCAGGAGTCATGAGATAAAATGCCACTCCACCTCCACTTTCCGTTTCCGTTCCTTTGCTCAACCCGACCCTTCCACAAAATCTGTCAAACACCCCCTTTCCACATTCTTCCGCTTTACCTCCACGCAACAACCCCCAACTTTCATCCAATGCTATACTCTCTCCGCATGCGGGCTTGCCAGCGGACTTACTTGGTCCAGCGGAGCGGCATGCAACGGCGGCTTCGTCGCGGGCTCGCCGTACTCGCCCGCCACCTTCTTCGCCAACACGCTCTGGACCCAGGCTGCGACCTCGGCATCCTCGGTCGTGGACCGGCTGAGGTCGAGATTGTTTGCCGCGTTCTCCAGGGCCTGCGCGCTGGCATCGTTCTCCTCTTCCTCCTCTTCCTCTTCCGTGATCGTTTCCGGCTTCGCCAGGCTTTGCAGCCACTCTGACGCAAGCAGCGCCTGATACGTCGGGCGGAGCTTGGGGATCTTGTTCAGGCACCCGTGCACAAACGTCCGAGCAGTTTCGGAGTATCCCTCCTCCGGGAGATCCGGGGGCTCCCCATCAACAATCGCCTACAGTATATGTGTTAACTTGCATCGTCTTTAGATCGCTCAAAGGCTGAGTCACTTACGCTGAGCTGGCTGAAAATGGTGGCAGAGACGTCCGGAGGGTAGGGATATTTGCCCATGGCACACTCGATGATAGTGAGACCCAGACTCCAGATATCGCTCTGCACGCTATATGTGCCGTCTGAAGCGCCCTGCGTCATGAAACTGCCGCCGGAAATGCGTTCGGGGGCCATGTAGCTCTGGCAACCGATATTTGTCTTGGCAATACTGGCGACCAGGTTACCACTGACACCAAAATCGCAGATCTTGACTTGGCCCCGAGAGTTGGCGAGGATATTCGTTGGCTTGACGTCGCGATGGATGATGTTGTGTTTGTCCTTGAGCTCTTTCAGGCCCATGACGGTGCAGTATGTGATCTTCTGCAGAACAGTCTCTGGGATGCCGCCAGAGTAAAGCTTGTCGATTGAGCCACCGTCCATGTACTCCAGACACATGTAGACGGCGCTCTCCTGGAAGAATGCTCCATAAAAGTCAATGATGTATGGCGAGGCACACTCGTGTAGGATGACCAGCTCCTTCAGGATTGTGCCAAGCTTTGCCTCGTCGAGCTCCAGTCGAATCTCCTTCATAGCCATTACTACGCCGGAAGCAGCCCCTTCGTCCTCGCCTGCTGCACTTGTATCCGATAACGAGCTAGTCGACATGTTCAGCCTGGCCGCACCAGAGAGTCCGGGGCCAAACCGAGGCACGCGCGGTTTTGAGTGTCGGACTTTGTAGACGGTACCGTAGTTACCCTTGCCCAGCTCGTCCAGCTTCTCAACCTCGTCGAGTGATATCCTGAAGACGGTTCCATCTTCGAAGTTGACGCCCTTGTTCGTTATGACAGCCTTGTTCTTGAATGTCAGATAGCCACGTTCCGAATCGATGTACTCTTCAAACTGCTGCATCTGGTTTGTTGGCTTTGGCGGCGCAGCGACAGCGGCAGGTGCTGAGCCCGGGGCCCCACCACCTCCCTGGATGTCAGAAAGCTTGAACTTGAACTTCTTGCCAAGGCGATTGCTGGGAAGTGAAGGTTCTGATTGCGCCGGAAACGAGGGGGTGGGTCTCTGCGGCGGTTTGAAGCCAGCCGGGATGCCTCCTCGTATGGCGCCCCCAGGTGCAAACCCGCCGTTGCCCATAGGGTTAGTTGGCGACTGCGAGGGGACAGGACTCAGACCTGAGCTTCCTTGACGTGACAGGTGAAAGGCCTTCATCTTGGCATTCAACCCAGCAGGAAGCTGGCCCGCTGACATTGTAGGTGGGGGCATCGGTCGCCTGGCGTTGTTGAGGAGGCCCATGTGTGTCGATGAAGCGGACATCTGGGCGGCGGTGGCTTGTGGGTCGGACACAGAGCGCAAGGACGGTACCCTCTTGGGGATGCCATTCGGGTCTGGAGAAAATGGCTCATTGGCCTGCTCCTGAGGTGTTGAGGCTTCAGAGTCGGTGAACGAGCCTGGAGTGGGAGGATCTTCGATCTCGTCCGGCGTCCATTGCGGGGGGTTGACAGGATTGGCCATCGTGGAGATTTGAGGTCGGATCACGACGGGTTTCTGCTTTTTCGGGTTGTGGGTAGGGCGAGCAAGAGATGTTCAGCCTAGCGTTTCATACCTGCTCACTCATGATTTGTTAGAATATGTGAAGGAGAACGTTCCAGGTTGTGACGACCTGCAGACTGCTTGAAATGCGCGCGCGGCTGTGATACAGCGACGGATGGATCTGGGGTAAGAGATTTGGAAGTCGCGTACCAGAGCTAGGAGCTGCCTTCAAGGAGACAGAAGCCCAATGCCCTGCGCCTGGGAGAGCAGGTCGGCAGATCCGATCGGGCGCTGAGAAGTTGGGCGCGCGATCTTGACAGGGGCTGTCACAATCGAAGTCGAGGCAGTGGAGGCCAGCAAGGGCGGCGGGAAAGGTGGGATAGTTGATCTGCAGCGGCAGAACTCTAAATGCTGTCCACGGTAAGAACTGCTGTTGGGAGGCTATGCAAAATCGACGTCGAACCAGCTTCGTGCCAGGGACGGCGGGAAGGACGAAGTGGACGGGCGCAGCGTGGTGTCTGGCTTGGAGGTCGGTATGGAGGGGCAGAGAACGTCGGCGAGATGTCTTTCGGCCCGGGCCAGGCTCGGAGGCCTTTGGAACAAGCTGGGGCGGGTTCTTAGAGTTGTGGGTTTCCTGCAATGACTGATGAAGGCGTCGAAGGGCAAGCTACACGGCCTGAGGATGAGGATGAGCTCGCAAGAGCGATGGGCAGGCGGATAGACGAGTCGATTTGCTTGCGGGCGGAATGGAACCCCAGAATGATGCCTCTGCTCTTACGTAGAAACGCGGGACGGGAGGACGTGTACGGTGATGTCAGCAGGGCGTTTCCCCCGTGCGCCGCAATTCAGCAGTATCCCAGGCACTGCGCAAAGGTGCGGGAATGGCACAGCGTGAGTGTTGATGATTGCGCACTGTGTCTACACCAAGTAGACAGGCGGGGTAGCAAGGTGAGAGGTGCCATACTGTACGAGGCACTGCTGCCACCGTCAATCCCATGTCCGCCCTGGCCAAGATCTCTACTTCATGGCGTAACTAGAGGCGTCGTTGTGCCTGGCAAAAGCCACACGTCTTCAGATAAGCATTACACGGCGCAACGGTGTTCTGGCGGTCACGTCAGAGGCCACCTCGTGACAGCGACCTTCTCCAGGGGTGTGTCACTTGAGGCTCTCCAGGTCCCTTGCTCGGCTCGCTTGCTTCCGTTGACAGCCTCCATGGACTTCTTAGCCCAGCACCCCCAACGGCACACATGCCGCCACTTGAAATAGACTGCCAGACGAGCATGAAGATCTCGGCCATGCAAGCTAAATCATTGTGAGTACAAGGTTATGTCAAGACACATCGCACGTGGCCGGCCGAAGCAGATGCCCAGACACAGCACAGTTCTCCAACTCTACCGCCAGGCCAGCCTCAGGCCCTCGTATACCAAATGCTTACGATCACAAGAGCGTACATGCCCATCCTACGCCATGCATATTCCTCCTCTTTGCCGCGTCGTCAAATTTATCCAGGCCGGTCAGACCGAGCGAGCGGCAGGGCAGATTCTGGCGCTCGACACCACTGATGGCGAGTCCCAAGCACAGTGCACCTGTTGTCCTACGTGTCGGAGGCGATATTCCGGGCATGCAACCAATGGGCACAGGGAGGTCAAGCCAAGAATACCACTATCGCCCACTTTCGCCCCTGGGGATTACGGCACAATGATGTTGATGGCTTTTGCTGCGCGGAGATGGTTGGGAACGTCCCATGCCAAACTCCACCCGCTGCCATGGCGCCTCCCCTGGTCTCAGTTGTGGGGAAGGACGCGGTACCGTACAGCGCTGAGGAGAGTGTCTGCCGTCTACGTCATCGCCCAAGACCCCGGTGTCGTTTCACGTTGACACAACGTCTGAGCAGGGCAGTGGCTGCTGGCCCGGACCGGGTGGAGACTTGGATCTGTTTCCTATTGCCCATGCCAACTATCTGGTTGAAAGCGAACGACGAGGGTTTCGGCCAGGGGGGATGGGGGGGGGGCTTCTCGAATCTTGCCTTGGTCGCTTAGCAAGCTTATCGAGGCTGTATCAGGGAGCCCTGACAAATTGTGTGGTTCGGATGTGCTCCCGATCTGTCGAGGTTCAGGAAATGGAGGACCTGGGAGTCCTGGTCACGGAGGCGAGGACCAGCTTGAGTGAATGAAAGTGCAGCTCCTACACCCAGTAGACATTTCCTGCAAGCGCAACACAGCCTAATGATCTGGAGGCCTAGAAGCCCAAAGGGTTTAGAGAGGACCCAGAATGCTACTCGTCGGCAAAGCTTTGCGACAGCTCAGTTCAGGAAAGAACAATGTGCCACGTGGCAGGCGAAAGGTACAGCTCATGGCTGCCAGGAGTGATCCCGGAGCTAGACAAAAGTCCAGGCTGTAATTTGACGTAGCTTTTCGCCAGTGCTTGGTTGTACTCTAACCAGTCGTGCCGGCATACGAGTGGCTTTTGAGTAAGACGGTGCAGCTCAGAATGCTTCATTGAGCGGGTGTGCCGATCCATAACCAACAACTGGGTTGGCAGGGCTGATGTGAGCAGAGATAAGGACAAGATCCAGACACGGCTGTCTTGATTGCTGGCAATCAATTTCAGGGCGCAGGACAGGGGCTGCGACTGGTCCGGACAAACGTGCCTAGATGTTCCTGACCAATTGGCTGCTGACCGCAGCATCTAGCCTCCCGGGGACAGGCATTGGAGTCGGACCAGCGATGCACTCTGGAGAGTTAAAAAGTCAGACCATGTCTCTCCTTGACCCGCTGGCCAGCGACGGAGTGACGAAGGTGTTCTTGGCACCCTCGCCCTTCAAGGCTGGCCCAACCCCCCAAGGCGCCAAGCGCAGAGCTAAGCACATCTCGCCTGCCCTGAAGGGCACTCTGGAAGCGTTAGGTTTGCATGAATGTAACAGGCGGCCTCAACGAGGGCTCTCCAAGTCGCCGTCTAAGCTGCCCGTGCTTGCGTAACGCAACCCTGCAGCCCGCAGGCGCCTCCCACACAGCCGCGCCCGCTAGGGATGCCCAGGCTTGGCCCGCAGGCAATCGTCCGGCTCTGATCTTGTTGCATCATCTCCCGGTCCCCACGGTGCCTTACCTGCTGCCTGTCTGTTCTCCCGGTCTTTCCGTCATTCTTTGTTCTGCAACAACATCTTGCCCTTGGCGCCTCACACTCCTCAAACCCGACAGACTGCTTTGCCTCGTGGTTGACGCCAATTGACGATTCTCAACCGCCGTGTGCAGAAGAAGCTCACAAGCACCCTGCCCTATTTGCTGGGGGTCCTGTCGTCAGCCTCGCTGCAACTTTACGTGCCTTGCGCGTCGCGACCATAATCGCCACCCCTGCCGCCCGCACCTGCATCCTATCACGGCTGATCGTCCGCTTCCTCCGCGTCACAGCTTGTCTTGCTCTTGCTCAACACCAAGACGATACTACTTTGGGGTCAAAACTGTACATTCGCAATCGGCAATTCTCAAGCAGCCGGTCCTGTTTTCTCAAATTCCACAAGCAGTTCCACGCCATCGGACAGCGCACCACTTGGACTTTTAAGCATCCGCGGCATACGCCGGAACCTGTTGGATCAGCACCTGATAAGGTAGTCCACCGCAGCCAACGCATTCAGCAGGCGTTGCACCTGTCTGTGCGACGACCCTTCTCTTACAGTTGTCCTGCGAGCAACAGCAGCAAGTTTCGCCTCCGTCACATATATCAGCCTCCGCGCGGGATACCCGCAGTCTGCTTTCGATGGCCTGGTCCTTTACCTCGCCGACCTCATTCCGCTTGAACAATGGATCCGATACCTGGGCAGCGTCCATGTCGCGGGCGGCGCCGGTCATGGAGATCATGAAATCGCACGAGTCGCACCCGTCCATCGATCGCCTTATCGTCTTGGTGTTTAGTGCGGTGATGGAAGTGGTCTGTGTCAGTCTGCCAGGTTATATCATTGCGAGGCTCGGTCACTTCGATGCCGACAAGCAAAAGTTCATTGCCAATCTGAACGTCATGCTCTTCACCCCATGCCTTGGTAAGGCTTCTCCAATGGCTCGGACTTGTATGTGGAAGGACTAACCAAGTATTTTGCAGTCTTCACGAAGCTCGGCTCACAACTAAATGCCGAAAAGCTGGCTGACCTCGCAGTCATTCCGGTCATCTTTGTGGTGCAGACGCTCGTTTCATATGCCGTCTCTGTGGTCGTATCCAAGTTACTTGGCCTTGGCAAGCGCCCTTCAAACTTCATTACTGCCATGGGTGTTTTTGGTAACTCCAACTCGCTACCCATCTCCCTGGTGCTTTCGCTCTCAGCTACCCTCAAGGGCCTGCACTGGGATAGAGTGCCCGGCGACAACGACGACGAAGTTGGTGCGCGTGGCATCCTCTACCTTCTTGTGTTCCAGCAGCTTGGGCAGCTTGTCCGGTGGAGCTGGGGATACCACGTCCTCCTCGCGCCCAAGAGCAAATACCCCGAGTATCAAGTCGAGACAACAGAGGAGGGCAGATACAGAGACGACCCTACCATGGATGCTTCGCGGGAGACCTTGATCCCCGGGCTGGACGGCAGCAGTCGTGATGAGCACTACGGTACTGAGACCTCGAGCGAGTCGGATGGCTATGAGCCTGCCGGCCGCACTCCCGTTGCAGGCTCCTCGCGAGTATCGCTTCACGACCCGAAGAACAAGAACGTCTCTCCTCCTCGGCATCACCTGGAGCCTAACAGCGGGCCTTTCGCTACTCCTTACGAGCAACCCGACGACGACATTCTATCGTTCCCACGGATGACAGACTGCCACGAGCCAGTGGAACCTCAGCATGGCATCAAGGGTCAATGGGCTCGGGTCAAGAGGACATGCCACACTAAGTGGGTCTCGTTCAAGCAGTCTTGCTCATCCACGTCAAGGACCGCGTGGGCGAAGCTCCCTGCGCCCATGCGAGTTGCTCTGTCTGCCATCGGTCGGGTGTCCGTTCGCTTCTACAACTTCCTCTGGGAGTTTATGAACCCCCCACTCTGGGCCATGCTCATCGCCATGGTTGTGGCCTCCGTTCCCGAGCTCCAGCGCATTTTCTTCAAGGAGGGCACTTTCGTGAACAACAGTGTCACGAGCGCCATCACACAAAGCGGTGGAGTCGCTGTCCCGCTAATTCTGGTCGTGCTTGGTGCCAACTTGGCCAGGAACACCCAAGGCCGCGAGTCGCACGATCCCGAGGAGGAGCGGATTGGCCGCAAGCTGCTGATTGCCTCTTTGGTGTGCCGCATGCTTCTGCCCACGCTCATCATGGCCCCCATCATTGCTCTCTTTGCGAAATATGTTCCCGTCAGCATTCTGGACGATCCAATCTTCATCATCGTCTGCTTCCTTCTTACCGGCGCCCCAAGCGCCCTCCAGCTTGCCCAGATCTGTCAAATCAACGAGGTCTATGAGACTGTCATGTCTCGCATTCTCTTCCAGAGCTACGTTATCTGGTAAGTCCCACAGTGTCACGATCTCAGGTTGAACACAAAGACAAAATGCTAACTGCCGCTCAGGATATTGCCTTCCACGCTTGTCCTGGTGATGTTGGCGATGGAGACCCTCGAGTGGGCAAAAACGTAGACTAGCGTTCCACTTTGGTCTTGTCGCATTCCTTTTGTCTTGTGCCTTGTGCTTGTAGTGCAGTCTCTCTTGCAACTTGGGATCGTGGGAGGTATACAAAGAATGGTTTAGAAGGATTGAGCGCTCAGCAATGGGCTGATTACTGGGCCACCATGGCAGCAGACGGATGGAAACGCCCTGCGCGGATCGAGTCACGGCCAGCATTATTTTGAGGCAATAAATGTGCCCTCGTGTATTTTCCATGTAGCATTTAGTTTGCATGCAAGTAAAGCGATGCCTACAGTCATCTTTCTCGCCTAGTCTCCGACGGCTTGTCTGTCATGTGCCACGAACCCCAGTCGACACCGGAGCAATCACTGCGGATCTGCATGGCTGGACCAGAATTGAGGATGCGAAATGGCCAGGCACATTTGGACCCACCCGGAGCATGCGTGCTGCAAGGCAAGAGCGCGGGCGGGTCTCGACGACGCCTGTCGTCATCACTGGCTGCCGAACGGTTTCTGCACGCAACGCGCAAGGTCGCAATCCAGCAGCCATGGATGTCACGATCCCGTAGTCACGCATTTCTCTTCCCCTTCCCGTGCCGTGTCGGAGGCCGACTTCTGGTGGACTTCCTCCTTTACTCCTACCACCCCTTGGTGACAGATACCACTTTCATCACTCATCAGGCAAGCTCTATCGGCAAGACACCCTCCCGACCTCGGCCGGCACCGGAGACGGCGGCAAAACGAACAGTGCCTTTCAAACGCCTCGTCCTACCGATTTACCCTCCCAGACTCGCCGAACACGATTCCACCACGTCAGACGCATTCAATTGGCGATACGCGGGACTGTGTCTGGTCCACGTTCGCTGGTCGCACACGGCCTGAAGCCGCCACTCGCACGTCTTCGTGACGCAGACGGACCAGAGCAGCTTGTTGCACCATGTCTCGTCGACCACCCCCCAGGCTGGACTCGCGGATGGGCTCCAAGGGCTCCTTCCGTGCCGGCTCTCCATTGCCCACCCTGCCGCGAGGTCCCAGCCGTAGCATCCTTCGCCGCATCTCAACACAGTACCACTACCAGACGTTCCCGACCCCTCCGCCGCGGAGCTCCGGCAGACGACGCGCGGGCTCCGGTACCGAGTCGCCCGGGTCTTATAGCGAGCGCCGCGGCGGCAACGACGAGGAAGACAATGATGACGGGGACCGCGACGGCGAGGCTAGTCCGTTACCTTGGAGGCAGCTTGCCTTGCTCGCCGTGCTGTCCCTCGCCGAGCAGACTGCGCTAAATTCAATATCGCCGTACCTGCCAGAGATGATAGAGTCCTTCCCCGGGGTAGAACCGGACCAGGTCGGCCTGTACGTGGGCCTGCTGGCCTCGGCGTTTGCGCTGGCGCAGCTCCTCACGAACCTGGTCTGGGGATATCTGTCAGACATTATCGGGCGGAAACCCGTCCTGCTCACGGGGACAACGCTGCTGTGCCTGTGCTTCACCGCGTTCGGGTTTTGCTCAAAGTACTGGCACGTCATGCTCGTGCACATTGCCATGGGCCTGCTGAACGGCAATGCCGCAGTCGTGCCCACGTGTCTCGGCGAGCTGACGGATCGGACGAACCAGAGCCGCGCGTTCATCTGGCTGCCCGTTGTGTACAGTCTAGGAAGCATCACGGGTCCTGCGCTAGGCGGTCTACTCGTGGGGACTGTGGCTCCCGAGAGGTTCCCGTACCTAGCGCCCAACATCCTCAGTGCAGGCCTCCTCGCGGTCAGCGTGGTGGTGCTCGTCCTGGGGTTCGAGGAGACCCTTGACGAGCAAGGGGAAGGCTATGAAGCTCCAGAGGTCCTCGAGTGGCTACGCACGTGGCTGGACCGAAGCAAAAAGAACAAGGGCGAGCACGACGAAGACGATTACGACGAAGACGAGCGACGACAAGACAGCGAGGACAGCGCTTTGCTCGGCCCCAACGCCGCAGATGAAGGTGTCAGCAACAACGATGACGACAGCGACAACGGCAGTGATGACGACCGAAAACTACCAACGGACCCAGAGACTTGGAAAGAGATCTTCAACCGCACCACCGTCGTGCTTCTGCTGACGTTCCTCATCTTCCAGCTGTCCAACAGCTCCTTCAACAGTCTATATCCGATTTTCGCATCCGGCGACCCGCCGACGGGGCGCGGCCTCAAGGCCGGCGTCATCGGGGTCACTTTATCGGTCGCGGGACTCTTCACCATCTTGTTCCAGCTGTTCGTGTTCGGGCCGCTCAAGGCTCGCCTAGGCAATGTCGGGACCTATCGGGGTTCGCTACTAGGCTTTGCTATCAGCATGGCGCTCATGCCTTTTATCGGTTACAAGGACAGCGAGCCGCCCTTTGGGTTTGGCAGCAGCAGTTACTGGCTGTACGTCGAGGCTGGCTTTATTCTGGTGGTGAAGAATATCTGCGCCGTGGGCGGGCTGTCGAGTGCCATGTTACTTGTGAGTCATCTTTCTTTCTTTGAGTCTTTTGTCTCCAGATCAAACAGCAGCTCTCAAGGCAGCTAACTGACGCTTTCATTTATTTCCAAAAACACAGGTGACAAACTCGGCCCCTTCGCACGCGAGCCTGGGCACGCTGAACGGCATCGCGCAGACATTGTCGGCGGCCGGGCGCAGCGTGGGACCTTTCCTGTCAGGCGCGCTCTTCACGCTGTCCACCAGGCTCGACATGAAGGGCGAGGCGCTGGCCTGGGGCTTGTTCGCGGGGATATCGCTCGCGGGCTGGGTGGGCACTTTCGCGATCCACGGGGCTGGGCTTGAGAGCACCGACGACGGGTTTGAGGATAGTGATGGCGAGAATGGCGAAGGTGATGAGGAGAGGGGTACCGGAAGAACTTGAAGAATGAGAAGAGAGGGGGATTACAGTATAGCTTGGCGGCAGATTGGCGAAAACAATGTGTTTGAGCTTTTTGAAAGTGCTGCCGTCGTGCACACGTCCTCTCAACTTGGCTGCTTCCGTTTAGGACAAACTTGGTCTAATGCACCAAGAGGGACAATTGAGCTTTTGTATATAAGGAATGTATGTGTTCCTGGCTGTAGTGGATAGGCTTGAAGTTGGGCCTCTTATCGAGAACTATGCTTGTCTCGGGTGATATTGATATCTTGGAACAGAGGATTCGATTCATTGCATCGGATAATCTCAAGTCTTTAAGGTCTAAAGGGGAGGATTGGGAGCGTGTTAGCGCGCCGTTAGACGTTAGACGTTGGAGAACCGGACAGGTCTAGCGTGCGTTTCAAAGCGACGTTTTAAAATTTTTGACAGGACTGACTGACGGGCACGGCAAAGGGGGGGGGGGGGCTTTTGATATATAAAACGACATTCGACCACCGTAATGGGAGAGGAGAAAGTACGCCACACAGACACACACACACACACACATATTGGCTCAAGTGCAGGACGGGAAACCCTTGCACCACATACGACTTGCTGATTGCGTACAATGTCTCTATCCACATCTCACCTAGTGTATGTGTGTGTGTGTGTGCAAGTTCAAAATCTCTGGGACCAGGTAATATGAGGCTGCGGGCCACGTAGAGGTTTAGCTCCGCTCAACTGGGGGATCGGGCCAGAAAATAGACCAGCTTGCCTCGACCGAGCTGTGCTGTTGCTGCCCACTGCCGCCCTGCTACCCCTGCATGCACGGACACATACGAGACGATCAAAAATAAAAATAAAAATATTGAAAATAAACTTGGTGCTTATTGAGTCCAACGGGTTTACTCAGAGTGCTATTGGGCAGTCACGTGCTTGCTGCTCGAGCATCGGACGGTCATCCTCTTCCTCCTCCTCCTCCTCCTCCTCCTCCTCCTGCCCTCGTTGGTGCTGCTGCTGCTGGCTGACACAGAAATGGCCTGGTTGTTTCCTCCCAAGCGTCCCATAAAAAGAACCTTGGGGGCGGCGGCGGGGCGGAAAGCGCGGGGGGAAGGGGGGAGAGCGGGCGGAAGTGGGAATTTGGTGGTGGGGGCCCGGCGCCGGTGGAAGGGGCGGAGTTCCGGACAACCCCGTGCACGGCCCGGCTGCCCGTGCTTCTCTCCCTCTCCTCCCCGCCCTTATCAATCCGGGCACACTCTGTCATCAATATTTCTTGGGTCCACCTCGAGGACCGCTGTGGATTATCAGTACACGGGAACGCTATGGACTATCAGAACACGGGACGCTGTGGATTATCGTAACACGGGGGAGGCGTGTAAGGGCTAGCCCCTGCGGATGCACGGCTCCTCGTATGGAGCAGGCGGGCGCCCGCCCACCGAATTAGCGGTAAATGATGATCGAGGTGTTGACGCGCGGGAACGCGGCCCAGTCGGTCAGTCCATGGTGAGAGATAGTGGTAAGTGGTGGTAGTGGTCAGAGAAGGGCGCCCCGAGGAGAAACAGAATCCCCAGGCAGGATGCAGGTATCTGTACGTATGCATGCGGGGGCGCGGTTCGTCTTCAGCAGCGAGATGGCGCGAGAGAGAGTGAAGCCGCTTTGCTTACCTTATTCGCGCGCGCACACACGTAGTTAGGGGATAGGGGCAGGGACAGGGAGTATATGCCTGGTGGGAGGGGATCCGTGCTGGGCGGAAGCAGTCCGGGCGGGTATGCTAGATTGCGGACAGCGATAAAGGGCCGGGCCGGGAGTGCGTGAGTGTATGTGCATGTGAAGGTACTGGATTGCTAGCTATCACTGTTGCGTGCTTGGGTACGTATCCATGGCGGCGGTCTGGTGACATTCTGGAACTTTTGTTGCACGGCCAAGGTCGATAGATCGCGAAGGCGGCGTCGATAGAGCACCTGCGAGACGTTTGTGTGGGTAGTGCTGCGATGCGTTTTGTCAGCGCCGTCTCGCTGACAAACCCCTGCGCGTTCTTGGCAGCCTGCACGGCCGGGACGACTTGCGGTAATTACAAGGGTTTACTTAAGGCATTTGTCGTGCTGCCGTAACACAAGCGTGGGGTCCTGGTCGATCATCGGGTGCGCGCTAGCCTCGCTAGCCCCCGGGGTTTGCTGTGTGGGCCTGCGATCCCCGATCCCCTTCCTGGTCTGGTCGCAACGGCACCGACGGCCGAGGACGACAGCATTGAGAAATGTGAGATATGGGAGGGCGTCGGCTGGTCACTTGCGCGGAGGACGCCGGCAACAAGGTGCGAGAATAAGAAAAAACAAGGAAACAGGTGAGCAATGAGAAAATGGGCAATTCCGAACAAGGCACACAGGGCATCCTGATTGGCAGGCAGTCCGCGTCACACCGTCCGCGTCACACCAAAATGGGCAAGAGAAGCAGGTAGTTACGACGAATCTCGTGGCGGAGTCACGTTCAAAGAAGCTGCGACGCGTGCTTTAGGCAACGGGTGGCGGACTGGACGGTAGCGCCGTCAGTGGCCGACGAGTCCGAGAGGCAGTGTGAGTAAAGATGAGTCAACCTGCCAATGCGTATGGTCTCGCTCTGGCGCAGCACGCCGAGGCAAGAGGCGAGAGTCGCGACAGGTCAGGTCAGCTTATGGATATGGTACCCCTTTCGCCTTTCGATCGGGAGAATCGCCGCTGGGCGAGTGACATTGCTCGGCAGAGACGACCAACCGCAGGCACCAGGCAGTCAGTGAGTGAGTGAGTGAGTGGGTGGCTGGGGCTGATTTGGAATGCCGTCTGCTCTTGCTAGGACGGGCGAGTGCACGTGCCGGGCGGGGGTGAGTAATGAGAGCCTGCAGCTTACATGATTGCCTGCCGCGGTTGGCCAAGAATGGGGGATGCTTGGGAATTGCGCATCAGGTCTCTGTCTATCTGGTTAGCTGGCTGGCTGCTGTATCCGGAAAACCGTAGCAGAAGCAGGAGCAGAAGGACGACAGCGGATTTGGAATGCTTTTGTAATCAGCCCTGTCTGTGGATGCAGTCGACGGACCGGTAGTTAGTGAATTAGTTACGCTTATTAGTTGGTGAGTTGTCCAGGGCAGGGTCAACCATCCCACACATGACAAGGGGGACCCGACAGTCTGGGACTGGGGCGACATCATGTCAAGTGCTGGAGATCCCTGCCTAGCCGCATTTCGCATCGCACCGCATCCCATCGCGTCGTGTTGCATCACAGAGCAGCAGCATGGCGGATGCAGGCAGCCCTTTTTGATGCATGCAGCCAGTCAGTCGCCCAACCACCAGGCCCCCGGAAATACGCGGCTGGCCTCCCAGGACAGGCTGGACGCGACGTCATGGAAGAAAGCATCCGAAGCAGCAGCGTTGCTCCCATCACCTTTAGCTAAGGCACGCTGGATGCACCCAAGAGGGGCAGCGGGTGCTGTCGGTGGGGGCTTGCTGGCGACAGCAGCCCCAGATCTTTGACGCCAGAGATCGGACTGCATGGCTAATAATAGCTGGCAGCATGCCGCCTACGTAGTAAAGATAGACTGCAGGATCAGTGCCCCAGGTGCCAGTGGGCCCAAAAATAATCGCGGTCCTCGTGTATGTAGCACCATCATCATGATCGTCGAGTTGTCGATGCACCCAGGTGTTGTTGTGGTGGTCCTGGTCAGTAACTGCTCCGGATCGACTCGCACGAGCAGCTCGGCCGCCCGGGGGGAAGGAGCGGCCCACCCCGGACCTGGCGGTGGGTACTGTAGCTGCCCCCTCCCCCCCCATTCCGTTTGCTGCACCACACTTGCACGGAGGTGCCGGCCTTAGCGCGACGCCGTCCAACACCACCAACACCCATCAAGGCCACCTGCTTCGACGACACGCACCCAGTCCCAAGGGCGCGGGACGTCACCCTCCCGGCTCGTGTAAGCGTGACACACCTCGGGGTCAGCACCGCGCTTGCCGGCCTCTGCCAACGGCCTCAGCCTCGCCCGTCCTGTCACGAGGCTACCCTGCCATCCACCCGCAGCCGTCTCGTCGAGCCAGCCAGCAGCTTCGACAGCCATCTGCCATGTGGCGCGGTCCGGCTGCCACGCTTGATTCGATCCTGAATGCTAGCCCGCCGCCTACTGTCGCCGCTTTGTTGTGTCAGCCTCATCCCCATTGGCCGTCCACTTACCAACGATGACAAAATGGTCCCTGACAGGCCACACCTTCCACGAGGCTCTCTGCCTGATTCACGTGCTCTAGGTGCCTCGCCCTACTATCGTGCCTCTGGATCATGGCCCTGCTGCAGACAACAACCATGTTCTCGCCGCCCAGGGATCGGCACGAGCTTCCGCCCGCCTGGGTGGTCCCCGACCAGGTGGGACACTACTGCCCTCGGCTGGCTCCGCGGACGGCAGCGCCAGACCCTTGTGGGTTGGTGTCTTCCCTCCACTCCCAGTCCTGCTTCTGCATCTTGAACACGATGGCATCCCGGACCTGATGATGCTGCTGGAGAGGCGGCTCTGTCAGCACACACGCCATCCACCTAAGACCTTCCATCCCGTCCCTCCCCGTCCATTGCCGACATGGAATCATACAACACTCCTCGACTCGATCCGGATAGGTATAGTGGCTGTGCCTTGTCCCATCTCGCGTCCTCTTGGACCCCAATATATGGCCTCGATGCGGTCCGGTGCCTTACACATCTCATATGTCACTGTGCTCCTTTGCCAGCGAATCAACACCACCGTGGCCTGGACTCTTTGAGTGTTCGCCTCTACAACAGTCAGCACCACTCGCCATCGTGACCTTTGCTCGTACCCGATCTGGCCTCAACCTGGCCACCTGGCCCCAATACCGCCTCTTGCCTCCCTGGTCCATTCCCCGGCTAGGCTCTACCATCACGGCCCATCTTGCATGGTCGCTGAGTAGGACCATCATGACGTTCTGGACCGGTGTTGATGCAACAGATGAACACTAGCGTGTTCCAGAAGGACTATATATCACGCCTCAGCCCTACGAGACTCTTGTTGTCTACCCATCAACCCTGGTCAAGCATAGCATCGTTCTCACATCTCTTCTCACACTCGTAACTAGAGCTCTCGTTTCCGGGGCTCTTGATATCACGAGTAGCAAGTAGCACCTCGCACAAATATCTGTACTTGCAAAACTCCATATTCCCGCGGAATATTGCAATCTTGGTTTGGCAGAGGCCCAAGCGTGCTGAAGACGCTTTCTCAACCACCACACTACGGTTCCCGGACACAAATCATCATCTCTAGCTACGCACCTGAGCGTTCAAGTCAATCCAGGGCAACCACAGTTCTCTCCAACAGCCAGTGTAACTCGAGTCTGCATCACCACTGCCACTGAGCCAGACGCCAGCATTTTCTCTCCTTGTTTCTCTGCTTTCGACATCGATTCAAACGATGGGTTCCTCACGCCACCACTCCAAGAGCAGCAGTAGCAAAAAGTCGGGATCATCAAAGGTATGATCCCTGCCAGAGGTCACGTTACAAAGGTCGTGACAGATGGCTAACTACTCGACTACCACGACTCAGAACTCTATTCAGGGGCTAATAAAGTCTCTGGAGACTCGGCGAGTCAATACCCTAACAGAACTCTGCCGTATCGAGCGGGTGGCAGCGGAGTGCGAGGATGAGCAAGATATGATTGCGTTCCAGCAGCCCATGACGGATGCATGGAGACACTACGTGACGAGTAACCAGCTTCTGATCGAACTGCGTGGACTTACGCCAAACTACCCTTTCAACGGCGACGTCGTTACTGATGCGCTTTCCCTTGTCCAGCACGACCCAGAGTCGAACAGGAGCTGGAATCTGGCCTATCTTTGCTTGTGTAAGATCCGCGATGCGTAAGTTTACTCTTCCAGGTTGGCCCGGTCGAGGGCCCAGAGTGACTTGATAGTAGCTGACGGTGCGTGCAATATTCCTACAGGGGCCTTATCCCAACGCACGCACAAATCGACTCTTGGCGTCCCGAGATGTGGGGAGGACGTTCCCCCTCACACGAAGAAGCCGATCAGCTTTCGGCTTGCTTCGTGTACGAGTGGGCCCAGGCTGTCGAAAGTATGCTGCAGCACTGGGTCATACCTCCGACCTGCTACTGAACTATCTCTATGCCCACATAGACAGGATCCCTTCTGGCCTTGTACACTTACACTGTTCCCCCAGCTGCTCATCCTTCATTCCATACATCTCTCCGATCATCTTCAACAATGGCGCCTTTGCATGAGACCTAATATTCGTCTTTCACAAGCACCCCGGGGGACACTAAAACTCGGACTATTGAAAGATATCCTCTGCTTTGACATTTAAAGACGAATAACCGAAATCCAACAGGGTTTTGCCGATTTGCTTATACTTGTTTTCATCTTTGTCATTTCATTTTCATTCCTTTCCTTTCATTCCCTGTCCTTCCCTTCCCTTCGAGACAAGATCATACACAACCCGCCTCACGGCAATGCCACGGTTCATGGAAGGCTAAATTGGCTCGATCTTTCACGCAAACTCCCATATCGGGGTGGCTTACGACATTATAACACTCAAGGACACGTTTTATGCATTTATCTTTAAGTACTCCTCCTCTGGCTCTCCTTTTTGTGTTTCATGTATCAACACAACTTGTTGGGATATTTACGCCGTCACGCCGAAGCATTGGGACATACACGCACGGTATATGGTTCCCATTAGCACATATCAAACCTTTCGCTCAGCATGTTGAATACCAAACATAGAACGGGCCTTTGTAGTCATCTCTTCAGATTTCAAGTACAGTCACAGGACATGCAGGAGAGTTTGGCCAGCCACAGCAGATGAGAAAATTAACGAGTCGTGTTCATTTATCCTTGAAATTCTGCTAGTAATCCGTCGGTTTGCGCACGGACGAGGGCCCGGTCGCTCAGGCGCAGACACCACATCACCCTGTCAAAAGCACCAAACACCCCTCTGTCGGCCCCAATCTACGATGCTCTTCCCAAAGCGAAGAAAAGTAAATACAAGGGGCCGCCCTCCTGCTGCGCTTTCCCCCCCCCCCCCCTTCAGCCATGACCTACTTCGGCCATGATAATGAAGAAAAAAGACTTCTTACACCTCGGCGTCAGCAGCGGCGGATGTCACGACGCCGTGCTGCTTCTTTGCGACGCGGAGGGCCTTCCACTTTGCGGTGCCGACGCCGGCGACGCCGCGCTCCTGGTGCTCGCCGAGCCAGGGCTTCTTGGACTCTCCCAGGAGGCTGCCGGCGAGGAAGTAGATGGTGAGGCCGATGATGATGAGGACAAAGGCGATGGGGTAGAGGAAGTGGATGGAGAGGTTGAAGACGTAGACGCCGATGATGGTGCCCCAGAAGTTTCCGGTGAGGAGCGAGATGTTGAGGAACGCGGCCGAGGCGATGCGCAGGAGCAAGGGGACGACCGAGTAGAAGAGGGCGAGGATGAGGGTGAAGCCGGCGAGGTAGCCCGCGATGGCGGGGGACCACTCTGCCTGCTGGAAGGACTCGCGGTCAAAGATGGCGGCCTGGACGCCGTTGATGAACATGCCAAAGAAGCCGAGGAACGAGAGCACCTCGTACACGGGCCGCTTGGAGACGGCCCACTCCTCAAAGGTGTTGGTCAGGCCGTACAGGGTGGCGCCCAGCAGGGCAAAGAGGTCCCCGCGCAGCATGTTGGCCCCCTCGTAGTTGTTGATGCCCTTGAGGTAGTCGCTGGCCAGCAGGATGCCCATCCCGCCGCAGCAGAGGAGGATGCCGACGCACTGGAACAGCTTGTAGCGCACGCGCAGGAAGATGAAGGAGACGATGACGACGACGACAATGGCCCAGAAGTTGATGAGCTGCGCCGAGAGCTGGTTCGTGTCGCGGTACGCGAGCACCGTGAAGTAGTTGCCCTCGACGTCGAGGAAGCTGAGGATAAAGTACTTCCAGCCGTCGCGCCAGAAGACGCGCAGCCACTTCCGCAGGCCGTACTTGTACAGCGTGTACGAGAGGTACACGATCGTCAGCAGGATGTAGTTGAAGATGGTCTGGAAGGCCGGGATCGACACGTTGTTGGCGACGAGCAGCGACGAGAACGTGTTGGTCCCCGTGATGCACAGCGCCAGCACCTGCCCGATCAGCAGCGCCAGCCAGAACTCCTTGGTCAGAAAGTACGAGTACCACCGCGTCTTGGCCCCCTCGAGCCGCTGCAGACCAAGATCCACGGCCTCCTGCGTCGCCATGTCCGTGCTGCTGCTGCTGCCGCCGTCGCCGCCGCCAGGCGCCTCGTGGCCGCCGGCGCTGATGCTCGCGCGCGAAGGGCCGCGGATCTCGACCGTCGTGCTGGGCGAGGCCGTCGCTGCCGTGTCGGCGCCGCCCTTGGGCGTGTAGTACTCAGCCATGATTGCTGGTGTTCTGTGGCACGACCTGCGAAAACGGCGGTCTATGCGCTTCAGTCAAGCTGGTGGCTGGCGCTCAAAGTCCCCGAGGCTGAGTTTGGTGAGTGAGGTTATCTGGCGATATCCAAATGAGGTTTATATGGTAGTCTTTCTGTCGTCCCCAGAAAGCAAGCGCAAAGACTGGAAGTCGCTTGCCGATAAAGTCTATCTCGCGGAACGAGGGCACATCAGGTGATGCCCTCTACTTTTGGCGTGGAAAAGGACCAGGAGAGTCAACGAAGCGCTCATGTGGCGAACGGGAGGATGAGCAACAGGGTAAAGGGGGTTCCTTTGGACGGCTTGCGGGCACGGGGTTGTGGTTACACCGACGATGAAGCTGGTGCTACACGTTGCTACTGCTCACGGCGAGCTGCAAGACTCTGGTGAATTGGTAGAGGCAAGCAGGGCGCGGGCTGCGGACGTGATGATAAGTAGCCAGAGCCCGTGAGCCATCAGGAGCTTTTTCTCAGAGGCGGTTCAAGATTTTCTGGCGCCGGCTGGCTTCCAGCCCCGGCCCTCGTCCTTACCAGCATACCCTGGGCCGGCCGGGGGTCTGGCTAGCACTAAAACACTAAAACATGGGCGGGACCCGTCGGGCCAGCCCTTCTGCAGGGCAGTTTTCATTCCCAAACGCCGGCGCTGATTGGCATGCTGGACTTTGAGCTGGGATGGTCCCGCTCATCGCCACTCTGTAAGCAGTATTCCTGGTCAGAGAGACTCGTTAGAAGGCTTCGTGCTATTGCAGAATGGCTGCGACAAAGTCACCAAATGTGCTCACAAGCGAACCGGCAGGGGGTCCTCATTGGTTCCCAAGCTGACTGGCTCCCTCTCAGCTCGACTTGGCGCCGTGTGGCTTACAGCATTTGCTTGTTGTTCTTCGGTTGTCATGTCATTATTGTTCTTGCCTCTTTTTCTTTTTTTCTTCCCCGCCTCGGAAATGCGTGCCCCCACGTGCTCGGTGTCGCCAAGGCGCTTGGGAGCTGAGATCTGGTGCGTTTTCGCACCGAATTTGATGCGTCTATGGCTTGTTGAGTTTGTGTGAGTCCTCGCGCTTCATTGTACCCGCTCGACAGCGGTCGCGATTGTGTATTCCATGCACCAGCCTTGTGTTTGTGGTCTTTTCCGTGGTATGTCATGCATATATGCAATTCTCTTCCCGTGCCAGCACCCACGGATCGTGCAAGGATTAGTCCCTGTTGTCCACCGGCCTGTTGTCAGTGCGCTCCCAAAACGGCAACTTCTCGCCGTTTCGGTAGCGAAACTCAAGGAGAAACCTAGAGATACAGGTGCGATATCGTCCCTGTTGTTCAGGTTTTCGTCGATTTTGCAGTGGTTCGCAGACAGGGAGCAGACTGTCGTGAGGTCACACAGAAGCTTTTGATTTCGAGTGAACAGACACCACAGAAGCGCGCACCATATGCGAAAGGGGACTGTGTTGCTCTTGGACATGCAGAATGGCTGTCCAGGTTAGGTACACGTGGACGTCAAGTACGGCACAGCATTACATGACATGGCATGGACGCGTGGGGTGCAGACATCGGAAGTGTGGGCGGGGAAGTTGCGGCGTGTCTGACGCACCTTCAAGGTGGTTTGTGAGGGGGGCAAATGGCGTCACCAACGGAGTATGCCCTCATCAGATATAGTTCTGTGGACATTCGGAATGCCTCTTGAGTCCCACCGAAGAGGGATTGTCTCAGTGAACAATTCGGATTGGGCTTGGACAATCGCCGTTGCATCGAGCCACACAATGGGGATCGCAGGCACAGATCGTGCTCATGTTTCCAGCTTCTCGTGATCCTCTTCAGGTGTGCTACAGCCCTCGCTGTTTTGTCATCAGACGGGATGGGACGTTGGGCATCGTCCAGACATGTTCAAACTGACCAGGCCACCTTGCGGGCCGATTGGGCCTGCTCGAGGCACATGAATCACGTTCGAGGCGGGGTATGGCCCACGAATCGGGAGGGCAGCGGGAAGAAATTGAGCTGCAGGGTGACGACGTGGATGCTGTGAGGCGAGGGATGGAGGAGCTGCAACGTGACAGACTAGGCAAAGGGGCCAATTCTGAGGGGTTTGCTCAGCTCATCATCCATGGGAATGGACAGCCAGCCGCAGAGGAATCTCAGACACTATGAAGCGTCGCAAGAGGTGCCCAGGTGATGCTCAACAGCACGGCGCCGGTGGGTTCCAAAGAATCGCCAATTTCAGTTTCTCCCAGTGCGGGCCGTCGCGCAAGAGTCTTTGATGTCGTTGGCTACCGAGGGGGTCAAAGGTGCCGGCTTGAGTGCCCCGCGCGGGAGTAATGATGTCGATGCCACCTTCTCCACGCACAATTCCGTAAGCCCGTAGGTTCGGAAACAGAAATATGCCCATTCCATTCTGGGTAAGCAGGTTGTGGCCTGAGGCCTTCCCATCCGCCTGTCGCATCTCGCCTGCATGAAACCAGGCTGGTGGTCAGCCTTCATTTCCTAGATGAATAGTTCGTTCTGTAATTTATACTCGGTATCGCGATCGGCGGCTCTCGAGTTTGGCGAGGGACCCCCCACCGCCTGCAGGCTGTTGAGGAAAAAGGGGCATTCCGTCGGCCGGCTGGTGTCGTGGGGAATGAATGGGCGGTTTGCGCTGAAATTGCACGTCTCCCCCCAAGGGCGGGCAGGGCCGTTCGTCCAACGAGGGCAGGCGGGTGTCGGGACGAGCTCGACCCACTCTCAGACGCGAAGGTCCATGAGGGTGCAGAAGTGGTGGAGGTGCGGAAATGGGCAACGGTAATGAGGACTTGTTGGATGCCGCGAGGACAGGGCGGACAGGGAGGGTGGTGGTTCCAGAGTCAGACAGACTGGCTGCCGTTCCCCTCGTGTGCCCACGCCTGCTCGAGGCAGCAACCACGGCGGATGATTTGATGTGGATTGTCGAAGGTGCTGCCAGCAGGAGCCATGTACGTCTTTCGTCCATGAGACTGGAATCCTGGCTGGAAGGCACAGAAAGACGGCTGCAGTGCTTGATGGCTCTGAGCTCATGCAGGGACCGCATTCACTCGTGCTGTATTTTTGCTGCCATTCCCAAAGGCACGTCCACCGGCATACAGCAGACATCGGGCTGCAAGTACAAGAAGAGCATGATCGACAACGACGAATAATGCGCTCCGGCTGTCAAGTTGGCACGCAGCTCCTCCGGCGCTAATCATGGCCGCCACAGCAGCACATGTTCTTTCGTGACCAAATCTCGACCGTGTCTCAGTGATCATGTCATGCACAGGGCAGGGACCCGACCGGCTTGTGTCTTCTGACCAGAAGAATGCATGTCGTCGACGCAGACTATCAGATCAGGCAGTCAGTCGGCTGCGCAGTGCATGCGTTGTGCTGTCCGTTGGCCGCCGTTCCTCCACGCCCGTCCCGGTTATTTCCTCAATCGACCCCCGTCGCCCCATCGCCGCCGCCGCCGCCGCCTCTCCTGTGTGCTGGCTGGGCAGCACTCAATAATAACGAACGTGTACCGTAGCGGGCGCGACACCCACTCGTGCTCGCACACCCGCACCACCAGGGGGGTCCATCCATCCAGCCTAATAGATGCGCACCACTTGCACCCATTCGGGCGACCCTCCTCTCCCGCGCGCCGCCCCCGACTCCTCCTGCGTAGCTGCTGCTGTGCTGGCTGTTCCTTCCCTTCTTTTTCTGTACGTCCCATCGCATCACGAGCGCGCGAGCCTCCCCAACTCGCCTCCTCCCGCAAAGCCTCTCTGCCAGGCCTCTCTGTCTGGTAAGTCTGCACCTCAAGCATCCCGCTCCCCTACCCTTCAAGCGTCAGTACTCCAAGTCCTTGTCGATCCTCGCCGTCTCTCCATCAACCCTTCCCCTTTTCGCCGCCGTCCACAATCCTGGGCGCGCAAACCACCATAGCCGCCTCGAGCCAAAAAAAAGGGACCCCCGAGCACAAGACCGCACCCAACACGCCTGTGCCACTCCCGATTTCTCTTCCGGCCGGCGGCAAAAGTACCTCCCAATTGCATCGCTGGCTTGTCCATATTCTCGGATCGATATTCGTGAACACACCGGCGGTCAGGGCGCGGTTAATGAGCAACTTTCACCTACTTCGCCCCACTATCCTCCACGCTCGATCACGACTCTCTTCAACCCACAACTCTTGCATCCTCAGTTCAACTCTGCGAAAAGCTGGCAGCCAGCCTTGCCTCGCCCAACTTCAACAGCACACTGACCTTGTGCGATTATAGCAACCCTGTGGCACAAGAACAAGCTCGCCATCACACCTCGTGGGCCGGCCGACGAAACTTTCGTACATACGCTTGACGGACAATCGATCATCATGTCCCAATACTACGGCGAGTCCCAATGGCCCAATGGGCCTGCGCAAAACCAGCCAAACTGGGACCATCAGACGCCGCCGCCGCCAAGCCGGTCTGGTGAGTACTCGCTATGCACGGTCCCGTTGTTCGTCAATTCGGTAAACTTGGATGCTGACGAAAGGAAAATCAGGGGCTTCGTCCGTGAACCCACGCGAAGATGCTGGCGCTTTCTCCCACCAAATCGAAGGTATGTCCTCTTGAAGATCTACGCTAAGATAAATCACTGCATCGTAGCAGAAGCTGTCGTCGTGCCTGTGTTGGGACAACAAGCCTATAGCAGGGATGACCCATCGAGGCAAATCGCGGTTTGGATGGGTGACTAACAAAAGCTTCTATAGAGGTTGATCGCGCCATTGATAACCTCGTCAAGAGCGGGAAGATGTTCGGTGGATCTGGGCGGCGTGAGTTATCACCTTGTTGTGCTGAGTCACTTTGAGAGGATTGCCTGGGCCGTGTTACACCCAGCTGCATGCTCTCAGACGATCGACGATGGCTGAATAGTCGTTACTATGAACAAAGTTACTGACATCTACCGCAGACTCGAGAGGCGTCTCCGGACACGGCGGCCCGCGAAGCCATTCCGACTTCGGCGACGCTCGGGGCCCTCCGGGCCATCACGGGCCCAATTTGCAAAACTTCTATGCCTCGCAAAGACACCAAAGCTCGCGCGGCTCCAACGAGGCGGAGCAAATGATGCAGGCCAAGCGAAGGATGGCGGCTCAGCGGGAACGAGAGCTGCGAAACTATCATCAGGAGCAGCAGTACAACCGAAGTAGGCCGCCCTCTACTGTATCCCACTAGCACGAGTCTCTACACAAAATCAAACAAAGAGCGCAAGCAAAAGCCAAGTGTTTCATGTCCTGTATCGCCATCCCCAAACTTCATGTATAGTCACTTTGGCTTGGCCTGGAGGGAAGATGGTGTTTGATTCTGCCCTTGCACTGGCCCATCCGCACTTCACTTCTCAGAATGTGTCTCGTCACATGAGCGCTAATCGACGAGTTCTTATAGGCAACTCCCTCGAGCTTCCTGGCAAAGCTGAGCGGACCCTCAGCCCTGGCAACATGTCCGAGGATGATCGCCGTGACCTCATTGCCCGCCAACGAAGCGCCCTATATGGCGAAGGTACCTTCGTCGACGAGCACGGCACGAGCCGTCCTGCCGGGCCTGGCTTCTCTTCCGGACCTTCCAGCCATCGAGGCCCGTCCCCCATGGCTTATGATTACTCGCGCAGTGCTGCCTCTGTGACGGCAGACTCTGAGGGCCACGGACATAACCGTACAGCCAGCAACGCCAGCCCCCAATCGAACCCGCCGACCAACTTGGGCGTGTTTGACAACGGGAGTGGCCCCCAAGCTAGCCGCACCAGCAACTCCTCTCCGACTGGTGGCTCCCCACCTCACCATGGCGGACCCTCTGGCAAGCCCAACCAGTCTGGAAGCACGGTTGCACCCATTGGCACCCGCCCTTCTGGTGTGACACAGAATTCCAACCCTGCCATGGGCAAGCGCTCTACCACCCCCCTGCCCTCCCCACTGAGCCAGGGCTACTCCGCCGGCGATGTTGATGCCAAAGATGGCGCTAAGGGTTCTGCAGCCGCGAACCCAGCCAGCGCTGCTGCGGATGGTTACAACGGATGGGGCAACCGCTCTGGTGTCTGGGGTAACAAATCGAACCTCGGGGTGCAAGCCAGCGTCTGGGGTTAGAATATCCCAGACTTGTACACAAAAATGCAGTCGCGTCACGCCTGTTCCATCAGACGCAGCCGAATACTTTTTGGAACACCTCATCTGACTGCAGTTAGCAGTTGCAATCTCGATCCTGTCGGCAAGCGGGCATCAAGATTGTCAAGCATCTCCGAGGTGTTGTGTGGTTTTCTCTTGAGCGAATCGGTAGTCTTGAGGACGGCCATATTTTGTCATGGGTTTCTGGCCGGCTCGTGTTGTTTGGAGTTTTGTTTCACACGCTTGCGATGCCAACTCGCTGCTCATCAGGTTGTCCACACATTTGAAGCGAGGGGTCTGTCAACATTTCAGGGGTCAAAACATTATATCACCAGGTCTCGGGTGTTTCATTTAGGTGGGCGGGGAGGAATGGAAATTGCGCAAAAAACATGGATCACAAAACCAATACGGATGGGGAAACGGAATCTTGTTTGGGAACGCTTGGCGATCATCTGGGTCGTCCAGCGCGAAATGTAGGGAAAGCACGGCATCGCGTGGATCAATGGGGGCACAGGCTTTGGGTTTTGGGTCAGGTTATCATGTTTCTGGGCGATTGCAATGGCTGTCGGAGTCTCTTTTCTTTCCTTCTTTCTTGTTGTTTCGCTTGACTTTGGGCATCATTACACAGACATCTAACCACCTCACATCCGCACACGCACGCACACACACACACACACACATACACATCACCATCTAACACAAGCTCCACGCATTTTATCGGAAAGGCACAGAGATATACACATCATATTATTCCCCCCAAACGTTTGTTTTATTTCCATCGGTACAGGAGGAAAAGGAGGAGTTTTGACTTATCAAGCAAAATAATAACTGGGAATTTCGTGTCTTTTACCTGATCATGGTTGATATGGGTCATGCTCCCCTTGCTGAGATACTTGTCCGCTGTTTGGTCAACTGTTCTCTGCCTGACACGGAGATTGGGAGTTTCTAGCAACTGATGAATTTGTCAACAGATTTTGGGAAGGAAGCTTCACAATACCGGATCACGCTATGCAGGCCAGCTACTGGCCGTGATGGCTTTTTTTCTTTCTTTTAGGGACGCAGGTAAGAGAAAGAGACCTCGCTGACCCTTTTTTAATCCAGAAGATTTTGGCTAGAGCAGTAGCAACGATCTGAGGCATGGCTATGGAACTGAAAAGACCAAAGTGCTGCTGGACGATATCCGTGTATGGGCTAGGTCTTTTGTGGAAGCAAAGTCACCGACTTTCTCCCCTTCGCATGCTGCTCGGACTCTCTTTTATAATAGATAGTATGGCCCCTCCTCCGGCATGAACGCTGATTATCCATTTCATCTCTGCAAATGTACAAATAGCCGGTGTCTCTGCGTGTAAAACGTCGTCTAGAGAAAAAGAATTGTGCTGTAGCTGATGTATATACTCACAAGGCGCGGACCGGAGTGGCCCATGAATGAGAATGAAGGGGAAACTTGTGTGGACAAAGTGGCTCAAAGCCGGACAGTCTTCGTGGGAATCAAAGCCGTCTCCGTGACGTTCGGATAAAAACTGTCTGTGTGTTCTTCAGTAGTAGCGGCCGTGCTCGAAAGCTTCCCGTGGAGGCGTTAGTTAGCTTTTTCTACATACGTGCTTCAAATGCGCTACCTGCGTTAGTTTGTTTAAACCCCCTGAATCCTTCTGAACCTTTTGGCACGATATTCATTTGACTCTTCTCTGCTGTTAGTCGAGAACCGGCATTCCAGCCTGGATTAGATCAAGTTGCTCGTCACCCGCTCCTCGCATTGGAAGTCGGCAATGTTCAGTGGCCTGTGCCATATGCATACCTTCCAGCCATCTTTACAGACGCGTCCCCACGCGCTAGCCAGCAACGTGCCAGCAATCGCCGATGAGGGAGGGAGATTAACCGCGGAATGGTATGAGATGCAGGGCGACAGGTTTAGAAATAAGTAGCCTCCTCCCTTTAGCGGAAAATAGCACGCTGACTCCGAGGGGCAGGTTCAGACTTGTTATCATTGCTATCAGCGCCCGCAGCCTTTGCTTTGTGGCAAGGGAGCGCAGAGGCAAGGCGGTGTTAAGGATGTGATTGATGGTTTTGGTCGTGGACCCGCCGTATGGAGGGATGGAGCGGAGCTACGATGGTAGCGGCGGCGGCGGGCGATCCTATGAGATCCGCTCGCCGTCTTGGCAGGCTGGAGCCTCGATCTGCCTTGGACAGAAGATGGCACGATGTTGAAAAAAACTGGCCGGTGATAAATCCTCCAGCCATGGCTGATGCGTGGTCGTTGGAGGATCGGGCGCTAATGCACGCGCCCGTTCTGTCGTCCATAAGGGGTAAACGTCTAGAAGCAGGTTGGGGATCTGCTTGGTGGCACACATGCCGGTTGAGCCCCCAGAGGTTGAGCTTGGCTAAAAGCATTTTTGGCCAGGAGTCAAGCCCAGACAATTACGGTGTCGGATGGCTGTCCTCTTTACGCTCTGTACGGGCTTGAATGCGACGGGAATCGCACATGAAGCTGCGAGACTGTATTCAACGTAGAATATCCAACTTCGAAAACGCTTGTCTATGGAGTGGCCCACACGTGGCTGGACAAAAACGTCCGCGCCTCGAGCACGCTGAGTAGTCTATCGCACTGAATCGAGAATGGTGGACCTGACTGAGACAATTTCGCATGTCATTCTTTGTCCCAGCCGATATTTCCCTTGCTTCTGTTCTTTGCGCTGCTCGATGCAGTTGCCATGTCTGGAACGGAAGACCTATTGCCGTAGGCAGACTGCCCACCCCTCACAGGCTTGCTAGAGCCCAGCTGGAATCTGCTCCTCCAACAACGGAAGAGGTTGGCTGGGCGCAAACACCGCGAAGCAAGCTTAGCCTGAGTGAAACTAGGCCGAGCGAATTGTGCAGTGACTTTGTCCAGGGCAGCCCATGATGGTGCAGGGAACTCATAAAAGACGGTTACAAAGTAGGATGCGTGTAGGGGAAATCAAGCTTACTAGAAAGGCAGCGACTGACTGAGATGCAGCGCCAGCATATGTGTAAAGTGGCTTGCCGCCACATCTGCTCAACCGTGGTTTGCGGCCGGACGGGATTTTAGCCGTGGTGAGACATTGCGTTTCTGCTTCGGTGGGCAGCCTGGTCGGCACTTCTGGGGTTGGTTTGTCACAGCATCGACCAGTCATCACCATTACTGCCACTGGCTTGTGCTTATGCTGGTGGCATGCCAATACATTTACTCCATGCAGGTGAGGCCGCTGTGCTTCTCAGATCCTTGCAGCTGACTTCACCCATTGGTTCTTTCTGATTGAGCCACGAACTACGCAGTACGCAGCAGTGTTCCCTTGGTTGTCGTTGTGGAGACAGGAGGCTGATGCCAAGGATCGCCCCAGCTGGCCGTTGCCCACTCTTCCGAACCCCTGTTGACCTCATATCTTCGGGAGCTTCGTGAGCACACAGACCTTTCCGGAGCTATCATAAGCCATCCAATCACAATCTGGGTCCAGCCCAATATGAAGTAGTCGCATCTGGCCGCAAATTGCCATCAGTTGGAACATGGTCCATGGGATGTTGACCCTGAATCCCGAAAGCTATGCCTTGCCGGTCGTCAGGCTTCTCAGCCAACCTAGCCTCGCTATGTACCAGGACAACCGATGCGGAAGCGGAAATTACAAGGTATAGCAACAAGCGTGTTCCATGGTCAGGGGTTCAGATCAGCTCCGGAGAAAGTACGGAGTAGCTTCGAAAGCGCTGTGCCCCAAGAGCTGTTCTCTCAACAATCGTGAGCGACGGTAACCAGTTCTGGGGCCTTGGTGTGACGTCGGCTAAGCTGAGAGCCAACAACCCCCAGGATGCATTTCGTTACCATGATTATGTGCATGGTCTTTGTAAGCGCAGGTATTCAGCCTAGAGGTGAGCGGAGCCGTCTGTCTTCTCGGACCCCACATCTTGCTTGGCTTGGCGTGCGCAGACTGGCCACATGCAGCGCAATGAGCATTCCGTAAGCGCCAAAAATTGCCGTGTCCCGATATAGCGTTGAGTGGCCAGTTCCGCAACGGAGGCTTCGTGTTGGATTCAAGCCAAAGATCGGACGGCCAACAGCAAGGCGGGACGCAGTGACGTCCCTAATACGGGGGCTGTGGAGTCGTAGTGCAGGAAGTTCCCTTCCAGATGGATTGTTTGACCAAAGGGGCTGGCCAGGTCAGGGATCAGGTGGGTGCCGAGCAGGTGTCGTCCCTCAGGTTGAGTGCCTGTCATTTCAAGCGGTACTGCGTAGGTCACGTCGCTCGCGCGCCCAAACTTGTGGTCTCTGTACCTGGCAATTGCCTCTCTCGTGTTCGAAATCAATGTCCGCATATCTTGAAGTCCCTATCTGAGCAGGTGTTGACCAGAACCACTAATGATCACGACGGAACACGAGGGATCGCTGGAGGAGGGGCACGGACGCGCCATCCTATTAAAGAAGCCACCTTCCGTGTCGTGCGTGTCCTGAAAAGGGTCCAATGGTCTTGCCCCTAACCTTGAAGGAGTCTCCAGGGTTTTCAGGCTGGCCGGGAGATCGTTTGTGGGGACTTTGCGCTACAATCACACCATGGCGGCGCCAGCACGTGCCGGGGCTGCTGTCGCTATCAAGGACTTTGGCTGACTAGAAGCACTGGAAATTGGACCGATGGAGGTTGCTATCGCAGCAGGACGGGCGTGGAGCAGCTGCACAGGTCGACAAAGTATGTAGCAACTGTCAAGCTTATGGACGACTTGAAGGCGGGATCAATAGCGTGCTCGCGCCGTACAAATTTAGACCGTGCCATGCCAGTCCAGTATAGATTGTAGCCGCGACCGGCATCAATTAGGGGCTTGTCCATTAGTGTCGTTGGTGACGATGGTTCTCATGGTGTTTGCTGCCTCCTTCCGCAGCTAAGGGACTTAATAATCATGGACGGAATGTTTGGCGTATCGTTGCTTCTGCTGCAAAAGGCAGGAGCCAGCTCATGGACGTTGGAGGCACCTTTGCTCCTTCCCGAGTGACTACAACGGCCTGCTCATTGTCGATAAAGCACCCAGAGGCATACAGGGGTGTCTCTTCTGCCCCAAGCTTGGTCTGGATACGTACCCAAGGCCGTCTACGGACATGGGGGACGGAGTAGCTTTGGAGTAATTAGGTGGGAGCACCAAGCACCGTGCTGTTTGTCGCCAGCCCAGCCCGCCTCGAGTCAACACGGGTATGCACGAACCGAGCCAGGAGACACCCTACTGCAGCTCGCAGCTGACTGCTGACCGCACGCTCAACCAGGCCAAGGACTGCGCCCTACTACGTGTGATACGCCTTGCTGAGGCACACACCGTCATGTCTGCGGGTGGCACAACAAAGGGACTGCGGGCGGTGCCTGGCTTGATCCTAGGCCCTCAAAGGCACACAGCCAAGGAGCGTCCGTTGCTCAAGTGTAGTAGTATTCTAGCAACCCACCACAACCAACCTGCCCGGTCGCACTTCCCTTTCCTTCGGCCCCTGGCACCACACAGTGCTGCACCCCGCACACTGTCCACACCCGTCACCACCTGCAGATGCACTTTCGCTCTGTGACGCCGGACCCCCTTCGCCTCCCACCTCACTGCTCCTCCTTCCCTGTGTGCTGAGGACATCAAACACCAGCACCGACTCTTTGGAGACTCTTGCTCCTTGTCTCCCGCCTTCGTCTCCTTTGGACCATCGAGCAGGCTTTGTCGATTCCGTTCCACAACCACTGCATTCCCTCGGCCCTCGCTAGCCACGGCAAGGCGCTCTTCGGCTCGTGCGACTTCCCGCCAGTTCGTTTGGCCCGTCTTTCGACCAGACGCAACCGCTGCGCAGAGAACTCCCCTTCTGGACAATAAACGTTGCTACTCATGCTTCTGCCGTCGCTGCCGACCTCATGATCTAGACGACGACGACGTCCTCTCCCTCCGAACCGAGTCCGGCGTATCACGCATCTCTTATTCACCTCTCTTCGACACCCGATCTCGCGTGCTCTGGAGCCGCTCTTTCAGCAACTAGAGTCCACATACACCCCATTCGGCACCACGCCCGTCTTTCCGTTCCCTCGCTTTAGGCCTGCCCGGTACACGTGCGGCCATTCACCTGTTACGACTAGTCCACCGACCAGTTCCTCGTTGATCTCGACCACAACGGGCGTCACGCCATAGCCGTTTGCTGTTGACGACTCTTGACTTCTGGCGACACAACGCACGATCAAATCCACGCCTGCCCGGCCACAGCGCTGCGCGGCTCGATCCTCTCCGTTGCGACGCCCTGATTCTGTCCAAGGCATACCACCACAAGGATACACGGCAGCGTCTTCTGCTTCCTCACCTGGAACGTTCTGTTCAACCATCACGTCCCCAACAAAAAGTACATACGATTTCGTGCGGGTCCATCTTCATGGACAGTCGACCGGCAGCGGTAGACTCGAATCATACTTACCCCCCTCGACTCTTTACGCGATCAACCTCGAGTCCAGCAGTTCCCAAATTAAGCTCGGCAACGCAGCCCTCTGCAAATTTGAGTCTTGACCCCGCACCGAGCGTGCAGTATTATTCCCACATCGGGCTGTGGCCGGTCCTCCTTCCTCATCAGTCGTCGCTCTTCCAAGCACAGTTGCTGCAGTATAACAAACTCATCGCGCCTGGTCGAGGTGGCGGCCTGCAGACACCTCCACTGCCGCCACTCCTGTCGAGTCAGAACGCTCACGCAGGGACTCGGTCCCGATCCTCCTCCAAGACGTCCAAGCAAGAGCAACGTGCAAAACAAGGATCTCAAAGCTGCCATGGGAATAGGAGCACCTCTGCTACCCCAGGCAAAGGCGAGCGAGTTTCTGTAACGAACAAGGAAACACTGCAGACGACACCAAAAATGGTCCCACCTAAAAAGACAGACCTGGCCAACCCCTTGCCGCCTCGGCCGTTCAAACCGTCAACATCTCCGGCGGCGGTTGTGCCTCACTCGAGTTCCGTCCCATCGACTCCAAGACAGCGTGCCCGCAATTTCTCTTTCGAATCCCGGGAACAGTCACCTAGCGCAAACCACAACCATTCGCCCCGATCTGTCTACTCTGAGACAAATGGAACGGTGCCTTCATTACGCCCGCTGCCGCCACCTCGGGCGCCGCCGTGCAAGTATGAGACGGGGCTCAAGTTTTCGCGGCGAAGAATACCCTACAACATTGGCGATGCCCCATTGGACAAGGTTGATCTCAAGACCGTGAAGGCCAAGTTGACCGATCCGGAGCAGGAGAAACTCACAAAAGACATGAACGAGCTGTATGACAGGTTACAACCGACAGCGTCTATCGAGCAAAATCGGCATCAACTCGTGCGGAAACTGGAGAAGTTGTTCAATGATGCGTGGCCAGGGCATGATATCCGAGTTCATCTATTTGGGTCGTCTGGAAACTTGCTATGCTCTGATGACTCTGACGGTAAGATAACGATATCATCTCGCGCAATTGAATCACTGGCTGACGCTTGTTGTGAAAAGTTGATATCTGCATAGTCACGCGCTGGAAGGAGCTCGAATCAGTCTGCAAGATAGCGGATCTTCTGGCTAAAAGTGAGGCGATCCTCGATCTTTGGCGTTCAACAGGACAAAAATTGCTAACGTTGCATAGATGGCATGGAAAAGGTGGTTTGTGTCAACTCTGCAAAGGTCCCAATTGTCAAGATTTGGGATCCGGAGTTGCAGCTGGCTTGCGACATGAATGTCAACAACACCCTAGCGCTCGAGAACACACGCATGATCAGGACGTACGTGGAGATTGATGATCGGATACGACCTTTGGCGATGATTGTCAAGCATTGGACGCGGCGGAGAATTATAAACGACGCTGGTAAGCATATGGAATATCCTCCCACCTAAACTCTTGATCGTAATTCTGACATCGTACAGCTTTCGGCGGGACGTTGAGCTCATACACGTGGATATGCATGATCATCGCATTCCTGCAACTGCGTCAACCGCCTGTTGTGCCGGCACTCCATCAGCGCCAGCACCAAATGCTCCCTAAGAAGGATGGGGAAATGGCTGCGTTCGCCGATGACCTTGATCAACTGCGAGGGTTTGGCGAGAAAAACAAGTCAACTCTGGGCGAGTTGCTCTTCCAGTTCTTCCGTTTCTATGCGCACGAATTCGATTATGCGAACAATGTACTCTCAATACGACTCGGCAAGACAATCTCGAAGCGAGAGAAGAATTGGCACCTGGGCATGTTGAACAACAGGCTCTGTGTTGAGGAGCCATTCAACAACGAGCGCAACCTCGGCAACACTGCTGATGACACAGCTTTCCGCGGTTTGCACCTTGAGCTGCGCCGGGCTTTCGACCTGATTGCACAAGGCAAGTTGGACGAATGTTGCGAGCAATTCGAGTACCCCAAGGAGGAGGAGAAGATTTTCCAGAAACCAGCTTCGACTTCTCGACCAGTCCTGCTTAGGAGCGCTTCACAGCAGCAAACGAACCGACAGGGGCGGGGCGGTAGCAGGACGAGTGGCCGGCAGCAGACTCAATACCGAGCCAGCGGAGGCACTCATGCCAGCAACAACAGCGCAAACCGTAGGGCGTCCTCGGGTGTGACTTTTGACGGGAATGCGAATGCCATGTTCCTTGCAGCTGGGTATCCTATGGCAATGGGCATGCCAGACGCATCGATGTATATGCAACAACCGTCCCCTGAGGTCTTGGCGCACACACTGTCGCAGCTCCAGCTTCAGGAGAACAACCTGCGCTTCCTGCAGTACACCCAGTCGCAGGCGTTTGCACAGCAACAGGCGATGGCTCATGCGCAGAGGATGCAGAGTTCTTCAGCTGGTCCCGCATCGTCTGGCCGATCAAGAACGAATTCGTTCGACACGCCGATGACCGCCCCAATGCGGAACGATGTTCGGCCTGAGATGTATTACTACCCACTTCATTTCCAGGCTGCGCAGGCATTCTACGCACAGCATGGCTATACGTACCCGCCATCGCCAACACCGAGTTCCAGCAATGATCTGAGACGGGCGTCGCATCGTTCATCGGCAGCGAGTGATGCAGCATCAAGTCCAGCAGGCAGCACACTGAGATCGCAGTCGCAACCCGCTTCTCGCCCGGTCAGTGGTACCAGCACGGCCCAGAGCCTGCAGATCCCACCGTTCAGTTCGAACGGCATCTCTGGCAGCCCTTCCAAATTTTCGCACGGCTTGTCGGTCCCCACGCTGGCTTCAGATGAAAGCAATGACGTGTCCTCCAGGGCTAGCCCATCAGCTCTCTCACCAGACGAGCGGGCGAGGACGAGCGTGCCAAAGGGGACTCTGGATCCTGGCCCGCTCCTCGTGGGGACGTCCAGAAGCTTCCCCAGTTTGGGTGATGATGCCATCCGTGGGTCGCCAGTTGGGAGAAGACGGCCATCGGCAGACCAGTTTCCTCAGGTTGTTCTTGATAGGATCAACAGGTCATCGCGCTCACCTTCTCCATTAGATCCTGGCCGCTCTCAAACTCGCGCCAACAGCTCTAGTCCTTTTGCTTCCACTACGTCTGGCCAGAACTCGAGTCCTGTGAAGCAAGACCCAACCCCTCTGGTCGTCAATGGGTCAATCTCGATGCCCTCAGCGAATGGTATAGCCCGGGGTTCAAATGCAGGAACCACAAGTCCAACGGAGTCGATGACGGCATATGACAATCCATTACATATAGTGCAACGTTCCGACACGTCAGGCTCCATAGTGCACACCCCCTCGAGTCATTCCTCGGTGTCGGGATACAGTCCCACTCCCGATCGCCCAATAGTCGTCAATGGCACGACTCCCACGATGTCGTACACCCCTAACTCTTCGGCTTATACAACGTACGACTCAATGCCGTCTAGCAACAGCAATACAGTGCAGTGGATTCAAGGCACATATGGGAATGGACAAAATGGCATGATTAATGGCAACTTCATGCAGTGGCCACAGTTCCCTCCTCGAGGACCACCAAATCCACTCATTGCTCATCTGGACCTTGCAACACGTAACGAGGTACAAGATGGACAGGTGCAGCACCTCTCGCCGGTCTACGAGATGAATAGTCCGTCGCCTACTTTGGCCCGCACCGTAGAAGTGGCTGCCGCACAGTCCAGCCCCCGACCAGCTATGCAGGTTCCGAACAAGCCCGACAACAAACCGGAGCAGGGCAGACCGAAGCAGAAGCAATCGGCGGAACGTCCCGAAAATCATCAGGCCACAAATCCACGCATCAACGGGCTGGCTCGTGAGAATGGGCACACTAGGGGCGCCAAGAGCGAGAGTGACAACGTGGCTGGTGGCGGCGGCGGCGGCTGGCAGAAGATCTCGAAAGGGAAGAAGAAAGGCGGCGACGTCAGGGTCAAGAGCGAGCCCCAGTCACAGCGTGAAGAACTGCCCAAGGATGAGTCTGAAAGAAAAGGCGGCTGATCGACGTTGCCATCCAGTGGAGGTGAAGGCACAGACCAAGATCCGACAAAAACACATTCGACTGATGTACTGTCCTTTTTGGATATCGTTTAAATACGAAGGCATGCGGGAGCACATGGTCCTGACCGCCGCCTCGAGCCTAGCATCGACCAGCTATCCGGACGGCCGATGACATCGCCGCACAGCATCTTTCGTACAGCCTCTCAATGACGTTGTGTCACTACCGACCGCGTCGGAGCGCGGTACTCCAAGCTTGTCTCAAGATGACTATCAGCACTTGGTTTTCTGCGTGTCCCTGGACAGCGACCGGATGGGCAGACGCTGTGATCCCAATCTCGTCAAGGGTGGGGTTCGGCATGCTGTTCACACAGTAGCGGGTGTTGTCCCAAAGCGTTTTTTGCATCATCACCAGCGGCAATTTTTCCAGCATCCTTACAGGTCCTGGTTTCATTAGGCATGCAGTTCGGTCCAGGATTGACCTGCTCTTAAACGTTCGCGTTGCATCTGTTTCATTCGGCAAAGGCATGGTAGCACCAGGATTCAATTTGTTTATGTCATGTGGTAGCATTGAGCAGCAGCTGGGATATATGTCTTTTCAATGGCACTTGCATGAAGCACACATACCCTTTTCATAAAGTGGCAAAAGGCGGCGTTTGTTACATTAAAATAAATAGACAATAAAAAGAAAAAAGAGTATAAAAGTGCACAACTCACCGACCTGGGTGCTGTGATTGCTCGTTGGCAAGCACCCGCGAAGTCCTGAGTGCGGAACGGATAGAAGAGTGTTTATGTAGACAGGGTGATTTACCTGTCACGGACGGGCACATGCGGGAATAGGGCATACGGCAGTGCCGCTTGCCGGACGTGTCATGGAGATTCGCGACGCTTCGTAGAGCTCCCGTTCTGTATGCCAAATCATACATCACTAGCTTGATGAGCCCTTTGCACTAATGGCTCCCGGCGAAAAACTCAATCACTTGGTTCAATGTAGGCTACCCTCAGACTCCATCCTTCTCCCTGGGGTGGGGGGGGGGGGGCACAGTAGAAAAAAAGGAACCCGGGAAGGCAAGAAAGAAAAAGACATGTCCGTAGGTGTGGCAAAAGGGGGAGAACATGACAAAGTCACGCCATCCAAGCACGAGTGCAATACTGGATAGCTTTCTTACGAGTTTTGAGGCGCTATCTGTTGCGGGGACGGGACAATATATGATCATCATCGTCAATCATCTTTATTCCCCCCCCTCGTTAGTCTTCTTTTTTTGTCTTCCAAAGGATGTCAATTTGTCAATTTTTACATAAATCCCCAAAACGCCACAGGGAGAGGCGAGCGGGCGGCTTCGCAGAACTAATTCGCAGTGGCTAACTATCGGAACGTGCGTGATACTACAAAAGACCTGCTGCGGCTGCTGCGACAGCGCCCACGGCGGCCAGGATACCTGCGACGGCGGCATTGTCACCCGTCACCAGCGTCGGCGCTGCGACGGCGGCAGCAGCACCACCGGTAGGAGTTGTTGTAGTGATTGTACTCCCGCCAATGCCGATGTTTGTTCTTGTTGTTCTTGATGATGATGTTGATGATTTCGTCTTGGCTGAGCAGGAGACGTCGGTGAAGGTCGAGCCGAACGAGGCGTAGACGTCGTAGTAGCACGCGGTGCCGTACCAGTCGGGGGTGCCGCCGGCTCCTCCAGTAACGACGCCGCCGCCGCCGCCGCCGCCGTGATGTGTCTTTCCCTGCGATCCGGCAAGATCGGTGGTCACGATGGTGGGCTGGGGAGTGACAAGGGGATCCTCGGGAACTCGCTGTCTGAGGGGAGGGGGTGGTGCTGGGGCACCATCGGCGAGATCCCGTTGTTGTTGTTGCGGTGGATTCACGTGACCAAGCGTTGTGATGCTCAGAAGCAGCAGTGCCGTTGACAAGAGGTTGTGCAGCTGCATGGCTGGTTGCACGTAATAATAATAATGAGATTATGTGTAGGTGTGTTTGTTTAAGCTTCAATGAGAAAAGGTTTTAAGCTTATCGCGCACGATACGTGTTTGTGCCGAGGAGCATGAATCACTGGCGCAACGATTGTTCTTCTTGTTCTTGTTGAGAAAAAAAGACCGTGTTCTTATGCTTTTCTTTCCTTGTACTCTGTAACCAGCCTGCAGGTTCACACTTCCTTCATCTGGGGATTTGAGGCCTCTTGTGTCGGCGAGCAGTGCCGGCAGCCAAGACTCGAGAAGGGAGCCAGATGCCTACCGCTTAATTACAGAAAGAGGGCCTGCCTGCCTGCAATGAATGATCCCTTTGAGGCCCTTGCCGATCAGCGTGGCTGGCACGCGACTTGTGATGTCGTTGCCCGCCAGGCTTGTGCCTGATTGGCTCGTCTGTGTGAACCCCCCCAGGTTGTCGATCTCCGCTGGGCAGGGCTAAGCTCTTTTGGCCGGGGCTGGGCACCCTGATTGGCTCGTGTCTGCTGACTTGCACTGCCAGCACATACACATGAGTTGCTTACCTTGAGGTAACTAAAGTACGTCGTAAGTACGTATCTATTTCTGGGGGCGGCCGCAAAGTCTTGGCTCTCGCCAGCCAGCATGGCACGGGCGAGGCTGACCTGCAGCGTGGTTTGCCGTGTTGCGTCTTCACCTCCGACCTGTGCACAGGATAGGCTGCACCCCCCGGGAGCTCAATTTGGCCATGGGTGTGACGTCAGTCTCTGACCACTGCACTCGTTTCTGCACAAAGGGGGCTCGGTCGGTCGGCAATCAGCCAACGTGATCAAAAAGAGGCCGCCCTTTGCTGCGCGGGGGATCAGGGGCGCGTAGGCGTGGGTCAAGTAGTTCTCACTGATGCTTGGGCTCCTCACACCACGAGACGTTGAGCGAGTCGAATAGTGCGTGGATGGGAGCATTTAGTTTCTCGAGAATGCCGTACGAGTACATTCGCCGGCTACTCATCCTGTACCGCTCTCTGCTTCCCTCAATTTAAACCCTCAGTTCCCACAAGACATGCCCGCTTCCCTTTTCTAGTCGCCGAGAGAACTCTGTGATATTGCCATCTCGCCATCTGCTCGTCCCCAAGTAACCCTCCGGCGTCCACTACAGCATCGCAGCAACAACAAGGCCCGCCACACCCGCCACTCCCAAGTGCGTCGGCTCGGGCCCGAGGCCTGCAACAGCAGCGGCCCCGCCCGTCGAAGTCGAAGTTCCAAACGATGCATCTGCTCCATCCTTGGTCTTGGTCTTGGTCTTCCCCGTTGCCCTTGCGGCCATGTGTACTGCCGTGGGCAGCTGGGTAAAGACTGGCGCCGCGGCCGTGGACGCAGCAAACGCAGGCTGCTGCTGCTCGAGGGCGACGGCCGTAGGATCGGGCTGTGGGTTCGCTGACGCCAAGCCGGCGGCTGCGAGGCCGCCGAGTAGGATAGTCCTCGTCAGGATCTGCATCTCGAGTGGTGTCTTGTGCTAGTAATATTCTGTTGTGCTTTGTCGCTGGCTGTCTTGGGCTGGATGATGGTGTCTTTGGGTTGATGTAGTTTCGACCAGTCGACTTCCCGGTATTTACTCCTCTGTACGATGTAACAATTATGGATCAGGGAAGAGGGTTCCTTGAAATGTAAAGCTGACGGTATGAATATCTTTCTGCTGCTGCTATGATCAGCGGTCTCAGCCGCATAGTTATAAGACACCTAGACACTGCAGCTGAAAAGTGACAGCCAATAGCCTTTGAAGACGTCATCGATCCCGAGCGCAATCCGAGCCTTTCAAAGACAATATTAACCCCAGCCTGTTGGAAGGGGGGGGGCTCTTTCAACACAGTCCAGAGTGTGACTTCACACACACTGACTCGAACCGGGCGCCCCCCCCCCCCCCCTTCCTCTTTGCGAACTGGCTTGTCATGACGCAAACAGCTCTAAAGCTTGGGTGAAAGCACAAGGCAACCGACATGATAGTCAAGCTGGACAGAGGAGACTGGCACTACCGGTACGCCTGAGCCTTGGCGGTGAGGGCGCCGCGGGCGCCATGTGCAGAGGCTTGGTGCTGAGTTTCTTCTTTCCGACTGCTTCGTCATGTTGCTTCGACTGTTGGAGAGCGGCAGGGTGACCCCAACAATCCTTGTAAGAACTCTGGATATCAAAAAAATAAATAAAAGAAAATCTTGAAAACAAAGCCAAAATCGAGTCCCGTGGCGGGATCTGCATATTCGTGGACTGCTGTAGAAATAGATTTCGTCTCGTCAAGCAGATACCAAGCCAATTGCTGGCACAACCCGGGGCATTTATCATATAGTGTGGAGATCGTGGCCAACCATGGAGCCTAAAGTCTCTTGGTAACTTTCTGGTCAGGCCGAGGCGAAGCGGACATAGAAAAAAACAGATCATACAGTATTACAACGGCGGGATCGGGCTGCAGAAGTTCGAGCCCCTGGCCCATGGCGGATGGACCACATCTCTCGTTTTATGGTCATATAACCATATTTCCTGAAGACATCAACAAGGGGCGTACAAATCTTTGTATAGAGGAGTCATTTTGCACCATGGGCTCTGCACCTTGTGCTCACCATCTCCAATCCCAAGCTGCATGTAACAACTTGGCCTTATGGGTTGATCCAGTTTGTGAGTTAAGGGGTGACTTCACCATCTGACGTCTACGAGGAATATCGAGGATGCTAGAGAACAAGACTTGCTACCCGTGCTTGTCGATGCAGGCAGGTCTTTGCATCCATTTTGTAGGAGGAACCGAGACAGGCCGGAAGCAATGCGGGCTTCTATGTGTGCTCGCTGAGGTGCTGCTTCGACCCCGGAGCGTGGGTGTAAGCACCATTTCTATGTCCTGGCGATGGTGCCAGTACATCGCAGCTGAATGCAGCATTTATCGTGCTCTTCTGGATCTCTTGACCACAGGAATCCGATTATCGGCTCTGCAGTGACTATCTGAGTAATGCCCTTGTCTCCCTTCGACGTGCTTAACCTCTCGACGTGAGGGTTTCGCCATGAGATTGACTGATGGGACCAATCAGCGAGTTCAAAATTTTGAAACACACAACCTTACGACGCCCTGCCAGGGCAAAATTCAGAACTGGAGAACCTCGCTGGCCAAAGTCGTCCAAGTGCTTTGAACAAAGCTCTGATCCGAATCCTTCATCAGCAAGTCGGCTGGCCCATGCATGTGCCATCTGACGCCTTGCATCGCCACGTGCGTTCAGTACTCTCTGCCAGCACGTGCCCTTCTCATGCTCTTCTCATAGTCTGGGCTTTTTCAGAGGGTTTCAATAGCATGGGACTGTCAGTCCTGCCCTCCTACCTTCGCGAGCAACTGCGGTATGCTTTTGGCAATGGTGCGGCCGTGTCTCAGAACCTTCAGCGATAATGGAGGGGGTCACATGGACGCTACAGCCAGGATCTAGTCCGGTCATCGAGAAACAGCCAGACATCAAAACAATCGTGGGTCGGCGACTGGCGAAACGTCGCAGGGTTGGATCAAACTCAATCCACAAACGGTGGTGTTGGCCGTGGTGGGGTTCAGGCAATGGCGAAACATCTGGAAACCGGACTCGTCTCAGCTTTGCAAACATACCAGGACCCCAGGAAAGCATCAGTCAAAAGAGTGATTCCTCACAAAATGCAGTAGTCAGAACCCAGCACTCATGAAATACGTTTCGAGAATTTCAGACGTTTGGGAGTCAGACCAATGGCACGCAGGCTGCAACGGTCATCTTGGAGTGCCCCTTGTGGTGGTGTGGGCTTGTGTGCTGCTATGCTTGCCACGTTTTGCGCATGTGCATTAACAGAACGGCAAGGCCGCTTCTCGTCGAGGCTTGATCGCTCCATGCATACAGGTCCCAAGAGATTCAGTGCCTCTCGCGCAAGGTTCTGGCGGCTGCGTTTCAATCTGAGCTATCATTGTTAGAGATCCTGAGCTATGATCGTCAGAGTGCCGAGCACTGGTTTTGGCGACGCTTGCTTCGACCCGAGCCCTCGCTTCTGATAGATTGTGGCTTGGGCCAGACTCCAAACTTTGCGCTGTCACGCTCGTGCAACCAGCGGTGTAACTAGCTAATGCGCGCAAATGGCTGTGTATCTCTGACACGTCACTGGCTGCACGGCTGGTGATCGTACACAGGGGAAAGCCTCCATGTGCCATAGACAACGTGGAACTGTGCATGTCAGCTTCGGCCCACGGGCAGCGCGCAGGGTGAAAACGTGGCGCTCGACCAACCGTGCCACGCATGGCTGCAGATGTGAAGAACAGCCTCAGAGGTCCGCTTGAGTAGGGCGCAGAACACGGCTCACTACGATGGGCATCCGCCGGCTTTGCAGACCCACGCGCTAGTGCTGTTGTCAGTCCTCAGATGACGATGCTGGAGTGGAAATGGCATGGCCAAGCAGTGCGAAAGCGTCCAGTAGGATCACGGCTCACACTCAGGGCAAACAACTTCTGTTGACGCAGTGACTCGACGAAGAGTGATCGTCATTCTGTAGCCACAGTGGGGCGTCAACAACTGGCAGCAGAAGCGTGTCGATCTGGCAGATGTGTGTGTGTGTGTGTGTATGGCAGGGCCACGACGAGCCGTTGGATCAGCAACGACAGCAGCATGTCAAAGCCCCATGGATCGATCGCGAGGACAACAGGTCTTGTGGTGGTGTCGTGCTGTCAATTTGCTGCCCGCAGAGCTAGAGTGTCTAGTCTGGGGGATGGCGCGATGGCCATCCCACTATCACAGTCGCCATGAGCTCCTAGGCAATGCTAGCAGGGCAGTTTGATTGGCGGCTGGGTCGCGTGAGTGACGGGACCACACTTGCCAGGACCATGAGCACGCCAACACGCCTTGGTGCTCAGGCCAACTCCTGTTTGGTGGGCATCGGCCAGATTGCGCGCATCGCAATGGAGAGCGCGGTGAGGGGTGTTCAACGTGCGCCTGGGTCGAGAACCGTGGTCCAGTGTGGGATGAGCGAAGCCAGGAGGAGCAGGAAGGCAAAGCCACTCTCAAGATAGAAGTCTGACGGGCGCCAGCAGTGGCGCGGCACATGACAGCTGCAGCGATGACATACTCCGTTTGTGGGGTGAGGCGATGGAGAGGGCAGAGACTGGAGTGCGTGCTGCAGTGAGTAAGATTAAGGTGATTTGTGGACATGCACGATTGGCATGGGCCCGTGGCAGCCACGATGGGAGGAGCTCCCCATTGGGCCTAGCGCCAGGCACAAGGGGCGAGTGACCCTGCTTTTTGTGTGCCTGGCAGCAAGGAGGCCCGCGCCTTGCCTGCGAGTGAGCAGTGCGCCTGGGGAAGGGGACGATGACAGCCCACATCCAGATCGTGGGCGTCGCCAAAACAACCACCCTCGGCCCTGGCCACGATCCCGCCTCTCGGCCAATCAAGATCCTCTCTGCGCGCCCAGCCAGGCCTCTCTTGCAGACCCCAGCGACAACCCAAGGCCCCTCGGAAATTGGCCCAGCGACCTTCTCCTTCAATCTCAGCCAAGCCCGTCCTCCCCAGCGATCAAAATTCCCGCGCCCCTCCTCGGCCTGGGAGAGAACACAGCAAACACAATGCCTGACCGCCATCGTGACACCAGTCCAGCGCGCTTTACGCGCCCAACGGGCCTGCTGCGCGTCGGCAACACTGGCCACTGGGCCATCTGGCCTAGCCCGCTCGCTGTCCATCTCTTGCACCGAGACCCAACGGCCACAGCCCGAACCGACAACACTTGACAGCGCAAATTTACCTGCGACACAGGGCGAGCACACGGAGCAAGGCACCAGGTAGGCTGGCCACAGCTCATGGCACCGTAGTAATACAAGTGAGACGAGAGAATCGCCGGAGGAAGCACAAGCACAAGCAAGAAGCCGCTTGCCATCAGTGGGTGGGTCCGTAGACAGACTCTGGGTCTTGGGCGGGCGACAGGCTCCATTTCATGCAGTCCAGTCCCTACGGACGGCTCTTCCTCTCGCCACATCACACCCAGACACGACTCGCCAATCGCTGTCGAGGCACTCATTCAGCTCCCGAGTAACAGAAAGCCTTTACGGGCCGACAGAGATTGACCGCCGCGACAGGACCTAAAAGAGTTTTCACCCGCCAGGTCGGTCAGAGTTCGCCACGTCAATCACGCCAACGCCTTTCCATGCCATGCCCAGCTGGTGCCCGACCAGCAGACAGCGCGAAACGCACATTGTCACCCCTCACCGCGACGTGGGCGCAATGGTTTGCATGTTCTGAATACACTTGAAACAGTGGGCGGTCCTATGCTACCTCATGTACCTGCGACAAGAGGCCTAGAAGAGGTTACCAGCTGTCTTCTGAAGCGGCCCCCCCGCAACCAAATACTCCAGCAGTCGAGCCGCTCGGGCGAGAAAAGTCTGCTCCATAATATAGGGTCAAGCAGCGTTGGTTACTCAGGACTGGGTACACTCAAGATGGGGCTGGAGACACCCCTTGGCAATGAGAGACCTGGCGCAGGAACACACCCCCCTGCAGTTAGCCTGTTCCTGGCGCTGTCCCTGGCACTAGCCAAGCAGGTCTTGCAGTGCCGTGGCCCACTCACACCCCTCAACACCCCGGTCTAGTCATGCTTTCTAGCTCTGGGCCTCACTTGCGACTCAAGCCCGCCAGCAGGGCCGCCCGGTCTCCTTCTCTTTTCGCGCGCTGCTGCTGGCTGAGTATCAATGAGTGGGATCGTCGACCCCCCCGAAGCCAGACCTGCATGGCGCTGTGCTACCCGTCGTCGTTATATGCGCACTGCCGCCCACACCAGCGCACCTGATGCGCCTACTCCTTCTCCTCCTTCCCCAGATCACCAATCCGTTCACGTACTACAAGACTTCGTTGGCAGAGTCTACTCTTCGCTTTCGTGACGACTATCGCATCCTCCACTTCAAGTACCGAGTACTTTTACAAAACCTATCCCTTCAGCAACCCTCACTCGCCAGTCGCAGCTCCACGCGCGCAAGCAGCCATCGCTTCAGTATCTCAGCCCTAGCACCACGTGCCAGCTCAACCGAGACACATCCCTTGTTGCAACATTGCATTCCAGCACTCTTCACAATGCAATTGTCTACTCTCATCACCGCGGCACTCCTGCCCGCTGCTGCGTTCGCCGATGTCGTCTACTCGACCTCGACCTCGACAACCACGCTCACCCACTACATCACCCTGCAGAAGGTCAGCACGTCGACCGCCTTCACCTCTTACGCCGTGAACACGACTTCTCAGTCGTACTACCCGACCGGCTCATGGTCCAGCGCTTCCATCACTCTGCCCACCTCCACCTCCACCACCACTAAGGGACCTACCACAACTCCCTCCGTTGCTCCCACCAACGGCGCTGGTGTTCTTGGCACCGCCCACGTCGTCATTGCTGGTATTGCTGGCATGGCTGTCGCTGCGATGCTGTAAATCGTCAGCCCATGACTATTTGCCCAGGAGGCAGGACGGAAGATGGCTGTGCAGCCTGAAGACTTTCTTCGGGTTCAACACCGCCATCCACATTCAGCACACGGCCTTTTGAGCCGTCATTTGAGTCGCGACATTGTTGCGCGACAAATAACTTTTTATTTGCAACGAATCTTGAACGATCTATGATTCACTTCTACCATGTTGACGCCAATATCTCACGGGCTCTGCCCAACGTCATCATGGGCACACCTTGGACTTATATGCTTGGCCGGCGGACGGCCCCGAAAACAGTCTCGCAACGCAAACATACACGAGTTCAGCAACAACTCTTTTTCTTCTACCTCAACTTCTTGGGTTCACCATCGGAGTTTTTCAAGGGCCTGGCGATTTCTGCATACCGGATTAGACAGACTTTCATCCCTTAATGTTTCAATGAACCGGCGGGGCTGGCGCACCGCCCTGCCGGCTGGCATTCCACGGCTACAACCTTCAACTGAAACACTTTCACCATTGTCCTGCGCACCTTGCTCTAACGGCTTTGCAGCTTGTTCGAGCAGTGGTCCACGGACACCACGAACGGCGCTCTTTATACTTTCCTGCTTCGCTTCTTTGCCTTCGTGTTTTCTTGAGATACCCCATCGTTGCTAAGCAATCCTCGTTGTATTGCGAAGCGAGGTTGTCTTGCCAAAGACTACCCGCCCAGTACAAACAACCAACAGCATCTTCACCGAAGCTGTTGTCACATGCAGAGAAGTCCCAAGATCTCTTGGTTTCTTGCCGGACCCCCATTTCTTCTTCATCAACAAACCACCTTTGGACCATTCTATCTTTTTCTTCTTCGTTTCATACCATTTATACCCTGAGAGGATGGCAGGGGCGGGACGTATATATGGAGAGTGTATCTGGGGATGAGACCATATGCAATGAATAAGGAGACGAGGATGGACGATGAGTGGAAAGAAAACACAACCAGAAAACCTTTACATATCAATGCGCTGCTACAGCGCTGGAATACACCCGTTGTCCACAACACAATTGCTCGCTGCTCCCGTCATTGTCGTTTTTAGGCCGTGGTTCTTGACCATGCACGTGTCTGTCTCCCTGGCCGCGCGCACGCCGATCTGCCGGGTTGCTTGCATGCCGCATTGATCCCCGCTAGAACCTTCTGTTCTCTGCACATGACAATGCTGAATTGTACGAAACCACTGCGAGGGAGCCAAGGAGCCTTGCGCTCGGCACCTTCTCGCCACGGAGCAGCCACCTAGACTTAATTGTACAACGACGAACCAAGTTCACAGCTCACTCTCTCAGCCACTTGGCGTTTCTGCCATGACGCCCGCATACCAAAGTGATTGCGCGCGCAAATGTGCGATTAATGCTCGTGATGGCTTTCCCAGTCCCGAAAACCCCATGACATCTTTGCACGTACACACGCATACACTCATGTTGGTGCTCGGTGGTGGAGACACTGGCAACCCGATTATACTGGCCACGGAGAAGACTTGAGGATGCCTGCCGCGCGGCTTTTTTCTTTCTCTTTCTTTATGTCTCTACCATCTGCCCCCCTCTGCGGCGTCTATTTGTTCAGCCTTGTGCTTTCATTTTCCATATTGGGCTAGGATCCGAGGCTTGCACTGTGTGTTCTTCAGAGTTGCGGGACGAGCTTTATCCAGAACTTTTAGACTTTCGGCGAAGTGTGCCGGCGGATACATAATTCTCAAGATGGTAGAAGGGTTACTACCTATGCCGGAACAGCTCCGTTGGTTGACGGGGTCTAGTGCCATCCGTTTTCCCGAGGACGGAAAGCATCAAGGCGCAGAAGGAATGCAAAAGAGAGAGAGGGGAGGCGGGGTGGCTGCGAGGGCTGAACCCGGCGCCAAGTCACGGCTTGCATGTGCTGTCGCTGTGCCTGTACCTGTGCCTGCACTTAGAAGGGTAAAAGGAGAAAGTCTAAATTTAGTACCTGGTCTTGTTTGAAAATTCCCATCGAAACACCGGTTTTCTGCGGTCAAGACCGAGCATCAGCGCGCGCACGCGTGAAGTATCCCCTTTGTCCAGGGAAAAAAAAAAAAACTCAAGCCAAGGTCACAATCAGCCACAAACCAAGATCGGGAAAAGTCAAGCCAGACAAAACTTTGACCCCTCCCCAAAATGGGAAAATACAGGAAGGGCACAACAGAGAGTCATGCAATATTTGGTGCAATTGCTTAAAGAAGCTTAGTACATTCCCCGGGCCCCGGGCTAGATTCCGAAAGATCGGGCGAAGTTTCCATGAGCCGCCGACAAAACTCTACTTGCGCCCAAAGAAGCACAAGGAAAAAAAACCCGAAAAAAAAAAGAAGACGCATGTCCGCGCGCGTGGCGTCTAAGATGCATGACGGTGCGTTGGACGAACGAAGCCCCGAGCGCACCTGCACGGCGAAGTGGCGTCTGTCTTCCCTTTTGCTGCGTCTTTTTGATAGATTCTTACTGGGTCAGCTGTCCACTTGCCTATTTTGGGTTGCTCTGAAGAACGCGCATGCATTTCTGGAAGTTTTATGGAAAGTTCCGCAGCTGGTGACCTTTGCCCGAGGGTTTGACCGGCTCGCTTGCCGACCCGCGGATGGTAGTGATAACCCCCCTTCATTGAGCAATGTCTCTTCATTGTGGACATCCGTCATGTGAGGCATTTAACAGTATGTACCGTTCAGATTTGCTTAGATGCCAGCCGCGCCAGTGTGATTTGACCGTTTGTCGTCTTTAGGGGGGATTTGCTCAGAACTGAAGGCACAAGGCACAGCACAACCCGAGCTCGGCGGGCAGACGTGGACCGGGACAAGCATGGAATGGAAGTATCGGGAATGCATTGGAATGTGATCCGGAATATCTTGTTGAAGATATTGTACTTGTGATGCTCTATAAACACCCCCATGGACCACCTGTTAGCCTGAACCCCTCTCCTTCTGCCCGTTTCCCCGTCGGCAGCCAATCCGACCTTGGCCACCGTCTTCGTTATCTTGTGAAATGATCCCAGTTGCGAAAAGCATAACGCCGAGTCGTGTTGGTTGAAAAATGATATGCCCTGGTTGAATATGGTTACAAGTCGACGTCATCCATTCCTTGTCAAGGGGGATGATCAACCATTCTAACGGGGAGGAAACCCCGCCATCACAGCGAGAGCTTACGCCGACTCGCTCTTCATAATCTCCTCTACAGCCGCGGCGTCATTGAGCTTTACGTCGGTGCCCGCGACCGGCATCTTCTCGCCGGCACGCTTCCGCAAGACGTTCTCGATGAACGCCTCGCCCGCCTTGTAGCTGCTCCGCACCAAGGGTCCGCTGGCAACGTACAGGAAGCCCATCTCCATGGCGCGCTTGCGCCACTTCTCAAACTCGTCCGGCGTGACGTACTTTTCGACCTTGAGGTGGCGCTTGGTGGGGCGCATGTACTGGCCGAACGTGACCACGTCAACGTCGACAGCCCTCAGCTCCCGCAGCGCCGCCTCGATCTCGTGGTCTTTCTCGCCCAGGCCCAGCATCAGACTCGTCTTGGTGATGATGCCCTCGGCGCCGCGCACCTTCTTGACATGCTCGAGGACAGCCAGGCTCTGGCGGAACGTGGCCCGGCGGTCACGGACGTAAGGGGTGAGCTCCTCGACGGTCTCGACATTGTGCGCGTACACGTCGAGGCCGCTCTTGGCGACAATCTCTACCATGTCCAGGTCGCCGCGGAAGTCTCCGGTCAGAGCCTCGACGAGCATGCCGGGCTTCTTGGACTTGATGCGGCGGATCGTCTCGGCGAAGTGGTGGGCGCCGCCGTCGACGAGGTCGTCGCGGTCGACGCTGGTGAGGACGACGTAGCCGAGCCCCCAGCGGGCGAGCGCCTCGGCCGTGTTCTCGGGCTCGTGGACGTCGAGGGGCGGGGGCTTGCGGTTCGTCTTGACGCTGCAGAAGCGGCAGCCGCGCGTGCACGTGTCGCCCATGAGCATGATGGTCGCCGTGGCGGCGTTCTTGTTGCTGCCGCCCCAGCACTCGGAGATGTTGGGGCACCGCGCCTCCTCGCAGACCGTGTGCAGGCCCAGACCGCGCAGGTCCTTCTTGATCTGCTTGTAGTTGTCGTTGCCCGCCGGGATGGGCGTCTTGAGCCATGGCGGGAGCCGCGTGACCGTCCGCCGGTTCGAGGCCGGGCCGACCTCTACTGTCTTGAGCTCGTACGCCTCGGTTGCGGCCAGCGGCACGTCCTGCTGCGCGCCGACAAAGTCCCCAAACGAGGCTATCGTGGTGTCCTTGAAGTATGTTGGCCGCCGCGGCTTGCCGTCGGCCGAGAGGATTGTGACGTTGGGTTGCTGTGCGGTGCCTGAAGGTGCCGAGGACGACGAAGACGACGAAGACGACGGTGAGGACTGGGCATTTGTTGCTGAGGGTGTCGACACGGTGGTGGCGTAGGCTCGCGATGATGTGAGGGAGGCCCTCAGGGCCCGTTGGAGAGGCGCACGCATGCGGTGCAACGATGCTGCCGGGGCAGCCATGGCGGGCAATGTCAATGAGGCTCTGGATGCTGCGGTCACGGTGTCGGCGTCGGTGTCGGCGTCGGTGTCGGTGATGGCCTCGCGCTCGACAGTGGCAGGCTTGTCGCTTGTCGATTCCTTCCCAAGGGTTGCTTGCTTGATTGCTCATCAAAATGTTCACAGTCGACTTCCGCATGCGCAGATTGGTCGCAGGACCCTTCGCCCCCCAGAGCCCCACTCACTTAGCCCGCCATTGGTCACCGGCAACGCCCGGGTACTGACGGGACACGATACCAAGGTCCCAACAGCTGGTTGGCATCACTTACAATTGAGTGTCGATGAGACAGACAGAGCAGCCCTCCGAGATCGCGCTGGCAGTGCATGTTGCGCTATGATGACGACGACGATTTCTCTTTGCTGGACAGTACTTGCAACCAGTCACTGCACACCATTCACCCATCCACTCAGGTTCGGTTCCGCCGCCGGCTTGGTCCCGGAACTTCCCGCTTGTTGAGTCTGTTCCCAACCATTAACAAAACGCGCGAATTGTCAACACCCAAAAGGACGGGGCTTGATTACTGCGATACTTGCCATCAAGGAGGAATTTCACAAGAGACAAAAAGGAACTTGTTCCTCCAGTCTGGAAGGGATGGCCTGCAAAACGACAACCTGGGTCAGCCGACGGCCCCACATGTGGCACCGGGCCCAATGACACGGTACAGGACCCGCACCTGCTCTAATCGGGCAAGAAGTGGAACCGGTGTGGGACCCAGCACGCATAGCTTTTCGCACACCCAAAAGACTAGATTTTCGTTCAGGACATTGCCTGGGCCTTTCCTCGAGGCCAAAAAGAAAGTTGCTGAACTGATCTCGCTGGGGATCGAACCCAGAATCTCCTGATTGCGTGTTTGAAGCATGTTTGTATCATGCTTCGTCGTAGTCAGACGCCTTGCCATTGGGCCACGAGACCAGATATTTGAGGTGATTGGATGAAAGCCGTGCCGTCTATAGGCATACATACGTGCTTGATAACACTTGAAGAGCCGCCTAATGTTTCCTGGCGTCCAGAAATTGAACTACAACATACATGGCGATAAAGTGAGGTTCCTGCAGCTCGTCGTGGACGACCATTGCACGCACCCTTCCAGTATTGAACCAGGCGCACGCAACCTCTACGGAGCTATCTTCAAGCCGTGTAAAACATCAGCACCCATGAGCGGTCGAAATATTGGCTGCTTCGTTTTGACAAATATTTGCATAGGAGCTGACGATGGAGAACAAGAGCCTTTACACCTCAGACCACTTCTGAAAATCGGCTTCCAGAACTTCACAGATTTTGTGAGCTCTCAGACCAAGCATAGAAGCACTGCATTTGGTTGTCTCCCTTCTAGATTACACCAGCAAGATATTCGACGACTTGCTTCTCGCAATCTCCTTGTGAACACGACCTGCTATGTATATGTGACATATGAATCAGCGATCCTGGACTCTGTCCTACACCAAGGGCGAACGGATTCCGCTCTAGAAGTGACATGCGTATTTGACTCCGCACTGTGTCCTCCACCAAGGCGCGCTCAGGAGACTGATGATATCCTGGACAATCTCACCAGTGGGATACGCGACTCACCGTATCCTTCGACGCTTGCAGGGATGGAGGGGTACCTTGGCTGACGGCGTAGCTTGACAAACGCAATTCTTCTAGTGACAGCATCAACTAGACGGGTCGGAGCATTAGGCAAGAAGCCAGGCAATGGTGACGAAGGCATCTCGAAGGCTCTACTTATGCTAAACTGATCTGAGACAGCATAGAAGCAATCACAAGCTCTTGATGTTGTCTCGGCAGCCCAAAAGAGTCACCAGAGCATATCCAGACGCACAGATTACTCGTCAACAAGCCGAGCACCTAGGATACCACTTTTGCTTCCGACCACGAAGCGCGACTGATGCTACATGATTAATACATGACCCACCCAAGCGGACACTCCCGCCTTCTCATCTTCGTGGATCCCAAGCCGAACCAAATGAACGGCCAAGGACAACTGGAAACTGAACACCTTTGGACTTATGCTACACGCGAGCATAATAACCTCCAACTGTGTGTATGGTAGTATATCACTCGTGGCTTCTCACGAGCAGGGAAACGCATTTATTCTATCGGTGCGATCGAACTAGCCAATAGAGGCATCAAAGTGTGGTGACCGTTGCGTACAGGCAATTCTATACTTGGACAGATAGGCCTAGATAGAGTACGTATGGGGGTGTAGACACGCGGTGGATTGATCCCAAGAAGATTCTAGCCTTGACGAGAGAAATGGTGGATGAGTGGATGCGCGAAGTCCGACCAGGGTCCCCGCGCATAAAGCATGCCTGCTCGCTGAATTGAAAAAAGACGACTATGACCCTGTCCTGTGAACGTCTCATTGTCTCGTGCCGTGAAGACGCAGAGGGTCAAGGGGTACGATGTTGAGTCGCTCCATTTTCATATGTAAATAGAAAGTGGACGACAAAGACTGTGTCAAGTTCCGCTCTCCGTGAACAGCTGAGCGCACCACACGCTGGCCGAGGTCGTTAACCAGCATCATCCTCGAGGACCCTTGTCCGAACCAAAACCTGGGGGTGACATGCGCAGCCGGGGTCCCCGCCATCTTCTCCCCACACCAAGCCCATCTTTGGAGGGATGACCAGGAAGGTGGCCGTCAAGTCACGCCTGTCGGCGTCAGTCCTGTTCGGGGCCGGCGCTGGTGAGCGGGAAGCACCTCCCGGTTCTTCCCCGCTCTTCCTGCCGACGCTGTATCGTGCTCCTTTGTGGCAGGGACGCCTTGCTGTCGCTGTCACGTGGTATGGCTGCGATCGTCTTTGTCGGCTGTCCATCCCGTCGGCCGCTGCCTTGCAGTCGTATCAAGCCAGACCCGACAGACATGCTTCCGGTCTTCCTACTGGCCATCCGCGTGTCAAAGCCAAATCCAGCCAGACAACCAGCAGAATCACTGCATTCGCGCAGCCCGACGTGCGTGAAATCGACCCTCAGACGCTACACTGCGTCTCGTTCTTACACTCTGCCACTCCCGCATCGCTTTTACGTGGACTGAAGGACGGCAAAAACATCATTCTCAGTCCCTCGAGTGCGGGGCCACCGCGCTCGAGAAGCCATGGGCTTTGGCGGAGTTGTAGGCAGTGGCTTTGCCAACATCTTCTCTCAATCTACTTAAGCTCCGCGGAACCTCTTCGACATGTCGAGCGCCACCATCGACACTGGCACAACGAGTGCCGCGCTCGGAACGTCGGAAACTACGCCAGTAGCAGAGAGTAAGTCTGCGAGAACTTCGGCCGCCCACACAACATACCGTCGGTAAGTCCTTCTCTGCATGTGTAGCGCGCGCTGGTCCATTACAACTGATGCACGTGGAGTGATAGCCGGCAAAGAGCGGCACAGGCTTGCGAAGTGCGTCATGGTTCCCTTGAAGCTCCAAACTGACAGACAGTACACTGACGCATAACTCTCATCTTCAGACATGCCACGCCAGAAAGGTGAGTTTTGAGTCATGCAGGCCTCTCTAGCCATAGTATTAGATTGACTGACATTAGCAATATTGACCGTGAAACACAGGTCAGATGCGACGTTTCGATGCTGGGTGTGCCCTGCACGAACTGTGCAGCCTTTCGCGTCGAATGTCAAGTTCCACAGCGGAACGCACTCTTCGCAGCCAACGTGAACTCCAGCTCAATTGCTGGGCCTCGCCGGTCCGTCCCCAAGCTTGTCTCCCATTGTACCAGGCTCTCGGCTGACACTGAGAAATTTAAAGGCTCGAGAGTGTGATTGCTCCCAAGGTCCCTGCTCAGACGTCAACTCAAGCACCAACTACTCTTTACCACATGTCAGAGCAGGGCCCTATGCCAGCATTGACAGAAGAGCAAGCGCAGGACCAGACTATTGCCGCCACCATGCTCAGAGATCTAATGAACAAGACCGAGTTCACTGTGCCAGACCTAGGAGAGACGGATCAGGTCACCTTTCTGGGCGAATCTGCAAGTGTGAATTGGATAATCCGCGACCACAATCACCCGTTGCATTACCCCATGGCCGCAAGGTTTGGACAGCTTGGTGCCGCCGGTCCAAGGCGGCTTGACAGTCTCGAAATGGACATATTGGACCAGCGCGGCGCATTCCGCCTGCCTCCCAAGCCCATCCGCGACGAGCTCGTGGCTGCCTTCTTCAAGTGGGTTCATCCTCTCGTGCCTGCCATCAACAAAACACAATTCATGAGGGACTACGAGGATCCAAGCAAGTCGACGTCGCTATTCCTCCTACAGACCATCATGTTGGCAGGATCCCGCGTCTGCAGGCACCCGAGGGTCTCTGGGAATGTCGACTCGCAGAAGCAATTATCGCAGACATTCTACGACAGAGCCAAAGCCTTGTATGACGCCGGGTACGAAACAGATCGGATCAAGATGATCCAAGGGCTCATTCTCATGAGCTGGTTCTGTGGGACTCCGACAGCCGTCACCGACAACTCCTTCTTCTGGATTAGTGTGGCGATCTCGGTGGCAGAAGGGGCTGGTATGCACCGCAGTATCGAGCGCTCGAATCTGAGCCGGAGCCAAAAGAGGACCTGGAAGCGGATCTGGTGGACGCTTTACACGCGCGACCGCGAGATTGCAATCACTCTCGGCCGGCCTTGCATCATCAAGCTGGAAGATTCTGACGTCGAGCCCGCCACGGCTGACGACCTGATCGATGATGAGGCCGATACCGTGGATATTAATCGCTCGGCACCGTCTACAGAAGCACAGTTCTTCCTCGACTTTGTGCGGCTCTGCGACATCATCACCGTGATCCTCTCTGAGCAGTATTCCGTTAATCGCCACAGACCACGGAACGCAGCTCTCGACCTGATTCAGAGTGACATGGCTCTTGGAGAATGGATGCAAGACTGTCAACTGCGGTGGTCTGAGTCAGACCATAATTTCTGGAGCGCTATGTTGTCCTTGTATTACCACACGGCTGTGTGTCTCCTGCATCGCCCTTATCTTCCTAGTGGCGAGGCAACCGGCTCAACAAGGAATTCCGCAGCGGGCAGCAGGCTTTCGAGAAACATGGCCTACCATTCTGCAGATGCAATCACCCTGATTGTCGAGGTTCTTACGGCGAAAGACGAGCTACTGTACTGCCCTTCATTTGTGCAGTACTCTTTGCTGTGCGCCGTAACATTGCATCGGCGTCGAGAGCACGACCCGGATCCCGCAAACGTCAACGATGTGGGTAGGCAGATCGAGACCTCCAACATAACTTTGCAGAAGATCCTCAAGACAGCTCCCATGAGCGACACTGTTCGCACCTGGGTCGAGCCGGCGCCAAGGCCTACCCATATCCTTACGAGCACGAGCAAGAACCACATCAAGGAGAAAAGGCGAAGCCAATCTTTTCTCTCACACCCATCAATGGGCCCGCCTGGACAGTCCATCAAGAGCCTCAACGCCTCGAATCCTTCCAGCAGGCGCCTGTCGAATACACAGAAATCATCAGTGCAGCCAGACTTCGCACCTCTTGACTCGGCTCCGCGCACGCTCACGGCTGTCGACAATGCCTCGGCGGTTCCTGGCGTGCCAGCAGACATGCTGTCGGTCTTCGGCTTGACTCCGGTATCGCCAGAACAAGTGGCGTTGCCAGAACGGAAAGAACCCCACGGGAGGCAGACCACGGAGATAGCGGCAGCGCTGCCACCACCTGCTTTCCAGTACAGCGGCTCGTATCAGCAGGCAGCGGAGCCCATGGACGTGGAAGACGGATCATCTGAGCAATACCTCCCCCTGAGCCCCAGTGAGTTTCGTGCCGATTCATACACCCCACCCGTAACAACTTGTTGAAAAGGCTTGGTGCCAGGTTTGTCTAACGTGGGCTTTGTATCGGTGGTAGTGACCTGGGACAACCAGCAGATCTACGAGTCAACGCTCGACGGCGGCAACGTCCTCAGACCCGGGGGCTTCGAAGGGCATCGTCACAACACGGTCGGGTTCATGGGCACGACCTCCGGTCTGCCGGGCGCATTCACGGATATCGCGATGGATGACTGGTAGGTATTTGTTTTGCAGACCCATGACCGTGTGGTAAGCCGAGCCTTCTGTCAGATCTGTTGGCTGATTTGTTTGAGGTCTTAGGTTTCGGTATTTTGGAGTTCATGAGGAGCAGGAATGATACTGGCGGGAAGTCCAGAGAGAAACTATGACGCATGGGGCATATTTTGTCGCTGATTTCCCTGTAACAGATACCATGAGGTAGTGGAATTATCGAGCCTGCTTTCCAGGGGCTCGTTGGAGTAGACCTCTTTGAGGATCAAGAGGATGTTTCCCCTCCTGCACATATCCTGCCCAAAAAAAGGCGCACCTTTTCTGCGCCAGTGATAACGAAACAGGAACAACGGCCATAATACTTCTCAATAGAAGGATTTCCGCGATTCTTAGAAAGGTTCTCGACGCAAATGGGAACAGTATGGCACTTCTCAAATCTCTTGCATCCCCAGAGAGGGTGACGGTGTCTTTCCTTTGCACATGGGCAGCAGCAGTTTGAGTTCGCATGCGGGGACTTCAAGAAGAACTCTAGACAAGATGGAACACGAAATAAACCGGATAACGATAGAAAGGCTCACAGGCGGATCCGGCATCGCCTTCCAGATTTCGCTCCACCAGCTCAACGTCGGTTGTCCAGTTCCAACAGGGAGTCTCGGGGTTTAATTCTCCGCCTCGAGTCACTTGAATTGGTGATGCTGATTCATCCGAGGACAAGGTCACAGAGTTTCGCCCCATGATGTTGGTCTTTTTCCAGTTGTCTCATCAGATCCGACACATTTTCTCAGAAGAACGTCGGGGCCCTACCAGCACAAGGACCAGCCCGCAGCTCCGGTGCGGGTGACTCGAAGGAAGGATTCTCAAGTTACGCCTGGACAAGCGGTAGCATATGAACAAGCATCTCAATGCACGAGCTGTCATCTTCACCAGAACCAAGTTCCTCTGGCCTGGCATACGAACTAGAACTTCGATTTGGGCTGGGTGACGGGCAGAGGGCAGGGTCTAGCCAATCAGATAGCCCGGATCGGTGATACATCACGGTAGATTCTCTTGAGTCACACTTAGAAGCTCGTGTACACGACGATTTGTAAGGCTACCAGAGAGCCTGGAGAGGCAACTTGAATACTTGACACGGCTCCAACGAGCTGCGTCGTATGATCACGGTCTAGAGCTCGTATCGCTGATCCGAATAAGGAGATGGTGCATGCACATCACAGTCAAGACGAAAAATTCGGGGCACATGGAACGAGAGTGTGGAGATTGACACCTCGGCAGTTGGACATTCGTCCACATTCGGCCAACTCGAGACGATCGACAAGTATGTGTGGTAGCTCGGCGTGTTGCCTCCGCTGCGGGGAAGGGCAGAGGACGGGGCCTTGATGGGTATGAGCTCTCCTATACCCTGGTGCCTTGAACCTGAAAATGGGTTTGTCTTTGGACAGGAACAGTCGCCAAAGTTCATCTCTAAACCTATGGAATGTACTCTTTATCTTGGAAAAGGTGAGTCATGGAGTATCACACTGTGGGACCCTTTCTCTTTGCCATCATCTCGAGTTGACTCGCAGTAGGGCCTCGTTCGCATTCGCGTGTCCACCGAGGCGTGCAACTCCATACTCGTGTGTTTTTGAACTTTAAGTGGCAACGTGGTGCTGCATCCCTTCATAGGCCTTCCAAGCATTAATCACAATCAAGTCCTCATGCCCCTGAGGGCAACTTCTCTCCATGCTTCAACCGCTTGCTCCCTGGTACCGCCGCTCTTACTCGTCTGAGGGGCTTCGAGTTCAAATGCATACATATTGCGTGGGGGAGCTCTTTTCAGCTTGTTCACCATATCGCACTGAGACTAGTCTTTGTGGATCCAGCGCCGCTGGCATTTTCCTCAGAGGTCAATGTGGGAGTTGTCGCTAATCTTACGTTAGCTTGCTGCTTTTAAACTCACTGGAGCGGGTGGGTGGATACAGAACCCCATGGGGAACACCCTGGCTCAGAGTGCGGAGTACGGTCCTCCCTGCGCTTCGCTTACCTTGCAGTTCTATGACAAGATATGCTTGTGAGTTGCACGTGGTGGTGCTGTTGGCAACTAGTTTTGATAACAACTGGTCTGGATGCCTGAGTGGAACGCACTGCCGCTGCCAGACAGCTTCTTCACGGCTTGAGGCAGAATCCATGTACTCAAAAAGTAACGATGATATGATGCGTGTTTCGAAGCAAAAGGTATCACATGTTCCTAGAATTTGAAGCCAAACTATAATGCTCCTTGGCAATATCAGAGTGACCCGTTCATGCCTTGTCAAAGATCTTCGTGTTTTTCCGAAGTCTTCGTCTCATGTCCCACATGTAATACTTGACAGGCATGGACCTGATGGACTTTGGGATTGGGCGGTATGTCGCCTTGACACCGAACTCGCAGGATTTATACGTCTTGGGAGACCTCTTCAGCCCGTAGCCCTCCCTGATCCTTGTAGGCAGGACCTCCGCCGTGACGACACGCACGAGAGGCATCAAGACCTTGAGGTAGAATGGGATCTTGATGTCGTACAGAAGGTCTCTGGCAATATCGCGGGCATGCTGGGTGATTTCGAGGTTGGCCACTTTCTCATCCCAGTACGTATAGAAAGCGTCTCGTGTGGGCGGCCAGAGCTCCGGTGGCACCTGAAGCGAGCAGGCGAGGATAGAATAGTCCTTGTAGATGTTTTCGTGAAGCTTGGGGTCTTTGATTTCGCCAAAGATGGACTGGTAGATCTCCATGGCTGTCCAGTAGAGAGTTGCTGCTACCCATAGCTGAAGATGCGGGTCGAGAGCCGAGTACGACTTGCCCGTGTCGCGTCCTTCGTTGAGCGTGCCGTTGACCGACTCGTGGACACGTGTGACCATGTCGACGATGGTTGCACGCTCCTGAGAGGTGCCGTAAGCCATGCAGTAGACATAAGTCATTGTTGTACGCAACCGGTCGATGGCCCTGTAGGCAAAGTTGCTGTGCTCGTTGACTCCAGCACCAACACCAGCTTCTGCCACCTGGAGTAGAATGGCCGCGGCGCCGCCTCCGAGCAAGATTGATTCCTGCGTGAGGAGCTTGATGTATTTAGGGTCGAAATCGGGCGCCAGAAATGCTTCTTTGGAGTGCGCACCATGAAACATGGGCGTGATGGACTGACCGCTCTCCGGGCTGGAGTAGCCCTGTTTCTCAGACGCCACGGTCATCCTGAACTGTTTACTGTGGCACACTGAGAGAAGTCTGGAGGATACACGAGATTGAAGATGAACACGGCTGCGTGAGTGTAGTATGGGTGCCCTTTCCAATGTTGTCAGGCATGTCACCGTACGAGTATAACAACCACGGCCGCCATGTCCAATATATGGCCTCGAGGGGCCCTGGAGACATGCTGTTGCAAACCGACCGATTCGGAGGCCAGACATCTGCAGATCTTCTGGCTGGTGAAAAGGGCCGGGTGGAGAACCAGGGCTTCGAGGCCCTTTGCAGCCGTCCTGGGACTGAGCCGCGGGCCAGCCGAGGCAGCGGATCAAGTGAATCCCAAAAGGGGGCCGAGATTGATCAGATCACAACCAGGGACAGCGAGGCTGCATGGACGGCCAGGATGCGGATTGGCAGGTGGCGATGCTGGTGGTGTAGGTAGTGTAGAGTGGCAGGAGCACAGCCGGCCGCGTGACCTGGCCACACCTTCCTGGACGTCTGCAACAACGGCCCCACCATCACCAACAGCCGATGATGCAGCTGCTTCAGCGGACACCTCCTCGCCGCTGTTGCCCCGTTGCTGCAGTCACAATAGCACCGCATCTTTCGTCTATGGCAGATTCAATGTTCCGCGCGACTCGGTCGACTCTTGAAGCTCAACCTCTAGCTGCGACGGGTTCCCTAGCGTTGACCTGGCCGTCGAAACGACGTGCATTCCTGTCTTCACCAACCACCTGCCACGCGAGCTCGAAGTCTACAGCCACATCCTGGTGCAAAGCAGCGACATTGGAGAACTCTGTTCGTCATGTATGCATGCTCTCTTTGGCAACGACTTCGCCTGGAAGCGCTCGACTGTGCGACTTGCGCCTTCTACTTCCCCGCATGGCTGGCCTCTTTAAGCAGAACTCTGTAAGCCTTAACACCACCTTGACACGGCCTATACCTCTTGCTTGGCTACTCCATCTAGACTCAGCCCATCTGCGAGGATCGATATTCTGTGATCTACGGTATGGATGGCCATGCAGTGAGCCCTTGTTTGCGGGGAAGCCAGGGTTGGGCTCCACTACCGTTGCGCCCATACCTGCGACAGCACGCCCGTTTCACAGGCTGCCATGAAACTATACCACCTTAGATAAATGACCAGATATATGGTCAAGGCTCCTGTTTTTATTATATATATTGACCGCAGTCATAATGAAGCTCCCCCCGTGCTGGAGGTTTTGGGCCCTATGTAGCGCACCACCATCCGCACAAGGGACCTCCTAGAGGAATTTGACAAGCAAAAGCCCCTTTTAACATGAGCTCCCAAAGACCTTCGGACGACGTTGCCCACTCTCATTCTAGTAATGATGAGGAGGCACAGCTGAAACGCAGTGCCTCGAGGCGGATGGACCTTTCACGCGACGATGACTTGCACAAGTCAGAACCTCGACGGTCAAAAAAGCAGAAGCTCAGGGACCACTGCGCTCGCTTCTGGTGCTGTTGGGTCGTGTTCATTGTTGTTGCACTTGCAGCTGGGCTGCCGATTCTGTAAGTCGAATCAATTCTGACGGCAAAGCTGTGGCTTTCTTCACGTGATTCTAACACACTTTTGCACTTTCCTCACAGCTTCCTTGTTATTCTTCCAGCCATTGCCCAGCGCATCGTCAATGACACGGATCTCCCAATTTACGGTGCTGACCTCCGCCCGATCAACGCAACTCACATCAAGGTGGGACTCTCCACAAGCCTGAGCCTGCCAGCTGGTCTGAGCGTCAAACTCGATGCTTGCGACCTATGGCTGTACAATCCAGAGATGCGTGATAAACCGTATGCTCGTGTGCCAATGCCGGAGCAGTATGTGTCCGGTGGCAACGGCGCGCTCGCCATCAACGACATAGTTGGGGAGGTGACAGACATGGACCAGATCAACAAGTGGCTCACACGAACCTTGCACGATCAAGAGACGTCCATTAGTGTTCGAGCATCGACCACGGCGTGGCTGGGGGCCATCAAGCTTCCGCTTACAATCGACAAGACCGTGCAGACACCAGCTCTACGCGAACTGGCAGGCAGCAGTCTGAGTGAGGCTCACCTATTTCTTCCGCCTCAGAAAGATGGAACTAATATTGCCGGGACCATGGTTCTTCCTAATTACTCCACCATGACTATGGACCTTGGCAACGTCACACTCAACGTTTTGTCTGGCAGCATCCTACTCGGCAACTTGGAACTACAAAACACCCTTCTCCACCCTGGCAACCAGACTGTGCCATTCCGCGGTGAGATATTTCTTGATGCCCTGCTTGACAACATCATGGGTGTCATAGCAAGCCAGGCCGACTCTGCGTTCAAGGGTGTCGTCACACTCACCGCCAGCGGCAACCAGACAGTCATCAACGGAGTCCACATCAAGTACCTCGAAGACGTGCTTGGCAAGGCACTAATCAAGGTCGAGGTGCCCATTACCAAGCTGCTCAGTGATGTCGTGAGCAGCTGGACAGCAGGCACGCTGACCATCAATGGTGCATTCTCTGAGATCTTGGATGGTTTCATTGGTGATAATTTGACATTCGGGGAGATAGTGGGCAATCTGTTTGGAGGACAAGATGGTACGCCGGGCGGACTGTTCCATGACGTCCTCTCGCACTGGAACCTTTTCAAAGTCGATGAGGCGCTGCAGAGTGCGCGTCACCAGCGTAGGGCTATGCTGATGAGTTTGGATAGTATTCAGCATGACTAGGGGCAAAACATGCCTTGGGCGGTTTCTGGTTTTGAATCTCACGAAGCAGGGAGTTTCTCTCGGTCGAAAAGGCGCATTGTGTTAAGGGCGAAAATCTTTGAATTAACAATACCAAGTTTGAATTTACAACATCGTTTTTAGTCTCTCGGAATTGGCGTTTAGGCACTGCGGCTTCTGCACTTCATCACATATAGACTTGCACAACCATCATAGCATCCGTGGACATATGACCCCGTCTCAATAGGCCATGTAGATACCAGCTAATGCCGAAGAAGCGGACAAGTTCAATCATCAAAAACCTCATGACTAGGTCAAGATACAAACCGAAACGCGTAACGTTTCTTAGTTTTTACTCTCGACTACTTCGAGGACTCTATCCCTTCACCCTTCTGATTTACAACTTGCCATGGTCGCTGACTCCATCAACCGGGGATGCCTTGCTCAGATCATCGCCCCTACTAGCACTACCATCAGCAGCACCACCACCGCCACGAGACACGCCGCCGTCAAGGCCAGCAGCCCCTTTCCTCGGCTGCATCTCCCACCTGCGGGCGGGGATCCCGTCGCGGAAGAACCCGTCAATCTCCTCGAAGCTCCTGCCGTGGACCTCGCCCACGCAGAACCAGACATATGCCCAGGTGACGAAGCAGAGGCCCGTGTAGACAAACCCCGTGCGTGGGCCCAGGTTGGCAGAGTAGTACAGGTAAGGAAGGGTGAAGACGGTGACCCAGACGGCGACCCAGAAGCAGGCGACGGCGACGGCGTAGATCTTGTTGCGGTTGCGCCCGACGGCCATCTCCGAGGCAATGGTCCAGCCGAGCGGGCCCCAGGCGAAGTTGAAGGCGGCGATCTCGATGATGACGAAGCTGATGATGACCTTGCCGAACATCTCGGAGGGGTCCACGGAGGGGATCCCCAGGCAGCCGACGATGAAGATGGACACGGTCATGATGCCCGTGGTGATCATGAGCAAGGGGCGGCGGGGCAGCTTGTTGGCGAGGAGCACGGCGGCGAGCACGACAAAGACCTGGATGATGAAGACGATGAGGGTCATGAGGAACGGGTCCGTCAGGCCAATGTCCTCGGCAAAGACGGTGCCAAAGTAGTAGAACCACTGGATCCCGTTGATCTGCTGCGCCACGAGCGCGCCCGCGCTGTACACGACCTTGCGCCGCTCCACGGGGTCCGTGACGAGCTGCAGCCACCCGGACTCGACCGCCAGCTCGGCCTCGCGGTCAATGTCGTCCTGCATGGCGCGCAAGGGCGCCGACGGGTCGTAGGTCTCGTCGTCGCGGTGCAGGAGGCGCATGTTCTTCTCGGCCCGCGAGCTCTTGCCCTTGCGCAGCAGCCAGCGCGGGGACTCGGGCACGAACCACAGGCCCGAGAGCACGAGGGCCGGGAAGACGAGCTGGAAGCCGATGGGGAACATGTACGCAAACTGCGAGTCGTAGGTGATCATGCCGCGGTTGATGCCCGCGGCAATGATCTGCGAGATGGAGAGCGTGAGCTGCCAGCACATGAGCAGCGGCGAGCGCATCGACTCTGGGGCGATTTCCTGCGTGTCCAGGGCCAGCAGTCAGCTTCTGTCATTTTCCAGATGGTGCAATCTTGAAATCAAAGGTAGTATCCAGTGTCACGTCGATAGTAACTCGGGACGTCCGGGGGGCCGCTGGGACAAACGCAGCAGCTTCCAAGTCTGCACTTACACCCATATACAGCGGTGATGTCGCCGAGAAGTTGCCAACGCCCAAGCCCAGGACAGCGCGTCCAGCTGTGATGAGCGCTCTTCCGTTGGCCGCACCAGCGGCAGCGAGCTGCAGAGCCACGCCGACAGTGATGAAGACGCACCCCGCGAAGAAGGCACCCTTGCGGCCGAACCAGTCGTTGATGGGCGCCGCGCCGAGCGAGCCAACCAGCTCACCGACATTCATCATGGACGTCATGACGGCAAGTTCGCTCGGGGGAAGCCGCCATGATCCGTCAGGCTCTTGCTGGCCAAACTCGCGGAGGAAAGGTGCTGTGGGGGTAAATGGCGTCAGTTGGTGGAACTAAGAAGGGGGTTGAATGGCCGCAGTGCAGGTGGCCTTCTGCTCCTCATGGTTCGCATTGCGACACCTTGTATGATTTTGAGGAATAATTTGGGGCTTAAAATGAGCTGGGTCAAGACGACAACAAGGAGGGACTCACGCAAGGTAGACACGCCATTGAAGTAGACGCCATCGTAGCCGTAGAGGAAGGCGCCAAGAGAGGCGAATCCGCAAAAGAGCCAGACATAGGGGTACTTGATGGCAGCCATGGCTTCTTATATATGGATGCGAGATGAGGACCCAGCGGTCGGGCTTCACGACGGGTGGCAAGACGGGACGGGACTGCCAAACAAATGGGAGGGATGACCTGTAGGGTCGAGCACGTGCTTGCTTGCTCGTTTGTGCTGTTGGCCCCTATCTGCTTGCCCCTTTTGCCGGCACGGGCCGTGCGGGTGGCTGTCGGTGGGTGAAGACAGCTGAAGAAACAAAACAAAAGCAAAAAAGCAGCAGCAGATGCAGATGCAGCGGTGGTTGTTGCACCAGGTGGAGCGGGATGCTGGCCGCGTAAAGTACGATGAAGTAGCGATTGTTGTTGAGCAGTCCGCTGTCGCTCTCGTGTCTCAGCCGCAGCATCGGCCAACCAACCAACAGACCAAACAAGGTTGTGCGATGTTGGCCCACCGAGTGTTCACTATGTGCGCCGTGGCGGTTGCCCTTCGAATGGGATTGACAACCACAGGTCACCCGTGGGAGTCAGCGCGCCTTTATTCTCCACGGCGCGCGGCTCAGGATTCGGGTTCGCTGCCGGAGCTCGTCAGGGCAGATGGCGTAGCTCAATCATCTCAGACGAGCAGTCCCCCGGTTCTGCTGCTCGGCCGGCCCGCGTTGTTTGCTTGCTTGCCTGCTTTGCTTTGTTTGCTAGTCCCTGTCGACAAGCATGGCGACGGCTCTTAGCCCGAAGCGCCCATTTGTTTGGTCAGTCGTCGGCCAGGCTTTCCTTGTGGTTGCTTGCTCTCGCCCGAAACCCCGGCTGTGGGAAACCTGATGGTTGGCCGCCTCGTATTAGTGGGCATACTCAGTCACTCACTCACGCAATGCCCTCTCTTCAGTCTCTTTTCCCCAAAGTACTCCACACTCTCCACACACGTTCCAACGCACCGGACCTGCGCGCCGCCAACCTCTAAACCTGGGGGGGTAAAAAGGTGGTCCGGTCTAGTGCAAATACTCCACAAACATTCACAAATAATACTATGCTTCTCTCTCAAGATGAGCATGACCCGAGCCATGCCCCCCCTTTGAGATTGCCGTCGGCAGCCGTCCTGGTCCCAAATCACTGACAAAAAAAAGACCTGTAGGCCTATAACCAAGTGCCCTGAAAGCGCTGAAGACACAAAGTGAGAGCCTGCCGACGGCAAGCCCCGGCCCGGCGGCAATAGTTTGCTACACGCTTGCCGTCGGCACGTCTCTGTGTGGTGGTGAGGATGGTGGTGGTGGTGGTGCAAGCATCTCCCCGTTCTAAAGGTGTATCTCGAGATCCGCCTACCAGATCTCGGAAGTATTTCGGTGCCGAGGTCACCCAAAAGCTCGAGTTTTACAACTGCCGCTGTTTCTTTCCGTCGGCTTTGCACCTTGGCCATGGTTCCCACCCACTGTCCCCCCTGCTGGCAGATGACCACCACACATGAGCGCGCTTCATTTGCTTGGTGGGCTGCCATCCGACGGATCAGCAATGCTCACGAGAGAGCGGGGAAGGCCGCATATGCTTGCACGTCGTGTATAGTAGTCGAAGATAACGGCCCAGCCAAATACCTCTGGGAATGTAAGACAAGAAGAACTCCTCGTTTTCTTTTCTCTTCTTTTCTCTATGGCCTGAAATTATTGGCAGTCACGCCGTCTGAAGTTTTTTTTTCATAACATGCCGAGTTTGACCACAACACAGACGAGGCCAGCAGTGCCTATCGTCACCATGCAGCCGCCTCCTGCACCACCCTCGCATCACGACCTCGCCGCCTATCGCAGGCCACAACCAGCCCAGGCCGCTGCGGACGCGATACCACTGTTGGTCGACAATACATACCACCTTTTCCACCTAGTCACACCGCCAAACACAGTGCATCATCCCCCAAGACTGAGATCTTCATGGGCGCGACTGCGCTCAACGGATCTCGTCAACTGGACCAGAGACGAACTCCCCGTCGTCAACCCTGGCCAAGATGCAGCAGACCCTGACACCAGCGGAGCGTGGACTGGCTGTGCCGTTCAGGGCCCTGACGGACGCATGAATCTCTTCTACACCGGCTACAGCCTCCCGCGGAACGGCATGCAGGTCGTCCTGCGCATGGTCGCCAACGACAAGCACGGCACGCACTTTGAGCCGGGGCGCAAGCAGATCGAGATTGCCGATGTGGACGGTAGTCACAGTTCCAAGTTTGAGGACATAGACTTTCGCGACCCCTACATCTTCTTCAACCAGGATGCAGGCCTATATTGGATGCTCGTCGCCACAAGACTGCGTAGTGGCCCGTACTGGACAAGAGGCTGTATAGCTCTGCTCACATCCCCTGACCTCGAGGTCTGGACGCCCGAGCCAGAGCCCCTCTACGCACCAGGCGACATGTTCTGCCCAGAGTGCCCAGAGCTCTTCACTCTGCCAAATGGCAAGTGGTATCTCGTGTACTCGCGCTTCCATGCGCCAAATCCCGGTACCGTGTACCGAGTTGCCGATTCTCCCCGGGGTCCATTCCGCACGCCGCGAGACGGCTCCTTTGGCCGCCTGGACGCACGTCGGTGGTATGCAGCAAAGTCATGCTCAAAAGCCGGTAGCACTGACAGGCGCGTATACTTTGGCTGGATAGCAGACAGGTGCGCTGAAGACGGAAAGTGGCTGTGGGGTGGCGATCTAGGTATACCCCGCGAATTATTCGCAGACGTGAATGGTCTGCTACGAGTCCAGCCCGCGCAGGAGGTCCTGCCTGATTTCTATTCGGCAGCTCAAGCACGGGTCAAGCTGTCGAGCATTGCAGGCACTTCAACGGTCTTCCCGGGAGAACTGGCGCAATTGCATCATCACACAGATGCCGTAATGAGACTCGACGTCAACAGTTGTGATGCTGTTGGCTTTGGTCTTGTCTTTGATGCTGATAGAGAGTTGAGTGGCCACCGCTTGAGATTCATACCCACAGGCGACACATGGTCGGTGATTCTGCTCACAGATGTCGTACCATTGGACGATTTCTGGGCTGATCAGTACAACTTACATGTCGATCGGCCCGTCGATGGGCCTGAGACCGCCCGCCATGATAACGTGGTAATTGACGGGCCAGCCTTGCTGTTTTTGAGGGGTGACCTCCTGGAGGTGTTTTTCGGGGGACGTTCGATAAGCGCTAGGCTGCGCAAGACTCCGGTGAAGCTTGATGGACAAGCCGGTAGCGTGCAAGGCAATGTCCCTCAATGCTTACGGCGCATTGGCATTTTTGTCGACGATGGCTCGGTCGACCTAGGCATCTCACTTTCGGCAGTAGATCGCTCTCAATAGAAATTCATGACCTTGTGAAGATCATGGTGTTTGCCGAAAATGCCCTGGTGATTCATCCCATTACATCATTGGTGGACGTTGACCATAGTTCACTTGTTGGTGTATATCACCTGGTGCTCCGAGCAGGTCATACGAACCGACACCTGCCATGAAGAGATCCCAGTCTCCAAAATCCACATACTTCATCACCTCCGTGTTGTAGTTGGCCATCTGTGGACTGACTGTGTCATCGACAGGCTCGACGATATTGACAGCAAGCGCATGCTCGAGTCCGCGGAGGATGGCGCCCTCCAACCGGTTCGCCGCATACTGCATTGGCTCACTGCTCTTGTTCATCGTCCGTAATTTCCACAGATATGAGTTTAGCGTTTCTTGCCAGAAGCTCCGCTCCTGTGACGAAAGAGACGTGACCAGCAAGAGGGTGATGAACGAGCCGAGGAGGGAGAATAAATATGGTGTCGCTGGATCAGACGTCAGCCTAGTACCGAGGAAAAGATACAGTGGAGTCATTAGACCTACTGTAATACCAGAAGGCCTCTAGGTGATCAGGCCTAAGCTCTGAAACGAAGCCTATTGCCCCTTGTGCTGTTTGTAGCGCACGCTGGCGGATGTCAGCAAGAACGGCGTGGTCGGCGCAAGGCGGCCCCAAGGCCGTTGATCTGATGAGTCTTCTCAAAAGTGTCATGGCAACACCATAGTACGAAAAGTGAAGATAGCCTAAAGTTGTCAGTTTTGGTACACGAGAAACCAATATGAAATTGAAGAGAGTCTTACCGTGGAAACATAGACGCCGTTGGTATGTGATATGCATACCGAGACTTTCAGGCACCGACATGGACCAGAGGTTCAGGGCCTCAAATATTGGACCGGCTCTCTGGAAAAGCACGGCTGTATCCTGCTCAGAGCTTTTCTTGACCGCGTAAAATTGCGCCAAGACATCAGAAAGAATCTGCGACAGTCGAACCATGAGCAGAAAGTGGTGTTTGCCGGTCACAGTCATCGACCGCCGCTCTTCCTCCGGCTCCCGTGCTTCGCTGAGGTCACAGTCAGCAAAGTCGGCATCTGTCAGATCGGTGACAGCCCAGTCGTCGTCGTGGATATGGACCGGGCGCCCATATGCCACAGCTGTCCATCGATCCTGCATGTAAAGTGCCCAGGCCAGTCGTTTCCTGACGTTGCGTTCTGCGCGGGGAATGCTCCAGTCTGATGCGTCCAGGTGCAGCCCAAGGCACTGGCCGATCGCGAGCGCCTGGCAGGTCAAGCCCCAGTCAAAGGTGTGATCAGGGTTCAGAGGGTCCTCCGGCTGACACTGCAGGACGAGCAGCATTGCTTGGATGGATGAAAGCTTTGGCGAGTGGTAGGAGCAGTGTATGGAACGATAGACATGTTTGCGGAGGCTAGCCACGTCGGGCATCGGGCGGACGGACAAGTCGGGGTCGTACTGCCACCAGCGGGTCGCCACCAGGTAAATGGCACCAAGCAAAGGGCATGGAGCATCTCTGTGCTCGTACGCTTGCATGAGAGCATCCTTGAAGATGATCGGATACGAGGGTTGGACGTGTCGCCAGAACAGGTCCAGTAGTTTTGGCCCCCACGGCCGAACGAGCGCCTCGATGGCGTCTACCTCCGACTCCAGTTCCTGGTGGTCGATGGCTTTGGTATCCGCCACCATGTGGAAGGTGAGGGGGTAGTCCTGCGCTTGATACCGGTGGAGCACTCTTCTGATGCCATGTGTGCCCAGATGGTACTCGTGAGAGTTTGGGTCATATGGTCGGTGTCGCTGGCGGAGTGTGAGACTGGTCCGAGAATGAGTCTAGTCTTGGGGAGGACTCACCATAAGTATAGGCTCCATGTCACTACCAAGTCCGTACAGTTCAGAGAAGCGGTTGGCGATATATCCTAGCTGGGGCGGGCCAGAAGCCGTCAGAACCGCCGGCGCACGAACCGTGCCGTCGACTGTGCCTGGAACACTGGCGTTTCGTGGGAAGGAGGGTTGCGAGGTCTCGCCCAACCTCTCTTGCCTCGGCCGGTTTGGTGTTGGCGCGGAGCTGTCGCCGTTGACACTTCGAGAGCTCTGGGGCGCATTTGTGGGAGTCTCTGCAAGATGCGGGCTGTTTTCCCGCGCGGCAGTCGAGGAACGTGCCGGAGGGCCATGGCGATATGTACAAGCAGTGCCCCTAAGACTGCAGTGGATACAGGCCGTGGTGCCTGAGCCCTCGGGGCTCTTGATGCATCTAGTCTTTGCTTTGCGACAGGCGTCACAGGGTTTCGCCTATGGTTTCTGTTAGTAAGGGATGCTCCATCGCAATCTCTGGCGGATTGTCGAGAGGGCATACCTGTCTGGACCGTCGGCGCTGCGAGTGCGAAGGGAAGTCTGCTGGGGTGACGACCTCCATGGCGACTCGTTAGGGCAGACTGGTAGTCCACCGACCGTACGTCGTCCTCTTGAAGTCAGGTTGGAGGCATTAGGAGCGGGGACCTTGCGTGCAGGTGGGTAGCAAAGGGCATTTGAGCTGGGCCACAGGTCGAGGCTGAGCTCGTAAGGTTTGAGGCGGCTGGGCAAGCATGGGATGCTCATGTGGAGCTATTCTGGGGGGGGGGGGGGGGGGCTGCCCCGGAGCTTTGGCCGCAGCTTCCGAGCTGGGGAGCGCTGGACCGCTGGAATAGGCCGCCCTGTCAGTGGAGGGCGCTGGTGGGACTTGACAGCACCCTGGGAGGTGCCACGCATCGCCACCACCTGCCCAGGTGGGCATCAAGGGTTCGAGATATCCTGAACCTGCCGCCTCTGAACTCTAATTGCACCACCTACATCACAGCCTGGCCACACTCGTCAGAGGATCTTCATGCCCTCCACAACCCCGACCAGTGATATACTCTTCTCTCACCAGTCAACAGATTCTTCACAGGATTGATGCAATCAGACGTCAAGCCTTCTCCCCGAGTAGCACCCCTGGCTGCTTCTGCAGCCGCCATCTCCGTGCTTGCTTTTCGTTCTCATGCGGTCTTGTCTCGCCTGCCTTGCTTCGTGGCTCAGCAGGCATGGACGCAGGAAACAGTGGCATCAGCCAAGACCAACATTGGGCAGCCTCTGAAAGAAGGTCTCAGGGATTCCCCTGGATTTTCTTGTCTCGCGTCGACGACTCCATCGACAGAGGTGTTTCTGCATGTCTCGCTTTGGCATGCCGGAGCGGCCGCAGCACGGTTCGAGTCACAAAATGCATCCCTCCCTCAGGCTGCAGCACACGGCATTCATGGTCACCGGAATGGAATTCCGATGGCAATCTACAATGTGGGCCAGTTGCTGCAACGAGAAAGCGCCAGAATTGAGCCCGACATCATGCCAATGCCGTGTCTCAGTGCGCTACGCAACTGAATCCAAGTATACGGAATCATACGGAGACGCGCCCTGATGATGGTCCAGAACTTCCCATGGACAGCATCTCCCCCCACCAGAGGTACAGAGTGGGGGTGCCGTCCTGGCGCGGAGGTGACATCGACCACCGCCACTTCGTCTTCTCCAATCATTGCGGTAGCATGCTTGCAGCTTTCTCGCTCGAGCCTTGGGTCAACTGTACCTCGGGTCTTTGCAGAGCTACTGCACTTCTCCGGGGCAAATCCGACAAGTATCCTTGCGCTGATAGAAGCATATCAAGCTTTCGTCGTGGCGAAGCCTCGCAATAGACCACTTTCCGTGGATGGCACAAAGCGCGTACATACGATAGCGTAAGGATACCTCCTGATTCGGTATGCACCATGCAAAGTTCAAGTTCCTGCTTACCGGATCGGCAAGTAGAGTTTACCGTAGCACCTGACGCGTCCATGTGGAACGCTCCGCAGCGACAGTTCGTCTCCATATGGTGTGCTGTTTAATGCTGATCCGGATATATCGAAAACAACAATATGCTAGGACAGTGCCACGTCGATAGAGCCGCACAACTCACCGGGCTGGCTATAAGCATGGTGGCCTGTTGTGCAATTATCAAGGACTGCGGCCACCGTTCTTGGCTCGTGATCGAGCGACCAGGGAGCACAGTGATCGTTCACAGCGAATCGTCCGGTATACACAGTATACACCATGAGATGCCCGAATGACTTATACCTCTACTGAGAATACGAACATGGCTATGCGCCTATATTCACCATTGTAGAGGACGGCGACCTTGAGAGAGAGGACACCAGGTCCGAGCTTTACTCCAAACCTGCAAGCACCTCAGGCTATTGCAAATGCCGGAAGACTAATTAAAAAGGGCACAGTCAAGGTCGGATCCGTTTCCATCTGAATTCAAGCAGGGAGAAACGGGTGCAATAAACAGCAACAACGACAACGCTGTAAGTCCAATTCAATAATATCTGTTTACACAGGCTAATATCTGTGTACTGAGCAGGCATTGAACAGAAGCAGCTCTGCCGCAAACACCATGTTCTTAATACATGACAACTGTTATGCGATGGCACGAACAAACGGATTTACGTAAAGCTCAAAACACAATCAGAATTATCTATCAGTCTCCCGCACCGCCCAATAACACGCCTGATCCATGACTCCTATATCACTGCCACAGAAACAACCTACAGCTTGACGCCACCCGCCTTGAGACGTGCGAGGTCTTCCTTGTTAAAAGGCACATACTTGCGCGTGCCAGGAGGCAACCAGTACACAAAGTCGACGGGCTCGCCCTTGTCCTTGGCGCTCTTCTCAATCACGTCGAGCTCGATCCCCTCGCCCCGCAGGCGGCCCTTCTGCATCTTCATGGTACCCGTGTACTCGAGCTCTGCGGAGACGCGGACAAACACGGGGACGGCGTAGCGGGGCATCTTGTTGAGATTGTGCTCCGCGAGCCCGGCCCAGTCGAGAGTCTCGTGCGTGATGCCGTCGCGGGGCACAATGGCTGCGCACCCGGCGCGCCCGTCGGCGTTGGGCACCAGCACGCCGTACACGTTGGACTCGGCGACGTGGTCGAACTCGCCGACGACATCGCCAACCTCGTTGGTCGACACATTCTCGCTCTTCCAGCGGTACGTGTCGCCGAGGCGGTCGACAAAGAAGAGCCGGCCGTCCGAGTCCATGCGCATCAGGTCGCCCGAGCGGAACCACAGGTCTCCCTTTGCAAATACGTCCCGGATCCGGCGCTTGGTGACGGCCTCCTTGTTGCCATAGTACTCTGGCGTGCCGCGGTCCGGATCGGCAGTGTCCATCTTGATGACGGCCTCGCCCACCTCGCCGGCCTTGGCCGCGATGCAGTAGCCCTGGGGCGTGCGCAGGACCTCCTGCGTGTCCGGGTCGATAAGGATGCGCTTGTATTTCCGCCCGTTGAGCAGGTGCCAGAGCGCGCCGCGCACGCCGATGGCGTAGCGTGAGAAGGGTCCCCGGTTGGGATTGGCCGAGAAGAGTAGGCCGTCGGTGGCGGCGTAGAGCTCGTTGATGGTCTCGATGCCGAACCGCTCGCGGAACTTCTCCCACACGTCCGGGCGCATGCCGTTGCCCCAGGCCATGCGCACGCCGTGGTCCCGGTCCAGCGGGCTCGGCGGCGCGTTGACGAGGTACCGGCACAGCTCGCCGACGTACTGGATGTGCGTGGCCTTGGAGTCGTGGACCTCCTGCCAGAACCTGTTGTGCGAGAACTTGCGCGACAGCACCACCGTCGAGCCCGCGCCGATGCTCGGCAGGATGCACAGCCCGTGTGCGGCGCCGTGGTACAGCGGCAGGCACGTGTACATGCGGTCACCGGGCTTGAGGGGCAGGAGCCTCGGGTTGCCGGCGGGCCCGCAGATGAGGAGCAGCTCGCGCAGGCGCGTCATGACGGTGCCCTTGGGCATGCCCGTGGTGCCCGAGGTGTAGATGAGGCTGGCGACGCCCATCACGTCGACGTTGTGCCAGCGCTCCTTGGGGTAGCTGGACATGTCGGTCAGGCTGGCGAGCGACTCGGCCGTGTAGTAGACGGTCTTGGAGCCGCTGGCCGCGAGCTCCTCCTCGACCGGGGCGACGAGGCTGCGCACTTGTTCGTCGGCGAGCAGGTAGCGGGCCTTGGCGATCTTGACGCAGTGGACGAGCGGCTTGTCGGTGAGGTTGGAGTTGATGAAGGCCGGGCAGGCCCCGATGGCCTCGAGGCCGAGCCAGAGCATCAGGTGCTCGGGCGAGTTGAGCCCGTCGAGGGCGACCATCTCGCCGCGCTGGATGCCGAGGTCCTTCATGAGCCAGTTGCCCACGGGCTGGACGGCATTGTAGAACTCGGTGTACGTCCACTGCTTGCCCTCAAAGATGAGGAAGATGTTGTCGCCCGCCTTGGTGCCCGCACGCTCGCGGAAGATGTTGTAGATGTACACCTTGTCGGCCTTCTGCTGGCGCATGGCCCACAGGAAGAACCAGACGAGGTGGACCGTCTCGCTGCCTGTCCGGAGGTCGTTCCGGATGTGCAGTCGGGCGTCGAGGTACGCCGCGAGGGCGGCACCGCCTGCGACAAGGGGCACTGTGCCGACTAATACATGGTGCCGGTGCCGAATGCCTAGTGGTTAGCATAATGGAACATCTGAGAGGTCAGATAGTAGTGTCCATGACATGGGCAAGGCGTCCGGGGGGCTGTTCAATAGCTTGACCAAATAGATATGAGGCTGGAGGAGGGCTTGTTTCTCTGCGGCTGCATGCTTTCGCGTACTTACCCATGGTATCGTCTCTTTACTGTCGTCTGTTGACTATATCCAGTCAAGAGTAGCGCGACTCAATGCAACTGTGTCGGTTCAAAAGAACGGAATTGTGGCAATGGCGACTCGATATCGCAAAAGAATCAAGTCACAGCTCACAACCACCAAACGCCGGGTTGTCAGTTTGTTTCGTCAGGCAGCTGGCCTCTCTGTTCGGCTCACACAACCAACCAAGTTGAGTGAACGAAGAGGATACACGCGAAAACCCATCAGAGCAGCCGCATAAAAATGTAATGACCACTTGCGTATAGCTCGGCCTGCGGCAACATGAGCGCCAGGGGTCTGCAGCCGTCTCCTCATTTACCTCCGCGCCGCCCAGCCCAGAGACCCCAGACCTGCCGAGGTCCACAAAGGGGGGAGGGGGGGCCGGGGTGCACCCACCTTAGTGTACTCCGTACGATGTGCACGTCTACTATTGTAAACTGATGCGGTGCGTTTTTGAAGGACGGCGGCACGCTAGCAGGATGACGGGAGACCCGCTGTGGAACTCTTCCCCCCCGCTAGGGCTGACTTCCCCCGCATTCTTCCAACGCCGTGGCAACAGCACTTGGTGCACGCTATCACTTGGCAGCATCGGATGGATCCATTCACCAGTCGTGCTGAGTACCTTATGATAGTAATGCTCAACACCAACAGATCGCTGTGAGAGACGAAAAAAAATCCTATGGCTCTTGCAGGCAATATGCCTGGCCTGGGAGTTTCAAGAGATATCTGCCGGTCCTGCTTTGAGACTGGAATCTCAAGGCAGGCTTCTTGAGGGGCGGCACATACATTGTGTACACCCCGGATTAAGCGGGAGCTTGAGTTTGAGAACAACTTCGCATCATCAACCACACAGCCCGCGGGATTCGCCAATCCCGCGCCGAGCCACACACGCGCAGAGGCAAAGAAGCTGGTGGAGAGCTGTAGTTTTGCGCGGGAAAAAAAAAAAACTCGCATGTCGAGGTGCTACTCTTGGCTCACTTGCTGGGCTGCCCTCTTGCTGGAGACGAGCCCCCGCGAGTGGTCGTTTGGCGGTCCAATTCGCAGCCCTCCGAGGCGGCCTCACTTGTTCAAGAATCGAATGCACTTAGCCCTGGATAAGGATATCATTTTTGTTCACGGCAGTAATATCGGCAGACCAACCCACTCTTCCTGGCTCAAGTGTCCTTCAATTGTCATTATGTACTGTGCTGTGCTGTGCCGTGCCTTGCCGTGCCCGCCCCGATCCAGTGCAGGCAAGAAAAGAAAAGAAGTGCCTGCAAAACGCGACAAAAGCCAGAGGCAAACAACATGAGATATCTCGTTTTGTGCCCATAGAACTCCCGCAGTGCAAGTCAAGAAACTCCCAAACCCGTACAGGATATGCATGTTACAAATGCCACTGCCCAAAGCGTGTCCGGCTTGGGGATGCGCGCGCTCTGCCAGTGTCTGCGTGACTGTCTCTGTGTGTGTCGTATCATCCAACCGTCCCATAACATAGATACAAAGAAAACTAAGTAGATGTATTTGGAGCTTCATCGAGTGGGGAAGAAGCCCCAGACAAGGTGTTGCTCCAGCGGTCAACGCGGCGACTACCTCTCGACCCGTGGCGGTGCTTGCCAGCCATTGATATATACCATGAGGCCCATGCCGAGGATCACGACGCCGACCATGGATGCATATGGAATGCTGCTAGTGAGAGCATGCTCGTGTACCAGGACCCCGGCAGATGTGGTCAGAGGCGTGATCGTATTTGTCCTGGTAATTGCCGGGCGATCTTTCATTGTCTCGCCTGCGGCATCGTCGTCTGCGGAAGCGACTGTCGAGATCTCGGCCAGCGTCGACGACCGGCTAAGCCTGCCGCTGGTTGTGCTTGCGTCCTGAGCAGCGTGGACCTCGGCTTGGAGATGAGCGTTCTCCTGGGCGAGGGCCTCTCTGGCTTCCGCTTCCTCGCGAAGCTGCAGCGCCATCTCGGCCAGTGATTTCCGGTCTGAATCTCTCTCGGCTTCTGCAGCGATGGCACGCTCGTGCAAGCTCTCGAGTTGGAGGCGTAGATCCGTCATTTGCAACACCATGGTCTCAATCTGGCTCTGTAATTGGGCGGTGTCATCTCTCTGTTCGGTACCCGGATCGGTCATGGGTGTGTCCTGGTCGTTGTTATTTAGATGTTCAGCTGGTGGTTCAAACGTCTCGGTCAGGATAGCAGGCGCCTGCTCAGGCTTGTCCGTCAAGACGTCTGGTTTGGTCGTAGCTGCAACCTCCAGCCGCCTGGCAAGATCCTCAGCAAGCTCTCGCGCCTCCCGCTCCTTCTTGAGCATTTCTTCAAGATCCTTCATCCGGGATGTTTGTGATTCGATCTCTCTTTGAGCATTCTTCAGGGCTTCTGTCAGTTGTATGATTTGGCTCGAGTGTCCATCATGACGACCAGGCGAATTGTTCTGTCCAGGTAGTTTGGGTTTCTCGGTGAGCCCCCGCTTCAACGAAGGCACGTCGGGTTTCTCAGGAAGTGGCTGTTGCGGTGGTGGAGCTGGCGGGTCAGAGAACCGCGTTTTGCCGCCGTCAGACCGGAACGAGACGCCGTTGCCATTCACCACTTGCGACTTGGGCACCTCGTTGATGTCGACCTTCTCCATGTCCTTGATGTCGTCTTTAGTAAGCAGGGCGTTGACAAACTGCCCTGTCCTGCTGAGATCGTGTGTTTGCAGGCGAGCTGTGCGCATCTCGCTCTGTATTATTGTCAGTATTATTGTCAGTATGCAGGAGAATAGTTCAGACGGGTCCTAGACACGAACCTGTAGTTTCTTGACGATCTGTTCTGTGCTGATGGGAGAAAAGAAGAAGCCTCGCTGATGGCTCATGCCACTGGGTTGTCCTCCCATAAGGGGCCCACCCGTGACCATGCGTCCATTGTTCGTCATGGACGCCTGACTACCAGCACGGCCGCGATACATGGCAATGCCCTGGGGATGCATCATCATGGAGCCGTTCGTGGGATCGAGGTCGCCAAAATTCATGTCCAAGACGTTGCTGGCAGAGTTGAGATAGCCGGCATGTTCCACTTTGGCAGCAACCTTGTGATGCACAACCGTCTTTTGATCTTCACTAACGATATCGATACCCAGCTCCAAGTGATCTCCGGTTTGTAGTTCGTGTGGCTCTGACTCGCGGTTCTCTTGGGATAGCCGCGACCCGTTCACGAACGTGCCGTTGCTCGACTTGACGTCTCGGATCCAAATTTTGCCCTGTCTGTCTGCCCAGATCTCGGCATGTTGTCGAGACAGTACCTTGGAGTCGAAGAAGCCGTTGACGGGCGTCGGTACGGTTTTGGCGTTTGTTTGCCGGCCGATTCTCAGGGTGTCCGGGGAGAACGGTACAGAAATGGTCTTCCGCTCAAAGGTGCCGTTCAACGATAACAAATAGAGGACAGGCGCCGGACCGCCAGATAGAGATTCGGACATCAGCCTCTGCGTACCCTGCTGCGATCCTAGTTGGCCTTGGGAGGGCAGTATCTGAGAGGGATTGGCATGCATGGTTCCATTCCCATTGACGGCACCTCCCACAAATGTAGGGCGACCGTTAGCCCGCACGCCTGCCCGGTTTGGATCTACCTGCGACTCTGGTTTCTGTGGAGGCCATGGAGTCTTGGCTTGAGGACGTTTGCGCGCGTCGACTGTGGCGTTGCCATTTGACCACGAACCTAGCTCTCCCGATGGTTGTTGCAACAACACACCATTTGGCTGAGACTGAGAACCCCCATTCGAGACGGTTGATGTGGATGATGTCGACGATATCGAGGAGGATGAGTTGTTGCGCTGGAGGCTCTTCCTTGGCATAAACATCCGGTCGTCGGGTGCGCCGGTATGGCCACCCGTCAGGCTTGCCCAAGGACCCGACCGGTTGTGCTGCGAGAAAGTGGGAGGGCTTGCGACGGCTGTCATGAGGGGTGGACAGCCGAGTCGAGCGCAAGAGGCTGAAGGTGGGTAGCAGACCTGGCGCGCGGACGAGGACGACCCTGAACAGCCACTATCGATGGTGAAGTGGTGGGCTGGGTTAGTCGTGTCCTTCACGCGGGTGCTTACGACGTGGTGGCAAGCGGCCTGGACAGCACAAGGAGGAGAGCTCTAGTTTTTATGAGCGGATAGCGAACTGCAAAAATAGGAGCGCGCCAGGGCGGGCTATCGCGAGGCACGCGATGATTGTAGAGGCACAGATAGATGGCAGATGGTCGGTCAGGGGCCTGTGGGCGACGTGGTCGAAGCAGGGCTGACAAGCATGAGTCGCCGCATCCACAGCGGGAGGATGCGGGACGCGGGCGACGAAAAGAGGCGGCGATGGGAGCTGCGTGTGCTGTGCAGCAGGTATATCGGCGGCGAGAGGGGCGGCGGTGACGGGGCACGCGGAAACGATGCTGTCGTGGAATGCTCGTCGTTGTAGAGTTGGCGCGGTCGAAAGGTGCCGGGTACTGACGCTAACTATGGGGATGGCCAGCAGAGCGAGTTTGGGAGGGCGCAGGTGGGCGTAGGTCCGTCCGCCCTCCAAAGCCAAAGCCTGGGAGCGGAGCGGCCACTCCTAAGCGCCTGCCCACGCCCACCTGTTGTGGTGCGAGCCACCACCCTCCATCACACCGTCCACCACATCACATTACTGTGTGCCGTTCATGGGCGCCAGCCAGGCCAGGGCCGGCCATCGGACCACTTTCAGCGTACAGATCCTTCCTGTTTTTTGCCATGATGCTCTAGACTCCGACGGCCATGGCCAGGCACGCGACACCGCGCTAGCACTATACATCATGCAATCCACCAACTTGGGTTCAGCTGTACATAGAGTAATGTCCAGAGTCCTCCTACATAACGAGACGCTTGTGTTTATGCGACCGTTCTTGCGCGTTGAATCCGTAACAGCCAGCCGCACGACATGGAAGATAATGTAGCCAAGCTCTGCATAGAATCACATCTGCAACCTTGAAACCCTGAATGCCGACTCCAAACCAGGGCATGCATGGTGACCTTCCCGAGTTCACAACTGAACAATCCGCAGGAGCTTTAGTCCTCAGGCGCGTTTGAACTTTAAACGTTTCTTCTTATCGCTGCCCGTTTCGTGCTGCCGGGGGTCCGTGCGTCGATAGCCCTTTCCCCGGATTCTGGCAGCTGTCAGAGGGACTCTACGGGTGCCGGGTAGCTTTCGCCAATATCGTGAGGGGACCTCGGGAGCTACCATATGCAAGTTGCACCTGCTGCTTGTCGCATGACGATAGCTCCCCGTTGCGCCAGCCCAGACCAACGACGACCGCAAAACCTGGTGTTCACCAGCGCCAGCATACTGTTTCTTGTTCGAGCGCACCAGACCGACATAACCGCCACCATGCCGCCTGTACCACAACACAGAGGCCCCGTCGGCCCGTCCACCTTCGACAAGCGTTCGTACTTTGCCAATTCACGTACTTAGGATGCTCAGCCTTTGTCGGACTAACATGGGCGTATAGTCAAGATGGGTGCTATGATGGGAGGCTGTAAGTCAAATACCGATGCAAGTGCAACGCCAGGGATTTGCCCAAGCTAATGGTTTTCTTATATAGCTGTCGGTGTCATTATGGGTTTCGTCTTTGGTACGAAAGCCCCGTCGCTTAATTCCTCGATAAACGCAAAGCGAACATATCTCCCGAAATAAGTCGCACGTCGACTGACCCGCTCAATCGGACATACAGGGACGGTACAAATTTTCCGCGGCGGTGCCGGGCCCAACGGCATCATGCGCACGCTAGGACAATACATGCTCATGTCGGGATCTACCTTTGGGTGCGTCATTCAGTTCATTTTTCTCCATTGAGAAGGCAAAATTGGTTAATGTCTGGCTTCGTTCTCTGGGTAAACAGCTTCTTCATGTCCATCGGCAGTGTGATCCGCAGCGACACATCACCCATCGGCGCCGAGGCGTTTGCCAGGGCGCAACGGAGGCCTTTCATCATGGCTGCCGAGCGCGGGTTCGGGCCAAAGTCGATCTAAGGCCGAACATCGCGAGAACTTCAGCATCGCAAGGACTTGGTTGAGCATACGGGCGGCGTCTATGGCGAGATTGGTACGTCCGGTCCATCTCAGACACGGGAAGGAATCTCAGACCTCGGATGGCGACGCTTGGAGTGCGCACATTGAGAGTGGGAGTGTATATTATGCGTCAAGGATGGGTGGGAAAACTGTAACTATATCTACGCGCCGACGAGTCTTCTCTTTTGGGCCGCGATATCCCTCAGATGGAAGTATATTGCTCAGAAGCGCATAGCATGTCAGGCAGTCAGCCACGCTTGGCTACGTCTGTGTAACAACGAGCGACATTACCACCACAAGGCAGGCTGGCACGTTGCGCTCTTCATTACTCAATTACTTACTCTGTGAGGAGGCCAAGCTGACTCGGCTGCGAGGTGACATTTGAGCCAAGCACACATGGATAACCATAATCTACTTTGCTGGGCCCCATGGGCTTTGCATGTCGCTAGAAATGATCGCAATGTAGCACACTCCCTGGCATACGGGTCACTCAATGATCGAGTCTAGCAGATTTGACAAAGGGCTCGAAGAAACATGGCTGAAAGGGTTCTGACCGAGCATCGTCTCGTGAGAGTATTCTATGCCTACATCTCATGCATGTCTAAACCATTTATACAAGCTCTCTATCGTTCAAATGTCCATCCAGTTTGTCTACACAGTCAGATGACTCAGCCGCAAAGCATCTTGGCTCGTGCAGGTTGAAGCATCACTGGTGGTACTAGCTCTTTTCGACGCTCTCAGTGATCATTTCGACAGGTCATGACAACCGCAGCAAGGTATCATATGCGTTTGGTCTTGACAGCAGGCAGCCTGTGCTGACTGTGTGCCGGGATTGTTGTCCCACCCAGGAGGATGGACTGCCGGGATCTAGGATAGCATTTGGTACTGCCCCACGTGTTACCTCATTTGCCATCAGGAGTAAATGCTTGTTCTCCTGCGCCAAGGAAGGTCCTGATGATACAGTGTTCGGCATGGAGCAACTGGTGGTCCTAGACGCGTGGTTTTGGTGATCCACCCAGCGAGATTGTGTTTCGCTGGGCCGGCTTCAGGTACGAAGGGCTCTGAGGGTGGTCAGTTGCTCTACCATAAACCACGCTGCACTGCACAGCCAAACCAACACTGAACCACGGAGGTTTCCGTTCGGATACATAGTTGCGAGCGATCTCAGGGCAGGCAGGTTGATGAGGTAGCATTCCCGCACTAGTGCGCCGCGAGACGGTTGAGTCAATGGGAAGGACCTCGGCGAGCTCGGGACATCACGGGCGTAGTACTCCTGCATGATAAAGAAGATGTTTTGGGCCGTGCGGTCCTTGTGCTCGTGAACAAGAACTTGCAGGTGGTTACAAGAGCGTTGTTGTCAATGGACATTGTCTATTGGCGGCCACGATAATGGGGCCAGCGCACTTTTCTCATTCCTCGAGCAGTTTCTCCCCGAACGATGCGCGAGCGTGAAGACGTCATTTCTCAATGTGTCTCAATATTGGTAGGACCGACTGTCCAATGAAAAGTGCGGGGGTAGTATCTGGTCTAGTCGAGTAAAGTTTGGCTGGGCGTTGTTGGGACTGCTCGAGCTGCTTTAGCCGCTCAGGGCAATGTCGAACTCAGCTGGACGATCTGTGGAGCCACGACCAGATGCAGGACTGGAATTGCACGGTCTGGCCACAGCTCGGCCGCAGAGGGGACGATTGCAAATGCAGAGCGGTGGAGACAAAGGCCCCCCGTTCCCAGACACGAGCGAACGATGGCAAGCATTGGGAGGACAAGCAATCTAATTAGAGCGTGGGGCATCGTGGCATCGAGGCCAGCTCGTTCTGCCTAGAGGAGGGCACCAAGTGACCTGGGCAGCCCTGGGGGTCCAGAACGCAGGCGCCCGAGGCTGCAGCACACCCCGGCCGGTGGGCTTGTACCTGCCGCCACCCACGACTGCTGCTCCACGGCCTGGCCTGGCTCCTTCCTGGCGTGCCGCCTCTCGTCGCTCCTCATCTTGTTCCAAGATTGCCTGTCCCGCGTGTTATTCTTCCCGCTCTCGTCCATCATCCACCTCGCCGCCGCGGCGTCCTTCAAACATCTTCAGCCTTCACCGCATCGACGCTTCTTGCCTGGACAAGCTGCGCGCGTACCAGCCACGCCTCGCCACCTACTCAGCCGCGCCGCGACTACTTCACTTCCATCGTCATCTCACACCTCAATCACACGCATTCCCAGCCCGCTGCACATTCCGCGCATCCCCGACGACCATCGCGAGCGCCTCCATTCCTTCTTCGCGCATTCATAAAGACACCCGCCTTTGGCATCCACCACATCAGTGACCAGCGCATCTATTGATCTGCCGCTTCTCTCTACCCGCCAGCCCCTTTTGATCCCGCACAACCACCCACGATGCCGGCTCTCTGTGGAGGTTCAAAGACCGTACAGCGCAAGCTGGTCTTGCTGTGAGTCCTTGCGCCGCCTCCAATTGGATATTCACACGCCGCTGTAGTCACTCTTTTGTACTGACACTGCGGCCGTAGTGGTGATGGTGCCTGTGGCAAGACTTCTTTGTTGAACGTCTTCACCAGGGGATATTTCCCGACAGTGTATGAGCCAACTGTGTTCGAGAACTACGTCCACGGTCAGTACCCCCTGAGACTCGCCATGTCATGCTCTCCGCAGGACGTTTTGCCCACAAGACAACTTGCAGGGCTGCGACTTCTCTTTGGTCGCATCCGCTAATATTCGTCTGTGTACATACAGACATTTTCATTGACAACGTACACATTGAGCTGTCGCTGTGGGATACGGCCGGCCAAGAAGAATTCGATCGTCTCCGCAGTCTGTCCTATGACAACACCGATGTTGTCGTGCTCTGCTTCAGTGTCGACAGCAAGGACTCCCTGGAAAACGTCGAGAGCAAGTGGGTAGGCGAGATCCAAGAGAACTGCCCCGGCGTCAAGCTCGTGCTGGTGGCCCTCAAGTGCGACCTGAGGGAAAATGGCGACGAAGAGGAGGAGGGAGCTGCGCCACCTACGGAACAGCGCGAGAAGAAGCCAATGATCGACTACAACCAGGGTCTCGATGTTGCCCGGCGCATCAAGGCGATGAGATATCTCGAATGCTCTGCCATGCGGAATCGTGGCGTCAATGAAGCTTTCACCGAGGCTGCCCGCGTGGCGCTCAGTGTGAAGCCTGCTGGAGAGAAGGACTCCAAGTGTGTGGTCATGTAATGCACGAGCTGCATACGTTTCACCTCGCCAACAAACCGCCAGCATGCCTCACACATACGTTGGGATGGCAGTGTGCCGCAGCGGAGTCCGATCAGGGACAGTGCCGGAAGACCGACACGGAGAGAAATCAACAGAAAGATCACCTGCGCAATATCCTCGCAGCCGTCGACACAACGATAGGGTCGTTTCTTGCTGACCCCCGTCATGAAATTTCCGCTACCATATTTCCCCCTTTGCCGCAATACACCTTTATTCAGTATACCATACATTCACTTCTAGTCTATCCCCTTAGCTTCCGTACGAGTTTACGTCTAGACAGGAAAAGGGAGAGATGCACGGCCCCGAGCTCGTCCGTCCTTGCTATCTTCTACATGATACCTCCTCACACATAGCTTGTATATATACCCTCACTAATGTTTTTAAAATCAAAAATTCAAGTACACCCTCGAGGATCTCTCTTGTGAAGATGTCATTCATGTATAGTACCACTATCACAATAGGGTTGCGCAGGTGACGTGTGATCGTCAAAACAAGGACCCTGAACTCCGAGAAAAAGTGGATCAGCACGAATGCATATGCACGGCGTGAAGCGTGGGATGTCTCGTCAGTATCTAAGACATGGCAAAGTTTGAGGAAATGGAAACTGAAATCCTTGATAATCATTTTCAGGCCTATGCAGAAACCTTATAGCTACACAGAAATGGAAACGCTAGTGCACAATGAATGATGTCTGCTTCAGCCCGGGCCGACTGATCTTTACCTATATCCTCACGACAATCCGAGCTGCTTTCTCCGCAAACCATTTGCAAAGTCACGATCTCCAGCACCAAATTTGTTCGAATGCTCGCGCGCCTTGTCGTCGGCCTCCCGCTCTTGCTGCTCTTTCTGCGCAAGCGCAGCGAGGCGCGACTCGCGGTCGCGATCAAGGTCTGAGGCTGCGGCCTGCATCGCGGCGAGCTTGCGGGCGCGTTCTTCCTCATCATTATCCTTGTCGCCGGCATTGCCGCTATGACTGCCATTATTCCGGAAACCTCCCCGGTCCTGAGTCAGCGGGCCTCGTCGCTGGTCGCGGTAGTCTCGGCCGTTTCTATCATATCTCTTGGCCTTGTCGTGGCTGTCGCGGTCGTCTCTCTCTCTACGGTCGCGTGGTGGCTCCGGTGAATAGTCGTGCCTCCGCCTGTAGCTGCCATCTTTTGATCTGTCGCCCCGGGGACTTCTTGAACGATCTCGCCGCCTGTCTGTATCTCGCTCAGAATCTCTGCGTGGGGCTCGGTCGCCTGAAGTGGACCGCCGCCGCCGGTGGTGGGAGCCTTCTGGTCGACCCTCTCTGCGCCTCGAATCCGCACGATCGCGATCGTTCTTCTCTTCGGGTGACCTGGATCGGTGTCGCCGTGGGCGCCTTTCTCTCGAGTCTTCCCGATCGCTGGTGGAGTCTGAGCGCCTGTGGTGTCGCCGACCGCTGCGCTCCCCGTGACGATGATGCCGCTCTCCCGACCGCGACCGGTGTCTGTGCCTGCGCGAGTGATGGCGATCGTCCTTCTTTCTGGACGACGACGATTCCTTCGGGTCGGACTTTCCCATTGTTGCGAGAAGCTGTCGCCGGCGGATGGGGTCGTTCATCATGCTCTCGTACGCCGCCTGCTCCGCCTTCTTCATGGCCAGCATGGGGTCTTCGCGGATCTTGGCCTGCGTGTCTCGCTCGGTGTTGGCGTTCTGCAGGGCCATGAAGCTCTGCTCGCCGGCGTTCTTCTTGAGGTTCTCCGTGCCGTCGTTGCGCGTGAGGACGCTGTCGATTCTGCGCTTGCCGAGGAGGAACGCCTCGAGCTCATGGCTGTCGCCCTGGCCGTCGGAAGGGCCCTGGTACATCCAGTCCACCTTGTCGAGTTTCGGCTTCGCGCCCGCGGCCTCGAGCTGCCGTTGGAGATCCTCCTTGGCGCGCTCCTCCTTGATTTCCTGCAGTCGCGCCTCCGTCTTCTTGCGCTCCTCCAGGGCCTTTTTCTCCTCCTGCCACACCCGGTCCTGATTCTTCATCAGGCCCGGGTGCCATGACTTCTTGAGCAAGAGGTTGTTGCCCATCGTGAAGGCAGTCGAATGGTATTTGTCGTCGTTGGCTGCCTCGAGGATTCGAAACTGCGATGTCTCTGGATAAGTTGTAGGATGAAGGTTGGCAGATAAGGATAAGAGGCGCGGATGAGGAATCGCCACCACCCTGGCAGACTTGCCTAAAACCGGAGAGGCTGGGCGCTACAGTGTGCAGGACAGTGCTTATGTCCAGGTTTGCACAGTCTTTGGTCTCCGCATTGTTCGCCGAACCCTTGCACCATGGTGGGGCCGCTCCTAAGCTCCGATAAGATAGCAGCTAAAGGTGACGCTGCTCCCCGCCTATGTCGTGGCAGCCTTGAGACAAGTGATCAGGTCCCCGTATAGGTCCATTCACGAAGCGATCACTGCATAATTGGTCTTCAAATCTTGGGCAAGCGCCAAGCATCGTCATTACACTCCGATTTCTCGTTCTGCATTAATAGGTCAACTTCATAATCCCATCGAGCACCAACGACAAGAAGAGGCAACGCTTGCCCCACCTCTCGCTCTCGCCACGATGTCGGACGACGACTTTATGCAAGAGTCGGATGAGGAGCAGTATGTACTCATGTTTGGCCCTGGTCGAGTACTCTGGCACTAACTTCTGTCCAGGTATGACTTCGAGTACGAGGATGACGACGATGAGGACTCGGGCGATGTCGACATCGAGAACAAATACTACAATGCCAAGCAGATGAAGTCGAGCGAGCCAGAGGAAGCCATAGACGAGTTCCTCAGCATACCTGGTCTGGAGCCGGAGAAGGGAGACTGGGGCTTCAAGGGCTTGAAACAAGCGATAAAGCTGGAATTCAAGCTCTGCCGATATGACAAGGTCGGTGCCATCGAGCTTCTCCCGATTACTCTAGCTGACGGATGTTCCAGGCCGTCGAACACTATACAGAACTCCTCACCTATGTCAAGTCAGCAGTAACCCGCAACTACTCCGAAAAGTCGATCAACAACATGCTCGACTTTATCGAGAAGGAGTCCGAGAACGAGGAGGCTCAGAAGTGTCTGGAGCAATTCTACTCTTTGACATTGAACTGCTTTCAGAGCACGAACAACGAGAGACTATGGCTCAAGACGAACATAAAGCTCGCAAAGCTCATGTTGGACCGGAAGGACTATGCGCCAGTCACAAAGAAGTTGCGTGAGCTGCAGAAAGCCTGCCAGCGGGAAGATGGCACAGACGACCCCAGCAAGGGCACATACTCGCTCGAGATCTACGCGCTTGAGATCCAGATGTATGCGGAGACACGGAACAACAAACAGCTCAAAGTTCTGTACCAACGAGCGCTTAAGGTCCGGTCTGCGGTGCCTCATCCCAAGATTATGGGAATCATCAGGGAGTGCGGTGGCAAGATGCACATGAGCGAGGAGAACTGGAAGGATGCTCAGAGTGACTTCTTCGAATCCTTTCGCAACTACGACGAGGCCGGCTCATTGCAGAGAATCCAGGTTCTGAAGTACCTTCTTCTCACCACCATGCTCATGAAGTCTGACATCAACCCGTTTGACTCTCAAGAGACGAAGCCATACCGCAATGACCCTCGCATCGCGGCCATGACAGAGCTGGTCGATGCCTATCAGCGTGACGACATGCACAAGTACGCGTCAGTACTGAGCAAGAACCAGGACATTCTGGCAGACCCCTTTATTGCGGAGAACATTGACGAAGTCACTCGCAACATGCGGACGAAGGCTGTCGTCAAGCTTATCGCACCATACACCAGGATGCAGCTGGCATGGATTGCGCGGCAGCTCAACATCACCGATGCCGAGGTGCAAGATATCCTCGGCTATCTGATCGTCGATGGCAAGATCAGAGGCAAGATCGACCAGCAGGCCGGAACACTTGAGATTGAGTCTGACGGCGACGCTGAAAGAGTGCAGGCTCTCGAATCTTGGTCGAACGCACTAGCTGGCCTGTACGCCACCATCTTCAAAGAGGCCGAGGGCTTCAAGGTGACGGAGCAGCATGCACAGCTCGACGAGGCGACGATGCTGCCCATGTTCTCTGGAGATATGCCTGGACGGCCCCGACAAGCGAGGGGGAAGAAGAAGGGCTTCTTCGCAGCATGATCATACACCGGGGACTAACAAAAGACATGGCATGCGGAGCCCAAGTCTCACTCGTGGCGTCCAACAAACTGGCAACTTCATTATTGCACGTCAAAATACCACAGCGCTAGGCATGAGATTTGGTGGAAATTCCACATAGAACCTTACATAATCAGAGATCCAGACAAGCACAGCGGTGAATTAAATAAAAAGATTCAATCTGCGTGCCATTTGTCAGTTGTGTATTTGTTGTATTAGAGGAGTCTTCGTCCTTGCTCATATGAGGTTGAGACTGAAAGTGGGTCTTCTAGGAAAGTCGCGGTTGAGCATGGGCCAACGAGACCCGCCGCATCAGGCAGCGCGAGCTGTCGTCGCCTCGTCATTTGGTGGGCTGGCATGAGTGGTGCATGGCGTACTCGAGCTGCACAAGGCGCCTGTGGGTGGAAGCTACACTACCTACACCTCCCCACCAGCCGCCCGAGCAAGCATCAACGACGACGACACCTGCCCACCTCTTCCGCTCGACGTCGGAGCTCATCAACCCTGTACTGCTCGTAGTACCCGGCGCCAGTTCTCGCGAGTGCCTGCAACTACCAACCGTCATCACACTCAACCACACCCTCTCACCCCGCGGTCATCATGGCGGACGCAGCGCTGAAGCCGGAGAAGGACTTCAGCAAGGAGGCTGAGAAGATCATCCCCGAAGCCGAGCAGCTTGCCAAGGTTTGTGACTGCTGCTGCAGGTCTCGTATCTCTCTGCGCGCAACCGCTAACCTTGAGAGAATGCCAGACCGACATCAATGCCGCTATTGAGAAGCTGTCCGTCCTCGAGAAGCAAACCCGCCAGGTAAATTAAACCGTGTTTCCCCTTCTGAGCCGTGCACCAAGTTTCCAGCCAACTGACTCAAATGTGCAACAGGCCTCAGATCTCGCATCTTTATCGAAAACACTCATCACGATAGTCACAATCGCCAAGGATGCCGGCAACTGGAGTCTACTCAACGACCAGGTTCTCATCCTGTCCAAGAAGCATGGCCAGCTCAAGCAGGCCATCACGCGGATGGTTCAGACCGTCATGGGCTTCCTCGACAGCACTCCCGACCTCGACACCAAGCTCACAGTCATCGAGACATTGCGGACCGTTACTGAAGGCAAGATCTTTGTCGAGGTCGAACGTGCCCGCGTGACCAAGATCCTGTCCGACATCAAGAAGCAACAAGGCGACCTGAAGGCGGCGATGGACATTCTGTGTGAGCTGCAGGTCGAGACGTTTGGCTCGATGGACAGACGAGAAAAGACCGAGTTTATCCTTGCTCAGGTTGCGCTCTGCATTGAGAACGACGACTGGACGCAGGCTTCCATCCTTGCACGCAAGATCAGCACAAGATACCTCGCCCGAAAGCCAAAGAAGACGCCCGAGCAGTTGGCCAAGGAGGAGAAGGCACGGGAAGAGAAGCGCAAAAAGGGCGAGGATGTACCCGAGGAGAAGGAGGACGACACGACCGACCTCAAGCTACGGTATTATCAGCAACAAATCCTGCTGGCAAAGCATGAGGACAAGTACCTGGATGTATGCAAGCACTACCGGCAAGTCCTGGACACGGAAGCAGTCGAGGAAGATCCTGCGAAACTCCAGCCTGTAAGTTGTCATTTCCACCGCTCCTGCGCAGCAGCAGCTGAACTCTGGCTAATAATGGCAGGTCCTCCAACGCATCATCTGGTTCGTTATCCTCGCACCACACGACAACGAGCAGCATGATCTGCTGCAGCGCGTCCTTCGCGACACCCGCAACAGCCAGGTCCCCATCGATGCTCAGCTTCTGAAGCTCTTTACCGTGCACGAGCTCATGCGCTGGCCCGAGGTCGCGAGGACATTCGGGCCGCATCTCTGCAGCACGGATGTTTTCGACCGGCAGGAGGGTGAGTCTGGAGACGAGAAAGCCTTTAAGCGCTGGCAGGATCTGCGCAAGCGTGTTATTGAGCACAACGTTCGCGTGATTGCCAAGTACTACACGCGGATCGGCATGAAGCGTCTGACGCAGCTGTTGGATCTCACCGAGGATGAGACGGAGAAGTACATCAGCGAGCTAGTATGCTCAAAGACCGTTTGGGCGAGGATCGATCGGCCAGCGAAACTGGTCAACTTTGCCAAGCCCACAGATGTCGATGACACACTGAACGAGTGGAGCCACAACATGAAGAGCCTTCTTGGTCTGTTAGAGCGGGTAGACCACCTCATCACCAAAGAGGAGATGATGGCGCGCATTCAACCGACAGCGAAGGGTGGAAAGGCGGACAAGAAGACCAAGAAGAAGGCATAGAGTCGCCATATCGTGTTATGAAAACCCGGCACCTTGAAACATACAGCTCGTGTCTGGCCCAGAGTACTGAATAGAGAACGTCAAAAGGCTTCATGTCAGCCGAAAAGTGCAGAGCCACAATTTCTTTCATGAACTAGGAGCTCCAGGCAGGCTCATGAATCCTAGATTCTAGACTCTAGATTGGTGACGTGCGCTTTATGTCTATGGTTGAACGTTGATCTCCTCTACATTCGCGACGAAAAGCTGGCAGCCGTAAGACCGAGTCAGTCTACGCAAGACAGCAAGCATAAACAAAGAGGCCCAAAAAAAATTGAGACCGGCAACCTTACCCCTTGACATCATCCTCGCCCGCCACACCCTTTCCCTTCTCCGCCTTCTCATATGCCTCCTTGATATACCCGACCAGCGCCATGCTCCATTGCTTGGCGACGGGAACATAGTGCCCACCGGGGTGCACAAAGACCTTTGCGTCCGCGCAGCGCTCGACGAGCGCTTGGGAGCGCGACTCGTCGACGACGGTGTCGAGGCTGCCGATGAAGTGGGCCGTGGGCGTCTGGATGGGCGGGTTCTCGAGCAGCCACTGGAGCCCCGGGACGGGCGTGTAGAAGCCGCTGTAGATGACGGCGAACTTGAGCGGGTGCGAGTTGTTGGCCTCGCAGAGGGCGGGCAGCCAGGACCAGTCTGCCCTTTCGCCGAGGGGGGTCTCGGCAGAGGGGGACGGGACGGTTTCGGGGTCTGGCGGCGGCCGGATTGGTGGCGATGATGATGATGACGATGATGATGTCTCGAGGGCCGCGGCGATGAGCGAGGCGAAGCAGGCGCCCTGAGAGAAGCCTATGACTCCGTCGATGCGGGCAGCGTCGTCGTCCTCGTCTCCACCAATGTCTTGTCCATCACTGCCGGTGGTCGAGGACCGGATGGCCTCGGCAACGGTGCGCATCCCGGCCTCGAAGCCCCGGTACGTCCCGTTGACTTCGTTCTTGCGGAACCAAGCCCACGCGTCGGACGAGTCGTCGTCGTCATCCGAGTCGGCGTTCTCGGAGGACGGGACGAAGCCGGGGATGTCCCGCGGCCGCAGCCGGTGCGGGCCCGTCGGATAGATGAAGACTGGCTCTACGCCGAGGCCGCCGGCTGCCTTGGGCGCCGAGAGCGTCTTGGTGATGAACTTTGTCAGGGCCTTGGTCTTGCTGTCGAACAAGGGACCGCTTTGGGTGAAGCCTTCATAATACACGGGGGAATATGTTAGTTGCCCGTTTTTCTCCAATGCTGGGAATGGGATGAAGGGGGGCGAAACATTGTTTGAGCGTAGAGTCAGTGTTTTAAGGTGCCGTGAGGGTAGTAGCTGTTTATAATCGGGAATGAAGGGAGGAGACCACGGCTTATATGAATCTTGCGCTACATGCACAGAGAATAAAGACAAAGTCAGGGTGTAGAAAGACCAGAAGAGACTGGGATGGTGGAGGCCGAGCACGCCCAGACTACCTACCGTGGAGCATGAGGATCCTCATCTTCTTCTTGCCGCTGCCTGTGCTACCGGTCGACTTTGGCGTCGCCGCGCCGCTGGTTGTGGTTGACATGGCTGCGCTCGAGCAGTACTCCCAGCACCCACGTCTAACAAAGCTGAAGCCAAGATGTCGAGTAAGTGCAGAGCGCAAGAGTGTCGAGTGGATTCTTGACGACTGGGTAGATGGGCGGAGAGCAGTACGCATTTAAAGCCTAGCACGATTATGCGAGAAGCACTGCGCCACGGTACTGTCTCATGAGTGACCACAGAGGGGATTGCTGTTGTTGTGATAAGTGGCCAGCGGGCTGTCGGAGGTGAAGTCAGCGAGTGGGGGCCGTTGCCGGTAGAGTCACTGGACGGCCGGCGGGCCCGTTTCCTGCACTCTCGACCCCTTGTGCGGTTCTCAAGACGGTATGTCACGCAATGCGATTGATTCGAGGATGTCTTGAGCAGTTTGCACATTACGGGTGCCTTTCGAGTTATACATCATATTGTGGTGAACTGGTATTGCTTTCAAGAGTTCCAAATCTCAGCACCTTTTCGTGCTACATGCTCAATTGCCCTCGCTATGAGCCTGAACATCATGAGCAAGCCGGCTGCCGACCTAAAAAGAAATGGTACCGTCACTAGCTTCATTGTCTCGCCAGGGAGTCTTTCCATGTAGACGTCACGTAGGATGCTGCAGCCGTAATCAGTCACGGTGCTGGGTGCTTCAAGCCGATACACATATGAAAGGTATCTTGGCATAAATCGAACATCTGCGTGAATCTCAATTCTCTGTTGCGAGGCGCAGGTCTATGGTACAATCCACCTTCTCTGTTGCTTCCCCATATCTCCCCGATGGTGGTTCCGAGTGATGAATAGTTCGAGCGGACGCTGCTGTTTCTAGACGTTCCGCACTGGCAATTCGGCAAGCCGCCGAATGGTACGTCCTTGCACTAATCCTTTCATGTAGAAGCACGTGTAAAGTCGAGACAGGTCGCATTTAGTGGCCGCCAGACTTGGCGTTGGGGTTGCGAGGGTCGTTCTTCCACTCGTCGGCTGTTCCATAAACCCAGGTCAGTTCTGATATGATCTAGAGGCCGGTTTCTGTATGCCTATGATAACTGCAGCATCAATGGTCGGAGCTCAGGCACAACATACACTTCATCATGGCGTTCTGGGCGGAGTTGACACCGTAGAAGATGATGGCACCTATAATGCTCGGATCAGTACAGGCGCGGGGCACCGGAAAGTGGCGGCCAGGGGATTGGCGTTAGCTCGCGCGAGCGGGATCAAGTCGTACCGGCAGCGAAGAAGGGAGCGAGAGGCCGCACTAGGATAACAACATTGTCAGCATAAATGATCATCGAGGGCGGGAAAGTCGCAGTGTCGCAAAGCATGCGTGGGTTGGTCGGCTGGCCGGCAAATATCGGGTGCGCGCGCTCGAGGGGTAACGTACAGACGGGCGTCGGGAACTTCTTGAGAGGGGTGATGCCGAACCAAGCCATTGTGACGATGGTGAGATATGGAGTGCCGCGGGGGGGTGTGGTTGCGGTAGAAGCGTCGGGGATGGTGATGAAGTCTTGTGGTGATGTTCCTCCGGACGAGCGCTTTTCGATGGTCAACGAGCTCTTCCGACGAAGCGGAGACAGTTGGAGGCCCACCTGCTTCCAATACAGCCAATCATGTGCTGACAGGCTCGGGTAGGTGATTTGCGCCACAGATGTGGCTGAACTTCTAGCACTAGCCACAACCGTGCGTTCCTGGAAGGCAACTCAACCCAGGCTACCCGGCATGCGCAGGGTGTAACAGGTCAGGACCTGGTGACTGCGTTTCGACAATCGCCCTTGAGGCAAAGCAAGTGACATCATATTGGGCCCAGACCCCTCGATCCACAGTTGTACTGCGTAAGATGCACAATGCCCTGTCTGTCCACTGCGGCTCCGTGACTTTCACCACTTGCAATGGCTGCACTGGTGAGCATATTGTAGATAGCATTGGACTGGGACGCCAGGAGCTGCTGAGCCGTGCGAGCAGAACCAAGCATTGCGCCACCGCCCAACAAACGTGTGGTCAAACAAGCTTCTCGAGCAAGCACAAAGTCGAATAGACTGGGGTAGGGGATCGCTCCAGGCTAGCACCAGGTGCCTCACAATGCGGGGGAGCCAATCACGATGCGCAGTCTGGAGAGCTCCAGGAGGGAGCACCCCCGTTTGTCGAGATGCACGACAGCTCCAACTGGAAGCGGGCAGCTGCTGCGCGCCTCCGCACAGTCAGGGCCCTCTCCTTCCTCCTCCTCAAACTCTTGCTGCTTCAATCTTCTCGTCCACACGCACACTTCCGCCACGGCATATGAGACACAATTCCCTGTACGCTTCCAAGCAGCTTTAAACCTTCCAGGCTCTGTTTCTCCCCGTCAGCACCCTCACAATACACTACTCATCGAGCTCACGCCCCAGAGAGCTCTCTCCATCAGCGGCACAATCGACTTCCGCTGTCCCTGGCGACACGCAGACCTCTGCCGAGCCCTACAATCAACATACTAGCTGATAGTCCCACGCCTGCCATTCGCCGCAATGCTGTCCCGTGGCATTTCCCGAGCGGCGACAGTCGCGCCCCGTGGCGTGCGGGCTTTCACAGCGACCACTGCGCAGCAGAAGCTTCCCGCCCTGGCCGACATCAAACATGACGGAGTCGAGGAGTTCAAGGCCAAGCAAAAGGAGTTCCGGGAGCATCTCATCAAGGCGGAGCAGCGTCGAGAAGAAGGTACATCTCACCGCTGAGGGCGACACCGCCACCCCTTCACAGCTACCCACATGACTTCACTGCTCACTCATGTAATCTTAAAAAAACAGAACACCGCGCCAAAATTGCGGCCAAGAAGAACCAGCCCGAACGGCCAGACGGCCTCATCAGCAACCTCATCTACGGCACAAAGGAGGGCCGCGAGCTCGATGCCCAGATCGAAGCCAGTTTCTCGGCGGTTCTCGCACGAGGCAAATATGTCCATTCAATCGTCTTCCACGAAGTGCTTCCCGACAAGGTTGAGGAGTACGCAGAGCTTGTGGGCAACTGGTATCCGCGGATGGCGTCCATGGAAGAGAACAAGGTCAACCTCGTTGGCAGCTGGCGCACCGAAGTGGGAGACTGTGACACCTTTGGTGAGCATATTGTGAAATTGCCGAAAAAGAGATCAAGCTCCGTCTGCTAACACGCTCCTTGCCTGATAGTGCATATCTGGGAATACCAACGCTACGAGGGTTACCACCAGTCGCTCCACTCAATTTCCAACCACCCGGACTTTCCCGAGTTCGACAGGAAGCTGAAGAAGCTCATCAAGTCCAAGCACTCATCCATCATGCAGGAGTTCTCCTTCTGGCCCACCACAGCTCCTCGGAAGCTCGGTGGCGTCTTTGAACTGCGCTCGTATACGTTGCACCCAGGCAATCTCCTGGAATGGGAACACCACTGGCGGCGAGGTCTCAAGGCCCGGCGCGAGGTCATGGAGGGCGTCGGTGCCTGGTTCGTCCAGATTGGCGATCTCAACACGGTCCACCACCTCTGGCAGTTTGCCAACCTCGAGGAGCGCAAGGTCCGGCGTGAACAGAGCTGGAAGCAGGAGGGCTGGGCAGAGACGGTTCACAAGACTGTGCCGCTGATCCAGACAATGAAGTCACGCGTGCTTGTGCCTATGCCCTGGTCACCAGTCTCCTAGGCGGTAGTCTGCCAGAATGAAATCTGAAACCGAATTCTGTCATATTGTACAGGGCTCACAGGTCACGATAAACAGGTTTCCTCCGTCATGGCTTCTGGGAAAAACTAAACTCGAGTTTGGAGTGGAAGAAACGTATGACAAGGAAGGTGCCCCATATCGAGCATTGGTCGTGAGCATCACATCGGATCGTCCAGTTTGTGGTTTATCGCAGTTCCGGGTCTATTGTAGCATTGAATGTCACAGCAAGTTTGCACCGCCCGATGTGAGGAATAGTCATTGTGATATAAATGGCACGTGGCAGTCTTGCTTTTTTAATGCTGGAGACATCAACGAGGTGTGTTGCACTCATTATTGCCCACCTGCAACTCTGATAGCTATACATCAAGGTCCTCGCCCATCACGGCAGCCAGATTCCTCCGAGCAAGCGCAAGCGTGTTCGCAAGTGCCGACAGCTTTGTGGACATGGCAAGCAAGCTCGGATCAGCGCTTTCGACCTTGACTTTCTCCCGGACGTACACGTCGACCTTGTCGCGGGTCTGCTGCCTCTTGAGTCCCGTGGATCTTGCTGCGGCAGCACCAGCACCAGCACTGCCATTCCCACCACCAACACCACCACTACCGCCGCCGCTGCCGCCGCCGCCGCTACTCCCTCCATCGCTGGGCGACCCGTCGGGTCTCGACTCCTGGTCACAGACATACCAGAACACCTTTTCCGCCTCGTCGTGCTCGAGGCGGCGGGCCGTGCCGATGGCGAAGGCGAGCTTGGCGCCAAAGTTCATCGGGGCGTCGGCGGGCTCCAGGGCGCGCAGGTACAGGATGATGCTGGCGTCCTGGACGGTGAGGTAGAAGCTGATGCTCTGGGAGCGCGGCGCGGCAAAGTGCGACAGGGACACGGACTGCGAGGTCCAGCGCTGGTCCGGGTCCGGAGCGCCCTTGAGGATGGCCGTGGCCTCGGCGAGGTTCTGCGCCAGCTGGCGCAGCTGGCTGGACAGGAAGTCGGCCGCTGATGCCGAGGGCACCACCTTTGCCCGCTTTGAAGTCGGGCCTGCTGCGCTAGCGGAGGAAGGGGAGGTGGTAGTGGGTGCTGTGGTCGGCGCGGACTCGCTGACGCAGAGCGTGAGGAGGTCGACGGACTCTGAGAGCAGGGTGTTGAGGTCGACCAGGGGCTGGAGGTAGATGCCGCCGTCTAGGTCATCGGCCTTGCCGGCGCCAGCGCCGGAGGCGTTGGCAGAGTTGGACAGGGTGAGGATCTGAGGCGGGAGGGTCTTGAGGCGCAGGTTTATGGCGGCCCGGGTGATGCGGGTACCGACTCTGGTGATGGTACCCTTGACTGCCTCATGCCGTGGCGTGGTCAGGACAAGGGTCGAGCCGGGCTCTACTGGGGCTAAGAGCGCATAGCAGTTCTCCAGCTCGTTCTTGAGCGACTTCAGAGTAGAGCGGAGAGACGAGAGGAGCCATTCGAGCTCGCGAGCCTGGACGCGGAGGATCAGCTGCTGTGAGCTTGAGAGAGCCGAGGCTGAAGACGGACGACGTCGTTGGCAGTGATGCCGACGGAGGGGCTTGGGGGTGGGTTTGATGGTGTGCCGGACGGGCAGAGTGAAAGCCGGCACACGGAAGGACTCGATCAGGACAAAGTCGTCGTCGTCAAGGAGCATCATGGCGGGCAGGAGGCGGGCAGTGCGGTGGCACGTCTCATGCTCTTGCTGTCAACATACCTCTGCGGCATCCTGGTCCGCTTTAAGCTGCTCTGGCGACGCTGCTGGAGGCCAGATCTCGACAGACATGATGGGGCAAGGCTGGCAAGGCCAGATTATAGGTCAATGGAGCTTGTGGGCCAGGTGCAGACAGGCAGCCATATTTCAGATCATGACAGTGGTGGGCAACAAGACGGCCATCATGTCGTTCGTCGGCAGAGTGCAAGCGCATACAAGGTTTCTGGGGACAGCTCCAGTGACAGGCAGCGTCATCTGCCCGCCCTCAGGAGCAGTGCCTGGGGCCGGCAGGACCCACACCTAGTACTAACACTAGCGTCCTTTACCTTAGAGGTGGCAGTCACGCCAACTCGCCGGCTCTTTCCAGCTCCACTGCGCCTAAAGAGTCTTTTGACATCGCAAAGCTCAGGTACCACCTTTCAAATCGTTGTTGGCATTGCCTCAAAGTGTCTGCCTGCTTCACTCGCCAGCCGCAGATCCTGGGGCGTGTCCTGCAGGAAAAGCGCTGCTGTCTTTTGATGCCTGCTCTTCCATAGACTCTGCGTCTTATACAACGTATTAGAAGCACCACAGAAAAGAATGTCGGTGCCTACACTAGGCGAGGCCATGGATACATCCAGCGATGGCATCTCCAAACTGCCACCGCTGCCTCAAGGTAGACACTTTCTCACACAAGATCTGCAACTCCCAAAGACAACGTTCTCGATGCTGACATGGGCACACAGGTACCACTCTGAGAAAGCGCATGCTTCCAGAACACACGGCCTCGACGCGCAGCGTCCACCGCATCCACGTGAGCCCCAAGACGCCCTTCCGCTCCATCACCGCCCGCGTGCGCAAGCAGCTGGACAAGAACCTGCGCCAGGCGTCCTCCTCGACGTCCGTCTTCGCCAACAGGCTCGCCAGCCGCAAGCACGCCTCCCTCGACGAGCGGGTGCGCGCCATCCAGCGCCACGCCGGGGACAGCGGGATTGGGGTCGAGTCTTCTGGCGAGGTCCTGGTCCTGGGCACGGGCCGCGCGATCGAGAAGGTGGTCGTGGTCGCCGGTTTCTTTCAGAAGCAAAAGGACTGCGTCGTGCGGCTGCGCACGACGACCATTGGCGCCATCGACGATGTTGTCGCCGAGGGTGACGAGGAGGAGGAGGGCTTCCAGGGCGATACCAGGTTGCGGATGCTCAGTGCGCTGGAGGTCTCGATCAAGCTCAAATGAAAAGCGCCGAGCTCGCTCTCTTCGCGACGACCGCGCAGAGCCTGTCATTGTGGCTTTGGCTCGGGCCAGTACCACTTGAGCCAGGCCTGCTCCGTCGGCGTCAGCCCAGATCAGCAAGTCGTGGGACCAACCAACGGCCATGCCAATCGCACATGGGGTCGTCTGGAGACACAGTCGAACTCGTGCGAAGGGCACGTGCAGGCTACCCGCTTCTATTATCAAGATGCAGATGGATATCCGGAATCAGACAACCGTCGACCGGACATCGGTGGGCTTTCGCCCCTACCCATCAAATCGTCTATCGAAATGTTGCAAATTGCCAGCGTTTTGTGGTACACGAGATCAGGGAAGCCTCAAATTATCCTCCCCTCAGTTTGGTTGGCGCACTTCAAGCAGCAGTATGGTCACAGATCCCCCGTACCAAGCCGCATCAGGACTATTCTTCTGGCCGTCGGATTTTCAGACGACTAAAAGCACCGATGGTCAGACTGCCATAACGGCATGCCTAGTGCATGATTCCAGGCTGTTAATCACTGGACTTGTACTGCTTATGAAAGGGCAGGGCATCAGCTGGGACTATATGGCCACAGACGGGAAAGGCATAAAAGGACTTGCAAGGCTGCTACAAATACGGCGTGACGGGGTCGAGCCATGGGAATGATGTCGCGATGCGCGCCACGAGGCTGCTCCGCATGCCCTGCGAAGCTCAGATTAGCGAGCACTCCATAAAGACTTGGCAACTACTTCAATGTCGTTCTCGGCACCCTCATTGTGTATCCGTAATTAGGTATGTAGCTGCCGAGAAAATCATGATACCCGCCAGCCAGGTACAAACAGAACCAAACGCAATCTCAAATTACCACCCTACAAAACCTCATTCTCATTTCCTGTAAGCACCTTTTCCAACACATTGGAAGCTTTTCAGCGGGTAAGCCAAAGATGCAAAATATCCTGTGCTCCTTTTGACTGCTTCTCTCAAGAGATCGCGTTTCCTTGCAGAGAACAGACTATTCGAAGACATTGTGAAGAACATCGTATCGATCTCACCCTCAACAACCCTTCTTGCGTCATATTTTTTCCCAATGGCTGACATGCGCAACTTGGATCCCTCAAGGATTGGCAGGCGCAGAAACTTTCACAAGCCAATCATGGTTTGCAGTGCTCGAAAGGCCCCCGAGGAGCTGGGACAGGTGACTGTTGCCTGTAGGATTCTCTCTGTTCAACACCGTGAATGTCAGCCGGTCGACTCACTCCCCCCGACGCCTGAGAGTAGCCAGGAGCCAGGGCGCGAGGATGACGACACGATCACATGGACTACTGGTCGTTTGGAGCACATGGATCCTTTGAGAACTCTACGAGGATGCCCTCCCACTGCTCCCTCTCGGCCGCGGTCATCTTGTCGTTCTTGCGCTCGCGGGCAATGGCCTGCCGGGCGGACTCGCACTGGCACCGGAAGCTGCCAAAGCGCCACTCCATCTGCGCGTCGGCGCCGTCGTCCTACAACGTGCGCACACACTCGAGCTGGAACTGGAACTTGGCCTTGAAGAAGCGCATCAGGTGAGCCTCGTTGACGAGCGCGGACGGGCCCGTGATGCGGAGGCAGCGGGACTGGTACTGGCCCGAAGGACAAGGGGGAGGCGGCATGTCATGGTTCCAACCATTGTGGCCGGTTCCCATTCCTCCTGCCCGCGGCATGGCGGCGCCGGTGTCGCACGAACTCGTCTTGATGCGGTTGTACCCGACGCGCGGCTTGTAAAACTCGGTGCGGGCCTTGTTGGGCACCCGGAACACGCCCGCGCGGGACTGGGCCAGGAGCCTCCTCGCGCCGGCCGTGTCGAAGAAGACGAGCTTGCACGCTGCCGTCTGGTGCTGACCCCGGACCGGGGCGTTGATGACGCACGCGTAGACCTTGCCGCAGTCGCGGACCGACGAGAGCAGGGCCAGGTGGTCGCAGTCCGGCGGGAGGTTCGTGATCCAGAGCGCCGTGTTCTGCTCGTCTGGGATGTCTGCAGACCGGTTCTTGATCAGCCACGGGTCGCCCTTGTAGTTGGCTGACATGCCGGTTGCTTCGAGCTGGTTGCGCCGCAGGGCGTCGTACTTCTTGCGTTCGGCCTCGCCCAAGTCGTCCGACGCCCGGTTGCGCAGTCCCTCCATCGGAGTGAAGGTTGGGCCGTGGGTGACTGCCTGGCCATGGGTGAAGTTGACCTGCGTCATGCCAGTGGCAGGGGAGTGAGAGTACCGCTGGTTGGGGGCTGGCTGCTGTGCAGAGTGGTCGTGGCGTGGAGGCTGGCTGTGTGCTCGCGGGGAAGTGGCGGCTGCCTGTGGCATTGCGCTTCCTAGAGAGTAGTTGGGCATCAACAGGGATGATGTTGGTCCCGTGTGCTGGTTCGAAAACGACCTGCCTGCTCCCTGGAGGACTGCAGGCCTGTAGTATGGAGAGAGGTGGGCGCTCGAAAACCCATTTGCATTCGGTAGGCCGCTGCTCACGACGTTGGCCGGGCTCTGTTGGATAGACTGAGCGCCGGTCGATGGGGCTGGTGTCAAGGTCCGAGGCGTCAGCCCGTCACTTCTGGGCCTGCAGGCTGCGTTGCTGGAGACATCGGACCGCGAACTGGGTTGGCTAGAGCACACGCCCGGGGAGGGACTAGTGACAATCACAGGTAGCGGGCTGGAGCTCGCAAGCCGAGCCAGTGCTTCTGGCAAATGATTGCTGTTGAGCTGCTCGTTGGTCGTGACATGCTGCTGCTGAAGCCGAGGCGATCTGGCCGCTCTCTGCCCAGAACTGGTAGGCGGCACTTGGATATGACCTGCCACAAATGGGCTGTTGAGAGCTATGTGTGCTGGAGACAAAAGTCCGTGCTGCATCGCCGCCGCGGATTGCTGCTCCTGGCTAGTGTCGTTGAACTATGTTTTTCAAGACGACAGGTTAGAGAGGCGGTTCACATCATCACGTGGTTGGCAGCAGACAAAGTCACTTACAAGTGCAGGGATAGTGATCGTCGGTGGCACTGCGCTGCCGCTGCGAGATCTCGCAAAGCTCGGCAGAACGACTGGAGTTCCAAGATTGAAGACACCCATGGGGTGCGGAGCAGTCGAGTGCTCAAGAAGGGCATTGCCTTGAGCAGCACTGGCTTGCAGAGCCGCGGCCGAGGTCGATGGAACTACCTGGGGAGCAGGAACCGGGAGCACCGGTGGCACCCAGATACCATGTGCTGCGAGGAGGGCCTGGTATTCAGCTGGTCCAATACTTCCTGACAAAGCCAGGTTTGAAAGTAGAGCAAAGCGCTCGGAAGCAGCTCGTGGAGATTCGAATACGTATGGCTGGTGGAATGCTGTGGCCATTGCGTTCAATGAGCTGGAGCCTGTGGTGATCATGGTAGGCAGTCCTTGCTGTATATAAGGCTGTGTGATGTACTGCTCGTGAAGTGTTCCTGATGCGCTGGTGAGGGGACCCGGCATAGGAAGAATTGCAGATGACCCACCGCCTGGCTGCACAGTCGCCTGTGTGCGAGGGTGAGCCGTGGCCGTGTTCAATGTGGTCATGGCAATCCGGGGAGTGGCGTGGACAGAATCGGCTGTGGTGTTGAGATTGGATCTGATAATCGTGTGAGGGTTGTTGTCATCTCTTGCCTCTTCGACTGTAGCTTGTAATTGTTCAGCTGGGATAGATTGCCGTGTGATAGTTTGAGCTCTTTGAGCACCCAAGGACCGTGAGAACCCCTGAGATTCGAGGCTTGACGGGGAACCTTCAGGACCAGCGGGTTGTCGAGCTGGATGGAGCCTTTCAATAGCGGCGGCTGTAGGCATTGTTGGAACTCTGTCCGTATGGTTTGTGGTTTTCGTATGATCAGCCATAATTCTTGATTCTGACGCAGCCTTGTGCTCAAGCGGCGCCACAAAGAGCTGCGAGGGCTTTGAAAATATATGCCCAGGATGTTGCTCAGGCTGTCTCTTTGGTTGGTAGGACGACAGCTTCAGCCGCTGCTCATCAGTTTTGACGCGATGTGACGCCTGCCGGAGGATGTCAGTACTAAAGGAGGACTCTCTATTGAGACAGTGACGAATACCCACAGCGCGACCGAAACAAGAAAATGAAAAGAGGGCGAGATTGTGGAGGGATTGTGAGACGAATTGGGTGATGGTCTGAGGCTTCCCAGAGCGAGCCGACCTCGTAAAAGCGAAGAAGATCAACGGAAAAGGTGGCGAGGAGTATGGCTCTATTTGTAGGGGTCTTGCCAGAGGGCTGCCTGGGTTGATGGCTTGATGCCTCAGTAGAAGAGCAAACGATCGACGAGGCATCAATGAGAGCAGGAGCCTGCCAGTTTCCTCTGGGCGGTGGCTCTTGGATATCTGGTGTAGCGTTGCTCTGGTTACCGATCTCTGCGTGTCGGCTTAGGCGGCGCCATCATGTTGAGCTGCAGATACGTGGCGGATACGGCGAAGCTTGGCCGTCGGTTCGGGAGGTGCGAAAAGCATCAAGCATCCGTTTGGTTTCCGTCACGACGCATAAATAAGAAATAGGCGGGCCTTCCCCATGTGCGGCAGCTGGTGTTGTTTGTCGCAGTCGGTTTCTGCTTCCATGACAACCATATGACGATCACCCACGCGTCAAGTATCCCGGACACACGCGAGGACGTTCCCCAAGCATCACAGCCCCAGCTCGATTTTCTCGGTATAACAGGTGCCAAGAAGCACAGTCTTCTAACAGTAGCCCGCCGTGTTGCTTGGACATTGTCACCACTTCAAGAGCAAACTGTACGCATGCGAAGAAATCACCTCCCAAGGTGCTGCTGGCTTTTCTCCAAGTAAGGACTGGCCTCTAAATGAGCTGTACATTTGTCAGGCACCGATAATCCATCAGTTGCGGAGTTGACAATCCAACAATCCAGGCGATTCCCCTTTTCCTTTCTTGGTTGGACGACAATTGGCACAATATATCACAAATCAACCCTGGCGACTTGGAACGTCTTGAGTTGCATCCAATGCTAGGCCGATAATCAGATCGACTATTGCGCAGATCAGAGACTCGCAAGATGTTGATGATTTTGACACTTGAGAAATTCGGGGGTTCTTGTTGCAGGTCTGAACCGCACCATAGAGCCAGAAACCCAGGCTACGGCTTTCCCTTCTCTTCATCTCTCTGGCAAGTTCCCGGTTGAGTCACTGAAGGCAGGATGTTCATCACAAAGCATCCCGGTATTCAGTAGGAGGCTGGAGCGGCGAAGCTTTGTGCTTCTCCACATATCTGCCTGTCCCCCGTCCCCCCCCCCCCCCCCCCAGGAACGACAAATATGTACCCCAGAGTTTGACAGCCAAACAAAAGGAAGAACGATGGCCCCAGAGTCTCCAACCCTTGAGCCGGATGGCCCAGGCGCCCAAGCGAACCCCTGGCCGGTCCAGTGCGGCCATCGACAACGGCCTCCTCGCCCCCACACACCACGTCGGCAACTTCCGAGCCAGCTTCACCCACGCGAGCCGGGATCTGAACAGATAAGAGGCACACCCATGACTGCCCAACCCCACCGCCTCCGGTCCACGAGAGACCGTTTCCCTGTCGTCTTCTGGCTGGTGTTGCCTGACGGTGTACGGTCCCCTGGCACCACATGAAGAAAGAACCGCTGGGAAACCCCTTTCTCGGGCCTTTCGTGGGCCAACCGGGGGCCAAGCGAGTAAGCACAGCAGCCCTGCTGCGCCTGCTGGCCAGCATGTCGCTTACCTGGAAGTGCGAGCAAGGTGAGGTGAAGTGGACTGGGGGATGGGATCGGTGGGATGGCGCAGGGCCAAGGGTATGATTCATAGTAATGGGGCCAGCAACTCGCGGAGGATCAGCGAAAGACCCATCTCGGTGATTACTGGAGGGAGGGGAGGAAGGAAGCTGGCAGGGGGGCTGGCATCGGTATTGACAATGCGGCCAAGAAACCCAGACGCCATCCTGTATATGTCATCCTTCAGGAGGCGACCACCAAGGTGCACACCAAGAGTTCTCAGCGCCACACAACACAGTACGTAGGTGCTCAAGGACAGAAAAGCAGGATTTCTCTGCCGTTAGCTGCTCAGGGTGTTGTCAGCCTCTGGGAAATGACCGAGTATTTCAGCCTCCGGAGTACTTGCTCCCGGCTGTGAGGCCCCAGTCGACGCCGCCATGCCATGTTACGCCAAGCCACGCCACGCTCGACGTCAACGCCATGTGCCGCGCCGAGAAGGCATGTTCCGCGGCCGGGACGACGATCCTCGATATCCCTCTCCTCGCCATTACAACACAACGTGCCACAATCGGGCCAATCCATGTCTTTTCCTTCCAAGCACCCCCCTTTCTCCACCGCCCACGCACGTCTCAGTTGGCTTTCGCACATCCCGGCAGATCCAAGTCTTGTTTTGACGAGACCTGAAAAGGTGGCAAAGGCCGAGATGCCATATCGGGAAACTTAATGGTGAGGAACATGGACTCCGCCTCACGTCATCCTTGCCTCATTACCAAGCAGCCGGGACTTCTTCCACCACGTTCCAGATCGGGCAAACCTTAAGTGGCTCAGCAAGAAGGAAGAAGTGGACAGTTTAGACCAAAACAGAAAGACCGCAACCAAACACATAGATAAACACATACAGAGGGAGAGAATAAGAGAGAGAGGCAGACAAACCCCCGACATTCACAATCCTCCAATAGGCCGCCGTTCTCCAGCACGGGTAAATTTTCACCCGCCATCAATGTTCTCTGCAAACGGATCCGACGGAATCACCAAGTGTAGTATCGTCCGGGCCACGAGGTGAAGAAAAATAGAAAGATTCCCCGGAGCGGCATGGTGTATCCACAGAGGACGGAACAACCTCCGCCCTCCATTCACAGGCACAGACACAGTTACACACGGACAGACACACAACGTCACAATTGCTGACACTAACGACCCGTTTCTGTCTGTCCATGCTCGCTCAGCACTGCATTCTCCCTTTCGGAATAACGTCCGAGGTGACAGTTGACACGACACCCACCTTGAGATGATCTGACACACATGACCAAACATGTGAGAAAGGATGTGGAAAAAAAAAAGGGAGTCATGTGTGGCAAACCTCCAATGACATATTGCCCTCCCGGGGGGCGGGGGGGGGGGGGGGGAAGGGGGAGGGAAGGGGTCCAATGTTGATTCCATCGCGCCCCCGGCATTCGAATCCATGGATATATCACAGGGTTGAACGGGTCCTAATGCAGCATAATGTCCGCATGACGGCGGTGACAAGTGCTTCGGACCCTTCCCAGAAAGGGGACAACGAATAATTACACATAAGCATACCTGCTGGGAAGCATACAGCACAACCCACTGCCGAACAGGAATAGAAAGATTAGACAGCCAGCCAATCCAACCAACGACGAAGGCAAAGAAAGACATATAAAAGGCCGAATAAGAAAAGTCCGGCGCCAAGGGCTTGTCTTTCTTTTCTTGTACTCAGCGCCCTGCATACACATGTATGCAGCCGCAAGTCATTGCCTCGCAACTGGGCCCACGCAGGGATTCAGGGATTCCCCTGATTGTGCTCTGCAGTTGCTAGTCAACCAACCAAACCAACCATCCCCGTCCAACCCGACCAGTCCGTCGAAACCGCCCAACCCGTCCAACCCGTCGGAACCGTCGAATCCGTCCATACCCGTCCATACCCGTCCATACCCGTCCATACCTGTCACAAACGATTATTCCCCCTGTCCGCACGTCGTCGTCGTCGTCGTCACTCAATGCATACAGGTCCGATTGCCCACGTACGCCAGCGATGGATGGGCGCGAGTTCCATGCCCCAGGTAGACAAGCCTGCAGAGGCCGAACCAACCTGTCACGACCATACGCTTCGTAATCCCCCCTCCTTCCCACTGCTATAATTAATTAATGAAAGGGAAAAGTGCCGCGCATGACATGGCATAACAATGCGTCGCTCACTTGATTCCATCCCCAAATCAGCAGGTCCATGCGGGCCGGGACATTCGGGAAGCGTTGTAATACTGCGTAATCCCCCACCCACCCAGGCACGGCACTTTGGCCCTGTCTGTCGTGTCGTGTCATGTCGCACGCATCGGCGACCTGCACATGGCGGACTGGATCGGGAAAGCTTTCAAAAGTTCTCTCTTTCTCTGCGTGGTAAATAGGCAAATGCTCCAGGGGATGGGCAAGGTAAGCTGACGAAAAGATGGACCTCGTTATTAATCGAACCACCTTTGAGGGTTTCCTTGTCGCTGGGGATGCGACCCACAGAAGAGTCTCTCTCCATGGGCGAAGACGAACGAACTGCCGTCCGATGATGTTTGATGGTGCTGCTGACCAGCATTCGACGGACCAGGATATCCAACACGGTAGCGGTAGCCGGCGCACCCCGAAATAGGATATCACAATATCGAGCCCCATGTGCACCCACCTCCTGAGATATTATCTCCGATGCGATGGTGGAGTAATCAGAAACAGCACACAACCAGACCATCTGCTTGCTGCTGGAGGGGAGGGGGGGATGCGTGTGCCAACGGACGGCGCAGTAGGCCACCGAACGCCGCATGGGTGAGATCGGAGTTGTCCTTTCCAGGTCGCCGCCGCCGCATTGCCTACATCGGGCATGGGAAACCCATTCCCCCCCTGTACTCGTATCTGTTGAACCAACCATGTCCCCACATAGACATGGATGGGTCAGGGGACTTGCTCGCCCTTGCCATGATACCCTAGAGATCCTTCCGCACACCCTCAGCTTCGGGTTTGAGCTGTGCTGATTCGTGCCCGGAATGCCTGCCAAGCGTGTCAACCATGTGTGGCGTCCGCTCCCACCGCTACACAACCAACTATTGAAGGCGGTGGTGCGGGATGTGGGACATCACAAGGGTCAAGGGAAGCAGCAGGCTGGCGTTTCGGGGAGGGTGGTCAGCAAATGTTTGACACACCAACTTCTCCCATGCAGCATCATTACTGCACATCAAGCTCCCAACCATGGGGCCGAGGACGGCTGCAGGCCACAGTCCCAGAGCTCTGGGCCCGGCCATGGTGTTTTGACAGGGGGTTTTGCAGCCATGGAAATGCCACAGCCAAGTGGTGGAAGAATGGCGGTGACCGTAAGGCCAGCCGGCGAAGACAATTGTGGTGACGACGCTCATTGTCCCGTCAGTGCCCGTATTCGGCGTTGTCTTTAAGAAGAAGAACCTCCTTGTTGCCTATCGTGTCTGGTCGCTTTGCATGGCATGTGGGGAACACCGATACACTTTGAGGGCGCATCCACACACAATCGCCGTGGCTGACCTCTCCAGAACAGTCCGCGTTCGAGGGGGCTGCCGTGAAAGCTGGGCCCGTTGGTGGTCCGAGGCCACTGCCAAACTCCCCGACACCGTTTGTGTGCACTAAACAAGAGCTGAAAACCAGCTTGATCCAGATCGGAATGAGGAGCGGCGATCCAGGGATCCTTGCAGGTCACGGTGGGCGGCAGGTAGGGACGCCATGCATGGCTACTGCTTCCAGGAGCTCCGCCTGGATGACCGACAATGTTGGGCCCAGGACCAACACACTTTGCCAAGGCTTGCCCGCTGGGAAGGAATGAGAATGTGGTGTGCGAGCCGCACCTTAGATCCTGCAAGGCTGGCGCAATTACCACACTATGTTTCGACAAGATTGGCCTTTGTCGACAAAAACACAAAGCCTTATCCAGCACACCACCCTCATCCCGGGTGTAGATCCGTCTGCCACTATTCTTGAGGTGGCATAGGCTGTGCATACACCACAGAGATCCGCACGAGGCTCGCAAGTTGCGATTGGTCTGCGTACAGAGACAAGGCTAGCACTTGTTAGCAAGCCCAAGACGGCTGGTTCGGATAGGACAGAACGCGGAGAGCCAGGCCCCGCCTCATGATCGGCTGGGGAAAGTGATTGAATGTGGGTTGTTTGAGAGACCCTTGTGGAAATCTTTGTTGCTAGACTTGGCAGGAGGTAGCCAACCGAGCCAACCTCGAGGATGACAGCGAGAATTCAACGCCAGCGATGTACCCTGGCGAATTGTGTCCCGATTGGGGAAAATCGATGTGGGGTGATGAGCAACTTCCCCTGGGCAGAAGTATGTGGCGGTAAGCGAGCAAGCGAGGGCAAGCTCATGGCATGCTTGGATGCGCTCACCACGCCACGCGCAGATCCACAGCATCGTGGTCAGTGGAGCGTGTGTGGTGCAAAGCGCATATTCGGTAACAACTGGCTGTTCGCAAGCCACCTTGGCGTGCTGACGCGCCAAGTTTCCGATGCTATTTATTGTACCTGGTTTGACAAGATTGGCAATCTGCAATCCTGAAAGACCGGAAGAGAACAGACTCACACTGAAGCGCGAGCATCGTAGGAGCAGCCCGGCGCACAACACTGTTTAAGTTTGCGGCTCCTCTTCGCTGCCGCCGTGGTGCCTCTCGGATTGAGCCGCCCATGGCTGCCGATGCTGCTGATGAACCAATTGGCTTCCGAATCACACCACCACGAACAGCAAATGCGAGATCGGGGCGTGTCATAAGAGACGGGTAAGCACATAGGTTATTTCGGCAGTGCTCTTCCGATCCATGTGCTCGTGGTTTTATTGGCATTATTCAGCGCAGCCCTAGTGTTTGAAGTCTTCGAGTGTCTGGTTTGGGTTGGTCCGGATCGGCGCTTCACGCAAGGTGGTACTCGATGGAAGCTGTTTGTTGAGTCAGGAGAGACACGGCAAGAGTACTACCAAGTCCATTGTTAGCTCCCACAATGCCATTGCCGTACTAGACCTGTATTATTGTGGATCGATAACCAACAGTTTCCCCCCAGCACGTACGCCCAAGGTTCTGCCAGCATCACGCAGAACAGTAGCCTTGTGCTCCTGGGCTTTTCAAGTTGCTTAGGACGTGGCCAGCGACGGCGGCGCTCAGGTTCCATTGTGTTTAATGCCAAGCACCTAGTCCTTTACCTTTGTTCTGAGTGCTTACTGCCGATACACCGAGTAGCATAATCCACGATGGCAGTGACTGTTGTCAACGGTCGATTTCTAATCGTCATAATCTTGACGCTACAAGCTCTGTAGTCCCAATTAGCTCTCTAGTCGTGGCTGCGCCATGTTGCGATTGGTTGGCACTCAAACTTTAATGCAGCGACTAGAACGGCCTCGCTGTCGTTCATGAGGCGTGGCTTCGGGGCGGCTCATCAGCCGCAAAATGCGGAACTATTGTGGCGGCCCGGGAATGAGCATAATAATGCCCGGGATATGAGACCAGCACCGCGAACGCCTTGGAAAATCATTGATCTTGCGAACGGTGGAGAACGATCTGCGATGCGGCACAGTTGGCCTTGCCATGCTCGTTGATGGCGTGCACTACTGCAAGTTTGACAGGTGGGTTAAGCTGAGATGGAGGCTAGCCGTAGGGTTCAGTTGGAGCGCCTGCCCACAAGGAGGGTCACAACGCTTGCACATCGTCTGGCAGTGCGAGCCCTATCCCCCCCCCCCCCCAGTGAATGCCTGCATTCTGATATTCGAACCACAAGCAGGGAAGGCTGCGGCCATGCACGCGAGGCTGTCCCGCTCAAAAAAGGAGCGGCAGGGAAACGATCGCTCTTTGAGAGCGGCAGAATGGTAGTTTGGGCTAAAACCCACACCCCTGCCGCCCCGAGAATCGATTTGTCGACTTGCCAACGTCCTATCTTAATCTCGGCTGCCGTTAATCGCCGAGCCGTCTGGTGCAACATCAAAGATTGGCTTATGGTGAGCATGTACAACTATCGTGCATTGTCGAGGTGCAGAGTTAAATGCACTCATCTTGTCCACAGAAAGACCACATCCAGCTTCGCTCAGATTAATAGCTGGGAGGCGTTTGGTGGCCGTATAAAAGCAAGGTCAAGTGGTCGCCTTTATGACCATGCAAGACTGCTGCTGAAGCTGCATGCAATCACGATCACTCGCGCACCGGCAAATGCCGCAGAAGCCACTGATCTGATAGCGCAAGTCGCTGCATCCACTAGGGACGGTCCTCTGTCTTTGCTGATACAGGTGGACGACAAGCCCGGGGGCATACCCGTCTCCATTGCTCGATTACAGAACGTGTGGTGTCCTGCATGACGCGCAACTCCCCAGGCTTGCTGGGCGCGTAACGGTACCGGCACCGGAACCACCAAGTAGGACCAAGGCGCGATCAAGCACCACTGTTGACCCAGCACAGTGGTTATCGGGGTGGCAGATCGGCGATCCCTGACAGGGCCACGTAGATCCGTTGCGGGTCGCCATCCAAACGACCAATTTTGTGCAGTGAGAAAGCATCAAGCGCTCTGCCTGCGAGGCGAGGCAGCGTGGATAAAACCCGAAGCCTGGTAGGTGACTAACGGCGTAGGAGAGCAACAGCTGGATTTTTGCAAAGAGCTTCTGTTGTGGGCATCAGTCGGTTGAAGCTAAATTGACGAGCGTGTGTGACGATGATCCAACGTGAACACGGCGGGTGAACACAAGCTTGTCAAATGTACAGAATTGCATGCCAATCTGTGGGGTGGGTTGTGTCCGTTGGTTGCAGGCCCATTTGTAGAAATGACCAATGCTCGCCCGGCCGTCATTACAACCATGACCTCCCCAAGTTTCCTAGAGCCAGAAGACTACGCCCCTGATGCTGGCGATCCTTTCCCCGATGAGAACATCTGTCGAGATGTGTATGTGCAGTCGTGTATGATTGGTGCAGCCAAGCTGAAAGCGGTAGTGCCGCCACTTGCAGCGCGCGACTTGCACGAGGAAGGGGCACTCAGTCAAGCGATTTGGCTGCCCTTGTCCGAGCGAACCAATTAGGTCGAGAGATGAACGCTGTAGGTGGGAGGACTATCACCAGGGATCATGGCCCTGGCCTTGTGGCGGGCTGGAATGGCCCCAGAGGATTGCACAACCCCAACTGGGGGGTCATTCCCGAAAGGATGCGTATGACGCCTTGCGAAGGGCTAGGCACATATCAACTCTCGAGCCTACCAAGGCAATACAGGTGAGGATGCGTGTGTCGGAGACGGGGATGGCCCGTCATGGCAACCAGGTTTATCAAGCTGTGCTACCAGATGATGTCCACGCCTCGACCATATTGCCTTGTTGACTCGTCGCAGGCATGTCGGCAAGCTTAGTAGACCTCGCGATTACATACCGCACGCCGTCGGACGATGGGCAAGCTGTGTTACATGACTAGTCGTCCCTTGACTTGACAGTCACCTCATGGTGAAGGGCAGAAGGTGCCTCCCAAGTGATATGCGGGAGGAGTTCCCGAAAGCCAAGCAGACCGTTTTCGACAATCGAATTATACCAAATGGTGAGGATCTGGTGCATTCGCTGATTCTTGCCGTGTGGCTGTCAGGAACGTAACCAGATGTTGGACTTGTGCGGCGACTGGACACACTTGCGTGCTTTAGTGGCTGCAATCAGATCGGTAATAGCAGCACGGGACGCTCTGGTAAGATGGCGATCAATGAGCTTTTAGGTGCTAGGTGCATCGATTCAATGGAAGGCGTGAGTGCGATTCAGACATTCATGGTGATTGGGTCCAGGGTGAGGAGGAAGAACTGATGGGCCTACGTTGCCCATGTCGGAGGCTGAGGTACGGTACCGCCAACGTGGGAACTGACAAAGCCGATGCGGTGGCCTCCGGCGTCATGCTGACGGATGGAGAACCCAGGGGACTGCCTCGGTCCGCTCTGTACCCAGGCAAGTTTGGTATGCAGTTGACTTGGGGGGATGTTGCTCATGCCGCCGGGCCTAGAACTGCGGACCACAGCTTTGGACAGGTGGTCAAGCCAGGCAGAAGCAGAAGCTCAGGCCGCTTTGGCGGTTGTCGTTGCGGCAGGTGGGTCGGGAGATCAGAGAAATGGAGCGGTGCAGGGGTGGTGCTCTTCTGTCTGCGCAACGAGGCACCTTCTAGACAAGGGCAGCTAGACCCCTGTGCGACATGCTTGATGGCTAGCGATCTTGGGCCAAGCGCTGACGGAACCGATGGCCTTGGCGAGGCTTGAGGAGGCGAGACTTGGGGATCCGGGGAAGCGTCGCGGGCAGCACGAAGCAGCTGCATTGCCATAGTAGTATGTAGGCGGTGTCGGAGACAAACCGGCCATGAGCGAGCGGTGTTTGGCAGGCGTCAGTCAGGCCCGTGACGGATGGCATGGGCGAGGAGGGCGGGAGGGGATCGTGACTGCAGGGTCGATATCGCCGTCGCGGCACGAGGGTGGGTGTGCAGACGCAGCATGGTGGAGGGGGGGGGGGCGTTGCAGGGCGTCGGCGTTGCAGGGTCCCGGGGGTGTGCGTCGGCGTTGATGCCGGACGGACCTGTAGCTCCACTAGGCTCAACCGCAAATGGCCCAGTCAAGTGCACACTCGTCGTCGAGGTGGTCCTGGCCCTTGCTGCCATGCCGCTCGTGCCCTGGCAGCGATCTGGAGGGAGCCCTGGCAACAACAACCTGTGCAACTTCAGCCCGTCCGTGTCCGGCTAGGTCCACCCGTCGACGCCCATGATCTATGGATGTGACTGACGGGCCCGCCGCGGGTGGTTTCTGGCCCCGGGCGCCTGTGGCTTGTTCATGTTCGCAAAGGGACAGGCCAAGGTTCCTGCTGCTGCTCCTGCTGCTACTGCGTCAGTGTCGTGCCAGCCCCCCCAGCGATGGACGTCCAGCTTGTCATCTGCCACGCCGGGCCAGGCTAGCTTGTTGTTGCTGGTTGAATCTCACTGACTGGAGTGACTGACTGAGTGACTGGCGGACGGGCGGACTGACTAACTGGACTGACTTGACTGTACCGGTCCTGCCGTTGGTTCTATATCTGATGCTCGCCCCTGCCTCGCTCTTCCTCCTCCCAAGTCCCCTTTGCGACCTGATTCCTGCTGCTCTCGAACCGTTCCAGCTTGCCTTTGCGTCGACTCTTACTCCCCCTTCCCACCTCTCTTACGGAGGTTGTTCCCAGGAGTGTGTAAAAGAGCGTGAGACCTGGTTCATCGCCAAAGCTGCAGCCCTCTGGACCCCGTTCAATGACCACGGCGCGTCCTGCCTACCCGGAGCAGCTCCCCAGGTCGATCTGAGTCGCGTGCTCGCCACAGCAGACGGCCCGGTGCTTCACGAACACCTTGACGCACAAGGAGGACATCGAAGAGGCGCAAGACGCCAAGCAGAACCGTGCTGCCGGCCAGGCATGTTTCGGCCGCAACCCACAGCCTTTGCATCGTTCCCTACATCGCCATTGGGGTATGGACTCCACATAGCACCCAGCGGTGCTCCTTCGCACCCTTTGGCTCTCGACCCCGAGTCTCGCTACCACTGCTACGCATATCTCGCTGGTGTAGCGGCGCCCGCCCCGCCCACCTCGCGCCGGCGCCTCCACCCCAGGGCCCACCACCACCACCAGCAGGTCCCACTCGGGCCTCTCGGTGCCGTGGCGCCTGCTGGGGCCCGCGGCATCGTCCCTGAGCTGCCAGGGTGCCAACCACCACCACCACCTGCAACGAGCACCACCAACAACGACGACGCCGCCAGCGTCACAAGAACCACTACCACCGCCGCCACCACCACAACCACTCCCAGCAGCGTGAGCCCTGCTGTGGCTGGCTTTGCACCACTCTCTGCTCCTCACCATCCCCTCCAGCACCTCTTCCCCAGCCCGCCGCAGCACGCCGCCACTTTCCATCTCCAGCAGCTTCAACCACGACCATACTGCCCCCAACCGCATCAACCTGGTTCCGCCGCCGCCGCCAGCCTCGGCCTTCTCAAGATGGACCAGCCGCCGGACTCGGACATAGCCCAGCAGGAGGCGGCTGCTCGGGCCTATCAGCCGCAACTCGAGGTAGGCATCACGATTCTTTGCTATCCTCAACCGCCCCTTGCAGAGTTGGCTCTCCCTTTCGTCTGCACCGCTCAGCAGTCCCTTAGCGTCCCTAGCTGCGGCTCCTCGTCGGTCTGTCCCTTCATCACAAGGCTAGATGATGTCCAGTAGTCTGGGATTGCCAATGGTGCCGACACGCCCTGTTTCCCATTCGCTCTGCACGCCCCTTGTTCCGCAACGTCCTGCTGTCTGTTCATTGCATATTGTGCCTGGAAACTGACACTCTGACTCGGCAGGGTCCTCTTATTGGGGACGCAGTCTCAACTCATGCAATCGCCGCAGAATATGCGGGGGCTGACGCAATATACGTCAAGAAGACCACGGTATGTCACTCAGGATCAAACATCCTCGTATGCCCACTCTGGCTGGATGTGCTCCTAACAAGCTCGCGCGGTGAAATAGTCTCTTTCCCAAACATATACACATTATCGCCCCGTATTGGGAGACGGAAACTGCGGTTGGCGAGGTATGTTTTGTTGGCGTTGTAGTGACGCAAATCCACCGATTGAATGGCATGAATACTAATTCAACCCTTGCTTGTTACCAGCTATTGGTTTTGCCTACTTCGAACAGTTGATACGGAGAGGCGACAGAGATCAGATTCAAAATGAGTTCAATCGTGTGACGGGGCTCAACGACTACATAGAAACAGTAGGCGGTCATGACCGGTGGCTCTTTGAAGACATGGTCTCCGAATCTCTAGACCTCCTTCAAGAGATATTGGTGAGCATCACCCAGGGTCAAGACGCCATGGGAGTACTCATGGGAAAGATCAACGATCCCGCCATCTCGGCCGCCATCGTTTACCACCTTCGCCTGCTTGCATCTTCGTGGCTCAAAGCCAACGCCGTAGAGGTCGAGCCGTTCCTTGGCGGCACCACCATTACCTCGTACATTGAGAGCACAGTCTTGCCCGTCAATGTCGAAATAGACCATTTCGGCATCAAGGGCCTGGTTGACGTCCTGCTGAAGCCGGCAAACATGGTTCTGGAAATCGTCTATTTAGACCTCAGTCCTGGTGACACGGTCAATGTGCATCGGATGCCGGAGGAAGCCCATGGCCAAGACTCGCTCGGTTTGGTTCTCCGTCTCTTGTATCGACCGGACCACTACGATATTTTGTACAGCCAGGATCCAATACCAGCGCAAGCCATTGGGGTTCAGTCAACTGATCTGCAGGTAAATCGCGCCACCTCTTTCACTCAACATCAACCGATTCAAGGCACGATCCCGTTGCAGGAATATGCGACCATGGACATGAGCACGCTGGCCATGATCCCTGGCTTCGACCCCTCCGGTCTGTCGATGATGCCAGCCCAGACGAGTTCTACAACGCTTGCCGGGTCGTTCGCGCCCAGTCCAGTCTCCTGGGTGTCATCACCCTATGTTGAGACTGTGCCAGAGACCCCCGCGACCGCCCTGCCGCAAGAGCTGGGCTTTCCACAGCAACACTCAGCAAAACCCATGACTATCCATCCACTCCGTTTCAGCAAGTACAACTTTTCTGGCCTAGCCAATACCAATGAAGGCAGCCCTCCCCAGGAACCAACATTTACCACGAGCCTGTTCAAAAACAGTCATTTCAACACTGCACATTACAGCAATAATAATTTCCAGCCCGAAATGTACTCTCCAGAGTCTGAGGAAGTACCAAGAATGAAGAATGGGTCGAGAAGGAAGAGTCCATAAGAAGTTAACGCCTAATCATGTCCTATGCTTCCAGGAGGTAGCTAGGCCGGACGTGCGGTTCAACCCATATGGTGCTAGAGAAGACACCCCGACTGAGCGTTATTTGAGTTCACTACAAATTTGACTTGCCAGAATGCCATGTCTGGAATTGGCACTGATTGGCCAGCAGCTGTTGTCAGACTGTGCTACTCTGGTTGACATGAGTCTTGTCTGCATGTGAATGAAATGTTTCGTCTCATTATTGGTGCTGCGCAGGTCGCCCCAGCCGGACGATAAGTGCTCTCCGCGTCTCTCCGTGGTCGGTGCGAGCCGTGCTGTACATAGATTCGACAACCCCCCTTTCTAGTAATGGGTTCGGTGCAAAGTCGTGAGATGTTTTCGGGCCATTGACGCATTTCCGCGATTCGAAGCGGTCTGAAATTGCCAGAAGGAAACACACTCTCGTAGACATGGAATTGGTGATACGACATTCATCTGAATGATTGAGCCCAAATGGGGGCAGGAACGCAGCCGAGTGAGGCCATTCTCGCAATGAAGGAGACATTGTTCGACACGATGCAGTCTGGTCAACCCCGAGAATCTCCAGGTGCGCATTGGTGGCAACCTGTGTCATGACTCTCCTACTCTTTATTGTATAGCGGATCTGTTGTCCAGCCAATGCTGTGAAGGACGGCTAAATACACTTTGCGCTGCAAGTGCTACGTTGAACCGATTGTCGTTGACTTGGGTTAGCCCACGTAAGATCAGATGCCTTGCTTTACGGGTTTGAACTGACGATGCACGTCAGGCGTCGACGAGAAGCCCTTAGCGGGTATTTGCTTTCAGTCGACGTCGACGTCGACCTCAGCGACAAGCACTCGCGTGACAGCGGACTCGATGCCGCTGTCCGCAGCCGCCTCCGGAGCTGCAAGACCGAGCCGCGCGGCGAACTCCTCTGCCCAGACATCGGCGAGCGCATCAGCGACGGCATCGTGTCCGGCGCCACTCCCGTCGCCGTTATTGTCTTCTCCACCGCCAAGCCCTGGCAGCCCAACAAGCCGTCCTTCCGACTCTGCCGCGATGCTCGTGACGCGTTTATCGCCCAGTCCGCATGCGACAATCCTGGCCCAGGGGTTCGTCTCCTCGGGCCCGGAGACGGGCATCCCAAAGTTCACGGCCACGCCGAGACCCGTGACGTGTCGGCGGAGGTGGACTCCCAGGGCCGAGATCTTGCGCTCGTCCCCTTGCCCCGTTCCATCCTCTCCGCCATTCGCTCCTGCGGTGGCGGGAGCGACTGCCTCGCCACGATGCCGCACCCAGACGCCCGGGTTCTCCGTCGTGAAGCCCCTCACCCCCGCGAACCGCGCCAGCGCAGCGATGGTCGTCTTCTCGAGCAGGCACGCGTAGTCGCGCACGGTGAAATGGCGGTGCAGGGGCGAGTGCAGGTCGAGGACTGGCCAGAACACGACTTGTCCTGGGCCGTGGTATGTCGCCAGGCCGCCCCGAGGGGCAGAGATGACTGCCGGAGAAAACATGGTCGATGTTGCTGTTTCTTTCGTGGAGGATGAGGTGGCGGACACGGCCAGTGGGGCCTCAAGTCTTGCGCGCTCGGCTGCCGAGAGAGGTGCCGTCTGTCGTCGGCCTAGAGTGTACGTTGGTTTCGGCGTGAAGGATATCAACGTGGGTAACGGCGGGGACGGCGGCGGCGTTACGGGCGGTGTCCGACCTTCTGTTGACGCGGTGCTGTTGTTGTTGCTGTTGCCCGGTTGTATGCTTTTGTGCAGAGGCTGTGTGGCTGACGACGCCGCTGCTTTCCACGATAGCAGCTCGCGCTGCAGCCGGCTTTGCAGCCGCTCGACGTCGGCGTAGGCTGGGTACTCGTGTTTCGCCGCGGAGGAGGCGATGCGCAGGTGTCGTAATCGGGTGTTTGCGGAAGGGGAAGAGGAGGAGGGTAATGGCGACGCCGCGGCTTTAGACGCCAGGCGGCAAGCTCCCCCAGCTGCCATTGTGCTATATGCTGGGACTGTGATCAGCTGGTGGTGGTGGTGGTGGTAGTGTTGTCGGAGAATTTATGAGTTTAGCTTGTCCGAAGTCGCAGTTCCCCTTGCCATGGAAATTTGGAGGTTTGGATTGGCAAGGGTCCTCCTCGGCGCGGTGGGATGTGGGGCACGGCAGGCGCCGACCGGGAAGCTTAGCTTGCCTGAAGAGGAAAGCGCGGGCTTCGGAACTCGAAACGTAGCCACGGTCCTGAAGTCGAGATGATGCGAGATGTTGTCAGGCCAGGGTCCTGAGGGAACTTTGGATGCAGCTCTTTACAAGCTTGAGCTTGAGAAATATGATGACGGGATCTTTCACTGTGCAACGGGAATCGGTGGGTGATTGGTTCTACCGTAGCTTTGAGTGAATCCATCTCAGCAGATGCTAGGAAGACTTGAAACCGTTGGCCCTAGTGATCATTTCCAGCAGAATCCGCCGGTCTTTCCTACTTGGATCTGCAATTCGTGCTGGATTTTACGGGTTTGGAAGAAAGCTGATTGTTCGCGTGCATGACACCTGCTGTTCCTCTCATCACCCGTGTAGACGAGGTGGGCATATGCCAGCCCTCAGGGATAGACTGGCCACATTCTTGCACCGGTGATTGCAACCGTCATGTCCAGTTCGGCTTCCCACCATCATATACCATTGACCCTCGGCACGGTCTCCTCCGTCTCGATCACCCAATCCCTGACACCTCCCTTCCAGTCGCTCGTCCGGATGTCCTTGATGTGTACAACAATCACCCGAACCTCTTCGCCAGCAACAAAGTGTTCGCGCCCGCCGTCGTCGCCGCCGCTGGCCAGCGAGTTGAAACCAGCGGTGCCCTCGGAGTCGAAAGTGTTGTTCTCAAGGTGCTCCTCGCGATAGTACTTCTCTTCGTCGGACCCATGGTCAAGGAGCTGCGCGGTGCCGTTCATGGTGGCGCTGATGCTCGAGACGGCGCTCGTGTTAAGGTTGATGAGGAGCGAGGCGAGGCTGGAACGGAATTCGGGACCGGGAGATCCGCCGGACGGGCGACGGCCTTGCGTCGGTGGCCTGTGTGAGACCCCTGTTCAGAGAGGCGTCAGTACTGTGCATGAATGGGATGTACGAGCGCCAGGAAATTGGTAGATGGATGAATTGACGCACAGTCATGGACAAGTAACGAGACATTGGGGTTTTCAATCATGTTGTTGGTCTTCTTGGACGAGGGGTTTGACGTCATCACGATGACTGGCCGTGAGGAGTACTGCGACGATGGAATATAGGTGTAGTTCATGAGCGAGACATGCGGTTGGTTGTTGACGCACGTCGCCAGATGGAGCTGCACTCGACGTTAGCGATCCCAGACGGACAGGAAGTATGGTCGGGTCGCAGGACGAAGCTGCTATGATGATGATCACAGCTGGTCAAGTTGTTGTCGGGGTAGTGGCATGGGGCGCCTGGACGCTTACGAAGCGGGCATTTTCGAGGCACTGGACGACCTCTGGCGGCAGAGTGGTGACGACTTGCTTGTTTGTGTCGCCGGCCGAGGCCTCGTGGTTGAGCGTGACATGCGCCATTGCGGACCTGTGGTTGGCGGTCGGGCTGAATGTGATGATGACGGGGTTGCTGTTTGGTGCTCGCGATGATGTCCGTCCGGGCCGGCATATGTTTCTCCAAAGATTGGCGTCGCCTCGATTGGCCGCGGGGCAGCGAATTGAGGGGCCAGTCAGCCTAGCAAGTGACGTGAACAGCGCTGCTGTCAAATCCCTGCCTGAGGCGCCCGCCCCCCCGATTCCAGAAGCTTGGGCCATGGGCGCTTCCCCGCAATTGGCTGGCGCTCGCGTGCGCTAGCAACAGCGGGTTTGGGGTCCTCGGTCGCTCCTTCTCCAGCAATTGCGCAGCTGATCTCGGCTTCTGGCGGGGTGTCCGGGGTAAGCCGCACCTTTCCGCGCCGGCAGAAGCCACTGGCCTCCTGGCACTTCGGCTCATTCATTCACTCTCAGAAGAATGTTCCTCGCCGATCGTGCAGACACAGACATGTGCACGAGGCTTTGGGTTTTTCTTTTCTCCTTCCCGTCTTGCTCGACGCGCATCACACCCACCGTCTGAATCTTCTTCTTTGGCGAGATCCCGCGTATACCGTAGTCATTGAGCCACACAAAACCACAAACCACAAGCAACAATGCGGTCCATCAGACCCAGGCACCTCCGCCGCCATCCGGCTCCTCGACATCTCTCGACTGGCGCCGCCCAGCCCCAAATCACACCCATCACCTCCCTCCTCATTGCCAACAGAGGCGAGATTGCTCTGCGGATAAACCGGACCGCTTCTCGTCTGGGCATCCGCACGACCACCCTCTACACCGACGTGGACGCCAATTCCCAGCATGCAAACTGCTCCCCGCACGCTATCCGCCTGGGCGCGGCCAGTGCGTACCTCGACGGCGACCGCATTGTCAAGCTGGCCCAGCAGCATGGCATCCAGGCCCTGCACCCAGGCTACGGCTTTCTCTCCGAGAACACAGAGTTCGCCCGCAAGTGCGAGCAGGCGGGCATCGTCTTTGTCGGGCCGCCAGCCCAGGCCATGGCCGACATGGGCAACAAGGCGCGCAGCAAGGAGATCATGACGGCCGCCGGTGTCCCCTGCGTGCCTGGCTACCACGGCAGCGAGCAGGGTGAGCAGGAGCTGCTCGGCCACGCCAAGGACATCAAGTTCCCCGTCCTGCTCAAGAGCGTGCGCGGGGGAGGCGGCAAAGGCATGCGCATCGTCATGGAGGAGTCCGAGTTCCTGCAGCAGCTCCGCAGCGCGAGAGCAGAGGCCAAGGCCTCGTTCGGCGAGGGCGGCGAGGTCATGCTGGTGGAGAAGTACATTGTGCGGCCGCGGCACGTCGAGGTCCAAGTGTTTGCCGACAAGCACGGCAACTGCGTGGCTCTTGGCGAGCGCGACTGTAGCGTGCAGAGGCGGCATCAAAAGATCCTCGAGGAGTCTCCCGCGCCGGACTTGGATGAAGCCACCCGTCTGGACCTCTGGGACAAGGCGCGGACAGCCGCCTCGGCGGTGGGCTATGTCGGTGCCGGCACGGTCGAGTTCATCCTCGACAAGGACAGCGGCGAGTTCTACTTTATGGAGATGAACACGCGGTTGCAAGTCGAGCACCCTGTCAGCGAAATGGTCACTGGCACAGATCTTGTCGAGTGGCAGTTGAGTGTTGCTGCCGGCGCCAAACTGCCGCTCACGCAGGACGAGATCGTGGAGAGGATAAAAGCCAGAGGCGCGGCAATCGAGGCGCGCATCTACGCCGAAAACCCCGAGCGCGGCTTCCTTCCAGACTCGGGCAAGCTTGTCCACCTCAAAACCCCCACCACAGACGAAGACATCAGGATCGATGCAGGCTTTGTCGAGGGCGACACGGTGTCCGAGGCATATGATGGCATGATTGCCAAGCTCATCGTGCGCGGCCATGACCGCGAGACCGCCATCCGCAAGATGGAGCTCGCCCTCAGAGACTATGAGGTCGTCGGCCTGAGCACAAACATTGAGTTTCTCAAGCGGTTATGTCGATCGCCTGCCTTCATCGCTGGTGATGTGGAGACGGGCTTCATCGACAAGTGGAAGCAGGAGCTCTTTGATCCCGTCGTCACGCAGGACGAGGTCTACGTCCAGGCTGCCCTGGGTATGCTGGCCGGCAGTCAGAAAGCGACGCCTGCAGCCACGAGCGGCCCACACGGTAACACGCTGGGTTTCGGCCAGAACGGTATCCAGCGCAAGTTCTCTTTCAAGTCCCTCGACATCATTGACCAGAAGGAGGCGCCTCTGGTGGAAGTCAGCATCACGCAAAAGGGCCACCAGCTGTACGACGCGCGCATAACCCGCAACGGAGACGCCGCATCGGCGAGAGAACTCACAGATGTTGTCGTGTCCAACCCCTCGACATCATCAACAACACAACAGCAGCAGCACCACCAGCAACAAGTCACAAGCTTCTTCCCTGACGCGCGGATAGACAGCACCGTCGTCCAGGATCCGCGCAACGACAACAAGATCAGCGTGTTCCAGAACGGCACCAAGACGGAGCTCGCGCTCGTCACGCCGGCCTGGTACGAGAAGGCCCTCGGCCTGAAAGAGCTCGCGGCCTCCGTGGTTGCGCCAATGCCATGCAAGATCCTCAAGACCGAAGTCAAGGAGGGCGATCGGGTCGCCAAGGGGGCGCCGTTGGTTGTGTAAGTTTTTTCAAATTATTTACTATCCTTGTTCTTTGCGGAAGATCGAGTAGGTCGACAAAGCTGACTCTGTTTTGTGCCACTACGCAGTATCGAGTCGATGAAGATGGAGACCGTCATCCGGTCACCGCAGAATGGCGTCGTCAAGCGCCTCGCGCACAAGGAAGGTGTAAGTTGAAACCTGATCACCAAAAGAAGCCCATCTCTCCATTCTGGACCTCAGGCCCCTGGCTTTGATCGCATTGCAAGTTTCGTCTCTTCGCCTTCCCGAAGTGACGAAGTACCTGGCAGGAAGCAATGGTACTAACAGATCGTATCTCGTATTTTAGGACAAGTGCAAGGCAGGCACCGTGCTCGTCGTCTTTGAGGACGAAGAGGCTGCGGCAGCTGCCGAGTAGAGTGCAATATCCCTGCGAAGGGATGAAGGTAGACATTGTAGAGAAATGAACACAAGTCAGATCAAAATCAATTGAAAGTTGCCGTTGATATGCGAGGCTGTTTTTGTGTCGCGGCTCGACACCGAGCAAAGTGGACGGGCGGCTGCGCAGTAGTATTCATTGACAACTTGAAAAGAAACAGGCAGGCACAGGCAGGTCGCCCAAAAGTTTCAAGTATTTGGAATGTCTCGTGGCAGGTAAATGCATAAAGTTCGACTCGCTGCCGGCGTGTTCCTTGGACGATCATAGTAATGCACGTAATTGATGCAGTGGTGCGGCAACTTAGGGAGCGATGCCATCGAACGGCTGGTGAAAGCAAGAAGTGCTTGCAAGTTTGCACGCATTGCCGCTAATACCGTTTAATCTGATAATGTTATACACTTTTGTATTTCTCGGGATATGCGGTAGTGTACATGGCCGGTTCCTGTGCCTCTCACACAGTTCCCAGCCTCGTGATGCGAGAGCATGTATGCTTCCATGCCTGCCCACAGAGACATGCTCGAAGCATGGTTGTTCGTATAAAATCAGATGAGGCGGCGTGGAGAACCTAACTGATCACTGCCGCATGAAAGCCCTTGCGGTGCTTTGCATCATTCGTGAATGGCTGCGTGTATTGTGCTCGTTTCCTCCTCCCACCGTTCTTTTACTTCCTGCCTGTCATGTCTCCATTCAAACCACTGGCCGCTTCGGCTCCAGAGCCTCCTTGGGCAATGGCGGCGGTGTTGATGGCCGGACGTCGCGAAACTTTGGTTGCATGATGCCAACCTGTATTGGAAAATGTTAGCCATTCAGACCATGACACAGTTCGACAATGTGGTAGGAACAGTGGTGGTCGTTGCGCTTCGTGGCACATTCTGGGAGGGCTCGGGTAGGATTCTGTCCTTACCAAGTTCAATAACCTCCACACCGGATCTGTTGGCTGTGCTCCTACACCGATCCAGTACTTTGCCCTTGACTGGTCGAGCTTGATGTCTTTGTGTAGTCTGCCGGATGTCTCGTAAGGGTCGGGTTTCGGGAGAGGGTCGTAAGTGCCAATGACCTCCAAGGGTCTACTGTCACGCGCTGTCCTAGCAGGGGAGACAGGTCCTCGTCAGCAAAAGAAGTGGATTGGCGCGAATCGGCTCCAGCGTATCGGCATACCGGGCATGTGTGACGACGATGTTGTATGTTGGAAGGTTGCGGCGGCCAAAGCGCGCCAACCTGATCTTGATGACCATGATGGCAGGTCTCTTTCGGCGATGTATCAAGAACGGTTCGAGGGCTATGTTGCAGAATGGGCGGCTGTGGACGCGGGCGCTTCTCAGGCTGAACAGCAGAAGTCAACCGCAGCGATATTCGTGATCTTGAAATTACGGCCGAGATTCTCGGTGGATTGCAGCTTTGCACGATGCGACCAATCAGAGAATCAGTTGCCGTGAAGGTGGGGATGGCGTGGCCAGCTTAGTCATTCCCTCTTTCAGCGGACCTCGAAAAGGCAGCTGTCGATCGTCGCTTCCCCCTGGTTGGTTCGGGTTGGGGGCACAAGGCCCAGCTGCTCAGGATGATGTCAACTGCTAGCACGGAAGGGCAGACAGTAGCCAGGCATGTGCGTGGAGAAGACCAGATTCTTGAAATAGCTGCTGGGCTGGCTCCTCCTTCGCATCCATCCACCTTTACATTTGACATCATTAAACATTCATGGTTCGCACCCAGCCTTGAACGTACTGCTCTACACTGATAATCCAACACAACCACGCCCGGTAACCCCGAGGAACCCTGTGGCTCCCATCAGCGAACCTCAAGGCCACTCCAAAATGGCCATCAAGGTCGGTCAAGTGCAGTCGAAACCATGCACCAATGTGCAGTTATCTAATCAAATACGGTGCCTGCCAGACTCTCTCCGCCAAGGCCGCGGCTGCTCTAGACAAAGAGCTCATGAGCACAGGGGCCTTCTCCATCGACCAGTTGATGGAGCTTGCTGGGCTCTCTGTGTCGCAAGCAGGTACTTTCCCCGCCCCTACATACCCCTGTTATCAGCAAGGGCTCAAGGCTGACTTACACACTTGCAAGTCTTCCGCGTTCATCCTCCATCGCTGGGCCGGCGGATCTTGATCGCATGTGGTCCCGGCAATAATGGCGGCGACGGCCTCGTGGCTGCCCGCCACCTATACCACTACGGCTACGCGCCGACAATCTACTACCCGAAGCAAAGTAGTAACGAATTATACCAGGTAAGTTCTTCATCACGGTAGCTTGTCACAGTCCTTTTCTTCCTCTCTTTCGAAATATCGGCCATCTTTCGTATAACGCATCAAAGCAATGCGCTCGTCCTTGTCTGCCCTTTGTTTCGTTCTTGCAAACGCCGCGAATACGACGAGAGCCGCGGCGCGTGCCTCACTGCGAGATGGCTCCTCTGATCGCCTTTTATCTTGGTTGATTTTCTCGTGACCTCGTTACTTATACATCGCTTGGTGCTGCAAGCGCCGTCCATCATCGCCACAGCTTTGTCTTTCGTATACTGACATGCTGTTTGCCTCTTTGTCGGCCACTTTGCCAGGCCTTTTCCACCATTTGCTTTCCATTCGCTTTAGATCCATCCTTGCTGAAGCCGAGCGTAACTGACATTGATGACCCTTCAGAGACTCTCGAAACAGCTTCGTGATCTCGATATCCCGTTTGTGGATGACTTTATTGAGGCTGAAAAGTCCTCTGATCACATTGTCGACGCCATTTTTGGTGAGTCGTGCTGGTGTTCTCGTAACGTTGCCTCTCGCCTGACCTTCTGCAAGGCTTCAGCTTCTCCGGGGAGGTTCGCGAACCATTCCCAGCCGTGATCCGAGCATTGGAGGAGACTACGCGGCCCGTGACATCGGTCGACGCCCCATCGTCCTGGAACATTGAATCTGGCCCGCCCGAATCCGGACCCGGGAGCAAGTTTATGCCTGCCGTGCTCATCAGCCTTACTGCGCCAAAACCACTAGTGAAGCACTTTCAAGGCCGACATTTCGTGGGTGGCAGGTGCGTGTAGCCAGGAATACTTTGGCAGTTGCCTTGACTGACGTACCATTTAGATTCGTGTCCCCGACCATTGCGAAGAAGTATGACTTTGATGTTCCGGATTACCAAGGTCTCGATCAGGTGGCCGAGATTCCCTCGGGAAACCAAAAGCTCTGATGGTGGAAGGACGAGGAATGCCTCAGGCTTTCTGCCAAACTCCGTGACAGGCTACATCCGACCTGTCAACTCATTGCACAACCTCCGGTTCGACTGTATGGACACAGCGGGCTTGGACATTTGCCCTCGTGCATTTCCCCAGTGTCTTCGACTAGCCCTTCTGGACACCGTAGGAGTGGTGGGTGATAATGTTGGCAGAATTCGACAAAGACCAGATATGTCTTTCCGCAGGCCGGACACTCGGCGTTGTGCTCGATGCACATTAATATCTGACCACGGATGCTAGGCCCTGCACCCTGACGAGGTTCCCGTTCCTTGTAGAACAGAAGGTTGCTGACAAGCGTGTCGGTCTTGCATGCCGCGCAGTCGTGCCTGTACCCGGGCCGTAGTGCCAGAATGGCTGAAACGGGTTGATTCTCTCTCTGATGCTTTGATATCGACCACCCCTGTTGCTGATAATGCTACCGTAAAGGACCGAAAGGATCAGCGTGTTGAGGAACTTAGCTCCAGGTCATCGGATGCAGCGGTAATCCCTAAATACGAAGGCGAGAGGCGGCCATGACCACGGACACGCGGCCAGGGAAAATGAAGGGCGTCGAAGAAGGGAAGAAGAGACGACACCCGCGACGGGCCGAGCCACGAGAAAATTGCGAGCAGAATGCATTGTCGTCGTTGTTCGGCCGGGCTGAGGGTTCGTGGCCGGAGGAAAAGCTCCTGGCGTGGATACGGGCCACGGGTTAGTGGCCCCCATTGTCAAGCAGCCGCGCTCTGACGGGTCCAGCGAGGACCCCGCCCCAGTCAGTCCCTGCCTGGTGGCTCGTTCGTCTCTCACGGCACACGTCTCCTGTGCCTGCAACGAGGCGAGGTGATCAGGGACCGCCGGGCACAAATGGCACTTGACACCAATAGAGAGCAAGAACTGCCGACGGCATGCTCCGACACCCTGAAGCAGGTGGCCACCACCATGTACGGACCCTGTCGGCCAACAATTGGCGAGCAGCCCATGCTTTTTTCTCTGGCAATCCCACCACGCCTCCTATGGTCCCACACAGGCGCCCACCATGGCCGCCGCAATAGGGGTCTGAAGGAGCACTGCACCCTCAACTGTGGCGTGGTCAGCCAGCCGGGAGAGATGCCACGCATACACATGAAGCTGGGTAATCGTGGCCCAAGAGGAAATGCAGCCCTGGCCTGACGGTCAAGTGAGGAGGGGCAGGCGTCGATGGCTAGCGAGCCCCCCATGGGACTGCAATCGAGAAACCCATGCGAGCGATGCGTGGGGTCTGGCATACCGTTCAGCCAATTTTGGTCGCCTGGAAGCCACAAAGCCGTCCTCGGACAGGCCCAGACCAGTCCAGGGCGCAGTGCATTGCGTGCTCTCTCTCTCTCTCTCTCTCTCTCTCTCGCTCTGCCTGTGCCACTGAGCCCATGCTGACCCTGGTTAGATTTGCAAGCATGATGCCATTCTTCGAGCCACTTTCCGTGTGCCGACTCGTTGGATCGGGCGCGGGCCACATGCACGATCGACCGAGTCCCTGAGCGGCAGACAGGATCGCCCTGTCTTGCACTGAAGACTTTCCCGCTGGGCCAAGCTCCTCAAGCCGACGGGCTTGTACATCCAGGCGACAGACTTTGCAAACATGGCCGTCACGAGGCAGAGGGGTGTTTTGTGCGAGACAAACAGCACGAGCGGCCAGGTGGATCATGCACTGCACCCCGCCTCGGCAGCGTGGAGGGGTTCGGGGCTACCTCTCTGCTGACCAGCGTGCTTTTGGCTCTTGTGCCGTCTTCATTCGTTTCCGCAGCCAAGCACTGCAGGGTGTGTGTGTGTGTGCGTGTGCGGATTGGTGGCATGGATGACCGTAGCTCAAACGTCATGGTGCTGACCAGCCGCCCGCCGGGATATGCCTTGTTCACATGGTCTCACAACATGGCTCTGGTCTGGGAATAGCTGCCATTTTGTCGTGTCGACGACCAGATCACACAGCCTTGTCATCGATCATGGCCAGGCCTGGCCCCGCTCCGTGGCGCCTGGCGTGCGTGCGCAGCCCAGCCCGTGCCGCGGGGACCACAGGGTCTTTGGCCCCGAGCCCGGTCAGATTTTTGTCGACGGGGTACGTGATGAACAGTTGCTTCCAGAGCAAAAGGCACCGAGGCCAATCAATGCGGACGGGGGCAATGGGTGTGGAGGGCCGCGAGATCGGGGGTCCAAGGCTCCAGTCGTCAACCAGTCAGTCAATCAATCACTGTCGTCGTTTTCTGTCAGTCAGTCTGTAAGGGGACAGGTACGTGTTTCCCGTCACACGCTAAAGGTTTGCGTTGGGATCTTTTGCCACCGAGCCCGTGACACATCCATGTCTGTGCCTGGCCGTTGGACACGCGAGGTGCCGCTCATGGCAGGGCAAGCTCTGTTCCAGATCCAGGCCCCTCGAGGCGGACACGAGTCAGTGCTTGGTGCCGACAATGGCCGTCGCTCCAGCCCCGCCTTGATTGGTCCGGTGCGGGCTCCGTTGGGGTTTTCCCTCGTGCCCGCCGCAAACAAACAACCACCTCGACCTTCGCCCCCCTTCCTCGATTCTGTCTGTCGGTGCCTGGCAAATATTTTGCAGATCCCTCTCGAATCCCCAAGGGTCGTTGACACGTGCTGGCCCGGGCGCGGCTTTCTGTTCTTCTCAGCCACCATACCTACGTTAGCGTATCTAATATCTCCGGGCAGTTGTGTTCTTGGCTGCCGCCACTACAATCCTTGCCACGGGCGGCCTCTCTCTGCCACATGTCGTGGTTGCCCGCACCTTCTTCCCCTGGGCACTTCAACCACGCTCGTTGCTGCCTGATTGAATCACAAGTACCTCGCCAGCAGCCGTTCCCGGCTTCCGCGGAGAAACTCTCATGTCGCGTAATGTCTTGCTTTGCGGTGATGATAATAATGGTGATGATGATCATTTTCCTTTCTCTCTCTATCTCTCTCTCCCTGCCATCCTTACATCATTACTGATTGTCGCCGTCTCCCTTGCTTCTGTCTTCCACCCATCCACAGGTCTCTGACTCATGTGCCGCAAAGTTCCAAACAACACGCGGCAGGCACGGAACTTGATGGCAGAACTTTTTTTTCTTTCGTTATCGTTGTGGTTTTAGGTTAATTCCGAGCCGTCGGCACCGGACCCATCGCCTCAGACTTCTACTTGTCGTGATAAACCGAGGACTTTACCGACCCTTGGGTGGTTCCCCCCAACCGTTAACTGACACTGGACTTTTTAGCCTTTTTTGCATCCCCAGCCAAAACCAACAAGGCACGTACTAGTCATGCATGTCATCCACCACAGTTTTTGCCCTGATCTCTCCCCTCCCTGGTCGTGGTGCTTAACTCTTTTTTTCTTGCCCACACAAGCCATACACGACACGATAGGCGACGGCCCCTCGCTTCTGTAATAAACTCTATGATTGAACCCCCTGCTTGAGTGATAGTAGGCTGGTTCATCATGATTAATGACTTTTCTTCAATGAAACCCGAGGGGGGCCATGGGCAGCATCCGTCTTTTTTTTCTTTCTTGTTTTCGCCTTAGCAGGGCAAAACATCCTCCGGGTTCCATTGACATACAGATAATTTTGAACCTTTTTTTTTGTTTTTTTGTTTTTTGCTTTCTCCCACATCCCCCTCCTGTATCACATAGGCTATGGCGGGTGGGTGGGACGGGCTGGTGACTACGCGAGTACACTAGTTTCCCAAACACCCTGTTTGATATATCCCGGACGTCCTGGTTGGCCGAATCATGCTTCAATGACAACACCTGTACATAAGTGCGTCCTGCTGGAGAAAAAGAAGATTTTGTTTTGTTTCTTTTGGAGGGACGGACCGCCCCCTCTTGTAACTCTCCGGGGTGCAATGCTTTTTTTTTGTCTTTAGCCGGCGCGCGCGCCGCCCAAGGTGAAAGGAAGCAGCAGGTCGTCGTGCAGGTTTGCTCATTACCACCACCCCCACCCCGAAGTTGATTTGCGGGCGGGCCTCGAGGCGATTTCGACGACGGACGACCGCCCCCCCCCCCCCCCCCTGCGCAACATGGCATATTCCCAAAGGGAAGGCATGGAGAGAGAGCCATTGGTGGTTAAGAATGCCCGAGACCACGTGCCCTTTTGATTATTTCTCTGCGCCGATTAACTCTCTCTCTCACTCACACACACACACACTGGGCTCTGCGTAAATAGTAAATAAAAGGCGTAACCATTACAGAGGGCTACCAAAAGCTGTCCAGAGTCATATCATCATGCTTTATTTCTTGTTGTACATACTTTATATAGTCATGCCTTGACGGCTATTCTTACATTGGTCTACAGGAGACCAAAATGCTGTTTCATCACAAATAGTAGTACAAGAATACTTTTGTTACAATGCTGTTGCCCCGTGTGTGGCTGAAGGACAAGGACAAGGTCTTTGTCCTGCGACGACGACAGCGATAAAACCTCCCATCATTCTTTCGAGTACTCTGAGTCGCCAATCAAAAGAGAGAAGGGTGCTTCTTGACTCTACTCCATCTCCTCGAGTTCCTGCAGTAGGTCCTTCTGCTTCCTCCTCGGCTTCTTGCCGCCCTTGGTCCTGCGCTCGTTCCTGTCGACCACGCGGCCCGCCACGCCGGCCTCGGTGGCGCTGAAGATGCCCGACTCGTTGGCATTCAGCTCGATGACGGGGATCTTCCTCCTGTTCCCGCCGCCGCCTCCCTTCTTCTTGTTGCCGCCCAGGGCGCGCTGCGCACGCACGCCGCCGTCGTTGGCAGTGATGGTCCCGGCCTTGCCCAGGCGCACGTTGCGCACGACGCGCGTCTTGGCGCCCAGCGCCCACAGGTCGCCCCAGCGCGTCTTGCGCGCGTCGTGGTACGCCTGCTTGCTGAAGGACTTGGGGATGGTCCAGCGCTCAATCGTCCCCGCGGGCGTGCACACGTCGAGGGTCACGTGTCCCGTGCGCTTCAGCGACGGGAGGATCTGTCGTGGCAGCGAGCGCGCGTCGGGCGCGGGATCGGACGGGTCGGCAGCGCTGGGGTTGACGTGCTCGTAGCCCTGGAAGGCGCGGTCTGCGATGTCGTTCGCCTTGTGCTGGGTGGCCGCAACGGGCGTCGGGGGATCTGCGGTGGTGGTAGTGCTGGTATTGCTGCTGCCGCTGCCGCGCTGGACGGCGACGAAGCTAAAGTCAATGTCCTCGTGATTGCGCCATTTGGCCTCAAGGACCCTTTGCAGGAACGGCGGGCGCGTGAAGCGCTGGCTGAAATGGCAGAAGTCCTTGCGACCAGGTGATAGGCCAGGAGTAAGGTACATCGGGCAGGGCTTGTGGTTTGTGCAAGGGGCGATGATGGAGCCCGTCTCACGCTCGGGAAGCGGCGTCTCTGGGTCTGGAGACACCTGCGGATCTGAAGTTGGTGCCTCGATGAACTCGTTGAGGAGGCGGCCGCGCACTTCCGCGACGGCCTCGAAACCTCGAGGCATGCCCTTCTCGAGAACGATGAGAATGCCCCCTTCGGGAGAGAGCATCTCCCACAAGTTGTCAATGAAAGCCTTGCGCTTGTACTCCTCTTTGAATGGGAGCAGCATGTGCGACGCAATGATGACATCGAACTGCTTCCGCGGCAGCGGCGTCTCACTGTCGTCAATCTTGTCTGGGTGGTTGCCAGAGTGCAGATAGTCGGGAAGTCTGGGCAGGAAGGTTGTGTCGTGCAAGAAGCGCGAGATCCGGTGTCGTAGGTGATCTGATCCCACAACCACTGTCCTCTTGCCCTTTGGACTGTGGCCAGCTGCCTCGCCGCGATCCTTGGCGAGCTGCCACTCAGCTTTCATAACCTCCTGCCACGCAGCGGCTGCGGCGCCACCGGCGCCAACGTCGAGCATGCGAGGGCCGTCTCCGCCGTTCCGTCCCATGAGACCCTGTAGCCACTGGGGGCCTAGGCGCTTGCGTACTTCGACCAGAATGCTGGTTGCTGTTGAGTACATGCCTGGATAGTTGGTGGCAATGAACGCATCAGCTTCGATCTCGGACATCCTTCCTTGGCCAGCCTCCAGACCGACACCCCTTTGCGGGGCGTTACGCTTCGATGCCGGGGTGGCAACTGAGAATGGCAAGCCTGGTCCACCGAAAGCCCTCTCGGCGGTCTGCTTGATATGTGTGGTGTCGGTGCGTGTCAAGAGTGTCTGGATGGGCGTGACCAGGTCCTCCGTCGGCAGGAACACCGTGCTTGGAGAAGTCCGCCAGTGACCTAGCTTGGTATATTCGTGAAGGCGTGCGCTCCGGCCACGGATTCGTCCTTCCTCTGCGCCTTGTCCGTCTGAGTCGAGATACTCGTCGTCGTCTATCTCATCCTCGTCTTCCTCCTCCTCAATCATATCTTCCTGCTCTTCCAGTGCTCGCTGCTCTTCGGCCTCAACATTCGTGCTTGGCCTCTTGTTCTCGAGATTATACTGCTCAAAGTCCTTCTGTAGCTTCATCAAGGCGTCGTACTCGCGTTGGTTCTGGGCCACGGCGTTGACGTAGCTTTGCCCCGCTTCCGATGGTAGTGACGGGTTAAGAGCCTCTGCACCTGGAACTGGATCCTCAGCTTGGCCCTGCTCTTTCCCTGACTGCTCAATGTCGATCACGTCCTCGTACTCGTGGCTTGAAGGCGCCTCCCGTGTATGATACCCGACGTCCTCGGGCAAAGTGTCGCGCAGAGGTGGCCCGTACAGCCGCTCGTAGAGTTTGTATTCTTCATCGCTCAGATATCCCTTAGGCAACGTCTTTCCGAAAGCCTGGCGGGCCTGCCGTACTACGGTCTCGACGTCGTGCGATTTGTCGCCGTTTGGTGACGAGGGCAACTCCTCGATGTCTGTGTCGGGCCGCCTATCCGGCTCGGGCTGCGCGTTCTGAAGGGCGGACCGGGTCGTCGAGAAGTGCCGTCGCAGTGGCGATCGACCTTGAGAGATCAGGCGTGTGGCTCTGCTACTTGTCTGGGGAGTGAATGCATGATGCGAGCCTGAGAAGCCGGCTTGGAACAGCGACAGGACTTGTCGGGTGCACTGCGGGCACGCCGCCCGCTGTGCTCGCGCCGCTGTAAGCATTTTATGTGGCGTTCCCGTATTCTGATGAGTGCAGTCCGTCGGAGAGGCGCCTTGGGCATCGACTAGAAGTCCCCTACAGTACTCGGGATGTTGTGGGCGTTGTGTCGCAAAGTTGAAGATGCAGTTTATAAATACCGGCAAATGGTTGTCGGGCCTGGGCCTGACAGCCTTTGAAACTTTTAGTGGGGCTGGGCCCTGGAGGCAAGGGGCACAGCCATTCAGCTTGGCGCGATTGCCATGCACGATTTAGCGTCTGGCGGCCTGGAGGCTTGCTTTCGTAGCATCTGCTCCGGCATAGGCTGGACCACCACATCCTACTAGACGCCCATTTTACAGCCTTCATCTGTCGCTTCATGATTGAAACTGAATGAGTGTATAAGTCATTTTGGTTGAGAATGATGCAGACCCTTTGGCTTTCCCCAATGGGAATACACGAGGACACCCAGAGAGGTGGGTCAACAGGACCCAAGTCCATTTAACTAGTCAAGAATCGCTTTAAACGCCGTACGTGCAAAAGGAAGGCCCAATGACGATAGTCTGACATTCAGCTGCCTCCCAGGTCCTTCAGGGTGCGAACGCCACCTGAAGGGCGAGCTGCTCCTGGCCCGCCGACCTTCTGGCCGTTACCTCGCACAGCGGAAGGCGGCGCATTCGGTCTGTTGACATTGAAATTCGAGTTCTCCGCGGCTTTGTAGGGATCAAACTAGGGTAGAGAGTCAGTCGTCAGGGACATTCCGTGCGCGCTATATCAAGACATGCTGGTGATAACTTACCGACATCAGTGATACGAAATACAAGCCGAAGAAGGTGATCAAGGCATTCAAGAACTTGGTCGGGCTCGGAATGGACCAGCCACGACCAGCACGACCACCGCCAGACCCTAGCTTCTGGCCGGATGAGCCACCAAGCGTCCTGCCAGGTGTCGTGAATGACGGCGCAGAGACCGCACCAGCCAGCTTGGCGGCCTCGCTGACCTCGCTGGTAAGCTTGCCCGGGTCGGCGCCGGCGATGCGCTTGAATTCGGACCCGCTGCGGAAGATGATAAAGGTAGGCATGGATCGGACGCTGTATCGAGAGGCAATATCGCGCTGGCTGTCGACGTCGATCTTGCAGAAGGCGATCTTGCCGGGCTTGGCGTACTTGGTTGAGAGCGATTCGAAGGTCGGCGCGATCATCTTGCATGGGCCGCACCAAGTGGCGTGGACTGCGAAGGAGACGTCCTTGTTAGCTGGCGGAGTCGGGCCATGGTGCTTGTGGACCTGACGCTCTGCGCTAGCATGATGATGAGGGCTTACAGTCTGCAACAACAACAGCATTACCACTGAGGGTGCGATCAAATTCGCCAGTCGAGCCGATTTCGACAGTCATCGTGGAGGATTCGATTCTTGTCAACAGTATGCAGGTGCTGATTACTTGGGCATGCACCGGTCTCTGCTGGGCTCGAGAAGCGTGTCGTTGTGAAGCTGTGCGTACTGCCGCGGTTGCGCCTGGAATGCCTGCTGTGATGTGGTGTTGGTGATGTTTGTAAGCCGTGCAGCAGCTGCTGAGGGGCCAGACATGAAGACGTCAAGCTGGCTTGAGGCGCGACAGGTGCAGGGATCATGCTCAAGTGGTGGCCGCTTATAGAAAGCGGTGAAAGCTAGCTGCATGTTTCTGCCGTCAGAGGGTCTCGAGTTCCTGAATTTTCAGTGGGGCGAACTCACTTTGAAAGAGCTGCTTGATTGACATCTGATACTGGCACTCTGCCAGACACACATGTTCTAGGAGTCAACATTGGTACTCATCCTGGCCTCCTTTTGTTTCGCTTTTTGTATTTACAAACACCGCCCGCACAGTCATGGGTCGCCCGTGGACAATTTCCATAGCCCTGCCGGGCAGTGTCTTGTCGTTGTAAGTGGTTCATCATCTCACTCTCTGGGCCCGAGTTCAGATGTCTAACTGTGCAACTAGATGTCGTCGCGATGAGCAGCGCGTGCACATTGTATCCCACATAGCACGTGCCCTCTGTGTCTACAGCATCGATGAGATCATCATCTACGACGACTCGCCGCCAGACTCTCGGCCGAGAAGCGTGGACACATCAGCCTACACTGGTGACATTGACCCGTGTGGCTACGTAGACCACCTCTTACAGTATCTCGAGATGCCGCCTTTCATGCGCAAGACCCTGCTGCCTCTGCACCCAAACCTGAAGCAGGCGGGGCTTATGGCGAACCTGGAGATCCCCTCACATCCTCACCCCAGACACTGGGTGCCGTATGCTGAAGGCGTGACTCTGCCGGGCGCAACGCCCTCCGGCAAGGGAACGCTGGTCGACATTGGCCACAAATCACCCGTCATCATCAAGCAGGACGTCCCTCCCAAGACTCGCATTACACTCAAGCTCGACGAGAACGACCCGGAGGCGGCGGAGCCAGTTGACCCATCGCTGCCCCGGACAGAAGGCGGCTACTACTGGGGCTATTCTACACGGCGCGCGGAGACGCTATCGGCCGTTTTTGAAGGCTGCACATACGAGGGAGGATACGACATGAGCATTGGTACCTCGGAGCGCGGCACGCTGCTGGCTGAGGCGCTGCCAGAGAGGAAGGTTAAGAGGGAGCCTCTGCAGTTCCAGCATCTGCTGATTGTCTTTGGAGGCCCCCGAGGGATCGAGTATGCGGCGGAGAATGACCCTACACTAAACGGCATGGGCATTGTACGGGCGAGGACGCAGGAGCTGTTTGACCACTGGATCAACTTCCTGCCTGGGCAGGGCACGCGGACTGTGCAGACTGAGGAAGCGTTGTGGGCTGGTCTGGCGCTCATGCGGAGGTTATGGATCGACAAGGAGTGAGTAGAAGCGCAGTTTGTTGCATGCCTTCGCTGCTGTTGATGTCCATATTTCTCAGTTGCCAAGCGTTGTTTGTGTGCGACAAGATCGTGTGGAATAGAGGGTTCCCTGCCCCCTTGCCTTTGAAGGCAGTAAAACTACCAAGGAGCCTGACAGCGTACATATAGAACGAGAGAGTCTGAAACTGTTGTGCCATACGGTCTGAGTGTCTCTGAGTGGTATGCAATATCTTTTTGGTTGTGTAGCGGAAAGTCACGATGTGCCCAGCACGGCATCAGCCACTCTGCTCCGGGAATTGCGTGCTTGGAGTCGGCCGTCGAGCCAGGGCGGGCCGCCGACTGCCGCTCGGCGGGAGCGGGCCCAAGATGGCAAACACGCCGCTCCTGATTGGTCCGATATCGCGTCAGTCCGGAGCGGGCCCCCACCCCTCCGCCGACCGGCCATCCCGCCATCCCGCCAAACCCTGCGTTTTTCAGCGGCCAACTCCCTGCACTGGGTCTTTCCCATCTCCGCGGGCATGCGCTTATCAAATGTCGTGATTCCCCCACACTGCACAAGCCAGGGCCGTCCTCGGAGTTGTCGATTTTGTTGATATCGGAGCGCACCACGCCGCAATGGTTTTTTTTTAACACCTTGCGGTGATGGCCTCGCTTTCAGCCTTCTGCAATCCGTCTGCCACTCTCCAGCATCCCCGCTGAGGCGACACGTCACCGTGCCTTCCACTTTCCTTTCGCCTTATCGGGCGACAACAATTGCATCGTGGACAGCTTCTGGCTAGCTTTGGCACATCCCACTTCGCGCTTCAAAAGGTTGCCGTCACCATTCCGACTGCTTACTCTTAAAGTCTAGCATTGCAACGATGGTAGACTCGCACGTCTCGATGCTTACGGCGGTCGACGCCCGATCGCATGTCCACCTCGTCATCGGCTCGAACCCTCTCGCCGCTGCCCGTTGTGGACAGTCGCTTGCTGCCGGTGCCCGGCCCCTCCTCGTTGCCCCCGAGTCCGCAGAGCTACACTATGCTCTCCAGAAGCGCATCGACGACGGTGAAGTCCACTGGGTCAAGAAGACGTTTGAAGACAGCGACCTCTTTACACTCGGCCGGCCCGAGATCGACGGCGTCGTAGACGCCGTGTTTGTGACGTCGGGCCCTCGAGATCCCAAAAGTAAGAAGATGACTACAGTCTCGTACACCTTTCTTGTTGCGATTGGGTCATGCTGACTCTTGTCCAACAACACAGGCACACACATCTCGACGACCTGCAAGCGACACCGCATTCCCGTCAACGTGGTCGACGCCCCACAGCTCTGCACCTTTGGTTTGTTGTCCACACATACCGACGGGCCTCTCCAGATCGGCGTCACCACCAATGGCCGCGGCTGCAAGCTGGCATCTCGGATCCGCCGCGAGATCGCCTCGTCCCTACCGCAGAACCTCGGCCCGGCCGTGTCCCGCCTCGGCGATGTCAGACGGCGGATACACGAGGAGGACCACCGCTTACACGATGCGCTCGCGACCAGTAGCAGCAGTGGTGGTGGCGGCGGCGCCGAGGACCTCGGTCTCGACGACTCGGTCGACCAGTCGTCCCAGTTCAACAAGCTCGTCACCGAGGCGGATCTTGACGCCGCCAAGAACAGACGCATGCGCTGGCTCAGCCAGGTCTGCGAGTACTGGCCGCTGAAGCGCCTCGCGGCCATCACTGATGCCGACGTCGACACCATCCTCAAGTCCTACGAGCAGCACGCGACTGCTATCTCTCACCACGAGTCCTCCGCCGCCATCGGACGACCATCCGACCCAGCAGGCGGCGCAGGAGCGAGCTCCAGGCTCGGCCGCATCATCCTCGCCGGTTCCGGCCCGGGCCACCCAGACCTGCTCACCCAGGCAACCCACAAGGCCATCCAGAGCGCCGACCTGATCCTCGCAGACAAGCTCGTCCCCTCGGGCGTCCTGGACCTGATCCCGCGCCGCACGCCCGTGCAGATCGCGCGCAAGTTCCCCGGCAACGCGGACGCCGCGCAGGAGGAGCTGCACGCGCTCGCGGCCGCGGGCGTGCGCGAGGGCAAGACGGTGCTCAGGCTGAAGCAGGGCGACCCGTACATCTACGGCCGCGGCGGCGAGGAGGTCGAGTACTTCCGCCAGCAAGGGCTCGGCGACCGCGTCCTGGTCCTCCCCGGCGTCACGTCGGCCCTGTCCGCGCCCTTGTTTGCCGAGATCCCGCCCACCCAGCGTGACGTGGCCGACCAGGTCCTCATCTGCACGGGCACGGGCAAGAAGGGGAAGGCCCCGTCGCCGCCAGAGTATGTGGCCAGCCGGACGGTGGTGTTCCTCATGGCGCTACACCGGATTCAGGGGCTTGTCCAGGAGCTGACGACACACACGGACGCGGAGAAGGGGATTGTGCGTGAGGAGGAGGCGGCGAATGCGAGCGCGGGACAAACAACAGTCACACCGAGCAGGCCGCTCTGGCCGCTGTCCACGCCCTGCGCCGTCATCGAGCGCGCCAGCTGTCCCGACCAGCGCGTCATCCGCACGACACTAGGCAAAGTCGCCGAGGCCATCGAGCACGAAGGGAGCAGGCCGCCGGGCCTACTGGTCGTGGGGCGGGCGTGTGAGTTTCTGCACAAGCCGACATCGCCACCACCATCGGCGGACGCGCCGGCGCTCTCCTCCTCGGCGCAGCAAGGGTGGACGGTGCACGAGGGGTTCAGGGGCTTGGACGTGGGCGATGTCGTTGTTGGCGACGTGCTCGGGCAGATTGCCGCTGCTTGAGTGGGTGTGTTCCTTTTTGGTGGTTTCCTGGGCTTGGGGTTTTTTTTTTTCTATGTATCTTCTGGCATGTGGCATGTGGCATGTGGCGTTGGTGGGTTGGTTGGGTACTTAGCGAGAGCGTCACGGCAGCCAGCCAGGGGAGGCTCAATTCCTCTCATTTCGGAATTGCGGGTATAGAAAACATGTGTGTGACGAATTAGGCTACACCTTTTGCGCAAGCGTTGATATTTATTCGGGTTTGGGGAGTTAGACCATGGATTCGAGGTACTCGTGGAGTTGAATATATCCAGATGCAGGCTTTCGCAATATCACTGTTTGATAGACCAACTTGGCGTGTTACCAGTGGACATCGGAAGGCTTTTGTTGTGTTTGTCGGTACAAAGTTGAGCAAATCAATTTACATGCCAGTTGCAACGGCGCCCGCCGGGGAAACTGGCGTGAGCAGCGTGTCCTGCCAAGCGCGCGTGGACATTCCGTATCATCAAACAACAAGATTGCTAATTATGCGGTTGTGGCTGCACAGCGCAGCCACTCCGATGTTTTCGCAATACCTTTTGCTGTTTCGAATTCCTGCCATGTGTTAAGAATTGATGCTGGCGTCGGTGTGTCTGTCCATCTGCAAGTGTTCGAGAACCTACTTACAAGCTCTATTACCATTCCTCACGGTCAGCTCCGGCCATACCCTCAAGATGACCCCCTAGACCGGCTACAGCATCCTCGTCACCGAGGCCGAGCTCGAGAGCATCTTCTCGCGTGTAAGAGAGTTGCATGGCTCTACCTTTGGCATCGACCACAGCAAAGCCTACAGCGGAGATACTTCCGTACGGCCTGAAGCCACCGCCCAACAAGCATCATCGACGGAGGAAATGCCTCGAGCCGTACCACCTCTTCATAGAAGCAAGAGCACCGTGAGAGATAGCGGGAAATGCTACAATGGCGGCAAGCCCGTGGAGAACAAAGCCCTCCAGCGAGTTCTCGACGACATTAGAGACGGCCTCCAGGGGCTCGTCAGCCGCACCGAGTTTCACCGATTTCTGGACGAGCTGGAGCGCGAAAACACCGTGTTGTCGGCGACGTGTGGTCATCGGCAGCAGCGGCTTCTCGGCCTGGCCGAGCGCATCATAGGAGGAGATGCAGCTCTGACAGGCAGAAGAAATGCAGAAAGAGGTCTCTGGTCAAGCAATGACGCGCTTGGGCGGGGAATGCCGGGGATCTGGCCCCAGGACGAAATATGGCGCTGGATACTTGGAACGGTGTCTCTCACGAGCACAGCGTCGTCGAGACTCGTTGTGGAAGATAGGCATTGTCGCTGGGTCATGTGTGACCGCCCGGAACAGGTGATCGCATTTGTCCGCGCCCTGCCCCGGCCATTGCCGGATAACTTCGTCTTCGTCACGCCAATTTACGTCGAGACCAGCGAATACCACCTGCGAGAAGACCAAAAGCAAGCCAAACACCACCGAGAGCCTCAATCAACCAGGCCCGACTCTTGCCCCTCATCGCCTCAGCCCTGCGACAAGCAGACTGCTCTGGCAATGCTCCTCGTCGATCTGATAAGCACCTTCTCAAGGCACGCGACTGATGAAACGGTATTTGACGGTTTGAGAAAAGCCGACATGCCCAATATCCGCTCACCGGAAGGGCGGATCCAGGCTCTCATCATAGTGCTGGATATTTGTCTCAAGGTTGCTTCCCGGCACTACAGCCACTCGAGCCAAGCATGCCCAGCTGGTCTGAGGAATAGTAGGATGAGCTTTCAGGATGGCAAGCACCCCCGGAGCACGGGAGGCGACCAGTCGGAACAGTCGCTGCTGATAGTCGTTGACCGCATCGATGCTGTCGTGGGCCCAGAAACGGAGCACTATGTCAAGAAGATGGTCCTGTTGCTCAAGCAGGCTGCTTCCCCTGCTTCAGGAGCTACGACTGGGGCAGGGGCATTTTCTGTACACCGCGGAACTTCCACACATCCCCTGATGTCCAGATTTCATCTATCACACCGTGCTTTGAGCGGCCCTTCGACTTGCGGAGCAGGTGGCATAGCTGGGAGCACATGCGGCAATGCCAGAGGTGCTTGTCCGACAATCAGAGTCCTCTTCACCATCGTAGACGAGGCTGGGCGGCAGTGGCTCGAGCAGCGATGCGGGATTTCACCAGTGACGGAGGCTTCCGTGCTCGATCGGGATGCTCAGGGCATGGCCGGGCAGCGAGTAGTGAATCATGATGGTACTGTCCAAACACGGACGCATGCAGATGAGAAAATGATGAGCCAAGCTAGTGCTCACGGGGCTACAAGTCAAGCTGGAGACCGAGAGCAAATCAAGAAGGAGCTCCGGAATTGTGATGAGAACACTCAGAAGAAATGCGTAGGAGAGGCAGATGAAGATCTCTGGGCCGTCAGACCAAGCCTCCTCTCCGCCCTGGCGTCCCCAACTGGCCTGCCGACGCCCAACACTAGAGACCCTCGCGACGGTGCAGCTCCCAGCAGGTCGTTCACGACCCGTAGTGCTGGCAGGAAGAGATCGGCGGTGATGCAGTATGTCCGAAGGTGCGCGAGTCTCAGGTCTGCAGTTCCACGAGCTCCTGCACAGCCGCACAGCACGGCTTCCGAGGATGCAGAGCATGTTGTCATATCGAGGAACGACCGTCAAGAAAGCAAGGAGACGAAACTACTCGCTGCTCGGAAACTAAAGTGGTCCCGCCTATGGTCAAATTACTTGAAGTCTGTAGGTGCTCGACCATCGTCATCATCATCATCATCATCAACTCCCTCTTCGCCGGCATGCAAATCAGAATTTACAAGGAGGCTCATGAGGGGAACCGCTGGAGCCAAGTTCCTGCGCGATCTCGTTCCGAGTCACTCACAAAGAGACCTTCGTCATCCCCGTCCTCATCGACACTATTTCCATAGAGTGACCAGCCTATGAAGGATCGGGAAGTTGCGGAAAGGCATCGAGGGTCCCCAAATAGCTAAGTCGTCTTTTGTGAAGGAGTAGGCGCAGGAAACCAGCCACACCAGATCATGTCAAAGACCTCGCATGGAGAAGGATGAGCGATACACGCAAGGGCTTGAGGTTCCTGATTTGAAATGAGATTGCACACCCGTTGGAGCAAGGCCCCTCATGTTGATTTCTGTCACAGTCGTTATCTCTCTCTTCCGATACCTTTCATTTCATCATCTCAATTCATTCCGCTATCTTGAATGCCGATACGTAAAAATGTGTCGCTGTTGTCCAAAACAATTTATGCCTCGCTAAATACCAAAATCTCTCCCAACTCCTTGTACCTCTGTCCGACAAAATATTGCCCTCAAGGCTCAAACATCAAGCTCTGTCGTCGGTTCCAACGACCTGAAATGCAACCCGTCCCTCAAGATGGCCATCGCAGGGCCGATGCCGATAAAGCTCCACACGCCGCCCGTGCGGCTGGGATCGACACTACGCAGGCTCTCGTCCGGAATGGCCCGGGCCAAGATCTTGTACTCGGCGGCATTGGCCGACATCTCGCCGCCAAGGTCCTGCTGTGGTGACAGCGACGTGGGGGACTGGACCGCAGGCGCAGTGGAAATCGCGTTGTCCGTCGAAGCCCGAGGTGACGAGGATTGCGACGAGGTGGCAGAGGTCACCGGCTGCTGCTTATTGTGGAAGAACATCCTGGGCCATTCGACGCCCGCGTTCCTCTCCACCTCGCGCATGCGCCGCTGGGCATTCTCAATCTGCGCCTTCCTCCGGGCGATGGCCTCCATGTTGCCCATCCGGATTCCCTCGATGACCTCGTGCCACGCCCGCCGCGACTCCCAAGGACTCTGCTTCTCCAGGGGCGCGACCTGCGCCTCGGAGATGGGGACGTCGTTGACGTCAAACTCTTCGACCACCTTGCCCGTCCGGCCGTCCTTGATGGTCATCTTGCCTGTCCACTGGCCGGAAATCTCGTAGATTGGTTGCCGCTTGTTGGCGGGCACGGAGGCATTGTTGCTGCTACTGTCTCCTTCCTCGCGAACACTGCACAACCTGGCGTTGAAGCTGTTGCGCTTGCCCATGCCAAAGGTATTCGTACCCGAGAACCCGACGGTCGCGAGATATCCGGAGCTCGAGGAGATGTAGCATGAGCCATCCAGCTCCGGGTATGGCCGGCCCGTGAGTAGGCCCTTGAGCAGCAGCGTTGGGAGGGTCATGAGATGTGACTCGTTGTGCACCGTGTCCCGGACGATGGCGTAGCCGACCTGCGACACTCTGACACCGCTCGTCGGGCTGAAGCTCGTCTCTTGCGCGACGTAACCCTCTGATGACATGCCGTGGGCCTTGTTGTAAGTGTAGCACGCCGTGGCTGGGGGATGGTGTGACACCTGCTCAACAAAGAGCAGGGTGGCCGAGTCATCCTCGGTGGTTTCGTTTACAGATGTGTCGCTGCCTACGCTGTTGGCGCGTCCGTTGCTAACAGACGAGATGGAACGACGCCGATAGTTGTCGCTGGGGAGGAACTTGGCGAGAAAGAGCTCCCCCAGAAAGGCGTTGAGAGGCTTCTTGGCGCCGCCGAGACTCTCCGTGACTCGGGGTGCGGGTGGGCTGCCGCTACGCGCGTTGTCCCCAGCATCTGATCCCGGCGACGAAGTACGTGATAGTGACGCCGAAGACCGTGGTGTAGACGATGTGGACGAAGTCACTGAAGAAGAAGTAGAAGGAGAAGAAGCGATGGTGGCGTGATAGCCTTGCCGTTTGAGACTGCAGAGGAAGCTCTTGAGCACGAGGAGGGCCCTGACTTCAGGGTCGTCCTCGTGAGCTGGCGCGAGGAACAGCTCTTGCCTCTCAGCACAGGCCACGGGCATTTCCGTGACGGACCTGGGTGAAAGAAGAAACGGCGGGGCTGTGATGTTGGATAGGTCGCCCTTAACTGTGGCCAGGTAGCCCAGAAAGTCCCTGAGCTGGGAGAAGGGTGACGACGACCTTGCCGACGACGACATGATTGTGTGTTGCAAGGACGAGCTAGTGAAGAAATGTTGCCAAGCCGCGGCCTTGGCGTCACGATTTACCAGGTCTGTGTAGTATGGAGTAGTGGGTGATTGAGTATGGCCCCTGGCTCTTGTTTCTGTTCAGACGGGATCTAGAAGTCTTGTCATGGAATGCCAAGCTGGAAAGAGGGAGGATCCCTTGACTATGTAGGGACAACCGGAGCCGAGAACATGCGCTTGTGATGCCTTTGACCAGCGGAAGTTGTGGGAGAAATGGAGTGCGTAATGTCTCGTCAGCCACCCCTCCTGCCCCCAAGGTTGCCGCCATCTCGAACTATGTATGTGCTACGGCTCGCACTCGGTCTCCTGGCCACAGGGTATCTCTGGAACCCTCGGATGTCTATGATTGCCGAGACCAGGGGCACCAGGGGACATTGCACTGCTGGAGAGTGACAACGAGCTGGGGATGGTGTTTGGTGCCCAGGCCTGTCAGGCCAGGGTCCTGCCTTAGACCCGCCAAGGTCTATGACGCACCATAGACAGGACCCCCGTTCTAGCCGGTTCCTGGAGCCCGCCAGCCAATCAGGTGCTAGCCCTGCTTTCCTCTTCGGGAAAGTCTCGATCGCCGCGACAATGACGGCCATGGACCATCACCAGCCATCTCTGCCATCTGCCATCCGCCCTGTCATATGCTCGGCCATCTGCGCTGCCGTCGGACATCTGGCGAGTGCGAGCTCCATCGACACAAGATGTGTGCACTTTCTCCCGGCATATTTTGGCCGGTTGCACTGCCCGCCAAGCTGAGACTCTGCCGGCCGGACATGCGACATTCCAGACGCCCATTCTCAAACTCCAAATGCGTGTCCCGACCAGGGTCCCAGCCAGCGCCCCCCCCCCGTACGTTGGCCAACTCGCATTGCAAGCGGCTAGTGAGGCAGCGCGAGACAGGACACACTATCTGGGCCTCCGATCACCCCACAAGGTTCTGCACAACGAAATCAACCTCCTCCGCTGTCCCGCAGATCAGCCCACCCCGCTCGTCAATATCCTCGAGTGGCTTGTCCAGAATGTTCTGCCCGCTGGCGGGGTCAACCGCCTTGCCCCCGGCGCACTCCACGATCAGGGCAAGCGGGCACAGCTCGTACAATCGTCGGAGTTTGGCCTTGCTTGTGCTGGTGACCGGCGACACGTAGATCCCGTGGCCCTTGACCAGAGCGTGCACAACGTCGGGCACGAGACCCCCGCTATATCGTAGTGTGTATTTGTTCTGGATGTAATGCGCGACCAGCTTCATATACCGCTCATCGTCGGCGGCAGCCCGCAGGTTGGCAGGCGCAAAGTAACGCGTCTTGAACGGAGGCAGCGACAGCTTGACCTCGGCGCGCACGATCTCGGCGTCGTTGAACCCCGAGTCGTCGCTGATGCCAACCTCGAAGCATGTGGCTTCGACCTGGCCAGGGATACGGAGAGCAATGACTGCCGTGGTGCGCGGGCCGTAGATGCCCAAGATGGAGGCGATCTGGCGCTGTGCAGGGGACTGCCTGATAGCGGTGGTGCCTTGCCATATGCCGATAATGGTACCAACCGTCCAGTTTGGAGCAATGATGGAGCTCCCGTCCAATGGATCGAAGGCGACTGTGTATATTTCTGAAGATGCCGCAGCCGTATTTATGCTGTCGTGCTCCGTATTTTGCTTCTGTGCTGGGCGCTCTATGGGGTCTTCCTCGCTACTGGCGGTGCTGACTGATGGGCACGCTGCGAGGGCATCGCGGATGAGGTTCTCGGCCAGGACATCGACGTTGAGCTGGTCGTCGCCAAAAGTATTGGCTGTGCCAGCCAAAGCGACATGTTGGGCGTCACGCAGTGCACGGGAGGTGCCGGCAATGGCGTCGACCAGGGCCGGGATGACCGAGTCTCGGAGGGCGGCGTGCTGGCTGCCAGAGAGCACACGGGCGAGGTGGTCCAAGAGACTGGCTGGTTCTTGAGTCGCTGCCATGGTCAACGGAGACGTGTGCGATATCGCAAGCTTCTTGAGCACACTTGCGGACGTATGAGGCTAGATTGAAGTTGGATGCTGGACCTTGCGGATGTTGTTGACGAGAGCGCGCGCGAAGCCGGAGCCGGAGCGGGAGACGCCAACCTCGCGAGGGGCTAAAAAATTGCTCTGCACGGCAGCAGACGGCAGCTGCGCCGAGGTGGACCCCGCCGTGCCTTCCTCCTCCGGGCTCCAGAGCTGCCGTTTGCTCTGACGAGCATCCTCCTGTTGCGAAAAGCTCACATTCTATCATGATCGCACATGATTCCTATTGTTCGCAGAGAGGCACAGGTGACTCCCGGAATGATGATCCTAGATCGGACTCCCCCTCGCGTATGTGTCCAGCATGCATGACGACCTTGTGCTGCAAACCGCGCGCCCACCTCTACCCAGGTGCAAGAACAAGGCATCCTCTTGGTGCAAAGTGCATCTTGGCTCAGGCACAATGGGATTGTTCGAGATCAATACCTCCGCTGCGTGTCGAAGATCTGTGGCCTGATCGCCCTCGTTATAAATTCTCGAACCACCATTCGTCATCTCTGCGTCGAAATCCCCCACGTGGAGAGCTCTTGTTTGTGGATGTCGACGGCTTGTTGACGTCACATCTTGACGAGCAACCTCACTGCGGTTAAAAGCTCCGAGCAAGAATGAGCTTGCGCGAATGTCCCCCAACGCGATAGACATTAGTTCTCGGGTCCTTTCTCAATCATAAAACCCAGTTCAAGCTGTCGTATACTTGCCAAAGACGTTCAAACCATTGTGCTCATCAGCCGTCCTCGTTCCGTAGCTCCACGTCCCAGCAATAGCACCGCTTGTCCGCGATATCCGATACACACACAGCAAAACACCAAAGCTCAAGTCGCACGCTCATCGGTCGATGAGCACATTCGGATTCAAGCACCGGGAACAATAGAGAACCCAAGACGCTCTACGCACCTATAAACACAAACTAAGTCCCCGGAAATCCGCGGAGTAGCGCCAGCAACACGACAACAACCCACCACATACAAAAACCACAATCAACATCACAACCATGCCTCTACCTTACCAGTCCACGCAGATCCCCACGTCCTTCGCATCATGCAGCATCGGCCACAAGTCGTCGCACACCTTTCCTCTGAAACTGAAAGCCATCGCAGACGCGGGCTTCGACGCCATCGAGCTCAGCATGCCCGACATCCTCAGCTACGGGGCATTCCTGTCCTCGGACAATAAGGAGCCCGCCCCGGACGACTACGACACCCTAGAAAAGGTCGCGCGGGAGATCAAGACCCAATTGAGCGAGCACGGCCTGAAGGTCCTCATGCTGCAGCCCTTTGCCAACTTCGAAGGCTGGGGACCGGGGAGCAAAGAGCGCGAGGAGGCATTCACCCGCGCTAGGGGGTGGATGCGCATCATGAACGCCGTCGGCACGGACATGCTGCAGGTCGGATCGTCGGATTCCCCGGCCATCAAGGGAAAGTCAGTGGACGAGCTGGCTCGGGATCTCGCTGAGCTGGCGGACTTGGGGGCTGCTCAGGTCCAGGGGTTCCGCATCGCGTATGAGAACTGGTGCTGGGCGACAAAGGCGCCCAAGTGGAAGGACGTGTGGGACATTGTACAGCGCGCGGACAGGAGCAATATCGGACTGTGTCTTGATACGTTTCAGTCTGCGGGCGGGGAGTGGGCGGACCCGCGGACAAAGAGCGGTCTCATTGAAGGAGTGTCTGATGATGAGCGGGACAAGAGATGGAAGGCTTCGCTGGAAGAGCTGAGCAGGACGGTGCCTGCGGACAAGATCTACCTGCTCCAAATCTCGGACGCGTACAAGATGGATCCGCCACTCGAGGATAAGGAAGACAAGGACGGGCTGAGGCCACGCGGGCAGTGGAGTCATGACTACAGGCCCTTGCCGTATGATGGCGGTTACCTTCCCGTGGAGGACTTCCTCAAGGCGGTGCTGGGCACAGGGTTTAGGGGCTGGTTGTCTGTGGAGGTGTTTGATGGCAAGGCGAAGGACAAGTATGAGGATATGGGCGATTATGCCAAGGCGGCGATGCACTCGTTGCAGAAGCTGCTAAAGGCTTAGGGTTATCGGAGCCAGAAAGTAATGAATATGAAGCCCTACCCACTCATTCCTGCAAATAACGAATTTTATGTTGACATCTTGGCTCTATTGTCACTAATGTGAAGGACTCTATTGCCTCGTGTAAGCTTGAAGGCACGCATTTTATTGTGAAACACCCAACAACACGGAGTATCGAACAAAGACGATGATTGCGTCTTCGTCCCAATAAGTCAGGTCGGCTTTACAATTCTGACTTCTTATCAGCATCTGCTGGCAGACACTTGCCGATAAAGCCCTCAACCTCCTCAATCTCCTCCAGGCAGGCGCTGTGCCCCAGGCCGCTAAATCAGAAATGTCAGCACCTCTGAAGCATCCGCACACCAGATCTATTTCATCACGGGGAACTCACGGGTATATCGTCAAGTCAACATCAAACCCAAGCTTCTTGAGCATATCGTGTGTCTCCTTGCCCAGCGCGGTGGGAACCACTGGGTCTGCGCTACCGTGGCACATCTGAACTGGGGTCTTGCGGTTGAGATCGCTCTTCTCGAGGTACCCTGCGAGCTTCGAGTCAAGAGGCATGTACGAGGACATGCCAATGATGCCAGCGAGCTTGAAGCCGCCCGTAAGGCCTGTAAATAGGGACACCGCGCCGCCTTGGGAGAAGCCGCCGAGCACGATGCGATTCGAGGGGATCCCCGCGTCGATCTCAGCCTGGATCAGCCCAGACACGTACTCGCGCGAGCGCAAGAGGCCGGTCTCGTCCTGGTTATTGCGCAGGTCTTCGACTCTGCCAGTCAGGGCGGCCTATTTTCATGCAGAGAGAGCGGAGAAGGACGTGTTAGGGGTGCAAGGCCAAGAAAGTTTGTAGACTAACGTTTGTTCCGGACGAGGGTGCTGGTTAAACTCACAATGTCGTACCAGCCTGGCGTCTGCATGCCGCCGTTCTGTAGCAAGGCGTCAGTAGAAGACACATGGCCGCTGGCATTCGCTCTCCGTCACTGGCGTTGAGACTTACGCAGGTAATGGGGATCATGGGTGCATGGGGCAGCATGAACTTGACGTGGTTGAGCCGGGAGCGCATGCGCCAGTTCTCCACGGCCGAGGCCCAGCCGTGGCCAGTGTCGCCGAGGCCGTGAAGGAAGATAACTGTCGCTGAATGCTTCGAAGCAGCCTCAAAGAGGAGCGGCTGCATCTGTCGGACGGGCATCTCGTCGACAGCTGTTACGGTCCGAAGCAAGAGAAGAAGCAAGACAACCACAGTGAAGAATTGTAACAAATGGAGGCTCGCAGGCATCCAAGGGAAAGGTCTGGTCTAGAGGCCTATTCGCACACAAAGGTCGCCGGTTCCGAATTCGCGCTCAACTGCCTTCCGTTTTCAAGGCTGGACGTCGTTTGATATCAAAGACCTGTGGAGAAAGTGTATTGGATGCCGACGCCGCCACCAGCAACCGGGTGACGCCCCACTTGCGGTGGTTGTGTCAAAATCCCAGCGACGCGCACCATGTCGCCCAAAACCTACCCGGTACCATTCAAGAGCGCCCTTTGGTGCTCGTCGCCCAGAAGACCGCTGCTCTTGCAGTGATAGATCCGTCAGCTTGGGCAAGCCTGAAGGACAGTATTCCTAGTACATCACTGTCCACGTTTTACGAAGAGTAAGAATAAGGAAGCTTGTCGAAGCTCTTGGGCTGACGGCAGGACTCAGCTTTGGACTCTGCCACAACTATGGATTTGCAGTGTCCCAAACGAAATGAAGATGGAGTAGATACGAAACCTCGTAACGACCAGCCTTGAAGCATTGTGATTACAATGTATAAAAGTGCTGCTGAATGCAATGCAAGCCATTATAGGCCCGTGGGGTCACAGTGCCCGTCATCGTCACAACTCGCGGCATCAAGGATTAGGACGGCTGAAGGTCGATATTGACATGGGCTGACGAGCCGATCCACCGCAACACCTTGGACCCAGTGGCCCGGATGGTTGGCCAGCCGTGCAGGCCGTTTCGGAGCACGCTGTGTACTCGCCAGACTTGAAACAAGCCGCTGAGGCCAGCAAAAGTTGAGACGATCGTGGGGTCCTTCTGCTCATCGTCATCAAAGACCCGTATCCGTAATAATGCGCTCTGAACAGTGACGTTCAGTATATGATGCCAGTCAATCTGACACAACGCATTGTCATGCTGGGCTGGCGACTGCACGTGGTTGGACAGCCTTGCAAAGCGGCGAAGAAGGATTCTACATAGTGTAGTCGGCCTCGGGGGTTGTGCTTCGGCACATCACAACCCATTCAAGGGGACCGTGACATGGTGTGTTTGAGGTTGAGCTCCCATGGCAAGTGACCAGGGTCGTTCGCAAGGGTGCTTGGTGGTTTCAACAATGACGGCGCGACACTGGTCAGCTCACCTCAACAGGCGTTTGCGATCGTGATGCATCCGTCACGGTGCCGTTGATTTGAGAGAACCTTTGCTGAGAACCACGAGCATTCGTCGCAGTTTGGCCATGGTGGATGCGTGACGAAGTCACTCGATACAGAGTCTCCTGCCCACAACGCGGCGCCACTGCCAAGCAAGGTTCAACTCCCCTGCGCTCAACGCCACCCTGCCTGCATGATTCCAGCTCGTGACGATGGCGGGAGGGCTCCCATTCGGGAGGCCTGCCACAGCTGACAGTGCACATGGCTTTGCTAACTGCTCACTCGCCGAGTTGTCTGGTGATGAAGTTGGCGTGGTAAGAACAATGGGCGCTGGGTCTTGATGAAGCACTCATAGTGCTCACTGTATGCAAGTGTGCACTGGCTCGCAGCATTTCCAGTCAGATCACTTCTTCCCTCGACAGACGTTCCTCCTACCTCACAAACGGGGACAAGACAGGGCCTGTTCCTACGCGATTCAGACTCTCCGGCTCCCTCCAGGCACTGTAACCTGACCTTGCGCAGCGTACCGGCTCCCCTGCAGGCGGTCGGCTCGCTAGCCGGGGCCTGCTCCTCTTTCCTGCAGAGTTCCTGTCCCTGATCTGCAGCCGTCGACGCTTTGCCGTCTGTTGCACGAGGCATGGCATGGCCTTTCCGCCGTGCTGCAGGTCCCCTCCCGAGTCCTTCGTTCCCGCCCGCGCAACGGCGCTTGCAAGGGTTGCCTCGCAAGCCCTTGTAGACAAGCCCTAGCTGGGGCCTGTCTCTGGCGGCCTCGCTGCCCTGCCCCCGCTGCCACTTGCCGCTCTCCACCAACCTCCCCCCACCGAGACCAGCCCTAACTCCTCCACGCATTAGCGTTCTGCCGCGCTGGACGCCGCTCCCACGACGTTTGCTTGCTTCGATCCTTCAACGTTCCCTCGGCTTCAAAGCCACTGGCCTGGTATAGCCTTGGGCCTGCTTACTAGCCTGCCTGCAACCTCCTCTCGAAGCCGGTCTCGTCTCCTTCGACATTCTGACCCGACGACCATCGCAGTCAACCACCCCTTCAACCTTTATCTCATACGCACCTTCTCTGCCGACCTTGCCGATCGTCCAAGCGGTTCTGCCGAGTTTGCCGTGTCAGCAACAACGTCGCATCTTCTCCGTCGTCGCCGCCACCGGTCCTTTTCACGAGCGCAACAGCACTCAAACGACACACCACACCGCGATCCAATTGTCGACACACCTGTGAGCGCTTGCGACAGCCACTGCGCAGCAACCCGCCACAGAAGCTAGCATCAAGCTCAGCCGCGAGGCTGCGGATCATCTGGACAAGCGGCATCGGCCGAGGCCGTGCCGCTTATCGCTTACATGGCGTACAACGGCGACTTCAATGGCCAGCAACGGCCGTATGCTGGCCCTGCAGCTGGACGACCGGCACCACGCCAATATGGCGCTTCCTACAGGCAGCCCCAACAAGGACCGCCGCCCCAGCAACCGCAGCAGCAGTACGACCAGTACAACGACGGATATGGCTACAATGGCGGTTACGAGCAGTATGATGATGGCTATGGGAATGACTACGGCAATGACTATGGCGGGCAGCCGCAGCATGACGGAGGCTATGGCCGTGGCGGCCCTCCGCCGCCAGCAAACCAAGGATATCAAGACTATAATGCCCGTGGGCCGGGCCCCGGCCCTCCCGGAAGAGGCGGCTATCCTCCTCCTCGCGGTGGCAGAGGCGGACCGATGATGCGTGGACCAATGCCACCCCGTGGCGGTGGTCCGCCGCCGGGACCAGGTCGTGGATATCCCCCACAAGCTCGAGGGGGTTTCCGCCCTCAGCCACTCGAGCGTGCAGCAACGGCAGACCCTTACGGTAAGCATTTCAACATAATCTAACATGGCGGAAACTGGTCCAAGCTAACTTTCCATCAGCTGAGCGTCGAGGCCCTCCTATGATGGGTGGACCTCAGGACCACGATCTGTCAGGACGCATGGCTGGCATGGATCTTGGAGGCAGACGACCAGGCCCGGGGATGCCAGGTCCGAGCCAAGGCCGCCCTCCAATGGGTCAGGAGGACGACTATAGACGTCCTTCTCTGGACAGTCAGTATCCTGCCGCTTCAAGAGGTTATCAAGACCCACGTCAGGGACCGCCAGGCCAGGAACAAAACTATGGATTCCAAGAACGCAGCTACAACGGACCAGTCTCACCATTGAGTGATGGTTTCAACCAGCCTCCCGCGAGAAGTATGACGATGCCACAGAATATTGAGAGGCCCGACATGAGCCGCCAGGCTCTGCCACCCAGGCTCGATAGTGCGCCAGCGGGTGGACAAGGCGTGGGCATGGGCCAGCCTCCATCGCAACACATGCAACGACCACCGCCCCAGCGTATGTATCCTGGTCAGCCTGGGCAACCAAACCCTCCGCAGCCAATGAGCCCGCAGTTCCTCGATCCGGGACACGGTAATGAACCGGCTAGGGAGTCTATCGGAGACTTCTATGACGAGTACTATAACGATCCGCCGGGCGGGCGCGACTCCTATCAATCCACAAACTATGACCAGCGTGGCAGCCATGAATACCATCCACAGGGCGAATACCAAACGCCTCCGGAGGTGGAACAACATATGCGACCTGGACCCGGGCGTGGCACTCCTCAGCCGGGGCCTGCTCGTGTGCCAGAGCTATCACGGACGAAGTCGCAACCCAACTTCAGGGAGCCCCAGGCTGCCGTTTTCGAAATGGCTGGGGATCTGCCGCCGATGCCGCCACCTGGAAACTTCCAAGCGTTCAACCCAGCTATGGTCAACAGCCCACCCAACGACGTGTCAACAAATGCATTTGGGCGAGGGCCAGGCCTCCCTGGTAACCCTGCGCCTGCCAGAGCAGGCGCAGCTCCCAATGGCCAGCAACTTGGACCGGGCTCTGGCCATCCAGCTCCTGTTCGCCCAGGCTTGATGGCAAACTCAATGGTCAATGTCAATGACAAGCCCGTGCCTGTACGCAATTATCAGAATGCTGGGCCTCCGGCCCCAGCGCCGTACGCGGCTGGCCCTCCCCAGCCACAACAGGCCCCGGCCCAACTGCCGCCCCCGGCTGCACGACCAGTTTCTGGTAGTGCCGAGAAGGTCCCTGTAACCACGGAGGAACTCGACCGGCTGCGTGAGACAATCAAGGTCAACCCGAATGATCAGCAAAGTGCTCTTAGCCTCGCCAAGAAATTGGTCGAAGCAGCGGACACCCTCGTTCCACGAATGCCCGACCCCAAAGCACGGGTCAGGGCTCGCGAGAGGTACATTATGGATGCCCACAAGATTCTCAAGAAGCTTGTGAGCTCGCAGAATGCCGACGCCATGTTTTATCTCGCCGATTGCATGGGCCGAGGAGCACTGGGCCACGAACCCGACAACAAGGAGGCGTTCACTCTATATCAGTCCGCTGCGAAATTAGGACACGCTGCTGCTGCGTATCGCACGGCCGTCTGCTGCGAAATTGGCAACGATGACGGCGGTGGCACACGCAAGGACCCGCTCAAAGCGATCCAGTGGTACAAGAGAGCTGCCACCCTAGGAGATACACCTGCCATGTACAAGGTCGGCATGATCCTTCTCAAGGGTCTGCTTGGCCAGCAGCGGAATCCGCGCGAGTCGATTGGGTGGCTGAAGCGGGCAGCCGAGCGTGCCGATGCAGACAATCCTCATGCTTTGCACGAGCTAGGAATGTTGTATGAGACTGCTCAGCCAAATGACGTGATAATCAGGGATGAGGCGTATGCCCTGCAGCTTTTCGAGCAGGCTGCCCAGCTGGGCTACAAATTCAGTCAGTTCAAGCTGGGATGTGCCTTTGAATACGGCCTCATGGGATGCCCAATCGATCCCCGAGCATCAATCAGCTGGTATTCGCAGGCAGCACAGCAGGGAGAGCATCAAGCGGAACTCGCCCTGAGCGGTTGGTACCTGACTGGCAGCGATGGTGTGCTGAAGCAGAGCGACACCGAGGCGTACCTGTGGGCACGAAAAGCTGCCCAGGCTGGGTTGGCCAAAGCCGAATACGCCATGGGCTATTTTACCGAAGTGGGAATTGGTGTGCCGGCCAATCTCGACGACGCCAAGAGATGGTACTGGCGAGCAGCAGGTGAGTTTCGATATTGCATACTAGTCCTAGTGGCCGTATCTTCTGACATAGGCACAGCACAAAACTTCCCCAAGGCTCGTGAGAGGCTAGAGGATCTGAAGAAGGCTGGACGTCATGCCCCGCGGCAACGCGAGCGGATCTCCCGCAGCAACATGAGCAAGCAGCAGACCGACGGGGAATGCAGCGTCATGTGATTCCACTCCATGTCGATGACTAGGGTGAGGACGAACCAGGTCCGGCAGCATTATCCGGCACCATATCGAAGAATCTGACGACCTCAGCAATCTTTCCAATGTACTAACAAGCTTTGACGGATCATGAACCATTGCGTGGGTGGCAGTGGCACTGCTGGCGCTATCCCATGGCAGGCCCATTGGATGGTGCGCTCACAGGGTGTGCTCAGAGGCATGCACTCCAGTTCATCTTGCATGCAAGGTTAGTTTGAACAATCGTCGCGAGGTGCGAGCACTTCCAAAATGTTGGCCTGAGTCTACCCAATCGTCCTACATTGGTAGTCGTATGCTTCGCTTTCCATTTTCTCGTTGGGGAGTTTAGCAAGGGAACTGCATATCTATGGCGTTGTGTGTGTTTGGAGACGAGTAGTATGGCAATATGCAGACAAGATAGGGAACTGATTGAGCGTCACAAAAAGAAACACGAATCTTTATGAAAACTGGCTTTGCCGAACGCTCTGTTTGTAGGCATGAATCCTTTATCCTGTTGTGTGTACACTATAAAAAGGGTATACTTGCGGAAGGCGGCACCGCCCGTGGTATTACCTTGCCCGTGACCAATACGTGGGTCGTCGTCCAGATGTCTCCCTTCATATGTCTGGGTGTGTCTACCGCGTCCTGGCGGATGTTGGTGGTACAGAATCTCTCCACAGCCTCTAACCACCTGAGGCTGATGCATCCTCCACTTCCCCTACGGTGTCTCCCCGACGGCGCCACGACCAACGAGGCCCTCCGTCTCGATCTGGAGCTTTGGTCTCCTTGGTCGCGGCCGCTCATCCATCTACAATCGGCCTGCTGCCGCTCACTGATAAAAGTCTCTCAGCCTCATTTCTTTCCAAAGACCCCGCCCGGTTTTCCGACATCCTCGCCGCGCACACATCCTGCAACCCCTCTCTCATGGAAGTCCCCCCCTCGGCTTCTTAGTTGACGGCCTTCTTGGCCTTGTCGACGACCTCGGCGGCCTTGCCCTCGACCTTGTCCAGGGCGGTCTCGTTGTCCTTTTGGTTCATGCGCCACATGAGGATGCGGGTGCACTGGGTGATGCCGACCATGCCGAGGAAGAAGTTGACGGCGGCGAGGAGGTAGTTCTGCGGGGTGATGACGAAGCACCAGCGGGTCCAGATGATACCCGTCGCGGTGAGGGCGCCGTTCTGCGTGAGGGACAGCTTCTCGGCGGGGCGGGCAAAGTCGGAGACACCGGCGAGGACGAGGGCCCATTTCATGACGGGAGCCCTAGAGGTTTTTGCAAGTGCGGTTAGTTATTTTGAAAGATTTTGCCCGTTTACCCCAGGGTTTGTCAGGTATCTCTTGACAGACGAGGCACTGGACAGACAGCCAAAATGACTGGAGAGGAACGAACGTACCAGAAGTGGACGGTCTTGAGGCCAACCGGGCTGGCCCACATGCGCTGGAACCAGCTCTGCTGCTGCTGGGCTGTGCCCTCGCCGGCGGCCGAGCTGCTCGTGCTCTGGAAGCGGCGGCCGGCCGTGTTGCGCATGGTCGCGGCCCGGAAGGTGGCGCGCGAGGCATTGGCGCTGCCGGACTGGAAGACGGGGCGCGCGGCGCGGAAGAGGGTCGTCGTGGCGGGCATGGTTTGCGGCTTATGTCTGTATATGTGTGTATCTGTGTGATATTTGTTGTCTGTGTGTTTGGGCCTGTCGACGACGTTTTTTGGACTTCCGTTGCGAGTGCTGATGAGGCGGCGTGGATTGGAGGTTGCTGCTGCTGCTTCAACAATGGAGTCAAAGAAAATGCGGCCAAGCGGGCACGGCGGCTTCGGGGGGTGGTTATTTTTGGTGGAGCACCTACGGGGAGCGCTGTTGGTGTTGGGGGGCTTCCGAGGGGGATTGCGCCGGAGCTCATCGGAGCAGCCAGAAATTTGGTGAGAGGTACGTACCGTACCTGATCGTTATGTAAGCCGTCCATCACTGAGCGCCAATGGGGGGTCAACGTCATCCCGCAGGGCCCTTCAAGTACTGCTTAGATGCATGCTCTATGCGGCAAACCCATGTTCCGGCAGGCCACTCCCCCAATTGCAGCCGGCCAATTGCAAAGCTGCATACAACAACCCTCGAAGCGCGAAGCTACGCTACGCTACCTAGTGCCTGCGTGCGAGCAAGAGCGTCAACCTCCATCGCGAAAGTGGCCCTGTCGAGCAACCCAATTCCTCACGACCACGACTTGGTTACGAAATCCCACCCACCGCAGCCATGTCGACCGGCAAATACGCATTCTCGCAGGCCCTCCGCGAGGTCCGCTTCCTCTTCTGCCAGGGCGAGGCCAGCGCCGCCACCAGGTGAGCCAAGCACCCTTGCTTTGTGCATCCCCTACGAAAACCACAATCTTTTGAGCAGAACCAACGGGGAACACTTTTCCACCCTGTTCCAACCAAGAATCTGCGCAGGCGGCTAACGACTCTTCGCTACAATCGAGCAGGACCTTCCTCACGAGGTCATACCCCACCATGAAGAAGAACAACCCCAACACGCCCATCCTGCTGCGTGAGGCGGCCGGCACCCTCCCCAAGGTGTATGCCCGGTACGAGTTTGGCCGCGAGAAGAGCCAGTCCCTCGAGGGCCTGACGGACAAGCAGATCGAGGACACCGTCACCTCGCTCGTCAAGGGCGACAGCCCTGCCGCCGCCGCGTCGTCGTAGACGTCTCGGAGGGTGGACACAAGGAAAATTGAGAAGGGGCGGGGAAGGAGGGATGCCCGGACAAGAGGCGGGCACGAGTAGATCATGAAGAGGGGGTGGCACAGGCAGTGCTACAGACAGGGAGCACATGCCGTGAGTGGGATGCCACCGGCAGGCTGCAATCACGGCCATGAGACAGCTACTTCGAACGCCGATTTAGGGGTGCACTGATGTGTCCCAGGGCAATGCCGCGCGTGCCGCAGATGGGGACAAGACAACAACTTTCGAGTTGTCCCGGAGGTGAGCGCCAAGACACACCTCTTGCTGCGGGAAGGTTTTGACGCCAGGGAACATGAGTAAACTGCATCATCGCTTGCTCACTTGGAGGGAAGCAGGAACTGTACATATGTCAACGATATCAAAAATGCAAAGAATAAGCCGACATGACTTAAATTCACATGCTTGGTTTGCGGAGTGAATCAGCACTTTAGGAATGAATGCCCCCTATAGGCAAAAAGGGCGTCTCGGGGCATCTGGGCATACATTTCCAATCTGCTCGTGCCGAAATGACAGGTGAAGTCGCCTATCGGGCAAGGTTTGACAAGGTAATGGACGGCAAGCACCATGAGAAGCGGCAGCATGCGTGATCAACCGCATGCTGGTGTTGTCTTGCGCAGGAGCAGATTGAGCCTCGCATGAGTTCATCCTGGGGTATATTTTCGCCGGAACAGGTATCCTCATTTCATCTACTGGAGTACATGAAAAGGGTCAGCTATTATGCACCCGAAGGCAGCACTTTCCATTCCCCCCAAGACTGTTGAGCTCACTATCCTTGGAAATCCCGGCATCACAAAGTCAAACGGCCCTTCTCTCCGGTCATGTATCCCTGCCCTTGCTCCAACCTTCATGCCAGTGATTTCCTGCTGTCTAAGTGAAGACGGTGAGTTGTCATTTCCAAATCACAACACTGAGATGAGACCATTCCATCCTGCCACATCTATAAGACCTTCTGATTGTCCTTCTCACCCGCAATGTCGTCGCTACCGGTAGTAGATGTGACTGCTGCTTCAGACTGTAGAACCACGCTCTCAGGCTTTTCGACCTTGCCTCGTTCGTCATTCAAGCCGTCTTTGTTCGTCGTGGGCATCGCGCCGGCCACAGCATCGATCGGCGGAGACTGCTGCTGCAGTTTCTTGGGAGTCGCCGGGAGCTCCGGCCAGTCCTCAGGCTTGAAAGAGATTCTGTCGACGGGTTTGTCACCCTTGGCCTTTGTGGGTGACTTGCGGATTGTGTCCACGGGATAGGCCTTGCCCGATGGGCCTGCTATCAGAGACCGCGAAGACTTCTTGTTGTTCAGCGCGGGCCCTGCGACTGCGACAGCACGGGGTGGCGGTCTAGAGTGAGCTTTACCAGTCTCTTTACCAGTCCGGTTGCCTTGAGATACGGCATCAATGCTCTTTTGGCTTTTGCTATCCTCCTTACTGCCGATCGGATTGCCGGAAGTTGTGGATATCATCTGTCGTCGGCGTTCGTGGTGCTCCTGAGCTGCCTTCTTACGGTGCTGCAAGTTCTTCCTCCAGCTCGGAATCTCATCGTCACTAGCTTGTGAGGAATTGTTCTTAGCCCGACCGGGTGCACTGGTAGTTTGCGGTGAATGCAGCTTGTGCGAGGCATGAGACATGTTTGGAGTGTTGGGATGACTGTGCTTCCCGGTCGAGGCTCTGCTGCCTGGGCGATCACTTTCTGCTTCAGGTTGGCCGACAATGTGCTTTTGCTTGTCGTCTTGGTCGTGAGAGCGCCGCGGCAGCATGTTGGCAGCGTGCTTGGATTCCTCCCCTGTCTGCTCTTCGGCAGAATGTGCCTCTGGCTCTGTCTTCTTTCTGGACTTCTTCTTCCTGGATTTCTTGGTCGGCTGAGAACCCAGTTGAGTACAGTTCGCCGGCGTTGTGTCTGCCGAAACAGTTGCGGGAGTGTCGACAGCTTCATGGCTGTAAGCAGTGTTGGGCACCAAACTGGCTGTATCTGCCTTCTTTATTGACGCTTTCTTCGTCGTTACCACCGTGGTCTTGACTTTCTCAGAGCTGCCTGCCGGCTGAACTGCCAGCGAACCCTCGTCAGAAGACTTCAGTGCAGGTGATGAGGCACGCTTGTTCCCAGCTGAGCCCTGACCAGTATTGTCGTCGCCCTCAGACGCGGAGTCAAAGGCAGGTGTGAGAATAGTCGGAGACGAACCAGACCCTGGGCTCAATTCACTTTCCAAGCAGCCATCGAGTCCACCAGGAACCGAAGTGCATTCTCCCGTAGTGTTCTTGCCATCATCGCTTCCTGACACTGGCTGCTCCTTGCTGCGGGATGGCGATACAAAGTCCGCAGCGCAAGGGTTCAAGGTTCTAAGACCAGTCGTGAAGTGAGCAGGACCAATGCAGGTGGGCGAAGGCTGCTTCACCAGCAAGTCCTCCGGACGTGGCGGGCACATGGAAGCCCGGCTATGGGACGGCGTTCGTCCGCAGAAGGCAACAGATGAGCTTCGCGATGTGCGAGAAGCTCCGAATCCAGGAGAGCTGGTAGCCAAAATCCGGTGAGAGGGGCCATCGCAGTCTTCACCGTGCCTCGGCTGGTTTTCACACGCTGGCCAGGACTCCAGAACACCAGTGCTGGTGCTGGACTGTTTCGAGGTCCCGGCAACGCGGTTGCCACTGTCTTCGGCTGATGTCGGTGGAGGGTCAGCATCTGTTGGCTGTCGGGCTTGAACACCACCGTCATTCAAAGATGACTTTCGAGAACCTGTGCCCCTGTTCATAATCTGAGAATGAGGATAGGGTGGAATTCTGGCTGCGGTCGTTGCACCGACGTCCTTGAGGTCTGAAGGTTCCCTATCTGGTGATGTGAAGCCGGTGGCATCCTGCTTGCGTTGCTTGTTGACGTGCAGCTGACCCAAGTTCTGATTATTGCCATTGCCATGGTGTTGGGAGGAGTTTTGTCGAACATGGGAGCTGTGCTGAGAATGGCCAACTCCGCGACGGACGGTGCTGGAACCTCTCCAAGGCTGGTGGATGTGCCTCTGAGGAGAACCTCTATTGCTGACAAAAAGAGTTCCTGAGAACGAGTGCTGCTTTGTAGGGTCGGAAACCGGAGCAGGCTGGTGCGCGCGGGCAGGCTCAGCATCCTAAGCTGATCTGTCTGCAGTGCTCCTAGTCTGTTTGCGCTCGGGCGTGGCGTCCGGCTGCGGAGCCGACTGGATCTTCTTGCCTTTCTTAGACGCTTTGGTCTTCGCCTTTCTGTCCGCGGTAGTGGTGGAAGAAGTAGTGCTCGGAGCGATCGACGTAGCTGCCTGAGTAGTAGAGGCGGTGCTCATGGAAGGCCCCACGCTCTTGGGCAACGGCGTATTCAGCTTCTTCTCAAGATACTTGCCTTTTGACACCGTCGTAGACCCGGAGGGCTGCTTCGAGGCTTGGGCCGCATCGGAAGACGTTGCTTCACCTTTGTCCGTGCAATTTCCTCCTCCTTCTGTTGTTGACACATCAGTAGGAGGCTGAGGGCTCAGCACTTTTGGTGAGTCGATCTTGCTGTTGGCGAGGGTATCAGACGAGGAGAAAGATTGGCCGTTACTTGACTTCGAAGTTTGTCTCTGGGTAAGCGGAACGAGCGATTCTTCTGCAGTGAATGAGCAAGACGCTGGGCTCGCTTTGGCCGAAGTTCCTTTGCCGGAAGCACTGTTGGGAAAGCCCGCGGTGACAAAGTTGGAGTCTGGCCGTGCGGGTTTGTTCTTGTTGTGATACGAGTCATAGGGATAGTATACATTCAGCTCCCTGTTGAACAGAGGCTGGAAGTCTTTGTTGGTCTCCGAGATCGCGACGTGGTTCGAGCCGGGTGCTAGAAATCTGGAGGGCGTGTTGTGTGAGCAGGCATGCTTGAAGCCAGCACGCGGGGCCAATGCTGTAGGTATGGTAAAAACACAAGACCACTCACCTGATTTCGGCAGAATCTCTGGAAGGAAAAATATCGATGTCCTCAATGTCGCCAAATCTCGAGAAAATCTCGTGTAATTTCGCAGGTCCATCCTCAGCGAACCTCGGAGACTGGGTCCGGCTCTTCCCAAAATTGTGCGGAGCAAGATCAAGGGTGACCAAGATGGTTCGAGATAACGCCTCACACTTGACGCATTGGCACACGCCAAAGCGCTCGTCCATGGTACGACCCACGTTCACACAGTCGTGATAGTGGGTGCTGCTGCGCCTATGGAACTGGTGATTCGCATCGTTGATGCTGTTGTGTCGAGCTGACGAGAGACTTCCGCGGCTAGACGTGACGTTCGATCCGTTGCGCTTCTTGCTGAACGCGTGCTTGACTCCGTGGAGGTTGTCGTTTCCAATGGCCTGCCATCGCCCGTCTGCACCACTGGCATCACGACGATACGGCGCAGGAGAGGATCGCGGCTGTGAAGACTGGGAGTCGCTTGGAAAGCGCCCGACTTGGACAGGAAACTCGCTCGGGCCAGGGCCGTACGCAGCCACAATAGGTGCGACTGGGTGCGCTGTCACGGAGCTTGAGACGTCGCGAGGCGTCGATTGACCCGGCTGCCTTTGCGGCGGGTTTGGCAGTGGTCGGGGCCCGGCAGTGGAAAGACCAGCCGGCAGGAATGGCGTTTGGTAGCCAGAATGGGGCGTAGTGACAGATCTAGAGCTTAGTCGGGCCTGCCAAGCATGTGAAGCAGATGGAGTGCGACTGTGGCGCTGGGTCGAGCTCAAAGTGTTCTGATGAAGGGGAGTCTGATGAGGCCGAGGAGTTGAGAAGGGCACGTTGTGCGAGGTGCTCAAAGGAAAGCCTCCATGCTCTGGGCGAGGAGGGATCTCGGCGAAGGTAAGAGGAACGAGCCCAGCTTTTGCGCGGGTCAGGCCAAGCTGGACATGATGAGGAGCATGGCTGGGAAGGTTCTTCATTGCATAGTCTGTTAGCCACGAATTGTTCTGGCGTCGGCGGGCTGCACTTGCTGATGTCCCATCCACGACAAGTGGTCTCTTAGAAGTCTGCGACTTGACCGCGGCGGAAGTATTGGAAGCATTGTCTTACAGAATGTCAGTCTCGATTTGCTATTCAGGAAATATGGCTTCTGAACTCACCACTGGTTGGCGAGCTGGCTTGTCCATGCAATTTCAACTGCGAGAGGACTGGCGAGCGATTCTGTAGCGAGACATGCTTTTTCCACAAGACTTCACGCAAGACAGGCAAGTAGAAGCTCTCGAGATCATTAAGCTCGGCCTGGCGCGCATAGTCTATCGTGCTCAGAATGTCGCTCGAGACCGGGTCGTTCCAGATCTTCAGTCTCTGCTCGAACCTCGAGTCTGCAAGCATCTGGTTGACCCAGCCCTCGAATTCTGGCCTCGCACCCTCGCACAGTTCAGGAAGAAAATACTCATTCTCTTGGATCATGCGGTTGATGATGTTGTTCAGGTTCTGAGCCCCGTAGTGGTAAATGTCGTGTGCGTCCCAATAGTTGTACAGATCGCAGTCTGATCGTGAGTGGAATGTGAGGTCAGCACAGCATCACCCTCAACTCGACAGGCATCTATATAGATTGATTTCGGGGCACTTACAGGAACGAATAGGTCGAAGATACTTGGACTCTGCTGGAAACTCCTGCCGAATGCTGTGGCAGACATGTGCGATCTTCTCCGCAGGCCACGCATAGCAAGTTCGTTTCCAGTCGGGATTGGCGACAGCCTTGAACTGCCGCTTACCTCTCTCCGTGGAGAATAGTGCTAGGGAATCGGGAGGGACATGCTTGAAGAAGTTGACGGGAGGTTCGGCTTGATAGAACTCCTGAAAACCCCAGTACGTTGGCGGCGGCGGAGGTCCAGCGCTTCGGGCAGACTCGGCAGCCATATTCTGCCAAGATGGCGGCGCCATCCTTGGGTCGTTCAGCACGCGTGCCTTACGAATTCGGCCAGTTTTGGAGGCAGGAGCTATGGTTGAGGACGAGGCTGTTCAGGTGCGAGGGAATTACTCGTAATGCAAGTTAAAGATCGATGGTCGAGATGCTTAGGTGTGCTGATGCTGATGCTGCCGGCTCGATGCTGTATCGGACGAAGCAGAAACTTAAATGGAAGAACGCGCAAGAGAGAATAGCTGAGAGATCGGTCGCATTGAAACGACTTGGTTTGGACAGGTTGGTGGGAAAAGGAGTGTCGCTGGTTGCCGTGGTGAGGGCGAACGACTGCGCAATCGGAGCCGCTTGCTAGCATCGGAACAATGAATCACGAACGACACTTTGACTGGTAGGAGGAAGATTGTCCAGCGTCATTCATTGAATTCTTATTTGCGAGGCCAGGCCAGGCACCAAACGAACGACCATTGGCATCGTTCTTAGCTGCACGCATCACACTCTGGCCATGATTCCGGTGATGAGGAGAAGGTGAACTTCCGATGGCCTCAAGCTCTTGGTTGCAATGTATTGTGATCTTGAGCATGGGCATTGATCGCTGAGCACTCTACCCACTGAATGTGATTTACAGCACACGCTCCCACACTTGAATCCAGGGTTGCGCCCAGCGCGGGAAGTCCATGTAGAAATCTCATCGTTTACGTGCTGAAAGTTGAAGACATCGTGAGCAAGGTATCAACAAGGCAGTACATCGCTCAAAGACAATCAATAAACTTGTTGACTCCAGTGCCAATTCTCGGAGTTGTGGAGCAAACTGCCATTCGGCATCGTAATCCTGTAGTTGATGAGTCCAGCCAGTGCATAATTACCCAAAACAGCACGTTTGGTAAGCCAACCTTGTCTGTGACGGACGAACGGTGTTTCAAGCAGAAACTCGCGTAACAGGTAAGGTGTTGTGGCTGGCTGTGGTATCTCTTTTACATTCTGAATTGTATATTGTACATTTGAGCAAGTTTGCGCGCAGCTTGTGCTGGCAAAGACTTGGCAGTGGCTCAAGCCGACTGGCCTTTTGATTGCTCGAGGAGCTTGAGTATTTCTGACTCTTGGGCTCCGGCAACAGCCTTGCCGTTGTTCCAGTCAACAATCTGCCAATAACTGTGTTAGTTTCGGTGGATGGGGGTGGGACTTTGATCAACGCTAATCTTACCACTGGGCGCTGGAAAGCCTCGGCGCTCGACCTGAACTTCTTGATAGCGTCCGACTCTGAAGAGGCACCCTTGACGACGGAGCCGACTTTGCTCTGGCCGACATAGCCGAGAATAGTGCGCAGCTGGTCCTCCGTGGGGGGGTCCTCGGTGATGTTGAGCTCAAACTCCTCGCGCGGTGGTGCGGTCTGCGCGCTGTGGTCGCTGGCTTGGTCGCCGGTGGCAGCCTCAGAGGCGTTCGCTGAGATCTGCTTCAGCAGGGTAACCGCACGGGTCGAGGCTGGATTTCCAGCCTTGTGGAAGAGGGTGATGATGTCGAGGGTTTTGTGCTAAAAGCCCCGTTGCGTGAGTCAGAAGTCCAACGCAATTGACGACGCTAGGCCTTGGAAATCTCGGTCGCTGGGCACGGAAGGTTTTACTCACAAAGCGGAACATGATGGGCAAGCTGGGACGTCGCAAAAGGGCGGCTGTGGTAGTGGAACAGAAGCTTGGGGGAATGCGAGTTGTGAAGTTGGATGAGTCGTCGTGGGGTGATCTCCAGCAGCTCCGCAGCTAGAGCTGAGCCTGCAAGTGAGCTTCAGACGCCCTGACGTAACTTCTCCAGCACATGGGGGAGCTCGTGCTTTAGGCATTCTGGAGCGCCCACGCGGCCCCACAGGAACACCTAGAGCTGCTGCAAGTGTATGTACCTAGCGCCCCGTAGCATCGCATTACAGGGTAAGCCCCGATGCCCTAGAGCTAAGGGCCTCCGGCTCCCCTGTCAGGCAGCCCCATTGTTGTTTTTCGAGCAGGCCTCTTGCGCATGGTTGTCCGGGAAGCGGTTCCTTTCCGCCCGACTTTCTTTGCAGCAACATCTCGAATTCGTCAAGTCCGGCTTATTAGGCATTACAGCACAGCTGCACAACCCATTTCTTGCTCAGCACTCTGCCTCGCGCTCTCGATCCTCGCTACCCAGCCGCACGATACGACCAGATCTTTGTACTCGCACCCTCTCCGACCATGCGGCCCTTGATCCTGCACAACGTCCCTGACGAGGAGCTGTACACGGGTGAAGATGGTGTCCAGAGGCCATACGCCATGATCTTCCCAGAGTCAGTCCACCAGATCCAGATAATATCACCATGGCGGGACCTTACTAACCGCAGTTTGCGACGTGCAGAGCCCAACCCAGTGTCGCACGCGCCCGCAAGCCGGTGACAGAGACGGGCTCGTTCGGCAAGTCGACCCGGCGGTCACGGTCGCGAACAGGCAGCGCGGCCCCGAAGCGCGAAGATGCCACGATGAAGCATGCGGACGAGCTCTTCTCCAACTACATTGCCAGCGCCGAGAAGAGCGCCGACGCCCCGTCCGGTCGCAACCTGGGCTACGGCGGTCTCGGACAGGCGCAGGACGACTCTTCCGATCCGTCGACCACCAAACAAGCCCCGCGATTCATCCAAGTGCCCACCGAAGTCATCCTGAGGGGATACCAGTCTCCAGAACAGCAGTACGCGTCAATCAACCACTTTGAGCAGCTCGCGGGCCGGATATGCGAGGACTACCCACGAGAACCCCCGATCGAGTCGCGGCGCTACAAATCGGAGCTTCGCGACCCGGCATACACAAGGCGGCAGCCTCTGACGGCGGCAGAAAGGGCGCGTGTCAGCAGAGTTGCGGGCGGAGAGCACTGGGTCAAGGTCACCTTCGAGTCGGCAGATGCCGCCGACGCCGCGATCTATGCGTCGCCTCAGAAGATCCTTGGTCACTTGATCTACGCCGAGCCTTTCCACGGAATGCCACCCAAGGAGGACGCCGCTGTGCTCGAGATTGTCGGCGACGGTGCCATGTTTGACCCCTTTGCAACTGTAAGCTCTTCGTTTGGAGGAGGCGACAGGAGGCGGCCGTCACAACAGACACGGTGGTCAACGCCCGCGCTCAACCGGAGACAGCAGCTCGACCAGCACACGCCAGAATCGCAATCGTCAACACAGACAATCGACACGGCCACAGCCTCCACAGCGACAGTTACCGGCACTGACCTAACGCAGCAACAGCACCAGCAACTGCACCAGCTGCAAGGCCGCGACAAGACCACCGACGAGACGAATGGCACATACTGCCGCGTGATCCCCACCGCGCGGCGCGTGACGCTGAAACCCGCAGAGGAGGCCCTCGCGCCACAGGCCAGCGCGCTCGAGCGGCTGCTCGCCAAGATCCCGCTCATCGGCTGGTTCAGCGGCAGCATCATCGGCTCGCAGGTGCCCCGGAACGACAACGGCGACTTTGACATGGCCAAGGCGAGCTTGTACTGGGTCATCATGTTCTACCTCGACCTGTGGTTCGGCTTGTTCGGTCGTGAGCTCGTTAGTGGCGACAAGGACGACTAGGCGAATTGAGCCGGGCGAGGGTTTAAGGACGATTTGCAGAAGAAACTGCAATCTGCCGCGCAACGTTGCCGATTGGAAGCGATTTTTGACGTAGTAATGATAGACTGCAAGACATGATAAAGTGTACATACGATAATATAATACTCATAGCGCAAATGTTTGCGCCGTTTTGTTCTGGTCAAGACAACCTTTCACAAGAAGCAGACCTGCCTGCCTTTGTGTCCGCTGAAGACAAATGAGACTTAGGTGTGGATGAAGATACGAAGGGACAAATGACCGAAACGAACACACCCGTGGACGCCAGTGTAGGCAGACTTGTACTACAAGGAGGTCGAATTGTGGAATCGTTTCCATCGCATGAACAAGAAAAGGGGGTATGTATGCATCAAAACAAAATCTAAGTATCTATGCACGGCGCAAAAACGCATCATTCAAGGCGATCGAACCACCCTCGCTCATTATTATCACCCCTTGTAAACCCAGCAGAAAAAGCCATGCCCAGTCGTCACAACGTGGAGGCTCATCTGATACCATTGGAAGAGGCGTCTGAAGGCCTAGCATACCACCCAAAATGAGTCATCCGGCTGCCGTGGACCAGAGGAGTCTACAGCGCCATATCGTCCTCCACTTCCACGTCTTCTGCGTCCTCTGCGTCCTCTCCATCATGCTTGCCAGCCTCATCATCGCCACAAATGTGCTCTTGACAACTTCTGTAGCTCGAGATCCTCCGGACACCGCCTTCTTCACTGCTTCTTTTGTCCTCTCGACCCCGTCCTTCATTATAGTCATTACCACTCCCATCAACACTGCGGCGCCGTTGGAATGGATTCCGCAGGAACAGCGCAGGCGAGGGATGTCCCTTGTGCAAGAAGTCGTCACTGTCAACTGAAAGCTCAGAGTCCTATCCCATGAGGTTCCAGCGACTCTTGCGCTTCTCGCTCGGCATCGCGGCTGGATCACCGGACTCGCCCGATTCATCACCATCACCAGCCATTGTATCTGCGCCATTTGTGGAATCTGCTTCACCATCGATGTCGTCGTCGTCAGGCCGTATCGTGCGTATCTCATCCTCGTCATCGTCATTGTCAATGTGGCCGTTCTGGTTGTGGCTTGACATCAGAGGCTGCCGATCGAGACCTTCATCCTTCCATGGAGAAACAGCTTCGTCGTCCTCCTCCTCACGCTCATCGATGCTGAAACCTGGCGTGCAGAGGTCCATCAGGTCCTCAGGCTGTTGTGATGTCTGCGATGATCTGTTCCCTTCCCTCTGGGTAATTGTCTCGTTATCAGGCAGCGAGTCCGGGTCCATGATGACATCAGTCGGAACTCTGCGTATCGGCTGCGGGCTGAACGGCCTGACACCCCTGCTCTGGTTGAACTCGGAGAATATGCTTTCTGTGTCGGTGCGATCGTGGTCAATGGCGCCAGTCAGACTCTGATACCGATCACTGTCGACGAGCAACGAGTCTGCACGTCCATGACCTCGCGGTCTGCCTCGTGAACTGTTGTTGTTGCTGTTTTCGACGCCGCCGCCGCTCGAGTCAGCCAAGATGCTCTTGGGCGGCAGTATACTAAACAATTTCGCACCGCCATCGGCAGCTCCCGTGCCTGTGCTCGTGATTCCTTGCCCGCCAGCATGGGCTGCCAAGACTCCCGCCGACGCGCCGAGGGCATCGTCTTCATTCGCAAACAAGTCTCGTCCTTTCTCCAGGAGATCGTCCAGCCCACCACCATTCCAACCCTTGCGCGCGAGGCTCTCAAAGATTTCCACCTCGGCGCGCACGAGGCTACAGCTGGCGTCCAGGATGCGGCTGCTCGTGACTTGGCTCTCGCTGAGCAGCGTGCGCGAGTGCTCGCCCTGTAGCGTCGTGAGCCCGTCGAGCTTGCTGGTGAGGTCCACGAGGTGCTCCCGGAACTTGCCAAGGTCTCTGCGGCGCTGCTTGTGCAGTTTCAGTCCTTCCTTCTCGAGCCGCCGGATCTCCTTGGCCCGCGCGGCGACCTCGTTCTGGTACGACTGGTCCTCGTCGGCCATCTCGCGGCGCCACTTGTCGAGCTCGTCGAGGAGCGGCACCTCGAAGCTCCGGTAGACCGTCTCCGACAGGATCTGCTGGTGGTTGGCGATGAGGTGGTGCACTCCGCTGGCGCTGAGGAGAAGGTCGGCCGTGCAGGCGCCCGAGGACTGCAGGCGGCCGCCGTTGGCGGTGTAGCTGTTGGTCATGGGCAGGATGTGGCCGTGACCACTGGAGCTGAGCGTGTCGGCGCGGGCTTCCTTGAGGCGAGCACATGCTTCGAGGGCGCAGCCGAATGCTGAGGATGCAGTGCTGAGGCTGGCAAGGGCGACTCGGTAGGCCTTTGCCGTAGCTATGAGGTCCGAATAGGCAATCTGGGATTGCTCGAGATCTGCCTTTGTGAGGACGGCATGGCTGGGTCGCGGCGGCGGAGGTAGTGGTAGGTTGTAGGACGAGAGCTGGTTTGTTGTCGAGGCATAGGTGAATGTAGGTGAGCCTGGCACGGGCGGGAGGTCTGAGGGAGGCGGAAAGTCCGGCCTCTCCGGCGCGGACGCCATCGTCGGCATTTTGCAGGCTTGCGGTGCCGTGGTGAGGTTGCAGAATGTGCTATGCGTGGTTATTGTTGAGACAAGGCAACAAGAGCCCAGGGCGTAACCACGAGGGGCGTGGTGGTACGTGAGTGGCTCCTTTTGTTTACTTGGGCGGATAGAGACTGTGCCAGGGTCGGAGAGCAACCAGCAGGGGCGGCGAGGACGCTCTCAGAATGGTGAGCACCGTGAAAGAACAGCTCATAGATGATAAGGCAATGAAACAGACACTCAGCCGCACGACAAGAAGAGGAAGACGTTCAAAGAAGAATGCAGGGCGGCGGTGTCTTGTCTGCCCTCTGAAGCTAAACCGTTGCCTTGTGATCAAGATAAGGCGGGACGACCGGGATTCATACCTAGCAGGAGGGGCCACATGGCCCACCACCAAGCAACAGTGGCTGCATCAACACCCCCAACCCGACGTAATGCTGCATGCCCCACGTTGCCTTGTACTCCCACTGTTCGCAGTTATTAAACTATCATCGACAGTGTGAGGGACACCGTCTTTTTTTTCTTTTTTTTTTTTTTAAGAAGCTCACTTCTACCTCGTGTCTCTTGCGTCTTCCATGACAGAGCTACGGCTTCTCTCTATGCATCATCGGCACAGGACGTACCCTCCGATCGCGCCATGACTACCAGCCAATATCGTCATCCGACTCTTCTTCCTCAGGCACATAGTCGTCGTCATCAGACTCGCTGTCGTTCTGGCCAGCGGCCGACCTGACAGGCCGCATTTTGTCATCGTATGATGTCCCCATCCGTGGCTCGCCCTCGTCGATCTTATTCTCGTTGTATGAATGGAGAGTCACCGTGCCGAGTTCATGCTCCCACCCATTGATCGCGGATGCTGCCAAGGTGTTAGTACTTGATGTCCAGTGACTGCTCATTCTCGCTCCAACGCTTCGTATAAAGAACTTACCTGCGATAAAGGGAGCATTAGGATGCCACGCCACATCTCTTACACATGTCGTCCACCCGCGGAACCCTCGCCGAGCATGGACCCGGTCGTAGACCGGCGGTAGCGCATGCTCGTTCATGCTGGTTTTCTTGACGTCAATCACTCCCGCAACGGTCGCGTCCATGTTGTAGATCCAAACCTTGCCGTCGTGGCTGCCCGTGTAAACATAGCGTGAGTCTGTGCTGCCTGGCGGCGAGAAATGACAGCGGATCAGCGTCTGCAGGACACTGTGGCCACGATATGTGACGACGGAGTTGTCGTTGGGGTGCGGGAACCAGTCCCGGTCGTCGTATGGGCCCCATCGGTAGTCGAATGTGCCCGCCCCAGCGGTGTGCTGGTGAGGGTTGAGCTCGGCAAATTGTGCCGTCGAGTACATCATCTTGAGATCCCACAGCTTCATGCTCTGGTCCTTGCCGTTGCTGAGGATGTAGCGGCCGTCACCCTTGCTGTCTAGGTAGGTCAGGCCTTCGATGTGGCCGACAAATGCTCCGGCTTCCCGTCCGTCACCCATGCTACGCCTGTCCCATACTTTGATCAGGGAGTCGTCGCTGCCAGAGTAGAGAATGTGCGGTGACGATTTGTCCGCAAAGCACACGGCGTTGACGTCGTCGGTGTGGCCTCTGACTTGGTGCAAGACTCGCCGAGACTCAATGTCAAAGACAATGATGGAGTTGTTGTTGGTACCCGCGACCAGTTCCCGGCCGTCTCCGGAAAAGCGGACAGACCAGATGCCAAATGCTCGACCCCAACGCCCTATCGTGTTACGACCATCATCGAGGTTCAGATTGTACGGGTCGCCAGTATCGTTGGGATCCGTCGGCGCCAAGCAAACGTTACTCTGGATCGAAGTGTATGCGAGCCACTTGTTGTCCGGGCTGAGGGATGCGTCCGTCAAGGTCCATGCGCCGCCGGGATATACGACCGTTTTGTAATGCCTCCATTTGTACGGGTTTGACGTGTCGTACATGCGCACCTTGAAGTCTTTGACGCATGAGTAGAAGAAGTTGCCGTCGTCGGAAAACTGCCCAGAGTACACGGGCGAGTGGTAGTAGATGGTCGACTCTGCCTCTGTGCTGGGAATCAAGGACTAGCAACGCATGTCAGTATCGTTCAAGGAAGTTGCAAGCTGGACAGGATCGTGTGCCCCACCTGAGCAATAGCTGACTGGTTGACTTGTCGAGCCGACTTGGTGCCCAGTCCAAGCTCACGGTCAAGTAGCCGACGAGCAAGACGCTTCTTTGTCCTGAGGCGAGAGACTTCACTCCTCCCGAAGACGCCAGAGCTCATCAGCTCGCGGCCCTTCTCGCTGGGCACTTTGGGAAACCTATCCGGATCCCTCGGCCTCCGCCTGGAATCATCCAGGCTGTTGAGCAGTTCCTCATCGTCGGCGAACAGATGACCCAGATTCGCCCTACGAAGCAGGTCTAATATCCGTCGCTGCTGGAGGCCACCGCGGGGATCGCGCACCAGGCTCAAGAGGTGCCGCTGGAACAGGAGCGTCTGTGCAGCGTGTCCACGTTCCTCGTCCTCTCCTTCCTCGTCGTCCTCATCGGCTCCGTGGAGCTCTAGGACGACCTCGACTTCGCCGCCCTCTGCATCGTGGAACTCGTCTTCCTCATCCTCCTCCTCCTCCTCAGCTTCACCTTCTTCTCCGTCCTCCTCATCTTCCTCGTCGTCCTCTTCTTCTAGCCCTTCGTAAGCATCCGCAAAGTCAATCTCGTTGGCATAGTCATCCTCGTCAAGGACTAGGTCCCCATCAAGGTACATCTGCCGGATCTCTTCTGGAGTCATCTTGTCGCTTGTTGCCTTGCAGGCAACTGCGGGCGTTGCGTGTTGAGCTTTCGCCAAGTCGGCCAGGCGAGAGCGGGCCACTAGTCGTGATGATGCCGACTTCGGGCAACCGGCGCTCGTCCCAGATTCCTTGTACCCTTTTTCCTGGTCAAAGAAAAGGCGCAGGTGTAAGACGAGCACTTGGTCCAGCTGTCACTCGAGGCACAAAAAAATAAAAGGCTGATGCTAACCAAGGCTGGGTGAGTCAAATAATGCAAAGACAAGTGAGATGGCCATTTCATGACGGCATAGAGAGAGGGCGAGCTACCCCGACTCGCCGAGGAGCTCCCACTGAGCGAGCAGCCTGCGGGGTGGAGATGGATGGGGTCCCGCTCCTCCTTATCGCCGGAGCTAAGAGCGGAGTTAGTTAGTGGCGCATGCACCCTTTCTTCCTCTGGAGGGATTGGCAATCCTTCAGTTACAGGCAGATCTGCCGTGGTGTTTGTAGATTGAAGCGCTCTTTTGTGTTTGTGTAGACATGGTCTGGGGCTGAGAAAAGGCTGAAAATGGAGGTCGTTGGTGTTACGGCAGGATACTGCGGTTGTGAAACCTTGAAAACACCAAATCTGGAATTGTTAAACGGAGAATTAAAAGCAACTAAAATTTAAGTGCTTCGAGTTTTAGTTGGACATGAACATCCGCGAAATTCACACGATTCAAGCGACAGGAGACGTCTACGTTCCGAAGGACTTACCACGCTACGTAGCCGAGCACATCTCATGGTTAAGCGAGCAAGCAACATTCAATCAGAACCAAACAGTTCCGCAGCCCTGCGCACAAGACACAAGACGAGACCTCCATGTCTCATACATCGCATTTATAGGAGCTCGCCAACATGGACACGATTGAGCAGCTCATTGCCTGGGCAGGTCCCAAAGGCGTCAAGCTGAATGGTCTTGGGCCGCAGAGGATGCCTGGCCGGGGCATCGGGCTCGTCGCGACTCGTGAGATCCAGGTCAGTACTTTGCAATCACAGCGTATTAACATGAACGTTGCCAGGAAAGCACACGAAAAAAAAAAAAAAGTAAATATACGCCACTGACACCTACCAACAGCCCAACGAAATTGTCCTCGAGATCCCCATCGCTTGTCTCAGGACCCTAGACACAGTCCCCAAGCCTCTAGTCCGTAAGCTGCCGCCTAAAATGTCAGTCCACGGCCTGCTCGCAGCCGATCTGATGCTCGACGGCGTCAATCCCAGCAGTGAGGAGCACAGCCGGTATGCAGCGTGGGACGCCGTGTGCCCGACGCCAGAGGACCTCAGCACGGCACCTCTGCTCTGGCCCGAGGAGCTACAGGCTCTCCTGCCGCGTGCCGCGCGCGAGCTGCTCGATAAGCAGAAGGCCAAGTTTGCAAAGGACTGGGCGGGGGTACGGCCTGTAGCGGTGGCTACAGCAGGAGGAGCAGAGAAAGATGTCGCCTCGGGCAGTACATCAGTCAATGCTAGTCAACAAGGCACAGACGACAAGGACGGTGACCACGAAGACGAAGGTCTCAAGGCTAGGTACAAGCATGCCTGGCTCCTCGTCAACACGCGGACATTCTACTACACCAACGCCAAGCTGAAGAAGCGGCCGCGGGACGACCACATGGCCCTCCAGCCGGTCGCTGACCTGTTCAACCACACCGACGACGACTCCGTCACATGCAAGGTATCCTTCGACTACCGAGGGTTCAGCTTCCGGGCGTCCAAGATCTACAACCCGGGTGACGAAGTACACATTTGCTACGGCCGGCACGGGAACGACAAGCTGCTCGTCGAGTACGGGTTCGCAATGGACGAGAACCGCTGGGACGAAGTCGTGCTGGACGAGGTCGTGCTCGCCAAGCTGGACGAGTCGCAGCGAGACGTACTGGAGGAGTTTGGGTTCCTCGGCAAGTATGTCCTCGATCGCGAAGGGGTGTGCTATCGGACCCAGGTTGCGGTCAGGATGTTGTGTTGCAAGCACGGGGAGTGGAGGAGGTTTGTGGACGGGGCCGATGACGGGGAGGCGACTCAGGAAGCCGTGGATCTTTTAGTTCTCGGCATGCTGAGGGAGTCTCTGAGCACGGCGGCGACGAAGATCGAGGAAGTGGGAGGGATGGCGGTGGGGAGACCGGAGCAGAGGGAAATGCTCGTCCGTAGATGGAAGCAGATTTACCAGATATTGCAGACGCACATACACCGCATTGTGGGAAAAGCACAATCTTAGCTGTACCAGCACAGGACAGCGCCTAATAGAAGTCGCTCAGAGGGATAGAACCCAATGGTGGAGTATGCAATGGTTCCCAGACAGGTGATCGATACCGAGATTGAAAACGAAATGAATGAACGCCGTGCCAAATCCCAGCCCCAAGGCCCCTATGTTGTATGATGATACATAAGATTCGTTCCGCATTGTACAAGAGTAGTGATACAGAAAGACAGCAAGTCCCCAGTGTGCCCACGTAGGATCTCGTCTTGTCATTCGCTCGTCTCGGGAGATGCGATCAAGTGCTGCTCGAGAGACCGCTTTCTCTGCGCATCGCCTCCTGCCGCGCCTTGGCCTCGTCGCTCTTGGCCGCGTCCTGTCGTAATCGTTCCTCTTTGCGCTTTTGTTCGGCTTCTTGCTGCACGATCCATACTGTTCCCAAGAGGTTAATTTTTGGCTCTGTGACCCGGCTTGCAGCACAGCTTTGCTCCTTGCGCGCGGCCACGGTGCAAAGCACCACTATCGGGAATTGATCGTCGGAGTGGAAGAGAACATACTCGGCTTATCCGACTTGGAGTACTCCTTGAGCTGCACGACGAAGTCGTCAAACTCCTTCTGCCGTTCGTACCGCCGCTCGAGACTCCGCTTCTGCAGCTCGGGGTTGTAGCGCTTGAACAACTCCTCGTCGGTAGGGGTCAGCCACATGGTGAACGCAGGGCCGCCGACGCATACCACGGCGCCGCTGTGGAAGAAGCCAGTCGTCAGTTTTTCGCGATGGGATGTTCGTGGGGGGGTCATGACACAAGTTCAAAGCATAGCTTTCTTGTGCTGGTGTCGCCCAATGATCGGAGGTCAAGGAATGCTTACACTGCGCCCATCTTCAACCACGTCGCCAGCTTTCCCTTTGGTGCCATGTTGCTGTTTCTTGTGCCCGGATGTATGGTTGCGTGGTCGTGCAAAGATGGCGATTAAACTACCAGATTCGTGGATCAGAAAACGGTCCTGGCCAAGCACCACTGGTCCATGACGACAGGGAATGGAAGCTGGGGTCTAGGAGCTGCACGCCCTGGAGATGCCCCACTTCAACACCACAGAGGGTGGTGATTGGGTAGAGGCAAGCTACACTAAATGGCCATTACTTCTCAAGGTTTGATAGATATTGTGCGGAACATGTGACATGCTAGCCACGCAATGGTTGAATTATCTGTGGTTATCCTTGCACCAGGGAAATCGGAGTATGCACGAACAGGAGTCCCCGATACAGAGTGGAGGCAGAGCTAGTTACACGTCGTTGACTGGGACCATTGGAATAATGGCCCTGAGTGAGGGCCTCCGACAAGTTGATTCGGCGTGAACGGGCATTCGGCTGGCCAAGTAATTAACATGCATCACTTCGGGACATATAAATAGCCAAGAAATCACGGAGCCGGAACACAATCTCCAGCTCAAGCGCAAAGCTCGGAGCTTTTGGTTAGACGGTCGCCTGTGGTACGGCATGAGGCACACCTGACTAGTTTCGGACATGGAATTGTGCTGCTTCGGATTACAGTAATGCATGTGATGCTACAAAAGCGATCCTCGCCTCCGCTTAATAACTCCTTGCTGTGATTGCTGCATTTATTGACCGCCGTGACTTCGACACCACTGTGAGGATGGCATGGCCTTCATTCGAGTTGCAATTGCCTAACCTGTCAAGAACCTTTGGAACATCGTCGTTGGCGCATCAAAGCTGATCCCTTCGTCGTGCCCGTGGTGGTGCTCACTTGCCAAAAGCTCGAGATTTCATTAATTTGCGTGTTTGTGGTATCGTAGATGCAATAAAGATGACCCTTCGAGAACCGGCGCACCCCCTTAGCAGCCCGTATTTTTGTCCATGATTTTTGCTATTGTTACACCCTTGTTCGGCAGGATCTCGACTCTACGCGCCACCGACGAGCACATTGTTGACGGGGATGTGGACTACGAGGGATAAGGGGTCAGTATCTGGATGCGGAAGTCTGTACGGGGACAAGTCGACTTACTGAGCTTGACAATGTAACCAACAGCGCCCATGATCAGGAAGCCCATGCCAACAGCCTGGCAAATCTTGATGAACTCCTTCTGGTCGGCTAGAAGAGAAGACAAAGTTAGCGCGGAATTCGCATTCGATAGCAGGACGTCGTAGCGCCCAGGCAACCGCAGCAGCAGCACCCAAGGCCGCGTGCTTTGCGACGGTCGGAGCAGGCTTCAGCATTGTCGGGCGCAAGGCTGGATCGAGGCTGCGCGGTGCCGGCGCGTGTGATTGTGCTGTGGGCATGGAGTTGACTAACGCTTGGTGCACCGGGTCATGAACTGAGTGCCCTCCCTGACAAAGTCCTTGGGGACGTCGAGGAACTCTTGCAGTTGGTCGGCCATTGTGAATTGCTGTGTGGGAGTCTGCGAGTGACGTGTGTTGAGCTCGGGGGGTGGTGTGAGCGGTCGTGTGTGGGAGGGAAAGTCGTCGTGGGTATCACGGGAGAAGGAGGTTGAGCACAAGTCGCCTCCAGCTGGGGTGCTCGTCGTGGATGCGGCCAGATTTCCCCAGCCAGCCAGCCAGTCAGCCAGAAATCCAGGGACTGCGGCGGAACACCTTGAATTGGCCAGCTTGCAGAGCCACACCCGCTGGCCCCTGCGACTGGTTGCTCCTGCAGGGCGAGCCTGGCCTGGAGCTCGGAAGACGCACTAGTACCAATTAGTTCTAGTGCCACGGTGCCCCTGGCCGCGAGTGCAGGCCAGCTCTTTTCCAGCCTGTCGTCTCAGGCAGCAAGCACTGTTTGAGCTTCAACCTCCCGGTATCCATGGCATGACTGGAGCTCCCTCCCTTCGTCGACCACTCTGCTTCACTGCCCCTCCCAGGCCCGACTCTCTCCTCCGTCCAAGAGCAACTCAGTCGCCAGCCACACCTTGCGCGACAACTGCCCGCCCCAGGACGATTCCTTCTTTGCGACCGCCGTCACCCTAGCTTGCCCCCTGTCGACTCGCAGGCGCGTCCACAGCTTGTTCACTTCTGGCTCACCACCCCAGCCAGCACCGAGCCTTGCGCGACCGGAGTCGTCTTTCCCTCTTGCACCGACGTTCAAGTGCTAGGGATCGACACACAACCCATCTGGGGACCGCCGCACATTTCTGCTGGATAGGCATCGTTTCCTGCCGTGTCACTGTCCAAGCACGGGCGGAGTTGGTTTTCGTCTTCAGAGGACGTCTTTGTACATTACTCCCACGAGGCTACCCTCGCCTTGCAACCTGTAGCCTGCGTACTTGCCGTACAGGCATTGATGCAGCAGAAGACCCTGCAAGATTGCAAGCACAGAGCTTCGTCTTGACGTCTCCTTGTCTTGGCCGCAAGTGGAAAGACTACCTTGGTCCGGTACTGGACAAATCTTGTCAAACATACAGAGGATCTGGACTGTACGTATATCACTATGTTTCCTGTACATTCCGGCAGTCATGTGTGCCAGAAGCATTGGCATTGGTTTTGTCGGAGCTCGACCAAGCCACCACGGCCCCATGTTTGCCTTTCTAACGCTGATGTTTGGTTTTCAAAGACAGCTGCCCAATCCTGTATTTTATTCCCAATACATCGGTCACTTCTGCTATCTAACTAGCGCAACCCTCACGGGTGATTTTGTTCCTGTTGATCTGCTTAAGCAACGAACCAGACCAGCAGACAACCCGACCACGCACAATGGCCGACGAGGACTTTGAGATCGACATCTACGGCGACGCCGAGGACAATGGGTCCAAGGCACAGGATCAGGGCAACCAGGGATACAGCAACAACTCGGCCATCACCGTCGCCAACGGCTCCAACAACTCAACATCTCAGTCCGAGCAACATGGCTCGTATGACCACGACACTGGAGACCAACATGGCATGGACGTGAACGAGGACAACACCAGTGCGCCTGTCCACCAGCAGGGTGTAAAGCGCAAAGAGGCACCAGATGATAGACCTGTTGACCCTGGTGCTACGAGCGCTCTTTTGGTTGGTGATTTGCCATGGTGGAGCACAGACGATGATATTCGCGGGATGGCCCGGCAAGCAGGCTGCGAGGCTGAGCTTAAAGACATCACCTTCAGCGAGCACAAAGTGAATGGCAAGAGCAAAGGGTAAGTTGTGGCCATTGGTGGGTTGAGCCGCCGTTACGTGCGCTAACAGCTGCCGCAGTCAAGCCTATGTGGAGTTTGTATCGCAACAGGCCGCCACAGCAGTGAAGCATGAGATCGAGCAGGCTGGCGAGAACAACGCTACGAAAAAGCACACAGTCACATACACGAACCCCAACAACAACCCGTACCGCACACTTCCCAAGGATGGCCCAACGCGAGCGAACAAGGATGTCGCTACCAGAGGTGGACCTATGTCTGGTGGATACAACGACCGTGGCGGCGGCAACTTCAACGGCGGATTCCGTGGTCGAGGCGGAGGCGGCTTTGGCGGACCCCGTGGAGGCGGCGGCTTCAACCGCAACTTCGTCGGCAACAACATGGCCGGAGGCGGCGGCGGAGGCGGCTTCAACAACGGCATGGTCGGCGGCGGATTCAATAATGGCATGGGCGGTGGTGGCTTCAATATGGGCTTCAACAACCGCGGCGGCAACATGATGGGCGGCAACATGCGCGGGGGCGGCATGCGTGGTCGCGGCGGCATGGGAGGCATGAACGGCGGCATGAATGCCGGTATGATGGGTGGCATGATGGGTGGCATGCCTGGAATGGGCATGCAGATGGGCGGCATGCCGGGCGGTATGGGCATGGGCTTCCAGCAGCCGCACTTCAACCCGACATTCTTTGGCAACAACCAGCAGCAGTCGGACTGGCAAAACCCTCACGGTGCCAAGCGACCACGGCCGGAATAGAACGCCGAGCCGTGGGTGGCGTTTGTGTCTAATCGGAATGGAGGGCCCTCCAAGGAGAATGGGGATGCCCGCCAAAAGTGAAGAAGTTTTGTACATTTCCCACACTGTCGATTTTCTCTGGCGGCGAAGGAAAAGATAAGTCGGCGCAACACGGGTCTATTACAAGGGTCAATTTTGTTCTTTCGAGGAGTCATGTCATTTCCAGTTTCATCGTACTTGGCGCTTTTGCAGTTTTCGGTCAGACACACACACAATATGTTTTTGCCTTTTTTCCCTCTCGACTGTGTCAACATGCGTATCATGCCAGGAGCGAACACAACTCAGCCAAGACGTCTTGGTATCGTCAGTGTGTGCTGTGAAGACTTGTTCTGGCGCTCGTATTGTTTGTGACCAACTATCATGTAGGCTTGCTTCCTAGGCAGTCTTTTTCGTGGAGCCGGCGACACTTTTGCGCGAGCTTGATACTAACGCGAGCGGCGTGCGCGTCGACGACGACCCGTTGGGTCCAAATAACCCCAGAAAATAAGCCGTCCTGGTGAGGCCGAGAAAGATCTGTAATCCTCGGATATGGGGATAGTGGGTTATTGTCAGTCCCTTTTGCTAAATCATGATTTTACAATCCGCATGGTAGATTTGGCCTTTATGGTAAGAAGGGGCTGGGTCTATTCGTTTCGGAGGCATGAGGCTCGTACGATAAAGAAAAAGAAAAAGAAAAAGAAAAAAAAAAAACCCCGCGCGGAAATATCACACACAGTCCCAATGAACGGCACGAAATATGAAAGGAGAATGAGAAGGAAGAAAAAAACGAACAGAAAAAAGGAAAAAGACGTACAGTGAACGCAATGTTTCCCCAGGTAGTCGCGCTCCAGCTGGCAAAGTCCATGGTGCGGTCGTAGCCGAGGCCCCAGCATGTGAGGCCGACATGGGTGACGTCGGCAATGCTGCTCGGTTCGATCACAGCCAGTTAGCCTTTACCGTCCTGGATGGCTCATCATGTGGAAATGTTCATTCTCTTCTTTTGCATGATATTGTGATGATTTATCATGAGTTGCTGCAAGGGTTTCCAAATGGGATATAGACTGTGTGCGAGGCGGTGATGCCGTGCTGGGCCGCCTGCGCGTGTGGCAAGAAGACTGAAATGCAGGGGGCCCTGACTTACAGGCAGGCTGTCAGATATGCCCTGACGACTTTGATCTCGCTGGTCGAGTATAGGACGCCCACACCGATGAGGAATACGAGGCCGTAGGTGTTGCCAAGCTGCAAGGCGACCAGGCGTGCGCTATCCGATTCCGCCGGCGAGGCAGCGATGCTTCCCAGCTTGGAAGCGATCGTGGTGCTGGCCGGGATCTGTTGCTTGATGAACCACTCTGGGTCGATCAGGGCGCCGAAGCAGCCAGCCAGCCTGGGTTGCAGGGTCGGAGAGCGTGTTGTCAATGTGATTGTTCTCTTGACAGGGCCAGTCACGGTTTTGTCGGCTGGCGTGTGAGTCTATGTGACTGGGTGTATGTGCGTGGTGCTTACAGTGATATTGGCTCAATCAGGGTGAAGATGGCCCGAGGCACTGCAGGAAGCTGAGAAGCCATGATGATGGTGGCGGGTTGGATGAAGTCGTGGTTCCGCGATTGGCTGGCTGCAGTTGCATGAACTGGTGTTGGCTGGCCGTGTCAATCAAATGCCCGAAGTCTTGCAAGACGACACAGCCAGGGGTGTCGGCTTAGAAGGCGATAGGTCTGTTTCCTGGCTGCCGTGGCTTGAGTTGTCGGCGCTCGGGATGTAAAGTTATCAAGTGTGGGGTTGGGGAGGTAGCCTTGGACTCTGAACTCTGAAGACCAACCAGTAGTCATAAGATTGTGCCTTTGGGTGTTAGAGGGCGACCAGGGGGGCTTGTCATGACTACAATTGGTAAGCAGTCTCAGGATGAAATCTGCAGCGTCGCTTTGGCAAGGCTCCGGAACTTTTGCATCTTTGGGCGGTTTGGTGGATGCTAAGGCAGCGGACGCAATGAACACCAGGAAGGGACTAGGGAGTGACACATCCGGACATGAGGCTACGATATTACAGTATACTTGCCAAGTCACGCGGGGGGACCTTCAGCCCGATAGCAACCTTGGGAGTATTTGGTTGGCACCTGAATGCCTGAGATGTGGGAAAGGATGGGTGGCCATGATACACTTGAGGACATGTGCCACATGTCTCATCTGCCACGTTGGCCGCCAGGGCATGAAGCAGGGCAGGGCACAAGTTATCAGTGACTCGCCACAGTCTGCATCGACTGAGCAATCGGCAACCGCCGGAACGACACGCTGTGCTGTGTGGCAGCAGTGGAGTCCCCTCTGGTCTCGGGGACCGGCCGCAGGGCGCGTGGTCGCCAGGCCAGGCACATCCAGACCGGTCGGACGCGGGTGTGTTCCGGCAGACGGAGCCACACTGACTTGCAGCCTCAGCCTGGATGCGGCCCTACCCAGATCCATCCACCTGCAGCCTGCCCGCCAAGCACGTCCTTGCACGCACGCTCGGCAAGGTACCAGAGACCTTGCCTTGCCATGCCTTGCCATTGCTGCACTGTGGCTGGTGGGCGCTGGTGGTGAGGAGGCAAAGTGAGTGAGGGGAAGCGGCCTGGGCTCAGAAGGGCACTGCAGCATCGAGCATGCAGTGCTCCTCTTCACACCTCGCGGGTCGAGCACGTTACCAAGGACAATTAGTGGTGCTGCTATTGCATGCCGGCCCATCAATCTGCACAACAACAACCCTGTGGCCGAAAGCGTGCGTGCGTGTGGGTTGCGCTCTCTGTGTCCAGTGTGGTCCTTGGGAGACGTCAAGCTCCTCGCCAACAGCCCGCCCCGAACCTTAGTGACCTTGGGTTGGAGCGAGGGGGCGCACCATGGTGCCTGCCTGCAAGCTGCCTGCCCCTGATCCAGTGCGAACTCGGAACACGCCTTATTGTCCTCGGGCCTGCAGTTTGAGACTCCATCCACGCGCCTCTCGCCGGTGTGGCGGCGGCTGCGGCTGCTTCTTGCTGCTGCTTGCACAACGTTCAGCTACTGTACACCATTCCTTGACGTGCAAGCGTCTGGCCCCTCTCACACCAAACCAGACCTGCCCGGCAACAACCTTGGAAGTCCTAAGCGGTTTCTGCCAACAGTCAATCGTGTGGCCCATCCATCCATCCATCCCACTTTGTCTTGTCCCTGGAGGGTGTGTGAGGGGAGACCTTCAAGGGGGCCACCTCGATTACATCAAATCAAATCAGTCAATTAGACAATCAACTCGCCAGTCCCATCTCACCAGCCTGGGACTCGAAACCCAATTCTATCCACCATCAAAACCGTCCCTGCTGGCCAGCTTCCCCTTCCAGTCCCAGTCAAAGTCTCAAAGGCCTTGCTCACTTCACCCGTTCCCCCTCGCTCGTTTGCATCTCTCTAGCTCTCCACCACGTCTCTCGTTTCCCCAATGGGTCCTTAGATTGTCATCTCGCCCGCCTCGACGGCTTCTCCCTACATCTCAGAATCCTTGGGGTTCTCTGCCTGGGGCCTGCCCACCGGTTACGCTGTCCATTCTCCTGCCGCACCCTCAGTGGACTGTCTGCTGGCCTGGCGACCTGTAGTCACTGGTGACTCGAGCGTGCCCCCTGGCCGACTCCGATGCCCCTCCCCCTGGCAGCTGCTGCCGATCAAGCATGGCCACCATCGAGCCCCGACTTATTCACCTCCTCAACGAGTCGACCTCAACGCCAAAACCGGGCCACGCCGAGCTGCCGCCCATCAAAGGCCTCAACTTGCCACAGTCCTCGAGCTCAACGAGTCTCCCACAACTCGTAGAGCCCGAGGTCTCTCGCAGGCTCGAGCACAACCCAGATCAGAATGGGGCACAGCCCGTGCGCCACCCCCCGTATGGTGCTGGCGATGACGGGCATACTGGCTCGCTGACGAGGCCGGACAGCACAGGTCATCTCGCCGACCGTTCGCTCGTCACTCATGTGTCCTCCCAGGACCTCCGCATGATCCTGGATGACAACCCTGACCTCGCCCTTGATGATCTTGCCAACAAGAAGCGTCCTAACAAGGAGGACTTTGTTCAGCTGCCACAGCCGCTCAAGAAGCAGAAGGCCACTGCGCAGCAGCCGCACACATTCCCGCCCATCATCGTAGGCCTTCTTGAGCCGCCGGATCGTGCTGCTCTGCTCTCACTCCCGCCCATCTCCTTTGATGGCCGTCCACAATCGGACACCCACGGAGAGGCCTCGAGCACTTCAGGTGGTCCCACTGCCGTCGAGGGCCAACCTTCCGTGGCATCGACTGATCAGCAAAGCCAGAGCTCAGCCCCAGACCCTGAGCGTACTCCGACTGGGAAGCCCAAACGGAAAGCCGCTAAGCCACGGCGGAAGTGGTCCGAGGAGGAGACGAATCATCTCCTTCTCGGAGTAAGTAAGCATGGAGTAGGAAGGTGGACTGATATAATGGAGGATCCCGAGTACAATTTTCATGACCGATCAGCTGGAGATCTCAAAGATCGATTTCGCACTTGCTGCCCCGCTGAGCTGCGGGACGACCTCCTCGCGAAGAAGGCAGATGCCACAGGCAGGGACGATATCTCGGGGCAGGCACTTGCTGTGCGTAAGCCCACCAAGGGGCTCATGTCGGAGAACATTCTGAATCGGGATGATGATGTTGAGGCCGAGCCAAGCAGCCAACCCGAGCTAGACCCTTCCGGACCCAAGCAGCGCAAGAGTCGAGCTCATCGCAAGAAACTGGAAGATCTGGTGGAGCTTGGCATCAAAGGTCCGTTCAAAAAGTCTCACCGTCGTGAAAGGCGGCCCTTTTCAGAACAAGACGATCGGGAGATCCTCGAAGGGTTTGAACTATATGGTCCACAATGGACAAAGATCCAGCGAGATCCGCGATACCACCTTTCGAGCCGGCAGCCAACCGATTTGAGAGATCGCCTCCGCAACAAGTATCCCGAGCGATTTCCGGGGACCGAGAAGACGGCCTTGCACGTTAAAGGGGATCAATCTGCTCAGGCGAGTACTCTCGAACCATCGGTCAACATGACTATCGGGAACTCGCTCAATGCTGCGAGATCCACCCAGAAGCCCAACCCGCAACTCGACAGAACTCATTCAAAGGAAGAAATACCACGGTTCTCTGCCCATAGCAGTTTCACGGACTCGGCAGACTACATCCCGCCAATGAGCCACAGTGTTTGGACAGACAACCCCATCCCCGGATTCCACACTGGTGCGATGGGCGAGATGGATATCTCGCGTCTGCTTCTGGATGACACCCACAGCTTTGTGGACACATCAACAAGCGACCGCCGCGGTTTGAGTTGATGACCTAGCCTCCCAGTATTTACGACGTAATGACCTTGAATCCATCAAAGCGCGATCATGTCTTTTATACAGTAAGCGAATCAATCTTCGTGCTATCCACGTCTGTGAAGGCTCAAAACATGTGAAAGCGGCTTGGAGATGATTGCGTGTTCTTGTGCTTAAAGTTTGATCGTACAGGCTCCGTCATTTTCAACGTGGTGCCTTTTTCTGCAATTCCGCGAGGAGAAAGTAAATCGTGCAGTCTCGTTGCGTTCATCTCGGTAGGGAAGTTGTCCACTCAGATCACTAAGTGAGCAGCCGGCCCGGTATATGCTCCAGAGGGGCGCTTGTACTGCAGGATCCACTCTCCCTCCTCGACCTACCGAGACCCGCTTTTCAGAGCGCATGGACCACCTTGCCCAGATGACTCTCCTAGCGATTCCACTTCCTCGCACAAGAATTTAGCACTTTTTCTGGGTCCTGCACGAAAATTGCTACGCCCTTCAACTTCCGTGGATCCAACGCTGAGACCCTCGCACTTTCACTCCTCACGACCAACCGCCAACACAGCCAGTCAATACCGTCAAAATGGGCAGAGGACCGTAAGTAACCACATCCTGCTTTGCGCCTTGTCTACTTTCCGGCACGGACGGCTCGAAGACGAGCGGTATCGCGGCAACGAACGATTTTCTCGAGCAACCTCGTCTTCGATCCGTACCGAATATTTGGAATACAAGTCAATGGAGTCACGACCGCTGACATTCACGCTCGCCCTGCAGTAAGAAGCACCAGAAGCGCCTGAGCGCCCCCTCGCACTGGCTCCTCGACAAGCTGTCGGGTGTCTATGCCCCCAAGGCTTCTGCCGGTCCCCACAAGGGTCGCGATGCTCTGCCTCTGATCATCTTCATCCGCAACCGTCTCAAGTATGCGCTCAACTACCGCGAGACCAAGTCGATCCTCATGCAGCGCCTCATCAAGGTCGACGGCAAGATCCGCACCGACATGACCTACCCTGCCGGCTTCATGGATGTCATCACCATTGAGAAGACTGGCGAGAACTTCCGTCTCATCTACGACACCAAGGGCCGCTTCGCCGTCCACCGCATCCAGGCTGAGGAGGCCGAGTACAAGCTCGGCAAGGTCAAGCGTGTGCAGCTCGGCAAGGGCGGAATCCCATTCTTGGTTACGCACGATGCTAGAACGTGAGTTCTGTCAGCCATCATTCAGTCGTTGGACCAAGCTTTGGTTGAACCACCCTTCAAGAGTCTTGCCAGGGGCTTCTCGTCTTTTGGGCTGCTGTTCGTCATTCAGAAAGGAGAACAAAAGAAATGAGAAGAGCGTCTGTGGCAGACTCGATAAAGGATTTGGGTACTTCCAAGGCCTGGGCCAGCGATTGGTATGATCCCCTCATATACCCCCCTTTATACTGACTTTGCCATGCACAGTATCCGCTACCCTGACCCTGCCATCAAGGTCAACGACACCGTCAAGATTGACCTGTCCACTGGCAAGATCTCTGACTTCATCCACTTCGACACTGGTGCCATTGCCATGGTCACCGGTGGTCGCAACATGGGTCGTGTTGGTGTCATCACTCACCGTGAGCGCCACGATGGTGGTTTCAACATTGTCCACATCAAGGATGCCATTGACAACAGCTTCGCTACCCGTGAGAGCAACGTCTTCGTCATTGGCTCTGAGAAGCCGTGGGTTTCCCTGCCCAAGGGCAAGGGTGTCAAGCTCACCATCGCCGAGGAGAGAGACCGCCGCCGAGCTCACAACCTGGCTGGCCACTAAATGCTGGCTGCCGGCTCTTGTCCGTTGGTTTGATTGATGAAGCAAAAAAAGGGAAACAAAACTTGGGAAATGGTTGATTTTTCACGCATGGTCCTGGAGTCTACGGTATATCCGTTCGTGCCTGTCATGAACATGAGACAATGAAAAAAAGAAGTAAAATTGTCAAATGAGATCGATGCCTGCCCCTCACACATACACAGACCGTGCCTGTTCTGCTGTGATGTTAAAAAGTGAATTTGGAAATGAGCCACGACCCGACGAGTTTCTTTCGTGGCGGTGTCGTCCTTGTCCAAGTACCCTTCCGACGCTCCAGCCGATATGCTCGTCGGAATCCAGCGGTCGAGATCCCTCCTTCCCAGACGAGACGAGGACCCCCACGCTCTGCCTGCCTCCCAAGCCCCCCCACATCGGAGTGCTGCATCTTGTTGAGCGTGGGGTGCTGACCCTTCCCATCGACATGCATCTTCGGACAATTCGGCTGCGTGTGGCCGCTCGGCCTGTTCTCGACGCAAACCAGCCACGTGAACCAACACCCTGAACAACATCCCAGCTCAGTCCTCTCTGCGCATCGGCAGGGGATCTGCCTAGTGAGCGACGTGTGCCACCCCACGCGAAAAAGATGTCATCGCATGTCCGGTGTGCCTTTGGGGCGACCAGTTTGGTGGTATTGCTCCGGCAGCCCCGACTCAAGGTCTTGAGCACCTCTAGGGCACCACCCACCTGCCCAGTACGATCTTTGATCCATGGCCAGATGGACGACATGAATAAGCACGTCGCCGAGGCGGGGTGTCACCAGCTTCCCCAAACCCAAGGTCTAGGTTGCTGCTCTGATGACATCGCCTGGAAAGCTGGCCGCATGACCCGTCTCTGGCCGGCCACCTTGAACCGCTTCCGACGAGATGCGTACACGTCTGCCCACCCACCACCACCATGACGTGCAACGCTCATGCAAAGAGAGAGGCTGACGTTACCCCAGTATGCAGCCCGAGCTCGCTGGACGTCGCTGAGGCTCTCCTGCAGCCCAGCTCCCTGGGTCTCACGACAGACACGCGCTCCGCTGGCTCACACGGCACAGAAAGGGGCTGACCGAGCCGTGAGCGGCAGCCCGTGTGGTGGTTTCTATTACCTAAAAGCACACGCCAGACCGCCAGTGGGCTCCAAGTCTTGCAGACTCGGGCAATTACATCGCAGGTGCTGTCGCGTGATCACTGGCTTACTGAAACATTGTTGCCAAACAAAGGGATTGATCTTACAGCGTTGTAGACCTGTTTGGTCAGCGCTTGGCAAGTATGGGGCATCCTTAAACCCCCCCATTCGTTGCGCTAAATTCGCAATGGTCAGCTCTCCCTCCGAGTCGGCGAGGTTTGACCCCATCGTGAAGGAGCCCGGTCCCCACTCGGGGCGCTTTGCCCCGGCTCATCGTCCAGTCCAAGTGCCTCCCCGGATCCGCGCCTCGCTCCTCATCTTGTCGACTCCCCACAAATAGCCAAAGGGTCCGCCGGCTCTTGATCATGGAGCTCGCGCCGCCTTCCGGCTTCGCTCTTGCGTGCTCGCTGGCTCTTGTCTGACGGGTAGTCCTTTTGCTGGCATTCCTTGCTACTCCTCCTCCTCCTCTTCCTCCTCTTGCCTCAAGTCTGTTCTCTGGCTCAACGGTCAATGATTTTACTCCCTTTGTGACATCTGCCTGCATACTCACCCAGATACGTAGCGGCCTCTTATCCCGCACAATCACCAGTTGTCCGGTAACTTGTACCGGTCTGGTCCGGGCGTGATTCGTCCTCGTAACGGCAGCGAGCACGGCTGTTGTCCTATCAGAGTAATTATTGCGCCATGGTGCAGTGACATTACAACATTTACCCATTCTCAAAGACTCCAAAGACTTCAATGTTCGCGAGAACGCTTCCAGGCCGTCTGGCCGCCCGGTCATGCCGGTGTTCACTGCCATCCCCGGCAAAACATCTCGGCGGCGTCCGGAGGGCCGGCACGAGCACCGGGGCTCCTGCCGGAGGCGCAAGGTCATCACCACCTCCGTCACGCCCCGCCGATCCGCAATGGTCCGGCCAGCATGTTGCTGCTCTGACGGCGACTGCTGGCGTCCTAGGCTTTGGCCTCGCTGCGCTGTCGCTCAGCCCGAGCGAGGAGAAGAGGGAGAGCCCCATTAGCAAGAAACTCATGCTTTTCGACAACAAGCCTCCAAATCCGGTCTATGCGACTCTGGATGAGATGAATTCCGTAAGTCGCGGCTCACTGTCCTCTTCGTCGTCGTCGTCGTCGTCATCGTCGTCAACGAATAGTCTTGACTGAATGTATTAAGACTAATAACCTCTGTCTTTCAAAAACAAGGCCCTTGCCGAGATCCAGGACGAGATCCAGCGCAACGGCAATGACGAGGACATCATCAGCACCGACTCGGAGGACCTACACCGCCACGGGTACTCGGAGTGGTCGAGCTCGAACCCGGAGACGCTGCCGGTCGCGGTGGCGTACCCGCGCTCGACCGAGGAGGTCTCCATCATTGCGCGCATCTGCCACAACTACCGCATCCCCATCATCCCGTACTCGGGCGGGTCGAGCCTCGAGGGCAACTTTAGCGCGCCGTTTGGGGGTGTCAGCATCGACTTTGCGTACATGGACAAGATTATCAAGTTCAACCAGGAGGACATGGATATCGTGGTGCAGCCGAGCATTGGGTGGCAGGATCTGAACTCGCAGCTGCTGGATATGGGCAGCAGACTGTTCTTCCCGATCGATCCGGGTGAGTGTGCCTTTGGTTTTTTCTCCCAATGGGAGAACCCCTTTACTTTGAATCCCATTGACTAACATGTATGTGTACGAATAGGCCCGAATGCTAAAATCGGTGGAATGGTTGGCACGAATTGTTCCGGGACGAATGCAGTCAGGTACGGCACAATGAAGGACTGGGTCTTGAACCTGACCATTGTCCTTGCCGACGGCAGCGTCATCAAGACAAGGAGGAGACCGCGGAAGAGCTCGGCCGGGTACAATCTGAATGGGCTCTTTGTTGGCTCTGAGGGCACGCTAGGAATAGTCACTGAAGGTATGGCCGTCTACGTGGTCACTACACTGTCATGCTGGAGCACCGCAGCTAATCATGCTTATTACATACAGCCACACTCAAGCTCGCCGTTATACCTGAGGAGTTCTCCGTCGCCGTCGTCACCTTCCCCTCGATTCGAGACGCCGCTGCCGCCGCCGCCGGTGTCATGCAGAACGGCATCCCTGTTGCAGCAATGGAGATCATGGACGAGGTGCAGATGAAGGTGGTCAACCTGGGCGGCGCGACTGCCCCGCGAGTCTGGAAGGAGGAGCCGACCCTGTTCTTCAAGTTTTCCGGGACGAAGCAGAGCGTGGCTGAGAACGTGAGCCGTGTCCAGGCCATCACGAGCGCGAACAAGGGCAGCAACTTTGAGTTCGCCAAGGACGAGCGCGAGCAAAAGCTGCTGTGGTCGGCGCGCAAGGAGTCGCTGTGGTCGATGCTCGCCCTGCGCAAGGGCAACGAGGAGGTCTGGTCGACGGACGTCGCAGTGCCGTTCAGTCGGCTCGCGGAGTTGATTGAGATTAGCAAGAAAGAGATGGACGATCTGGGCCTGTTTGCGAGTATCCTTGGCCACATTGGCGACGGCAACTTCCACGAGAGCATCATGTACAACCGCCAGGACCCGGCCGAGAGGGAGAAGGTCGAGAGATGCGTCAAGAACATGGTGAGGCGGGCGATCGATATGGACGGAACGTGCACAGGCGAGCATGCTATTGGATGGGGCAAGAAGGAGGCGCTCGAGTGGGAGGTCGGGCCGGAGACGCTTGCGGTCATGAGGCAGCTCAAGCATGCGCTGGATCCGAGATGGATCATGAACCCGGGAAAAATCATGGACCTCGCTTAATAGAAAATTAGAAAATGAAGGTTTTTGTTTTGTTTTTGGAGGTTAGGAGGCGGCCGTGTGACCTTGCTCTCAGTCGACACATCGTGGTAACGAGACTGGGTTTGTCAAGTTCGTAGAATACAGCCGCGAACGTTCACTCATCAAACGGGGAAGGCACGTGCCAGTTACCACATCTAGGAGCGGCAGCTGCATTGACCTCAGAAATGATTCTCCCGGGCATAACACATACCAGACGGCCCATTGTCCCTGCGTTTAGCACGACGTCCTTCAATGGGCTGCAGACGCTCGCCGCCACATTTTGCCGCCCTCCCTCTCGACGCTCGCGCCCATAACCACCACGCCCATCACCTCACCCACCCATCGAGTTACCAATAGGCGAAGGTCTGGTCATAAATCTTCCTCGCCTCCTCAGTCTCCTCCATCGCTTTCCCTGAATGTCAAAAATCACTCCCTCCTAGTCGCCGAAGTCCAAGCACTTCCTTTCACCCACCCTCCCAATCATCAGAGTACACCTTCGTGCCTGGGCGAGAAGCACAACTCCCGGGGCAACACGGACGCCCACGAAAAGGAACCTCGCCCAAATCATTGCTGGCACAACGGGCGCATTCAAGGTCTGTCATGTCCGCCGTACGCTCCCAACCAAGACACATTCCGCCCTCTCACACAAGGCTCATCACAGGAAATCCCCTCCCATGCCCACTTCAAGCATCCTGAGTACAGTTCGACATGGCGGATGATATACCGCCATACTCCGGGAGAAACACAGGCCATGACCCGAGCTCCGATAGCGACAGCGGTACTGTTCCAAGCAGGGACACAAAGCTACATGATGCTGTGACTGCATTCAGACAGAAGCTCCGTAGAGATCCCACCATATCAACGCAGCAGCCCAGGCTCGCGGAGGATGTCACTCCAGGTTCCCATCCTCAGGAAGAAGCGTCAGTACGCCGCATGAGAAATACTTGGGTGGTGCGCCCACGCCAGGAACAAAAGGATGTCGTCCCTATCGAAACGGAAAGCTCGTCCTTAGCGGATTCCGAGGAATCCATGTTCACGGCAAGTCATGTCTCGTCGCACACCGAGACGAGTATATCGGTGTTCAACGGCCTGGACAAGACTAAGCCGGGTCTGGGCAACCTCAAGGAGTTGCCAGTGGGAATTCAAGTCTACGGCGTAGACTTGCCGGGCGACTCTAAGATGCCTGGGCCCACGAACGAGGAGACATCCCTAGTCAACACTGACCAAGCCGTCAACATTCCCAATCCTGCAACGCAGAGCTCTATACTAGCCTCGAACCTTCACATGGGTTACATGACTACCCAGTCGCGAATGGTCGATATGCTCACGCTTCAGAAAGACAGTAAGAGTTTGACACCCGAGGTCAGTATTCTGAACTCCCGCCTCTTTATCCGATTCTGCTTCAAGCAGGATGGTGGAGAGAGCAAGGTCTACAGATTTTCGGTGCCATTATCCAGCATCTCGAAGGCATGCACTATTGTTCGTAGTGGCAACGATAGCAACATCTCGGCGCTCCTGCTATCGTTGAGCGATCCACCCGAGGTCATGGTGACCGTCTCAAAAGAACGATCACACGGCTCGAGTTATCAACATGAACGACCTCGTAATGGAGAGCGAGTCTGGCGCCGGGCGGTCAATCTTCCGCTTGCACATTCTGGTCGGCATGGCCCGATTGTCCTCCACGAAAAGAATCAGATCGACTTTGGTCGATGGAGAGTCTATCGCTTTGATTTGCCAGCCAAGGCCCAGGAGCACTGGCGCGGGATGAAGGGCATACTGGTCAACCACAAAGTCAATTTGAAGTCGATCTTCGCACATGATTTCCAAGCGGTTGATTTCCAAACCCATAACGGCGCGTCACCAAGTCTGTGGCAGAGACTGGACAGGACAAGCCAACTCATCGACTCTTTGACTCTGCTCGATGACGACAAGGACTATCATTTGTCCTTCAGCGTTCGCTATCTGCTGGAAGCTTGTCTGTCACTTGGCGTGTTACATGAAGACAATATCACGTCAGAGTTCTTGCGAAGCTTGCGGAATGGGGACAGCTCAAGTGGGCAATTACGGACATCCAATATGCTAGCCTACATCGCGACGAAAGGCCAAAGATGGTGGGAACCAATGGACATTTTCAAAGACAGGGATATTACCCGCGGCTGCCCCTCTCGTACGCAGAGAATCCCAGAATACTGCTGCCTCGTTCGCAAAGCTGTCGTCACTCCAACAACAATCTATTTCTCTCCACCTACTGTCGAAACTTCTCATCGGATACTTCGAGAATATAAGCACCATCAAGACCATTTCCTGCGAATCCAGTTTCTGGACGAAAAGCATAACGGCAGCATCCGTGGCCAGATCTGGGACGAGGATGGCGATGATGATCACCAAAAGGAAATTTGGGACAGAATCACCCGTACTCTACGAGAAGGTATCCGCATTGGTGGGCACCACTATAGGTTCCTCGCTTACGGCAACTCCCAATTACGAGAGAGCAGTGCGCTGTTTTTCTGCGACGATGGTGACCTCACTTGCGAAGTTATACGGCAGCAAATGGGAACATTCAATACCATCCGGAATGCTGCCAGGTATGCGGCTCGTATGGGTCAGTGCCTATCTACGACGAAAGCTCCAGCGCTTCCCTACTTGTATAACAAAGTCGACATTGTAGATACCGGTAACGAATGGGTATTCACCGACGGGGTTGGGAAAATATCTCCGTTCCTAGCTACGGAGATCATAAAGAGCCCTAGTATCAAACTCAGCAGAAGCAGGAGTGTCGTGCCCTCGGCATTTCAATTCCGCCTTGGTGGCAGCAAGGGTCTTCTTGTAGTATGGGATATTGGTTGGATTGAAGTCCATCTCCGCCCATCCCAAGTCAAGTTCGAGTCCCCGAGCAAAAGGCTTGAGATCATCAAGGTGTCTCGGACAACAATGGCGACCCTGAATCGGCAAACTATCACCATCTTATCGTCCTTGGGAGTACGCGCGGAGGTGTTTCTAAACATGCTTGCGGCACAAATCTCCGACTACGACAGAGTTATGACCGATAGTAAAATCGCGCAACAGATACTCGAAGCCAACAATGATGAGAACGGGGTCCTAGGCGCAATGTCTGAGATGATCGGAGATGGCTTCATGGACGCCCAAGAACCGTTCATGCTGACAATGCTTGACTTGTGGCGCACCTGGTGTCTCAAGCAATTGAAGGACAAGGGACGCTTACATGTCAAAAACGGTGCATTCGTCTTTGGTGGTGTGGATGAGACCAGTAAGTAGAATTGGAAAAGCACAAGCACACAGCTACAACGCGAGTTCACGTAGCTAACAAAGGTTGTTCAAGATACTTTGCGCGGATGGTACCGCGAGAGTACGCTTCTACCTCAAGTATTCTTACAAGTCCCAAACAGCGACGACAAGTACGAAGTGATCACAGGCTTGTGCATAGTGGGACGAAACCCGACACTGCACCCTGGTGATATCCGCCTCGTTGAGGCTGTCGATATCCCGGCGCTGAGGCACCTGCATGACCTAGTTGTGTTCCCGGCCCAGGGTGACCGCGATATCCCCTCGATGTGCTCTGGTGGCGACCTCGACGGTGATGAGTACTTCGTCATCTGGGATCACGAACTCGTTCAGATCCGACAGCATGACCCGATGGAGTTTCGTGTGTCAGCAAAGAATGAGCAGGACAAACCCGTCACAATCAACGATGTGACCGACTTTCTGGTCAATTACATGAAGAACAATTGCCTGGGTATCATTGCCCACGCGCATCTCGCCAACGCCGACCAGTACGGCGCTGGACACCCCAAATGCCTCGAGCTTGCGGCTCTTCACTCCCAGTCTGTCGATTTCAACAAGACAGGGATTCCGGCGAAGATGAAGAAGTCCTTACAGCCCGTGAGTTGGCCACATTTCATGGAAAAGAGGGGAAAGAGCCACGCGTCTCAAACGGTCCTCGGGCAGATATATGATCGTGTTGCCAAGGTCGACTTCCAGCCTCGTTACTCGTACGCATTTGATGCCAGGATACTGCGACGTTTCGACATACCAGACGAACTTTGCGCTCAAGCTGAGGAACTTAAGGCACAGTACGACATTGCCCTCCAGAACATCATGAACCAGTATGGCATCGCAACAGAGTTTGAGGTGTGGTCCACCTTTGTGTTGAGTAAACCTGCGGTCGGCTCTGACTACAAGACCCAAGAGACAATTGGCCTATTGCGCGGTAGCTTGATTGACAATGCCAAGGCGGCCGTCTTCGAGCACCTTGGTTCGCAAAAGGACAAGGATGTTTTGCCATTTGTAGCAGCTTGCTACAGTGTGACAAACAGACAAGTCCAAGAGCGACTGACAGAGCTGAGCGCGACGGCAGAGCCTCCGACTCCGCAGAATATGCCATATATCAGTTTCCCGTGGTTGTTTGACAGGGAGCTTGGCATTCTCGCAACGGGGACAAGGACAGAGCAAGATGGTTCAGTTCAGTCAGAGCTTAGCAGCAACATTATGTCCACCCGGACTTCTGATATGCCGCAGAAAGATGTGCCTGCCAGCGTTTCTGCTTCATTGCAGGGTGAGAATGTGCAGATCGAGGAAGCAAAGGAGTTGGGCGAAGGAGAAGACAGCGACACCTTTGAAGAAGTCGAGGAGGAGGATGCAAACCAGCCGTCTCCTGCATGGATAGGATTCGGAGCTTCCTAAACTTTCCATGGCCAGGCGAGCGGCTCGTTCTTGTTTATCCTTCGGAAGAACAAAACGTTGACAATGCCGTCGACTGAATATGCCAGGAGAGCTTCTTCATCAGCCACCGAGGCGCGAGCACACCCTGCCTGAAGCTGAGCGGACATTGGCTTTTGGCTGAGCTGCTGCGCCACACCTCCGCCCGCCGGAAGCACAAGCGAAAAGGCAAAATGCAGGTGGATCCCGGGGCAATTCTTGGCACGCACATTTTGGACGTGCCGGGCAAGCAAGCTCCAAGTCGCCTGGATGGCAGGCAGGTCAGGCTGGTGAAGGGAGAGAACATCACGAGTGTCCCAGTATAGATATCGACTACCTGAGAATATAGCATGCAAGGTTCCAGAGCCGATGTGATTGCCAGATCTAGTGAAGAAGAATATAAAGTACTGCGACTTTGCAGCCAGAAACGTGACTTGAAGGCACAACCTCACTAGTACCTGGGCGCCTGGAAGCTCCCCTGTGTGCAAGGACACCAGTACCGTCAGGGAATTTTTGGCAGATGCAGTGAAGCCAACCTCCCCAGCAGAATGACAGCAATTGAGCTGTTTCACGCGATGGTAACGAGGATGTCAGGGCCATGCTCAGGTTCGGATTTGTGACGTTGCAGGAAAGACAATTGCAGGTCGAGGCAGCAAGTGCAGCCGTGTCCAGGTGAGCTTTGCTGGCTGCCACTTTGGAAAATTGCCAAAATCCCCCCACATCCAAACCTCGACCTTGCTGCTCCCTCTCCCCCACGAACAGAAGACAGCGAAACGGCCCGACGAATCGACCTCACCCTCACTCCCTCTCTCTCCCTTCTCCTCTCCTCTCGCACACACCGCAGAGCAAAAAAGCAGACGACTCAAAATGGCCGACGTCCAGGAGCTCCTCAGGAAGAAGTTTGGCAACGCCGCCCCGGCCCGCACCGGCGGAAAGGGCACCCCGCGGCAGAAGCAGCGGCGCAACGTCAACCGCGGCGGCAACGACGACAAGAAGCTCCAGGCCGCCCTCAAGAAGCTCAACGTCCAGCCCATCCAGGCCATCGAGGAGGTCAACATGTTCAAGAGCGACGGCAACGTCATCCACTTTGCCGCTCCCAAGGGTACGTCAGGCCTGGCTGTTTGCGTGTCCTAGACCGTTGTTTGTCCAAGCATGGTTGCTGCGAAGAATTCGAGCGTCACCGGACAATTGCGAGAAAGGAGGACCTTGCCGTTCAAGGGGGCACATTTGGAATTGATGAGGACCTGTGCTGACTCCATTCCCCACCACCATCTAGTCCACGCCGCCGTCCCCTCCAACACCTTTGCCATCTACGGCAACGGCGAGGACAAGGAGCTAACTGAGCTCGTCCCCGGCATCCTTAACCAGCTCGGCGCCGACTCGCTCGCCTCGCTCCGCAAGCTCGCCGAGAGCTACCAGAACATGTCCAAGGAGGCTGGTGCCAAGGGCGGTGACGACGAGGACGATGATGACATCCCCGACCTCGTCGCTGGCGAGAACTTTGAGAGCAAGGTCGAATAAGCGATACATCACCACCAAAAAAAAGGCTTGGGGAAATCCCCACTTGGCCGGCTCCGGGAAAGTCATGACCTGCACATAAGTTGATTGCACAAGGATAGCTTGAAGGCGAGGGAAGTGGTTTCTTGGAGTCAGGGAACGGGGATACCTCTTTCACGAGACGATCACGGACATTTCGAAGCCGGACAGGCATGGGCCGCAGGACCACAGCCACATATGGACACGAGAGCTGAAGTGGAGCGAGAGCTTCATTCTCGGCACGTTGATATCGATGACTTCATTGCCATCAGTGAGAAAAGATACCAATTTCTCATGTGAATCAAAAATAAGAAGAACAAAAAAAAAGCGAGAAACTTTCCACAAAATCTTTCGGGGCAATTTGTTTTGATTCGTAGGACAAAAGGAAAACACACGGAGTTCTGGGCATACAAAATAATGATCTCCTGGGTTGTTGGGTTCTTCGTTTGTTCTTAATGCTATGTATGCCCGTGCCGTGCACGATTGAAAACGTACTATCTGCTCCAAGTCGGCCCTTCACTGACTCTACATGTATGCCGTTGTGCATCTTCGCGCGTCACGCAAGATCGAATTCCTCATCGCCACTGTTCCTGACCCAGCCCTTCAGAGCATCCTTCTTGGCTACGTCCTTGGCACTCCTCCTGGCGGCCAGCATCGGGGATTGCTTGACCTCGTCATAGGACCGGCTTCCCTGCAGGACGGCTCGCAGTTCCTGTGCGGCAGACGGTTGTTCCCCTGAAGCGTCACCGGCGGTGCTCTCGCTATCCAACAGTATATCAGCAATTTCAGCTGCCAGAGACCACATTCTTTTCCTCGAAGTGAAGCTTGCGCCACGGGCGTCGAACTGCTTGCGGCCCTGCAGCACACCTCCAAGGGTGCCTTCCTCCAAGCCCGACCGGGTCCAGGCGACTGCGAGGTTGGACGCTGCGATTTTGGGCGCTGTAGGTGTATCTGCTGCGGCGGCAGCGGCACGTGCTGTGACTGACCACTTGGAGTAGTGAAACTCGCCTGCCGCGGCGCTATCAGCCGGTACAGTGAGCACCTGGAATGTGCGGAAGTGGTATCCGCCTCTTCTGGATGAGGAGGTGGCAGAACCCGAGACTAGTGACAGCGACGAGTAGAGCAGCGGTGCCATCCGACCTGCCTGCTCTGAATCTGCCGAGAAAGCCCGCGCACAGCCACTCTCAGAGAACTGACTTTCGGGCATGATGATCGTGGAGAGATAGACATGCTCCGGATCCACGAGGAGCGAGCTGATGCTGCTGAGCAAGGAGGTGCACTGTTTCAGAGAGAGCTTGTCGGAGCACGACTTGGACAATGTAGGAGGAGCATCGCCACGAGAAGGCTTGCGGCGGACGACGCCGAGCTGGCTGAAGAACCCGCGGCCCAGTAGTAGGCCATGGTCGTCGTTGTCGTCGCAAGTGGAATCGCCCGGATGCGGTGTGTCCGCGGATGTAGACGCAGCTGGGAGCTCCCATGGGCTGGCGTCCTCCTGCGCCGCCATTGTCAACTCCATGCTTGCGTCACCGCATGGAGCTTCAGAGCAGTACATGTGCAAAGTCATGTCCTCACGCCACGTGAATGGCTGAGCATGCCATGTCTGTTTCAGAACAGCATCGTTGTCGCCGCAATCTGTATCGGCGGCAACCATGCTCTTCGCCCGACGGCATAGGAACAACGAGGAAGGATCAGGCTCGCTCGCGAGTCTTTTGCATTCGTCAAGCACGAACCGGTTAAATGCCCGGATCGCAAGCACTTCTGCATGCCAGTCGTGGATGACATTGCCCCGGGCCAAAGGTAGTTTGCTCGAAGGCAGACATTTCATCCCAGTACTGGTCGAAGCAGTCAGCACTTGTATTTTGGGGTTCGACCTTGAGCCAAGAATACTCACGCCACGGATAGACAGTATAGCTCGCCATCTGAAGCCTGGGCTACTATGCCGCTCAGGGGCACCCATTCGTGTAAGCCATTTCCTCTAACGGCAGGTCTCCTCTTTGCCGGCAATTTCTGGAATTCTTGTTGCACTAGATGCGCAATGCGCTCTGGGTCGACCGTCATAGAGACATGCCGTGAACCTGGAGATCCTGTACCACACCAGGCTGTGTCGAAGGGCGATGGACGTGGTTAATGATGTGAACGGATGCTCTTATGTCAGCAGTGAATCCTCGCCTTGAAGTCTGGAGATGCGCCAAGCGAAACATTCGGGCAATGACATCCTGGCCGGGCAGAGACCCACTCCAGACTGCGCTAGGTTGGCGCACTCAGCCACAGATGCAGCGCCGGCCTGAGACCCTAAAATGCACGCTTCAGCCACACCGAGCAATCGCGCGCACACAACCTCGAAATTTCGAAATTGTCAAGTCTTGACCCAGTCCCGCCGCAGAACAAGCCGCCCTCACCCAAAGGAACACGCGCCAACTAACCCCAACAGCATCACCTATCGACACCGAGGTTCTCACCCACCAACCGTCAAAATGAGAACTTACGAAGACACTTTCTCCGGTGCGAGAATCTACCCTGGCAAGGTACGACACGCCCGACGACTTTGACAATCTTTTTCGCAGAAGACGATGACCGGGGTTGGCGCACATGTCATGACGGACGGAAGTATGGCAGCGGCATTGGCAATCACAGAGAACGGGCCGGGGTGGATGAATACAAACCGCCACTCGATCGCGACGACAAACGAATTGCTCTGGCGCCGATAACGAACCTGGAAGTGATTTGGATGGAGGACCGTCTTGCCATACTGCCGTCTCGAATGCATGCCGCCATCCCCACGTCTCGTCCGATATGAAAGGCCAATCGGCAGTTGCACGACCTACCTCTGTTCAGTATGCTGACAGGCTTTATTCTTCTTCTGCAAACAGGGCAAGCTGTTCGTCCGTGGCGACAGCAAGATCTTCCGCTTCCAGCGGGGCAAGTCCGAGTCGCTCTTCCTCCAGCGCAAGAACCCCCGCCGCATTGCCTGGACCGTCCTCTTCCGCAGACAGCACCGCAAGGGTATCACTGAGGTACGACACACTTCCTGACACGTTTACAAAATACCAATCTCGACCTCTGAAGAGCTCTTGCTTGCTCTACGTCATTTCATTGTGTCCCGAGGAGAGAGAGAGAGAGATTGGCGTTTTTACCGCAGCACGGCAGTGGACTGACATGACACTCTCGCCATACAGGAAGCCGCCAAGAAGCGCACCCGCCGCACCGTCAAGTCCCAGCGTGCCATCGTCGGTGCCTCTCTCGATGTCATCAAGGAGAAGCGCTCCATGAGGCCCGAGGCCCGGTCCGCCGCCCGCCAGGCTGCCATCAAGGAGTCCAAGGAGAAGAAGGCCGAGGCTGCCGCCGCCAAGAAGTCCGAGAAGGCCAAGGCCGCCTCTGGCAAGGGCCAGACCGGCCGCATCGTCGGCAAGCAGGGCGCCAAGGGCGCCGCCCCCAAGGTCCAGGCCCGCACCCGCTAAAGCAAAGCAAAATGAGCCTCGATGAGAAGAAATACCACATCTTTTTCCCCAAAAAAGAAGAAGACCAGACATTTTTTTTGCGATCGGGACAAGGTGTTTCTTTTGTTTCACTGACAACAATGGGGTGCAAAACGGGATAAAGCAAACGGGTTCACAATGGATTTCTTGGGAGACTTTGAGAGAGCTCCTGCTTGACACAAAAAACCAATCAAGGTCTTCTTGCATGAAGGTGCATACGCCCTGGGGGAGGAGATGATGGCTTTGTTTGTTGTTGTCGCGACACGGAGTTTTACCCCCAGGGCGGGATACAAGGAGTAGCGGCGAACGGGACTTGAATGCCACATCATGACGAATTCACGCAAAGGCAGGACAGATCTCTCTCCACGTGGCGTGTCGGCATAGTGGTTGATGTGCCGCTGGCCGGACGCTCGTGGAACACGGCAATACAAACAAAAAAACAAAGCATCATATAAATGTCTCCGGTTTCGTTTGATTATCGTGATCTTACCCGTTCATGACCTAATATGTAATGACTGGATTGTATATTATTCATCCCATGTCAAACCGAACTGCCCATCTGACATTGCTCATAACGAGAGTTCAAACAAGGCTATTGGCGATGCTTGAAAGTAACGGCGACCATGTGCACAGCGAGAAACCACCATATCACATATTGATCGTCGGTTACGATCGCAGTCACCCGCAGTCTGCCATCTATGCACAAGCCATGATAGCAGGACGCTCAGACAAGTGCATCACTCATACAATACATCACCATACTTCTTCATTGACGTGGGCTTTTCTAATTGTCTTTCTTTGTTTTTCTAGTCCTTCTAAGGGAGATCCTGAGTTTTCCGCCCCTCTCTTCCCATCATGGCGCTTCTGGGGACGAAGCCACAGTTGCGATATGTGAGAAGGACCCAAAATCGAGAGAACCTCAACATAGAGAAACAAAGATTCCCCTAGAGCTTGGCGAGCACGGCCTCGACGCTGGAGACGTCCAGGGTCCTTTGGGGCTCCTTCTCGGCGTAGGTGATCTTGCCGTGGTCGACAACGATGGCGTAGCGCGCGGTGCGGGGCCCCATGGTCCAGCCGAGGGCCGTGCTGAACTTGGTCTCGTCGTCGGAGGCGAAGATCTGTGATTTGTGGAAAACACCGCCGTGCCCATTTGATCAGCGAATTGAATAACACGAAAAGAAATGGACGGGAAGAGGGGGGGGAGGAATGGTGAGGGAGGCGGAGGCGGAGAAGAAGGCGTACAATGTAGTCGTCGTGCACGGCGTTGGCCTTGCCCCAGGCGCTCATGACAAAGGCGTCGTTGTAGGCGATGACGACGACCTGGTCGACGCCCGACTTCTTGAGGTCCTCGATCTTGCCGATGAAGCCGGTGATGTGCTGGTTCTGGCACGTCGGGGTGAAGGCTCCGGGGACGGAGACGAGGACTACCTTCTTGTTCTTGAACTCTGCATAGTTGTGGAAAGATGATATCAGCTGACTGTTTGATTGATCTGCTTGTACTCTGTATTGCCCTTCGGGCTTGTGAGGGCTGGGAGTTGGGAGGAGTGGCTCGCGCACCTTTGCTGGCATCATATGTCGTGGGCAGGCCGCAGGCTGTGACGTCGCCCTTGTCCGGGGTGTAAGGCACATACGAGAACTTGACGTCCTCGGGGAAAGTGTCGCCGACCTTGAGAGCAGACATTGTGTGTTTGATTTCTGGCGTCTTTGTCTGATAAAGTTGACAATAAATTAAAGTGTCAAAGGGAAGGGGCTGTCAATACACCGAGATGGAGGGGTTCTGGAGGAGTATCGGAACCAGATGCGGAGCCGAAGGCCGTGGACCCTTGTGGCCAGGCTCTACTACAGGTTGTGCCTGATTACGACACAGAGGCACTCGACTGCGTGATTGTCGGACCCCGCGTTCTCGAAAGGTGCAAGCTCAGCTACAGCGCCAGCCACTCAGTGTGTCCAATTGCTGGGGCGCTATCTAGCTCCCCTAGGGGATCAGTGCGGGCGGGGTGCGCATGGCTCCTGCCAGGTACCGTTTGGTCAGCTTGGCGACACACAAACTAGATCTGCCCAGCTCGTGGTGCTACCAGGACAAGCCTCACGAAAAAAAAGATACCGGTTATCTCCCTGACACCTCGCAACATCATGTGTGCGTCTTCTCTCGACTGAAGATCTCCCGACCTGTCAAGATTTCCACGGCCAGGCATGGCGGAGAGCCCAGACCTTCCGACCATCTGCAAGACCTGTCATGCCGAGTCCCCCGCCCAGTTGGCACCAAATCCGGAAGAAAGTCGACCTGGGAAGGACTCATGTTGAAAAAACCCCGCAGGCTCTCAGCCGTGTACAATGCATACAAGTGGCCAGCCAGGCATCGTGCAAGCCTTTCCCTGGTCCATCTGATCCTAACTTCGGACGCAGTAAAGGTGAGGTTTAAAGATTTGGCGGCCGTGCACAGTGCTCTCTGCCTTGCAATCTCCACCACCAGATCGGGGCTTGTGAGCTAGCATCTCCACAGGGCCGTGCCAAGCCAGATCTATTGCAGTTGTCGATACAAAATTTTACAACATGGCCATGCCACGACACGTCCCAAAAGGCCCACGAATACAGCTCACGGTTGGAAAATGACAGCAAGGTGGCCAGACTGTTCCAGAAGTCCAGACCGCAGCCAGGGTTCCTCTTTACCCACCGTCATAGGGCCTAGTATAGTACAGACATCTATTGACAAATCCCTGCCACGGAGGCCTCGAGTGCCGGGACTATCGTGACGCCGGGACGACACCGGTTCAGGCGTGATCGGACCCTGGTTGCGGGACTAGAGTCAGTAGTTCCTTTGTTCCTGGCGAAACTCGGTGACAATGGGCGTCGGGCACGGCGATGAGTGCCTCTCCCGTGTAAGTGTGCGATTCTGGAATTACTGGAAGCTATCGGAGACCGTTCTGGAAGACTGACTGCGCTCATCGACGTATCCCAGCCGACCAGGGCCTCCAGCCGAGAACCTACCAGGATCCCTCTTGGCCTGGTTGAAAGCACACTCTCTGAAGCATCCAAGCTTTTGACCTGTAACAGCAACTTCGTGAAACGATGGGATGGTAAGTCAGTGTTGTTGTTCTAATAACCCAAGATGATCTCGCGAGCGGGGTCGCGAGATTGAGAGGGCACGGTTGAACAAGTAGGATCACGACGGCAGGGCTCAAGGCTAGGCAAGTGTCACATCTCGGCCAGGGAGCTAAAGGTTCAGACGAGCCACACCGGGTCGTCCACCTTGAGGTCGATCTGGTATGCAAACCTCATGACAATGATGTGCGTTGTGGTAAGCTAATCTGCCACCTCGCTAAGCGGAGCCAAGGGACTAATAAGAACCTCAATAGGTAGGTGATTGTGTGTGGACTGGCGGCGATGCCAGTTTATATAACAGCTTTGGCAGGTTTTGAAGAATGAGATGACTCTCCCTGTTGATACAACTTTCGGGGAAGGACTGCAGGACTAACAAACACTGACACTTGTGTTTGCTCCATTCGCAGATATTACATCAAATCAATCAGTGAACACCAGTCGCGGTAGTCAACTGGCTACTATGTATACAGACTCGGGTCCGACGAGAAGGCTGAGGAAGCCGAGATCCGGCTTGTCAATGCGTGCCGCTCAAGCGATGTGCATTCCCGCCTTCCGAGGCAATTTCCGGGCATCACTAACAACCATCCACATCCAATCACTGGTTCAGCTGCGCTGTGTTGAGCACGCTTATGCAGTCAATCTAATGTCAGTAAAAGTTTCGTTGCACAAATAGGCGAGTTGCCCCGTCTCTACAGAGTACTGCACCTCTTTATCTTGCATTTTGCTCCATTATGCAATTGCCCCATTCAGGCTGGCGCTTGCACTACCGGCGCGAGGGATAACTTAGAGGAGCCGACTTTCTCAGCCCCGACAGAGTGGGCGTGTCGATCTCGGTTGTTCTCTCCGCTCAACTATCACTGAGTTCCGATGACGATCATGCGTGGCTTTTCTTCACAACGGCTTTCCCTTTCCACAGTACAGTAAGTAAGCCCGCTCTAAGTGCCTGAACCAACGTGCGCCCTGAAGCACGGTAAGAGGTCAAAGCATAGGCGGCTATGGCTGTGGCATCTTTCTTTCTTTTGGTTCTACGCACGCCAGTGCGTGCATTACGTAGCAGGCGTCGACGCTGCGGTGCTGAATCGTCGCTTGCCTTACCGTGCAAGTGTGCATAGCTGAGCAGGGGGCCGCACACCCATTCGCGGAGCTGCAAGAGACCCTTGGCCGACCTGAGCGGAAACTAAATGAGGGAGAACAGAGTTTTCGCTTGGGGAGGGGAGCGAACAAGAGTGGTTGTTTCGCTATTGTGCGAGCCGCTATCGAAACGGCCGGACGCCGATCCAACTCTAAAGCCGTCACGCGAAGGAGGCGGGCGGGTGCTTGGCTGCGGTTCGATGTCGGATCCTGCCGCGCGGAACATCTCTGGTATTATGCCGTCTAAATGATGATGCATGTCCCCGGTCCAGCCTGTGGGAACCGGGGAGACATGCCTCTGAAGTTGGGCCGTAGCCCGAGTCTGTCGATGAGAAAGAAATGAGACAAAAAGTGCCTACGGCGCAGGCTGGTCTGAACTGAACACTGGCCTTGCGCTGCCAGGGTGTCTGCCTGGTCGGTCTGGATCATGCACTTCGAGGCTGCAGCGCCGGGTCTTTGCATTTGCAAAATTGCCATTACGGAAGCTGCCGGCGCAGCCTCGTGTGCAAGCGAGCAGCTAGCTGTGAGCTGAGTCGACTCAAATTGGCTGTAGCACAAGCAACATCTGACGCACGGCGCCCGAACCGGACAGCAATAACGAGATGCATTAATGGCCCGAAGTGCAGGCATGTAGATCTGGGCAGCAGGGGTCCCCTTGCTGCCGATCTTGAGGATGGGATGACAGCCAGGGTATGTGGACTCGAGCGTGATCCAAGTGCTGGCACAAAAGAAATGCCAGCACTGTCACAGAGCAATGCGACCAAGGCGGCAAGCCGTAATTGACCTCGACATCGGCAGCTCCGAATTGCCAGCTGGTCCCTCTGGGCTCTTGCAATCTCCCGCCCGGCGCTGGCGTCCCCCGTGGCCGGACGGATGCCTGAGAGCCGGCTCTGGATGGGCCACCTCTTGGAGCGTCGTCGTCGTCGCTCTGGCCGCTGCTGCTGGGCATGCGCATTTGAGTTCGGTGGCGCCTCGACTCTTGAACCCCCCACCTCGCTATCCTCGATCGAGCAGTGTGGCCCGCTGGGCCGGGTTGTTACCCGCAGCGGTTGTCGTTCCGCCCACAGCATGCCATAACATTGCCAGCCAGCCATGGCGCCGGCCTGGATCGCACCCTCACCCACCGCTGCAGGGGTTGCCCCCGGTGGCTGCCAGACTATCGGTCATCACTCAGCACTCATCACCACTCGATCTCTCTCTCTCGAGAGAGAGTGACCGCCTGGTCGCCCTGAACGCTCTCGCGCACACACACCTGCACTTACGTCAAGCCCACATGCATTGCCGAACGATCCATGGCGTTCAGCCAGCCGTGTTGGATGCACAGTTGCAGCCACGACCCGTGCCCTCCTCTATACTGAGGCACGACTGCCCTCTAGGCCGGTGATCTCATATGCCCCAGAGCCCTGGAATGCACACAGCCCGTTGGCCTCTGGTCTCCACGCAGCCGGAGCGGGCACAGGCAGTCACGGTGTTGCACTGGCTAGCCAACGACAGCCTGTAAAGCTCGCTTCATGCTTTAAGCCTCCCGAAGTCACTGCACATGGTGGAGAGACAGGCCATGCAATCTCTGTATCCAGGCCACGCTGCAGAGGCCAGCCCTGCCCTCCGACTGGCTGCCTTCCGCATATTCTCGTCCTCAACTGAGACCACAGCGCGCTTCCGGTTGACCCACCACCAGCCCGACTACCCTTTCGGTCTCTGCGTCTAAAGCTTTGTGCAACAACGGGGCTAAGACATCACGCCCGCAAAAAGTAAAGTTAGCAGCCGAACCCAATCTTTGCACAAGGGTATCCGTGCAGGCCCAGACTAACCTTGAACGTGACCCACGACGACCCAAGGCAGTCCAGGCTAGCAATACAAGGTCCGGCCTGATCAGTAGGGCCCTGAGGGTAGGATTATAACCTCTGGATTAGCGTGGGCAACATCTGAACCTTGAACTGCCCGTCTGCAGTATTTCATCTCCGCCAGGCCCACGCCTGCTTCCGTCCTGCCACTTCTGTAAAAGCCATCCTTGCCGCGTTCCATCTCGCCACGTTTCGTGGAGTTCTCTCGGATTATATTGTTGCCGATCGCGTTGGACAAGCAAGTCTCTTGATGCTACAGCAACGAGACAACTCGCCACCATGGGTCTTCTTCCCCTCAACTACCGGCGCCCTGCCTATGTAGGCAAGCAGCAGTTCAGAAACAGCACCACTTCCTTTGATGAGAAGGGCTCAGTACACTCCGGCCAGTCGGCTTCGTCGGCTGGCATTCCCGATGCCCTTGCTTTTGACAAGATCATCAATGGAGGCACCTGCCCAGTAAGTTGCCTAAGACAGTACGAGCTGAGCTGTCATCTCGTATCACCAACTGACATTTCTTACAGCCATGCACACTCCGGGACTTTATGAACTACTTGGTATACATTGAGCACTCTGCCGAGAACTTGCAGTTCTTCCTCTGGTACAGGGACTACAAGGAGCGGTTCATGTCGGCCGACACGGCAGATCTGTCGCTCGCCGGAGAATGGACTCAAGAGATGGAAGACGAGACCGTGGCCAAGCTTCAGAAAGACGCCGCCGAGCGGATGAAGAAGGAGCCGGCGGCGGCCGACATCTTCAAGGGCACCGACTTTGAAAAGGGTCGTGATGGCGCCATTGACAACAAGGACCCCTTTGGCACTCCCCCGAGGTCCGCTCGCAGCGACGACGACCGCTCCTTTGTGTCCGGAGCGCACTCGGCTACGTCCACGCAGCATACCAAAGCCAGTGATGCTTTCAAGAATGCTGGCGTCAAGCAGCCTTGTGAGTTTAAATATATTCTTGTGTGGTTTGACTTACGAGTTGTGCCGCCTCGCTGACAGTCTCAAAGTCACCATCCAGCCTTTCCGGTCCGAGGTTGTTCGTGTCATTACCACCTACATCGCGGAGGACGCCCCACGACAGCTGAACCTGTCTGCTCGCGAGCGAAAGGTGCTCCTCACGGCCCTTGCGTACACTACCCACCCGTCCGCCTTCCGCAGCGTCGCCCGCACAATTGAGAACACCCTTCGGCGCCAGGCCCACCCCAACTTTATCCGCTGGACCATCTGCAACGGCAACCCTGCCCGTGTCTTCTTCGCGCGCGGCCTCGGTGTTGGCACGATTCTCTTGTCGATCGTCGCTGCTCTAGTCCTCACATTGAGCAAGGCCGGCCGTGGATACCGCGCCATTCCTGCCATTGGCCTGGTCATTGGCATTGCCACGCTGATTGCTGCGTACAAGGGCATGTGTGTCGTGCTGCACGGCATGCATCACCGCCACGTGCGGCCATGGGAACTCTTCGCGGAGCACCAGGAAGAGGGCAAGCTTGACCGCAACAAGACGAGCTTTGACTCGTTCAGCTCCAGCAACAGCTACGAGGACGAGCCGTGGGTCGTCAAGTACGAGAAGCGCAACGTGGTTCGCAAGGTCTTTGACCGCGAGGTCTGGATCCAGGAGCCCGCCCTGCGCACCATCCAGGATACCATCTTTGTCCAGGCGCTGATCGGTGCGGTTATCGGTGCCGGCATTCTCACGGCCATCTTTGTTGCCGTGCCTGGCGGCAACTTCTTCTGAGCTCCCGCCGTCCCGTCACATTCCTTTACAAGTGTTTCAATTTTTTGTGTCTTGTTCTGGAGTCGTTATCTGCCCTTTCTATCTATACCCATGGAGTGAGTGTGTTGTGTTTTTCCTTGAGGGAGTTGTTTCTTGTGTCATTCGGGCGAACTCTCTTTTAAACGTACAAGCTTCACAGCTGTGGTCCTCTCCTCTGTCCATAATCAATAATTGCAAACCAAGGCCCCCCAGAGCTCGCTTTCTGTGAATCTTGATGACGCTTTGTGAAAGGAATCTTGGCGCGAGAACTCCCAACACGCGCCAATGTCCGTTCTTCTGAGCACGCAGTGACAGACGCTGTAGAACAGATTGGGGGGTTATGGATGTGTTAGTGTGGCATCTGTGTCGAGCCCCACAAGAGCAATTCGAAAGTGGTTGAGAAATTGATTCAACCACCATCATTAATAAACCATTCGTATTGGGTATGGCAATTAGGACATATAAATTGTTGTAACCAGGAAAGAAAAAAAAATACCAGGCCATTGGAATCTGGGCGAAAATACCACGGCGTCTGCAGCAGTCGTATTATGGCGAGAAACAGATGCTGAGCACCATCAGTTGACTGGTTGAGGCGCCGCAAATTGGAGGGGGATGCTCCATTTAGCCTGGTCCCCTACTCCACCACGTCTGCAGGCTCGCTCGCGTGCAACGGAACACCCCGCCGTGACTGAACGTAGTGAGCCTCTGGAGCGAACAACCAGCCGAGCCCCCCGGGAAAAACGTGGACAATGTCTCTGATCTCCTCCCGCCAGTCCCGCATGGCTTGATTGCGCGCTCTGCTCGACAGCCTCAACACCACTTAGCAGTAGCCATCGCGGCTGTTGCTGTTGCTGCTGCTGCTCCTCCTCACCTCGGCCATGGCCCAACCAGTACCCCGCGATGAGGCCTACCAGGCCGAGGCTGCGTCAGCCGACCGCGCCGACGACATTGCGACACCGCCGGCGGCCGCGACAGCAGCGATACGGAGGCCACGGACGGCGACCAACACGGCCGAGATTGACAGCACCATCCACCATCCCGGCTCTGTCCGCATCAACGTCAAGGGCGCCTTCATCGTCGACGGCAACGAGCCCGGCACTCCCGCCGCGACGACGTCGACCTCTGCGACCCCGTCGATCCTCGGCGACAGCCCGGGCCTCCCTGCCCACCACCTCGGCAGCAATGGCAGCAGCGGCTTCCACGAGACAAAGGACATCCGCCTGCCGAACCACACGGCCGTGGTGAGCCACATTGCCGTCGACATCGGCGGCTCCCTCGCCAAGCTGGTCTACTTCTCCCGCGAGGCGCACTCGCGGGAGCCCGGCGGCAGGCTCAACTTCCTGTCCTTCGAGACGGACCACATCGACGACTGCATAGAGTTCATGCACCACCTCAAGGACAAGCAGCTCGCGCTCAATGGCTCGGCGCCCTCGGACCTGTGTGTCATGGCCACCGGCGGCGGCTCGTACAAGTACTACGACCGGATACGGAAGCGGCTGGGGATAGATGTGCACCGCGAGGAGGAGATGGAGTGCCTGATCATAGGTGAGTGCGTTCTGATATACCTTTGTCGCCGCCTCGGAAAGGTTGGGAGAGAGGTACGGCATGGCTTATACCAGATATCCCTTCGTGTGTCTTTGCAGGTCTCGACTTCTTCATCACCGAAATCCCTCGCGAGGTGTTTACATACTCGGAGACGGACCCGATGCACTTTGCCGAGCCAGACGAGAACATATACCCTTACATGCTGGTCAACATTGGCTCGGGCGTGAGCATACTCAAGGTGTCCGGGCCGCGGACATATGAGCGCGTCGGCGGCACGTCGCTGGGAGGCGGGACGCTGTGGGGGCTCCTCTCGCTGCTGACGGGCGCCGAGAACTTTGACGAGATGCTCGACATGGCGGCGCACGGGGACAACACGAAGGTTGACATGCTCGTGGGAGACATCTACGGCACCGACTACGGCAAGATTGGGCTCAAGACCACGACGATTGCCAGCTCTTTCGGCAAGGTCTTCCGGATGAAGCGCGAGGCTGGCAACGACGCGGAGGATAGTGGAGGTTATACAGATAGAGATGAGACTCAGGTAGGCGGGCGGCCCCTCGAGGCGAGAAAAGGCGTCTTTGAAACAGGCAGTGATGCTAACACCAACCCAACATGGCAGAACACATCACGACAAGAAACACAAACACCGCAAGAGACGCCACCGTCACAAACATCATCCCACCCGCAACCCGCAGCAACATCGCAAGACTGGGCATACCCGTCTCCAACGCCAGCACCTGCGCCCGCGAGCCTGCAGCCGCCTGCCGCTGCCAGCACCACCACCAGCACCACTGATACGCAGGAATGGGCATACCCGTCACCAGCACCGCCCCTCAAGTCGAGCACGGCCGGCGCCGACCAGCAGCCCGACGACGGGTCCGGCAAGCGCTTCTCGAGCGCCGACATCTCGCGCTCCCTGCTGTTCGCCATCAGCAACAACATCGGCCAGATCGCGTACCTGCAGTCGCGCGTGCACAACCTCAACCACATCTACTTTGGCGGCTCCTTCATCCGCGGGCACCCGCAGACCATGAACACGCTCTCGTACGCCATCAAGTTCTGGTCAAAGGGGTCCAAGCAGGCCTACTTCCTCCGCCACGAGGGCTACCTCGGCGCCGTGGGCGCCTTTCTCAAGCGGCAGCCCCGCAACTGGGGCCGGAGGGGCAGCTTCGAGGAAGGAGGAGGCCAGGCGGGGGGGCTGGAGGCGAGGATGCGGGGCAGGACGGATGCCACTGGCGGCGGCGACTCGGCGAGCTCGTCTGGTGCTGCTGCTGCTGCTGCTGCTGCTGCTTCTTCTTCTTCTTCGGGTGGAGTGACGGCCGGGGGGGCGGCAGCCGGCGCGAATGTGGAGGAGGCAGTTGAGTGAATATGGAGGGCCCTAAAGTGGATGAGCTTGTGCGTCGATCAGCCGTGCAGGATGATGGGGAAACACAGGCGGACTTGTTTTTTTGCCAGGCTCGACGTGTCAAAACGGAAGGGAGTCTCGACATTTCTGTGTTCTGGGGGACACCCAAGCAACGAATTGTAAGCAATTGTTAGGGGGCGCGGTATATGCTAGTAGAGACAAACAAGCGAATTGGATACCCATTAGTTGTTTCTCTTGCCAACTTGAGATGCATGATTCATTTTCTCCTGTCCCAGACGAATCTAGAGTAAATTTCCGCTTGTCGCAGCTGAGAGAAAACAAAATGTGCATGAAAGGGGATCGGGTTAAGCTTGGAAGAAACAAAAACCAGAAAACCCGCAGCATCATTCATTAGCGACAGGAGATATCATAGCCCCCCCCCCCCTGGGGATGAGTGTAATGACAATGGCTGATCAATATCCCGCCCAGTTCTTCGCGCCGCCCGTAGAGTCACAGCTCTTAGGCACAGGCCGGCGTGGGCTTTGTAAGTACACTCGCGTACCTCTCGCTAGGCGTGAGTCGTGGAGTTCTTAGAGAGAACAAGAGGTGAACAATGCCATAGCCGTCCCATATCCCGTGGCAGAGGCGCGGTGCGTGGAGACAAGAAAGTGACAGGGCCGTGAAATGACGGGGGGGGGAGGGGGGGGGAGAAGAAAGAGAAGAAAGATGTCCAAGGCGGCAAGACGGCAATAAAGCAAGACTGGCAAGACTGGCAAGACTGGCAAGACTGACAACTGCACAGGAGGTGAGTGCCCATGCCTTTGGAATTCACAGCCTGCTTCATTTCAGAGGGTGTCAAGGGGCCCAGATTACGTGCCATTGAGATGCTTTTGTGCCCGTCCTGCGAGTTATGCTGTGGTAAAGCTGTCGGCTTGTTTCGAATTGCCGCAATGAGGGTGTTTTGGCACGACAGATATATATATTGAGATCCACGTGATATGCATCTGTCTGGCCAAAGGTGAGTGAACAGATTGACAAGAGTTTATATGAGGTTAGCAAGATTTGTCATTTTGAAGAGGAAGGGGGAAACGGTGAAAACTAGTATATTTCTTCTATTTCCTAGACTCATGTCTACATGGAAAATATTCAAGAAACCAGGGAGGTGGTGATGCGGAGGTTTTCATACAAAGTGGTGGCCTGGAAACTGGGAGAAGGGTTGAATGGATTGATAAAAGAGCCAAGATCAAAAGAAATTGAAAATAGCAACAAAGTTTATTGAGACTGATTTCATGCTACTTGATCTCCCTTTCTTTTCTATTTCTCAGTTCGCTTCTACATTATAACTGGTGACCAAGGTCTCTTTAGAGCCAGCGTGCATCACTCCAGTGTGATTGGTTGCCATATATGCCAGGCGAGATATGCCTTACCATGATGGTTGCCAGAATTACATTTTTGCATAGGTACAGGTATACTTTGCACTTCTTGCTCATCTTTTGATAGACAAAAACAAGGGCCTCAATTCACTCATGTTTCTGCACGTTCATCGAAACCCCATTGAAACACCATGAAATCCATGAATAGAGAGTTTTTAGCAATGACAACAACGACAAGATTAAACTACACATGGGAAGTTGAGTAAAGACAGCCAGACAGGCCCACGAACCATCCGTAGATATTGTCCTAACCTGAACGGAACCATAAACCTGAAAATTAAATCCATTCTACACAATACTCTGTCAATACAAATTGGCCTCACAACCATCCGGAACTGGTCATCAAGAAAATGGACTAGCTAGAGACACGCCTTGGCCCTTTGTGTGTAATTCCACGCGTTAGAAGAGTGCAGGCCCCGCGGAGATAGGACTTCTGATACGCACTGCCAACTCACACAGATGAAAAGAATTAATAAAGGGTATTAGCAACAATTACCACATCGCAATATCAAGTGACATGTCTCACTCCCTCCTTTTCCGCCACCTGCTTCACTGGTGGTTTATTCACGTCAACATATTCGAGATGTAGCATCAAGGACCTCGAAAGGCCGGTCAACTCGATATCCATACCAAGTGTGTTTTGCCTCGTGAAGTTGTGCGCCCACATAGTGCGAGAATTCCTTTGCTACCTTCCTTTCTGCGCAACGCGAAGATGTAGAAAGCGGGAGTGTGTTCTCTGTGCTCCAGGATGGTACGGCCTGCATGCAGGAAGCTCGAGCTGCATCGTGGGTCAGACAGACAGACAGACAGACCAGGTAGCAACCTTGTGAGCCGAGGCACGTTGACAGCAGCCCCATGTTCAGATAGATATGTGTTCCGCACTTTCCGCACGTGCTGGCGAGTGTTTCGCTTCCGTGATTGCGAAGCTGAGAGTCACAAAAGGGAGTACGCAGGAAGAAAAAGAAAACATACAAATGATATAGTCTGGATAGGTGGCTTTTGCGGATCTGTGACAAGGTATGCGAGGTTGCCTGGGTCTATGATATGTATCATTAATATGGTATCTAAGGGCCATGCTGCCGCCAAGACTATTTTTAACGCATAGCGTAATTAGACCTCATGACAGGGCTACCATTGTGCAGGCAGCTAAGGGCATTTAAGGATGGCCGCCACGTGAGCCAGGGAACCCAGTGTCGATCGCGCCGTTGAGGACAAGGTCCATTCGCGACTCGATCGATCAAACGCCTGCGAAGTCGATCTCCCGCGCCTTGATCAAGGTCCGATGAAACACGCAGAATACGTGCATGATCTGGTCCGATTGGACCTTCGGATATCTCCATGTCCTCCTAGGGACCGGTGAGGCTCTGTACAGGGTGTCTGTGGTACATGGGATGGATGGATGGATCCCTGGCTCCCAGCCGCCGCCACCGGAGCAGATCTTCCGAAGTGGAGCTCCCCCGCATATCACAGCGACCCCTTCTTTCTCTTAGGGTCTTCTTGTCTCTCGGATCTTGCCGACGCTTCCCAATGCCCAGGCGACTACCCAGCCAGCCTCGCCAGCCTTCAGCAAGTGGCACAGGCGCGCAAGATACTCGCAACTGGCTTGCGTGGGTCTCTGCGGTCAAGTCTGCTGCCCGGGCAGCATCTTCCGTCCGACGGAAAGAAAGCCTTGGAATCCTTGACCTCGTGTCCGAGCTTGGGGACGACGGCACCCGTTCTTGCCGAGCATCTCAAGATACCAGCGATCCAGGTTGCATGCATGTTAGCGACACTTTGAGGCACCAAACCAACGGGCAGCCACTCTGTGGCAACCCGCCAGACACGGGCGCGGAGGCACAGGCGGAAGCACACGCGACGATCGCAACTGGGCCTGTCATCAGCAGTCGCCGTTAATTGACGTTCCATGCAAATCGGGGACACCCGGCCAGATGAGAACCGTGTGTAAATAGTAACCTCAAAACGGTCACCAACAGAACCGTGTCGCGCTGGCCGGCGGTAGAGTAACGTAACATTGCTTCATCGGCGCACGACCAGGTCCGTCCGAAGGATCCATTTGACTCCCTGTTGGACCTCGCGGCCGGCGTGCTGCAGTCAAACCCGCAAATTAGTCATGAGAATCGTGTACAGACGTGGAGGGGCAACGACACTGTACACATACCAAAAGACAGTCGTCCCCGTGCTTGTGGAGCAAGAGCATACCGGCCTCTGGTGAGATGGCGATGGCCTCCTTCTCGACCTCGCGGTCGTGCGGGAAGAAGACAGTCTCGCCGCCCACACAGTCGTCCGTCAGGTATAACAGCATGGTCCAAGTTGTCTTGCCTGTAGTCTCGACGCCAGCCTCTTGTTTCAAGGTGACCACGTTGGCATCGTCGTCTGGCGGTTGGACGCGTCAGCTTAATATTCAATAGCGGTTCCAAACCTCCAACTTTGACAAAGTGGCGGCGTAATGGTCTGCGAGCATCTTTGTGCCTCCCCACAGCTCGTCTGGCTCGCGCGTCGGACGTTCATGTTGGTACTGGTCGCATCCTAAAACGATGCGATGGCACACGCCCGGTGACTTCACCTGACGAGGGTGGGACAAGCAGCGGAATGACCAGGATACATAGAGGAAGCAAGATAGGACCGCCTTGGCATGAAGGCCCCGAAGCATTGCATCAGGATGGTCTCTGAAACCTCCCAAGTCCTTGACTCTGGGAGGACAAGAAGATGTTGTACTCACAGTGAGAGTCGAAGAAGTGCCCTTTGCAATATCGGTACACTCTGATGTTTGGGTTGAGTCCGATGACTTCGCCACCCCTAACGACAATCTGAATCAGCTTAGGTTTAGACCCCCGCAGGCCGAGAGATTGCCACGGAGGTGCTTCTTCCTTGGCTGAACAGCTGGCCAGGCAGTTATGCCAGCATGCAAAACTCACAGGCGGCACGTCGAGTAGCTGTTGGCAGGGTAGGGTGGTCTCACCAAAGATGACGGAAGGGCTCGCGGAGGACGAGCTCTTGGATGCCTGTCTCAAGCCACAGCCGCTGTGCGAAAGCGGGATCCTGCACCTGGAATCGGTCGTTGACTCGGACAGCCTCGCCTCGCTTGGGCCGGCCAGGCGTGAGGGCCAACGGCAGGCTCTCGACAAAGGTGACGTAGCCACGACACAGACTCTTTGGCCAGAAGTTGCGGACCAGGGCAATCTTGTCAGCTAGCGCTGGCACGGGGAAGTCGACGTCGAGGTCCGCCACTGGCAGGCGAGGTTTGAAGGCGGGCCATGAGGGGGGCTTGCGTGCTGGGTCCTGGGCCAGAGACGGAGAGGCATGGGCCGGGGGCAGGCGTGTCTTCTTGGATGTCTTGTCTTTGGCCATGTGGCTTGCAGCTCTGTTGGCGCCAGGTCGGGCACCTCGCAAGAGTCGCTCGTTGTTGTGACTGGGGGTTGGCAACGTGGTTGGTGGCACTCCATGTCTGGAAATAAGGCTCTCAAGCGACCGACCACACAAAGGTGGGGTTGCAAGGATCTTGACGGGTCAAGCCAGAAGTCGCGTCCAGACAGATCAGCCAACCAACCACCGTTCTCCTCGATCAGAAAAGCAACGCGGACCCAGGACTTCTCAGTGCCGGCATGTTTTGGGTGCCTTGGATGTCTCCTTAGCCTGGATCCGTAAGAAGCCTCTGCCCGAACCTCGAAACACAGCACATCCAAATCCTGTCCGCACCATCTCACCCTGCAGAGGCCATGAGTTTCCGCTAACTTGGGGAGATTTCTGCCCATTGTCCTGGAAAAGCTCTGACCGCTGTGAGCCTCCAATCGCTTTCTTCCGCTGCTCCTTGGTTCTAAAATAGAGATGGACCACTCACTGAGCCAGTCTGCCGGGGATCTATATCATGAGATCCCTGTTGGTGGACTGGTTTCCGGCGAGGTCCCCACTGTCTGCCATGCAGCCTCCTGGCTGGAACACCACCAGTCCGGAAATCGCATTGCGTCACACTGGGTGGGCTACAGAACGGATGACAAGTCACCATGTGGCTCTAGCATTTACAGCAGTCTGCAGGGTTCACGTCCCATGCAGGACCGACGTGCCCCGCCATGCATACTTGGACGCAGTAATGCTCTCTTCGTGGACTGGAGGAGACGCCTGAGCTTTTGTGGCGTTTCTTCAGTGTCTTGAAATTCATCCAGGACCCGCAACCCGGTGTCCAGGGGACGGACGGGGCCAAGGCTCTCGAACTTGCTGCCGGTCCCTCAATGTGTACGGGTGCCGGCGGTTTGTGTAAATAGGCCGTTGGGAGTAGTTAATCAGATGGATCAGCGAAATACCAAATCCTAACCGCATCCCGGACCCTATGGATGACTTGCACTTATGAGTGACCAACCTCAAAACACATCCAGACGTCATTCTTGCAGTTTGTCCAGGACGGCACCGTTCAGTGACTCCGGGTTCGAAACATGAGTAAGCTCACGGGATACACGGAATTCTTGACCGTCATCATCCGCTGCCTCGATGAGAACCCCCCAGCTCCAGACATCGGCGACTTCAACATCTACACTGGGCCAGTATCGCTGCCTCTCAACGGCATCGCGACATCGACCGTCATCCAGTCGTTCTATGAAGCACGCCACCAGGCCATTCGAAGCAGCTGCCTGACTGCCGAGCGCAAGACTCTATGGTCGAAATTCGCGAGAGAAGTTGTCCTCGCTTACGCAGCAGTTTCATCACCGCCCCAGAGAACCGTCCCAGCCAAGTTTTTACAGAAGCCAATCCAACACATCCTTGATGCACTGGCAACTATCATGGAGTTGAGGAACCACGACGCACGATCCCCTGTTCGCATCGTGGAGTTGATACCGTATGATAGCGAGCAGGATAATGCCAAGGCGGAAGACTATTGGCGAGAAGTCAAGCTTGAAAGTCTACGGCCATGCCTTCAACTGGCTATTCGTCTTCTGGAGGTGATGATGCCCGATCGGATCGACTTCTGGGAGGAATACCGGGAAACATTGGCCAGCACAGAGTGGAAGGACACATTCATCAACGACTCCCCGGAATCGCGCAGGCTTACCCTCATGGGACCATCTGATCGTGCCGAACTTCGTGCACAGCTGCTCGCTGCGCGGAGGTGAGTGGCGCCTCTCTAGACAACTCGACATTGCCGGCTTCGATCCACCCCCAAAAGTACCATACATGCCTACTAAACTTCGGCATTGCAGCGATGTTCCACAGGGATGACGCAGTCTAGTCTCTCTGAGCGGGGCGATCACACACGATGGAACCAGTCGCGATTTTGCCGAGGAATGTGCAACAAAGCGAGCCAGCTCCTCCACGAGTTCCTGAGCGGAGTGTGGAAATAGCGCTCGCAACCTCGACTAGACACTAAGAACTGCGAACCCTCAGCTCTTCGTCTTGAAAAATCTGTCGGTCCTGCATAAATAGTCGAGAACAATAATCCAACTCCTTGCTGAACTTCACCCCTCTGAGCTTCGGTGTGACTGTGAAATATAGCAAGGCTGACCCTTAACAACAGTGCGCTGGCGGCTCGAGGGTGTGTACTTTTCACGCATTAAGACGAGAATTTGATGAAAGGTCAAATAGATATCTTCAGCAAGTTCTGAAGCCAGAGGTAGCTCCGGCGGGGCAAAGACATCGGCATGGCAAGACCGCGGAGCGGAAGGGGCGTATTGCAGTGGCTCACGGCGGCCGCGCAGTCTGAAAAAGCAATCCGGAGACAAAGCCGGTTCGTGCCACCTAACAAGGCCATTGTCTAGCCCTGGTCTGTGTTTTGATTGAATGCCACACACACATCCTCTGGCGTTTGCTTGTGATTCCCAAGGAGGGCTCCAAGTACCGTCCAACCGTAGCTTCAACCACGACCCCTCCCTGTGCGTTTCAGTGAGAGCTGTTGCGTACTGTGGATAGGAGCCTGTGGATATCTGCACTGTATCGTGATGGGTGGTATGCTGTGCCGAAGGTCTAGCTGCCCTGCTATTGGCTTTGCCAGTATAGCGTCATGCTGGCACAGGGACGGTTCCTGGTGCTGGCTCCGCCACAATAGATCAGCCGCAGGAGAGTCTCAAGTGGAACTTGCAAGGTCGTCGTGGAAGCCTGGCTTGTGCTAGTGCAGCGAGTCCTCGGCAGAAAGGGTGTCTGGTGCGGAACAGACAGAAGGCTGTTTGGACTGCATCCACGGGACCGTGGTGGACCTTCTTATACTTGACGGAATGAAACCGGTGAGAAATCACTGCCAAGCCATAGCCAACGATTGTCGAGGGATGGCCCCGGCACTGTTACACTTGTCCGCTCGGCTGGCCAATCTTGGTGTACTCAGTGGTTGGGCCAGCTTGACCAACGAAGGGATGGCTGCACGTGAGCAGTTACCGACAGATCAGCTGCAGCCACCATGACATTGTGTGTGTGTCGCCGGTCCTGTGCCGATGTCTCTAACATTTGACTGCAGGTCCCCTAAGTCGGCGGGATAGTTCCGGTACTTCTCCTGTCCTAAAATGTGAGCCGATCGGCCGCGCAGGAAACGGTACTGGGCCTTCTAACCATGGGTAGGAAGGGCGATAGGAAAGCACCCGAACCTATCGCTAGATGATGCTTTTGCTTCTTCTGTTACAGACTGCGCTACCGAATTCAATCCATGTCGGGCAGGGTTACTGTTGAGCGGTGATGGCACACAGAGAAGGGAGGGGAGGGGGTTGGGAACTGCACAAAGCCCACGAGAAGTCCAAGGAAGATGGCATGCATGGAACGCTTGCAAATGCTGGGTTATTTGTGAACGGCGGCGACCTGGAGCATCGTTGCCGATTGGAAGAATGCAGGGTTAGTGGATCCGCTCCTGCCAGGTTCCCCGTGTGGACCCTTGCACCGAAAACGATAGCCTTCCCTTCTGCCCTCTCCCACCCGCGATGGGCAGACCAGCCCACATCTTCTCACCATCAACGCAGCCTCTGCACCTGCACATGCGCCCACAATGTGGTCCTTCGGCACCACCATGACCATGGCGGACGACAAGCCGCCTGGCAATGGCCCTTCCGCTGCACCCTCGGCTCAAGCCACGCCTGTTCCGACGCAGCAGCCTTCCCCCCGGACCGACAAACCCGAAAACACAGTGGCACAGCTTCCTCCACGAACCAAGTCCCCGTTCTTCTCGCAGCGGTCACTGTCCCAGCTTGGGCTCTTCGCGGCGGGCGCTTCTTTCCTGGCGCTCTCCACCCTCATCACCCGACGCGCGGTCTCCAGGAAGCTCCGCATAACCAGGCCGCACTTTTACACCCAGAGCAACCGTCCTGTGGACAAGGTCGACTCTGATGGCTCTCTGATCGCAGTCGAGGCCCTTGGCCTTGCCACCTTGAACGTCGTGGGCTTCGGAATCATGCTGACTGGTGGTATCGCCTGGGGCTTCGATATCTCGGGCATCGACGACCTACGAAGCATGGCACGCAGACAGTTCGGGCCAGCTGGTGGCCGGACTGACGAGGAAGCGGAACGAGAAGTCGAAGAATGGGTGGCCAAAGTGCTACTTCGGAAAGACCAGAAAGAGCAGGAGTCGAACAAAACAGGCCCATCCACAGAAAACAAATCTCAATGATTGTCTACCAACTGAACACAACTTGTCTCCAGCAGGGGCAATCCCCAGCAAGGCCTGAAACTCGTTCTCGCCAGGCAAGCAACGGCCCTCCGGCAACACAGCAAGCCAGGCACCGCAAACAAGTATGCTTGGGGGCATGGGCACTTCACTCCACACGCAGCAATATTCGCCGCCAACAAGAGCTTGCCTTCGTGTCCACCGTGAAGAACGACGCCTGCCGACGACTGGTAAAGTTTCTACAGTCGCTCCTGATCAGGTATGCCGGTGGTACTCCAAGTCCCGGCCATCATGCGGATTGTTGTGATGTCATCAGCATTGAAACGGAATACATGGAGGAAATATCTAGAAGTGTTGCAATGAAGACCATGACGCAAACGTCGTCGTCCAGCTTTGTCGCGAGTTTATGCAACCTTGATGCACACCCATCAGAGCTCTTGACTTCTGCCCGGAATGCGGAGCTTGATTGTGTGTCAGTTCCAGCTGAGCGAGTCCACAATCTTGTGACGAGAATACCAGTACTGCAAGACACCCGACCAAACCCTTGGAGATAGAGTTGGGCACTCAGCACAGTACAAGTTTTGTAAAATATAGTTGACGCCCACACAGGCTACGCCACCCACTCCTTAGGCATGTATGCTAGCCGGGACGACCAAAAATGCTGCTCGAGTCGGTTCGTACCATTCGCCGTATACTTGCTTTTTCTGGACTTCGACAGCGACGACTCCTTGCAGAAGCCAGGGCAAGAGAATTGATGATGGCGGCCTCATATTTTGCAACCTGAACCCCTTGCTTGTTTTTTTGACGACGTTGCTAAACAATGGCATGCATAAAGCCTTCCACTGGTCGCTCTTTGGGCGAGGCTTTCATCCCTTAGCTGGCGATACTTCTTCTGGCAACCGCCTTTTTCTCTCTCCCCAGCTTCTGTTACAGAATATGGCAATCTACCACATTTCTGTTCGCGACTACTTCTGGCCTGCTGGTAATGTTATGGTTCAATGTCCTGCACGGAACCTGAGTGCCACTTCCAGCCCTCCAATAATACGACCGTTGGCGGGGGTGAACAAGGGCGAGCCAAGATTTCTTGACAGCGCGGGTAGCCTCGAAGACCGCCATGACTCAAGACCATATTTGACGGAAGCCCATGGAGTACTCGTCCCAGCAGACTCGGCTTTGGATCGAGTGCCCATTTGGGTCCCGTTCCGACAACAGCCAGCGAGACAGAACGACCCGCCCGTCAAGAAACACGACCGAACGCCGCTTCAAGCAACCCCCGTCGAGACTCTGTTGGCGGCAGACCTCACAACGTCAACACAACTTCAAGTGCCTATGGACCAGATCTGCTGGGTCCCCACCCGAGAAGCATCAGATGGCCGGATATGTACAATCATTGCAAGCCAGTTGACCGTCGGGCGCAAGAATATGTCTCATGTGCTCTTGCAGTCTATCGAATCACCCGCATCCGCCAAGTTTGCATTGCTCTCCACGCAGGAGCTGTCCGAGTTCTCAGAAATCGACAACAATCGCAAGCAGCAACTCTTTGAGGTTCATCTGATGATGGTGCTGAGGGGAAAGCGATCCTTGTCTCCACCCCTCAAGAATGCCCTCCGGCTTGTTTTATGCTCCCATCCACGGGCCGCGGCCAAGCGACTATTCTGGGACGCACTGGATGACACGACGAAGACGTCGAAATACCTGGGATCGGAGACTAGCGATGACACCTTTTGGGACGAGCTCGATAGTGACCACGAGTCCGTGTTCAACAGCCCCGGAAGTTCCGTAGCAGTTGCTCCGTCCCTCGTGAGTATTGGCCCCTGAATACTCATGTCCCCACGGCTTCGTCTCCAGACACTCAGGGTTTTTCCAGACTAATCATCACGTCTCATGGCAGCCTCCTTGCAAATGTGCCTTTCCGCTCCTTTGTCCAACTGCGGATGATCCCTACCCCCAACATCGACACATACTCAACCATGAGTGCTATGGCGGCGCCCAGCATATAGACCATTGCGTTTTTGCCAACCACTCCCCGACAGTATGCGTCATCCCATGGCCTCAACATCGTCATTGCTCCGTCCGTCCACTGGCGAGATTTGTGCAGACTCCCTGCTCAGTCGCATCGAAGTCCGGCCTTGCCGACAATCTTGGTACTGACGTCCCGGTCGACCACGCACGGCAGAATAGATCGCCGGCTCACACCAGCGATGCAGCAATCGACTATGGCTGTTACAGGGGAATCACTTACAGTTTCGACAACACTCCTCCAGCTAACGTATGGGAGGAGACGTGGATACTAGATGAGAACTTGTTTTTTGAGGCTGCGTCAAGCCTCAAGGCAATGCCACTGTGCAGCCGGGTCATCTCTGATACGGATGACGAGTTCCTTGCAGCTCTGGCCGAGGGGACGCTGCCAGATACAGATGTTTCAGCACGCCATAACAACCTGCGGTATCATATATTTGGCAACGATGGACGCTTTTCACCAGTTCCGCCAGATCTATGCTTGTAGTATAGCCAACAACAATACAGAAGAGGCATCCCTCGAGATTGCGACAGCAGGCTTCTCTTTCGCTACTATGAGGCTTGCGCTCCAGATCGGGCAGAGTTCAAAAAGCAGCGCGCCAATTTCATTTCTCCAGCAGACCACTGCAAGCACCTTCGCGATGAGGGTACCAACTCGGCTGATGTGTTTGGGCGCCTCCCAAGTCCTCTTGGATGAGGGCCGGCACGGCTCGTACCGGCGACCCTGGAGTCAAGCGGAATAGTTTCCGGTGGTCCTCATGGCCACAAGCCACGTCGTGATAGCTTGCAAATCGCTCCCTTGCCTCGATTCCACACCAGAGACTTGGCAGTCCAGGTTAAAATCAAGCGTTGCGCATTTTCGAGACAAGCATGCAGAATGGACCCCGCCCAACTGCGCAATCGCCAAGAAAGAAAAGCAAAAGAAGAAAAAGCAACGTCCCCAAATCAGCAGAGACCACTCGTCACAAGCGGGGCCCTGCCACAAGATCAACATCGGGAGCAGTCAGCTGTGGTCCCTTGTCTCTGTTCAGCGGGTCTTCCAGTCGTGTTATGCCGTCATGAACATGCCGCGATGGGAACATGACACGATGGGGGTCGGAGAATGCCTAGCGGACGGCACATAGACGAGACATCAATGTTGGGCTCGGAATGCTCCCTGGCATCCTCCTTGCGTCCGCACCGGGCCTCTTCCCGGCCAGTCTGGTTGGCTGATGCTTGGGAACAAAGATGCATCCGAGACAGAACCCGAGGGCGCAGCATCGCGGACTCGGACCTATCTCCGTTGGCGCATCTCCACAACGGCCCTCACCTCACCCTTCACGCCCAGTCTCGTGGGCCAGCTGAACAAGCACTTTGGCGCTGGGACACATGCCCCGTTGACTGTAATGTCCCAGCCTGATATTTCATTGCCGTGAGTAGCGCAAGGGACCGCCCACCACGGCAAAGCGGCACATTTGGAGCCGGATAGTTGGGGCCCCAAGGGATGTCTCACTGCCGGTGCAAAACGTGCTAAAGGTTGGGTGATGCGGCTGAACCCTAAGCTGGTGAAGAAAAAGAATCACTGGCAAAGACGTCCTAACAGCAACGATGGGATGGTACTCTGGTGTAGACTACGTGACAATCATCTCTTGTCTTCTGAGCATGTCTTGCATGTTGGGCGGCGACGAGAGTTCGACTTCATGACACCACACGTAGGCAAGCATTGCCGTACAGAGCAGCAAATAGGGACGACACCTCATTCCCAGAGAAAACAAAGACCACCAAGTACTTCATGCTCCGGCATGATGCAACTCTCTCCCCTTGCAGATGTGCATGATGAATCCCTTCACCGTATTTGGTCATGCCAACGGAAACAATGGTGCAAGTTGCGAGGCCCATCACTTTCCGTGAAAAGCAAACTACCCAGCCAAGCATGCCACGATTCGGAACTGTTGGTCCACACAACAAGGCACGAATCGGCCTGATGGCTCCCGCCACTCCCCGCTTCGTTTCGTCGCAGAGGACGAATGGCCTATTCGCCTCTCCTGCTATTGCTTTGCTTTCCTTCCTACTGCACGATGACCCCCGTTTCAGGACTGCAGAGATCGTCACTGTCCGTGTTGCCATCAGTAAAGACCATCCCCCCCGCGGGAGGGGCGAGACGAATCTGGACAGTTTTGCAGTTGTATCTTTTTCCCAACACGGCAGAGTGCCATCAAGGTCGTGGGGCTTATTTGATATAACGACCCACGTTGGGCCGTCAAGAGTGCAGCAAGTGTGGATAGAGCGCGGCAAGACATAGTCTACTTGCCACCAATCACGGATGACTGCATGTCTTTTAGTTGGTTTTCTATCGCTTGTAATGTCGTTTGTGTCGTGTCGGGCGTCAATGGGGATCCAGATAAAAAACAAAGCGACTGGCCCAGGACTCCGGTCCGAGGCAAAGGTGGCTGGCTATGCGTTGCTCCGTGGGGATTTTGATGTCCCTTCCTTTGTCGTGGACATGTACACCTAGAACGGACCTTGGGTAGTTCCTGCTTACGCTTGTCGTTCGTGGGAAAATTTCACGGCTCGATGTGGAGGACAAAGAAAAAAGGTCGGTCATCTGTAAGAGTCCCCTGTCATACCTAGTCTTCTGGACCGTGTGGACGCATCACAGTCAGAGAGAAACAGAACAAGACAGGGCGTGTTGGGCGAATTTGGGAAATAACCCGTTGTTGTGATGATGTAGAATGTGTCGAACCAGAACACGGGCCGGAAACAACGTATACGCAGACAGTGTTCAACAGGATTGAAGATTCATTCATTGTCTGACACGAACAGTGCCAGCCATGATCATGTGCATTGATAACCTATCATGTACCAGCTATCTAGGCTGATGCGGCCGCTCGTGCAGGTGACTGGCACAGTGAGCGAGAGGGCGCCCTCCGCCTGCACCCTGACTAACATTATCTATTTATGGCAGAGCTGTCTGCCTTGGTCCAAACCATGTGACGTGATTGAACGTGGCACATGCATATTTGAAGACTCTCCAATCCACGGGCACATACCCATTTTCTTTCTGAATGTGGATGCCTCGTCGAGAGTAAGAGGAGCGTGTTGCAATCAGATTCCAAAAAGAGCCGTTGTCCAGACTATAACGAGACATGAATCTCGAGTCCTGATCTAGGCTCTTTTGTCACCCCGAATTGTCGCCTTGATACTTCCGCGTCCGTTGGTGGCGGGGCGTGTCCTCTCTGACATGTCGTGACAATCTTCCGTGGTCAAAGGCGCCTGCCCTGATGATTGAGCCACGCCAATCGTGCGAACGCTAGGTCTTGAGCTTCGCGCGAGTCCTTCTACCATATCGTCTTGAAGGGCTCGAGGCGCTGACCTTTATTGATCGAGAGGGGCTGCAACACCGCGCGCGCGTGTGCTGCGTTTCAGGCCCCAGGAGAGCGGCGTGGCGAGACAAGATGGCAATGTCCTAACTTGTGGGATGCCCCCTTGCCCATAGGCGGTTGTGGAAGCGTGACTGGATATGTACCTCGAGACAACGACTGCCTCATTTCGCGCTTTTCCCTTCCTTTGACTTCTTCTTGTCCTTATTCTTCTTGCTCTTCTTCGACTTCTTGGCGGCTGGCTCGCTCTCGGCCTTGCTATCCTCGGCACCCTCCTCGCCGGATGCCTCGGTGGACTGCAGCGGATCGCCGGCTTTGCGCTTCTCGCCCTTCTGCTGCCGCGCCTGGAGAGCGGCCTTGGCCCGCTCCTTTGCAATCATCTCTGTGAGCTGGGTGTTTACCTCGCTGTTGTCGGCCAGGTCTGCCCTGATGAAGCGGATCGCCGCTTGCTTGTCGAGCTTCATGTCTGGCTTTTGTGGCGGGTTCTCAATGTTCTTGATCTTCTCAAAGTACTGGCGGACACGCGTGAGCTCCTTGAACACAGGATGTTCCTTTGCGTCTACGCTGTTGAGCCGCAGGGCAGCTGGTGATTACGGTCAGACTTTCGTTGGTCTTTCATTACAAAGTGTGGGAAATGAGAACTCACAAAAGAGCATTGACTCGATTGAGTATGTGGCAAGTACGTAGAGCTTGGCCTTGTCTAAGAGAGGCAGCTTGGCCGCGACGTCTGCTAGGCTGCCAAGTAGAGGTTCGAGGACATCCTCGAGGTCGTCAATCTCGCCATCCAGCTGCTCCAGCTGAGGCAGGATGTCTGCAACGTCTGCCATCGTCGCGTCAAGGGAGCTGCTGGTATGTGGTTGGCGTTCGGTAGATGGTTTTGCTGAACTAGTAGTGTCTCTGCACAGCTGGAGCTTTGAACGATAGAAGGCCTAACCTTAGCTGAGGAGAACGGGTTTGAATACTACGTGAACGTGTTATTCCTCAGTCTGGTCGGCGTGCTGGCTGGTCGTGAAGCAATGGGTCGGCCAAAAAGTTAGCGGTGGTCCCTGGCAGAACATGGACGCAGCACGGAGTGGAAGCACCCTGCACCCTTCCATCACAAGCTGCATGCAGTTAGCGGGTGTCTGGATCCAACCGGGGCGCGATCAAGCTGCTCGTCCAATCAGAGTACGCAGAGCTACCCGGCGGGCACCGACCCGGCTTTTGCCTGCTAAGTTGATTCGACCAAGTCTATGAGCAGCAGACGAACCTCGATGCAGGCGAGAAAATTGCCCCTGCTCTATCTACCCTTGCCGCCGCAAGCCAAAGACGAATGCTCTCGTAGTCGTGACAACGACCCTTCACCACACCACCGCAAGGACCTGACGGTAGGCCTGCGTGCACTCATCACTGCTCATCCACCAACGGCTCCCACGCCGCCACCACCTGCACTCACAACCGCCCTGCGAAAATTTGGTAACACTCGCGAATGGTACGCCACGACCAGCGAGGATCGGCCTAAGCCTTCACCTCGATCGCCAACGCCTCGACCGCCGACACGGGACATGAGATTCTTCCAATAAGAGCCAGTTCAAGCCACCCATCCTGTCTTCTCACATATATCGTCACCCGCTCTCGCGGGCTGTTTTGCGCATATCTCACAGAGCTGCGCCATGGAGCTCCGGTAGCCTCGACTCCGGCCGGGGGGCCATTAGCCTGAGATGCTGTCGAATGATTACGACGAAGCCTTCCAAGTCAGATCCAGAGAAGCCGTCTCAGCGCAAGAAACGCTTGCATGTCGACACACAATCGTCGTCGCCGGCGCTCTTCGCCCCAAACCTTTTCAGGACGCTGGGGAGCGATTATAGGGAGCAAAGGCCAGGCCTGCCGCTCTGGGGCACTCCTCCACCACCTCCAGAATTGTTGGAATCGTCGCAGGACGCCCAGAACGCTCCGAGCAAGGACGATGGCAGCCCAGAGGGGGGTTCAGCGGAGCCGTCCGATGTCGTGGACAAGGCATCGATTCCAGAGCAGGCGCCAGTCAGAGACGACACACGCCGAGGTCCAACAAGCAGAAGTGCTGCGGAGATAGCGAGTGACGTGACAGTGCCTCCAGCCGGCACGCCACCGACAGCAACTGTTCCTGCCCGAACAGCAGACCAGTCCGCAGCACCACTTTCCGACCGAATCCATCTTGGTGGTTTCAACGTCCACGCACGGTACCTGCTGCATGCCCTCGTCGGGCTCGAGGGACTGCCGCCCGTGCAAGTGCTGACACAACACCACCAGCCGTCTGTCGCGTGGGCGAAGGAGGGTCGCTCCATCAGTGTGCATGACCATCAGGGGAACCTGATCTCTGCCCGGCCATTTCCATGCCCCCAGTATGTCGGTCCGCCGAAGTCGAAACTGCGATCGCTCGGCTCCTACGGAGGCAAAGCGCCTACGATAGACAATCTCTTGGTAGCACTCGACGACTGCTCCGTGGAACCATTCATGCGCAATTTGAAGAGGTCAATCACGAATAACACGACTGTATGCCTCCTGGGGGATGGTCTTGGCATGATGGAAGACCTGAATGCTCGTGTCTTTACCGACCCGGCCAGTCGACCTCACTACATCCTGGGTCTTTCCACTCATGAAGTCTCAACACACTCTGGGACCAAGGTGTCGATCCGCCATCGATGGCACAAGCGTGGCAGTGCATTGTATCTCAGTACCCCGGTCGAGTACACGTCGAGTGTGCCATTTGACAGACTGGATTTGTCGCCGCGATCTCAGCACCTGCTCGACATTCTGTCCAGCAGCCCTGAGCTCGGAGCTCGCCGGCTTCCATGGAATCGCTTCATTCAGCGCAAGCTCCCTGGCATGATCCACTCATCCCTCGTCGATTCTATCTCGGTAATGCTGGGATGCCGCTTCAACCAGATTGCAGAAAGAAAGCATGGCCGGTCTCTCTGGAACACCATGCTCTCCGAGACGCTCCGCATCATCGCGGCGATGCCCGAGGTCGAACCCGAGGTTGCCAGGTACTTCTCTAGCCAGAAGTTCCGGCACGAACTGTGGGCGAAACTCAACCGGCAAGGCAGCACATATAGCCGATGGATCAGTCTCATCAGGGCAGGTCGGCGTCCTCCGGTGGACCACATCAACGGTTACTTTGTCCGCCGGGCTCAGGAGCTTGGCGTCAACTGCAAGCACAACACCACCGCCCTGTCAGTTGTCCAGTTCAAGTATTCTCTGCGACGGGACGAACTGTCCAGAGATGTCGGCCTAGGGTTGAAACCCTACATGGTCGATGGCGATAAGCTTGGCGGGCGAGAAAGTGGTGATCGTGACGATTTTGAGCTCGACTTGTAATGGTCTTTTTCGTTACAAGAGGTTGCCGGCGTGGCTGATTGTGGCCGTGGAATCGGCTTGTACATATATACATATATATTCCTTTGAGCAGCATTGGCTTTGTTCAGCATTTACGGGCGGGAACGCGTAGAGCGGCGTTTGACAAGGCGGTTGACGATTTCTGGCTCCTGGCATAAGGCCAATTGGCGTTTGGCATGTACTCTATAACTATACATTTGCATGATCAGAAACAAAAATTAGGATATGAGAAGAGAGCTGTAGAATTGGAACGTCCGGAGTCTAGACGTCAAGTTGTGTTTTTGAATGATGAATGCCGCTTCTGGTTTTACTGGTGAAGCCTCCCTGTTTCACCAGTAATTGTGCGTGATATCTAGATGCGACTCCCATGCATTGCAAACCTGCAAAAGTAGCAACAGACGGACTTGCCATACTGCAAAACCATAGGAAAAGGGTTGCGATGTTAGTGGGCAGCTCCAACACACCAAGGCTTGCTTTACCTACCCCGGGACCCTCACCAAGCTCCAAGCAACCCCACTTACAGCAACCACTTCTGCGCAAGGCAGTCATTCGGCCTGGCGCCCCTCCTCCTCCTCCTCCGGTTCCCTTTCCCAAGCCAACGACGTGAACACTCATAAAAGCCTGCTGCGACCTCGACGCACAAACTACGGACGCAGTCACGCGATACACACACGAATGCGCGGGCATACTTGCAAATACCCCGCAGCACACACGGCCCCAGCGAAGACGAAACTACGAACCGAAACAGACGACGTATAAACCATGGCTGACGACGAACTCGAAGCGGTACGCTTTATATTCTCTCTCTCCCTCCCTACTCTCGTGGTGGACCAAAAATATGGATGGGATGGTCAGGAAGGGCAACACGGCCGATGTTAGAAAGGCTTAAAGATTCACGACTGGCGACAACCCCCTCCAACCCCGGTTGGCGGCGGAGCCGGGCCACCATACCACGGGACACTGAGAGCTGTGAAGGCGGCACCGGGGGACATTTCTGAATATGCAGGTTTGAATACTGACTTTTTGGGGGGGAAACCTTTTCCACATCGTTCTAGATCCGCAAGGCTCGTCTCGAGCAGCTCAAGCAGCAGGGCGGAGGCGCCGGAGGAGGCGGCGGTGGTGGCAGCGGTAGCCGCGGCGGCGGCGGAAACCCGGCTGAGCAGCAGAAGCAGTACGTCCTATCTCGCATTTTCGCATTTGTAGAAAAAACGGATGCCGTGCGCCACAAAGCCCATCAGAGGGAGACGCTCGACTGAGGGTGGCCTCTCTAATTCCAAAGGAGTATAAGCTGACGAGAACCCCAAACACAGGCAAGAACAAGAAGCCCGCCAACAAATGCTCAACCAGATCCTCTTACCGGAGGCGGCCGACCGCCTGGGCCGGATCCGGCTCGTCAAGGAGTCGCGCGCGACCGACGTCGAGAACAGGCTCATCATGCTCGCGCGGACGGGCCAGCTGCGCAGCAAGGTGACCGAGGACCAGCTCAAGGACCTGCTGAGCGCGGTGGCGGACCAGGGGAGAGAGCAGCAGGAGAAGATTGTGGTCAGTCGGCGGAAGGGGTGGGATGACGATGACGACGATGACTTGTTTGATCTGTAGTAAATGGCACTGGGCAATTGTGGGAGACTCGAGTCGGAGCTGGGAATATGGAGCCGTATGAAAGGTCCCTGGAGGTCCGTCGACCAGGAAAGCAAACGACTGTGTGTGTTGTGCTGGAGCACTAATTAGTTGGCATTTTGGACAATTTCGGGAACTCGACGGAGGACTGGCCAAAAGCATGGCAAGGCGTTCTACTACTTGTACATTTATTTGTTAAGCCCGCTCATACCACGAGCAGAAACACTATGATACACAAAGGTGAATATTTACACTACTCTCGACACACAACGGAAAGACGCACAACCTAAGGGTTCCCCCAACATGGGTTTGGCTATACCTTCCTGTCGGGAGTGACGATATCAGCCCGTACAGCCTCGACCGCCGGGTTCGTGGTCGTTGCATCAACCTCCTGAGCGGTCACAGCACCCGTTGCCTGCTGCTGCTGCTGCTCCTGCTGTAACTTCCTCTGCCTGCGCTCCTCCTTTTCCCGATTCCGTATATCCCTGAGATCCGGTGGCTGCTCAATGCCCAGCCTTCTCCTCAGCTCATCCACATCCGTCTCCATCTCCTCCTCCCAGTAGACGTTGATGACCTCTTGCCCGCGCAGCCCGTTCTTGAGCGCCCAAGGCCCATATACGCGCCAGAAGCGCTTCCTCTCGGCGGGTTTCAGGGTGGTGACGCTGAAGACGCTCATGCCCGTCATCGGCAGCACCGTATTGGCAAACTCGAACGCCTTGAGGGCGACCTCGCCCTCGCGGACGACGGGGAGGCCGGTCAGGGCGTGGTAGAAGTCGTGCGACTCGCGGTAGCGCTGCATGACGTACGCGCACTCCTCGTCGTCAATGTACCGGACCGAGGTGCGCGTGTCTGGGGACACCCCTTCGCGGTCGAGCCAGGCGACGTAGGTGCCGCCCACGGTGTTCTTGGGCAGCGTGCGCAGGTACGGCAGGTTGAGGGACTCTGAGGTGATGCGTGGCCGGTCGCGGAGGATGCGGCGACCCGTGGGCGAGGAGAGCATTGCCCGCCGCAGGCGCTCGATAAAGTACGGGCTGGCGGTGGTCTCGCCGAAGATGGCAATCAGGTCGCCACGCCAGGGGTTGAGGAAGGACATGACGCCGGAGCCGACGGCCATGGCGGCCTTCTCGAGGCGGGTGAGCGGGACATGGCCGGGGTAATTTGGCGGAGGCCGGTTGAGGACGGAGAAGCTGCGATTCTGGTAGGGTGTCGTTGTTGTTGTTGTCCTCGCTTGACGCGATGTTCTGTGTTGACGACTCGAGATTGAGGCTGCTGGTGCTATCGAAGATACACATCGGCTTGTGCGGCTGGCGGCGCGGAGTGTGGCCGATGTCGTGGCGGGGGACTTCATTGTGGTGGCGTTGACGAGGCGGGAGACATAATCGTGCTGCGTTTCTCCTTGATGCTAGCCAGAGGGCTACTGATTACGAAGGACAGCCCGATTGCGAGCTCGTTATGGTCGAGAATACCGATCGTACGACCACGAGTCGATGACCTCAGCGCCGTCGGACCAGGCTGGTGGGCTTGATGGGCTGACTTGGCTGCTGTAGATCGCGAACCAGCTCCAGGGTGTGGATAAGATAAGGGAGGTCGAGTCCCGCCTCCAGCCGGCATGGCAGGCACTTGCATGGGCTTCACGTTCACCTGGGCAGGGCAAGTGCGCAATTGACAGCTGCGCCATTGGCCACACACCGAGGCACACTGTGCGGCCCGCTGCAACCTGAATGGCCAGGCCAGAATCTGGGGTCGAACTGCACTAATGTACACCTCTTTTCCCGCTTCCAGAAGAATCCGCATCGCCGACCTTGCCGCCTTTCACACTTCTCTACCTTCTCACAACCTCACACCACAAAACACCTCAACCACCACAAATAACCACCAACCCACACACACACACACACACACACACATCACCATGCCTCGCCAAAGATCTGCCGGCCGTCCCGCCGCCGCGCCCGCCCGCCCCAGCGTCCCCGCAAAGGCTCCCGCCCCCCAGCAGACTCGCCCGGCCACCACCTACGCTCCCCAGCATGGCGCTCCCCCAGCCGCCGCTGCTCCTCCTGCCGCGCCCGTCTCCCAGGGCCCGGGTCTCTTTGGCCAGATGGCCAGCACTGCTGCGTGAGTTTTTCTTGCCTTGTCCCCAGATCACCAGCGACAAACTCCTTTCGTAGAGGCAGACAGACATGACCAGCAAGCAACACACAAGCTAACCAGCACGTTTCCTTTTTCCCCGCGAATCAGTGGTGTAGCAGTCGGCTCCTCCATCGGCCACGCCATCGGCGGCATGTTTGGCGGCGGCTCGTCGGCCGCGCCCGTCGACAACGGCTCCTCGGTCCAGACCCAGCAGCAGCAGTACTCGCAGCAGTCCCAGCAGGACAACTGCGCCGGCGCCGCCACCAGTTTCACAAAGTGCATGGACGACAACAACGGCAACATGCAGATCTGCAACTGGTACCTCGAGCAGCTCAAGGCCTGCCAGCAGGCTGCCAAGCCTTACTAGATGAGAGAGAGGCTTCATTTTCGCTTTGGAGTGGCATCGGGGTGGAAAATAATTGAGATTTCCGGCGAGACCACAGGAAGATGAAAAAGATGAAAGCTGGGGTTCTGGTATTGGGTGGGATGGGCAAGCTTCAAATGACTCTCGTCCTTCATGACCGACAGGCTTGGGCCATTGTAATTGCCGAGTTCTGGGGGTTTCGACGATGAAGTTCAAAATTCGCAGTCTCAGATCATGAAGATTGGGACCTCCCCGAATGTGTACATTATGTCGACATCGAGAAGTATCAGCAACTACTGCACTTCTTAAAAACTTGGTCGGATGCACAAACTCCGCTCCATGTAATAAAAACTTGTATAATGACACCCACACACACTGCCCAGACGAGACCCTTCCAATAAGCAAACATGTGCTGCATCCGTCGCTGCCTCGTCCAAATTACTGTTGTATGTTCTGGGATTCGAAGCTTCGGTATTGCCATGTCCGAGCGAGGAGGACATCCCTGGCATAATCATTCCTCATCCTCGTCGTCATCACTGTCTTTCCGCGGCTCAAAGCTCAGCTGTCCTTCGTCAGTACGGTTGCCTGGCATCACAAACCGCAAGAGAAACGTTTAGCTTACCGAGTTGCCGTTATACAAGTTCGTCTCTCCACCCTCCGCCTTCTTGCCCTTCTTCCTCGTCTTGCGCTCCCTTATCTCCCCATCGTCATCATCACCACGCATTCTCGAAGATGCCGGCTCATCCGCATCAGAGTTGTTGTTCGTCGTGTCGCCCATTGCACGAGCTGCAGATGCGGCATCCCCGCCCGCGCCACCAAACAAGCTCCGCAGTATCCCCACGATGGCATGGAAGCCGGAGCCGAGGAGCATGAATATCGGCCACAGCAGCCGCCCGAGGACGTCTCCGCGCGGGTTTGCGGCATAGGCCGCCGCATAGGATACAGGTACGAGCACGAGGGTCGCGGACGGGGCGAGGCCCAGAGACTCGAGCGTCTCATCCGTCTCCTCGGGCTTGGACACGGCCTTGTTGGGCAATGGTGTCAGCACGATGCGGAACGTGTACGGGGCGTTGCCGTCGGTGCGTTCCTCGTCGATCCATGTCCGGACGTCCGTCCCGAGCTTGCTGTCGCTGGGGAACCGGGCGCGCATCGTCGAGCCGTCAAAGAGCCGGACTTGCAAATTGCAGTGCGCAGTCGACTTGCCCTTGCCGGACGAGGTCGACTCCGTGAGCCTCGTGGTCAGGGGTATCGATGCAGCCGCACTCGCAGCAGCGTCCTTGGTATCGTCCGAGGTGGCGTTGAGCAGAAGGCGGGCCTGCCGCTCCTGCGCATCCTTTTCCTTGCGCTCGCGCCTGTCGTCCTCGATGCGCTTCAGAATCCGCTGCCGGTGCTCACGGTCCTGGATCTTCTGCTGCCGCACTTCCTGCGCGTGCTTGCGCTCTGCGGGCTTGATGTTTCGCTGATTGTTTTGCTGCTGCTGCTGCTGTTGCTCCGTTGCGTCCTGTGCGCCCGCGCTACCTCCGGTGTCGTCAGATGCCTTCCGGGCTTTCGCGCGAGCCTCGCGCTCTGCTTTATCCTTGGCATCTTTCGCTTTCTTGTCTGCCTCCAGCCGCTTTGCACGCTCCGCTAGTATAGCTTGGTTCTGTGCCGCCTGTCGCTCTGCGGCTGTTGGTGCACTTGAGCTAGGCCCTGGGGCTCCCGTGCTGGCACGCAATGGACTAGCATCGCCGTACAAGTCATCATTGCCGTCCTCTTGCCGGGTCGGGGTACTGGATTGCTGAGCAGGCGCCTGTGCAGTTGAAGCTGGGGCGCCAGTCTGTGGTACTTGTGTTTGTGAAGAAGGAGCAGCTGGCGTTGAGTCCAAAGCGGTCTTCGCTCGCTGGAGGAACACTTCCTTTGTGACATTGGGCGCGATGTACTCCTTGAGCTGGCCATTACTAGGTATGACAGTTAACATCCGATTCCGGGTATGGAGACGTCCGGCACTTAGCTGTAGCCACTCGCAGAGCCTGCTGACTTACTGTATCATCACCAGTGTTGGCTTCCTGGGTATGGGAAACAGAGCCTCGAGAAAGCCAGCCTCTTCAGTGCCTGCCACCAGGCGCAACACTACGGCGCTCTGCGTGAGCTTGTCTTTGATCTGAAATCAGTTAGTGACGGGATGCGTACCAAGCGGTGCGGTGCCCTTGGAGAACAATGCTTACAGCCTCATCTGTCAGATACTCGGCCTCCCATCTTATGCTTTCTGGCTCGTCGTCTGACATAACACATGGCATGGTCAGTTGATTCTGGAGACAGGATAAAGGCGCGGAAGGTGCGCACCTGTCACGAAGCAGACAACAAGCTTCGACTGCTGTACCGCAGATTGGATTGCCTCTTGGAGGCTGCCCTCGTAGAACATGGCTTCGGCCCTGTGAAGGTGGTGAAGCTCCGAGTGCTATTGAGGGTGGGGATTATTAGACTGTGCCGGGGGGGAGCCAGCGCGGTGCTCAGGATGGGATGGCGCAAGGGATCAACACTGGTGTCGCAAGGCGATGCAAAAGACACAAGACACTGTCTGCCGGTGGGAAACAATTGTTGGCAATGTGTCAATGACGCTACATGTCCGCAAGCGATGGTGGAATGGAGAGTGCACGCTGGCGAGCGGCGTTGTCTCAGATGGACCCTCCATTGGATTGGAGTCACTGCAGCGTGGCCGGTCCAGCCGGGAGGAGCGCGAGAGTGTCAACTGTGTGCGAACTGTGTGGCGCACGTTACAGTCACAGCTGTCTTGAAGTCTTGTTTGTTGGATACCTCGAAGTAGTGAAGAGATAACTCGTGATGAACACGATTGCGGTGGGCGAGTACACAAAGTTACCCTCGGTAGATCGCATATGCTCTCATGCAGTTTCAAAGTATCTCGCGCCATCGAATGATACCCTCGATGAGGGCGGGCGTAGATCCGGTTATGTGAAGCCCAGGAAAAGCTGCCACGCCCAAGCTGTGAGTTCTCAGTGTCTGCACATGCCGTATTCTGAAATCGAGCCTGTGACAATATTGGAAGCAATAAATAAGTTGAAGTTCAGGTAGTCCTGCTCGAACCTGCCTCATATTGCGACATATGGCCATCACCTGGGCCGAACCGAACCCCCGGGGTGCTGCTATCATTACAACCTGCAGGGTTGGTTACCACTAAGCACTCGCTCGAGTCCACAAAAAGTTCCGCCCGCATGTCAGGCTCGACAGGAACAAGACGACGACAGACACGACATCTTTCCCCTCAACGTGCAAGCTGAGCCACCCCAGCACGACAGGATCCTGCGCAACCATGAACTCGAGCTGGGTCACGAGACAATTGGCCCGCCGGGTCGAAGGATCTCTCAACCAGGCCGGAGCCGCCCAGTGCAGAAACAGCTCTAGCTCGACTTCTCGATCTCGACGAACTGCAACACCACCGACCTGCGCCGCGGCCTCGAGACAACAACGACAACCGCCGCTGGCCCAACAGCAGCAGCAGCAGCAGAAACACCAGCTCAACGCCTCACCGCCCAACACCAGTCGTCGCTTCTTCTCCTACCACCACCACCCCCGCGCCAAGCAGGCCGCCGACGACCCCAACTTCAGCAGCATCCTCGACAACCCGCCGGACCTCGTGCGCACGGGGCGCCGCCACGGCCCGGGCCTCATAATCCTCGCCATCATCCCCATCACCGCGCTGGCCCTGGGGACGTGGCAGGTCCAGCGGCTCGGGTGGAAGACGGAGCTGATAGCCAAGTTCGAGGACCGGCTCGTCAGGGAACCCCTGCCCTTGCCCCCGCGCATCGACCCGGACGCCATCCACGACTTTGACTTCCGCCGGGTCGTCGCGAGGGGCAAGTTCAGGCACGACCTGGAGATGCTGGTGGGGCCGAGGATGCGCGACGGCGAGCAAGGGTTCATGGTCGTCACGCCGCTCGAGCGCGAGGGCGGCAGTGGCGGCGGGCAAGGAGGAGGAGAGACGGCGACGGTGCTCGTGAACCGCGGCTGGATCAGTAAGACGCTGCGCGACCAGCGCAATCGGCACCCCAGCGCGTTGCCGAGGGGCGAGGTCACGGTCGAGGGCCTCCTGCGCGAGCCCTGGAAGAAGAACATGTTCACGCCAGAGAACCGGCCTGACCTCAACGAGTTCTACTTCCCGGATGTCAAGCAGATGGCCGCGCTGACGGGGAGCCAGGCAGTCTGGGTTGAGCAGACCATGGGTATGTTTCTTCATCTTTTTGACGTTTCTTTTGATTTGGGCATCATGCGCTAGCAGTGTCTATGCTACTGGTTGACTCCGATAACATCTGCTGACACTTGCTCGTGATGCCTCCGACAGAACCGAGTCTGATGCAGGTCATCGACTATCAGAACAAGGGCATCCCCATTGGCAGGGCGGCCGAGGTCAACCTCCGTAATAACCACGCCCAGTACATCTTCACCTGGTAAAATTCTCCCACCCTCAGCCCTCTACGTGGCAGTGTATTGCTGCGATCCTGCCTGTGCCGATTGGGTCACAGCCACGGCTAATACAGGCATGCCCAGGTACGGTCTTGCCGTGGCGACATCCATAATGTTCTACATGGTCGTCAAGAAGCCGCCCACCGAGGTGACCCGTCGTGTCCGTCAGAACAGAGATTGGAGGTAGGCAGCCGGTCTCGTTAAACTCCAAGCAGATCATGTCGTGTGTAAAGGTGCTGTGCTGCGCTGGTGCGTCCACAACGTGCTAACGGCTCACACGATTCTGTCCGGTCTGTCCCGACCCCTGTTGTATACTATTTAGCTGAGGCATATCCGCCTTCTCATGTAACTTCCTCGTCGTCGTTTCCGCGACGATTCGCAGCGGTCTTGCGAGAGGACCTGACTGGTACAGGCACAGGCATGCGAATCTCTTGCAGGAGCTCACGCGGTAGATGCCTTTGCGCAAGCGCAAATGGGGTCATCGATGCGCGCGTCTGCCTTTGCCTGTACACGTGCTGCCTGTTAGCATATGCGACGGCTTTGTAAATAGCTTTGTAACATTACGAAGGTCTATAAAAAATGGAAGCAGAGACGGTCTCACATACCTGCGCATCAGAGTCAACATGTCGCTCTCATCAATGGTCTTGCGGCCTGCGTGCTTGGCATATGCAGCCAGGTCGTCTCCGAGCTGCTCAAAGAACCAGTCGCTCGCCTGCATAATCGCCGCCAGCGTGTCGCCGGTAATCTTGGCCTTCGAAATTCCCGCGTTCTTTGCAAAGGTCGTCGCCAGCCTCTTCACCACGCCCTGCGGCAACGAAGGGTATTCTATGCCATGCCTCGATATCTTTTTCGTCTTTTTGCCCGGCTTGAGCCTTGCTATCGGCGCCACTGTGTCGCGCTTGTACCGATCCAGCAGCTCAGCATCGCCGCGCGCGGTGGCTATGGTCTCGTCAAAGTTCGTGGTTCTCGTAATGTCGACCTCGCCCAGATCTTCGTCTATCGGGCGCGTCTGATCTTCCTCCTGCTCCTCGTTCTCATCATGATTGTCTTGCTGTTGGTCATAATCGTCATAGTCTGGCATCGGCATTGGCTCGTTGCCATCTGAAGAGTAGCCGCCATAGTCAGACCCGATGCCGAGGGGTATATCGTCATCATATGGTCCTTGGTCATCCTGTACATCAGCTACCGATTCCTCCACGCCGGCACGGACGGGTGACGACTGCAGTGGCTGCATGATGAACGTGGTCTCTTCGGCGCCAATATCCGGGATCTCGATGGGGGGGAAGTCGCTATCGCGAGCAGCGAAAAGTGTCTGTCGCCGCACATCATCATCGCGCTGGATCTCCTCTTCATCCATGACAACATTACCCGTGTCGTCATCCAGAGCGCCCACGGGCGGGAAAAAGGCCGAGTCGATGCCGATGGTGTTTTCTGCCGGGCTTTGAATCACTTCTGGGCCGGACATGGCGCTGTATCGCCGTGGATCGAACGGGCTCATCTGATCCAGCCGCGACACACGCCGTGGCGCTTCAATTGACGCAGAGGTATACTCTTCCTCCTCGAGAATACTAATCCGAGGCCTGCGCGCCTTGAAGTCGTCGTCGTCTTCATCGTCGTCATCATTGTCAATGGGCAACGACAGCCGTGGTCGCTGGATGGGGAAGTCGTCGTCGTCATCGTCATAGGCGCCTGCCAGACTGCCTAATGTGTCCCGCCGCGGCGTGGTGTCCTCTGGCGACGCAACGCTCGAGATCGATGAGGAATATCGGATGCGCTCGGTTCGTGGTCCCAACGCAATACTCAGGTTGCGAAGGATGTCGCGTGGCGTCTCCCGCTGATCACGCAGACTTCGCCGGTGGGAGCGACCGGGCGTGAAGAGAGTCCGACGCCTCTCGTCGATCTCGCGGCGAGCCGCTTGCGCATGTGGGGTATTCGCCTGGAAGTTTCGGCGCGCTGATGCTGAGAGGTATGCTGAGCCGGGCTCGATGCTGATACCCCGTCGCCTTGGAGTCGCGATGGCACGAGGGGTGTTTAACGGCGCAAGCCGATTGTTGCGGGGTGTGGGTTCAGGCTCGGGAGAGGACATGTCGGGCTGGTTGATGCGAGGTAGAACTCGCAGCAATTGCCGTCGTCTCTATGAATTGGAAGGAATGGTGGTACTCATTCGGGTGGATCGTGGTGGCCGTGAGGATTCAAGGACGTGGAGGAAGCAGCAGAGCCGGGTTCTGTTTGTTGCAATGTGTATTGCTTTCAGATGTGCATCGCCAAGATCCAAGTCGATCACGCAGATGTGTTCCGTGGTCCCCAGGCTTTCGACGGGGAAACATTCGGTTTGACACGGGATAATGCGATGCTCAAAGAGACGCGTTTCGTCACTGATAAGACGCGTCTGTCCCACTATCAAATCGTAGACGGCCAACGACTAGGGTGTGCACAGCAGCCTGGACGCACTAGCCCCTCCAGGCACATGCACCTTGACCGCTAACACGACCACCATCGACTGTTGTTTGGATCGTGCACCTTATCGCATCCCAGCGTCCAGGTTGCTTCCCAACATTGACCCCCCATCCTTAACATACATAATACAAAGACGTCTGGTTCAAGGGGTCGCCGCCGAACCTCGGCGCAACAAACATACTCGCCAGAAAGCCGCCTTCACGGATCCCGCTTAACAGTCCATATATCGTGTGTTGAAAGTGGGGAGGATGGATGCTGAGACCACCTGGAGGCGATTTGCGACAGCCTTGCGCTCCATGGTCGCACGCGAAGGGGCCAAGTTTGACTGTCGGGCGGTCGCGATAACGTGGGACGGCGCCTCCAGGGGGCCATGACCGGGCCGGCGGGAGAATATGCATCTCCAACAGCCCTGAGGGTGGTTTCATGTAGGAGCTAAGGGTTGGTCCACGGTATGAAACCTGACACCCCACGCTACCTGCTCTCAGCTACACAGTCACTTCCCTGCCATGATACCCAGAAGCAGGCGTAATCTTTGCTGGGAATATTCAAAGTCCGACAAGCACAGTTGGCTGCCGCCTTCGACGCATGCAGTGGGGTCGACACTGTCAGGCTTTAGTCATCATAGCATTCTGTCCGGGCGTTCGCGATGGTGGCAGACTGGACATGTGGATGAGATCGTTGAAGCAGGTGAACTTCACTGCATTCGGTTGGACATGGTGTGTTCGCATGCCTTCTAAAGTTGCCCGTGGTCCGGCAGAAATCTGAAGGTCAAAGACACAACGTGGTAATCCTGCATCAGACTTGGTGGCACTCTTCATTAGCCCACCGTCTGGCGGCGGTCAAAGGTTGATTGCCGCATCATTGACGAACGGGATTTGAAATTGACCCTCTGTCCATGTCTTGGAAGAACAGACACTTCAGTGCGTTCCGTCCCTTGGTCATGCCTCGGATAGAGCAGACCAGTAATGATTGCGGTCGGACGAACTTGTTTAGACGACAAAGACAGCAAGAGACCGTGCGCCAACAGCTCCTCGACGATCGTTCTTCTAGAAGGAATCATTCATCCGTGGCGCGTGCGCGGGCAAGCTCATTCACCATGAATCCGAGCGGCGGCTTTTGTCGTAGTGGTGGCGTTCAGAGTCAGGTTGGGGATGCCAAGACAAGCCACCGGGCCAGCACCACACATGTCCAATCTTCAGCTTATTAGAGCCCCATGGTGAGGTGCCTGCGTGTCTCCTTGACATGTGCTGAAGTGTGACAGAGATGTTGCCTGGTCAGCTCTATCGACAGTCTGGGCCATTCTCGTTTGGTGCTGTTGCGTGACTGGTCATGTCTGCTCGAGCCCAGATGTAGACCCCTTGCCGTGTCGAGTGTCATGCCATGGTGAGGTGAGCACATTGCGAAGAGGTCGGGACAGCATAGGAGGTAGTTGTAGTTGCCGATTATGGCATGGCACGGTTCCCACCGAGTTTGGGGCTCCTGGTGCTCGGACCCAGGTTACACGCCCCACTGCAGATGAGCCTAGGGCAGGGTTCATTTCCTGAAGCTCCAGCTGGTGTTGCTTGACAGGAGGAAATAGGGCAATGCCAGGGCGGATTGGGATTGATATCGGCCCAAAATTCACCCAGTCTGGCGATGGCAAATGCAGGACGAGGACCGTTGATTGTGACTTTAGGAGAGCTTCGCGCCTGAGATATGGTGTGCGCCAAAGAAGTGGCGAGAGGTTGTGACGGGCGTCGAGCTGATTCTGGCGCTCCAGGTCGAGGGATGGCGCCGGATGTCAGGGGTGCCCTTGATACATGCCTCCTCTGGCGTTGGAGAGCAGGCAGGTACCGGTAGGTAGTACTCAGCTACCGACAGCCTAGGAGCAGAGGTCAAAGAAGGAGCGACACGTTAGCGCCAGGCTCTGGCGCAGATCGCGGGCCGCGTGATTGTGAATCGCCGCCGGGCACGAAACGACGACATGAGAGGGCAGGCGAAACTGCTGCAAGTGGTTGACTCGGGCGCCGTTGTGGTTTGTGAGTGGCCGCCCGGCGAGCAGTTGCCGCTGTCGCAGGAGAAGAGGAACCTTGGCCGCCCCCGCACCGCGCGACTGGGCTCCTGGCAGGCTGTAACAGCAACCCCCATTCGCCCACCCTGCTGGCCTGTCTGTCTGGTTGCAGCACACACGCCCGGGCAGGTCGAGAGAGGGTGCAGGTGCTGGTGGTGGATGGTAGGTGGTGGGTGGGTGCCCGCTCCCCGTCGGCGGCTCCACGTTCGCCGCCGCATCGTCTCCTCGTCTCCTCTCACAGGCGGCTCGCCAGGCTCCTCTTCGCCGCCTTTTCGACCCCTGGACGGGCCTACCTGACTGGACCGAGCGAGCCCAGCCCTGCCAACCACCACCTTCCCGCATTCTCTCCTGCTTGCCAACCGCCGCCATCCCTCCTTCCTGTCACTGCTCCTCTCAGCATCACATCACACAACTCGGCCTGTCTCTTCGCATCCGACGCCTCAAGTCGCCATCCTCATCGCCATCGCAATCCTCTGCGCCCGCACCCTCTCCCGCCTTTCCAGCTCCAGCGCTCCATCCTTCTTTGTGTAAGTCTTGCCCCTCGCCCCAGGCCTCCTCGGCCTGTCTCGTATCACCGTGGCCACCATGTCAAGCCCTCACCTCGCATTCGATGCGCTCGCTGTCTGTCGCAACTGTTCCTCCCCTCATCCTTCGACAACAACTCCTCTTCTCGACAAGCCCACGTCAGATCGGCCATGCTGCGCGATGACTTTGTCCGCCGGCATGTACGCCCGCGGTTCAAACGATGGTGCGCATCAACAGCTGCCTCCCCATTGTTCATGGCTCGACCCGACATCGGCTTGCACTCAGAGATGACCGCTATCGATCCTGGCAACCTCGCGGCCTACGGTCTGCGTCCATGCGGCACGTTAAAGCATGGCATGAGACTGCACCTTGTGCGCATCTGATAAAGGATTGCTCAAAGGGCCGATAAAGGGCTGGAACGATCGCCGCTGTCTACGACATATGGAGTTCGGCTCCAGGATCCTTTGGCCCTCTTTGCTACCATTTCGACATCCCGATTCATACTATACGGCGCGGCCTCCTCGCTTCTCGACTCTCACGCTGCATGTTGCTTACTCGCTTGGCCTATTTGAAAATTGGGAGACGTCGGCGGTTGCTAATACCTTGACAGACCTAGCATCAAAGCATTCTGCGTCATCGCTGCTGGCCAGTGGCACTTGCGACTACATACAGAACCTCCTTAATTACGTCCATCTCCGGGACTAAACCACAACCAAAATGGCTGCGCCAGGTGTCCAGTCTCTGAAGGTAAACATGGAAATCACAAGAGAGAACTAGGGACAGAACTAACCTTCAACCCGCGGGTAGTGTGTGGTGACTGGTGACGGTGCTGTCGGTAAGGTGAGTGAAAAGTCGATCCACGACCCGGTTGGCCTTGCACACGAGACTAACAGAATACTCAAGACATGTCTCCTCATCTCATACACGACAAACGCTTTCCCCGGCGAATACATTCCCACCGTGTAAGTAGAGGCTCCGCTTTTCGTACGATGGCAAAGTGCTCATGTGTACTCCTAGCTTCGACAACTACTCCGCCAGTGTGATGGTCGATGGCAAGCCGATTAGCTTGGGATTGTGGGATACCGCTGGTCAGGAGGATTACGATCGCTTGCGGCCGCTGTCGTACCCTCAGACGGATGTCTTTTTGATCTGCTTCTCCATCGTCAGCCCTCCCTCGTTTGACAACGTCAAGGCCAAGGTAAGTCCAACTTTACACTTGCTTTTTTATCTCCGAAGCACCAGCTTTACTGACTCCAAACACAGTGGTTCCCCGAGATCGACCACCACGCCCCGAACGTTCCTATCATTCTTGTCGGCACCAAGCTGGATCTGCGTGAGGACCCGGCCACTCTTGAGAGCTTGCGCTCAAAGCGCATGGAGCCTGTCTCCTTTGACCAGGCTCTTGTGTGTGCCAAGGAGATCCGCGCCCACAAGTACCTTGAGTGCTCTGCTCTCACCCAGAGAAATCTCAAGAGTGTTTTTGACGAGGCTATTCGGTTGGTCTACCTATGTCTCCTGCCGAAAGCCTTGTGACATTGCTGACCTGTCCATCTAGTGCTGTCCTGAACCCTAGACCTGTTCAGACGAAGGCCAAGAAATCGAAGTGCGTCATTCTATAAACGCGACGACGAGAATCATGACGGAGGGGAATTCCGACATGGATCGAATTTCTCGTCCGAATGACTGGGAGCGCATTGGTTGAACTGTGGGCGCGCCGTTGCGCATGGCAGAGGCTGATGCGATCCTTTGAGCAAGCGTCGACACGCCACCTTACGGCCGAGCCTGTTATTGACACCTAATTGTGGATCGCCTACTCTCCTCTGGACAAACGATACTTGCCAGGGCGATCTCAGGGCAGGGGAGTTTACCTGCCAAATATGAACGGCGGGCATGAATCATGATATGGTATCTGCGGACGCACAGCGTTTTATTGCGTTGCGGCTGCATAGTCGTCCAACAGAGACGAGCGCAGGTGTGCTTGGACGATGATGATGGTGCTTGCGGCTTGTTCATGCACAGATTTGTTGAGCGGCGCGCTGATTTCTTGGGCCAAACAGCAATGAATAGCATCAGATTTCGTTTTGAAGCAAATAGATCTCCAATCTCACGTATCAGTTGTTTCCTGTGGAATTGAAGCATCGCGTTCCTGAATTCGGAGGGTGATTATTTCACGAGCTACTTGAACCTCTAAAGGCTATTATTCAATGCTTCCCTGGTTTCCATCGCTATGGAATTCTTGACAGCTCGAAAGTTGTCACCACGAGAACTCGTTGTATAGGTAAACGCTAAGCAAGACCAGGGCACAGCATCTTCCACCTTCTACGTCGCCAATAGGGAATCTCACTAGCGCCGGCCCCCAGGGACTCTCCCGCGGCGACTTGGGTGAATACCGCCATGGTCGCCACCATCCTCCTGCTCACCGCCGGCGCCACCATTCTGCTTGGCAGCATTATTACTCCGCCGTTCGTACTTGGCCTTCTCCTCGGCCTCGATCCGCCTCACGCGCTCCTCGTTGAGCTTGAAGTTCTTGGCCAGGATCTTGTCCTTGCGCGCGGCGGTGTTGCCGCCTCCGCCGGCCGTCAGCTCGACGTTAATCTTGCGCTCGTCCGTCCACGTCTTGCCCGTCTTGGGATTCGTCGCGGTGCCCACGAACGTGCTGTGGTGCATGGTCCGCAGGCACGTCTTCATGTGGTCGTAGCCCGCGAACTCGACGAACGCGATGCCGCGAGACTTGGACGGGTTGGTGCGCTCGTGGAGCAGGCGGACAGAGATGGGCTGCAGGGCGGCGAAGTGCGCCTGGATCTCCGGGACCGTGGCGCTGTACGGCAGGTTGCCGACAAAGACTATGAAGCGGGACTTTTTGCCGGCCTGCTGCTGTTGTTGTTGTTGCTCCAGCTGCTTGTCTTCGGTCTCGTCGGCCGCCTCCTGCTCATCGTTGTCACCGGCGGCGGCGGTGGTGGTGGTGGTGGCACCATCTGCATCTTTGGTCTTTTTGGCCTTCTTGTTCTTTTTCTTCTTCTCTTTCTTGTCGCTGGCCGCCGGGGCGGGCTTCTTTACGTTGTCATCACCGCCGTCTTCGTGATCCTGATTGTGCGCCTGCTCGCCGGCCTCGTCGGCGTCGACCTCCGGCAGCGCGGACGGCTCGTCCCTGCTGCTCTTCTTGCTGCTGCTGCTATTGCTGGGCTTCTTGGACTTTTTGCTGCTGCTGCTGCTCTTGGGCTTCTTGGCTTTACGCTCGATGGTGGCTGCTGCACCGTCGTTGTCATCGTCGTCGGCGCGACGGCGCTTTTCGGGTTTTGACGACCCCATGATCTCTCTGCTCTGGGTATTCTCTAAAGTCGTGACCGAAACCGAGCGTGCCGCAGAGATTGGCGATAGGGCGATATGACTTGGTTCCAGAAAAGGAATGTCGCTGGAAGCTCTTTTTTTTCTCGCAGAGCTAAACTTTCGAGACGATTGATAGAGAGACACACAAGCGAAAAAGGGTCTTGGAGGCAGGTCGGGGGCGGGGGGTTGCAGAAAGCGACAATCGCAAGAATGCTTGCCGTCTTTTTCTTTTTTTCGGCACGAACTTCGGGACGCTTGAGTACTGGTTGGTGGATCGACGACTTGGGGGCAACACTTCTAGGTTCTCTCTACGCGCGCGGCGACTGAGCAGCATGCATGAAGAACTCGAATGGCAGAGGAGACCCCTGGGCTTTTGCGATAAGAAAAGTTTTAGTGGAGCCCACCCCAGCGGGCCCCGGCGCTGATATGCGACCTCGCGGGGCCATGCAACTCCACGGCACAGTGGTACATGCGCGATGCCCCGTGCAAGGGGGACTTGGTAGTCGCGTTCTGTGTGCCATTTCTTCGTTCTTGACGACGAGTGATGCTGTGCATTCCTCATGATTGGATCAGTGGTTTGAGCATGTTCGCAGTGTGATCATGCACCTGGAGACAAGAGCGGAGCCTTTTGTCTCTTCTTGGACCACCCATTATTTTGGGTCATAATCTTTTGATTCTTTTATTCTTTCAAGGTCTCGCCATTATATGTGGTAATACATGTACTCTATGGCATAAGCCTCTTGGGGGTTCTGGGGTAGTAGCTGCTCAGGTGGACACTGGGCAGGTTGAGGTACCACGACACGACGCGGTCCAGACCGATACCACCACCGCCGTGAGGCGGGACACCGGCCGACTTGAAGACGTCGACGTACTCCTTGATACCCGGGCTGGCGGGGTCGATGCCCTTCTTCCGGATGCGCTCCTCCAGGAGGGAGGGGATGTGGATACGCTGGCCACCCGACAGGATCTCCTGACCACGCATGAAGAAGTCGTAGGCGTTGGTGACCTTGGGGTTGGCCGGGTCCTCGAGGGTGTAGAAAGGACGAGCACCCTCGGGGAACTTGTCGAGGACGTAGAAGTCGGTGCCGAACTTCTTGCGCACGAGCGCGCCGAGAGCCTTCTCCTGGGGCGTGCTCATGTCCTCGTCGTCGGAGACGTTGCGGTACTCCTCGGGGCCCTCCTCGCGCAGGAGCTTCTGGCCCTCGGCAAAGGTGAGGCGCACCTCCTTACCAGGCTCAGGCAGCAAGAACTTCTCTGAGGGGTACACGCTGCGGATGAGCTCAATCTCGTCCTTGCACTGCTCCTCAAGACCACGGAAGATGTGCAGCATGAGACCCTCGATCATGTCGATGACTTCTACGTAGGTGTCCTCGATTTCCATTTCCAGATCGAGACCGGTGAACTAGCGGGGAAACGTCAGCCTCAGACTTACTCGGGCATGGGAATTCGCGGCAGTACTAACCTCGGTCAAGTGTCTAGGCGTGTTGGAGTTTTCAGCACGGAACACGGGACCAATGCAGTAGACACGCTTGCGGCCGCCGGCAATCTCAATCTGCTTGTAGAACTGGGGCGACTGGGCCAGGCAGGCGCTGGTGTCAAAGTACGGCATCTGGAAGACGTTGGCACCGCCTTCGGAAGCGGCACCAATGAGGCAGGGAGCCTCGAACTGAACAAAGTTCTTGGAGTCGAGATACTGGGCAAAGAGCTTGCGCACGCGCATGCGAACGTCGGCAATCGCCTGCTGCACGGGCGCACGCTTGTGCATGGCCGGGTTGTTCAAGTGTGTCGACAAGCTGGCGGCAGGCTGGCCCTCAGCGAGGCTGAGGTTCTCGACAGCCTCGGTGGGCACGCCAGAGGACGGCTCCTCGTCTTCGAAGCTGGCAACGGCCTTGTTGGCAGCATTGAGACCCAGGCCGAGCACTTCGGGGCCGGGAGCAATGCAGTAGATCTTTGTGATGTGGAGCTCGTAGTCGCTGACCTTGCAGCTCTTGACGGGCTCGAGAGGCTTCTTGACGGTGGCCTCGACGAGGATAAAGCTCTCGAGCCTGAGGGCGCCAGCCCACTTGACCATCTGCTTGCTCACAGGCTTGCCCTCTTGGCTGGCCGCAATGACACCCTGGATGGTCCACGCCCGCTCCTCACGCAGCTCAATGAAGGCCATCTTGGCGCCCTGCATGCGGGAGTTCTGGATCCATCCGCGCAGCTTGATTGTCTTGTCGAGGTGCTCCTCGCCAATGTTCTTGAGGTTGACGCGCTCGGCCTCGACCTTGGTCTGAGGTGTGGCATCGCCGTAGTTGTCCTTGGCCAGATCCTCGGCATTGCCAGCAGCAGCCTTCTGGGCAGCAGCGGCAGCTTCTCTCTCGGCGGCCTTGCGAGCCTTCTCGGCCTCCTTCTTGGCCTTGGCCTCGGCCTTCTTTGCGCCCTTCTTGGACTGGGCAGCATCGCCTTCGGCAGGAGGGGCAGCGGCGGGTGCCTGCGTAGGCTCGGGGGTGGCAGCGGGCGACTCAGACATGTTGGCGAGCTTTTTTCTGGTCGCGAGCGTGTCGCTTGTCGTTTGTGCTTCAACTGGGTCCGCGAGAGGTAGCACAATGGGGTTTCGTCGAGATGTATAAGTAGAATCGCGCAAGAGAGCTCTGACTCGGCCGGCGAAGTGGGATGAGTCGAGCTGTGACGTGGGGCAACTTTTTTGCTCCGATCCTGGGTGCAGGTGGAGGGGCAGCGCAGCGCAGCACTACGGCAACCCTGCCGGCGCGGGCGTTAGCGCATCGAGCTTTCCGGCATGCAGCTAACCGGAACAGAGGACACCCCGTTAGTGTGGTTTTCTCAATTGAAGGAGCTAGGGTCGCCAGAGAAAGAATCGATTTCTTGAAGGCATGACCTCGTTCTGCATTTACATGTGACGTGCAGCCAGTGTTGCTCCGTTGTCGAGATACCGGGATTTTAATAATTCTCTCTGCCGCTTCATAGGCCTGAGAGTTCACCTTGAAATCTCGAACAAGCACGCGTGTTTTTAGTCACTCCTTTCAAACCTCGACATCTTAAGCTACCTCAGACGCACTCAGTCTGCAGCAGTGCAGGTCACAACATAAACAGTCAGCACCATGTCTGTCAACAAGGCAGCCGCTTCCGAGCGGCTGGCTGCCAAGGCCAAGACAAAGAAGCGTGCCAGAGAGGATGACGGCGGTGCTAAGAAGAAGCGGAGAAAGTCGGGCTTCGAGAAGGATGAAGCGCTCTTCGACATGGAAGCCGGAGTGAACAAGGCGATCGCTCTCATGGACTCTCAACTTCTCGCCGACCACATCGCGCAGAAGACCACCCGCTTCAACTCGGACAAGACTTCGGTCGAGCTGGCAGATCTCTACATTTCACGTGTGTTTACTCTCTCTTTCTCTCGAGTCACTGCGTTGCCTCACCACTAACACCTGATCCCAGCCAATTCCATTCAAGACACAACCTCCTGGGTTGAGACGAGGAATCTGGAAAAGCTGCCAGATTTCCTAGAGAAGTTCACCGCCCAACCCGAAAGGCTGAGCGAGGCCCCCAAGGCCAAGGGGTCACCACATACGATCGTGGTCACCGGCGCTGGACTGCGGGCCGCCGATATTGTGAGGTGTGTACTACGGTGCTTTGCGTGAGCATTCTTGTCACCCTTAACCGAAGCTAACCATGTGCAGATCGTTACGGAAATACCAGGGCAAGAACAACACTGTGGCGAAGCTTGTAGGTTATCCCGAAATCTCTTCTGTGCCTCTTGTATTCCGTCATGGCTAATAATGCTTCAGTTCGCCAAGCACATCAAGCTCCAGGAGAGCGTCGATTTCCTCACCACGCACCGGACTGGCGTTGCTGTTGGCACACCCAAGAGACTGAGTGATCTCGTCGAAAACGGTTTGTCTACGCCGGCCGTGTCCTCTGGGAGCGCTCAGACTCTTACTGACCTTTCGCAGGCGCCCTCAAGCTTGACCGACTCGAGCGACTTGTCGTCGACGCCTCTCATATTGACCAGAAGAAGCGGGGGATCCTTGACATGAAGGAAGTCATGAACGACCTGTTGCCGTGGCTGACACGCAAGGAGCTCAAGGATCGGTACACGGATTCTTCGAAGCCCGTGCATCTTCTCTTCTACTAATTTGTGTTTCGAGACGCATGGATACCAAAGCATATAAATGGCGTTTAAAGGGCACGGTTGCCAGGACTCAGATTGCGTATGGAGTGTTTTTTTATCAATCATATGGCATTGCATCATTTCAAGGTGCCCATTCTACCGATCGACGGCTGATTGATCCGTGACTGCCTCGATCCGTGACTGCCTCGATCCGTGACTGCCTGGATCCGTGACTGCGTAGATCCGTGACTGCCTGGACCCGTGACTGCCTTGATCCGTGCCATGCTTTGCCAATTCAATCCTTGAAAGTGCTGAGAGATTGAAGCAGCTGGCCCGCCGCATGTCCTACCGTGGTGTCGCCATAGCCCTTGCGCCATGACTGATATTGCGACGAGGCCGTAGCTGCCGCAACCACTTGTTTTCCATGGCCCAAGGAAGCTGCGACGACCGAACACGTCGATTTGACGACTGCCGACACTTTTCCCCCAGCCAAAGAGCCGCCTGGGCTCGGGTCCTCTGACATCTCTCACAACACCTTAACAATACACTCTCTTGCGTTCTTGGACTCGACACTCGCCCCGAGCTGCCGCTCTTTTTGGTTACTTTCTTGGTGGTCATCCCTAGCCACATATCAGTTGCTCGCTATGTACGATTTACTGGATCATCACAAGAAAGGCTTCTGCAGTCGTTCGCGCAGCCGTCGAATCCTGTTGCCAGTCGAGGTTTATCCCCGGCACCATGAGGCCTAGTCATATTGTCGGCGTGTCGGCATTGCTAGCATCCGCTGCCAATGCTGCAACCACAGCGAGAAACATCACGATTCGTCCACCAGCAGAACTAGCCTCGAACGCACCAGGTGAGCTTGCTGACAACCGACCCGTAAATGGCTTTTCCTCCTGTACCTGGCTCAACATTCACAACAGGCTGCGCACAACGATGCATGGTTGACAGCATGTATGTGACGCAATGTCTCGATGTCAAATGTCTCTGCCATGGCAAGGAATATCAGCAGGCAAGTTCTTCTCGTCAGGGGTCCAAGAGAAGCCAAACACTGACGCCGTGTCCGAGCAGTCTCTTCTCCAATGTCTCTACTCCCAATGCGATGCGATAGACTACGGTCAAGCTCTCGCCTCCACGATTCACCTCTGCGTTAAAACTGGAGCCATCATCCACATGGCTGCACCCAATCACTACTCTGGAGAGTTGTTACGTTCTCGGGAGGAGGCGTATTTAGAGGGCAGAGAAATCCTTGCCGTTCCGGGTCTAAAGCTACGTCAAGAGAGCGTAGATCCCGGCGCTCAACACACTGCCACAGTGACTTTGACGGTTTTGAGTCCTGCGGAAGCCAGCTTCCTCACAGTCACGCAGACCGCGACAGCCACCACAACCATTGCACTGGCTCCAACCTTGGCCACTCCATTCACACCCTCGCTCCGCATGCTCAACAACACAGACTCAAACACGGATCCGGACTCGGCTTATCTTCCTTGGCTTGTCACTGCAGCCGGGCCGCGAAACCAGCAGCCGTCCTACGTTTCATTCATGATCTAGGTGACGCTTGTCATTGCGCAGGACATTTGGTACAACGAATGAGATTGAGTCTGTACTATTGATGTTGTTGTCGCGAGCCTTTCTCACCTCTTTTTGAAAGGTTATGTACAAGCCATGACTTCCAAACATCCCTTTTGCGCGACGGAGAGTCTTCAGACACAAAGCAGCCATATTTAGATTATGTGATGTGGGCGTGGCACACACGTAGCAGAGATACTCCAATTTGATACCTTTGATTATGCCAAGCATTAAGATGCAAAAAGTGAACAGAGGTGCCCGCGAATATAATTGCTGGGTTGCAATCTGCCATAGGGCTGGGGCCCCCTGTACTATGGTATGCTGATTATCCAGGCCAGGCTGACGAGCGGCCAGCATTTGGATCCTCCTGCATGGTGGGGCACAACTGCTGTCCCAAACGAAGCTGCTCTTCGTCCCTTTTGCACATCAACATTCTCCTGACGGTCAAGCTCGCTCGTCGCTTTTTCGATCTTGATGATGGCGATCGTCGAGGGCTTGTGGCGGACAGCGCTGGCGTTGATGAGCGCCTATGTCACCGTGGTGAGTATCGTCCATCAATAGCACCGATCTCCAAGCCGGCACTGATGACCGTCACAGACAGTGGTGGAAGTCTTCACGAATCCTCTTCGTAGCATACCAGGGCCATGGTACTCTCTATGGACGGACATTGTGCTCAAGTATTACATTCTTCGAGGACAAAAAGCCCGCTATGTACAGGCGTTGCATCAACGATATGGTGCGTACGAACCAAGTTCAAGACTTTCCGGGGGGCGTCCTGTGAAGCTTAGGACGCCACTACCCTCCATAATATCGAGGCCCAAATCGACAGCTGCCTCAACGGCGGCTCGGCATTTCGCCTGCAGAGAAGAGAACTCTGGAGTCGCATCGACTGACCTTGCCCTACCGAACAGGCCCAGTAGTGCGCATGAGCCCCGAGCAGGCCGACATTTGTGATCTTGCAGCGCTGTCCCAGATTGGGCGGGCTGAGTTCCACAAGACAGCGTACTACAAGACAATGACCATTGATGAGGACAACGTCTTCAACACGGGCGATCCGGCCTTGCACCGGCGGCAGAGGCGCCTGCTGTCCGCGCCGCTGAGCGAGAGCGGGCTTAAGAGCGTCGTCAATCTCGTCGACGAGAAGGTCAAGCTCGCGATGCAGAGAATCGACGAGGAGATGACGACTGGGCGCGGAGATGGCGCGGCGGACGTGATGAAGTGGACCGGCTTCATGGCAACCGATACCATTGCCGAGTTGACGTTTGGGGAGTCGTTTCAGATGCTCGAGGAGGGAAGGGTGAGTGCTTGTCCATTGGCATCGGTCAGGTTGCATCCATCACTTGCAGACTGACCGCTAACCGTTACGAAAAGAAACACCAGTACTTTCGTGACATGGAGAGCGCAGCTCCCGTTCTAGCCCTGCGCGCCTTGTTCCCGTTCTTCCGCAAGATGATGAGCCTGGGCGTCCCAGTTCCGGGCGCCAACAAGGCGATGCTCATGATGCAGCGACTGCGGGCCGGCGCCGAGGACCGACTGGAACGGCACCGCCATCGCGTCGAGGAGGAGGAGGCTAGAGGCGCCCCAGTACCAACCCCGACACTATTCACGAAGCTGCATGACGCAACAGGCGGCGAGAAGGGCCTCACACAGGAAGAGATTCTGAGCAATGCCCAGCTATACCTCGTGGCGGGGAGCGACACGACGTCCAACGTCCTGACATATGTCATTTGGAACCTATGCAAGCGACCCGAGGTCAAGGAGAAGCTACTCGCCGAGCTACGCAGTCTGCCTGGCACGCAGGTCACTGCCGGCGGAGCGGAGATCCAGGTCGACTACCAAGAGCTCCGCTCGGCAGCATACCTCAACGCCGTCATCGACGAGACGCTACGCCTGTACCCGTCCATTCCCGCCCCGCTGCCCAGGCATGTCCCGCCCGAGGGCATGGCGCTTGCAGGACACTGGTTCCCCGGCGGGACTGTGGTGTCGACGCAGGCGTGGTCCTTCCACATGGACGAAAGCATATTTCCGCAGCCGGACAAGTTTGATCCGGAACGATGGGAGAAGCCGACCAAGGAGATGCGCGAGGGGTTTGTGCCGTTCGGGTCGGGCGTTCGCAGTAAGTTGTCCCCCTTGTCCAGTATACACAGCGCACGTAGGTCGATGTGGTGCGGGCGGTTTCCCGGGCAATGGGTATTTTCACTCAGAGGCTGAAGGCCTGTTCGGCATTCATCTGAATCCATTCAGCCTTTTTCTTTTCCTCCCACGCTTTACACATCAGTCTGAAAAAGGGAAGAGCTCGGATGGTTCGCTGACTCCTTTATTTTCAGTCTGCCTCGGCTTACACCTCGCGATGATGGAGCTCCGCCTCGCCACCGCGCGCTTCTTTCTCAAGTACCCAGATGCGAAGGTGTCCGACGCTGACGGCATGTCCGATGCGGACATGGAGCAGATTGCGTTCTTCATGGCATTTCCAAAGGGGAAGCGGTGCTTGATCCAGGGACGGTGATTGTTGGCACCCGTGTGATGTTTGAAAGAACCGACAGGCTGGTGGAGTAGTCCATGGCTTGGTTGGGATAGTTCTAGGTGCATTGAGAACTTGGTTGAGGCGAGATTCTCCTACTCTAGAGACTGTTCACGTGGGAAATAAGAGGTGCTTAACTGGCGGGAGCTCCTTTGGAGATGTGGAAGTAGCCCGCAGCGGCGAATATACTGTAAGCAATAAAATATCAGCTTTGCGATATATACTCGAAGCATCCGAGTCTAATTCCCCTGCTCTGAGCGGCCGTTCTGCCAATTACTTGATCTCTTTTCCTCGGGAGAACTCCTTTGTCACTCATGCCCCTTTCGCCAAAAGAAGAATGCTATATAGATGGCCTAGACGCCAGTAATTCCTTTGCCATATCCCGCAGCTTGTACTTCTGGATCTTCCCGCTTGCCGTCTTCGGGTACTCGTCTGTCCAGAAGATGTGCTTGGGCGCAAGATGGCCAGACAGATTCCGCGCGACCCAGTCGCGGACAGACTGTCTCGTCAGCACCTTGCTGTCCGTGCTTCCGCTTTCCCCTGCCATGCCCGCCTCCGCCTCCTCGGAATTGCTGTCGTTGTTCTTGGTGGTGGTGGTGGTGTCTTGCTTGCCGCCGCACACGGCGTCCTCGTCCTCCTCTGCCGTTGTTCTTGTCGTGACCCCTCGACACGGCACGATGAACGCGGCCACGGCCTCCCCGTGCCGCTCGTCGGGCACGCCTACGACGCTGACCTCCTGCACGAGGGGGTGCTGGAAGAGACAGTTCTCGACCTCGAGCGGGTGGATGTTCTCGCCGCCGCGGATGATGAGGTCCTTGATGCGGCCCGTGATGCTGACGAACCCGTCCTCGTCCATGACGGCCTCGTCGCCAGAGTACATCCACACCTTGCCCTCCCTGCCTTCGCCCGCGCCGGAGCCGTCGGTATCCGGGTCCGGATCGGCGATCCGGTCGATCCTCGTGCGCTCCGGGTCGTCAAAGTACCCCTCCATGACCAGGTATCCGGCCACCGCGAGCTCTCCGCGCTCGCCCAGGGGCACGATCTCGGTCCGGTCGTGCGGCGAGACGATCTTGACGGACGTGTGCGGCATCGCGCGGCCCACGCTGCCCGTGCGCTTGTCCAGGGGGTCCCGGGGACCCGTCATGCAGCTCACGGGGCTGGTCTCGGTCATGCCGTAGCAGATGACGAGCTCGTGGAGCGAGAGCTTGTCGAAGAGCCGGCGCATGAGCGACTCGGGCACCGACGAACCCGCCGCGATGCCCTTGCGGAGGTTGGCGAACCCGCGTGGCTGCCGCCCGTCGCTGCCGCCCGGCATGGTCGCGGCAAAGGCCGGGTTCGCGAGGAGCTCGAGCTCCGAGATGAACATTGTCGCGACGCCGTAGAGCCCGCTGGCCTGGTGCTCGGCGACCATGCGCAGCGAGGCCGCCGGGTCGAAGGCCGGGGAGCCGAAGAGGATGGCTGCCCCCGTGGTGGCAGTGGCCTGGAGGCCCAGGACGCACCCGAAGCAGTGGAACAGGGGAGGGGGGCAGACGATCTTGTCCGACGGGTCCAGGCCCATCCGGTCGGCGATCAGGCGGCCGTTGTTGAGGATGTTTGTGTGGCTCAGCATGGCGGCCTTCGGGAGTGACGTGGTGCCGGACGTGAACTGGATGTTTATGGTTTCGTGTGGTTGGAGGGGCGAGTCTGGGACGAGACTGCGTTGTTGGGATAAGCTCGAGCTCGAGGAATAGGACGAGGAGGAAGGGGAGCCCAAGAGGGTGTCGTATGGTGTCAGGCAGCGGAACTCCTCGAGGGGGAATATGGCTTCTGGATGTGATGGGCGGTTGTCGAGTATCACAATGGTCTTCAAGGAAGGGACATTGGGGGGTTCCAGTTTCGACCCTTTGAGGTTTGGCACTAGAGCAGTCAGCAGGTCGAGGTTGCTGCGTCCTCGGCACGGCTTGTAGGCCAGATCGGTCACTGCGCCAATGATGAGGATCTCGGCGCGGAGGTGGGCGAGGGCGGCTGTGAGCTGCTGCGCGTTGAAGCTCGGGTTCAACGGCACGAGAATGGCACCGAGCTTGAAGACGGCATAGGACAAGGCGACGTTCTCGCACACGTTGCCGAGGCTCACTGCCACGCGGTCGCCCTTTTTGACTCCAAGGGACCTCAGAGAATGGGCGAGCGTGTCTGATAGCGAATGGAGGGCACTATAGGTCAAGGTCGTTGTCTGTGGCTTCGAGTAGGTCCCAAGAGGCTCGTGGATCGGAGCCCTGGCAATGACTGCTGGCCGGTCGCCATGCTGGGAGACGATCGAGGCAAAATGCTCTGGAATGGTCTGTGTGAGCAGAGGCGGCTGAACGAACATGATAGTGTCAGTGCATATGCTAAAGAGGCGAGCTCATCTCAGAGGAGGCTGAAGCTGTACTGACATCGCTTGGGCCTTCCACCAAGCTCAACCGGAAAGTGGTGATGGTGGCAGCCTGACACAATGCTGGTCGTCTGGGACCAGGTCCACGCCGCAGCACTCGTGAGCAGCCTATGGAGAGAATGTGCTGGCCATGGCAGCCCCGTGAGGCCACGGCTCTGGCAAACTGGTGCATCGCCGTTATTCGGCTAAGGGGGCCCAGAGCTGGTGAGGATTACCCCCGGATGACGCTACCAGGGCTACTTCGACACTTGGGCGGAAAGAAGTGCAAAGAGTGAGTACCCCGACCTCGACTGGTTGCCACGTGGTGATGCCCTTCGTTTTGTACAGGAGACGACGTGTAACTGGCTAGACGTCGAGGCGGGTTATCTAGCCGAGGCGACATGTTCCTGGGAAGGGCCATTCTGCCTCCCCCAACCAGCAGCGCCTCAAGCGAGCTGACTCGCCGGCCTTGGGCCATTCTGGCTGCGACCAGCAGCAGCAACGGGCGCTGGATTGGAGCTGGACTGGAGCGGCCCCTGCAGATCAAGCCGGCACGGGATGCGGGGTGTGCGGGGAAATATTGTGGAGACACACCGTCCGTCCTCTGTAGCCTCTTGCGTGGTTGGTCTCCCCAGACAACGAAACCACATCTGCCAATTTTCACCGGCGTAATGAAAATGCCAGCACGAGGCTATTGGAATGATATACGTGACTGCCAGGTATTTCGCATGGAACTCATGTGTATCGTGTGCTTTCGCCTTGTGCGTCACGTGCCAAGGGCGTTGGGTGCCAAGCACAGCAAACACTACAAAGGACGTCCACCAGACTGGAGCATGAGATATTAAGCAGGACATCTCTACATGAGCAAAGCCTTGAATGTACATGGCGTCATGTGATTCCCACTGCTTGGTGAGGGAGTAGCATTACCGCACACAACGTCAATCTCGACGCCTGGCGTAGATAGATTTCGGACAGTTAGACCGACCCGGCGTGTCCGAAAATCTGCAGGTGTGACTTTGATGGGTTCGGCTCGCGTTGTCGCGGTATGGCACCGAAGTCCTACAGTCCAACCAAACGGTCTGGCAGGTTGGACAGATCACTTCCTGTGCCTGACGACCTTGGAGGGACATGATTGACGTCGTCGGGGAACGTGGTGGCTGGGCTTCCTCTTAATCCACCCCGCTATAGGCTTGAACCAAGGTCAGGCCAGCAGTGGGAACGGGGATTAACCCGGCAGAAGGGTGGACTGGCAAAACCTGATGGCGGGATTCTGATCGTACAGAGTAGAGGACCGTCCTTTTGGTGAGTTCTCGATCAGTACATAGCAGGTCTGCGCATCAGCTCTCGTGCCTTGGAGCTCGCTTCTGCAATGTACATGCTGAAACGCAGCCTGGGTGAGACATTTGCGCTGGCAAGGGGGGGTGTCTGTCGCCCAGCCTGGAGTCTGTCTCGTGTGTCTGTCGGCGTGCAAGACCTGCCTGGCAGGTGGTGTTGCAGGCCAGACTGGTGCCGACGCTCCATTACGTCAGGCTGCGTGCCCCTCCTGCGTCCGAGGGCCTAGGCTGGAGGGCTGAGACGCCATGCCACAGTACTCGCTCCAAATACAGCGAAGCCTCGTCCAAGACTCTGGCTGACGGGACGGTCCCTTTGACGGCTTCATAGCCGCCACCAAGGCTTGTCACAGCCATCTCGTGTCTCCAGTCGAGTGAGCCTAGTGTGCTTCCAGAAGTCGTGCCGGTGGAAGCCAGTGATGGACGGACGGGTTTGGGTCTGCCTGGCGGGCTGGTGGATGGGCGGGCGGGTACAGCAGTTCGCGTATCGCAAGCTTGCTTTAAGGTTTCGAGCCCGCCAGGTGGGGGTGGGTGTGGCCGGCATACGGCGCCAGGAACGTGGGCACCTTGGGAAGACAAAGGCGATTGTTCGAAGCCGGTGGAAGACGACTTTGGATGGAGCCCCGCACAAGCTGCCATGCAGCCAAAGCCACCTCGTGGGAATGAATTCCATGTGACGCGAGAGGTGCATGCAGTGCAGGCGGGCTGGGAGATGGCAGAGGATCAGCTGCCTGCGTTGAGCACTTGATTGCAAGCGACGCGCGGTGGGTGCAGGCGGCGGGTGGTGTTCGATGATGACGTCGGTCACGCTGGTGCCCAACCACCAATCAGGCGGGGCCTGCCGTTGCAGCACATGCGCCCTGTCGTCAGGCTGTGCCCACTTGCTGGGACTGCCCGGCCGCCTTGGGCCTCGCTTTCCCTTCCTACCCGCCCGCCCGCCTGTCAGGTCAGGTCAGTCTGTCTGTCTCGTCTCCCGGCCAAGATTCTCGATGCGTGTGCGTGCTGACCAGGAACAGCCTGGTCGACCCTACCCGCCCGCCTGCCCGCCTGCCTGCCTTGCCTGCCTTGCCTGCCCTGCCCACGCGCCGCAACCTCTGCTCATTCTTCTCCCGCCCGCTTCCCTCTTTTGCAAAAGACCACAACTCCTGCGGCTGTCCTTCTCCTCTTACACAACCTCTCCATTCTTGTCTTCTTGTATTCTCGAGCCTTTGTTCTTGATACATTCCCGCGAACGCCCAAGCTACTGTGCGCCAGCCCCTTAGCATCGCGGCTGTCACCCGCTTGTTTGGACCTGCCGCAGATCCCGCAGTTTACCCCGCCAACAGTTGCTCACTCAAAGTCATCACAATCCCGTCGAGCCGTTTCTGCTCAAACTCAACCAGCCAGACACCACTTGGAGAACCACTCGCCGCGCTCTTCCCCCACTTGCGCGCGCTCAGATTGCTCAGTACAAGACACCTTGGCTCTGCCCTCTCCACCATGTCGTCCTACCGAGGAAGTGGTCGTAGCGACTATGATGAAGTCTACGAGCGCAGGACCGCTCGCCGCAGCCCCCCCAGGAGGGCGCCTGTCCGCGAGTATGAAGACGTCGACGTTCGCGTCCGCGAGAGAGATCGTTCCAGAGAGCGTGTAGACCGCACTCCTGCTTTTCTCCGGGAGGACGCCCGCCGCACCGACGCTGGTGCCCTCGTGCTCCGTGCTCGCGAGGTCGAGACCATCGACCGCCGCCGCGTACCCTCTCCCAGCCCCCCTCCCACAGTGCGATCCCGCAGCATCCGTCCTCGCTACGTTCAGCGCTCGCCCTCTCCAAGCGTTCATGTCGATGTTGACACACGCGTCATCGAGAGGCGGCGGCCTCGCTCCCCAACCCCGGAGCGTGAGCGTGAGGTTGATGTCGACCTCCGCATCGTCCACCGCGAGAAGGAGCGTGCGCCAACTCCAGAGCCCCCGCCGCCTCCGCCAGAGCCTCCAGTCATCCGAGGTCCCACTATTGAGAGAGAAGTTATTACGCACTACCGCGACATTGACCATGGTACGTAGTCGCGCCAGGCCACGAAACATGACAAGTTATTCTAATAAGAGGTTCTGCAGGTGTGATCCGTGTGCGACAGCCGTCACCATCACCGCCCCCGCGGCCAGCCCGTGTCACTAAGCACGAGACAGATATTGACATCAACATCTCTCGCCATGACACAGACGTGGAAATTCAGAAGCGCGCGCGCTCCCGGTCTCGGCCACGGCCCAGGTTCTACGATGATGAGGACATTCACATTGACATTGATCGCAACCGCATCCACATAGATGAGCACTCCCACGAGACACGACGACGGGCACTCTCTGAGGTGCGCAGACCACCTTACGAGGATGAGGCGAATTACATCACGAGCAAGATCGATTCGCGCGGCCGTATGGGTGAGGCGTGGCACGGGGCCACCAAGGACTGGACGATTGTGGATGTGCCACCCGGAACGGAACGGGTGCAGATGGACGGTGTCGGCGGTGGCGGCGCGGAAGTGACATGGCAACGCTACAACGGCGTCCGCCGCGCAAAGTTCATCCCTGAGCGCGATGGCACGGTGGTGTCCTCGAATTCGATCATTGAGCGCGGCCGCGATCTCGATCACCACCACCACCACGATCACGAACTGAGCGTGGATGTTCACATTAACAAAAACCACAGCCATGAGAGGTCCAGGTCTCGTGCTCCCGAGGTGGTCGAAGAGATTCGCGACAGGCGCATCTCCATCCGCGACGGCAAGTCCAAGAAGGACAGTGACATGTGGACCGAGATCACCAAGGATCTGGTTGTCCGTGAAGCCATCGAGAAGCGTGGATACGCATACGAGGAGACCGAGTTCTTCTTCTACGTCATGCAGTACTTGGCCTATGTAAGTACTTCACGAGCACAAGCCCGCGCGAAGTCGTCCTCGCAGTGCTGACTATTGCTTTTAGGAGGACGTCCTCGAGCTCGTTGAGATGTCTGACAGAATCCGACGGAGACGCCGCGAGAAGGAGCGATATGTGGACTGGGAGCGGGATGCCTTCCGCGACGACTGGGAACGGAAGAGCCGGCACTACCACTCGCACACCTATGGCGGGGCCCGGTCGTCGCACTGGGACAAGTACGATACCGAGCGTCTCCGCGAGCATGACGTCACGTACGAGCGGTTGCGATACTAAGTGATCCGAGTGACATTTCTCTGGGCGCGACCCCAGACGAGGGGAATAGTGGCGAGCAAAGTCACGATACGATTTAATGAACAATTTGCATTTACGGCATATATAGAGAGGCTCACGGGTATGGGAAGATTGTAGCAGGTTTTGCTCTAGGACCCCCGAACTGGAAGGGGAAACGGGGAGAGAGCGGCGACCAGCCGAGAATAGGCGCCTGGCTCGGTTGGAATTCTCACTTCTGGATGGGATGAAGAACCATGGTGCTTCCTGTATTTTCGTCTTGGGTGGTTCCAGCAGTTTACGAATTTACGATGTCAAAAATGAAAACTTTTGTCTCTGAGTGTCACAATGGTGGCCACTTGAAAGTGCCTCCCCTGTGAAATGGCGTGAGCATTCATTTGGCCAAAGTGTGCTGCCCCTTTCACCACAGAATCCACATCGCTAAGGTTCCTATGAGCACATTGTCGGGAAGTGGTCCGCAAAGGTAAATTGCTTTGCAGTATTAGCGAAGCGAGGTTATGAAGCGGTGAGGGCGAGTCATTAAGTCTCATGATGTGTGAATAATGTGGAGAGAGAAAGAGTACGGAGACACTAGCTGGCTAGCCTTTGCTGACTGAGGAACAAGAGTAGTCTGGTAGTAACATATGAAGCACTCCACCAAAATTCCAACTCGAGAAAGTTAAAGGGAAGAGGGGCAAACAGACCGGATCGAACGCACGAGAGGCATGTAGAGACTATCGAGGAGCCCTTTTTTCTAATAAATAAATAAAAAAGGAAGGAAGAAAGAACGAAAGCAAGAAGGGGAAACGGGGCGGGAGGCGCTGCAGGAGAGCCCTGAGAAGGAGACGAGCGAAAATGACCGTGAAAGGGGGGCTGAAAAAGGGAGGCAGAAGAAACCAAAAAGATGGAATCCAATCCAGACCGAACAGATGTGTAACCGAGTGTGCGAGGCTTTCGCGAGATGGTGCCTTTACCAATACAGGTCGACAATAGGTGCCGTCGCGCACGAATGAGTGGTGGGATTTATTATGAGCGGATAATAATAACAAAAAAAAGAATTCCATGATGGTCGTCTGTTGGTAATCGGGATACATACGAGATCATGTTCATTAGGCCAACGTGATCGATTTGTGGGCAAAGGACAAACTCGCTCATATGAGAAGAGAGGGGGCAAAAACCGCAACTGCTCTCGCAAGGATGTCATGGATCAGAGGCATGGATTATAGGGCGGACGTTGACCTCGAATCCGCGGCTGTGCCAAGTCTATCCAGCGTGCTCTCTCTCTCTCTCTCTCTCTCTCATTTTTTTATTTCCCGGACGGGTCAAATATCGACATGACCGCAGCGGATACATGAGCACGCTTGTCTCAACACTTTTGGCCTAAGCGGTGCTGCACAGACGCTAGGATTCGTGAACTCGTGGGGATTTGATACTGGCCAGGGTTGAGACTTGTTAAAGACGACAGGATCTCGATTGACATATCTCAAAGGCAATTCCTGTATGTATGTAGATCGGGAGCACCAGTATGGACTTGGCTGACCGAGACTTGTGGTTTTTTTACCGGACCAGGCTTTCCGACCCGAGGTGCCCATGGCGAATCGGGTTTATTCAATTCTCGCACCGCCACACTTTTGTAAGAGGTGCCAAGTCTGAGGAAGGTCTGTGCTGGATGTTTGGATGTGGTCGCGTGGGATTGCGGCGGTGAGGTAACCGCGCAGGCTGGCAAGGGTGGGTGGTTGATGATGTCAATGGATGCGGCTGACGAGAGTGGCATGCAGCGGAGGGGGACAACCACTCCGCGCCTCCCCTTTTTGGACATGTGGCTAATTTTCTGTTGAGCACATTTCGCAATGACAGATAGAGAATTTTGTTTTGTGCTGAAATCAGCTCAGAAGGCTGGTTAGTGATATCGTCAGGCGGGCAGCAGTCTGGTTTAGCAGACGACGCGGACAGGTCAGCGATTCAGATTTCCATGTTGCCGACAGACAGACGGAAGCCAGCAAGCATCGAGATGACCTCGGTGGGACCCCTGTTAAGCTTGTCAGCCAAGCATTCTGGCGACGTCAAGGACCGTGTCTTAATTAAGTCTGCATTGACATGAGAACGGCGTGCCAACACCAGCAAAGGCTGGAGTGGAGGACCCTGCCTGCTTCTCCAGGGTCCCTTCCAGCACCAGGCAGGACCCATCCCACGTCACTTCGGCGCCGCGCAATTGGCCGAGACGGGCTTCAGGGTCTCGAGGGCTGCGTCCATGCTACGTCATCCCACGCACCACTTGCACCCCCCTGCAGCACTTGCTTGCTCTGCCTGCCTGTCTGTCGCAACACGCCGCACAACACACCACCAACAACACCAACACCACCACCACCACCGAAGATCGCAGCCGTTGTTGGACAGCTTCAGAAAACCGGTTTGGCAGGCAACACCCCGTCATCGCCGTGGCACAGACACAGACAGACAGCATGGAGTTGCCCTCTGTCGCAGATGGTGCTGTAAGCCATACACAGCTGTCCTGGATATATAACCTCGACAAGCATCATGCCGTGTATTCCGTCTGAACCCAGCATTTCCAACAAGCATCTCCAGCAGAAACAACCTTAAACTCGTGCCAAAGCAAAAAGCTTGGCTCCTTTATTCTCAACCTCCATCCATAACTCCACATTTTTACACATACAACTACCCACCCACCAGTCAACATGCCTCTCTTTGGTAGCCGCAAGGAAGCTCCCCCTCCGGAGCCCATCCCCGAGAAGCACCACTCGGGCCTCTTTGGCAGCCGCCGCCGCTCCGTATCTCCTGTCTCCTCGCACCGCACCTCGTCGTCGACCTTCCGCACCTCGACCAGCTCGAACCGCCACTCGGGCGACCTCGCCTCCAGCCACCGCTCATCGGGCTCCGTCCTCCACCGCTTCGGCACCCGCCATGGCGACATCGACCCTTCCATCAGCCAGGCCCGTGACCGCGTCATCAACGCCGAGCGGGCAGAGAAGGAGGCCGACCGCGCCCTCGAGGCCGCCCGCCTCCAGGTCCGCGACGCCCGCACCCACGTCAAGAACCTCGAGCACGAGGCTGCCGAGGAGAGCCGCCGCGCAAAGGTCAAGCAGTACCACGCAAAGGAGATGTCCAAGCGCGGGAAGCACCTTGGCCGTAAGTCTTTGATCCCCTTTTCTCCAAACATGGCAAGGAAAAAAAGTAATGTGTGCTGACTTGTAATTGCTTAGGTCACGGCTTGTAAGCCTGTTCTTGTATGACATTGCAGGCAAAGGTTCCGCTTTTGTCCAAGGGTAGAATGCCGGGGACCATTCTGAGAATCTGTAAAGATATCCTTTTGTATTTTTTGGGTTCATGAGCGAAGCGTTTCTGTTTTACACACGATGAAATGAAATACAAAACATCATTGCCTCTACATATCTCGGTGTCTCTGGGTGTATTCCAAGGTAGCCTCGTGTGGTCCCATTGTCCTGCTATACATACCCTAAACTACCTTTAGGTAGACACCTGCTCCGTGAAGAGTGGCTTGTCACGGCGACTGCAATGTAACTGTGATGTACCCCATCCACCACGCTGGAGACCACGGTCAATGGCTTGGCGCACAGCCTCCATCCCAAGAGCCCAGAACAGGGGGGGCTCCGGTCCGGCAGCCGCAGTGAGAGGCTCTGAAACGCCTAGGCCGCCACCCGTTTCCTGTCTGCAACGGCTAGCAGACTAAAATCTGTAGGCTTTGGGATGGCACCTGCAACCCTAAACTCTGGGGGAGGTGGACGAGACCACAGCTTTTGGCGTGTCTCTCTGGCCACATCTGCTTCGGAGAAGACGTGGCCTGTGATTATTGATACGGGAGTCTGGCTGTTCCTGGATGAAGGAAATTGCATGTCGCCAGGATCGCCTTCGGAACGGGTGCAGCTGCTGGACTCTACAGTACTATGCGTGGTTACTGCCTGCAGCAGTGGTACGTCATCCCTTGCAAGAGCCACAGTGAGCGGCCAGACCACACACCAAGACTCCAAGAGGCTTGTCTTCTTGGAATACGTTTCGGAGACCCTTCCACCTCGATACGAGAAGCCGGCCGGTTGGTGATTCTCGGACCGCAGCGGGTCCAGCCGGGACACGCGGCCCCTTTGGCTATGGGCCAGTTCGCCTTGCGTCCTACCATATAATAGTGCTCAGCTGGGTGTATTAGGGACGGGGCACACATAGCACTTGGCTAGAGAGTCCTCGAAACACTGCCAAGGGCCACCTGTGGTTGTATGCACTACTTTCTGTCCTCCCGTCTTCTTTTTTTTTTTTTTTTTCACGCAGCGCATATGTACACGGCGAGCACGGACACATATACAATGGTTGCGCGTGGCCGGCTTTAGCGCGAGACCACGGCATGCCATTGACACGAATGCAGCGGCAGGCTCATCCATCCCAGTCTCTCTCGTAAGCCTGCTGGGACATGAGCATGGCCCGGGCACTGCCTGAGCGCTGAGGTGTGCTGCTTGCGTGTCAAGTGAGTGGCCCCCTGTTGTCGTGCTCATTCCAGCCAGCTCCCCACGCGTGCCCCCCGAAGTGGTGGCCCAGTAACTTTATCTGGCCAACACCCCAGTCTGCCAGGTGTGGTTACGTTGCCTGCATGTCCACAACACCTCATAATCCCAGATCGCCTGTGTGTGTCCTCAACTTTTTTTCTTCTCGACATTCTTTTCTCCCTCGGCAGCCTCGCCCCTGCCTGTTTTCATGCCGTGCAATTGAGGCCACACCCTCTTCTTCTTCCTCCGAGGATCACTCCTGCCAACGAATAGCGACGACGGCGACGGAACCACCAGCACTGCTTGGCTGCAGCTGCTCGAGCGCCCCCTTTCGCGATCCATAGCTTCGCCTCCCACAACGCAACACGCAGAGGCGAACCCCGACTGCTGGGCTTTCGCCAGCCGACTCGGCGCCATGTCGTCGTCCTTTAAGCGCGCGGTCATCTTTGCCGCATTTCTCCTCACAGCCTTCTACTTCCTCCACACGTCACATTCCTCCGCAAAGGGCGTCGTGCCTCCGACAAGACCGCAATACGCCGATAAGGACAATGCCGGCAAAGACACAGCTGCCTCCTCCTCCTCCTCTACCTCTTCGAAAAACCCGGCCACGGGCCACGACACTCCGACCGTCCAAAAGGTCATCCAGGACATGTCCAAGATGACCACCTACGAGAAGCTCGCCTACCAGTACCCCTACGACGTCGAGACCAAGTTCCCAGCCTTCATCTGGCAGACGTGGAAGACGACCCCGGCCGACGGCAAGTTCGACTTCCGCGACCAAGAGGCAAGCTGGACGGAGCTCCACCCGGGCTTCATCCACGAGGTCATCACCGACCAGGTCGCCGTGCACCTCCTGCGGCTGCTCTACGCATCCGTCCCCGAGGTCCTCGAGGCGTACCACGCGCTGCCCCAACCCGTGCTCAAGGCCGACTTCTTCCGCTACCTGATCTTGTTCGCCCGCGGTGGCATCTACTCGGACATTGACACGTACGCGATACAGAGCGCGCTGAGCTGGATCCCGCCCACCGTCCCCCAGACCAGCATCGGCCTCATCGTCGGCATCGAGGCCGACCCCGACCGGCCGGACTGGGCAGACTGGTACAGCCGGCGCATCCAGTTCTGCCAGTGGACCATCCAGGCGAAGCCGGGCCACCCGGTGCTGCGGGACATCATCGCCCGGATCACCAAGGAGACCCTGAAGCGCAAAAAGGAAGGCGGCCCGTTCATCTCCAAGGACAAGAGCGTCGTCGAGTTCACGGGCCCCGCGATCTGGACAGACGTGATCTTCGATTACTTCAACGACCCCAAGTTCTTTGACAAGTCGAGCTCCAAGGGAGACATCACCTACAAGCACTTCACGGGGATGACCACGTCCAAGAAGGTCGGCGATGTCGTGGTGCTGCCGATCACGAGCTTCTCGCCGGGCGTGCAGCAGATGGGCGCCAAGGAGTACGACGATCCGATGGCGTTTGTTAAGCACGACTTTGAGGGTAAGTCCATTTATTCTTTGAGAAGCCTGCAGGGTTAGTGGAGGTGGCCACGAGAGTAGAACTAACTTGTGCGTAATAGGAACATGGAAACCCGAGAGCGAGCGGCACATCGGTGAGAAGAAAGAAGAAGACGAGAAGGATGCAGGCAAGAAGGACGGAGGCAAAAAGGCTTAAGCCAGTCCAACAAGAGTCACCAGCATGATATTCTGGCAGAACTGGGGGTTTCTCTAGAGACCTTGACTGACCCAGAAAACGGCCGGCATGTCGTCGTTTTTGGCTCAAACCACGGCACGGCATTTTCCAGCTCGCGAGGCATGTACACATGCGTCGCCACCCGCACGCGCGCGCGCCATGGAGCTTCCATTACGCCCAAAGCTGTGGTCCCCTGGAGGGGCGAGAACCCCTGGTGGCGCCTCGCATCGTGTTCTCCAGGGAGTGAGCATACACACGAACAGCCACACGCTGCAAGCGTCATCAGTGCGTGCGTGCTTGCTGCCGGACGAGAGCGTCATACCTCTAGAAGGTATCAACGAGCGTCTCATGTTTTTTCAATGATGACCCTGCATGATAAAGTTCTATTTTCGAACATGAGCATAATATCCCTCAGCCTTGGGGGACAAAAGGGAGCCAGGCGTCATTTGACTTTTGGGACACGAAGGGAAAAAAACGAGAAAGACAAAAGCAAAAGACAAGGGTTAGAAAAGTGTTAGGCTTCATCCGGGATAGGGACGCAACCCCTTTCCGGGACTAGAAATAAGAGAATCAACCTCCCAGGTGAAATCGTTTCAGCGATTGGGTTTTACAATTACAATTACAACCCCCCCCCCCCCTGTTGTTACCATTCGCCCTTCGCCCAGTCTAGTCTCCTATTCTGTTTTTGTGACTCGCCGCCCCTGCGTCGGGCAAGGAGCGGAGCAGCAGCAGCAACCGATACAGCGACGATGGAACTGTAAAGGTACACACGCGCGCACGCACACACGCACTGGGTTACTTGCTTGCTTTGGCGCACTAGCCACATGATCACTTTCCTCAGCTCGAAGGGGGTGAGAGGGAGGGTCTTTAAGAAAAGGAGGGGGGGAGGACCACGCCGTCTTGTTGTTTATTCTTGCAATTTCGCCTGACTTACTTGCACTCTCTCTTTGTCAATAAGTAGTACTAACGACTTCAGGAGGAAGGAGTTCTACATATTTTTTTCTTGAACGGAGGAGGAGGAGGAAGAGGAGGTTGCTGCGTGTGCCGCGGCGCCATTCTCGTTTATTGTGTTGGAACAAAACTCTTGATATTAATCCGGGCGCGTTCCTTTTTTGGCACCCTGCTTTTTCTCACCAGAGGGACACGCATACTGCTGCTGCAGCTGCTCGACCACCGCAGCAGCCGTTGCTCGGAGAAAACAGAATGAAAAGAAAAGATAAGGGAAGAAGAAGAGATCCAGTTAGGGAATTACATTTGTTTACAAGTTTGCTTGAGAAAACGCTGTGTGCGCAGTGCTATGCTATCTGCCGTCATGTATAGAATACACAGCCCCCCGTGAATTGGTTTTCTTTTCCTTTTTGTCTTGGTTTTAAAATATAAATTCGAGGATTCTCCTCTTAAAATTGTATGAAATTGGTTGCGAGATTTCCCAACCCCCCCGCGCGCGAGATACACACGCTTTTCTTTCTTCCCTTGCGCGCACCCGCGGCCTTGGGGGGGAGTGAGTGTGAGACTGCCGGAAACCAGAAACGTCGTCTACGGAGCCTCCTTGTAGTGCCCCTCGCCAATCATCTCGGCCCGCCTCGACTGGTCTGGCAGCTCGTACATCTGGTTCGAGTTGTATTGCTGATGCTGCGGCGGCGGCTGGTTGTTGTTGTAGTAGTAGTAGCCGCCGTCGCCACCGCTGCCGCCGGCGGTCGTGCCCGTGTGCTCCGAGTGCAGCTCCCCAGGCACCCCGTACGCAGTGCTGGGGGAATCCTGGTACTTGGGCTCGGTGGCAGCGCCGCTGTAGGCCGTGCTGCCTCCCACGGTCGACCCGGCAGCCGCGGCAGCGGCGTCGGCCTCCTGCTGGCGCTTCTGCCGGCGCTTCAGCAGGATGACGGCCACAACGATGCCGACGATTGCGAGGACCGCGAGGGTCACGCCGACGCCGATGCCCGCCTTGGCGCCGGTGCTGAGCTCGGAGCTGTTCTCGCCGGTGCCGGCCTCGGAGCCAGGGTTGTTTGTCGGCGTGTTGGTGGGGGCCGGAGCCGTGGCGTTGTACGAGGGCAGCACGAGGGCGCTCTGCCACTTGCCGCTGTCGCCGTTAGCCTCGATCAGCTTGCCGTTGCTCATGTAGTAGACGCGGAGGCTGTCCGAGTTGAAGTCGTTCGCCACGGCGAGGTAGCCGTCGTCCGACTGCGGCCAGGACGCGTTGTTGCTGGGGCGGTCAAACACCAGCCACTTGTAGTCGAGGTTGCCGATCTGATGGAGCTGCTTGTCGGTGCCGACGTAGAAGACGCTGCGGGTCCAGCTGCTGTCCTCGGCCATGCCCATCGATTTTGGCTTGCCGTCCCACGCAGGTAGCGAGTAGGTGGGGACAAACGTCGCGTTGAGGTGGATGCTGTTTGGGTTTGTGGAGTTGGTGATGATGGTGTTGTTGACGGTTGCGTTCAGAGGAGTGGGAAACGACTCTGGGATAACAGGTCAGAACATCACAGTTCTTGGAGGGGGAAGGGCCCAGAGCTCTGTGCAAGACTTACCAATGTGCCAGGTGTTGTCGCCATAGAACCTGGCCAGGCCCATGTTCTGGCTGTCGCGCGGTACAAGGAGGGTAATGTTTGTATCGGCGGGCGGGTAGATGGAGGCGATGACATTGGCCGAGGACGAGGCATTGTAGGCGACGCCGCCGTACCTCCAGCCGTTGTCGTTGTTGTAGCTCAGGAGCTGGACGGCGCCGTCGAGGCCGTTGTAGAGGACGCGGTAGCCCTCCTTGGCGCCGAGAAGGGCCATGCTGAGATCCGAGTTGTTGGCCGCCTTTGGGGCGCCGCTGGAGATGACATAGTCACCCGTGTTTGACCAATGGCCAGTCCTGTCATCGCACTGGAGCAGCGAGTTGACAATCTCGTTCTTCTGGTTGAAGTAGAAGATGGAGGCCTTTTGGGACAGCCAGCCAGTCAGTCAGTCAGATTCCAATGGGCCTTTTGCTGGATAGAGAGACCTACAACGACGTTCTTCTGGTCCCACCAGCCACCACCGGCGAGAGCGGTGCCATTCTTTGGGGGAAACTTGAGGAGGGGCATGGTGATGGAGGTGTCGTTTGGGAAGATGGGCGTGTTGTGGCTGTTGCAGAGACTGTAGCGGATGCCGGCCGAGGCATCGTCCTGCATCATCAGAGTCGGGCCAAAGTCGTTTGTCCACCAGGCGGCAAGGTGGCCAGCCGAGGCCGTGGCCGCAAAGAGGCCGAGGGACCAGAGCGAGGAAGCACCCATGGTGACGGCGTGTCGGGCTTGTCTGTCCGTCAGATCACCGTGGTCGAGCTCTGGTGTATCTTGGGGGTGCGGCGATGGGTGATTAGTGGTGGTGAAGGACAGACAGACAGAGACAGAGACAGAGACAGAACAAAGGATCGTCGCGTGCAGGCGGGCACGGCCGTTAGAGAAGACATTTTGTCGCTGGCCAGGCGTGACAGGAGGGTCGAATGGGCAATGTTGCTGATCTCAGCCATTGGACTGGGGTCCCCCCTGCCCACCCGCGCGGACTGATGGCAGCGAGCGGGTGTGCTCCATCTCCAGACGCCAGTAATAGTAATCCAGGGTCCGCCACGAGGGCCGCCACTGTTTCGCGTTGGTCCAAGGCCTCAGCTCCCCCACGTCCAAGCCCCAAGCCCCTAAGAGCTCGGATGGGCCCGACCGAGTTGCCTGCCAGCAGCGAGTCAGAAGTCGTCGGTGCTCGTTGGCCCAAAAGATCTGGCAGTTAATTAGCTGGCCCCTGGTGGCGGGCAACCCCTGCCGCCCGGACTCTAGAGCTGCTATCCAGAGACTGGGACAAGAGTGCAGAGTCGTGCTTGCTGACGCCATTCGGGGGCCCCCGTTCGCTTCCCGTTGCGCCTGCCGTTCCTCTGCGCCAGTCACAGCCCGCCAAGCCGGGCCAAGCAGCAACGGCTGTCCTTGCAACGCAGAGCAGGTTCAATGCGTGTCTGTCCAGCTGCCGGCGCCTGCAATTTCCAGCCCGCTGCACCGCAAAGCACAAAACTCCCAATCGAGACAATGTCAGCAACTGGTGGCCTCTCTCTGCATGCCCGCCACCGACGACATCCACCCGTTACACCCCAGCCCAGCCGATCCCTTCCCGCTTCATCTCCCTCCCCTGCTGTCCAGCTCGAGCCCACTCACTCACCCAAGCAGCTGGCTCAACCTCCCTCCATCCCGTCGACCCCGTCCGTCCGCTTTGTGCAATCTTCTGCGAACCCCAAGCTCACAGGCGTTCGCTCCAGCTGATTCCGTGCGCTGGCCACATCTGCTTCAGTGCAACTCCTCGTGGCACCCAACTGACACCACTGTAAGGAGGACACGCACACTTGAGCAGCGACTCCCCTGCCCTACACCTCCCCAAAAGATTGCACCACCAGATCGGGCCCCCCAAGCAACAACAGGCAATTGGTCAGCCCTGCTCGTGTCGTTCCCACTCAATAATAATGCCCTGCCCTGCCTGTCAGCACCAAATGCGCGCCAGCCCAACCATTGGAACACACCCATGCACCACTTTGCATTAGCAGATGCAGTCAGCGAGCATCTTGCCTCCATCTGGCAGCCAGCCCTCCCCCTGGCACGGCATGCTACACAAGCCTTTCTTCCTGGCTCCGGCCCGATCGATGCATCTTGCTTTTCTGGGTCACATCGCCCTTTTTGTCCTGGAGCTCGCTCGCCTCTCGGCCTGAGGGCTACCTGTACGACGATGGCTCTGGGCAGAATAAACCGGACAGGTGCTTGTATTACAGCACGCATCTACATTTGGTCTGGTTTATTCTGTCCACAGCCTCGGCCGTAGCGCACCCGCGTCGTCGTACCCGCCTGCCCTACCACAGTTTCGCCCCGCCACGCGCGTGGCTCAGCGGAGGAGGCAGATCACTAACGAAAGCTCATCTAGCTCTAGCCCTGGGGCGGTGGGCGGCGACAACCGCGCGTGCCTGTGTGCATGTGTGCCTAAGCGCGGGACCTTTTCCGAGTGGAGAAGAAGAGACAAAGAAAGCTTACTTTTAGCTTGGCTAGCCCCGTCTCAATCCTCCCTCTCGCGCAACAATGGGAAATGGTCGATCGTCCGGCGGGCCAGGTTTGGGTGGTTTTTCGTGGATCGGCATTTTCCACAGTTGCGTGCATGCTCGGCGGGAAAAAACACTCTGCATCGGCCACTCTGACATTTTGCTTTCTGCACATACAGTTCCAGGTCCAGGTCCAGATACACTGAAAGACATGCTGTGCACAGAAGAAGTGGGTAGTACAAAACTTCAGGTTCCGAGCATTTCTGAACTAGATATCTGAACGTGTATGGACACAGGACACTGCTACGAACATCCCGGGATCTTCAACTACCTTCCCCCCCGTCGGGCGACTGAACAAGACAAGGCTGTAAAACTGACCGTACCTTGGTAGAAGCTGCACAATCGACCAACCTTCATTCCTGCGTTGTACTGGAGAAATCCCAAGCTTTCCCCTTTAAAAAGGACCAAGACGCCTGGAGAAATACACATTAATCACCCACTCTTCCCAACCTTTCTGTCTGCGTGTGCTTTCAAGCAAGACCACGCTTGACGTCTTTGGCCATGATGCCCATCAGCGACTTCTCCGGCTGCGGGTACGGCGGCCGGCCGCCCAGGATGTCAACCACGTCCTTCATCTCGAGCCAGTGGGCCCCCTTGGGCCGCCTGTTCTTCCAGTCCGTCTCCGTCTCCTCGAGCTGCTGCATGCCGGTGAAGGCGACCGCTGCGCCCTGGATACCAATGACGCTCGCGCTGAGGGGGTCCTCCTTGATCTTCTCGCCGGCCTTGTAGCAGCCCGGGCCGTACTTCTCGAGGTGCTGGATGCACTTGATGGCCAGCCTGACCGCGCGGCACCTGTCCATCGGCGAAGGGACGCCTCCCTGCTGCACGTGGCCGGGGATGCTGTCGCGAGCCTCGAACCTGTCGTGGGCCTCCTCGCGGATAATGTCGGCAATCAGCTTGGCACTGTACACGGCGCTGGCCTTCTCGTTGACCAGCAGCAGGCGGCCCGCACGAGACTGGCCGCGGTCCTTCCGGAAGACGTCCTTCAGGTGCCGGACGTCCGAGTTGAGCATCTCGAGACTGACGCCTTCCTCAGGAATGTAGACGGCGCTGGCGCCGACGCCGAGACCGCTAAGCACGGCAATGTAGCCCGACTTGCCGCCTTGCGTCTCGATGACGAAGACGCGCCGCCGCGTTGCGGAAGCAGACTGCTTGATCTTGTCGCAGTACGAGACCAGCTCGTTGAGGCACGTGTCCGAGCCGAGCGAGTACTCGGTTCCGGGGACGTTATTGGAAATCGTGGCCGGGAGCAGAGTCATGGGGATGCACAGCTCCGGGTACTGCGCTCTGGCCTTACGGAGCTGAGACACCGCGTGGAAGGCCTCGAAACCGCCGACGAGGAAGAGGGCGTCAAACTCGTACTTCTTGACCAGGCTGGCAATCAGCTCCATGCCGGACTCCTCTGGCAGCTCACGGTTCGTTCCGATTTCCGAACCGCCCTTGCTGGCCCAGCCGTCCACCTCGAGCCACTCGAATGGCCTGACCGAGCCCACTGGGGAATCGCCATGGTGGCGGGCGAACCCGGCAAAGCCATTGTGGATGGCGATGGGCTCGTGGCCACGAGAGCGGCAGTAGGCGACACCCGCACGAACCGCTGCGTTCATACCGCCTGCTGGGGCACCAACATTGATGAAACCGATTTTCATTTTCTGTGTCCTGTGTCAGTCTGAAAGTTGCATGCCGCCGTGGTTTCTAGGCACGGCCACTTACCTTGCTAGACTCGACACTAATGTGGTCTCCTGCGCCCATGGCTGTCGTCATCATGTAGGACTGGTACTGGTCCGAGAATTCCGTGTCACGCAGAGACATTGCCTTGGCGAAGTCCTGGGCATCAATTGCCGTGGCCACCTCCTTCGTCTCAATGACGGCGGACATGAGCGGCTTGCGGGCGATCTTGTTCTCGGTGATAGCGATGAAACACGTCTCCGTCTCGGGCGTCGCCTCAAGGACAGCCTTGACTGCTTCGACACCCTGGAGCGTGGCGAGCATTCTGTCGTAGGCAACGGCAGTTCCACCTCGCTGGACATGTCCCAGAGTTGTGATACGCGTGTCCAGCGCCAGCCCGGATTTGTCGGCGAGCAGGTCCTTGATCATGTCTGGTGTGATCTTGCCGCCATGCCGGTCCTTGGCACCCTCGGCAATGATGACGATTGTCTTTCGCTTTCCCCAACCGCGGTGCTATTCCATGACACAACAGTTAGCAGGCCGACTTCGAGTCGTCGTCTTCTTCACAAGCCAGGGTTACTCACCTTCTTGATGATCGCGCACATTTCCTCCCTCCAGTTGTCTTCCCTAGGCTTCTCTGGGATGAAGATGAAATCCGCCCCGGTGGCAACACCAGCCATCAGGGCGAGCCAGCCGCAATGCCTGCCCATCACCTCAATGACGAAGGCACGTGAGTGGGACGAGGCAGTCGCCTCGATGTAGTCTACCATCTCGCAGATACGTGCCAGGGCAGAGTAAGCTCCAATGGTGGCGTCGGTGCCGGAAAGATCGTTGTCGATGGAGCCCACGAGGCCGACAATGTTGAGGTGCTTGTATGGTGCGATCTGGCTCTCCTGGAGCTCCTTTTTCGCGACAAGCTCCTCCAGCAGCGAAGGCCACTCGGCACGGAACCGGTCCGCACCGGTCAGAGAGCCGTCACCGCCGCAGATGATGAGGGCGTCGATGCCGTTGAGGATCATGTTCTTGGCGGCGGTCAGACGGCCGGGGCGTTCGTAGAAGGCCATGCAGCGGGCGGTGCCAATCAGGGTGCCGCCTTCTGACAGGTAGCCACGGACGTCATCCCATTCCATCTTCTTAATCAGGTCTCCTCCACGGACCAGTCCCTCGTAACCCTCGTAGATGCAGAACGCGTCACAGCCCATGTGGATGGCCATGCGGACGACGGCACGCACCACGCCGTTCATGCCGGGGGAGTCACCTCCCGAGGTCATGACGGCAATCTTCTTCTTGGGTGCCGCAGCCATCTTTTGGTTCGGAATCTGCGGCTGTAGCATGCTGTGATGGTCCTGGCTCGACAAAGCTTTTGTTGTGTGCACCTGTGCAGAATTCGTCCAGAGCCGGGCTCCTGTAAAGCAATTGCCTGAAGAGGCTCGGTTCTATCTATGGATGTTCCTTTTCTTAGGGTGTAGGGTTCTCGTCCAGCTTTCCACGTATAAAAAGTGTCGAGGTGGTTGTGGATTTTGTTGAGCTTCGTGGTAGACGACTAGTCAATGCCGATGGAGGGGTCGAGGCTCGCAGACGAATGACCTGTTTCGAGGCTTTGTTATGGGTGTAATGTGTATCGATGCTCAGGTGAACGCTTCGAGGGATGAATTGAAAGTAGACAAAGGAAGAGCTGAGGCTGGTTGCGGCAATTACGGGAATTTGTGAGACCAGCACAGAGACAAGCCGCCGCCGAGAGCTTGATGCATCCCGCCCACCTGGCAACGCGCGCGAGCTCAGAGTTTCTCACCATTGAGCTGTCTGGGCTGCCCTTGCCTAGCGTGCTCGGCCGACGCAAACCCCCACCAAAAGCGCAGTCGGCCCTGTTCGCAGCGGCCTTATCGGCCCATTATCGAGGAGGGGCTGCTGCCGTCATAGCTCGAGCTCCTCCTGCAGGCGCGCGCCCACGCGCTAGGTCCAAATGCCCCGTCACCAGGCCGTCTTTGTGACAGGCCAGTCTTGGGGACCGGCGTCATTCTACTTACGTGCCGGCCCAAATTTTTTCACTCCATCCCACCAAACTGTTCGACGCTGTGATGTGGGGGTTGCGGCTCACGACTCGCCCGCCGCGGCCGGCACTGGTCCATCCTGGCACAATGCGGCACTCCTCAGCAGATCCATCCTTTGAAAATCTCGGCCAGGGTGGATCGGTGAGGTCATTTGGTCATTTGATGAGCGGTCTAGCATTCGTTCTGCCATGGTTCTAGACGACTACAGGAGTTTGACGTCCGGGCGGCACGGTCGCTTCGACGGCACGAGTTTGTCCCTTGCCCCTGTTCGTCAGTGGCATCCCGCTCAACAACGGATACCCCATAGAACCCCGGCCGTGGCATCACCGATCTCGCTAGTGACACGGTGTAAGGCGTACGCCTCATGCCCGAGCACTCCCACTTCAAATTGACCCGAGAACTTGCGTGGTGATACTCAACATACACAATGGCCATGTCGGAGCCGAGCCACTCCTCTCGAGTTCGCTTAGATCGGAACGGACACGGCGGCAAGCATCGTTCGATACTTGCCCGCCAAGGCAACATTGCGAGTTCTTGGCAGACCAGTCCTGAGGCTGCTCTTGCCTCAAGCACTAATAAGACAATCGACAAACTGACGACAAATGGTAAATCGATTGGTGACGCATGCATGCGTGACCAGGGCAGGATAGCAGGGACCAAACGACCAGGACCCTGGATTGTGACAATCAGGAAATCCCATCTCCCGGGCCGATGCCGCAGTGTGGGGCAGCGTCACGGTTCACGCCAGCCAAGTCTTGAAGCAGGCAGGGAGGTCTGCTAGACTCCTCGATAATCTTGTGTACACGTCGCAGCTTTTATGATACGAGGCCTCTACTTGTACTGCTCATCTTTGAAAACGAGAACGACGCCATGAAGCCTTTTACGAGTGGAACTGTACACAACCGAGCTCACCACCTTGGTCCTCTCCAGGGCACCGTTTCAAGCCAAGGCTGGTATCCTCTACCGGTCATGGTGTACAGCTACATATTGTGACTTTTTCGTCAACCAATGCCTAGCCGCTGAGCAACAAGCCTAGCGCCACGACCGAACACTCGTCCTAATCATCAGGGCAGCTAGCCGTGGGGTGATAGCCTTGCTATCCTGAAATGGGGTGCAGCTACGGAGGGGCTTGCAGCCCTGGCGCAGTTGGCTGTAGATAAACTTCTGGGCTGACTTGAACTTGGGATGGAGGGAATAGGCCTAGCTGAATGTCACTCGGGAGCTGGCTTGGCTCGGGGCGATGGGTCCAGTTAGAGCTGGTCAAGGGCTGATGTTAGGTGGAAGGCCTAGCGACCGCTTGCATGCGAGATGTCACAGGTCTTGCTTGGCTGTAATGGGTACGCTAAGTAGCCCGGGTAGTCGCCTGGTTCTCCATCTTGCAAACTTATACCGTTCTTGTGGTGTTTCCGCGGGTTCACTTCCCACTCACCACGTGCGCTGCTAAGAGCCTTGTGCCGCTGTAACTGCCCATTTATTTCGATTGGACCATGTGAGCCATAATTCGCTAGGAGATTTTGATTGCTTTCTACGAGTTCGAAATGTTTCCTGAAAAGCTCGAAATCATATTGCCTTTTATTTTTCATGTCCAAAACAATCACAAAAATCACTCCCAGCCTGCTCGAGCCCTGATGCTCACCAATGACAGGTGAGTATGTTTTTTGGCATTTGGAAAATCTAGCAATTGGTTTCCTATCACTTCAAGTCTTCATACACCACCTATTTCGTCGTGCTGCCATGGGGCCAGGAAGACATTACAGTGCCTACACGGTGTTATTTGCACTATCATTACTGTACATACTCAACTTGCCCCACTGTGCCCACCTGGGTGGCTTCCCAGTTGGAAGCCTCGAAAGGGAACTCTGGGGAAGGTCCGCCAGCACCAGACGCGCCCAAGCCAGGCGCGACGAAAGAAGAAATCATTTCTGAGCCTACAGCGAGGCTGCCTGGGAGCGATGTCATGAGAAAAGTCTGGCCTGTGCCATATTTGATTTGCGCCTTCTGCCACACACCCACGTTCGAACGCCACAGCCTGGGTGCTCCTTCTGTTCACCGAGATGATTCAGCGAGTGCTTACCTCTCGCGACGCCCTTCTCTGCTTGAGCCGCATCGCCACCCCTGCTCATCTAGCGCAACGACATCGTCCATGTTGCGCCTGGTGAGGCCTTGACGCACTTCTTCGCGCATCGCCCAAGATACCTCGACGCCTGGTCTCGGCTACCACAGCCGCTCACTGAAAGTATCTCGCCCTCAACTCGCCAGGCAACCAGGACCTGGCGGACATTCACGCTGCGGCTGCATGCCCTCGCCATCCACGGCACTGTCTCATCCGTCTCACCTCAACTGGTTCCCTCCAGGGTCCACAGCCCAACAGCCAACGAACCACTCGTTTTCGCAGCACCAACACAACATCGCGACCTCGTGATTGCGTCGCACCACAGGGCGCCGTGCGACTAGAAGCCTTCCATAGTGCCGGCTCCTTCCGGTTTGGATTTCCGAGGCAGCGACACTGCCCCACGCACGGCTACGAGCATCGGCTTCTCTCATCTGCCATCTCCTCCCCATGACCAGCCGCCCAGCTGCCTGTCACCGGATGTGAGCCGAGTCTCGGGCTGCACAACCACGCCTGACTGCTGCCTTGGCTGCGTGCCTCCGGCCGCCGGCTGTCGCCTCTCAAAGAGGATGGCTTCCTCATCCGCTAGGGCCCCGGGGGGCCCTATATCCTCCACTGGTATTCCCACATCACAAACCGTGGACGATCTAAGGGATGAAATGGACATGCAAAGAATCCTCATCGACTCTCTGCAGGGCACACCGGCCGACACGCCGGCGCGGCGCAACGAGCTCAAGCAGGGTCTGCAGGATATCCAGCGAAGGCTTAATATGGCTTTGCGAGCACAGGCAGTCAATCGAGGTAAGTGCTTGCTGGTTTGTCACAGACGTTTACTGTGAGGGACGTTGGAGAAGTTCCTACGGTTCCCGTCACGGCGTCAAGCACGTCGCTCTCCATAGTAACGCAAACTGATTGCTTTCCCACTCTAGCATCCACGGCCACGACGCCACGTTCAGGTCCGTCACGGACTTCCAGCTATGGAAATGCAACCGCAAGCGATTCGTCCAGAAAGCGCACATTCAGCATGCACAATGGTGATGGTTCTAGCAGCCAACACGCAAGTGCCTCCAAATCTCGTCGGACAACCCCAAGCCCGAATGACTCGGACTTGGAAGATGCCTCCGAAATCATTGATCTTAGCGAGGTCACAGGGTCTGGCCGAGATTTTCTCAATCGGCAAAAGGCCGAAGCAGAACGGCTGCGACGTAGGCGAGAGCAGGAAGAGCGCGATGCAGCCTTCGCCAGGAGCTTGCAAGCAGATGTACCTGCAGAGGCGAGTAGCTCGCAACGCCCACGAAACAGCCAAGGCGATGGCCCGAGTGCGTTCGATCGCATCAGGCAGCCGGTCTTCTCACAGTCCAGTCCGTCGAGCCAAGAAACCAGCGGACCTTCATTCCCATCGCCTGTGCGGGCGTTGCCAACTCATCCCAGGACTAATCCATTACACCTGCCACCGAACCACACTCATGCGCCGCCTTCTTCGCACCAGGTCAAGCCATCCAGGATGCCAGGATCTTTCGATAGCGATGACGAGGGTTTCCTACCGTACAGCAGACCCCAGCCCAGCTCTCGGACCGTGGTTGATCTCACAGATTCGGACAATGAGGCTGATATCTCTGGCGGCTATCGTGCAGCAGCCGCAAGCGCCCGAGAAGCTGCTCTGCGGCGACAACAACAACCAAATCCAGGGTTTTCACATTACGCAGGCGTTAACTCAGGTTTTGGCAATGCCACATATGGACCTTCGCCTTTCGCACCTGCTATGACGGTATACGGCTCTGGTCCGCATCTTAACAATGCCAGCAACACAATAGCATATCCTAGCCCATACGGTGCATATGGTGCACGGCCTGGCTCCCTTGTTGGTGGATCAGCCAACCCACTTGACTTGTCTAGGCCAACCATGCCGTATTTGCCGTCAGCACTAGGAAGGCCACAGGATTACTCTAGGGGAGGAAGCACGCTGGCCAACATTATCGAACGAACGGCAAATATTGATTACAGCAGTGGACTGGACATATATGGTAACCCACTCGATGACCGGATCCGAGATTATATCCACGACGTAGTGGATGACCCGCGCAAGAACGAAGAGGAGATCCGGGAACTTCTCGCAAATATTCGACCAGACATGGACATCCCGCAAGAGGATCGCGAGGACGACCCGGTCGGGCTTAGATACCCGCTTTATCCCCACCAGCGCATTGCGTTGAAATGGATGGCGGGCCAGGAGGAAGACAGCAAGAAGGCCGGTGGAATCTTGGCCGATGACATGGGATTGGGCAAGACGATTTCCACACTCGCGTTGATCGTCAGTCGTCAGGCGCAGCCCGCACCTGGCCAGCGAACAATCAAGGTATGATGGCCGTGTCCACATTCAGCATACGCATGCTAACAAGAAACAGGCCAAAACGAACCTCATTGTTGGCCCCGTGGGGCTTATTCGTCAATGGGAGCGCGAAATTGCCAAAAAGCTCAAATCGACACACCGGCTCAGTGTCTTCCTCGCCCACGGTCGGAAATGCGTTTATGATGACTTACGCACGTTCGACGTTGTCTTGACTAGCTACGGCACACTTGGCTCGGAGATGTCGAAGCGAGACAAGTATGTCAAAGAGCAGGCACGGACTGGTCGTATGGTTGATAATGCCACCCTGAACAAATTGTGCCCAATGCTCGGACCCAACAGCACGTGGTATCGTGTGATACTGGACGAGGCGCAGTGCATCAAAAACAGCAAGACCTGGGCTGCCAAGGCTGCTTGTGAGCTCAAAGCACAATACCGCTGGTGTCTCTCAGGCACTCCCATGATGAACTCGGTAGACGAACTGTCTTCCCTGATTCAATTCCTGAGGATCAAACCTTACGATGATCCCAAGAAGTTCCGCGTGGTGAGTGGCTCATATCCCTCTTACCGGTTCAAGAAGCTGACCATTTGCAGGCATTCGGCTCGTTGAGTGCGAAACGCAACAGCTCTGGCGCAAGTCGCAACTCGGCAATGACGAGACTCCAAGCGACTCTGAAAGCCATCATGCTTCGCCGAACGAAGAAGTCGCAGTTGAATGGCAAACCAATCATCCAGCTGACAGAGAAGCACGAAGAAACAGTCCACGTTGTGTTCAACGACGATGAAGAAAAGTTCTACAGGGACCTCGAGCAGAACAGTCAGGTGCAATTCTCCAAATATCTTAAAAACGGCACCGTCGGCAAGCACTATACCAACATTCTCGCACTCCTCACACGTCTGCGGCAAGCATGTTGTCACCCCTTGCTACACATGCTTGACTTCTCGCAAGGTGGAAACGCCGAGATCTCGGAAGCTGATATGGAAAGACTTGCCGAGAGCTTAACACCGGACGTAATCAAGCGCATTCGGGAAACGGAAGAGTTCGAATGTCCTATCTGTATGGATGCGGTACAGAACCCATCTATCTTTGTGCCTTGTGGTCATGATACGTGCTCGGAATGCCTGGTTTGCCTAGCCAACGGATCGAATGAACAGGGAATTCAGGCAGGCAACGAGAACGCCAAAGCCACCTGCCCTGAATGCCGAGGTCCGGTCGACTTCCAAAAAGTCATCACACTCGACATATTCAAGCAGGTACACATGCCAGAAACGGTCAAGCCTGAGCCGTCGACTGCTGGTGGTGGCATTGACAAAGATGTCGACGGTTCGGACGACGACTCGGGCTCAGAGACGAACACTGATGATGACAGTGATGGATCGAGCACAGCCTCTGATGATGACGAAACTGACGAGGACGCTGATGAAGTGGATGCTAAGGGAAATCTCAGAGGCTTCATTGTGTCCGACGATGTTGATGAGGATTTCCTGGCTAAGAGCTCTGACACTGACGGCAGTGAGACCAAACCTGATATCGAAGCTGTAGCCGTCTCGGTCGCACGGAACGAGCGCAAGAAACGCAAGGCGAGCAAAGGATCAAAGAAGAAGGCCCACCGAAAGCGCAAGCACAACAGCAAGGACAAGGGCAAAGGCAAGGAGAAGGAAGATCCTGTCCAGCCACACATGCTGCGAAGCCTGCGTAAAGAGGCCTCGAAGAACCGTGAAGCCCACCGTCGGTATATGCGATATCTCAAGGAGATCTGGGAGCCGTCTGCCAAGGTGTCCAAATGCATAGAACTCATTGCAGACATCCAGAAGTCGGACGAGAAGACAATCATTTTCTCACAGTGGACGCTGCTCCTTGACCTTCTGGAGACGCCACTGAAGCACGAACTCGGCATTGGCTACCGTCGGTACGACGGCAGCATGTCGGCCAAGCAGCGCGACGCAGCAGCGGGCGAGTTCATGGAGCGATCGGATGTCAAAGTCATCCTGGTATCGCTGAAGGCCGGAAATGCAGGCCTAAACCTCACCGCGGCCTCGCAAGTCATCATTATGGACCCCTTCTGGAACCCCTACATTGAGATGCAGGCAGTTGACAGAGCCCACCGCATTGGCCAACAGCGAGATGTCAAAGTACACCGCATATTGGTGCAGGAAACGATTGAGGACCGCATTGTAGACCTTCAAGCCAAGAAGCGGGATCTGGTGGACTCTGCCCTGAGTGAGGAGGCCGCTAAGAACATCGGCCGCCTGTCCACCAAGGATCTCAGCTTCCTTTTCGGCATCACCTCTCGAAACAATTGAGTTCGCCCATCTGCGAGCACGTGGCACATTTTAGACACTTGCCACATGGTAGTCTTTTCTTTTGGTCACGATACACGAGCACTAGATTTGCAGAATTATGCGCAGACATCTTCTGAGAGAGGCTGCCGCGCGTGTGGGCCGATGGACTCTTTGGAAGTTTCGATGAGACACGGTAAATATCATATGTTAAGAGGGGTTACCGGGTCATGTTTAGACTTATTATCATGGTTACGACGCAGTTTCGTATGCATGGGGAGATTGGTGATTTGCTAGACATCAAGCAGTATTAGCCAGTTGGAGTGGTGGTATGCCTAGACGAGATAATATGAGCATTTTATTGAGGTCTACGGTCTTAATTTATGTGTTCTGGCCCTGGATGTGGGCTTTTGGCTTTGTCTATGACCATTCTCCCTCTGAGTTCTTTGTGATGTCGAGAACGGATCCCAGCAGTAGGACCGTAGGACCAAGTACCACGGCTCTAATTTTGGGTCTCGAAGAAATGGTTAGAATCAGATTCAGGGTTTAATCACAGCCTTCCGACGAGGATCTTTACAACCACGGCTTCGAGCCTGTCAGATTTCGTGGCGACCAGGTTGCGACCCTCTCCGGTGGTGTTACTGTGAGTTCCCTTGGTCTTGACCACCCTGTCTTGTCCGGTAGTCGTTGTCGTCGTTGTCGATCCCGGTTCCCCTCCTCCTCCTCCTCCTGCTGCTGCTGAAGCAGCCGAAGCCGGAGCCAAAGAAGTCCAGGTCCATCTTTGAGTCTTGGTCTCGGCACCATCATGGCCGTTGCCGATGCCGTCGCCACCACCCGGTGCCGTTCCGTCTGCACTGGTGTCATTACCGTCATCGTTGTTATTGTTGTTGCTATTGATGATGTCTGCGTTACTGCCGTTTGTGGCGTCTGACGGTCGTTTTCGAGCTGGAGGAGACGATGACGATGACGACGTCGACAACGATGATGATGAGGAACGCCACTGGCCTTCGCACTGCAGGACCAATGGGGTCGCTGAAGGCGGAGCAGCAGTAATAGCAGCAGCACTACTGCTACTGCTGGGCTCGGTGGTGGTGGTGCTGACTATGTCCGTGTTTGTGACAAAGCTGAGTCGGACCTCCCTATTGCCGTGGTCCGCCGTGATGACTGGGCCCGTGAATCCTTCGGACCGGCCAATGTCCGCTGTATTGGAAGCGGAGGCGCTGGAGGCGGCGGCGGCGTTGGCGGCGAGATTGTGTGAGAGCGCGCGCAAGGTGGCATTGCGCAGGTACGTCGTCAGGCTGGCCAGGTCTGGGTAGGCGTCGCCTGACGGCGGGTATGATGATTCTAGAGGGTTAGCGGCGGCGGCGGCGGCCCCGGTGGTGGTCGCTGGAAGTCTGCCTCCTGCCGCCGCGGCTGGAGACGTGGAGGAGGATGACGGCGGTGCCGCCTGGGGCGCGGCGAGGAGGACGCGTAGCTGCTGCCCGATCCAGGGTTGCATGAACGTCCTGCCGCGGATGTTGAGCCGGGCCTCGCTCGTGAGCACCAGCTCGGCCTGCAGGTCCATCGACGAGATGAGGTTGGCCGAGAGGATCTCGGACTTGGAGGCGCGGCGCACCTGGGCCTCCTGATGTGGCTGGATGGCCACGGGCTGTGCCGTCATGGTGTACGACGCTGTCGACACGCCGGCTCTCTGCAGCACGGACACGAGTTCGCCGAGGAAGCGTGCCAGGCCGTCGCAGGTGCTGATGTGTCTCGTGCGGGCAATCAGAGGACGCAGGAGCGAATATGGTGGAGTGGTCGGCGGAGCTCGGGCTGTGCTGATCTGCGTCCGGGTGCGGTAGTTTTGGCGATGCGCAAAAGACAGGAGGAAGTGTAGAACCATTGTCACCGAGTTGGCCAGGTCATGGTCCTTGTGGCCGGATCCCTGTTCCTCCTCGTCTTGCTCGTCAACAAGATCGTGGAGCGTCAGGATGATCTTTGTGTCCGGTCCAGTCTGGTAAGTGACCTCGGTGTCGGTCATCTGGACGCCGTATGAGAGCAGGGTTCGTGCCTCCCTGTTGAGCTCGTACCAGAGCTCCTGGGAGAAGGCTGTGTTTCTGGCCTCAAGCACCCGGTCTGGCAGTGGAGCGTCGTCCGGCGTGCGCCGCGGGATACGGGATTGGGCGGTAACGCCGCCGTTCCTCTCAACGGATACACGTATTCTCTGCGAACCGCGGCCAACGCGAGACGTGTCCAGACGGACAGTGCCGTCGTCTTGCCGTCGTAGGGGAGCCAGGCTCTGGTCTCTGAACTCGGGTGCGGCTTCCGAGAAGCCGAAGCGCACTCCCAGGGTGTGCTGGTCCTGTGGCAGGGAGCAGACGGCCCAGCCTTTGTCGCTGACGGCGAGCACGTCGGCCCAGTACTTTGCCTCGAGCTCCATCTCTTTCTCCAGGCGCTCGGCAGCGGCCATGACCGAGTCGACCATCTTGTTGAGGCCCATGACGCGCCATCCCGTGGCGACGGTGAGGTCGTTTTTTGTGCGCGCCTCGGTGACGTTGGAGTCGTGGAGCTTGGAGGCGCCGAGCGTGCCGATGCCCACGGCATCCCTCAGGGCTGTGGACAGGGTGGTGCCGGCCTGGACTGGCATTTCCTTTGAGAGGAGGAGCGAGATGGCGTCGAGGGCGAGCATGGCCGACTGGTGGGCATGGCTGCGAGAGACACGGACTGTTAGTATTGTTGTTGTTTACTCTGCTCAGGTGGTCGGCAAGACAGTCCAGACATACTCGCAACTCCGGAAGAACTCGTCGCGCGCGGCAATGGCGTCTTTTGTGTCCTCGTCGTCCTTGGTCTCGTCGTCGCCGTCGTCGCTGTCATCGTCGGAGGACGAAGAGTCGGGCTGGTCGAGGCCAGCGGTGTCGTCGAGTGCCTTGATGTCGTCGCGCAGCTTGTCCTCGGTGACGCTGCGGAAGCCGCCGGGCTCGGCATGGACGCGGGCGACAAACTCTGCGAGGTTCTTTGGCTTCTTGTCGCCGGTTGGCCAGGGCCGGAGGGAGAAGGGCGAAGCGGCCATGCTGAGGGCGCCCTGTGGGAGGCAGTCTTGTTTCTTGTTGTGTGGTGGTGACGGTGGCCTGTCGCCGCAGGGTCATGGGTGTCTGGGAGGAGGCATTGGGTGTGCAGAGTGACCCGTGCCTACTGCGTCGTCGTCGTCGTCGTGGTTGTCGTTGGCAGTGTCTATGGTTGTTTGGGTTCCTCTCACGTTCTCGTGGCTGCTGGTCCTCATTAGTTCCCAAGACCCCTGCAGCTCCGGTTCGTCGGGACTACAAAGCGACAGTGCGAATAGTGCGAATAGTGCCCAGTCAGACTGTATCCAGCTTCCACCTCCATGCTCAAAGTGTTACCTCCCATCAGCGTCTATGTCTTGCTTCTGTCCGGCTTCCCATGTTTTTGGGGCGAAGTCTCAGGCCCTAATCAGTCGGTCTGCCCTCGAACTGTGTCTTCCTTCCAGCTGGCGGCCGGGTGACTTTGCTGGTGGCGAAGGACCAAAGACCAGCAACACGCTTGGCTCACACGCGAGACATGAGCCAGCCAGCCAGCCATTGACCGGTGTGCACCTCAGCAAGGCCGCGGGAATGCAAGGGTTGGCCGCGATGAATGCCTGACAGGATTGCTGAGAGCTCGGAGCAAAAACACCAGCTCCCAATTGGCTGTGTGGGCACGGGAGGTGCTGCAGTAGCGCAATCGTCTGCTGCAAGTCGTGCTGTCATGGGCCGGAGCGGTGACGCCAGACGCGGAGGGCCCTGTCTGCGACTGCCGCAGAGACAAAAGCTCACGGCACACGACCAAGACGAGAGAGCCTTTTGGGAATATGCATGTTTGACTTTTTGTTTTTTCTTTTCTTTCTCATACATACATAAAAAGTCCGATCACATTCTCGCTGGCGATTATCCCTTATCTCTTGGCTCTATTGTTCAGTTTTTCGCTCTTCGAAGCTCGCCTCTTTGCCCATATACCACGGTGATCTGAGCTGTCGACATATCCTCAAGTCCCCTTGAGAAATATTGATCTGATACACCATCTTTACGCCCTTGACTTTCACCAAGCAGCAGCAAATTGTCAGCCATGTCGCCCTCGGCCCCAATGGCCAAGGTTCTCTCCACAGAGCCACTTGTACGCCCTGCCCTGCCTCTCCAGACATGGCCAAGAATGGAAGAACCAACAGACTGACTGGCCATTCCCTTTTCTGTAATCTAGGACCCGAAGGAGGCCAAATGGACAGAGCTAGTCAAGTAAGTACCTTGACACCTCGACACATATTCAGATTGCACAGCCCACGAAACGGAAGCCTCGCGGTTCAGACGGAGCATAATTGACACACGCCCACGTAATCTGTCACAGGCTCAACTACGCCGACCAGACGGGCGCCCACCGCACGTGGGAGTCGGCCGAGCGCACCACCCGGCCCGAGTCGTGCGGCGTGGACGGGGTCGGCATCGTCGCCATCCTGCGGTACCCAGAGGGCTGCAAACCTGCGCCGTCCTCGTCCTCGTCGTCCAGCAGTGGGAGTAGCAGTAGTACCGCCAACCATGTGAACCACACCAATGGAACCACTTACCACAATGACAACAACAACACGGCGAGAAGAGAAGAAGAAGAAGAAGAACAACGACAAGACGAACAAGACGACGAACAAGACGAGGGCCCACTAGTCGTCCTCCAGAAACAGTACCGCCCGCCCATAGACGCCATCTGCATCGAGTTCCCCGCCGGCCTGATCGACGCGGGCGAGGACCCGGAGCAGGCGGCCCTGCGCGAGCTGCGCGAGGAGACGGGCTACCACGGCACCCTGCTGCCCATGACCTCCGCCACCACCACGACAAGGGCCCCGACGACAAGGACACCGATAATGTTCAACGACCCGGGCTTCTGCAACACCAACCTCGTCATGGTCCACGTCGACGTCGACATGTCCCTGACCCAGAACCGGGACCCGAAGCCGGAACTCGAGGACGGCGAGTACATTGACTGCTTCACCGTGCCCCTGGGCCGGCTGTGGCGCGAGTGTGTCCGGCTCGAGAGAGAAGGGTACGCGATTGACGCCCGCGTCGGGGGCCTCGCCGAGGGGTGGGAGATGGCGAGGGCGTTTGGGTTTGGGGCTGCTGGGAAGGTGAGGTGAGGTTAGGAGGCGGTGACAAAGCGTGATGGAAAAGGGTCGGTTTGGCGGAAGGGGTGGAAGAGGCAAGATGACAGGACTGCGGGGAGAAAAAGAACCTTTGGAATATGTGAAGGCGAGAGAACGTAGCCAGACGGGTTGGATATGAAGGCGTGGTGTCCGTGGGTGCTAGATCAAGGAAAAAGAAAGATGACCCTGCCTTCTCGGGACAAGCCAGTACCCATGGGACGAAAAAGATATCACAGAGAGCTTCCGGTATCTATGTCCAAGGTATGGAAATGAAGGCTCGTGCGGCGAGGGTGAGCACGTCATGTGATACATCTAGGCATTACTTCCCTAAGGAATGATATATTTCGCGGTAATCGGCACCCACAATCAGTCAACTCGGGAGGATGAGTTATTAATTCTATTATTTGATGTGTCTATCGCTCAAAATCCAAACATCAACCAAAAGCCAAGACGAGAGCACATACGGCAGACAAGCTGCTAAAATACAGTGGTCGTGCAAACCAGAAACGCCGCGATCATAACCCATCCCACTTTTGCGAGGGGGAAAGAAAAGAGAAAAAATCCGAGAAACATCGTGTCAAATGAAGAGAGTCACTGGTGACTATCCCAAGGAGTTCACATCACAGCACCTGTTTTACAAATCCTCGTTTCCGTTGCACTGCTGCCAGATCTTGACACTGGAGATCTCCATGGCCGGCTGGGTCCAGGTGGGCAGCCACGTGTCGCGGGCGTTCCAGAAGTCCTTCTTGGCGTTGGGAGAGCCGTCGAGCCACGGCTTGCCGCTCTTGGAGTCCTGGAACCAGCCGTTGGTGCCGCCCACGGCGACGTTGAGGATCAGGAAGAAGCGCTGGTCAAAGGGGGCGTTCTTGTTGGGCGACTTGGCCCACGGGTTCTGCAGGAAGGTGCCGTTCGAGTTGGCGTTGGGGAAGCCGCCGCGGTCAAAGAGGTAGTCGTCAAAGTTGGTGTACAGAACCTGCAGCAGGCGCGAGTTGACATAGGTGAAGAGGTACTTCTCGGACCACTCGAGGCCAAACGTGTTGAAGCCGGCGCTGTACGTGGTGTGCAGGGCCGGACGCTTGACGTTGGTGCGCCACCAGGCGTCGTTGGCAACATCTGGGCCCCAGTGGAGAGCGCTTGAGGCAATGTTGTTGCCGCCCTGCTCGTAGGTGTAGTTGTTGCCACGGGCCTCGACAATGTCAATCTCGCCAGAGGCAGGCCAGGGGCCATACGTGTCGTCGACAGGCATCATCCAGATGGCGGGCCAGAGCCAGTCGCCCTTGGGCAGCTTGGCAGTGACCTCGACACGGCCGTACTTGATGGACACGCCCTTCCGCCCGTTGGTGGGCTTGGTGATGAGGCGACCAGACTTGGTGGGGGGGACAACACTGGAGTTGCCAGCAGTGGTGTTGGTAGCGGCAACGCAGTCATAGTAGTTGGTTGACGTGCAGATACCCTGGTCGAGCAGGTTGATTACGTTGTTGGTCTCCATCAAAGCAGGATCCTGGAGGGTCGGCTTGATGAAGAGATGGCCGTTCTCGACGTAGACGTTCTCGCCAGTGTTGGTGGTCTGCTCGAACTCGCCATTGCTTTGAAGGTGTTAGAGTGTCTCGGATGGGAGAGGTAGATCGAGGATACGTACCCAAAGCCGCCGACTTGGACTTCTTCCATCCACACGTCGCGGTTGAGGCCGCCAGAGAAGTTGTCATCAAGAACAGGGCAGTAGTTGTTCTTGACGACACTGCGGATACCATCCCAGACGAGGAAGCCTACAATGCGAGGAGAGATTAGTCGTTGTAAAATGAAGAGGGGCTTCATCAAGCATATGCGGCGGACTTACCAGAGAGAGCAATGCCGAGACCAAGGCCAATACAAGGCAGGATCGTCACCCACTTCTCCTTGGGGTCCTTCTTCTCGAGCCAGGGCTTCTCAACGTCCTCCTTCCTGACACGGCGAGAGTGGAAGTAGCGAGGAGCTGGAGGCGCAGACCGGCCGACACCGTACGAGTTATGACTGAAGCTGGACGGCGCCCTCGAGAACTCGGGGGACTGAAAGGGATCGTGAGGAGTCACGTTCTGCGAAGCATCGGTGGACTGGGCCATGCTGACGCTGAGGGCAGCGCTGGTGTCCACAAAGGGATCGCTCTTCTCTGTGAGGTGCGTGGCACGAGCAGAGTGCTGACTTGAGCGGTCCATTGTGATCTGATGTCACGACCAAGACGTCGTCAAGGCAAGGCTGTGATGGAGTTTGTGAATGTGTGAAGTGATGGGCAGCAGTCTTTGATGATGAATGAAGATGGAATGCAGAGACAAAGACGATGGCCGATTTGATGATTTCGGAACACTTGCTGTAGATTGTGTGTGAGAGAAGATGGAAGGATGATGGACGGGAAGAAAGAAGGCTCAGGCGAGGCCTAGATGTAGCATGCGAGTCTGAACCAAGACGACACTGCTTGCGGCGGGATTCTGGTGGGAGGTCTGATACCGCCCACCTGGAGAGCATGGCGCAGATGGCCGCTGGCGAGGCCAGAGCCGTTGAAGCCTGGAACCGCCCGCCCAGCCCGCGGAACGCAGCGGTGCTCAGGCGAGGCTGTCCCCAGCCACGAGTGTGAGAGTGGTGGGGGTGATCGAGAAGCTGCTCGAGGCGGCGCTAGACCGGTGGGCTCGATGGGCGGCAGCAACGGCGGCACCCACCCACTGGGCGGCGCCGTCTCTGGGCGCGCCACCCGCTCAGGCACCGCACCCACGGGACGGTGCCGGACAGCGGTGCAGTCTGGCTGCCATCAAATGGATGGATGGACGGCCACGGACACCGATTGGCTCACATCGCCAGGCACATGGAGACCGCCATAGGCTGGACATGGTGATGGAGCCGCAGTCAAGTCGCAATCGCCGCAAATCCACGTCTGCTTGTTGGCTGTCCCGCGAGCGCCGGATGCTTCATTGCCTGGACAGCCCCAGCCTTCGACTCGTATCTTGGAGCAGACTCGACGGCTTAGTCCCGAAACACGCCACGATGACCCCTGATAATGATTGGCGTGCATGATTGTTTGCCGTGTCCGCCACCGGTTGATCTGTATCGACGGCACAACTCCCTGCTCGCCAGCTGGTACCAAACCCTGCGTGGCTTCCTCGGAGCAGCATCGTGGCACGAGGCGGCCCAATCCGTCCACTCAAGCGACCAATCTCAAATGTACAGCTCGGGCAAGATCTGCGCGCGAGCCCGGCCTGCTGGCTTTGGCTTGCCTCCTAGTGCGAGCCATCGTCAGGGCACGGAACCTACTCGGGACGCATTAGCCAGGGGTAGAGCCGCGGCTTGCCATGGTGATTGTCACACACTCTGCGGCTCGAGGATGCAGCCTAAGGCTGAGCTGCATGCTTGTGACTGAGACTAGTGAAGTCAAAGCCGTCCAGCAAATGCAGCTCGACACGATCATGTCCCCTGGCAGCTGGCGGACTGCAGCTCGGGCCCGGTCCGCGGCCCCATTCCCTCGCGTTGACAATGCACTCTCATGCGGCTCTTTCAGGTTTGCTGCAAGCCGACGCCGTGATACGAGCTTCAAAGATTACGGCGTGACATGATGTGCTGTGCTCTCAAACTCAAACCGGATTGCGTGCATGCAGCATATCTGTCTGGTCTGGCAGATCCGCCTCCATCAGTAAACCATAGCACACTTGTCGTCCCCCAACAACATTCATCCGACCGTTGACAGCGTGCTGCTCCATCCTATCGAGATCCGAGCCCAGGTCTGCAGTCAATGACGTCGTTTACCGGACCAGCGACAATGGGGTGGCCCACTGCAAATTTCCCGTCAGGTTGGATGAGGGCAGCGTTGGATCGCTCGGCCATAGGTACAGTTCAAATAAGTCTAGCGCTTGGCAATTCCCCGTCACCGTTTGTGGGCCCAGCCAGGCGCTACGCTACTCGGCGGCGTTGTTTTTCATGTACTGTAAAAGTTCTGCACGACATCCGTGAAACAATGGGATTGACCCTGGTGATGTTTCCATGGGGCTTGCGTGGAGAGACAATTCTCGCAAGCACGATGGCCTTGTACTGACGCTGTGAGTCGATTCTACACTGGAGTTTGGGCGCTTGCCTTGACGATCCACAAGCCATTGGCAATTGATACGGGACACTGCATCACTACTGGGATGTAGAACAAGACTGGCGCTCCGCAGTGGTCTCCAGACATACAGACGTGTTTCGGCCATATGACGCTGCAGTTGGCTTGATTGTGACAAATATCGAGAAATCTTGGTGTTCTGCCATTTATGACAATGAGGCTCCCTCGATTGCCAGTCGCCCGACCGTAAAGGATTGGCCCAAAAAGTGGTCCCCGAAGGCTGCCAGAGGCTTGCGGAAGGCGGCGCTCCGTAGGCTGACTAGTCGTCATCCCTAACGGTCCGTATCCGTGTTACCGCCTGCGCCAGCAAGATCGAGCTATCGTGGTGGGCGGCGAGCCGCAGCAGTGGGGCGCGCTAGAACGGACTGCCGAGCTAGGCCGCAGGCTAGATGGCACGGCGGCTGATGGCCACTTCAGGCACACCGTAACGACTCTACCGGCCCAGTGTTGCATGCAGCGCCATGCTTTACTATTTTTGGTTGGGAGGGTAGGAGAGGATAGGACCCTGTGACAGGTGGCCGCCTGGCGTCAACGTCGAACTGCTTGCTGCCAAGGCCATGCAGCTGCCGACTCGCCAGCATCTGGACTCCCATCTCTTTGGCCCTGAGCGTTGTACATAGCAATGCATAACGCCACGACCAACAGTCCCAGCGGCTGGGCTGGGGCCACGGGGTGGATATTGAGCGCGCGTGGTAGAATGGGCCGGATCTGCACCAGGGGGCCCTAGCCCTGGCCCTGACCCTCCCTCGTCGATGTGGTGGAGTGTTCCGCGAGTTGTGGGGCCCTGGAAGACGACGACATGCGGCCCGCCCGTAGAATTGCCCGTGAAGATGATGCCAGTGGGCGTGAGAGCGGTGCTGGCATGCTGGCGTGCTGCAATGCATGCTGCGATGCGTGCTGTGATGTGATGCAGCCAGGAAGTATATCAGTGACAGCCAGCTGGGCATGCTTGGATGCAGATACGGAGCGGGAAGGCGCATTCCAATTGGCAACATCAGCTGGTCGTGGGGGGCAGGCGGCAGCTGTGGCCTCAGGCCAGCCAGCCAGCGCACATGGCACGGACAACTTGCAGCAGCACTCGGGTACGTATCCAGGCACATCCATTGACTGGATTGACCAGATGCAGGTGCTCATGCTCGAAATGCTGCAGATGGGAATCACTGCAGCGACCGCATCCACCCTTCACAGACTGGCAGCTGCTGTGTTTGGCCAGGCGCGGCGGGACACGTACCTGCGCTACGTGCTGCACGGCTCCGATCCGGGCTAGCCTCGCCACCAGCGCAACGACTCCTCTGCGGTGCATGCAGACCGCCATCACCAGCCGTCCAGTGTCACCCACTCGCTTGTCCTCCCGTACCGCAACTGCCGTCTGGGAGCGTCGTCCTGCCTGCCCACTAGCTCTCCGGCCAGGTAACACGCCTGCCAGGGGGAGGGTCTCCATGGCGACATCGCGACTACCATCGTACACGCGCACGCCCACCGGTCGCCCTGATGTGTTCCTCCCCATGCCATGCCACACCCCTAGCTTGACGCTCCTCGGCTCTACCGGCGGCCGGGCTCCCCTCACAGGTGGCTTCAACCAGACTTGGCTACAGCATCAGGACCAATCCATTGTTGACTGTGGGCGCCGGTGGACCCAGCGACAGAGCGGCAGCACCCAGCCACGGCACCGTCTCAGTTCGATCGTGCTCTGTTGCGATGGCCCCAAGGCCGACCGAGCTAGAGATGGTCGACGTCTGCAGTCGGCAGCGGCCGGCCCAACAAAGCATCACGCCTGTTTCGAGCCGCTTTCCAGCTCCCGCGTGGTACCTGCATCGCTTCGTTCTTGGGCATCCTGTCCCACTTGGTGCACGCCGCCAGTCCAGTCCAGTGGCTGGAAGCTCGACTCATATCTCACATTCCCTACCTTCCTGTAAGTCCTCTCGGTCCATAATGTTATGAGTCTTCTTCCCCGCCCCTCTCTCTGCCGCTCTCTTCCCGACCTTCTCTTGTCATCTAGACATCAACTTCCATTTACTTTGGGGTTGACATTGCAACTACAAGAACCCGATATACTTCTTCAACTAGTCCTCATTTGGTGCGAAGACACGGAGAGGAACTGCGTCCCAAGTTCCTCGCCATCTATTTGAGCTCGCGGTAGGCTCACTTCGGCAGCCAAGCACAGCATCAAAAGTCTGCTCAGGATGGGTCTCAAAAGTTACTTCCTGCCTGGTGCGCCAGCAGCTCCGGCAGGCTCGACCTCTCCGTCACAGACAACTGCAGATGGCAATGCGCAGCCTTCTCGCCCATCCGCTCTCGAGCACGCTCATCACCTGCGTAATCCCTCAAAGCACCTCAGGGCTCCTTCCATCTCGGGAAAATCGACACGATCCCTGGCCAGCTCCATCTTCGTGGAAGACATCAGACACGAGGTCGTCGTCAACTATCTCTACCAGAACCAGATGGGAAAGAACTGGATCGTTGATGGCAGTGGCGAAGTAGAAGGAGCCCTCGTACGTCGGGCACGGAATGACTATGTTGCCTGCCCGGATGGGCTGGGCGACTCGCCGTTTGCATCCGCGATCATGACGCTCAATGTCCCCGTAAGTCAAAGCTGTTTTCAAGGTCGAATCCACCAGGGATTTGAAAATTAACAGAATCACCACTCTAACGGAGTGCAGTGTGCCATGACTGTCAATTCTCGTACCATCAAGACCTTGTTGACATGGTGCCCTGAGGCCGAAAAGGTGCCGATGCTCAATGGCCTCCAAGTTCAAATCCTGCCTACAATTCACGACCTCCCAAGAGCGCGCAAGCACCAATACGCGGCCTTCATTGCTTCGGAAGCCTTGTTGGTCGTCTGGGACGACGACCCGATGCGCATCTTCGACCGCGCGTGTAAGATCGAGAACGAAATCATGGAGCTGATCTATGGAGGCAGCGACGACGAAGACGATGACGACGCAGACGACAGCATCGCCGAAAAGAAGAAGCAGCACGATGTCACCGAGGTCGAGATCGACGAGGAGAGTGGCCAGGCCAAGCCTGAAGCACGACCTGTTCACATGATCAACACGTACTTCGTGTCTGTCGTTCTCTGCCTCATCACCGTCACCCTCGGTGCTGCCTGGCGGCAGCTGGCGATCGCGACCATGGTAGACCAAAACTACATACGACTTTGCCTGGTCCTTCTGGGCCCCGTTCAAGTCTTCTTCACTCTCTTCTTCGCTCAGGTCATTGTAGGCTGCATCGCCCAGTGTGTAGGCCCCATCAAGCAGCTCAAAACCAACTCCAAGTTCTACTCCGCAAAGCCGCCGCCTCGGTTGCGGTCAAACATCCTTCCTCATGTCACAGTGCAATGCCCTGTGTACAAGGAGGGATTGGCTGGTGTCATCCTGCCGACCGTCCGATCTCTGAAGAAGGCCATCAGCACGTATGAGCTGCAAGGTGGCTCTGCCAATATTTTCATCAATGATGATGGCCTGCAGCTTCTCAGCGAGGAGGAGCGGAGGGATCGCATTGAATTCTACGCTGACCATTCCATCGGCTGGGTTGCGCGTCCTCGTCATGGCGAGGACGGCTTCCTGCGTCGTGGAAAGTTCAAGAAGGCATCAAACATGAACTTTGCCATGATGATCTCTTGCAACGTTGAGGAAAAGCTGGCTGCAGTCGAGAGAAACCCGGAATGGAGCCAGAACGACGAAGCAGAGGCGTACGAGCAGGCGCTGAAGGAGGTCGTCCAGGAGAACGGCCGCGCTTGGGCTGATGGAAATATCCGCATTGGTGACTACATTCTCATCAGTAAGTTTCTGTCCGCCTCGTCACCATGTCTACGCGCGGACAGCTGCTAATCTCGAATAGTCGACTCGGACACCCGGGTGCCAGAAGACTGCCTCCTCGACGCTGTCTCAGAAATGGAGCAGTCGCCTGATGTTGGTATCATGCAGTTCTCTTCAGGCGTCATGCAGGTTGTCCACACGTACTTTGAGAACGGCATCACCTTTTTCACCAACCTCATCTACTCTGCCATCAGATACACTGTAGCCAACGGCGACGTCGCGCCTTTCGTTGGCCACAACGCCATCCTTCGCTGGAGTGCCATTCAGCAGGTCAGCTATTTCGACGAAGACAACTACGAGAAATTCTGGTCAGAAAGCCACGTCTCGGAAGACTTTGACATGTCTCTCCGTCTTCAGTGCGCCGGATACATCATTCGCCTCGCCGCCTGGGCTGGTGAAGGATTCAAGGAGGGCGTCTCGCTTACCGTTTACGACGAGCTTGCTCGCTGGGAAAAGTACGCCTACGGTTGCAACGAGCTGCTTTTCCACCCGATCCGAACCTGGCTCTGGAGGGGTCCTTTCACACCTCTGTTCCGGCGCTTCTTGTTTTCCAACATCCGTCTCACTTCCAAGATCACTGTCATTTCCGTAAGTCCTAATGTGCCCCAACCTTCCTCTCGGTCTCTTACTAATCAACTCGCAGTACATTGGCACATACTATGCCATCGGTGCGGCGTGGCTCCTGACAACGGTCAACTACTTCGCCATGGGCTGGTTCAATGGGTACCTTGACAAGTATTATCTGGACTCGTGGCAAGTGTGGTTCTCAATCATCATCGTCTTCAACGGCCTTGGCAACATCGGCTTGGCAGCGATGCGCTGGAGATCTGGCCAGGGCAAGCTGTTTGCCTGCTTGATCGAGAACTTCAAGTGGACCTTGCTCTTCGCCATCTTCCTTGGCGGTCTGTCTCTTCACGTCTCCCAGGCCCTGTTAGCCCATATGTTTGAGATCAACATGACCTGGGGCGCGACCGCCAAGGAGGCCGAGTTCTCCAACTTCTTCATCGAGGTGCCCAAGGTGCTCAAGAAGTTCAAGTGGTCCATGCTCTTCTCATGCACCTTCATCGCCATCATGATCATCTTCGCCAAGGCCCCTTTCATCCCGTACGACTGGCGCATCACCGACTTTGTCGCTATCCTCCCCATGAGCACCGTTGTCGCGAGCCACCTCCTGCTCCCGATCGCCTTGAACCCTGCCATTATGGTCTTCTCGTGGTAGACGTGGCATGCCACGCCCGGTGGCGGGGTTACAACACCCGGCGGAAACTGTTTGTTGCCGTTATTTTGAGGCGTTATTGGTTGGAAATCTGAAAAAATTATGTTTTCGCGTTCTGGTTCTTAGATATTCAGTTGCAGTTTTAGACTTGACTGGACTTTTTCCACCGCCAATGTGGCGGTTTGCATACGACTTCCCAGCAATCATGATAATTTTAATTCCGAATCATTTTTATGCAACGGTGCTAACAAGGTCAAACGTGACATTGACAACATGGCATAAACCTCGGACCTGTCAAGTACAGTACGGGGTGAAAGGATATAGCTCGTGCCGTCATTGTGATTGAATTTGGATTATTACGCCTTGGAACCGCCTCACCCTAGGCTGATCGTCCCATGTTGATATCTCTAATAACAAAACTCCATCTATCCCCTAATGCATAGGCAACTTGTGGAATCAAAACCACAGCAGCTCGTGTCAGCTTGTAAAGCAGCGCAGAGGCTACGCGCGCCTCGTCTAACACACCCCGCCACTGCGCGACGCCCTACTTGGCCACTGGCCATTTGGCATGGGAGCAGTCGCACCATGGGTATCGCTGCGACACCTGCTCGCGCTGGTGTACGCGTGTACGACAGGACGCCCCGAGCCGACTGTCCTAACACCTCAATCGTGCAAGACGTCATTGCGGCATTGCCTGCTGTCTCTATTCTTTATTTCTCTGTGGCACGCCAATGCGCCATTTCAGAGCTGGTCCTTCAGGGCGTTGTTGGTGGGCGCATCGAGCGGCTGACCCTCGGGGGTAACGTAGGCCTTGGTCATGCCGCCGTCCACAACCATCTCGTGGCCGTTGACGAAGCTGGCCTCGTCGCTGGCCAGGAACAAGACTGCCTGAGCCTGCTCCACAGCCTCACCGAACCGGCCGGAGGGGAAGTGAATCTCGCGGCGCATCCGCTTGGGCTTGTCGTCACCGAGCCAGTCCTGGAGCAGAGGGGTGTTGAGGGGCGCCGGGCACAGGCTGTTGAAGCGGATTCCTTCGCGCGCATGGACAATGGCGAGTTCGCGGGTCAGGGCGAGGACGGCGCCCTTGGAGGCGGTGTAGGCGAGCTGGGGCGTGGCGGATCCGACAAGCGCGACGACGGAGGCTGTGTTGATGATGCTTCCCTTGGTCTTCTTGTGCTTGCGCATGGAGAGAACTGCGTGCTTGCAGCCGTACCAGACACCCTTGACGTTGATGTCCATGGTCAGGTCCCAGATGTTCTCTGGGGTGCCGACGGCATCGTCATCCTTGGCGTGCATGATGCCGGCGTTGTTGAAGATGATGTCGACGCCACCCCAGGCGTCCGCAGCCTCGACCATGGCCTTGACCTGGTCTTCCTTGCTCACATCGCAGAGCTGTTGCGAAGAGTTAGAGTTAGGATGCAGTGCAATGAAGTGGTCAAGGGGACAGCGTAAAACGTACGATAGTCTCGAGACCGCCGACGGTGGGCACAAGCTGCTGAACCTTGGCCTTGGCCTTTTCCAGCGCAGGGGCGGAGATGTCAGAGAGAATGACCTTGGCGCCCTCCTTGGCGAAGAGAATCGCCGTCTCAAGACCGATGCCACTGGAAGGGGTGTTTGTCAGCCTCGCGATCGAGGGTTACGACTTTGGCGCGGGAGCGGCGCAGAGGCGTTAGGAAGGCATGGTGAGTGCTTGACGGCTGACATACCCAGCAGCTCCGGTGATGATGGCATTCTTGCCAGCGAGGCGGCCGTTGGGAGCGGTGGAACCCATTGCGAGTCTGAGGCGGTGGGCAGCGTTGGCGGATGTTGGCTATGAATGGCAGACGGCGAGCGTGCTGGTGGTACGTGTCTGTGTAAAGACGAGAGACGTGGGTGATGGTCGTGGTTGAGGTAGAAGGAGAAGTTGCCAGAGAAGAAGGATACGCAGAAGGACGCTCTTCACAGCAGGAATACAGGAACGGGCCAGGGAATGATGGGGTTCTTTGTCATGTGCAACCCGGGGGCGATAAGGAAAGTGCTATACGTGCATAGTTGACGATCCCGCAGCCGGCGCGCGTGGACCCTTATCTGGAGGCGATGGAGGGGCGCGGTGCGTGCTGATGCGCCCCGCGGCGTCCGACAACGGACCCGCCGGGATGCGCAGAGACGCTAATGACACGTGCGGAAGATGGCTTCCTCGCTGGCGGTGACCGCCTTAGGTAACCATGGCGTTGTTCCCTGCTCATCGGCTGCTGCTTCACCACCGCCACCCCGGCCGCTGGACCTTTGCGAATGCGACTCTGGGCGTGAGTCTGGACTCGTCCTCAACAGGCTGTGGCATGGCTGCAGCTGCCGATCTGGGGTCCCCGTGCTGGCCGGGGTGCGCCAATGTCCTTGTTGCCGCGCGCTGAGCTGAGCCCGCTGCCTCTCGGCCGTGGTGTCGGATGCTGGCGGGGTCCTGACTGTCCGTGCTGGCAACCAAGTACGTAACACGATAGGAGCGTGTGGGTTGTGCGTGGAGATGGCGATGGGTCGTATCGTGGGCCTGACCTGGTGGGCATGAATCGCGGTGCTCAGGCCATGGTCGAGACAGGAGGAGTGTTGGGTGAGAGAGGGAGGGGCCCAGTCGGCCCGCTGCTCAAGTCAGGGCACATGTTGAGTTGAGTTGAGTCAGGCCATTCCAGGTGGTCGAGCCAGGAGGTGAGGCTGCTGCTCTGGTGGCGACATGTCCTTGTCTGTGGATGAGTGCGTATATCTGGGGATATGCAGAGAGAGGTGAGGCAGGCAGGCAGGATGCACGAGAGCAGAGTTTCCGGAGCTGAGAGATCCATGGATGCCATTGGGGGAGGGCCCTTATCGGAGGAGGTGCAGCAAGATGTCGGAAGGCGCAAGGGCCAGGGCTGGTCCTTCCTCCTCTCGCTCTGAGTGGCCCTGTCGATCTGCCGACATCGAAAGGGGGGGGGACATGCAGCATCAACTATCCGCTCCTCCAACGATCAGAGCATAGGTGCTAGGTACACGACATGGCACTTGCCGTGCCAGAAGCGGCAGCCAAGAAGACCCTGCCTGGGCCGCACTGCGTACAGTACCTTAAAATCGTGCGCACGACCGATCGACCTCACCCGTCGACCCAAGACCCCTCTGGAACAAAATGACAGCTCGAGGACGCAGTTAGTGCCAGGCACGCTCCTGATAGCGGGGGAGGCCGGCCCACCCCGGCTGCGGATTGGCTCCCGCCTATCGTGATGACGTCTCAGCCCAAGCAAGCCCCTGCCCGGCCCTCCAACAGGGAACCATCGCCAGCCGCGGGGCTGGCTGTCGTCTCTCTCTCGTCGACGATAACGTCGCCCGTCCTTCCCGCGGTCCCTACGTCCATTGTGCTCCCCCACCAGGCCGATAAGATCCGCCCCAGCCCCAAACGCAGTGCTTGCTTGCCTGCCCGTCTCTCTTGCTCTCAAGACATTGCTCCCCACGTCTCGATCTCGATCTAGTTGTCGGCATCACCACCAGTCCAAGATGGCGCCTCCTACAGAAGTCACGGTCGAGAACCTGGCAGAGATCCTCAAGGATGACGCCGGAGTCAAGCTCGCAGGCATTGATGTCGACGGCCAGCTGCGCGGCAAGCTCGTCTCCAAGAAGAAGTTCCTCTCCATCGCAAAGTCGGGCTTTGGCTTCTGCTCCGTCGTCTTTGGCTGGGACCAGCATGACATGACCTACTTCCGCGAGCTCACCATCAGCAACAAGGAGAACGGCTACCGCGACCTCCTCGCCATCCCAGACCTCTCCTCCTTCCGCAGGATACCCTGGGAGGACAACGTCCCCTTCTTCCTCGTTAGCTTCTACGACCCCGACACAAATGAGCCTCTGTGCGCCTGCCCGCGCGGGCTGCTCAAGGTCCAGCTCGAGAAGCTCAAGAGCCAGGGCTATGATGCCATGGCTGGAGGTAAGTTGCGCTCCACTGTCTGGTAACGATTTGGCGGCCTTAGGCTGATGTTGGTCCGTTCACCGCACACAGCCGAGTTCGAGTTCTTCCAGTTCAAGACACCGCAAGCAGAGTCACCCACCGTGTTCCTTCGTGACAACCCGGCCCAGTCCCTCCCACCGCTCACCGAGGGCATGTTCGGCTACAGCGTGACCCGCCCGTTCCAGAACAAGGAGTACTACTACGACATCTTCGACTCGTGCGCCAAGTTCAAGTGCGATATTGAGGGCTGGCACACAGAAAGCGGACCGGGCGTCTACGAGGCTGCGCTCGAATTTGGCCAAATTGCCGAGATGGCGGATCGCGCGACACTTTTCAAATACGCCGTCAAGTGCGTCGCTGCCAAGTATGACATTATCCCCTGCTTCATGGCGAAGCCCAAACAGGGCCTGCCTGGCAACAGCGGGCACACTCACGTCTCAGTCGTGGACAAGGACGGCAAGAATCTGTTTGCAAGGGACACCAAGGACCCCGACGCCAAGTACCCCGACATCGAATACCTCAGCGACCTCGGTCGGCACTTCCTCGCAGGCCTCCTGGAGGGCTTGCCCGACGTCATGCCACTGCTCGCACCCAATGTCAACAGCTACAAGCGCCTCGTTGAGAACTTCTGGGCGCCAGTCACGGTCTCATGGGGTCTCGAGCACCGGGCGGCGTCGATTCGGATCATTGCTCCACCCACGTCGAAGCCCGGCGCCACTCGATTCGAGGTCAGAGTGCCGGGAGCCGACACCAACTCGTCCTTTATCATGGCCGCCATCCTGGGGCTCGGCTGGCGTGGTGTAGAGAAGAAGCTCGAGATCCCCATCCCGCCGCTGGGCAAGGGTGAGGATGTCGGTGGTGCGAGCGATGGCGGAGAGCGCCTGGCTAGGAACCTTCGGGACGCCACGGCGCGCTTCATGCGCAAGGACAGCATCGCGCGCGAGGTCTTTGGGGACGCCTTTGTCGACCACTACGGTGGCACCAGGGAGCACGAGATCCGGCTATGGGACGAGGCCGTGACGGACTGGGAGCTCAAGCGCTACATTGAGACTGCGTAAGAGGATTGGACTGAGTGTTTGTCTTCTCTGCGAGACTTGTCCTCGGTGCCTGTGGATTTGCCGAAGATTCAAGAGGCCATGACTTTGTTTCTTTCCGTCGTCGCAGCGTAATCGAATTAGGCTTACTTGCCATCTGTCATGATTCCAAAGATATATCAGCGGCGCGATTGGCACCAGTAGAATCACACACGAGTTGTCTGCAATAAGCGAGCCTGACTTACTTCTGCGTCCAAATGGCTAAAGCATGCGGCTTGTGACTTGTGTGTGCAGGTGGCCTGTCACCCTCGCGAGGTTCATATTAGTAGACAGCCAGACCCACAACATGACCATGACGTTGTTGATCAGACGTGCCTCTCGAGCAATAGACATCTACACGTTCCAGGAAGACCAACTCTGTCTGCACATATATAAGAGTGACGTGACCATGCATTGCGTCTGTCTAACCAATGGTATATAAGCAAAATTCCTTCTTTTGTGGCACTCGCATATCGCCTTGACTGAGCCTGCAGGCTGCCTGCCCTGTTGTTTCTTCTCTGTCTCTCCCCCAACCCCTTTCCCCGCTCCTCTGATTCACGACAACGACACAAACACGAACCAGACGATTGGCTCTACGACGACTCGGCCTGCTTGAGGAGACCCTCGAGGTTGATGGACTTTGGCCGCTCGATGGGCAACCCCAGGGCGCGGTCCCAGATGAGCTGGGCGAGCGGGCCGAGACCCCTGCTGACGCCAAAGGTGGCGGTATAGTACAGCGTCTCGTGGAAGCCGTAGTGGTGGAAGAGCACGCCCGAGCTCGAGTCGACGTTCGGGTACGGGTTCTTGGTCTTGCCGTGCTTCTTGAGCACCGCGGGCGCCACCTCGGAGTTCAGCTTGACGAGCTGGAAGACCGGGTCCTGCGCGATCTCCGGGCGGGCCGAGGCGTAGTCCATCAGGGCCTCGAAGCGGGGGTCGGGCTTGCGCAGGACCGCGTGGCCGTATCCCGGTACCACGCGGCCCGAGTTGAGCGTCGACCAGAGGTAGTCGTGGACTTCCTTCTCGCCGTAGTTGGCGGGGATGGCATCCTTCATTTGCAGGATCCAGCGGAGGACTTCCTGGGCGGCGAGTCTGGTGAAAGTAGGAGGAGGAGAAATTAGTTATTGGTTGCGAGTGCTGGGTTACAGAGATTAGTATTCGTGAGAAGTGGCAAAACTTACCCGTGAAGAGGACCGGCCAGACCCTGCAGACCGGCGCTGTAGCTGAGGAAGGGGTCGCTCAGAGCACTGCCGACCAGGTGGGTGGCGTGGGCAGAGACGTTGCCGCCCTCGTGGTCGCCGTGTAGGGCGAGGTAGAGGCGGAGCAGGTCCTGGAAGTTCTCGTTCTCCTTGCCGGCCTTGCCGAGCATGGCGGCAAAGTTGTAGGACCAGTCCTGCTCGAGGTCGACGTCGGCGGGGAGGGCGCCGCCGCCCTTGTACGAGTTCTGGTAGATCTTGGCGGCAATGGTTGGGAGCTTGGCGAGGAGGGAGATGGAGTCGTCAAAGGTGGGCTCCCAGTAGTCTGCCTTGTTGAGGCCGGCCTCGTAGGCCTTGGCAAACTTGGACGTGTAGTTGAGGGCGCTGACGGCCATGGCGAACTGGGTCATGGGGTGGAGGTCCTTGGGGAAGTTGTCGAGCATCTTGTTGACAAACTCGGGCAGCTGGGCCTGCTCGGCGAGCTCGCGGGAGAACTGGCGGACCTGGTTTGTGGAGGGGACTTTGCCAGTGAGGAGGAGCCAGAACATGGCCTCTGGGAGCATCTCGGTGCCGGTCTTGCCCTTAGGGAGCTCCTTCTGGCAGTCCTTGATGGTGCGGCCGTGGAAGCGGATGCCCTCGTTGGCGTCGAGGACGGAGCCCTCCCAGACCATGGCCTTGAGGCCGCGCATGCCGCCAATGGTGTTCTCGACCTTGACCTCGCCAATGACCTTTGAGCCGTGGGCCTTGACCTTCTTGAAGAGCTCGCGCTTGGCGGGGATCGCCTCCTTGAGCGTCTCCTTGAGGCTGGGCTCGGCGGACGAGTAGCAGCGGGTCTGGGGAACAAGGGCAGCCGGCGCTCGTTGCTGCAGCGGGCGTGTCAGCGTGTGACAGGAGTGGACGTCAACAACAACTCGAGACTTGGGGGTCCCGTGCTGCTGCACTTTGCGGACCTCAATTGACTTACCCGCAGGGCGCCAAAGGCGCGGGTGGACGTCCGGACGTTCATGGCCATTGCGAGCCTCGGCTGGACGTGAAAGCTGGCGGTAACGGAGATGACGTGGAGGATTGGGGGGGTGTATGGTGGAACCAGTCCGCGTCAAGGGTTGTCTGTAAGGAACTGCAGAGAGTCGACAGACAGACACGGGGAGAAAGACCAAACTGACTGAAGGGGAAAATGGCGAGGAGGAATGGTAGAATATTTGGAGAGGGGGGTGGTGTATGGTTTTGTCTGGTCCCTCGGTTCAAAGAGACAGCTCCCGCATTGGTTGGTACCTAGACCGCTGGCCACTGGGGGAATGCGGCCTCAGGCTTCCGGTTGGCCGTCGGCCCAAGCAGAGCTGCTGCTGCTGCTGCTGCTTGGTGACGGCAGGCAGGCACGACCACCTGCACCGACTGACTGAGGCAGCGAGCGGCACAAGGAGCCCCGGCACGTGGTGGGGGCGCCTTCCCCGCATGAACCGAGGGAACCCGCCTCCATCCTGCTCGGTGTGGGGTCCCCTCCTCACACAGGTGGGGGGCCCCATGCTGGGCAGGCCGGAGGTGGTCTTCTGCTTGTGCCAGAGCAAGGCACACAAAGATCCTCACAAAGAGAGGTGGACAAGTAGACCCCGAGGGATCAAGGGCCACATACCAGATCTGACAGTTGGACACACGGTTTGCACTGCCAGCACATGTTCTTTTCGTGCAATGCTAGGTAGAGATAGAGTGGGCGACAGACAGCTATGATGGCATACCCGCCACGGACCCTCTGGGCGCGCAGCCAATCGGCAAAGCATTTCCCAGTCGCGCCTTCATACTTAGTCCCACTGACTCTCGTTGATATTTTTAACCTAGGCTTAACCACCACCTGGTTCCCTCGGGGTGCCGCTGCCCCGGCTCCTGCTCCGTGTCGCTCCTTATGTCAGCGCTCGGCTTATCGGCGATTGGCACCCCAGCTCGCCCCGTTGCTCCGCTCCGGCCTTCGGGCCTTCCTCCACTGACAAACACACGCCACACTCCCACGTTTCGACATCTTTGCCATACAACATTGCCAGCCACCTTCTTACCTTTCTACCCTTACTGGTGTTCTTGCACGCATCCAGATACACAGCAACTGCCAGAGCAAGACAAGCACTCTCAAGAAGCATATCTATTCTCGTGTAAACAGCACACGGCAACTGGACCCTACGCCCCCAGCTCCGCGGCTGCCTCGCCCTCCCCGCGAACATGCTCCGCAGGGCCATCCCACACATCCCCCGGCGGGCTGCTCTCTCTGTCTCGCGGAGGACAACAGAAACAGCAACGAGAATAACAACAACAACATCGTCGCTCACAGCCACCACCGCGTCCAGAAGCAGCCTCGCCGCCCGGGCTCTCTTCTCCACCACCACCAGGATGAGCGCCCTCCCGCCCGTCGACCCGCCCGTCTCGACGGCACTGCCCTCGGACGCCTTCCAGCTCCTGCCCGAGGCCGACAAGGCCGGCGCCGCCGAGGACGCGCTGTACGAGCAGCAGATAGCCGACGTCGAGGCCTGGTGGGCCTCGCCGCGCTACGCGGGCATCAAGCGGCCGTACACGGCCGCCGACGTCGTCTCGAAACGCGGCTCCCAGCTGCAAAACTACCCCAGCTCCGTCGCCGCCCGCAAGCTCTTCAACCTCATTCGCGACAAGGAGGCCCGCGGCGAGCCCATCCACACCATGGGCGCCATCGACCCCGTCCAGATGACCCAGCAGGCGCCGAACCAGGAGGTCCTCTACATCTCGGGCTGGGCCTGCTCGGCCGTCCTCACCTCCACCAACGAGGTGTCCCCAGACTTTGGCGACTACCCGTACAACACGGTGCCCAACCAGGTCCAGCGCATGGCCAAGGCCCAGAGCATGCACGACCGCAAGCAGTGGGACCTGCGGCGCAAGATGAGTGCTCAGGAGCGCGCCTCCACCCCTTACGTCGACTACTTCCGCCCCATCATCGCCGACGGCGACACGGGCCACGGCGGCCTCAGCGCGGTCCTCAAGCTCGCCAAGCTCTTTGCCGAGAACGGCGCCGCGGCCGTCCACTTTGAGGACCAGCTCCACGGGGGCAAGAAGTGCGGCCACCTCGCGGGCAAGGTCCTCGTCCCCACGGGCGAGCACATCAACCGCCTCAACGCCGCCCGCTTCCAGTGGGACGTCATGGGCGTCGAGAACCTCATCCTCGCCCGCACCGACTCGGAGAGCGGCAAGCTCATCTCGTCGGCCATTGACGTGCGCGACCACGAGTTCATCCTTGGCGTCGCGGAGCCCGGAATCGCCCCCTTGGCCGAGACCCTGCAGGCCATGGAGGCCGCAGGTGCTCCGGGGTCCGAGATCGACGCCTTCGAGGCCCAGTGGGTGAAACAGCACAAGCTCGTCACCTTTGACGAGGCCGCGACCAGCCAGCTCCGCGCCCAAGGGGTCAGCGAGGAGAACGTCGCCGCGTACCTGTCCGCCGTCGAGGCCCAGCCCAACATGGGCATCGCGGCCCGCCGCGAGCTCGCGGGCAAGTACGTCCCCGCCGCCGGCGGAAAGCCCATCTACTTTGACTGGGACGTCCCGCGCACGCGGGAGGGTTACTACCACTTCCGGGCGGGCATGCCCGCCGCGACCAAGCGCGCCATCGCGTTCGGGCCCTACGCAGACCTGCTATGGGTCGAGACGGGCGACCCGAACGTGCAAGTGGCGACGGACCTCGCGCGCGCCGTCCGCGCCCAGCACCCCGGAAAGGGCCTGGTGTACAACCTGTCCCCCTCGTTCAACTGGATGGCCCACGGCTTCACCGACGCCACCCTCAAGAGCTTCATCTGGGACCTCGCCCGTGAAGGGTTCGTGCTGCAGCTCATCTCGCTCGCGGGGATCCACAGCACGGCCACCATCACCAACGAGCTCAGCAAGGAGTTCAAGAAGGACGGCATGCTGGCGTACGTGAACCTCGTGCAGAGGCGCGAGAAGGAGCTGGGCTGCGACGTGCTCACGCATCAGAAGTGGAGCGGGGCGAGCTATATCGACGGCATCCTGGGCGCGATCCAGAGCGGGAGCAGCGGGAGCAAGAGCATGGGTGAAGGGAATACGGAGGGGCAGTTTCATTGAATCTCCTTTTCTTGGACGTGAGAGAAAGGGTCATGGACAGCCAAAAGAAGAATGTGAAGCGCAGGTGCGCGTCGTGTACATAGAAAGTATGAAAAAGTGAATGAGCATGTAAAGTTATCGGGAGCAAGAGTTGACCTTTGGAAATTCCGTCGTGCAGCACTGTGATTTGCCTCCCAGCGGGTTACCAGTGACTTGGTCACAACCAGACATGTCTACCGCGGGGCACCACCACGACGAATTTCCTCGAGAAGGCATTGCTATTGCCATGTTTACTCCGGTATATGCATCCGTGCAAAGGACGGCCATAAAAAGCATCCGCAGTCCAAACACTCAACCGGGCAAGTTGAGGATTGTACTTCCATGCCGCACCAAATTCACTCATGACCAAGTTTCGAAAGGGCATCCTCAACATTCATCCCTCCAACAGGAAATTATGTACAAGAAGTAAACACGCCACGAAGCCAGAGGCATTGCTTATATATTCGGACTGCACTCCGGCTCTCCTACAGTCTAACGCTGCAGCTCGACAAAGGCTCAACAAAATGAATACAACAACAATAGACGGCCTGTGAGGAAGCACCCGTGTATAAAACGCCCTGCCCCAATGAAGGAGATAAATTTGAACAGATGAGGTAACAAACAGGTCCAGATCAGGAACAATATCACAGCGCCAAAAGAAATCGCTCGGCATCGCCACCTCAACCCCTGTACTGGTAGCCTCCGTTATTAGGGGCGCCGCCATAGCCACCACCGGTGTAACCTCCAGGAGAAGCGGTCATGCTTCGCGGCGGGGCAGCACCCATGTTGTGGTGACCGCCGGGCGAAGCAGTCATGCTGCGAGCAGGAACACCAGGACCGGAGCTGAACGTGCGATTCGGTTGGCCATAGCCCTGGACAGCTGGTGAGCCGACACGCGAAGGGGCCTGCGATGGTGAGCCAGGCAGAGGGTAGTTGGGCGCCATGCCAGGGCTCTGAGACCGGACGGGCGCGTAGCTGCCGTTCTGGGGAGCTTGCATTGGGCTGCCTGGCGCCAGCGACGGACTGCTCGGGCCGAAGCTTTGTTGCCGCAGCATGCCACCAGGAGCGTAACCAGCAGGAGCAACGCCGGAGCCGGCACCATTGCCACTAGTAGCATCCCATGCGCCCGTGGGCGGGCCGTGGGCACTTCCAGGGGGCGAGTCGGGGCCACGAGGGACCGAGTACATGGCCGAGACCGAGGAACCCTTGGCAGCAGTGCTGGCGTCAGCACCATCGAAAGCCAACGCGTCCGGGTTCTTGCCCTCCTTCTTCCAGCGCTCCATCTCCAAGCGCTCCTCCTCGTCCTTGGCAGCGGCGAGAGCAGCTTCCTTACGGCCTTCCTTGCGCTTCTTGATGCAGAACCAGATCATGGCGATCAGCGCAATACCACCAACACCGCCGGCAGCGGCATAGATGCCAGTCTTGGAACTAGACGGGAGCTCGTTCCACTTGTCGGCAACTGTCTTCTCCGGGGGCTTGTTGAGGTTCTCATAGGCCGTCGAGTTTCCGGTGGCGATGCGGATGCTCTGCCAGCTGCCCGAGTTGTCGCCGTAGCTGTACTCCTTGCCGGCCGAGTAGTCCTCGACCTTGGCCGACTTGACGTACATGGTGAAGGGGGCCTTGGAGAAATCGGTCTCGCCTCCGGCCCACTCGACAGTGCCGGGGGGGTTGAGCTTGGGGTCGCCTCCGGACCAGATGCCAAGAGACAGTCTCATGGGGGTCTGGGGGTAGTTGCGGGTTTTGTTGGCCTGTTCCGGGGTAAGGGTGCGGATGAGCTTGCCATCGAACCACCACTCGAGCTTGTCCTTGGTCCAAATGTTGGTGTAGTTATGCCACTCGGTCTGGAGGCTCGTCGGGGAGGTCAAGTTGCCGCCATTGTGCCAGTCTTGCTCGCCCTTGCCAAAGTAGTTTGTGAGGACCCAATTGGGCTTGCCGCCGAGGAACTCCCAGTCGACCTCGTCAAGGACATCACTCATCCAGACGATGGAGCTGACGATGCCCTGGCCGAGCGCCGTCTTCATGATGACTTCGGTGCGGCCAAAGAAGAAGTAGAAGTTTGTGATGTAGGTGACAGACTGGCCCTGCTTGTTGATGGCGAAGCTGCCGTAGTTGTCGGGGTCGAAGCCAGGAAGGCCGGCCTCGTTCTTAAACATGCCCGTCGGCTGGGACTGGTTGAAGGTGAACTCGTGGGCGGTGCCAAAGGCCGGGTTGGGAGGGCACTTGTCGCCCTCAAGCGGGTTGCAGTCGCTGTGAAGCTGGGCCACGGCCGACGACGGGAGCAGGGCCGCGAGCAGGGCAGCAGCCGCAGCCAGACGCATCTTGGAAAACATTGCTGCCGTGGGATCTGGTGTCGCTAGACTGGAGAAAAGACAGTGGGCTGCTACGGACGGTGCGAGACGAGCCCTCAAAGACCAGCTGTGAAGGCACAAAGAGAGCGTGAGGGTGGGAGCGAGAGGTTCGAGCAGCGGCGGGTGTAGGGTAAGGATCGAATGAGGGCAGGAGGGAGCCCTTGGTGAGTCGCGACACGACCAGAAGCGAGGATATCGCAGGTGTAGCAGAGATGCTGGGGACCTTGACGAATGAGGGAGAAAGAGAGAAGGAGGGAGGCTACCACAGCACCAGCAGCAAAGGAGCCCATAGGCATCGAGGGCCTGTCCTGGCTGGGCCGGGGTGTCGAGCGAGCAAGGCAAGCCTCCTGTTCCCAGCAGAGCAGGCCAGGGCAGGGCAGGGCAAGAAAGGGAGCCAAGCCAGAGCGCCTCTGTCTGATTGGGTGGGGCCTCTTGGAGATGCAGGTGGGGCCTGCAACGTTCTCAGGGGCAAGATTGGCAGGCACGACCGGGGTTGCGGTGGCCCGAGTGGCTCCTCCTCCTAGAAAGGAGGCGTTTCATGGGCCGCTTGGGAGTCTTGGGGCCTGCGCTAACGCTACTTGGCAGCTCTGGGCACGCCGCCGCTCCTGCCTCTGCGCGTTCCTGCATTTGCGCGCCGTTGCTGCAGGGGCACGCGCCAGATAGACACCCGCCCGTCCGCCTGCCTCAGGCACTTTCATTTGGCACACACGTGCCGCCCATTCGACGATAAGAGTTGGCATCGGATTCTGAGAGCCCTGTCATACTCAGCGGTTGGTCATGTCTCAGACAATTGCGGGCATTACGTCACATGGCCATTGTCCTGTCTCCTCATCAGGCGTGCACCTGACACCGGCGATGCAAATGTTGACAGACGTCGGCACTGACGCATATCAGGCCCTACCTTACGAGACGCTATCGTGAGCCCTGAGCGCTTTTGCGTGCCACTCTGCCAGCCACTGCTCCAGCTGGCACATGCAGGTCTCGACCTCGTCCATCAGCCGTGCTGGGCTCTCCGTCTGCTTCCACGGGTCTTCCACCCGCACTCCGTGATGCTCCCCCGTCCGCGGGTCGCACGGCACCGTCTCGGTGTTGCTCACCATCCACCGCCCTACCACTGTCACACTGCTCGACACGGCCGCGTCCTCGAGGTGGCCCTGATGTGCTCGCGGATACCCGTGCCGAACCCCCTCTTTTTCCACAAACTTGAGCGCCGCCATTGCGTGCCACAGGGCTCGTCGGCCGTCGTCAGACATGGCCCATCGTTGCAGCTCTGCGTCCTCCGCACCGTCCATGGTCATGGCGGCACCCATCCGGCTCCATGGCTGCCACAAGCCAGCCCCCGCCCCGAACAACGTAGGGTGCATGCACAGGCGCATTGACAACAGGTGATAGAGCAGCGCGCATTCGTACCCTTGCGCCATGGCCCGCTGCAGTGGTGTCCCCCGCCAGCGCTCCTTGCCTGGATGATTCTCGCCCCCACGATATGCTGCCAGCGGAAATGCCTCCAGGTCACCGTGTCCCATCTGCGCAGCTTGGTCGGCACAGTCGATAATGAGACGGTTCAGACGCATCGCCCAGGCGTCGAGGTGCTTAAGCGTCGCGTCCCGCAGCACAAGCGACGCCACCTCGTCCACGACAGCACTCTTCCGCCGCTGCCTCTGCCGGCGCTGGTTGTGCCTCCAGATGGTGTGCTGCAGCCCGCAGTATGCCAGTCGCGCGTCCTCAAACAGGGACCACGCCGTTGGCCCAGCTTCTCCGCAGGCAATGGCGTCCATGGTGACCATGCTGCGCTCGGCAGGCTCCTCACGCATACGCACAGTGTGTGTCGGGATTGGATGGGCATTCCAAAGCGCATAAGATGCAACAACCCGCTCAAACAGCTCATCGCCTTCAATGGCAGGGGGTGTTCCGAGTATGATTGACAGGTAGTTGTCGACGAAGTAGAGCGACATGGCGAGCCTGATGGGCGCTTAGCACATCAGCCTGCCGACGGGAAGTCCAAGGTGACTTACTGCTTCCAATGCTCGTCTCGTGCAAGCACAAAGGGCGCCCAGGTCCCGGGCTGGTACTTTTCCTTCTGATACTCCATCTCGTCCTTGCTGAACAAGCCGGTACCACGGAGAACTGAAACCAAAAGTGAGCACAGATGACTCGACCGTACGAGGGTCTCATCGTCCTAAAGGCAAGCGTTAGCCCCATCACGCGCTCTTGCAGCTGCACAGCGTTTGGGACTCACCCCCCATGACATGCCGAACACAACGAGTATGAGCATGCCTTGGAATATATCCAGCGGCCATGGGCCAGTCTTCGCCTTAGATGCGCACATCGGCTACGGTGTTTCGGGGCAGATCAGCTCAAAGATTCCTGCCGTCAGCACTTGTCAGGAGCAGTTGGGACGTACAAGCTTCTCATATCCAATCTTCATCATCAGATTGAACATCCGCCAAACAGCTGGCTTATCTTCCGGCTTATCCTGGAACCAGCATCCGACCATGAGGATAATGGCGACCAGCGATATGGATGAACTGGACATACTAGTGGAAGGGGCGTGCATGACTGGCCACCGCGGATGGAACCACTCAAAGTACGAATTGGCGCAGCTCGTAACCCACGCCTCAAACCTCGGCGAGGCGGCCATGTTGCTGCCTAGGTACGAGCTTCCGTTTGATGAGATGAGCAGCTCGTAGACTGCATCGAGTAGGCTCCCGGAATCTGTGACTGGACTGTAGGCAGGTGGACTCGGTAGCCTCGGTGTGACTCCTGTCCTGCCAAATGATACAGGCTCGGGGTGTGGCTTTGACGGGTTCGGTTGCACCGAGCAGCTGTGCAAGAATTCCACCAGGGCTGGCGGTAGGTTGTTCAGCCTGTTCTCCAAGGACCCTGCGGTGCTGGCGGTCATTGACACGGTACTGCTAGGGGTCGTGCCCTGATTCAGAGGATCACCAGGGACCGCCGTGTTTGTGCCTGTCCTGTCGTCATCCTGAAAGGTGCATTCCACTCCTCGCTTGGTGCAGAGAGTGCATTGTGGGCCGTTCCCAGAGCAGCGAGTCTTGTTGGCGCGACAGGCATCACAGGCGCGTGTCTTTCTGACGGCCGCCAGCCCGCCCGCTGCTGCAATGTCGTCGGCCTCATGGCGGGCGGCATGCCGGCGGAGCAGGTCACTTTTGTTGATCATCAGTATGTCTTGGTCACCATGGATTGGTCTTGCACAGACCAACAATCTTAGGATACCAGGCGCAGATGGACTCACTTCCGCGTAAACGACTGCCCACAGACGGCACAGGCGTGGGTTCTCTCGCCGTGAGTGGCCTGGTGACGACGCAGGTGCTCCTTGCGTATGAAGCTGCGACCACAGTGGCAGGTGAATCTGTGTGAAGAGGAAGAGGACGACAACGACGCCGTGGTCGATGGTGCGGCTGCGTCTGCGTCTGGCTGGGCTTCGTCTCCTCCGACCGCCTCGGCCGAAGCCATGGTCTGTGTCGGCAGGTCGTCTTGTGTGTGGCTGTGATGATTGTCGTCGCAGAGATGCGTTGCCTGGCAATGTGGGAGCCGGTGGGATACCTTGGCAGGCTTATGCAAAACGGAGGATAGGTACGCTAGCGAGGCGGTTTCTTGAAGGACGGGGAAGACAGGGAAGACAAAGAAACAATTGACTAAGAGCCGCCCGGGACTTACAGGCAGGGCTGTGCTGTCAACCCCGACCGGGGAATGGGGGACGAGCCCTGGAGGCAAGAAGAGGTGGAGGACGGACAGGTGCGGGGCCGGTGGGATGAGGGGAGGTTAGGTGCACCTCGATGACCAAGTTTCGGCCAGGGTTTCCTATCCCACCTCGCCCCGAGCCATGCCTGCCTACGCCTGCGCCTGCGCGTACCTTAATTAGCCGCCTAAAGGTTCCAAGGGCCTACTAATTATTGCGGCTGTCATCCCACTCGGCTCGTCGACTGGAGGTCCCCTCGCCTGTCGCATTCCACTGCGAACTCAAAAGGATGAATAATGGTAGGCGAATGAGGTGATACACGCCAAACCCTCAATGCCTGAGATGGGATGGCGAAACCGTGGCGCCATCCTGGCGATGGATTATGTGACGATTGCCTGGCCAGATGCCCAAGCTTAAAAGCAGCACGTCCGCTCCTCGAGGTCGAGATATTTCCTACCCATCAGCTCAGCATCAGCGTCTTGAAAGCAATACATCACAACTCCAAATCACCTCTTTGAATACACTTCACAGGCTGAACACATTTTACAAACCACTACCACCCACCACAAGTCGTTCACCCAGCAAAATGTCGGCCACCCAAATCAAGAACGTCGCTATCACAGCAGCCACTGGCGCCCTGGGCTCCGTCGTGTTTAAGAAGCTCGTCGCCTCGGGAGAGTTCAAGGTCCGCGTCCTCTCCTCCTCCGGCTCGACGTCCAGCTTCCCCGCCGGTACCGACGTGGTCAAGGTCGACTACAGCTCTCTCGAGAGCCTGACCAAGGCCCTCGAGGGCCAGGACGCCGTCGTCTCTGCGGCCGGCAACGAAGGCATCCCCGGGCAGAAGGTCCTCGTCGACGCCGCCATCGCGGCCGGCGTGAAGCGCTTCCTCCCATCCGAATTCGGCTCAGACCTAGCGAACCCAAAGGCCCGGGCCCTCCCCGTCTTCCACTTCAAGGTGCAGGTCGCAGAGTACCTCGAGGCCAAGGCGGCCGAGCTCAAGGACAAGTTCACCTACACTCGTGTCTACAACAACGCGTTCCTCGACTGGGGCTTGGCCGCGGGCTTCTTGTTGGACCTCAGGGCTGCGAAGCCCCGGGTCTGGGGATCGGGCGACCTGCCCTTCGCTGCGACCACTCTGAGCAGTGTCGGCGATGCGGTCGTCGGCGTGCTCAAGAACCCAGAGCAGACGGCGAACCGGGCTGTGTATATCCGCAACGTCGTGCTCACGCAGAACAAGCTGATCGCGCTTGTCAACGAGCTCAACATCCCCGGCAAGGAGGCCTGGAAGACGGAGAAGCCCGACTCGGCGGAAATCGCGGATATCGTGGGCAAGGCCGAGGCGGAGCTCAGGGCCGGTGCTGCGCCCGGGCCGGGTAACATGGTGCCGTTCTTGTTCAAGGCACTTTTCTCCCCCGATCACAACCAGGGCAAGTGGGGCGAGGACAATGAGCTGCTTGGGGTGAAGGAGATTGGTGATGAGGAGATCAAGGCGATCATCAAGGGGGTCCTGGCAAAGTAGAGAGTCTCTCTAAGTGGACATTGTTCTTGCCTGATTTCGAGCTTGGAATTAACGAACACTACTTATAGATCATCTTGAACACGGAGGAATATCATTGCAATGGCTTGAATCATGCCTCAGTGAATTTGTGATATGTTGTGAATCTGGCGATTGGCAGTCGGTCAATTGACCTGCTTCTATGTGAGTGGGCCAGCTTTATGGTCAGTGAAAATCAGCCGGAACCTGCTAATGCTCAGGAATCTTCTACAGCCATTCATCTCATGGAAACTTTGCAATTGCAAACGCCCGTAGAGCACAGTAGCGAAGGCGGTTAGCCACGGGCCAATTCTCCAAGTCTCGAGAATGGTGGTGGTCTCCACTCTTTGATCTTTGTACCTGGACAGCAACAGTACCACTTTGACGGTGGCTTATCCCGCAGAATCAAAAGTGCCCTGCCCCTCGGACTACTTGCCGACCCCATGGTCCCTGACGTCGCCCGATCTCGGCGGCGGGTCAAGCAACACCAGCGCCGTTGGCTCAATTGATTAAAAGTCACAATTGCGCTTCCCGACGTCGACTCTCCAGCTCGACATTGCCAGATTCACAGCTCCACAACCACGTCCGCGACACGATATCTCTCGGGTCTCGAACAAGAAAGCAAGGTCACACGAAGCACGAGACACCATCATCAGCGAGAGTCAACATGGCGCCCAAGCTGCAGGACTGCAAGCTCGCCTTCATCGGTACGTCGCATCTCGACCCCGCCGTCCCGAACTTGTCCAACAGTCAAAGAGTCCGCGCTACACACGTCGTTTCATTGCCACGACACGCACTGCATCTTAGATTTCTGCTGCCCTGGGATAGAAAGCACGTGGGAATGTCAACTCTGCTAACATGCCCTCTCCCCCGTGCACACAGGTGGCGGCAACATGGCCGGCGCGATCATCGGCGGGCTCCTCGCCAAGGGCACCCCCAAGACCAACATCCACGTCGCCGAGCCGTGGGACGTGAACCGGAACAAGATGGCCGAGCTGGGTGTCCACGTCACCACCTCCAACAGCGAGGCCGCGCTGACCGCCGACGTCGTGTTCCTCTCGGTCAAGCCGCAGGTCGCCAAGGTCGTGTGCCAGGAGCTCGGGGCTGCGTGGTCGAAGGAAGGGAGCACCAAGTCGGCGCCACTGTTCATCTCGATTGCCGCGGGCATCACGATGGACACGCTGCGCTCGTGGTCGAGCCCCGCGAAGCCTCGGGTCGTCCGGGTCATGCCCAACACGCCGGCGCTGCTGGGCGAGGGCGCGAGCGGCGTGTTTGCGGGAGAGGATGTCGGTGCCGAGGAGAGGGAGCTGGTGTCGACCCTGCTGGGCAGCGTGAGCCGGACGACCGAGTGGGTGGACAAGGAGGAGCTGATTGATGTCGTGACGGGTCTCTCTGGTACGTTTTGTCCCTCGCCGCGTGCTAACCCTGGCATCAACTCGTCTGCTGTGAAATGCGTCGCTAACCTTTTGACTCTTCTCTCGTTGCTCATCTAGGCTCCGGCCCTGCCTACTTCTTCGCCATGGTCGAGCACCTCACCGAGGCCGGCGTCAGCCTGGGCCTGTCGCGCGAGCAGGCCACGCGACTGGCGAAGCAGACATGCTTCGGCGCCGGCAAGATGCTCATGGAGTCGTCCGACGAGCCCGCGCAGCTGCGCAAAAACGTCACCTCGCCCAACGGCACGACCGAGGCGGCGCTCAAGAGCTTCGAGGCGTCTGGGTTCAAGGAGATTGTGGACAAGGCCGTCCGCGCGGCAACGGACCGGGGCGAGGAGCTGGGCAAGACGCTGGGGAAGCTGTAGAATCAGGCAAAGGGCAGATGAAACACAACAGGTCTAGCGAAGCACATTAATCAATCAATCAATCAATCAGTTGAAAAGCCAGGCCGAGAATACACAGCAGAAAAAAGTGATTACGACGTACGGCCGCCGCATGTGGTGGCCGGGCCGAAGGCACCCCTCAGCTTCCTCTCTAAAGTGTGATGCTGGCCAGCGAGCACGACCGGCCTACCCAAGACTGACACCAACACAAATGTGCAAACGCATCGAGAGACGTGGCTTGGCTGCACACCCGGCGGATGCCAGTCCTACGGACGTCACATCTCGTTGGCCCACGACTTGTCTCCGCACTTATGCTTGTCTGCGAGCAAGCATAAGCCCATTTGGGAAAGAGTGGGCATCCGAGCCTTTGCGAGCTCGAGCGGGCTACAAATACGCATCGAGCGCGCCGCCCTTTGTTCTCTGCTTCTTCTTCCTCTCTCCATCAATATGACCTCTTGAGCTCAGAAGCAAGTCGGTGCCAGGAGTTCCAGGAAGTTGTTGGTGCGCAGGAAGGAGTTGATAACCAGGAAGGAGTTGATAACCAGGAAGGAGTTGATAACCAGGAAGGCAACAGAGTGGGGAGCTTGGCACAGCCGTTCAGAAAGAATCTCACTAGCACGCACACTGGCTCAGCAGCACAACACAGTCCGCCGCTCGCGTGAGTCTTTACTGGGGGCCCCAAGCTGTCGTCCATCATGTCATCGACCATGCAGGACTACCTCGACCGAGACGACGATCCAGAGACATATCCGCCAGGTCTTGCGGGGCCAAGTGCAGCAGCACAACGTTTTCTGGTGCCAAGCATGCGCACCCAAGGTGGCCGCATCGGCTCAGGTGATGAGGTGATGAGGTCCACCGAGGAGGGTATCACACTAGCACAGGAGTACGGGGGGGTCGATTGCTTCGGGATGGAGGCGGCTGGTTTGGTGGAGGGCGACCACGGAGATAGCCATCAGAGCGACGACATGCAAGGTGTCGAGCCGCTCAACGCGGGGGGCGTTGTCTGTGCGCGCCTGGAGGACATGTCCGGGGTGGAGAGACCACGGGGACTGCCGCGTCGGACTGCGGAAGCTGGCGCTGTGAGGCAGCAGCGCCTTAGGGTCAATCGCAAGTCAGATTGGCCTCTGCTGACCAACAAAGTGCACTGTTACCTCTGTGGTCTTGGCCACTTGTTGCCAGAATGCGACGCAGGTCCCAAAACCATACGAGCAGAACGCAACCGGAGAATGGCACAGGGGCGTTGTCTCGCATGTGGCGTGGCTGATCACTGGTACAGGGACTGCCGCTACAAACATCTGGTGGAGGAATGAGTGCGCGCCCGTCATCATATCAACGATACAATAGAGAGTTTGTCCTTTGTAGTCAATATACTATGGTTACCTAAGCTTAGGAACTCCTTAAGCACTCTCCGTAACTGCAGACTCCTGCTGGGAAAAGGGCTATGATCTCAACCTTTGAGATCGTGGCAAAGACATTGGAACAACTAGTTGAAGAAACAGGTAGAGAACTCACAGCAGAGAAGTGACAACGGCGGGCAGCCACATCTGGCCGGGATCAACGCACCCCTCAGCAGACTCCAGAGCCCCTCAGCCTCCTCTGCCTCTCTGAAGTGTGCTGCATGCTTGTCAGCACAACCAGCTCATCATGAACTGATGCACAGCCTCAATCAATACCAAACACGCGTCGGAGACGCGACAGAAAGTGCAGACCTTTGTCGGCCGGTGTGGAAAGGCATCTGACCTGGTTGGTCCGCTTTGTTTCGTCCCCAGTGGGCAGACTGGATTTCCACTTTGGGATGTGCGACCATTTCTTGGCAAAGCGTCCCCTACACAGCGCTCACTCTCCAGCTCTTGAGCTCGGCTACAAATACGCGTCGAGAACGCCGCTGTCTGTTCTCTGCTTCTTCTCCTTCTTTCTCTTCCATATCGACATGATCCCTTGAGTTCAAAACCGAGTCAGTGCAAGGAGTTCAGGAAGTTGGCGGTGCGCAGGAAGGAGTCGGGACGCAGGATGTCGGCGGCACGGGGCTTCAGGTGGGGCGGGTTCGGCTCCCTTTACCAGCGTTTGATTCCATCAACTCCAGTCACACCCTCTCTACTCACTTCACACAGGGTCACTTCACGCTTTTTCTCTTTGTCTACTGGCAGAACTCACATCCCCAAACGACATGGGCGGCTCGGATTGGCCTTTCCTTTATCACGGGGATATTCATTCGGAACCCGCGATCCATCCACTCCCCGCACCAATGCGTCTCCAGTCATTCGGCCATTGACAGTTTGGGACGATCTCCCCGTCGTCATTATTTTCACCGCGCTGACCATTGAGCACGCGGCCTGGTGTCTGTTCTTGGAGCACGACTACGGCATGAGGCTGGGACGGGGGATCGGGGCCAGCGTGTCGGACGTGGCTTACAGAAATATTTACAGGATGGGGCGGATTCGGGGCGTGTATGTAGCACTTGTGCAACTGCCTAGGCCCGGGTACCTGGCAGCAAACACGGCGGCGTGGACGGCGAAGGCGGACTTTACGAAGATCAGAGGGACGGTTCTTGGGGGCATCTGCGGAGCAGTTCCATGGTATCGACGGACAAGAGACATACGAAACGGACAGGTCCACTTGGGCGATGTATTCTTCAATAGCGAAGGCATTATCCCATATGACTTTGGCAAACAGTTGCCCGACAGATTCCAAGTGATCAGTGAGACTATCAAACCGGACGGAGGGGTTGGCCGGTATCTCAAAGAACTTGACAGCGATCCTGAGAAGTTGAGACAAGTCGAGGCTCGCGCTGTCGGAGTTCGTGACGAGGGTCTGAGGAAGGCCGAGTCTTTGGGCCAGGGGTCCATGTTTGCAACGCCTGCAACCCACTATCAGCATGTGCCTGGACACGGTGGTCATGCCAGCTCTGATGACGGATTCGGGGGTCAGTTTTTGAGCACTCATGTGTCCAGCACAAGTAATGGCAAGAGCTGACGAGTTTGGGGTGCTGCAGAAAGAGCGACGAGGACCGCACGACACATTATTCAGGAACCAGCCTTTCGCACACGTGGCGCATGCTTCGGTTGCGCCAACACCGTGATGAAGTCTGCAGAGCACAGTGGCAGACTGGGACGGGAATACAACATCAATGCATTCGAAATGGAAGCGGCAGGGATTGTGCACCCGTTCAGCGACGTCCTCGTCATCAAAGCTGTCAGCGACTTCGCAGACAGCCATAAGAACGACGACATGCATGGTCCTGCATCGCTCAATTCGCCGGCGGTGGCTACCGTGATACTTGAGGACCTGTATGGTCCCGGCAAGCAGGATGGAGCTGGAGCATACTCTCTGGATCGCTTGCGTTCCATCATCTGGCGCCAGTAAGTCTGAACAAGGCAGAGGAATGGAAATGGAACGCGACAGTGGTGGGGAGGAGAACCACTTGTTTTTGGGCAGCTTTACTGGTGGAGGTCAGCCCTGGAAGACTGCAGCTAGAGAGCGCAGCAAGGGCATTGTGCTGCAGGCAGGGGTAGCTGGTCACTGGGACATGGACTGCCACTTCAGAGATCTGATCTGGCAATGAAAGCACACGCTTCATCACGTCGACAATATGATAGAAAGTCTTTCCTTTGTAGTCAATAGAGTATCGTTTTTCCTAATGCGCCCTCCGCCACTGTAAGCTTCTGCTCCTTAGTGCCATCAACCCCTTGCAACAATCTGCAAACCCCAGGATCCGATCCCCAAAGATCAATCAACACCCCTGTGACCTGCTGGTACAGAATCAGCATAGCAGCGCTGGTGCCTGAGCACTGACAGCTCAGTTGACCCAAGCCTTCATTGGCCCCCCTGTAAGCCAACCCAGGCACTTGCAGAAGTGACAGGGTGCCCAGAGTGACGCTCTAAAACGAAGTACCCGCTCTGAGGTGCTTGTTACCAAACTGGCAAAGTACTGGGTTCATTGCGGAACCATTGCTAATTGCCACGACTCTTTCCTTCGCGCATCTTGACAAGTCGTCAGCAGCCCCTTTCATTGGCAGTTGTACTCAGAACGTCGCACATTTCATGTTTCATTTGAGATGTCCTTTTCCTTATTCTTGTTTTCTGACATGCATTTGGCTTGGGATGCACCACGAAATCATTCACACTCCTTGAGGTGTGAGAGAAGAGTGTGCCCGACCCAGCTGCTGTTCTAGCAGGTCCATTGGTCGCAAGCTCTGAAGCAATCCGCTCCCGGCGAGAGGTAGTTCATGAATAATGCTAAGTGCCGCACTTGTTCTGGACATGTCTTATACTGTACAAAATACAAATGATGAAAGCTTTGTCGGAACCCCCTGCTACCTTCACGGTGTAATCTAGAAACAGGAGTAATCAGTCCAATGCGAGATATTTGAAGGAGACCCGTGAGGTTGAATTTATGCAGTTTCGGAAACCACAAGAGCCAAACCCTTTGCTTTGACGACAGCCCTTTTTTTTCACATTGGGTTCTGCGCATATGACTGTCCTCGCGCCCGTCCTCTTTCTGCCCGGCTGGCACTTTCTTATCTTCCTGGCACTTTCTGTGTACTTGACATCAATCTATTTGGCTCGGTTGTCCGATATCTACATTCTCTGCCTCTTCGTACTGCGCAGCTACTATGGCGAAGGAATTCCAGCGAAAACAAAACGAAATCAGTGCCTTAGCGAGTCAATTGGCGGACGAGCAGTGCAGTCACCAATTCACTTATGTCAGCGTCGCCAGTCTGCTTTAGATCATGAAACTAGAGATTGCTTTCCACTTTTTGTCAGCGAGCTCATCCTCAAGCGCCGAAGGACTTGCCAGCGTGTGGCAAATGATAATTTGCACTGATAGGCGCTGCGCCGATGCTTGGTCCTTCCGGAATGATGCCACGCAAAGTCTACTGGACACCGCTAACCAGCACATCGACAATTTCACAATGGTCTGATACGGTAACGCGACTCAACGGCGCGAACGGAAGCTCTGGAAATTGCTATCGAGGGTTCGTTGGGTTATAGGGAGATATCTTCAATGGCTTGACCATATCTCTCTGACTCGCTCCAAGGCGCACACACTACGGTTCAGCACACGGTACTTTTGTGCATAGGTCTTGGGCATCGGATTCGACTGTCACAAGGACTAGAGCATCAAAAGGAAGCACGATTCAATCGCAAAGGATATGTTGAAGTTGCCGTGGAGTGTGCGTTAGAACTTTCTTCTAACGCGCTCATGAGGCGGTGACCGATGTATTTGTTAAACTGTGATATTGTTTTGACAAGCATTGCATTTATAAAACAACCGCCTCTATTGATGATGATATCTGTCTGTATACCCACCGCTTGCTACAATACCAGAATTTATCAATAGCAGTTTTTTTATAGCTAGATGACAAAAGTTAGTTGAGCGTTCAAAACTTGAGGACAGGTCAATTACGACATCAGAAGCTTACCTCATGTCGGTCAGGGTTGGTTCAATAGAATTGTGAGCCCATGTACCTAGTATCGGCGGCGACGTTCTGCACCTTCATCGCCTTGTCTTTCCTCTTGCCGTCTTTGCTCCTCTTCTTGTCCTTGAATTCTTCCTTCTTGTGCTTCTTGTTCGACTTGGAGGTCGTGCATGTTGATCCAGGTTGGGTCGCTGTTGACCAGTGGTCTTGAACCTCTTGGAAGTGACTCTGGGTATGGGCGGACATCTCTCCTTGGGTAGTGAATCGATCAGGAGGCTAGTTGTGTGCAATGGGCATGTAGAAGGATACAACCTGGTGTGTTCTTGGGTGCGACAGCGAGACACCAATTGGTCTTGCAAATTAGAGTGCTGCTCAACTAATCGAGAAGTCTAGTCAATGTGTCCGAGTCCTTCCCAATATTTGTACCCCGAGAACTCAAAGGTCACATCCAGGTGCGTGAAGTGTACTATCCACCCAAATCCAAGGTCCATGCAAGGATTTCGAACTTTTGACGTACTCGGACAACAACCACGTAACGAGGCTACCACTTGTGGCGAATCGCAGCTATGCTGGGATTGTGCATGCTGCGCCGCGGAGCGAGAGTTCGAAAACGAGGTCTCCGGTCAAACCAACCACACGTAAGACTGAGGCGATGGACCGCAATAGGCCAACATGCTTACAGGAGCCGAGCCCGGCATCCCGCAGCCTGCCCCAGAAAGTTCGATAACATTGCATGCAGGCCCAGATATTAGGGGCCCTACGCAGTAACGTCAGGCAGCCTAAGAAGACTTGACCAGCCAATAAGAGAACTTGGATCATGCGCCTAATGGATCAGCCAGTTAAGTAATTCGGACTTCCTTCCCATGATCGTGAAACCCTGGCGAGGGTGCCCGCGGGTGGTCCAATCAATCAGCCCGCATTTTAGCCGCTGCAAGTCAACATTTCAGGCTAAATGCAGCTAGCAATTTAATTGATTAGACTCGACGAGCATAGAGCCCCTCGGGCCCCTTACAGGCCCCTTGCAGTAGCATGTTGGCCAGGCTGACCATTATGCACTTAAGGCTTCAACGTGACCTCATCGGAGATCTTTCGGCTGCGTGCCTTGCTCATAATAATGGTCCTGAACACGAAGTCATCTCGCAGGTGCGGGATTCAGTCCTCTCGCATGGCTCACAACAACAAGCGCGATGGCAACGTCGGAGAGAGACCAGCGGCCAACTCGCCAAGGAAGGCCACAAGGGTCTGGAGCTAGTGAGCTCGACCAGTACCGCGTGGAGATCGAGCTTTTGCGCCAGCGTCAAGTGCCGCTGTCTCACATCATGAGTATCATGAAGGAAAAGCATGGCATACACGCAAGGTAGAAGCATCTCCCCGTCTTCCACTGCAACTAGGTCTGATTGTTGTGCTCGCTGACACTGTAGACGCAGCGAGAGCCAGTACAAGCGCAAGCTCCAGAAATGGGGCTCGCAACTATACAAGCCACGGTCCCGCCGAACGAGGACTCCCATCACTCGGCCAATCCACGACGAGCCGGTGGTTTCGAAGGCCCCCCCGACAGGGCCATCGGGCCGTGCCCATGCCTCGACACAACCGAAGGCGACTGCATCGCCCTTTTATACTCCAGCGGTTGTCTTGAGCGACTTTGGCGCGCTGGACGTTCCTTTTCGAAGGCTGAACGTCGCAACGCAGAGCTGGGAGCCCGAGGCGTCCCGACCATTTCGATACCATCATGTCTCGTCCAACAGTGCCCTAAGGCCGGGGACGCGTTCGAGACTAGAGGCCATGACTGGACCTACATGTGAGTTATGCCAGCCAGCCGCTATAGAAGGATGACTAAACGGTACGAACGAGCATCAGATTCCTCACAACCCCCGGCTGCCGTCTCCTGGTCTCGACAGCAGGCCAGTATTAACCATGTCGAGCAAGCCACGCTAGACTGGCCGAGCGAGGATGCCATTGGCATGGATTGGCCGCAGAGGGGGTTTCTGGAGGATATGAACGAGTTCATGGCCTCGTTGGAATCTCTTATTCCCTTGGATGGAGGGGTGTCTTGATGAAGGGCTACAAGCTGGGTAGCTGAACAGTGCATCGCCAGCGTACTTGACACCTAATCTGACGTCGTTCTGTGTCGAGTTTGTGGTCACGCTGGAAATGCAGGAGCAAGCTGTGACTAGTCAGACCCCATCCACTGCAGAAGCCACCACGGATGTGCATGCAAGCCCAGGCTCCGGACTCGACTTGGTACAGACCACGGGGCCCCGTCATCCCTGGACCTGGCTTGGTCCAGGATGGACCACTGAAAAGTTCGAAATTGTTTGAAGCAGCAACTGCTTTCCTGATACTGTCCGCCTGCCTGCATTAGATCCCTAGTCTAGCTGCATGCAGCCCCTGCCCTTTCCAGCCAGTCACGTTTTTTCGAACTTCAAAGTCCTACATGCCACACGGTCAGGCTTTCGTGGACCAATGAGGAATTTCGAACTCTGCACAGCCCCTGTCCGTGCATGCCCCCGGCTGAATGGGCAGCAGGTCGGGCCTGATTGATCGCGAATCTATGGCAAGCAGGCGATCCAGCGCACCTTGGGACTTCTCTATATAGTCTCATGCGCCAGCCGCCCTCTGTGCCTTACTTGTATCAACCTCGTCACTCAACGATCCCCGCGTCCCACATCTCCTACATCACACGGCCTCGCGCTTGGCAGGGGAAGAATGGACGACTCGCCTGATCCCCCGCCAGCACCTCGTCGCCGCGGCCGACCGCAAGGCCCTGGTGCCGACGCACTCGACCTCCACCGCGTGGACATTGAACGGCTGCGTGGTCAGAATGCCCCCCTGCGCAGAATTATGGGCATCATGAAAGACAAACACGGCATCAGGGCTGAGTACGATTCCCCAAGATCCGCATCCTTGCGTTGCATGGCCGTGGTTCTTGACTAATGGCGTCACCTGGACAGTGAGAACCAATACAAGCGCAAGCTCGCCCAATGGGGTCTGTCACGAAAATACAGCCGCGAGAGGGCCATGTCGCCATACTATGACCACCCCGATAAACCATCATTGCCTCCAGCAGATGCAGACGTCATCAGCCTTGCACTTCGCTATCTCGAAGAGGATGGGTTTGCGAGGACAACCCTTGATATAATGTGGGCCGATGACTGCATCAAGAGCTCCCAGTCCAGTATCAGAAGATGGCGAGAACTAGCACCATCGAAGCTCCCTGGCCAGGAGAGGTCTTGGGAAACACCAGTCGATCTGAATGCAATTGCCCGACGATTTGCGCTCGACAAGGATGACTTCCGCATCTGGGCGTATTGTGATCGATTTCATCCCAATAAACGGTTCTCGAGACATAGGAAAACACCAGGGTCATACATCGCCGATGACTTGGAGAATGTTTTACAACAACTGCGCTGCTCTGAACCAATCGAGCAGGAGCTGGTCCTTACTTTCATGTTAGCGCAAGGCCACCTGACGGGGCTGTTGCAGCTTATAAGATGGGCCGTTGTCGACTCGAGGGACGATATTCTCTGGATAATACCACACCTCAGTGCCGAGCAACACCATCTTTTGCAAAAACTCGATGTGGAGACGATAACACTTTACGTATTGGTGTGCCTGCGTTGTCGGTTGCTACACGAACGTGGTGATTTCGCACCGTTTGGCGACATGGTCTTCTCGAGTTCATCGCCGTCATATACTACCATAGAAGCCTTGGACGATCTCTCGCCGCTCGTTGAAGCAACAATTGCAAGCAGTACTGCGGCGCAACAGCATCTCTATCCGCTGCTCGATTTCGATGTGGCAAGAACTGAAAGAAAGCTAGATGGCTTCCGCCAACGTCGCAGGATCCTGTGGCCCTTTGGCTTTGACCCTGCACAAGAGCGACTCGAAATTGATGGCAGCACCATGTCACTGAGCCATGCAGAGGAAATCAAGTTTCTCATGACGACCGGATCACATAGTCATCTCGCTAATCTAAGAACTCGTTTCATCAAGGAGCACCAATGCCTTCGCCTGGCGATGGATGTTCCAGGAGCGATTAACTTGGTGGAACCAGACAGCACGCGAGCCTCGAGTTTGCATCGGCCAAAACACGCGCGAGGCACCAACACCATCGAAGGGATAGAACTGTGGGCCTCGGCTATGGCTAGCCTCCACGCTGTGGCCAGAGGAACTGCTTCGGTTGGGGTGCAGGATGCCCTATCTCTCGTCTGTCTGGCACGAGCCGTCCAGAGTTACGGCCTTGCCCGGCGTGCTGGTGGTCCATCTCGCAATGATTCCGCCGAGTTGTTTCTCGCAGACCTGAGCAACTGGGTCACTGTTGTCAAGCATCATGCACATATCTCTGGCGAGACGGTCTCCCACCAAGCACAAAGGTTCTGCAACGTCGTCCGGCTCACATGGGATCTCCTCATTCCTGACGATGAGACTCCTTTCAATCCAGAGACCTCGTCACTGATCCTGCGTCAGATGCTCGCTGCGGCATGCCACCTCATTCGACTCGCGCTGTGCAATCTTGGCGTTGAGCAGCAGGGCATGACCTCTTCACCGCCAAGATCGACAGGAAGGCCAGCAACGCAGACTTCGCCACGAGAAAGCGAACGTGTCCACCCAGGCAAAGACCCCCCGGGTTTACAAGCCAGTATACTAGCCTTTGTGGCTGCCTCCGTGGCTGCGGCCTCAGCGCTGGGCTTCATTCTCGGCCTTATGCTTTGCATGATCTCTGGTAAGCTCCATTCCGGCCGTCTTGGCGGCTGTTAGTTCAGTACTGACCTGTTTGCGTCTTTCATCTTCAGTTCTCGCGAACATCATTCGTTTTGCATCTCCTGCTCCGCCCGCTTCTCCGTTCCAGCAAGATCTCGTGTTTGCCTCCTCAAGCACACCTTCGCCGCCCCACATTGAATGGCCTGTCTTGCTTTCACGTCCAGCGACCCCGGAGTTCGGTCCATGGCATCCAAAGACCAGCCCGGGACCGCTGGCGGAGTATGGCAGGATTTGAAAGATGCTTTGGCTTCCCTTGGTTTCCGTATAGTGCGCATAAAGATTGCTAGTCATCACTGTCATTATCTTCGAGCGAAGGATTTCAGCTTCAGTACAATTATATCTTATTTTCCCGATCTCTTCAGCGTCAAGTCACGTCTCTGGCTTTGGTGGGCGTCTTCAACTGCTGTTGGGGGAAGGCGATCGGTTTATTAACTATTTAGAACGTTCTCTAGACAAGCATGTCCTCGACGGCTAATGGAACAGCAATACAGATAGTTGCACCGTTTGTTTATGCAAGCTACGAGCCAATCCCCGAATCAGTCTCCTCTTTGTGTGTTGATATTTAAATGAGTGGAAGTACGCTCTTGGGCAGAAAAGGGTCTGCGATTACCGATCCTGGCGGGCGCAATATCCAAATACAGCATCGGCAACAAGTCCAGCAAACGGCAGCTATAGTCTTGGCTATTTAAAATAGAAAGCAGACTACAGCTTAAACTCGGAAGGCCGTGAAGTGGTTCTCGATACCGGTGGTGGAACCTCCAGCCATGAAGGTATCGTACCTAAAGTCCAAGAGGTATTTTGTTAGCCGCAAGTGCTATTTGGGTGGGGCAGACGACATGGTAAATAGCTTCGTGGAGACTGCAAGTTTTCAGATTATCAACCCGGTTCGAAATTATGGCTTACTGTTGGGTTTGTGATGTGTTAGCGTTTCTCGATCTTACACAAAGGCTGGAGGCTCGCCAGAGGAGAGAGGCACATACCACTTCATCATACTGCTGCTCGTCAAGGCCGGTGAGGTCGAACGTGGTACCATCTGGGAAGACCATCGTGTCCGGCTTCTGGCATGGGCCCTCGGACGCCTCATTGTCGCCGCCGCGCTTGCGGCCGACAAACACGTACTTGCCGGCCCTGTACTTGGCCGTGGGGAAGCACATGTCGGTCTGGCCGTTGCTGTTGCCCGAGCCCGCCACGTCGCCGGTGCAGCCCTCCTGCCAGTAGCCCGTGGCGTGGACTCTCCACTCCTTCGGGATCGCGTTGAAGCTGAGGGACCGGTTGGGCCACTGGCTGTTGGCAGAGCAGCACACTCCCGGGTTGATGCTGGTGCACCGGGTGTAGCCACCGGTGCAGCCGTTCGTGCCGGATGAGTACTGGCGGATGTCGATGGCGGTGGCGGTGGCGGCGAGGCAGGCCAGGACGGCAGGCTTTGTGAAGAGCATATTGCTTTTAGGGTGGGAGTTTCAAGAGTTTGTAAAAGTGGGAGTAGCTTGGGAGTGAGGACAGAGATGGGCTGTGTGGTTGCTGGGTGTGTGATGTCCAAGTCAAGTTTGGATATCCGTTGAGCATTGGCTCGATACTTATACTTGTCGAGCTGTGCAACAAGACGGCTTGCTCCCTCATCATCGAAGACTCGCCGCAGCAGGCTTGCTCCAGGTAATTGCTCGTCCACGTGCAGCCTAATCATGGACTCCGGTGCCGCGAAGCGGACTTGACCGCCCTCAGAATCAAGCTCGCGCATGTTCTCGAGAGAGGCCAGCCGTATACTATCGTCCCATGATTCACAACCTAGCATCGCAAGGTTGATTGGCTAGGACTTGACGATTCGGGAAAGACTCTGGCCAAGAGCGAGCGGCAACTCAGAGGGGCAATGCTGCTGACTTGCATGCGGGTGCTATGAATTAGTGACAACTCGCGCCAACGCCGGCGAATAGTACTGCCTGATTGGGCCAACGGTGGCCAGAAACGCAGGGCATGGCATAAGCTTATGACTTTTCTGCAACCACCATCACGGCTCTTGCCGCGGTGCACCCGGCCAGTCACAGCTCCTTGATCTCATTTGACATACCCAAACTGGCAATTCGCGTGCACCCCTCCCCCCCTTCCCCGCGCCGATCTGGTATGTCTAGTATGTTTGGTATGTCTGGTATGTTTGGTATGTCTGGTACCTGAAGGATCGCAGGGCGCAGCACCCGGTCAGACACGAAGTGCTCGCATTACGGTGACACCGCGAGTACTCAGCTAAGCAGGGTGCATGGGACGGCACTCACCATGAGCTGTTCTAGGACTTGGGAGCCGCCGAGTCGCCGATCCGACCGCTCAGGAGGTACTTGGCGCTCCTATGGATAGTTCCGTTCCGTGTTTGGGGCCGGCCAGAGTGTGCTGAACATGGCGAATGCACGGCACACGCGGCCGACCGTGGTGGGATCAAGCACATGACCGTGTGAGGGGCAAAAAGACCATCTTCCGTGCATGGATCTGTCTTACGCAGGATCATGATGGCCGTACGAATACGAGGTATTACACTCAACGACTCGCCGTCTGACCACGGTGGCAGTTGCGGCGTCGAGAGGCCGGTCGATTCCGCTTCAGCGGAGAGTGACACAAAGTCACTGGTGCTCGAAAATGGCTTGTCCGGGGTGGGATGGAGTAGGGAGATACTTCTCGATGAATGGGTTCTGAGAGTGTCTCTGGATAATGTTAGTCAGGAGAGGGAGTGTCTCGTTGTAAGGCCTACAAAGCCGGCATCCTGATCCTGCTGTACTCCGAGAAGGGGCCAGTGGTCTTGCTGGACCCATATCCGGATGTGCTAGGTAATTTTGCCGCCCACTTAGGAGGTAATTGTGGAAAGCGACCAGGCTGGCGACGTAGTGGAACGGGTAAGAAGAGGTACACCACTGGCAGCCCCTAATGCTGCAAGTACTCGGTTCCTACGCTGTCCGATCTTCTCACTCGTGTATGTACATACGGGGTCTCCTCCTTCCATTGGTCTGTGCGTTCTCTCTCTTCAATCAGGGACTGCTGAAGTATGATGAAGACGAAGAGGCCTGCTGCGCTTCATACTGCTGCTAGAGACATGGCACTCCTCCTTGAATCTTCTTGAGACCTGTGTCCAGAGATTTATATCACGGCTGATATAATAGGCATATTGTTGTCTGCCACTGCGCAATATGTATCTTGCAACGTCACACAGGGCGCATTCAATGCATCACTGAACGCGACTCGATCCCAGCAAGGACAACTACAAGATCTAGGACGCTGACTGGCCCCTTTCTGCCAAGAAAATCCGTTCCTAGTTCTGGTGCAATCCATCGCGCCACTCATGCTCGCCGCGGAAGCCGACTTTCATGTGGAATGCGTGGTTCACTTCTCACTTGAGATAAAAGTCTTGCGTCTCTAAAATTGAGCGTCCCCTCCTCCCCATGCTGAGCATTCTGGCGCCAGCTCGGTAGCCGCGGCTGTGGAGTATCCGAGAGAGCGACGTTTGTCGTCAACCTCGACCTCGAAGGAACTTGGCGGCAAAGAGTCTGGCGCTTCTGGCAACTTGGGAAATAGCTGAGCGTACTGTGGTATCTGGCGGACCGCTGCCGCAAACTTGCAGAAACAGGGGTAGTCAACGTACCAGCTTGACAGCTCCCGAGAGCGAATCGCGAGCCGCGTCCGCCAGTACGCCTCGGCACTTGTTTCTAGGAAGCCTCTAGCCCCAAGGCTGACGATGTCGTGTGCCATCATCCGCTCCCAGTGGATCAGCCGGAACGCCACGGAGTCGTTTTTCTCCAAGTGTGGCAGTGGCTCGCAGACGGCTGTGATCATGTCGGATCTGAGCCCACGTACAACGATAGTGTACATGTCGTCGACCTGCTGGGGCAGCGAATGCTGCCGGCTGGCGACAGCAGAAGAGCGCGGGGTGACTACAGCCGGCGGATGCCAGTTGCTGTAGTCTGGGGCCAGGCTGGCGTAAGTAGGCACCCAACTTGGCAGTCTCCGACCGCCAGGAGAAACGCACCCAGGAGATAGTTGGCCGTGTCATTGTGAGTATCAGGTGTGTGACGCGGGTGAACAGTTCGACGGGACTCTTGCCCACGTCGAGCAAGCCATATTGCTGCACGATTTGCTCGTCACTAATGAGTCCCGTGAGTCCGAAAATGCGGTCTCGAGGTTCGCGACACTCGTGTGTCAGGGTTTCCTTTCTTTCGCATTACTTTCGCCTAGCTGCTCCGGCTTAGATCACTGGTACATGTACACAAACATTTGCTTGGTCGAGCGCGAAAAGCATGAGCCCGGGCCAGAGGTCGTTTAATTTCATGTCGATCTGTACCGCTGCCTCGCCGTACATGCTGCGCATCCGTAGAGTCCCAGCCGTCGTTGCCAGGCCCTTGCTCGAGGAGCCCAACCGATATTGACCTTGGCCAGCGCACTGGGCACGCGGGCGTATGCCGTCTGTGCCGCGAACATGGCGGCATGGCTGAAGTCGGCGTGGCCTGAAACGAGCACGAGCTCGCGCGCCAGCATTGCCTCCTCTATATGTCACCCTTCCGCGGTCCTTGGGTGTTAGTTGTAGGGATCATTTGAGGCCCAAATCTGACGTATCCTAAACCACCGATTATGGTTTAGTTACGGGAAGCAACCCGCTTACGGCCGTGCGTAATTTGAGGCAATCTTATCAGTTTGCACTGAGTCACTACAGCGATCAGTCCCCATCCAATCCCTTTGCAGCTCGACGCGCTGGCTGCCTAACTACATCGCTGGGCCATTTAGGCTCTGATTGGGTAGCTTAACCTGGGACACGACTTCGTAGTTACCACGGAGACCTGAGTTTAATAACATCATCCGGGTGCTATAACGTAATCCACAAGTGGGTGAATCACACAAGTGGATGAATCAGTCCCCCGCCACTTTCGTACAGGCTGTCTTCTTTCCCCCTTTTCTCCACCAATAATTATGGTACGACAATCAAATGAAAGCGATTTAGTTCTCGCGCTAAATGCGCTTCAATCGAACCAAGAATTGAGCGTACGAAAGGCTGCACAGATCTATAATGTATCCTTCTCAACCCTCCAACGTCGACAACACGGCCGACCTGCGCAACAAGATATCCGACCACCTTGCCAGAAATTGACCTCGTACGAAGAGGACAGCATCGTACGATATATAATCGACCTAGATTCGCGATCGTTTCCACCGCGGTTAGGTGGTGTTCGAGAAATGGCGGATCGACTCCTCCGCGTGCGCGACGCGCCACGCGTCGGAACGAACTGGGCCTCAAACTTCGTACGACGACAACCAGAGCTCCGTACGCGTTTTAATCGAAGAATCGACTACCAGAGAGTCCTCTGCGAAGATCCAGACGCGTATCGCGCGTGGTTTGAGCTCGTACAAAACATAATCGCGAAATACGGGATCCACGATGACGACATCTACAACTTCGACGAAACGGGCTTCGCGATGGGCAAAATCTCCGCCGAAACTGTCGTTACAACCTCCGATCGACGCGGGAGGCCAAGAGCCGTACAACAAGGTAATCAGGAATGGGTTACAGTAATCCAGGGTATCGCGTCGTACGGCTATTCGATCCCGCCGTACATTATCTTCGCCGGGAAGGTCCACCTCGACTCCTGGACCGCGAATAGCCCTCTACCGGCCAACTGGGTAATCGCGCTTTCAGAAAACGGTTGGACGACGAACGAGAGAGGCCTAGAATGGGTAAAACACTTTGATTTCCATACAAAGAGTCGTACGAAGGGTACCCACCGCCTCCTTATCCTCGACGGCCACGAGAGCCACCATTCCGTCGATTTCGAGCTCTACTGCAAGGAACAGAATATTGTCACGCTCTGTATGCCTGCTCATTCGTCGCATAAGCTCCAGCCTCTCGATGTTGGGTGTTTTGGACCTCTGAAACGGGCGTACGGTAAAGAAATCGAAGGTCTAATGCGGGCGCACGTAACCTACGTTTCAAAGGAGGACTTCCTCCCAGCCTTTTATAAGGCGTACGACGCTACAATGACCAAATCAAACATCCAGGCAGGCTTCAGAGCGACAGGCCTAGTACCGTACGACCCGAATTATGTGATTTCACAGCTAGATGTGAAGTTTCATACGCCGACACCGCCAGGTTCCTCTGCTGGACTACCACCCCCATGGGTTTCAAAGACGCCGAACAACCCAATTGAGACCGAATCGCAGACGAAGTATATTGAAAATCTCATCGTACGACACCAGAATAGCTCACCGTCGTCCATTGTTAAGAGCGTACAGCAGCTAAGAAAAGGAGTCATAATGATGGTACACGAGCAGGAGCTTATGCGCCAAGACCTCGCCGAACTTCGAGATGCAAACGACCGCCTCAGCCGCCGTCGTCGTACGAAAAGAAAGCAGCTACAGAAAGGAGGGTCCCTTACGATTGATCAGGCAAAGGATTTGAAGGCTCAAATCGATGCGACGCGGCAGTTAATAGCGGAAACGAGTCAGAATAGTGGTCGTACGAGGAGGCCCGAAACGCGCGCGCGACGATGTGGCGTCTGCGGCGAGCCCGGGCATAATGCTCGTACGTGTCAGAAAGTTGTATCTGCCTCTGAAGAAGAGGATTCCGAATAGTTTGAATTGATTTGAGGCGTTATGGTTGAATTGACTTATACATTGTCGTACGAGTACCCGATAACTGATTCATCCACTTGTGTGATTCACCCACTTGTGGATTACGTTATCGTTAGTGGGAAAAAATCTCAAGAAAATCACCTCGACTTACTTGATTCAGAATTCAAAATGTCCTCATGGGAGTTCTGCGACTGTTCCGGCTTTGAGGACGATCTAGATATCGCAGGGACCGGAGTGGGTTCATTAGGGTTATTGTTACGACGCTTCCATGGGCCACATGCTGACCCGTTGTCGGTTTCAGGTGATATTCGTATTTATTGCATTATCGGCACTCGCGATAGTTAGCACTTGTATCTATCTCGCTATTATTAGGGCTGGTTTGAGAGATCGCGAAACTTTCAATCCGCTTGATTATGTTTTCCGTAGGTACCTGTGTACGCCGTTTGTAGACCTCTTGCGCAGGATACCCTAGGTTAACTCCCGTCTGACTTGGATCGAGCCGACGCTCTTCGGCCTGGTCCAGTCCCTCGTTGACACGTAGCTGGTTACCGGGATCGCTATGTTAAGCGCCGCGACGATAAAGCTGCACCACGGTAGCATTAGCGTGTACTACTTCAGTTTGGTTACGAATATGGGCTGGTTTAGTAGCGGTGTGCATCTCCTGGCCCTGCTGGCCATCCGGACGGTAGTGGTGGGCAGTATGAAGTAGCGTTACCGCTGGATATACCCCTTAGAACCGGGCTGGAGGGGTTTTGCCGTAGGTATAAGTAGGAGCGCCGATATCCTAGTGCGTATTACTGGCATGTTGATTATAGCTGGCCTGTTCCTCTACTGCTTATTTATTTCGGGAGCCTAGGGGTGGTACGAAAACTTTGAATGCCCTGTAAATCGCGCCTGGGACTTGCCTAGAGGGGGTGTGCTACTTTAATGGATAATTGTTAACTTCGTGCTTGTCTTGTAGGCCTATACTGAACGTTGCCTGAGCCTATGGCCCTGGGCAGGTAGATTGTGGATCGACAAGTGGAGATATTATGTTCTGGATTATAAGAGACTTCCTGGCGCTAGTTATTAAAAACTACTACGGTGGCGCCTGCTATATATTTGGTTCTACTACTTTTGGAATTCGGAGACGACCGCTGTCCTTCTCGATGGCTTCGTATGGTTCGGTCTTGGTGTTTATTGGATAATCAGTGATAGGAATTCGATGTACGAGTACCTGAGGTGCGAGGACCGGTAGAAGGAGGATAGTATTGAGGGGTTCGGGTAGCTTGTTCTAATTCTTCTACTGGGGTGTCACGATCCTGCCTCCGGGGTCAGCCGTCTGGCAGGGCGCTGGGGTTGCTGTTCTGCAAGATAGGTAAAGCCTGTGCAATAACAACTAACACTCTGCTGTCGTTCTCTCTCTAGGTTGTCGTTCGTGTCTCTTGGAAGAGATACCAGTCTCGGCAATTGAGTGACTAGTTCAAGTGTGGGTGAAACTGATACTTAGATTGATCGCTGAAGTACAAAGGTAACGACTGTCTATAAGGAGATCCTCCGTCTCTATATATCCTTTGTCCTTCATCGTGCCCGATAGTTCCTTGTTGCGTTGCCGACCCTTGGGGGTCGTGCCTGCGACGACTTCCTGTCGGTTTGCTAACGCCTGGTTGTCGCGTCCGCGATAACCGCCTGTCGGCTGCTGACGTAAGGTGAGTGATTACGTAACGTGCCCTCAACCTTCGCTTAACCCGCCCTCGTCCTTGGCCTGATCCTGCGGCCTTGTTTGTGCTAGGCCTGTTTGTTACCTCAGCCCTAAACAGTTCCCCTGTTAGTCGGGTCGTTATATTATCCCCCTTCCCCCTTAGGCGCTGTCCTTAGTGATATAAGAAAGGTGTGGCCCCGCGACCTAATGTCCTAGTCTTCTTTCCTTTCTTAACGCTAACTATACCGCCGCTAGGTCCCTGTAACGGCCAACCAACAGGGGATGTTTGTTTGGGCACTGAAGAGTCCAAACAACTAGGCCGCAGGATCAGGCCAAGGACAAGGGCGGATCATGTGGCAGTAACCGTTACAGGTTTCTTATGTAAGCACGATAAGGGACGATAAGGAAGGTACGTACCGGTCATGCATATCTGCATGACCAACACCACGCCAAGAAGGATGGTCATCAATATATGCATGACCATCAGGATCAGATCCGTGACCTGGCCACGACCATCGGGGCCAGAGTCATGACCACGATGAAGGACAAAGGATATATAGATGCGGAGGATCTCCTAGATACACAGTCACTACCTTTGTACTTCAGCGATCAATCTAAGTATCAGTTTCACCCACACTTGAACTAGTCACTCAATTGCCGAGACTGGTATCTCTTCCAAGAGACACGAACGACAACCCAGAGAGAGAACGACAGCAGAGTGTTAGTTGATCTTGCGCAGGCTTTACCTATCTGCAGAACAGCAACCCCCAGCGCCCTGCCAGACGGTTGACCCCGGAGGCAGGATCGTGACAGTCCCCTACGGACCCCTCGCATTTACTAGCGTCGTGATCCCGTCTTAGATCTTACTTCTGAACGCGCCGCTTACGCGCAGTTTATTAATTCTTCTACGGAGGACTCCGCAATACCTTATACCCGATGTTTCCGTTCCGGGTCTAGTATGTCTTATCGGATAGTTCCGGACTCCAATCGTTATAAGCGCTATGTTCGTAATAAGAAGTCCTACGACGGTATCGCGTGTCACGATCCGATCTCCGGGGTCAACCGTCTGATCGGCGCTGTGGGGTTTATGTTCTGTATAAGGCAGGTAGCAACCTCATGCAATACTGACTCCGTGCTTGTCGTGTTCTCGGGGGTTGTCGTTCGTGTCTCTTGCGAGATATCACACTCGGATCAATTGAGTGACTAGGTCAAGTGAAGGGTGAGGGTGATACTT